GTGATGTTGACTTAAACTCTAGGTGGCAAACGCTGCTCGTTCAACCGTTATAAACACTTTGACTCTCCACTTCGCGATCTGTTGGCTTTGTTTCATTTCTCCATGTTTGCGCCGGTACGTGTGCTACCTGCCACAGATTGCGGTCGAGAGTCCTAGTTGCTGGGCGTTCACCTCCTCTGCCCTGCCAGTCTCTCCATTCAGAACTTTTCTGAACGCCAAATTCATCCCGGTCTCCGCACGGTTTCGGATGCGCCATCATTCCTCATTGGCGAATAGTGGAGTACCAGCCTTTTATACACTTCGTTGGGTGATACGACTGCATCTTTACTCCATATCTTTGTTCTATGGAATCTTTTTCACTTACTTACCATCTACCTCAGCATTGGGCTATTTAGTTGTTTTGCTCTTCTGCTCGCTGAAGCTAACATGCTTGCGGTCAAAAGGTCTCAAAGACGTAGCACTGTTCAGGTTATGATAATCCTTTACATCCTGCTTAAGACCCTAGCTACTCTAGTGGTTTTCCAAAAGAGCCCTCTTTAGTGCCGAAGTGACCAGCTCGTCAGCAAGTTCCAAGCGCGGCAAGATTGTGAGAACTCGGCAGGTTTGGATTGAGGTTTTGGAGGTGTGACGTCCATGTTGCACACGACGCCATGGTATCGGACCAAGTGAGCGTGATGAGATCAACACGCTGATTGGGATTGAATTGATACTGTCGATTTGGTTTTATTCTCTAAAATTTCGTACAGAGTTCTGAATCATACACCAACGGTATCTGCCGTGAGAACTAAGCAGCATCATTAAGGCCAAGTGATCACTGGCCTGACATCTGGGGTGGAGTTTTTTGACCCATCAACCTGAAGAAGGGACATGAAAAATGCCACTGACAAAATGTAATTCAGTATCATCTGCCTAGGTGAAATACTCCACAGATGTCTACAGTTCCCCGGCCGCTCTTGGTCTTGACGTTGACCAACAAAAATACAGGTTCATAAATAAAAATTCAACTTGATTGAACCTTTTAATGAGCGATGTACATAATTGCTTGATGAGCCTGGAGAAATGAAGAGACAATTGTTGAGTACAAATCCTAGTAAAATAATGATTATTTTTTGATTATATATCTCATGTCAATTTTTGAGCTTGCTAGCTATGTCGGTCGATTAAACACACTTCCCGGCATTTTCTATCTTTTTCAAGATTATTTGGCCTCTGTAAAGTCAGAATTCTATTACAAAGAATATGTACAGGCGATTTTAGCTATAGCTTGCCGAAAATAACTAAATTTCGAAATTCGATAAGAAGACCTCACAGCTGCATTAGTTTCTGGCACAGTCTATAGTAGCGGATATGAGAGTATTCAAGACATTGAATAAAGTCCATCTAGGGCATAAGGTACATTGTGTATTACCATTCGTGTTTAGCGAAACACTTCGGCGGTTGCCAGAGACACAGGGTATCTGTTCCAAAACGTAGCTGTCTTTAAATCAAAGCTAGAGGCAAAACAAATAGCAAGCTAAAGCCTATTTTGCTAGCAGCACCATCATAGGTAGTAACCGATAGAGAAGCAGTTGCACCAGCCTTTTTGCTGGCCGATGTGCTGGACAATAGACCGAGAGATTGCGTCTCCGGCGCGATGGTTGTGGTTGATTGAGAGACGCTAGTGCTAGAGCCTGAGTTAGAGCCATTGCCAGAGCCTGGGGTCGAGGCTGCATAGGAGCCAGAGCCAGAGTTGGAGCCAAAGTTGGAGCCCGAGTTGGAGCCAGAGCCTGGAGTAGAACCAGAGCCGGAGGTTGAGGCTGCATAGGAGCCAGAGCCAGAGTTGGAGCCAGAGTTGGAGCCCGAGTTGGAACCACTAGCAGCAGGTGCACCAGTGGTCATATCGCTTACAGGACAGGTTGTGGTGTAAATCGTCTCGATGCCACTAACTGTGGTAGTCACGACAGAAGTTGTCGAGGCGCTGGAGCCAGGACCAGGGAAGTTCGAGGCTCCTGTAGGATTGCTTACAGGACAGGTGGTCGTGTAAATAGTCTCAGCCCCGCTGACTGTGGTAGTCACGATAGAAGTGGTTGACGCGCCGGGGGCAGGGGGAGTTTCGGTGGTAGTCACCTTCAAGCCCGTTGAAATCAGCGAACTTGGTCCGGGCAAGAGAGTTGACGAGCCTTGAGCAGAGTTCCTTTGAATAGTTGTGTTTCCATAATAAGCAGATACTGGCGTTTCGATGTAGTAAGTGGTCTCGGTGGTTGGGATACCGTCTGAGCCGGTGAAGGAGGTCAGTTCTGTGGAGTAGGTTGAGGTGACAGATCCAGTCCAGCCGGTAATTTTAGTGGACTGAACTTCAACATCAGGAGTCTCAACAAAGTAGACAGTGTTAACGGTTTGATATCCATTGGCACCAGTCGTCGTTATTCGAGTATTAGAATAGGTTGATGTCAAGAATCCGCTGTAGGGCTCCACAGACGTAGAGGTGAAAGTGTAGACGGGCGGTTCCTCTACGAAGACCATGTTAGTAGTGGTTAGTTGCCCTTTTGTATTAGCGAAAGTGGAAACGACAGTAAAAAAAGATGTGTAGGTTTTAGACCACAGGCTTGTCGAATAGAAGGGAGGTACATCACACTTATCTCCATCCAATGGCTGAGAATATGTAGGACGTCCAGATTTTTATGCTCGACTCCTTGCGGGTCACTGAATTGAAATTGCAATCCAGCCAAGTAGTTTCTGTTTACATAAAACAGACGAAGGGGGTCATAGATTCCGCCATCCAGATCGATGCTGATTTTATTCAAACTTTGAGGCCACAATACATATAAGGTAGAGGGGCCAGGATTTGAAACCGTCGAGTTTATTTGACAGCATTCGAAGGCGCTGTCCGCACCGACATTAATGTACGCCAAGTCATCGACATAGGCAAGATTAAAGATATAGGTACCAATGGTCGGGGCGTAGAGGTACCTTGTTATCAGCATGAAAAGTTTTTGACTGTGATTTGTGAGGCGTAGTTGTAATTTGAGGGCATGCGGCTCTCGACGCTCGCACACAATGGTTCCATAGAACCAAAGCTAAAAGTTAGGTCGGTAACAAAGAGACTGCTGCCCTGCTTACCGTTGCCGTGTCTTTCGTATCCGCCATAGCAAGTACGCGGGGTTCGAGTACTCCGGGTCGTAGCATGGAGAGGCCCTCTGAGGCATGGCCATACTATAGTACGTTACCGAGAAACTAAGTGTCAGCAGAGAAGGCTTGCATCCGTGAACAGCACCTTGGTTGACTGAGGCGGCCCAGGCGAGTTAAAGAGCCGCCAAGAGCACCCCGAGGGGGTGCTAAGATCATCATTGAAATTTTGATGTATCAAGAAAGCTCTAGCAGGCATAAGGCTTCCATCTTGCGAGCCACTCTTTTATAGAGCTGTCAGCCATCAACGATCTTGACCAGAAACTCTTTCAAGCGCGAAGGGACGCCTCTTGACCCTGTAGCGGTCCTCCATTCGATGATAAGATAATTTTGTATATCTGTCGCAGGCAAAAATCGGACTTCCTAATGGAATTTTTTTCTGCAGCTTTCTTTGTAAGAAGGCCTTCGATGGCACTGCGACCAAAAAAAGCTGTAGCGCGCGAGGCGGGTGAAAAAGATACAGGAATCTGCAGGAAGCAAACTTAAGATCTTTAAGCGTCGACACCATTACTCGACCAACGAGAATTTTCATATGTGACCAACACCAATGGTTTTTTTTTTTGTCTCTCATGGCGTCGTCCCCTTGTAGAAAATGATGCGGCCCAACACCGAGTAGTCGAGCTAGTAATCCAAGTAGATATCGCAACGAGTAACGGCACAGTTTTTGGTCAATTGAGAATTTTTAACGCCAGCGAGCCTCGGAGCTTACGTTGCCATTGCCAAAGTAGGAAGATTAGCGGCCGCGAACTCACCGGGGAGTGTCCGAAGGAAATGTTGTAAAGAGCGGCACGTTCGCAGAGCTGTATTTTTTGTGTATGCGAAATGGCTTGATATGGTTTTTCGACAGTCGAAGCTCTGTTAAAACATAATTTGAGTATGCAACATTATCGAGATTCCCTCTCAAAAAAAAAGATTTGGGGGTTCTAGTATTTCATGTCGCATACGAAAAAACGATTTTGGCGTGCGTTAAAGCTCGATTTCTCAGTGAATCAGCGAAATGTGTGATTGTGAGCGTGGTAAGAATTTCGAATACGGAATTCAAAAGCTCTTGCAAAAGCTTTCGCATTGGTTTGTGCATGCTAATTAACAAAAGAAAGTTAATGCAACATCTCAATTTAAGCGTTCACATACCCCGCAATGTTTTTAATATAGATTTAACGCCACTAGAGACCCGTGGGGCTAAATTGCAGTCTCTCTTCGGGACTGTAAGTGGCAACAACTAAGCTGACCCGTGTAAAGTCGTTCTTTTTTTGTACTAAAGCTCGCCCTGGCAGCATCAGTTGAGAGATTTTGGGAGCGTGTATCCCAAAAGTTGAAGCTGCTCACTTTAATGACTAGCCTCAAAAACAGTTTCTGGGAGTCTCATAACGGAAAATGGTTTAACTCGACGCTGCCATTCCAGGATTTGATCAAACTGTATCATAGTTGCTCGAACAGTTTTTGCGGAAGTATTAAAAACGCAGGCTTCAAATAAACACTACAAGGGTTATGAAAGCTCGTGGACTTTAAAGTTGCTTTCAAACAACTTTAGCAGTGAGCCACTCTAAGCTCAAATCCCTCCAAACTTTATCATAAGTTGTCGTTCTTGGGGATTAGTATTAGAATCACAATCTAGCCGCGAAGGCATTTAGTTCCATTAAAAGCATGCACTAAAAGCTTACCACATTTTGCTTTGAATACTTATCACCACAAAGCTCAATTGTGAACAGTAAGGTTTGCGCGTTTCCGCGACTGTGCGTGTAATAAGCCCGAAAAGAACAATCGCCAAAATTTTATTCAAAATTTTTGACACTATGAAGCTGAAAGTACTCCACATTGTACCCAAAAACACAATCTTTGAAAAATTGTGATGCTTCTGGAGCTCCAATGAAGTCAAAATTATGAGGCCGGTCAGAGAGAACATCAATCATGAATTAAAGTGCTTTTCAAGATCGCTAACAGCTCTTTTCGTTACTACATGAACAAAAACCATACCCATTGCATTAATTTGAGTGGTTTCGAGCGCACAACGTCTCGCTGTCTATCAGTCCGCGCTTTATCATCGACGATGATATATATGGGCACTGCGCAATTTAGAGCATGTATTTTCCAAATCAATATATGAAGTTAAAACTTACTACCCTGCTGCTCGTAATGTATTTGCTGAAGACAACTGACCATTCAAAACGAAGAGAGACCAACCCGTTGCTCTGAATTTAATGCATGGCAGCGCTGAAGTGTTCCAGGTGAAATTAATATGGAAAGCCGAGCATAGACTTCTCACAGCCCAATGTTTTATTGAGCGAAAAGCGGTAACCAGTGAGGGGAAGAATGATGGGGTACGCTGAGTTTATCGCAATCACAGACTTTCCCTCATGGCAAAAATCTGCGAGCCGCCTCAATACGTTCAAATGTTGAGATGTAAGGATTGGCTATCAGAGTAGCCAGATTCATAGCGTCGCTTGAATGCGATCTTCTATATTTCCAAATAAAATCGAACATGAGTTGTGTACTTACCGTTCCCTATAGCAATAAGAAAGAACAGTCTTAAACGCCTAAGTTTAGCCGGTCACGCGACGCTGCAGAGAATGTAGATACACCCTGCGTTAAGTCTGCGGCGGGAGTGATGGTTGTGAGCGGCTACGCATCGCTAGCGGCAACGGTTTTGGCGCTTCAATTAATTTTCAGAATCACGCGGTTTGAGGGCATCACCAGTGGCACAAAATTTTCTACTCTTCTGCGGATTTGTCTTTGAAAAATACCGAAAAACAGCACTGAACGAACAGTCTCTGCTGCTAGATCAGATAAGCTTCCAACATTCAAGCTGAGTGGAAAGAGGCCGGTACCGACAGGCGGCGCAGATTTTGTCGTAAAAAGTTTAAAGCCATCGGAATAGCGCGATCTCGACTATTTCACACTAGAACTTGTGCCACACTGGTTGCTGAGCACAAGATACCCTTACTCGTTTATAATGCCATGAAAGAAAGACAAGATTTTTCGCCGGAACACCCGGGCGGATGTGCTTGATTCTTCGTCTTTAGTCGATGCCGGGATTGCCGTCAAGCATTTAGAGCCATCAAGCATCTAGAGCCATCAAGCATCTGGAGCCATCTTGTGTTTTGGCGGCCTTTAACATGTAACTTCCTTTCACATGTATAAAAATTCGTGGGCAACTAATCGAGGGAAATGGTCGGGACGTGTATTCTTTCGAGGCCCTTGAGACTTTGTCTTTGTAGCCATTAAGTTCCTTTTAGTCCGAGGATAGGAACCTTTAATTTGTAGGATCTTCTATCGGCTCTTTGAAAACTCGATGTCATCGATAAATGATGTTCAACAACGTGATCTGGAGAAAAATAGTGATCTTCACACCGTGCTATCTTTTGACAGCACAGAAAATGTAGCCAAAGGTCCAAAAAGCTCTTTTTATGATTACCTGAAATCTTTTAGTGCTAAGACTGGGACAGAAACCAAAGGCATCGAACCTGTGACAGAAGATGAAAAAAATGACGCTTCATTATGGAACGCCGCGTCAATGTGGTTTTCCGCCAACTTAGTCATCGCAGCATTTTCGGTGGGATTGCTTGGACCTTTAGTTTTTGAACTGAACTTCTGGGGCTGTGTTATTTCTATTCTAATATTTGGTTTGCTCGGGGTCTTGCCAGTTTCGTTTTTCTCCTTGTTTGGGGCCGAGCTGGGCCTTCGTCAAATGGTGCTTTCACGCTACCTGCTAGGCAATGCAACTGCACGCATATTTGCTCTGATAAACATCATTGCCTGTGTTGGTTGGGGTGCTGTAAATACTATAGCATCCGCCCAGCTTCTTCATATGGTAAATCCTCATGGTGCTCGCTGCCCCCCATGGGCCGGCTGTCTGATTATAGTTTGTTCAACAATCATCGTCTCGTTTTTCGGCTACCGCGTCATTCATATGTACCAGAAATGGGCTTGGGTACCAAACGCTGCCGTATTCTTAATTGTTATCGCACGCATTCACCGTAGTGGTTCTTTCGAAGTCGGCCCATGGAAACAAGGCAGCGACACAGCGGCCGGCATCATCTGTTTAGGTGGTATTGTATTCGGGTTTGCATCTGGGTGGACAACCTATGCTGCTGATTATACTGTCTACATGCCGCGCACTGTCAACAAACTCAAAGTTTTTCTATTCGTGGCAGCTGGTCTAATGATTCCACTTTCCTTCACTATGCTTCTAGGTTCTGCAGCGGCTTGTGCTGCACTCAACAACCCGCTTTACATGGATTTCTATGAAAAAGAGAGCTCAGGGGGACTACTGTACGCTATTTTGGTTCCTAAATCACTAAACGGCTTTGGTCAGTTCTGCTGCGTTGTTTTAGCAATGTCAACAGTGGCCAATTGCGTTCCAAACATGTACTCTATTGGTTTGGGCACCCAATCCTTATGGGAGCCACTTGCTAAAGTTCCTAGAGCACTATGGACTGTTGTTGGCAACCTTGTGACTCTGGCTATTGCCATTCCAGCTTACTACAAATTCGCTGCCTTTATGTCAAGTTTCATGGATGCAATCGCTTACTACATTGCTATTTACATTGGAATCGCTCTGACTGAGCACTTTCTCTTCAGAAAGGGTAAGTTTCAGAACTACAGCGTGGCACATTGGAGCAGCTGGAGAGATTTGCCTGTTGGTTTTGCTGGCTGTCTTTCACTAATTTTGGGGGCTGTTGGTGTGGCTGTAGGTATGAGCCAGACCTATTGGACTGGTCAAATTGGAAGCCTTATTGGCACTCGTGGCGGGGATATTGGTCTTGAGCTCGGGTTTGCATTTGCCGTGATCGCTTATACAATTACGAGACCTCTGGAATTAAAACTCTTTAGCCGTTGATCAGGAGACCGCTCAAATCTCGGTGCAGTCCAGCAAAATTGTTATTAAGAATTCTAAATGTAACTTGATACTATTACACATCAGCAAACCAACCAAAGTCTTAGACAAGCAATCAATTTTATTCTAAACTAGTATTTGATAAGGTCATGACTCTCGTGACAACCTTTTTCGTGAAGGATCTGTCATGTGTAGTAGCAATAATAATGCCGGGAAAGCTCACTAGAGCATCTTCAATATTTTCCAACCTCGGGAATCAATGTGGTTGGTAGGTTCATCTAGAATGAGGATGGAACATTTCCTCATGACAAGCTGACAAAGTTATGATTTACGACGGCACCCGACACTCAAGTTCTTTAAAGGACTCTTTAGGTCGTGCCAACTATAAATTCCGAAACTGCGCAAATCACGAATTGCTTCCTGCTATTTTGCTTTGATTTTGATATCTTCTTCCAACAAGTCCATCGCAGAATTTTCTATCGGGAGGTTTCCTTGTTCCTGGTCCAGGTACCCGACGACTTCATTTCCACTAACGGAGACCGTTCCATGATCTGGTTCAGTATAACCCATGAGAATTCGATTTAAAGTTGTTTTGCCAGATCCATTTGGACCCTGAAAAATCAGTTTCTCACCTTTTGCCAGCGTAAAAGATACATTGGTGAAAATTTGCTTTTCATATTATTTTGAAGCTTCAGTTACCGTTATCCCTTAAAGAGAGCTTAAGTCAGGAAGACCGTCGAAATCGGGAATTATTTGAGATCGATCAGGAATAACGTCCACTAAATTATCATTGAGATGCTCAACTTTATCAGACAGCTGATTAATCAGGCCCGTAATTCCCTTTTGGGCTCTTTGCTCCTTGTTGTTATAGCTTAGTTTATCTCTGTCTGACCCGGATCTAAAAACTCGCGCCTTAACTTTAGATTGTACTTGAGGAGGCTTAGACTTCAGTTTCTTGAGCTCCTTGTCCTGGAATCGTCTCTCTTCAATCATTATTTGTCTCCTTTTTTTCTATTGTTCCAAGTAGTGCTTATAGCCACCTCTAAAATGGGTAAACTTCTTGGTGTGAGGGGATAACTCCGAGTTTGAAACTGCATTGATCAAAGCACGGTCGTGAGTAACCATGACAACCGCACCTGTGAACCTTTTATGAACCTTTTCAAGAATAACTCTAACCATTCAATCCCTTTATCGTCCAGGTGATTTGTTGGCTCGTTCAGCAAAATAAGGTCTGAATCTAAAACGCTGAGAGAGCATAGTAGTGTTTTCGTCTTTTTACCACCACTGAGAGACTTGAAAAAACGTTTCAGTATTTCTTTCTCCAGCCCAATATGAGCTAACTGCCTAAAAATCTCATGCCCACCCAAAGAGTTGAGCTCCTATATCAACTCATGTGAGAAGGAATTCAGGGGTAATTCTAAGAGATTGTTGATTTCATCATCGTACAACGACTTGAGCAGCACCAAAATAGCCAGTATGTCGCCATCGACTTCTTCGAAGTGTTGAGGCAGAAAGCCAATTCTACCTTCGACTTCCATCGACCCAGAATATGAGTAATCACCTATGCCGGATAGGATCCTAAAAAATGTGGTCTTTCCACTCCCACTGTCTCCGACTATGCTCACCTTGTCTCCATAAGATGCTGCAAAGTCGAGGTCCGAAAACAATGATCTCCCATCGAGGGAAAAATCTAGGTCACTAACAAGTACCTCAGGAGACTTACCAGTAACTAATTCGCGATAATACATTCCATTCTTGTAAAGCTGCTCTACTTGCTCCGTCGTAATAATGGATTGTCCTGCCTCTGTTAGCAAGCCTAAATTCTGTCTATTAACGTTGTTCGTAACAAACATTTAAACCCTGTATACGCTTACCTTTCGTCCATTTTGGCGGATCTATGTGTGCCAATGACTCTAAAAGCTGATACAAACAATGGATTAGCGTGAGTTATGCCAAAAGTGTCTCCCACACTTTTGTATATTTCTGTTTTATAAATTATGTTGAAATATGCTGCTACCTTAGCAGCCTTACGTAACTCAACACAATCAACGGGTAACTTACCGTTTACACATCGTGAGTGTCGATCAAACACTGGGCTATTAGCCCAACCTTGTTGATGCTAAATATTATCTTTTTCACCATCAAGAGTTTGTGCCATGGTGACTGTGCATCAGGGCACTTGAAGATTTCAACTTTTCACTTAAATCAAAATATACCTTGAAGTGGGACGTACGTCTACACTGAGGACACGCGGTCATTGATCCGCTTGATAAGTTGTTCTATCCTTCGTGTTGAGTCTAGCAACTAACATCTTCTTGCAAATCTCAATGCCTACTGAAAAGATTTATTTTTTGAATGAGGACTGCAGAGTGCTAGAGTGCATGAAACAAATTTACCTAAAAATCAGAACCATCGTTTAACACATTTTCACATAACCACCGAGAGAAACTTGCGGGAACCTTTAATTTAACTCCGACCAATATCTGTCTTTATTTTTTTCAGGAACTTTTGGCAAGAACAAGAATTATGCAGGAAGATGGAGATCGCGAGTTCACGTATATCAGAGTCGAATAAAGCGTATGTATTAGCCCTACTTGAATCAGATATTGAAGATCAAAGCTCAAAAAATGTAGTTGTCTATACTTGATGTCACCACTATTTTGAATGATAATAGCACATGTGTGTTTGAAGCATGGTCTGCTTCGATCCCAGACGATGCTTTCGGCCACTTGACCCATGCAGATCACTTAGATGACTTTGCTTTGTCAGTAAATGCAACCACTAACACAGTTATTGACACTATAATGCTGTCAACTTTGGAAAATGCCACCGCATGGCTTGAAGCTGAAAACATGCGATGGCGGCTTTGGATGAGCAGGAGCTGATTGCCGTCTCAGAAAGCGAAGAAGAGCGGGCGGGTCTGATACAACTACGAGTTATATCTCTGCGCAGCCACTTAGTACTCTAATGGTAGAATATCTGATTGAACTGGGTCTTGTAGCCGTGGCAAGTTAGAGGTCGAGTGATTGGCTAAAGCTTGCGAGGCTCGTGTTTTTGCTTGGATTCGTAGGTTGTTGTTGCTCATATTAGAAGAGCCTGCTCTATAGAGTTTTGGTCTGATTTAACATTTGTAAAGCCTGGGGATGTTCTCTTACAAGTCTGTATAGATCCGTTCAAAGCATTTTAAGATCATTTAGATGGCAAGTGATGTCGACTGCTTAATGTAAGGTCCCGGCTTTACAATGAGCCATAAGTCGGTATTGACTCGAAACTATTGTAATGAAAGACATGCTGAGTGAACAAACTATGAGAAAGATACGGGAAGAGATAAGATCAACTGCGGACAATAAAAACGTGTTTTCAATTAAATTGAAGATTTCAGGTACATACCCTTGATGAATTAAGCTCTTGTAATTTTATCAGCTTATGGTGTAGACACAAAATTGCCATGCGGAATTATCTCATCTGACTGAAATGAACCTACAAGTGGCTATGCGATTCTTACAACCGAATCATGGTCTGAGGGAACAAAGTCGGGCATGATGCAGACGGCGGTGGTTTACTATCGTAGCCACGCGATAAATGCCTCGCCTCTTGACTTGTCATTTGGACACTGCGGTTATTCCTCCTCGAGCACAGTTACCGATATCGCGAGCGGGCTTCAATGTTTTTTGCAAGTCTTTCATCATGCTTTTGTTCACCAAGCTCTAGAAATAAAGGGTTTCGGAGATTTGTTTAATCGAAAATCTACGTCATGTTTAGAAATCTTTTGACCCCCGCAAATAAAAGAATCGAATCGTCTTGACCTGAGCGATTCATAAGTAGAAACGAAAACCCCGAAAGAGCCTTAACACATAAAAAAGGTTGGCTTTAGTAAGGTACCATACGTTATCGGTTTGAGTCCGTTTACCATTCAAACTGCAGCTTGAGTTCAAAACGTCATCTTTAACAGCTGATGTGGTCTTAATTTCTTATCTACATGGCCCCACGAATGGAGGTGCAACTTTTCATAACGGCCTGGTTCTCAACCGCAGATGGATTGGATTAACTGGAGTTCGTGATGTCGACAAAGATATTTTTCTCGGCACCCGGGACTCATAGATCTCGGGCACAAGCACACCATTCTTCATGACTGCTGGTCAAGAGGAAGAGTTGAGAATGGTACTCTATACGCACATGTCTAAACATCTCACAGTGGTATGAACCACCTCACGGAGTTCTTGCACGAATGTAATCCGCTTAGCGAAATGTACTTTTCCGCCTGTAAATATACATAGAGCGGCTATGTTGGGTTTTTGGGTAACGAAAATGTTGATGGAAGCTGTTTTTACAGCTGGGATGTCGGCCACCTGAGTACGACCACCTTCTCGACCACGTACAATTTAGAAGTCCGGACATTTCGTTCAAACGGCATAAGATCATGTCTGATATTCTCAATACTATTGGGCCACGTACTCTCTTATTTCAATGCAACTAAGGATAGGATTTATTCTGCTGCTGGAGCTTCGCCAGGGGTAGCTCCTGGAGGATCAGCGGTGACATAAACCTATTCTTTGACCGCCCAGAAAGCAGATGTTTATGCGGTGACGATGAGTAGACTGCAAATACACCGAGTTCTACTGTTCAATCATGAACACTTTGAGTAAACATGCGTCTATGGTGCAAAACGCAACCCGAAAAGGGTGGAACAATATAGACATGCTTGAAGTTCACATAGGTAATTTGATTGATGACAAAAAAGTGGCTCATTTTTCGATGTAAGCGACTTTGAGTCTCTTCTAGTGATTGCAGCAAACTTGGAAATGCTCGAGCCTTCTTCGCACATAACTTTGATTAATTGTGACATGATTTTAATCAATCAAGATCCTACGGCCTCTCCTGCTAGTGGTGTTAGGACGGAAGATGTTCCTGACAAGTACGAGTACGTCCATGGAAGCGTATAGCTTCAGAGTGGTCCTCTAAACACCGGCGGCCAAGTGGTTGCCGTGTTGCATGGTGTTTCAATTGCCGATGGCAGCAAGCTGAACAGTGGGTTTTCGTGAGAATGAGTTTGGAAGTTTTGAATGTAACACGATATGGGCAGCCACCGGTTTGTGTAAAAGCTGCTAATAGAATAGCACTGCAGCTAGCACTCTATCTCAAGGCAACCTAGGCAGAACCACTCACATCAATGTCACTAAGCTACCATATGAGGTGGGTCTTGCCAGGAACGAAACTATCTAGTTCGGTAAGTACGCCTGTCACCTCGCCAAGTCACGCCATCAATGCAAGCGTTCCAGCTCGTGGTGTTGTTTTGTGTTGAGAGAGACATAGATTAGACGTACGAGGAGACTGGTATTAATGGGTGATAGACCCGGTGAACTAAGAATTAAAGCTCAGCTTGCGAGCAGTTTTTGTCCGAGGTAAAAGCTTTTCGAACATTGATAATCTTTGCCAAATGTTCACCCGCTCTTATTACGAGGGTTTGGACCCCGCAAATATATCAGTTGTTGCCAGAAATAAGGTTATCCCGTCGCTGTCTTTATGCCCACGGTCTGAACTACCAGTTAACTAGCTGTTCTGCTATTATGCCGCATGTGTTTATTCTGTTTCCGTGACGCATACATGTCATAGTGTGTAGATGCATTTCACACAGGCCTGGAAACGAGCTTAAGGATGGAACCTTCAATCTGAAGGGTCCGTCATACGTTTAAAAGGTTGTGAGATTAAACCAAGCACTGGTTTCAGTTCCTTTGTCATACAACCAATGCTCCTATGCTTCAATATCCAAAACGAGCACTCAAAAACTTACTATAGTCACGACAGCAAGTCTCCTTCTGTCGTGTCGCTGTGACTTCGTGGCCAAGCAAGTCGAGGAATACCACTGTTTATTGCAATATCCTGAGCACGATTCTCCCCCAGACTGCTCCTCAACCATACAACCCATCGCCGCCGGTATTCTTTCCTTCTAGCTGTTTCAAGCTCGTTTCCGCGTTCACGACTCATCGCCCACTACGCGTTTTTGCCTAGGAATTAAATCCGATGAACTGCGAACACAGCATTCCGTTGGAAAAGAACGTCATACTAAAGGGTTGTTATGCTTCTTCGCGAAACCTACGCTGCAGGGTGTCACTGTACAGCAACGACCAATTGGAGAATTTCAAGCTCTTTTTCTACACAACTTCCTCTCCGCGATTCACGGAAAATCACGAAAATGTCGAAATGAGAGGGCTTGGAGCTGCTTTACAAATACAAATACCCGATGAACTCTCCTTTGAACGGTCTGTCGTCAATGGCCTCATCACACGTCGATCCCAGACATTCAGGTTCTCGAGGCGCGTTTCTATGCAGAATGCAGGGCTTTTATGCATGCCCTACGGTTAGTGTTCGGTGCGTTGTCGTCTTCCCTGACTTCGGCAGAAATGTTGCATAAAAAATTCAGAAAAAGTTTATTGCACCTGTATCTGTGTTCGAGAAAGTCATATGATCTCAGTGAAAATTCTCCGTCGGCAATAATATTGAAAGGGTTTCTGCGTCTCAAACCCTTACGAATGGGTTGACTGTGGTTACAACAGGAAATATTATAGAAAACGTCGCATGCACAGGAAAGTACGTCTCAACCGTCACCACGACTTGACGAAGTGTCAAAGCGCGGTGTCCTCACTGCCGGGGCCCTAACTTGTGAAAGTTGAAAGACTGCTGGGAAAAGTGAAGTCAAACCGGAGCGCGCTTTTTTCGCGAACAATTTGGTCAATAACTGTAGTTTGGATCCAAGTATAAATGTAGCGGCTTTTCCGTTAGAAAACCTATTCAGAGTATAGTTACGTGTTCTGATTTTCTATTACTCTTTTTACCGTAGCCCTACCCACCTTATTAACTCGCACTTGAATTTGTTACAATGGTCAAAAAATCCACTCTTGCCAGTCTGGCCGCGGTTTTGGTCAGTGTCGCGGCCGAACCTGAAATTACCGACATCAAAATGGTCAGTGTCGACACCGGTTCTTCTGACACTCACGGTGTTTACGACGCCACTTTCATCGAGGTTTCCATCAAGGCCACCGAAACCGGTACTTGTTGGTTTAAGATGCCAGCTGACGTTGTGACTTTCAACCAAGACACCCCATACAGCTTCGAGTACGGTAGCGTCAACCGTGACGACGACGATTTTAAGATCTCCTTGACCTTCGACTCCTTGCCAAAGGACGGCGTTGCCCAATTCGGTGTTTATACCAGATTTCAATTTCCTTATCAAACTGGCCACGAGGAACCAAAGTCGGAGTCTTTCAAAATCAGCTCCTCTTCTGGTGAGTTCACTGCCAATGTTAACCACAAAGAATTGCCAACTGACCAGATTTCCGTCCATTCCCTTCTAACTTCCTCTCAGATCATTTACGATGTGTACGTTCCAGCTGACATGATTACCAACACCACCACTTTGGTTGCCAAGAGCGCTGACGGCCGAATCTTCGATGGTTCTATTGTCGGCGTCTATTCCGTTCAGTCACCCCCAACTTTCCATGAAACTTCATCCGATTCCTCCATCTATTCAGGCATGGATTACACCTGGCAAGATTTCTGCACTGATAGCGAGACCAAGATTGTTTACAGCGGGCAAGAGCTTGAAACTGCCAAGTGGGTTTTGTTCAAGTTTTTCGCCTCCGTTCCAGCCGACTTGCAATACTACAACCAAGTGATTGATGTCACTATCGGCGAGGTCACTGAAACCATTACAACTCACACTTACAGCAGATACTACCCAGGTTTCATTGAGGCCCCATCTTACAAGCGTGACGGTTCCGGTTCTGGCACCAATGGTAATCAAGTTACCTCTTACTCCTCAAGCCAAGCTTCGGCCGCAGCCCAGATCTCTACTTCTGACATTCAAGCTTCTACCGCTGCTCAAACCTCTAGCTCTGAAAGCCAGGCTACTACTGCTTCTCAAACCTCTTCTTCTGAAACTCAAACCTCTAGCGCTGCTCAAACCTCTCACTCTGAAAGCCAAACTGCTGCCTCCGCCCAGACCTCTTCCGTCAAACTCCATTCTGCTGCTGTTTCTTCAACCCCCTACTCCGGATACTTCAACTCTACCCGTTCAGTCTCTTCCACTGCCCACGTATTTTCAACTACTGTTATCACCACTTGTCCTACTTGTGAAGTCAAGGCTACCACTGTTGGTGTTTCTACTGCCACCGTTACCATCGACGATGTTGTCACCGAGTACTTGACTTACTGTCCTCTGGAAACTCAAGCCACCATGGTCATCTCCAAGGGTACCACTTACGCTCCTTCAGTTGTGATCACTGAAGTTGAGTCGAACTTGTTCACTGCTTACACCACTTACTGCCCAATTGAAACCAAGACCACATCCACCGTGTCCGAAATTTCTTCCACCCCCACTGTTGTTGTCTCCAAGGGTACCACTTACGCTCCATCTGTTGTCACCAGTGAGGCAAAGTCTGGTTTCACCACCTACACCACTTACTCTCCATACACCACTGCGTCTGACAAAGCTACTGGCTACAACTCTACCAGTACCTCTACCACCCACAGTGTTTATGAGGGTTCCGCTAACCTGATGAAAACCAGCTTCGCTGCCGTTTTCTTTGGTCTACTTGCCTTCTGGATGTAAGACGCTTGTTAAACCAAGTTGGTGACGGTATTGCCTATCCTCAACATCTTTAGTCGAGCTCAGAAACACGGTGCTCATTTGCCTAAAAGTGTCTCGGCTCGCCTTCGGCATCATCGATTTTTTAGCGAGAATCAGTTGATTAGATACTATCAGACCTAACGCACATTCTGTTCTTTCTTTATTCGTATCAGAGTTGTCTAAGACATAGATTTACTTTAATTTTATGAAAAAATTGGAAGTGCTAATAACAATTAATTGTTTCCTGGAAGTATAAAGTAAGACAAAATAGAAATTGACATGTCTATTAGAGCACACTTCGACTCAGCAATCTGGTTCTCGTGAAGGCGTTTTCCACGTAGCCCGGTTTTGGTCCGAGCTTTTTCTAGCCAAATGTTTTCTTTGAAGCTCACACTCCTAATTCACAAGTAATAAATGGTTTTCATATGAACCTGTCCTCCCTTATCGACACAACAATATATAAACGTTTACAGAAAATTACTTACTCATCACACCACTGCATCACTGCATAACCGCATTATGCATTCTATTCTTACTTTTCCGTGTTAATTATGTTTTACCTCGACGGCGGTTGAATGAACCATCGCAGATTTTAGACGCATGATATAAAATGATGGAAAGGAGGCAAGTAAGAGTAGAAAAAGAATAGGTTGGCATTGAGCGCAATCTTGTGTTCTAAGGCTTTAAAACCTCTGAAGTCGATGCTACGCGTCGAAAAAGACGTAGGATTAGTTCAAGAACAACATACCTCCCTTTGAGGCTCGTTACATGGGGGGTATAATTAAGGGTCACGCTCTAGACATGGTTAGCTTTAACCGACCATAGAGCAACAGTCTTGACACATACGGTAGATTGAATTTCTGAGAACAAATCAGAAAGTATATATAAAGAGTAAGGTAATAAAAAACACTATGAATATATTAAAAATACGACAATTTCTTCTGGGGCTCATTTTGCTAATAACTATGACAGAGGGATCAGGGCATGTTACAGCCCCATTGTAAATTTCAGATGTCAATGCACTAATGCAGATTCCTTTAAGCATGTTTACATAGACCGACCGTCTATTGATTACCGACGGCTCCAGTTTCACGGACACCAGGGAAACTGTCCGCGAGGTACTTAAAGTTGAACCAATTGGACGCATCCGCTACCATACCCGGCTGTTTAGTATTCTTCGATAATAAAGGTAATGAAATCGCTAGAGATGATTCAGACACCAACGATTATCCTGAGACAATTATGACTAGCTACGAGGATGCGCTAAAGTGTAAAGACATAATCAATTCGACTGAACTGAATCGAAACAGGACAAAAAAAGTGACAGTAGACGGAAACTGCCACATCACGATCGGTCTCAAATTATACTGCTTTTCATATATCGCAGATTCTCTAACCGTTACTACGCACGCGTCAGTGGCGCTGATTATCTTATTCCACATCCACCACTGCGTGCTTTCTCGCGACAATTTCTATTCTCACTCCTTACTTCACCACACTTTAATCCCGATCCAATTCGAAGGATCCATAACTATCCGCCCGTCTGTCATTGAACTTCAACGCCTTTAGCAATTACTGGCAATACCTCTTGATGATATGTATGTAAGAGACTTTTATACCTTTTACACGAAAGAGATAGGTATTCTGATTAGCCTTGTTGAACCGCTCTCGAAATCTGTCATGTTTATCTGTCGCTACCATGAACTGGTTTTCCGCTGCTTCAATTGCGTTTCGTAAGCCAGTGCTTTGGCTCAGCGACGAGTACAAATTGCAACATTTTTTGTCTAGAGCCACTGTATAACTTTAAATGGGTTATGGAATGATAATCAACGGGTAGGTAGATAAGGAATCTTCCAGTCGTTTTAACCATGAAAGAGAATTTATACCATTTTTTCAGATGCGTCTAGTGCTTGTAGCACCTTCTCTTATTCACAATTTGCCGTTGACGCTTTTGTCCGCTCAGTAATGATTTGAGCCCGGTGGTGCCTTGGAACTTCCCTCTCAACAGGCATATCATATCAAGCTCGAGCGGCATTCCACTATATCACATTTGTATTTATCTGTCGGACAAAAATATTGGCTGCAGGTAAAGCAGGCACTGCTTGACGCACATAACGCTTCTCTGCATAACCAGAACAAAGAGAAAAAGAAGCGAGGTATCATAAAATGAACATCCTATTTTTGATCCAATTATCATAGCCACGCGAAGGTGATGATTTAATTACATGGGATTATTTGAAGAAGAAGCGTGGATATTGGTTTAGTTGGCGTAGCGCGACTTCCCGCGCATGGTGGGGCCGTACTTGTAGAACACGAACGGAATGGCTGCGAGGCCAATGCAGAAAAACCCAACCAGCGACGATCCCCATCCGACGGGATACTTCTCGCTGCCGAGATTTTTGTACATTGCCTGGCCAAATAGTGGAAACACGCACGCAAATACGGCCCGACATAATCCGTTACTGGCGAACACAGACGCTAGATAGCGTGGGTAGCAGATGGCCAAGTAAGCAAACGACGACTGGAACAGATTGAACACGTTCAAAACGAAGAAAATCTCCGAGATGATGGGCAAGATCCAGTGCACGCGTGCGGTCCATCCAAACAGAAACAGCGAAAACGGCAACGACCAGCACACGATCATGGCCAGCACCAAAAAGTGCTCGGGTTGAAAAGTGCCGTTTTTGAACTTGGGTGTGATGTAAATCGACAGAAACAGTATCAGCAAGGTGTATGCAACCACACAGCCCACGCAGAAGCCCATGTAAGCGAGGCCCATCTCGACCAGGGTGAATTTGTAGATTCCGATGAACACGATGGGGAACGCTTCGAAAAACAGGTAGAAAGCGCCGTAGCACAGGGAGATGTACAGATCGAACGCCAGGACCGCTGGTTCCATGATCATCACCAAAAAGGGCCGCACAAACAGCTCTTTCAAAAACGCACGAATGTCGATCTTTAAATCGGCACGTTCTTGCCGAGTATAGTAACGGTTGTCGCCGGTCTGCTTGCGCAGACGCTTGGCACGGCGATGCAGGATATTGTTGTGTTGAGTCTCTGGGAAAAAGGCCACCAACAGCACCAGAGTGAAAGCGCTGATGATCATTAGTAGCCAGAACACCCACCGCCAGTCCTTAGCCACCACCATAGCCGCGCCCAGCAGCGGTGCGATGACGGGCGCGGCGACAGCGCCCACGGCCCAAAGGCCAAGGATCACTGGCACCTTTTCCGGGCTGATTATGTCACCCATGGTAGCTCCGCCTGTGGCAAGAGATGGCGAGCACAGCACACCGGAGATAAAACGGATTACGGCCAAGCCGCCCATGTTGTTGACCGTGGCGGCTCCGGCCTGGAAGATCATAAACAGAAACAGAGTCACGATGTACAGAGGCTGGCGCCCGATTTTGGTGACTTCTGACAGAGGTGAGAACACAATGGGGCCGAGTCCGTAACCGAAAACATACAGCGAGAGATTGAGCGTTCCTACCACATGGCCGACGTGGAACTGTTCTTGTATCTGTTGTTGTCCTGGCGTGTAGATGGACGCGCCCATGTAGGTGGTACACGTCAGTAGCATTGTCTGGGCCACGACAAACGCCCTCTTGCGGCTGGACCAGTTGAGCGGGTTTTCCGGGTCTGAGTCACCGTTCCAGTCGACGAGGAAGGGGTCAACTTCTTCGGCCGAGCCGACTTCGGAGCCGACTTCAAAGCCGACTTCGGAGTTTGCATTGTCCGCGACGTCCACTTCTGAGCCGGCTTCGGGATCGCATTCTAGCGAGCACTTGCGTTTTTTTGACACTGCAGACGACGCGGACGCGTGGGTCTGCTGGACGAAGTTTGAGTCTATTTGGATCAGTCCTGCATATTCCAACACGTCCGTCAAAAACGTGTTGGCGAAAGCTTCTTTGTAGCCCATAATGTGTTTCGTGGTGAAAGAACGAGAGTACTCGTAGCACAACTGAACAATTGAGACCGCAACGAAAATCGTAGTCAAGACACTATACTATTCATAATTGAGAGAGTGCTCCCTCCACTTCAACGACTACTCTAACTTCTTATATACCCTGTCTTCCTGTCCATCGTCCTGCCCATCGCACATCGTAGTGCCTTGATTTCAAATCTTGAGTTGCCCGCTGACCAATTCTGCTTGGCGTCCTTGCGGTGAACACGCGTTTCAACAGGATGGCGACAAGGCTGTAAGCCGCACAATGAACACCCTGCGTCTACTACGCTCACCACGCTCTCATCCTCCATTACACAGATCGTTCGAGCACATAAGCGGATGAAACTGTTTACGTAGAGAAAGTCGTACGGAGTGGGCTGCTTAGTTATATACAACAAAAAACGAAATCCGCGTTACGGCCGCCAGAAGGAATCTTTGTCGTCACCAAAAACAACAAACGAGAGCTTGGAAGGCGTACTACAAGGACAATAAGCCAGAGAACTCGAAGTACAACTGAAGATCCGGGAGTGTCATCCGCTAAATGGGACATTGTTTGTCATCGGTCGTTTTGTCACGTGCCGACGCCGGGAGTGTCATCCGCTAAATGGGACATTGTTTGTCATCGGTCGTTTTGTCATCGGTCGTTTTGTCATCGGTCGTTTTGTCACGTGCCGACGCCGGACATGTTTGGCGATTACGTCAGCGAGCTATTTATTGACACCTAAGCATGCGATGTTTAAAGGGATAATGGTCGTGGGCGTGCCGGGTGAAACTCGCCTTGCTGGAGATATACTACGCGAGTGTGTACTTTGGGACCAAGATCAGCACCGCAACTCGTAAACAGGCCAAGGTCGGCTGTTGTGATTGTTAAACAAAACGGTACCCATTTGTCGAGCATATATGCGACTCTTTCCGTCTTTGGTGATCTCTAAAATATCACTTTTGGGGTATTTGATATGTCACGTGCCACCAAGCGATGACTAGCGTCACGTATCTGACACATAATCCCGGGACTCCAGAACAGCCCCATGTTGCCCATTTACTGAAGGTATATAAAGGGCAAGACTCTTGAAGCCTTCCCCATATCTTGTGAAGTCTCCTTTACACAACAACAGTGTTTGTTCTACGTTCACAAGCACAACCAAAAAACTATAGTCACGTAACAGCTTCATATCATGGCAGAGAGATTAACGCAGATCAAAGACCATATAGTCTCAGCAATGACACCCTCGGTGGTGGACGCCAGACCCGATGACGTGGTCGTGGTGACAGCGTACCGGTCGGCCATAGCAAAGGGATTTAAGGGTGGCTTTAAAGACGTGAATTCAGACTATCTAGTACATCAGTTTTTGCTGGAGTTCTTCGAAAAAGCTCCTCCTGCAGTGCGGGACAACAAACAGCTTATCCAGGAAGTGGCGTGCGGCAACGTGCTGAACCCAGGCGCAGGCGCCACAGAGCATCGCGCAGCGTGTCTGGCCGCAGGCGTGCCCTACACCGCTCCTTTCGTGGCTATCAACAGACAGTGTTCTTCGGGACTGGTGGCCATCAACGACGTTGCCAACAAGATCAAAGTCGGGCAAATCGACATGGGACTTGCCATGGGCGCAGAATCGATGACCAAAAACTATGGACCCCAGGCGCTCGGCAACATCTCCAAAGAACTCAAGGAAGATAAAATTGCTCGCAAGTGCCTGATCCCAATGGGAATCACAAACGAAAACGTCAGTCACCAATTCCACATTTCCAGGCAGAGCCAAGACGCGTTCGCCGCCGAATCTTACCGCAAGGCTGAATATGCCATTTCCCAAGGTCTCTTTGAAGATGAGATTTTGCCTATACGCTTACCAGACGGCACGGTTGTCTCCACCGACGAGGGCCCACGCAAGGGCGTTACCGCTGATAATTTAGCCCTTTTGAAGCCAGCTTTCATCAAAGAAAAGGGAACCACTACGGCTGGAAATGCTTCACAAATATCCGATGGTGTCGCAGCAGTTCTTTTGACCAGGCGTTCAGTGGCCGAATCCATGGAGCTACCGATATTGGCAAAATACGTAGCGTGTCAAGTTGTAGGTGTTCCTCCAGAGGTCATGGGCGTGGGTCCTGCGTACGCCATTCCAAAGGTTTTGAAAGGCTGTAAGCTAAATGTGGGCGATATTGACATTTTCGAGATCAACGAAGCTTTTGCCGGACAAGCGCTTTACTGCATCAGCAAACTCGAGATCCCGTTGGAAAAAGTGAATCCAAAAGGTGGTGCTATAGCGCTCGGACATCCGCTCGGATGTACTGGGGCCAGACAGGTTGCGACAATTCTAAGAGAGCTAAAACCTGGTCAGATTGGTGTGGTGAGTATGTGCGTGGGTACAGGTATGGGCGCTGCCGCAGTGTTCGTCAAAGAGTAGTCGAATAAAGAAAAGTGGCTCACTCCACATCAGGTACAACTAGCCAAGAATTCTTTGTATAGCCGGTCTTTTTGTTTGTAATTAAGATTGCCCAATTGAGGCCACTGCGTTAGCAGAAAATTAAACTGTGAAAGCAAAGGTTGACTTTTCAATGACATCTCATGGGCTTTACTGTTGAAGTTGTTGAGAATGTTCGTCAGCTGGGCACTGTGTTCCGCATCTTTTACGTGATTGTCATTAGGATCCAGCTTGATTGGTTGCTTAGGGTATGTGAATGGTATGGTTATTACTAGAGTAAATGACTCTTGGGCAAAAAATTCAGGTACTATGAGCCCATATGAAGTGCTGTTTTTGCCCTTTTTGAAAATTTTGAAGCTCTCTTCACCCAGGACATGCTGAACTTGACGTATTTCATCTTTTGATTCGTTGGACACTCGAGCCGCCTTGGCATTTTTAGAAAAAGCGTTCCCCTTCCTTTTTATATCGGTAAACTTTTCCTTGTTAGAAGTCCTTTCTGGTTTCGTTGTGGTGCCTTTTGCATTGGGCGTACGGCGATGACCTTTCCTCTGCTTGGGCTCAGATGTTTTATCATTGTTATTACCGCCCTCTGGAGTTCCTGCTTTTGGGTTATTCTTCCTAGGTCTCCGACGCCTAGCGGCGCTAGTTTGCGATGGTCTAGAGTAGGGATTAGTGGCTGTTTTCATGCCCTGACGAGACACCATACTACGTGTGATGACTTTAAAGTATTAATTCTGTAATGTCAAAAAGAATATTAATTGATAATAGTATATTTACATCAATAGTCCAAAAGACATATTTGATGAAAGCCTTGAACCTCGTTATCGTCGGTGAGAGGAAAACTTCATGAACTCTTGGGCCGAACTTCTGAGTTTCTATGTACTGAATCATATCTCGCCTAATGCATGAGATAAACATTATCTCGAACCTTTGGTGACTGGGTATAAACTCTGATTTGAGCTCTCAGGTTAAGACGACATTTGTATTCGGATTGACATTACTCCAGAAACCGCATCACTGAAGCGTAATATAGAAAAAGGGTTTTTGAGCTACTTGTTGACTCAAAGAGCTATGTTCTTCTTTGCAGTCATTGTTACTTTGTGATCTTGATGCGCCCAGCAGGTAGACTTACTAAACTAAGCTGCTCAGTCTTGATATTTGTGAGTATTTTACAAGATGGCTTCATTTTGCACGTCATGAAAAGCATTACTCCATCATCTGCTCAGCTGAGTGATTCTTAAACTTGACAATTCGAACAGGTAAGGTATGATACACCCACTTATAAGCTGTATGGTTGTTGTTGAGATTTTATAAAAGATCTCTAATGCTTTATTAGCTAGGTTGACACCGGCATCTGCCAGAAATGAAATGAACATCTGGCACTTGGTAACTAAACCTGATCACGCAAGCATTGCAATGGGATAATTAGAACATAGCAGGAAATGGAACGTCTCCCAACAAGTCTGGACCTAGTTTTCGATGATTCGAAAAGATAGAGAAAAATCAGTTGGTGTATCCTTAGCCTTCCCGCGGCATGAGATATATGCAACAAATCGAGCCTCTGAAAATGAGTAGAATTTATCAGTATTTGTATAAAGTTAAAATCAGTTCTTGACATACCCACAGATCAGCGCAGATCATTTGAGTGAGTGGGAATGGCTTTAACCCGCCAAAGACAAGCTCTTCAATGACCTGGGGCAAAAAATAAGAGCTACCGCTTACTCTTTACGCCAGTCACGCAATCATCGTATTGATCGACAGTGAAGGAAGTCACATAACAGTAGTTTAAGGAGCAGTCTGTTGAGTTTGCGCAATCAGGAACATATGGAGAGAATCTCGTGGCATAATTCTCATAGATTTGATTGAACTCTACCGACTCATTGATTCTAGACGCAACCAAGTGCCAGTACGTAGCATTCAGTGGAGCTGTTTCTGGCCAGGTAATATTATATCCTTCTCTCGAAGAGTATTCAAACTCCCATACAGGCTCTGCGCCATTGTTGCTGAACGTTTCATTCAACTGCGTGTAGTAATTGTAGGCATTCATTACCGAAAATGTCTCTTTATCGACAGAGTAGTATCTCCACGAGGGATTGTTGTTCACCCAAGGCGTTACGGCTTGTGAGATCCAAGAGGAAGCCACAACGTTTTCGATAGTTTTAGCATCATTACCGGGCCCTGAGTAGAGAATTTCGAATTGGTCCAAATGCGTGTGTCCGAAAAAAATGTTCGCGATAGTGTAAGGTGAGAATCTCTCAACGACTTCAGCAAACAATTTGGCTGGTAGAGGCAACGCGTCACCTGAAAATGGGATGTGCGCAATGATCCACACCCTTTGATCTTTAGCCTCACTTGCGACTAGCTCTTCAACCAAAAATTCGAACTGACCAAAGGTGTCAGGTTGTGAGGCATTCCAGTATGCGTAATGGTTTTTCTTGTACCAGACATTCGAGTTCAGAGATATCACTTTAAGACCGAGTTTGGTCTCGACCGAGAAGCCAGTGTAGTGTTTGCGAGCATATTGTGATTCTTTTGGCGTCAACCATCCGTAGTCTTCCCACAAATCAGCCATGAGCTCCGAATTCCAGGAGAAGTAATTAGAAAATCCGTGATTTTCCTGACCCAACTCACCGTATGGGAATGTGTCGTGATTGCCCATAACTGGATACATTGGGACGTCTCCCAATTTGTTTTTGATATCCCGGAAGACTACTTCCTCAGATTCCACGGTCATTTCGTAACCTGTTAGTGTGAGCTCATCGTGGTCGACTAAATCGCCCGTGAAGATTGCGAATTCGAAGTCCAAATTATTTTCGAAGCTAAAGTTGGCAATTGAGTCGAGAGACGAATTTATGAGGATTTCTGGAGCGTCACATTTATAGTTACCAAAGGTCGTGGCAGGGGCCCAGATTGAGTCGTTCTTGAAAACATCCATGAGCGAGCCTTTTACGAAGCCGTCGTCAGTGTAGGTTGAGTTGTAGAATGAATTCCAATCTTTGCGGGGGTGGGAAGTAATATTGGCAAACGTGTTACGGGAGTGAGGAGTGCAGCACATGCTGGAGGAGCAGTTTGCTTCAGCTCCAACTGTGTAGTCAAGCTCGATGTGAAAGTCGGAGATGTGGAGCACGTTAAAAGTATCGTTTGCCGCTGGCTCGGGTGCGATAAAGTGTTTGGCCTGCTTGGCCGGCCATAGGTGCGACAGGGTGACGTTAGGGGTCTTTGGTTTCGCACATGCAGACTCCTTGTAGCAGCAGTACAGCTGACCGTCGTAGCCAAAGGGATCCATAAGCGACAGCATGTCTGCAAAGTTTGTGCCCGTGTAGCTGCTCTTCACCGTGTTTCTGCTGAAGGTTGCCACACAGGAGGAGTTTGACATGTACTGGGTTTGCTGGCACCACTGGGTGAAAACGCGTGGCACCAGATCCGGGCGCAAAAGCGATAGGGACTTGCCCACGGCTAATCTAGTGACACACTGGTCGCACTTTGAGATATTCCTGCTCGAGTGGGACAGTGACACCAATTCGTCTACAAATGACTTCACAACGCTGTCATCGGCATACATATGACTGTAATCCAAAACCTCAGACAGCACATGAGTCTCTGGAATGACTGGGGATCCCAGAGAAAGACCTTTGAGCAGCGCCAATAGTACACTCAGAAACAGTCTAAAAAGCATTTCTTGGCTTTCTGAAAAGTGTGCTTGCTATGGACACGATTGGGACGTGAATAGGATTGAACGCCCAACACCAAATTCAAGAATATACACGTATATATAGATAAGTTCGACTATGACTGATATCACATCAGTATAGCTCGCCAATCATCATCGTGGGTCGTAATTCTCGAGAAATTTATCACCGCTCAGAATGCATACATTTTTTAGTTTTTAAACATATTGAATATAATTATGTAAATAGAAGAATGTATATAAATGTTGACTATTATATGACGAGGGCCGCGCCTTAAATAATACTAAATAGCCACGTGTCGCTGGCGTGGCCTTAAAGCGAATTTTCCATCGACCAAGACAATGCGCAATTTTGTTAAGTTTGGTAAATTTACTCACGGCTTGTTTTCCTGAGTCGTTTACTTGGTTCTCTCATTGTTACCTGATATTACAACAATGCAGAAATAGTAAGTGCGTAATTCGCCTCGAAAGGGCAAAAAACTTACAAGACTAGAGGTTGTTCGGAAACTAAAGTCAGGAGATTTATCATGCTTATTAAATGTCTAAAGTGAGGAGCCAATTGGGTGGTTTTTCAGAACAGGTTAGGTTAATAACGCAAACGTTGTTTTATCCTTGTCATTGAACACGAATGTGACATTTGTACGTATATTCTGTCATTCGACTGGCCTCGTCTGCTTGCGAACGCAGCTTATTGACCCAAGTTCTTCATTTTAACCATAACCTTGCAAAACTCAACTGGTGATGCCCTAGTAGTGCAGGATCAAATTGAAACGATCTCAAAATTGTCAAAGTGAAACTTTCCAAATATTAGAGTCTTGCGAACAGTCATGACGATTTGAAGCTTGTCACACGAGGTGGGGCATTCGGAGCTCAAGCTTGCTCTCGTTGACGGTCTTAGCCATTAAAACTTTAGTTCTCGTTTCGGCCTCGAAGCTCCTCTTGCCATAATCTTAGAACCTCAATGATCGTTTGCGTAACTTTAGTCAACTCATCCTTGCTTATGATGTACGGAGGCATGATGTAGACCAGTCTATTGAAGGGTCTCACGTAAACACCTCTGGAAACAAATTTCTCGTGGAACCAAGCAGAGTCCACGGGCTGTTTCAACTCCACAACTCCTACAGCACCTATCACGCGGACGTTGTGAATTATAGAAGTCATGAGTTCTGTGTCATCGTTTAGTGCAACGTAGAGCTCCTCCACGAGCTGAGACTCAATATTTGTGACCTGTTCGCGCCAATGGCCTCTCAGCAAGATCTCGAGCGACTTGTTCGCTGCGCTACATGCCAAGGGATTGGCCATAAACGTTGGACCATGCATGAAGCACCCACCGGTCGCACTGTCAGATTTGGACACTACATCTTTGATTTGCTCTGTGGCTACGACGGCACTTAGAGTCATGTATCCGCCGGTCAAAGCTTTCCCAACGCACAAAATATCAGGGAATACGTCCACTTGATGCTCTTTTGGGATACAAAGCTGATCCTGATAAATGCTACAGTGATGGAAAGCGAACATTGCACCTGTTCTTCCAAAGCCCGTTGCTATCTCGTCCAATATCAGCGGGATTCCAAACTTTGTACATAGCTTGCGCACCTGGATCAAATACTCAGGATGATAAAGCCTCATACCACCTGCACCCTGCAAAATTGGCTCTAATATCACACCGCATACCTCGCTATGGCGGACCTCGATAGTATTTTTAAAGTCATCAATATCATGCTCGTTCCATCTCACGCTTTCGCCAAAGATCTCTGGTCTCTGCTGAAAAGCTTGGGAAATAGGCAGAGTATCCAGCACAGAGGGCGCAGACACAAAAATATTTTGAGGCAAGTATCCACTATAGATCGAGTGCATGGAACTCACAGGATCACACACGCTCATAGCACCAAAGGTGTCGCCGTGATATCCGTTGCGAATGGTCAAGAACTTGTTTTTCAGCGTTTGGTCGCCACTCTTGGTAAATTCGTACTGCATTGCCATTTTCATGGCCACTTCTACAGCTACCGAACCGGAGTCTGCCAAAAAACAGCACTGAAGCTTTTCGTGGTCGATAAGTTTCAAAAGCTTCTGAGCCAATTGAATTGCGGGAGCGTGTGAAAGACCACCGAACATAACATGCGAAACTTTGTTGATCTGGGAGATTATGGCCTCGTTTATCTCAGCATTGTTGTAGCCGTGAATCATGCACCACCAAGACGACATTGCCTCGAGCAAAATAACGTCCTTAGAATCCTTAGTCTTTGCATCCAGTGTAATCGTGGCACCAGCCGCAGACTTTACAGGATAAACCGGCAACGGCCTGCCCATCGAAGTGTAAGGATGCCATAAATGATTCTTGTCGAAGTCCAGAAGCTGTTGAACCTCGGATGTGTAGGTTAGGTCCGCCATTTTCGAGAAAGGTGTCTATTCATGCCTGAATAATGACCACAATGAACGCCACCAGACTCGACCTTTTTATATACTTTTCCCTCGCGGCCATTTACGCTGAACGACAGGTAGCGATGGCCTACTGATTATCACTTATTTACTGTTGATGTATATTCCATTAAATAAAATAAAATGAATCATGCTGAGACAGGCAGGTATGATTCATGATTTATAGAAATATGGCAGATAAACCTAATTAAACCCACCATTCCGCATTGTTGGGAAACAGTTGCTCCCTCAAGCTGAGCTGAGTTATTATAAGAATGGGTCAGTTTTTGTGAGAAGCTCGAGCTAGATGATGGTAGTTACGCGCTGCATTGAGCAATTTCATTTCGATCAATGTCTTCGCCTATAGTATTTGTCACTGGTACCGATACCGACATCGGTAAAACGTTCACGAGCGCCTTGCTCGTGCAAAAATGGAAGGCCAATTACTGGAAACCGGTTCAGACTGGGCTTGAATCTGACCCAGGTGACACGAAAACTGTAGAAGAATTCTCCGCGCGTAGAGAGCATACACCACATTTATTTTCTCCAAGATATGCCCTGCAAAAGCCGCTATGTCCACTTGATGCTATGCGCTTCGAGCCAGAATTTGACATTCAGTTGTCGGATTTTGTGATACCGGAAGAGAGACACGATCAGCCGCTGGTAGTTGAGGGGGCCGGTGGGATATATGTTCCCATCACCAAAAAACTTGAGATTACTACGGACCTCATAAAGAGACTCCAAGAGACTACAGATCGCGCTATAAAAATTGTTGTGGTCGCCAGAAGCGGACTAGGCACTTTGAACCATACGTTGCTCACGTTAGAGCATCTAAGCAGGGCCGGTTTGGGAAATCATATAGCTGGGTGCATCTTGAGTGGGCCAAAAAACGAAGGGAATGCAAACACCCTTAAGCTATACGGGGCCAACGTTCTAGCTGAAGTCGGCCATTGTTACACAGTGGAAGATATCGAAGCGGCTATCGCAGGAATTCCAGATCTGGCCACAATCTTTACATAGAACAGAGCTTATCGAAACACGGTTGTGGCTTTTGTGCCGTTCAACTTCACATTACAGTCTTGTTAAAGCAGCAAGCAAGGTCTTGAGCAAAACCAAACCTCTTTTTTTGATTCTGATACGCAATTGCTGATTATCAATCTCATTAAACTTTATAATTGGCGGCACTTTTCAAGTTATAACTCTAATGTTGGGCTATGGTCATTGACGTCGCCATATTGTGATATGTACTAGCTTTGAATTAAGCAAATTGAATTCATCGAAACTCCGTCTCCACCTTTGCGATGATGCCAATGAAGTACTTTGCTGAACTTCAGCTTATAATGCTGGTAGTCTCTACGTAATTTTAGGCAAGCCCGAAAATGTTAAGTGGTGCTGAAATAAGTATGCCGAAAGCGGTGAATTGCAATCGAATGGTACAATTGGCGAGACGATGGTTCGCATTCCACATTTTATAAGTCTTCAGCCGTATTAGAAATCTCTCGAAGAGAAAAACCCTTCTCTCGAAGTCGACCGGTCACCTAGGGCTAAGTTAGTACGATCACCGACAACTCACCACTCATCAATTTTTGCAGTAACATACAAAGACAAAGATTTTGCTGAGGTACTTTAATGCTGTTTTCAAACAATACCCATCCGCTTCGCGGTAAGAATCTCACAATGATGACCGACTCATTACACCAATTTGAGCATCACTTCATTGCCAGACGAAAGAGACACGCAGTTTTCTTTTTGACAGTTTGTATTTTCTTTTCGAGAAGGCAGATGGCTCGTTACTGCGAAAGCATCGCGATCTTTGAGGAAGAGAGGTCAATTATTAAACAGTTTCGGAATCGTACTAGCCCACTTTAATTGATGTAATCAACGTGTGATTTAGCCAACAGTTCATGCTATCATCGTTCGAATCTGAAACCAAAATTGTGCTATTTTATGAAATGCATTACTGACATGCAGTGGACTGCCAATACGTCTGTTTTTCGCTTTCGTTTAGCTTTGAGTTAGTCAATTGTCATGAATAGGTAACTCAGAAACGGATTGATGGTCACTTACAAATTTTGTGCGAGTGATATTCCTGTCTACAGCTAGTCACAAGTCGACAAATCAACGATGCACCAATCTACCATCAGTTTCAAGACTAAGCTAACTGTTTTTCAAACTTAATAACATTACAGATGCGGAGCTTCATGAAGGAAAGTAACAAACGTTCTGTTGAGTGAAACAAAGGTTACCAAATAGTCAAATGCAGACTTGCAACTACATCCAAGCCTGGCAAAGTCAGAACTTTGATTATCAAAATGACAGCAGTAAAAGCGTCTCCGAAACCCATGATAGGGCTGTCAATGATGATTATATATTACTTAACTGCAGGAATTGCACCAACCCAAATCTAGGCGGTCTATATTCAAATTTGATGTCAAAGAACGTGCAAACGACCTCGTCAGGCCCATCCTCACTTGTCCAAATCGGCATTCACTTCTCATAACAGCTGGCACAACTGTATTAATATTCACGTGTTTTAAATACGCGATGAGCTTTCCTTACATTCTACTATGTGAAAAAGCTAATGTTTATGATTAAGTGGATCAAAATAAGAAACACTGATACATCAGCAAAATCATCATCATCTGATTGTTCGTCTTACAGCTGGACTGTACACGGTTTAAATAGTCTGATAAAGTTTTATGGATGACAGAAACGGCGACTTGTGGAAAAAACCACATCATTACGACACAAGATCAATATCTTTGGATGATGCGATCAACCGCGCAGATCCTTTGCAAGGACATCAAGGGAGCTCTGCAGATAATCCTGTAGCTTTGGGGCTCAAATTAGTCGGTGTCGGCCTAAGTCATACCTCTAGAAGGCCATGGGCGGGGCCGTACGTCTCGAAGGCTCGAAACTTCTCCACAAACGACGTCGGAAGAGCCAACACGCAGCGCTCTAGGTCTTCATATACCAGTGGTGACAGTTATTACGATGGCAAACATCTAACGTACGATTCTAGCTCTGTTCCTAGCAAAGAAGTTGTAGAACAGAGTTTTGATGACCTACTCGAGAGTAGAGCCTTTTTTTGGGGTGGTGCCAGATCGGGACTACTCTCTCTTAGTCACGAGCGTAAATGGCAACTCGTTTGCAAGGAGCATCGCTTACGCGAAGGCAATAAGCCGCTTAACGACGCCAAGTCTCCTCCAGATGACACGCTATTTGATGCCCTCAAGTCAAAAGTATACTCTCATAAACTTGTGTCAGACAATTTGTACGAAGTTGAGAAACTGCTACGAAGAAATGACATTTGCCAGTGGTTTTTACAACACAACGGAACGTATCATTTGGTAGAAGCCTGTGATGGTCTTCGCTCAGAGGATGTCTACGTTTATCTGCGATGTTTCAAGACCTTGATGAATCATGAGAGCGGGAGATTGGCAGTTGCAGACAACGAGAAATTCATACAGTACTTATGCAGTGCTCTCGCACAACAGACAATTCACCTCCGAGTAAACCTTTTGAGTGCCGAACTTCTTCTACTCTTGACTTTTGTCGAGAATCAAAACTGCTCCGATACAGTCCCCAGGCATCTTAAACCTTTATATCCGCAATGGTTTTCATTCATTGAGTCCTTGCTCGAGAACGGTGGTGCTGTATATGATCGAAAACAGCTATTACCGACATTGAACCCACAACTAGTGCTCAAGGATTATTGTTTGACCTCGACATTCCTCATAAATTCAGTTCTACAGGTAACATCATCCAGCGCAGAAAAATTGAAGCTTGTTAAAGCTCTTCAGGAATCCAAAGTTCACCGTATTTTCCATTTTATGTCAAAGCTTGACTACCAAGACCTGACTAACGAAATAGGCAAATACACTTTTACTGAAGAGCAAATTCTACGCGAAGCAAATCCAGATACACCTTACGATTTTGACGTATCATATGGCCAATACTTAACCCTGATTGTTCAGCAAACTCGGCAAAGCCCTTTGGAGCATTGCACACATCAAATTTTTGAAACTCTGTCACAAACTTTGATGACGCGCACAATGTCGGATAGTTTGAAAGCCTTGAAGTTATTCTGCTCAGTGCTACACTATTTGAAAAACTATACTTACGGTGAAGAAAATGTCAACATCGAGTCTGTCATTAACCTTTCACTCAATCAGCTGGTAGACAATCTTCAGTCAGATGAAATTGCTCAAAGAGCTCTGGATGAACTGACAAATGCGCAGAAGAGTCTCGAGAAATTAGAACTAGAAAATGAAGCGCTGCGCCAAGAGAAAAATGTGTCCAAAGGAAGCTTGCTGATAGATTTGCAGAAAATTAAAAACGAGCTCAGCGTGAAGCAAAGGCTCATCGAGTCTTTGAAGAAGGACCTGGATCTTAGTAACAATCAAAGGAGAAACGATAAAAAGGAGTTCGATAAAGCTGTTGCAAACAAGAAGACAGCGCCTCCGTCCAGAGCAATTACACTGGGCGCCTTTGATCACATAAAGATGAAAGCGAGGAAAGATAACATGTCTGGCGTCGCACGAAGTAGCTCTTTATCCAGAAGTGCCAGAATAACATCTTTGTCAGATTTGGTCGACGCATTTCACGGTGATTCTAAGGTGTTGCCAAAGCTAGCGGCTAATCAGTCTACCGCGGGTTTTCACGTTCAAGCTCCCTCTAATAATTCCGACGATGAAAGAGAGAAAAAACCGGAAGGCGATTCTCAAGAAACCTCTGTCTCGCGTAGAATACACGCTACAGGCGCGGAAAGAGGTGGCTCGACTTGCCAACAGGTATTCGATGCGGAAAGTTCGAAATTTCGAACAGAAACAACTGTTTTCAATGCCTCCAATTCATTTGGTATTAGATCCGAAGGTCTGACTGACAGCCCTTTGCACATGGTACCTTCTTGTGGAGAGGTAAGCACCAATGATGTAGATCCTGTCAGTTCAAATCATATCTCAGCGAAGATGGAAGACCTGATACCCTCCCAGTATTTGGTAACAAGACAGGTGAAAATGGATAACCAAAGTTTTGAAGGCATAGATCAACCTACTGCTGCAACCCCAGCACCACCAGCACCTCCTCCTCCTCCGCCACCACCATTGCCCCCGACTTTACTCTCTTCTGAGCCTGGAGAAAAGGAAGGCATTAACGGTGGCCGAAACACCGCAAGCAAAGTAGTTACACCAGCTGGTACTTCATCAGTTCCTCCCCCGCCTCCGCCTCCTCCCCCGCCTCCCCCTCCACCTTTACCATTGATTTCGAAGAAAACGACCAACAGCTCAGAGCCCCCTATCTCAAGTGATCAGCCAAAGAAAGCGAGCAACGGTAATTCTCAACCAGTTGCTTCACTGGAGTCTTTAAACCCTGGACTGTTGAAGGTGTCATCTCAAGCGGCAGGCGCTCCCACAGACCAGCTTCGTCTAAAGCAGATTCACTGGGACAAAATCGAGAATGTTGCAGATACCATCTGGAATCAAGAAAACGATCGACAGGACGTCGCATGTCATTTGAAGACTACTGGTATTCTTGAAGAAATTACCCAATTATTTCAAGTTAAACAAGCCAGTGCTATAAAGACTAAGGTAAAAAACACTGATGGAAACGGTAGAGTATCAATACTTGCTAGGGACTTGGCCCATCAGTTTGGCATTAACTTGCATATGTTCTCAAATCTGTCGGTCGAAGAATTTGTACTAAAAGTACTGCATTGTGACCGCGAGATTATCAATAATCAAAGTGTCCTTGAGTTCTTCGCCAGAGAAGATCTTGGCAACATCCCTCATAGTATGGCCATGAGATTTGAACCATACTCTACAGATCACAAAACTAAGAAAGGCTCAGCGGCTGACAGCGGAAAGCTGGAGCGTGCCGATCGTATATTTCTAGAGCTTTGTTTCAACCTACGAAAATACTGGCGGAGTAGATCGACATGTCTTCTGACCCTGGCAGTCTACGAAAAAGACTACTTCGACATCATGTACAAATTGCAGAGGATTGATGATGCTGTGAATGCTATGAAATCGTCAAAACGATTGCAAGACGCTCTGATGGTGATCGTTGAAATTGGAAATTATATGAACCGTAAACAAGCGCCTGGTATCAAGATCAGCTCCCTACAAAAGCTCTCTTTTGTTAAGTCTAGTGCCGATAGTCACACGTCGTTGCTGCATGTCGTTGAAAGGTTTCTAAGAATCAAATGCGGTGACACTTACGGATTTGTAGCTGACTTGGCAAAAGTTATGGAATTAAGAAATTTGGTGGTCGGCCAAATTGAACAGGACTGTCAGGAATACCTTAAACGCATCACTGCCATGGCGCAATCGCTACAACAGGGACGGCTTTCCGATGCGAGCTTGCTCCATCCTGAGGATCGACTGTTAGTGAAGATGGGCCCAAAAGTGGTAGCGGCTACGCGGAAAGCTAACTTATTGCGGAACCAATGTGCACTGACCATGCGTGGGCTAGAGAACCTGATGAAAATGTACGGAGAAGACCATCGAAACGGGGACGCCAAGAACGATTTTTTCCATCATTTTGCCGATTTTGTTCAGCAGTTCAAGAAGGCCGCGAAGGACAATTTGGAAAAAGAGGAAGTGGAACGCATTTACAAGCAGCGCAAAGACTTTCTCCAGAATAAGTCTGCAAGCGAAACGGGTAGTCGTCAAGGTGACTCTGCAAGCGAGGAAGAAGAATGTGACACAGTGGACGTTTTGATCAAGAGATTACGTGGTCTCACCCAGAAGGACGAACGAGCTCATTCAAAACGCAAGTGCGACAATAAGTTACTAGCTAGGACCCAGGACGTGCTCAACAGCATACAGAAGATATGACCACCACCGCATGTCAATGGAACTGTCACTTCTCGCTCTCTCTTGGTCAAGTCACCTGAAAGTCAAGTGCAAATCATGTGGTACAATCCTCAATGTTCTAGGCCTTTTTACACGTGCCAGTTGGGACCTATTGTTCCAAAAAAAATCTATTGGATTTTGAGAAAAATATTGGTCACTATAGACGAACAAATTTGAAGTTCTAGGAAACAAAAATTGGCGAAAACTGAACAGAGCTTTAAAGGCCCGCATGCAAATCCTTAAACCTTCAACGGCTTTAGCAATCTTGGAGGTTTGAGTGTCTTGGCATTTCAAAAAACGGAATTAGAAGAAGAACTTTGCTAATTTGGGCAATCCTCTGGCACTCATAGTCCAAAAGTTTCCAGTTGGAATATCACACTCGCTTTACTAAATGGTTGACGGCGTATCGGTTGCAGTCGGATGCGCAGTGGGCATTCCGTGTGGTCTAGCGGTGGTGGTGGCCGTCATATTCTGGCTACAGATGCAGAGACGGTTCCGGAAGGAAAGAGAGGAGGACGGGGAATCGATAAACGGCGATGGAGCCATCAGCTTTAGAAACATGGAAGCGCTTCGGGAAGAGCAAATCGATCATTTAGAAAAAACAGAGGCCGTTCAGCAACAAGCAGCAGAGGGCTCGTCCTCGTCAGACCACACACAGGCTCACGAAAGTGGCTTCACGTTAGCCCCCGCAGCTGAGAAAAGTGGGAGATGGGGCTTAAAGTCAGACTCTAGCAACTCGAAGGCAGCAAAGCCGACCAGGAGAAATACGTATATGCCGGCATATCGTAAGAAGCTTAACTCGTCGATCAGCTCGCTGAACAAGGGCTCCCTCACGCATCAAGACGACTTCAGAGTTCCAAATGATGGTTCCAGTACGTCACTGGATACGAAACCAAATGCTGGGCTGACTAGCGAACCGACAGTTCTAGACCAAATGATACCGGTTCTGGCACACCCGGACGCGTCCCAATCCGTCCAAGTTACGCCTTCAGAGTTCAGTCTAACGCATGAAAGAACAAATAGTAACGATAACCTCATCAAAAATCTACAAAACCACGATTTTGGATCCTATCCGAGAAGAAGATCCTCTGTGAATCTAAACAACATGCCTTCAACCAACGTCTCGAGTGCATCGGTTGTCACTAGGTCATCTTCGACACGATCTCCCTTCAAGAGCGCGGAAAATGTGTTCGAGACACCGGTTAGCAATAAGATTACCGATGCTGTGCCAGATCAAACAGCAGATTTCACCGGGCATCCATCCTTAGATGGCGAAGATATCACAGGCGAGACCAGGCCAGACTACTACATGTTGAGGAACAATTACGATGTGAAAAACTCGGAGGAAATTGCTGAGGAGGATCAATATGAAAACGAGTTCACCAATTACTCTGAGAGCAAACGAGAGTTCATAAACAGTCTGAGACCTCGAAAACACTAAAGACATCATGAAGGACACAAGGCAAAGTTCACTGGAGCTTTTTTCGTAAAATTCTGTTCGTTTTATAGCTTCCCTTGGGATAAAGTTAGCGCAATACGCATATAGGTAATTTGTATTTTATTTACAGGACATCTGGATACATCTTCTACAAAAACTTGGTTCCTTCCTCGGTCAAGAGGTCGATCTTCTTTCCGTTCACGGTTACGCTCCAGTCGTGGATCAAAAACTCTTGATGCTTATTCTCCCGGTCAGCAACTAGCTTCACAATTCCTTGCACGTCGTTGGAGCCTCTAATGTAGAAAGAGATATTGACTCTTCCGGCTACCTGGTTAAGGTCTCCGTAAACCCATGGCACCAACCCATCAAAATCGATACTGTCCCCCAATAAGTCTCTAATTTTCTGCGATCTACGCATGTGGTAAAGCGAGTTAGAGACGATAGGTGACTGTGTTTTCTCGTAATTGAAAATGCACGCCAGGGAAACACCAATGGCTACCACAAATAGCCCCAGTTGAGCACGGTTTTTGAGCCTATCTTTGGTTGGATCTGGTAAATCTCTTTCAATCCGCATCGGTCTGGACTTGTTTTTCAGCGTAATGGGTGTTGCAGCTCCTGTAGCTTTGAAAGCTTCTGCAGACAAATTACGATACATCGCCATAGAGAGTCGACTGTGACCCAGCGTCTTTTTGCCACTAGCGGCGATTGATCTTAGCATCTTTGGATGATGAAACAATGATACTAATTGAGAAATTAAGACTTAGTCGAAGCTAACTCTTCGTTGATTCAACTAATAGCTAGCTTTTCAGTTAAGATTTCGAATTTTTTGACATCAAGTTATATATGTAAAATCTCCAAATTGTACTACTTGGACTCATTGAGCTCGACAACTTTATTTTCCAGTGAACAACAAAGATGGCGATCGTATGCTCACTTCATTGGACCCATTAGTGCCAATTTATCTATTGGTTTTGCATTCGTGAATACTAACAACACAATCAAAAGCTTGGTAAAGCAGTGCACTTTTCCATCGATCTAGCACTTATTTCGGTGTGTCTGGCTGGCGTGAAGAGGAACACAGGTTTGACACCGAAACTCGACTCTATTGAAGATACACATATCAGGGGTTACATGCTGAAATACCTGAATTTGGGGGAATCTTGCTATGACTACACCGTTGCATCTTTAGGCTCCTCAAAGTACTTCGCAAGAAAGTGATAACCAACTGTTCGTTGCAACTGCATTATTTGCACATGGCGCTCAGAGAACCCGCCGCTCTTTTCAGAATCTGTTATTTTGTTGATGCTTCTTACATTATGCCCTTCCTTCCTTGTTCAATGTAGCAGGACCTATAATTTGGATTAATACTCTCCTATACTATGCTATATGTGCTCATGCTTCTTTCTAAACTTCTCTCTTGGTCAGCTTGGATTGAACGGTAAGCCTCGATGTACAGATTCTGGGTCATTCTTGTAGCTACTGAATGTCCTGTTGGGATCGTTGCCACGGCCAGATATCTGATGCTGTTGCTGTTGCTGCGCTGCTGTTGTTGTTGTTGCTGGCTTCGAAACTGCGATCTCACGTCTACCGGCCGTTGGCGATGTGCCAACCTGCTCCTCATAAAAATTGTAAAGATAATCGTACTCATCGAGTGGGCCATCAGGTACGGACCTGTGCGAGCTGGAAGCTGGCACCGTGGCAAGCGAGCGCAAGCTCTCCCAGAAGTCCAGATCTTCTTCCTCCAACATATGGGACACTACACTGGTTCCTCCGGTAGCCTTTGTTTTATCCTGCAGGCCATGTGCAGGCGAGCCAGCATTGTCTCTTGGTGTCGTCCCATTCGATCCGTAGCCACCCTGAGGAGTATTTTCCTCGGAAGAAGCGATTCTATTTTTCTTTCGCCGCTTGCTTCTAACTTGTGAGGTTGGGCTATGATTAATTGACCTGTTCGCTTCGCGATCTCTGGAAAGTGCGGAAGAGCTCAATTGTGGTTTCAGCGTTGGTGGAAGATAATTGAAATGATACTGTCTGTGTGGCGGCATTTCCTCCATGTCAGCCCCGGGTGTGGAGCGAGATCCAATTGAGCTGCCATTCCCAGGCTTTTGATTGTAGGATGAAAGGTTCGGGTATTGGTGTTGGGGTAAGCCATGTCCTGGTCCTAGAGATTCGGCCGCAGGATCAAATGCCAGACTCGTGAAATTGGGCGATCTACCCAGGAATTCGGTCTCAAAAGGACGTGAACTGAGTTGCTTTTGAGTCCTTTCATCACCGAATCCGTCGGGCGGCATAGAACCTAGTAATTCATCTGTTAGGGAGAAACCTTGAAGGTTTGCCGAACGATAATCGGATCCATAATTATTGTGGATATGCTGATGAATCGATATCGTGAGCGAGTTACGGCGCGCTTGGTCGATCAGTTCCTGTACAAGCTCAGAATTGGCAATCAGGCCCCCGGAAACGGATCCTCCTACTCCATCAGTCAGAGAATATCCCCAATCTACTCGTGAGGAGTGGGGCCTTCTCTTGTTTGTAATTGAACTCTGGGCTATTTGATGAGGCGCTTGCGTTTCTTGTGATGGTTGTGTTATAACGGGCGCCTGCTGTTGAATCATTCGAGGTTGATGCATTTCACTTGATACTTGCAACGGATGAGGTTTGGTGGGTTCACGCACCGATTCGGTGGTCTGCGGTCGATCAGAAAATTGCGAAGCTTCTGATCGCAGTGCCAAATTATCAGACTCTTCATTTAAAGTATTTTCTGCGGTCTGCCTTTCCTGTCGGGCAGCTTGGCTATGTATTGGCCACTCTTCTTTGGCCGGTGAGTCCGACTCGGATTGAGAGTTATTGGAAGATGAAGAGTCGTTCGGAGATGTCTGAGGAGCGAGCCTTAAGTTCTGCCCCGAATCCAGCGCCCATTCTTCGTTTTCCTTCGACCTCTCCTCTTCCAAAGACGGCCTTTCATCTTTCATCTCTTCAAGCTTCGCACGCAAGCTCTCCCTGAGCTCGTCGAGGGTCTGTGGAGGCTCACTTTGGGAAGTTCCTTGCACTGCCTTGGTGATTTCTTCTGAGGCTTTTCCCCTCATTATCATAGTAATGATCTTTCTCCATCTGTTGCGACAAGTCAAACTTGGCCGTGATTCCATCTCAAGTGAGATTTTACGCCAGCTTGTTCCATAAAGTTTTACCTTACTTATAAGAGCCAGATCTTCTTCCAGTCGCCAGTCTCGTAGTCTGTCTTTGGTGCTTGGATCCAAAACCTCGATATACCTTTTTGCACATTGGTCTTCCGTTCTACCAGGAATCTCAGACGAGACCTTGAGCCAGTGGGGCCCCCACTGGGCAAATGACCTCATTAAAAGCTCGTCTTCCTTGAGGGTCCATTTTCCCTTCCGCAGATTGGGATCAAGTGAGCTCACCCATCTTTTTCTAATATCCTTGGGTTTTCGCACAGTTCTATCAAAATGAACCGCAATCTCATCCCAGGGCATGTTTTTACAGACCTCGTTAGATTGTTGAATGGTTTTCATGGATTCAATTCCATTTTCGAACCCAAACTGTAGCAAATGCTTGTTGACGCAGCTACGAAGTAAGTCATCCTCTTCTTTGCTCCAGGGTTTACGGGCTTTCAATCTATGTGTCTGGTACCCAAGACTTCGGGTCACATCCAAGGGATCAATCCTTATTTTCTTGGCTTTGCCAAGACCCTGGTTCTTGGCCATTTGCCACCTTTCTGAGCACGCTCAGAGGATCGTTGTATTGTGAGGTCGCCGACCAGTGACGTTTATATCAACGGAATTGTTGATCAACTCAACGTTGGGTGCTCATCTCATCATTTCAGCTCATCTCAGCGACTCTAATTTTCAGTCATTATGGCTACTGGTCGTTGTGTACGACAATGGTGTGTGAAGAGCTCCTGGAAAGTTTAGAAAAGTGGGCATCGGAATGAGCTCCTGCAGGGTGGCAGATTGCTATATTGTTGGCTCTAGACACCCAAAGCCTGCCTTTCTTAAGTCTACCGAGAATGCCGCCCAAATTTTTATTTTTGTCTCTTTAAACAGTTCTGATCATCACATCATTTGGAACGGGTGTGTCACGGAAACGAAAACTACATGACAAGGTTGCCAAAGCTGTCCAGAAGTTCTACTTTTCATCTGTTGAGGTATAATTCAACGATGGCTCTTTTACACTAGACAGGTTTCGCACTATTTCGTAGAGTTCTTACGAACCCAAAAATAAATCAAAACACTGAAGAAAATCAAAAATACATCTCCTTTCTGGATGCTGACCTGGTGACCATTTCCACTACTATATAATACGCAACCGTCCTCTTTCCAAATTTTTAACATAGCCTCACACCGTTCTAAACTCTTCTGTCGCTCTCGACTCTTTTAATCACCTGTTACGGTTGAACCCGTGTAATTACAGATTTGGAATTTCGATATAAGGCAAAGATCCAAGCCCTCTATGTCGAAGAATATCTTGAACTACACACAGCCATTACAACTCTACAGCTAGTCCCTGGGAGCTTGTTTGCACCGTTAATCAGCGGGACAACATCGATAGCGGATGGCAAGTTTCATCACACCAGAATACTCTGATGAGCTCCTAAATTTTGTCAATGAGGTTTACACGCAAGATATTGCTCACTACTTTCCGAAGTTACGATTAGAAAAGCTGATAGATTTGCTCGAGCATGCCGAATATCTGTTTGAATCTTATTGCCAGGCTCTAAAACAAGATCAAAAAGAGGACCTACTCACCGCGTACGTGGTGGGTTGCTTCTATATATATTTGATCATACCGCAGTCGATCCAGTTTAACTCTCGAGATAAGTCGTATGCCATCTATGTGGATCTCAAAAAGTATTACCAAGATGAAACGCACATGACGAATGTTTTACTGATGGTTACAAGCGTCATAGACTCCATGGGCAAAAATGAGCTCGCAAATTCTCGGATATATCGTCAGAGAGCTTACTCGGTCCCCCATAAAGTCGCAATTAAACCGCTAGGAGCTTTTGCTCCATCTGAGAAACAGATTAATTCTTCTGATGATGCTGATATAGAAAACGATTCGACGATGTGGACAGCGCCTGATCTGGAACCTAACGACCACCTCAAGGTTAACTTGGGCTCTTTGAGTTCTTCAGCATCCCTCACGACCGACCAGATCTTCAAAAAGACGCCTTCTCCTTCTTTCGATGAACAGGAACCGGTTTCAATTGCCAACAACCTGGAAATAAGAGATCAGACAGGCTTCGCTCCTTCAAATGCAAGTTTCAAGCAAAAAGTAGACAAGAACTTTAACAGTGATGGCATACACTCTCAGGGAATAGATCGATATAAAACGCATAGAAAAGATTCTTACCATTCGGTTTATATGGTGGGCGACGATTATGACACCTTCAATTTCAACCTGGCAAGGCTACAAAAGCAAGCTATCATAGGATGTGATCAATTATTGGACACTTTGTCAAGCAGCAACAAGGAACACCTACTATTGGTTGATCTGAGACCTCTAAAAAGATTTCGCTCAAACCATATTGTTGCACCAAATCTCGTCAACATAGATCCAAACGACCTTTTGGATAAAGCGACGAATGCAGTAGCAGAAAATGACAGTCAAATTCAACCTCTTGAGGGCGGTGATTTTTTTGAAAGAAGATCGGAATATGAACGTATCGTGTATTACACCGATATGAAAACCTTTATGCGATTGAGCTTTGACTATCAATTAATCTTTTTCCAACTGATATATGCCTCGAGCAAGCCGTTGCGCTGTGTACCGGAAGTGCTTTTGGGTGGTTACGATCAATGGAAACGGTTTGTTACGAAGATTTCCCAGACCCGTCCAATCGTTAAAGAGGAATTCTTGTACAGGCTACCTGCTAGCGACTCTTTGCAAGTTAACGATTCCACACCTGAAACTCGAACTCAAATCTTGGCCCCTCCGTCGGTGCCTCCACCGCCTCTGCCTGTTAATGCTAATACCGACCGGCTGCAAAATCCTTACGATCGCCCGCCGTATCCACTGCCATCTAAGGAGCTTTTATATAGGGAGCCTAACCGGAGTAAAACTGTTCCACAAATCCGCACGCAGCATGTATTGATACCGTCCCACCAGCATCAGCATCAGCATCAACATCAGCATCAGCATCAGCATCAGCATCAGCATCAGCATCAGCATCAGTATCAGCATCAGCATCAGTATCAGCATCAGTATCAGTACCAGCATCAGCGTCAGGGCCATCATCACCACGGAGCTAATGAACCTTGTTATTTTGTTCCCACGATAGAAGAGAGCTCAAACGAATATGTTTCTCTTTCTATCACAGGGCTGCGAAATCCCGGCAATACGTGCTATATTAATAGCATGATCCAGTGCTTATTTGCTAGTAAGAATTTTCGGGAGCTTTTTCTCTCCAGCAAGTACGAGAAATACTTCTCGCCCAAGTACCGCAATCCAAACCAACTCTCGAAGTTTTTCCATCTCCTTTTCAAAAAAATGTATCTTAACGGTGGTTGTTCGGTTGTTCCGACGGGGTTTTTGAAAGCCTGCAATGCTCTTCGCCCGGATTTCAAAATTCCTCATGACCAACAGGATACACAAGAATTCCTGCTGTTTCTATTAAGCCAGCTTCATGATGAGCTATCTGAGCCGAATCATGTTGCAAACGACTACCCTGATCTTTTACTTCATGACGACGATAAATTGGATGTGGACAGGAAAGAGTACGATACTTGGTTTGAGAGACATATTTCGACAAATGGGATCTCACCGATTGATGACATTTTCCAGGGCCAAATCGAAAATGGGCTATTGTGCCAGCGTTGCGGGCACTCTTCTTATAACTACTCGGTGTTTTACGTCTTATCGTTGGCCATACCCAGTATCACATCAGCATTTGGACAAAAGAAGAAAGTGAGACTCGAAGACTGCATCAATCTGTACACTAGTGATGAACAGTTGACAAATGAGAATGCGTGGGACTGTCCAAAATGTGGTAGCTCTGCCTCTGGGCAAGGTCCTGACGATGAGCGGAGGAAAAAGAGGTTTCTACTGTCTCCTGATAGCAATAGCAGTGGTGGACGAAGCAAATTCTTCAAGTTAAGAACCAAGCCTAGGAGCAGATCAAGATCTCCTTTCAGCAAACAAAACACCTCGGCTTCTAATCCAAAAGAATGGAGGCAGAAAAAGCTGGCGTCGATAAAAACCCTCAATTTTATATCTCTGCCCTCCGTGCTAACAATTCACTTGTCAAGGTTTTTCTATGACCTCACAAAGAAGAATAACAAGGTTGTGACCTACCCGTTGACCCTTGGTATTGTACTGAAAAATGATGAAGTGGTAAACTATCGTCTTTTTGCCATCGCGAATCATTTTGGTAATTTGGTCAGCGGCCACTACACCTCTTTAGTGAACAAGAACCTGACACACGACCTTAGCAATGGCAAACAGAAATGGTATTACTTCGACGATGAAGTTGTGAAAGAAGATGCAAATCATGGGGATATTGATGCTGGCATCACAAGCGTCTCTAGCAGCGATGTGTATGTTCTGTTTTATGAGAGAATAAGGAACTGACTTCTAGCATACAATTTCAGGTAATTAAGTATACAGCAAACACTACAATTTACTTGACATTACTCTTGTCGAGACATACTAAGTGAATAGTCACCATGGGACAGAAATTGGTCAGGCCAACTCTAATGGCGAGACTTTGGATTCGAATATATTGGTCGTAACATTATTATTATTATTATCATCACAAGAATATTTATGAACAAGCCAAAGATCCAGGCAACTATTGATATACCATTTAGGAATGAAATTTAAACACCGAAGGTCTTGATGAAGTCAGAAGCTTGTTGTCTTTCCAATTGTCTCCTGCCCTCGTCCCATTCCAATTCGTCACCCATAATGCTGACAGTTCCATCAACTGCTGCCAATGCTTGTCTTGCATCCAAGAACCCAAATCTTGTTCTTCTCATCAAGAAATCAAGAGCTGTTCTTGTGTACTCGTACTTGAGACTGTATTTCAACTCACCAATCGTGAAGGGGTAACGGAAACAATCGAAATTGACATTTCTGTACACCGTGACGTTTTCCCTACCACCAAAGGTAATCGGCAGTTGGTTCTTTTCATCTATTTTAAACATTTCGCAGATAATCGGGGCACGGGTACCGTAATTGTTGGCTAGGTGCTCTGCCATCTTGCTTGAAAGGTGGTATTTTTGGGCGAGCAGGGCGACGAAGTTTGGATCCCAACCTTCGCCACCAGCCAGCCTGATTTTCTTCGTGATACAAGGCTTCGCTTGGAAGTGACCAACCTTAACCACTTCATCGATTGTCTGTTCTGCCATTTCTCTGTAAGTGGTCCATTTTCCTCCTGCAATAGTAACCAGACCATTGTCAGATGTGAATAGTAAATGATTCCTGACTAGGCCCTGTGTGGAGCTCACATCATCCCCTTCCTTCAACTTTCTAGGATCTCTGACAAGTGGTCTGATGCCTGCCCATGCACTCAAAACGTCGTCTCTCTTCACAGGAAACTTGATATAATGTTGTAGCTCTTTTAAAATGTCCTGAATGTCGGCTTCAGTAGCAGTAGGGTTTTCAGGAACTTGCTTCATGGGTATATCAGTGGTACCAGCAAGAACCTTTCCTTGCCATGGCAAGAAGAACATGACCCTACCATCAGAAGTCTTGGCGTCTAACAAACCAATCTCTTTTGGACAGTAAAAAGCGGGCAATACAATGTGAACACCGGCCGAGGGAACGACCATACGGGGGTTGGAAACGGCGACACGGGAACCTATTGAGTCATGGCCTTCATTAGCATACTGTGTTAAGTCGTTTCTGGGCAAGCCATCCTTGGAGTTATCCATCTGTAGTATGCGGTCACTGAAAGGCCCAGTCGCGTTCACCACAACCTTTGCTTTAATACTGAACTCTTTACCAGTTTCACGATCGCGGGCCATGGCACCTTCAACACGACCAGTTTCTTTGTTTTTCACAAGCTTTGTGATCTCGACGTAGTTCAAAACAGTAGCGCCGCGCTCGATGGCTGTTACCGCCAAAGCAGTGTTCATTCTGGAGTCGTTAAAGGAACCATCGTGGTAAACTAGGCCTGCTTTCAAGACAGAAGCGTCTAGCATGGGTGCAACCTCCGAAGCGCGTTTCGCGCTCATCATGTAGGAGCTTTTCAAGTTTTGAGAGCCAGCAAACAGATCGTACATTTTGCAGCCCATGTAAAAGTAAGGCACTTGCCAATAGTTGTAAACGGGGATCATGATGGGAAGAACCTTACACAGGTGTGGGGCTGTTTCTAGCATGTGGCCACGCTCGTTTAGAGCTTCGATGACCAGATCGAGCTGAGCTTTGGAAAGCTCCCAAAAAGCTTTTTCAAGGTATCTTACACCACCGTGGGCCATTTTTGTAGATTTGGAAGACGTACCCGAAGCAAAATCGTTCATTTCGACCAAAGCCACGTTCAGTCCACGAGTGGCGCCGTCGACAGCGGCGCCAGTTCCGGTGGCACCTCCACCGATGATCAGAACGTCAAATTCTTCAGTTTTGGCCATTTTGTCCAAAAGTTCTGCACGATCTGGCAGCGCAGGAGCCCGTGTGTGGAGCTTGGAGGTCACACGAACCTCGTTATCGAAATGTGGTTTATTCCAGGAATAGGCGGCGTAACCAGTTGCGGCCAAAGTCGCGGTGCCCAGGGCGCGTCTGCTAAGAACGCGGGAAAACATTGGTACTGGGTTGTGGAAGAAAACAATATGGCGTTGCTAGGAAAGTCTCGATACAGTGTTCAACAAAGACACAACTTTCGAGTGTCCACTAATATGACAATTGAACAACAACGAACAAACGACCAAACACAAAACAAAAACCGAAAAAAAACCCCCGGTTGTACGTTTTACCTTACCAAGTGAACAGTTTCAGTTTCGGGTGTTATTACTTCTATTCAACTGGCACGAAGATCACACCGATTTTTACAGAAAACAACCGCTAAAATAAAACGCTAAAGTTGACGTTAAAAGTTAAAGTTCAAGGTTGAAATCAAAGCTAGAAGTCGAAACCAACACCAAAAATTCACCTCACTCTTATAATCACAATTCTCACAGTGTACTCTTTTTAGATGATCCTATAATTAACCACTGTTGATTCAATTTATCTGGGGAACCACTCGCAGTTTCCTCCCCTTATATACTAATTTTTTCGAACCCGCACCTTTTTAATAGCAATATATGATGACACCGTGCCAGTACCGATATACTCAAAGTATAACCCGTTTCGCTTGTGAGTGGCTAATTTGGCTGTTTGATGGTCCAATCAGATCTAACAGAGAGCGACTCGAGGTCAGCTCTGTTTTGGCTCTAAAACGCACTGTTTCGAGGTCATCTGGGCACAAGCGTAAAGTATGAGGAAAACGGACTGTTATGGGAAAGGTCATGTTGTCATCATATCATCATATCGTATCATGGGCTGGGCTGGGCTGGGCTTGGCCTGGCCTGGTCTGGGAAGGGGGGGTGTGGTCACATGATTGAAGATTTAAGTAACTATTAGTTCGGACTTTCGGGAGAATCAGTATGGTTTTTGTTTTGGGATGGGGGTGAACGAGCTTCTTTTGTGCTGTATTCGGGTGGTCTCGGACAGACGTTTGTGGTTGGTTGAATGGATTGGGTTTCGTGTAGTGGATAAGTTGGAAGTGTGTTGGTGTTGTGCTAATTGTGTCACCTGGTACGGTGGTCGATGACTAGATGATTCGAGTAGAGAATAGGGTAGCTGGCATACGTCCAAGCGCTGGAGCTGGAGTTGTTATCGTCTTGATCCATCTCATATGGGTCCAAGGCAGCCGTTGTTTGTCTAACATCCTCAGCACACCACTCTCAATGCTTATTTCCATATTTGATGACCTTATGAACCCACATATGTATGAATGTACGTAAAAGACCCGTCGTCTCCGTCTCCTACGTACACCGAAGTAATTGTCCCTGAAAAAACCTCCCCCCCCAAGGCGGCACACACACACGCTCGCTGTTCACTCGCTCAGGCCCTTTTTCTTCGACCGCTTCAACTTTCTGCGTATTACAACTGTGGGAATAGGACAAACATAGTTTTGAAGTGATGACAGCAACAGCGAAAGCGGCACGCACAGTGCCATCGGCTGCACGGCCAAAACCATCTCGTTTAACAGGTGTTTCGGGTACGGATGCGACACCGAAATGGCCACAACACTTATGGAGTCCAAAATGGAGGCAGAGGCGTCAAGTAGGTACGCCACTTGAGCTTTCAAACGAGCCACATTGGACTGCAGTCTTTCGCGAGGCACTTTCGGCGTCACGTACAGCACATACAAGGTGTCGTTGGAGTTCAGCACAGCGCCGAAAACGTACAGAAGTGCGTAGAATGACTCTGTCGTAAGATCCAGGTACAGTATGTACGACGAACCTTGCCTCGAATTGATTTTGTTGGCGTTGTCTCCGTCTTCTGCTTTGGACCCGTGTATCACCTCTATAGCCCTGGCAAACCCATTTGCAAGGTCATCTACTTGCACAGGCGGACTTTTGCTCTGAATCTCGCTCTGGTACTTCGAGATCCAAGCTTTTTCAGCCTGCAGCACGTCCCACAGACTCGAAACAAAATTCGGCAGAACCCTGGCACCCAGATCGTAACCGAGCGCAGCGTCAATATCCAGTTCGTTCTCAACGTCACTCACTTGTTCTTCATCACTAACGTCCTCCTCGTCGTCGCTGGCTTCTGTTCCGCTGTGGTTGCTGTCTATAGAGAGTCTCTCCGATGGATCGTGGCTCAGCACGGTCCATTTCAAATATTCTTGCATATTTCCACGCAGTCGGCTGGTGGTTCTTGACCGATTTTGGGATGTCCCGCTGGATACATTTCCTCTCTTCTCCCTTGTGCGACCCCGTTCTCCCCTACCTGGTATTTCGCTCTCCAGAATTCGAATATTCTCGCCTCCACCATTGTCGGCTTTGCTCGGTAGCAGAATACTGCGTTTGGGCTCTACGGATTCCATGATGCTAGATGATGACGGGAAGTTATAGCACGCTTGCTGTGTTGTGGAGTGTATGTTCTGAGCCTTTAAAGATAATCAGCGGTTTCTATAAGGTAATTTTATCTATTCATGCGTATATAATGATGTTGAATTGATTAAAGCCTCCAGGCGACGATCTTCACAGGAGCGATTGCTGGGCCACTCGAATTTGATCTGGTATCTCAGAGTTTACTGTACGTTTTGTTTCTGCTTAAAAAACTCATTTTATAGCGGACAATTGCTGAGTTATTCTGTTTAAAACTTGATGATCTTTAAGCGTTAAAAAATGACTATTTAAATGCTTTTCTGTACTTCGCGATTGTCCTTTCGCAAGACTTGGTCGATTACTTGGTATAAATAGTAGTTTATGCATAGCTCGTTTCGCATTAATGTTAAACTAATAGAAAGTCGAAAATTTACTTTGGCTTACGGGTCGGATCGGATCGCACGCCTACAATTCGGAATATCTTAATCCCTACTGGCCATTTTGAAATTCGGGTCGAATACTAAGGAAGGGTCTCCACGGCTGAAATTACTGATTTTTCACGTAGTGACTGGTGATAAGGGTCCTGGTCTTGTCTCTAGACCGCCATAAGTTTTTTATATAGTACTCTAGGCTAATTACATGATATCTTACTGTTTAAAGATCGGTGAAAACGATCCTTCAGCGAGTATGCAGAGACAGAAGTAGGAAGAGCACTCAACGCCCAGGGGAAGGTGGGGGTGACGTATTCGATAAGGATAATCATTGGAAACATATTCTAGTTTTTTGGTGCTAGACCGTCGCTCGAAGGACATTTCAGCAATTTTCTAAATGTTGGTAATGAATGTAACCTCAGATTCTCGGCTCAAGGGCTTCAGCTCGGATTTTGAATAGACTGAATAGTGTCAGAATTCAAATAGCAATCGGCTCTCGACACATGGACGACGTCTGATAATATCGTGTCACTTATTACTATTCTGGCACAAGGTAACGTGAGGGTCGGTATACATTTGATATTCGAGAAATGTCATTTATGTCAGATAATTGAATTTACAGTATAGCGTGAACTGGCTGAACATTCTACAAAACGAAGCCAGCTTTCGTCTCTTGATCAAGTGTTGTTGGGACTTCGTTTCGATATTCGAGACACTGTCTTCATATCAGTACTAGACAAACCGAAATAACCGTCCTTCGAAAGGTACAAAGTAGACTATCGATCTACCAGTGCAAGGAAAACGTCTGAATGGTTGACACTATTTAAAAAGAAGGCTTCCAATTCAATATTTGAACTAAAGACTCCCCACATTTGCGTATAAGGAACATCCACACAATGGAAGCGAGACCCATTAGCATCGACGTGCGTTCTACCACCTTTGAAGAGCCCACGAAACGCATTTTCGATTCCCGCGGTACCCAGGTTTTTCAGAAGTCAGTGGCCATGTATAGGCTCAAAATGTATCTACACCGCTACATTAGCATAGTGGGAGGCCAGCAGATCCCTGAAAACAGTCAAAATCCGAAGGTCATCGATTTTGTCAAAATTCTGGACGAATTTGCGTCTTTGGTTGACCAGACGCCAGCTTTGCCTGGTCCGAAGCGTTACGGAAATTTAGCCTGCAGAACGTGGCACGATAAAATCGAAAATGTAGTGGAAATCGTATTGGAAAGTTTCATGCCCTCGGAATACAACAAGAGTATCGTTGAGCTCCGGTACTACCTCGCAAACGCGTTCGGATCCCGCGAACGGCTGGACTACGGAACGGGTCACGAACTCTCTTTTTTTGCATTAGTATCAGCCTTAGACATGCTAGGTATCTGGGGGTCCGACTTGAAGGGCACCGATCTTTTGTTTTTGCTAAATCGCTACTACGGTCTCATACAAAAATTGGTTGTAACCTACACTTTAGAACCGGCTGGTTCGCATGGAGTATGGGGGCTAGACGATCATTTTCATCTGGTATACATCTTTGGAGCTTCTCAATTGGTAGGCATGCGCTCGCCCCCAGCCACACCAAAGGAAATGCAGAAGAAGTACATTGTGCAGGAAAACAGTTCCCAAAACCTATACTGTCAAGGACTATCATTTGTTTTTCAAGTTAAATCCGGCCAGCTCTCTGAAAACTCGCCTATGCTGTATGATATTGCCCAGACGGTTCCAACGTGGTCAAAAGTTCAACGAGGCCTTTTGAAAATGTATTTCGCAGAAGTGCTCAATAAGTTTCCGGTGGTTCAACATTTTTGGTTCGGAAAGGGTCTTTACCCATGGGTCAGCACTGAAAATGGAGAAATTCTCCCGTTTTTCGAAGCTTCGTTGCCGAGCAGTCATGTCCAAACACCATTCTCGAACACTACGACACGACATCCTATGAATCCTCCAGATTTTCGAGGTGTTAGCCGATTTATATCACAAGATAGATTCAGAAGAAGCTAATTACGCCAGGCTTTTGTAACCATATTTTTGCATATTAAGTTTCTTTCGAGATTTGAGTTACTATTCTACGCACCTAATTGAATATTGACTAAAAGTTGAACTATAATTGAAATGAAAGCGTCATGATGTTGTGGCCGCGGGCTAAATCAAAGGGCCGGCTGTCAAAACTTCAGTGGTAGCCTGCTCCGCGTATTTTGTGAAATTCGAAGCAAACAAGTGAGCCAGAGTCCTTACTGCCTTTTGATAGTGTGCTTTGCCGTCAGACCAGTTTTTCTCTGGGTTCAATAAGTTATCAGGAACGTTATTGACATGAAGTGGCACTTGCAAATTGAAAGTGGGTAATGACTCAAATTCGGAGTTAGCCAACGAACCGTCATGAATGGCGTCTAAGATAGCACGCGTATACTTCAATGGACATCTCTGGCCTCCAGCAACGAAACTGGCGCCTGTCCACCCTGTATTCACCAACCAAGCATTAGCGCTATGCTGCTGCATTTTATCTGCCAACATGGTTGCATACTTGAGGGGGTGCAGGGCTAAAAATGGCTGCCCGAAGCATGAAGAAAATGTGGCTTCGGGTTCAGTGACACCTTCTTCGGTTCCGGCTACTTTCGAGGTATATCCGCTGATGAAGTGATACATGACTTGCGCCGGCGTGAGTTTTGACACGGGTGGTAATACCCCTGAGGCATCGCACGTCAATAACACGATATTTTTAGGATGCTCATTGGCCAAACATGGGATCTTTGCGCTGGGGATGAAATCGATAGGGTACGCACAGCGGGTGTTCTCGGTGATCTCGCAGTCGTCATAGTCAACTTCTCTGGTCAAAGGATCGTACCCTACATTTTCCAACACGGATCCGAATCTGATGGCTTGGAAAATTTCTGGCTCTTTCGCTTCGGAGAGACCAATACATTTTGCGTAACACCCGCCCTCGATGTTAAACACACCATGATCAGACCAGCAATGCTCGTCATCGCCAATCAATTTGCGAGCTGGATCTGCAGACAATGTGGTTTTACCGGTTCCGCTAAGCCCGAAAAATAATGTCACGTCATTGTCCTTAATTCCCTGGTTTGCAGAAGAGTGAAGGGTCAACACGTTGTAGTTGATGGGCATCAGGTAAAACATCACTGTGAAAATGCCCTTTTTCATTTCGCCTGCATATTCGGTGCCGAGAATGACCATTTCCATCTTGGCAAAGTTGATTTCGATGGTAGTCTTGGAAGTCATTCCGTCGGTATGCGTGTTGGCTGGAAATTGGCCGGCATTCCAGATTGTGAAGTCGGGCTCCCCGAAATTTTTGAGCTCCTCCGCGGTGGGACGAATCAGCATGTTGGTCATAAACAATGCGTGGTAGGCTCTGGCACAGACAACCCGAATCTTGATGCGGTAGCGCGGGTCCCAGCCCGCGTAAGCGTCCACGATGTACAGGTGGTCACGTGTTCTTAAATAGTCGGCGGCACGCTCCCGGTTCACAAGCCAGGTCTTTTCGGAGCACTTGCGGTTGACTGGACCCCACCAAATGTTGTCTCTGGACGATGGCTCATCCACGATACGCTTATCACGCGGAGAACGTCCGGTTTTGGCGCCTGAAAACGCGATGAGCGCTCCGGAACTGGCAATCGTGGTGCGCGATTCACGAAGCGCATCCTCGTAAAGCAGCGCAGCTGGTGCGTTGCGACGGATAGTCACAACTTCTTCACCCAGCGATAATTCACTGCGAATACATTCCTGGGCGGAAACTAAAGTTTTGTGTCTCACTGGCATTCTTGCAATTTCGATACCAAAGTGTAGCTGATGATAATGATGTACTCAAAATCTGAAAAGTCACAGAGTTACACAAGTCTAATTAGCGGACTAATTGTTTCAAATAAGTTAAATGAACGCGTTTTGATTACCGTCTTGGTTCGCGTTCTGGTCGCGTTTTGATTTGGAAAGCACAAACAGAAAACAGTTCAGTATTTTAAACACACTATTTCACCAGTGAAACAAACCGTGAAAACACCGTGATGAAAACGATATTGAAAACGATATTGATTCTATATACTTGTTTGAAGTTATCAAAAGAGAGACAAACTCAATGATCTTATTTCATGAATATCTGTCAAACACTGGTCTTTTTATACATATATACATGGGATCCAATGACAGTATTTGAGACTACTTTGATTAGGGTTTAAGCTTCCGACTTGTTCCGATGCTTGGACCCGACCGACAGCTGGACGAATTGGGCCGTTGAGAGTGTCCTTCGGAGCCAGGGTCGGTCTTTCAAAGGTGCCGTGATGCTTATCTAATCAAAGTCCGGCCGCAGGGCGAAAACCCTTTGTCCCGTTTATAGTTACTGATTCTAGTTTTATTTTGGGTTTTTTGCCGCCCATTGCCCCGGCGGCTAAAAGGACACGGGTACGGGCCAAAGGCGAGTGAGCGAGCCATGCCAACAAAGAAAGCTCAAAAGTGGAAAGAGAAGAATGACTAGAGAAGGGACTGGATCAACACCTCGATGGCAGCACAAAAAGTATTCATAGTAGTACTCGAATATTCAATGCACAGCACTATTGATACGCCCATGGGTTAACTGACAAAGTCAGCCTCGCGAACCTTCACAGTGCACACACATGCACGATGCGGAACGAAAAGTGTTAGAAGGAAATCACACTCCTTGCATCAGGTGCTAAAACGGCACTTTATTGTTTTATACATCATCATATTCTTCTAATATCAGCTGTCGTTTAAATGTTGGGTTTAGCGCAATAAACATTAAAAAAATACTGTTTCATGGATTGTTGTGAGGACAATAAAATGTGAAGATTACTGCAACCTGTAAGGCAAGCTTTACAAGCGGCCCGGCTTTTCTGCTTGGCGATTCCACATAGCTCTCTACAGAGCATAAGACACACCCGTCCAAAATGACATTAATTTATATAAATCACGAACGAATACAGACAGCTCTGCCATCTCATCTCATGCAAACAAGGTTGGTTCACTGGTCCCTGTAGAAATCACATAGTCCTGGGCCTTTTAACATGGAACATGTAGATGCAGAGTTTGGCACTTTGCGTAAATCGCTGCAAGCAGTTGACTCTAACAAAATTATACAGGATGTCTCAGTAGACCATGAGCAACAGGCGTTTTTGAGAAAGATTCGTCTCGTAACCGGCGGAAGAGCCATTGATAGTGGGGTCAAGTCTTCGAAAAGCGGTGATAGCCAAGCAACAAACAAGCGCAAGCACTCGCAACCTGGGCCCAAACACGAGGCTGCCTCGATTAAACGCAGACAGGTCATTTTAGACCCAAGCTTCGTGCAATTTCAATCACATCTATTGAAGCAGCTTCATTGCACACTTCCCGTGGGAAAGGCGCGGCTTCCAAGTTTCGTTCAAGAGGCCTCCAAGGAAGTCGAACGTATTTTAAAACAGTCCATCATACAAAAAGAGAGTCACTCGGCAATTATAGTAGGCCCCAGATCTCACTACAAGACCGCTGTCATCAATCATCATTTGTCATTACTGAACCAAAGATACAGTCAGCAATTCGTGACGATTCGACTCAACGGACTGATCCACACAGAACAGGCTGCCATCAATAGCATCGCTTTCCAACTGGAATCTCGACTGCAGCACTTGCACGGAAACAAAGGTGCTGATTTCCAGATAAGTTCAGGATCGTTGACCGAGGTATTTGAGAAAGTGTTACGATTGATCGACACTACCACTATTCAACACACAAAGTCATCTGCATCGTCCCGAGCCGAAAAAATATCCGTCATATTTGTGTTCGATGAGATTGACACGTTCGCAGGCCCTCTCAGACAAACGCTTTTATACAACCTTTTCGACATGGTAGAACACGCTCGGGTACCGGTGTGTATATTGGGCTGCACTACCAAAATGAATGTCGTGGAACATCTGGAGAAGCGAGTCAACAGTCGATTCTCTCAACGAATCATTTACATTCCAGGTATCAAAACATTTGAAGCTTTTATTGCGGCAGTGCAGGACGAACTAGAAGTAGACATCCCCAATGAGTGCGCTACGTCATGGAACGCGGCTCTCAAAGACTCTTTGCTGAGAGATACCTCAAAGCTTCACCAAGTCGTTAAAAACAATTATGAGACTTTTCGCTCGGTGGTTCTTTTCAAAAACAGCATTTTAGGGCTCATTGCAAAAGAACGTTCAATAGAAGCAGTAATTACTGGCCTTGAGACATGCGACTGGATCCATGCTTACAACCGAAATCAATTGGAGACTTCTTTGAGCTCGAAGGTCAAATCGCTTTCTGATCTTGAGCTAGCTGTGCTCGTTGCGGCCGGCAGAGTCTCCCTCAAGACAGATGATAATGTGAATTTCAATCTCGCCTACGCCGAATACTCGAACATGGTGAAAGAGACCAACAAAAGAATGCCAATTATTCCGCAGGCGACAGGAACGTCTTTGATGCTAGAGAGTACACTTCGAGTATGGAAAAAACAAGACGTGAAAAACGTCTGGGAAAACATAATAGACCTGGATTTTTTGGCGGAAAAGGGCACCATAGGGCTTAGAATCTCTGCATTGGCCGCTTTTCAAGCGAGCAATTACCATACCACGGGAACGATCATTCCGTTTGATCTGAGAACCTATCAGATGCAGATAACCCTCCACGAACTGCGGCGCACAGTGCCCAAATCATCGATATACTACAGTTGGACACAATTATGAAATTGGTATTTTTGTGAGTGAAGCCTTCTTCTATCATAAGAATTGGAAATGCTCCTAGTGATAATGAAATAGTATACTTAAGGACAAAAGAAGAGCATTGAACTCCCTGCATTGGACTATATAGACTAAACACATAACAAGTGTCGTGGCATTAAAACGAGCCACATTTAACATCCGCATTTTAGAGAACCTTCAGGAGGAAATGACAACTAACAGACTGAAATCAATGACATTACCGTACGAATTAAACAGCTACAAACACGAACAGGTCGATGGGCTACTAACATGGAGTTGATATCGGCTATTCACGCGACTCTCTCATCTGACATCTCTTTGTACGGAATTGTTAGAGAAATCAAATTGCATAGTACATCTTTATGCCAAGTCACAACGCTACGAAACGAACGAAAGCGCTGTCACCTACTCGAAGTCAGAGTACTTCAAGCTGACTTGAGACTATCGAAATGAGTGTCCAAGGAGATCCCTCAAAGAGGACTGATTCTAAGTATAAAATTGGCAAGGTCAAGCAGACTCCATCAGTGTTGAAAGATGAGAGAACCGGATTGGACTACATTGAACTTAAACTGAGACAAAATGAGCATGTCTATGGGTGCACTGTCTTCCAGAACCATTACAAAGAGGACAAAAAGCTTGGGCAGGGCACTTTTGGCGAAGTTTATCGTGGCGTTCATTTAGAGACTCAACGACAAGTAGCGATGAAAAGAACTATTGTAAAGGCTGAGAAGGATCTCTTCCCCATAACAGCCCAGCGTGAAATTACAATTCTCAGAAAACTCAATCATAAAAATGTCATCAAACTCATAGAGATGGTATACGACTATCCACCATCGAACTCCAGCAACGGAGCCAACGGTCCGTCGATGACATCCACAAGTCAGCCCAGATCCTTTTACATGATACTGCCGTACATGGTTGCTGACATGTCTGGTATTTTGCATAACCCCCGCATCAAGCTCGAGATGGGGGCCGTCAAGAATATTCTTCTGCAAGTCTTCGAAGGTGTCAACTACATTCACTGTCAAAAATACATGCATCGAGACATCAAGACAGCCAACTTGCTGATAGATCACAAGGGCGTGCTGAAAATTGCCGATTTTGGTCTTGCAAGGAGCTACTATGGTGCTCCTCCAAATTTGAGATTTCCTGGCGGAGCCGGAGTTGACGCCAAATACACATCTGTTGTTGTCACCAGATGGTACCGGGCACCAGAGTTGGTCCTGGGAGACAAAAACTACACCACAGCTGTGGATATGTGGGGAATAGGCTGCGTTTTTGGAGAAATCTTCGAGAAAAAGCCTATCTTGCAAGGGCAGACCGACGTGGATCAGGGACATGTCATTTTCAAGCTTCTAGGTACACCCAATCAGGAACAATGGCCACTGGCTCACTACCTACCAGGTGCTGAGCTCACGAGAACAACTTACACCTCGAGCTTGCGTGAAAGATTTGGTCCATATCTGAATGACTCAGGATTGGACCTTTTGAGTCAGCTACTGTGCTTGGATCCATACAAAAGACTCACGGCTATGGCTGCCAAGAACCATCCGTTTTTTCAAGAAGAGCCATTGCCAGATGCAGTTTTAAAGCTGCCCTGTGAAGAATGCCACGAAGCGGACATCAAGCGCTACAAACAAGAGCAGAATAGGTCAATGAGTCAGCAACCTCCTCCCGCGCCACAGGGCCACGTCGTTGAGAAGCCCGCTTCACTCACACCTCAAGTCCAAAAGTTGCCTAGAGGTACAATAGGGCAAAAAGGGCAACATACAAGCCCTGTGGCGGGCGGATCCTTTAACCCAATCAAACGCAGTGGACCCAGACAGAGCCAACAGCCAGGCGGCCCGGCTCCAAGACATCCTAAGAACTTTGGGCAACCAGAGCCTCCCAGAGGTAGTCGCTACGGGCGCCCCCCTCAAAGTTCCACGGGTGCTTTTCGCGGTGGAGCGACAGGCAGAGGCGAAAGCCGTTTCAACAATAGTGCATCAAGAAATCGGTTTCACAACAACCAGCGAGGGCTGCCCAGTGCTCCCGCTGCCGTTGTAGACCAGCAACGAGCGATTCACGACGACCGTGCAGTCTCTGGGCCTTCAAAACCAGATGTATATTCTACGAACTCGAGGTATGCTCGAAACGGTATTGCGTCAAGAGACCGAGACCGAGACGAGAGAGTGCACGACGGTCTTTCATCTCAGTCTGATGCTAGTGGTGGGAATAATCCGAATGAGATGCCTCTGGGCCGCAACGGGAAGAACAAGCCATTTCTGCGACAGCAAGCCACGGCTAACGAAGCCAAAAGCGGCGACACACACACAAAACATTCTAATGAAAGCGAACAACAGCCCGCACACCCCCGGCAAACTCGCCAAAGCTACAAGTCGGCTCGAGAGGATATTGCAGATTTATATTGAAACACGATTTTGATGTAAATTTCAACAAGAGAGGTCCGGTCATCAAGATCAAAATTAGACCGGCCTTAGAAAGCTGAAAACAGTGAGTAATGGATACTATACCGCGTTGATTCAAATGTTCGACCTGAGACAACCCATCTGGTCGCTGCTCGTCCAAAATGTGCGGTGAGGTTTTGAGGTTCATGGATCGCACCTTTTGAAATCTGAAACATGTTTCACGTTTGACATTGAAGTAAGGGACTACAGATGCCAAGTATAACAGTTGAACGCCTCAAGGCTTGTAATCAAGGTATGTGACACTATTCTGAGGACTCTGGGCATCAAAGAAGTGGGCCTTTTTCCCACTACAGCTAAATTTTTGACCGCGTAGAACATTGAACTTAATATTATGTTAGCAGAGCGCCAGTCGCGCTCTTCTAACGTGAAAATGAATGAAGAGAGAGAAGGAATAGGACGGTTTAGTCCCGCACCGCATGAGCTGTCGTCGAAAACTTTCAAACGAACACCGACGGGCCTGGTGTTCACAGAAGATCTAAAGAGAGTGTTCTCGATTCTACTCATATGTTTGGACCTTAAAGAGCGGCCCAACGTGCCACATAAGAATCCGCTGTTTCCACCTTTTCACAAGTCATATCCTTTCTCATTTGGGCTGAAGGAGGCAATATCTAAAATGAGAGACTTGATGCTTCAGGTGGACATGACTACGACAAAAGTCTCGGTGTCATACTCTATTCAGCCGGAGTTAGCAAGAAGAATGCTCAAAACGTTTATGGATGCCAAGCTTTTGCATGTTCCAGCAGATAGAACGCGTGCGGCGCTCAAAGATGGTGTCGCTATACAACCCACACCGAAGGGGGTGGCAGTCTTACAGCGTTACGTACGCCATACAGGACTCAAAGACATACCGTCTATTTTAAAATCGGATCTCAACACGATGGAGCTTTTCACCTTCGAACGAAGCTCGATGACCGACGCAATAATACACAGTGACTACTTTGTTTCCCTATTATTTGCGAAAGTTATGGGTCTCACGAAAAATGTCTGGTCGCCAGATAACTCTCCCGATCAAGTTCCCACCCTGGCCAATCTCTTGAAATGCGCTGATGACACTTTCAATTTTGAAAATGTCGATTTTGCTTGGGGAGCCTGGGATGGGAGCGGAAACGGACCCACTCCAACGCTCTCTCATCCTGATGCTTACTCGATACCCAAATCTCAAGACCAAAATCGAATCTCTCCTCTGACCCATCGATTTTTCACGAATCCAGATTCCACATCTCACGCGCAGTACTATACCTCCAGCAGTGGCCTAAGACTTTTTAAAGCAAATAATTTCGCAGACAGCCGAGTCTCGTACGACTGTGTTTTCTCCACTAAAGCTGTGTGGCAATGGCTCATGGACTGTACGGATATCATGTATCCCAAAGAAGCTGTGACAATCTCGTCACTTTTTCTGAGAAACGGTCTTATGAAACCCATCACATTATCTCCATCAGGCAGCTACCAGCATAAGTTTTCAATAGGCACCAACTGTTTCTTTACCTTGACGCAGCTTGGCTGGGAGAGTGTGCAATGGAGCAGTGGGGGCATTATCAAGAACGAAGTTGTTGGTGCGGATATCAGGAACGTAAACAGCCCTCGCAGACTACAGGATGAAGAAACCAAGCAAAATTTGACAGACTCTGGATCTGATTCTGGTAGCGATCACAAACCTGGCTATTTTACCGATTTAACTCACGTCTTGCGGGACCCTGGTATGAGATATCTATTCAGAAGGCATCTTGAAAAGGAATTCTGCGCTGAAAATCTAGACGTATACATTGAAATCAAAAAGTTCCTCAAACGTATGACAGTTTTGAAAAACCTTTTGGATACTAAGACCTCCAAAGAGCCAGACAACATTGAGGTGATGACAGCTAAACATTTCAGTGACCTTGTGGTTAATACCATAAACCATGCCCTTTTTAGGCAAGCCAACGAGTGCTTAGAAACCGCGTATCAAATATACTCTTCCTTTATCACTCCCGGTGCTCCATACCAACTTAACATTGATCATTCTCTAAGAGAATCTATAACGGAGGTTATCCTACACCCTCAACCCTGCATGTTCATATCGTGTCCTGACGAAAATACCATCACGGCAGATTGCCTAAATTGCGTTGATCCTGGCGCAGATATGGTGATCTCAAATGAACAAAATTCGCCTGCTGTGCGCCAGTCAGCGGACCAAACAAATCAACTCAAGCATAATAACTCAGAAATGGTTCGCAGAAGCCTAATTTCGACAGTAAATTCAGACGAAATAGAGGGAGAGAGTTTTTCAAGCATTTTGAAGACTTTGAGGCTTATTTACCCCCTCTTCGAGAGGGTGGCTAGCTCGATGTTTCAACTTATGAAGATTGACTCGCTTCCGAAGTTCATCAACTCGGAACTCTACCAGGAGGCTGCGGTCATGTTAAACTTTGAGGCGAAAAATGAATAGTTTCTGTATTATATCTGGTTTGAAAAATCATTCTGCTTAACTCAAGCTTTTACAATATACAAGTTTCCTGACGATTATACAGCGCTTCACATTACTGAGGTCTTCTGTTCAAACAACCGCGTATGAGTGGGGCGACTGCGTGCATGGTTATGTTACTATCTGGACAAGACTGTTCATGATGTACAAATGACTATTATTATGCTTAAGCAACTGGTTCCAATGTAGTTCCCTTCTTGATGGTAGCCCAACCGATTAGACGCCAATGCTTCTCGATACGTCTTGATAAAGCGATCTTTTCGTTTACCTCTGTACAGGCTGGGGACGTCAGCTGTAGTCTGGCCATATCGGCCTTGACAGCGACCACACGAGCACCAGTAGCGGTAGAACCGATGTTTACCATGAGAACTTCGTTGACGTCCAAGTTTCTCACCTTAGCTTGCTTCTGGTTGTCAGTCTTAACACCCAACAAACGACGTAGCAAAAAATAGTTAATTTCGATGTCAGTGTAAATGCTTGGCAAGTGACCTTTGGCACCAGCTACTTGACCAACCAAACGATCGGCTCTGCAGAGCGTAGGGTCGACCTTGGTACCAACACCAATCAAACCACCGGGGACTGCGAACTTCAGGTCATTGTGTTCAGCGAAAAGTGACACAATGTTGGAAAAGATAGGCTTGCACTGAATCTTACCTTGCTCATCTTTAGTGACGATACCAGGTCTGATTTCAATTTCATCACCTAGTTTGAAAACACCGGTCAAAATAGAGCCACCGGCAACACCACCTTTCAATTCATCGATTTCGGCACCTGGCTTATTGACATCGAAAGAACGGATAACAATCAGACGTGGGGAGGCCATGAAATCTCTTGGAGGAACTGGAATGGTCTTTACAATAAATTCGTTAACGGCGTCGATGTTGTACTTCAATTGGGCGGAAATTGGCACCACGGGAGCGCCATCGGCAATTGTACCTCTTATAAATTTGAGAATCGAGTTGTGGTGTTCCATTGCGCTCTCTTCGCGCATCAAGTCGACTTTGTTTTGTAAGATAATGACATGTTTCAGCTTCATAATTTCGATAGCTGCCAAATGCTCTGAGGTCTGAGGTTGAGGACATGACTCATTACCAGCAATCAGAAGCAGGGCTGCGTCCATGACGGCAGCACCAGACAACATGGTACTCATCAAGATATCGTGACCGGGACAGTCAACAAAAGAGACGTGACGTATCAATTTGTAACGACCTTGGCACCCGGGACGCTGACACTTGGGGCTTATTTCTTTATCGGACTTGAACGAGCGGTAACAGTCTGGCTCGGGACAGTTGGGGTCATCGCACTTGTAAATCTTGGCGTTGGCGTAACCCAACTTGATGGTAATGTTACGTTCCAGTTCGTCCTTGAAACGAACTGTCTGAACACCGGAGATGGCTCTCACCACGGTGGACTTACCGTGAGCTACATGACCAATGGTACCGATGTTGATGGTGGCCTGTCTATTAATAATGTCCGCTGAAAGTGGGTTTAGCGTTGAAAAGTCTGGGTTCTCAGGCTGTTCTGGTAGTCCACCACCCTCTTCAAACTCGCGTTTGCGCTTTTCTTCTTCGGACTCAAAATCATCCACTCCACTGAATGTAACGCTTTTCTTGGGCTTTCCCTCGTCCTCTTGCTCGGCTTCTTCCAGCCCAACTTCCTCTTCGTAATCCAACAATTCGTCGTTACCCAAGCTGTTACCCAGTTTGTCACTCATGACTCTGCTAGCCTCCTGGTCTTGCAATTCCGCTGCCATCTTGACCTAGTGTATGAGTTTTTATATCAACCACAACTCTGTCAAAAACTATCGTATTAAAACGGTTCGAGCGGGAGTTCAACAGCAAATTCAAGCTCAAAAATCTATGGGATCGTTAAAAACAAGAACTCCAAGTATGGCGTTAATTGTATCCTGATGTTTGCTCAAAATACAGCTTTTGATACTGTTAGATCTCTGAGTTGACCCATTTCAGCTCTGTTCAGGCTAATAAAAATTTTTTTCCAGCTTTTGAGATGTAATGAGTAACGAAGGTCACGATGGCGTCAGTATGGGAAATAGTGATCACGAATTTAGACTGTGAGATGGGATATGGCCATGAGCAGTGAAGATGGGCTCTAGCGGTAGGCTCTGGTGGTGACGCTCGCTGGCTGTGAACTTTGTGATCCACCATTGCGTTATTATTACACCGTGGGATTGAATGCGAATTCGTTCATCAAAATATCAACGTCTTTCCATACGCTGTCAGATTCCCAGTTGTCCCAGCGATCCAGCGGGACTGGCGAGTCGCTACGATTTGACGATGACACAGTGGCAGTTTCTTGAGCCCCGGGCGTGTTTCTGGAATTTTTCTGCGTTGTTTCGAAGAGCCTGCCGTCGATATCAGGGTCGGGTGTGAAGTCCAAAGTGCCAACCAGCGGCTCTCGAGAGACCCCGGTGCCAAATGGGATTCGGCTTGGGAATAGACCAACTCTTTTGTTTAAAATGCTCTTTAGTGACACAACGTCTGAGGGCTCGGCACTCGACAGATTCGGACTATTGCTGCCGGTCGCGGGCGCATTGATGGGCTCAGGATCCAGAGGAATGGTCTTTATTAGTTTCCGCGCGTTATCTTCAGTACTCTCGTGATAAGAAACACGTTTCTCACCTTTGTGTGAGCCGTCGTAGGTTGAAACTCCATCTTCCAGCTCGTTTTCTTCCGAGCCCGATCGCAACTCTCTTTTCAGCTTGGCCATCCCACATCTTTCTCGAAGCTTATACAAGCAATCGAAGAAAACGCTAGCTGACATTCTGGACTTGATTGTAATGTCAAGGTTGAAATCTTTTGTGGATTGCGTCAACGTTTCTGATGTATCCGACGTCTCTGGTTGCTCGCTCTCCCACTGGTCGTGCATGTTACTGAACATTTTCCAAATGCTTTTCATGATGCCTGACGACCTATAAGCCATATCATATTTCAACACAGAGGCATCGTTTGTCAGAGTGACAGCTTCTTGGTACATCTTTTTGCCCTTCTCCAGGTTCAGCACTGAGTTCAGGGACGAATGCGAGAGCTTACTGATGATGCATGCAGTCTGCCAAATGTTGAGGACGAAAACTCCCGGAAAATACTTGATAATATGCGGATCCGACTTGCACATAGACGTGGTGTGCATGAGTAATTCGATCGCCGCATTGTAAACCTTGACGTACCCACGTTTGGCTTCAAAATTAATTTCCGTGTCTCGAACTGTCACTTCAAGTGAGTTGGTTTCAGCCAAACTTTCCAAAGGAATGACACCAGTGAAGATATACGTCAATAAGTGAACTTTGGCGACCAAAAGCAGAAATTTTCTGATGTCGTCTAGTTTGCTCTCTCGGAGCCTGATCTCCAGTTCGCCCAATTGCTGTTCCAAGACGCGCAAAAGTGGGAGCTTTTCTTCACCATCCACCATCCCCATGACGTTGAGCGGGTTGGAATTCATCGTCCTTGTGAGCTGATACTCAAAGTGCGCGATGTACATCATTTGCTTTATGCTTTCTGAAACCTCTATACTTTTAGAATTGGCGGACGACTGAAGCGATGTCTTACATGCGCTGATCACGGTGTGGTCAAAGGACACAAACGCTGGGAACCCGAAGGACGAAGCGATTGTTTGTGACACTATATTGCAGCAAATCCAGGTTTTGACCTGCTCCTGGATTTGTTCAGAGTTGGTTGTCGCATACTCAGTTGAAAACTCTGCGCAGTTCAGTCCCACACGGATGGCTTGGAACATGGCTGACCCCATGGTATTCCACGAAGTGTCAGCGCTCAGAGACGATGTCAGCGGTGGCCAAAACGTGTACAATAAAAAAGCCTGTACTGAATAAACGGAAGCCACGTTCAAAACGGGCTCATCGCTTTCCGCAGGCGCGTATCTGATAATAGGCGACATAGTAATTTCTGCGAGTATAGATTTAACCAGATTTGACAGTTTTGTCATAATTCCGGTGGCCTTGAATTTTCGTCGAAGTCCGATTAGCATTATAACCCAGAATAAACAAGGTGATAGTCTGTAAATACGCTCGGGTCCTTTGGATATGTCCACAACCGGCAAAAAAGGATGGTATCTAGCGACGAACTCCGAGTATACCTCGCTAATGTCCTGTTCGGACATGTATATTTCGCCCAGGGACTTTGGTGTGCACGAATGTAAATGCTGGTTTTGGGATGCGAGATCGGGGTCGGCACTGGTGCCATTCAATTTTTCCAAAGGACTGTCATGGTCCTGACGCAGCTTCTTTAGTTTGCTCTTGGTAAAATTGGTCTGGTTTAAAAGAAGTTCTTGTTCTGATTCGATTTTCCTCAGTATTTCCTCTGCATCCAAATTGCCCAATGTTTTGGTGAGCTCTTTGAACCGTTGCTCGATTGCCTCATTTCTGAACCTTTTATAAGTTCTTCTGAAATCCTTTTGGAGCACACATGGGATATTTTTCTTGAGGCATCTTGTACATGGACCAGGGGCCTTTTCGTGAGCATCACATTTCGATTTTTGTTGTCGACACTCCACACAAGCAAGCTTCTTTCGCTTGCCAGCTCCCTCGCCTGCTATTTCATGGAAAAGTGACCTTTTTGAGTCCTGAGAGTCAGGCGGTTCCGTCATTGTTTTGCTGCTGTTTGTTGAAAGTGCTCCAGTAAGCGACAGCCGGATTCCAGAGATATTTCACGACCTATTTACCTCAGTGACCTCGATTGTCATTGTGATTATAAGGCGATGAGCTAACAAGATATACTAGATTCAATATATAATAATATCGATAGCCTAATTTTTAACTTCTTGAAATGAACCGCTAACGACAACATTCAGTGAGGACTTATGAAAGCTTGGCAAGTATTTAAGACGTCAAGTCTAGATATTAGGCTATGCTGGATTTCAGCATTTTTAAGATTGGCTTCTTATGGTGTTACGAACCAAGTTTTGACGCTGTTTTTGAAGGAAATTGGCATCTCTGAAAAGGAGATGGGATGGTTTATGTCGTTGACCTTAGTGGGCGATGTTTGTATATCTTATCTGTTGACCTGGCATGCAGATGAGTGGGGCAGACGGCGTATTCTTACGTATGGCGCCGTGATGATGGTGTTGAGTGGGTTGGTTTTCAGCTGGAGCGAAAACTTCTACGTACTTCTGGTGTTTGCCATTTTCGGAGTTATTTCGCCATCAAGCGACGAAGTTGGGCCTTTCAAGTCCATTGAGGAATCTATGATAGCGCATCTCACTCCCCACAATCGTCGACCAGAAATTTACGCAATTCACTCACTTGTGAGTATCTCTGGAAGTGCACTTGGATCGGTTTTTTGCGGGTGGTTTGTGGAATTACTACAAGACAACAAGGTATTCGACACTCAACTGAAGTGCTACAAGGCCGTCTTCGCTGTGTACACTGTCCTGGCATTTGGGAAATTGATTTCCATCGTTTGTCTTTCGGACGCCGCAGAATTGGACGGTCATGTTCACGAAGAGGTCGATCCTCAACAGGTTTTCGACGAAACTGTTTCTTTGGTCGAGCCAACCGTGACTCAAAAGTCGAAAATGGCACCTGAAACGTTTTCCATCATGGTAAAGCTTCTTGTAATTTTCATGCTCGATTCGTTCGGCTACGGATTTATGACAAGCGCGTGGACAGTATTCTACTACTCCGTTGTATTTGGTTTGGGCCCAGCAGCACTGGGCCTCCTTTTCTTCGGGGCAAAGGTCATGATGGCAATGTCATCTCTGCCGTCATCGACCGTTGCCAGAATGTTTGGCCCTGTCAAAGCGACTCTGATGGTGCAAGTCCCATCTGCGATTTTTTTCATGTTGATCCCATTCGCCGAAGGCCACCTTTCATTGTCGCTAATTTTCTTCAACCTTTACAATCTCACAATGGCTATGGACGTCACGCCTCGCCAAATCTTGCTCACCAATATCATCAAACCAAGCGACTTGACTAGAGTTATGGGTGTGGTGAACATAGGTAAGACGTTTGCGCGCTGCATCGGACCTATATTTACAGGCTTACTGGCAGACAAGGGATTACTGTGGTGCTGTTATCTGATCAGCAGTTCTTTTGTGCTTCTCGCAGACTTCGTACTTGCAGTTCTGTTCTATGACATTGATTCACATATTCTCAAGACCACTAATGCGTAGATCTCTATAGGGCTAACATTCGTAAAGGATAGAATTCAATTACTACATTTTCCGTAATCCATCAGTCGAGTCACCAAGCGGGCGCTAAGTCAGCCAGAGGGATTTCGCGGCCAACGGAGTTCCTTTCTATATCTGTAAAAAACGCGGGGGCGTAATCCATGGTAATTGAACTAGAGCGCCTTGACCTGCTGCTTGCTTTGCACGATGAAAAATCTGCCGACGCTGGTTGCGTAGACCTCTTGCTACTCGCAGAGCCATTTAGCTCCCGAAAATCCCAAGCTTCAGCGACATTGTCTGCTTCAGGTATGAGATTTTTGATTGAGCATATTTCCTGTCCCAAATCAGCCTGCCGATAAATATCTAGTAGACAAGTACTACCAATTTTGTCACTTTCTAAAGCCGTAGAAGCGGGGGTTTTCTCAAACTGAACCTTGCATGATACGATCTCATCAAGAATGTATTTTAAAGTCGTCAGAAAACGATTTCCCTGTCTGAACTGAGAAGTAATTGTGAGATCGCATCGATCAGGCTCCAGACTATAGCCTATTCCAAAACCTTGCGGAACAGCAGGGTTAATTCCAAATTCCCGGATTGCAGAGTTTCCGCAATGAGCCGCAATTATTTCAGGACTGGACAAATGATCTAAAGAAGCATTTTCAAAAACATCAGAAGCTATTTCTAAATCAAGTGCGTCCAGTTCAATCTGGTATTCCTCATGATTCTGGAAAAGATAACGGAGAATATTGTAGTGTTTTTCGAATCCTTGGCCACGCTTTGACAGTTGCACACTTTGAAGATGCCTCTCGCATGCCTCTGTGAATTTTTCGAGTTTAGATCGTCTGCCTAACGCGTTGGAATTGTAAATTTGACACAGTTCGAACATTTGTTGGTTCTGAACTGGAACAAACGCAGACCTAGAATTGCGGAAAGTTCTCGTGGAGACTGGCTCAAATGTAGACGCCATTTTCCCATACAGAGCATAGTGAGCAATTTGTATGGCCACCTGAATCATGGCATCTGCATTGACACCCAGGCGACGAGCGACGTTTCGTCCGTAGGGGATCTCTTTTTGCACTATGTCATGTCTGCATATTAAATCAGTCAGATTACTCTCAGAGATAGATATGCTTTCCTTCAAAGCCTCGCAGAACTCCCAATTGATCTTGTGGAAACCTTTGATGTTTGACGTATCGATTTTAGAGGTGATAGGCCACAGGGAAAACACAGTACTATCATCGATTTCGCGAGCAAGGCGAAGTACCGATTCTACGAACATGTCAGACGCAAACCTCATTACTGCCGAGCCATCACAAGTCAGCGAGTCCCATATCACGCTGGCTTTGGCGTCTTTTGTGACAACCAGCTGCAACTTATCATACCATCTTGAGCAACATGAGCCCTGCTGATTTGCGTCCTCGCCTATAAGGCTGCTTCCGTAAAATAGTCGCTTGCATTCACGGGATATGTCAGAAGTAGATGAAGATTCGTCCAAGATCAAGACGAACAGTGCTGAATCGATGATGGCGAGTTGAGTCGCGCACTTCTCCCTAAGAAGGTTGCGAGCGTGCTTCCAACGCTTCAACGAATATGCAGTAAAGCTCCCCAGGCTCGTGCTGTTCGCTAGATTTTTGGGTTCAAAAGAATCTTGAAGAACAGAATGCATAACTTGTGATAAACTGTCATCGTCGTAGAGAGGTCTATTGTCAGAATCCAAGACGTCTAGACTGTAATATTGCCCCCTCGATATGATCACGATATGCTTAGAAGCTAAATGCGTCTCTTTGGAAATCGCATGGCGTGCACAGAGATCGGTTGCTGAGTGCCCATTTGATGGAGCTTCACCAAAGCTGGGAATTTCGTCCGATTCTAGAAAAGGGGATCGTGTCGTCCCGAACAGAGTCACGTACGGCAGCATGGAGAGAGGTTTTCCTGATGAGTCTTTATCAGGAGGTAATATCCCATGGCGCAAGGCAGAGATGAATTTGAGAGCGGAGTAACAAAGAACGCCAGCACGATTTTGTTGGGAGATGCCTTCAAGTGCATCCGGAGATAGAACGAGAAATGGATTTCGCGGCAAGACATCACCTTCGATCTCAGCAGTCAAAGCGTGGCTAAAGGTGTCCAACTGTAAGCTGTCTAAGACATGGGAGCTTAGCTCGTTCAGCTCCCGCACTTTTGATTGAAGTTTTTGGGCTACCTTCGACTTCAAAAATCGAGAGACTGCCCTGTACAGCTGATAGTAATTTCCAGCTTGCAAAAAATGTTTATAGTAACCGTCTGCCACGTTCAAAGGCTTCATACAAGCTTCCAGTTGTTCAAATGTCGAGTCCAGATCTGGAATCGGCAGGACTGGAATCAAGTGTTCCAGATCAAACGTACCTGTCATCAGGATGTGGTATTGAAGAGCGAATCAAAGGTATCCATAATTTGCCAGAAATATTGGTGTCCCGATGAGCATTATCACGACGTTCTTATACCATCAACAAAACTGATCATCAGTTGCATAGCAGGTCACTCAACTTGTTCAGGTCATTTTCCTTTAAGCCTGGCTCGTCAGGAAAATGATAAAATGATAAGATGACATGGCAAGAAGGAAACAGTCGAAGAAATGGCAACCTTCCTTCTGTGAAGTCTGTTAGCAGCGTCATTCCGAATAAGACATGCTACGGTTGAATTGATATCATCGAGATGACACAGGGTGAATTGAAATATTATGGATAAGAGACTTTTTAGACAATTATGAAAAATACAAGCAGGGTTCCCGAGTAAGCACAATTTGCAGATTTTAATACCAGTTTCGTAGGGACTTGCAAGGTTGTAGCAGACGTGTTGAGAGTGTTGAGAGTTTACGAGTACATTGGTATGATCACTTTCAAGTTGAAAACGACAGGAAATTAGTAACATAAAAAGAGATATTGGCACACGCTGACAGCAGGCAAGAAATAGGTAATTACGTGTGTGTGTGAGTTGAGGTTATTTGATCCGTAGTGTTGGAGTTTATTGGCTGTCAAACTTTCCAGTTCCAGCTGATTTTATTCAGATACATCAACAGTTATGATTTTTGAAAACCATCTATCTGTCTAATTGATAGTGTTTTTTTACGACGAGTTTGGCAAAGTTTGAATGGTAAAACCTCCAGTCTCTAGCTTCTACTATTTCGAACGCAAATATAGCAAAACTCATACGAGCTTTACCCTAGTACATAAGGTGCTTTTTCTTTATTCAAAAAATCGGTTCATAATTGTAGCTATTGGGAGCAGCATTCCCCCAGTAATCGCATATGTCGCTTATATACCCAACAAAATACTCGCCAACGTCTCGATGTGCCGGTCCAATCTTGCCAACCGTTCGCGAGTGTTCGAACATCTTATTAATAAATTTTCCCTTAGCATCGTGATTATAGAGCTAGAAAGTGTACAAATACAAAGAGATATAATCCCTGAGCGTAATGACAACCTTAACGGTTGGACTTGGCAACACGTTCCAATTCGTCCTTCTTCTTGATAGCGTAGGAAGTGGAAGAACCCTTGGCAGCGTTGATCAATTCTTCAGCCAAAGTTTCGGCAATGGTCTTGATGTTTCTGAAAGAGGCTTCTCTGGCACCGATGGTCAACAAGGCAATGGCTTGGTTGACTCTTCTCAAAGGAGAGACATCGACGGCTTGACGTCTGGCAGCACCACCACCACCGACTCTGGTGGTGTCTTCTCTTGGACCAGTGTTGACCACGGCGTCAACAACCACCTGCAATGGGTTCTGGTCGGTCAAGATGTTGATGATGTCCAAGGTGTGCTTGACGATTCTGACGGCCTTCAACTTCTTACCGTTGTTTCTACCGTTCATCATCAAAGAGTTGGTCAATCTTTCGAAGATAGGGCACTGGGCCTTTCTGAATCTCTTGTTGGCGTAACGGCCAGCAGTGTGAGGAACGAAGATGGACTGACCAATCTGGACGTAGTCGACCAACGATGGGTCCTTAACCTGCACGTCCTCGAAAGACCATTTGTTGAATAGCTTGATCTCCTTTTGGGCTCTTTGGACGTCCTCTGGGATGGCAGTGGCCAATTCAACAGGGGTGAATTCCTCAACAACTTCGAACTCTTCCTGTTCTTGAACTTCGACTGGAACTTCTTCGTGGTCAGACATCTTGGCTTTGGGTTCTTACCGTGCTATGGGGTATTTCGTTCGGGAACTCAGACACTTGAATATTGAAATTTACCCAATATCTTTTGTCAAACTGGAAAATTCAGGTGATGCTTGACACGGCTAGGCAGAGTGTCGGGAAAGTTGCAGCAGGAGTCGTGAGAGGAGCTAGGCATAGCTAGGCAGAGCCAGGCGGAGTCAGGTAGGATCCACAAGCGAGCTAGGCAGAGCTGGAGGGCGTGCTAGACAGGATCTGGATCCAGAATGGGGACGAGCTAGCCAGAGAGCTAGGCGGAGAGCTAGACGGGAGACTGCAGGCTGAGAGCTGGGCAGACCGCTAGGCAGACCGCTAAGCTCGCGACCTAGAGACTCCTGCCTGGGTGACTGCTCTCCAGTCTAGATTTTCTTAACGCTGCTAACCCACGCAAAAGTTTTCACTTTTCATGATTTTTAAAAGTGTCAAAAACAATATCAAGATTAAGATGTATGGGTGTCAAAAAACAGTCACATCAGATCTCTTGGCACATTGGGCATGCTCATAGCACATTATGACAGCGACGGAGCTCGTGAGAGGAAGGTCTGCAGAGAAGGGGAAATGTGTATGTTAAATCGAGCCCAGAGCTTTCAGGTTAATGGGATGCAAATTAGCCAAATCCTCTTATTCTTACTAATGGGCTTCCCCAACATTTCTCATCAGTGCGTCAGATATGTATCTGTAGGGTTCGATTCAATTGCGCTTTAAACCTCGGTAGGCGCCTCTGAAAACTCGTCGCTCCACTCTTCGTACCACTGAGGTTTCTGCGGTATAACACGCACTTTTGAGCCCGCGCTTTCGATTTCGATGTACAAATCTGGCATTTTACCAAGCTCGAATGCCTCTCGTAGATACTCGTTTCTCAGAATTGCCACGCCGCGATCAGTTTCGTAGCATAGTAGAGAGCCGGCCGGCCTTCGACGTTTGCGCGTGGCGGATTTGCCTGCAAATGGTCCATGTGCTAAGATCGCCGTATCTGTAGTAGAAGGGCTGTCTCCCCAAACTTGCAGATATTTCTCAGATTTCAAGCTCTCGAGTAGTTCCGCATTTTCTAGCACTACCGGTACCGCCCGTTTACGCAGAACCCCTGTGGAAAATGTTCGTGCAGTTAGTTCTTGGCCCACGTAACAGCCTTTATCGAAACTCACAGCATTTGGTATGAAATCGAAGTTCAATTCCAAGGGTAAAACGGTCTCCTGTTTGAAATCAGTGAGGCCGTCCACATAGCCGTTCGTAAACCTTTCGACGCGTATATCTTCGGCAGCGATCTTCTGGATATCCAAGTCAAACGGTATATCAGGCGCGTGAAATATATTACTGACGTCAGCGACATCCGACGATGTCACTAAGCGAAACACCTGTGGCGCGTCTGGGCTTTCATAGAGTAGCTCTGTGTTTCGAGGGTCAATAAACAGTCCTAATACCTTGTCTTCGTGGCCCCGAAAAAAGGTCCCCAAGACGTGCTTGGCGAATTCTACCGCGATTGTTGGGGCTTTAACGGTTTCCATTGGAATAATCAAATCAGATAGCCATGGATTTTCGTCTGCAATTCCAGCCGGAAATTTAAGCGATAAATACCAGGACTTCAATTTCCCTGTGGGCTCCAATTTACTCTTGACTTTACTCACCAGCGTGTGGGATTGGAAAATATGGTTTATTTGGGCACTAATGTCTCTGTTCACTTCTACCAGATATTCTGGATATTTACGTGATTCTACCGAATCAATAAGCACTGGTGTGGGGTAGATAATTGCATCGGTCATGATTTTACCTTTGCTGTTCAGTAAACCTGTATAGGTCCCAAATCGTGAAATGTAAGGGCCGTTGGCGCCAACTTCCTTGAAAATGCCCCAATTTCCCTGAGCGGTATCAAAGTCCGTCACCGCTTTGAAGTCAGACAAGCTATCATCGACCACTTCTATGGTAGTTAGATTTTTCTTTACGTATGTTGGAAGCATCTTCGAGGTAACCAGTCCATTTAGAAACTTCACGGCATCTGGTCCCTTGATGTGAAGAAAACTCTTGTTCAACTGCTCACAGTATTTTAAATGGGCACATGAGCTCGTGTAGCGAAGAGATGCTGCCCGACATAGCCATATGGTACTTGTCAGTCTCATTCTTGGCGCATTGATATTTCTACAAATTCGAGATGACTTCATCATTTGTAAGTATTAACAAGACAATCAAATATACCTTAATTAAAGGCTTCTCAATAGTCAGCTTCCAGCCGATGTGAACAACAAAGTCGAGGACGATCGACTATCGTATAAGGTCTTATTGTAACTTGTACTTTGAATACTTACTTGAATATAAAGAGTCGATGTTCTAAGGATTTGATGCATGACAAAATCGTTCCGCATACCAATCAAAGTGAATATGCAGATGGACCATAGAAAATAAACTGAAATTTAAAGGATCGATTGGTGTTGGCCACATTCAATTTATAACAAAAATGCTCTTTCAGAAATCTCGTCATCATCATAATCATAAAATGTCTTTTTTGTCTCGTATTTTTTTTGAAACGCGCGCTCTATTGTGGATAGGTTAAAAATCGTTCGTTGTTGCTCGTGATCTGCTGTACATGATTTAGAAAACAGACTGCGCGATGAGCGTCATCCTATTCTGTTTAGTTGGCCTCGGAAGCCAACTTCTCGGCCTTGGCGACAACATCTTCGATACCACCAACCATGTAGAAAGCGTTTTCTGGCAAGTGGTCGTACTTACCATCCAAGACGGCCTTGAAAGAAGCAACGGTCTCCTTCAATCTCACCAATCTACCTGGAATACCGGTAAAGACTTCAGCGACGGCGAAAGGTTGAGACAAGAATCTTTGGATCTTACGGGCTCTTTCGACGGTTAGCTTGTCCTGTTCGGACAATTCATCCATACCCAAAATGGCAATGATATCTTGCAAAGACTTGTAAGCTTGCAAAGTCATCTGGACACGAGAAGCGACGTCGTAGTGCTCTTGACCAACAACGGCGGCATCCAAAAGTCTGGACTTGGAGTCCAATGGGTCGACAGCTGGGTAGATACCCAACTCAGAGATACCTCTGGACAACACAGTGGTGGCGTCCAAATGGGCGAAAGTGGTGGCTGGGGCAGGATCAGTCAAATCATCGGCTGGCACGTAGACGGCCTGGACGGATGTGACGGAACCCTTCTTGGTGGTTGTAATTCTCTCCTGCAAGAGACCCATATCGGTGGCCAAAGTTGGCTGGTAACCGACAGCAGATGGAATACGACCTAGCAAGGCAGACACTTCGGAACCTGCCTGGGTGAATCTGAAAATGTTGTCGATGAAGAGCAACACATCCTGGCCTTCTTCGTCTCTGAAATATTCGGCAATGGTCAAACCGGTCAAGGCGACACGGGCACGGGCTCCAGGAGGTTCGTTCATCTGACCGAACACTAGAGCCACCTTGGACTCACCCTCGAGGTTGATAACACCAGTCTCACGCATTTCACGGTACAAATCGTTACCTTCTCTGGTTCTCTCACCGACACCGGTGAAAACGGAGAAACCACCGTGGGCCTTGGCGATGTTGTTAATCAATTCTTGGATAAACACGGTCTTACCGACACCGGCACCACCAAACAAACCAATCTTACCACCACGGGCGTATGGGGCCAACAAGTCGACCACCTTGATACCGGTTTCCAAAACTTCGGCCGCAGTCGATTGCTCCACGAAGGAAGGAGGTTCAGCGTGGATAGGGTTTCTTTTCTTGGTCACAATTGGACCACGCTCGTCAATGGGTTCACCGACGACGTTGATGATACGACCTAGAGTCTCTCTACCAACGGGTACAGAGATCGGAGCACCAGTGTCGAGCACTTTTTCACCACGCACGAGACCTTCAGTACCGTCCATAGCGATCGTTCTCACAGTGTTTTCACCCAAATGTTGGGACACTTCAAGCACAAGCTTGCCCTGTTTGGTGTCGATTTCCAATGCATTCAAGATTTCTGGCAAGTTGCCCTGTTCGAACTGAACATCCACAATGGCACCAATGACGGCGCGCACTTTTCCCGCGGCTTGAGCCTGGGTTGCGAGAGTTCTGACGGCTGACAGACCAGCACGTCTCGCAGCGTACAATCTAGGAAGAACCATGGTCACTCACAGAGAAAGACAAACTAATGTGGTTCACTCTTTGAAAGTAGAGACCTGAATCTATTCGAACAAGAAGGTGTATCGAAGAGGGAAGAATCGACCTGTGTTTTTTTTATCACTGTATAGAGAGGTGTGGGAATTGAAATATGGACGGGTAACTGGTAATTTTTTTAAGTGGCCAAGAGACGCGCTCTGATTGGCTGAGACCAGGGGAGCGCGTTAAACGACGACAGCAGAAACTGAGCGGTGAAAGAGGTTTTGAAGACCACAATTGCGATGCATTTAATGGGCCTGTGGCCAGTGGTTATGGTATTGGGGGATGTTTCGGAATCTTTTTGTCCAGTATATAATTTGCACGTGTGTCATGTGATACGAGTGCGTCGCTAAGTTGCAGGTTGTTTGTGAATTATCGGGGACGATGCGTACTGGCAAAATGTTGACGAGGAGACAGCAAGCTTTCTTCGTTTGAATCGCCAACTGCCCTCTGTCAAACACTCTTTTGAATCGTTGTTTTTAATTTCTTGAGAGAGAGAGAGAAGGTAATTTATATATTCTCGTGCCATCTAGTTGGTTATCTACTCGTTGGTCTAGTTGGTAGAGAAAACACCATTCATGGCGATCTTTCCTGAACCAAACCTGAACTGGATAGTTCAAAAGTGTGGTACACATATGATATTTCATTGGGAGCCAAACAGGTCTCGTTGCTGACTTTGGAAGTGTATATCGCATCTGTCATGGAAGTCACGTTACTAAGTGACAGAGATGAAACCAGGGAGTCACGAGTTAACGCAGCGAGCCATCTGAAAGATCATATTTTGAAGCCCCTGAGGTGACGTATGTGTGAAGCATTACCGATTTTTTACCGGCATCTAAACATCATTTGAAATTGATAGTTGTACAATATCCTTTTCGAAGACAAAAAATTCTAAATGTTGCACAATATTACCAAAACTTAAAAAAGGGACTTTTGGTGGTCAACAAAGATGGCAGAAGCCCATGCATCGCTATCGAGGTCCTCATCCTGCAAATACACCTGTCAGTCTAGGTTTTCTCTTAAACGCCCAAATTCCCTAAAACACCTATATATTCCTACTTACCTAGCAACGCCCTCACCGGAGCATGCTATCTATCTTGTTTTGTGCTCGCTTCAGAATGTCTCGTATTTCGTCAGGCTGTCGAATGAAATATAGTTCATCGTGTTCAAACCGCTGATCAGAACTGTTGTCACCATGTTCGTCCTCATCGATCTGCTCGACAAGTCGAAAGTAGTCTTGAGCGCACAAAATATCTATGTCGCCGTTTTCTGCCAAAAGATTCAGTTCCTCAGGTTTCATCGACTGCAACCGCCTCCGCTTTGAGAGGCGGGACGATTTGCAATGTGCCACAAACGCGAAAGGACATATGGTTTTGCAAGCCGAGCAGAAAATGTCATCGTCTCCATCGTCGCTTTCCGCATCCGAATCAGTTTCCGCACTCACGTATTCGTCATCATAACTGCTGTTCGATGTCACCGTTACTTTTATATCGAGACGCAGCTTGTCATCAATGTGGCGACGTGTGAACCCTTTAGCCTGGTTTTGGAACCGGATTACGTCGGACAATTGATCCAACGTCTTGACCTCGCGGTTGAACATTTCGAGAAGCTCAGAGTGGCACCTGCGTACCATGACCTCGTCAAACTTCCTTGGATTCTCCAAATACTCGAGTAAGACGGTAAGCATCAGCTCCCACATGTTGAAAACGCACTTTTTTCCAGTGGCTATGTAATCATGCGTGGCTTCTACGCCGTACGGGAGCCATAGATCGAGCGTGAAATTGACGGCCTCATTGAAGTTGTAACCGGTATTGAATCCAGAGTGATAGCACTTGGGAAACGTTACAATGTATTCGCCTGGATACTGCACCGCTTTATAACAGCTAATATTTGCATCTTGAAATCGTTTATCATAAGGTGCTATCAGTGTTACCAGCTGATGAAGCAAATCAGGCTGTTTTTGGAACAGATCCGGGGCGATGCTTTTCATTAGTTCGTCAAATTTCTCACGAGAGCTTTCAGGCACACTGTACCAAATTTTTGGATCACCTTCGTGCTGGTAATTAGCGCTTAGTGTGTATTGATCCTCCAAATGCCAGCAGAAAGTGGAAAACGTAGATCCAATGTAGATCCATGGGACAGTCATGCCGGATATTTTTTTGCCGAAGACTGAGAGCAGTGAACCTTTTGCAGCGGGAAGATTCACCAGATTCATTGGATGCTGAACGTAGTCTGAGTATTTTTCTCGCGCACACTGATCTTGTTGAACCTCGGGCGGTACAAATTCAGCAGTGGGAAAACCTGTCACTTGCCCCGGGCCCACATTGTGAATGTCTGCCCCGTAGCGAATAGAGGAAGTTTTATCGATCTCATTAACTTTATCCCAAAACATGGCCTCTAGAACGTTCAAATTATCGAGTTTGCCACCATTAGGCCATCGCTGCAAGTCGAACTCACGACAATGGTTTTGAAAACTTTGCCTGGTGTAGAATTTGTTCTCCTCTTTGAAACCGTAAAACCCGTTGCCAAAGATGCAGTTGTTGCAAGCCCACTTCCCCTTGGGAACGTTGTTGAGCGGAGGATCCAAGCAGAAAATATGGAAGGGTTTATCGCATGAATCGCATAAAATGGTTTTGGAGCGGTGAGAGTTCCGATGACAGATGATACAGCCCTCTTCCTCCTCCTCTTCGTCGTCGTCATCACCATCATCTGCACTATCGTCAGAGTCGTTCAACAACGATTTAGGGTAGATTTCAGTGTATATCAGTTTCGACAGCATAGAGGCGTGGTCGCCGTAGGGCCCCATTTGCCTTTGAAGAAAATCGTAGTAGGGCGCCAGGAACGTGTGGAAAGTATCACTTAGCTCGTCTGCTGGAATCCCCAGCGTTTTGGAGACGTCTTTCCAGAGAGTGGGATGATTGTGAATTTCGGCCAAGGGCGCCAGAATGATTTTGGATGTGCTCTTTGACGTCGTCGTATTGGTCTCGTCGGCTCGACGAGACCTGGGTCTTTTGCGGCCAGAAAACGACATTTGAGAGCCGCCGATAGTTTCGTTCGCCTTGCTGACGCCAGCGTTGAACTGACGCATTACGGCGATGAAGAGGTCGTAAAAGTAGATCCGGCCACTGTGGGATTCTGTGTAAGGTTTTGTAAACTCGACGCACAGTTTGCGTTTCCCTTTCATGTGGAAATTATTCAGCTGCTTCATCAGGAAGAGACGGCCACGGTTGGATATATTGAGCTCGTTCAGATGCTGCAGTCTTGCCCGGAATTTGAATTTGGTCTCATCGATCGACAACGGCGGTTTAAACTGCTGTGGAGGAACCAGCTTGACCATCCCATAAAGATGACCTAACCGACGCACATTTGGCTGCGATAAAAACCCAATGGGGTCCTCCATCTCGCCCGGCGTCAGTCGCAACACCGGGATATGTTCTAATTCGACCATTGCAAACGGACACAAGAATCGTGCGTGCGATACCTATGCTGAGGATACTTATAAAGAGAAAGAAAGAAGTAGTCAATGTACAACTAAGTAGCTAAGTATTATAGGTATTTTTTTTCTTGGAAAATACGCTGTCTTTTGAGTATTTCTATCAGGTTGGTATCATTTTCCATCTAGTTTGTCATTTGTACATACTACTACTTCTACCACGAAGAGTATTGTGAAAGCAGTATATATGAATAAGGCTAATATAAGACCGGAAATGGGCTTTGAGGATCACGAGACGTAGGCGGGGGAGGAGCCTTTTTTAGGTCTGGGTGTCAGATCACGTGAAATAATATGCGGGTCCCGTGAACAGTGACTATAAGATCTGCTTGTTTTCCAAAAAAAATGGGTCCCGTCGATGGTGATATAAATGTTACTTTCCGCTTACCTAACCATGAAATCCAAAAAATGGATCCCATTCGTCAATGATGATAGAAAAGATCCGACGAGTACGATAAAGAACGACAAGTATCGCTAAGAGTACATTTTCACAACCACACACAAGGCAGCACTAGACCGACTTCATTGACCGTAGTTCTTGCAGCTGGTAGACCCAATTTTTGGCCTCAGTGGTAAAAGTATAACTAGAAGGGTTTTAGAAACCGAGTCCCGACGTCTGACGCGTAGGGGGAATGCTTAGACGATCCACGTGATCTTCTCGCTGTGACGTACCCGACTTTCACGTGACACAAACGATTATGGAAAATTATAACGAAAAATCACTGATTTCTTGGGTTCGGGAAAAAGTGCACTTTTTCCCGATATCAGAATAGTGTAATTATATATAACCTTCCATACATACAACTTGTGAATATCTCGGTATATAAAAACGTAGATGTATAAACGTAGAGCCATCTCTCACTGATCCATCACCAATTGAGCAAGTCCTCTTCATATCCCACACACTCCCACAATGAGCTACACTTTGACGATTTTGGGCTGCGGTGTAATGGGCCAGGCTCTTTTGTCTGCCATCTACAATGCACCAGCTGCGACCGACGAGACCAAAAGTCTGTATCCCTCCAAGATCATCACCTGCAACCATAACCAGGAGTCGACCAACGAGGTGAAATCGCTTTTGAAGAGTTTCGGTGCCAGTCCCAACGGCATCGAGGTCGAGTGCACTTTCGACGACAACGAGAGGGCCGTGAACGAGGCCAGTGTGGTTCTACTGGCCACCAAACCATTTTTGGCTCAGCAGGTGCTCAGCAGCGTCAACGCCAAGGCCAAGCTGCTCATCTCGCTTGTCGCAGGCTGGACCATCGAGCAATTGGGAGAGCACTCCGACTTCGTTACCAGAATCATGACCAACACGCCCGCCAAGTTCGGCTACGGGATGGCCGTTTTGTCGCACTCCTCGAGCGTTTCGGCCCACAACAAGGCCCTGGTCAAGGAATTGGTCGGCCGTGTCGGAAGCTGCATCGAGCTTCCCGAGAAGAACATGGACGCCGCGACCGCTCTGGTCGGCTCAGGTCCCGCTTTCGCCTTGCTCATGATCGAGTCTCTTATGGAAAGTGGTGTGAAAATGGGTATTCCTTTGAAGGAAAGCAGAGAGTGTGCCATCAAGGTTTTGGAAGGTACCGCCAAAATGGTCGAAAAGACTGGCGAGCACCCAAGTGTTCTCAAGCACCAAGTGTGCACTCCAGGTGGCACTACCATTGCTGGTTTGTGTGTAATGGAAGAGAAAGGTGTCAGAAGCGGAATCATCAAGGGTGTCGAAGAGGCTGCTGCCGTCGCTTCCCGTTTGGGCAAGAAATAAGATTTCTCATCCCAGAACTGAAAATGGAAATGCACAGACATTTTTTTGTAAATTAATCTGAAGCAAGCACGACCAAGGTTGAGCCCTATCATCAGCGATTTGAGCGCTAATTAAAACTAATGTCGAGGGTAGTAATTTATTTTTTAACGGGTTTTAATCGCACACCCAGCACAGTCAATTATAGCAAATATTCTAAAATCGCCCGTTCTTTATAGAATTATTGTAATTCATCGATGAGAAAGCTTCAAAGTTGTCGATTTGACGCCGTCGTTGTACATTGGCTACTGTATCGTTTCAACCCTACCTGACGTTAAATTAAAAAGGCTCAGGCTAATGTCACCTCGTACTAAACATTCATCAGCTCTGAAGAAAAGTCCAGTAATGTAATGTCAGAATAAGATCTTCGCACTTGGATGACGTGTTGAACCACATTTTTCACAGCGTCAAACTCTACATCCAGACAAACCACTGTAATGGCAGTTTTGTCGTCTGTTAACGTCACCTTTTTCAGGGTCGGCTTTTTGTCATTCTTAGCATTTGCATGTCTAAAAGACGTGAACATCATTCTGACGAATCCATCGATTTTAATGTTCACCCAGGCCTTGAATCTTCCTGTTCTTACCATGTCCTCCTATAGTGCCCAATTGGGGCTTTTTGCCGCTGTTTTCAGCTTGATGGCTATACAGGACCTCGTGCCGCTACTTGAGCAGAACACACAGTTCTTCGAATCGGTTGTACCAATTAGATTGTTTTTCTTCTTTTTGCTTACCGCTTACGCATACTGCCGTGCAGGAAACCTATTCCTCCACAACAACGCCGTTATCATCTACGGTGGGTGCGAAGTTTGGATCAATTTTCTAATTTTTAGTGCTGTTCGGGACGAAAAGAACGAGAGATTTAAACTCTCCAACAGGGTGACCCTCGAAGACGAACCTGAGTTCCTGGAGCCATTGACTGAGCTAGAAGCGTCAGAGATGGCGGCACAGGTCGAGGAGTCCAATTCTTCCGAAGAAGAATAAAGTGCTCTTCACGTATATATTCCTGGCATTACTCTAAGATCTCAGCTCACTATACATCATTCATGCATACACACCCACACTTCGTTTACAAAAGGCGTGATCAATCCTGCGCCTTACTATCCGTAACGTACTCACTTACAATGAAATGCAGGAAATCCTCCAATTCCTTAAAATTTGAGAATTTAGTATCGAATACCGTGACGTTCGAAGCATCATCAAACTTTACACTTGTGGTAGCGTTGCAGTAGTTGGAGCTTTCTAAACCAAACTCGATTCTTCCTGAAGAGGGTAGTTGAACCTTGAGCTCTGTTCGCGGCAGTTGCAAAATCCTGTCAAAAAGCCCAATTTCTTCATCGAGCTTGGTGATGTGCTTGTCATAAACATCACCATCGGCACCTTTGCTAGATGAACGACGCGTTGAAGGAAGCTGGGTCACAGTTGAGTTGTCAACAACATCTAAAATGTAGGCCTTAATGACCTTCTGTAGCAAGCTCAGGTAATTCTCATGTCTAAACTTGCCTATTATGGGGCGCAACAACAGCGCCTCACTATCAAATGTGCGGGAGGGCTTTTGTGGTGCAGCCATGAGAAGCTCCTTCTTTATCTGCTTTTTGAACATAGTAACCAATAGCATTCGAAGCATCACCAGAACTAGGGATGCTTTTTTATCATTAGTCTTTGGTGCATCTTGTTGATGATTCATAATTACCTCGTCTGTCAGGCTCATCATTTCAAACTCCATCTTTTCCGTCGGGAATTCGACTGTAATTTTGTTCTCGTTTTCAATCGTTACACCATAAGATATCAAACTCTCAGATTCCTTCTTCAAATGAAACATGAGCTCTTTCTCGAAGATCAAAAACTGTAGCTTGGAAATTTGACGGCGAATATCATGTTCATCGCTTGTGTTTGAGTTGAGAACCAACAAGTCATCGAGGGCGGTCTCTCCGCTCAAGATGTAGTCATCTTCTTCTTTCATTCTAGTAAATATGCGCACACGCATGAATTTCTCGGCGATACCCTTTTTCATGGATTGAACTTGCTGCTTTCCCGATGGTATCGCCTCTAGTGAGTCCTTAATGGAGTTGTATTTTAGTATTGCAATCCCACGTTCTTGCGTGTAGGTCGAGCCTGAGTCTTCATAGCCGTACTTCAACCCTAGTGACTTTTCTCCTGTTTCCTGGTCCCTCATCTTGAAAATGACATCCTTCTTGGATGTGTGACGCGAAACCTTAGACCAGTAGTTTTGCTCTTTCATCAGACTAGCTTCCAACGCTCGGTGCGTATCCTTCAACAATAGTCGAGATTCCTCTAAACTTCTAAGCTTCCATCCCCTGGTCACTAGGCCCTTTTCGATGGCTTCAGATTCTTTGGGCTTTTCAAATGGAATCTTTTCAGCATTCAGCGATGCCGCTGGAACAGTTTTCTTGAGAAATGGCGACATGGACGCGCTGGCCGCCGAGGGACGTACGGACGATAATAACAAGGACACGAACTCGAGTGCTAGCGAGGACTCGTTGAGCGAGAGATTTAGAGACTGCACAGTAGAAGCTCTCAATTGCTGGAACTGTTCTTGAGTCATTTGTTTCTCTTCCTCTTTTGCCAAGGGTTCTTCAATTTGCTGGGGTTTTAGTGCCTCCTCATCTAAATTCTCCACAAAAGCGCTATTATCTACATTGGCATTATCATCCAAGCTCTTTTGTTGCTCAACACTTCCGGTTTCCTTCGCAATCTCATCGAGGAGGACGTCTTCCGAGAGATCAGCAAATTTACTACCAGCACCACGGCTTTGCAAAATGATTGGAATCAGTTGATCTAGAGGCATGCCTCCAAATAGCTCATATGGATTGCTGATCAACGATTGACCTTTAAGAGGAGCATCTTGGATACCGTTCTGAGTTTTGTCACTATCGTCTGGCTCATTATTAGATGGCGAAACGGTAGAAGGAATTGGCCTTATAAAATTGGGATCAATAGCCAACGGTATCCTTCTGTTGCCATCACTCCTAAGATCTGATGATTGATGAGAGGAACTGTCTGTCATTGGAAGAGTGATCTGCGCTAGTTGAACTTTTGGTCAAAGTCCGTTTCTCAAAAGCATACTGATTTTTCGATATTCGTTATTTACTTGCTAGATGAATTTATTGTTGTCAAAATCTAAAATCCAGTAGTGAAAGCTATTGCATCAATCAAGGTGTCATTAGAGCAGTATACAAACCTACTTGCTAAATAAATGCAACAGCGATTTATGAGGGTCAGCTTGATCGATTCAGTAGAAGTCACCTAAATCGCCCAGATCGTCCTCGTCCAAATCTGCGAGGTCAATCATTTCTTCTGCTTGATCAAAGTTGGCAGAGGACTTATTCTTGTTTTTACTGCTACCATCGTCGGGGTACCTCATAGCTTTAACACACTCATCGTGCAATTGATTGACAAATTTAATTCTCTCGTCAAACAACTGTTGCGGTTGCTCGGTGGCATATACGTTTAGGAGCTCGCTACTTTCGATGAAGCCCTTCTCATGATTTATTTTGGCTTCTATAACACCATCTCTAATGGCCCTTGACACCATGTATTCCACCGTCTGCTCTGAATCCAGGCGCAGCTTCAGACATATGTCCTTGAGAGAGATTCTCTTGTAAGTGAGTGATATTATTCTTATCCCCGTTTTGATAACGCTTGATCTCAAACAGACACACAGCTGGTAGTTTCCATCGTTGAGGAGCTCCCTCTTGTAAGTCGAAATGGCAGATGTGAATTTGTTCAAATCACCCAATTTGACGGCCTTGGACAAGTGATAGTAGGGAAGCAGAGATCTTTCCATGTTTTTTTGCTTGAAGAACGATAACTCAGGAATGTCACCCATCAAGAGTTCGATGACACAATGCAGCTTATTGGCCTGTTGTAAAAATCCCAGACTTTTATTGGTACTTGGGGCTTTGCGGATCGCAGCAATCACATAGTCATTGGCTGACGAGTAGTCCAGTTGAATGGCATTCAACTTAGATAGATAAAAGTAATAACGAGCCTCTAGCGGACTCGATACGTCGTTAGAGCTTGGGAATTCCACCTTGGAAATAAAATCGGCAGCCGTATCGACCTCACCAGTTTGCAAAAAGCTTCTCAAAATGAAAGTGATAAGCGTAGCCCTGGTCTCATTGTCGTGTTTGAGGGTTGCCGTCTTTAGAAACTTGACCATCTCGGCTCTGATGGATGTGTCGAAGCTGTTTCCTACGATCTCGCGGGCCCTGCAAATGTAAAACCATAGCTTTGAGTTTATGAGATCCAACGTTCTTTCGTCGTAGAATTGCAAAACCTTGGGCAGAACCACCTGGGAATTGAACGAGTCGAGAGCATCAACTTGTTGTGAGTCAAGCAGGAATAACTGTACCATGAGGTGGACGAAACTGTTTAACTCAGCCGATACGTCCACCGAGTTGCTACCACCAGCAAGCTGGTAAAACGCAGCAGGAAATTTCTGGCGTTCTTCATCAGCATTTTCCACCCTACTTTTCTGGTTTTGGTTGATATATTTCAAAAGTGGTATTTTGAACGTAGATTCCTCTGGATATAGAAGGTTGATCACAATTGACAGCGATGATTTGTCCAAACTTGGTCTCAAAACACTCAGCTTTTTTGCAGCTTTCCACAAAAAACGAGAGTCCAAAGTAGTTGTACTCTTTGAAACCTCTTTTAAAAGCTCAAAAATCTGGTCCACGACTGTCTGATCTTGTTCTTTCTGCTCCGCGCTAGGCGCACTATCTATTTCCATCTTATCAGAAGTCATTGCCCCTACGGTATCGACACTGAGCCGGAGTTCGCTTTACAGGATTGTATATTGTGGGAGAGTTATCACCTAGAGTTCCTCTACGGGTGGCAAATGTTTTTAAGGTAAGTTAAGAGGTCACGAGTACAAAAGTACTCGTGGATCCGATTCATGAATCGATGTGAGCTACACCAGCTTGAACACGGTTGGTGTCAGATATGGAGACGGCGTAGTTCAGAGCTAATCTTGGATTATCCTTGGATGTCAATTGTCTGAATTTTGATGGTTATTTTTAACCCATTAAAATTATTTGATGTAAGTACATCTCGTAAGAATGTTAATGTACATTGATGCTGATTAGCTGTGGTTGTTGGTGACAAAGAGACCAGGCCTGAAGAATGGACTCAATTTCTGTCTATTATACAAAAAGTGAAGCTTCAACTGTGATTTCAAGAACTACTGTCCTTTAAGAACCTAAAGCAGCTCAACCTTGGAGACCTTCAGAAGTTTAAGTTTATTTCATGTTCCAAATCTGATCCATATTTTTTAAATGAGCGTATGAAACTTCCCAGGAAAGTACCCGACACTACCTTGATTCTTGATCTTTATTTACCTTCATCCTGCTTGGCATCTCCGATCTCTTTCTTACTTATTAGACGACAGCGAGCGTATCACTTTGTACTATTTTGTCACCACATTGTAAAGCTCAACTATCTCAGTGCCGGATGTCGTTCAGGGGAGCACAAGTCTACTTGAAATATCAGATCAATGTTTTCTGACTATCAGCTAAAAAATCCTCAAATCCTTCATTCATTGAAAACAGCAGTTGCAAATTAATTTATTTATTTTCATTCCTTTTCACTGAGAATACCAAATTCTAAGTCCCCATCACCGTATCGTAACAATCCTCCCGTTAATGGAAATTAGTCCCTGTGGCCTCTCGGGCCTTTTGAGCGACATCGAAGCTGACGCGAAATTATTTTGACCTTCAGAAATAGTACTAGAAAGACGCTCGATAAATGACCTTCGAACGGCAGTCGCTGCATAAATATCAAAACATATCAGGATAATTACAACTGCCAGTCATTGGCATGAACTCTCACAGTCAACTGCCGTTGACCAGATTTACTGACTTAGAATTGGCTCCCATAGGTATCGTACCACATGATCCAACGGCTAAATTGAAATTATGACAGTTTATTATAATAGATGTCAAGGACCCCACATTATAACTTTCGAACATCACAACTTGTTCTTCAAGATCGTTCCACTGACCTCGAACTGTTTTCTCTCAGTCCAAAAAGTGTAACGTTTCCTCAGAGAGGCAAATACAAAAAAACTCGGCACAGTTTCAGCGTCGTTATTGTAAACTTATAACAAGTATCGTTCAATGGTCAAGGGAGAATTCTCGTTGAGTGGAGAACCAGTGGACATTACCCAGAGGTTGATTCACCGATACTATGACGCACTTTGGGCTGCCAAAAATGACAGAGATTTGAGTTTGAGTTCAGAACGGGATGAAAAAGGTAACAAAAGTAGCGAAAGCAACGACAGCAACGGCGATGAGCCCTCTGAGGGTCCATTCCGAAAACTGGCTTCTATTGTCAAAAGACTATTTAGTCGAGACTATGAACGTAATGTGCTCATCGAAAAGGTCACCCAGGAAAAGCAACACGCAACCTCGTACGAAGAATGGGTCGCAGCTGCGTTGAGACTAGACGAGCTGACGCGCACTAACGAGTGGAAAGCACGAGAAGAAACTGCCCTTTACGACTACAAACTCATCCAAACTCATACCGAAAACATGCGCCAGGCCCGTCAGGACAGGGACTACGCCCAATTACTGTATCTTATACGAACGACCTGGATTAGAAACTTGGGAAATATGGGCAACGTCAACCTGTACAGACACTCTCACGTCGGAACAAAGTATGTGATAGACGAATACATGCGCGAATCAAAACTTGCTCTTCAAGAACTGGTGCGACACTCCGACCTGGATGAAAGCTACCTCCTGGGCATGCTCGTTCAAACTCGTAAAAATATTGGCAGAACCGCCCTTGTTTTAAGCGGGGGTGGAACCTTTGGTCTTTTCCATATTGGGGTTCTAGCGACTCTACTAGAACAGGATCTGTTACCACGGGTCATAAGCGGCAGTAGCGCCGGCGCTATTGTTGCAAGCATTTTGTGTTCTTGCCACAGAAGGGAGATTGTAGGGCTTGTCGAAAGTGTTCTAGAAAAAGAACTCAACATCTTTCAAGACGATTCTGAGAAGACTCAAGGTGAGAATCTCCTCATCAAGATTTCAAGATTTTTCAAAAGTGGTACCTGGTTCGATAATAAGAACTTGGTCAAAACTATGATTGATTTTCTCGGCGATTTGACCTTCAGAGAGGCGTATAATAGGACGGGGAAAATTCTCAATGTTACGGTGTCACCAGCTTCTGTATTCGAGCAACCGGGCTTGCTGAACAATTTGACGGCCCCCAACGTTTTGATTTGGTCTGCTGTCTGCGCATCATGCTCTTTGCCAGGTATATTCCCTTCGACGCCGCTGTATGAAAAAGACTCAAAAACCGGGGAAACAAGGGAGTGGAATAGCAGTACCGTAAAATTCGTGGATGGCTCTGTGGATAACGATTTGCCAATTTCCAGATTGTCAGAAATGTTCAACGTTGATCATATCATTGCTTGCCAAGTCAATCTGCACGTTTTTCCCATTTTGAAGATATCAGTTTCTTGCGTAGGTGGAGAAATCGAGGACGAGTTTAGTGCTCGATTCAGGCAAAATTTATCATCAGTGTACAATTTTGTCTCCAATGAGATTATTCATGTTCTTGAGATCGTAACAGAGCTTGGTATTGCAACCAATGTTCTCACTAAGTTCAGATCCATCCTGTCCCAGCAATACTCCGGCGACATTACTATTTTGCCTGACATCAAGATGCTGTTTCGGTTGAACGAATTGTTAGCAAACCCTTCGACTGACTTTCTTTTAAGAGAAACAGTGAACGGTGCTAGAGCCACTTGGCCTAAAATATCCATTATAAAGAACCACTGCGAGCAAGAATTCGAGCTCGACAAAGCAATTTCATATTTGAAGGGTAAAATCATATCAAATCCTTCTTTCACGACCAAAAATCCTTTCCAATTCACAGATCTTTCGATATCACTTATCAACACACCTGAAATGCCTACTTATGACGGTCAGGTCCCCAATGATCTAGATGACACCATTTTAAACCCTCACGCAACCGACAGGATGTTAGTCATAGATGATACGTCCAAGAGACCGCATTCCTATGGCAAGACAAGTATTTCAATCGCAGACCCAGGCAAAGCTATGCATCATCACCGCCGCAAATCTGATTCATATGCGAAAGGAAAAAGTAGTACTCGCTACAGCATATCCCACCCAAGTGCCGCAACCTCACACATTTCGACGAAACTGCTACCAACTTTAATGGGCTACAGTCCTCGAATGGACAGGAAAAAGAGTGTTGGACAACTTCCATTTGGCTCTAACGCCAACAGACCACTAGACAACAACCCCAGGCTAGAAACAAAGAGGCACAGCAGTAGCTTCACCGCGCTCCACGGTCCCAGAAACACGAACATATATTCTTCTATTCGAACAAATCCACCATCACCCCTTTCGGTCCCCATTAACACGAACCCTGAAGATACGTCGCGGAAGGGCTCCTTCTCGTCCTATGAATCACCGCTCAAATCGTATTATAAGCGAGGCACCAAACCGCATAAGGGAAGAGCTCCAGTCTCTAATCGCTCCAATTCCACGGGTACAACTAAAACAAAAACTTCTAGCAAGGTCAAGGCGGGCTCAAAACCTGAACTGAAGACAATCTCATACGTGGACGACGACTCCATAGACCCGGTTCAAACGGTAAGCAATGAAGATGCAGATAAGGAAAGTAGCTGAAGAACTAATTCAATCTATCTATCTATGTCGTCGGTTTGAAATATGTCAATTACCCACTTACCAGAGAATTAGCTCCATAAACTCTCCAAGCCAATTTTTCGTAGGAGCACGACAAATCTTTCACCATGCTGCTCTGTTTCAAAGCATTTGCCGTGCTTTCCATTATTGAGGGGCAGCCGTCAATTTCAAGCTTGTCGAGAACAACGAATTCATCTCTTAAAGCTCTTAAGAGCTCATAAATGGAAACGCCAGTCAATGACATGTTGAATGACAAGTCCAATTTTCTAAGCTTTTTGACGTATTTGACGTTCTGGGAAAAGAGCTTCAGACAGTGATCATCAAGTCCCACAGACTGGGGTAGTAAAAGTTCTTCGATATGAGGGATAGATTGAAGTAGCCGCTTTATGTCCATATACCCATTATCATTACCTCTCTGAAAATGAATGTAAGGACAATCACCAATGTTGAGCTTTTCCAGTTTATCAAACGCAAAAAGTGAAAGAATAGAAAGCAGTCCAAGGGCCCCGATTGAAGTGCTCATCAAGTCGAGGTGCTCTAAGGTGTTCACGTTTCCAATCAAAATGGTATTCTCCATAAGCTGTGGATACTGTCGTAGGTTTAAAGCCTGGTTAGCAATCCTGTGCTCACGAAACGTCAATTTCTTGAGTAGTGGGAATACCGGTACGTAGATGAGAGCACGTACAAAGTCTTCCAAGTATGCATTTTTGTTGTTTTCGAGCCATAATTCCTTAAGATTCTTGACATGACATAGCCAATCGAATTTCATCGTGACATCAAATGTAGCCCCGCAAATGTAGAGTTTCTCTAGTCTCTGGAAAGAATCTGAAAGAAGAAGGGACTTTAAGGGGAAGAAGGGTGACATCTTTCTTAGATCACAGATCAATTTGAAAGATTTAAGCTTCTGCAAGCTTAGGCTTTCGTTAGCAATTGTACCTTTTGGAATATTAATAGAGCCTTTGTTCGCTGTCGAACTTAGAAATACAAGGTCCAAATGGCGAACATTACTGACCGAACTGACGAAAAGATGATCTAAAAATCCTGAAGCGCTGCCCCGATAGTCGCAACTTAAGCTGAGCCCTTCCAAGCTTGTAGCTAGGGGCAAATTCTTTGAGAGAGCTAGCGTCAACTGTTCGAAGTCCGTGGTTTTGCTGTGCAGCATCAGGGTCTTTACCCGAGGCTCTAAATTCTGGATTAACGTGGTCAATGATCGCGACTCAACCGACAATGCCGAGCTCGAAAACCTGAGTGAATCTATTCGCGATCCCATCTGGTCACGATAGATCTTGTTTACGAAATTTTGGAATGCGACGATTGCTCGATGATTGCACGAGCTTATGTCAAACCGGCTGAACACTTCTGGCAACATACATATGCGAGCCAACCAAACTTTACAAACCATCAGGCATCTCACCAGCTGCTTGGTTTCTAATTTTGATAGAATTACCTTTAGAATTTCCAATGGGCATTGTCCCACGATGTCCAACTTGCCCCGCACCAAGTGAACTTTTGTAAATTTGACTGCTGGCGAATTCGAAGCCTCTTTCGGTGGTTGGACATAAACTCTTTTCGTCTTCGGTAAGCTTACCTGTGGCTTTATTCTGCTGTTGATCAGGGATATTTGATATTTCACCAGATCCACTAGCTTTGTAGAGGAATCCAAATGCCATCTATTTTCCATTTCTTTCATTTTTCGCAGCCCTTCGTGGTAGTTTTCAAGAGCTTCTTGATGACTTCCAAGCTTTTGCAGTATCTTACCGCGTCTTAGATAGCATTTTAAGTTGAAAGGCTCAAATCTAATACATCTTTGAGAATCTTTCAACGCTTTTTGTAGATCACCCATTTTCTCCCAAGCAGCGGCTCTATTGTCCAATAATTTCACAAGCCGCGGATGTACCAAGTCCCCCATTCCTGGAAGAGGTCTCGAGCTCAATCCATGCGATGTACGTATCTTCTCCAAGCTACTTTCGTCATAAGAAAGAGCCAGCTTTAGTGCCTTGGTAAACAAGCTTTGAGCATTCTTAAAATCCTCATTTTTGAAATACAATGTTCCTAATTCCAAAGCTTTCTCTATAGTGTCTTCATCGCTCATCGCAAGCTCTCAAACTTTCGTTACGGATGTTCGTGTCGTTTACTTGACCTTAAACATTAATTAGAGTCTGTCAAAAAGCTCATCTAACTAGTACTATTTCACCAGAACGAATAAAACCAATCAAGAGAGAGCTAGATTCAGTTCAACTATATAAATGGCAGTGCAGATTTTAGAAATCTTCATAACCAGTTTCCTGTTTCTCACCGTTGTTTTCGCAATTGGTTGCGTGCCCATATACTATGTGAAGAATAGGGAATCTTCAGAGGAACAATTATACTTGGGCATGGTATCACTTTTTGGAATTGGAATGCTGCTTGGAACTGCAATTATGCTAGTAATTCCAGAGGGAATAGATGCGTGTCTTGAGCACGATGGAAATGTGGGAATCAACCTGTTGATCGGGTTTTTGGTGGTATATTTCTTGGACCAAGTGGCGTCTGCGCTGGGAAACCCTACACATCAGCGTTGGTCTTCATTTTCGGAAGATTCCAGGCTGGAATCTACAGGTGTGAGAGATTTGTTCAGTCCCCGGAAAGTCATTTCACTGGTTTTGAAGAATCAGGTAGTGTTTGCGCTCGTGGTCCACGGGTTTTCTGATGGCTTGGCAATGGGAGCCTCGACTAACAACGTTTCTGTGAAAGTGGCAACTTTGATTGCCATAGTAATTCACAAAATTCCTGCGGTGATCTCGTTGAGCAGCTTAATGGTCACGAAACAAAACCTGCCCACTTTAGAGGCGGTCTCGAATTTGCTGGTCTTTTCTGCCTCCACACCATTTGCATATTTCTTCGTTTCGCTCATCAACATGCGAAACTGGGGCCCATTAGAATGGATTAGTGGCAATATTCTGCTAATGAGTGGCGGCAGTTTGTTGTACGCGGCGGTGTCAGCTTTACTTGGTAATCATAAACACCACGCGAATCAACCGCTTGAGGATGCGGAGCTTGCACCTGGCTTTAATGCAGGTTCCACATCGTTTGAAAACTTTCCAAAAGACATGACTCCCTTCGAGGTAATCGAAAGTCCCAGATCGAAACCATCTGTGCCCTACGGCGAAACCATTTACGTATTAGGCGGAGTAGTGATACCCGTGGTAGTCTCTTACTTGATACGCGAGAAAAAGTAGATGCAAGTCGAGAGTGTGTCGCGGCTTACGCAGGTTTTATTCTAACCGTAAAAATATATGCTACAGAATGAGGCGACATCATGAGTATGACGATGGGTTTTGTATTTGTAAGTTTAGGATGCTCAGAGTTCTTCACTAACGCTTGCGGCCCAAAGCTTTCCTCTTGAGCCACTTGTCCTTTTTGTTCAGCACCGTGTTGTCCTTTTGAGGTGCCAACGTCTTAACGGTGCTCATTGACGCCAGAAGTCTCACCTTGACCGGACCGCGCTTCACCGTCGTTTTCCGCAGCTGGCGCAAAGTTTTCTTTTTCTGTTTTTGAAGCTCTTCTCTGATCTCGGCGGAATAGTTCTCGTCATCTAAGTCATTGAAGTTCACATGTGTTGGTTTGGTGGTTATTTGGCCAGCGTCTTGTTGGTCTAGATTGTCAAAGAAATTTTCCGGGAGTTCTTCTGGAACGGCGTCTTCGTCGTCTTCTTGTTTTTCAGCCTGTTCACGCTGCTTCAGCAGTGCTTCAAATTCCTGCATTTGTTTCTGACGTTTCAGATGCTGCTGCTCGGTGAACCTGCTGTTTTGTTTCCGTCTTTTCTCCCTCATAACTTCCTCTTCGCGCTCCGCAGCCTTTTGCCTCTCCAATTCCTGCTTTTCGACCAGGCTTTTTGAGCTTGAAAGACCCTCTTCTTCAGGTGCTTCATCCTCACTCTCTTCATCGGAGCTTCGATCTATAACATCGTTTTCTGGTATTTCAGCTGGAACATCTTTCAGAGCCTCTGCTTCCTCGTCAAACTTACGGTGCTTAGTTACACCAGCCATTATAATAAGATCCAGATGGAGTACTTGACAAAGCCAGCCTATAAGTCGGTAAACACTTCGATCTTCGATGCGTCTTGAAGCTTTAAAGATGCTCATCTCGAACCTACAAAAAACTACATGGGACTTTTTCACTGAACTTCAAGGCACGTGATGCGATGAGGACGACAGCGATTAGCATTGAATCAAAACCTTCAAGTTTAAGAACCAGTGGATGTGCTCTCGACGTGAGTTTCTGTCAGGATTGCTAGAATAGCTCAAGGATGATCTTTTGATTTTTGGGTTAGAACGTCTGAGCTTGAAGTTTTGGTAATTTTTGATTCTCAAAGCTTCGGCTCTTGAGTCTTGAAATTCATGCACTTGAGAGGAAGTTAACGATATCATTTGGATCCGGTTCTGAACTAATTCGCACCGCACTTGTTAATTTTGAATATCCAGCAGCCACCTCGTTTCGATATGAGGAAAAAGCACCGTAAAACTTTATGAGTACTGACGGTGATCAGTTTTTATACCGACACTCATTAGAGAGAGAAAAGAGCTATTCATGTTGCATTTCTGAGTTTGTGTGACTACAAGAAATATCTGCTAGTTTAAGAGGCTCAATTTTTTTGAAAAAAGGCGACATAGGCGATCTTTTTAAAATTCATGCGACCTGCTCTCACCTGGCGCGACTCGGGCAATTAATCATCCTCCCACAGCAATTCGTCCAACAAGTCAGATCAAAACAGCGTCAATTTAGGTGAAACCAACTAATTTCGATGCTCTCCGAAATCACAGAAAGTTTTGCCGAAAACAGATTGAGCTCTATCGGTGCCCAGCACGTAACATGTTGACGCTCTCAAAATCACAACATAGTACTTGGACCCCTCCCCCGTAAAAGCGGTGTAAAGGGTTGTGGCAATGATTATGAAACCAATGACACCATAGAAAACCGCTCTGTTGCTGTAATACAGTCTCCAAAGCCATGTGGTGAGAAAAGACATAGATGTTCCATTGTTTGCACCCTGTCCCGAGTTTTGAATGCCATTGTTGGTTCTCGAAGGCTCCAAAAAAGATTGACCAGGCATCTCCACGGGAGCTGAAATCGATCGTTGTGCCTGTGGATGAGCGGCAGGAGCCGATCTTGTGTCATCTAATGCAATGGAATTATAATTGGATGCCATTGGCTGGAGAGATAAAGGACTGTTCTCATCAATTGTCCAATTATCGAAAGATAATTCACCCCTCTCTAGCTTGTTCATGTCAATGTCGAGAGGCAATTCGGATATGGTAGACCCCGTTTCTAGCATTTTAGGTGGTTCATGAGTGCTGAGTAGTACAGAATCTGATACAGTGCGATGAATTGGTGGCACAGAATCTGGTGCTTCCATGACGTAAAAAAATATGATTTTCACCGAGATGCTTTGTTCTTAACTCGATCGATGACGGATTGACTATGTGTGTGCAAAAGTATAACTCGAGTGTAGACAGAAATTAGCGTCGCAGAAATACAAAAAAACGTCGCCTAATGAAGAGGTGTTTAATACACGAATAACAAGCCTACAAACTGATAGCTACGAAGTAGTGTTGTATAAAATAGACTATGAACTGTTGCCGCTGATGTTTTTTAAAACTGAGATGAACACAGAACGAGCGAAAGGAGTTGATTAGGAAGTCCAGGACCTCGACCAATTTTTTGGGTTTTCAATTTCAAGCTTTGAATGAGGTGTTCATGTGGTCGTCAATGCTATCTTGTGTAGCAAATTGCCTATGATAAGTGCTACATGCTGAATATAAATTGGCTTTTCCATTCGTGGCGATTTACGCCATTAATTCGAAAGACTAGTGGCAGACATACCGGATAACAAGGCAAACTGATGCAAGTGGACACTTAGCTAGAACGCATCTCGGACATGCTAAACTCCCACACAATTGGCTATCACTTTGTCTCTTCCTGTCGCATCGGATGTAACACAAGCTGTGTGTTTTGTCATTAATTGTGTATTTTTTACAATTGGCCTTATTTCTCTACGGCTTGAACTGGAGTGTCAGAATTTATCAATGCTGCGTCACGAAAATACTACAAGAACTACACGCAGGTTAAAATATGGGACTCATAATTTATGAAGCGGACTTTCAAGGTCTACTTTAAAGGGTGCAATGCTGCAATAAACAAAGTGTTTGAAAGATAGTGTTCAATTTCATCGGATCTAGATCAGTGAAGGAAAAATGTGTTTTAGGAGATGGTTTATTTTCCACAAAGGGTTGGCCTGATAAAACTGCAGGAAGAACAACCAGGGTTTAAAAAATGGGTGAGAAAAGCTCTTGAGATAGGGACCCGTATCACTAGATATAAGAAAGAGGTGTCTCCCTGAACCTCGATTGATTGTTATCTCGACTCTGCGTAGTGCGCAGCGTTTGAAGCGGGATCATGTAGCATGTGACTTTAGTGACAGATTTTGTAAAACGCGCATTGACGAGTCTCAGAGAGAAGCGAACAGAAACCAATTCCAAGAGACTAGACCAATAGAGGTGAGTTGATGCGGTGTTGCATTTCTGGTCGACCTCCCGTTTTTTTAAGTAAAACGGTGTCTGTTGGTGCTTCATAGCGGAATAAAAATTATTCACACCCACAGGGCGAAACACAGGTGTATAAACAACTTGAAGAAGGTGAAAATGCAATACCATGAACAATGGCACTCACACGGAGAGCCCTTTATTTCTCAAAGAAAAAAAAGCCGCTTTCAACACCACATTACTGCTTTATTATATGTTGAGACTTCGCATATGTCACTCACTCTAAACGAATCAGTATCAGTATCAGTCATTTACCACGTGACCAATTTAATTTACACTTTGCCTAGGACACATCACTGTACACGAATGTGTTCCGTTTCTAACTAAATTGGCCTCTGCAGGGTCCAATTTAGTACAGAGTGATATGCTACTCAGCTTGCAAGAGAAGATCGGTCGTAGGACTCCAATTCCATTTTCGTAACCGTTAATTGTATGATTTTAGTTGAATCTATCCTAAATATATGCGAGTGAGGGTGGTCCGTGGAGAGAGAGAGAGAGAGTGCGCGACACTACATGCAGCAATAGCCGCCGTCCACAATGATGTCTGTGCCGGTAGTGTAGGTGGACGCTCCGGATGCCAAGTACAAGTACGCGCCGATCAGCTCACGAGGCAGCGCCTCACGACCCATGGGCGTGAGCTTGTGCCACTTGTCCTTGAGCTCGTCCTCGGCGAAGTTGGTGATTTCCGTGGCGATGTAGCCGGGCGAAACCGTGTTGACACGGGCGAAGCCGGCCCATTCCACGGCCAGAGACTTGCACAGATGCAGAACGCCGGCCTTGGCGGCGTTGTACGCCGCCTGCATCTGGGGCACGTTGACCACGTGACCGGACATCGACGCGGTCACGATGAACGAGCCGCCCGAGTTCTGTTTTTTGAATACGGGGCCGATGGCCTTGGCGACGCGGTAGATACCGTTGAGGTCCACGTCGATCACCTTATTCCAGGCCTCGTCGCACTTGTCCTCTTGGTCCTGCTCCAAAAGGTTCAGCAACGGTCCGTCGGTCCAGGCCACACCTGCGTTGGCCACCATAATGTCGATATTGCTGTTGAAATCCCGTTGGATTTGCTCAATTGTGTTGCGCACGTCTTTCGAACTGGTGACCGAGCACTTGTACGCGCGTACGGTGACGCCGTATTTTTTTGACAGTTCTCCCACGACTTCGGTGATATGCGGGTTGGAGTTATACCACATAGCCACGTTAGCGCCGGCCTGGGCAAACGCGACGGCTACGTCATAGCCGATACCGGAAGACGCGCCGGTAACGGCCGCGAGTTTGCCCTTCAGAGAAAACATGTCCATGACGTGTTCTGGGAGCTGTGGGGCGGGTTGGGGGGTTGGCAAGTTTGTGGCGATCGTGGAAGATGACATGGGAAATGAGTGGAGGATTGACTAAGGGGCTGAGTAGAAGAATGGGTAAATAAATGGGTCAAAGAAAGAGTGGAGGAATGAGTGGAGGAATGAGTGGAAGATTAAGCAAAAATGGTATAAGTGCCAACTACAACGGCTTTATATGGTCCCTGAGAAAAAGGTTTTTTCCAATGTAGATAATAGCAAAGTGAGGGGCGTAAAGAAAGATTGCGATGAAGTATGGGGTTCTCGAGCAATTGGAACAAAGAGAGAGCAACGTAAGAACTCGAATGGCCATAAGCACAGTTGAACAATTGAGGGCGTTATTGAGGGCGTCAGCGATCGACTGTGGAAGAAGAGAGAACTCGAGGCAGAACAAACTGGAGAACTTGAAGTCCAGTTGAACAACTGAAAGCTTCGGCGATCAATTGTGAAAACGCAGAGAACTCGTAGTACTGCACTCGGTGGTGAATGGATAGAAATCTTGTATTATAGTTGAACAACTGAGAGCTATAGCGAGAAATTGTGAAAAACAAGAAAACTCGTAGTACTGCTCTCGATTGCGAACACTTAGGGTGGCTACAAGGACTGGAACAAATGAGGCGTCAATATTCGAAGCACCACTGAACAATCAAAAGCGTCAACGATTAGCTGAGAATAAGTAGAGATCTCGTGGTACAATTGAGAGTGTCAGCAATCAATTGTGAATAAACAGAGAGCTCTAATTAACATTAAACAATTAACAGAATCGTCTATTGGTAGTGATATAAATTGAGAGCTCTTAGTATCGCTCAACAATCAAAAGCGCCGGGCTACAAGCTACTGAACAATTGGAAGCCTTCTTCGCAGCGTAAGCAATCAAGAAAACAGCCCTGACGCTCTCAAATAATCAGGGCGACTTCTAGCAAGCAGAAAAACTCTTAAAACCATCGATATTCAATTGCATCATTGATCAATAATAGAATACATACAACTTCTAGCATCATTTTACTTTTGAACTGTCGGTTGCTGGCACTCCAGTGTGAACAATAAAGCTCTTTTATTACTATTCATTAATTATTAGTGTAGGAAAGTGATTACGTAAGATCGAAGATAGAACTCCGAGACCTCGAAGCACAATTCAGCAACTGAGAGCGTCAGCGAGCAGTTGTGAATAAGTCGCGGGTTTGTGGTAAAATTGAACAATTGAGATCGTAAGCGAACAATTGTGAATAAGCAGGATGACTATAAGCACAATTTAGCAAGGGCTATCGCTTACGCTCTCAGTTGTGAATAAATATAGGATTCTTGGTATTACTTCAAAAACGAGAGAAAAATACAGGCACTATTAATAATTTAAAAGCGTTAGCTATAAGTTGTAAATAAAAGAGGGTTCCAAACACCATTGGAGGATTATAGGTATTATCAAACAATTGAGAGAGGGCTACAACCACCATTGAACAATCGAAAGTGTTAGCGATCAATTAAAAATAGAGACCACAAACAGATCGTCAGTGATCAATTGTGAATATGGGACGTTACAAGCACTATGGAACAATTGTGCTTGGAATTCGTGTCTACAAGCATCTTGAAACAATCGTGAATAGAGCTAGTGGCTGCAAGCACTGCTAATAAGCACGTTTGAGATCGCCAGCAATCGAACTCGAAGCACTTTAAATCAGTTGAGTGAGTCAGCGATAGGATGACTTCCAGCTTTATTAAACAGTTGAGAGCTTCAGTGGGTAGTATTATTGACAAGTCGTGCACGAGTACTCTCGCGAGTACTAAAACAACTGAGCGTGTCTGCCTTCAGTGTGAAAAGCTCGTGGCTCTTTTGGACAGTTGAGAGCGCCAATAATCATTTTTGAACTTACTAGAATGACTTTTAGCTTCATTTATCAACCGTGAACAATCGAAACTCTGGTAGTGCAATTTGGCAGGTCCCAGGTCGAGCACTTTCGCGAGTACGGTACAAGCGTCACCGATTTACTGAAAATGGGTTCTGAACTTTTAGTAATGCACTCCAGACGCTTTAAGTTTAGTCGCCACAGCTCTCAAATATGAACACACATGACACTCCTTGTGGAATCAAATATTTTGGCGTCAGCGGTCAGTGGTGGGCAATTCAAGACACGTAAAAAAGTGTTGTCCTAAGCCAGTTCAAAGATGGCGATAGCTTTGGCACTAGCGAGACCGCCAGCGTTTCGTAACTATGATCGCGATATGCACAATTGAATAACGGAGAGAGTTGATAAATGCGATCACAGAACAACGTTAGGAATGCCTCAAGCACCGTACACAAGAGTTAGCGATACCTCTACAACTCTGAAGACTAGCTCTTTAATTACTATCTATTCTAGTATAATCATCTTGACTAACTTTCGATTAAATCTAAGCAGCTTCTAGAGGTTCGGACAAACGCCTCTAGAAGCTCTCAATCGTAAACAAGAGGGGTCATAAGGTTTTGAATTCAGCAAGAGCTCTTGCAATTGGCAAGGTTCAAAAAATGGAGAAAGTCAGCGATCATTCTCGATTACAAAAGTTCGGCCATATGCATTTATAGAACAAATTGTTTACGTCATCGAAAACGACTTCGAGCAGTATAGAACAGTTATAGCGTCAGTGAAATTGACCATAAATAATGTGAGTCAGCATTGTTTGCGAATGACTCACACGGTGTGCAGCACGAGCCGGGATTGAGTGACCGTTGCACAGAAATGACTTATGTCGTTCTACGCAGACCTGGCATCTGTCATTTAATCACGTGTCCGAACCAGTCATTTGAATGCCAACGACGCTTCCACTGGGACATATATTGTCAACATATTCAAATCATATCCAACCACTTGTTTAAGCCATTTATTTTATTATGCGTAGCACTGTGTGTACTATGCCACATCTTGTCTTCAACGCGATCACAACCCCGTACTTTGCAGACCACGAAAATACGAACTCAACGTGGATTCAGACACATGGTTTTTCGTCAAAGTCAAAGCTATCCACTAATTAATTTGTCCATTTTTTAGCACAGTACATGACATAGACAGCGACAGTAATGCATTGTGCTGTGGAGAACAGAAACAGGCAATTAGCTGTCGCGTTATGCGAGAGCTTTACAGCTTTATCGTCAATGCTGTCTTCACGACGTTTGTATATATGCAGCACCAATAAGGCATGCAGCATTTGCTTGAAGCCGCTAATCCGCCATGAATCCGTAACGTAAGCCTTGAATTTGGGCAACTTATATTTAGGGAATTTGTCATCGCTATAGTAATCTATCTCTGACATGTAATATCTTTTGGTGTAGTTACTCGTGTTCCAGTGACTAAGCCAGAAATATAAGCAGGAATTCAATGAAAATAATATCACTACAATTTCTTTGCTCATTACCATGATGTTTGTTTGTCGGTGGTCCTACAATCACGTTTTATTGACAGTAGTGTCAGTATTGAAAGTGCCCTTTATTTATTCGCTTTTTTGAAAGGGAAACTTTACGTAGTTCCCGCAAGGTGCAGATGATGACGTTCGTCGGGTAAGGTATTCGAATCGCAACCATTATGGGAGTTGCCAAAAATTGCCAAGGCTTCGAAACATCAAAGCGCTCTATTCATTCTCGATCGCCAGCGCTCTCCACTGTTAAGTAGTGCTTCTAATCTCTGCTACATATCACTTTGTATTATAGTGTCATGAAGAGAACTAAGTCTCCAGCATGGCCTGCGAATTTCAGCACTGCGATATCTTGGGTTTTAACCTGCAAATTACTGACTGGTGCATCAGTGTTACTCCCAACGCCTTGTTAAAGCGTCATTATTGACATAGTAGAAACAAACTACAGATCACGTGACCAAACTAAACAATTCTCACCACACATCAAAAACCCCATAACCATACACTATTACATGACTGACCATACCTGATGCTGTGTTTACCAATTTTGAAGCTCTGCTTCTCTCTCTCTCTGTCACTGTTGACTATCACAATCTATATTCAAAATGCTCTCATAACTACTCGTACATATTGACTTTTGACAGATTCAATATAGGTCAACAAGCGATTTGATTCCCTTCGAACGACATGTTTCAAACATCAACATACAGGGCCACCAATTCGTCAATGGCAGAGGCATACGAGGCCAGAGTGAGCTCTAATAGAGCTTTTAACGGTGGGCATTCTAATTTGTTTTCCAACAATGAAGACTTCGAAGACTTGGACGATGATTTTCTGGATATCTACACTATGAACCCAAGACAACGTTTGTTGCATCAGGTTCGCAAATTTCGCAACAGACTTCTGGAATGGTACAAGAAGCTGCCTTTGTGGAAAAAAATTGCAGTTGTGATTGCTGCGCTTTTGCAATTGGCACTTTCCGTTCTAGTACTAGTTTTCCACAATCGAATTTTCAAAGCCATGATTGACGCATCGAACGAGTTAAGGGCAAGGTGGTACACTCCACTAATTTTCATTTCGCTGCTTTTCCTGGTGTCATTCCCTCCGCTAATAGGCTTTTCTATGCTCTCGGTAATGGTGGGTATTATCTACGGGATCAGCTTCAAGGGCTGGATAACTCTATTCATTGGTTCCGTTGGCGGCTCCATCACCGCATTTGTTCTGTTTAAGACGCTTCTGCGGTCTCAGGCAGAAAGGCTGGTCCACACAAATGCCAAATTCGAAGCGCTGACCTCCATTTTACAAGACAACGACAGCTATTGGATGATCACTTTGATAAGGCTTTGTCCCTTTCCTTTTTCCTTCACCAATGGCGCTATTGCCGGAATATATGGTGTAACGTTGCGGAATTTTTCGCTTGGAAGTGCTCTAATGTCTCCTAAGCTCTTGATGTATTTATTTGTGGGGTCTAGGCTTAAATCTCTGGGAGAAGATGGCTCAGCATCTTCTAAGCTTTTCGACATTCTTAGCATTATCGCCACGGGACTTATCTTGGCACTAACTACTTGGATTCTATATTCCAGAGCCCGGAAGCGGTACCTTGAGTTGCAAAGAAACCAAAGCTTAGATGTTTCCTTTGAAACTGTATTCTAGCCTGAGATCGGACTTGAACTTTTTTCTAAATGAAGTGCAATTGTATAATAAAGCGAATAAACAATGTCGATCCTCTTAAAATTATTATTTCAGCTTCTTGAATATGTTCTTTCGTTTCTTTGTTACTTTCCCCTTGGTCCCTGAGGATGGAATAGCCAACGAGAGTTTCCCCATCGATGTGCCCGGCTTTTGACCATCCACCACCACCTCCTCGTCCTCAACTGCTGTAGTGGTCGTGGCCGCTTTGGCTATTTGTCTCTTGAGCATCTTCATTTTGATGTCTTCTTCAGTATTTTCTGAACCCTCAATTTCTTTCACCTTATTTTGTCGTTGCATGTTTTCGAAGGAGTCGTCAATGTAGTTAATCAGAACCTTGCCGCCCTCCACGTCAATGCCATTTCCGTCTTCGTCTGGATTTAAACCATGAATTCTAATTTTGCCAGTTTTACTCAAATGTATAACAAACTTGGTCAAAGACGGAAATTTAGTGGCATTCATGTGGATGTGATCTCGGTCTTGAATGAACTCATTATAAAATTTATTCGCCTCTATCTTCTTTTCCCCATGCGATAATCGAAGCAGCCGCAGGAAATCCTGCTCGAACTGGTTTGTGTAGTTATTTACATCCTGTGGTTTCATTCGGGCTACATTTCGCGTGTGAAAGGGAGATCTGCAATGTGCTTTGTACCCATTTTCGTCCCGACATTGTTTCTGGCAGACCTGACAATAAAATCGTAGTTTTTGAAGGCCCTTTGCCTTCATCTTCTTGTTTAAATACTTAGCGGTACCGAACTCAGCTGGTCCCATAATCTCTTTTATATACTATGTGAGGAGATCCTTTATAGAATACGTGATGGTTATATGTTTTGTCGCGAAGTCAAAGATGTGTTCTAACCACATTTAATTAATCAATTCATTCATCTTACTTTAAAGGTTTAAGGAACTATACACATCACTGACAAAAGGTGAGTTCAGGTGGTAAGATTTAGCGGCCAATGTTCAGAAACTTTTTCACATCAAGTATAAGAAAGTTTCCAAAGTTTCAGCCCAGCTTTAGGCTCTACTCGAATGGTTCACAATACCGGAGATTTAACAATCGACAATCGAAAAGCTTGAGTGAGCTGGTACTAGATCCAACGTCCAGAAAATACCTGGCACTGATGTTTGGTGGAGGATCTCTTTTTTATTTAACTCATTTAGAAGAAGCCCCAGTCAGTGGTCGGATAAGGTTTATATGGCTGCCACGTTCACTTGAACTCAAAATAGCCAATTATTCATACAATTCGATGCTTAAGCAGACTAAAGGCTCCATTTTACCCACAAACAATCCGCTGACAATCAAGGTTTCCAGAATATTCAGTCAAATAGTGGAGGCTGCTCAAAAAGACCCTACAATTGACAAACAACTTCTTGAGAATATTCAATGGCAAGTCCATATCGTGGACGATCCAAAGGCACCTCCCAATGCGTTTGTATTGCCTGGTGGCAAAGTGTTCGTGTTCAGCAGCATACTTAAAATTTGCAAAAATGATGATGGGCTCGCCACAGTGCTGTCGCATGAATTTGCTCATCAGCTAGCCAGGCACACAGCAGAAAACTTATCCAAAGCGCCAATATACTCGCTTATGGGCGCTGTTCTTTACACGATAACTGGTGCGGATGTTTTCAATCGTCTTATTTTGGACAGTTTCTTAAAAATGCCAGCTTCTCGTCAAATGGAAACCGAAGCTGACCACATAGGGCTTATGGTTATGTCTCGGGCTTGTTTTCGCCCTCAAGAAGCCGTGTCGTTATGGAATCGCATGGCTGAGTTTGAACAACGTGTGAGAGGAAACGGGAGTTTTGCTCCTGAATTTCTAAGCACCCACCCTGCCAGCAACACGAGAATTGCAAATATGCAATCTTGGATGCCGCAAGCACAAGAGCTACACTCACAGTCAAATTGCGGTACTACTAGTGGCTATTACGACAATTTTCAAAACTTATTCGGCGGGCAGTCGCGTAATGAAGGGCAACTTTTCACCTTTGGATAAATTACAGTGTCTAATTAATACCACTAAAACGGTCGCCTCCTTTTGAAACCGACTTTCGCCTTGGGCTCTTCTTTAGCGCTTTGCACTTTTCCACCAAAAGGTTCTTTTTCACATTCAACGGTCGCCATGTCTCTGTCCTTCAGGAGTTGTCGTTTTACTATTTCTTTCTTCATCAAAGCGCGCTCTATTGCCAAATCAATGCTGTCTTTTAAACTTCGAGGACTCTCATCGGCGTACAAACCTTGATCTTCCTCTTCTTCTTTTCTCCGACTAATATTGTAAAACAGCAATCCGTAGTCAATTAGCCAGAGGGGATCCACAGCAGTAACCATGTTGATATATTCATTGGTTGTAAGTAGCATTTCGTGGTAAACCACGTATGAGGGCAAATCTCCTGCACCAAAAAGTGCACTTGCTGGATGAACACGCATTTCTAGACCATTTCTCAAGTGTGCGTATTTACTTAAACCTGAAAGCCTGCCAGCTTGGTGAGCATACCCGCAGCAAATGCATTTTCTGATAACATCCCAGTCGCTACCTGACGAAACAAGAGGTACATTTTTCCTCTCCATTAAAACTGTTAGCTGCTCGCGAATGTCTTTTGCCCTCTGTAAGGATTTAAATTGCAGAAAATGGCGCCTACACCAGCTTGCAGAATAGTTATTTGCTTTCCACTGAGCGTAGACATTAAGTAAAGTGAGGTGATCTGATTCAGGCACGAAAAACCGTGCCCGTGCCTGATCTGACTCTTCCTGCCGTTCCTTTGGTCTATAGAAGATCTGGGGTACAGAAAGCATAGACACGATCGTGAGAATCTCTTCACTGCATCCACTCATGGAGGCGTTCAACAACATCTTTGATAATGGTGGTTGTAATGGAAACGCGGCCATCTGTCTGCCAAGCTTCGTCAATTCGCCGAAATTGTCAAGGGCACCGACAGTCCACAATTCAAAAAGAGAGGAGATTGTTATCTGTTCCGGTGGTGGATCGACGAAGGGAAAGGATATCAGATCGCTGAATCCCAAATACTTCAGCAGGAGCAGAGTGTTGGACAGATTCGTTCTTTGTATTTCCGGTATCGTTTGAACATACATATCGTCAAAGAAAGAGTCCTCCGTGTATAGCCGATATGCAATGCCCGGACCAGTGCGTCCCGCTCTTCCCGATCGTTGATTGGCACTAGCCATTGATATAGGCACCATTTGAAGACTGTCTAAACCAATCTGAGGATTGTATACCTTTAACTTTGAGTAGCCACAATCAATAACATACTTGATGCCGTCTACGGTCAACGAAGTTTCGGCGATGTTTGTAGCGACAACCACTTTTCGCTTATTTGGCGTCGAGTTGAAAATCCGACCTTGAACGTCCGCAGGCAAAGCAGAATAAATCGGCAAAATGTCAATATCATCGAGTTCTTCGGCCTCGGAACCTCTTGACTTTTTTTTGGCGTAAATCCCAGTGAGTTTCTCGCGTAACCCTTCGCAAGTTGCTTCAATGTCCTCTTGACCTGTCATAAAGATGAGAATGTCACCACTTGAAATGGGGAAAGAAAGGTGAATTTTACTGGCTTGAACTATTGCTGACTCAACGTAGTCACTAACAGGATGCCTAGAAAAAACCGTCTGAACTGGAAACGTCCGACCAGGGATGGTGAACAAAGGTGCAGCACCAAAAAATTGAGAGAATTTAGCCGCGTTCATAGTAGCAGATGTTATAATAAGCTTCAGGTCCCTGCGAGCTGAAAGCAAATTTTTAAAGATACCGAACAAGATGTCCGTGTTCAACGAACGCTCGTGTGCTTCATCCATTATAATACAGCTGTATTTGTCCAGCATGCTGCTCATGAGAGTTTCTCTTAAAAGTATACCGTCTGTCATGAACTTAATCCTGGTGCGATGCGAAGTTTTGTCTTCGAATCTAATGGAGTACCCTACTTCATGACCCAGCTTGACCCCCATTTCCAATGCAACTCTTGTCGCCACTGACATAGCAGCGACACGTCGAGGTTGTGTACAGCCGATGCTCTGGCCATCATTACAGTAGCCATCTTCTTTCAAGAATTGGGCCAGCTGCGTGGTTTTCCCTGAGCCTGTTTCTCCGATGACAATAACAACTTGATTATCTCTTATAATTCGAAGAAGCTCGGATTTGACCTTGTAAGCCGGAAGTAACTTTCTCGCTGCTTGAATTTGCTCGAAAGACTCTGAATGTTGAGCTTGGTCTGGGGTTTCTGGGTCACTTCTTGCAGAATCCTTCCCGGTTTCTTTAAGTCCTATAACCTGACCCATAGCTGTTCCCTTAAGCTCAGCCGTTTCTTGCATTTTTGACTTGTGCACTTCTCTATTACGTCTTTCTGCAACAAGGCGGCTGCCCTTTTTAGCATTGACGGAAAAATCACTTTCAGCATTTCGGATCGAGTCTATGACTCTGCGATCTGACGAGTTTTGGGAGGCGATAAGCCCACCAATACTGGCAAAAGCTGCAGGATCTTTCGCATATTTGAGCAGAAATGGAGGTAAAAAATCTTGTCTCTGACTTAAAGACATCGTTGACAAATGAATCTGAGAATGAGTGTCTTTGCGATTTCCCAATTTTTTTCTTGTCATAGACTTATCTCCATTTCCCCACTGTTCTTTCTCATTAATGTCTTGCGTGTCAAAAACCTCATTACCATAATCATCATCGTGGTTATACCAGTCTCTGTCTTCGTCCAGTTTTTGATCTTCAGTTGCACTATCGTCTTCAAAAGCAGAAGCATCATCTTCTTTTTCCTCGGATTTATTCGCGTCTGGAGTAGGCTGCTGAAATGCGACCATTTCAGGGATCGCCAGCTGAAGAGATTCATTGGGAGTTGAAGTGCTTGGTTCTTTGTTGGGTTCCGAGAATTCCTTCAGCCTTTGCGCTTTGTCTTTGCTCAATTTTTTGAAGTTTACTCGCCCCAAAGGTGTGACCGGCTCGTCCAATTTGGCGGAGTGTACTTGATGCTCCTCGATGGGTTCTTCATCGTCATCATCAAATTGTAAGCCTCGAGTTCCCAGTTTTCGTGGGGTGCGCGATGAATTCTTTTTATCAGCTTGACGGGAAACATTGGCATTTTGACTTAGGTCATCCGTCAAGCCTGATTGTACCATACTGCCTGCAGTAAGATCCAAGTGTAGTTGCTTTAAAAACTCATCCTGTCCTTTAAATTTGCCCAGTGCCATGCATGCACTTGCAAACTTATTCGCATCTAGATGGTGCACCTTGGCAAGATTTTCGACCGTTCTCACGAAATTTTTTGTCACATTCGATTTGGTATGTTGTTGGATCTTATCAATGAGTTCCGAGGACATTTTACGTCCTTCTGGGACTGGTCAAGGTGAGATCAAGCGGCTAAGATGTAGCTTATAAGAGTTGACATGTCAATATTAGATGGTAATTTCGTCTATGATGATATTTATCCATTCAAACACTCCAAAGCTTCAACAACGCAGCCGATTATCTAGCTTGCCTGTCCACTTAAACTATAATATCGATCTTTTTGAATAAATCAGTGGGTTTAAAAAGTCCCACCGGCTTAGCTTTAGTCGCGTTTGATATTTATGAGAGCCCAATTTATGGGAGCAACAGCATAAGGCCAAAATATATGAATGCTCATTCTCGTCAGACTCTTATTTGTGTTTGATTTCAATTATCTGAACGGTGTTCATGCTTTATTCCAAGTTCAAAGCACCACTAAGCCTTCAAAGGAGTGAGCTATCTCAAAATTGCCAAAATCATTTTGACACCTCAAGTCGATTGCCAACCAAGTGGCTAGGTATATTTCGCTCAAGATTTCCAAGCAATTGTTAACATACTGACTACATGATCTCATATTAGTATTCTCAGCGTAAATTAACGAAATATATTGTATATTTTTTGGATCGGGAAGAATATGTCCAGTGGCAATACCCAACCTTAAAGTAACCAAATTGTACGGGAATACTCCTAACAGCATATGTCGAATCAATCACTTGCACTTTTGGTCGAGTGTACTCGAACTGGTATTCTGTCATCAGGAAGTTGACCTGTCTGGTCCGTGAGAAGTGACGTAGAATATTAACACTCGAAAAAATGCTAATCAATGGAAATAGCTGGTTTTGATGACAATGCATCTGTAGCCGACTTCCAGCTGTTAAGTAGCGATGTCGTTCGTCAGACAATTGCAGACTTCTGCAAAACTCAGTAATGAAACTACCAAAGCTGTCAAAAATGCAAACTCCAAGTTCAAGAAGTTAAAATCCACACCTAACTTGTATAATCCCAAGTCATCGGCATACAGTTACAGAGGTGTTTTGAGAGCCAAGATAGAGCCCGGAGTGTACCATCAACCATCGCAATCGTCTTCAACTGGCTCGATAAACAGTGAAACTTTTCCCCGAGCTTTTTTGCCTCGCGAGGACCCCCGTACGAAGTTTGTTCAGTTGCTCAGACCCCACGATCGCTTGCAGGCGAGCTGGGCACCACCTTTGCATGAAAAGAAGGAAAAAAGCTACCATCTCAATCCAGAGCAAATCGCAAAGATCAAAAGCTTAAGGCTCGAAAACCCAGAGAAATACACAAGAAGGGCTCTAGCCAAGAAATTCAACGTCTCGCCTCTTTTCGTGTCATTGGTTTCTTCAGCTACTCCTACCAGAAAAGCAGACATGATGCAAAGACTGCAGTCGATAAAAGACGACTGGCATCCCAAGAGAGCGCTTGCGAGAGACGACCGGAAAAAACGCAAGGAACTCTGGTACAGGCCGTGAAAGATGAAAGCTAGCTCAGCAAGCTCATTAGAATCATGTAAATATAAGTCTCTTCACATACGCATCTTGTTTCGAGAAAGAGAAAAGCTCCGCGTGCCAACGCATATCATAAATACATTGTCTTATTAGGTACATACTGGTTACAATAATATTACAAACTGGAGCTCCCGCAATATCCCAGGTTTTTAGCTCCCAACAAATTCTCCATACTCAGACGAGTCGCTGCCGCCCAACATTTCGTCTATCATTTCATATTCTTCACGTATCCGGAAAAGAAGATCTCGGAAATTTTGCTCTTCCTGTGGGTCTCTAATTCGCAGCTCTAGGGCTACCAACGTGTCATCAGTGCATTTGACCAGGATTTCGAAAAATTCCCCAGTGCTTTGTATGGTCTTATTGAGGTCGCGAGTGCCCCTCATTATGACAGTTTGAGTGAAGAAACGTTTATCGTCGTTAGTGTCCGTTTCTTTACCATCACCCCATGCAAAAACGATGCGATACCAAGGCAAATCATCTGTTTTACTCATTAGTTCACAGACGCGCATGCATCCTTCGAATAATCGAACTTGGGGCTCCCAACCATTGGAATAGCCACGCGGGAGCACATTGTACAGTTCTGACGTATTGAAGGCCTGATTGCTGCGAACAACAAGCCCTTGAGACATACGCTACAACGTTATATATAAAAAATCTGTGAATTGAAGGCTGTTAGGCGAAATGGTCAAGATGCGAACTACTGAGTTGTAGTGCTAGCTAGCGTCCATAAGTCCATTGTCCTGATATGATTGGAAAATGGGCAATCTTGACATCCGTGCGTATAAAGTGATTAGAAAAGTATAATATTTATCGGCTCGCGATGACAGAATGAGTGAGAGTGTAGTCTATGTCGATGAGAGATGCCAGAAAAAAGCTATGGAAATAGTTCAAAGCTTACGATGGCACTGGCAGATATCGCATTAGTAAACTGTTGATGAAGAAAGTGTCGGTGTCAATGACAAACAAGTCACTTTGAACGAGGGTAGTTACTGAATTGCGTCCGTAATTGGATCTTTGAACTCGAAGATGTTGTAAACTGTTGTATTCCGCCATCCAAGTTGCAGGCGAGCTACCACAGTTTTAAGAAGCTCTTAGAAATCTTTTTGTTGGCTTCAATTACTAATTTGCACTACTCTGTTTCAAGACAAAACCCAACATAACATGGCGTTTTCTTGTACGCGATGATCGATGAGCCCAAAATTTGAAGGTAACTGTAAACAAAATAGTTGTACACGCATGGGACTTGACATTTAATGTCACCGGCAAGCTTAAAGTTTGCACGTGATGTCACATGCTCTTCAATTTTTGCTTACATAATCGCTTTTCCAATTAAATGAAAGGTAAAAGTGCCACTCAACTCACATTAACCATCCTCCAGCAACACTTTCTTTCAACAATAAACCCCATTACATCCAGGTAGTACAATGGCGGTAGGTTACGACGACGATGCTGATTATAGCTACGAAGACGACGCTCCTGAGCTCCAGGACGAAGCGGCACTCGAAGACTACATGAATGACGAAGAATACGAACTCATGTGCGACATGTTCCCACGAGCTAAAGAAGCGCTTACAGAGTACCAAGGATGGGATAATTTCAAAGTCAAATTGGCCATTTTCGATCACGAATTTAACCTGGATGAAGCTTTGATAGAGCTCAAAAGAGGCTTGAAAAAGAAGAAATCGGAAGGTATGTATCATTGTTCTTTTTCGTTTTGTTTTTGGATTTGAAGCGGAAGGCTCTCCCTTCACCGCGGATTTCATTTGTTTTGCGCTCTCGCTCTCTTTTTCCATGGGTCGGATGTTCGGGAGAGGGGTGAGGTGGGTCAAACATGCGGTTTTATTCGGCTTGCTGGAGGATTTCGCTTTCTCTGTGTCTTGACGAAATGTAGAGCTGCATTTCAGTTTGTGAATAATGTGCTTTCAAGTGCTTAACTCTTCATACCAGAATGTGAGTGGCAGAAAAGGAGTGTGGGAACAAGCTTGGTTCGTGGAGTGGTAGTGGCAATTCCGGAGTTTTCCACCGACCAGTTTTATTAACATCAGCTCGAAAAGAGCCCCCATCCAAAATGTCTGCTCTTGAACAGCTGGCCAGGAGAAGAGCTCTCGCTTTTAAAAAGTCGTCAGTTGCTGCATCTAATTCGCCAGACAAGGTGAGTTTGTTAAGTACTCAGCAACAAAAAACCGAGGAACAACCGTCAAAGTTATCGCTTGCTGCCCGTCTGACATCTTTACAATCTAAACGCGAACCCAGGAGATCAGAAAATACACTCAAAGTGAACTCCTCTGGATCTCTTATCGATCGACTCTCCAAAACCAGAAATAGCCCACAAGAAACACCGGAAACTGCCGCAAATTCAAGACTCTCTCTCTATTCAAAACTTTCTGCTCTGCGAAAAACCAAGGATGAAGGCTCACCTCCTAGGAAAACTGCCTCTCCGGACTTGCTCCCTATACCTCCAAAGGCTGAGAAGCCAAGAAACATATCAGGGGAAAGCAAAGCTGTCAGTTTTGAAGATTTAGGAGAGGCATTCAACTTGCAAGCTCAAACTGAACACTCTAGAAGCGAGGAGAACATGAATAATTTAGAAATTTCAAAAATTGTCACCAAACGCGACCCGCAGGAAGAGGCCGCAGTTTCCAGATTGAAGCGCAAGCATGACGAAATCCATTCTACTTATTATCCGGGCACTAACAACCAAGCAGCAAAAAAACACGCATCAGCCAATTTTCAAAGGCAAAGTCCTGACGATGTGGTTCTAGAGGCGCAAAAAAGAGCTTTCGAAGACGTTGCAAAAGTTTCTAAGGGTGTTGAGGCCATCACCTTAGAAAACACTACGCCTGCTATCGATGAAGCAGACGAAACGGACAAAGAGAACGATAGACCAACTGCGAATGAACCAGTTGTACGCATTTATAAAAAGGCCACAGTTCCAACAAAACCCAAGAGTCCGATCGATTTGGATACATTTCTTAACCACAAGAAACCTCACCTCAGTTTTGTTGTAATTGGTCATGTTGACGCAGGTAAATCTACTCTAATGGGTCGTTTGTTGTATGACGTTGGGGCAGTGGATAATAAACTTATCAGAAAGCTGAAAAGAGAAAGTGAAATGATCGGTAAATCTTCATTTCATTTGGCATGGGTCATGGATCAAACTGCGGAAGAGAGGAATCGTGGTGTGACAGTTGATATCTGCACTAGCGATTTCGAAACAAAGGACTCTACGTTTACCATTGTTGATGCACCAGGTCACAGAGACTTTGTACCTAATGCCATAGCCGGAGTAAGCCAGGTCGATGTCGCTGTTTTGTCCATTGACTGCAGCACTGGCGCTTTTGAGTCTGGGTTCAATCTGGATGGCCAAACAAAGGAGCATACCATACTTGCTCGAAGCCTTGGAGTTCGCCATATTATTGTGGCGATGAACAAGATGGACAGTGTAGATTGGTACGAGGGGCGGTTTTTGGATATCAAGTTTGAGCTAACGAACTTTTTTGAAGACATGGGTGTAAAGAGTGAGCAAGTGAGCTGGATCCCGTGCAGCGGCTTGTCGGGCGAAGGAGTTTTCGATAAAGAGTATCCAATTGGTCAAACCTGGTACAAGGGACCCACTTTAGTACAGCGTCTGGAACAGATCTCGCAATCCCTTTACAATAACGAGCATAGAGAGATTGTTGAAAAGCCATTCCTTTTCTCCACATTTGACGTAACACCGGGAAGTAAACCCAACGAGGCTACGCTATTTGGCCGAGTTGAGTCTGGTCATATTCAAGCTGGTGAGACTGTTACAGTATACCCTTCAGAACAAAGTGTGCTGATTACTCAAGTCCTAGCAGGTAACAATCAAGCTCCAGCGGCGGCAGCCATGAAAGGTGATTTCGTAACACTGAAGGTGCGCAATGCGTTCGCGGAAGATATCAACAAGGGAGATCTTGTTGCAGTTGTTGGTTACGACATTAAAAGCGCACAAGAGTTTACAGCTCAGGTTTTGACCTTTAATTTGGATAGACCGCTCCTACCGGGAACGCCCCTTATGTTTTTCAGAGGAAGTAACGAACAACCAGCAAGGGTCAAGAGACTGATATCATTGGTTGACAAAGCAGACCCTTCCAAGGTGATCAAAAAGAAAATTAGACATCTAGGCTCCAACCAGCTTGCAATCATTGAAATTGAGCTAATCGAGAAGAAGAGAAGAATTCCTATGTTGACGATTAGTGAAAATAAGCAACTGGGGAGAATTGTTCTCAGAAAAGAGGGAAGAACGGTTGCCGCTGGTGTGGTCAAGACTCTCGATTTATAATATGACATGCATATAGTATATATTAATTGATGATGTCCAGGCAAAGAATCAAAATTCCAAAGAACACGGACAGGTACACTATAAGCTTAGCAGACTTTCCGCCATGTCTTTGAGCCCTTTTCAATTGTCTGTTACCTTGCTGAATCTCCAGTTCTATGTCATCGTGATTGTCGAGCAGAGAATAGATACTTTGGGTCTGTGACTGTAGATGCGATGCTATTTCGTTTTGCATAGAGGTAATTTGAACCATTGTCTTTCGCAAGTTTTCTACTTTTTGTAGTTCTTGCGTTTTGATGTTCAATAAGTCATCGTGCTCTGTCTCCAAGATCTGAAGCTGCTCTTGAGAAAGTTTAGCTACAGTTTCTTCGTATTCACGCACCTCTTCGTCTGTTGTTTCGATCGCAGGATGCTGAGAAACGGAGGCGATCATATTGTGGGTCGAAGTGTACAACTGAGCATTGAAGTCAATCGACTCCAGCTCTCTTTGACGGGACAGCCTCTGTTGCTGCATGTGGGATATTTGGGAGAAAATGGACGATATAATCATGCTCAGAGATTGCAAGATCCCGTTTCTATGCTTGTTATTGGTGGCGTGGAATAAGGCCAAAGATTCGTCTTTGGAACGGAAAAGAGAAACTAGCTCACCAACAGAATCGCCCATATACTTTTTTTCCACCATATCCTGTCGCTTTTTTTCGTAATGCTCCAAGAACCTAAGCTTCTCAAAATACTGCTGTATCAGCAACCGTACTTCCGTGTCGAAGTCGTCTTTTTCGCGGTCTGTGAGGTCCAGCTCACTTTCGTACTGCGTCTTGATTGATCCTACTACTTTTTGAAGCTCAAGCACATGTTTGAGCAGCTCTACACACTCTTTTACAAAAGTGTCTTGAACTTGATACTTTTCCTGGGCTTCTGAGCTCTGTCGGATCTCAGGACTGGCAACTAAATTTGAATCTTCCAGAAAAACGGCCACGTAGTTTTTGAAAAGTGGAGTTACGTTTGGCATTGAATACAACTGCGCAATGGACGTTGGCTTCGTGCACTTGAGTTTGAGATGAGTTAGAGCTAAGTTCAGAGACTATATACGCTAGAGCGAACAGCTGTAAATTAGCATATATCACTCTGTACTAAACTCACCATTATAAGCTGGAATATGAAGAGTGAGAATACGCATGGTAAGGCGGAGAAGCGTTCGAAAACCACTGAAAAAGATCCTGTCAAATTTTATGGAGAATCAATGATACAGCTGGGCGACTCCTCCTTGACAATCAATTCTTATTCGTTAGCTTATGGCTTATGTGAACCACGTGACTTGACGACAAATGACAGAGTGGTAAAAAAAGATAACATTTTATAAGCTTCGACCGGATTCAAATTCAAACCCAGCGTACAACTTCTACAGCGTCATTGACAACATGTTCTCAAATGGCTTAAAATTCAAATTTAGGTATATATTCGACCTTAGATCTTTTTCGGCTCAACAAAAAGCTCCGTTTTCTCCACTAGTCATTTTCTCTTTTCCACTGATGATACCAAAACACTTGAGATGGAGCCTGATTACTAGAAATCAAATGGGAATGATTATAACACAGCTTTTTGCGACTATTCAATACTCAATTCATGAAATTTGCTTCTTCTTCCAGCCGGCACCGATCCAGGTAACTCTATACGGTTTATAATGTTCTTTCTTAGGTGACGCGTCGAATTAACATGACAAACGCGTCAAGTTAATCATTTCGAATCTTCTACAAGTTTAGATCCGAGAACAAGCTATTAGGCCTTTCTGAACGCTCATCAGCTCACTCGAATAGCCTAGAACCAGCCAAACTCAATGACAGAGCACGAAACTATAAACCACGACCGAGGGTCTACTGGAAATGCTGAAGAACAACAATATTTGGACCTATGTCGAAGAATCATCGAGCATGGAGACTTTAGACCTGACAGAACTGGGACAGGAACTTTCAGTCTTTTTGCTCCGCCCCAACTTAGATTTGACCTCAGTAATGACCAGTTCCCACTTTTGACTACAAAAAGAGTATTTACAAAGGGTATCATTCTTGAGCTGCTATGGTTCATAGCAGGCTGTACTGATGGAAAAAAACTATCCGATCAAGGCGTTAGGATTTGGGAAGGAAATGGGTCAAGAGAATACTTGGATAAACTGGGACTGACCGATAGACGCGAAGGGGACTTGGGTCCCGTTTACGGATTTCAATGGAGACATTTTGGAGCAGAGTACCGGAGTTGTGACGACGACTACAAAGGACAGGGCTTCGATCAATTAAAAGACATAATTCACAGAATCAAAACGAATCCAACGGATCGTAGAATCATCATGAGTGCATGGAACCCTCCAGATTTTGCGAAAATGGCATTACCTCCGTGCCATGTATTTTCACACTTTTACGTCACTCTGCCAAAGAAAGAGGGCGAAAAATCCAAGTTGTCATGCTTACTATATCAGAGATCTTGCGACATGGGCCTGGGAGTTCCTTTTAACATTGCGTCATACGCTCTGTTAACCAAGATGATTGCACATGTCTGTGATATGAAACCTGGGGAGTTCATTCATACACTAGGAGATGCTCACGTTTATAAAGATCATGTCGATGCAGTCCAAGAACAATTACAAAGAAGCCCAAGACAATTTCCTAAATTGAAGATAAACAGGAAGGTGAAAGACATCGACGATTTCAAGTATGAAGATTTCGAGATAACTGACTACAATCCACACAAGAAAATTACCATGAAGATGAGTGTATAGTACTATGTTCATATCGTACTTTGATGACCTTCCATTCTCACTATAATCTAAATGCTGGCTTTCTACCGCGTTTTTCCGCTTCCTGTCTTGCCTTTGCTCTATGTGTTTTGGGCACGGTGTTGGCTTTAAGATCGTCGAGCAAGTTAAGTAGCGACAAATCTTCCTCATTGACCCTGAAGCTTGTACTGCGGTTGCCGGAACTCTCGTCAAAGCTGCAGGAGTTTTCGCTGCCTAGGTCGCCAACTATTGGCTTTTTAAACAGCTTTTTGGTTTTCATAGATAGCTTCCCGGGTGCCTTGTTGGTGATGTCTTTGAGTGGAACCAGCTTGGGAATGTTAGGAGAATAAGCACTACTCAAGGGTGAGGTGATACTTTTCTCGGCGATTTTTTCTGACTCTTTTGGTGCAGAAATATGACCATGAGTAGGTGGTGCCTGTTGAAGAACTTCAGGGGTGTCTTTACGTGCACTCGGTTGAGAAGTATAAATACTCTCTTCGCCAAGCAACGGCGTACCATCCCTCGAGTACGATCCTGACTTACGGCGGTTACCCTCGACCTGTAGGTCTCTAATGTTGATTACTGTTGTTGCATCTACCAGTTTTTCGGTGGGTCTTCTCATTTTTGCCCTTAAAGAGGGCAATGCGTAGTTGATTTCTTTACCACGAGTTCTTTTTGAGCGAGAGCAATCCGAGAGATCTTCAGTAGAACCTCGAGTTGTTGGCATGACTTCGTCAATAATTCGCTTTTGTGAGCCTCGGGATTTCATGGAATGCTTGACCTTTTTTTGAGACGAAGTGGCGTTTTGTACAAACGTTGGATGTTGTACTTCCGCGCTTGACGAATGCGCTCTTTGTGCTTTATTTGTCGTTGTACTCGGTAGCAGCTGCATATCGTTGTTCGGCAGCTCTATTCCATGGTCGCGATACACTTGAACTTTACCGGGGGTATCGGATGTCACAGAGCTTTCTATGGCTTTTTCGGGAAGTTCTTCTGGTATAGAGTATTCAATAAGGGAGTTTGTAAAGTTACAAGATTCTTCAACAGAATCCTGAAGCGGTACTGGCGGTAAATTGCTATCATTCAATGCTTCTTCAAAGCCCTCAGGAGACGGGCTTTTTCGCTCTTCTGTGGTAGTCGCTGAGGAGGGGTTAGTCATGGGCGGCTGTTCTGTAGTACTTGTATCGTCATTGGCGGGGAAATCGGAAAACTCGAAGTCTGAAGGTTGGAATAAAGATTCTCTTCGCGAGCTTTTCCGTCTTTTTTTTGCCGCCGGGCTTGTTGCACCCTCAGAAGGTGCAACAGTATGCTTGGTAGAAATGCAGGGCTCTGGTGAAAACACTTGATTGCGGTTTTCACTGAACGCGATAGCCGTTGTAGAGTTATCACGGCTGTTGCGAGATCCATTTTTTTTCAGAATGGACCTAGGTTCGTTCATAAGGGCGGAACGCCGGGCTAGCGACTCCGGTGGCACATCTAGGCTTTGTTTCCGACGCACAGACTCGAACATATGCAAAATTTCGTCGAATCGCTGCAGAACGCCCTCTTCCAACGCTCCAATTGCCGCTGCCAGTCGTTCCTTGAATTGGTGCTCCTTCAGAGACATTTTCGACCGTAAAAGCACATTTTCCTGTATTAGTTCGCTGATAGACTCGTCCATCTCACGCACTTTAATCATGAGTCCACTGTTAGAACGCGCTAATTGAACGTTCTGCTGTGATAACCCCGCTCTCACATTTTCAAACTCATTTTTCTGGATGTCGATGAGGTCCTGAAACTGCTGAATGACAGGAACGCTTGTGTCGTCCAAAGGGGCATCCTTGTTCTCCCTTCTAGTACCACTCACAAGCCCTTTACCTTCAGCTTTCGTGGGCGGCCGCGATACACGTTTTCGCAATGCTTTGGCCATAGCGGGAGCCTCAAATAACTATTTTACAAGCGCACCAAAAGCTCTCAATTAGAAGTCCTTCAATAGCGCTCTATAAAAGCTCGTTTGAAGCTTTCAAAAGACTAATATCTTCAAATTCTTGGCTTGTTGACAGGTTAGGTCTGTTTGTTTGTTTATTTTTTATTGAATTTTATTATATCGTGGATATATACACAAAAAGTGTTGATGTCACTCTAGACGAGGGATTTTGACATTTAAAGTTTAGGGAACTTTTGGTCTAATCATCATCGTCATCATTGTTAGGCTATTCAATTGGAACAAGAAGAATAGTTATCGCTGAGCTCTGGTAAAGAATGGTTTTAGAGGAACAGATTGTGGCGAAACAGAAAGAATTGAATGCTCTCAAAGAAATAAATGCTCTCACAGAATCAATGCGCTCTCAGTTGGAGGAACTAGCTGTGGAGGTGACCAATATGCACCAGAACGCTGAGAGCGTCGCAAATGTTATGCAAAATTGGGATTCAATAGTAAGATCTATCTCGCAGGCGAGTTTGAGTCTACTGCAATATTCTGAAAGGGACTATGAGGTTGGCGTTTGGAAACAAGAAACAGCAGAGACAAAGGAGCCTGCAACATCACCTCAGAACTATTCGGACGCTCCGCTACCGGAGACCTTGGTGCGCATCAAAATCAACACAGACGACGAAGGATCGAACGGGTAAGGTCTCTCACTCAACAGTCTCTCTACATACCACGCCTTTACGCCGCTTTATCAAACAGTAGTCTGCTTATACCTAAGTTAACTCAGCTACTTAAAAGTCTCTTCTACCTGCGTCCTCGATTTGACCCGTTTCATAGTTGATGACGCATCTGTGTTCGCTGCTTTCGTTGCTTGCGGCTAGAACAGATGCGAACCTCGATTTGAAATCGGGGCCCAGCTTCTCAATTTCCATTTGTTCCTGAAGCGCAAAATCTAATAAGCGCTTTGCGTTGATATCAAGCGGACTGTATGCAGCTTCAAAATACTCAGGAGACAAGAGAGTTTTGTCTGTCAGAAGCGAGAGGTCTGGAAGAGTTGTTCCCGCTTCGAAAAGCTGTTCGTCAAAGCACTTCTTCATTGTGATGAAGAGGCTGGAATCGGCCTCATCAACATGCTCATCCCAGTTATCGCACAGAACGCATCTTCTCCAGATCATTGCGATCAAAAACATATATTTTTCGTAGTTCACATAGTTTTTGTTCAATGATAGAATTTTGGCAGCTTTGTAGAAGCCGCTTCTATCATCAAGAAGCGTGAACAGCTCGACCACTTGAGCTAGTTCCAGCTTCCGATCACCGTCTATCCTTCTCTTTAGTTCATCAAACAACTGTTTCACAGCAGAGACCTGAAACTTCTCGTTGAGCTTCACGCCTTGCTCGATCATTGCTGTCAAATCTGTTTGGCCATCGATAACGTCCAGTTCTGCTTGAATTTTCATCAATCTATCGATGTCTAATGCATTTCCGTTTGCTAAATTGCATAGTTTTGCGATGCTTAACATCGTTTGTTCCGCGTTCACGCTACGAGAAGTATCGTGCTGATCGATTGTGATCTCTGTCAAGACCCTAGAAGCCTCGTTGTACTTTTCGTCGAGCACTTTACACATCCAACCGTACTCCCCAAATTGAGGGTTCTGGTCAAAGAATTGCCGCAGGTATTGATGCTGTGTGGGGAATCTTTCATACAAGTCTGGCAGTCGACCGTGTGCAATGCAATTACTGAAAACTTCAGCCGCAAAGTTGTATTCGAACTTTTCGAAATACTGACGATATAAATCGTCAGATTCTTCTCTGGGCAGCGTGCTTAGAGTAGCAGCCAATGAAGACAGATCTCCGTAGAATTCAGTGATTTCTAATGATTCTAGCGTCTTACCAACGTCGCAAAGTTTCTGATTCCATAGCAATCTATTATCTTGGTACAGAGTGCAAACTTTGGTAGCCTCATGGGTGTATGCTTGCCTTTCAACATCCTGTAGCCATAACGATGCTTGATTGCAGGAGTAGTATAATATTTTGACCAATGAGAGAAGTTGTTCTTCATAATGGGGATATGTTTCTGAAGTTGGATAGTCATTCAATATTTTGAAAAACTCGTTCAATACGTATGGAATATTGTGTTGCAAGTACCACGGAGTCAAACGGCCAAGCTCGTATGTGCTCATCTCGAATTTGCTAAAACGATAATTCTCTTCACCTTCTTGAAAAGAGCCCTTCAACAGACATGATGTGATAAGATCAAGGCAAGGAGTCAACAGTTCCGGACTTGCAGTGGCTAGGAGAGTCGCCAGCATAACGTGTAAGAACTTCGACAGAACTAGTGGGAACTGGTTAAATTTGCTTTTGAAAACAGTCTCTTCATCAAGCTTACTATCCGTTAACATGTTGTGCCAGTATTCGGCGAGCAGTTGGCTGCCTTTAATGGATGAGAGAAAGTACTTTGCCGCGTTGAGTATCTCAAAGTTTTCCACCAACTGGATTCTTACAGCTGGAGATATTTTGTTCAGAAAATTAAACTTTGTGAATTCCAAGAGACTTCGATATAGATCAACGCGCAAGCTTACGTGTCTTTCCATCGATTGGAGCGTAGGAGGAATATAATTAGACTTGGATAACAGAATTTCATCACTTGACGCCATTAAATCCTCTTCAATTTCTTCTCTTTCTAGAGATATTTTCGGTGGGAGATTGAAGTCGATTGGCGTACCGTTAAGGTTGGAAAAATAGACAGCTTGATCTATATGAGACTTGATGAATCTGCTCTCATGTAGGTCAATGTTATTGCTGTTCCGTGACGCCGTGATCATGAGCACACCCATCTTTTTGCTCATTAGATAAACAGAATCGGAGTCCATTCCATAACCGAAGATTTCTGTGTCGTCACGGAAGCTTATGATATCTTCCCATTTGCGCTTGAGGGAATAGCTTTGATCGAGAGTGGAACTCACTTGCGTCAAGACTACGCAATTTTCGAAAACGGTGTACACTGACGTGACTGGCGCCGACGTTGAATCAGCGTCAACAGGTATTAATAGTTTGGGGAAGGCCGTTTCTCTCGAAGCAGTGGTGTAAGTGTTCAATCTATAAGTGGAGAAAATCATAAATCCATTAGTGCGCTCATCCAGTTTGATGGTAGTTAGAATGTAGTAACAAGCCCCGTCGTAATCTGTAATAGAAGAAAGTATCATATGCGCGGAATTATCCTCACTCAGAGGGTGAGAATCTAATAAGGTCAGAGTGCCGTAAGCGCATGGGTACAAGTCTTTCAAAGACTCCAAAATTTGCTCATATACGTTTAACTCGATCTTCTTGTAACAATTGGCCACCGCTGATATATTCCATACCATGAAATCCCCGTTGCTGGTCAGAACGGATACTGACCTCTCACCCTTTCCCAAAATGGGACCCATCTTTATGGACACTATCTTCTTAGTTTTTTGTGAGGAAAAGAATAAGGCAAAATGCGACTTGATCATTTGGAGCTTCAAGTTCAGACGTGGCTTGCCCATAAAGTCACGAACAGTGACGAAAAAAAGCCTTCCGCGAGTCGTCGATACCAAAATACCGGCGGGTTCAGCATTCACAACGTCTGCGACGTACTCGGAGTCCTTGAGGCTAAGCTCCAATTCGTGGCATTTCGTTCGCGAGATCCGCGACGACAAATTATTTATGGCGTCCACATCCTCATAAAATTGTATAAGGCCCGATTTTCGGTTCACAATGCATATACCACAGTTTTGACGCGAAGATGCATTCGTAGGTCCACTTGTTGCGCTGCTGGGGGAGTCTTTCCCACGACCGTCAGTACTCTCGTCGAGCGCCGCGGGCCACGTGACTATCACTTTCGGAGTGCAGCTCAACGAGATGTGGTCTTCATGGAGAGGTATGTGCGTTACCACAGGATTGAGCTGTGTGGTAGCAAAGTCCCACATGTACAGCGTGTCACTGTCGTTAACCACAGCATTGTGTGAGAATGTGTCCACGTAACCGTCAACCGACGAAATGTTCTGCAATTGGCGTGGCAGCTCTGCAGGCAGTTTTTCCACTGTGTACTTGGCGTTTTCGGTGAGCACCACTTTGTTTGTGAAATTAGAGGTGACCGAGTGCTCCACATGACTGGTGCTTTCGAACTGCTCAGCAAAGGACTGGGTTATGTTAGCGTTGCTTTCTGCATCGCTAAATACATGTAGTTCTTGTCTTAACTGGAAAAGAGGTTTCTCTGACATCAATTCGATGACCTCGCTAAGTTTAGGCTGCTATAGGACTCTACTGTTGGTGTTATTCGGTTCAAGTCCTAGTTTTAGAGATACTCGAGTTTTCAATATTATTATTTTGAAGATGTGCCTTCGTCCAAAGAGCTATCACCAAATCTGAAAAATTTGACGAAAAAGCTCATCGCATCCTTCAAGAGATGATAATATGATGCGATGAGCTAAAACTACTGGTTTATTTTCAACAGATCAGACAGGTTTCAAAGATGATCAGAACAGTGTATGTTACTCGAAGAGCTTAGCAAGGCGGCAGAACTTTTGAAAGCTATTTTTATGCTTCCCTCAGAGTGCATTTTTACTAACTAAACACCTCAGGAAACCCAAAAATGCGAGAGCTAAGAGAGCGTTAGATAAAAAGGAGCCCAAGTTGGTGGAAAACACCAAACAGGCTCTTTTTGTTACTGGAAAAAGCTCGACGCAGGTTCTCCACGACGCCATGGTGGACTTGAGCGCCTTGAAGAAGCCCGACGTGAAGAGATTCAATAAGAAAAACGACGTGCGTCCATTTGAGGATGCTGAACCATTGGAGTTTTTCAGTGAGAAGAATGACACTTCGCTACTGGTCCTCAGCACGAGCTCTAAAAAGCGGAAAAACAACCTCACCTTCGTGCGTACTTTTGGCTACAAAATCTACGACATGATTGAGCTGCAGATTGCCGAGAATTACAAGTTTCTTTCTGACTTCAGAAAGCAGACTTTCGCAGTAGGCTTGAAACCCATGTTTTCATTCCAGGGTGCTGCGTTCGACACTCACCCAGTGTACAAACATGTCAAGTCTTTGTTTTTGGACTTCTTTAGAGGTACCGTCAGCAACTTGCATGATGTCGCTGGGTTGCAACACGTTATCTCGATCACTGTACAAGGCGATTTCGAAGATGGTGAGCCTCTTCCTAACGTGCTTTTCAGAGTTTACAAGCTTAAAACTTACAAGAGCGAACAAGGTGGCCCCAAACTACCTCGTGTTGAGCTAGAAGAGGTTGGACCTCGCTTCGACTTCAAAATCGGCCGTATTCACGCGCCATCGCCAGAATTGGAGAAAGAAGCGCTCAAAAAGGCCAAGCAACTGGAACCAAAGACCAAAAAGAATATATCAGCCGATGGTATGGGTGACAAGTTTGGTACCATCCATTTGGGTAAACAAGATCTGGGTAAATTGCAGACGAGGAAGATGAAGGGTCTGAAATCAAAGTTCGACCAAACAGAAGTGGATTCCGAGACCGAAGAGTACATGAACGACGAAGAAGGCGATCTACAGGGTGGTGCTGAGGAAAGCTACGGTGAAGACTTCGTCACCGCTAACGACATCGATGTTGAGCCTCCCGCCAAAAGAATGAAAAAATAGACATATCTATAGCCCTTACCGATTGAAATAGATAACTGTACACTAGTTTCCTCTAATTGCATATAAAAATCCTCTTTTAGCAACCCTTCAATTTAAAAATTCTTGTATTCATTATAGTTGTATCGTCTGTTACTTTCTTCGCTAGCAGATAATCACAGCATATGCAGTTTCTGTCTATTTTCCACCAGTCTCAACATGTTTCTTAACAGCATGGAGATGGTGACTTTGCCCGTACTGGGTACGTAAAGCGACGCTTTGCTCTTGACAGAGTCGTCGAAATTCTTGTGGGAAGAGAAATTTATGCACACGGCACCTTCTCTGATGTATTCGGTAGGAATCTTGTAGTTCCCAGAAGGCACACCAGTGATAACGACGTCTGCGTCTGCACAGCATTCTTTCAAAGCTGCGTCAGAGAAGGCTCCGAGATCTTCGACTTGGTGCTTTTGGAATTTCAGGCCCTCGCCACGGGTAAACCTTTGGATGTTGTTGACATCGACAGAGTAGACGACTGCACCATCATTGGCCAGAAGCGCAGCTAGTGGTCTGCCGACTATTTCGGAACGGTTGATTACCACGCATTTTTTCCCGTAAAGCCTATTACCGACAGGTAAGAGATTGTTGTAGGTTTTTAGGTACTCCATAATTTTGACCACGGCAAGCGGTGTGCATGGCAAAATAGATTTGAGCATTTTCTCGTCGTCCAAAAACCGGATATTGTGGTACATGTTTTGATAGTAGACGTGGTTCAAACCCTCAACGTCTTTCTCACGTGCGACCACTTGTTGAAGATACTGATCTTGGGCGTTGCCAAAGACGGGGAAGTAAACCATGATTCCGTCCACGGATTTGTCTCTGTTGGCCTCGATAATGGCTTCTTCCAAGAAGTCTTTCTCTTCCACCCGTCTTAGCTCGTAGCGGAACCCCATCGACTCGCATGTTTTGCCAGTCCAGCTGGCGTACATCTCAGCAGCTGGGTCGTCATTTGCCAAAAATCCAACTAGAAGGGGACCGTTGGGCCTGATTTCCTTCAGAGACTTCACTTTCGCGGTAATCTCATCGACGTAAGTCTTAGAGATAGAGGAGGCTAGAATAGTGCGACCTGGCTTGGCTGACATTTCTAAAAGATTCTTTGTAAAAAAGTGTTAATGGTCGTTTCTGAATATTTGAATTCACAGTCCGGGCGAACTAACTGTTTATGCTAACTTGTCTATAAACTGATCTTGGGTATTTATACATTACAACTTGAACCTTCATAATTTAGAGCTTTAATTTTTACCGAGCTAATAAATAATATTGAATTAAAGCAGGGCGAGTCAGACGTAATAGAAAAGTCGATATCAAGCGATGCCAAGAGATGCTTTCGGTCCTGATATATTTGATCGACGTGCGAACTTCATGGTATTTGCTTCGATACTGTGCTTTAAATATTAGAATCAGTAAAGGAGATCTTAAAGATATCCTGACAAAACATAGCACGTAGTGTTAATCATAGCAAAAGTAACGAAAACTTGAGGAATTGGGAGGGCATTTTGGCCATTAGTTTGAGCAGAAGTAATTTCTAGGATGGTATCCTGATAGTTATGAGAAGTGGCAAAAACTTGATACTATCTTCTTGATGTCCTTGCTCTTCGATGATCTTTGACCGTTTAGACATTAAAATTGTAGGTCTTGGCTATTAAACAATTGTGAAAAGAGTGTAACTTACAAGGCATTCGAAACAGACTTTGATGTGGGTGTTTTACAGGTCATCGACAGCATTCTACAGGCTAATCGCATAGCTGTAAAGAAATATCTTATTCGCATGTAATGCCTGAAAAAAGGGTTAAAAAACCTGATAAAAGACATGCTACAAAACTGAAATACACAACGCACAACGTTAAGATGAACTTGCTAGACCTCCTAAAGCTAAAAGGGGCTCAAAACTGTCAACAGCTTTTGATCGTGATCCAGGGCGACATTATAGTACAAAGTGATATGTATCAAAGCCAAATGTACAGCTCGATTACGGGTTCATCTCTACGTTCTCATCTCGTTAATCAAGAAACATATTTTTGGTAGTGGCTCACATCAAACACCATGGGAGTAAGGCCAACTACCACTAGTGCCTCGCCGACTCAGCGTGAAATTTATCAAAAATCAAACAATTCTTCTCCCTCTTTGGTGGGATCACTTATAAAATCACTTAAATCGTCTAGCTCAACAAGGCATCACCACCAGCAATCCGGCGCTGTAAGTGGCGACAGCGATACCAATCAATCGTCACGAAAACCGCATCATCATCTGGGCAGGTCACCCAGTCAAGCCGGTACATCACAACATCATGGCCGTGGAGTAAGCCACATCCACATGAGTCCCCTCAGAAAAAGCTCCTCTGGTAGCAGCAACACCGCGAGTACCTCCGCTCATAAGGAGAAACACCAATCGAAGCGGGACAAATATTTTCGAGACCTAGATGAAGACTGGAGTGCCGTGATCGAGGACTATAACATGCCCATTCCTGTGATCAGCAATGGCGGGGTCGAATTGAAGCCCCCCGTCAACGTGGGCTTACGACGAAAGGAGGAGACAGAATCACGGTCACCATCGGCTGGATATCCAAGCTTGCCGCATCTCAACAAGTCCCAAAGCTCAGATCTGAAATCTCAATATGAACATGAGAATGAACGCGAATTGCAGGAACTGAATTCGATAATGCAAAGGGTTGCCAAATTTGACACCATTCTGCAGCCTACAAACGGCAATCTAATTAATTTGAGTGAACTTCGTCGTTTGAGCTGGAATGGGGTGCCAATGGTTCATAGACCAAGGGTGTGGAGGCTTTTGATAGGCTATGCACCCGCTAATATAAAGAGACAACAATCTCTATTACAGCGCAAGCGGCAGGAATATCGGGATGGTGTGGCGCTCGTGTTTTCGGCAGAACACACGCGGGACATACCTACTTGGCATCAAATAGAAATTGACATTCCAAGAACAAATCCACTCATCCCGCTCTACCAGTTCCCTCTTGTCCAGCAGAGCTTGCAGAGAATACTTTATCTCTGGGCGATACGGCATCCGGCAAGTGGCTACGTGCAGGGTATAAACGATCTGGTAACCCCATTTTACCAAACGTTTCTCACGGAGTATCTGCAGCGAGCTCGAAAGGATGACGTTAACAAATTAAGTCCTGATGTGTATCTCACGCACGAGCAGTTGTTGGACGTTGAGGCAGACTCTTTCTGGTGTCTTGCCCGATTACTGGAGCAGATCACCGATAACTACATTCATGGGCAACCAGGAATTCTAAAGCAAGTCAAAAATCTGGGACAACTGGTCAAAAGGATAGACTCAGACTTGTACGATCACTTTACCCAAGAAAACGTGGAATTCATTCAATTTGCTTTCCGCTGGATGAACTGTCTTTTGATGCGTGAATTTAGCATGGACATGGTGATCCGTATGTGGGACACGTATCTGTCAGAGACCTCTTTGGAGTCTTCGTCCTCTGCCGTGAATGACAATTCTAATGCACCATTATTATTGTCCTCCGATACTTCACTCCAGAATTCTCCGATTAGTGCCTACCGGGAGAAATCATCCTCCAACAACCTTCAAAGCAAACACAGCGCAACGGCCAGCTCAGGACAGACTTCTCTAAGTGAGTTCCATGTCTTTGTTTGCGCAGCCTTTCTCGTCAAGTTCAGTGACAAGTTGATCAACATGGACTTTCAAGAAACTATTACTTTTCTACAAAATCCTCCCACCAAAAGCTGGATCGAAAGTGATATAGAGTTGTTGTTAAGCGAGGCGTACATCTGGCAATCCCTATACAAGGACGCAACTTCGCATTGGAGGTGATGTCGAGTCCGTTCATTGTTCTGAGCTTTGTTCGTGTATAGAGACCCAGTGTAAAGGAAGCCTTTTCAGCCTAATTAATGGCGATGCCCTCCATGATGAAAGAACCAAATGCGATAAAGTGTCAAATTGACAACCACAGCCTTATTTGTGGACCGCGAGACTGTACTGATCTATTCTACAACCTAAAGCCCTTTCAAAGTGTGGTTTTCTCGCGGGGCACAGCGAAACTTGGGGCAAAGATTTAGGCCTCTGTTTAAATCACGGCATCGCAAGTTGGATAGGACACTGCCTGTGGCCCAAGCCAAAAAATCGGAACTAAAACAACGTCAAGACTCTTTGAGGATTGCAACAATGTTCACATTAACGCACATCACACATCCAACGGTGGATACGAAAAAACCACTTCTACTATTGCAATCCGAGCATGGGGACAAGTTTCTATTCGGTCAGATCCCAGAGGGCACGCAAAGAACGTTTCCTGAAAACAAGACGAGGCTTTCGAAGCTGGAGTCTATTTTCTTGACTGGGATTCTGAGCTGGGAATCCATAGGTGGCTTGCCTGGTATGATATTGACGCTATCTGACCAGGGCGTCAAGTCGATGAACCTATTTCATGGAAAGGACATCATAAACTTCGCTGTGGCGACATGGAGGTATTTCGTTTTCCGCTTCGGTATGCAGCTCAAAACTGAAATTCTTGCGGATAGCCAAGTCTACGAAAACAAGCTGATGCGTGTGCAATCAATATTAGTCGGGTCGAGCGCAGATGCAGACGAAAGTACTGATCATTCGCTGCCCAAAGGGCTCAATAACGCTCTGAAAAATATTGTCTTGAAAATGTTTCCTCAGCATGAACCTACTGCTCGACATGACCCTGCATCCGATCCTCAAATGAACGTCGAAATCCCTCAAAGCCCAAACATGCCAACGCAAAGTACTTGCTACGAGATATCCTTAAAACCGATCCGGGGCAGATTCAAAGTAGAGGAAGCTATGAGGCTCGGAGTCCCGAAGGGACAATTATTTGCCCAGCTCACAAAGGGTCAAAGCGTCACCCTGGAAGACGGCAAGATCGTGGAACCACATCAAGTACTCGAGAAGCAGAGAAATTTTGCCAAGGTTCTGATTCTAGACATCCCTTCAGACTCGTATTTACCACAGTTTCGCAAAAAATTTGAAAACTATGACAAGTCATGTTTAGGAGCAGTTTACTATTTCTTGGGTGATGATGTTACCATGAGTAAGCAGTTGGTAGAGCTCATGGAGGATTTCGATCAAGAAAACACTCACCATTTTATATCCCATTCCAAAATCTGTCCAAATTCCATTGTTTTCAAAAGCTCAGCGATAACCACCTTGAAGTTGAAAGCGATACAGCCCCAAAACTATAATTTGCCTTTATCTGACAGAGTCTTTTCCAAAGAATTTTATGAATGCTTCAAAAAAAGCCTGCCTCGAGGAACCTCTATGGTTCAGCAAAGAGATCAGCCGTTAACATCTAAAATTGAAGGCGAAAAAGTTCACGTCATGCTGCAAAACGACAGCGTTCTGATTGAGCCTTTCACTTTAGGTGAGGAGCCACTGAAGATGAGCTGTCATCAAAGCTTCAGACCGATGCCTCCATGGTCTACTGTTTACGAAAGGCACATCACCCCTTTGAAAATTACTGGGGCTAGTTACACGTCTGTGGTCGAAGGCCAAGGACGTGCGAACAATTTCAACAACGGCACAAGCAAAGGAAAAGTTGAAGTTATCACTCTTGGGACCGGTAGCTCTTTACCTTCGAAATACAGAAACGTTATTTCCACCTTGGTAAAAGTACCATATGTTCTGAATGGTAAACCATACGATAGAAATATTCTATTGGACGCTGGTGAAAACACATTGGGGACCATCAAGAGGACTATTCCTGACGCTGAGCTGCCTGAGCTGTTCCGAAATTTGAAACTAATATATTTGAGCCATCTTCATGCTGACCATCACCTGGGTATTGCTAGCTTACTTTCAGAATGGTACAAGCATAATGCCGCAAATTTGTCTGCGAACATCTACCTTGTGATACCTTGGCAGTATCGCATATTTTTAAAGGAGTGGCTATCAATGGAGTGTCATGAAATTAAGGACAGAATCAAATTCATCAGCTGTGAACACTTGATAGATGGTGGTTTTGTGAGAAAGGAATTCAAGCCATTGCCCTTCGAGAATTTCCAAACTCTAGGTGGGCCAAACATAAAGAAAAGACGCCTTGAGTGCGATGACAAGTCATCTTTCAGAGATCGTGAAACTATTACGCAAATGTATCGAGATTTGAAGATATTAACGTTTCAAACATGTCGTGCCAAACACTGCGACTGGGCATATTCCAACTCGATCACATTTTTTACAAAGTCCGACACGTCCTCCGTCTTCAAAATATCATATTCAGGTGACACTAGGCCCAACGTGGAGAAATTCGCCAAGTCGATCGGACAAAACTCTGATCTTCTTATCCATGAAGCAACGCTCGATAACGAACTTCTCGAAGATGCAGTGAAAAAGAGGCATTGCACCATCAACGAGGCTATAGAAGTTTCTAATCAAATGGGTGCACACAAACTAATCTTGACTCACTTTTCACAAAGGTATCCAAAGCTGCCTCAAATTGATAACAACATCAAGATCGACGCTAAGGAATACTGTTTTGCATTTGATGGTATGATTGTAACCTACGACAATATTGGCGGGCAGACGTCTAAACTTGGCCTTTTGAACAGCGTCTTCACTGAAGAACAGTTCCTGGATGATCAAGATGAAATCAAGGGCCCAAGCTCCTAATGAAGCATCGTACGAAACAGAAAGATTCTTTCCTTTACCTAGCACTTAAGTACCGTCTATAGATTATTCTGATAGAACGTCTCCCAGAGCTCTATGCACTCCTTTTGCGTCTCTATGCTGGATTCCAAGAAAATTTCCATGTTATTTCTGAAATCGACCATCTTCTCGTGATCGTGCTTGCGCAATTCTCTTCTGATAGTATCACCAATCTCTTGCCATTTTGCTTTGATTTTATTGTGTCTGTCCTGCAACACCTGCAAATCTTTTGTCAAAGCGTTCACTCTATTCGATGGGCCCTTTTGAGTGCTTCTTTCCAGCTGCGCCTTTTTTTTGACCATATCGTTCTCCACAATGACTAGGTAGTAGCCTAACTTGGACCTTTGATTGAACACGGCCCTCACGCTTGCTAGCGCGCGTGTGTACTCATCAATCGTAACACCCAGAGTGAGGGATTCTTGCATTGCGCTTCTCTGTAATGAGTCCCTAATACGCATATGTACTTCGGCAAAGTTAGCCAAAGTATCAGAAGCTTTCCTTGACACTTCAAGTGCTTCAAGCGATTTGATTGTATTTGCAAATTCTTCCGTGACCGATGCGAGATCATTGCTTTGAGTCTCAACAATTTCCAACGACTTTGATAGTTGCTTCAACTGCTCCTCCAGGACATCCATGCCCTGTTTTTGCTCGACAAAAAAGCCATCTGGCTCCGTGTACTTTGGAGGTGCCCCGAACGATATGTTCATAAAGCTTTTTTGGGCTTCGTCGAGCCCACCATTTTTCATCACATTTACAGCATCATCATGCCCTAGGAGAACTACTGGGCTAATGTGAATCTCTGAAATGTCATTGCTGTCACTTGACGCGTTAGATCCGGTGAGGTGTTCTCTGATTTTTGAATCCTGAGAAAAGTTCTGACTTTGTAAAAACATCATGAAGTCTACGTCGTCTTGAAACTTTTTGTCTTGGGCTATCTTCGTAAGCATCCGCTCCATTTGAAGCCTTCTACTTTCAATGAAATCATCTTTAAATCTGCCAACAGCCTGCTTTTCTGGCGGCGGAGGGATGATCTTGCCCCAGTGATTGTTTTGTAGCTGCCTGTACAGCCACCGGAAGTCTCTATAACGTCTTTGAACCCGCACTTCCTGGGGATTCAATCTGGGGCTTCTGGTCCAGATTGTGTATTCTACGTGTGCGAATGTCAAGTCTCCAACTTTCAGGGGATCGACGACCTCGATTTTGAGATCGGAACTAGGTGGCTCGAACTGCTCTGTCTCTGTAACAATATCGTTAGGCTGAAGTGGCGCTTCGACGTTTTGGCTATCACCGCCTGCGATTTTCTTGATCAAGGGCGTAGCGCTCAAGCTTTTGCGTGGAGAGATTCTAAACAACGGAGCGTCCATTTGTTGCAGGATATCTTTTTTCGAAGAGCCTTTTTTGCCCTCTTCCTCATCCAATGGCTCTTCCACAAATACTTCACCATCATCTGCGCCTGTAGAGTGGGAATTGAGCGGGTCTTCGAAAAGATCGGCTTTTTGAGCTTCATTCAATGGATGGCGACGCAAACGGGCTGAAGAAAAGAGCTTCTGAGGTTTGGCGACTGATTTCCGCACCGGTGACGATGCATCCCGGGCCCCACTCGTCGCAGAAATGGCCTCTGAGTCCTGCTCGCTGACCTCCAAGGGCGACGTATGCACGTCCCCGAACAATGTCTCGCCCTTCCCGTCGGTTGCGCCCGCGCTGGGAACAGCTATTTCGGCCAGAGGGTCTTCCTGTGGTGCTAAAGACGCCAGAAGGTCCTGCTTGGCCAGTGGCTCTTCTTCCTCTTGATTCCAAGCGCTCTTCACAAGGCTCTCTTGCTCATCTTCGTCCTGGTCGACGTGCTCCTGGAGAGTACTCAAATTCGCAAATGTTTGGGCCAGTTCTGCTCCGTTTTCGACGTTTGAGGACTCATTCGCATCGTCCCACACCGGTGCTGCTAGTTCCTCGTCGTAATTCATGGCTAAACTGCTAAAAGGAGGTGCTTTAGCCCTCTTTATGTGGTTGTTGACGTAATGAAATAAAGGCTAAATTGATAAGTTCATGATTCTTATTCACCATTTATAAACTGAAAACGCTCCAAAGACGTATACCGATGGTTAAGACCACCAAAAAGCTCAGCACTAGCGATCCTGCTATCCAGAACAAGCCGAAGCTGTCGCTGTGGAATTTTTGGGTCAGTGCAACGCTTCTGAAGCTACTATTGATCCCCGGCTATTACAGTACAGATTTTGACGTTCATCGCAACTGGCTGGCACTCACGAACAAGCTGCCCATCAAACAGTGGTACTTCGAAGACACAAGTCCATGGACGCTAGATTATCCGCCGTTTTTCGCTCATTTTGAGTGGTTTTTGTCGCAATTCGTCCCTCGTTGGGTCCAGCAGGACGGGTGTCTTGACATCGTGGAGACTGGCAACTTTGGACTCCCAACTGTAATGTTCCAGCGCATTACGGTCATTGTTAGTGAACTACTGTTGTTTGTAGCTCTTCAGATCTACATCAACAAAAGTTCGCTGAGCGAACGCTCGGCAAATTTTGTCGTGGCCAGTAGCATTGTACTTTCCCCTGGGTTTCTCATCATCGACCATATCCATTTCCAGTATAACGGGTTTCTGTTTTCAATTCTCATTGCGGCGATTCTCGCCGCTAAACACCAACGCTACTTGTTGTGTGGGTTTTTCTTCGCTACTGCCCTGTGCTTCAAACACATCTTCCTGTACCTTGCGCCGAGTTTCTTCGCGTTTTTACTGCGCGTGTACGTTTTGGACTTCTCAAACTTTAAGTTTAAGAGCTACTACGACTTGATTTCCATTGTTCAATGGAAAAACCTGTTTAAGCTGGCAGGCGTGGTACTCGCGGTTTTTGGTGTTTGCTTCGCTCCGCTCATCTCCCAGTGGTCACAACTGCTCACAAGACTTTTTCCTTTCTCCAGAGGGCTCACCCATGCCTACTGGGCGCCCAATTTTTGGGCACTGTACTCTTTGCTCGACAAGGTTTTGACGTTGATCATTTTGAAGGTGCCCTACATACATAAGTGTCTGACCCAGATCATTGCACCTCCTCTGATCCCAGCAACTATCCAAGAGATTAAATGGAAACTACAGCAGTACAACGTTGGAACAAAAGGCCTGGTCCAAGACGTGTACTTTGTGATTTTACCCCAGATTCAGCCTAAATTGACATTTCTTCTCACTTTGTTCTACCAAGTCCTGGCTATTATACCCGTGCTGTTTAGTCCATCGTTCAAGCGGTTCATAGGATCTTTGACCTTGTGTGGGTTTGCATCTTTCCTATTCGGCTGGCACGTTCATGAAAAGGCCATTATGTTAGTGATCATACCTTTCTCATTCCTGGTGACGTCCGATAGAAGACTTTTGACACCCTTCCGCTTAGTCGTATCTGCTGGCTACGTTTCATTGTTTCCGCTACTACATGAATCATCAGACTTTCTACTCAAGCTGCTCTACACGTTAGTTTGGAGTATCATTTATTTCCTAGCACTAAGACAGGTCACGAAAATGTCCTCGAGCGTTCAACGACGGGTATTCTTCTTTGATCGATTCGCTCTATTTTACATTATAATGCTGGTGCCTATGGTGATTGCCGTCCAGTTGTTAGACGGGCTCAAATGGAGGTACAGCATCCTTCAAAAATTCGAGTTTGCCGGATTGATGATCTACAGTATTTACTGCTCAATTGGCATTCTGAGCTCCTGGGTAGGCCTATCGTGGCTCTACAATTTCGACGAGCCGCTCTGGATGTGAACCGAGCTGCTGCAACTTTTCGCAGAGTTTAACTCAAGTATTACAGTATAAAATACAAAATGCCATCATAGTGGCCGAATCTTGGTATCATAATATCTATTTTGCCATCATCGAAATTCTGTAAGCAAATAATCTCACCAGTGTTCCTCATAAAATGTGAATTAAGATTAGTTGGACCCGCCAATCAATCTGCGAAGCGCCAACCTCGCGTCGTCTTGTTCCAATGCTCTTGGAGACTGCAAAGGTGCACCACCATTTTGGCGCACTGGCTCACCTATCACCCTGTTTAGAGATCCGGACATCGCTTGTTGTATAAGCGGTGTGCATTGGATGGACAAAGAATAGTCCGGGCCGCTTTCTACGAGCGGTGTGGTTGGAGCGTTCATTTTCCCGCGTGCGCTTCTTGGAGGCTCGCCCGGAAACTGACCAGGGAAAAAGCTACTCGTTTGAAGATCTTGCTTGGATTGTGGCCTCGAGGACCCAGCACTTAGGAGAGACGGTGGAGAATGGAAATAGGCATAAGGCTTTCTGGGAGAAGACAGCAGTTGCTGGAAGAATGTTTCAGTCGAATGAATATTGTGGCCATGGCTGACGAGAAAATCAGTGCTTGGGTCGTCGTCTGTCAGAAGAAGAGGGTCCCCGGATGTCATTTTAAACACCGCGCTGGTAGACCGATTTTTGCCCAAAAATTGACTTTGAGCGTCATTTTGCTTTGGATTTGGGTCTAACACTTCGTCTATGGCATTACCAGGAGTGAAGCCTGTCTTGAGTTGAAACACGGCTGTACAATTAGGAGTCCATGGAAGTGTCGGTTGGGAAATAGCCGATGGTTTAGGTGATGAAGGTGGGAAATCTGTGAAAACCTCGCTGGGGCGAATCACAGACACTTTGCTAACAGCACTAGAGTCTTTGCGAGAGCTTTTCATTTTCTTCAAGAGCCCTAGAACCACAGATTTGTCGAAGCCAGTCAAGGGCGGTTTTTGAGCAGTAAGTTCGTTTGAACTCTTCGATTTAGGGGTCTTTGCAATGTCAGTGCCTGCTATTTTCGCTTTCCCATCATCACCGATACAGAGCGAGAAGCTAAATTGGGCTACAGTTCCTGGAGAATCAGAGAAAGTATTACGATCGCGTGTGGCAGCTGCGAAATGGGGCGGGGTTTGGGAAAGCCCGCAACTGGATTCCAGTGGGGAGCTTCGAAAAGGTTGTCGTCTTGCTTCGGTCGAGAACACACTGTCTGCAGGCATCAATGGAGATGAATTGGGCAGATACGGGTGCTGTTTGACTGGAGTAGCTAAAATGGTGCCCCTGTGTCGATTCCGCTTGCCAATTGCTTGCGTAGGTGAGAGTGTTGATGACGACGACGACGATGACGACGAGTAAATCGATGAGCAGCTGCTGGCACCACTGTCCCTGCGTCTTTTTTTCTGCGACGGCGACACGCCGCCCGAGACCGAAACGCGCATCCAAGGTTTGGTGAACGTAGTGGTCGCAGCGGCCTTTTGCATCTGCATCGACGAGTGGGCCATGGGGCTTTTCATGGGGTCAGCGTACTCTTTCAAGAGCGGCGGTCTACCTCGTCTGCTGCGACCGAGGCTTTCGCCAGTCATTATCGAGAGCAAGCGATGAAAGTGCGAATTATATGGCGAGGAAGAGACGCTACGCTGCTCTGCTCTGCACTGCTCTGCACTGCTCTGCACTGCTCTGCACTGCTCTGCGCTGCTCTGCTCGTTTTCTACAGCTATTGCAGCAGGTAGCACCAGAAACTCTTCGAGATGAACCTAAAACTTTGGGTCAATCGTGAACACGTCTTCGCGGACCAGGACTGTTCAGGAGAACGGGGAGACACACTATTCAGAGCAAGCCCCTCAACCTGGCGACGTAAGACAACTTGGAAGGCGCGTCTTTCAAGCTGAAACACTTCGTGATTCTTCGTGAACTTCCTGGAGTTACAGCTTTTTTACATCGGTGATTTTTGCCAGATGAGGTTTATGAAATACCGGTCGCGTAAAGCTAGCCGAAAAATATCCAAAGCGGTAACACAGAAAAAAAAATGTGAACTTTACGCGACTTGGCTCAAAAGGTCACGTGTAAGGTCGAGGTGCTCTTTTTTAGCCGCCGAGCTCGAATTTCGGGCGTGTGTGGTTGAATTAGCCGCCGAGCTAAGTGCTGACTGTGAAGTTGAAGTACTCGGATGGAAAGCGTTTTGTTGAAGATCTCTTGAGGATTAGCTGGCCACCATGGTCGTTTGTTGGCACGCGAACGTTTGCTTTATGGCTCGTTAGTAGCTTTGAATGGTGCATTTTTTGGCAGTTGACACCAGTTCTGTAAGTTTTAGCGCTTGCTAGCTGCCCACTGGTTGGTTGATGGACGTGGTAGGGGAAATGGAGGTAGCGGTATTTCTGGTGTGTGTTTAGTGTAGCTCCGTGTACAGCTCGTAAGGATATCGTGTCGAGGCCTCGATCTTGAAAACTTCATGAATTTTGAAACGCGACCAAAAGTCGTGAGCTCACTCGATACTGCTCTTCATGGCCTTGACCAGATATTCAACAAGGTTCTCAACGAAATGTAAAGCTAGGATACCCAAATATCGCCACTCATTTTTGTGTCAAGAAACAGAACGCAGTTGTAAAAGACATATTTATTGTGCCCCGTCGCGTCTGGCTCACACTCATTCGAGGTAGTGTACATATCAACATCCACGTCCGTGTAGTGTCAGTATGGAATGTTCAGTAACGCCTGTCTTTCAATGACGCTTTGTTCCAGTTTGGTCTTCAAACAGCCCAAAAACTATATAAAATACCAATCTCAAAGGGCAGCAAGCACACTCTAGCTAATCTGTACAATGTCATTGAAACTCCAATGGCGCCTTGTGCTCTGAAGTTCGCTGAAACGCGCTACGCTTCGCTATGCTTCGCTTTCGAAGACATTGGCAAGTGGTAAAAGGCCGTACAGAGTTAAATAAATTATCGTAAGGAGAATAGGGTGCTAGATAAAAGGAAGCCGATTATGCGATGCGGGGTTGAAATCAAGTGTATGGGCAAATACGGGGACTTCCTTTCTTGAATATATAAATAGTGAAGAAGTGAAGCAGAACAACGATTTTGACTGTGCTTTCTTCCTTTCATTTTTAACGTTCGAATACTGATTTTTTTTGGATTTTGGATTTGGTCTCGAGAGACTCCTCAAACATGTTTTCTCGTCCTCATTGCTTCTCTCTTGCTGAGTTTAATGTGTGTAAGTGTGTGTGTGTGTGTGTAGGTCTCTCTCTCTTTCGCTTTTCTCTCTGTCTCATTTCCTTTCGTCATGTATGTAAGTGTGTTCCTCAGTATTGTCGTAAGAGGCAGCACACACAACTTTGGGATGCTGAAATTTGAGTTGTTTCGTGAGTTTCTAAAGTCAAAACTTTGGCTAGAAACGGCGTCTCATTCATTTCTTAGGAGGGTTGTAAACGAACTTTCTGTTCTTGATACCGGCCCACTTGAACTTCTTAACCCAAACGGAAAGTAGGTATAGCGAAGACAACACAATGATAGCCTTTAAACCCAATCTCTTTCTTTCGTCGTGTTCAGGCTCACTGCACCAGTGCAAGAAAGTAGTAACGTCCTTGGCCATCTGGGAAGTGGTGGCTGGGGTGCCGTCCTCGTATTCGACCAAGTCGTCGAACAACACACGCGCCATGGCAATGGAACCACCTGGGAAGTAAGGGTTGTAGTTGGAGCCTGGAGGCAACACCACACCGGCTGGAGGCTCGTCAGGGTACCCGGTCAGAAGAGCGAAGATGTAGTCCGAAGCACCGTGTCTGGCCTTGACAATCAACGACAAATCGGGAGGCAAAGCACCCTGGTTGGCAGCACGAGCAGCCTGTTCGTTGGGGTAAGGACCTGGGATGTAGTCGGCAAGCTTACCGGTACGCTTTTTGGGGTTACCTTGCTCATCAGGCTCATCGTCGTACTCGAATTCCTCAGCCATGGCACGCACTTCTTCGTTGGTGTGGGACACACCAACCATTGTACGCCAAGCGATTCTGTCGAGCGAGTGGCATGCGGCACACACTTCACGGTAGACCTGGTAACCTCTTCTGATGGAAGCGTGGTCGAAAGTCTCGAGAGGACCGTTGTGGGCCCAGGCATACGAAGGAGGATGTAGACCGTGCTCGGCAGCGGTCATGGCCTCTGCAGTGAGAGAATCGGCGTATAGAGCGGTGGAAGCGGCGATACCGGTGGCAACGGCGCCCGCGACGCCTGCGCGGCGGATCCAACCGTTTGAAGCCGCGTTTTTGGCAGTAGAGAACGATCTCTGTGGGGGAGGGAAATAAAGGTTAGTAAAATAATTTGACAAAAGTTGAAGGGGGGGGCGGGGTTGCGTGGAGGTGTGTGGGATGTGTGTTGTGTGTGTGGAAGAGTGATTGGAACACAAAATAGCTACTCCAACCAGCGTGCTGGGCTGAAAAGTAGTCGACATGTTTCGACATGTTTGGACTTACCGACAAAATGTCTCATTCTGACACTTACGACCGTGACAGAGCAAAAAGCCTGGGTCTCAACGCCATTCGTGGGAAGCCCTCGAATCCGATCTCGCACTCATCTAGCAGTAAAGAATCCCACGAAGCTCCTCATCTAGATCTGACACTTCACTCTTCAATCTTCGCTCTCATTTCGCTCTCACTCTCACTTCACTCTCACCTCTCTCTCCCCTCCCTCCCAAATCTTAACATACCATGCTGCTGCTGCCCTTGACAGCGTTTCTTATGGAGCTGAACATCTTGCTGAACTATCGCTGAGTGAAAAACCTCTGTAAAACTGCGGTATCCGTCAAAACCTGGATAAACCTCTCTCGAAGCAAAGTCTCCTTAACGATTCTTGACTAACACTAGTTATCACTATCCGTCAATGAGCTCGATGGATATCCAAGTGGTGTTGTTGGTTCAAAACTTTTTTCACTCTTAGCGAACGAGATGGTTGGTCAAAGTTGATAAAATTCGGTAATATCGCTGTGCGGTGATTTGATCGTAGAAAATGTGATCGCGTAAAAAGAAGGGCAAATTTTTGGCAGTGGTGGGTCACTGTAGACGAGCGGCTTTTCCAGCATTGTGATTGGTGGAGACAGCGGGCCAGGAGAATATATTGTGAGTGTCGTTTTGGACGGATGTTTGGGCACTGGTGTGCACGTGATCTGGATGTCAGAGGAAAAGAGACGAGATGGAACGAGGGCTGTGTGTAGGTGTGTGTGTGTTCGAGAGTTTGAATTTTGATTTGGCATGGCACTGTGCTATATGCTTTTAAGTCTCATCTGTTTTGCGAGAGACTGAGTCGGGTGCTGCGGTAAATTTTTCTACCGAAGAGTGATTTTGATTATTTAGGCAGATCGTTTAGGTCCTGAGTTTATGAAATCCACCCGCAGCGACAACAATGCTGTAACGACTTCCACGTAACTTGTATTGAAAGCCCAAAGTTTCGCAGCTCGAGTGCAGCTGTCATTGAGTCACGTGACACCCCCGTCATCCAGGGCGATATCGTCTCTGGCAAGAGGTTTCGGTTTCACTCTAGATCCAACTTTCAATTTCTTGAATCTCCACTGGATATGAAGATATCTGGATGCTGAAGGCCCCCTGGGCAACACCAAATGGTCTGATGTCATTATTTCTAAATTCTTTAGTTTCGAAAGCATTGCTGCATTGCGGCGAGCATTTAATGTAACCCTTCAACCGGCAGATGAAATTTTCCTAAGAAGACTGGTTTCTTTACTCTATTTCTCACACTCTAAAAACCGTTCTTCTATGACTAAGTATCGAGAAATATGGCTTTCTTGCATTCGCCGTCAGAAGTAGCCTTTCCCATTTGATTCGTTTTTCAGCCAATTTGTTACAGCACCAAAAATTGCCTACGTTCTTTTGGCACGATTGCGTTGCACATATATCTCAAGAAATTCACCTGGGCGTGGAAATTGGATTGTTGAGACTAAGCTTGTGTCTGATAGTCCTCGATATTCATAGCCTTTTTTTTTTCGACTTGTCCTGCCTTAAAGAGACCAAGAACAATTAAATGCAAAGAATTGGCAATGCACAACCCTTCAAACACGAAAGATAATTCCATCATCTGACCATGATCGTGTTCACAATCAATTTTCTTTCAAGGGCTTAGGTCACTAACAGTATCAGATCGTGACGCAGCTCGTATTGTCACAATTTTCAGCGTAATTCTGACGTGATTGAGAACTCATAAAGCATCCTTCTTGCGTTAAAAAAAATTCGCTGAATAATAAGCCACTAGAAAGCCTCTTCTAATGGAACAGTTCAACATCTCAAGCTCGCCCTCAGTCATCGATACATCCGCTGTTTTCGTGACACTGTTCTCTTTCGTCTAAAGATCTCACACACACGTGATCTCATCTACCTGCAACTGTCCTTTATAATCACTACAGAGAAGACTACTCTGAATTATCGCCAGAAACTCACATCGGCAAATGGAGACTGACGTGCGATACACGTTTCTGGATGCGCTAGATCATTTGCCCTCGGACTTAATACGAAGCCTTTGGACCATCCAGGGACTCGAACTTCGGCAGGATGAAATCCGAACTTTCGTAGACCAACAGGCTGTCAAGGAAGCTCAGCATCTCCAAAGGTTAATCCAGCAACGTCAAGAACAACTTGACTTTCAAATACAAGAAATGCAGGAAATGGCGGAAGTTCAAGCCCGTTATTTGGCCCACGAGGAGTCAGTAGAACTCAAAACCAAATCGGCCAAGACCCATACCAGGATACCGCAGCCTCCAGAGCCTTTGAAAATCAAAATAAATCTCAAACCAAGCCATTCAGATGAACCGGTCTACTGCCACTGTCGCAACGTCTCTTACGGACAAATGATCGCGTGCGATAATCGAAGATGCCCCACAGAGTGGTTCCATTATGCGTGTGTAGGGCTCACACACGCTCCAAAAGGCAAATGGTATTGCAGCGAAAGATGCCATCGTCAAGCTACGAAAAAGAAGTTTATGAATTTATGATATAATAAGAATGGGTTTAGGTTTAACAAGAATCGAACAGCTCATCAATGTTCAGTCACAACTGTAGTATATACAAACCAGAAAGGCGGGTTTTAATTAGAGGTTCTTGGTATTAGGCGAAACAAAAGTCTATACATGTCGACTAGATACATACAAGCTTAGGAAAACCCAACACCAAAATTTGAAATGTAACAGAGAAGTAAAAAGAAAAAAAATAGGCTTTAGAGATAATAAACTCTTGACACTATAATTTTCTTTACAAGTCCTTCTTCAAAGTACCCATGAAAGCGTGCTTCTCAGCAGGAGTTTGGAATCTACCCTTACCGAACTTGGAGGCAGTGTCGATCCACTTCAAGGTGACTTCTTCCAAGGCCTTTCTGGAGGTGTTGGTGTACATGGACTTTCTCAAAGTAACAATTCTCTTTCTGTTACCTGGGATAGAACCCTTAACCATGACGAAGTCGTTCTTAACAGGACCGTAGGCGACGAAACCACCCATTGGGGTGATGGTCTTCTTGGTTCTGTCGAACTCGGTGGAGGCGTTACCCTCGTCTTCACCCTTACCAACTCTGTAGACCTTGTGGTTGATAGAGGTTCTGGTGTGGAAACCGTTTTGACCGGCTCTGGCAACAGTCCACATAACGTGGGCTGGATGCCAAGCACCAATACAGGCAACCTTTCTCAAACCTCTGTGGGTCTTTCTTGGAAGCTTCTTGGTGCCCCATCTGTGGGTAACACCTTCGAAACCGTGACCCTTGGTGACGGCGCAGACGTCGATCATCTCGTTCTGTTCGAAAACAGAGTCGACAGAGACAGTCTTCTCGAAGTGTTCACGAGCCCAGGCGGTCTTCTCGGCGACAGAGCCACCGTTCAACTGGATCTCGGCCAAGTGAGCCTTCTTCTGGGTCAAAGGAGTCTTTCTGACCTGGGTGTGGGCCAAGACTCTGACGACAGTGGCGTACTTGTTGATTCTAGCCAACTCTCTCTCGATGGCAGCGCCGTCTTGAGCGTACTTGGCAGAGTACTTGGTGAAGGCCTTCTTCTTGGACTTGTACCAGTTCTTGTAGAATCTTCTCTTGATCTCGTCGGACAAATGTTCAGCCCAGACGGTGGTCAAGGATCTCAAACCTCTTGGAGTCTCAACGTAACCCACGACACCGACAACAACCATTGGAGGAGTGTCGACGACAGTGACGGCTTCGACGATCTCACGCTTGTGGAACTTGGAACCTGGACGGTCCAAGTCTCTGACAATGGTCGACATACCGGCCTTGTAACCCATGAACGAGGTCAAGGCGACTGGCTTAGTCTTGTCGTCCTTTGGGAACGATCTCACCTTACCTCTGATGGAGGCGGCTCTCTTTCTGGGCAAAAAACCCAAGTGACCGTGACGTGGAGCTTCGTACTTTCTGTGAGACATTTCTGTAAAGTTGTGTTGATGGTTTTTTCAAAAGAGAAGAGAGAGATAGAGGAGGAGGAGGAGGACGATGAGCTGAAAATGTGGGTCTTTATATAGGCGATGAGCTGCCGCTAAGTGACGAAAGAAAAATTTTTTTTACCCGACGTAAGAAGTGAGAGAAAAAGAGGATGAAGAAGATTTTTAGCGTCGGTGACACAGACGTGGAGAGTGATATGATAAAGCGACACACCTCGAGTAATGGACAAACGACACGACCAGGGGGCATTGTAGTTGCAGTAGCATAGCTATCGAAAGAGCACAGCAAGTTTATATCCATGCAACATTTTTTATTTTTTCTCATTTTTCCATAATCACCGTTTAAACATTTTGGAATAAAAGGTGATATTTGGTCGGGAAACCGATCCACAACCACGTTAGAATCTCGAGGTAAGATAGGGCATTAGAAGACTTAAAATCAGAGACAAAGTGGAAAAAAACAGTACAAGAAACGAGAACATATACTACACACCGCAGCACACTACAATGCTGTTGCGTTTCGTCTGTAACAAGTCAGGTGACCAAAAAGCTATTCTATCCATCGATCGTACGAAACGAGTTCATGTTCATATATTATATACACCCAATAAGATACCCAGTACGATACCCAGGACAACACCCGTTTTTTCGCACACCAACCTGGGCCACCACTACTGTATTTGAATATAAATCCCAGGCCTACCCAGCAATGTTCTACCTAATTCCTGTTCGATAATTCACTCTCTGCTCTCTTGCTCAATTCCACATCTTTTCCCCCGGCTAGCGAAAAACACCCCACATTTTTTTCGACATAGGCAGATGTACCCAAAGAGACATAGAATTAGAGAAAAAGCGTATATATAAAGACAGTTTCCCTGTCTGTAAGCTCGTAAAGTGGTGGCAGCGCTATACGTTCGGGAACTAAGAGAGACAGGTGTTAAATTGTGTCTTCGAATAGGACAAATTATTGTTTGGAAAGGAACTAGTATTATTTCCAAGCAATTGTTGAATTACCACCAGACAGTTATCTTTTACAGTTATCTCTTACACGACTTGAAACCAACCTTCTCACCACCACTCCCACATTCAATCATGACGCATTATCCAGTGACCAGTCTCGACGACGGCGTCCTTACACACCAAAACATGATGCTCTTAGAAAACGTGACAAACTTGGAAAGACCTGCCATAGACTACTACCATTGCGACCTTTCGCGAGACGATCCCCTGGTGATGCCCCAGACCTGGAACCTACTGCTGCGGCTCGGCAAATACAAACTGCTGCGGCTGCCCTCGTGTTCTGCAGAAGATGAAAAAGACTACCAGCGATATGTGAAAAGATTGCACCATTGTCTGTGGCGTCGCTGGTCCATCTCGTACTACAAGCTGGGCACCAAAAAACTCGATCCCGGGGCGATCAACTGGAACAAAGAACAGGACTTCACCGTGCTGTACGGCCCGGACCTCACTGTGGACGACGAGCGTCCACATCCAAGCCCAGAACCGAAACCTCAGCACTCCGAAATAGAGCCAGCAGACGCCAAACCTGTGCTGTCGCTTGTGTCCTCCAAAAACGTAGACTCTGAACCCGAGGATTTCTTTAGCTGCGTCTCGTCATCGCTCGAGTCCCGTGACTCCTCCATCTTCGACCACGTCCCTTCAAAACCGTGTCTCAGACACGACAAATCTTCCCATCGTGGCCGCAGGCGGCCTCTGAAGTTCAACGACCAGGTGCTGTGCCGCAACATCGACCCTTACGGTTCTCTTTGTGAGTGCAAAATTGTACTAAATGACACCCACATGCGTATTCTACAAAGCGAGTCCGAACCGGAGCCAGAAGCAGACTACATTCAGTATCCCACTGGCATCTGGGATGCAGAGAGCGACCTGGATTTGGAATTTGCTTGAAAAGACAAAAAAAAAGTCCTGCGGTAAAGTTCTAGCTTCATCGCACCCCGTTCGTGCTGCGACTTTTTACTCGTGCAAACATGTTAATGACCAACCTTGGTTCGAGTGCCCTCAACCAAACTTTTTACGACATAAGCTTTTACTCGGATAGTGATGGAGAAATTAGAATAATAATATATATATACCACCAAATGTTACAGCTAAGATCCTGCTCGGCCCGAGTTTAATTTTTGCGTGTTAGCTTTGTAATGTGAATTATGGTCGTTAATTCTCGTCTACTTCGTGGTGGTAATGCAACGAAGAAAAACCTAGTGGTATCGACTTGTTTATTACCAGGCGTTTGGAATACTGTCTTTTTCTCAAGGTGTTTTTGGTCTATCTGTGGGAATTTGGTAGCAGCACTTTTTATTGGGTGTAGTCCGTCTTGAAAAACTTGTGAGCCAGTGTTTCTTGAGCCGTGAGTCTTTCTTGGTGGTCGTATCTTAGCAGATTGTCAATCAAATCCACCACTTCCGGCTTGACAAGAGCACTGTCGTGGGTGATGAAGTCTGACCAGTTCTTGCGCGGGAATTCTTTCATGATATCGTCATACTCGTGAGGGAGCTTCAGCCCATATTTGCGTAGGTATGCCAGGAGCTCATTAGTTCCAAGAACACGAGCGATTTTGACCAATTGGTCAGGGTTCGTGCTACCTTTGAAAAAGGGCTCTTTCTTGAAAACAATGGCGGCAAACATGCAGCCAACGGACCACAGATCCAAGGAGTAGTCGTACTGGTTCAAATTGACCAGTAGCTCGGGTCCCTTGTGGTAGCGAGATGCAACTCTGACGTTGTAGTCGACTCCTGGGTGATAGAATTCTGCTAGCCCCCAATCAATGAGCCTCAATTTACGTTCTACGGGGTCGATCATCACGTTCTGAGGCTTGACATCACGGTGCATGATACCCATGGAGTGGCAGTAGTCGAGAGCGATCAACAATTGCGTGAAATAAAACTGGAGGTCTGGCAGCGTGAATTTAGGGTACAGGGTACGGAAATCCACGTTCTTCACCTCTTCGAAGATAAGCGCGGGGATTTTGGATCCTGGGTCCTGCACGATGTCCAGCAGGCCGATCACATTGGGTCCACCGGTCAAGTTGGTCAAAATCTTCAGTTCTCTATAGATTTTCTTGAGCTTTACGGGTTTCAGAACTTTGATCACACAATATTGGTCGTTCACGACGCTTTTCCCGCGAAACACCTCGGAGTACTTACCACGGCCAATCTTGTTAACAATCTCGTAGTGCTCGATCTTGCCCCAGTCCACTGTTACTCCTTGTTCATAATCCCAGTACTCTTGAGGTCTCTTGGCGCACGCGTCCTGGTACACTCTTGCCACCGAGTAAACTCGGCTGCTTTTCTGGTTCAAAGCGGAGGGGGGAAGAGGCATTGTGTGGCGGGGCTAAACAAAACTTCCTAGGTCCGAAAAAGGCCTGTTGAGTCTGTTTTTATGCTGGATATTTTCAACTGATTTTCAAATTTTATTGGTGTATGATGAAAACTGAGCTTATAATTACTTAGCGATGGATCTTTTCCACCAGATCACTTTTTACCACTGTGTCGTGAAGCATGAATACGAAATTTATACATGCTTTGAAGAGCTTTCCAATAATGTGAACACTATTTCATTCATATTATACATATCTACTTCTGGTTTCAGTTTGGAGCTTATGTTTCTCGCAATTTCTTGGAAAGAAATAGACTTTTGGTGAAAGGCCGTGTTCCAGTTTCTAGAATGAAAGCGTATACTTGGAGTACCTATGCCAAAAGCCCTCAAAATCAACAAGGATTTTAATGCTCAAAGCCTTGTTCTGGGGTTGAATTTTTGTATCTTGTCTTTGACGTCTGGTTTAAGAACAGTAGACAGAACAAGATAGAGATATATTAATCAATGCTAGGGCTTTAAGAGACGAACAAAAAAGAGAGGTAAAATAAAAGTCATACACGAAGCCCGTCTGAATGAAAGCTTGTTATAATTGTAGAGAATCTATTCGAAATTATACGTCTGTTGCACACTGGAAACAGTAGTGTGGAAATATCAGTGACGAGATGGGATGAGGCACAACGATCAGGGACCACTCAAGGTCCAAAATCCCCGACCATAAAAGGCTCCAAGCGTCAAAAGATGATGCAGTCAGGGTCAAAGTCTCCATAGGACTCAACAAAGCTGCCAGAGACCACTTTCCGATAAATCCTCCTCACGTGACTCAATTTGTACACGCTCGAGACTTTCTTTAAAGATTATAATGTGAAAACCTACTCATCATCACCTTGGACCACATTCTATTCCGAGACGCAAGGTCCTATTAACGTCCACTTTCGAGCCCATCAGACCCAATTGGCTGTTATGCGGGAGTCATCACGGTCATGAAACTCGATTTGGGCGACGGAACGATAGTTCTCGATGTAGATTTGCAACTAAACAACAGCGCGGGCGATGGCCCCCAAAAATTGAGCCCTACAAGCTGTGCTCGCGTGCTGGCTTACATTGACCGTTTAAAACTGCCCCTGTGGGTGCTACGGGGCGCTGCGTACACGTGCTGGAGCGAAAGCCCAACGACAGCGGCGTATTTCCGGTCAAAGCTGTTGAAAAAGAGACACGTTCGTCGTGGGATCATAGCGTCGCACAAGGAAGGCCATTGTATGTTCTACGCATCGCAGCCGGATCCGGAGAAGCTAGTTTTCGAGATATACTGTGTAGAGCTCGATATCCTCTCGTGCAGGCACCGACTGGACCTGCAACTGCCCAAAAGCACAGGAGCCAGCGGCGAAGTCCTGGACAATTTGGTGGCCCGCAGACAGCAGCGACAGCTGCGCAGCCGATCTCAGGTCTCTACGCACGCGCAGTTCGCCGATGTGAAACGTCAGTTCGTGAAAACGGCCGCCAGCTGCATCCGAAGCGGCCTGCGTCTGCGTGGCATGCCCGAAGCGCAGCCAGAGTTTCAGTTGCTGTACAAAACCACACTGTCCACAGTGGAGTTCGCTCACAGACACGATTTGAACGCTCCACGACACCCGGTGCCCTTTGAGCTCGTCCAGGAATCCGTAGAGACCGTTCTGAGACTTTTCACGGGCACGTGAATGGAACGTGATCTCACATCCCGTTAAAGGCGACGAGCACAGCCTGGCGCGCTTATGTAATATTCAAACAGCAGCTTGCTCTCCAAGGCATTCGTCCGATATGAATGACTTAAGCCTGTGAAAATGAACTAGTATAAAAGCGGCTGGGAAAACGATCTCCAGAAAGCAACGGCTAGACATCAATCGTCTCCAAGACTCCAACAAAGCTCTGTAATCACATTACAGCAGTTTAGCTTGGCCACGCGTCTTTTTAAAGTGTCCAGTCACGGTATCCTCACGGTCTCAGCCTTTGAGCTCCAGGTCTTGCAACAAAAATCGCCCAATTGGCTCCAACAAGAACAACAACAGTTTTCCTCTGCATCGCTATAACCCTCGCTGGTGTGCGTGGATATCACAGGGCTTTCACATCTTCTAGCGGGTGCTTGAAGAAGTTGGGTTTTTGGTGGGTGTCGCAGCTTCATCGGTAGCTTGACTGACATTTTGGGCATTTTGGCAGCCTCGAAAACTTCGAATTTTGACAAGAAAAAGACATGGGTAAGCATCTGTTCGTGTTGGTGCACGGATTGTGGGGCAATTACAAGCATATGAACGCGATTCGCGATGTGTTTTCGGACGCGTTCAAAGACAGTTCAGACGTGCTGTTTTTCTCACCGCGACAAAGCGGGTATTTCAAGACTTTTGATGGCATTGAAATCGTCGGCTATCGCACGCTGCTGGAAATTTGCCAGTATGTCGACACTTTCTCGAAGGACGAAATCTCAGCCATCAGCTTCGTAGGGTATTCCATGGGTGGGCTCATTGCCCGTTTCATCGTGGGCAAAATGTTCACCGAGTGTCACGAGCTGTTTCAAGGCATCGAGCCGCAGCTGTTCATCACCTTTGCCACCCCCCATCTCGGAGTTCATTTTTTCCTGCGCGAACATCGAGCAAGCCACCATCGCGCCATATCACGAATTTTGTCGACTTTGGGGACCACAGTGCTCGGTAGAACTGGCAGACAGCTGTTTATTCAGGACAGCTTACCAAATGAGTCGATTTTGGTTCGACTGAGCGAAGGAGAATACTTGGAAGGTCTTAAACGCTTCAAGCATCGCATATGTGTTGCCAATGTCAAGAATGACCGAACCGTTGCTTTCTACACATCCTTCATCACTGACAGCGACCCGTTCTTGGAGACTGAAAATCAAATCAAATACGAGTTTGAAAGGAACCTACCAGGTGAGAACCTGTGCATGGTGCCTCGTATCATAGACATGAATAGGCTGGATCCTGAATCTTCAAGAGCCCCTCCCGAAGTCCCACAGCTGTCGCGTTGGCTTTTCATATTCGTTGTCTGTTGCGTCGTGACATTTGTGCTGCCGTTAATTTTCGCAGCCAACGTCTTAGGTACATGTTATTCGTACTTGGCAACCGTTCACTACCAGAATTTGCTTCACCAGGGCGAAGGTCGTAGTTTACTGCGTCGAAAGCTGGGATTGCGAGACAAGATTGCCGACACTCTTCGTGACACGGTGGGGGTTATTGCGAGCGAGGATGAAGACAACTTAGGGGCTGACAATGGCCAGACAATTGTCAGAGAAGACACTTCTTGGGAGGATTTTATTGCGAAATATACGGGTTCGTGGCCGAATGACTCGAAACCAAAGTTTAGCACGTTGAATTTCGACGATCAGCGGCAACGGATCCTCTCGAATTTGAACAAAGTGCCATGGATACGGATTCCGCTCTATGTCAAGGCTCTCAATGCGCATGATGGCATAGTTGCCAGGAAGGGCGTCAAAACCGCGACACCATACACAGTTTCTGGACTTCAGTTTGTTGCCCAAATGGTACAGTTTTTGATGTCGCACTAGCAAATGCATACGCCTGAAAAGGATGGCTTAAATGAGCTTGAAATAAAGCTTCAAATAAAATGGAAAAAAAAGTTGGTTAATGTGGGCCTAAATTGGGTTGCAATTGGTTTCGCAGCGAGCAGAACTTCTGGTATTTTTGCTTGTGTGCGAGGATGCGCTTCATCATCTTTTCGGCCTTTGTTCACTGAGTGGTGACGCTTAGTTGGATTATTGTTTTACTTATTTACGTAGTGGTTTTCTTGGTTTTTTGGTTACAGTTATTTGAAAGGAAATGCTTCGGCAAGATTACACGTTGAACAGATGGATGCCTTGACAAAATAGACGTCAGGAAAATGCTTATAACCATTTTTCTTCTGGGTTCGCCTTGTACTCATGATAGTCTTTCATGTTAAAAAGCGATATTTCGGTCTCATTGCCTATATCGTAGTTAACCAGCTTTTTGCTCAAGTCTTGCAGCATCCAGTCCTCGTCATGATCGAAATTTATTATCAAATTCACCGTCTTGGAACCGTGTGCATGTGTGTAGATCTTCAATGTGTCAAATTCGATGTTGCGAAAGGCCCGGAAAGCCCCAGTTGCTTTGATATGAGACAATGAATCGGTTTTCAAATCCTGAACGGTCTTCTCCATCAGGTTGTAGTCATTGAAAATGATGTTTTTGACGTTTCTGTATGGGAAAGATTTGATCACTCTCACGGTAATGGTAGCATTGGTGACTGGGTAGGCGAGATTGTCAGTTATACTGCATGTAGAATCGTAGAAGGAAAAGGCATCGAGGTTTTAGTTTAGGATATAATCTCACATACGTGGTTTGACAGAGCTAGTGAGGGGCTCTTCAGCATCGAAATTAACAGAAGACGACATTTTGTGGTGTTGGGTGTTGAGAAGAGTTGAGCTCAGCGGCGATGAGCTCGTTTTACCATTTACCAGACCATGGAAAAATAGAATTCGAGATTTGGGCTGGGTATTCGTATATTGTGCCGCGAGCCAAAAAATTGAGAACTCCTCATAGGGGGCTCGAACCCCTGACATTTCGGTTCCTTGCAAGCGGTGCTTAAAAGCCGAACGCTCTACCAACTGAGCTAACAAGGACGAGTTCTTGGCAATGGGGAAAGCGCGCAAACCATACTTTGTTAACACATCACGCGATTACCGAGCAAGAGCATCCTGAGGACAGAATAGACTCGAAGAAGGACGGATGAAGTCGAGTCTTCGAAAGGTGTGCTGAAGATCCAAGATAAGCTTGCTTCAAGACATCATGCCGTGAATAAGTTCATCTATAAAAGGTAGCCTCAACGGGCTAGAAGTTTATAAAGAGAACTCGAACTGTTGATCATCGCTGGCGATGCTGTGAGCAGGTCCAAGAAGCTGCATTCGATTCATATAAAAATCGCCACACACTCGAAAAGCACGTCTCAAGCAGTACTTATCATTGTCTTCACAATTTTACCTCCACCAGTCTTGTTTTTTGCCCGAGAGTTTGACATAATTGTTTAATTACATTGCGTAAGAAAACTAACAAAACAAGAAAGCTATTTTTACAAAGGTCACCACGAAGGATCTCAAACTCTGCAACAATTACTCTAACACCATGTAAATTCTTCAACACTGGCGCATTTTTGTTTCAGCCGTACCGGTCGTCTCTATCCTCTCTGATATTTAATGTCTTATTTACCTTTCTCTTAATAAGGCATATTATAAACAATCAACGACAGCTCAAAAATACAGAACTTCGCTACATGCTCTCATCTCTCTCTATACTTTTGAACCACATAGACTTTTGCTTGACCCATAGGAAGTACGCCAATAAGCCAGGGAACCGACTTTAAATTCAGACCCTGGTCATGGATTGCCACAAACATTTGACGTCGTCGGGGCCGAACATTGACAAGCTTCGAGATCTTAACGAAAACCAGGCCCCGAAAAACCTGTTTTCAGAAGATGCTTTTTCTCAAGCCACGACCCTGTCGCACCATTCGTCTTCCACCACAGCGTCGTCACTGAGAAGTCCACTCATTTTCAACAATATCTCCTCAGAGGCAACCGAGTACATGCGTTTGACACCGGTGAATATCAAGAACCTGACTTCCCCAACAAGAGGCCCTGAAAACCTGGCACTCGTTCCCAGAGACGAAAGCACCACATTCACTGCACACAAAGATAACTTCAACCTTATAAGTCGCAAACTGGAGAAATTACTGGAGGAGCTCAACGTCATCTACCGCGAGATTGGATACTCTAACACCGAGATATCAGACAAGGAAAAACTCATCTTCAACCACATCTCGGACTCCATCACCGGGTTTTTCGAGCACGCACACCAGGAACGTGAAAGAATCACGAAGGACAACGCCGTTTCCCTGCAGGTTTTGCAACGCATATTGCATGTCATAAACGATCCCAAGGGCACCACGACGATTCCAGATCTGTACACCCGCAATGTAGTTGTGAACTCTTCGGAGCAAAACCCAAGCTCGCCCAAAAAGCAGACTTCTTTGCTTACCAGACGCAAGATCATCTCCAAAGCCAAGAACTACGTCATTAAAACTTACACACCGAAGCTGAGCACCTTTCTCGACAGCGTGATCAGGCTTAAAACCTTGGCAGCCGCCATTGAGGACTACGTTCCTACGAATCAGGACTGGGACATTCAAGAACTACTTTCGGTGGTGCCACCGCTTGATACTTGCAGTTATTACCGGGGTTGCCTGTCATCTGCTCACCATGACATTGACAAAACATGTGCGTTTATCATCCAGCATCGACAAGCTCTTTTAAGTACCATCAACTTCAATGATGTGTCTGATAGCATAGTAGAACGCGTGAGTGCTGTCGTTTCCATGTTTGAGAATGAGCTGGAGTCAAGACTAAAGAAAGCGCTGGTGATGAAAAAAGGCATTCTAGGCCTCTTACAGTTGTTGAACCTAAAGCCTGAGAAAAACTTGGATGCACCAACATTAAAGATTCTCAAGCAGCTTCCTGACGAGGCCGGAGCCCTAACCACAGAAAGCGGCAGGAAACACTCCGAAACTAAAAACCTCGCATTTTCAAATTCGACATTAGAGAAGCTGGAATCAGTGTTGCGTGAGTTCAAGGCTCTTGAAACAGAGCGCCGACAAGAGAAGCAAAGTTGTGCTCACAAATGTAGTCAACTGTGGGAAAAACTGAAGATTCCTCAGTCCTATATTATCAAGTTCGAATCCTGCAACAACGACTTGTCAAGAGAGGCAGTTCAAAATTATGCCGAGGAGTACAATCGATTACAAGACATGAAAAAGAAGCTGATCAAAAATCTGATACAGGATTCATGGACGAAAATTCAAGAGCTGTGGTCGGCGATGCACTTTTCAAACCGAGACACAGCAGCATTCCAAGAAATGTTCAGTACGATGATTGATCGTTCGACATCTTTAGATGACGATGAAAAAGTGCTGGAGACATGCGAGGTCGAAATAAACGATTTGGAGAAGAAACTCGCCATGTACAAACCACTTTTGAAGTTAATTGATGAGTTTCGCTCGCTTCAGAACGACAAGCTGAATTTAGAAAAAAGTAGCAAAGACTCTTCGAGGCTTTTGCTCAGAAACTCGCATAGAATTCTGCTACAGGAGGAAAAGACCAGGAAACGTATAACAAGGCATTTTCCTAATGTCATTCAAGAGCTCATACGAAAACTTCAAAGATTCGAAGAAGATTCTGGTAGGCCATTCGTGGTAGAAGGAACCAGATACGTAGACATTGTGCTACAGCAAGAGGAAGAAATATTAAGCAAATACCCAAGAAGCAGAGTCAATTCCAATTTCAAAAATCCCGCGACGGCTGTAGCAGTAGAGTCCAAATCAACAATCGCGCCACGTTCTCCTCGTAAGGAGCGTATGCATCCAAGGTTTCAGCCAAAGAGCCATAGAGGTGCTACGCATAGGACGCCCATAAGAACTCATGGCACGATGCCTTTAAAAAATGCAGAGCATGAACAAAGAAGCGCCAGACCGTCGTATAATCGCTACATGAGGGCAACGCGCATGTCAAGCCCAATAAAAAGCTCGGAAACCGAAGCATCATCGACTGAAGCCGCACACAAAAGCCCCAGCAAGATTCCAACGTTAACAAGAAGTGCCACATATCCAAAGGAAAGCTCCTTTTTTACATCAAGCTTGAAGGCCAAGCCTCGAATGGCAATGCCAGAAGGATTATCTCAAATTTCTGTAAACAGACTAAATTCTGTCAACAACACGCCGAATATCGATTCTATGAACAAGAGAGGCAAGGCTGCTAGCAAGTCATTGTCACTGTCCTGGGTAGAAAAGATGGAGATTACTGAAAAGGAAAACATTATTCCACTTTCTTTGAGATCACCCGTGCGCCTGACCGATAAAATGCGGTCCAGCTTGGAATCACCTTACAGAGATGCCGACAATTCTCTATACAAGATCACAAAATCTCCAGAGGGAAAATTCCTACTGAACATTGAGTCTAATGCCACGGACAAAGGAGGAATAGAGGGGGAGGATACGAGCATGATGGCAGATGATGATAATTTTAGTAATTGGAAAAGAGAAAGATTGGCAAGAATGAACAGCAATGAAGGTAATAACTTGGATATCCCATCGAGCGTCAATTGGGAAACAGATGTTTTTTGAACATATGTAATTGTTTAACAAATGTAACATTATTAATATAGGTAATATAGGAGTTTTAAAGGTCAGTTTGAATTGTTGCTAGACGCGCATTTTACCATTGTTTTACCTCAGCACCTTTAGGTGGAACCGTTTCAACTGTTTTCTTGGCTACTTCCTCCCAATTTGTGTTAAGCGCTGTACCATTGCTCTCAATCATCGACTTCATCATCGCTCTTTGAGTATCAGGATCTGCCCTAGAGTACAGCTGTTGGAAAAAAGCGTCAGCCGACTGGTTCTTCTCGTCCTCATCGACATCAATTTTGGACCAGTCGATTGTTTTTCGGGACGATGTCGGATACGTGTGCACATTACCTTCGGCAGCAGAGGGAGCTTGTGAAGGTGTCGAAGACCTTGAGCTCTCAGCTGGATCATCCAAGCGTTTCCACTGAATTTTCTGTTTCTTTGTGAGTGTGATTTCGATCTTTTTGGTGAGCACGCTCACACTTATTTGATTGGGATCGACTTCATGAGATAGTTTTGTGGAGTATTGAAACTCGGACCCAGTCGCTGGTATTGGGTATGTTACCTCTAGGCTTCGAAGATCAGAGGATATCTGAGCAGCGACCGAGTTTTTGTCCTTTGGGAGCGAAGTTATGAACAGAGAAATGGTCAATGACATGGCTGATTGGTACCAGTCAGTTTTGAAAGAAGGTTTAGTCGCTTGAAGTGGCAACTCGTGATCTGTTGTTGTTAGAGAAGTCTCTATGACAGTATCTTTAGAGCTCTTGGGCTCCGCAGGCTCCGTAGAGGGTGCTACCTCGTGTTTCGATGGCTCTTCTTTTTTCAAAAGGCCATGCTTGCGTTCCCATTTTTGGAGCTTTGACTTCAAATTCGCCTCCCAAATTACCAAAGTGTCATCCAGGTAGCCCAACTCTTGAGCCTTGTCGAAGAAACCTTTTGCCAACGGGTATTGTCTACGGTTGTAGTGATGAACAAAAAGCCTGAAATTGGCAAGGGCCAGTTTCGATCGGTCTCCCCTTCTTTTCGCGATGTCCATGGCTTTCTCCAGAAGCTCCAAAGCATTTTGTAAAGTTACATCATTGTGCCAGCTTCTGAAACCGTAGTACAGTTTCTCCAAACACGCGGCCTTGTAAATGTGAGCTGTAAAATTATCCGGTGATTGGCTTAGAATAGCTTCATATAGTTCTAGCGCTTCCTCGGGTTTTTTGGCATCGTATAGAAGCGAATAAGCACTTTTCAAATCTGTTTCAATAGGCATTGATGTCGACTTAGCAGCTATACAGCTAGGTTTGTTTTTCGGATTGACAGGTCTCTTCTAGCTTCTTTTATAATCCATTTAGTTAATTATTATTATGATAATTTAGCAATCACGAGAAAAAGTCAGTTTTGACAAAAGTGATAACTACAAAGGATGTGACACGCTATGAAAAAGTGATATATGTCTAAATGGTACGATAGTTTATACTAGGCAAGTCATTGAGCACATTTCGAAGATAGTGAGTATGTGCTATAATCTACAAAAGCCGCGCCGATCATCCTGGATAAACTCTGCTCTTACAGTCCCGCCTTTCTCTATGTTTTGGTTTTATAGTACATTTTCTAGCTCGAATACTATATTTGAAAAATTTTGGGCGATGACTTGGCGATGAGCTACCAGCTATTAGACGCCGGAAGCGATCAAAAACCAGGGAAGCCTTCTATGTCTACCACATCTGTTGCCCATGTGAATAGTCTGGTTCTGGATGCGACGCCGTTGATTACACACTCGTATTCACACTACCAGAACTATGCAAAGACATTCTTTACAACACCTACGGTTTTCCAGGAAATCAAAGATGAACAAGGAAGGAGAAATCTCGATTTATGGCTGACTTTAGGATCTCTTAAGCTACGTCAGCCTCGTGCCGAATCAGTAAAAAGAGTAAGTGATTTCGCCAAGTTGACGGGCGACTATTCCGTTTTGAGTGCTAACGATATTCACATCATCGCTTTAGCGTACGAGGTAGAAGCTGAGCTAAATAACGGCGACTGGAGACTTCGTAAAAAGCCAGGTGACGATTTGAATCCCGTCGCGGAACTGGAAGCTCAGGCAAGCACCAATACGGCTAGCGCCTCTGACAAGGACAAAACCAAGAAGAAACGCAGAAGAGGTGGTAAGAAACAGCGTGAGAAGCAACAACAACGCGAGCAGGAGAGTAATGATACAGTTTGTGATGAAATAGAACCTACCAATCAGAAAACAGAGCCCGAGGAGAAGTTGGACGCCATTCTTGCAGAAAAGAAGTCGACCGAGGCCACTGACCCTGAAGCTCCTCAGGACTCTGAATTAGCTGGGGACGAGGAAACCTATTTCGACGACGATGACGATGGTGACTGGATCTCTCCAGAAAACCTGACTGAGACTATGATCAAAGACAGCGGTGAGGACACTACGGGGTCGCACGTCCGTGAAGATCTCAACGGGTACATGTCTGAAAACCATTTGAAACTACCGCAAAACCAGGTAGCATTGGCCACAGGTGACTTTGCAGTTCAAAACGTTGCTTTGCAGATGAATCTGAACCTGATGAATTTCCTTTCGGGACTTAGAATCAAAAAGCTTCGTAACTATATGCTCAGGTGCCACGCATGTTTCAAGATGCTGCCGTTTCCCAAGGATGGAACACCAAAACACTTCTGTCCCTCGTGTGGTGGTTCTGGCACCTTGATGCGCTGTGCGGTGTCCGTAGATGCTGCCACTGGTGAGATAACTCCGCATTTGAAGGCCAATTTCCAGTGGAATAACCGAGGAAATCGTTATTCGATTGCCAGTCCATTGTCCAAAAACTCGCAGAAGCGATTTGGCAAAAAGGGATTTGTGCACACCAAGCACGGGCAAGACGCCGAGCTGCTGAGGGAGGATCAGAAGGAGTACGAGAAAGCCCTCAAACAGGAAGAATGGACTCGCCGTCACAACGAAAAAGTGTTGAGCGACTGGACCGGAGGCGGATCCGCCGACAATTTTATCTCGCCATTTGCCATCACAGGATTGAAGCACCATTCCGTGAAAGTGGGACGTGGTCGCCACGCCAATAGTGTGGGACGTAAGAAATAAGATGTCAGGCTGCTTCACAAAATCTTGGCATTCCGTGATCTCAAAAATTTGGGTCACATCACATGCCATAAGCATAGGTTATCTGATTCAATAATGGGCACATCAGAAGCTCTCTCTAAGCATTGGCATCGAATGCGGTCACAACGCTTTTCTCAGTCAATTGTTGTACGGAGATTTCGAATTTTTTTAGTAGCTTCAAGTCAAGAAAAAAGGACGTTAGTGGGCTCTTTGGATAGGAGAAAATTCATCCCAGTTGACCATAACAGCGCCTGGGCTACTACCAGCCTTCTGGTCGACGTATTCATGCTTTTATGTTAGACCGTTGCTCATTTATGCTGTTAGTCGCGCTATACGTAAATCATGAGATTAATTCATCTTTTCAATTCAGCTAATTTCCATTGTTAAGCTAAAGAGTTTCTACCCAAACCTACACCTTAAACACTTCACCGATTGGTGCTCTCATCTACTAGTTTCAGATCTTTATAGCTCGAACTTTCAACAATGACTGGTTCCAATAATAAAACGCCAGGTATTGTATCGCCTCGGTTTTCCAATGCGGCTAGTAAAGCAAACCCTGATGGATCGATGGGTCCAGTGACCGCACCCGGTCAAAGCGGCAGCGCTAGCTCTCCTATTCTACAGGGAAGTTCAAGTCCCGCTTCGTGCGCTACGAAATCGATCATGAATGTATCAGGCACATCGGGAGCTGTGGTGAGTAACACCCCCGAACCAGGCCTTAAAAGAGTGCCAACAGTCACTTTTAGCGATTCCAGACATTTGACGCTGAAACAACAGGCCGTAAACAACTCGGCCAACCAGCAGACCAAGCCACCAGCGGGTGAGGAGTTAGACAAAAATTCGGAAGTGACAAGTCCTAAATTAAGGTCGACCACTTCTCCGACCAGTATCAGAAATCCTTCACCTCCACCTCTGTTGAATCGGACTGATTTAAGTGGTACTGGTATGCAGCAACGCCAGGGCTCCAATCAAAGTGCAGGTCGCTCGGACTCCAAAAAACCAAACCTGATATCAAAACTTTTGCACTCGGCAGACGTGTTGCATCATAGCTCAGGACATGGATCTAGCTCCAACGAACACACTACCGCTGGAGAAGAGTCGACCAAGGCGTCCCCTGTAACGTCAGACTCAGAGTCCAAGCGTGATACCAAAGACGAGCATCCCCATTTCGTGGTGGACGACGTTCTACATTCCCCCAGCTTCAGGTCGAGATCCGGCAGTGCCAGTCCTATGCCATCAAGTACACCTAGTAATACCTCCTTCGTGGTGGGCGAAAAGAAGCAAGACTCTATCTCCAGACAACAAGAACCTACGATCCTAGAGTCTCCAGACGAGGCGGTGGCAGAAACCCCGTTGGATCAGTATTCGACTTTCCAGCAAATCGCTCCTAACATTCCCAAGAGAGAGGCGGGAAAAAACTCCGAACCACGGCTGCCACAGGACGATGGAAAGCTACATGTTCTTTTCGGTGCCACGGGCTCCCTCTCTGTGCTGAAAATCAAAGCGATGATCAAAAAACTCGAAGAGATTTACGGTCGGGATAAAATTTCCATCCAACTGATATTAACGCAGGCTGCTGCTCAGTTTTTCTGCTCTAAAGCCAAAAGGCCAGCTAAGGTGGAGTCCAGGTCTGTTTCCGAAACCGCTGTGCCCGTGAATCCGGGCACATTTCCCACGGAGCTGCAGTCCGCAAAGGTGCAGGCGACTACTCCATCTGCCGCTTCACACAACCACAATGTGAACGATTGCGGAGCCATGAATTCCAACAACCCAATATCGGGCGCTGCGCTCAAGATTGAGCTCCCTGCTCATATTCAGGTTTGGACAGACCAAGACGAATGGGATGTATGGAAACAACGGATGGACCCTGTTTTACACATTGAGCTGCGTAGATGGGCGGACATTTTAGTCGTTGCGCCTCTTACGGCGAATACGCTGTCTAAAATCTCGCTGGGCCTGTGTGACAACCTTTTGACGAGCGTGATTCGTGCGTGGAACCCAAGTTTCCCAATATTTTTGGCGCCCTCGATGGTTAGCAGTAGTTACAATTCCAGCATTACGAAGCGTCATCTGAAAATGATCAAGGAGGAAATGCCTTGGATCACGGTCTTCAAGCCTTCTGAGAAAGTGATGGGCATTCACGGCGACATTGGATTGGGAGGTATGATGGACGCCAACGAGATTGTCGACAAAGTGGTGATGAAATTGGGCGGCTACCCTGAGGACGATGAAGAAGAGGACGATGAAGAGGAAGAAGACGACGACGACGACGATGATGTGAATAAGAGCACTCGACAGAAGGAAAATCGCTCGCTAGATGACGACGACGACGACGATGCCGACGACGATGATGATGACGATGACGACGACGACGACGACGACGACGATGACGACGACGACGACGACGCTGACGAAACCACCAGACGTCAGGAAACGATCCAATCGAAGCTGAAACCTCAGATATTGAAGTAAACGTCTGTGATCATGATTCACGTCACGTTTCTGGTTTTTCAGATTTTGCTCCTCAATCTTCCGTCTCAGGGAGCCACCCGTTCCAAACATTTCCAAAAGATTTAAAAGGGCCCCATCAAGACCACCAAATCATCTCGCTACCTGCCATTTTGCTTGTTCAATTGTTCGATCTTGTTTTACTACTGTCTATGTCTACTAAGTCACGTGGGTATGACGATGTCTACTTTTGAGAACTAAATTTCTTTCAAGCAGAAGATATAGTAATTCATGAGTAAGCTAAGCTATCATCTAGCTCATCGCTCAACGAACTTCTCGACTGAACAGCTAAAAGACTGACTTCTGTGTGAATTTCGGAACGTATACAGCGAAACTACAGAGATTTGGATCATGTCAGAACAACGCCACCTTCTTTTGCTGCATCCCGCGGTCACTGTGACGCCTGAAAAAGTCGAAGACGTGAAAAAGAACACTGTACTCAGTGAGTGTGGGATTTTGGACCAGTTTCTGATCAACAAGCTCAACGATGGTACTGTCAAGGTAGAGGACGGAACATACGACGTGGTGTACTATTTGACGCCGGAAAAAATAGAGGAGATCCAGTTTCCAGCAAAACTTATACCAGTGCTGACGCAGAGTCTGAAAGTAGGCGGGAAACTTTATGGACTGAGCGACGCATACAAAGTGCAAGCACTGATAAACGGGCTGGAAATTGTTTCTAGGGGCGAAAACTACCACTGGGTCAAGAAATCGAACTCGCACAACGCCACGGCACCAGTGGCTCTGAACTTGAGGGCGCCGTCGAAGCCAACCAACTTGGACGGGCCCTCTGGGTCTATAAGCAAGAAGCTCAGAGCGCTCCCCACGTTCAAAAAACTGTCGCCACAAGCTGCATCTAAACCACTACCCACATTCAAAAGACCCGAGTCTCCGAAATTCGCGGACGAGGTAGACGAGGACGACAGTGAGCAACAGGACGACGAGTCGGACCAAGATTCGGACGAGCTGACTGCTGCCAAATCGAAGTTCTTCGACAACGTGGAGGGCGACGACTCGGCAGAGTCGATCGACGAAAACGAGCTAGTAAACGAAGACGAAAAGAACGTCATTACGGTGGTGACGTGCGGCAAGACCAAGACCAGAAGACGCAAGGCTTGCAAGGACTGCACCTGTGGTCTAAAGGAACAGGAAGAACAGGCCATGGACGCCGCTCGGGCTGCGCAGGACAGCGTTCTGGGCCAAGAGGTCAAGTTTGACGAACAAGAGCTATCGGAGATCGATTTCACAATCCAGGGTAAAAAAGTGGGCGGATGTGGATCCTGCGCGCTGGGCGACGCCTTCAGATGTTCCGGGTGTCCCTATCTCGGGCTGCCTGCTTTCAAGCCTGGTCAGCCCATCAGTTTGGACAGCATTGCGGACGACTTGTAATTGCAGACAATTTGTAAATGCAGACAACTTGTAAATGCAGACGTATATATATATATATATATATAACCTACTCGGTTTGGCGTGGGAGAATGCTTTCTGGTAGATTAGCGAGTGTATGTTGGCAAACGGACGTGTAACCTGGTTCACTACGTCCAAAGTGACACATTCGAAATCGAAACCTTCAAATCCCTGGCATCATGGTCGAAAAGGTCTTGAAACGACGGGAGACGCTTTCCAAACAATTTCCCCCAGTTTTCCAAACGGTCTCAACACACTCTCTTTAACTATCAATGTTCATGAGGCCCGTAAAAATTCCTGAATTTAATAAATCATCTTTAATTACTGATCATTAATCCCACATAAAGCACTCGAAATTCAAACCATCCACATCTCCGCACACTCCCCTCTGGTACCCACCCACACCCTTTATTACTGACCCAGTTTCCTGACGCTGTGTGTCATCTCTGGATTGTTCGTCCGATCGTGGCTAGTGTCTTAAACCTTACATAATCGACAAAAAAGAAGGGAGGAGGCAATATTTCAAGATAACCACATATATAAAGACAACGGTTCAGAAGAATAACCCCAAGTTCCCAGATTAACTCTCACTTCTTGTAACCACTTTTTAAATAACTAGGTTTCGGTGGAAACCAATAAAGCGCAGGTTCGCTGGAAAGAGGGACGCTTTAATAGCTAGCAAGCGGTATTATTTGTTATATTCTAAGTAGAAGAAGTATAGTATGTCTGAACATGTTGAAACGCCGTTTACAAACTCTGAAAGGGGGGAACTGAGTGAAAAAGTGCGAGAAACGAACGGGAGCAGTGAGGAAGTGGTAGCAAACGTACCTATGAGTCGAGTGTCGAAGAAAAACGGGTTGAAAAAGAAGAAGAAAGACCGGTGTTACTACGAGAAATGCGGATCAACAGCTCTGAAATTTATAGGCGACTGCCAGTTCTGCCAGGGACATTTCTGCTCACGTCACAGAATCATGGAAAATCATTCTTGCCAGGGACTCAAATCTTGCAAAGAACAAATGCATCAGCGTAACGCGGACAAGCTGGCCGCAGAACAAACAATTGTGTCTAAAATTCAGATTTGAAAAAAGTCGATACTCTGCACACGCACACGCGCACAAACACGATACGTCGTCTGCCTACAGCCCTAGAGTGGTGTTGATGGTGAATTTCAGTCGTTTTCTATTGGCTCGCCTCCAAGTCTACGTCTAAGCTTGTCTTGCAAGTGTCGTGTCGCCTTATTGTCAGTTCTATAATAACAGTCATAATAACCGAACAAAACATAGCATAGCATAACATAACATAACAATCCATGATCAGATGAATGCATGCCGGCGATGTGTGTATCTATTGTATAGCACGACGCACAGCGTCTAGCACGTTGTCTGCTATCATTGTAGGGTCGCAAGGCAGCGGGTCTCCGTCACGGTACACGCCAGAGCGCACCAGACAAGTCGACCAGCCGTAATTATGGGCTCCAATTATGTCACTGGCAGGATTGTCGCCGACCATGAATACCTTGCGGAAGGGCGACGTTTCTGGTGCCACACCGAGACTGGGCAATGGAATATCCTGTTTTGAGCCACTAGCAAGCTTCTCCCGCCATTTTATCAGTATGTGATGCGCAAAATCGTAGGTCACCTTCGTAGGCTTGCCAATGATGGTGTTCTGTAGACGGGCTCCAAGATTAAGCTCGGCATATAGTGTCTCTATAATGGTTCTGAAGGCACCTTGACCGATCCGGTTCAAAGTGTACTGATTGGCCCACAACATATCGTTATTGGAGAAGTAAATAGGAACAGATGGTTTTGAGAGCTTCTCAGCTGTAGTGGTGTCGCGCATCGTGTTCAGCATTCCCTTGTCGCTGTTGAGCAGATCCAAAATAATCTGGATGTCGGCACCCCAGTCGCGGGGATCGTTAAAAACCAATATGGCGTCGAAAGGTTCTTTGTCGAGACCTGGAATCTCTCGAGAAATGTTCATGAGCTGTTCTTTGGATGTACCCGAAAAAGGCGCAATACTGGGTTGGTACCGAACAATATCCATAGGATGGACAACTTTTTCAAAGCCATAGGTTTCGGCCACGTCTCTCACGGTGGGCGACCCAACGGCCAGCACTTTCTTATACTCAGGCACCAGGGTCTTAAAAGGTGTGTGACTTTGGACTATTTGGGACGGTGACAGTGTGATTCTCAAAGCGTCCGACAGGAAAGCTGTGCGCTGATTTTCCAAAGTCCCACCACCATTGGTCAATAAGATAAATGGAATTTGGTTGTCCTGACACAGCTTGAGAGCTTCAGAAGCACCGGGAATCGGCTCTTTACTTCTTAGAAGAACTCCATCAATGTCAAATGCAAATGCTATATCTGAGTGAATCGATCTATGACTACGCAAGAGCCTCACAAACGAGCAATTGGCAGGTCTGCGAACTGTAAACATATGTTAACGGATATGCTCGAGCAACCGGGAAGCGATTGGATGACTTTATTTAACCATCTCTAAGAGATATTTAAGAAGATATAATATAAATATATATATATGTAAGAATGATAATATATACCAGTCACATCGTAGTTGAACAGATCTGGCTCGAGAACTAGGCTAATGGAATCAATAACAGTTGAAACAATCACTTTAATAGCTAACCATTGAAATGTAGAGTAACCTTGTAATTATAATACAATCTTTCACTTACACCCTTGACTATATAAGAGTAAGATGACCAATGATCGGCGTAGAAGTGGAAGAAATCGATTCTATTTGAGTCACTTACCAAATGCACTTAGGTCAAGTGGAATGTCGTTGAGTCCATCAAAACCTTCTTCAATGTAGTATTTCTTGCCTTCGTTGAATTGCAGTAGGTCCGGATCTATCAAGGCTCCAACAGCGCTCCCAACGACAAGCAGCCCAGGAGGACGAGAACCTATTTCATTAACGACCTCTGGCACATATTTTAAAAGCGTTCGGGTGATTCTTTGATCTGGACACGAAGCACGCTCGATAATCGTAGCGGGGATCTCGGGATCCCATTTCTGCTGCAGAAGGGCCTCGACTAGCACTTCGGACCGGTGAAGTGCCATCAAAAAGACTGTTGTTCTGGTAGAAACGTACTCGGGTATTTGTGGCAACGCTCCTTTACGCCCGGTACCCGTGCAAATGAGAACTTGGTCTGCCACATCTCTCTGGGTGGCTGGAATTTTCGCTACCACGGTAGAGGTCAAAGAAGAGCTTAACCCGGGGAGCACCTGAGGTACATACCCATGCTGTGAGAAAAACAAGTATTCTTCACCGCCGCGGCCAAAAATGTAGGGATCGCCTTGCTTCAATCTCACAACTTTTTTGCCTTCCTGCAAACCCACTAAACCCTTTTGAAGTAGTTCTTGTTGCGCTCTTTCGGCGTTTCCAGGAAACTTTCTAGCGATGAAAACCTCGATTTGTTCGGGAATCAATGCCAGTATGGTTTCTGGCACTAGTTTATCGGCAAGAATCAGATCGGCTGTTTTTATTTCGTGTAGAGCACCCAGCGTTAGCATGGACACTGAACCTGGACCGCTACCAACCAGAGAGATAGAACCGTTGCCACGAGACTTCTCCTTGCTTTGGCTCGACAAAGTGGCAGTTGATGGTTCCGCAGAGTCCTCAGACAGCTTCTCATGAGGTGTGTGTTTTTGGATCGTTTCTGTTGACTCTGGAAGTTTGCCTTCACTTGTCACCTCTTTTCCATTACTCACGTAATCGTCTGCCAATTGAGCGATTGAGACATCCGCCAACTGAGCCAACGGATAATATTGCATGACTTGAGATAACCACCTGGTTCTCTTGAGTCTCTTTTGTGTATCGCTCATGGAAAATTCGTGTACTAATTTGTTCAGCTTATGGCTATCCCAGTTGTCCTCATCGACCCCATATCCGAGCTCTTGCAGATCTTGGTTGAGATAATAGTTCGATATCAGACTGTTACTGTCCTCGTAGATAATACGGTCTCGTAGCTGGCCCATGTTGATGACCGCTTGAGATATGTTTGTGGGTAAACTAGCTACGATTTCACGCTTGATTCGGTTCGCTAGCAGACAGCCTTGTCCATTGGTAGTGACAGCGATTTGCAGTCCGCTTTTGGCTGGGTCTGTATACGTGGAAATGGGGCTAAAGGTGGAAAATTCAGGTCTTTGAGATGTGTTGATGGGGATTCGTAGCTTGACGCATTGTTGGTAGATACTTTGCATGAGCAGTGCCTGGTCTTGCGCCAGATTCACAAATACTCTTTCCACGACTTTGGCCACCGTTGAACGGCCCAGCGTTGTCAAATGGCCCAATTGGAATTGATCTTCAAGCAGCACAACGCGAGATTCGCCTGCGAATTTCTTGCGCAGTGCATCTGCGTCCGAGCTTTTCGAGAATCCCACAATCGTCGCAACAGCACCACTTTGAACAATAGCGCGAGCTCTGTTGGTTGTGACATTCATGGAGTGCGTTCCAATGAGCAAATGAACTTCATTTTCGCTATTTAGCGATGCAATTAACGGTACTGTATTTTTCAGCATGTTGACTTGTAGGGCGGAGGCAGCTGCACTTGATTGTTCACGAACCAGTTCGTCGGAGCGTTTACTTGAATCGAGTTGGAACATATATATATCTATACTAATGTGTGTGTGATTTGTTACATGAGTTTACGAACTAAATGCCACGGGCCTGACGCTTCGAGAGAGCCATCGTTATGATCTGTGGGTATGATCAGCCACAGCTGAGTTAAATCGTTGTTTATAAGTTCACATCACATGGAGTGACGATTTTAGATTTTGGATATTTTAGTACAGAGTGATGTTGACGGAAAGGACAAAGACGAACTTAGTCCGAGGCATATTGTAGTGAGCGGAGTGTGGTACTATCTGGGTTGTGAGAGGGCTCGAGCTTGTCAAGCTAGGACCCGTTGGAATATTGCTGAGAGAACAGAGTATGGGTATCACGTGACTTTGCGCCAGCGACAGTGAGTAGCGATTCTGATTTAACTTTGGAGACGGTTTCGGTTTGGGTAAGCATGGTATGCGCAGTGAGTCTCAAAAATTTATGTCTTATTCAAGAGATGTTGTCGATTGCACTATTTCACGATTGTAAATTGAATGCGTTCACGCGGTACGAAAAGAATATTGTCACGCGCTCTTCGTTTCTGGAAAAGCTTCAAAAAGAGTATCCCGCTAGAGCTATGGTAAATTTTAATCTAGGATCACCAGTTTCAACCCACAGAGAATTGTTTTGACTAGCAGCGCCAGGTTCGAGAGCAAGTATCACTTTATACGGCCACCACCATTTCAGAGCGCTCAGTGTAGAAATAGCAGGTAACTTCGGAGTAACGACGCAATACGTACCGGTTTAATATAATACCGACTCAAAACTGGATCAAAGCTGACTACTCCACAGTCTCGTGGAAGCCACCTTCTTTACCGAGTTTGCATCACTTTATACGTCAGCAAAAACTGCAAAAGACAACCCTGGAAAAGGCGTTTCCCGCAATAGTACACCGACTCTGCCACTGTTTTTTGAAATATCTGAGAACACAAGTGCAACTCTAATTTCCCTGCTTCCTCCTCTCTTTTCTTCTTCTCTCTCGTACGCTTTATAGTTGTCAATCTGGTGATATTTTAAATACCCAGCGTCAGAAAAAAAAATGTATCTCATCGCCAGTGATATACGAAACGTATAAAAGATGTCCAACTGGCGTAGACAGTGGTTAAACACCGAGAACGATTGACCTCGGCAATTCAAAATCTCCGTATCGACCATGGCTAAAAGAACCTTGGGCTTAGGAAAACAAAATAAAGGCTTGAAAAAGCAGAAAAAATCCGAGACTCCCACTCCAGAAACTACACCGGCCGCCAACCAGATCACCGTCGAGGTCGATGAAAATGTGGACCCTGACAACGAGCTAGTCCAGCTCAAAGGACTGTGGAAAACGTATTTTGATTCAGACAGAAGCGACGAATTGGTGCTAAATGGACTTGTGCATGAGTGCGATCGTCTTCTTCGTAATGACGGATCAGCTGCATCGCCAAAAACCGAAAACGACGAGAGTGTCAAGCCCGTTGAGCTCACAGACGAGTTCTACGCTATTTTTGCCCTTGCTTTGAGTGAACTGACGATTTTCAAAGCCGGCGAAGAACAGGATGACGAAACTGAAGCGAAGAAAACCGAAAAGAGCGTTTCTGGATTTTTCGATGCTGCACTTGAAAGATGCCAGAGCGGTCTTGAAAAGACTCCCGAGTCGTCGCTACTGAAACTGGTACACGCCAAGATCGCTTTGCAAAGAATCCCACTTCAATACATTTCGAAATTAACCGTCAAAAACAAAAACGCATCGGAATTGAAGCTGCACGAGTTGCTGGAGCAAGCCAAGCAAAACTTGGAAATTGAAGCCAAATACCCAGAGCTCACTTTCGAGGTTCTGCAGCTGTTCGACGACTTGCTCGATATTGTTGAAAACTTTGGCCACGAAGATGATATTGACGAAGGTTTGGACAGCGACGTCGAGGACGAACTGAAGGAGGTCAAGCTATCGTCCAAGCATCCGCTCTACCAAATCCGTAACGAAACTTCTGCCAGCTACTCATTTTTGCGCGAAAAGCTGAAATCGCTTCTAAAGCTTACCAAGCCCGAGACCAAATTACACCGCTCGATCGCCAGAAGACTAGGTCAGCTACATCTAACAGCAGCTGAACATCCCTCTCGAGTATTCCTGCAATTGACGTACGAAAACGACGAAAACAAGAAAGACATCGATGGATTAACAGCCTCAGAAGCCCAAACTGAAGCTCTCGGCCTTGTCACTGACGCAGTAAAATATCTAGAACAAGCAAGCGAGGACGACGAACCTCAGACGTGGGTTGACGTTGCTGAAGCACTCACTGACGCGGGTAACTTACATGATGCAGACTCACAAGAACAAGAACAGTGCTATGCGAAAGCTGAAAAGCTTCTGAGAAAGGCCAACAAAGCTACTCACGGAAAATACCAGGACGTTCTTGATAATTTGCTAGTGTCAAAAGACGACGAGTAAAAGCATTAGCATAGCGAAGTAAATCTTAAAGTCAAGATGTTAGATCCTTATATAGTCGAGCACGCATCTCCATGTACGATTTGGGCTATTAAGAGCTTAATTGGAATTTAAAGATCATTACAATGCCTTACAGACAGGAATTGTGAACTGAAAGCCATTCGAACCAAACATCAATGAGTGCCAGCATGAGTGGAAACACTGCCTCTTCTTCCAGTTCGAAGAAATCTCTCAAAGCGTTCAGCGATGACATCTGGAAGAACAAAACAGCCAAGATCAATGCTGAACTGTTCACTTTAACTTATGGGTCAATAGTTTCTCAGCTCTGCACAGACTACGAGCGTGACTTCGCCAAGGTAAATAAACAGCTATACTCAATGGGCTACAACATCGGTGTGAGACTTATTGAAGACTTTTTGGCACGTACGGCTCTCCCAAGATGCGATTCCTTGGCCAAAACTAGTGAAGTGATAAGCAAGTGCGCTTTCAAAATCTTCCTGAATGTAACGCCTCAGATCGGAAACTGGTCCAGCAACAAGGACAGTTTCTCCATATTTCTAGATGAGAATCCCCTTTCGGAATTCGTGGAATTGCCAATGGACGCCGCTAGAGAACTATGGTATTCCAACATACTTTGCGGGGTTCTCAAAGGAGCTTTGGAAATGGTACAGATGGACTGTGACGTTTATTTCGCAAGCGATGTCCTCAAGGGCGATCAAACGACCGAACTACGTGTCAAACTCAACAAGATACTCAAGGATGAAATACCGGCCGGGGAAGATTAAAAAATAATTAGGCATTTGGAGCCGACGACACGCGTGCGATTCATTGATTATTCGTGATTTCTTCGTTATATAGATAAAGAAGGCGACATGTGTACAATGTGTCCGCCAACTAGTCCTTTTTGTCTTTCTGCCTTCTCTCTCTCACTAGATTTCCAATCAGGGAACTCTTGGCGGGCGCTACTATTTCAAGCACATCGTCGTCGTCTTCTTCTTGTTGTTGTTGCGTACTCGTTGAGCCCTCGCCTAGGATAGGAATATCCGACAGCGACGATCTCGAGTTGACTTTCGATAGCGAATTTGAATATTCAGACATGTTCGAATGAACTGACGATGACCTACTTCTGACTCCCGAATCTACGTCGGTTTCTCCCTTCTTAGCTGCTTCTTGGGTGATCAAGAACCTGCCGAAATCTGGGAAAACTGTTGGCCCTAAATCGTTGCAAACTTGCGTAACTTCCAAACTTAGATCCTCGCGACTTTCTTGCAAACGCTCAAGGTGGCGCTTAGGATACACAAACGAAACAGCGAGCGGAGGAAGAGATTTAAAGATGTCCATTCCTTGTTCGCCTGTCTTGAAACTTGCGTAAGTGGCTGTCACAAGGAGAACATAGAAGTAGACAAAGTTTCCGAAAATACCACAACTTTCTCTGACACGGATTATCCCTATCCGGTAGAAAAGAGCGGGATGGTTTTGAACCAGGTAGCACAGTAATAGTGAGTACGTCACGTAAAGGGAAGGTGCAAAGACCAATGCAACGAGTAATTTCCAAGTGGCTAGAAGATCAGTGCCTTTCAGTTTCACAAGTGATTTTTTCAAGCCGTCCTCAGCCTTCCGCTGAGCGTAGTAATGACATGTAACGAAAACCGGCATGAAAAGGACAGTTCCCGGTAATGAAAGGAAGACGTAGAAGAGTAGCAAAATTAGCCTGGTTAGCAGAGTCATTAACAATGTCCATTTACTCCCCGTTGGATTAAGCTCTGGGACTTGATGGTCTCTCAAGCCTAATGCAAAAAGTTTGTTGTTGTATTGCAAAACCATTGACTTCAAGTGCTTGATCCTTGGATCGTCTTTGTATTTGGAGTATCCAACCAGAAGCCGTCTGTTCATTTCCACCACAAGCGAAAGCGGCAAATGAGAGTTACCGTTTTTCATTGAGATAGGTCTGTAGAGCCTTCTGGCGGCTTGAATAGTCATTAAAGTTTCATAATCGGGAGCGTTCACTGTCACAGCGTATAGTGCTTGGGTGATTTTTTCCAGAAGGTCTGAAGTTTCTTCTCTGGCGTTCTGCTGGTACCGCTTCCCCATCTCACCATCGACAATGATGGGTTGACCGAATTCCAGCACTGCTCTTGATCTGAACTTGTTTCTGTGGAAGTAATTAATACCACAAGGGACCACGGAAACTTTCATTGTGGGATCAGCAGCAGCAGCGCCTAATGCCATGATAGCCACGCCTGCCTTGATAGGAAGCAATGAGGGCCTATCATGGGAACCACCTTCTGGGAAAATGCCCACACACCCGTTTGAGTGCAAGTGGTTAAAAACGTTTTGGAAAACAGTGGTGTTGTCGATTTTGGAGGCATATTTGAAATGGGTGCCCTTTGAGAGTAGTTCGTGGGTTCTAGTTGTGTCCTTGAAGGGCTTGGCCAGAATCAGGGTTTCGTCGTCTGGGATCTCAGCGATTTGAGCGTTGCCCAAAAAGTAGGGCAAACCAATCAGAGATTTAGCAGTGAAGCGGGATGTGAGAGCAGGTGATTCTTCGCTACCGACGACACGGCATTTCAAAACCGTTGGGCTGTCCCAGTTGGGTACGCACAACTGCAATTTCTCGTCGACGGGTGCCAAATTGTCCTGGGCTCGAGGCACGGGAATTCCTCCGGTGCTCTTGCTGAACACGGACACAAAACTCTTTTTGTAGCTCGACTCTGCTGTGACCAGACATGTGCATCTCGAGCGACTGCCCTTCAGTTTCCGGATCTGGGTCATCACCATGGCTCCGTCCACGAACTGATTAGCGTGCGGAGCGCACACCAGAATGGTCGGCGTACCTCTGGGCGGCACATTATGGGTTCCACGGACTTTGATTTCGCGAAAGAAGATGGTAAACAGTATGTTGAACAGAAACACCACCAAGTCGTACACCCAAGTTCTCAGAGTATACGAGGCCCCATTGTAGGGATTCGAGTAAGGCAAGCTTTCGGGAACATGGGAGGCCATTGAAAAGCGCACTACGGCTCAATAAAAGACTAGATCAGAGGCAGTTGGCTGTGTCTATTGAAGTGTTAAACAGGTGTCAAAAGGGCTGAGATGAGCAGTTGATTTTAATCCTTTGTTGGATTTAGCGTCTCTGGAGATCATCGAAGGTCTTACACGTGATTAAATTATTGGCTATTTATGCGGCAAACGTCAAATGGCCGATGTTGTAGTGTTGTGGGAATGGTCCCGAGTGATGACTTTAATGATTAAATCCGGTTAGTTTTGACATTGTTTTGGATGATCTCGTGGCATTTCAGAGTGGGTTGTTGGCGAGAAGTTTGAAGGGTGTGTCAGTATAGTATACAGTGATCTGATGGTTCATTGAGAGCTTCAAACGGTTCTTATACGACGGGGAGGCAGATAGTGACTGTGTTGAGAGGACTACCAGTCGTGAATTTTCTCTTGTGTACTTGGTCGTTTACCATAGCCTGTTTCTTATAACTTAATGTAATTTAGTCTGGGAATAGGTGGTAAAAAAGATTGAAAGGAATTTTGTGGAAAAGTGGGAGGAATGGGGCGATCATGAAGGGTATATTAGGAAGACAAATCGCACGCTGTTTAAACAATGTCAAAAGCGTCATTTGACGATAGAACGGTGCGAGATCTTAAAGAGAACGAGGTCACGTGATTTGCACCCGACGACCGACGAGTGTGCTAATTTGAGAGCTCACGGTATAAGTAACGTTTTTTGAGACCAGAGACTGAGAGTACTTTGATGGCCGGTAATCTATGGCCTTTTGTTTTGAAGCATGCTTGAGCAATTTTGTTTGTGCCTCACATACCAGGCCGTTTGACAAGATCAAGGTTGATGTAACAATTGCAAAAGTCAAGTTATCAACCACGTTTATGAGAAGAGTGACCATCGGCGTCGAATTTCGAAGTCGCTAACTGGACTTGGTGCATTAGAGAAGGCTTCACTTGAAATACGCTTCGGATTGTTCGAATTACCACCACGTGACAAGGCGACTGGTGACGTTATACAGGGTCCGGTCTCGATGGGTGTAGTATTCGTGTAGTCTGGTGAGCCCACAGCGTCCCTCACCAGATGCTCAATTGCCCAGTTTATTGTTGATCATAAGTATTGATCAAACCACTCTACTAAGATTCCTGTGTTTCCTCTACATGCTGGAACGAGTAAATTACGGAGGCTCCGCAATGTGTATCTTAATATTTATTGGCACCGCGACGGAGGCTCTTGTGATGTGTCTTATTTGAAATTGAAGTCTAATGCTTCTCGATGTTAGCCGGGCTGTAGTTGATTGCTGACGCCCTGTAGTCGAATGCGATGGGAATATTGCATTCCGCGTAGAAATCGTAGCTATTCGCGATCGATCGCTGAGCCATAGTGGTCACTGCGTTTTTAATGTTGGGTATTCGACAGCGCTCAATTGTTTGGTTTTGCTGAGAAAAAGGCTACGAGAGAGGGGTCGCTGGTTATCGTGGTCGTTTTGGGCCGCGCTTATTCACAAGTGAAAATCATACTCTTGAGTAACCATTGTGATTTTTCACAGGCGCGCGAGAAATACCTTGAATGTCGTATTTGTTCACAATCAATCACAGGCTGTATCAGTTGTTCAAGAGTGTTTGTAGCCGAGATGGTTATTCACCATTGAGAGCGTCAGAACCATGATCTTGGGCTACTCTAGCTGTGGAACTGGCACGAGTACGAGTACATTTGTGAGATTTCAACTCTCGAGCGACAGCAGGTGTAGAGAGAGGCATGGTTGAACGACTGACTACAAGTGAGCGAACTCCAAGCACCACTGAACGATTAAGAGCGCCAGCGATCAATTGTGAAAAATTAGAAAACTTGTAATACTATTGCACAAGTCGGGAGTGTTCGCGATCAATCGTGAACAAAAAGAGGGCCCTGATTTTAGAGCGTCAGCGAGCAGTTGTGAATAAATACGAGTGCTACAAGCACAATAGAACAACATTATTATCCCTGACGCTCTCGACTGTAAATAGTGAGCATGCCCACAAGATCAAAGCGTCAGAGCCAGAGGCTACAATCACAATTTAAGTAAAGAGATCTTTATTGAGAGATGGCCACGATTGGGAGCGTTGTAAAAGAAGAAAATAAGAGTCGATGTGTCGTGTTGAGTCAAAATGGGAAGGATTATAGCCCCAGCACACAGCGATGGAATGTAAGAAGAAAGAGAGCGAGTACATTGTCCATCGTATCTGTTCACAATCTAGGGTGACACGTATCATGCTACAAGCACCTTGCATGTCGCTCGAGCATCGTGCCATCAAGCGCTTATTAACGTACCAAAAATATACCACTGTCGATCTCCGTCTCACGAATTCACAATTGCTCAATGGTGTACACCTAGGAGTTCTCTACTCACTCTCGCTTGAACGTACCGCTCCACCATAAATTCGGGCTCGTACTCACAGAATTACGTTTCATCCTGGTGCGACACTCTTCCTTAGAAAATTCTCATCGTCAGCGCTTGAATTTTAGGTCTCTTGACTGTGGTTACACTACCTACACATAATCCCAAACGTTATCAATTGATCAGTCGTGTTTGTGGCCATCTTAACTAGTATAAAACGCGATCTCATCTATCATTCGCAGAAAAAAGCTGGCGTTCTCGATTGAATAAAGGTACCCTTCGCTTCTTTTAATGTCTTTCAAATTTGATTAAAGGCACTTACGCTTCAATGCTTGTAGCTATTCTAACTGTCACAAGTGAGAGCGTCAGCGGCATGCATGGGGCGTTCATAATCGCTGACGTTTGTTTTGATAGTCGTATTCGTACTTATACTCCGATCGCTAACGATTTCGATAATTCAATAATGCTTGTAGCCAACATATCAATCCACAACTAGTACTGACGCTCCAGAGCTGGTAGTACTACTGAGCGACGGTCATCAATAGTGGACCTAAGTATCTTTGAACAATCGAAAGCGCCAGCGATCAATCGCGAATAACTAGGAGGGCAGGATATAAAGAGAGTCCACGGCCCATGAGCAAGATAATCGAAGCCCAATGTTCATAAACAATGGAGAGCGCTAGCGATGGATTGTGATTACGCAGAGAACTCGTAGTGTTACTGAACAATAGAGAACACGAAGCACTATACAGTTGAGAGCGCTAGCGATCGATTGTGATAAAGTAGAGAACTCGTAGTAATAAGCAAGAGGGTTACAAGCACTATGACCCAAGCAAAGCAACTTAAATTACCGAGGAACAATTATGAGCTTCAGCGATGATCGCTCACGCAGAGTAACTGCATTTACCACTGAACAATATAAGTGTCAGCAATTGTTAAATACGTAGAGTTGCCATAAGCACTGATGACAAAATCAGCGTTGTGAATCAAAATGGCTACAAGCAATGGGAGCTTCGGTGATTCAAGTGTGATCGCTGATGCTTTAAGAGTGGTAATTATCGCTAACGCTTTCAATTGTTCGGTGATACTATGAGCTTTCTAGGATCTTCACACATAAAAAAAAAAAAAAAAAAAACGACTGACGCTCTAAAGTGTTAAATTGTGCTTCGAGTGCCCCTCGCTCTCAATTGTTCAATCATGCTTGTAACTTTAGTTTAACCACCACTGCACGCTGACGCTATGTGCTTGCAGCCCTTGTACATAGCTTACGCGTCCAGTTGCTCGATATCATTGGGAGGTTTGTACTCGTACTCGTACTCGTACTCGACTTTTGACAAATATCGCTGTCATCATGAGCTATATGAACAGGTGTAGCCTTATAAAGATAACAATACTACTCCTTTAGAGGTGTAAGCTTTGGGTACTAAGAGGTCGCTGCTTATTCACAATAGCTCGTTGATGTTTTCAATTGTGAAACAACGCTCAAAGTGCCTATACTTAAATTTCTTGTTTAATCGCACTCGCAGCCTCATTCTACATAAACACAATTCAGTTAAACAAGGGCAATATAGTGAAGCCAAGAGCTTTTGAATCAATACCTCAATTTATTCAAAATTAAAGGCCGAAGCTCTCAACTAAGAGTTATCTTGGTACTACAAGCATAAGCGAGCTACAAGCACAATTAAACAACTGAGAGCGTCAGCGGTGCTCAGAACTCTCTAATAAGTCTCTCAATTGTTCAGTATTTCTACCAATTCTCTATTTATTCACAATCGATCGCTGAAGCTCTCAATTACAGTTGTACTACGAGTTGTCTGGTTTATTCACAATTGATTGCTTACGCTCTCAATCGTTCAGTGACACTAAGAGCCCTTTACTTATTCACAATCGATCGCTATCGCTCGCAATTGTTCAGTATTTCTATCAGTTCTCTATTTATTCACAAGTGATCGCTGAAGCTCTCAATTGGTCAACTGTGCTTCGAGTGCCTCGGGTGCTCCGACTTATAGTGCATCCGTTCCGTAGAAAAACGCTTACAAATGGCCATAAAACCCGCTTACGGCCGTATCACGCCCGCTATATCCACCCGATAATAGGCGGGAAAAAAAACAGAAAAAAAAGACATTAATGGCCTGCGCGTAAAATTTAAACTCCGGTCTGGGGCCGAAACCACTAATTGGGTTTCTATTGGCCGGCGGATATATATCGCAGGGGGGGGGGGGGTCGGACAATAAGACGGAATCTACGGAAGTTATTTGTAAGGAAAACAAGGAATAACAGGCTCTATTGGTGGTGTCCTTATAGAAAAAGATATAGTATAGAGCGTGTTCGTGAAGAAGATTGGTTGCGGATCTAATATTGAGCTTTCCAGTGTGCTTACCTAATCGTCACCAAACACCCAGACACCAAGGTCGTCTGGAGCGATACTTTATTTTTTAGAGTCTGCTTTGTCTCCACCCACACACCATCAAAGGGCTCGGCGGCTAAATCTTCCACACCACTCCACTTACCCTCCCCATGTCCCTCGTCGCCACGGTAACATCGGCCGCCGCTACAGCCGTGTCGGCCGCCTCGGCCGCGTCCGCGTCCGTAAATCCGTCCGATGCGCCGCTCTACGGTCCCATGACGCCCAGTCTCCCGTTCAACACCGCGATGGCCGCGATCTTCGGTGTACTGTTCATCGCCCAAGCCATCATCGGCGTATGGACCCGCCAATGGTGGTTTTTGGTGTCGTTTCTCATCGCGTGCGGCCTCGAAGTCGCCGGTTACGTTGGTCGCGCTTTGGGCCACAACGATACCACCAATATTGACGATTATCTGTTACAGTTCATCTGTCTGACCATCGCACCCGTGTTCACTATGGCCGGGATCTACTATCAGCTGGGGAAACTGATCGAAATCTACGGCCATAATTTTGCACTGTTCAAAAATCCCATGCTTTACTCTTACATTTTCATCGCTTTCGATGTCATCTCGCTTATAATCCAAGCCCTTGGCGGTGGTATGGCTGGCTCCGCCGCTGCAAACTACGAAAACTCGGATACCGGCGATCACGTTTTCGTGGGCGGGCTGGCGTTCCAGGTGGCCTCCATGACCGCGTTCTTGTACCTGTGGTTTCACTTGGTGTACCAGATTTTCGTCGCCACACGTATGGAGCACGCCGGTGTCACTAGACCAAATTGGTCTTTGAAATCCATCTCGCAACTCGATTTGGACCACAAGTACCGTCCCAAATTCGAGTTTCTGCGAATCCATCCTCAACGCTGGATTTTCGTCTATTTTCCATGGGCCCTGACCTTTTCTGTGATTTTCGTGTACATTCGGTGCATATACAGAGTCGCTGAGCTTGCCGAGGGCTGGAGCGGCAATCTGATCACTCACGAGGTGTATTTCATCATCCTGGACGCGCTCATGATCTCGCTGGCAACCACGATTTTGACCGTGTTCCATCCAGGCATCGCTTTCAAGGGCCATAGTGTCAAAATTCCAATTGAGAAAGCATCCAAATCTCAAGGTTCAGACTTCAACGCCCACACAATTTCCGATTCTTCTTCAGAGGCTTTTGGATACAACGACAAAGAAACGGAACCACGGCAACCACTACCAAGGCCTCTTTCTGCCGTTCCGTTAGAAGCTCACTCATTGCAAGAAATTCGGAAATCTACCGACCGTGCGCACCTTGCTTAGAGAGTCGAGAACCCATGCTTACTTGCTGAGAGCTGATTAAGCTCGAGGGTCGCCTATAAAATATCATAAAGTGCCAATTTTATCGGCCTTACACGATCAATCCAGTCTCTACTTACACAAGGAATGCCAGCCACGGTGAGTACTTGGCGTCGCTAGCCGAGGCAGTACTAAACAGTCCTTTTATTCCAGTATGGTAAATGAGTATGACAAGCATTGTAGATACAGTCCTGTAAAATCAATACATTCAAACTCCGCGAGGAGATTTCCCTTTATTTGAACATTGAAAGAGCATTTGTAGACTTGCATTCTTAATCATTGAGCTGTTAATAATCAATAGCACAGTCGCCCAAACGAGTGTTGTGGGCTCAAATTCTGGTGGCACACAGCCTTCTTAGAGTCAAATGCCATAAGACAATCACCTCGAGCCAAAGTTGGAACTACGACAAAATGCGTTTTCCTGATCACTGCTTTCAACACTCTCGCTTCCAGGAGCCCAAAACTGCATTTACAGTCATTAAATGAAAACCTAAAATGTGACGGTGGTGATGCTCTTTGATAGACATGAGCACTTGCGCGACGCAGTCAATCATAAGTTTCCGATGATCATCGCTTGAGATCCTTCATACTGCCGTGATTATATTTATCTTGGAAGCGGACTTGAAGCTTCTTCTCTAATGCTACATTGCCATGCCCTGATCTGTCAAAATGACGATCAAACTAACAATAGGTGGCAATTTGGGAGATCAGGGTTCCTTTAAATGGTAAACTTACTTTCTCCCACTAAAGTTCTGACTGTTAAAGATTCAAGTCATGTCTTTCGAACTCTCCTGCTCCAACGCATTTCTTGTCATCGCATGCAACATATATTTTCGCAACACCTATGCATAGACCAGCTATTCAAGGTGCTTTCCCAAACTGTTGAGAACCATATCGCATCAATCGTGCGCTACGGCTACTGCTCAACTGCAACTTTCTCTGCTCCGGACCTTCGTTTTCTAGTTATAAAGAACGTCCAATTCGGCGTCTCTCATCCAACTTGCTCTCAGTTCCAAGTCTTTCGCACCTAAAATACGTTCTGTTTCCTCCAAGTCAAGCCAACTCTCAGCAAAGTCACTCAGGCCTTGGGATTGACATATTTTACTCCCATCATGAACGGATGCGTATATTTTGCGCACTTCAGAAAATTTGGATGTAAAAGACGTGGCGTCCTCTAGACTTAACGGGTCTGTTGGCCCATTTGGCTCGAATGCCTGAAACCGATTATCATTCGAGCGAAACCAAGAACTGATTATGCTCGACAACGACGACGGCTCGCGCCGAGCCGCATCGAGGGCTAAGATTTTGTGCTCCGGTGCGCATTGCTGAAGTAAAGTGAAAAAGTGTACCAGTCGCGAGGGAATATACGTTTCAGATATTCCGCTTGCTTCCAGGGCAGGTTTCAAGGTTTTCAAAGTGACGTTGCACCGGTAGTCGATTTCTTTGCTGAACCGTTCGTACCGTTCGCCGTTTGGAAGGAAGTCTACGAACCGCTGCTCCCAGTCTCCGTGTGCACTTTTTCGAACATAATCTTGCGAAAGATGTCGCAGGACGTCATTGACCATCATAATGTATATAGGGTCTTCAATGCGAATTGAAGGCTGAAAAGACAGTAAACCGTCTTGAACGGCCGTGATCTTCGTGTCTGGCACCGAAACTGTAACACTAGTGTTGCTGTGGAGCGGTACCAGAAAACAATTTATGCGCTGGTAAAGCTCTTCTGGCACCGTTTGTTCAAAATAATTCAACATCAATCGCGAGAACCTAAGCGATTGGTGGAGATCCGTGTATACCGTCATGATATTGAGATCAAAGTAAGGGTATGCATTGAGTTTGTAGTCGACCAGCAACCAGCGTGCCATGCAATGCGCTAAGATATCATCATAGAGGGAGATTGACGGTAGAGCACGACCCTCTATTCGTTCTCGAGGCGAAAAGAATTTGTTCCTTGCTTGCTGGCGAATGCTTACCCATTCCATGTAGTCTCTACCAGCTGCTGTGCCCTCGTAGGGAACTCCCTTCAAAACAAGTTCATTCGTGTCTAGCAATGGTAGGGTGTGATATTTGTGAATTAGGACCCGTTTAAACACCCGATGAAAAGCCATCTTCGAAACCAGCAGCTTCTTGTTTTAACGGCCTTCTTGTTGAGCTGCTATCAGCTACTTCTGCCTGGGGATGTCAGGTTTTGGATTCTTGGAGTTTTAATCCGCTAGTACTGTATCTATCGGTAATTGTTCAAGCTTGTCGTCAAAAATGCAGAAAACCCAGAAAGCTCAACCTTGATCTGAAGTAGGATTTAGGGCATATGGAAATTGGTCGATCAACGCTTGGAGTATTGTGTGGAGGCTATTGATGGGTTTTTGCGCTAACGATGAAGACCTTTCTGCTAAAATTTTGTCTTGGACGTTTTTAATAGGTGTTAACCTATTTTTTAAAGATGATATAGCTTATTCCAGATCCAAAATTCGATGATGCCGTGCTTTCTCGTCGATACATCTAAAGTTGTACCAACTCGGGTCAAACGTCAATGTGTGTTGGACATTTCGGTGGAACTGACACGAGAAGCTGTTGTCAAGTTATGAAGATCACTTTGTACTAATGTGTCGTCGCTCTCTTATAATTTACAGAACGTGTTGAGGAAGGTTTCGAGTAGTGTGTCTTTCAAGCAATTGGAAAGAATATCTCGGCATCATCGGTGCTACTGACGTGGCTAGTCAAAACCAAGAGATCAATTACGCAAGTTTTCAAATGCCACGAAAGGTCTGACATTTTTTTGGCTAAAAAAAAGCGGAGGCTCGAAAGGATCAAACTATAAGCGAAGAAAAAGTTACAACGCCCACATTTGAGCATTGAACGGATGCTTTAAAGTCCCATTTTATCTGACACGCTGACACCAACCTCTCCGTACACAGTGCTATTTTATACTCTTTAACTACAACGTGACTTGGAAAACTTGAACAAATTAATCGTCAACGCATCGGACACTTTAGCGCTCTCCAGATAACTTGCAACTATTCACCTACCAAGCACTCTTCAGACCCCTCAAAAGAGCAATGGGTGTTCCATCTTTTTTCAGATGGCTTTCCCGGAAATATCCAAAGATTATTTCGCCGGTCCTCGAAGACACACCCCAGATTGTTGATGGAGTAGCGCTACCTATAGACTATGCTGCCACTAATCCCAATGGAGAGCTAGATAACCTTTACTTGGACATGAATGGTATTGTACATCCTTGTTCGCATCCTGAAAATAGACCTCCTCCCGAGACGGAAGATGAGATGCTTCTGGCCGTTTTTGAGTATACGAACCGTGTTTTAAATATGGCTAGACCTCGAAAAGTGCTGATGATCGCAGTAGATGGGGTTGCTCCACGGGCCAAAATGAACCAACAGCGTGCTCGTCGTTTCAGAAGTGCCAGAGATGCTCAAATCCAAAATGAAGAACGTGAAAGAGCGATCTTGGAGCGTGAAGATTTGGGTGAGATTATTGACGATAGCGTCAGAAACAAAAAAACCTGGGATACTAACGCCATTACACCGGGGACTCCATTCATGGATAAATTGGCAGCCGCACTACGCTACTGGACTAGCTTCAAACTCGCAACAGACCCGGGCTGGAAAAACTTGCAAGTCATTATCAGTGATGCCACCGTCCCTGGAGAAGGTGAGCATAAAATCATGAACTTCATCAGATCCCAGCGGTCTGACCTTCAATACAACCCCAACACGTCGCATTGTATTTATGGATTGGACGCAGATTTGATTTTCTTGGGTCTAGCGACCCATGAGCCCCATTTCAAAATCTTACGAGAAGATGTGTTTGCTCAAGATAATCGCCGCAGACAGCGAGTCCAGGACACCATCAACATGACGGAAGAGGAAAAACAAAGTCTTGCGCGCCAAGATTCCGAAAAGCCTTTTCTTTGGCTTCACATAAGTGTCTTGAGAGAATATCTTTCTGTTGAGCTTTTCGTACCTCGTCTGTCGTTTGAATTCGATATAGAAAGAGCGATTGACGATTGGGTCTTCATGTGTTTCTTCTGTGGTAACGATTTCTTGCCACATCTGCCGTCATTAGACGTCAGAGAAAACAGTATTGATATACTCGTTGAGATATGGAAGATAATCCTGCCGCGGCTCAAGACATATATGACCTGTGATGGAACTTTGAAGTTGGAATCTGTGGAGCTGCTTCTTGAGCAACTGGGAAGTCGTGAACCTGAGCTTTTCAAAGGAAGATACCTACAGGAAATACGGAAACAAGACGCCGCTAAAAGACGCAAGATGCTCAAGAGCAACAACAACGTAACTCAGGGTAAAACGGATAGAAATTTCACAGTCCCACTTCAGAATATGCCAGTTTATGACGTTCATGGCAACGCAGCAGAGGGCTCATTGAACCTTTCAAATAAAGATTTCGCCAATCACAGAAAAGAATTAAATCTGGCCGGCGAAGGTGATGCCCAATCTTCGGCTGCTTTGAAAGCTGTCAGTGAACAAAACGAAAATCCGAAGAAAGAACACACCAAAGAAGAAATCGCCACCGCTGTTGAAGTTGCTAATGACGCTAATATATCTGCAGCAGCGGCGATGAGGCTGAAACTTCAGGCCAGAAAGGAAAATGTGGATCATGGAAGCTCAAAACCGGAACTCAACGGCTCCAAGGGAAACACTACCGATGAGAACATCGAGATTTCTGCCAAAAGAATGATCGAGGAGGTGGAAAAAGACGACTCAGAAACCCCTAGCGCGGTAGACGAAGAGTCTCAAACCCCCTCAAGCTTCCAGGTAATTCATACAGGTCTTGTCAAAAGCGGGGTGATCGATACCGAAGAAGAGGTCAGATTATTCGAGCCAGGCTATCACGACAGGTATTATACTGCCAAATTTCACGTTGAAGAAAAGGATATTGACGCCTTACGCAAGGATGTGGTAAAAAGTTACGTCGAAGGTGTCTCTTGGGTACTTCTTTATTATTATCAAGGATGCGCGTCCTGGGATTGGTATTATCCTTACCATTATGCTCCTTTCGCATCTGATTTCAAAAATATCAGCGAGCTGGATATTAAATTCGAGAAAGGAGAGCCGTTCCTGCCCTTTGAGCAGCTAATGAGTGTCTTACCAGCTGCTTCTGGTCACAATCTTCCAGCAGTCTTTCGCACTTTGATGAAAGATCCCGATTCAGAGATCATTGATTTCTACCCCGTCGAGTTTCCTGTAGATATGAATGGTAAGAAAATGTCCTGGCAAGGTATCGCACTCTTGCCGTTCATTGATGAAAAAAGGTTGTTGAAAGCGGTTCGAGCTCAATATGAAAGTTTGAGTGACCATGAAAAAACACGTAACGTACGGAAACAAGAAGTTCTCTTGATCAGCAATAAGAATGCGAACTACGAAAAGTTTAGCAAGAAGCTTTATAGTGGATCGCCTGTGGAGAGTGTGCCATTCCAACACTTTAAGAGTGGATTGGCGGGTCAAGCTTTTGTTGACAAAGAGGGTTTTACATTGAATAGCAAATTGATTAGCCCAGTGATGGGCGGTGGGCTGCCAGATTTAAGCACGAATCTTTTCATGAAAGTGGCTTACAAAATGCCAGAACTGCCGAGCCCCAGTAAGTCTGTTCTTTTGAATGGTTTTATCCCACCACAGGCAATGCTATCTCCTCAGGACCGTGACGCCATAACATATCGCTATAATCACAGGTGGAACGCGATGGATATGAAGCATAACATTGTTCCCGTTGGACCATGCACTACCACACAGTACCAGCCACGCCTGGGGGGTTACAAATCGTTTCTCTTTTTCCAGGAAGCGCACGCAAGCGTGCGTAGAGGTCCCGGGCACGATCAGCGGGTACAGCAGTCGAGATACAATTCAGGTAACGGTGCTCAACGCGGGTATTCCGACAGAGACCAGGGAATGGGCCGTAATGCACCTCCTGTAAATCGGTCGCGTTTTTCAAGATATTCGGGCTCTGGCCGGCCGCAAGGAACAGGCCGCCGAGAGTGGCAGCGATGAATCTCTGCGTGCGACCAGTGACGATGGGAAAAGACACCCGTCGTGAGAATGAAGTGAGGGGTGATCAGGCGAATGCTAGCGACCGACTACTCGTTACCAAGGTCTTTCGCATTCAAACAAGGACTGGTAACCGTGCTACAGTACCCAATGGAGGGCTTAGAATCGCGCACACTGATACTTACACACACATCTTTAGCTGAATGCACAATTAGCGCACGTCGCGCAAAATTATAGCCCATGCGTGCCAATAGATCAGAATTTTCAGGAGATACCACGCAGACTGCATTGATCTTGGACTTCATTTATGTATTCAGTTTCACTATAACTAAATAGATGCTGTAAAGCTGAATTCTGGCATAGTCGTTTGCGTTAGCCTACCATTACTACGAGGCTCGAATTGCGTGTCACTTTCCAATAGGCTGTCTAGAGTATCTGAAAATGAGCTTGAAATGCGATTGATTCACAGATCTCTTGACAGGTTAGTATAATGACAATCTTCTGACAAAAACCTGACTGGAGGAATTTAGACGTCTCTGAACTTCATTTGGTCTGGATGACGCATGAATTCATGAATTTCAAGAAGACCAAATCTAGAAGAATTATGAAGACAATTGTGTGACATTAGGGTTAAGCTCCAGAGAAAAAGAGGAGGTTGGGGTGAAATTGTGTGTTGAAAGTGTAGTTTTTAGAGAGAAACTGATTTCAATTGAAAAAAAGTGACGTCGGTTCAAGAACGAGACTGAAGTCCTACGAGTCTCGGCTAGTGCCAGTTTTTAGGGAGCCCGAAGATCTTGCGAAACATGCTTCGAGCCTCGAAAGGTAATTCTTAGTTTATTGTTCAACTAGAGAATGAAATTACGACACGTATAGTGTTCGCAACCTAAGACACTATCCTTGACAAATTACTTGCACCACATCTTGGAAGCTGTTGTATGGGTAACCAACTCGCATTTGGTTAGTGGGGACTATAGAAAACAAGAATTGAGCGTTGATAACGTTTTACAAGCCGATTAGTGAAGCAAAATGTGTGTGTGTTTTAGGCGTATTTCAAAGAATCGAAGGGGGGTCCAGCTCTTGGATATCTTAGCTCCATGCTTGGAAGAGTGTGCGAACGGAATGAAATTGTTGTTGAATTTCCATGACTCCAGTCTTGAAACAAAAGAAGAGCCCGTGCAGTGGTGTGGGAATTTGGTGTCACCTAAATCATTTCTGATTTCGTCGCCAAACTAGGATGCCGGGGTGAATCGTGGGAAGACCAGGGAGACTACCAAAACATAGCATTCGGCACTCGGTATGGTGTGCATTTTGTAACTTAAACGTACCGAGCATTCTGAAGGGCCAATTTCTTCGTCCTTGCCAATTTCTTCGTCCTTACCAGTTTCTTCGTCCTTACCATCTTTAGAGTTCATAGCCTCCTACTTTCGAGAGTTTTTCGAATAGCTGATCGGGCCCAGATAACGGATTGTGATGTCCGTATCAGAGCACCTCTATCTTAAGAGGCTTTTTGTCGGGTACTCTGGCGTGAAGTAACGGTGCTTGAAATGTCAGATGAGAGTACAAGTACGCGTGCGAAGCTTCTCAAGAATCAGCTGAACACCTCACACATCTATCCAACTACTAGAAGCCTTAACTGCTGCCAGCTGAACACCTCACACATCTATCCAACTACTAGAAGCCTTAACTGCTGCCAGCTGAACACCTCACACATCTATCCAACTACTAAAAGCCTTAACTGCTGCCAGCTTCACGTACCCTGTCTTGCCCATGCCAAATCCCGACCCTGTATATGGCCGGTATATTCCTAACGTTTCTTCTATTTTCCAACAAGATCCGATGTAGTGTAATGGCTATCACATCACGCTCTCACCGTGGAGATCGGGGTTCGATTCCCCGCTTCGGAGTACTTTCATTTTTTTTGTAATTTTTTTAAATTTTTTTGGATTAGGTCTGGTTAGATGGAAGTCGGGACTTGAATTAATGATTTGGGACCATATAGTGGAATTTGCCGTGTAAATAGAAAGAAGAAGGCGAGAGAAGCAGCAGACGTCTTGCTCACCAGACTATCCCAAACCTCCCCACTCTCACTACACCTGGGCGTGTGGGTGTTATGTTCTTTATTTGAGATTTTTCCCACTCTGTCGTTCGTTTCGTACAAAATGCACCACAAAACGCGCCGCTTAACCGCCAGGAAAAACGTTTTTCCGGAAAAATGGGAAACCGCGCTACGTTTTCCCTATGTTTTCCCTACGTTTTCCACACACAATCCCAAGTAATGCAATCGTACTTCTCCCACTGCCAAGCGTATTACACTAGTTTTCTCCTCCACTACGCTGGCCCAAGACCTTCTTTTCTCCGGTCTCCCGCTCTTGCACGTTCATTTCTTTTTCCCGTAATCTTCTTCGGCTCCCTTTCGGATTTTTCTCTAGTTCGCTCCGAACTCGGAAAAACTCTTTCTGGCCGGAACGCAGCCCGGATAAAATAGGACGATAATTTTTGCGGGGTGTTGATGCGCAGAGATGACAGTGCATTGGTATATAAAAGGCTCAAAATTCAAAGGCCGTGGAGGATGGGATGGATTATCGACTCAGGGTTTGGGCTAAAAAGCATACCATTTTACAAGATTCAAACACCATAGACAAGTGAATTACAAGGCTCTTGTGGCTACACTAAGATCAGCAGTCGTCAGTCCACAGGATTTAAGCATTTGAGATTTAGAGACAGCCACACAGTTTTTCTGGTCGTTTTTTTTTGCCCATTGGAAACAACCGTTCAGGAGAAAGTTGGGACGAAAGTTAACAAAGGTTGAGGTAGAAATCGAGACAAGGACTTGCGTAAGAGAAGACTGCTCGAAGAAGAAGAAGAAGAAGAAGAAGAAGAAGAAGAAGAAGAAGAAGAAGAAGAACAATACGAAAAGGGGCTTGTGTTTTGTTTCGTCACACCATACAATACATAAACCGCCCTCTCGTCGCCATGTTCGTGCTCCCACCACCGCCAACGTCGACCAAAAAGGCCCTTCCAGGTCTGCTATCGAAACGCAAGGGCCCAGAGCTTCTGGCCCCGGTCTCAGAAGACCACGAATTCGTCAATGCGCCCCCAGAGTTTGCACACCGTGCCAGGGACGAAATCCACAAACGGCTGCTGTCCCGCAACAAGAAAACCGCTGCAAACAACAACAACAACACCAGCAGGCTCCCGCACAGCGATGGCCGTTTGGCGGGTTTTGACTCAGACACGATGTCGCTTGCCACGACCTCCACCAACGGGTCCAGTCTGTTTTCCTCAGCGACAAAAACCACGTCGGCAGCGTCCACGTCGGCCAGCTCTGCTGCTTCCTTCATCGGGTACATCGACCAGCCCCGCACCATCTCGCTCCAAGACGCGCTTCCCAAGACTTTTTATGACATGTACGCCACAGATCTACTATTGGACCCCCGCAATCTGCTTTGCAACGGTCGACCCAAATTCACCAAACGCGAGCTGCTCGACTGGGACCTCAACGACATCCGTTCGTTACTGATAGTCGAAGTTTTGCGGCCCGAGTGGGGGTTCCAGTTCCCACTAATCGAGCTCAACACCGAGTCCATCACCACGTCGAGCTCCTCGGTCAAAACGCCCGTGCCGCAATTTCGGTTCCAGCTGCTACCCCTCAACTCTCCAGACGACGTAATTATACGCTGTTTGGTCGAGTCAGACCTGTATTTGGAGGCCAACTTAGACCACCAGTTCAAGCTCACCAGCGCCAGATACACCGTGGCTGCAGCGCGCAAACGCCACGAGCAGCTTGTAGGCCGTTCCGAACCTATTATGAACCTTTCCAAGCCCGAGTGGAGAAACATTATCGAGAATTATCTGCTGAACATCGCCGTCGAGGCCCAGTGCCGCTTTGATTTCAAACGTCACTGTGCCGAGTACAAGAAATGGAAACACCAGCAGGCCCTGGTGAAAAAGCCCGACATGCCTCCGCCTTCTACGATTCCCTCGCGCAAACGTGAATCTTCTCTGCTCCGAAAAACACTTTTAAAGAACACCGCCATTAAATCAACACTATCGGCGTCCGAAGAAAACGCTTCCGTCACGAATATCGCATCGAACAACTCTAATTCCAAAATATCACTGACCAAGGATGAGAAATCCATGCTATGGTCCCAGTGCCAATCCCAAGTATATTTGAGATTGGGGCTGGATTGGACTCCCGATGGAGTTTAAGCATTTAATACATTCTTCGAGCAGGTCCCGAAGAACTCTGCATTGGTGACAGCACTGGGTGTTTTGTCCCGAAAATACGTAAATTATACCGAGATAGATGTACATACATACTAATGAAAAAACATCATAAAGAACCATAAAAACCAAGAGTAAGAAATGACAATGGTATAAGAACTAGAATGGCTTGAACAAAGCTCGATGGCGAGCTGGTGACACTCGTAGTTTTATGGTATTAGAAGACCATAAATTCTGTAGATGCTGTTATAACTTCACCATTCACGTGACATATTAAAGACATCGACTTTCTTCAAATTTTAACTCAACAAGCCTGTATAAACCAAGTGTTTAACATCAACCATTTCGACACTGATCAACACCAATTCACGTCATGACCGGTATGCTTGGATAGTTTACGATACAGCTTTGCAACAATTGTTCATGGCATCTTTCCACACGCAAAGTTCTACTAACCCTGGCCGTTTTATTAAGAACCTATTAAGAAACAGGATGCTGCCGATTTGCTCGCTTCATTGAACATTGAAAGCAAGAAGAAAGAGGAAGACACCAGGAGCCAAGCTGTGGATGCTAAAGCTGCGAATACGTCGGAAAAATCTACTTCTGAACCAAAAAAACCTGTCGAAACGGCAGACCAGACAAAAACAGACAAAGACGACTCGAGTCTGGTCAAATCCGAATATGAGGTCAAAGTCAAATTGGCCGATCTTCAGGGAGATCCCAACTCGCCACTGTACAGCATTAAGTCGTTTGAAGAGTTAGGATTGGCACCAGAGCTTTTGAAAGGGCTGTATGCAATGAAATTTCAAAAACCCTCTAAAATCCAGGAAAGAGCACTGCCCTTGCTTTTGAACAACCCACCAAGAAACATGATCGCACAGTCGCAGTCTGGTACCGGTAAGACCGCTGCGTTTTCTCTCACTATGCTTTCTCGTGTCGATGTCGCGCAGCCAGCCACACAGGCGATTTGCTTGGCGCCATCGAGAGAGCTTGCGAGGCAGACGTTGGAGGTTATTCAAGAAATGGGAAAATTCACTAAGGTCACAAGTCAACTTATCGTGCCCGACTCTTTCGAGAAGAATAAGCCAATCACTGCCCAGATCATTGTTGGTACCCCCGGTACTGTGCTGGACTTGATGCGCAGAAAAGCGATTCAACTGGGGCAGGTGAAAGTTTTTGTCTTGGACGAGGCCGATAACATGCTTGATAAACAAGGTTTGGGCGACCAATGTCTCCGTGTGAAGAAGTTCCTGCCAAAGGCCGCCCAGATGGTCTTATTTTCTGCTACTTTTGACGACAGCGTGAGGAACTACGCCCGCAGAGTAGTGCCCGATGCCAATTCCCTGGAATTGCAGAGAAACGAGGTCAACGTGAGCGCGATCAAGCAGCTGTTCATGGACTGCACAGATGAGAACAACAAATACGAGGTGCTTACGGAGCTGTACGGCTTGCTAACCATCGGGTCGTCCATCATCTTTGTGCAGACCAAGCAAACCGCAAATGTGCTGTATGCCAAGCTGAAACAAGAGGGCCACCAAGTCTCAATTTTGCATGGTGATTTGCAAAGTAACGAGAGAGATAGACTCATCGACGATTTCCGCGAGGGACGCTCCAAGGTGCTGATCACGACCAACGTGTTGGCGCGTGGTATCGATATTCCCTCGGTTTCGATGGTGGTCAACTACGATCTGCCCACCACGGTCCAGGGCAAGGCTGATCCAGCCACCTACATCCACAGAATAGGAAGAACCGGTAGATTTGGCCGTACCGGAGTTGCCATCTCGTTTGTCCACGATAGAAAATCGTTTGAAGTTCTGACAGCGATCCAAAAGTATTTCGGTGACATTGAGATGACCCGTGTTCCTACTGATGATTGGGACGAGGTCGAAGAGATCGTGAAAAAGGTTTTGAAAGAGTAGTGCGGGTTCCCAATTGCAATGAGTTCTTGGATGACACGGCCGATATATCATTGTCGCACACCAGCCAAGCCTCATGCCCTGTGCAGTGTCTAATATATTTTCTTTTCCTGACTTTCTGCTCGAGCGTTGTTGGCGAATTTGAGTTTCCAGAGTCCCGTCATAAAGACACCGCGCTCATTGGGCATGGATAAAGGAAAAGACAAGCCAGAAACGCCTTAGACAATTCGAGAGACCACCACTCCGACTACCCTGACTTTCGCCAGATCTATCGGCTAAGAGCCCTAGTCAACTGCTATAAAAAAAGTCACGTGGCGCGGTGCCCGCTCAAAATTTACTCGAGTTTCAGCACAAACCGTGCTATGTGTATATATGTACACATATATAAGCACCGATATTTACCGAATTTGAATACAAACATCAACCACCACCAGATATCTACCCACAACAAGCATGGACAGCGCTCAAATTGTCAACATTATTATTGGTATGTGCTATAGCGAATTTCAGCGGGTTTCAGGGAGCTTTTAGGCCCCGTTTTCGCGGACCTCCTATCTTTCGCGGAGTTCGAGGAGACGATTTACTAACTTGACTTGAAAAACAGCTTTGTTTCTTCCACCTCTAGCCGTCTTTTTGGAAAAGGGCTGGGGTACCGAGTGTATTTTGGATTTGGTGCTCACCATTCTATTCTTTTTCCCCGGGATGTTGTACGCCTTGTACATCGTGTTGGCCCAGCACACCTCGAGATAAATGCGACAAAAAAGGGCAGCAATGAAAAACGGTATTAACGCAATAAGACGGCGAAAGCCGTTGCGCTGCATAGTCCTACCCTGATTCGTTTCGCACTTTGAGCTTTTTCGATTTTATGTATTCTCTCATCTCTCTTAATACTTAATATATGGTCCTATGTCTACGTGTTTGGCGCTCCAAGAGCGTCTCTGTCGCTCCCCGTATGCGTGTTGTTGACATATGCGGTGCGCCAGGTTTTGGCCAGACCTCTCCCTCGATATTCAAACGTAACGTAACTCGAGTGCATTAAAGCTATGATATTTTACACACTACACACTGTAAAATCCTATGTACAGGTCTTCCGGCCTTCGCCGTTCAAAGCTGGGGAGCCATCATGTCCATCAAAGGCGACTGGATAAACGCAACGCCGCCCACGAAGAGACTTAAGTTGACCAAAACGGGAAACGCTGGGGTCTGTCTAAATTGCTCGAATTTGGACGCTTTTTTGGCAGGAGAGCCGGCACCTTGGACATTTAATCTTCCGGACATTGTCAAAAACTTGTTTTAATGTAATTGAGGCAAAACTGAGCTGTGCAATGGTCGAACAGTCTGTCTAGATTTGCGTGTATCAGTGCTTTGTAGCGTTTTTCGCCTATTAATGGGCCTTCAAAAATTTAAAAAAATTGGTTAAATTGTTGCACGTAGTATGTGACATGGATAACGACGAAGACGATGACGACGACGACGAGAAAGACGTGTACGCTACCCACGTAGTATGGGTTTGTTTGTGTATACATAATATATTGTGACCAGCAGAAACGTATGTAAATATGTATATATATATGTGCGTGTGAGTGTGTGTGTTCATGTGTGTCCTTGAACTATCCGAATATTATTAAATAGTGTAGCTGTGAGTACAGCTCTGTGTAGCGAAGCAGAAATGAGTGAAGATGACGACCGTGGAAGTGTCTCAGGACCGGCCTGAAACGAGTTTCACCTCGCGCTCGTAGTTTTCGACTGTCGCGGCGGAGTCGCCCGCGCCCGCCGAGATAGTTACTGTGATGAAGTCTGAAAGCTTGGTGAAAGAGCCCTGGATCCCGCCAAAGCGTGGCTGGGCCCGGGACGCGAGATCTACGGGGCCTGCCCCGTTTTCGGAGGGTTTTTCGGAATGGTCCTCGCGCTCGCCATTGTTCCCAAACTCCGCAGGCGACGTGGCTGTGATCGAGTCCCAGTCCGTGTCGCTGCTGTAAGGCGAGTTTGACGCCTCGTGGGCGGGCACAGCACTGGATGCAGGCTTGGCAGCAGAGCCTGTGTCGAAACAGGCCTCCTGTTCCTCGTTCTCGTTCTCGCCCTCGCCCTCGCCCTCACACACCCGTGGATCTTCCAGCGCCCTCTGGTCGGGCCCAAAGCCGGGGCCGACATGGTTCCCCCGGTTCAACACCACTCTCCACGTATACAGACCCACATCGTACACGTACAACGCAGCCAGAGGTCCCAGCAACATCACCACCAAAGTGCACAACCCTAGCCTCAAAATCTGTGCTACCACCGATATAAAAAGCCATCCGTAGTTTATAACCTGCCACATTGCGTCCATCGCCTCTTAAACCGATCCAAGCGAGCTATAAAGTTGGCTTTCTTCCTTCTTTCTGCTATCTATTTTCAAAACTAACCTCATCTTGGAATCAAATTCCATCATCATATTTCATTAACTTTCCCATTATATATGAAGGCAACTAACGAACTGTATATACATAAAGCTCGAAATTGGTCGCATGATCACCGGATAATTTCCGATGGTGTCATTTTTGTCTGTTTGGAAAGCGACATTGGTCGAAACTAGCAGTGGTGGTCCGTTGACACCTCAAACCCAGACTGAAGTTGCCAAAATTTCCGAAATAACGCTCGTAGTTTAGATAGAACCGGGGCCTGGAACCGATCAGGTGGTGCCACGGACCATCTTGCAGACGTTATTTCTTGCAACAACGCAGGCAGGAAGACAGACAGGCAGACAGTGGCACATGGAACCGGTACCGTGCCATGGCTTTGAGCCTTGGATTCCGCATTTGCTGCCGAGGGCGACAAGAAGCAGCAGCAAAAGCAGCGAGATCAAAATTTTAGGCAAAAAAAACACACATTTTAGGGTCCTCAGAGCCGTAAATGGTGGTGTTGTAATTTCCATTGGTCTACTAACTACACGGTTGTGAAAACCTCGGTTTATAAAAAATTTCACGCTGCAGACGACGTGCTTTGTGGTTTTTTGTTTACCGTTTAAGGGTTGGTGGACTACGAGTTATTTGCATTGTTGTTAGGGGTCGCGAGTCGCGGGTCATACGGTCTTTCTTTGCCAGTGTGAGAGTGATGAGCTTGGGATGATGAATATATGAATATATCTACTATTTGAATTGCGTCAGGTTGGGAAAAAGTGATATGGTGAGAACAGGACGACGTCAAAGGTTGTGTTGTTGAGCGAGCTGCGCGGGAGTTTCTGCTGGACGACGCATCATCGCTTTAGCAAAGCGTAGTGGGGCCAACTGGAGTGGGGGTTTTTTTTGTTTTTGGGTTTTTAGTACGTTTTTCCTGCATCTTGTTCTGACCCTCTGTATTCACTATTATCACCTTCACTCGCCAACCAGTGTATAGCGTGACGCTGACTCTATAATTTACCTACTTGCACTGCTACACACCGTCACTATCATTCCACACCCACAACGCTCAGCTCCAGCGTCCAGACCCTTCTTATATGTAGATTGACAGGAACCTCTATAGTCACAATAGGACCCTCGGGAAGCAGCAGCAACGTACCCGTGGCCGCATCGTATTTGCCGTAGAGTTTCAATTCCAGCTTCAATTCTTCCTCGCCCCACCAGCATTTGCGAGCAGGCTTTTTCCAGAACAGCAGCAGTTTCGAGTTGATGTCGGGCTTGGGAACCAGCTCGTACAAAGTTGGAGACACGTCCTGACGCTGTCTAGAGCCCGACCGGGTTCGCGATACAGAACGAGAGCGAACGTTATCTGCCAGCGACGACAGTCTGGATTTCCTCTTCATGTCGGTGCTCTGAGACGTGTGAGATACCAAAGGTGTCAGCGAGGGCGACTCCGAATGGGCACGCAAAGCTTCTGCCCTGTCTTCATAGTTACGCTTGGCTTCTTCATATCTGTTACGGAACGCCTGCGTGGTTTCATTCATAAGACGGCATAACGACAAAGAGCTGATCACGGTCTTGCCGGGCTCCTGGGCTCGATTGCCCCAAAAAGAGCCGTCGTGGAAGCCCGAGGAGCACAGCATATCCTTCAAATGCTGTTCTGCAGGCCCCAGCTTACCGGGGGCCTCGTGTGATGCGCCCCCAACAGGTCTTTTCAGTCTGTTGGAGCTACGCAGCCCCTGGAACACGCTGGTTTGCGACGACAAGTAGCTGCCAGCAGCTAGCTTGACCTGAGCGATGAAGTTCTCGTTCAGCTCCATTTTCTGATCTTCAGAAGCGTCCTCAGGATACGCTATTGTTTGAACTGGCACACAGTAATAGTCCAAGTCTTCTCGTAGCACGATTAAACTTGGTTTTTCGTGCAGGATTTCAGCTTCGGAGTTGGAAGACGACGAGGGCATGCTTGAAGGAGACGCGAACCCGAAAAATCTGGATGGTTCGTGAGCAGTTTGGCCCCGATCGAAAATCTCGTCCACTGGGAAATTGATGAGATCCTCCTGTGCCCGCACGTAGTTTTCCATGATGTACTCGAAACAGTCTGGCGGGAAGTTGCCCACGTACACTTCGTCCTGCGATGTCAAGTTCGTGATCACTTGTCCGGTCCTGTCCATAAAAACCCCGGATGGGAACAGGCACAGCAAAAGAGACTCCGGCAGCGACATAAGCTGGTCTCTGGTTATGTAGTAGTGATTTTCCTGGATGTTCAGATGGATCAGAGAGTCGTCATCCAGAAAATCCTGGCCTTGCTCTTGCATTACAGGTGGTAGACCCTGCTCGGCAGAGACCTGAGTTATCACACTCTGAGGTTCTGCCATGTTGAACCAACCTTAAAACAGCACCAAAAAAAGAGTTCTCAAAGCGATTTCAAAGCACCAAAACTGATCAACAGTTTCTGATACAAATATTGTAGTAAAATCAGTTACTAAACGACCTTTAAAGCTCTCAGTAGCTGAACAATTGATCGTTCAAACGTGTCGTCTTGTTTGATAAACCGACTAAGTTGGTTTATCAACGATGAGCAACTAATTTTCGGGCCTGAAAATATCAAGCAGGGTAAGAAAATACGTCTGTTTGACAAGATTCAAGATCCTGGAGGAAAAGAGTGAGTTGAAAGAGGTTTGAAGGTGTTATGATGGGTGAAGACGAGTGTACAATTAGTGATACATTACGAGAGGAATTGTGTTCGATTTCTTCGGTGGTTTTAGGGTAAAAATCGGGTTTTATTTCATCTTTTTTCCTGTGAAGATTGAGGCCTGACGTTGTAAGAATTAATGGGGAATTGCTAGGCAGAAGGTGAAGTCGTAGAGATTATCGGTGAATATGTGGTTGGATGACCCCTTGGATACTGGTGGCGCTAACAGGTTCTCAGAGCGCGATACATTATCAACACGTGTCACGTGACTATTGTGTCATATAAGTACAAAGTGATACGGAGAATGAGCCAAAAGTGCCAATGCATAAGCACTGTCCCGGAGCATCCGGACAGAGGAAAGGCTACTCTTTCTGTAGTGGAGAAGATCTTCTTCTTTTGCGTGTTGTTTAGGGACAGTGCTTGGATGGCACGATGGGTTATTTTACAAAACGTCACATACGTCGATAACGATATGTGGTTTTTAGCTTTGCTTGAGCCCCCTCTTCTCTATCTGATCCTATGGTGTGCGATGCATCCCATCTACTCTCCGCTGCAAATCTACGGAGCCTTTATTCGACCTCATTAGGCCGCATTATCATAAAACAAAATAATTCTTTTCAACTGCAAACGATAATCTTCGGGATTGTTTAAGTCAAGAAACTAAGAAAAAACTCCTGTGTTTTTGGCACGGAATTCTCACGTACCTCCAATTCATCGATCGCGACATCCTCCCTGGCTTTAACCCGCTCGCTGCTTTCCTGTCGTTGTGTAGCCCGCTTCCACCAAAACTCAAAGTTACCCGAACACCTCTACGTATATAAGAAAACTAAATCGTCCTGCTAGAATTACTCTTCACCAAGCGTTCAACCACTAAGCACCTCTTAGAGACCCGGTGCCCACTCTCCACGACGTAAGGCTACGTCGACTGTACGAAGTTGAACCGACCTCGCGCAGTAGCTCCTAATGATGAACAACTTTTCATAATCTTATCTACATTATCTGAAAAAATACATTGGAAGAATATTTGAAGTTCTGATAGGAGGTTCGTAGCATCGTCTAGTCTCATCTATAGCTCGTCGTCGCTGTTAATGAGAAAATCGTTTTCATCGTCCTCGTAAGCTGCGTTTTCCTTCTTGTCTTTGCTGGCAGTAGCGTGAACTTTGCTTGGTGTCAAATTAATAGGCTCAGGAGGAAGTGGTTGCCACTTTTTGCGAGTAGCAGCCTCTGGTGTGTCGATGTAGGTCGTTTCAGGCTGGACCTCGGTTTGCTTGTTTCTCACAGGCAATTGAGGAGCAACGTCTTCGTCATCGCGACCTCCTTCGTGCGAGTCCTGTTTGTTGTATATGGAAATACCATGGCTGGCCAAGCGTTGCGAAGTGTCAACGCTATCGTCGCCCTCCATTGCTCCAAAAGAGTTGAACCGCACTTTTCTGTTTTCGGGTCTAATATAGTTCTCATATTCCGAACCAGAAGACCTGTTGGACGAGGACATCCTTTGGGGCTGTTGAGTAGAGTTTTCGCGTCCTGAAGAAAATTCCGGGTAGTCTGCATACTTCGAGCTCTGAGGCTGTTGCTCTTGGGTCCAAGTCCTGCGGATTCCGGAAAACCACTCATTGACTTTTTTACCGGTCTCTTGCACTTGTCGATTTACCTTGTTACGAATTTCAGGAAGGTCTTTCTCGACAAATTGGCTCAAAAAGTCATCGTCACTGGCTTCACGGCCCAACTCGTCGTAATACCTTTGCTCCTCCGCATTCATGGGTCTTTGTCCCTGCGTGGTGCGTCTCTCGTAGTCTCTTTGGCGACGACGAATCCGATTTTCGCGTGCAGCCCGCTCGTCCTCCATGGACTGAGCACCTTGGTTCTCTTGCCCTCTGTGGCGGCTGGAGCGAGTGCGAGATTTGTTGAATTGGGCGTCGAGCTGACGAGCCAGCATCTCGTCTTGTTCTAGCTGTGTTTGACCCACTTTGGGAGGCCTGGCCAACCCCTGCCCCTCGGCTACAGCCGGAGCACTGGGAACAGACGCTTCAGCCTCGAACGTGGGATCTGACAGATACAGCAAAGCGTTAAAAGCGGGATCCAGAACACCCTGTGAGGCGATCAGCACGGCTTTTACGTATTTGGTCTCGATATTGGGGAAAGCCTCTGTGAGCTCTGCCAAGATTGGGTTTTGCGAGACCTGTGTTCTGGAGCTGTTGCGTTCTGGCAAAGGTGGGCGTTCCTCATCAGAATATTCGGGGGTTTCAGGGCTTCTGGCGTCCGAAATTTTTGGAGACTCGTCAGACACAGCAGACTTAGCTGGCTCTGATGGTTTTAAATCGCTAATTCCCCCTTTTGGCACAGAATCTGGCTCAGCAGACTTTGCTGACTCTAATAACTCGGCATCATCCACTTTCTCCTTTAATTCTTGCCTTATTTCGGCCGTTTTTTCACTGTCCACCGATTTTTCGTTTTTTTTCATATTAGTTTGAGATTCCGAGGCGACCTCGACCACATTTTCCACTTTCTTCTCACCAGAGGACTTTGGTTCTTCGAGTAGTGACACCTCTTCAACGGTTTCCTTCGTATCACTTATTCCACCCATTGTGAGTCGCGTTTTCAAACTCAGGGCAAGTAGTAGTTTAAAAACACGTCAACTAAGCCAGCAAAAGAGTTTCCGAGTCTTGAGTGCTCGCCTTGATCTACTTGTTCTTGGAGAAGAGAAGTTAAGCATGAACGTTCAAGAACCCCTTTGACTTTATTTATATAAATATATATACATATAAAGCGATGACTTGTAGCATTTTCGTCAACAGTGACAAGTCGGCGTCCATTCGAACCGCTTAAGAGACGTCTTTAACTCCTCGTTACATCTACTTGAAACCTTGTTATTGTACTGCGAGCAGTAAAACAGAACATATACGTAGCTTTCTTGTTAGCTTCTTAACCTAGCGTTAGTGTTCGCTTCCCCATACAACATACGGCGCAGCCATGTGATTTTCCCGCTACATTTTGTTCTTCAGCTCACGCAGACGATCCGTAACTTGGGCTCTGGTACACGAGCCCTGGGCATCGTTCACGGCGTCTCTTACGGTTGGATCGTCCAGACGCATGAACGGGTTGTACTCTAGCTCGTCTCGCAGCGTGAAAACGCCGGTTGTGACTTCGTTCTTCTTACAGTAGTTTTCCAGCATATCGAGTGCCGAGTTGTCGCCCACTTTCTTGTAGACCGCGTCGCGCACAAACTTGACGTTGCTCTTGGTGTACTCGTGACCGGGGTACACCTTGGTGGAGCTCCAATTGGCCTCTCCCACGCCGTCCAAAATTCTTCTGTTCAAAGCAACATCCATTTCCTCACCGGTACCCTCGAAAAAACGGCCACAACCCGCTATGAACAGCGTGTCACCCGTAAAGATGGCCTTTTCGCCCGTGTTTGGGTCGCGCACATAGTAACACACCGAGTCCTGCGTGTGGCAGGGCGTGCGAATGCACCGGATCTTCAGGTCCCCCAGTGTGTACTCTTGCAGGTGTTTTGGAATTTGAGTGGCCCCTGGCGAATTGTGACTCCCGCAAATGACTTGAACGTCACTGCCCTTGATTTCAGTAAGTCTGCTGACCATCGCCCCATTGCCTCCAGAATGGTCGTAATGGTGGTGTGTGTTGACCACCGCATCGACGCTGGTCAATTCTTCTGTTTTCAATGCCGAAAATACCTCCAAAGCCTCAGCTGGGTCGATCAACCACGACTTAGTCTTGTCCTGTGTCGACAGCAAATAGCTGTAGTTGACACCTCCGGTCAACCATCTCATTTTGATCGCCTTGATATGCATCTTTCTCGTTTGCTGAATTTGTCGCGACGCTGTTGTTAAAGAAGCCAATTGTCTTGTAATGAAGCTCAGCCTGTACATGCAAACCAAGCTCTTGAACTGTTCACGTCTGTCGTTCCCTTTAATACCTGGTGGTGGGTTGAAACCTGAAGGCCCATCGGCAATTTAAAGAGCTTTGCTGGACCGTCTCGGATGATACTGTCACGCGATTAGCACGGCTGGGTCGTGAACTTGGGCAACACCACGTCTGTAATTCATCCTGGGACTGGTGATCCACGGATGTTGAGCGAATCAAATTCTGGTATTCTCCGTTCAGTGGTCTCTCGTGGGTTTTTTGGTCTTTCTAAAAGTTCCAAAAAATTCAGGCAATGAGACCAGTTTGAAGTTCGACGTCTTCTAATGGGACAGGACGTTGACGTTGCAGTTTCTTTATCATCGACGAGAAAATGTGCCTTTTCGAACTCCGAGGTGTGGCAGCGTGTAGCGTGGGCGGTTTCCATCTGTTGAGCAAAAGTGAGCTCCCCACCACACTGACAGAACTGGCTGCCATGCATGCTACCGCGATGATAGGGTCTAGAGTAATATTCCAGGGCACTAGTGCCCCCATGGCAATGGGGACCATGAATATGTTGTAACAAATGGCCCAGAAAAAATTCAGGCGGACACGGCGTAGCGTAGCGTTGGAAATGTCCAATGCATACACCAATTCACAAAGAGAGGCCAAAGCTGGCTCGGGACGACTTAGGATAATAATGTCAGCAGCTTCCATGGCGATATCTGTACCAGTAGAGATGGAAATTCCCAGATCGCTGGCCACGAGAGCTGGAGAGTCGTTGATGCCGTCTCCTACAAAAGCCACCCGTCTTCGTCCCTCGTCCTTCAACTCTTCCACCAAGTCGTTTTTCTGTGCTGGGGTCAACTCACTGTAAACATTATTTGCTTCAATACCCAGCTCCAGGGCCGCCTTCATCGCTGAATTATGATTGTCGCCAGTAACCATGCATACGCGGTGGCCTTGAGCCGAAAAATATCTGACCACCTGCGCGGCATCTTTCTTCATAGCGTCACCCACCTCAAACCTTCCGACCAACTGGTCATCGATGACAACGTAGGACAGAGTTCCTTGAGGATCAGGAAGATGGTCATACTTTGGTAACATGCTCTTATTGCCAATAACGACGCGATGTTCTAACCCGTTAAGCTGACACTTCCCGATAATGCCACCACCAATCACTGTTTCGCTGTGTGTGATCTTGGGGGCGACGTTTGAGCCCAAAAGATACGAAGAAGTATATTCCTTCAATGCTTTAGAGATAGGGTGATCGCTGAGGGCGCTGAGAGCGTTTACACAAGCCGCTTGATCAACGCTGAGAGCAGTATTATCACACATAGGAACATATTGCTCCACCGTCATGATTCCTGTCGTCAAGGTGCCGGTTTTGTCAAAAAGAATAGTATCCAGGGAAATACAGTTCTCCAGGATGTCACCACCCTTAATGAGAACGCCGTGGCGCGCTCCCAAACCTGTGCCGACCATAATGGCGGTAGGAGCAGCCAGACCTAGCGCGCAGGGGCATGCAACAACAATTACAGAGATTGTCATCTGCAAGCATACGAAAAAGATGCCGTTTTGGTCATCAAAAATGGCAGGTGGGTTTTTGAGGTGGTGCGATAAAGCAAACCACGTTAAGAATGTTATCAGAGCCAACGTCAAAATGCAAGGGACAAATTTGGCAGCAAGGTAGTCGGCTTGGTGTTGTATCGGAGCTTTCGCGAGCTGGGCTCGTTTCATGGTGCTGATAATGTGCGCCAGTTTGGTGTCATCTCCGACGCTGGTTGCCTTGAACAGGAAATGGTTTGGCCCGTTTATGGAGCCCCCGACGACGGGGGAGTTAACATAGCGCGGTACCATCAGGGACTCGCCGGTCATTAGCGATTCATCGATTTCACTCTCGCCGTCTATTATTATTCCGTCAGTTGGGATTTTGGCTCCGGGCTTTATTTCCACAATGTCCCCAACCTGTAGGAACTCCACTGGAATCACGGTTGCGACGCCATTTTCTATTATAGTACAATTGGACGGAGCCAATGATATTAGTTTGGACAGTGAGTCATTAGTCTTGGATTTCGCCTTGTTCTCGAGCAGCTTCCCCACTGAGATAAAGCCTATTAGCATGGTGGAGGCGTCAAACACCACGTTTGGCAAAACACTGAATTTTTTCCAGATATTGTTTAACATTGAGAATATTGAAAAAGTGTAAGCGCACATAGTGGCGACGACCACAAACGTATCCATGGAGCCCGAGCCCTTACGCATGGAATGCCATCCCGCTTTGTAGAAATGACGGCCCACCCAAAACTGAATATAGGTCGACAACACCAAGCCCACGATGTCTCTGTAAAACAGGCCCGGCACAAGCGTCTGTTGGTATAGTATGAATTTGTGTACACCAGGGACCCATCTCGGTACGAATTTGTAGAGCAGCAGCATGACGAGCATGCCACAGCACGCCTGTATGCACGAATTTTTCCAAAACCGAATTTCACGTACTCTGGCCAAAGTCTGAATCTGCGCCATGCTGTCGAAAGAATTGGCTGCGGCAGCTTCGTACCCGAGAGCGTCGATGCGAGCAGCAATGGCACGCACACCGATGACGGTGGGGTCATACTGCAGCGTTACTGCTTCGTTTTCGAGACTCACGGACGCGCGTGCTATTCCTGGGATTTGACGCAGAGCACTTTCCACGACTGCGACGCTGTCGTCGATGTTACTCAGTCCGTAGACTTTGAGCTGCGTATTCTTGGAAGAGCCCGATTTCTTGCTGGTGGCGCTCGAGAGCGTTGCCAGCTCTGCATCGAACCCACAGTCCTCGATGCAGGTCTTGACAGCATTGGCAAATGTGTTTGCGTCGTCGTCGTCTGCGTCGAACACCACACGACACTCCTCTGTGGCGAGCGCTACGGATACCTCATGCACGCCCAGCATTTGCTGCACGCTCTCTGTCACACTGGCGACGCAACTGGCACACGTCATGCCGTGCACTTGGAAACTCGCCATGTGCGTTGTTGTGCGCGGCTCCTGCACCTCCAAAACGCGCGCTTCGAACCCACAATCTTCGATAGCCTCCTCCAGCAGCGCCACCTCCAGTATCTGCGCGTCAAACTTGACCTGGCACGCTCCTGTGATCAACGAAACCGACACATCCTGCACACTTTCCAGTTTCTGTACCTGTTCTTGCACGGCCGCTACGCAAGCGCCACAGGTCATTCCTTCGACCTGTAACGTCGCTAAAGAGTAGCCGCCCATTTTAAGCCAATGTCAATGGTGTGGTGAGAGTTTCAAAGGCGGCTAGGGCTTCTGGGTCCAAGAAAAATGCTGCTGTTTGTGTTAAGTTTTCTGGTTTTTGAATGATCTGCAAGCGATGAGTGAATTCCTAATTATCTGCTGTATTATATATGGCATTGGGAGGACTGGGAAATTATAGTGAAACCTGGGTGTTGTAGAAAAAGTACTCGCGGAGGGTGGGCTGGGCAAAGAGGTACTCGCGGTATGCACGTGATATGGAGAGGAATAAAACATGTGTTTATCACGTGTACAACAAAGTACTCGCCGTACTTGTCATTGGCACGTGTCTTCAGCGTGACCAGTTATCACGCTTTTTCACGTGTCACTAGTCACGCACTTATCACGCGGTTTTCACGTGTTCGACTGTTTGAACCCACCTTCAACACCTTTGGCCTTCAAACGTTTCTCCAGCTTCAGCCGCTGCAGTTCTTGCCACCGGGCCACCTGCGCCTGCTTGTGCAAGTCGAAGCCAAAAATTTTGGGCACGTAGCGCTGAACCGGGTGCTTGGGTATCATTTCTGGGAACGCCTGCAAAAACATGCCTGCGAAGCTGGTCCCGAAATACGCACCGTCGATCGCGCTGTGCCGCGTCGATTTTGGCACGTACAGGTCCTCGCAACACGGACAGTACAGTTTCACACAGTCCATCCCCGGAGCGTCGTGCAGCCCGACCGGCAGCAGTGGCTGGAAATTGCAGTAAACGCGTGGACACCGTCCAAAATCTGCCTCCTTGTACTTCTGCAACATCTTTTGAAGACCCTTAATGGTAATCACGTATCGTGCGTGAATCATCCCGTAAAGCTTGCACGCGTCATGCTCCAGCTGCTGCATCCTCCCGCTCGACAGCTGCTCCAACGCTGTGTCGTCCAACTCGTCTACAATGTACTGGATCACCTGTGTAAACTTGTTTACGCTTTTCTGCAGGTTTATCAGGTTGAAACGGTCCACAATGTAGTCCGTGTCCACATCGCAGAAGTATTCATGGCCCTTCCGTCCCAGAAACAAATCGATCCAAAACTCCACGTATTCCGAGGAATCGCTCCCATTCGCCGTGTTAGACCGATCTTCTACCATGTCAATATCTGCCATGCCTCTTATAAGCTCTTTATATACTGCTTCGGCCTGGTTTTAAGTTTGCTGAAGTTGTTGGATTAAACTGGCGGTATGTTCAATTTACTTTATTGTATAAATAAGATATCTTAAATGTTGAAAGTTTAAATGGCATCGATATATAACGAAGAAACTCGACAAAAAGATGAAACTGCTCAAGTACCCGAGGACTTTAAATGGTGGAAAGGTGAGCGGCAGCTGCTTGGTAGGCGATCATTTGCTGGTAGCTGGTTTAAGCTCGATTGTGTGCTTTTCCAGTGAGCAATTGAGCGCTTGTGCGCGCGGAACGCAAGCTGTTAAAGATGTGCAACAAATGTTTGAAATCCCGGGTTTGACGGGCGAAAAAGACCAAATTTACGATGTGTTTGCAACCGAAACGCATTTTTTTGTAGTTACCAGCCGTGCAGTGCTGTGGGGCGATCATTGGCGCGAGAAAAAGGCGAGCACTGAGTTGAAAGAGTTTTGGGCCATCTCAGAAACGTCTGCTTGCATCACAGACGTGAAATTCGACCCTATAAACGGTGTGGTGTTTGTGCTCGTCAACAAATCGGCTACGGAAAATATGGTGGTGCTATGTGATGCGCAAACAGCGCTCCCAGCCGGGGAAATCGAGCTGGGTGTGTCCAAGCCGTTGACAGGCGTGGTGGACCCGAAGGCGCAGATCTTCACCGTGATCTGTGCAGACCGCAACGTTGCAGTGTATCAGTACACCCGTGTGAGCAGCCAAAAGATCCTGCACAAACCCCTACACAAGCTCAACCATTACGTACAAGTGGACCCGCTGCGCTACCGGATCAACATGTCGCCACAGGCAGACAAACTACCTATTCTAAACTCCATGAGTGGCTCGTCCACGCCAGCGGTTCTGCTGCTGGACCGCAAACACAACTTCAAAGTAAGCACGTCTCTGGTCGGCCATTTTGACAAGTGTCAAGTCCTCAAGTATTCGCCCCGAATCTACCGTAAAACACTCAAATCAGGCGCTAAGACCACGTATAATCTGGCCGCTACAGCAGGCTTCGACACGGGTTCCGTGGTCGTCTGGAACACGAAACGACTCAAGCCCTTGCTGAACACCAAATGCTGCCCTGACTCCTACATTACCGACCTCCAGTGGACTGCAGACGGACTATCCCTGTTTGCATTCACTAACAGTGGCCAAATGATAATTTTTGCATTCCGTCCCGAAGAACTGGGCGAGATTTTGCCAGAAACTGAAGTAGAAGCAGGCAAGAAATCTATTGCTGATCTGGATCCTCTATCGCCCACCGAGTCCTTGGATTCTCGTAGCGCGTTAAAACCTCAGATTGTGCAAGCTGGTTCTGGCGGTGTTGTCACGAAATCTTCTGGCAGAAAGAAGGTTGCGCCAACAACAATTCACAGTACATCAATGGAGCTCAACACACCGTCTTATAGCGTTCCTCGAGATCTCAAGCGAAGGCCTAAAGAAGCATCTTTGCCTGCGACGAACAAAAGACAGAAACACGACTTAGAACCCATGGACTTTCTTGACACCACACTTGTCATGCCAGGAATTTCATTTTCTAAGATGAGATTGGCTACACCAAAGGTCCGTCTGTCTTTCATGTACAAATCCACCGAAATTGATACTCTGGCGATGTACGTAAAAAATGGGTCGGGCAACGAGCAAACTCCGAGTGTGCTGTCCCTCAAGCAGAAGGAACTGGGCCAGGAGAAAACAGTCTTCGAAGACTTCCTTCCAAAACTGATTACAATCTGCACCGCAGGTAGTAATTTTTGGAGCTGTTGCACAGAAGACGGGACCATCTATGCTTATTCCGATACGGGTAAAAAACTCGTACCTCCTCTGATAATGGGAGTGCCCTGCAGTTTTTTGGAGGCCTGCGGCCGATTTCTGCTTTGCATCACTTCAACCGGCCAACTGTTTTGCTGGAACATTAACACTGCCAAACTCCACTTCCCGCCTAATTCGATATACCCACTCCTCAATCCGACTCTGAGATATTCCGACGATGTCCTAACGAGAGCTGAGAACATAACAATGTGCACACTAACGACTAGTGGTGTTCCAATTGTTACTCTCAGCAACGGTGATAGCTACATGTTTGACAAAGAAATGGAAAGCTGGATGTTAATTAACGATTCCTGGTGGGCCTACGGATCACAATACTGGGATACGACGCAAACAACAGCCAATGGAACATACGTTGGTGAAAACGGCGAGAAGCTAGAGAAAAAGAGCCACTCTTGGAATTCCGAGGCACAAGGAATGACGGACATTGTGAAAGACAACAAGTCAAGTATTCTCAACTACCTGGAAAAAAGAACTAACGACGAGCTCAATCGCAAGGGAAGAGCGCGCAATCTACAAAAATTTGCCAAGTTAATTCTGATGAAGGAAGGTTACGAAAACTTGGAGGAAGTTGTAACTTTATCCCACTTAGAAAATAAACTTCTGATATCGCTGCGATTGGGCGAAAATGAAGAATTCGTCAAACTAATAATTATTTACTGTATTCGATTGAGTGAAATGGGCTACAGAGGTCGTCTGGAGGATGTGCTTCAGTGGCTTTATAATGATGGGAAATATAAGAAGTTGACTGTCGCAGATTTGAGCGCTGAAGAGCTGTTGAGAAAAATCTTAGTCGCTTGCGCCGATATTAGGCACGTACAAAGAGTCACCACCAGTTATGCGACTGCAATTGGATTGATAGAAGATGGTCTCTAGGAAGAAAAACACTGCTCTTTGCGGGCTGCTATTTACGAATTTACGACTTCAAAATCCCATTATCTGCTTGATCTCTTTGATGTTTTTTTCAGCCAGTTCTGCTGCTGCTTGAGAGCCCTGTCTGGTGACAGTGTCAAGATACTCCGGCTCTCTCATGAGCATATTGAAATTTTCACGCGGTTTGCGTAGCGCCTCAATGAGAATATCACTGACGTAGCTCTTAAAGGCGCTATGGCTCTTGAAGGCGGAGATCTCTTTCTCGACATCGGCAATGGACTTTCTTTGGATGCCGCTAACGATATTTATCAAATTAGAGACACCTGGACGGTTTGTAGGATCATAAAGGAACTCGTGCGACGTCGAATCTGTAACTGCTTTTTTAATCTTTTTAGCTATTGTATCAGGTTTGTCATTAAGATATATGGTAGCGTTTTGATTTGGATCGCTTTTCGACATTTTGCTTGCAGGGTCAAGTAGGCTCAAGATCCGTTTAGTGGGTGCCAAAATGGTAGTTGGTATCGAGAAAACATCCGTCTTGAACAGTGTGTTGAAGCTTTGCGCTAGTGTTCGTGTCAGTTCAAGATGCTGAGCTTGGTCTTCGCCAACTGGGACGTGGGTGGAGCGGTACAAGAGGATGTCGGCTGCTTGCAGAACCGGATAAGAGAACAGACCCAGTTTGACGTTTCCTAGAGTCTCTTCATCGCTCGTATTTTTAAGATTGGATTTGGATTTCCATTGCGTCATTCGATTTAAAAGACCCATGGGAGCGATAGTGGAAAGAAGCCAGTGAAGCTCCGCATGCTGGTGAACATGGGACTGATTGAAAATAATGGCTGCTGAGGGATCAATTCCTAGCGCCAAAATGCTTGCAGTGGCTTCTTTTCGACTTTGTCGCAGTTTTTGCCCGTCTGGAATGGGCACAGTAATAGCATGCAAATCTGCTATTCCGAATATCAGTCTGGTATCCTCTCTTTTCAAGTCACACAGTTCTTTCCAGGTTCTTACAGAGCCCAAATAGTTCCCCAAATGGAATTTACCCGTAGGTTGGACTAAACTGAATATGGTGGAGTTCTCGGGTATATCACTTGAATGTATCTTGTATTTGGTAGTTTTAACAGTTCGAGATAATCCTCGAAACGCTTGAAAGCTGTTGTAAGCCTTCATAACGTGCGGTCGTTTTCAAGCTCTCGAAATGGCTCTTAAAAAGAGAGTTGTCAATATTATCGTTTATATACAAGCAACCTCTTCAACTGAGATCAATCTATAAAATACACTGGCAAACGTAAAGAGCTAAGTAATAACCTACAAGAACGAATAACAAGCGAGTTCTTATATATATATATATATATATATATATATACATACTTTGTTCATTAGCAGTGAGCTATCACACGTTTAGGAGTACTATCGAGCATTTGGGCTCTTTTACCTCACTCTTAAAATCGCATGAAGCGCAGATGTCAGTTTAATGATCTTAAAATTGCGTCTTTTACTAGATACAGGTAGTTATGGAATATGATTACTGGTTTCAGGATAATTTGAACACGTTTGAACTGTCCCAATTCTTTTGGGCAAGCAGTCCTAGCACTGGTCCCTGTAGTAAACCGTGCTTTGCGCCTGTCATTGTAGCTAGATAGCCATCAGGACCGCATACCAGCGACAAAATTGGACTTATGGAGGTTTCACTTTCTCTTTCAGTGTGGGGTTTCGGTATCAAAGCCATCACCTCGTTTGGAATTTTGCGTATATCGCGTCCATTCGCAGACTCGAAATAGTGCAGCACGCCCCGTTTGTTGCTTAGTGCCTCCTCCAGCAGGGGTTTTAAAGGACCTAAATCTTGTCTGGTAGAGCACGAATGAAGCATCAAAATCCTTCCCGCAAACGGCGTGTTCGTTAGCAATATTTGTGCGATTGGAGCTATCCCAGTGCCTGCCGTGAAAGTAGCGATATCGTAAGAAGACTTTTTGTCATTTGATTGTTTCGGCAGCTCGTGGTCAATATATGGCCCACGTAACTCGATTACATGGCCCTCGGGCAACTCACTCAACCATCGGGCCACTTCACCGGTGTGATATCTCTTCAAGTAGAAAAATAGCTTTCCCTCTTCATAACTGCCCTTGGAAAATCGCTGAATTCGCCCGTTTCCAACATGCTCGAGAGGTAGCGGCGTGTAGTTTCTCACAACCATGCATTCAGGCTGTTTGATCTGGACAGACCATAATTTCTCAGACCTCATCGCGGTCCACAAATCGACTTTCTGGGACTCGAGAGGGGTCAATTCCAGCATAAAATGGTCAGAATCTATTCTATCATTGTAACTTATTCTGTATTTCGTGAAATGCTCAGGCGACAGCTCAGCTTGGTCCCATTTTTCATTGCAATAGTAAGCTAAACCAGAGATAGTGACAGCAGCGCCGCCTGTGAACCATTTGAGGTGTCGAGAAGTGCCTCCTACTGTGAATGAGCGTGAAAGGTTCCTGGTATAACTTATCAAATCACGGAGCCTTATATACATATCTTTAATTCTGCGATTCTCTAGGTTTAAGTAGTCTACATTAAATTTCAATCCATTGTTATAACAGTTTTAAAGATCAACGTTTAGCTATTCTTCAAGAGATCTACACAACTCGCTTCTGTGATGGTCATCTCACTACTACAATCACTCAAACTCCATAAAGACAAGCTTTGGTCGATTGACTGCGCTAAGGGCCTGGCAGCGACAGCTTCATCGGACCGTAAGATAAAGTTGATTAATCTGAGGAACTCAGACTTCAAAGAACTGGAAGAGCTCGATGACAACACACATAAAAAGTCTGTGAGATCGGTGTGTTTTAGACCACATTCATCGATTCTTGCTGCTGGCTCCTTCGATTCTACAATTTCCATCTGGGGCAAAGAGGAGAACGACGATCTTCAAGGAACTTACCAAGAAACAGAGCCTCTGGCTATCATCGAGGGACACGAAAATGAAGTCAAGTCTGTTGCATGGTCCCATTCTGGTGATTTCCTAGCTAGCTGCTCGAGAGATAAAAGCGTTTGGATTTGGGAGGCTGACGAAATGGGCGAGGAATTCGAATGTCTAAGCGTGCTGCAAGAGCACACTCAGGATGTGAAGCATGTGGTATGGCATCCACTGGTTAATTTGCTGGCTTCCAGCTCTTACGACGATACCATCAGACTATGGAAGGAGGAGGAAGACGATTGGGAATGTGCCGCTGTCTTGAACGGCCATGAAGGCACTGTTTGGTGCTCTGATTTCGAAACATCTGAATCTTCTCTCAGACTCGTCAGCTGTAGCGACGACTCTTCAGTACGAGTCTGGAAACATGTGGAAGATGGAGAAGACGGAGAAGATGTGTGGGCACAAGAGTCAGTTCTCCCCCAGGTGCATACCAGAGCAGTTTACTGCGTGAGCTGGAGCCCTGATGGATACATCGCAAGTACAGGCTCTGACGGGATCTTGGCAGTGTATAAGGAAAATGAGCAGGGCAAATGGGAGGTTGTTGCGCAACAAACGGAGGCTCACGGTGTCTTTGAGGTCAACGTCGTGAAATGGACAAAAGTCGGGGGAAAAACTCTGTTGCTCTCGGGAGCAGACGACGGTTCCGTCAATATATGGAGTTTCTCTTTCTAAAGAGTGTTTTGCATACTCGCCCGTTATACACTAGAAATATAAAACCTCCCAAGCTACCGCTAGCTAAAAACAATTAAAATAAACATCACCAGGAAAAAGACCACCACAGCTAACATTATTAGACACCGTCTATTAGACCCTGATTGATAATGCATAGCTTTTGTGAGTTCTCGAGCCCCCGATTGAGCGCTGTTGGCCACCGAGTAGATATTACTCTCGATGTTGTCAACGAGATGACCTTGTTGCTGCACGATGCTTCCAAGATCGTGGAATATCTGATTGAGTTCACTGATGCCACTTTCAATGTGAGAAATCTCCTGTTCTCGCTGCTGTATGAGGTTTTGTTGGTATGTAAACTCCTCGTTGTTGATGGCCTCACGTTCTATCACAACCCGTTGTTGCTGATGTTGAGTATGCTGGGTATTTTGGTTTTGATCGCTACATTTTGTCTTCCACGCTTCCTCCTCCTGGTGCAAGGCCACTTTAGCTTCCTCGTTCATGGCTTTCGACGTGGTTGTGAACTCTTTACGAGCATCCTGGAATTCCTGCACCGAGTACCTTACGTCACGGATTATCTTATCCCTTGAGATAACTTGAGACCTGTCCAAATCAGTCTCCTCGATTGCGCTAATCTTTTGAACTAGCGAGTTGATCACTTTCACGAGCTTGGTAATTTCATCAATGTGATACACAGACTTTTTATCGAGGTTGAGAACCATTTTGGATTTCACGTTGCCTTGTTCCTGGTTCTTCTGCAGCGTCCTGATGAACTGTTGCAGGGTGCTGAGATGTCCATTCATCTCAAATAAATTACCCAACAGCTGCTCGACATCTTTCTCGAACTCAGGATTGTCACAGTACCGTTGTGAATCCTCGACATCTTCATCAATTCCCAGCATATCGTCCTCGCCTGTGAACGGGTCTCTATCCAACTCGTTGTGACTGAGGTGAAGCTGTGGATGTCAATCAGACCCTGGAAATAAACCATTAAATAAGAGAGATGCGTATCTAGTGACGAAGAGGTTCACTGTCAGTGAGACAGGACCAAAAGGCCGGATCTTAGCTTGAGCTGGTGGATTTCAATCAGTGAAATTATGGCCATCAATCGACAGCACACTTAAAAATTTGTCTCTGGCTTTATGTAGCGATCAACCCGATTGGCACGGTTAATGCAACTCAAAAACACATCGTGAGCGTCACTTCCTGGTCCAATTGTGACACTCGTTCAATTGCAATCGAGCAGAATAGGTTGTGCGCCAACAAATACTATGCGTCATGATTATCACAATGTTTTTCGACCACGCAGCTTTTTCCCAAAAATATCAAGTTTTTGAACAGCCTTTTCAGGATCAATACTACCCCATAATCACTGATTCTTCTTTTGTTCAGGCACCTTACGTCTGGTTTGGCTCGATCGCCAAGCCAATCCCCGTGTTGCAAGCTGCAGAATTGCATATGCGAGAGGCGATAGGACAATAAGCTCGATAATAGTGCAGTTCTGGTCAAGAAAATCGGTATCGAAAACACTCAGGTAAGTGTCCTCCATTCCAGTGAATCTGGGCTTGGGTGCATTTAGTACATGTCTTTTCTGAACCTTCTGCGCGTTTTTCTCGATGTCAGCCTTCTTTTGAGGATCTTCGAATACGTCGGGGAAAATACGTGTCAAGCCGGTGGCTTCATGGCTGCCAGCTGGTGCCACTGCTGTGTTATTTTGTGACACCAGAGACGTCAGAATTATTGTGTTGTCTGCAGTGGGAAGTTGCCCTAGCACATGCCTTAGAACTTGGTCACAATACCCAAAATACTCGCCTTTATTTTCCGACGGTATTTCGTCGAAGTCAATGCGGATAGTCCTCGGCCTCCAGTCGATATACCGTTGAAATGACTCCATGTGGTTGTCACGGACCTCTATACGATCTGTAATGTCCCATTCTTCTTCTGCGAATGAGATCAACTTGTCGAAAACGTCCTCCCATGTGCGCTCCACTTCCACATCTTCGAACCTGAGGGCAGTGGAGCTCAACTTTAGGACTTTCTCCAGCGATTCAAGCTGTGTGTGATACTGAGCAAAGTCAGAAACTGTAAGCCCCGGTATGTTGACGAATAAATAAGCATCGGATCGATGCCTCGATATCATCTTTTCAGCAACATTAACAAACGAATCCTGCGATAAAACGTTCGAGTTATCATATTGTACCTGGTATTCCAATAATCCAGCTGCTCTGTTAGCATAAAGACGCTTGTGTTAGCTAGTAATTCTTACTGATCTTAAATGTTAATGTAATGGTGATTGTCTAGACATACAGCTTATGGCTGCCGAGAACAGCAGGAACGCTTTCTTGAAACGAGAACCTGGCTAAAGCAATGAGCGAAACTATAGATTTCAGGGCGAAGAGCTTCATCTCTCGCGTGTTAGCTTAGCCATTCGATGATGTTGAGATATGATCTTAAAAAGAATATTATTTTTGACAGCATCGACAGTGACGCATTTTATATGCTTTGAGTATAATCCCAAATTACCTGTCACTGCAGAACAATCGAGTTGCGCTCCTACATCTCTTGAATCTGATAGCTGGTTGGCATACTCGAGAAGACAACGCGACAAACAAGAATGTTGAATATATATGTGGTAGCTAGCAGCTATTTGCTTGCTTGAACGCAGTGATTCTAGTTTATAACGTGTAAGAACCTTTTGTCTGTGTGTATGACGTGTATAACGCAAGAGCGTATCGAGCGTTAAATCTCCAAATCCACCAAGGCACGGACTGAAATTCGCCCACACTCGCCAGAGGCCGCTATAGTTTGATTGACCCCAGATAGTTGACATTAGCCCGGGAAGGCTACGCATGCCAGTTGACTTTTCTCTTGAAACACCTTTTATCTGCTGAAAGGCAGATTTTCTCAAAAAGGCTGGGCATTTATCCAGCAATTCAAGCCTAATCTGAACGTCTATTCTTGGTCCTTGACAGAGCCCACTGCATTTAAAATTTCCTCGGCAAACCCAGTAGTTCCATCAATCTCTTCCTCCATAAGATCATCTGAAACTAAATCATCCATCTCCTCGGGTGCGTCTTGAACGTCCTCCTCTGTTTCCTTCAAAAATGTAGTATCTGTATTTTTTGGCAGCTTCCAGCCATTTTCCAGTGCTCGCTGAATCAGTAGTTTATGAGAGATCGAGAATCCGACCGAACAAAGTTTTGTATACCAAGCGTGTGCCTCATCAACTTGTCCTGACCGTAAGTGATAAAAGACCATCCCACATATGACTTTAAAGTCCAGCTTCAAATCGTTTTCATCCATCAAAACCAGAAGTGAAGAGATCTCCGTCTTGGTGAGAGTGCAGTTATGATACATCGCGAGTCCAAATGGCGAGCAACCTTTGCAAGCAACACGCGGTTTGGTTCGATAGAAATCCTCCAGTAGCTGGTATGCTAATCGATCTTCTCTCACCGAGAAACGTAGGTGATGAATCAGAACATTGAGTATCCCACAGTCAGGGTGCCTGAAGTAGTTTCGGTGCGTCTCTAAAGTTCTTTTATAATTTTGATAAAGATCGATTATAAGCTGTCTGAACTCCGGAGAGCTCATGGTTTTTTGCATATAATGCAATGTAACACGATAGAGCTCCGTCAAAACAACAGCATTAGGGATCAAGTTTTTAGTAAGAAACTGAGATATTTGTGATTTTTGTAAGATCAAAGTTTGAGAATCGGTTTCTAGTTGTGAAGGCGATAGACGATACACCGACCCGTGATGCACCAGTCCCCAAAGCCCTAGTTCGTTCAAGAAAGGCATAGTGACAGGATTGCAGTAAACTGTAGCAATATAGCTTAATATCATCTTTGGATCATTGAAGGATCGCAGTGTGGAGACCAGCTCGCATATAAGACTTTGCTTGAATTTGAAGCTCGATTGCAAATTGAGTTCCTGAGCTGATGATATGAGTCTCAGTACATGTGAATGCTCGTTCAGCGCCCTCAGGAATTGTATCGCTGATAGAAACGGTTTGTGCAGTAGGCTGAGATCTAGTTTTTGGCTGTGAACAAGTCCCAAAACAACTTTAAAAGTGTCCAGAAACATATCGACGTTGCGAGATTCCTGCAGAAGTTTTAGCAAAGTATTTGTGAATTTCACAAATAATGCGATACGCTTTTCCTGCGTGAGCGTTGAGTCGTTGAGTTCCCACGACTCCAGTCGGTCAAGCAGCGCGGTGAAGTATGAGTTGATATGTCTAAGATCTTTTTTGGACAGTAAAGCGCTGGTTATCACATTAATCTGAGCGAAAGTGCATAGCTTAGTGATTCGCCTAAAATATTTCCTATGTCCTTGCGGGCCGTTCAAGAAAATTTGAAATGTCGCCAAATGTTGTTCAATCTCTGATCCTTTTAGTAGCCTCACCAACAGGCGGTGAGCAGCCCGAGATCCTAGAAGAACATTACTTTTGACAAGAAAATGGAAATGTGAAAAGCTTTCCCCTTTGTGTAAATGCTGCCAGAACCACTCATGAAAGAACTCTGGTAAAAGAATGCCTCTTTCGAAAGTGCTCTGCGGAAACAGTTTTCTTTGAAGCTTCACTAGGGTATACAATTGCTGTTTCTTGTGTTCCACAGTTGCATCACTGGAGATAATTTGCCGAAGACTGTCCACAAATGCCTGATATTGTCGTGGACCGGCAGTCTGATAAAATATCATTTGAACAATGTCAGGCTGTAAGATACCTGCTAGCCGCATGTCTGCCACGAAATCCAGATATCCCTCATCCAAGTACCTGATCAGCTTATTTTTCAATGGTTTGAGTCCAGCCAACTCCTTTTTCGCTAGCTTCGCGTAAACGTGTCCCACAACTTCTTTAGGTGGTCGAAGCGCCATTTCCAAATGCACATCTCGTCGCCAGATCCATTTCCAGACGTGTGCTTGTCGAAGCCGTACTGAGACACCGAGCTGTCGAGGAAACATAGACTCCAGCGCGAGATTAGAATATGCTAGAGAGGTGAAGCAGGCGTTGCTGCTGGACGTTTTTGGTTAGTTCATCATCGATCGATTCCAGCTTATATGTTATATTAAAGAATAGCATTGTTAAAATAGGTCACTACTGACGAGCAATCGACGACAAGCGACAAACCCGAACTGAGAAAGTCCGTTTAGATGCTAAAGTAATATATAAATTAGCGTCATATATTCCTGAGTTATTCCGATAAGTTTCGAGCATTTGATAGATCGGTTCAGTCTTGCTCTAGGACACATAACAATAATTCTGAAAAAAAAAAATGGAAGACCGTAAGCTGCAGCGTAACGAATCTAAGGTTTGGCATAAAACCGAAGAACAAAAATGCCAGCAATTGCGGACCTTCAGAGCTCGCTTATACTCATTGTGATGATTTCAAGATTCAACTTACTCGAGTACATCACTATGAACGTAAGTACTCATTTTTTAAAGTCATCTCCAAGTACCTTCGCACGAAAAAATATGAATCGGGAATGGATACAGCTAAGTTTATTCAACTTACTTGGCAAGCAATTCGTGTTACATCTGTGGAAGAGAGGTTCTTAAGGCTTTCCCAAGTACTTGTTACCTTTTAGCTGTTCAAAAATGAGTGGGGCTCAGGCCACGAATGGTCAAAATCGGCCGTCTGTCAGCCAGCTTTTCAAACGGACAGAGGTCATAGGACGAGGTAAATTTGGGGTCGTCTACAAGGGCTATTACACCAAGACTCGCCAGGTGTGTGCGATCAAAGTACTGAATTTGGACTCTGCTGACGACGAGGTGGAGGACGTGCAGAAAGAAATCCAATTTTTGTCTTCGCTGAAAAGTGTACCGAACATTACGCACTACTATGGATCATATCTGAACGATACCAAACTGTGGGTTATCATGGAGCATTGTGCCGGTGGGTCGTTGAGAACGCTGCTGCGACCGGGAAAAATCGGTGAGCAGTATATAGGAGTGATCATGCGGGAGATTTTGACAGCTTTGATGCATATTCATCGGGATGGTGTCATACATCGTGACATCAAAGCCGCCAACATTCTAATAACAAACGATGGACACGTCAAACTCTGCGATTTCGGTGTGGCAGCACAGCTGTCGCAAACTAAAATCAGACGCCAGACAATGGCGGGCACGCCGTACTGGATGGCGCCAGAGGTCATCATGGAGGGTGTGTACTACGACACGAAAGTTGACATATGGTCGTTGGGTATCACGATATATGAAATCGCCACGGGAAATCCCCCGTACTGCGACGTCGAGGCGCTGCGAGCTATGCAGCTTATTACCAAGTCCAAGCCGCCTCGACTGGAAGGACGTCAATATTCAAGTTCGTTAAAAGAGGTCATCGCGCTGTGTCTCGACGAAGATCCAAAAGAAAGACCGTCTGCAGAAGAGCTTTTGAAAACGAAGTTCATCAAGCTGTATAAGAACTTGCCAGTGTCTATCTTGAAAGAGCTGATTAGTCGGTATCTCCTTCACCGTGAACAACAACCCCAACGTGAGTCCGCTTCCATGTCTTTAGATGACGACAACTCTAGCAAATCAGACGCTTCCCCGTCTGAACATAACTTGGACGTGAAATGGGACTTTGATTCCTTGAGCTCCAACGAATACATTATCGAAAACGACATCAACATAGATGCCATTCCAAAAGAATCTGCAACTAACGAGCACTTCAACTTCGCATATCCCGAAGACGACCTATTCTATCACACAAATAAAAGACACTTTCAGAATACCACGATGGGCAAAGCGACACCCAATGTTGCGACGAACAACTTCACCTTACAGGCAACTAATAATCATAACAATAACACCACTTATCAGAACATCACAAACACCAAATATCATAGCAAACAGAGTCAGGTCAACACAAGCAAGAAGTCCGAAACAAAGGCTTCTAAAGCATTGCTGCAACTGTTTGAAGATAATGAGGATACCGCAGCGGAATCTGAGTACTCAAGGACGGGTGGATCGATGTCCGTTAAGTCACAGGAGGATAGTCAAAGAATTACCAATCAGCCGCCAGAGCGTGCTCCACTTTCCGATGCAATCAAGGCTCCTATTTACCAGAGCCAGAGCACACCGGTCTTGCCCATGTTGCAGACAGCGTTCAATCAAGCCGTTGCCATGGGGCACCAAAGCTCCACGGCTTTACCCACTCCAATAGAAATCGAGATTCCAGAAGAACTGCCGTCTAGTCAGGAAGGAGCCGGCACCGCCGTCACAAAGCCCAGGTCGTCGACTGTTTCAATTCCCTCGAACAAACAAGCTTCTGTCCTACAAAGAAGGCCCACTGTTTCTGGGAGTAGCATGGGACGTGACCCTTCGAGTACGGGTTTGAAATCAGCACACGATGATAAACAGCGACCACTCGCTGCGGTATCAAACGGAGTTATCAGCAAGCCCATCGCCCGGAGTGCATCGCCCTTAAAAGGTATGGAAGGCTCCCCAGGCAAACCTGGCTCTGCAACAGGGGCTACTGGTGTTGTTCCTTTGGCAATGAAGCCTGTTGCACCCGATAAATCAGACGTTCTGTTGAAACCCATGAATGGAGATGATACCGAGGCTGGACGAACCAGAATAAACCGAGACTTCACGCGTCGAAACCCGAATTTGAAACTACAGATGCCCTCACCCACGTCTGCACTTCCAAACCCATTGCTGGAAAACGTTACTGGTGCATTTGTGAACTCCGAGGACGCCAATATCAATCAGTTCGGTTTCAACCCCAGCTCCACGCTGCCTGTGGCGATGACGCCAGTTGTTGAGAGAGGCAATGATTTGCTGAAGCGAAAAGTGAGCACTACAGGAAGCACTACGTCTGGCAGCCGAAACAACAGCATAACGCAGGAGGCCACTGCAAATACGAGTACATCTGCAAACGCTCCTGTTACCACTTTGGGAGGTGCAAATAACGGCAATTTGTCAAACGCGACCCCGGCCGCCGTCAACGGCACCTCAATGCTTTCAGGAGCGAATTCGAATGCAAATGCACCGTCCGGCAGCATACCAATGATGGAGAGACCGCCAAAGTCTCTACAAATGGACATGTTCGTGGACTTCCCAGACGATGCTACGGGAGAAATTTCAAGTGACCACGATCACGACCGCAAATTTCTAGTTTTGCGAGAGCTGGACTCTCTACTACAAACAATCGAAGACGGGCTACCTGCGATGGAGTATGCCTTGAAAGAAGTGTTGAGCAAGACAGACGAGTCCAAGTAAAGCGAAGACAATGTTCATTTGTTCCAAAAATTCAGTTTTTTCTAAAAAAGTCTCCAGCTGGGCTACCAAGCATTATTTCCAATAATCCTCAACCATTACAAACGCTTCAACCCCCCCATAGCATCGTCCTGTCATCTGGTAATGCCAACATGCTGAATGATACTGACGCTTTAAAAACTATATCATCATATACGTATAAACTATAGTGGTACATTCTTTGCATTTACACCGTCAAAGAACGAAAGCATCGAGCTCGCAACGAGTTCTCACCACGCGTACTCGCGAAAATAACAACATTTAAAAGTTAATAGAACTCAAAACTTCGAGATTTTGTTTAGGAAGGACAATTTTTGCTTAGCTGCGTATATCTTTTAGCCTCCCACGTCTTTGATCAAAGTGTTAATACGAAAGTTCATAAGGGTGAGGATTCCTTAAAACTGCATTCAATTTGACAACCCACACTCGCTTTCATCACAATCGCTTATAAACATGAACTTCAACGGACCAAATGGCGTCTCGCTAGAGACTCTTGAGGAGGAGGCTTCGGTCCTGGGCAAAATGGGAATGCCAAGAGCAGCTGGTCTGCACCAACAGCAGCAGACACCCAAGCCACGCAGCAAAAAAACGGTGTATCCAGAAACATCTTACGGGCTTGCCAGTGGTAGTGGTGGTACCGGAGGTAGCAAGACGATTGGATTGGGGATTGCACGCAGGCCCAGTGACAACTTGTTGCTAAATTTGGCCCAAGAACAACAGCAACAACAGCAGCAGCAGCAGCAGCACTGTCAACAACAACAAAAACAGCGAGAGCACCAGCACCAGCAACAAGCAGTACCACAGCCACCGACACGCAAGAAAATAATCTTAAACCATGACCGTCCCCTGTCTAACGACTCTATCACCACACAGAGCTCGAATCTGTTTTCTTCTAACGCCAGCTCCGCTGCATGGTCCTCAAACGACAGCTCGCGGGGGTCTTCCATCATCGACGAGCTTTCAACGGAAAACGTTAAGCGTGTCGGCGAAGAAGTTTCTTTCGCAGAGACCGACGGTGAGTCCACTATAAATCTGACATCCACCGTTGGTTCCGAATATTCCGCGTCAACGCAACAAAATCTACTCACACAGGCGCCCTTTAGTCAACCCCCGAAACAAGCGCTGCCGAAAAGCACATATGTTTTCACCAACAGTTCTATGGCTCGGTCTCAGGCTTCGTTCCCGTCCAGTAATCCTTCTCCTTTGAAAAACAACTTCAACCGGAACTCGTTTCCCACCAAGCTTTACTCCAAGTCAACATCCGCCTTAGCCCAGCAACAACAAGGTCCAAAACAAGCTGGTCAACAGTCGGCGTTAACTCCGTCTCAACGATATCGTTTACGCCGGGAGCAGAGTAAGACTGCATTACAAAATTCGATAAAGCAAAAGGAAAAGTATTACGACGAGCAAGAAACGCTGCCTTCAAGTCCTTACGCTAACGATACTGAAGTCGGTAATGACTTTATTTGGAACATCCCTGTGGCATCTAACAGCACAAACTCTTTTCTCATGTCATTGCAACCACCTTCCATGAAAAGAGGACGATCCAAAAGATCCTTGGGCTTCTCGCGTTCTTCATCACAAAACTCAGGATTATCTGACAACTCATCACAGTACTTGGATTACAACGAAATGCCACCATTGCCAATACCGGGACTGGATGCAAGCTCCGATTTCCAAGGCTTTCAGCAAACATCTGAAGCTCTCTCTTCCGTGTACCAGCACTCATCTAACAAACTTTCACAAAGCCGACTATGGGAACGCACAAGCTCCATGGAAATTCTGCCGATGCAGTTCAAGGCTGCCAGTGATGAAGGAATGGAGGATCTCCAGCTGGTTTCTGAAGACAAGGTGCAACTGTGTAGTCCATCCAGACCTACATGGTTGCCTCCGAAGGGAGAAGTGGAGCGCAAAAGTCACGAAGAAAAGATCAAAAAAACTATGAGCATGGCTTCCCTTGACCAATTGGATCGAAGCCGGGAGCGCGAGGAAGCGCTAATCCGCGACGAGACTAACAGACAGAAATTTATTCTTTTGATCGACCGTGGACTCACGAGACAGTCATCGCTGCACGATCTCAAGAGAATAATATGGGATACGCAATTGACGCCTGACATTCGCCCAGAGGTTTACGACATACTACTACAAAGCAAAGAGCGCATGATCAGCGAGCTGTACATTGAGCCCTACGAAAAAGTCCTGGACATAGTGAACCAGATGCATTTTCCACGAGCAAAGCAGAGTGAGATAGAGAGACTGCTAACTAGGATACCGTCTTCCCGACCTCTACCTCAATTCGACCAGCTTATTCTGCTTCTGAAAATGAAGTCGATCTCAAACCAAGGTCTGCTTCCAGGTGACGAGCTCTTGTTTTACCACCTGCTGAGCGAATCGTCTGCTTTTGACCAAAAGAAAGTCTGGGAAATGGTCAATCTCATACAAATGACTTGTTTTAATGACACTACCACATCGAAGCTGGACTCGCGCGTCGTGAGTCCCCGTGGTGTGATAGCCAACTACATCAGCAACAGTGCGGATTTTAAGAAGGAGTTAAATTCCGAGTGTCTCAACATCACAACCTGGTGGAACATATTGCTGCGCATGGATCATAGCGTATTTATCTGGTGTTTGGACATAATAGTGACACACAATAGTCAGTGCTACAAGAACCGGCCTGTGATACGAGAAAAAGTCGCTAACAAGACCTGGGACACTTACAAAGCTCAGTATGTGGTGGTGAACTACAAAATTCTGGCGTCGCTCATGCTAAACGTCCTTTTAAACTATCATTTCGGTTTCAATGACCTTCGATTGTTAGGAGAAATTTCGGATTGCGACTATCGAATCCCGACAACCGTGAACGAATCGTTGGACACTGGTTTGAACGTTGAGCTTTTCATAAAAAAATGGCGTCATTACAATAAGAAGTTCTAGCGAGTGACAGCTGAGTTAACTCCTTCGAAGATGTGGCCATTCAAATCCAACTTTTTTGACCACATCTCGATCAATTCATAGACGAGACACTAGCTGGCGGGACACACTTGCGATATCGTTCTTCTTCTACGTAGGAATCATTCAGTTTCTTCTGTATAAAAGAGATAGTGAGACCGACCGTTCAAGACATCGAATAATCGAAAATGCATTTTTATCTAATTCATCATGTTTTCTCTCTATATAAAATAGGCATTAAAAAGAGCGAAATATACATTGAATGTCGTGCTCCCACAGCGTGCTAGCTCAAGTCTCAACTGTATCAGGCTATGTCTCATTTTTAACATCTTTCATAGCGCAAATACCGCAAGTCTTGGAGACTTATGTGGACAAAACGGTGGAGGGGCTTTCGCCATGGTTTTTGCTTGCATGGCTGGTTGGAGACATAACGTCTCTTGGAGGAGCGATTTTGACGGACCAGCTGCCTTTCCAGATCATATTAGCTATCTATTTTCTGCTCAACGATCTGTTTATCTGCGGCCAATACTACTATTACGGAGTTCTCCATGAAAACAAGCTAGCAACTCCGGGCCACGAGCAGATCGCGCCAGAGGAGAGAATAGCGTTTGTGAGAAGTAGAAGTTCTGAAAGACCTCTTGACTCCGGATTCAACCAGCAGTCGTGGCTGGCAGGTCTGCTTTGTTTTAGCACCGGAGCCCGGGGCATGGCTCTGGGTAACACTTTCCGTGTTGCAAGCACCAATTCCACAGCCGCATCTAACGCTGGGGTGGTGCTGGCTTGGTTTGGTGCGCTGTGCTACGTTGGTGCGAGAATCCCTCAGCTGTACAAAAACTACCAGCGTAAGTCCACAGACGGACTTTCGCCCTTTTTATTTATAAACACACTGCTGGCCAACACGACTTACAATGTGAGCATCTTCACGAGCTGCAAGTTTTTGGAGCGGGCCGACAAGTGGGACTTTGTGATGAACGAGATGCCCTTCATAGTGGGGAGTGCCGGCACCGTGCTCTTCGACCTCGCATATTTCTACCAGCACTACGTTTTGTATGCGGAGGACATGCGTCTGAGAGAACTCGAAACCCATCTGAGCAACGACGAAAGCACTCCATTGCTCTAAATCTAATTTTTAATGGGATGTGGTAAATGGTTAAATCCATGCGAAGCCAAAAGGGAAGGCGTGTAAAGCACAGAACAAGCTACTCAATGCAGTGAGTTTCATCTTATTGCATAGAACGAGACAATTACGTACGCTCTGAATAGACACGAGTCTAAAAACGTTTGGTGATACAAGATAACAAAAGTTTGAAAAACGGATTTCGCAAAAGCGGTCGAGAAGCTAGGAAAAAAACGGTCCCACCTTTGCCTAGCAAAGTGGCGCTAGTTTCCAAATATGCTCTGATGACAGCTAGGCCCTAGCACCACTGCTACTAGACTCTAAACCTAACCCATCTACAAACTACTGTACAGTATGCCGATGTACGAGGCTTGATCACGAGACCTTTCGAGAAAAAACGTATGTAATTATTCACGACTGTGTCGCCGGAATGTACTCGTCTCCTGACGCGAGTACTTTAGCATTGTTACCACAATTCTCTGATCTCCGCCCTTTTCCGAGACTTGTAAATATAAAAAGCGGTCTGGGGATGTCTTGATCAATAAACCTACCCTATTCTTCCACTAACCAAAACAAGAATCAAACTAAGAAAAGCACATCGGAGATCGCAATGGTTTATCTCTCAGAAACAGTAAAGCTCAACAATGGATTGGAAATGCCCCTCGTAGGGCTTGGATGCTGGAAAATCCCCAACGAAGTGTGCGCGTCCCAGGTTTACGAGGCGATCAAGCTCGGTTACCGACTCTTCGACGGTGCTCAGGACTACGGGAACGAGAAAGAAGTGGGACAGGGGATTCGTAGGGCCATTGACGAGGGCATTGTCGAGAGAAAGGACTTGTTTGTGGTGTCGAAGCTGTGGAACTCGTACCACGACCCCAAGAACGTCAAGCCAGCGTTGAAGAGAACGCTGCAAGATTTGGGCCTCGACTACTTGGATCTGTTCTACATCCACTTCCCCTTGGCGTTCAAATACGTGCCTTTCGAGGAAAAATACCCTCCCGGATTCTACACGGGCGCAGAGGACGACAAAAAGGGCGTGATCAGCCTGGAAAAAGTGCCTATCATCGACACCTATCGCGCGCTGGAGAGCTGTGTGGAAGAGGGCATGATCAAGTCGATTGGGATCTCCAATTTCCGCGGGATTCTAGTCCAGGACCTGCTCGCGGGCGCCAAAATCCCCCCTGCGTGTTTGCAAATCGAGCACCACCCGTATTTGACGCAGGAGCAGTTGGTGGAATACTGCCAGCAAGCGGGAATTCAAGTGGTCGCATACTCATCGTTTGGCCCGCAATCGTTCATCGAGCTCGACTCTGAGCTTGCCAAGACCACCCCCACGCTGTTCGAGCACTCTACCGTCAACGAGATCGCAAAACGCCACAATGCTACCGCTTCCGAGGTTTTGCTGAGATGGGCCACCCAGAGAGGCGTTGCCATCATCCCTAAGTCCTCTAACACGCAGCGTCTCTTGACCAACCTGCAGATCAACGAGAAAGTGACGTTGACCGCTTCCGAACTGGCCGAAATCTCGTCTCTCAACAAAGACATTCGCTTCAACGACCCCTTCACGTGGCTCGACAGCAAGTTCCCTGTCTTTTCCTAAACTAAAAGCACTCAAGCAGCTACAAACAATGCCAATAACAAACCACGGAGGGCCCTCTTCTCAAACAATTGCTTGGCCTATGATTGTCGACTTACTCGCACAGTTACTCGCACCGTTACTCGCACCGTTACTCGCTCCGTCTTCAGTATGTCATTTGAGACGGGTGTTCCTCTTTATTGCCAAGGAAGAAGTAGCACACCAGGAATATAATTAAATGTAAGGCCTCTGTTTTTCACCGACTACAACTCTATCCAGATAGATCCATCCATGTAAGGAGACCTTGGACTCGAGCCACTGATTCTTTTGGCGAGCTATTAGACTGGCATGCCTCACAACTTCAAGTTTCTGGCCCCGGAACCCATAAACCTGGTGAACAACGAGTCTACTTCGGACGATGACGAGAATCTGGGTCCATCATTGCATTTTGGAAACGTCACCGTGGGAGACTGCACGATAGTCAATAGCGAGAAAAACAAGTTCACGGTGTGGCAAATAGAGTTCACGGTGTCGCCTGCGAAGCCCAGCGAGCGTGGGTGTCCGAAAATCCACGTCTACAAGCGTTATACGGATTTCGTGGTGTTCAGAGAACAATTACTGCGACGACTCCCGCCAGATATGGCGGCGAACGTGCCAGAACTGCCGCCCAAGGTGTCCTGGTACGACTCGTGGCGCTACGAAGACGCCAACTTCAAAAGCAGCTGGCTGGCGCGCCGGCGCGCTGGCCTCGAGCTGTTTCTCAACCAGCTTTTGCTTAACGACAGACTTCTGGGCGCGGCCCTTGGCCTAGTCAAAAGCTTTTTGGAGAACTAGGTGTGAGTGGGGTGTGTACGTATAGACAAACAAAGCGCATGATAGGTGCAGATATAGAGAGAAAAAGTATGGATAATACAAATAGGATGTAAGGCAGCAAGCCCGGCTACTACCTAGATAGCGAGAATTATGTTTCTGGTTAGATTCCTCTTTGTTTCCCTTTTGTTCCCGGTTTGCTTCCAGTTTGTTTCCAGCTTGGCGATCTCTGTCTGCATGATGTATATGCGATTTCCCCCGGGGCACAGCAAAATGGTGTTTTGGCGAAGCTGTTCTGGAAACACTCGTTGCTGGAAACAAACTGGAAACAAACTGGAAACAGATGGGATTTCGTAAGATCAGTCCGTGGTTAGTGACATGTACTAGTGCGAGTCGCTTCTCGGTATCGTGAGTTAGCCGTTGGAGTGCCTGCTGGTTTAATCGACACAAGAAATGCAGCGGTCAACCACAATGCAGCTTGCGAGTCTCTCGATTTTCTCAAAACGCTACAAATTCTTTTGAAGTTCACCAAAATGTGTTCTAGTTTGAAGCAAAGAGCTGGATTCAAAATGAACAGACAAATTCCAACGTGAAAGTTGTCATGGGCATCGATGAACGAAAGACTATCCTGCATGTCATGCAAGTTACTCGGTTTACTGAGGCAAACTCGTGGCCTGTCTTTTATATCGCTACGTACGTCATTGCTCGTATCGTAGTATACGGTATCAAAGATCCTGTTTCCAGTTTGTTTCCAGAATGTTTCCCGTTGCCGATGTTTCCCGTCTGGGAAAATCGCCGTTTGCCACCGAACAAACGACATTGGTGTCAGTGGCAGTTAATGTGACAGGTGGGTGGTGCGTCAGTTAACAAGAGCTCCGAGAAGTGGTTTTTGGGAGCTCTCGAAGCAGTTCACGCCTGTCTTGGAACTGAATGTTATGACACTAATACACTCAAAAGTGGGCATTTTCTGCGTGGACAGAGAGCTCATGAGGCCACCTAGTGGCATTGAAAGTGGCTTTGACTTCTGAAGTTTTGCTCTTCACATTGGGTCCGCAGGGTGATTACTTCTGTGCCAATGTATAACCCTCGATAAGAGTTTCAAGCCCTGTGCTCTTGGTGCTGATAATGACTCTTGACATTACAAAATTGCCAGATGCTCAAGAGATGTGTGTGAGCTAACCTGTCTTGGGGTTTGTTTGGTTATTTCTACTGATTGTACGCACATGCAGAGACCAAGCTGAGATATTACCATATGGTGTCTACTTCAGGAAAGGCTTCCTGATATATAGCCATTGTCTCTTTGCACCGGGTGAGGTCTTATTACGTCGGCGACAAATTGAAGAACTTGGTACAACGCACACATACCCACTCAACATCGATTGATGTCAAGGTCGTGTTTCGCTATGCAAAAGATACGCGTACGGCGTCAAGAAGGGAAGTGTCAGCAGTTTCTTTCGCAAGCCTCTCGATTTTGTTTTCATGTCTTTAATACGCTCCTCACAGAAGGAGCAGAATCGATTTTGATAGTACCCCAGCTAAACGGCAATAATCGCAGCGCACTGGATCCGGAGCGCTCTACTCGTTGTGTCGTTTGGTGAATCACTTTGTACTAGAGTGTCATCTGTTACCTGGTCACCTGACTTGTGATTACGTAAACCTTACACTTCGCCTCAGCGCTACTACGACCTTCAAGAGTATTACGAGTGATATCTAGTTAACACCTTAATAACACCTCCCTACTCATTGGGTAACAACTCACAGGAAATCGCCCGTCGCTTTCCACTGTGCTAGAATCACCGTATAAGTAATCACCTGGGTTCTGGCCCAATACGTTTTCGTGTGACATGATAAAAGTTTTCTCACTCATGCCACGACCCGCTTCACCACTCCAACGCCTGTCGGGGTGCTGTTTCAGTATCGAAAAGCCGTCATTACTTTGAGACTAGCTATTCAGTGGCGACTCCCTTCGCGGTCGAGCTTCCACTATGTCTTGAAATTTCCATTTCCACCCAAAAAATTCGTGACGTCTTTCTAAATCCAGTGTCCTCCTTGGCACTTTTCTAATCCCTCTCTGAACATTTTCCTGTCTCATACAATGCCCTAAGTTAGTCATCGCAGCCCATTCGCGCCGGCCTGGCCCAACGACACACCCGTACAAGACGACTCCTCAAAAGTACTCGTCGATCCAGGCCCTCTGCGCGAGTACTGGATTTGTAAGGGCTCTTAGAAATCTCGAATTTAGCTTTACTCACCGGGCGCATATAAATACAGACATTTTCAAGCTCGAGAATCAAGAAATTGTAGACCATGATCTTTCTACATGATTGTTAACAAAAACATCAACAGAGGCATCAAGAATCTCAGTTTTATACACACTAAACACATCAGAATGGTTCACCACAGAGTTACTATCATTGGATCCGGTCCAGCGGCGCACACGGCGGCGATCTACCTTGCCAGAGCGGAAATTAAGCCAACGTTGTACGAGGGCATGTTCGCCAACGGTATCGCTGCTGGCGGTCAGCTAACGACCACGACCGAGATCGAGAATTTCCCAGGGTTCCCTGAAGGTTTGACTGGCTCAGAGCTCATGGAGCGTATGAAACAGCAATCGGAGCGTTTTGGCACTGAAATCATCACAGAAACCGTCGCAAAAGTCGACACCAGCGTGCGTCCATTCAAGCTGTGGACAGAGTTTAACGAGGACGCCGAGCCACACACCACAGACGCGCTGATTTTGGCCACCGGTGCCTCTGCCAGACGTATGGACTTGCTCGGCGAAGACAAATACTGGCAACAGGGTATCTCTGCATGCGCCGTCTGCGACGGCGCAGTGCCCATTTTCAGAAATAAACCACTAGCCGTGATCGGTGGTGGTGACTCCGCTTGCGAAGAAGCGTGCTTTTTGACCAAGTACGGCTCCAAGGTCTACATGCTCGTGCGTAAAGACCATCTGCGTGCGTCCACAATCATGCAGAGACGTGCTGAGAAAAACGAAAAGATCGAGATCCTCTACAACACCGAGGCCCGTGAGGCCAAGGGCGACGGCAAGTTCCTCGGTGCGCTCAGACTCTTCAACAACAAAACCAACCAGGAGTCGGATTTGCCCGTCAACGGTTTGTTCTACGCTATCGGCCACACTCCGGCTACCTCGATCTTGGCCGGCCAAGTAGACCTCCACGAGAACGGCTACGTCAAGACCGTGCCCGGAAGCACTATTACCTCCGTTCCCGGTGTGTTTGCCGCCGGAGATGTTCAGGACTCGAGATACAGACAAGCCGTCACCTCAGCTGGCTCTGGCTGTATGGCTGCGTTGGATGCTGAGAAATTTTTGTCTGAACAGGAGTAAGCGCATGCATCCCGACAGCTGCCTTGTAGTTCTACCGCCCACATACATGTATAGATACTTCACAAACACACACCATTGATATTTTATTTTCGAGTGAGCGACGCTCTGGCGCACCCTTTTCTGTAACGGCCTGTGCGACTGGTCTCGCACGGTAAGCACAACGCAGCAGCTAATAAAAATGGCGGGCTCCCTACCCGCTTTTTTACGTGTCTGTACTTATATGCTACACTCTTTTAATGCCGTTTCAATTGCAGAGTTCTGACTTGCTCTTCCAATTTTTTGACCTTTGATTGAACATCTTCGAGATCGCCGTTCAGCCTAATTCTCTCATTCACAATGTTTTGTTCCCACTGTCTGAATCTTTGCTCTTCGGCCTTCACTTGGTCTGTAAAGTACTTCTTCAAAGCGTTCTCTTCCTCTTTGAATTGTGGGTTGTGGGACAGTTTTCTTGCAGGCGCACGTACCGGTACGGATTGATCGTCAGAGGCTCCAGACCCTTCTAAACGTAGCTTTCTGTAAGCTTCGTAGTGCAATTCCTCCGTCGAGAGCACCAAATCCAACAGGTTTGTTCTCAATAACAAACTTCTCAGTTTGCGGAAGTCGCAATGGTTGTCGTTTTCCACCTCAACAATGCCCCATGGGTACTTTCTAGCAGGGACCATGGTTCCTTGGCCGTTATCGAATTTGGTCTCCGAACCAATAACAGCGAATGGCATCGATTCAATCAGTTGTCTGGCATGCTCCATAACGGCAGGGTCAGGAGAATCGGATTCGTCCAGTGGCGGAGTGAAAATACGGATTTCTTGAGCCTCGACCACCTGTCTGATCCGTAGCTTGAACTCCTGCAATTCTTTGGCCGTTAGTGTGTCTGACTTGGCAATGACGGGAATCAAGTTGGCACGCGTTGAGAGACGTTTCATGGTCTCGATATCAAGCGGTTTGAGCCCGTGACCGGTGGGCCTGATAAAGTACAGCACTGCGTGCACTCTGAGATCGAATTTCACGTCACGATGCGGCTGTTGCTCCTGACGCATGTACGAGTCGTGTTGTTCGTCGATGAAGTCCACAATGGTCTGCCACGATTTGTTATTGTTGACGTTATCGCCAAACCCGGGCGTGTCAATAACGTTGACTCTCAAAGAGAGGTTCTTTTCCTCCAAAACGGCACGTAACACGTCGATCTCCACGGTTTTTTTGATAGGTTGGTTGCGACGCTGATGTGGGTCTGCATGTTTCAGAGTAGTCTGGAATAGCGTATTGATGAATGTGGTCTTTCCGAGTCCTGATTCACCGCATACCATCAAAGTGAATGTTCCACCTTGTTCAGACACTATTTTGAAGCGCTGGTTGGGCAAATTCGACACACCAACTACGATATTTTCTGAGCTCATTTTTGCGAGGTAGAACAGGTTCAATTGACGAGATCTTGAGCTCTTCGAGCGTGTATTAAATCTTAAGAATCTGATCTTGTTTAGGTTTATTTGTTATGTATGTATTTTTCAAGAATTCTTCGAGCCTAATGTTAGAGATGTGACAGCTTGAAAAATTCAAATAATGTCTTCCGGCTAGCAGAGAATTGGAAGTGAAAGTGGGTGGAACTGGGAGCGGAAAGGAGATTTGGTAACAGGTGGTGGGAAGCATAGAGTGGGAAAGATACTTGCGACTTTTGGGCGATTTTTACGGTAGTTTTAAAGCAAAATTGATATTTTCGTACTACGTGATGTGAGTTTTTGCTAGCTCAAGGACAATTGTTAACGGGACATCTTTATGGTATTGCTAAGGCGACAACGTGCGTGAGGGAGTGCTTGGAGGATGTTGCCGAACCATTGCTCAATTTTCGGAGGCCGAGAATTGGAACTTGCAATCTACCTCATATGTCAGTTTTTCCCAGTCTGTCGGTGCACCGAACGCGGTCTTCGCGCGTCTCATTCGAAAGGGAGAGCCGTCAAAGCATCTTAAAAGGGCTACCGGTGTCAGTGGGGTACACAGTGGGTTTCAACTCTGAGAAAGGAGATTTCTCACTAAATCACTTTTCCCCAATGCGTCGTATAATCAAGCGTAAAATTATCGCATCTCTCTTGGGTAAGTCTGCAACAACATTTGAGACAGAAAATATTTCAATAAGCCATTGCACCGTTCTTTCAATGTCACAAGACTGATGCCGATTTCTCTGAGGCCAACAGTAGACCTTTCAATATTATCCCAGTTTGTCACTTTTCACCAGTCTGTCACCTCATCCCAATTCGAGTCTGCTTAAGCGTTGAGTTCTCGCTTCTTTTTTGTAACACAGCGACCACAACGCTAAAAAAGACTTATTTGCTAGCATAAGGTCACCAGTTGTCCTTTCAAGGCCACAGAAACATCACCAACTGTGGGTCTTACACCGTTAAAATACGGGATTATCTGTATATCACTTTCCCCGGTCTGTCACCTCACCCAGATTAGAGTTGGTCGCTCCGCGCAGCTCCAACAGCTGAGCCAAAACCTGCCTCAGTCCCCCAGGGATCAGCCAACTTCCAAGTAAAACCTGTTGTCCGCATCATTTTGTAGTATTTCTGTCATTTTAATCACATGACAAAATCGTTTAAAACTCCAGCAAACAACAAACAAACAAAGAAGCATATATGTGTATCGTTTGAATGTTTCAGCTGGGCAATCGCCACGTTGATATGTACAACGAACTAGTTCCATCATGAAACCCCTCGCTCGCGTCTTTTAGTCGTCAGAACATCGAGTCACATGGTCAAATGTTTAATAATCATGGAGCTATAAACCACTCGTACATAATTATAGTCTCAAATCTCAGCTTTAAATGGCTAAATGATAGCGAACAATCAATCCAATATCACGGTCGAACAGCTCGACTCCATACTGCGGTTGCGATCCACTTACGCTCTGAATTTGAGCTCTCCCAATGCTAGAATTACCATATTACACTAAGCTTGTTCTTCAGCGGCCGCCACAATTGTCCCCGCGGGATCTTTATGATGCTATCACTCTGATCATCGAAACACTGGCCTCCGATTCAAACGACTCTGTGGAAGTATATGTGCCCATTGCCGGTTTTTTGACAGCCTTACGAGCTTCCGGACTCGACTTAAAGGCTGCGTACATTGCACAGGCTGCAGAGGCCGTCCTGCAGTATTCCAACGTCGTCAAACTCGATTCTCCTTTCAGCTCATCCAATGTCACGACAATCGACATTGTTGGCACCGGAGGAGATGGCCAAAATACCTTCAACGTTTCAACGTCGTCTGCAATCGTCGCTTCCGGGATCTCGGGCATTAAAGTGTGCAAACATGGTGGGAAAGCCTCCACATCCAATAGCGGTGCTGGAGATCTGATCGGAGTGCTTGGCTGCGACCCATCCAAAGTCAACCACCGCACGGTGCCGCAGCTGTGGGACGACAACTCGTTTCTATTTCTACTTGCGCCGTTTTTCCACAACGGCATGAAACACGTGGCGCTCCTGCGTAAACTGCTGAAGATACCCACCATTTTCAACGTCCTGGGCCCCATGCTGCATCCAGTGAGCTGTGTGCAGAAACGAGTTCTTGGTGTTTACGCCGAGTCGCTTGGTTTAGAGTACGCCCGCGCCGCTGCCATGGTGTACCCCGAGAGCGAGGTTTTCGTCGTGTGGGGTCACGTTGGTCTGGACGAAGTCTCACCAATTGGCAAAACCACTGTGTGGCACGCAAAACCCGGAAACAGCTCGCAAATTGACTCTTTCGAACTAGAGCCCTCGATGTTTGGCCTGCAAGAACACCCATTGAGTGAATGTGCCTCTTTGGGCCCCGAGGAAAACGCCAAAATCCTCACAACAATGCTAGACGGCAAGTACCATGCCGGCGAGAACGCCATTTACGACTACATTCTGCTCAACACATCAGTGCTATATTGTTTGTGCAACAACAACCAAAACTGGGTTTTGGGTGTACAAAAAGCCGAAGAGGCCATACATTCGGGCAGGGCCAAGAACTCGCTCACGAAATTCATCTCGGACTCTCAAGCTCTATGACACGATGAAATCAAGGCATTTTTCATTGAGTATACAATTTATCTTAAACTTATAAAAGTGTTGAATGAATAGAGTGGAAACTAGAAAAAATCATAGAAAATACAAAACAATGCTTAACTGAAATCAGTACGATTGTAGACTAACTAAACTAATCCGAAGTACGCGTTCCTACTCGAGGATTCGAGACTCTTGCCGAAGCCAAAACACTGACATCGCCGTTACTGACATTCGGTCACGTGATGATTTTTCAAATGAATCACGAATTTTGGTCGCGCGCGACGGCATCTTTGTCTAAGTTGACATTTACGCGTCGCGTACAAACACCACAACACAACACTCGATGCGCTCGATATACCATCATTTTACCAGGAGCCGCTAATGGTGCAGTCTCCCAAAACACCGCGAGCTAGCGAAGAGAGAGCACAGTATGAGTTTACCCCTATAGGCCACGCAAATGTGAAAGATACCTCAGCTTTGGGGACGCTAGATGGGGAGCCCAAAAAACGTACATCCAATTCTGATGAGTTGCAGTTAAGTCTCGAAAAAGACGACAACGAACCACGTAAAAAGTCACGAAAGGCTGACGACACTCTCAATTCAACTCGCATATTCAACGAATCATCTTTTGACGATACATTACCTTCGCATGCCGGAATACCCAGTCTACGGAAAGTGCGTTCCAACGAGATATTAGCGGACGCGAACGGTAACATCGAGAACCTTGGCGCTTCGAATCCCTTAAAGGAGCAACAGAACTCGCTCTACAAATTGAATGTGGAAAACTACAACCTTCGAGTCAAGTGTAATAGCCTGCTAAAATTTCTAAACAACGTCACCGATGAGGGCGAACTCAAAGAGAATCTGGCCATCATGGACGAGCTTCAGGACTGGAAAATCAAATACCAGAAGCTTGCGTCGACTTACAGGGATCTCCAGCTCAGAATTGACTCTAACGACGAGGGCAAAGACGCAGAAGATCAAAAACGGCAAACCGCCCTTCAAAACGCGCAGCTCGCAGAATTAGAGGCTAAACTGAACAACTACAAAGAAAGCGTCAATAACTCGAGAGACCTCATCTCTCGGCTGGAAAAAGAGCTCACAACATCTTCCCGTGTGTCCAATGCGCGAAAAGATGAACTCGAGCTCAACATTCGCTCGCTGCGCGAGCAGATTGAAAAACTTGAAGCTCAAATTGCAGACAAAAACCAGATAATAAAAGACAACGAACAGAAGATACGACATCTTAATGATAGTCTAAAAAGGCAAAGCAACGTCCGCGAAACTCTAGAGGATAAAATCGAGCAACAGTTGCAAAAAGTAGAGGCGCTGGAAAATAAGACTCGCGATTACGAACTTCAAGTACGAGAACTGCAAGAGGCATTGGCAAACACCAAAGATGAATTGAAGTCGCAAACTCAGGGAAAAAACACGCGCAGTGTGGGTGTGCAATCCCGAATTGAAGGCCTAGAGGCTGCTAATTCTAAACTTAAGAGTGAGATAGACCAAAATATGTCTGAAAAGCGGGAGAGCCAGTCGCAATTGGAGAAGTTGAAAGCGAAGTCGAATGATATGCTCAATGGTATCGAGGAAAGAGATGAGAAGATAAACCTATTAAAGCGCGAGATCCAGGAGCTTAAGCAACAGGAATCCAATCACAGAAGCAGTTCACAGAAGGAGAAGTCGCTAAACGACAAAATTCATTCGCTCAAGGCGGAAATCCAGGGTATAGTGAAGGAAAAGGACGAATTACAGAGAGACAATGATAATCTGCGGGAAAGAATTGTTACACAGGCCACAAGGTCGCCAGCGTTGAAGGAGAACAGAAAACTTCAAGAAAGAGCGATAGACAACGCTAAACTGCAGGCAAGATTACAAGATCTGGAAAAGGAATTGAGCGTGGCCAAGAAAGCAGCCAGTGCGGCTCGACAAAGCCACCATGTAGAATTAGAGCGACTTCAAGCTCAAATGGAGAACTCAGACATGGAGCCTCTAATTATCAAAAGAAAGTTAGACAAAGAGATCAGTATTTTGAGACTGGAACTGGATTCACTTCGAGAAACCAAGGATCGAGAAATCACATTGTTGGAGAGCCGTTGCCAAATGCTGATAAAAGAAAACGAGCATGTAGCTCTTCGAGCAGATGCGAACGTTGCCCAGAATCAAAAGCAAATTGTTGAAAAGCAGAAGGAAATCGATGATCTGGTTCAGAGATGCAGTAACTTGACCACGGAGAAACTGAAGCTGAATAAAGAGCTGAGTCAAACACAGGAATCGGAAGCGGACAAGAACAGGGAGCTCTCAAAACTGACATCTCGCTTAGAGTTTGTGACGAAAGAGTTTGTTAGATATCGGGAGACGCACAGCTCGAATCCGGATTCTAGCAATGCCAAGCTTAATGAAAGATGGACAGAAAAATATCGCAACATGAAGCAAAAGCTACTTGAGGAATTGAAAATCCTACAGGACGAAAATTTGGGCCTCGAGAGAAGATTACTAGAGGGCGGGAGTCATGTACCGCGTTCTGCCAGTCCTGATTTGAATAAGCTGTCTCTTCAGGACCAAGTGGACTACTACAAACTGCGATATCGCCATCAGGTTATACGCAATAGCGATATGAAGGTAATGAACGAGTACTTGAACCGGGTACTGAGAGCAAGCTCTCAGCACGTCCGTCTCGACATCATGAAGCTTGAAAATGAAGCTTTGACGGATCTGTGGCCCGACTTTCCGCATCGTGGTCGACTGAGGTTCAAAACTGTGGCATTGATGGTTTTGGCTGCCGTCAGAATTGAACGCGCAGCGCAGAAGGTGCGTTGGGATGCTCAGCGTATTAATTATCTACGACAAAAAATAGTGCTGGACCAGGATCGCGTAACGTGGTGACCGTGTGTACAGGACGAGTGCTATCGCTTGCGGAGTGCTTTGTGATCAGCAATGACTTTCTGTAGGCGAGGCCCGAAAGACTCTACAATAGAATCTAGCTGGTCGAGCATATCGAAGTGGTTCTCCAGTTCGTCACACTTCGCAAGGATTTTTTTCAATTCGTTTACATTGGTGTCGATTACCTGATCAATGATTCCCTGCTCTACCAAATGGTTTTGCTGCTTGCATATTTCTATTGTCCTTAGCTGGATAGACGAAACATAGTCATGGATCTTGTACAACAGGTAATCGTAGTCTACGCAAAGCCGGTCAATTCCAAAAGGGTCTCTCTCCTGAGTGGGCTCTGACTCTTCACTAGTCATGACTGCAGGGACAGCAGTCTAGTAAAGTGGTGGGAGAGTTATGATTTAGAGCCCACAACTTGTATAACGTCTGTTCTGTTGAAAGCATCTCAAATTCTACATAATATTTGGTAAGTATCTGTGTGACTGGATATAAGATAGTGATCTGATTTAAAGCGAGCTGGGCCTTTAGATACAGAGCAAGACATAAGAGAGAAGTATATCAGGCATGTCATTTTGCTTCGATTAAGCCTCATGAAATATCTGTCGTTACGAGAATGGAATATGTTCGCATTTATTTCCACATCTACATTTATGATTTTGACCGACGACAGAATAGTCGGTAATTTGAACAAAATCGCAAGATGGGTTTTTATGGTTCTTCGTTGTGGTAAAAATGAGCCTTGAAAATACGAGCGGGGATTTTAATACTGCCCGATTGAATTAATGCCCAGAAGCGTCCTATAAAGACGACCTGCGTGAAACTTGGTATAGCTTTCTGGTGTTGTCAAAACAAAAAATAGACACCTTTTCCTCAAAAATATCATCATTTCCCCAAGCTCTCAAAAGCACTGAGATGCTGAATGACCCAGACAGTCGAATTTGATTTATTTCCAACTGGTATTCGTGACGACAGTAATCAATTACTGACTATCTTACTGTTCAGAGACGGTTACAATTGAGCTCAAATTACCGTAAAATAGCTAAACTTCAAAATTATACAAACACTCATACTATTTTAAATTCAGAATCCTATAATCCATAGCTTGCCCTTCTTAAACTGCTTCAATCCAGTAGTTCTTCCTTTGATATTTGCCGATGTGAGTATATCGATAAATTTGTCTGAAAATTAACCCTATATAAAACTCGAACTTTCTATAATTTTGACATGGGTAGGGGCCTCTAGCAATAAACTGAAATCGTGTAGTTTCTAAATCAATTCACTTCTTAATTGTTGATTGTTGAATTCTACAGTATAAACTATCATTAAATCTGTTGTTGACGGTTTTCAAGCTTTTTGTAGGGACTTTTTTGGCACTTTTTGGGAGGTTTTAGAAGGAGATTTGGCGCACGCATTATTCGGACCGATTCAAAGACAAGTGGTCATATTTAAGCAAAGCAACAATGTCACAGGGCATCTATTTGACTGACCAGCCAGTGAGAAGACCACAACCTGCTGGTAACTCGCTGGTGAGAAAAATCCAAAGAGCTTGTCGACTAACGCTAGCAGAACCGGATCTGGGTTTAAATCTCGATGTGGCAGACTTTGTCAATGCCAAACAGGGTGCAGCACCAAGAGAAGCCGCAATTTCTATCGTGAAACTTATCAACAGTCGCGACACCCACACAGCTGTGTTTGCATTGGCACTTTTGGACGTGCTAGTGAAGAATTGTGGGTACCCATTCCATTTGCAAATATCTCGCAAGGAGTTCCTCAATGAACTTGTCAAGAGGTTCCCAGAAAGACCACCTTTGCGGTTCACGAAGGTGCAACGTCTGGTTCTCACCGCGATCGAAGAATGGTACCAAACTATCTGCAAACATGCAGCCTACAAAGAGGATCTGGCATACATCAGAGATATGCATCGGCTTCTTAAATACAAGGGATACATCTTCCCCAAAATCAAGGAAGAGGATCTTTCGGTGCTCAGACCAGGGGACCATTTAAAAACTCCTAGCGAGATTCAAAAAGAGCAAGAAATTGCTCAAGCTGCTAAACTAGAGGAGCTCATCAGACGCGGTCGCCCTGAGGACTTGAAAGAGGCCAACAAGCTCATGAAGGTGATGGCTGGGTTCAAGGAAGATAATGCCATCAAGTCCAAACAGCTTATCAACGACGAGCTTTTCAAACTAAAGCGCAAAGCCGATTTGTTCAAAGACATGCTCAGCACGTCTGAGAGTCCAAACATGGAAAACGAGACATTGGTCGAATTGTACAGCGCTTTGAAAGTGTCTCAGCCCAAGTTTCAAAAAATCATCGAAGAAGAACATGACGACGACAATTTGGTTCAGGACATCCTACAATTTAACGATACTGTCAACCAATTGGTTCAAAAGTACAATTTGCTAAAAACTGGAAATGCTGGGGAGGCAGCCAATATTCAGGTTCAAAACCTATCTGCTGCTGCCCCCGCGGGTCAGTCTGGCGGCGCCTTAGCAAATGAGCTCAATCTCATCGACTTTGGCGACGATGATGAACCAGCATCTTCTCCTGTCCCGGCTGGGACCTCGGGCAACTCTGTGGATGATCTTTTGGGTGACCTAAATAACTTGAGCTTTTCCCAACCAGCTCAAAATTTTGGCCTAGGAGGAAGCATCGCTTTAGGTTCAGCCCAGCCAACCACTCAAACCACCACACCCTCCATTGGGCTAGACTTACTATCTGGGTTTTCTGATACGGCATCTTCAACTCCACCTCCACCTCCCCCTCGTCAAGAGCCATTTGGCACAAGCCCATCTGCCTTCGGTGACTTCTCTGATGCCTTAAGTGCTCCAAAGATCAGCAGAGTTAAAGTTTTCGATTCGGAGCACTTGAAGATTGAATTTGAGATTACAAGGCAGACTGAATCCTCGATTAAGATGTCATCCTTCTTTTCGAATGCAGGAACTGCTCCAATCTCGGACTTGACCTTTATGGTAGCTGTTCCAAAATCTATGACCTTAAGACTTGACCCTCAATCTGGGAACTTCATACCAGCAGGAATGAACGACGGAGTCACGCAATTTGGGTCGATCGAAAATGCCTATCAAAATGCTGGCAAGCCCTTGAAGGTTAAATGGAAAGCCACGTACACTGTAAATGCCACACCAGTCGAGGAAACCTCTGTATTTACATTTCCTCAGATCTAGCACCATTTCGGTGGAAACATTGAGAACAATGTGAGTGCTGCTTCATAACTGTATAGATTCCAGATATCGTTAACATACTTGACCTTAACAAAATTGTCTTACTAATTCTCTCGTTCACATCTCACTTTCCGCGCTGAAGTTTTTGAAGAATCTCTTGAGGAGTCGGAGAAAGAATCTTTTCGCTTGAAGGTTCATTATTTAGAACTTCACCTCGCACAGTAGGTGGCTTCTGCTGACACTGCTGCTCAATAGCTATTCCTCTAAACTGGCTTTCGGTTGACTTTGAGTACTGCGTACCCTGTGTTTGTTTCGGCGTTTGCGTCGTGATTTTCATGTTGCTGTCTGCTGAGACGCCACGATTTGCTCCCACCCCATTATTCACAACTCTACGCTGGCCAGATGAGGGCGAAGTGCGTGGCAAGGCCCTTGCGTGGCCATTAGGAGAAAGACCTTGCGTAAGTGCGGCGGCTTGAAGTTTCTGCTTTGCGATTCTTCTTATCTGAATATCCCTTCGAAGAGCGTCGTCGCGCTGCGCTTTCAATTGTGACATTTCTGCTGGAGTAGGAACACTTGTGTTTTTGCAGTCCAAAGGCTTCCTCGGTTGAGTGGGATTTGGCCTAGGTGCGTTTTCGCGTTTTTTGATGCACTTCCTCATAGCCTCGAACATACTTGCCCAACGTAACCGTTTGTGACCTCTCTGTATTGATTCCTCACCTACGCCCAGAGGAGAAATTCTTCTTTTTTGCTGCTGCTGTAACTTATGTGCCTCTATGAGCCAAACCTGTGCATGGTGGGCCCTTGGCCCTTTCATATCAATAAACTGAAACCTTTCATTAAGCTGAATAAACCGTTCGAAACATTGCCAGGGCGTGCGTCTTTCGATGTTGGAGCAGTAAGACCTTGTTGGTCTCGATGACATATGGGCACTTATCAGTCCCCAGTTATAGGCGTAGGTATTGATATTTCTTACCAATTCTTGATCATCCTGGGGTAACCAAATCGTTGGAGTTCTGTATCTCAGATATCGTAGTGAAGGTGCAATTGGTGGGCGTAGATAGTGGCTTCGCCTATTACCATAAAACATCCCACGTCTCTTGCTGAATGGAACTAACGATGGCTCTTCGTCTATAATTTGTCTCTCAACAATCTTCAGGTAGTGGTCGTCATCCAGCAAAACGGTGGCCTTTGAAATGGGTTCGAACAAAACTTCAAAACTTTCTTCATGCGCTTTTTCTAGATCTGAAGTGCCTGAAAGGACGTTTAGATCGTCGATGATTTTCCTTTCCACATGATTAAATTCATCGAGTGAAACATGTAGCTTGAATGGAGACGGTCTCGTTTGCTTGTCTCTGACGTAGGAATTCACATCAATTTCAGGCAATTTAAGGCTCTGTATATCGTTTGAAGGGTCGGGTCTCTTTAGAAGCTCTGAAATATCGATTGTTTCAGTGCTGCTAGTTTCCTCCGTCACTTCGGGGGAAGAGGTAGAATAGCGATCCTGCGTTGAAACTATCTCTGTCCTCGGTTGGTCATTTTGTGGTGTCTGTGAATTTTCCTCATCTCTCTGTAATGTCTCTTGAGTAGGTTCGAGGTGGTTGACTGGATCAGTTTTCACACAACAGACTTTTCCATAATTCCAGAAATCCATAACGCCCTGCGCAATGGTCAGGCAAACAGCCCGCTTATATTTTGTGTGCTCATAAAAGTCGTAATACATCCATTTTGCCTCCTTTAAAAGATGACCACGATGAGACTCGGTGTCTTTAAGTTTATCCCAAGGATCCGTGAACTTCTTAGGTTGCCTCAAAGACCACAATCCTTGTCTTCGCAGTTCTTCAATTCTGGAACTTACTACGGCAATCCTGCACTCGTTCAAAGCGGTGTTCATAATCTCTGAAGTAAGCACTTTGTGAGCCGTGGGAATGAGTTTGATGAGAGGTAGAGTTTGGGAGTTGAATTTAAGTTCTGAAAGAGGAACCGCATGAGGTATCATTGATGGAACAGTATCTTTCATAATCAGGTACACGCTTTCCTTAGCGTTGATGTTTCCCTTGTGAAAAAGATTTTTGATCTGTGGCCCTTTCTGCCTCAGCTCACGAATAAGGTGGTTTGTGCGCTTCACATTGACGCTACGAGGCTCCCGGTCTCGGTCTCTTAAAAAGCTGCTTGTTTGTTGACGCTTAGAATTATTAAAAATTTCCTGTTCTTTCGTGGTCGGGGTCAGCTGTTGTGCTTCTGGTAGCTCCCGCGATAGTTCTATAGCTTGTGGTGTTTCCTGCTCTCTTGAACGTTTTCGACTCGATGTGACATTATCATTGGTAGCTTCGCTCACATCTAGTTCTTCCAGCTCAACCGTGATGCGGTCCTCCTTTTTCGGCGTTTGCTGTAGAATTTTGCCTCTAGATTGAGTATCTCGTACTGTTTTACCCTTTAAGTCTCTAGTAGCGTCCTTATCCTTTTCAGACGTCGTCTTATGGTCCTCTTTGTCCGGCTTCGCTGAGTCTTTATCTCGTTTGGAATTGTCCACAGGAGTGCTACTCTTGCTTTTGACTGGCTTCTTATCCGATGGTGGCTCTATTTGGGAGAACCTGGGAAGTTTGTTTTGGTCGAAACGGTAGCCTTTGCGTATATCGTGAACATCTAAAAACTCACGAATCTCCGTTGCCAGTTCTTGTTCATTGGTGATATGCAGGAAATCTTGGATTCTGGAAACACAGTAAAGCTCCATAATGAGTCGATTGCGCTCTGCAATAAGCTGTTCCAGCTTGGTACCATCATCTGTGGCATTTTTTTTGTCGAATTTTGTCATTACGTTATGCGCCCACGATGACAACAAGAATAAACACACCCCAGCACCAGATTGTTTTTCACTACGCTTTTTAAAGGTGCAAAAGCTCCTGACCTTACGCCTACCAGAAGCGTTCAGTGATGAGGCTTTCAAGGGCTTCTTGCCGTCTTATTTCAGTACACTTTTTATACAGTCTATTATTACTTGTACCGATGAAGTTCAAAACTTGTTCAACTTTAACAAATGATGGCCTTCGTGAAAAGTGCTATCGACACTTTTCGTCAAACAAACCACGTTGGACTACGAACTGCTGTGTTTGAGTGACCGACCCTCTTTGAGCTTTAGTTTGGTCTGATAGTCTTCAGGTATTTACCAGGTTTCCACCAATGCTTTTACTTCTTCGATCGACTTGAGTAAGGAGGAGTGATCAATCACCACGAAAGTCGAGATCAGACCCTTGCGACTTTCCGAATCGGCGTGTATCTTGGCATTTTGTTCGAAAAAACGGTCTTCTTCGTGGAAATAGTCGATTTCCGAGGTTCTCACACGCTTCCGACCTTGACCGGGCTTTTCATCGTCGTCGACCTCGACGCTAACTTCGAACTTTCGGCTCATGATCACGTAATAGTCGTAGTTTTTCCCGCTGCCGAGACTGTTGGAGACGTCTTCTAGCGTGATGTTGAAAATGGGGGCAATGATCTCTGGGGGCATGTTGATGAGCCTCTCACTTAGTACCAGAGAGCAGCTTTTATTAGAGTTGTCGATAGTCTGCAGAAACCCGGCAATTTTGGTGTCGACGTTTTTCAAATAGCGCGCATAGTCGCAGTCTTTGTGGGATTTGTAGTCAATAAACGACAAAAAGCAGTATGGGTCGGACTCTTGGCCGTCAGTCTTGATTGTGGTGGTGGGAGATTCCAAGATCAGATCGGCCAAGGCAGTGAGCGACACCTTATTGGACTCTTGAGGACCCATAAGCTGACGTACCAGATTCTTCAAAGCGTGGAAATCAACGTCTTTGTTCACATTGAAGAAGTCAAAGTCCACATTAACGATCTCCTGCTGTTCGTCGCTTCCAGATTCGTTTTCTGAGTCTGTGCTGCTGATATCAATGTCGGATTCCGCATCTTGCAGATCGCGCTTACGCTTCACAGCGTCACTGAGTTTGATTGAAGCTACCATCCTGGACTTTCCACGAAGCTATTCACTGAGTCGAGCATGTTCTGATGGCATCTCATCGCCTGCGTGAAGAGGAGCATGTATAATTTGATGATTCGTGTATGGTGATGATCACAGCACTCATTTAATATCAATACTACGAGTACACTCTGTGCTTGATCGATGGCAAGCAACGGTGGTGCTAGGTTTGAAGCGCTTTCCAGACTGCTTTATTGAACTCTAGGGTTCATCGTTCCTGAATGCCTGGGAAAAAAAGTCTAGAAGACGGAGATGGGATTTTAAGGAATCTAGGCAATTTTGAAGCTTAGAAAGCCATTTTAAGCTAAAGAATTGAATCAACGTGCTTCAGCTCCAGGACCCGTCTTTTCACGTTCTTACTGACGTCTTTTTTCATCTTCTTGTATGTTTATTTTCCCACTGTCATAGCAGACTCTTTGACTTAATTACAACCTTTCTCGAGCATGAAAAACACTACTTATCTGAAAAAGCTAAACATCTAGAAAATACATTCCGTACTGGAGCAATTATGGTGAATATCTATCTAAACGGCCCAATTGAAACAATAGCCATCGTTCTCGCTGGTTTTGAATGAAAGCACAACGTCTGAAACAGTGACTTTTAGTCACGTGACCTCAAAGTAGGAACTAACAGGCTATTCACAGCACAACAAGAGCCTGAGAAGTTGTGAAGCACGGTCGATAGCCACTGCTTTCACACTAGAATCTAGGATTCTTCACTACCACGTTTTTTTAGCTCTCTTTTACTGATCTTTTCAAGTAGCATCACTACTGACGTTTTAGACGTCAGTCTTCTTGACTAGCTCATGATGAACTTGGCATTGTCGAAGGTGCTCTCAACAAGACATATTCAGTGCACGTCAATTGGTTATGCATCGGACACTCAATGCATTTCCTTCCACTTAAACAAACGGATGTGGTCTCGAAAACACTGGACAAGTTCAAGCGGTGCTACGGCGTCGAGGTGCGCGATGGGTTTATTCTAGGCCAGTCGACGATCACCGATAGCGTAAAATGCATTGGTGCATTTTTAGATCTCGACAAACTGGTGGAAGAGAATGCCTCAAATGATATGGTACAGTTACTGCGAATTCCCGCCATTTCAACCTTTTCAATTCACACAATACTGGAGATAGTAAATCAACGGTCTCAGTACAGCACTGAGCGTCAATTTCAAGACACAACTGGCAGTATAAAGCGTATTTTTGCTCTGTGTTGCGAAAACGCAGTGATCATCGAGAATCTCTCCGAGACACTTATCCTAATCATGTATTTTCTCATCCTTGAGCTACTGCAGCAAATGGGGTATGCTCTACCGGAAATTGTTTCCGAATATCTGAACAACGTTCTTTTGACAACTGAGGTTGGCTCTTTCTACACTGATCTGCCTGCTTATGCAACCTGCGCGAACCTCGAGATTATGGCGCAATACGGACTAGCAGATTTGTACAGTGTCTTTCAGTCTTTAGTGGACTTCTCTGAGCGCAACTTCGAGGATCAATTCGAACCGCAAGTTGTTGCGAACATCATGGCCAGTGTTATCTCTCGCTGTCTAGAGATTCCACACGAACTTGAACCAAATAGTGAGGATTTTCAGGTTCAGACAACTTTGGTGCCCATCCTAGATTACATTAACCATAATAACGAACTTGTGAACGCACATTTTGACGTAGACCGTCAAACAAACGATGTTCTACTACTGCTGGATCTTGACCAATGCCGTGGTCGGAAGGGTCTTACGGAGGTGTTCATCAGCTACAGCCCCGTCCAAGAACTTGTGCACTTCGAGAAAATCTATGGGTTCAGCCCGAGCTTGGACCCACAAATGGCTACTTATATGAATCTCTGCCTCGACAAGACTTTCTTATCGCAAGAGTCGTCTCTCGACCTATTCTTCAAATGGTTTGAAATCAAGCCCTGTGTTCAGTTCTGCATTCTTGCGGATACGGTTTACATAAATGATTGCATTGAGAGTTTCTACGAGTTGACCATACCTTTCTCAGCAGACGCTGACTCGACCTATTCTTCCACCAACTTTCGCTACGACAAAAAAGCCTTCAAGGTCTTCGCAGAGCACTTCGCCAGGGCTCGTGGAGGCGACGCTAAGGACTTCGAAGAGATTTGCGATGAGCAAGTGGAGCAGAATGAAAGCAACTCTTGTGAAGGCATCGACTTACCTCAATTGGCCTGGATGTACTATTACTGTGTGGACGGTAAATCACGGTGTGGACGACTAGATAAGGGACAAATCATAAGACTGTCTGGTTACGACTTGGCCTCCGCCAAGAAAAGACTTCTGGCCTACCTTTCACGTTATTTCCAGTGGCGTCAAGACTTTTTACAAAAGAAGCTACCTCTTATTTCGGCTTCGATGAGGAGAGTGGCAGTGCATGAGCAGACTTTAATCGCCAAGCTCTTGTGTCAAGTAGAGCAGGGCGAAAGTATATTCTTGAGCGACGCAAAGGTGGACTCCGAAAAACTTCAAGAATATCCAATTCCATCTTTGCTCAAAGACTCCTATCATCACTACTCGTCCTCCACAATTAGTGAAGGTGACAGTGTTCAGGAATGTTTTTTATCAACGGACGAGTTGTCAGAAATCCAATACTACTCAGACTTCTTCTCACCTTGACGTGACACAAAATAAAAGTGCTTCTTTCCATGTTACATACAGCTTTGACCACGGCGTTTTTCATTTGCCATGTATTTGGGCTCCATGTTTACATGGGTAACGGCGATGTTAGGTGTTTTTATGAGAATCTCGTCCCGGGAAGTCTATTGAAGGCTAAATTTCAGACCGCTATTGTAATTGACGAGATGGACTTTAACCAACAGGTGGATTTCAATTTGACGGCCCTAATCAGCGAGACTTTTGACAATGATCACATAGCCTTGCGCCAACAAGTGGGGCCTGAGGGCGAAACTGTGTTCACTGCCCTTGGAAACGGCGAGCATCGAATTTGTCTAAAATCCGCGATATCGGAGCCTCATGTTATGCTCAGAGTACAACTCGCTTTTGAAATCTCCAGACTGCAATTACCTGATCTAGACATCACACAGAAGGCCAAGTCTGCAAGAGATAGGATCGAGCGGCTTGTGGCCCGTATGGAAACGCTACGGAATGAACAAAGAGCTACAAAAGCTAGGGAGAAGGCAGCCTCTAAACTGAGCGAATTCGTTCATTCGCGAGTATTGTTTTGGTCGCTTTTTCAAGTGCTTGTGTTGATCACATCCTGCACCATCCAGCTTAGAGCGCTGAAGTGTTTTCTCCAACATCATCCCTGAGATGCACACACCAAAGAAGAGGTCTGTAAAATTAAGACTGAAGTTTGTTTTGAGCTCTTTGTTAAGCCTTGAACAAATTCAGAGAGATCCATTCGCTAGGAGCTGAGGTCATCTATATATCTACTGAGAGTAAGGTTCAGTGCGATTCATTGTTTACATCAGTAATCTACGAACACACACCCAGAAAACGAACAAAAGGCTCCAAAATCAATGTCAAAACAAGTGAATCAAGCATTCAAGTGACTGAAGTCACCAAGAATATCATCATCTCTACCGGGTCCTACCCTCTGAATGGTCCATTGACCAAAGATGCCATCGTTCTGGTGATATCGCTTCATACGCGTATTTTACTCTACTCTAGAAATTGCCAGAATTCGGGACGTAATGATAGTTCTACAGCTGGTAATCGGGTAGAGAAGACACAGCGTCAAGTATGGCAAAGCTGTGAATCTGTGACACGAACTTGAACTTTTGGTAACTGCTGTTTGTAGCGATTTAAGTTGAATTAAAATTTGGTCACGTGATCGAAAACGAGGTCGGCGAAGATCATTTTATCGACAGTAGATCATCTCATCTCATCGCATCTCATCGCATCGTAACGCATCAAGTAGACTTGTAAATCTTCAAGAACTGACGTACTTCATTGATCAATGAGTAGCGGTGACGTACCTGCTGAAATTCTGGACGAGTTAGCGGCCCTGAAGGCCGAAAACTTTAGCCTAAAGCAGAAGCTCAATGAGCAGGTCCAGCTTCCAATGTCCTTGGAGGAGTTCAAAAGGTATGGCAGGCAAATGATCGTGAAAGAAACCGGAGGCGTAGATGGACAGATGAAATTGCGCCGCAGCAAAGTGCTCGTCATTGGTGCAGGCGGGCTGGGAAGCCCCTGCTTGCCCTACCTGGCCGGTGCAGGCGTGGGACAAATTGGTATTGTCGACAATGACGTCGTGGAGACTTCCAACCTGCACAGACAAGTGCTGCACGACTCCGAAAAAGTGGGCATGTTGAAATGCGAGTCTGCTAAAGAAGTTCTGTCAAGATTGAATCCCCACGTTAAAATTGACACTTACCCAGTTAGATTAGACTATAGCAATGCTTTTCGCATTTTTCGAAGCTACGACATCGTTCTGGACTGTACCGATACTCCACTGACCAGGTATCTGATCTCCGACGTTGCTGTGAATCTCGGGATGACCGTTGTGTCAGCATCTGGTCTCGCCACTGAGGGTCAATTGGCGGTGCTGAACTTCAAAAATGTGGGGCCTTGCTACAGATGCTTCTACCCAGTTCCTCCACCACCCAACTCAGTTTCATCGTGCCAAGAAGGTGGTGTGGTCGGTCCATGCATTGGACTTGTGGGTGTGATGATGGCAGTTGAGACATTAAAGATCATTCTTGACATTTACACACTGGACAATTTCCAGCCGTTTTTGATGCAGTATTCCGGTTTCCCACTGCAGTCCTTGCGCACTTTCAAAATGAGAGGAAGACAAAAAACATGCAAAGCATGTGGTGAGAGCCGAATCATCACGAAGGATGCCATTGAAAGAGGCCATGTCAATTATGAAGCATTCTGCGGCAAAAGAAACTATAACGTGTGCCTACCTCACGAACGAATCTCAGTCGAAGAATTCCACGATTCTTATGTTGCATCAGATGAACAAAATCCCATTCTTCTGGACGTGAGACCTCATCATCACTACAATATATCGCATCTGCCCAACACCTTCAACTTGACCGTTAAAGAATTGAGAGATATGGAAGGGGACATCTCTCAATTGAAAAGTGAAATACCGACAATAAGCGGCGATAGCGAAGTTTTAGTCATGTGTCGGTATGGAAATGATTCTCAACAGGCCACCAGAATACTCAAAGACAATTTTAACTTGAGCAACGTCCGTGATGTCCAAGGAGGGTTTTTCAAATACATCGACGAGGTGAACCCGAAACTTCCAAAATATTGAAAATCAAACTGTCCAGATTCTAACTCCCTAACTCCTCTATCACTAGGAGACCTGCATTGTTCGCAAAGGCGTAGAACTTTCCACCTTTACATGTTTCATTCCATTTAACGCTGGAGATGTTGACTCCGTGCGGGTTGACTCTAGCTTTCGACACCTCGTTTACGCTGAAGTTGAAAACCTCATAATTAGGATCTAAGCGGTACTTCTTTTCCTCAATATTGTAATTCCACTCCCATAACTTTAAAAATTTGTGAACACTAGCGTTATTCTTGATTCCTGTCAAGAACCTTCTTGCTAGATTATTGATAATTAGAGTTCCATCGGCAGAGCCCGAAAGCAGGAAAGGGTGAAGCTTGGAGGTTGCAAGCGCGCTCACGGTGTTTTCATGCTGACATATCTGGTGAGAGGCAAATGCAGCTTTTGGTGTGAAGGCTTTTATCGAGTTTACCCCATCTGTGTGAACTACTCCATAGACTGGAGGACAGTAGCTGGCAATCGTACTATTTCCCCCACGTACACGCCCTAAAGAGCATTTTGTTGTTTGGATACTCAGTGGATTATAAACGCAAATGAATCCATCCACGGATGTAGTAGTAATCACTTTGTCTTCAAATCCTGAGTACGCTGTGACGATGGAGATCACGTACGAGTCATGCACTTGGCGGTAGTAGGAGGGCACATTAGATCCCAATTCAAATTCCGCAACATAACCATTTTGAAAACCGCAGACTATTGTTTGTGAAGATGTGAAATCAAAGCAAGAGATTGGGGTTTGTGAAAGTGCGACGCTTATACTAGCGTTCTCATACACTTTGATCTCGTTCTCTGTTGTTCGATCAATTTTCATGAACTTAACGGAGCCGTCCTGACAACATGCAGCCAATAGGCCCAAAGAGTTCTCGTCCTTGAACCCTGAGTGCCACTTTAAATTCCAAGTTTCACCGAACGGGTGTATTATGGTTTGATACGTTTCAAACACCAGGGTCTTAGGGTCTAATGCGAAGATTTTGATACAAGAGGTGTGTTTCTGTTCACCCCAGCATCTGAGGTCCTCGTGTACTGGCTCATCAATTTTATTAGATACTGAGACAGCCAAATAGAGGTGGTCGAGATCATCGCGCGGGAGCCATGCTATGTCTGTGACGAGCCCACCCGTGCTAAAAACAAAGCCCTTGCGTTTGCCACATGGAAACACTGGAAACTCAATGCTCTGATTCGCCTTAATGTGTGTATCAAGCTCAGAAATCTGCAAAGGAACCTCTGCCTCATTGAGAGGAAAAAGCTGGCGCATTTCCGATTCATTTATAACCCGGTAATCGCTAGTGACAAGAGTAAGGCACTGTGTGACATCTTTTTGGCTGCAGGGAGAAGAAAAGTCGACGTAGTATTTAGAGTGCGGTTGTATCGTCTCGATGTCAAAATCAAAGGAACCTGTCTCGAAGCATTCTTTGACCTTGGCGAGTCCCAGCAATTTTTGAGTGTTTAACCCATAGATACGCTCAATTTTGTCCCTAGCAGAGGTCAAGTCTTTCAATGCACGGATCACACGGCGTTTATTGTCAAGTTTCGATGTTGGTGTTGGTGATTGAATATCAGTTTGTACAGGAGTGGATTTTTTGGGTTTTCGACCTCTTTTCGCACCGCCAGATGCCGCACGTTTTGCGGTCCTCTTCTTGGGAGCAGAAGTTTGAGCCTTTTCTAGATCTTGGGTCGCTTCGAGCGCGTTTTGTTCTGTGAGATCTTCAACTCCGGACTCATAGTTTCCTGTCTCTACGTCATCCACGTCATCAGCTTCCTCTCCATCTGGCACAAATTCTTCCCCTTCATCAGCAGACTCTACTGTTGGGTCAATTGATTCTCCTATTGATTTCGAAGCCCTCTTGGACGCATTCCGTTTGGGCCTGGATGTCTTGGTGAGTGTTGCCGAGTTCAGCACTGCCAATGCTGCTGCAGATTCTTCGGGGGAAACGGGTGTGACAGTTTTGAAAGAGTCTAGTGTTCTGACCTTCTTCACAGCTTTTTTCCCACCATTACTGTCTTTAACACGGGCCATTTCAACTCAGCTTGACTGGAAAGTATACAGCCCAAGAACGTTTTGTTAATCTTGCTTCCTGAGATTTTCGAATAGAAGTTTCTTGTTTTATATCACTACTTCAAATCATATCGTACGTGGTGTATGGGAAAGGAATATACCAACTGAACGTCAACAGTGGAAAAGCTGTGAAACTATTTGACAGATTATCTATCGCATCCTGTTACTTTTGATGCGCTTGTATATTTCATGCAAAGCTGCGATGACATTCGAATCTTCAAGTTTCATGGTATTATAATACTATTATTCGTTGTAAGGATATAAAAAAAATATGCATTTCTTCGTCTTTGTAGTTCGAATTATTACCAGTAGCAAGTGTTTTCCGGCGCTGTAAGGGCAGATTTGTATCCTTTGAAGAGCTCAGACGTCTATTCCATGCCAGTGACAGTATAGTTCAAAGTGACTACTATTTAGCTAGCTGGTATAAAGCTGATGTAACTTAGCAGCAAGGCCTGGGAATCCAGGTTCACAGAAGTCTAGGTTTTGGAGATATTCTAAGCTCTGGATATGTATTTGCAACTTGAGACGTTGCTTCGTGTTGGGAAAATATTTAAAATCATATGAGATGTGGTGATGGATGTAATTTCATGTTTTTCAAGTCGTTTACAACTTTCGAAAACGTGGTACATGGCATAACAAGTAAAACCGGCGATATATACTCTTTAACAGATTCGTGACAGCCTAAAATCCCGTTGGGTCTTTCGGTGTGCCCTTATTTTACCCCAGATAAAACTATATGCATAAAACGACGCTACTTTTAAAAAAAGTCAAGAACCCGACTTCAAGGCCTCGCAAAAACACAGCGTCCAGGCTCAGAATCTTCTCTATAATTTACCCGAGTGGATTACACTTTCACAAAATATCTCTTACCAAGTTTTACTTCGCTGTTCTTCAGTTCTCTCTGTCTTTCCAGTATCTTATCTTGAACCTTTAAAAGTGATGTAATTCAATATAAACCCTAGAAAGTTGGACTCTCTTCTGAGGGCATAAAGAACACCCGTCACGGACGTGTATATGCTCCGATTACATCTTCGAAAAGAATCCAAGATGGACGTGAACAATGTCGAGTATCCAGAAGAATTCGTCAAGTTTCTAAACGCTTCGCCAACACCTTTCCACGCCGTCAAGAACATTAAGGACCACCTCCTTCAGCACAATTTCCAGCAGCTCAGAGAGGAGGAAAACTGGTTTAGCATTTTAGATCAGGGCAAAGGCTATTTTGTCACCAGAAATGACTCGGCCATAATTGCCTTTGTCGTTGGCAAGCAGTACGTGGGTGGTAATCCGTTTGCAATTGTTGGTGCGCACACTGACAGCCCCGTCTTGAAAATCAAGCCTATTTCCAAAAGAACGAATGAGAAATACGATCTTATCGGTGTGGAATGTTACGGGGGCGGGATCTGGCACTCGTGGTTTGATGCTGACCTTGCTCTGGCAGGAAGAGTTATTTATCGCAAGGACAGCACAGAGGGGTACCAATTGGAGACGAAACTAGTGGACTTGAAAAAACCTCTTTTGAAGATTCCAACTCTGGCCATCCACTTGGACCGTGACGTGAACCAAAAATTCGAATTCGACAAGGAGAACCAATTGCTACCTATTGCTGGACTGCAGGCGAAACAAGTCAACGCAGACGCGCATTGTCCCGCACAAGAAGCTCAAAGTGACACATTCTTTTCTATAAAATCCGTTGTCGAGAGACATCATCGCGATTTGGTGGATATGGTCGCAAAAGAACTCGAAATCAAGAGTGAGCAAATTGAGGATTTTGAGTTGACCCTTTATGACCACAAGGCCTCGTGTCTTGGCGGGCTACACGATGAGTTTGTCTTTTCTGGAAGACTTGACAACTTAACGTCGTGTTTTACAGGTATGTACTCCCTCACGGACTCGATTCAAGAGGGCAAAGATAGTCGGTGTGTCAAAGTGTTGGCCTGTTTTGACCACGAAGAAATTGGATCGTCTTCTGCGCAGGGTGCCGACTCTAATTTTTTGCCCAGCGTACTGGAAAGACTTGCAATTCCTAAATGGCACAGCCAAACCGACACGGAGGCCCTGGGCGAGGTTAATCTCATGAAACTGGCTGCGAGGAAGTCATTTTTCCTGTCGTCCGATGTAGCTCACGCTGTTCATCCAAACTATGCGGGCAAATACGAAGTCAATCACAAGCCCATGATTGGCAGTGGTCCTGTTATCAAGATCAATGCCAACCAGCGCTATATGACCAACACTCCGGGTTTGGTGCTTGTAAAAGCTCTTGCAGACCGTGCCAAAATACCCTTGCAATTATTTGTGGTATCCAACACGTCACCTTGTGGTTCAACAATTGGGCCAATTATTGCCTCCAAAACTGGCATCCAAACTTTGGATTTGGGTAACCCAGTTCTCAGTATGCATTCCATTCGCGAAACAGGTGGTTCTGACGACCTACAGTCCCAGATAGAATTGTTCCGCGAGTTTTATCAAAATGGTACTGAAATTCTTGAAAGTGGCTACGTTAAGACTTGAAACACACAAGCCATTTTAAGCATCCCACGCCCGAAGACATCAGAGCATGATCAACTCAGCGTTTCGCTGTTCAGCGTGTCGCCGTCCGACACTACGTACCATGTGATACATATAATTAAATTACAGTCGCTGGCGCGTTCTTGAAAGACATAAAAGACATAAATACAAACCTGTCTAGACCACAGGTTCACAGCTCTAAAGTTGACGATCGAATCACTTCTGAAGCCTTCAAGATGATCGAGGATCAGCGTCCACATACCGGTCTCAAAGGTGCTAAAGTCACTGACGATATCCAAGAATTGATGTCGTTTTCTGACGCTAACAAGACCATTGGCGGATACATTGAAGATGAACCGACGACAGGGATTATACACTTGAAAAGAGAGAAACTTCCTAGATTCTCCTCTACTGTTCACGCAACGTTAGAAACGGAGAGGGATGCTGGCTTCGAGCGGGAAGAGGAAACTGAGGATGACGATGACGTCGAAGTTAAGAGTTATGAAGGAAATGGAAAGGGAAATGGAGAGGGAAATGGAGGTGAAAACGAAGATCGTGGGCAGATTAAGGAAATCAACAGCAAAGGCGAGAAGAGTGAAAATCGGGAAAATGATGACGAGGACGACGAAGAAGATGACGACGATGAAGACGATGATGATGATGACGATACCTTCTTTCGTGGGAATTATAGACCGGCAAGTGATAGTTTCCACAACAACAGGTCCCATCGTCCAGTGGTAATTGATGCTGAGCGAGATAAAGGTTCCGTGTCAGAGAGTCGAAAGAGTACCTCAGAACAAGCAACTACACAGGCTGGAGAAAAAAACGAAATAGTGATTTACTCCTCGGATAGCGATCAAGTCGATAACGAATCAAACAACGTATCAAGGTCTACCAAGCGAGCTACGAAACGTAGCAGGCGCAATTCGAACTCGCTGGTAGATGAGTTGCCCCGCAAAATGAGGACCAGAAATACTCGTAGCCCCGTTGGATTACAATTTCAGGCTAAACAGGGAGCGTCTGTTACCGAAACACCAACTGAGACGGAGGATGATGAGGATGAGCAATTTTTCAAAGACCTTGCTCGAGAAGCGGGCAGATCTGCAAGTACCCTGGAAAGAAATTCACCAGCGACTGAGAACCGTGTTTTCAACATCAAATTCACTTCTAATTTAGAGGGAACTATTGAAAAGAAGATCAATGCGAAGGTAAAAGGTACACATACCTTTTCCCAAATTCTTCCAATGGCACTGAACTTAATAATTAAAGAGTACAATGTCCCAAAAGAACTGCGACCACAATATGAAAGCCAAAATGTCTCTATTTATCGTAACGGCGTCAAAATTTTGAACTTCATGAGTTGTAATTCACTTCAAGTGTCTGCCGATTCGAATGTTAAAACGGTCGAGGCTTCCTTGAGTCTGGTACCTAAAGCTCTCGAAAGAGATTACGAGGCCAAGTACGAAAAAGCGGGCCAAGGGGAAGTATCGTCCATACTCGACGATATACCGATAGACTGCAATGAGACCAGTTTTTTGACCGGAGACGAAAACGAAGATGACAATGCTATACAATTATCTGATGGGGAAGCAATACAGGTTTTGGACGACAGTTCACTAGCTGAAAGTAATGCTGGTATCATCAAGATTGCACTAATGGCCAAAAATAACGTAAAAACTCACGTCAATGTGCACAGAGACACGTCTTTCGCAAAACTCGACCGCCATTTCAGGATGGTGAATAACATACCGGCGGGGGTTGACCTAAGATTTGTCTTCGACAACGAGAATATTAGTCCTACACAGGTAATCGAGGATCTGGACTTAGAGGACGAAGATATAATAGAGGTAAGGCTGGTGTAAACTTTCGTAGGTAAAGTAAAGTAAGGGTTTGCCGCAGAAACGTTTGCAAGAGGGTATCAGAGAAGTATCTTTTGAACGTCAGCTGGGCAAGTGCACTGAATTAATAGTGGCTGTTTTCTTCCTCACACATCTAAGAGCCTTGTTGGCGCAATCGGTAGCGCGTATGACTCTTAATCATAAGGTTAGGGGTTCGAGCCCCCTACAGGGCTTACTTTTTTGCATACATTCAGAACGTTGTTTTGAACGATTTCGAACTGTGAGCTTCTGCTGAGTACCATCTCTCTTTCCTGTAACGTCTTAATTCTATGGAATTTATTATATGCAATGTGTTTTGTCTCTATGTCATGCTAATTTACTTTCAATGCAGCGGGACTAGCGCATAAGCTCTCGAAAAGTACAGGTTTTGGCTCCAAGTCTTCTGTAGATAACGCCGTGTCCTTAACCACTTTGAAAGCGCCGGTACCAATGGACATGGTTTGACCTAGAATAATGCACTCTGATACACCCTCAACAGCGTCTTTTTTCATGTAGAATGCGGCATCAAACAAATGGTCAGTGGTCTTTTCGAAAGACGCCAGCTGCAGTACGGAGTCTCTCATTTTACTTAGACCAAAACGAGTAATACCCAAAACCTCTCCCTTGTACGTCATGACATCACCCAACAACTGGACGTGACGAGGATCAACACTCATACCGTGATTACTCATGGTATAGTCAATCTCCCCAATGATGCTGGCTCTTGCTGCCTCGATACCCAAAACGCTAACCACCTCTAGAACATGATTTGTCTTTGTTCTCCAGCCAATGACACCGTCAGTGGTCATTACGTCGCGTAAACCGTAACCTTCCACGAGCAGTTCTCTCTTGCCATTGTCCTTGACGTTGATAACGGCCCTAGCGATGTCAGGCAAGCCCTTCACCACTATAGCAGGCAGCGAACGACGTAAATGTTGGATGCGGTAAAATATCTCATTTTCTCCAGGATCTTTAGCCGACGTTGATATCGATTTGAGTTTGGATCCCTCAGCATAGACATTGATGTTAATCTTTTCCTTACCTGCAATACTGACATCAGAGGCAGCGATTTTGAGCTTTGATGCTCTTGTGATGGCGACTGCAATGTCTTCAACTGTCAGTTCAAGTTGCAACTTTTCAATGGTGCTTAGGTCAACCTTCACCTGTAGGAATGACATGTTGTCTCTGTAAACGTCCTGGATGTAAAAGGCAACGTCTGACAGCAAGGTTTTCTCGATTCTACCTTTCACTACTCTCGCTGCCCTTTCATCGTTATCGTTGACCAGAACCGCATTGATGATGGGTGTCGATATGACTTTCGAAGCGTTGATGATTTCTTTAATACGGGGAACACCAAGTGTCACGTTCATGGAAGCTACTCCAGCAAAATGGAAAGTTTTCAGCGTCATTTGCGTACCAGGCTCACCGATGGAATGTGCTCCCACGGCCCCAACAGCAGTACCAGGTTCCACCTTGGCTTTGTGATACTTGGAAATTGCAATTTCTAGAAATTTCGCAACGAGCGATGAAGAGATCTTGCACAGCTGCGAAACAGATGCCTGTGTTGCTTCCGATACTTTCTCATCTAGATCAAGAGCCTGCAGTTCAACTGCTGGCTCATCCAAACATTCCAGCATGCCCTTGTGTTTCCTTGTCGTCGCCAAGTGAGTAGCCTTCTCTAGCAGGTAAGCTCTCAAAGACTGGTAGAAGTTTCTCTCCGCATCATGTTGATCGATAAAGTCCTCACTGTGTGTTGACGGGTCGCTCAGAAGGTTGCCCAAATTATCAAACCTGACCAGTTTTTTCTCCAATGGGTCCAAAATCTTATTAGTTTGCTGCATTATCTGGTAAGGTAGTAAGCATTTGTCAATGTGATTGAATGTAACGTTGTTTGCGTGTTCCCATGACCTCGCGAAGTTGACAGGTTGGGCGTTACCTTCCATATCGATAGGGTCTAAACCGTCACCTCCATAGGTGAATTGAACGATACCGTTGGAAGAGGTTCTGATAGTATTGTCGTACTGACAAGAGAGATCTTCCAGAGATTTCATCAATCTACGTGACATGTAACCAGTCTCAGCCGTTTTCACAGCGGTATCCACCAAACCTTCACGTCCAGAAATAGCGTGAAACAAAAACTCCGGGGGAGTCAAGCCAGTGAAGAACGAGTTTCTAACAAACCCCTTCGACTGCGGCGTTTTGGAGTTTTTCAGAAAGTGAGGTAGAGAACGATCCTGAAAACCGTCCGGAACACGATTACCAGATATAATTTGCTGTCCCACGACAGCCACCATCTGCGAGACATTCAAATTAGAACCTTTAGAACCACAGTTTGCCATGATCAAGCAAGAGTTGAGATTATCCAGCTCTTTAATGCACACTTCACCCACTTCTTCTCTGACTTTAGAAAGCAGACCACCAATCTTAGCTTCTAAGGTTTGCTCCTCATTACAACCAGGCTGAGTTTCCAATTTACCCTTCTCGAACTGATCAATGAGGTCGTCACATTTTGCGTATGCGTCTTCGACCATACTTTCCTTCTGTCGCTTAAGTTCGAAGCCAGGCGTAACGTCACTAATTCCGATCGAAAAACCTCTGTTACCCAAAAACCTTGCACACAGTTTTGCCATTCTGTTCATGGCGTAAGCTGCTTCTTGAGGCCCGAAATCTCTCAAAATTGTGTAAAATACCGAATGCTTCTTACCATCACCTAAGACAGACTTGTCCATAACACCACTCAAAATTTGAGATCCGCGAATAACGACGAACCCATCATTTTGAGACATTTCACTGGGGAACTCTTTTCTCTTAGGGGGAATGTAAACTTTGTTCTTCGCATCTAGGTTAATAACAACCGAAGAGCTCTTATTTGGTCTGATAAGAAGAGAAAAGACTTGCTTTCCTGTCCACATGTAATAGGGCTTCATAATTGCTGGTGGAGGTATGTCAAACTGCAAGTTACCGTCTGACATCATCGATAGGAGTTGAACAAACTCAGCTCTGGAAAAGAACGAGTCTTTGTGAGAAATAAGATACGAGCCTGTGATGAAATCTTGCGTAGCTGCGATAATTGGCTCACCGGACTTGGGTGTTAAGATATTGTTTTTCACACCCATTAGGTTGATGGCTTCTGCACGAGCTTCTTCTGTTTGAGGGACGTGTAAATTCATTTCGTCACCGTCGAAATCAGCGTTGTAAGGTGTACACACACATTCGTTTAGTCGGAAAGTTCTCCAAGGTCTGATTTTCGCGTAATGCGATAGAATAGAAAGCCTATGCAGAGAAGGTTGTCTGTTGAATAAAACGACGTCCCCATCTTCCAGATGCCTTTCTACCACGTCACCATATTGAAGATTTTTGGCAAGTTTCATGCGATCACCAAATCGCAGGTTACGTCTGGCCTCCTCATCCTTTTTCAGGATGTAGTTGGCACCGGGATGTTCGTTAGGCCCGTTTATCACGAGTTGCTGCAGCTTTTGTTTGTTGTAACGTGTTACCATTTCAGGATACGTGAGGACTTTAGCTACCCTGTCAGGAACTGCAACTTGATCGATGGACAGGTTGGGGTCTGGCGACACCACTGTTCTACCTGAGAAGTCTACACGTTTACCGGAAAGATTACCTCTGAAACGACCTTGCTTACCCTTCAGTCTCTGACAGAAACCTCTAATTGGTTTCGTCTTACCACCAGCGTTTCCGCCTGGCATCATAGCTGGATTAACAGAATCGGAGTTAATGTACATGGCGACCGCCAGCTGTAAGTAATCCCATTGCTCCATCATATTATTGATTGATATGCCCTTTTCCAGACCTGCTTTGATCAGAGATGACGTCCAAACAATTTCTGTTAATTTGACAGTTAGATCATCTTCGTTCGAGGCAGGAGAATCTTGCATCATTACAGATGGACGAATGCACACAGGTGGTGCAGGTAAGTACCTCCAGATGTAAGTTTCAGGTCTGCCTGACTTGACAGAGCTGTCTATACCCAAGAGTTCACAGTCTTCAGATAAAATCTGCTTGAACAAATTTAAGGTTTTCAAAGGATTTAGATCATCTGTACACCGCTTGACGTAACGTTCGAGTTCCGGGCTGTGAGCCAAGACTGTTTTCCAGTCACCAAACCACTTGTCCTTTTCTGGTACAGATTTTTTACCAACCCACCTGAAAGTGTCATGCAAAATCTTGAGGGAAGCCGAACCAGATCCGGCGGCAGCTTTTTTCACAACGCCGTTCAAAGCACCACATTTGAAACATCTTCTCTGCTTTTTGCATTGATCCACGACTTTTTTGAGGATCCCCATTCTTCTCAAATTATCTATTCCCGGACGACGAAGCTCTGCTAGAAATTGTCTTTTGTCCTCCTCTGATAGCAACAGAGCTGCACAACCTTTGCAGACGGATTGTAAAACCGTGATAGTAGCTTTGAAATAACCAACGTGAAAGACCGGTAACGACAGCTTAATGTGTCCGAAATGGCCGTGACATGAGGCAAGATTGCCATGACAGGTAGCACACTCGGCATGCGACGAGGAAACACCCATTCTCGTGTCTAAAGCGCCTCCATCTTTAGGTTTCCTCCCGCTTTCTAGATCGAAAAGATCTCTGGTGGTGACCTCAACTTTCGATTGCCCAACAATGTCGCTTGCAGACAGAGCACTGAACTCTAGACCTTTGATTTTCTTGGGCGCTATGTCCACCACAACTTCCTTCATTTTTGCCTTAAAAACGTGGGGAAAATCCGGCTTTCAAAGAAGTTTTGAAAGTTGTTCAGAACCTCAGATCTCTGATTGTCGCGGGAACCTCAAAACGGGTTTGAGAAGCCAAGAATTGACGCTTTCAGAATCCTGAGTTTTTGGGATTTATCGATGAGATGAGATGAGATCAAATTTTTTTTTTATTGTTCTACCTAGAAGTCATATATAAATCGTATAGGAGCATATCAAAATTGAGCAAGAAGGTCAGTTCGAAGTACGAGTCTTTTTGGCTGACAAGACTGAATTTGGCTAGATTACTGTATTTAGTATCTTGTTTCACGTCTGTAGGAATTGTCCGTTTTGACCAGGATGAATCATGGTGTCAGCGGGGTTTGCTAAAATAATTTTACCTTCGCTAAACTCTGTTGTGAGGGACCTAAGAGATATCATGTGAATGAAAAATGCTACTTGAAATATCGTGGAGTCCTGTGGCGTAAGCAATATGACTGTCTGAATTCTCTTTATCGACTTTTATTTCAATTTCTGTTGTTTACTGTTTTACCGGGAAAATCAAAGTTCCTACCAAGCTTGGACTGAAGAACATTGAATTACATCACGAAAGAATCATCTTCCCATTCTACCACGGCCACAAGTTTACTTCTTAAAAAAATTCATCTCATGTTTCCCCTACTGATTCACTGACATTGGCGCCCGTCACATCTCAAAATTGTGACAGAATAGTACAAAATGACAAGGAAATAATCAAGCTCTATAACGGCTGGCGACATCAAGACCGGGCAATCATTTGACCATCAACCCGGAGATTGTTGACGGATTGCCATAAAAATTACCTTTAGTACATGTTTCCTATTCTAACCAAATCCCTGCCCGTTTCCGATAATATTGGTATTTTTTGTTTTTGATTATTCGTTACAGTATTTTATCCTATAGTTCCCCATCTTTCACGATTCCAGAAATGCCAGTATTTGGAGTTTTCATAAGCAGATCCAGGGATTCACCCACGATTCTAAAGAGCCATATCGCACTGCCTTTCGACGATAAACTCGAAATCGTGTATCTCGTACCAAGCGACATTTTATATAGTGGCAAATGAGATCTACCTACAGTTATTTATATTTACCATAACTTTAACTCCTACACATTTCTACACAGACCAACATCGCGCGACTTAAGAGCATCGCCTTCGACCACTCGCAGCGATACAGTCATATACAGCGTAGACCAATACAAATGAGTCTGGAAAAACAACAGCAGAATACCTTGGAGGAAGACGACGAGTTCGAAGACTTCCCAGTCGATACATGGGCAGACTCTGAAACTGTGAAAGAGGCTCCAGACGTGCCCACAAACCTTTGGAAAGAAGACTGGGACGATGTCGAGGTGGATGACGACTTTACCAAAGAGCTCAAAGCGGAATTGGAAAAGCACAAACAGTGAAATGAATGCGAGCACGACCTAAAAAAAAAAAAGCTCTAACTGCACGATGTGTCTGTTTCCAACCAAGAGACCATCTCTGGATGACAAACCCAGCTCTTCCAGCTCAGATACACCAGCTACCAGACCGTCTTTATCGCTGACGGGCGAAAGATACAACTCTGACAGACCCGTCAAAAGTGATACCATCCACTGACTTGCAAAAAGTTGGAAGCAAGTGCGGTATCTCATCATATCTCCCATAGCGTCTCGCTTAAATACCTGTTGGAGCTTAATGTGCCAAACTAGAGCATCTTCTTCCCTCCTTCTTTGGCATATTGTATATAGAAATAGCCAATTTAACAAAATACGTCCATGATGATATCTAAACTACAGGCGCGATATTCAAAACTCAACTCGGTGGCAAACCTTCACCGAAATGAAACCGCTCTACAACAAGCACATCACATTTGCTGTGTCCAGCTACTCAAACCACCGCTACAATTACTCACAATGGCGACTTTAGAAGAACTAGAGTCTCAACAAAATCCGGGAGAAATTGAGATCGACCAAGAGATCCTAAATCTGCCCACAGCAGAGCTCCAGACAAGAACTAAACTACTAGACAATGAGATTCGGATATTTAGATCAGAACTGCAGAGATTGTCGCATGAGAATAGCGTTACGCTTGAAAAGATCAAAGACAACAAAGAGAAAATCAAAAACAATCGCCAACTGCCCTATTTGGTGTCTAATGTGGTGGAGATCATGGACATGGACGAGTTGGAAGACGCACAACAACGTGAATCGGCAACCCAGGGTGGCAATGTCAACCTGGATAATACGGCAAGTGGTAAGGCAGCCGTGGTCAAGACCTCCTCGAGACAGACTGTGTTTCTACCTATGGTAGGGCTCGTTGATCCTAACACTTTAAAGCCCAATGACCTGGTTGGTGTCAATAAGGATTCTTATTTAGTGCTGGACACACTGCCTTCCGAGTTTGACTCGCGTGTTAAAGCCATGGAGGTGGACGAAAAACCCACAGAAACCTACTCAGACGTCGGTGGTCTTGACAAGCAGATTGAAGAACTGGTTGAAGCTATCGTGCTTCCCTTGAAACAGGCTGAGAAGTTCACAAACATGGGAATTAGGGCCCCCAAAGGTGCTCTTATGTACGGTCCTCCAGGTACCGGGAAAACCCTTTTAGCAAGAGCCTGTGCTGCTCAGACAAATGCCACCTTCCTGAAACTGGCGGCTCCACAACTAGTTCAAATGTTCATCGGAGAAGGTTCCAAGCTGGTGCGTGACGCATTTGCCTTGGCCAAAGAAAAAGCTCCCACAATCATCTTCATTGATGAATTGGATGCCATTGGTACAAAGCGTTTTGACTCCGAAAAGTCTGGTGACAGAGAAGTGCAAAGAACCATGTTAGAACTCCTCAACCAATTGGACGGTTTTGGTTCTGACGACAGAGTAAAAGTTCTAGCAGCGACCAACAGAGTAGATGTTTTGGATCCAGCTCTGTTGAGATCTGGTAGACTGGATAGAAAGATCGAATTTCCACTACCTTCCGAAGACTCAAGAGCTCAAATTCTACAAATTCATTCCAGAAAAATGACAACAGACGATTCTATAAACTGGCAAGAACTAGCAAGATCAACGGATGAATTCAATGGTGCTCAGCTGAAAGCGGTATCAGTCGAAGCTGGGATGATAGCCCTGAGAAATGGGCAAAGCCAAGTTAAACACGAGGACTTCGTCGAAGCCATTGGCGAAGTACAAGCAAGAAAGTCCAAGTCTGTGTCATTCTATGCCTAATTGTTGGCAAGTACGTACGACGCCCCACCTATATCATCATCAACCCATCAGTCATATAAATAAATGTATCCACCATTGCCCGCGCACACTAATTTACTAGTCTCCTGCGGTGACCACGCTAACGTAGAAATAGGTTTTTTGTCCGGGACTTCAAGCTGCTTCAACAAATGTGTGGTTTTCCAGTCCCATATGAAAATTTGGCCTCCCGTGTCCCCTGAACAAATGTACCGACCATCAGGCGAGAGCGTAAACCCAATACCATAACCTGCGCACTTGTGCCCTTCAAACTTCTTCTTAGGGTGTCTTTTGTATTTAGGTTTCATGGAAAATGTGTAAATGGCGTTGTCCATGCTTTGGGCAGCAAAATAATTGTTCGCGGGATGAATCGCGACGTAGGGCATTGAATATTGAGCAGTATCGCTTATTTGTTTGATGGGAATGTTGACCTGATTTTCCCAGATGCGCATGGTTTTATCCTCTGACGAACTGATGAGTTTAGAACCGTCGGGGAAATACTTTAGAGCGATGATCGATGACAAGTGGTGGTCGTAAGTTTGAACTAAGCCCTGCTTGTGTGAGACACGCAGATCATAATGCCTAATTTCACTATTTGATAATCCCACAATCAGCTCATTTGAATTATTTGGGCGGTACTCCGCACAATTCGGCGTGCTTGAGAAGCTGTAACGATGCTTGATGGTTCCAGTCTCTGTATCCCATATTTTCATTTGCTGGTCAAAAGACACACTGACAAAATCGGTTCCGTCATCATTAAAATTAGCGTCTCGAATACCTCTGGAGTGTCCCTTATAGTCTCGCAGTAACTGGCGTTCGTGGTACATGTCCCAAAGCCTTAGAATGTTGTCATTACCCCCAGACAAAAATAGATGCCCGCTTTTTGGCAGCATCCGTACCACGTTTGTACCGCTTCCATGACCAGCATACCTATGAAGAAGCTTTTTTGGCAAGAAAGTACGGAAGGAAAGAGGCTCTTTGGTGAAATTCACATTTTCCTCCAGAGGCGGTTTAAGAAAAGAGCGTCCCTGGTAGTCCACCAATGATTCTCCATAAAACTGACTACTCTCCTGAACTGTTTCGACATCATTATCATTTTTCAAATCAAACTCATTTTCTCTATAACCTGGTTGAGAACGGTCGGAATCAAATTTTACAGGCTTGCCACTGATATTTCCAGTCTCCTCCTCTTCCTCATCAGACGAGGACCATGATGCCCATGGCCCTTTTCCTTTCCTCTTGGAGCGTTTTGGTCGTTTTGATTTATAATTTAGCTCATCCTGTTTCCCGTGCCTCTTCGATCCTTCGCTGTCAGGCTCACCGTTAGCAGTAGGTACAAATTCTGACTTCCCTTGCTCGAAGGACGTTTTTCCTGATGATGAGAGTCCCTCTGGGTCTGAATCAGAACTGTAGTCATAGACCAAGGACATTACGATGGATGGCGGCAAGTGGCTCTGTTGCGAGATCTTCACCAACTTGACGTTTAAATATCATCACCAAAAAAAGGTGATTTTCTGAGCAAATATGAAGGGTTCTCATCTTTGACCAAACATCAAATATAAGAGCCTTGTTGGCGCAATCGGTAGCGCGTATGACTCTTAATCATAAGGTTAGGGGTTCGAGCCCCCTACAGGGCTTATATTTTTAATTTCGATGAAAACAAACATTACTGCTTATATGTTCACAACAAATCATCGGGCATCATCGAGATTATGAACATGAACTCACGTAACTTCTTATTATATTTGCAAGTATTAAGTGTTTATAGCAGAAGATCTACTAAGTGTTTTTCTTGAATTTCTTATTCTTTTGCGCTGATCTCTTGATCTTGCTTACCAGTCCTTTGACATCTGCATCTTTACCAGACGAATCGGTTTCAGCGGCACTTCTCTTCTTGTTCTTATTCTTGTGGGATCGTTTGTTTCTCTCCTGTAGTATTTGCTTCATTGCAGGCGTTTGTTTAAATTCAGGCTGAGAAGGATCAATCGCGAAATCGTGGTCCTCAAAGACTTCGCTGAAACGAGGGTCATTGAGATCAGGTTTGAACTCATCGTCAGTAATCTTGCGTTTGTCCTGAAACTTAGACTTCTTGCTCTTTTCTTTCTCCGATCTCATGATTTCATTCATGTTGAAATGGGCTTTTTTGTTGATTCCACGCTCACCATCAGCACTTTCATCTTCCATCATTAACAGTTCTAACTCAGCAGCTGACTTGGCATCGCCGGCATTGTCCGTCTGAAAAGTCTTTTTGCCTCTTGACTCCTTCAGCTTTTGCTTCTTTTCCTCCTCCGTTTGCTTCTTCAACTCTTTGATACGTTCTTTGCGCATCTTTCTGCGCTCCTTCTCCTTGCGTCTGATTTTTTCTACTGTAGTTTCCTCTGTTTTCTCGTCACCACTGCCTCTTGTCTCCTCATTTCTCTCAGCCAATCCCGGCGCGAATGTGATCTGCATGTCCACGTCACTTTCACCTTCATTTGGTTTCTCATCGAAGAGAGACCGGTCGCCAACTTGGGCGGATTGATTTGCAAGTGCTTTGAGTTTATCCTTCAAGTTATGATTCTCTTCTTGATCAGACTCCTCGCTATCGGAAGCCAGATATGCCTTGAAATCCATTTCATCGATTTCCTTTTGGCTGAAAGCTCTTTTGGCCATAGAAACACGGTCCGCAGGCGTTTCATCCCACGTCAGCTTTACCTTCGAGTGTTGTAGTGCATCAGTGCTGAATTGCGCAGGTCTGTAGTTTTTAGGCAGCTCTGTGCACTCGTCTCTTGCCTCGTCGTCAAAATCCATTCCATCGGGAACATATCTGAGATCGAACATGTTTGCAGTGGATTCGAACTCTGTGCCATCACAGTTTTTGTATATAGATTCTGCGGTTTCAATGCTTGAGCAATAAACTACGGCGTAATAGTATCTGAGCCTTTCTAGCTGGTAACGACGCAATGACTTGGCATCGTAGTCCTCTGCATCACCTTCTTCATACAGATCTTTCACATCCAAGTCCGAGTCACTGTCATCGTCCTGGCTGCTCTTCTTGCTCTTTTTCTTGCTGGCAAAAATTTCTCTGGGAGGACCTTCGACTTGTTCACGGTTTAGTCTCTCTTTGCCGAATTCACTGGGGTAGATGGCGATTTTCTTGATTTTCCCACCTTTGGGAACGAAACTCGCGAATGTGATCATCAGATCCTCAGACTTGACATGATCCCAGTCCAGGTTTACCACAGCCAAAGTTTTGCTGCTTTCACCTGAGTCGGGCTTTTTGTCTTCGAGTTCGATCTCGGACTCGTCGCTTTCTAGATCGCTGTCACCCGAATCTGGTTCAGATTCAGAGGATGACGAATCCTCATCCGAAGATGACACATAATCACTAGGCACTTCACCACGGGCCCTGTCTAGACTGATTTTTTTGGCGGAAACTGCCACTTCATCCTGATCTTCTTTATCATCGCTACTCTCCTCTTCTTCATCGCTGCTCTGTTCGGGTTTCTTGGGCGTGTCTTTTTCGTAATACTTCTCGAAATCTTGTTTCTCTTTATCGTTCTGACCCTTCAAACGGCGGCCGTACTTGTCCACCTTTGCTTTACGCTTGAACTCCAGGTCTTGTTCGCTGAATCTATCATCGAGCTTGATCTTGAATTTTTTGGCTTTTGTTTCTCTGAACTTGGGATCACTGTGAACACTGGAGAATCTTGTGTCTTCTGACCTTTCGGCATTAGATCCAGAGTTTTTGGCCATCTCGAATGCTATAACGTGTCTGGAGTGCTTCCTGTTTTGACCTTTTCTATGACCGATGAGATGAGATGAGATGCGTTGAGATGCGATGAGCTAGTAAAATTTGTATGTACGGTTTTTTTCACTATATGTTACACCCCACGAAACAACTTTATAGAGACAGTGCCCATACAAAAACGCCTGAAAGCGATGAAACTGGACGCGTCTTTATCCTCTGAATTAGTGGGAACAGTCATCAGGGCCATATTCTCCTTACCTTCACGTATTTAATTTTACACGAATTCCAAACTGGTGACGAGTTTCGATTCACACATTTCTGCAAGATCAAAAGAGTGTGTAGAGACCTGTGATATTCGGAGAATAATTAAGCGTCGAATTTAAGCTGGCCTTGAGTTTTTCTGGCATTTATTATGGGACTAGAGCTGCGAGTTTGTGAGTAGATGTTATTAGGTCAGGAATATCTAAAGAACCGGTTTTCTTTGAAATGGGAATCATGAAAAGGAAAGATGGTGAGTTTTTGAAGACTAACTGTCGATATGCTTTGATCTTCGAGTTAAAAATATTTTCCAAACGTCGTTCACTATTGCATATTTTAAATTCGAATGCCAAGACCGTGATTTATCTTCCTTATTGAAGAGCAAAAAATATTATAGACGACTCTTCAGTACCAAAGCAAAGAAATGGTGGAAAGATCCACTCATATTGCTGGACGAAGGCGGCTCAGTTTTGCCTCTGTACTTCTTCCCCATGGCTATAAAATTCAGACCGAAGTCTCACTCTGTCGTCAATTTTCGGTCTTATGACAGAATTAAAGTGACGTCGCGAGAAGATAAAATAATCAAAAGAGAAAAGAGGTTTTTACCAGTCTGAAGGAAGCATGTTAAATAAACTTCATGCTTAATCGTAAAGAGAAACAGTTTTTGATGTACCAGATAATTATGGGACTAGCAACACTGCTTGACAGAAAATTATAAACAAACCTCAGAATGATTATTGCAGTTGAAAGAACTCCATACTTTTGCGAACAGTTCTCCAAATTGTGCCAACACATTATCAATCCCGAGTTCCGAATCTATGATAGCTCAAGCTTCTTTTCACTCCCGAAGAAGCCTAAATTTAAGACCTCCCCTCTACTTCGCATTTGGACGTCTCAAATGACAATAAATAAACATTTGATATATTCTACTGGAGCTGTCTGACACGTCTGAATACCTTAAAAACACCTATCTCACAAGCAGTCCCATAGGATAGTCTAGCATGGGTCAGACCACTTCTGTTCAGAGTAACGCGAATTCAGGCTATACTAATGAAAAAGACGTGTTGATAAGTTTTGACAAAAGGGCCGTCAAATCTCTGACTGCACCAGAACTCACCTCGTTTAAAGCCAATATATGCGGCAGATCTCTGGAAGATACAGTCACAACCGAAGAATTGAAAGCTCTGCTACGCCTCCCCGATATCAACGACAAATTGAGTTGTCTGCTGGCCAGTTTTTTCCAGACGTTGTCAAACTTCCCGTTGATTAAAGACTGTTACGAGAACATAACGTACGTCGGAGTTTTGAAAAGCTGTTTGCTGATCAACAGACAAAGGTGCTTGAAATACGTTCATGATAAATTTTACGATCACAAAAAACTTGTATTTATCGCACTGGCGCTCAATAAGAATGTGAAAGAACTGTCAGCTACCCCAAATTCAGTCGAATCTCTCGATGTGTCAAACATCGTTTCTAACTTTAACAACGTTTCGATGGATGAGCTTACAGTACCTGCGGACGCAATGCTAGAATTTGTTACGTTGATGCTGCGAATATCGATGCATACCACAACCACAAACTCCAAGCTTGGAACCTCGCTCTCGAAGAGCTGGGATTCTTTCAAAATATTTGCATTGAACATTGTAAGGACTATGAATCCTTGCATTGTAACCTCACAAGATACCCTGAAAAATGTTATTACGTATACAAGTTTTAGCGAAACGCTGTCGTTAGCATGTCCGAGCTTGCTCCTTCCTCTGGAGAGGTTGGTGGAGCACATTCTGTTTTTGGAAAGAGATCTGGTCAATCCACACGCATTGAGTTTACCAAAATTGGAATCGAAGCTGGCAACCGAACCACTGCTTTCGCAGCTTGCCACTATTTGGCCGCGCGAGCTGGTGTTCTCAAAACTTCAGAAACTATATGTAGGTCGGGACAGCGGTTTTTCCATGCGTTCTTTCCAAGCAAAAGTTTTCAAATGGATGGCCCCCTCCATGATGCTGGTAAATGGGATAAGAATACCAGACGACGAGGAGTACGTGAGGTCCAAAAATCACCGATACCAGACCTTCTTGAATGAATATCCACGTCTCAAAGACGAAGATCAAGAGACATTGCCCCCATTCACAGGTAAAAAAAAGCTCACTTTCGCCGTTTATGTCAACGAACCTTGGAAGATTACCAATGCTGAGCTGTTTGGCGATACCAAAACGACCATAATACAATTGTCTCCTATTCAAGAGGTCTACAAAGCCGCAACACCGGGCAATGTTTGCTTCAACACTCTAGGCGGTGGAATCGGCATAGGCAGCTCCCTGCCGGTTTTGAAGAACTCTAGCAGACGGTACGTCCCAGGCAACGTTTCCTTAACTATCGATCCGAACCTAGAATTTGGCGCGTTTAGAAACGTTGGCCGTGGCGGGAGCATCAACCCTGGCTCAATGACGACTGGCTGTAGCGAGCACAAGTTCCTCATACAGGACATTGAAGTTTGGGGATGCGGAGGAGAAAAGGAACTAGAAGAGCAATTGAAGAACTGGGAGTGGGAAGAAGCAGAGGCACAGAGGAGGCAACGAATCAACCTAAAAAGCATCAATGATGATAGGGCATTATTGGAACTAGCAGGACTGGTGGGACAAAATCAAAGCGGTGGCTCGATGTGAAGAAACATTGATTAAATTCTCTGGTAGTCTAAGCATAATAATTTACAGGCTTTGCAAGCTCTTCATTTCTTGGACTTGGTCTTTTTTACTAGTCTCTTTTTAACGTGCTTTTTCACCTTGGTTTTCCTCTTCTCGCGTTTTGCATCTTTAGCCTCGTCCTTGCGTTGCTTCTTCATATCCTTGTCTTCATGCTTTTTATGCTTATTATCCTTGGTTTTCTCGACATAGTCGCTATCCGATCCTTCTTCATCTTCATCCTCATCAGAAGCACGAATACTATCGTCTCCGTCGCTTTCGCTTTCGCTCCCACTTCCGTCGTCAGAGTCGTCTTCATCTTCACTGGAAGATGAAAGCTCAAACTGTTCCGAGGCCGTAAAGTTCTTTGCGTTTTTCTTGTTGTCATTTGCTATAAGACTCTTCAAGAGATCGAATTTGCCCATGGTAAATCGATCAAAGTCTCTTTCTTCCAGACCGCCTAGATTTCTCACCAGATGTAATGACCTGAAGACCTCATCTTCTGCCTCGTCCTCAGGTGTGCTTTTAACGGGTAAATTCTTCGCAATGTACTCTACAAGATCAGTGGAAGAACTGTAATCCCCGGCAAACTTCTCTAGTGTCTCAGAAATAACAAATTGGAATATAACCCTTTCGGAGAAGATGTCGATGGACATGCGTTCGAAGAAGCCGTTGACGTTTTTGATATCCATTCTGAGGAAATCCAAACTCATTGGATGCTCGGGCTGCACGCTTTGAGAAACATCGATGATGTATAGTTTATTCTCGTGGATGAGCGCGTTGTACTCCGACAAGTCTGCATGCACAAGCTGGCATTTTTGGTACAGCAGTCGCATGTAGGCCACCATGGTGAAGTAGTAGGATGAGATTTCTGCAGCATCCTTGAAAGGGTAATCTTTCAGGCGTGGCGACGCAAATCCGTCGCCTCTGTTCAAGAACTCCATGACCAAAACGTTCGACCTCACCTCCACGGGTTCTGGCGTAGGGACGACTTTGCTTTGGTAGATTCTTTTAAGATTGCGAAACTCTTTCTCGGCCCACACTTTGATCATTTTGCGCGGGTTGTGTTGTGACCTGGAGTTTCTGAACCGAAATTCGCCGTCCACGTAACGTTCACGGTCCTTGAACACCAAAATCGAGGTTTTGAAGATTTTGATAGCCAGTTCGCGACGCTCTGTCTCGCCATTGGGGCCCGTTCCCGAAAACGCATGGTATACGTTAGCTTCTTTCCCGGTACTGAGACACCCGTTGAACTCAGAAATCACTCCACGCGTGGTCAGAGCCTTCAAAAATCGCATGGTCCGCGGGTCAAGCACATTCTCCACCGTGGCCCTGTTAGCCTTGTCTTTTGTAGTCTTTTTCGTCTTACCTCCGGACAGCTCGTCTGTCTTGATGTTTTGCGCATGTTTGTCCATGACCTGGGTGTTGATATGGTCCCTATGGATATCATTCTGATCGCACAGATCGAGGCTTTCCATGTGGCTACTCAGTCCCATACTAGCTAGTTCTGTTGAGATGATATAGGCACGATGAGCTTCGATTTCTATACCATTAACCAACTTTCTTGAGTTTAACATATTATATATATATGTGCTGAAAAAATGCAAATCATATAATACAGAAGTAAACCTTCAACCGCTGAGCTCAATCTTTTGAAATCAACCAAAGTTGTACAATTACCGGGCCATTTGAAGCTTTAAGGACTTGAAAACCTGAAGACTTGAAGATCTCTCAAACATTAGTATAAAAAGCCATGATACATCTTCCTAAGGTATGTTAAAGTAGTATATAGCGTTGCGACATTCATTCTTAAGTGTGGGTTCAAAAAATCTGTCCTTTCAAGGATCGAAGGCCAGCTTAAAGACATGAATCGCTCTTCAGGAGATCAGGATTTTAACCAAAAGTGTGTTCTGAATAGTCATTTTTAGGCGTTTTCCCGCTATATATGGGTGTCGAGATCGCGTTGGGCATCACCATTTTAAACAAATGCAGTGGAGCGTACGGGATCTTGGGCTTGTTGACAGGCCACGGTCTCGACGTCATGCAGTGGTTGCTGTATGTATCGTCCATTTTGGCCCTGGGGGTGTACTCCCAGGCTCTGAAACAGGTGTATTCGCCGCAATTGCTCATGTTCTCGCTCGCTGTGGTGGTGTACAGCGTTGACACGGTACTGACGTGCTTTTTCACTGTGTGGTTCAGTGGACAATGGTTTTCCAGCAAACACAGCGAGTTCACAGACCCAAACTCGCAAACACACCAGTCGGACACCTCCGCTTCGCAGCTCAACACGCGAGGCAACACGCAGAAGTCCCAGAGTGCCTCGCAAAGTGCCGAGTTTTTCTTCACCATACTGATAACAGTACTGGCACTAGCGTCCCGATTCTACTTCAACTCCATTCTGATGGCCTTCGTTCAAAGACTCCTACGTCATCCTAAATACATCGTCGACATTGACGATATCGAGCAAGACTTGAAGAACAAAAACTGGTTTGCCAGATGTTGGATTAAGGCCCAGCATATCAGCTACAAGTGGTGCCGTCAAAACCTCGCTTGAGTTAGCGAGCGAGCAGATGCGGCTCCTTCGCTAGCAACTCTCTTTTTATGACTTTCATTTCAAGAGAGCTGTCAAAAACCTGCTGTCAAAAACCTGAACAGTGTTTGCTACAGAAGTTAAGAATTTAAAAGGGGAGAGTATAAGAAGACAAAAGTTCACCGTTCCAGCACCATTCTTTCAAGATAAGTTCCGAATACGTTGAAAAATCACCATAATGTCTGCCGTCTTGAAGACTTGCACTTTTACGGCCACACTCAACACTGGAGCCAAAATGCCTGCAATAGGCCTTGGAACCTGGCGCTCGACCAAAGACAATGGTTACAATGCTGTTCGGAAGGCTATTGATGCGGGGTACCGCCACATCGATTCGGCTGCGGTGTGTATGAACGAGCCGGTCATTGGTAAAGCTATTCGAGACTCTGGGATCCCCAGAGACCAGCTTTTCGTCAGCACCAAACTTTGGAGCACTCAGCACCGCAATCCTGCCCAAGCAATTAAACATTCGCTGGACAGAATGGGACTCGATTATGTCGACCTATACATGATGCACTGGCCTCTGGCGTTCAAGACTGATTTGCTCAAAACGAAAAACTACTTGATTATACCCACGAAAGCTGACAAAACTCCGGACGTCGACACCGAATGGAGCCATGTCAACACTTGGGAGCTGATGCAGGATCTCCCCTCACAAGGCACTGCTAAAGCGATTGGTGTAGCCAATTGTTCCATAAGGCACTTACAGCAAATCTTAGACTCCCCTGGAAACAAAATCGTCCCCGCAACGAATCAAGTCGAAGCGCATCCTTTTCTACCGCAAAACGAAATGCTCGCATTTTGTCGTCACAAGGGCATTGTAATGGAAGCGTACTCGCCTCTGGGTTCGGATGGGGCTCCATTTGTTAAGGAACCTGTCATGAGAGAAATTGCCAAACGCTATCATGTGGAACCAGCTCAACTACTCATCAACTGGGGGTTGAAAAGGGGCTGCGTAGTTCTGCCAAAATCTGTAACCCCAGAAAGAATCGTCTCCAACTTGCAAACTTTTGAGCTCTCAGATGAGGACTTCACAAGAATAAACGATCTCGCCCCAGAACGGGGTTCAAAGAGAACGCACAACCCACCCTGGTTTTCTTTCGAATGAATTGAAAAGTATGATGTACGATAGCTAGTTTATTGAATGGTCGTGTTCCATTGTCTTTAATAATTAACGCTCAAGTTGTAGGGCCGGGCAGGTCATCTTCTTCTTGAGAGGAATTGAAATCTAGGTTCGTCATCACTGTCGTCATTATCGTCATCGTTTTTTCGACTCTTGTGAGACTTTACTGGAATAGAGGTAGGTTTCGATGTAATGAGACGCGAATCTTCTCTTGCAGAATTTTTGTCAGAAACACCAGTGTCAGGAAGTTGTTGTGAATCGTCCTCATCAACAACAAAAAGTTCTTGATTGTTTCGCGGGCGTGAATTGTCGTTGGCGAAGTGGCTTGCTTGTGAGTTTTGGCGCTGGCTCGTGAATTCGAATATCGGCTCATCATCTTCAACCCTCACCCCAAGATCTATCCCGTCTTCCGCCACCGAACGCATATCACTGGCTTCCCCAAGTTCAGGCACCATATCATCCACTGGTGGAGAAGCTCTCCTAGGATTGTATGGTTGCATGGGGACGTAATCTCGTGTAATTAAACAAGCCTTATTACGAATTGCGTCACTAGCTGGATCAGGACTGGATCTTGCATACTGTGAGGGCCATATTTTTACAAATTTCTTGAAATCCTTTCTGCCACTCCACAGCTCATTATTGTTTGTAACTGGGGTGCCTTGGATGCTGTTTCTTGGTCTCAGCAGATTTTTGGCTTCCACAATGGCCAGGTTGTCCAGCTGCATAATTGCCTCCTCAGTGAGTTCTTCACCTTGAACGTCAGCCATCTTCTCCCTCAGCCTGTCTACCTCATGCGATTTTGCTTCTTGGATAGCACGAACAAATGACACTGATCGCTTATCACTTCTCAAGGTATTATTTGGGGCTTCAAAGGTGTCTTTACCGCCTGCGTCTGCCGATGTCACAATAGCTGGAATAGCTTTTGGTAATTCCGATATCTGCTGAACGTTCTCATTTGCGTGTATGGCTTCTTGAGCTGCCTGTTTAGAAGCAACATACTCGGAGTTCTTTAAATCGCTTATTCTGGGACGTTTAGCATCAGCGCTTCCTTCGTGCTGCTCGGAAGGCTTTTCATGAGCTCTCTTAGTAGTAGGCGTATCTTCAGTTTTACGCGAGGAGGATGGTAAATCTTCGACCATGCACTGGGGCTCCAGACGAGGCTTCTTAGACAATGGTATTTCCTCTGAGTTTGAAGATACAGGTGGCTCCGTCACGATTCTCGGTTTGTTAGAATTAGAGTCTTCGACTGTCGATTTAACCTCTTGTGACGCAATTGAGCCACCACCGAAGAATGTTAAGCTGTTAAGCGGCTGAACACGATGACGATTGGCCCTTCGTTTTCTTGATGTAGGATTCACGGTCAGTTCGCCGGCTGCAGTGGCCGATTGAAACTGGCTGTCGAGGTTTGCAGAGCCGCTTACATCGAAAGATCCCAAACCTGAAGATGTTGAACAGATTTTTTCAACCGGGATTCGCTGGAGGAGCGATTTAATGTCGTTGTTCAACACTGCATTTACAATATCGTTCACGTCATATATCTTTAGGCCCAAACTCTTAGCTTCCACTTTCAAGTTTCTTGCCTCTTGAAGTTCATTAAGGCCCTGAAGTTCTTGCTCTGGCAATGGAGAGGTAGAGTCATTGAGGTGAACTAATGTCACAATCTTGTCAGATCGAACATGCAACTTAATGAAAGTACCAAGATTCGAGACGCCGTCGCACAGCCACAGTGTACCGTTTCCGGCATCCACAATGTGCTTAAAAATGGCAAACACCTTTCTGCTAGTGACCACGAAGTCGAGACCCTGGAAAATTGACGGTCGAAATATGTAATTCGGGAATTGAGAGTTCTGGATTTTAAGTTCACTACACTTTTCGTCGAAGTTGGTATGAACATGGTCAAACTGCTGCAAGAAGCTGTCGATAAACGTTTCACGCAGCACAGGGATGCCTGCCAGTAAAGAAAATAGGCAATTCCCATATTTGCCCGGACGCTGTTTGATGACTTGTATGCTCGTTTTGGGAGATAGCGTAGCAACAGCATCGATACCATACAGTGCTAGTCGCTGTTTGACGGTATCTACCATAGAAATATCGTGTGGAATCTTCCATAATGCACTCTCATGACTCACCGATGCCACGATGGGCGATGCTCCCATTTCGAGCATGGCTTTCGCACCAGGCGAAAATCGTGCACTGTAGCCAACTTTGACTACTTCTCCATTGAGCTTCGTTAGTTTCCCAACGTTTATCACAGTCAAGGCGTCATGACCGTCCACTTCGAGCTGGATATGGCTTCGAGATATACTCTTATCGTTTTTTATATGTAACGGGGTCTTGGTAGACCTTCCGATGTCGTAGCGCACCGCTTGTTTCAAGCAGCACGAATAATTGACCTTAGTTCCATCCGCTCCAATGCATTCAAACCTCAGAATCCACATGTATGCCTCATGCGAATGTGTTTGAGCTGCTACGAGAGATGTTACGAAAGTTAAAGCACTTTCGTTAATACGTTTGAATCAAATTGATGTTGAACTCACCCAAAGAAACTATGATATGTAAAGAGTAAAAACGTAGTTGGAATGTTAACTTTTAATTATGAATGAGAATGTATTTATGTGAATATATTCAGGTATTCTCTTCACTACCACAGTGCTGTTTCTTGAATGCCAAACCGGCTAAAATAGCGATAGAGAAACTCCAAAGGAAAATCCCGGTTTCGTCGCATCTTGAATCCTGTTGGTGATGGGAAGAGCGTAGGTTAAATCCATGTTGGCCACCGAGCTTTTGTAAAGCAGTGAGACCCCGGAGCTGGCCGCATAAGAAAACCTTGACGGTTTACCTGCGAAAACATCTCCGCCATTCAAAAAGCATTGAAGTCTCAAGGGAGAATCAGCAGGGGTGTTGGGAAGCTTGAAGGAAGAAGCCAGTTGGAGCTTGTAAAAGAAATCACCACCATATTTTCCAACTGCGTTTTTCTCAAAGCCTTTGAGGCTGTCCATGCCTCCGAGGTAAAATTTGTCTATGTGGTGAACACGACTAGGGGTTTGACCGGTTGGGATAATACCTCCACACGCAAAATCTAGCGAGTTGACTACTCTGTTCTTGAAAAAGGAGCGTTGCCCCTGCAGTGTCAGCGCAAACTTGTTGAAGTTCCCCTCGGAAGGATCGCTAGAGCCTGAATTTTTGTCCAGCTTCTGGGAGATAACGTATTCGTTGTTGATCGCCAATTTGACACCAGAGGATGGGAAGAGACCGAAAAATTTCCTGTTGTCGAACAACAAGTGCGACACCAAGCTGTTCTTGATATAAGGGCAGTCTGGACCTGTGACCGAAGTCGGATCTTTAAAATCTCTGGCAATGACGGAGAGACCGCTGTAGAAAGTTGGGACGCACTTGAACTTATTGTTGATCCAAGCCTTTTGAACACCGAGATTGACAGAAGCGTGGTTCTGAACCGTTTGGTTTTGGGGCTCCACACACGTCCGACCGCGCAGATCGACCTTTGCGTAGCTCGCATCCACTACAGCTTTGACCGAGGGATTTTGTTGCAGAGGCACCACTAGTTTTGTCTCTAGGGTGTTCTCGTCGATAGCGCCTTTAAAAGGCACAAACCTCAGCTCGTTTTGCAGCGTTAGAACCTCGGCTCTTCCAAGTGCATTTATCACCGAGTAGCGCCCTCCAAATGCAGATACCGAGTCGGTTGTCGTCGACGTCGCACTCACTTTGTTGAACTCAATTGGCGACAGCAGAATTGTGGCCGCCGTTGGGATTGGATTTTCAAGGTTGTAGTCCTTAATGGCGTCTTCAGGCAGTTTTTCGAGACGTGCAGCGGAGGTTTCTTTATCCAACGAAATTCTAACGTCTCTGAATAACCCAGTGTACACAAGTTTACGTTTGATCTCCGTAAAGTTGTTCGTTGACTGTTTAAGCGTCTGCAGAGGCTGTGAAAGCACAGGTTCAAGCACTGATTTGTAGATCGAGTCCGACAGGGGACTCAACTTGTTGTCACCATCTATAGTCACAGAAGTGATAAATAATGGCTTCAAAGCGGAGTTTTGCAACAGAGCAGCGGTAGACTCTTGATCCCGACCTTTAGCGATGTCCAAACGCTCCATTTGGTCGAAAAGCGTGTTCTGTCGAAAGGTGATGGCCTGCTAACTTGGTGTATATTTCTGAAATATGGTATTTTTCATGGGGTACCGCGTTTAGAGTGATAAAATCTTTAATATATTCAAGAGAAGGCTTATGTAATCGTCTACAGTTACAGTTTAGTACAATGCTAGTCGTTTTATGGACTTCTGACGTGGATGAAAGCCGTCAAAGTCCAACAGCAGAACGGGGTTCATTAGTTTGAAGCTCGGTGGTGAAATACTAAAAAAGAGCTTTGTTTTTGAGTGAAAATTGGTAAAACCGTCAATATTGATTTGTACGGTGCCTGAACCTGACATCTGGCGTCAGTATGTCATGGCGTCAGCAAATTAGGCTTCAGCACCCTCCATTGTAGTAGTAGTTGGCGATTTCGTAGATGCAATGATTATTTCAGTCGATGTTGCGGCGAGCTAGGACCCGTATTTGACTCAGCGTCAAAAATTACATCGGTTTCTTTCTCTAAAGTTTCCACTGTGGCAATTGTAGAAATTAGACGCAGTATCAGAAAACCGTGTTTGGTGGCATCTTATCGAGTTTTTGTAGCATCAAGACCAAATCCTTGGTTAGCGTTATTTTGAACGACGTGGGGAGCTGAATACCTTCCGTTTCGGACGGCACATGTGGCTCAACAAGCGTCTGGATAGCTTTCATTATGTGCTGAAACCATTGGACAGAAACATTGGCGTTATAGTTGTAGTTAAGCGCCAAAAATTTCAGATTTGTATTATTGAACTTGCGATACAACTGGGTCCGCGTGTAGCGCTCAAACGACGTCAGCTGGTTATAATAAGGATCTTTGATGCCTACTAGAAGTGAAGTGCTCGGTATAAGACTTGTCTGCACCCACATGCGCAGCAGCTTTCTCCGATGGTGAGAAGTTCTGGTTTTCAAACCCGTAGAACACTTGATCTCTGTGTAAGTATTGGTCTCAGAATCTAGGGCATCCATCTCAGCTTTGAACAGAATTTCGAGGTGCGGATCTATTTGCCCACAAACGATAGAGTAAAACCCAGAACGTAGCCCCCGCGTTTTTACGTCCGTTACCAGACTCTCGAGCTCAAACCCGCTATAGCATATCTTTCGTATTCTCGAGTCTTTGGAATGAATACCCTGCGCCTCGGCACCCGCTTTCCTATCGGGAAAAAGGTAAAGATATCCATTTTGGTGGATAGCATTGAGATGAACGTCCTGGTCTGAAAAGGGCACCATGATGAGGTCTATCATATTATGCCTGGAGCATACAATGGTGAGCTTGGATTTGTCCTTTTTACGAGTCCATTGTTTAATGAATTTTTGCAAACCGCCCATATCTTCGAGCTGATCCACAGTTACTGGTGTGAATGATTCATAGTTTTCTAGCATGTTGTGACCCAAATAGTTTGAAATACTAGCTCTGTCGCCGCTTTTCACAAAATTGGAAACATCGTCTTTCAGAGTCGCAAGACCTTCGTGGCTACCAAGCTTAAATTCCCCACTGTCGATAAAATGTGTCAAAACACCCACCTCTTCGACCTGTCTGAAAAATGGCAGCGTCTGCGATAGTATTTTTGACGGGTGAGTGTGCTGAAAACGTTTGCAATTAACTTCCCATTTTGAATCGGGCTTACCAAGATCGAGCCCTCGCAATTGATGTGCTAGATCTTCAGCCATAGTTCCAAAGCACGCTCTCAGAACATACTACAAGCACTGGAGCATCGATTGTCGGTTTGCCTTCTTGACATCGATGAGACTTGGTAATTGATGATTCTGGCGCGAATACCGAGGAGGTAACCCTATACGAGAAGATACTGTACTCGCGAAATGAATTTAGAGCTTTTGAAATGATCATCGATCCAGAGTAGTTTATTCTACGGGTAGAGAATTACTATGGACCTTGGGTTACGTTGTCGAGACAATAAGCTCGCGTTCATATATTTTAGAATTGCACACTGTCCAAGTTCAAGATATTGATTCCGTACGAAAAGCTTAGAAGTTGCGAACAGTTTGGAAGGAATGTAGTTAATTCTTGGAGGTTGATATTACTGGTTCTCTCTTCTGGCTGTTGATTTCTTGTCATTTGTCATGTTTAAGTCAAATAGGCATGTGCCAATTGTGATTTTTCTACGAGACGAGGTAGTTCTAGGATAATCATCGTCAATGGTGGAAACAACCTGTGTGTTATCACGATAATGTAAATAATGCACATTTTAACGGGTTCGAATAGCATTTGCAGTGTTTTTGTCACACACGCTTCGAACTGCAGTCCTTTGGGTAAAGCTTTGAATAGACGTGTTAAATAGTCATGTGACTAAATGACAGATGACGGAAGAGTTCATAATGATTACAGAAAAGTACAATCTGGCAATGCTATTATCGTATCTCGGAGATCACATCATATTGTGCAAGTGGCTATTCAAGAAGTAAGGTCTAGAATCAAGCGAATATCCACTTGGAGTGTTTGAGGGATAATTTATACTTCAATTAAAATGCATTTTCGGTACTTTTACCTTTCGCACTACAGTGCTTTCTTTGTTAACAAACGAAAACAAACACCCACTTGATGCATAAGTGATGGCAAACAGAGCTTACATGAAACGATCAGGCACTCAAACATCAGCTATTGGAATTTGAATCAGCTAAAAAAAACTAGATTACGGCTAGGATGACAATATGGCACGCAAGAAGAGCTGGCTCAAAGCAGAATGCTTGATTTGGGTGGCGCGCTCTTTTCAACAGACAGCATAAACATACTCACAAGAACTCCCTCTGGCTAAAGTTTCCCTCTAGTATTTTACACGGGCGACAGTCTTGAGTAAAATGATCTACTTTGTTCACTTAAACGTTTTTCTGTCACTGTGAAAAAGTTCCATTTTATAGAGTAAGTTGCGATTTTAACAAAGCTGCACCTGGAAACATCGTGTCTCCAGCTCTCCATATTAGTTTGAAGCCGGTGCTATTGTAGACGTGTAAAGTTTTAAATCGGTGACGAGCTGGAGGCGTGTCATTTGGGGAATGGCGGGACTTGTTAGATATATACCCAAAGGCTCGCTGTGGCTCTGTCCGATGTTTTTAATCGGCTCAGATCTCATCACCAACTTTTATGGCGGTGACAAAGGACGGTCTACTGTTTCTCGTCGTGTAAACCGCAAAAGTAAGAAAATGCTAGCGTCACACACGCACCGGTCCCGGCGTCGGGCTCACAAAAGCGACGATCCGAATTTAAGTCATGGTAATTTACATCAAATCAGTGAATTCAACTGAGCGTTGCTATGAGCTTCCAAGCGCATATATCAAGGCCATACATCTTTACAGCAGCACTGTTTGTGACAAGATTCAGTTCTTTTTGGCCTACTACTATGGCTCTTGCGTCAGCAGGCTCCGAGCTTTTCCTGTCAAAAAAAACATTGTGGTATTTTTCACGGCAAGGCTAGTACAGAGTGCGTCATTTTAACTGTCAGTAATGCTCGCCGTTTTGTGTGAACCTCACTAGGTGTCAACATTAAGATGTTTCGGAGCTGGCGCATTGCTTGAACACTTCCCTCATGTCGAAACTCACCCATACATTCGTTGTGCATTTGATTTTTCCAGCATCGCAGCCGTTCGCGGCTGTACGTTAAAGTTTTCCATTCACTTGTATTTTATCATCGGTGCGAAGCCCTGCATTTATATTTTCCTTTCACTTGTACTTTACAATTTAAGCGGGGCGCTCCATAATTTTGTTTTCCATTCATTCGTGTTTTACAAACCATACCCATTCGCAAATGCATATTCTCACTCACTGGTGGGTTGATAATGAAATAATCATTATGTAGGATACTGTTTAATTCACTTTCATGCCCAAATAGAAACTTTATCAGACACCGTTCTAATCGAGAACAATCCCAATTCTACGACATCTTAAATACACATACCATTTACGCACTAAAATCCTCATTGTAACAGCATTTAATTGAGCGGCAACAATGAATATCAAAGTTATTGCATGAAAGAACCGCGCAGAGCATATCAATATCAAATACAGCGCATTCAATTTGAACGACAGTCCAGGGTCACCTAATTCGAACTGGATGGAAGACATGTCATTTTGTACTATTATGTCACCAGAAGGTAAAACTCGTGTAACACCTATCGGAATTCGTCAGCTTTCTTATTGATCAATGAAGTTGTGATTTTTGAGAGCTGAAGATACCTTGGTCAGAGAGTAAGTGTTGATAGATTAGTTTTTCGGAATTGTTGTGCTCGGACGTTAAGCATACGCCAAGCAGCATCCTATCCAAAGCTTAAAATCTCGATTGATAACTTCCAGATCTTGCAAAACCGTTGATCAATTTTTTCAAGGCGGGCATTCCTTATTCAAGCTGAGCCAGCGTATTTTACCTGAACATTTGGTGGTCAGTCCCGTCCACGTGACCTATATAGGATATATTGCAGGTGTCGACAGCTCTTCCGATGTTGAATCCATCTAGAAGCCACTTTACACAGCTTTACTGATTCATCCTATCACACCAATTGACAGCAAGCAATTGGTTGATATTATCAACAACTAACAGAAAGTTATTCTAATCACAACACTTCGAAGATGGTTGAATGGTGTGCTATTGTTTTTGACAAAAAAGGAAGTGACAGATCCAAATGCAGACCCCAGCATTTGGAAGGCGTTTCTGAAGGGTTCGGAAAAGGTGTTTTGAAATGTGCGGGTGCCATTTATCAAAGAGTTGGCGAGGATGGGAAACCAACCGACTTTGCTGGCTCTCACTTGCAGATCGAGGCCGAAACAAAAGAGGAAGCGCTGCAGGTTATCCACAACGATATTTTTGCCAAAGAGGATATTTGGGACCTAGAAAACATCATCATCTACCCATTTGGCTGTGCTGTCCGCGCCGCCAAATAAAATGTCTTAGGTTTTACAGTGATGTATATAGCTCGCATAACACCTCTTTATCAACATCCTCTGGGAAATTTATTGGTATGAAGGGGATGTGTATATATGTATATATATATATACTTATATATAAGTCAGGAATGCAAGGCCATCGTGCGAGTGCTGCTTAGTACGAAACGCTGATCAGATAGTCGGCCAATTGCTCGACAATCTTGGTGGCTTCGCCAGCCTGCACGCCAGCACTGTAGTGAGTCACTAGAATGGTTTGTTTGGTGCGCACACAGATGACACCTTCGGCATCGTGTCTGCCGTAAATGCTTCTGTCGTCAGCTCTGATCAGCATGAACTTCTGACCCTGTATATGCAAACCCGTGCTCTGCAACCCCGAAGGGTTCTCGAAACCTTGTGCAATCTCGGTGATTTCGTTAGCAGGCAAGTTCAGACCACCGGAAGCGGCCCACAAAGAGTCTCCTGCTCTAGAATAGATGGCTGCTTTGTCAATTTTGCCGGTGCCAAGAAGGTTGTCAGTGTACGCTTTTTTGATAAATTGTTAGTATACAAACGAATCGAAAAAGCACGTAAAAGTGCCCTTTTTTCGGTGGGAGAAAATCCCAGAAATGCCCACATACCTTGCCAAGACATTGGGTACTAATACGAATCAATTGGTTGTTAATTCTAACTTGCGACTAGTCAAGAAAGAGATATTGAACGGTAGTGTTTCCTTTGAAGTATGAATCCCTCTGATGACTGGTATGTATAATATTGATCCAGCAAACTGGCTTTTGAGCCGGGTAACGGTTCAAATTCCGAAAGATAGAAAGCTGGAATGCACGTGACTGGATTTGGTAGTTAAGTACGAAAATGTATTTTATGGTTGTGCTTACATAATCATATCGTGTAAGAAGATATATAGTACACGTGATTCACTCGTCGTCTTCGTCCAGCACGGCTATCTTGCGTCTCTTCACCGCAGCAGTGTCGGCGTCAGTGTCTCTTTCGTCGTTGTGCTCGTAGTCATTGTCGTTGCGGTATTGTGCGGCTCCGGCCTTTTTCAATTGTCTTAGACGTTCAGCCTTGCGGTCGTCCTCGTCGCTCTCATTGTCATCTTGTGCTTCTTCGTCCTCCTCCTCTTCTTCTTCCTCGTCGTCTTGGTTTTCATCCTCCTCCTCGTCGTCGTCGTCGTCCACCATGAAACCATCGTCCTCGTATTCGTCGTACTGACTACGGTCTTGTCTGGCGGAAACCGAACGCGAGGTCTTGGCCATCATACCTGTGGGTTCAGGCGAGTCCAATCCTTCGCGCTCTTGCTGTTCACGTAGTTGTCGTTTCCTTCTTTCGCGCATGATTTGACCCTGTTTCTTCTCCAACTCCTTCTGTTCCAGTTCTGGGTCCACACGTAGAATATATGTATTAGGGCCCTGGTGTTCACGCTTTTCTTTGCGAGCCACGGCCTTCGTCAGACGCTGATGAGTCTTTGACGACGTCGATGTAGGAATGAAAATCATGGTCTTGGCAATGTCACCGCCCTTCACACATTGAATTAGTTCTTGTTGTTCGTGCGATACAGCCAGGTATGTGTTGCTGGTGTCGTTTATTAGTACATCGGTGTATTCGTCGCCCAACCGCAGCGAGTACGAGCCGTCCGACCATTGTACGATTTGCGAATTCGACTCCTTGAACACATGCTGATTGTTATCCCGGGAGTACCGCCAACGCACTGTGTTTTCGTCTATAAGTCTGTCGTCGGTTTGATCTTCGCGGGATGCCAATTGGGCCGCTCGATGTTCCACTTTCTCCTGGAAAGCAGGTGGGTCGAACGGTATAGGGTCTATGGTTAGAAATTCGGGGATTTTGGCATAAAATAGACCCTTCCCATTCTCTGTAGGGGCTGTAGAGTACGGAACAATGTGCTTTACAACGTCCACGTCTGCTTCTCTGAACTCCCGCTGGGACCCTTCCTCATCAGAATCTCCAGTCGCCCCGCCGTAAAATTTTCGATTGTACATCTCTTGTTCGTTATCTTCGTCGTTAACATGGTTTCCAACACCTTCTTGGTCGCTTACTGCTGCTTTTTCTTCGGTTTCACTGTCCGAGTTCTTCTCACTCTCATCACCGAATAAATCCTCCATTTCTTCGCCAACAACGGCTGGTTTTAGTTCGAGTTTGGACTCCTGAGTAACGTATTCATTTGGTGAAGGCTGGGAGGCTTCATCAGGGCTGGACATAGCTGAGTAGATGGCTTTCTCAGCTTGTTTTTATTGTTGATGCGATTGAATCTACAATTGTTAACTTTTCGACATCAATTTTCAATTATTAGACAGCAAGGTCAGTTTCGCCAAAAATGACAATATGGTCTTGTAAGAAGGCGAAACCTGGCATCACCACTGAAATGTATTTAAAGCGGTGTTTAAATGCTAAAATATCACGCTGCTTAATTCAATTGTTCCACCTATTTGATTTTTCTCTGAAAGTTTCGCCTCTAAATTTTGTTTACAATGAATCCTTTGTGTAGGCGACCTTGGCTCAAAATTGCAGTGCTTCTGTGCGTCGTCGGAATCATATTGGAATGCAAATTCCTCCGGCGTATAGTTCACTTTGCAAACAGAAAGATATTATCCCAAACTTATAATTCTCATCTAAGAAGCCCCTATATGCTTAGCATTCAGACGGACAAAGCCCACGAATTGGAGCTGAGCGATCAAGGTTATGTTGCAGCAGTTTATTACTCAAATTGGTCGCCATATCCACCTAGAAACCATTTCCCGCATGAAATTGACTTCCGACAAATAACGCATGTTTTTTACTCGTTCTTCTTGGTGGATCCCAAGTCAGGACAGTGTAAATCCAGCGATGAATATTCGGACTCACAATTGGATGTTTATAAGCAAATGACACACTCTTTCCACAAACTTGATTTTGCAAAAACTTTCGATCGCGCTAACGACTCAAATTCGAGCTCCAGTGCTCAATTGCCGCAAGGGTGTATTGGGGAACTTTTTTATTTGAAGTACACCCACTTTCTACCCTCTCAGGGCGGTCCTGCCGGAGTAAACAATTTTAAAACTGTAATGTCAGTTGGTGGCTGGTCCAACCGCGACGCTTTTGAAGCGCTAGTAAAGGATTCGGCGAAATTAAATGTGTTTGTTGAGAGCTGTGTCGACAACATGTTCAAGTACGGTTTCGACGGCATCGACATTGATTGGGAATTTCCTAAAAACGATTCGCGAGAGCCTGTGGTGTTTTTGGAAATGATGAAAGCGTTGCGGTCTAAGCTCCTCGAGCTTGAAGACGCTATATTTGGATCTGCGCCTCACTCTCAGCATTTTTTGTTGACTGCTGCAATCTCGGGCGACACCGCAGTCCTCGAATACCTCCCGCTGGCAGAAGCTAATCAGTACCTGGATTACTTCAATTTGATGGCGTATGACTTCAGTGGGGGCTGGTCAGAGCGGACTTCGTACCAGAGTAACCTGTACGATGCTTCTTCACACAAAAAGCCAAGCACAGACAGCGGCGTCAGTGCCGACAAAACGGTTCAGTCCCTAATACATCAATACAAAGTTCCCGCTAACAAAATTGTGCTAGGCATGCCAGCTTACGGTCGCGGGTTCAGAAAGGTTTCTATTCGCAATCAGAGTAACCACGTCGCTATAAACAGGAAATTTCATGGCGTACAGGGAACGTCCAAAGGAGAGAAAGGCATGTCTCTTTATAAATCACTGCCAGCAAAGGGCAATCAAGAATTTTTCGATAGCGACGCAGTTTCTGCCTTCTGCATGAAGCCATGGTCCTCTAGATCATCCACCGATCTTACAGTCTACGACAATCCAGCATCGATGCTGATAAAGGCTCAGTATGTCAGACAGAATGAGCTGGCAGGCGGATTCTGGTGGGATTCGTGCGGCGAAGACTACATCAATGCTGGGCGATCGCTAACGAGAGCTTTCACTCAAGAGCTGAAGAAAATTAAAAAGACGGACCCAACCATCTACCGCCTGCCCCAAGTGGCCCGCTACTACAAGATCAAATATGATCATGGATTTTTGACACCAATCTTTTCGGTTTAGCCAATTGTTAACAGAGTGATTTTTCCGTTCACAAACGGGATTAAGTACATATTTTATGCTCTCTTCGGTCCTTCTGACGTATACAGGTTCTCAATTTACAGCAAAGTATCCATTCTAGAGAAGACTTCAAAAACGCCTGAAACCACCTCGAGTTGTAGCACTGCATCAGGGAATTCTGCTACTTCCTCTTGAGCGTTGCTGTTAAGGTTGACGGCAATACCTGTCTCGGTTTGCTTGTCGAGAGCAAAAGGGAACTGGGAAAACTGAGCCAAAATTTCGTCGGCACGAATGAAAGCGCGATCTCTCTTTTCGTAGTCAAGGCTAGAAAGCACATTTTCCAAAACATTAGCTCCGTAGGCTCCGCAGATCAATGCCAAAGTTCTTATAAGCTTGAAAGACACCGATTCGGTAAAATAGTCGTTGAAACTGAGCTGCATGTTTCTCGATACCAAAACCGAGAGTATTCTGCGCTTGATAGACTCTTTGCAGCTATTATCTACCACTGGATGTGTGGGCATATCAAATAGAAAAAAATTCTTCATTTCCGTTCTTAGGACACCCTTGTCGACAAGACCCTTGGCTAGACGCTCACGCACTTGCTTGAGCTGATAGCTAATTTTCATGAAATTCCATGTTTCGCCGCTAAGTAGATCGATCCAGTTGGCTATGGTGAGTGGCTCATCTTTTTTCATGAGATTCAAGGCCTCGTCCAGCAAAACTTCCCCAGTTTTGGTGCCATTGATGACCTCCACCAGTCTTTCAGAAATGTCAAACTGTTTTCTCGCAGGATCGTTGACGATCTGAATTTTACCTCTGAGCGCCAGTTCGATAAGAATGCAACCACGTAGCGCATACGAAATGTTGTCGTTCCAAAACGAAAGGTAGCCTTCCTTGTCTTTGAGTCCCATCAAGAGTACTTCCTCCATTAACGTCAGCTTTGGAATAGTAACGTTGTTTTTCAGCATCACTTCCTCAGGATCGTAAGCTACCCTTCTGTTTCCGCCTTCCTCTTCCTCTACAGAGCCAGTATTACTATTCTGGGCATCGATGCTAACATCTGGCGAGTAGTTCGAGTCGGATCTATTAACACGTCGACGTTGGAGTCCCGACATACCCGTTTTTTGAAGCTCCTACAAAGGCACTTTGAATGTTGTAACTACCAATTGTAGCTTAAAAAGAGGCAGTAAAAAACAAGCCGTTAGGACCTTTTGAAGCACAGATCTCGATAGTATTATCTTAGTCCAAGACACGATCGTCTAATTGGGCTTCTGAACTGATATAAGGTCCTTTAGCTGCGGTTTCGATACCCTACTTAAACTACTTGACGTATTATGGTGTACTTTTTCAGTTAGATACTTGATGTGAGTTCGTGCAAGAAGATGATTTAGAATCAAGATCTTAGAATAACACCAAAATGCCACGGTAAATGGTCCTTAGATGGTCAACTTGGCTCGTTCACTATCCTTTTCAGAGGCTCTACTATGCCTTCTTGACCTTGTTTGACGTATACCAAAAAGTACGGCGTCGCGGTGTTTCCAACGGCAAAATTGAACACTTCGCTTTCAGGCGCCTCAGTAACGGTTTCGTCGTTATATTTGCGCCATATCCCGTTACGCGACCATTCTTTGATGTAGATCCAATAATGTCCATAGCTGGCCTCTCCCCGGTGGATGAAAACGGCAAAAAGCGAGTATTCGTGGCTTTGGAATTCATCAAAATGGTCACTTAGCTTTTTATCCAGAATATTGATCCGATGGTATATCTCTGCCAGCTCATTGTCAATCTTCAAAATAAGCGAGTCAATAGTCCTAATAGACTGGTCTTTGTTTTCAAGCTCGATGCTATGCTGTTGCAAAACATTCGACTGTAAAAACCTCTTGGTCTCAAGCAGCGAAGTTTTGAAACTTAGTCCGCTGCCATTCTTGTCCAAAAGTTCGCGTTGCCTTTGCTTCAGAGCTCTCAGCTCTTCTTTGAGAATGGCGGCCTCCTCCTTTTTCTTCAGCAAACGCGTATCTTGCGTGTCCATGTACCGATCCATGAATATCGTCTTTTTGAATGGCAGGGGCTCGATGGACTTGAACGGCATGAACTTTTCGCGGTCATAGTATACTCGTTGAATCTGAAGTTGCAATACGGTTGGGAGGTCTGTCACCGCTACACTTCTTTTGACGTGTCCATCGTCCAGTTGTAGCATGTCGTCCTTGAAATATTGATCTAGAGCGTCGTAAACGTCTTTTGGTTGGTCCACTACGTTTATCAATAGCGAGACAAAGCGTTCAATCTTAGTCCTGACTTTATTGGCATCATTCAAGGGAACTAAGTCCTGTTTCAACTTACCGTAAAATAGATCTTTGATAAGATCATGCTGCTCACCGTCTTCGTCGAGGTTGCTGGGCTCGGATGCGCTTTCCATTTGAAATAACACATTTCCAATACATTCGGTCACATCCTGCTGTCGTCCCATTTCTAGTGCGTTTTCGAGTTGATCTGCACTGATATTAGCAACCCTGGTGGAGGATACTATTGGCTCTATTGTTTTGAGATCTCCGAGTAAAGAATCACTATCAACAGCATTAGCTTCCACTTCGCTTTCAGGAGGAGTTGACTTGAGCATATTGACATCTTCACTGCTGTCATTGGTGAGGTCAATGACGGCAATATTAGTTGCCTTTGGAACGATCTTTTCTGGTGGGGTCTCTTCAAACTCCACTTCAATGTTACTTGGCGCAAACGCAAGGTATGCGAGCTCTTTTGTTGGCGTCACATATTTATTGCTAGAATGCACCATACTGGAAAATAGATCACGTAGTTGATAAACGAACTGAACTGACCTCTCAACCTCGAGGTCGCTGACCTCCCGTCCTCCGATTCTCCTTTTTCCACTCAGATGACCAAGTGACAGCTGGAACTCGCTCAAAGTTCTCTGATAATTAATAACAGCATCCCGCAATGGCGAAATGCAGAAATAGTATTGGAGCAAAGAGTTTAAATAACAGGTGTTTCCGATATTGTTCAAGCCAGTGGGCCAATTTCCTGCTGGAAGACATCTGACATCTAGTGTGCCCGTTTCCAAATACCTTTCTATTAGCAATGACTTGCGCTCTTGACCAATTTTGGATAAAGCAGCTGCAGACTGTAAAAATAAATCCGGCGATATAACTGGATCTTGCTTCCATTTTCTCTGAAAAACCTCCAAAACGACCTCGTCAGAAGCATTTTCGTTTAGCTGTAGTGTTGCTAAAGCCCCTTGATAAGTTAGCCTATCAACAGAATAAAAGTCATTGAATTGAGGACATTGTTCAATAAGGAACTTGAAAAGTGCCATATTTCTCTTGCCTACCGCCAGGGTGTAGAGAGCTCTGTCACAGTCTATTTTGAGACCGGGGGAGTCCGCCACTTTTATTGTGTATGCAGTCTGAACAACATCCACGTCAACAGACTCATCTATCTCGAGCATACGATATGCTTGATGTACGCTTTCATACGGCTCGTGAGTGGAGTAAAAGCTTAACGCTTCGCTATTTTTGGCTTTGGCTATCAGCTTTAATGCATTTCTTAGATTGGTGTGTTTTTGGGAACTAGCCTGATAGGTCTCTTTCCGGTAGATTCCTAGCAACAATTCGTCGTCAATAGAAGCTAAATCGGCATTTGTCGGTTCGATACCGAAAAGTAGAAGAGCCGAGTCCAGACTCTCCTTGCCGACAGCGTCTTGCTTACGAGCATAAGTTATTAGCTGATAGCTGCTCTTGACGTTTGCAACATATGTGAGCGCGTCGTAGTAGAGACCTGCATTGGCTGGATCTAACCGAATTTGGGATTCATAGTTCTTAATCACATCTTTATCATTGTAATAGTGGCATACCGAAAGAATTAACAAATTGAAGTTTCCATCGAGTTCTTGATTCCATTTATCTGTTATACTTCTAGTTTCGCCCAAAGCATGGAAGAAAAAGGAGGGAGAATAGCTTATCTGGTATAGCTGGAAAGACCGAACCCTCATGTCTTGATTAACATTGTCTTTAGCCATGATAGCAGATGACAATTTACCCAGAAACACCAGTTCGAGACATTTGCGAACGTACGATTCCCGAAGCTTCCTCACATCGAAGTCTGCGACGTAATTGGTCAAATCAGGCGGCTGAAATTCCATGGCAGTAATCGAATCTGATTCCTTATCATTCCCCTGAGCTTTGCATAATTGAAAACGAAATCTATCAGTCAACCAATTGGGGTCTAACTGAGAATTCAAAAACTTGTTATCAGCAGATATGGTCTTCAGGACATCTTGAGGGCTCTGTCTATTCAGTGGGCCTTTGAAGATTTTGAGAAGTGTACTGAAACATTCAGCTTGGGAAGGAATGCTGCTGGAGTCAAGGTCCGGATATTTTTCACAGGCTGCCGTGTATCGTTGATGGATGCTTTCGGGGCTGAATGCTTCCAGATCTGCTTCGCTGAACTCAGGCTTGAAGATCTCTATGCAAACTAATTTGTTTGTGTCGTTGGTAACATACTTGACGGATTCAACGAGTTGCGGGTCTGAAGGGTCTGCTAACATTAGATCTTGTTCGTCAGCAGGATGCAATGAGGAAAGTAGATGAAAATGCCGAACACCTACTTGCCTACGCAAGCGTTCCAAATGTAGCCTAGTCTTGACTGTTATTTTCAGATGGAAAAGAGAAGCCCGACCCACCTCCTGGGGACTGTTGGGGACAATTGAGGGGTCGTTCAGAACAGCCATGTGGACTGTAATTTTGTTCAATTGAGAACAGGTTCTGGATTCGTACTCGTAACGGGTCTTCAAGGCCACCTGATCGAGCAAGTAGCCAATGCTGAGCGGATCGTGGATTCTATTGCGAGCGTACTTAAGAATGGGCAGTTTTAACACCCCATTGTGAAGCTCAGAACTCGCTATATGTAGATCTGTGGATGTTCTGAATTTCATTTCGAGTTTGGCATCTTCCAAAATCCTTTCTGCAGTTTTGAAAGGATACAATTCGCCTGCATTGGGATACAGAAGTGTCTTGCCGTCGTCGTGATGTTGGTAGTCACTGGTCAGCACAGAATCATTTTCACTCTGCGAATTCGCAATATGCAAATTGGACGGCTCGTCAGTCTGAATTGCAGACGTCGGGGACTCCTCCAAATCTCGGAACATGATGTTTTTGGGGTCCTGAAGTGAGCTCTCGAGGATTTAAGGTATATACATGTGTGATCTTGAAATAGATCTGATGGGAAGGGCCAATTTAATATTTCGTATAAGGGTATTAAATGAAGCTGTTGAGCAAGTATCAGGAAGGATACAATCAAGGAAGAGGAGTTCAGCTCATTGCCTTGTGAAGTATTGAAGCTTTTGGTTTTTAGAAAATTCCAGTTTGGGTGTTGTTGTTCGTTTTTAGATGCCTGGAAAATCGTCTTTTGCGGGCTCTTTAGAGTTTAGAGAGAGCATGTTTGGGATAGTTTCATTTTAACAGCTGTGTGTATAAAAACGAGTAGTTCTTCAATCTTGTGTGCTGTGGTATCGAGTGCAACTGTCTGTATGATGTTGTTAGCATGGCATGATTGGCAAGCTCTGATGGATTTTTGGAATAATTGGAAGAAAGACAGAATAATACAAAGTGATAAAGAATTGTGAAGAACGGGCCGCGACCAAGTGACAAAGACATGATTGCATCAAAGCTCTGCTAGATGGTGAGCACATTTGGGGTGATTTTGATGCCTTAGATGAGAGTCTTCAAGGAAAGTTCCAGCTTTTTAGACCTCACTAGAATCACCACGAAGTTTTGAAAAACTGTAATGCTGGGCGGACACTTAAAGCTAGCCGCATGTTTCTAGTAATGTATTTAAAGTCTCATGGTAATACATGCGCCGAGCCGCATGGAAGCAAGCTTTATTGTCGACCCAATGCGATTTTTGAAAGTAAAATGGGTGGTCTATTTTTCGCTTCTTTAATGATCTGCTCGGAGATGACGCGCGTGATATGCATAAAAATACTTTGTTAATACTTCTTCAGTGTCAATACACATCCAAAGGTTTTCTCAGTACTCAAAATGTCTCACAGTTTTCAAGAGCCGCGCTTCAAGAGTAAATTAAGCCCAAGAGTAATACAAGCCATGTTTTGTGACTTGAAAATTCAAAGTACCATGTCGCTTACTTGGGATATTAAAAGGTGAATGCGTGTGACAGTAATTATTTGCAGTAAATGTTGCTCCTCTTCAAATTGTAGTTTCCTGATCAGCACACCACATTTTGGCCCACGTTTGAACTGTTTAACATATGTTTTTCTAGCACGATCATTTTCCAGGAATATTGGGACATTCTAAGATCAGATTTGTGCATTGAAAGTCCGAGTACATGAATGACACTTCAATGTGCATTAATCTCTTTTAGGTAGGTCTGAAGTCAGGAATTCAGTGAAATGTAGCTTTTGCTCATGAACTAATTGTCAAATTTCGATTTTCCAAAGATCCCAAATTTTCTCTTGACAAATGCACATACTAACTCATACGTTGTCATCATGTTGTATACCTTTTGAGCCCTCTCTCAAAGCGCCTCTTGGCCCTTTACTTTGCTCTGCTCTGCTCTGCTTTCCCACACTGATACTGTCATTTGATCACGTGACCTGTCATCAATTCAACATGCCAACAGTCTCCGCACCCATACGAACATATCGGCATCTTGCACCAAAATTCTACCGAGGTTGAGACAGCTGTTAGTCTCTGGCGAGGTTTGCCCTGCCTCATAGCAAAATAAAACCTGCCTTCTTCCAGATCATAATAAACTTAATTAATTCAAACTTTAACAGACCCAAATTCACCGATTCCGAGCGTTCCGATTGAAACACCACAATCCTGGGGCACTGACAAAGCTAATCAACACCACGATATTACCAAACGTACGCTAACCTTTCAAAAACTCCTGATTCGCAAGTTTGGAAACAACAACACCACCACGTGACAGCGATTGTCAAGGCTCAGACACTGGGGCTTTTTGTCAAGATTACCATAATGAAAGACCCTGGAGAGCAACTGACAGCTAACAGACAGATATATCAGTAAACCAAACAAGGTATAAATACCAAGCACTTTTGATTCTCGACAATCCAGTCGATGACCGCAGTGGACAAGACTTGAATTCGGCAAAAACCTGTGTTTTTAAATCTCACAAAACACATATAAAATGGGTGCAAAAACATCAAAGTTGTCAAAAGATGACCTAACAAGTCTCAGACAGTCGACTTATTTTGATCGTAGGGAGATCCAGCAATGGCACAAGGGGTTCTTGAGAGACTGTCCGTCAGGAACTCTCACCAAGGATGAGTTCACCAAGATTTACAAGCAGTTCTTCCCGTTTGGTGCGCCTGAGGAATTTGCCAATCACGTCTTCAAAGTGTTCGATAAGGACAAAAACGGCACGATCGACTTCAAAGAGTTCATTTCGGCACTAAGCACCACGTCTAGGGGCACGCTGGAGGAAAAACTTGTATGGGCGTTTCAGCTGTACGATTTGGACCACAACGGGTCGATTTCGTACGACGAAATGCTCACGATCGTGTCGAGCATATACAAGATGATCGGGTCGATGGTGAAGCTGGAGGACAATGAGGCGACGCCCGAGCTACGCGTCAAGAAGATCTTCAAGCTCATGGACAAAAACGAAGACGGTGAAATATCCCTGGAGGAGTTCCGTGAGGCGTCCAAAGTGGACCCCTCGATTGTCAGCGCTCTGAACTTGTACGACGGCTTGGTGTAGTCAGCCACGGCAGCGACCACCGCGCTCATCATTCAGAGATTTTGTCATTAGGTGTTGGATACGTTAGCGATGTAAACATAATACACACAGAAATTTGCGTTTTAATATAGCAGCGCGACAGCCATCCTATTTTCTGCTCCTTTCCCCCTCTTTCATATACGTTCTGCCGTCCACACGGCCGTTTTGCACACCAGTTTGATGCCCTCGGTCAAGACCTTGTAAGGCACGGCCTTGTGCGAGTCATGTTCCACAGCGGTATCGAGGTGCTCAAGTTCCTCGTCCCTAAACTGTTTGATGGTCGACGTGAGGTCTTTAATTTCCTGGCTCTGGCCCTGTTTGCCTGATGTCGTTTCCATTTCGTACTGGTTGTTGAGACACCGTAGCTGATCGTTGTAGTGGCCCCCGATAACCGTTTCGACGGCCTCTGTGCATGCCATCGCTGCCTCTGGAGATATGAGTGCAGTCCCACTGCCCATTGCAAAAGCGCCAAGTTTCCATAGCGGCGTGAGCAAACTTGGTCGCACCCGGCGTTGTATTTGCAGTTCGTTGAAGGTATTATGGTGATGAACTTCCTGGTCCCACATGTGTTGTAAGACTGGCTTCAAATGTGGGTATTTATTAGCCAAAACGAAGTATTGACCAGCATAAATGTAGTTTGCACCTAGTTCGCCGGCCTGGTCCACTCTGATAGCACGATCTAAGTAAGCCACTTGTGCCCGCGACAGCGCTTTGTATTTCCCATGGTCCGTTTTAAGGTTCTCGATGCTTGAAGTCTGCGCAGCTTTTTGAACGTTTTGTAAAGAAGAAAAAGACCGTCTCAGAGATTTAGCAAGTGGCCTGGAAAGCATGATGTCTCTGTGCTGGGCAAATTTTTACCACGGGGAGAGAATTGAATCAAAAATCGAAGGTGTTCTTAAACCAAACTAGTTCCTGTTCTGATGGCTCTCTAACTTAATTCTTTCATTTTAGTAGTATGTCGTTTTTGTCGAAAATGGCAGGCCATTGCCAGAGTTGATGTGGTTCTCGAATATCTTGACCATAGACCGTCCTATTATCAGGGGAATTTCTTGAGTATCTCTCGACTGAGTGACAGATTTCATTCCGTTCAAGGGATTCCGCAAATGTCTGACTTTGTTGTTTGGAATATCTTGCGTAATTATCCATTGGACTGAGAAAATGCGTTTGAAGCGAGTCTTGTCCGTCCAAAAATCTTGGTGTGCATCGCGTAGGTCACCTACCATTTCAGCTAGCCCGCAGAAACAGCCAGACCCATTCACAGAATAGAGTAAAAATATTTGGCTTCCAGCACCACGGTCACGGAATGCCTGTGATAATCGACGATTCCCCAGTTCCGTAGACGCCCAAACTCCGTTCTGGATTGAGGTTGCAATGTGCTCGGGACTGTTTGACTTGATGACGAAAAACCTGGATTCGCTAGGTACTGTGATTTGTAAATTCTGTGACAGACACGTTTGATTTTGATCACGAACGGTAGTAGTTGTTGCAACATTTCTCTGCGCAATAATGCTTGTTGCTGAGCTTACGCTTAAGTTGTCGCTATCTGCTGTGCTACCGTGTGTTTGCATGCTAGACGCACTGCCTGTTTCTAACGAAATTGAATTTGCAGTAGCACATTTTGACCGTGTTTCAGCGCCAAAAAACCTTTCCAGCTCTTTCAATGAGTCCTCAATAGTCTTAACGTGAGTTTTCCCAGCATTTTCAGGGGCACTGTTTCCGTAAAAGGTGTATTCTCTGCTGCTGCTGAACATCTTCGCGCGACACGAATAACGGAAGTATGGGACGCCAATACGAAATACCCTCTTCGCCTGTCACTATGAACTTCTCGAGGCTTCTGCTCGACACCAAATAGATCTTGGTAAATGTTTAAGATCAGTTAACTTATTTACATTTATTTACAAGTTAGATTTGAATAAGGTGTTTCAAGATTTCTATTCCATCGAGTATAAGCTGCGTCAGTAAAAAACCAATGTCCAGCAAAAAGGACCAGATATTGAAAGATGTCCAGATCGAAGGTGGTTGATCTTGGTTGTAGAAAGTGAAGGTTTCGCGTCGCGAGATCATCAACTCCGTAAATTATCGAGCTCTCCGCAAGCAATGATGCATTTAAACACGGTCTTTCATAGATTTATGCGTTTGCATAGGACCATTATTTGCACAGGAAAGACACGCGTCTCTCAAAATACGTGGTTTGGAAATTTCAACGTTTCCACCATGCGGATAGCAGATTCAGGATTATCTTTGTTAAACACAAATAGACCCTGCAATTGAGCCGTGCTGATCGAGGCGTTCAGTGCTGATGCCTTCTTGACAAACTCCTTGCAGTATTTCTCTTCGCCTGGGTAGAATTTCATAAACATCTGCCCCACCTGATAAGGAGTAGCATTTCCCACAAACACTTTGTAGTCGATCCTTCCGGGTCTCATAATGGCTGGATCCAGAAGTTCTGGATGATTGGTGGTCATAAAAGTGATGGTTTCCTCGGAGGACGCCACGCCGTCCAGTGCATTTAGCAGACCACTGAACGTCACGCCCGATTGAAAGCCCTTCTCCCCAGTTTGCGTTCTCTTGTTGAAAGCAGCATCAATATCTTCTAAGAGCAAAATGCTCCGCTCTGGAATGTTGTTCATGAGATGGTTTAAACGGTCGTCTGTCAGATTCGCTTCTGACAGATTCATAATGCAAATGTTGTAATCAAGCTCACCTGCCAGTGCTTGAATAAAACTGGTCTTGCCGCTCCCTGGCGGCCCATACAGAAGATATCCTCTCCGGTAGGGAATACCGCGCTCAAGGTACCATCTGCCGTTTTGTAGAAACTCTTTCACGTCATGTAGAATACTGTCCTTTATGCCTTTGTCGAGAATTACCGAAGGAAGCAGCCGCTTTGCCTTTGGTTGCCCAAACGGTCTCCACTCGGGGCCCCAGGATGTGAATACCACGGTTTTGCCGTCCTTAGCCTTTACTGCCAAGTTTTTGGCGTCACTGAGCAAATCCCGGAAAAGCATTCTGTCTCTATAAAGCGTCGTCAGCGTGACAGTCTCGAAGGGTGTTCCGCTGGTCATGTCTAGCATTTTGCCCGATCTCTCTCGCTTAATGAGCATGAAGGCGCCTTTGTATCTGATGAGATGGTTGCCAGGACCTGGAACCAGTGAGAATTTCGTGGACACAGATCCGTTATCGTGTTGAATGAAGTTCGTTTCCACGGAAAGGTGACGAGACGAACGATGGGGATGTTTGGCCATCCATTCCAGAAACCACAGGTAGGATTTGTCCTTGGACGGTATTTCCATGTCTACCAAAAGTTGACGGTACAGCAGACCGCTAATTCTGATAATTCCCGATCTCGCCAACGCCAGTCCAGAGCCCAGTATCATTAGCCCACCACCTGCAGCAAAATATGGGTTTCCCTGCACCACTTGGTGGAGCAAACTTGTCGCCATGCCAGACATGGACCCATCGGAATCTTTTCTCAATTTCTCGAGATCAAAAGGGGGCGGAGAGTTCCCACTTGCACCATTAGAACCGTCCATTAATTATTTGTCTGGTAGGAGGTCTCGATTCAAACGTTAAAGACTGCTTCGTTACGTGGTGCTGAATGAAGTTTGAAGCCTCTGCAGATCTTGCCAGTAAGCGCGAGATCGATTTGATATTATTTTGTTAAAGGTAATTTTTGTACGAAAAAGTCGACGATTGTTCGATGACAGAACCGCATAATCTATAGTGAGAGACCATATATTCAAGTCTAAGCTCGTCACAGTTTATTATTGGATCTTCCCACTTTGCTGCTATTTTTGTTGTTGTTGTTGTTGTTTATAGGCAGAATTTTATCGATTCTCCGGACAACACCGGTGCTTCTACGATTCATACTGTATTCTCACCTTATCGATAATTGATAATAGAATTCTTAAGTCTTGATGTCGGTAAAGCCCGGCTTTTGTGTGTATAAAGTGAGGTTTCTCGAAACTCAATCGTTTTCAAAACTTTACAAACCAGATATCAATAATCTTTTCAGTAACTTGTCGTTGCAAAGAAAATTAGTCAAAAACGGTGACCAGGAACTGCAATGAGTTGAATCCTTTCGAAATGCTCGACCATTGTCGATTACGCAGCTTTTGTTAAGTAGTCATTTCATATGTTTACATCGAGACAATCGGTCGCCAAATCACATGCGGAGTTGAGATGCCAGAGACGTTGCCACAGGGAAAACTCCGAGATTATATTGTATACTTAGAGTGCAGGTATGTGTGTATAAAGCACCATAATTCGTGATGTTATACACGCGTTGTGTCATGGTCTGTCTACCAATGACTATATTTATCACTTTGTATTTAGTAGTCATTTGTCATTTGTCACTATGTTACATGACGGTGAGCTTGGCGTGCTTTAGCACAAATGCTCTTAGTGGAGAAACAAGGATGTCGTGACAAGTTGACGCTTTTAATTGCGTGAAAGATAAAAGATCGTGATCTTGTCGTGCCTTTCGGTAGCGTTGATGTGCCACAATATTTTATATTTCTGTCGTCAGTAACTGTTCAGCTATGCTGCCAGGTCCCTATTTATTTAAAAAAGATCACTAAAAATTGCGTTATGATACTAGTTGCTTGCAGAGTCTACGTTGTGCAAATTATCGACTGAAAATTCTCTTATATTTCGCAATCGAGAATTTTAGAGTGCTGCCAATTTAGCTAAAGCCCTCTTTCGTCGATTTGAAGTACAAATATATATATTACTTGCCACTAATAGCTGAGACTCTTATTTGAATAATTATAGCCAAATGAAAAGAATGCCCCTACGTATTAACAATTGGGAGCATCAGCCTTTTGATCGTTGACGCGCTCAATTGGTCGATTGTGCTTATATGCATCTTACGAAATCGCAAGCGTTTTCGATCGTTCAGTAATGTTTCCAGTTTTCGTTGTGCTTCGAGTTCTCTAAAAAGTGTAACACATCTTTACGCCGTTGATATTGGATCCTTCGATGACTGCACACAAAAGAGTTACGGAGATTCCTTGAACGGGTTTTGGAATTTTTCTCAGTTGGTGGAATACGTTAATTGCTGACGCTCTCAATTGCTCAATTTTTTTCGTAGCCCTCTTTTTATTCACAGTCGATCGCTTACGCTCTCAATTATTTACCACCAAGAGGGCTATACACTCCACAATTAATCGCTGTCGCCCTAAGCTTCACTACTACGGTTAGCCTTCTAGCGTTCCCAAATGAATGATAATGCTACTGCTTCAGAGGTAAATCCTTCTAATTAATCAAAACTCAGAGCGCTATGAGTTCTATACGTACTGAAAATTGATAGCTCGCGCTCTCAATTGCTCAATAATGCTTGTAGTACCCTCCTCCAGCGCTCTCAATTGTTCAATAGTTCTCATGGCCATCTTCAATGTTACGTAGTCACCTCCGTGCACTAGTGCTGTTTCTGAATGAATAGATGGTATGAAACGTTTACGGTTCACAATAGAGAGTGTCTGCAGTCGATCGCTGGCGCTCTCCACTGTTAAACGGTGCTGCTAGTTCTTTATTCATTCACAATCGATCGCTTACATTCTCAAATAGTCAATAGTGCTTGAAGCTAACGCTCTTGACTGTATAATGGTGCGACTAGTTTTATTTACAGAACTACTAATTGATGATGCTCTTGATTATTCACTGGTACTTGGAGTTCTCTGCTTGCTTGAAGTCAACTTAATTATTCACGATTGATCACTTACGCCCATGATTGCTCAGTGGTGCTCCGAGTTCTCTGCTTACTTGAAGTCAACTTAATTATTCAAATTGATCTCTAACGCTTCCAATTGTTCAGTGATGCTCCGAGTTCTCTCCGTATTTACAATTGAGAGCGTCAGCGATCAATTGTACAATAGTATTAAAAGGGTTCTACTTTTCACAATTGATCACTATTGCGCTCAACTGTTCAATGATACTAAGAGTTTTCAGGTTGTAACTCAATTGCTCGCTATCGCTCTCGATTGTCTAATTGTACCATGATTTCTGTATTTATTCACCATGAATAGCAGACGCTCTCGATTGTTGAATAGTGCTTCTATATCTTTTGCTTCTTCACAATCCATCGCTTACGTTCAATAACACTTGAGATCTCAAATAATTCAAAATTGATCGCATACGCTCTCACTTGTTCAGTGGTGCTCGAGGCTCTCTGTCTTCGTTCACAATCGATCGCTGGCGGTTTCAATTATTGAGCTATACTAAGAGCTTTCAATTTATACATGATAAATCGCTGACACTCTCAATTGTACAGAAGTTTTAAGAGGGCTCTGCTTATTCACAATCAATCGCAGATGCTAAGAGGGCTCTACTTTCTCACAATTGAGAGCGTCAGCGATACAAAGAGCTCTCTGTTCCTTTGAAAATTGTAACCATTTGTCAATGGTACTAAAAGCACTCTGACACTCTCGATTATTCAATGGTACTAAGAGTTCTCTTCATACACAATTGATCGCTGACACTCTCAATTGATCAGTTGTGCTTGTGGGCCTCGACTATTGACACTTTCGATTGTACTCGTACTCGTACTCAGACTGATCAGTAACTTTACTAGGGCTTTACTTCTTTACAATCGCTACCACTCTCAATACTTAGTTCAATGCAGTTATGAGGACGGTTCTTGTTCACAATCGAGAGCATCAGTGCTTGAAATTATTTTACGTAATCACATTCGATTACCGAAGCTCTTGATTTTATGATTGGACTACTTTTATTTATATCACTACTGCCTGTAGCCGCCTCTTTAATCACAATTGCTCGCTGATGTTCTCAATTGTTGTGTGATGCTTAGAACTCTCTATTTTTTCACAATTAATCACTATCGCTTTCGATTGTTCTACTGTAATATGATTATGGTTTTATTCACTATGGATCGGTGACGCTTTCGATTTTTGAGCGATTCTCTCTATTTATATTACTACCGATCAATGATGCTATTAATTGTTAAATGTTATTCAGAGCTCTCTGTTAACGCTCTCAATTGTTCAACTGTACTTCGAGTTCTCTAGTTTGTTCACAATCGTTCGCTTTAGCTCTCAATTGTTCAATAGTGGTTGTAGTCCTTTCACTATTCACAATTGGTAGCTAAAGCTCTCAATTGTTCAGTAGTACTTGAAGACAAGTCTTTATTCACAACTGATCGCTGACGCTCTCAATTGTTCAACCATGCTTGTAGCTCTCCTGCGCGTATTTGAAGGACCGCTCCTCGATGATCTTCTCAATGCCCAAATGCGAGTCCGGTTCCGAAGGCCAGGCCGCCAATGGCGGCGTAGTCCAGCGAGGTAGCGTTGGAAAACCGGTCTGTGCTCAGGTATCGTGCTAGATACACGGCATAGCCGGCGTCGGCGCCCCCATTGTGAGAAATTGTAGCAGGAACACGCCATCGGGCACATCGATGACGTTGTGGTCGGAAGAGGAGGATCGGGTCACGTGATATTCGTGTGATGCAACAGTTTCATTATCACGTGATATACTCACGTGATGCGGTGGTGTATGGGTGGATGGTATCTCGCCCACGTGATGACCAAGTATCCGACCGATTGTGCTATAATATTTCAATACTACACCCATCGCACTTGCAATCATGTCCCTCACAATATAATGATTCCCGGGGAAAGTATATTGATGGGTCTTTGTTATTATCATTATTATTATTATTGAATTCTTTAGGGTCTCTGTCACGTGATAATCCGTAGCCGTGATGTATGGGTGTTATCTTCTTCACGTGATCAAACGACAGACGACGACGGCGGTTCCCTCGACTGCTCGCTCGACCTCGCTCCTCCAGCATTGCACAAAGAGAGCCAATGCCTGTCTTGGTTAATACTCTCTTTGGAATTATCTACGCTTCCTCATCTTTGCCAAGTTTTCGCCGAGCTCAGTTCAAAACCCGTCGGTGACACTATTTGACACTTCGAAAGATAAGCTCACGTTGACGGAAATTGAAGATAATCATATAAAACGTTAAACTATGACGTACGTCTAAGATCCAAAAAACCTACCCATACTTGTTTATTCGACTAAGAGCTCACCAAAAGGACCTTTGAAATCCTTACCCACCGCCCTACAATCCTCCTCTGCCATGACTCAAAATTCAAAAGCTTCTTCGAAAATTCAAATTCCCATTTGGCTGGATTGTGATCCAGGCCACGATGATGCCGTAGCTATCTTGCTGTCGTGCTTCCTTCCTCAGTTTAAACTCCTGGGCATCAGTGCTTCCTATGGTAACGCTCCACCAGACAAAACTGCCTACAACACCCTGTCGCTGATCACCGCAATGGGGAAACAAAATCAAATTCCAGTTTACGCCGGTGCTCAGAGACCCTGGGTTCGCAAACCTATATATGCGCCCGATATCCATGGTCAGTCCGGCTTGGACGGCACATCGTTGCTTCCCGAACCCAAGGCTCGTCTTTGTTCTGACCAAAGTTATCTAAACGCAATGACCAACGCAATAGAGGCATACACAGGGACTATATCCATTGTTTCTACAGGCTCTCTTACCTCCACAGCTACTTTGTTTAATGAAAGACCACATTTGAAGTCGATGGTCAAGTTCATCAGTGTCATGGGCGGAGGCATCAACGAGGGCAACAGAAACGAAAACGAAACTGCCGAGTTCAATATCTGGATAGACCCTCATGCTGCTAACATGATTTTCCAGGACCCAATTCTTAGCTCCAAATGCATTTTGGTGCCTCTGGACCTCACCCACCAAGCCATAGCCACTAAGGAAATCGAACTCATGGTTTTATCAGATGGCTCTTCGAATCTAAGAAGACTCTTTTATGAGCTTTTCATTTTCTTTGGCCAGAGCTACGAACATGCCCAAGGTTTTGAGACAGGGCCTCCCGTACACGATCCCTTAACGCTGATACCACTGCTGGAATTCTATCACATCGAAACTCATGAGACTGTAGCCTTTGAGTATAGACGGCTACAACTACAGGCCATAGATCATGAAAATAGCCCCAATTTGGGACAAACTAGAGTCCTGAAAGAATACCCGAAAACCTGTGATACCGGGACCATTGTTGGGTTTAAACTCAATATGCTTTACTTCTGGGACCAAGTAAACCTGGCGCTTGGATTGGCCTCCAAAAGTGCTACTATATAATGTTTATACAAAAACTTTCTTATACCATGACACTTCACTCGCTTGCGTAAAGTCTGGAAAAACATAGCTTCAAGCCTGCCGGGCACAATGGGCCTGCGGGTGTGACTTTATCAACCCAATCTGGCGCCAAAGTCCATTTAAAGTCTTGAAGGACGGCAGCCATGGTGATACGCACTTCCATCAAAGCTAGCTTCTCTCCCAAACACGCGCGACGACCACCATGAAACGCACTCATAGCGCATGTGTTTTTTCTATGTCTCCATTCACTCATAATGTCGTTGATATTGTCACCCCAGCGTTCAGGCAAAAATTTGTCACAGGTGTCACCCCAAGCAGTTGTGTATCTGCCAGTGGACATGTTGTTATATCCGACGTAAACGCCTTTGGGTATCATCACATCCTTACCCAGCATACAATTTTTGGTAGTGCAGCGATTAATGATCTGGGAAAGGGGAGGATAGAGCCGTATGCATTCAAAGATAAAACTGTTCAGCAGCGGTAAATCTTCCAACTTCTGTGAGTTGCAAGCTTGCACTTCCGCCCGAATCCGGCTTTGCCATTTTCCATGTTTGGCAAACATATAAAACAATGTAGTGAGAAGTAGCTGTGGATTCTCGTGCCCAGCCACCATGATAATAATCAGGTTATCTATTAACTGCTTCTCGGTAATATCGCAGCGATTGAAACTGCGGATCAGGTCCGATGAAGCAAACTTGGTCTGTTCAAAGCTATAATTGTTAACCAAGCTGTCTCGGACAGAATCCATCAAACATTTCCTAAAGTCCTCAACGTACGCCCTGGTAAGCTGCCGAGAAGGAATCGGTAGACGATCAAGCATCGGAAAATTCAAATATAATGACTTGAAGATGTTCTTTTTCACATTTTTTAATTTAGCATGAAGTTCCGAGTTTGGCTTCGTGAGAGTACCCATATCTAATCCAAGCGCAACCTCAGATATATTTGCGAGACTCAGTCTCTGAATCAATTCGGGCATTGCAACCTCATTGGTGCTATTATTTGATAGGTTTGATGTGCCATTCACTTCCTTACACAAAATGGCTGGCTCCGGGGTGGAAACGTCCAATTGTTTGTCGACGAGTGCGCAGAAGAGCTGAGCATTCTTCACCATCGGTTCGTGATCAAAGAACTGGAGTCCGGGAGTGATCGTTTTACGGAAACATCTCCAGATTGCACCATGCGCGGATATAACGTTCTCGCCAGTGTATGCTGATATGACACCATAGGGAATCTTGATATGATTCCCGCTTTTTGCAAAAGTGTCTTCATCTTTGAACATCTGAGCCAGTAACTCAGGACGTGAAACGACAATGTTCCAGCGTGAACCAAAAAAAAGTTTCACTGCACCATATTTCTCGAGAGGTTCTCGAAGGTAAAGTTCAAAAATGTCTTTCTGATCAACATCGAATAGTAAAGGTAATAAGGTGACGTAAAACGGAATCGTTGGTATGTTTTTTGGATAATTCCATGGGGGCAAAATGATCCGCAACAATAACAGAAGGGTCAAGGTGACAACAAAACAAATCGCAGACATGCCCATCGCTGAGAAAAAGGTTGCCTTTATTTTGATCCAACGATAGAGAAAGAATATAGCGAGAAGTGCGCATATTTATATCGTAGCAGTGCGGCGATAAAAATCGTAAATGTGGCGGCATTTGTTATATGCACTCAAAATTGTTTGAGCTCTGAAACTATTGTTTTCGCCTCCAGGATAGTAGTAAATAGAAGCCAGTTAGAAATTTAGCACCCATAAACACCGACCAGGTGCTACAACGCGTCTGAGACCCTTTACTCTTCGAAAAAATGAGCGCACAAATTTTGAACCCGAACCAAGTTTCACCGTCATCTGGAACGTGAGAAAGTCCGCAAGCGAAGGAAAGCGAGTGGGACAGGTTTACCAATTATCATGGAAAGTTTCACGCCAACAATACTATTTTTGTAACAGTTAGGCCACTTGAATTACGTTAATAGAAGTTGTTTTGACCGCAGACGTTGTTGATTCAAAAATAGTTCTCCTAGTTATCAGGGGATCAAGCAGCGACACTTCCATGTGCTGACTTACCACTCAGGAGGAGACAGATGAATGAATAATCCGCAAAAAGCTGGGACCGAAAAGCTTTTCATGTTAAAGGAATTCCACTTTTAGAAGGGTCGCGGCGGGTTTTTCACCTGCTCGGCGGCTGTAGTTACCATCCGATGCCTTACAGTCCCTTGCTCACCACTGGAGAGCAAATAACTCTTTGTCTTTATTGCTCAGTGACCATATCATCACAGTTGCCTCGGTCTACCTTGAAGGGCCAGACATTGTCAGACCACGAAAATTTGTAGAAGTCAGCATAGCGTCTGCTATCCTCAGGAGTGAAACCTAATCAATCAAGTCTTCTGAACTTATTTAACTAGCAGGCACTTGTGTAGCAACTTCTTCTGTATCCCCGAAACAGTAGAGAACTAAATTCCAGCGATGTTGCAAATGAGTGATGAACAATTGCGTGACGACATTGAAATAATGCACGGTACCAAGGACCTTTCAACGTATAGCAAGGTCCTTTGTATCTATACTAGAGACCCGGATACTTTTAAGGTTCACGCAGTAAGAGACATGCAGAAGGCAATATTCTCTCAGAAATGGGATAAGTTTCTTGACATCTTGAAGCGGGCGAAAGTCAAAGAGGTCAGGGCAATTGGATTCACGGAGCGAGTTATCAAAAGTGAGGCCATCGAAAAGTTCACCAATCTTGCTAACTTGGCCGTCAAGGTCACTGAATTTCACCGCGTAGGTGAGAGCCAAATTCGCGGAATTATTACAACAATAGAAGACGAAAATGAGTTCAACGACTGGATGGTAGAACACATTCTTGAACAAGCTCGCGTGAATTTAGATGAAAGCCCTTGTGTGTCTAGCGGAGACTCTTTCGATGAAAAGTTTACGAACTATTTCGCAGACAATTTGAAAAACACCACATCAAAAGACATGTGGGAAATGGGAGGCCGTGATCATTTCCTGGAAAAAGTACAGTATTTCACCAATCGATATTTGACCATCGAGTGCATTTTGCCAGCATTTCCCTGTAAGTCGTCAAACGTTGATAAAGTTTACGGAGCAGTCCCAGACAAAGGCGAGGAACTGGCCTTGAGGCGCTTAATCGCAGCGACTCAAGAAGTTAAAAGTTTCTATCCACCAGGAATGAAAATCTGGATTGTAAGCGATGGCCATGTCTTCAGCGACTGTATTGGCGTTGACGACGATGTTGTCGATAATTACACAACAAAACTTCATGAACTTTACGAGAAATTGGCAATTCCTGGTGTCGACGCCGTAGGATTTGTTGGTTTGAAGGAGTTGTTTCTCACGGGCGACAGTATTAGAAAATTTGACGAGTTCATGGTCCACGACGTTGATTTATCTCATCATACAGGGACGAAAATTTGCGAGGTTTCTGAGCTATCTAGACAAATTCTCATGAAGGGCTTTGACACTGACGACGGGAGACTAAGACAGCAAATTTTGATAGCAGGTCATCCTAGACTACACTTGTTCAGAGGATTCTCCAGATTTATGATGGACGATCTTTCTCATTTGGAATTTTTCCAAAAGTCTTCGAGAAAGGGCTTTAAGAAAGTGGTTTCAAAGGTGGCTTTCGAGATGATTAAACGCAACGATGCCTACTCGAACTTGGTCGAATTGCTGTTCCCGCACCATATGAGATTCTCGATCCATGCACACACCAATTCGGGCCCCAAATTTGGTGTTAAAATCATTTCCAACCATCAATGCAAAATTGTCAAGTCGTTGGATGCCCAAGAGGAGCCCAGCTTTGAGGACTTACTGCATATACCCACGCCATGGCACAATTGCGTGATCAAATTGCAGAATGTGTATTATCTGGCTAAGTCCAAGGTCGCGGTTGATGCGATAGAAAGTGGCCTTTACGATGGCCATTGGAAAGAGGGTGGCGACGAAAAAGATGTTGGCGGCCATTTTGTTGTGAACAAAAGCATGTGCTTGCAAAAACAGGCCTGAGTCCAGTCCACGTTCTCCTCAACATTTTTATTTCTTCCCTTCCTATGACCTTCAGCTGATCGACATTTTCGGAGCCATTCAAGTTCGTTTGCAAATAATTGTTCCCCCGGCCCCTGTTTAGTACACTGTTAATAATATACAAGTAGATTTGGTGACATTAACGCCAAAAAAATGAACGGCTGTGCTGACCGTTACCGGGAAGCCGGCATCACGCACATTGGCCCCCTTGGGTTTATCCTTTTTTTTTTTGGAAATATTGATACAATGTGACGCTTGAGCGCACTTTTATTCTCATATGACACCCAAGTAGTCTTCTTTGATACTGCCAATGGCGTAAATTGAGTTCACTTCGCTTCTGGCACCCACCACCTTTAATCTGACTCTTGAGCCTTTGGTGATAATCTGTTCTGAACTCTGGTACGATGGGGGATTGGAACCACTGTTGTAAGCGAGATCCTCTGGCATCAAAAACGGCGATACGAACACCGAAAGAGGACCAACATCCACCTCAAACCCCAAATTCGTGCAGCTCGAAACGACACCGTCCACTACTTCTCCCTTGAAAGGCTTCCAAACCACCGCCCGGTACTTCACAGTGAATTCTGCCGAACCATCGCCGGGCAGAATTCTACCCCTCTCTATCTCAACGTTATCGCAGTCCAAAACGCACAAAATGTAGCCAAATTTACCCGTACAGGTACCCTCGACCTCCTGTAGCAGTTTGGTGCGCAGGTACTGCTTCATTTGCGGTCCAAAGAATGATGGATGCAGAGTAATGTTAAGCGAAAGATCCTTGAAAAAAAACATTGTTGGCGTCAGAAGTCCTCAATGGGTAGCGAAAGTCTTGTTTTCCAATGCCTTGGATATCCACACCTTTTATAACTGGTCTCAAAGACTCTTTGACTGCGGCTTAGGAGGGCTTGTAGCTGTGTCGAAATGTTGTATTTATGCTTGAAGTTTAGTTTAATAGATTCATGAATTTCTGAATTTCTTCAAATTTCTTCGTGTAACGCGAGTTTTCAAAAAATTTCGATATTGATTGAAGAGTTGAGATTTAAAGCTAAAAGACTGATACTTAAACTCAAAGCACAAGGTTTGTTTATAAGTCGAGTTTACCGATATTATCAATATTTAGCACTGTCTAATAGCATGTCACAGAAGGTAGGACATACCGGGCTGGCATTTGCCCGACTTTGGCACCATGTTGACGTGGCACAAGAGAAAAGAACTCTGGGAAGACTGGCCAGTTCGATAGCACTAACATTGATTGGAAAGCATAAACCAGTGTACCATCCAACACAAGACTGTGGGGACTATGTGGTTGTCACAAACTGCCAGTATTTGCGAGTTTCGGGCCAGAAATTCGATCAAAAACAGTACTGGTCGCACTCGCGGAAACCGGGCCATCTGAAACTGATAACTATGAGGAAAATGGCGGAAAACAAGGGTCACGGTGAAATACTTAAAAAGGCGGTTAGTGGGATGCTGCCTAAGAATAAGCTCCGCAAACCGCGCCTGGAGAGACTCAAAGTGTTCAGTGGCAGCGAACACCCATACCGTTCTAACGTCACAGCCTATGTTGACCAACAACCCAAGATCGCGAGAAAAATGAAAGATCAGCTAGCCAAATAATCAGCAGAAAGCGCTTGCGAGAGTCGTGGGAATGCAATGATCCCCTACGACCGGTAGCAACGTTGCTGGGAAAGTCGCACCAATAGCTTCTACTTGTAAATAGCATGCATTAACAGTTCTGACATCTGACACGATTGAAATCAGTGATTCTAAAACAGTTTCTGCCTATCAGCACCGAGGCCTGACAGTGTCCGTTTGGGCACGACAGCATTTTAAATGTCAGCTACCACAACCCTGCTTCCACTAGAAAAAACAATACGATTATAATACAATACTACCTTTTTTGAATTTCTCTTTTATAAAAATTTGTGGTTGCGAGTCCTCCCACGACTCTAAAAGTCTCTAGACCTGTCAGTATATAGACGTGGTGCGATGTTCATGGCCATCAGCTCTTGGAATAGAAGCTTGGCTGCGTATGGGACATGAATTTGATAAATGTCAATCTTGTTTTTACAGCCTCTGCATTCAAATTGATTATGTTTCAATTTCGCGATGACTGTCATCAAACCACAGATACCACAGATGTGAACTCTGAATGCATCTGACGCCTCCATGAGTCTTTCCTTCAAAAAAGACGCGGCACCGTGAGCGATCATACAGTCACGTTCCATTTCTCCGAATCTCAAACCACCGTCTCTGGACCTACCTTCCACAGGTTGTCTCGTTAGCACCTGTACTGGACCACGGGCTCTGGCGTGAATCTTGTCGTCTACCATATGTCTCAAACGTTGGTAATAGGTTGGACCGAAGAAAATCTGGGCCATCAATTTTTTACCAGTATGGCCATTGTACATGACTTCAAACCCACGAGATTGGTATCCATGCTCACGCAACAGCCTCGAGATCCCATCCACTGTAATATCTGTGAACGGAGAGGCATCACCCTCATTCCCCGAAAGCGCAGCGACTTTACTCAACAAACACTCGATCAAGTGAGCGACTGTCATACGGGATGGAATGGCATGTGGATTGATGATTAAATCAGGAACAACACCTTCTGCAGTAAATGGCATATCTTCTCTGCGGTAAGTGATACCAATAGTACCCTTCTGGCCGTGACGAGATGCGAATTTGTCACCGATTTGAGGCACTTTAGTTGTTCTGACTCTGACTTTCACAAACTTCAGACCCTCCTGATTAGTCGTGATCAAAACCTGATCAACAATACCGTTTTCAGTACTTCGTAGAGGCGTCGAAGCATCACGCTTCGAGTGGAATGCTGTTCTTTGACCCAACTCTTCCGCATCGGGGGGAATAGGCGTTGTTTTACCTATAATCATATCGTCACCAGACACTCTGACGCCCGGTGCTATCAAACCGTCGTCGTCCAGTTTATCGTATGTACCATGCTTCATACGCAACGTGTTGGTACGTTGAGGTTTTTCGAAGGACTCCGTGATGGACATACCAATACGTTTTTCTTGATCCATATAAGATCTGAAAAACAAAGATCTGAACAAACCAGAGTCGATCGACGATTGGTTCATGATCATTGAATCTTCTTGGTTGTAACCCGAATAACATGCGATGGCTACAATAGCATTTTGACCAGCTGGAAGTTCTCTAAACTTTAGATACTCCATGGCACGCGTGGTACCTAGTGGTTTTTGAGGGTAATATAAGATATTAGCCATGGTGTCCATACGAACACTGTAATTTGTTAGGAAGACACCCATAGCCTGCTTACCCATGGCAGATTGATAGGTGTTACGAGGGGATTGATTATGATCTGGGAATGGAATGATAGATGCAGCAACACCTAGGATCATGGAGGGATGAATCTCACAATGGGTAAATGTGTTAGAATGATGAATGGCTTTGATACGCTTAGCGGGGTCTAGTTCCTCTTCAGGATCTATCGCACCGATTGTGGGGTCAAGATCTTCATGTTGCATGGCGATGAGAATTGTTTCTTCTTCCTCAGCATCAATATATTCAACCAGTCCTTCATTGAGTAAAGAGGTCCATGTGTAATTCAGATCTTCTTCTTCAAAACCACCCTCAATATCCTGGTATTCAGTCATCATTAGCTTCCTGACGTGTCCTTTCCTTAGTTTTAGCTCCTTGGTACCTGTTTCCTCGTTTTCATCAACAATAAAGAGCGGTCTGTAGACTCTACCCGCATCTGTGAAGATCTTTAGTTCCTTTTCACGAATGTCTCTCACGATGGACACTTCAGGAGTAACATCACCTTTTCTTCTTAGTTTTCTGATTGTGTCAACGAGCTTAGCGGGGTTTCTGTGAATACCATGCCATACACCGTTGACAAAAACTCTAGTGGCATCGGGAGACTGATGCGGAACGTAATCTTCCAATGGTTCCATACCCCACTCATTCAAGAATGTAATAATGGGGACTGGATCAGTACCAACGGATATGCATGACATTAATGACAAATTTTTGACCAGACCACAAGCTTGACCTTCCGGAGTCTCTGCAGGGCAAACGAGCCCCCAGTGTGTATTATGCAGTTGACGTGGTTTGGCGAGTTTACCATCACGCCCAATAGGGGTATTGGTTCTTCTTAAGTGTGATAAGGTCGAGGAGTATGTGTATCTGTTCAAGACTTGGGAGACACCGGCTCTGGACGTCATAGCCTTCTTCTGTTCACCCCAGTTACCAGTTGCCAAAGCATACTTCAGACCGGCAGTGATTGTTGTGGCTTTGACTGCCAGTTTCAAGTTGAAATCTTTCGCTTCTTCGACGGATCTTTGCATGAACCTCAGAATATCTCTTGTCAACTTTCTGAATAGAGTCTTGAAAAGTTGTGCTAGTAATGGGCCGGCCAAATCTAATCTTTTCTTACCAAAATGGTCACGATCATCTTGATCCTTACGATCAAGGGCACACAAAAGTAATCTGTTGACCATATACCCCAGGAAGAAAGCCTTTCTGCTTTCAAAACCTTCCAATTGGGTGATATGAGGCAAAAACTCTTTCTGTAAAATGTCCTTGGCGTACTGAATTCTTTTCTCCTTCTTGATACCCAATGCCGTACCACGACGACCAATAAAGTCCAATGCAGTCTCTCTATCTTGAATGACGAAACCTTCCTCTACACAAGGTTTTAGCAATTCCAGCATTTGCCAATCGTTTACGTCGTAGCAAATATGCTCTAGAATCTCTCCATCGGGTATAATACCAAGGGCTCTGAAAATGATAACAATTGGAATGTCTTGCTTGATGTAAGGGAGGGTTGCCTTGATAGTACGATTGGTATTTCCTTCCCGACCATAAAGTTTGACTTGGAGCGTACTAATGAAACGAGAGCCCTTTTCCAATGCAGAACGGATCTCTGCGATGTGAGAAATCGGAGAAGGTGCAGATTTTTTGAACACCTGTACGATGTTTCCTGCTGAGCGTTCTTGCGCAATAAGGACCTTTTCAGACCCGTTAATGATGAAATAACCACCCATGTCAAACGGGCATTCCTTTAGTTTGTACAGATCACTTTCTGTCAGCTCGTCCAATAGACAGTACTTGGACCGCAGCATGATGGGCACTCTACCAATAAAGATTTTGCTATCGTCAGACATCTCGCTCTCCTCGTCAATGACTTCATATTTCAAGTCTCTACCCGGAATGTCCACCGCTTCATACGTCCGTTTGCGAATCTCTACAAACAGTCCCGACGCGTAAGTCAGGTTCCGCAACCGGGCCTCTTGCGGGTACATTGCGTGCGACACACCGTCAGACTCAGTCATCGACGGTTTGGCCAGGTAAATTTTCCCGAAACTGATCTCGTATTTCCTGCTGATGTTATCTGTCTCCGTGGTATGTTGCGCCAGTTGCTCCAAAATCAACGTGGAATCTTCCATAATTGAATCTTGAATGGTATAATTGATGAATTGGTTAAAAGAGTCCAGTTGCTGCGATACAAGGCCTTTTTCGCGGAAAAAGGCCGAAATCACAGTCCAAGAGTCCTCTGCTGTAATTGAAGACTCATCGTCCTCATAAGTGTACGGATCCTCATCGTAAAATTCCTCGGACATATTTTGGGGCCCACAATTGGATTACAATTGTCTCTGGAACTTATTAAGAACTGAGAAACCACCAATTCTCCACCAATGTCAACAATTATTTGGAGTCAAGCTTTAACCTTGGACATGTTTTCTATGTTTGCCACTTGTAAAATTTTCAAATTTCAAGATTTCTGATGTGTGCGGGTAAGCCGAGTGTTGAGAGACCAGCGTCAGTGTCAATGAACAGTTCAGAACAATGAACATTTCAAGGCGTCAGCGATGGATTGTGGATGGGATGGGTCTCCAGGATAATTTGGTCTTTTAGCGGGACTGCATAGATATTCATGAGAATTCATAGTTTAGCTGTGTCTGCGGAATTATTCGAAAACAGGTAGAAAGCGATGTTGAGTGGATAGTTAGATGCGACAGCTCAAAGCATCGGCGATGAAATTTGAGTATGACGAATCTTCAAGTCTTGCCTATCTTTTAGCTTTATAAATGGAATTTTTTGAGAATGGTTCGATAGCGATGACAGAATATAAATTTGGCCTTGAATGTGAATAAGTAATAATACTGTGGTATTACGGAAGTCAATGCGTCAGCGATGAATTGTGGATGGGACGAATGTCCTACTATTGCTTATCCTTTGGCTTTGTATGTGAAATTGTAGTTTAGAATTCGTTAATCATGAAAGCTTATACTTTGGCTTTGTATATGCGAGCGAGAAGAATATTTGTAGTGTTACTGATCAATTTAGAGTGTGGGGAATGAATTTTGAAGAGGAGAAATGTTTTAGTGTTGTGTGAAGTCCGGATTTCGCAATGAGGTATGTCGAGCAACGGGCAGAACCTGGTGACAGATTTTAGTAGAAAGTAATCAGTTTTTGTTAGAAAAGGTGTTTGGAACGACGTCTAGGAAAACCTGATGGATTAGAATAGGCTCTTCAATTGTAGAAAAGGAGGAAAAAACGTAGTGTTATGTTTAGAGCGTCTGCCATGAGTAGTGGACAAAATGATATTTTATTATTGCTCACAGCTTGACTAGTGCGTAGAACCTTTTGATATCTTATACTCAGATTGGGGTTATAAAAAGTATTTTGAGTAGCGTCTATTCATGACAGATTATAGTTGGCCTTGCAGAACGCTTATAGAAAGCATGATAGCCCATTCTTGGAATTTTTTGCGAGTTTATTAAAAAAGGTCAAAACAAGTAATAGGTCAGTTATCTATAGGTGAACAAATGAAAGACTCGAAGTATTAATGCGCTGACACTTTGAAAAAAAACTATTCGTATAGGTTATGTTTTGACTTTACATACGCGGGGTTTTGATAACATGCAGAGTGTCGCACAACTGAATTTTCAATCGCCAACATTCGTGGTCTCACCTTCTCTTTCCAATCAGTAACACCCTACTCTCTTCTCAAAATAACCACCTATTGGAGACGAAAATATCATACTGGCACCAAAAATAAAGAACAGAAGGCATATCCCGCAGAAAGATAAATAAAAAATAACGTAGGCTTACTAAAATCCGCGGTAGACATCGCATAATCCACCTGGCAAACGTATTAAAAGCGAATCTAGTGTTTCACACTGTCCGACACCAATAAAGAAACAGCATCTTTTGACGAACAAAAAATAGATCCAATTCAATAAATTCCTACAGCCCCCAACTAACAATATACATGCCAACATCCTACATTCTCTTGCAACTACTCCAGATCTGTATTAGTCTCCTTCGCTGCTCTTCTTCTTTTACTGTCGTCGTCCGCCACGTGACATCTTTCTACTAGATCTACAACTAACAAAAGTCCTGAAAACTTTTCTAAAATGACAGACCTCTAAAGCCTTTCGAAACAGTCGAAAAGCGCGCCTTATAGCCCCGGTTGAACATGCCACAGGTGCCAAGGCTCTTGAATAGGGCCATTGGCGAAACTACAAAGTTTCTGAGAAATAAACTGCCCATTAGAACGCTTGCTACGGCAGCTGCAGAGCTTCCAAAGGTCGATGATCAAAGCTCTTCTTCGGTCAGGGTTAGCGACAAGATTCTAAACTGGTCCAAGGAAGCCATAGAGCAAGGAAAACCGCATTTCAGAGTTGGTGAAAAGCAGCTCTTTTTTCCCAAGGCAAGAGTGATTTTACTCAGACCAGGTGCGAAACACACGCCTTACCAGGCAAAATTCATAGTTCCAAAGTCGTTCAACAAACTCGACCTTCGAGACTATCTGTACAACCTATATGGCCTGCGAGCCCTGAATATCACTACACAGCTGCTGCACGGCAAGTACACACGCGTGAATCAGGTTATGCCCCGTTACAGAACAGCCCAGATCAAGAAAATGACCATCGACATGGCAGAACCCTTCATCTGGCCTGATGAACCTGAGAACAAGGATCCATGGGGTGCTTCGTTGGTCGAAGATCTCAATAAATACCGCGAAGAGCAAACAAGAATAGGGTCCGATAAGTTAAAGCCCGGTACGGCGTTCGATGGCGCCTTGGGCCCATATCAACCCGGTGCCCAGCCTTTCGTGCCCAAGTTTTTGAAGAGAAGACTGATAAACCAAAGCGCGAAAGCGAAACTGAAGACAACCCGCCTAGAGAAGATCTCCAAGGTAGACTCTTTGGTACACAAAATGGGCCAATGAGCTAATTCCCATTGACAAAAGATGTGCCCCATGTATGAGGTCTTCTGCCTTTTATTCCATAACGAACCAGTCACACCTGTATATATATATATATTATAATCCTAAAGCTGAGGAAGGAAGTAAGTAAGAAAGTCCTGAAAAAGAAAATGTCTGAAATCACACAAATTTATGCGTGTTGCCCCGCCAGCGATAATAGCCACTGGAGCAGCGCTACTAACAGATTATGACCTTTTAATATCCTCGATCACGTCTTCCAATAAATCGTATTCCTCGTCCGATCTGTTGGTCCGCGTAGTTTGACCTGCAAACCACTGGTAGCTCCAGGCCCAGCCTGTGGGCGGTTCCTCTGGCTTCACGAGGCTTTTTGACCGAATTCGGGAGATCCACACCATCACCGTTCGAAAGCTGGTATCCAAAATCTGCAAGTCTAGGGGCCACCTATCCATGATTTTAAGGGTGTAGAACGTCAGCTGTCCAAAAACGTACCGATCAGTCGGCGGTGGATTGGATATCGATAGAAAGTAGCTGGCCCAGCCTGATCTGGGTTCTTTTGATGCTGGCGTGTTGGGGTCCACACGGAGGCCCTTGGCCGTTTCCAGCCTGCAAAACTGGCTTACCAGCTCTTTAGCAAGCACTAGCCACGCCGCTAGTTCCGCGATGTTTGACAGGGGCAGTGACTGGAAGATGTATACTAAGGGGTTGGGAACGACACGAATCATGGCGTGCAGACACCAGAATTTAAGGAGTGAGACGCTCAGAGAGCTTGACTCGGCACCACTGCCACCCAAGTTTAGGTACTCGATGGTGAGCTGGAGTGGAATGACGGTTGAAATAAGCAAACTGTGAGTTCAAGTGCCCGGTTAGTATTTGACCATTTTTATAGAGTAAAGGGAGCACACGTATGGCTCAAAAGTTACACGTCCCCCCCCCCCCCCCGCACGCACATACATAGCTGGCGAAATGATCAGCTGAAGCATTATTGAGAGCAATTGGTAGCACGACGTTCGATCCAAACGTTTAAACAACAGATGTCCTCGTTTTTGTGAATGGACTCTATTATATGTATTCTATGTTAAAATGAGATGAATTGTGAGATGAGATGAGATGAGATGAGATGGCCCACGGTAGCTCAAAGTCAATTAATCGTGATGGTAAAGCGAGGCTCGTGATTACCTAATCTGTGGGCGTGTCCTGGTGTGTGGGTTTTACGGATGTTTGGGTTTTTGTTGGGTGTGTGGGTTTTGTATCCTCGTGATTTTCGTGAGGTGTGATCTTTGATAACTCGATTGTCCTCCAGTACGCTCTGGTGAGCAGAAGTTGAGCTCGATGATTTTGGTGTCGAACAGAACATCAACCATCACCCATCAACTGGACTTGTGGGGTGGCAATTTGTAGTGATCGAAACCTTCAGTTAAGCATCGTAAAACTTCTACAGTTTCTTGAGGCGATGAAATCCACAGCGTACTTCCCGACAACCGGGCTTTAAAGTCGTTGGCAGACCCCATAGGAGCAAACTGGTCGCCGATGTGTAGTGTCTGAGAGGGCTTTATAGGATTGCTGGGGCTGAAATAGTGCTGTAGAACGGCCACACCAAGGTCCTTGCCACCGATATCGCACCACACGTCGCTTCCACCGTCGAAACAGCTGAATTGAATGCGACGAGCGGGCGCGAAATTTTCAATACGGTGCTGCAAGGTCAGAACCATCTCCTCCAATTGCTCACGTTCCATCTTGACACGTATTGTGCGCTTGGTTTCCGGGTTCCACCGGTTCCCAGGAACAATCCCCACCGCTCTGGGCTTACGGATGATGGTGGACTCCTCTGGCAGGTTCAGATTCGTTCTGAAGTCCCGCAGCAGCGATTCGGCCAGATCGAGCGTCTCTGTCATGTCTGATTCGCTCCACTCGCGCATCGGCGAGCGAATCCACTTTTCGGTCGGAATCGCCACCAATTTCTTCTGAGATGCATCGTACCGGAACAGATAGTTGGACTCTCCCCCCAGGACCGCAACGTTTTCCTTGAAAGCGTCGCTGATGCTGTCGTCGGCCTCCAAAGCGTGCATGAACCCGAACAGTCGCTCCATATATTTCTGAGCTTCGTCGTAACCCGCAGCAGTGACGATCCCAACGTAAATTCCTTGTCTCAGTAAGTCCAGAAGATATGGCACAACTTTACAGTGTGGAGTGAGCGATCCCCCGTCTTCATAAAGCGTAACATCCCCGTCGAACGTTACGAGCTTGACGTCGTGATATTGGCGCATTTGCAGAATCTGAGCCGAGTTCAGAATGTGGCGTATATCGTTAAAGCTGGGTGCCACCATGACTCTAGCTGAAATGGCTCTCTTGCTGTCTTCGAGCGCGAATGCTTGTTCCAATGGCAATCTTGTGAAAAACGCCCCTACTGACGGCACAAGCTGTGCAAGTCTTGTTCTTTGACGGTGAAATAGAAAGTCTTCAGGTGGCACTTGCTCACGGACTTCCACTTGTTCGCCAACAAGATCTTCGACCGCCTTGAAGATCTCTGCATAACGCTGGCGTAGCAATTGTCTGTTGTCTTCATTATCGGAAGCAGAGTGCAGTACGAACGGCACAGCTAGCAATCCTTTGATCCACTCGATCAACTCATCCTTGCGATGAGATTTCAATTGATATTCAACTCTGTATCTGGAGACCATTGCCGGTTTGGTCTTAATAAAGATAGGCAAAGGACAGAGCAGAAGGTCTCGAGAGTTCAGCTTTTAGATATCCTTTATATTGATTGATATTAGATAGATCGACGATTGTCAATCAGCACATGGCGGACAATGACACGATATACAAAAAATGACGGAAGAAGAGCCGGGTTCAGTTAGTCGAACGGTTGATCCGCGATTCTTTGTTTGTAGGACTATGTGTCTTTTTTGCTGCGCGTTCAGGTACATTAATTATTGCATTGTTAGTTGATGTTATAGAAACGCGGTTTGGTGTAGGTCTGGGAAAGTGCCCTGTATGTGAGCAAATGTACATGGTTTCGTTTTCCAACACTACTGGGATTCCAATCGACTATTTATTTCCCTGGCGACGAGTTTTTAACATAGTAATTGGATCGAGAAAACAACTCTTGCTGAGCAAAGCGAGTGTGTGTGTTATCTTGATGATATAGGTGCAATGCAAGAATTAGCCGATGTTTACGATTTTTTCGTGTCCGGTCAGAGACGACGTTCTTTTTAATCAGTCAGATCTCTTGCACGTAAGCTACATTGTTGTTGGTTACTTCCGTGACATTTCAATGTCCACATTGGTTTAGAGATTGTATAATGTATCTGATGTGTTAATTTTTTGACGTAGGGTGTTCTAAACTGGTAAAAAAATCCCATGGGCATTCATTTTAAGTCATGTTCGCAATCCGATAAATCAGTAAAGGAACATCAGTTTAGGTGGAGAGGCTGATGCGAAATCGTATGTTGTTTGTAGATCTTACATATTGGTTATGATTGATTGTAATGGATCTCTGGTCATTTCGTCACATGATGGGTGTCAAGAGAAACTTCAAAAACCACTAATTTTGGCTAAAAGTTTCAGGAGGGCCGTGAATTCAATGTTCGTTTGCATAAGATCAGTAACGCGGTTTATTGTTTGCGAATCCTTTTTGGTGACGCTCCTGATTTTTCAATGAGCGTTCGTAGCCATCATAATTGATTGAAACTGGTCATGCTCAGGGAAGAAAAAAGAAGACTCGAGGCGTCTTAGATATAAAAAAGGATATGCGTGGGTATCAACGGATACGATCAATGGGGGAGAGTTTTCAAGATCACTCACCTCATTGCGAGATAGTCCAATACCTCGAGTCAATACTAGAAAGAATGCCTTCCACACGTAGAACAACACAGCTAAGGGTCCGAAACCATCATACGGTCCTCCCAGCGAATGATTACTAGTTATGTAACAAATTATTAAATCACTTCGTACGTCTCCGTCGCTCGCTTTCAGATCCAGGTTTGAAAGCCTGGCGCGGCCACCTTCAAAGCCGTTTATCCAACAAAAAGCTTTTTGAAACATGTAAGGACAGTGCCAGCACCTCATTTATTCACTTACACCTCGAAATACATACAAAGCTGCTCAAAACCGCACGAAATATTACTATTTCTTTATTATTTCGTCATAGCTGTCCACCGCGCCCAATTTAAACCTTCAAAATCGAACAAAACCTACCTTTAAACATTCCTAGCGACACTTGAACATTCGCCGTTAACACTGTATCCCCGACCTTACAAAACCATGTCCACATCCCACCAAAGTCAAAACGAAATTTTGTCGAAAGCTACAAAACAACGTCACTAAAAAAAGCTTGGAAAGACATGCTAAACCAACACTAGCCCATAAAAAACCAATAACACCACACAACAAGGCTCCTCCCGACCAGACTCAACAATCTTCCTCTTACCGTCCACGTATTTGACAATTTTTAAAAGCAAGTCTCGTGACCATCAGCTCTCCAGGGTAACCCGCAATTTAACGCAGCAAACATGCATGGAATACTCTCGGTAAAAGTCCAGGGTAGCAATTACAAACTCTTCTCATCTCTTACTCCTCATTTATACATCAAAGCACATATATATCGACCGAACGCTCTAGTTCAATCAGCATTAGATATTCAGTATAGATTTATTTAGTTAGCCCTATTTTGGCGGTTCGAATAAGTCCATTTTTGGTCAAGTTTGCTAGAAGGGTACAACTCTGCAAGAAATGTCCGAGAAATACGGAAGACCAGCTCAACCACCTCCTTCGTATGCACCCGACAACGCCGGAGAGCCAGGAAATGAACAGGGTCAGCCTAGTGGGGGACAGCAACAGGACTACCAATTCAGACAGGACCAGTATTATAACTTGAACTCGAAGTCCGACGGTGCCCCCATTGGGTCTTTCGAGGAAAGCTTCCCCACGGAAAACAACAAGAAGTTCAGACTCAATGACTGGCCGTTCACAATTTTCTTTCTGGCAACGGTGTGCGGGTTTATCGCCATTGCCAGTATCACCTTGAGATCGTGGGCACAAACTTACTCGGCCAATGGGTCTGGTATCTACGATGCTGCTGACACTGGAACCATGAACACCAATTCTGCCATTTTGCTGGTGTTTTCATGCATAATTGCATTGGTTTTCGCTATTCTGGGTCTTGGTTTGATGCGTGCGTCTCCCAAATGGTTTATTTACTGCGGAATGGTTGTCAATATTGTCACGGGGCTCGGAACCGCTATAGCTTACTTGGCAATGAGATACTGGTCGGCGGGAATTGTATTTTTGGTTTTCACACTGATCACAGCTTGGTGCTACTGGGGTATGCGGTCGAGAATTCCACTCAGCGTTGCCATCCTCAAAACCGTGGTCGACGTGATGAAGAGACATCCACAAACCTACTTGATTTCTCTTTTTGGCTCAATCGTGGCAAGCGCGTTTGCAGTTCTGTTCTCGTCCGTCATTGTGGCCACTTATATCAAATATGACCCCAAGAGTAACAATCCTGGCTGCTCAGCTAGTGGTGGATCGTGCTCCAACTCCAAGCTCATTGGTATTTTGGTCTTTGTCTTTTTTTGCGGGTATTACATTTCCGAGGTCATCAAAAATGTCATTCACTGTACCGTTTCCGGTATTTACGGGTGCTGGTACTATATGTCGAAATCTGATCAAGGAATGCCCCGGTGGCCAGGTTTCGGCTCCCTCAAGAGAGCGCTCACCATATCTTTTGGTTCAATTTGCTTCGGTTCTCTGATCGTTGCCTTGATCGAAACTACAAAGCAAGTGTTCCAAATGATAAGAAACGGTCAAATTACTGACATTGCTGATTCCCAGTGGGCGCGGATCATATTCTTTGTTATCGACTGGATCATTGGATTCCTGCAATGGTTGGCCACTTATTTCAATCATTACGCCTACTGCTTCATTGCACTATACGGAAAGCCTTACCTCAGAGCTGCAAAGGAAACTTGGTACATGCTTAGAGAGAAGGGAATGGACGCTCTTATCAATGATAACTTGATTGGCATTGCCTTGGGATTTTATTCTCTGTTTGCAAGTTACATGGCGACTTTGTTCGCGTACTTGTACCTCAGGTTCACCAATCCTAGCTATAATTCTTCTCACGGCTTCAACGTCCCGCTAATGGCATTTTCGTTTGTCATCGCTTTGCAAATTTGCAGTATTGCAACTGAAACTATTCGTTCGGGTACCGCTACATTTTTCGTTGCTTTGGGGAATGATCCTGAGGTTTTCCGCGTGTCATACCCACGGAGATTTGATGAGATCTTCAGAGCGTATCCCGATGTTTTGAAGAAACTCAGCCATCAAAACGTCTAAGCGAACGATGATTTCATTGAATTGAGGCCAGTTCCATCTTAATTAAAACTATATTCCTCTAATCTCTTTTGGTGAACAATTGACTGCTTTGTGATATGTAACTGTCCTTAATCAATGTGTAAATATAAACATCTTACATGCTACTCCCGTCTTCGCAGGCTGTCGAAAAACATCGAGTTTTTTATTATTGTTATATGGGTGTCGAGCTCGAAACCCAAATGCATGGGCTACTTGTATGTCCTTGGTGATACGTTTTTCCTCAAGTACCAACTTATAAAATCTTTCAAGGCATTCCTGACTCTTCTCATGTCCCTCTGAGGTAGAGCGTTGCCGACAGTTGTTAGAAGATTTGACCTTTCTTGATCTGTCACTTTGCCTATTGCGTTCATCGCACCGCTCAACCAGTCGATTGCAATAGACGAATCACCGCCAGAGCATTGCATACAAAGCTTGAGGATCCTTATTAAACATCCAATGGCATCTGGATGGGAGTCACTATTGAAGGTGGTGACAAGACCTAGCATGATTGATTGTATTAGCTGGGATCCCTGTGCTTGCACTACTTCGCGCAAAACCATTTCTCTCCAAACTTCAGGAACAACGTCAAGAGCGGCAGTAGAAATTGGAGGCGTTTCAAACCCCCAAGATAAGACGTCATCGAAAAAACGTATTATTGTGATGTATGCGTCATAATTGGGGACCTTGGTGACGCATGCCAGGCCCATTGAAAAGGAGGGTCCTAATAAGTTTCCGGCCTGAAGAAAGCGGTCTGGGAAGAACATGACGACATCCGTTATCATCATGAAAAAGTCCTGAACAGAGTCTTGGTACTGCTCAATCGTTGCTTGGCTTGCAGCGTTGAATGTGGTCATAAAGATCTGACATTGAGTACACGAGAATTGCCACACTGCCTCTTTAGTTTGTGCGTCGATTGGAAACGACTCGTCGTCACCAAATACAGAAATAATGGAACCTGAGCACCATAGGTAAATTCCTAGTCCCGTCGAGGCGTAACCATCGGCAAGAAAGGTAGCCACGGAAGGTAAGATTGAGGCAACGAAAACGTGAAAGTTCAAAAAAACCTTGCGTACCCATTTCATAGCTATTTCGGCAATTTCTTGATTGTTCATGGCCGTTTCATCCACGAGAAGCGCACGTAGTGCATCCCAAATAGAACTTATGAACGGCTCAAGCGGGTCCTTTCCAAACCCGGGACTTTCATAGCGCGGCTTGAGTTCCTCGAACACGGCAAAAATGAGATCAATTGTATCGCAAACAGCAGCGGTCGCAGTGTGGTCTGCTGAGTTCTGTTTCCATTGTTGAGCCACCAAAGAGAGTTTGCGCAATTGCGGAGTCAAAAAAAGCTGTAAAGACGACCCAACCCTCTCATCAGACTGGCGATCAATAACACAGCTTAAACCCTGACAAACTTCAAATAGGGACTCTGACTCCACAATAGGTTCAATCTTCCAGAAGAATTCAATAAGTTGCTCCACGTAATTGCTCAAGAGGTTGCTGCAATCTTGGCAGAAATACATTAACGCGTGTGAGCACGCCGTTAATATCTCAGTATCGCCGTTTGCATGCTGAAAGCCATCAAAAATGTAGTTGAGTTCTAATTCGAGAAATTCTGGATGTTTTGATGTCCACTCAGTATATCTTCCCAAAACTAGAGTTGTTGCATACCTCAGTTTTGGATGTTCAGGTAGGTTGCAGACAACTTGGATCAACTGTGGCAACATTACCGCTTCAATCTTCGATACTTCGTGTGCCATAGTTCTCAAAGAAAAGAGCGGTGCTTCCAAATCTTGCCAATGTGACAAGGAATTAGGCTTGTTTAATGCATCCATGATTTTGTTGTATGGACGGCTCAAAGCTTTAGATGAGCCAACTACGGCAGTGCAATCCTTCAACACCCCGCCCATATCATAACGAAATTCCTTGAACTTGTCTTGTTCTTCTCTATTGGAAAATCCATCTTCGGGATAATGTAAGTGAACTATTATTCCATCAATCAGCTCGCCGTATATGTCCTGATAAGCTGAGCGCTGCTCTTTGAATCTTGGAAGCACGAGCATTTGCTTGAGATTGAACCAAAATGGGAATGCGTATTTGACCACGTCGAGGTCTGTATTTTTACATGTGAGTAGCAGGAGAACAGATACCAAAGGCTTGAAAATCGCAGGCGTTTTGGCGATGAACACACACCAGGCTTCTCCCGCTTCAACGAAAAGCCTTGTAAGTCCGTCCATGGTTTCGACATGGTCTTCAAAATCCTCTATATTTTGAATTGGAAGTATGTTGGACTGCAGTGCCATGAGCTGTTCGTACATGGCCGCTATGACGCTTTCGTCGGCAACTTCTCGTGTCTCCTTCAAAATAGTACAAAGACACTCAACAGCGACGTCAAAAGCTTCTGGATCTGCATCCTGACCTCGATTTAATACATGGAAGATAAGTGACATGAGGCTGTTGATTCTAATCAGTTCGTCTACTGGAAACTCGTAGGCCCAAGAATTGATGCAGTTGAGTAGTTGGGAGACTGTAATTACAGGTGTAGACGACCCCAGGGTATCAATGAGATCGACCAGATACTTCATGACGTCCGCTGCAATTTGGTCTATAAGTTCGTGTGTTCTGGAACGAAATTCGTCCTCACTTAGAGAAGTGGACTTGATGTCAAGTGTCTCTTCAGGCAGAATCTTTAAAAATTCTAACAGCCTATTGGGACACTGGTTCAAGTAGTCGATTATCTCTGCAATGGGAGCTTTCCATTCCAGGTACTGAATTGCGAGTCTTGCCATTGCTACACACAGCTGTGTGACAATCAGTTTCTGCGAATGCTTGACGATGAGGGCCAAAAGTGAGACCTTGAAATCGGCCAATTGGTCGCCAAGCTGCGCCAAATCATAAGTTACCTTATTTCGTAGCGTTTGAGCAGCAAAAACCTGAAACTCAACACCAAATTGGCCTTCTTGCGCAGACAGAATGTGATGACATGTAGACCACGCTTCCGATGACTTTTGGAACACTTCCAAGAAGTGAAGCGCTTCTTTCTTTGTTTCAGGATCAGACTGAGACGTTATGCATTGCAAGGCTGAGTGTACGCTACTGATGCTCTCGGACATGAAGGTTGAACCGGGCCTATTTGTAGAGTTTCATCGTTTGATATGGATCAGATCGCAGTGAGCAGTGGTTGAAATATCGAATGTGCCATTAATTTAAATCATGTTGAACGAAATTTATGGCTAGAATCCGACTGTTCATCACCAGCGTCATCTGCCAAGAGCTTGCCCATACTATTATTTCAAGTACTCTTTCTCAAACATGTAATGTGTTTTCACACAAACCCTTTTGTTTTAGTTTCCAGCCAAATACGTTTTCTTGAATTTATATACTTGCACTGACGCTGTAAAAATAATCGTGAACAAAGCTTCTCACCGTATTGTAACATTATGATCAGATATGTCTGGGTAGTGTTTGTAATCTACAAACTATAAACCTTTCCCAGGCTACTCCACTGTCGCACTCAGGAAGCCCTTTGAAATTAATATGTAAATCTCCAAATAGAATAACAAGGTATAATGTCTCCAAACATTATCCTTAGGTATTCGAAATCTATAAGTTTGGACAATTGTTTCCAGAACCCTCACGACAAAGCTGCTCAACAGTTCGTCTTAGCTTTAAGCTTTGAAATGTAGGGTATATCCAAATCTCTGACATTTTCGTGTATAGTGCCACGAAATTGGGCAAATTGATTATTGTATAGGAAACAGGTCGATGGATGGATGGTCCAGATTTGTTAGTCAACCATAAGTAACAAGCATCTGCGTTATTATAGTCAGAATCTGTCAAATAGTTGCTGAGCGAGCTTTTCCGGCAGTTTTGCCAATTTGAAATCCTCAAAACTGGTCTCTTTTACATATTCTACAACAAATGTCTTCCAATCCTGGTAAAGTAACAGTACCGCCTATCAACTGTATATTCAACTTCCTTCAGCAACAGACACTGGTGACATTTTGGCTCTTTGAGCAGGTCCAAATCAGAATAAGAGGCAGAATAAGCGGATTCGACGAATTTATGAACGTGGTCATAGACGACGCGCTCGAAATACCCATCGACGCCAAGACAGGGTCAGAAGTTCCTGAACAAGCCGTGAAACTAGGCCGAATTCTTCTGAAGGGTGATAATATAACTCTGATAACGCCTGTGTCAGATTAAGGGGGGGTAGACGAGCAGCAACCTTCGGAAGGGCTGTTCTGTCTTAGCGGTGTGGAAAATCTGAGCAAGGCAAATCGTCTTTAGAGATGCTATGCAGCCTCAGGCGAGTACCAAGGCTGTATTCGGCTATGATGAAGACCCATGCAGGTGTCCACACTTTTCATCAACTCACTATATACAGATTTAAACGCGACGAAATAATGCATCACCACCCACTACAGAATCGTATCCATGTCTTGTTGTTTTTGTTTTATTAGGGCTTGGTTTTGAGCTTCTACTTCTTTCGCAAAGCTGTTCAGCTCACCCGAAACGTAGTCCTTGACTGTTGGAAGACCAACAAAGTTGCCACCACCGAGAGACCCAAACAAGGCATCTCCCATTTCTTTCTCGTTCCGCGACTTTGGCTTAGCGTTTCCGACGCTGAGCTTGGTCCTCAAAGCCTCTGACGACTCGTTGGCAAACACCTCGTCTATCTTTTTGAGTAGCTGGCTTTCAGAGACGATAAACTCGTCCGAGACGTGATACAGCTTGAGCAAATTCTCCAGTTTCCTTTCTTTGGCCCTGAGCTGCAAAACGTCGCGATTTTGTTTTCTCTTCATTTCCAAAATTTCCTTCTCCTCGGGCGTTCTTTGGCGCATCAAAGGTCCTCGCAACAAGTTGTCCATTGTTGGAAGCGTCAGATCGCTGGAACGCGATTCGTTCAAAGCAGCCAGCTCGACTTGTCTTTGTTCGGCCAAACTTGCCTCTTTCTTCTTCAAAAGCTCTGCCTGTCTCAAGACGCGTTTTTCCTCCGCTCTAAACGCCTCCGACAAGTATTCTCTACGTAATTGTGCTTTGTGCTGCTTGGCTTCCTGTTGCACTGTCCTTGCAACTTTGGCCTGCTGTGGCTCTGGAACTGTGCTCGAGATCAATTTTTCCACATCAATGATTTCGATGGGTGCCGAAACTCTGTGTGATCCCTTAGGATGTGCAATATTGTCTGCATACCCAACACCCTCTGGACCCTTTGGCTTGACACTTTGCAGTTTTTCTAATACATCTGTTTGCTTGATAGTTGGTCGCTTTAAAATCGAACGAGCATTGGGAAGAAGACCGCTCTTGTAGCCAAACTTAGCCGCACCCTTGCCCATCTTAATGAGAGTGTGACAAAACCCAAAGACTCGATTGAACTATCGATCGTGTTCTTCGAAAGATGTTGGTCAAAATTTTAAACCTTATGCATTTTCGCTAGTTCATTGAACTTCCTCCAAAATTGACGATATGGGTCGTTCCACACGAAAATATTGTGGTTGATCGTTGAAATACAACGAGTTGATACAACAACCGACTTCATAATCGCCTGGATCTATCGGCGTGATACTCAGTACAGCTGGATTGTCTTTGTTGGGGCTCGTGAGACATGAAAGTTGGCCGTTGTAGAGAAGTCTTGTATTTGAGCTTGGAAGAGCCAGTCCTGTACGACGATTGTAGATAATAAACTCGAGGCGTACTAGACCATGCTCGTCCGTAATATGGGTCTCGCTCGTGGACACTTTGGCTTCGAGTCTGACACTTTCACCGAGTAAAACTTTAGCCTTAGACGAGGATAAAGTCACGTGATAGGGCACATCGCGGTGCTGGCACAGTATGTCAACCGTACGAGGATCGATCTTGTCGAGGAATTGGCGGAAATGAACTGTGCCTCTTGTCTTGGTGGTATTGTGGAACTTCCAGTCGCATTTAAGCGACTCAATAAGCATCTCACGACACCAAAAACTACGACGCATTGCGATGAGCTGATCTCGTGTCAGGCCACTACTCACAAATTGACGTCCGCCAACCAACTTTGGTATCTCTTTGGCACCCCAATTGACCGACGGATGGATATTCGTAATCGGGATAACAAATCTCTTGGTGCTGTGGGAGCAAAGCGTTTCTGCATTGCTATGAAAATCACGGAAATGAACAGAGACGGTGGCGTTTTCATCCCAGGAATTGCGGATGTCTATGAGTAGCAGCGCCGAACTATTTGTGTCGAGCGTCTGAATGCTGGAATGCGAATGCTGTAAGAAAGAACCCTCTGTTTCTAGAAGTTCTTTGGATGCCGGCATAACTTCAAGACTTGGCACCTCTAGGCTTCTTCTCAGAGAGATGTTGAAGGGCATGGACAAAGATTTCGCATACACTGAGGAGCTGCTTTCCTCTGTTTTGCATCCATACATCAAATTAATCTCAAATTTTGTAAATTGGAATGGAGCTTGGGACGCGTCGATATCAACCGTCAGCGTTACACTGCTGTTGGCAGGTATTTCTTTCGGCAGATTTCTTATTTTTATGCACTTCTTTTGGGTCCATTCTAGTTGTTTTTCAACGTCAAATAAGTCGTCAGGCGCTAGTTTCTTCCAGTAATCTGCGCTCATATCAGATTCCACATTTGTTACGTGTGTGAACTCGAGGTAATTGGCAGGTTTGCCCAACGATTGATTTCTCAATACAATGTCAAACGTTTGTTTGGTGCCATCAAGCATCATGATACAGTTTTCATCAAGAGTGCTGCTCACAAACTCGATCTGAGGTTGTTCATTTATGACATGAAATTTGAATAGCCCGGATTTTGCGCGCTTGCCGCTCGACGCGGAGTCGTTCTTGCTTTTTTCGGCAGTGACTATGGGGAACAGCGTAGGTGGCAGCCCAAACACACCAACTTGGAGTTCTGTAATTTCATGAGCGGCATCAGTTTTCTTCGTAAATATAACAGGAAAATGAACAGATGCCATAGAATTGGGCTTGACGATGAATGGAAGTTCTCGTCTTACGCTGTCGCCCAAAAATTTGACAAAGTCCTCGTCGCATTTATTAAAAGAGAGTTGAGTAATTTCTAGGTCAAATTTGAAAGGGTTTTGAAGCACAACAACCAATTCTGCTGATTCTCCTAATAAAAACTCTGCAACCATATCTTGATTTTTCGATTTATCTGTCAAATCACGCACACCTAGGTCCTTGAAGGGGTTGAATACCTGAGAGTGTCTCTGAGTACTATTTTTGGGCTTTTGTGAGGCAATGTGTCTCTTTCGAGGTACTTCTCTGTGATTCTCAAGCTGGATAATGTTTAGCCTTCTCAACAAAAAGGGATCCCAGTAGGAAAAATTCCTTTGGTCATTGATGTTGGGTAAAATGTTATTCCGGAAAAGGTTTAGTTGCTCACTTCGCGTGAGTGCGTGGGAGTACTTTTGCAAGAGCATCAACGAAAACTCGCGAACTTTTTGTTTGTTTTGCGTCTTAGCGGACATGTTTATGGCCAGCATGAGTATATTCTTCTGTATGGTCACCCAGGTGCAGCTAGCCGCATCGTTTATCAGGGTTTCTGGCTGCCTATCAATTCGATAGGCCTGAATAAGTGTCAAAAGTATATCATGATGGTCACTGTCTAGAACACTCACGACACTGTCAGAAACATTACGCGGCAGCAAGCTCACTAAAAGGATGCGTAAAATAAAAGCATATTTTCTTTTGAATCCCAAATTGCGATAAAGTACGGCTAGTGATGTGTACACTTTGATCTGGGAAAAGATATTCATCTCTTTCAGCTGTAATTCGAAAAGCCTATTAGCAGTGAGACAAACATCCATTTTGCTAAAATACTCTTTGAAAGAGCACGTACCATTCAAGCTTAGACCTGAAGCTTTGGAAGGCTCACAAAAGTAAGAAGGCTTGAACAAGTCTCTTTCCAACTCGTTGTGAGAATGACAGTAGGCCATGAACCTAGCGATACGCAAAATATGCTCACAATATACAATTTGAGGAGCGTATTCGGTATTATGGGAGGTACTCATTTCATAATAATGTAAAACTTTGTCGCTTATGCACTTGATCAAAAGTGGAATGGCGACAGTGTGTGACTCTATAACATTGAATCTCGAGGATTTGGAACTCAATGAATTTCTAGGAGATTGTATGGTTGCCGAAGAGACACTGTTCCGCTGAGGGACAGCGCTGGCAGAAGAATTTTCAAAATCCTTGACTGAGCAGATGGCAGAGATGATGGAAGGAATTTGGAAGGAGACTCGCAAGTATGTCAAAAGTACCACGGAAAGCGCCAGACCTTCCAAGGCGCTACCAAGCCAAATGTAGTCGTGATATTTGTGCAAGGTTGTCGCAGCTTCTGCGAAGCTATTGAGAGAGTCGAGATATTGTCCTGCCAGCAGTTTGAAATTCCCCAAAATTTTGGTTTGGCGCGCCTTGGCTCTATGTTGATCGGATGATGCAGAAGAATTGAGTGCTAGTGATTTAAGAGAAGCGCTTCTTTTAATGCTATTGCTCACTGTGGATTCGATGGGGTTAGACGTCACTCGCGCGGAAGCTGAGGTCGATATGGCCACTGATGGCTGTCGCATGAGGGAGGTCTTTGTGATGGATGTGCCTCCAATAGCACCGGGCGATCGAAGTGTTACATGTTTGTAGGAGGTATAATAACGGCCCAAGGCCTCTAGGAAGTCTCTGCCAATGTCGCATACAATTGTTTCGAGGTTTGTTGTTGAGGCGCAATAGATGTTTCGATCTTGCGAAAGCTGCTTCCCGTCGAAATACAGAAGATTGTGAGATATAGGGTCTGGATATCTTTTTTGTAGCCTATCGAGCACAATCTCTGGTTTTTGGGCTTCTGCATTGACAAGACCTATTACCACGAATGTTTTACGATACAGCTCGAAATCGTGTAAAAAAAGCGATTGCTCCGCTTCGAATAGACTGGTGTGGAAGTCAAAAAACAGTCTGCCTTGTGGAAATCCTTGTGGATTGAAGTGAGAGTCTTCAATGGGTGTTATGTCGACCAAACGTGCTTCAAATCGTTCCTGCAAGGCTTCCACCTTTTCGGTGAAGTTAGAGCGCGTCCATTGACCAATCGGCACCAGCAAAGTTCTAATTTTAGCTGGGTCGACTAAAGGAAGTTCCTGAGCCATTTGCCAAAGCGTTAGATCACTGACAAGGATACTTTCACCGCTCAACAACTTGTGTAGTAACTGTCGCGAAATATGATCTGGAATGGCGTGAACCTAAAATCAAGTCACGTGATGAATTATTTATTGACCTGTTTGTATTGATAGAGGATTCGAAGGCATAGTGACGCACTGTGGGTTGGAAGTAGCTTTGATACACTCAATTTGGAGCTCAGAAATCCGCAGAATTTTAATCAAAGCTCTCCAGGCTCTAAATTAGCAGATTCAAATTTACTGAAAAGAATTTATTTTTTATTGTGTCTTTGTAAGATATAATTGATCTGGATAGTGAGTCTACTAAAACATACAAAAAGCTCGTCGCCGGTCACCTACGTTGCTATGAATCGCTTGTCATCGTTCAACAAGTCAACACTTAGGGACGATGTATCATTTTATACGAAAATGACCATGCAATTTAGCTAAAAGCGTCTTTTTATCATCTACAATTTCCACAACACCGTTTGCGGCTCCCAATCAAACTGATAAATGCGTGCTCATTACAATTCTCAAAAGCTCCAACTCGTTGTTCTTTGAGTGTACTGAATAAATCAAAAATTAATTGAGCCTTCGAGAATGGTGATATCACCCTACACGAAGGGTCCCAGGTTTCTCAGAAATCAAACCTTTTGCCACCTTTAAAGCTAACACTCACCACGGAACACAACGAATTGGACACACAATCGGCAGTCTAGTACCCGCCTTTATTATCTCACAATGGCAGGTCTATCGTTTGAAAACTATCAGAGAAACCAGTTCCTCGCGGAGCGCTCCAATACCGTGCCCCAGGCCACATCTACAGGAACTACAATCGTGGGGGTCAAGTTCAACGGAGGTGTTGTGATCGCTGCAGACACTAGATCTACACAGGGGCCAATTGTCGCAAACAAAAACTGTGCGAAGCTGCATCGTATGGCACCAAAAATTTGGTGTGCGGGTGCCGGTACTGCTGCCGACACTGAGGCCGTGACAAGACTCATTGGCTCGAACTTAGAACTACACTCGCAGTACGCTTCTCGTGAGCCCAGAGTTGTATCTGCTCTTCAGATGTTGAAGCAACACCTGTTCAAATACCAGGGTCACGTAGGAGCATACCTGATCGTGGCAGGTACGGACCCCACGGGCGCACACCTCTTTTCTATTCACGCACACGGGTCAACAGACGTAGGGTTCTACCAAAGTTTGGGCTCTGGATCCTTGGCTGCAATGGCTGTTCTAGAATCCAATTGGAAACAAGATCTTTCAAAAGAAGAGGCCATGGCTTTGGCATCGGACGCTATCGAGGCTGGTATATGGAATGACTTGGGTTCGGGTTCGAACGTGGATTTGTGTGTAATGGAAGTTGGGAAGGATGCGGAATATCTAAGAAACTACAGAAAACCAAACGAAAGAGAGGCAAAACAGAGAAGCTACAAATTTGCTCGCGGCACGACCGCCATTCTGAGCGAGCGAGTGCTCGACATTTGCCAGGTCGAGGAGGAAGTGATCGATATCGAGCTTGAAGCTTGAAAAACCTAAATAGAATACCGTTATTTTACACTTTGTGCATTGAGACTTATTATTCTGGGATGAAGCGTAGTTAGGGAGGAGAAGCGCAATAGGTGCCGGCAAAGCAGCACCAACAGCAGCAGTAGCGCCAGTTTTACAGCCCGGAAACAATCTTTTGAACAGCCTCGACTATGGCTATGTGTTCTTGGGCGTGCACTCTTTGTTCATACTGCTCCAGAGTTTCCTGGCCAGGAACCAATTCAAGCTCTTTGACTACGACCGGTTCTCCCTGATCAACCTTTTGGATCACGTAGTGCACCATACAACCCGCGGTCAATGGTTTTTGGTCGTCCTGGCACTTTTTCCACGCCATTTCTATGGCATGTGTGGTGCCGTCGAAAGCACCAGGAAGAGCTGGATGCAAGTTGATGATGGGAACTTGCCTAATTTCGTTCAGAAAGTTGGGGCCCAATATCAGGAGCCATCCAGCGCAAACTATTAGGTCAGGCTTATCCTCTAGAATGACAGAGGCCAAGTCCGTCTCAAATTTTTGTCTTGCTGAAGCTCTTGCCATTTTGTCATCTTTCGCTAGACCCTTAGTGTAAGTGAACAGGGAATGCACTTTGGTGGGAATGTTATTCTGAGCTGCTCTTTCCAAACCGTAAGCTTTTTTACTCGACGAAACCACTCTTACGAAGTCGACTGCAAGCTCATTTCTGGCCTTGGCATCGATCAAAGCCTGCAAATTCGACCCAGATCCAGATATAAGAACAACTACTCTAGGACTCATTATGTTAAAGTCACTTACTGGACTGTAGAGCGTCTATGTGACCGAGCAACTGTCTACATGCTCACTATTTTATTGTATGGACATAAATTATCGAAAAGTTCGAATTTTTCAATCACTACAAGCGCGCCACACATTAATTCGATATATACAAAAAAATGAAGAAATGGTGTAGAATTCAATTGACATCATCAAAATAGTAAGCACTGAAACTGTTCTCACAATGCACGCACCTTGATTATACGCAGAAAATTATCCAGGATCAAATCTGGTGTTTTTATACTAGTTTCCCATCGAAGTCTCAGTTGTCGAAAAGGTATCGCGAATACTTTTGTATTTTGTTTGACATAAAAACCGTACACTTAGCTGTACTAGAAAAAAGCGTCTTGGCACACACTCGCTTTAGCTCTGTGTGTCAAGTCGCCTTGTGTTTTGATTCTATTTTCCTCGACGTTATATATTCAATGTCAGTGACAAAATAGTACAGAGTGACAAAAATATCTACGACGACGTTTATCAATGGACTTGGTTCAAGAAAGAGACGAAACGAGGCAGATCGCAAAGTGGATCACGAAAAGTTTATTGATGTCAGAATGAATTTACCATGAATAAAGCTATATATTTATTTATATATATACCGTCCCATATTTTAATTGACTCTTGAATAATACCGCAGTTCAGTCCCTCCAAAATCCTAAAAAATGATACTAATCTCTAATGGAATAGAAAGAACACCCCGCTTAAAGTGCACAGGTCACAGTCCTAAATCATCAATGCCTTTGTCGGTGTTTTCACCATAATATACCGGGTTTCGTATCGTATGTTGTGATTCTAGTTAAACCCAGAAATTGTATAAGCTCATCTGGATGATATCCTACCTAAAATTCAAGCCAAAAGACTTACAAAAGCTGCGTGTTTCGCTTGTTTTCTGTCTCTCTGACCCTATTACCACCTTGCAGTTTCAAAGAGCGTTCCAAAGATGGTAGTTTCGTCTGCAGGTCTGCAGCACGAAATTGAATTTTGCATACAAGAGATGGAACGCTTGAAGGTGACGGAACTGAAGTCTGTATCGCGTTCTGTTGGACTGGCATTGAGCGGGAGAAAGGCTGATCTTCAAGACCGGCTACGAGCATATCTGAATAACTCCTGCAGGGGCAATGCTATCGATCCTTGGCGCCCCAAGACCATACTGCTGCTGATGGACAAAGCAAGACAAAACGACGCTCTCCCGACATATGAGACGGTTTGGCAGGAACTGAAGTCTGGGGCCCTACAACATCATCCAGTGGTATCAGGCCATCAACCTCCGAGCTCTCTGGGGGTCACAAAACATAGTACGGGACCAGCAGTTGTTCAGCAAATTCCCAAGACTCGAGTGGCTATACAATTTAGTGAGTCGCCATTTTATAAACTTAAACGATTGCTCAACGGTAGTCCCAAATTTGCGCCAAAAAATAGTGGCAGAGGAGTTTGCTCGTATCATTTCAGTCTAAGCAGAGAAGAAAATGCACTTCTCCGAAAGGGCCCCGAATTCAAAGTGTTTTTATTTTGCGGAGTACTTTCCCCAGTGCTCGAAAGTCGAGGCCCAAGTCCAATTCAGTTTCCTCACCCCAATGATATAAGGCTGAATAACGAAGCTGTAAAGGACAATGTACGAGGGTTGAAAAATAAGGTAGGAACAGCAAAACCAGCAGATTTAACACCTTACCTCAAGCCCGAGGCATATGAAAATCATCTACAGTTAACTTACGCATTCACGAAAGAAGATTATCTGGTGTACTGTTACATTGTTGAGGTCATTCCACCTCAATTGATCATCGAAGAAGTTCTCCGGCATCCCAAGATTGTCAAGCCTGCAACTCTACAGTATTTGAAGGAGTCCTTGAGCGAAGACGAGGACGAAGATTTGGTAACGACCTCGACTGTGATGACATTACAATGCCCTATCTCTTATTGTCGCATGCGCTACCCTTCAAAATCTGTGCACTGTAGACACTTGCAATGTTTTGACGCTCTGTGGTACATCGAATCGCAACTACAAATTCCTACGTGGCATTGCCCGGTATGTCAAAAGACTGTAAAAGTTGAAGACCTAGCGCTTTGCGAATTTGTTGAAGACATTATAGAACAATGTGACGACGAGGTGGAACAAGTAGAGATTTCAAGAGATGGCCAATGGAAACCCATTTTTGATGATGATACTCCAGCACCGCGTGAACAGAGTAAAGTTCAAGTCAAATCCGAGAATGGCCAAAAATGGGGTTCTGGCGATGGATCAATGCTGGATGAAGACGAGAGTGGCCCTAGTACTGGAAGGAGAGCCGTATCGCAACAAGCCGATCCCGTCGTTATATCTTTAGACAGTGACGATGAGGGCCCGGGACCTAATAGTGCGGTCCCCCCTCTTCAAGATTCTAATATCGCACCGAGCTCATCCTCTGTTTCTGTAGTCCCGCCAACTACGGATCAGCGAAACAATGATGCAGATGTAAACTCTGGTAACGACTCCATCCGACGAGATAACACCTTAGGGAACATTTACGGTGTCTACATGGACTCCAACTCGGATCACCCACCCAGCTTGGATCCAAGACGTGCAAACTCCACTCCATCCGTCAACCGTCATGATACATCCGCTGCTCGGTCACCTGGCGAAAATAGCATGCCAACGAGTGCCACTTTCTATCATCGAGAGTTTTCAGTTCCAAACATACTAGGTAGGACCCCGCTCAGAAATACTAGTGACACGCATGAAGATCGCGACGATTTTAACGACAACGATGCTAGAAGTGACGCAAATGTGTCCCCAAGCCCGTCGGGTAATGCATCTCTTGGGCCAAAACTCTCAAACCCCGAGCTGAGATTGCCTCAAAGAAATGGAACTACATCCATGAACAACGGTTCCCATAACCATGCATTCTCTACTAACACTAATGAAAACGTCAATGACTCCAGTCCTTTTGCGCGATATCAACCTGCTAACTTCCGGGACTATCACTTACCTCCCTTGGATCAAGATCGAAGAGAAGGCAGTAATCTGCTGGGCTTGGGTGGGAGAGCTAGCATTATCGCTCCACAGGACCGGAATAGCGCGATGCCTCGTGATGAAACGCTAGTCAATAATGAAAACGTTGGCCAACAGTACCAAGGCCGCGAGGCCCTTGATCGTGGAGAGCTAAACTCAGCTGAAGTCGACAGTCCAACAACAACGCAGGGCTCTGGCCCAGTTCGAACTTCCAAGATATCAAGCGACCTCTCTTCAAATTCACGAAGATCACCGGTACCGCCACCGCTACCACCTGCGCCCCAAGCTCTCAACAGAACTTCACTGTCTACAAAACCAAAGGAAGCACCACCTTTGCGTCACCGAAAGCCAATCGTATCTCCATTCATACCTAAGAAGAGTTATGCCAATGTTCTTCCTCAAAAACGTCAAATATCGAGTGAATCAACCAACAAAGTCAGCGCACCTGAAGTTCCTGTTCGTTCCGGTCAGACAACACCTTTCACGGATGACACGCTAAGCTCCGTTTCTCCACACCCACCTATTTTGCACCGTTTTGACGCTGATGAACTGGATTTCATCGACTTAACCTCGGACGAGTAGCTATATAGGATTGTAATATTAAGCAAAATGTTTTCTGGTGATAATTAAGTCGTACGAGTAACTCTTTTATCATCATAATCGGACCGCGGTTCTACTTATATAAAAGGTGTACCGACCCCGACCTTCCGCGAATATTTTGCGTACTCCTGGCCAAAGAACTGCAGAAGATATCTTTCTTCGAAACGTATTCGACCGTTGAAAAATCTCCACAATACTACTGTGAAAACAGCAAAGGAGAGGGGGTTGAGTAGCCACAGTTGGCTTCCAAGCGCCCACCAAAAATATCCAAAATAGCTAGGGTGACGAAGCCTAGCATATATACCGTCTGTGACTAAGGAATGATCTGAATTTTGACTGGTCTTGACCTGATGGGAGAACGAACTTCCTGCAGTTACCATTGCTGCCGTTCTGACGTATTGACCAAGTATTAAGAGTGCAAGTCCCAGTACAGAGATGAAAAAAGTGGTGTTAGAATGCAAACTCGATTTCCAGCTGGGATAGAAGACAGACTCGATCAGAGCCTCTGAAAACGCTAAGGCATGTGAAAATAGGTAAGCCTTGCCGTTATTGAACAAATACGAATCCTTGGTGACTTTCCCCGGGTTGAATCTAGCCGTGACGTAAAACTCCAAAAAATGAAAGATTGAAACGGCAATCAGGTAAATGTTTATATTCTTGAAATTCGTATAGGGCAATAAGCCCATGAGAATTCCCACAGCTCCGCCCAGAGCGAATCCAATCAAAGATATTTCATCCAATGGGTTTTTTTCGATGTAAGGGTAGACTTTTCCTTTGATAATGACGCCAACATCGACAATGCCGTCGAACTCTTCCCCGTCCAGCTGTACAGGATCAGTTGACATCCTGTGATTGTTTTGGATGATGCAAAAGAACGGGAATGGGACGTGTTATAGCTCTCGACAGCTACAAATCGATAAGTCCCATCTTGTTACCTCATCTCATGAAATCTATTGGGAAATTTCGAGACTTTATTCCTGTCATGAAATACGTCCCAAAGTCCGCGCCGGGAAGTTTATGCCAACTCCAGACGTTCACTTGGGAGTTGATGTGGACCACTATTTTAGGCCGTAGAAATACCCCATCTTAGCTTGTACAACGGGTTTCGTTGTGAAGATTAAAACACCGTAAACTGCAGATTTTATTTCCACAATTCACACATCCAGAAATGCTATTGTAACCACCACATATGGAGCAGGTTGTGATCACCGGAAGCACTTTGAAAAACTTTTTGTTGTAGACGTTGTGGAAGACAATGCTGCGATTTACTTGGTCGAGGGCATCAACATGACTCGACAACGGTCTCCGCGACGCCAGAGTCTTCTTGAGCGCCACAATCCGGTTAGTGTTCTTCTTTTTCACAGCAGGAGGCTTGGTCGATCTGTATAGAAGTTCGATGTTTTTTGGAAGTTCGAATTTGTTCCTGCTAGACCGGTTGACGTTCGAGATGGAATCACCACCAGAATCGGCACCTCCACTGGAATCGATCCGGTCCTTACTGATGCCAGTTATGCTGCTCATCAGAAATGGCACGTCTCGGATGTCTTGAACGTTTTCTGTGTCGAGTTCCATGAGTCTCCGTCGCGATTTCAGTAGTTCCTGCGGGGTATACCTTTCCAAAGCACTATTGGTCGTCGTGATGAAATTAGAGGTATGAGAGTCACTCTCTTTACCATTTTTTTGAGCGTATATCTTAGCCTCGAGATCTGAGAGCGAGTAGTTCACCCGTTTGTTATTTCTGACACCAGATGCGGTTGTAGTTTTGGTTATCCGATTTCTACCAGAAGGCCCTGTGGCGTTCACACTGGTAAAATACACATCTGGCCGATGGTTCTTGACGTTGATCTCCTCCACGAAAGGCATAAATTACACAGGTAAAGGGGTGTTTGACTGGTCGTTGGCACGTTAACAAGAAGGGTGTTTGATCTTGGTCGGCTAAACTACTATTTCAGGTTCAATAAAACTACTCAAATATTACAACACAAGATATCTTTTTATCCTTATAATTCTCCAAATCATCACTGTTTTCAACAGTTGGTTTCGTGGTCTAGTCGGTTATGGCATCTGCTTAACACGCAGAACGTCCCCAGTTCGATCCTGGGCGAAATCAATTTTATTTTTGACAATGACCAAACAGTAAGTTACTTAAAAGACACTTTTTATACTCTAAGATCCAGATGTGTTGAAGACTAAAGATTGAAGATTATCTTAGCAATGGCATATATGTAGATACATAATTGTATTTCTCACAGCTTGGACCGCGAGTTTTGTTCTTTTGTCAGTAGTGCGTGCATTTCGTCCGCTGCTTGGCTCAGGTAGTAATGAAGCCGAGATGCACTTAGACCACTCGCCGCGGGTTTGTTAACGATGTTAATATTGAGCCAGTCCTTGTTGAGCATGTAAGCCAACCCAAAACCATTGTCGTTCACTTGGGACCAGCCATACCCTTCGAAATATTCAGAAGAAAGTTGGCTCGTGGATATCAACCAGGTCGAGGAATATTTGAATAATGAGTTTTCGAATAACTCCGGAATAGGCTCTCCCGAGCGCAGCATGTTTTTTAAGCCAAAGAAATGACGATCGACTCCGAGTCCAGCAGACGCGGCCTTAAGGTACGATGAATGGGCAGCGGCAGATGCACGTAGACTTGCAAGCTTTTCTTGATCCGTAACGTCCGGATCTTCCCAGTCAGCAACAAACTTCGCAGATTGTACGCTGACAGAACGACCAGTCTCAGTGCGGCCTTTGAAAAACCGTCTGGTGGATGCAGCTTCGTAGGTTGGAAGCTGTTGACGAAGGTATTTGTAAACTCCAAGCTGAATTATCTGTTGAATGAACGCATCTGGAGAAAACCCTAATGTTTTAATGGTGGCCTTCCCGTATTTATTGTAATGCCATACCTTCAAATCGTGCTCCGTCGTTACAGCCAAAAATTTGGAATGCGCTACTTGGATCTGATTCCTGATGGCGGGAGTCACCAAAAATGGCAGATGCGAATTCTCGAAAGCATGCGATGACGGTTCTTGATTTATTTGATCGATAAACTTGTCGGCATCCATATTTTGAATATGACGGCAAACAAAATCGTTCAAAAGAAGCGTTGGGGTACCATCCATTTTTGAATGCTCGGCAAGAAACGCAGAAACGCCGTTTTTAGCCACAAAAAACTGTAGGGGTTTGTCGAAGAACCTATTGACGCCGTTACCGTGCCAAGCGTAGCGTGCCTTCTCCTCCAATGTGACGGGACTGGTGTCCAGGTCGAGACAAACTATGAAGAGCGATTTTTGAATAGCTTCGAGGGATTGCTGCGAGACCATATCGGATTGCAATTGTTTGTACGACTGAAACCATTCATTTCGAGGCAGCGAGGTCAAAGTTCCGATTCCGGAGTTCGTGCTTTCTTGAATACTGGCACTACGCACGTTCACAATGTCGTAGAGCTGTTGCCAAATTGCAGAGGGTCCTAAGGGCTCGCCATTCTCGTTGTGGGTCTGCAAAGTGTAAAAATTTCCCCGTAGAGCGACTGTTATGAAGTTTTGCTCATGTAAAGAGTAAAATACGTTCGAGTCTCTTCCTTCACCAGGGATCCGGGAATTGTTGAACATCATATGGAAACTGTTCATGCAAAATGGATGGTCTTTGGCCACGTCAGCCGGTAAGGCCTCATCTTTAACGGCCTCTAGGAATCTAATCACGGCCATGATTATGGCCGTGGATTTGATCAGCGGGTCTGTCTGGATCTTGTTGTGGGAATTGGTTAGCGGTTTATGCACATAAAAGTACGACACGTAAGGAATCACGGGATCGTTGTACTCCAAATATGCCTGGTTGTCCCAAAACTGTGACAGCCAGTTTCTGGAGCTCTCGGCGTATTCCTTCAGCCGACTCTGAAGCTGCGAACCTTTCGTCTCGGCAAATTCGGAGCACAGTTTCTTCTGTTCTTCTAGTTGCTCTTTCGTGCGACAGTAGGGCCTTACGGTTTCGATGTATTTCCGCAGTGTTTCTTCAAGTTCTGGGACTGGCAACGACGGCATTTTGTGCTGGTTTTCGAAGGTAACGCCTTGGAATCCCTTCCTCTTTTGCTGGTAGAAAGCGTTCGGGTGCTGTGCCCAATAAAACTCGCCATTTCGAGTTTCAAACGGGAATCTTTGGAGACTTGACATCATTCGTCTCGTTATTCTAAGGGTCTCCTTCATCCACAATAGGCACTAAATAGCGCAAAACAAGAATTGATAGTCAGAAGGCTCAGAAGTCTCGATACTTCTATGTGCCAACTGCCTCAAGAAGGTCAACTCAAGTGTCCATCAGGAGCTTTCAAGCCTTTATATACGTTTCTTGCCAGAAGTTTCGAGCCGGTCATTTCACAGGTCTGCTGTCATGCGAAATATTGGAAATGATATGACCCTTTAGAACGATAATTTGGTAAACTCCAACGCCGGCGACACACCCGTGAACAATGAGGTTATATCTAATGAAATGTAGAATGAGATGAGAAGGGCCAAGTTGAATGACTGAGTGGTCAGTTATCGATGCCGAAAACAGGTTTGGAATCTTTTGGTATTTTGTAAGAATCCTTGGAAGTTCTGCAGCTCACATAATTTTGGAAATTTCGCACCACTGTTTTTATTTTTTCGATTTCATGAAGAAGAGACCAGCTGAGTTTTGAGCTGGGGTTGGAGTGCTAGATACTCTTGTGGCATTAGATACAGTCTGATTCTGCTGAAGAAAGAGTATCATTCTAGGAATAAATTTTCATGACACAATTGGCAAGCCTATTTCGAGCCAACACGCCGGCCGACACCGCGAAAATTTAAATTGGACGCAGGACTCGTGGCATCATAGGTAGCAGCGCGTGCAGCCCTTAGGTCGGCCATATCTTTTGCATTTGCGTTTGCATCGGCTTCCTTGTCTTTGCCGTCGTTTTTACTCCCCAATTTGCGGCCTTGGCCCTGGTAGCTATGCGTGTTCTTGACAATCACGTTGACGGTGCGTCGCTGGTTATTCACCAGAAAGCCCCAAATCGCCAAGAACCACCTGGGAGCCCGGAAATGGCGGTCGTTTACCAGTCCGTACCCTGAGGCCTTACTCCGAATATAGCCGTACAGGGGACCCAGCGACCGAGTGTCGAGACAATTGTATACGTAAGCCACAACGAACCCCACTGCTATCAGAGGAAACGTGTGCTGTTCGTCGTCGAAAAGATACGACAGAAAAAGTTGCAGCAGAGGGTTATATTTGCCCTTGATCGGAAACAGTCCGTAGAACATCAAGGATGTGTTCCAGTTTTTGATGCTCCAAAGGCATGTCAATGCTGCCATGAAGCCGTCCACGAGCGTGAAGGGACAATCAATTCGCAGGAGAGTCACTGAACACACAAGACCCGTCAACAAGACACACAGCAGATACACGTATTCGGTGTGATCTTTCCCGTGGAAATGGTAATTTTCTAAGTGCGATGAGTGCGTGTAGAATTCAAACAACGTGAATAGGGTGGCCAATTTGCCCTTTCTGATAATCAAGGGCCCCGTAATCATACGCCAAATCTGTAATTTCAGGAAGGTCTCGTAGGGCCAGAAATAGAACCAAACATCTGACAAGATTCCTGCTCTTAGAAGTGTGTACAACACGACGATCGCCAGCAACACGAAACGGGTCACAGGTGGGATCTGAGCCACTAATTGAGCCAGCTCATTTTGCTGAGTGGATTTTCTTTGGTTTGGCATGACTTGGACGCCTATTTGGGCAGTGATGAGATTCTAACACGGTCAATGTTCACCTACAGTTCGAGCTAGCTTCACCAGGTCTTGAACACCTCTTATAATCTCTATATTTATATATATATATGGTCATCGTCTTAAAAATAAAGTCACGTGCTTATTTTACTGATGTCAAGACGAAGTTCGCTCAACTCAGTGTTTCCTTGAGCTCCCCACAGGCGCTGGCTATCAATAAGCTTGGTGTAGCATCCGAATTTTTTAATTGAATAGCTTTGCTTTAATTTCCATAAATTTAACGTTGTTTTCGGGGACATACGTTTCCCGTGGGACGAACTTCTTCGTCGGAATTAAAACAAGAGACCTGTCTTTTATTGCATTTCCTGCAATATTGGTGTTTATTCTTCATTCAAATGTAGGAAGCAGGTTATAATCAAAATTTGATGGTCTCGAATTTTGCGTCGTCCAGCACATTTGCAGCATATATAGCGTTGAACAAAAATTACCATCAACTGCAAACGATTGGATTGCAAACAACAGACGCAATATGTTATGTATCTGGTGGAGCTCGAACCTGTGTAGAAATTTAGAGGTGCGACGTTTTTTTTCTCGAACGCGCGTCTACAATGTAATATTTCATTCACAACTTTGCTCGATCCTGTTACCATTTCCAATATCTCTCTTCAGGTTTACTACACCAAATTTACAAGCTGGATGATATCCAAAACCTACGCTGTGTTCCCATACTAATTTAGCATCTCAATCTAGAGATCTTTTTACAAGGTGAACAAGACAGTAGTTTAAAAAATTCAGCGAGAACAAAATCTCTAAGAGAGACAAAACTCAACGTCTTCAAACCACGACTTCAATTGATCATCAGGACCGGGAACATCGGATCATTTCACAGCTCGTTAGCTCAGAAAATATCCAAAAAGTGTCAATTTCCACTATATCAAAAAATTTTATATAGGAACAACTCAATCTGATCCAGTCCCATCTCATCTCTCAGACAGCGAACTCAGTTACCGATCCTAGACCAGGTAAAAATGGGACCTCGTAGTAACAGACAGATCCTTACACAGGGGAAGAATTATGTGGCAAAACAGGCGAAGAAATATGGTGCCGATGAGGTGAATTTCGACAAAGACTCCAGGCTGAACTATCTGACCGGCTTCCACAAGCGAAAACTAGAGAGACAGAAGAAAGCACAGGAGTTCAACAAAGAGCAGGCAAGGCAGATGAAAGTGGAAGAGCGTAAGAAAATGAGGGAGCAACGTAAAAAGGATGCGGAAGAACAGATGCGAAAGTTTAAGGAAACCATGAAGGAAGTCGGCGACTACGTGGGGTCGGACGACGAATTTACCAGCGACAAAAAAGAGCAGGGCCAGGCGAGTGACCAAGAAGAAGACCAGGACGCCGAAACGCCCTGGGATGGGTTTTCAGACAACGATGACAGTGGTTCAAAGTCAGAGCACCACGTGAAGCCTATTCTTAAGAAAACTCAAGAGCACTATGAGGACGACACGCAAGTGGACATCGAGCCTCTAGAACCGAACGAGAACTTCGCGTATCTGGCATCGCGGAACAACGTCAAGCTCGAAAAGTCTGCCGAAGTGTTGGACGAGAGCATTGAGCGTGCTGCCAAATACGCAAAGTTCCTTGGAATGGATGACAAGCCTAAGAAGAAGAAGAAGTTCAGGTACTTGACCAAGTCTGAGAGAAGACAAAACCAGAAAAAAGCGAATATGAACAAGCGCAGAAAATAGGTATTCTATCTACAGCTTTCTTTTCCTTACTTGTCAGCACCTACTCTGGTGGGGGACTTTATAATAACTTGTATTTTAGGTAATTGATGTTTGCGGATCGGAGGACGCTATAATGCACTCGTCAGCAAAAGCTATTGTGTGCCGTTATTCTTGAGCCTTCTCCAAACCTTCAGCGCTGGTAGCTTCAGCCTCTAATTTGAAGAATATCCACACCCACCTTCTTACAAGCTCGAGCGCTTGCAGAAAAAAGATGTTTACCTCACCTTCAAACACACTGGCGCCACTTGTAAGCTCCCAAAACCATATAAACCGAAGAGTAAAATCCACGACCATGGCCACGTAATACGCAAATTTAGGATAGATCCTGCGACTTCTCAGTAACTCGTTACGTTCCATGCCAGGAGAACTAAAATTGAAAATGCCCAAATTCCAGTCCATTGTCAAGTCCCACCAAAACCCGTAAAGTGAACTCAGTAGCATGAACCAGTAGATCAAATTTTCTGGTTTTTCGCCAGGGTACGCTCTTGAGTAAACAGTGCACATGAGTAGCGGCAAAGACAACGAGTATTTGAAAGCGTTGAAAAGCGCATTGAGGGCCTCTTTCGAAGAGTTTGATCTTTTCCATTCACGCAGGCATTGCAGGAGACGAAGCATGACAGGTGAGATGCCGATCATAAGGTCTAGATTGATGGACAAGCCCAAAGAGCTGCGGGTCACGATGCATCTTTCATTTAGAGGATTCTCCATTAGATGGCAGAAATAAAGACCAAAGTCAATGAGCGGCTTGCCGTATGAGGTCAATGAGTCCGTGATCAGAATGTAGTTATTTCTGAGAGGTTTGGGCTCGATGTTGCCGAGACACAGGATCTTTTTGAAACAACGAACCAGCATTGGAGAGTTCGAAAAGAGCACAGCAAAAATAGTGATGAGTTGGCATACTGGCTGAATGTTCAAAAAACACACCATCCACGTCTCTGGAGCGTATTTTTGGTCTGCATTGCATTGCTGCAGAAGAACGCATGTCAGTATGTGCCAGGGCACGATTATTTTTGTGACCTGAGCAACCGCACGGTGAGTAGACTCGACCAGTCTCGATGCTGATGGACGTGGAGTGAACTCTGCAGGGTCATGCGAAAGTACCAATTGCGATATGTCGATGTGATAGACTCTGACCAAGATGGACACTTGCCAATACCAGAGCCAAAGCCCACCCACTACAAGAACAATACACCGTTGCGGCAGTGGGAGCAGACTCTGGAACCTGGAGAGCTCTTCTGTGGCCATTGTTGGTCGCGTCGCGTAGTCGGAGTTGATAATACTGTAGTCTAATTTTGAACTCACTAATGACAGCTAGCTGAAATACTTATAGAAAAACAACATCACGAGTGTCGGCAGCTCTACAGTTAAGAGCCTAGATAATCACGTCCCATCAAGATTCGTATGACTTTTCAAAGGCCGCCCGAGTAACTTTTGGAAAACCCGTGGACTCTACGTACTTTCAGCAACGTATCGATTTCTAATCCTTTACGCGGGACATGTCCCGCGAGATCATGATTAGCATGGAATCTCGAGTTTTGTTCATCACCAAGTTTCTACGAGTCAAATAACACGCTTTCTAGCGGCGGTGTCAGAAAGAGGAAAGTTACTACGCGAGGTATGCAAGAGTCAGTGCAATAGAAGATAGATAAAAAACCCTATTGAGGAGGCGGAAACAAAGAGCCACAGCTAGCTAGCTTTCTAGCTAGCCAACTTTTTAGCTACCCGGTTACAATTTTAACACACACACACCATTGATCAGAAACTATTGTGTTTGGCTAATATGGTCGAATCGTTCATAATTTCGAAATCCGTTTGGGGCGACAACATGTCATCATAATGGCAGGAAACTTGTGTGTCAAAACATATAAAAAGGATGCTGTTAGGCTTTGCAATTGTGTGTAAATGCGTATTCACACCTCAGTTTAGAAAATCAGGATGTCTTTAGTTTGCATCCGTTTCTTATTCCTCCCCTCTCGGTTATCTCTTCTACAGAGGACGCCTGTCCTCTCAGATCACAGTTCTCCGAAGAGCCAGCGGGCTATTCAAAGTACGAGTGCTCGATGGTCATATATCTACAGGGTTCTTGTTAACGCTGGCTTTTTGATTAGTGGTGTTTGATCAACGTACTTTAAATGAATCTGTTGATCAATTTATAGTCCTCTGAAAAATTTCAAGAAAAGCATATATAATAACAAACAGGTCTTTAGGGCTTTCGAAGTGTCATTGGAAACGTTAGCGACGTCAGCCTTAAGAATACTCAACTCTCGTCCATTAGCGTCCTTAGTTTAAGTCTGGACTTGGAAACCTACTCGTGGTTGGTTTGTATAGAAACTCACAGTGTTTTAGTATCTGTAGGATGTGTTTGTTAAAAAATATCAAGTTTGTAAGGTGTATATATTCGAGATGACGTTGGCGTGTCACAGCGTTACTGCTTTCCCACTAGTGACACGCGACTGCGAATGGTGAAGGCAAGAGCAGGGTCCTCTTCATTTTCGCCAATTCTCGAAGAAACAGCATTAAGACCATTTTCGCTGTAGAATGTGTCTCTCTCTTCGTGGAAATACTCCACGTCCTGGAAGGATTCCAGCCATTCGCTCTTGCGAAGGATGTTGGCGACTGGGGCGCCAGGAACAGGGAAATAATGGCACAAGGCAACGTACACCAGAAATGACACGGAAAACCCGACCAAATAGTTGAGATAGTAAAGTTTGATGGCACCCATAGGAACGTGTATGTTGTCGCCCACGGTTCCCACAAATCCAGGCATGTTAGGAACAATTCCTGCCAAATAGGCCACGAGAGCCCTCCAATTGACGCCGAAACGGTTTCCATACATGTAGACGGAAATGTGCTTGTCTGCACAGTACAGCTGTTGCAAGTCGAGCTTGCCTCTCCGGACCACATAGTAGTCGGCGACCATTACAGCGGCAATGCAACTCAAAAAGATGGCATAAGCACCCAATGCCGTCGTGAACTTGCTGGAGCTTGAAAGAAGGTTCCAAGGACATATGCACAGGGCCAGAGCAGCACAGATAAACCCACCGCGTCTGATGCTGATGTATTTGGGCAACAGAGCAGTCATGTCTGTACCAGCAGACAAAGAGTTAGCGCTAATGTTCGTACCTAGCTGTGCAATGGCAAATACAAAGGAAATGAGGAATACGCCTGCGCGCTCGCCCTTGGTAAACCCGTCGCCCAAGAACCTGTCTAGAACGTCCAGTGGTGACCAGTAGTTGATGTTGTAAATCTTGTAGGCCGCAGAGGTGACTAAAATTCCAATCAGAGAAGTGATGGCAAAGAAAAACGGAATGGAGAAAGCCTGGGAGTAGGTGGCAGAGAGTTTGGTCTTGGAAAAACGGGAGAAATCTGGGGCATTGACAATCAATGTGGCGAAATTACCAACACACGCTAGGATGGACTGTATCCAGGCCCAGCCACGTTCGCTAGAGGTCAAAGCAGGGCCCTGGACCAGCGATTCGAGCGCAATGTGACCATGGGACTTCTTCAAAGCCCAGATCAGAAAGCCAAACGCCGCAAAAGGAACCAAAGCCGCTTTCACGGTGAACAAATGACGAATTTGGTGTGGATGGACATACACGAAGGGCAGTTGGCACACCCAGAAAATGAAAAAACACATGAACTGGTACGTGGTCGCGTTGGGACTGCCAATATGGTCGGGAATGCGGTTGGGAAGATCGTTTCCGAAGATACTTTTCAACATTAGCGACACTGGAGACATGGCAATCCACGTTTGCACGGAATACCACACAATGGCCATTACCACACGGTTTAACACGGGCCAGAGGGAGAAGAAAATACCGAACGACGCTCTCGCGGTGATGGGGAACGAAATGTGGTAGACGGACCCGATTCTGGACACGCTCACGACAAAAACCGCGACCAGCGAGTAACCTATCCACACCGTGATCCACGTTTCCCACCAGCTGAGACCCAGTTGCAGACCCGTGGCTGCCACCTGCCAAGTGTTGATATTGAAGCAGTCTGCAATCCAGAAATATACGAAGTTGAACCACGACCACACACGGCGCTTGCTTTCTACCGGCTTCAAGTCATGATTGAACAGAAATGTCTCTTTGATAGTTTCGTTGGATGTAGACTGCTGGATTTCTATCGCCCTCAGCACGCGCTTCCACCATACTTGTTTTTCGTCTTCGATATGACCTACTTGGTCTGTGCGACTGGACTCATCGTCGGAATTCGAGCTTATTATATTTTCATTAGCGAGACGTTTTTCCTGGTTAGACATGGTTGAGTTTGACGAGTCTTGACACAGCCCAACTCCAACAACTGATAGACAAACGAGAAAACAATGAACATGCTAACGTCGCAAGCGTTCCAGCTAAATATCCGGTTCTGTCAAACGCTGTCGTCCCCTTACCATTACTTTTCCCTTTTTCTCTAGCGGCAACAAGCCTCGCTATCAGGAGTTCCTCCTATCTCTATATCGTCGAGCATATTGCGTTGCGTCGTTTCCTTGCGTTGCTTAGCGTACGTAGCCCTGGATAACTAACAGACAGACTCTAGGCAATCACGTCCATTAGCGTACCTGGTTAAACTAAAAATTGGCTATTTCGTGCGCGAGTTTCTAAGGCGTCACAACATTTTTTTCTATCGTCGTTCCTCTTACTCTAACTTAATCAACTATACAAAATTGCGTACTGTTTATTCTGAACTATAGGCAGTAAACCTACTGTCTGAATGGCGTTACAATAGCGCGGGATTCGGCTAGCCAGCTGCTGATAAGGAGTTTCTCGTTCGGATGATACCGATGAGAGGCATATTAATTATGGATTAACTATGGGAGTTTAGGGCTCTTCGGCCAGCTCCGTCTGATACGAAGATAATGGATAATGGTCCAGTATATGGCCTCAGTTGGGCTATCTAAGATTAGATAGACGGGAGAAGATAATTGGGAAAAATATGGTCACGTGTGGATGTAGTGGAGTACCCGAAGTCGACGAAACTATGGACAATGATACCTTTGAAGAAGTCAATAAGGTGACAACGCTTGCGTTGTGGCATGAGTTATTTCTGGGTATTTTGATGCCCTTTTTGATGCCCACAAGCTTATCAGTTCCAAATTGATTGCAGGAAGAAGTCGATTCAATTTTGCTTGGCAGTTCAGGCTCGTGTCGGCCCTGACAACCGCTGGAAACAACATAACCAGGGGAGGAGGATTTGCTTAGCAAATGTTAGCAAAATTTTCGGTTTTCGTCAATGGGCCACTTTTGGTTGCACGCCATGATTAACAGCCAGTCCCTTGCAGTGAAATTTCATCGCCACGGCTGCAAAGCTGTGAGAGACAGTAGAAAGTAATTGAAATAGCAAACTTGCAGCCTGGTCAAACGCAGCTCATATTGAATAGAACAGTTTTATCGAAACCCGTTACGATACTATCATTTGGCGAAGATGGTTGTTTCTCGCTGGCGCCAGGTGTCTAATTTCAAATATGACACTTTAGTAAAAAGTGATGTCATGCGGTGAGAAAGAAGAAGCCAAGATGTGCCACTCCCAAACGCCCTCGATTCTGTACATAACGTGCAGACACGAGGTGCGAGCGTAACTAGACCGCGTTGAGAGTGTAATCGGGGTGTATTTACCACCCGTCGTTTTAGCACCAGATCACGTGCACAGACCCTCTCCCGAGCATTCAATTCCGTTTGCGTATCATGATCTGCAAACAGCCATGACTGTCTTTCTCTAGCATTTGATTCTACTCTGGAACATTTGAAACATCGATTGCAAAGAACGGAGAACAACATCTCGTAATGACACGGCAAAAACACCCTAACATAAGCAAAATGAATCCGAAAAAGACAGCTGGAATCAGGAGCGCATGTCTTCATCTACACAATTCCAGTCCCTACTGACCTCTCCCACAAATAATCTTCCCGCCTCGTCTCAGTTCCAACACTCTCTAACTAGTCATTTATGCACGTGATAATTCATGTCATTTTCCACGAGCATCAATCCGAAAATTTTGACCATCTCAAAAGATCAGAACACTGGTCCCATCGAGACTCACATCTTGAACACGCAGCTAGAGAGACCACGCGGCCACTAATTGCATCCACATGAACCTTTTTAGAAGCCTGGGATCGTCAGTAAGGCGAATCCCGGTGTTTTCAGGCTCTCAGCATGCTCGGCTGCTGACAACGGGCTTCCGTGCCTTGCAAGTGGAAACTAAGACAGCACCAACCCCAGTCAGTGTTCGAATGCTCAAAATTGTGCCCAACGACACCGATCTTGTCACTTTGGAGAAACAAGATGCCTTGATCAAAAGAAGACGCAAGCTTTCCAAGGAAATTGTAAAGCTGAAAAAGCTAAAACCGGTTTCCCCAGGTCTCAGATGGTACAGGGCCCCCATCTACCCATATCTGCACAATGGGCGTCCCGTCAGGTCTTTGACGGTAGCCAAACGATCTCATGGTGGTAGAAACCATTCTGGTCGTATTACTGTGCGCCATCGTGGTGGTGGTCACAAGCGTAGAATCCGTTTGGTTGATTTCACACGTTTCACTCCAGGCGAACAAATTGTGCAAAGAATCGAGTACGATCCCGGCAGAACGGCACATATAGCACTCATCAAGCATTCATCGACCGGAGAGCTAAGCTACATTCTTGCGTGTGATGGTTTGAGAGCTGGCGACGCCGTCGAATCGTACAGAAGAGGTGTTCCCGAAAATCTACTCCAAGAAATGGGTGGTAAGATCGACCCTGCTATTCTCAGCGTGCGTACCGCTCAAAGAGGTAACTGTCTCCCTATATCGATGATTCCAGTTGGTGCAATCATTCACAATGTGGGTGTCACACCCATCGGACCCGGCAAGTTCTGTCGTGCCGCTGGTACATATGCGCGTGTGATTTCAAAATTTCCAGATAGAAAGAAAGCTATCATTCGCCTACAAAGTGGTGAGCAGCGTCTCGTTGCATTGGAGGCATGTGCTACGTTAGGTGTTGTGTCCAACATCGATCACCAAAACCTTTCGCTGGGTAAAGCTGGTAGATCCAGATGGCGTGGCATCAGACCTACAGTGAGAGGTGTGGCAATGAACAAGTGCGATCACCCTCACGGTGGTGGTAGAGGTAAATCGAAGTCCAAGAAACTTTCGGTCTCTCCCTGGGGTCAACTGGCCAAGGGTTTCAAAACTAGACGTGGTAAGAATCAAAATAGAATGAAGGTCAAGGACAGACCGAGAGGTAAACAAGGAAAGGCTATGAGGCAATGAACAATAAAAGGTATGCTCATTTAGCTTTCCCCCGGAAAATCCAACAAAACCTGTCTATAAAAGTCAACTTTACCCTGTATATAATACCATTATCATGAATCATTCACTGCTTTACCTTTTTTTTTGGAATCTCCAGTTGCCTAGCTCTACAGTAGTACCTATTATCAGCTTTACGTGTTCAGCCATGTGCTCAAAGTTCAATCGGTCCAGCGTGTCCATGGTAGTATGAATATATTTGTTCGTCTTGGAAAACTCACTCTCGATGACCAATGCCGCTGGATACCCGTTTTTGCTTGCGCTGCTATGATCACTGCATGCATACCCGCACTTGGTCTCGATGAAAGGAATATCTAGATACTTGTCAATCACTCGTTTGATAAAGTCCGTCAAAATAGAGCTAGTAAAGTCAGTGATAACACCCACATGCTCACGCTTAGAGTTTTGCACATACCCAGTCATGTCTTGTTGGAGCATCGCAACCACGGTCCTGTTCTCCTGAGCATAATGCGTGAAAATGTCAAGCGACCCTAAAAGACCGCCTTCTTCCGCCGAATAGAAATGGAACTCTACAGTATTTCTTGGCCAGTCTTGTGTTTCGTTCAGATACTGTGCATAGATTCTAAGTGCCTCGATATTCGTCACTGTTCCTGAGCCGTTGTCGTCGGCTCCAGGTGCCGGCAGCGTAGATGGAAACAATAAGTTCATGGAATCCTGGTGAGATCCGAATACTATGACATTTTCTGGAGTTTCCGTACCTTTTATTTGCACGATGATGGAAAACTGTTTCCAGTCGTGATGGTCGACGTGGAATTGAGCTACTCTATCACCTAACAATATTGTAACGTTTCGCAGTTTCTCAGAGAGCCACGTTGCAGATTCAAAGCCAGACAGCGACTTGTAATAACGCGTGTAGAAGCTTGTGAAGAATGCCAAGTCGTCATACATGGCATTGGTATCGCATTTTTGAACAATCTCGGTCACTTTATGACCATTGACCAGTTCTGTGGGGTACAAGTACTCTGGGACCTCCAGACCCTCTTCTGACTTGAAAAGCGCTGGAAAGCTAGTGATATCGAGGAAGTTCACGCCCTGGCGTTTGAGTAGCAGTTTCTCGTGGTCCGTCACTTTCAACACCTCGGTTTGGGAAACCTGTATCGTACGCAATTCCTGGTTCCAGAAGTGTGGGACCAACCAAGAAACTAGCGAGAAGAGTGTATCTAATCTCATCTTGTTGAACAGATTAGGGAAAACTTTCCATCAGGAGCTCTCCCAGTAACTCCTATGTCAGTTATGATTTCAAAGCTCAGCTGTAAGACCCGGTATCATGTATACGAGGTATATGTCTATTCCAAAAAATTAGTTTTATGTAAAACCCCGAATCTAAGGAAAAAAGATAAGTTCAGAATATCACGTCGTCTTCATGCTCGGCAAGAACGTCTGGCGCATCTTGAGTTTCCTTGGCTTCAGTAGAATCCGACTTAACTTTCTCGGCTGCAGTAACTTCGGAGTTGACCTCTTTTTCGGCAGTGCTCTCGGTGTCGTGTAGGGCAGATTCTCTTTGCCGTTTTAATTGGGCGTCGAGCTCCGCTGTTTGCTGCTGCTTCTTTTCTTGCACCTTCTTCAACCTGTAGAACTCTTCTCTATCCAACTCGTCAAGCTCACTGTTGATGTAGGCAATCGTGTTTTCAGTACGTGGGATGATGACGTGCTCAATGGCGTTCACTCTTCTGTTGGTGACTTTGATGACCTCGTCCAAGATCACAAATGCAGTCTGCAACGAGGCCAGCTCCACCAGAGTCTCCACGGCCTTGGAGTAGATCTCCTTGGCGCGCTGCACTTGCTGGCCACCACGGCCCAGACCGGTCAGTTTGAAGTCGTTGATCTCCGGGTCGATAAAGCTCTCGAACTGGGGCAAGTACACACCACTGACGTTTTCTTGACGTGCACGCACCTTGAACCTGGCTGTTGACACGTTTTCCTGCACCTGGTATCCGATGTTTTCACCAGTAGCGTAGCTGACCTCTGCGAGCGAAAAAGCTGCAGTTTGCATCACACGGCCCATTTTCTGTTTGGCATCGTCGATCCGCTTCGTGATGTCCCGAAACCGCTTCGTGAGCGCCTCAGACTTCCTTTTCAACAGCGAGTGTCCCTGCGTGGCTCCCTTGAGTTTTAACTTCATCAAACCCAGCGTCATACGCGTAGGGAAAACCTGTTCTCTGTTGGCAGACATGGCGAAAGTTCTAAAATGTCCTAGTAAAAACCGAGTACGAGAATACCAACTACAGTGAGACTGAGTACGTTGTGGTCCGTGACGCTTTGGTTGTTGGATCGGTATGGTTTTGACGGTGATGATTGAAGTTGAGCTAGATTCCCTATATCTATCTCCAGACCGTACAGGGTGGTATCACTCTGAACGTACTCGGGTTCTTCTCGAGTACTCGAGTACAGACGCGAGTACTTTTCTCGAGTACAGGGTTAAAGAAGTACTCGAGTACATTTAAATATATTGGCAAACCAATTAAGAGGAAATCGCGTCGCTTCCATACACCTGGAGAAAGCTCATCGGCATATTCATCTACATCTACAACTACACATTAAGCTGGTGATATGAACGCGTCGATAACGCTTTTTGTGACCAGCCAAGAAGATCTGGCATTTGAGTATGAATTGCAGTCTAATAATGACGATCTAGTGGTGTGGAAACGGTATTTGGAGCATCGAAAATGTGCAGAAAATCCAGCCGCTTTGGCTTGGGTGTATGAACGCTGTTGCTACCATGTTCCTGACTCTGATAGCATGTGGCTAGAATATTTAACATGGCGTGTGTCGCTACTGGCAAGGGTCAATCCAGTGATCTTCGTGGAAGAATTTGTGAAATGCAATCAGCTCTTCGAGAAGGCCATGTATGTGTGTCACCAGAATGTGGACGTTTGGGAGCTGTACCTGCGACATTGCATTTCTCAACAAAATTTGGGTCTGATACGGAAAGTGCTGAACGAGGCTCTGCGAAATGTGACTCTCGAGCATCACATCCGCATGTGGACTCCGGTCGTAGAGTTCGTTGAAACCCTACTTCAGGAACATTCAGAAGACCATGACCATGAGCCAGATCTGGACTCAATAATCCAGCAGTCACTTCAGGGCTCCTCCATCGAGGCAGATCCGGTACCGAAAGACTTATGGTCGTCCCATTTGCTAGCCCGATATTTTCAGGTAGCAGACGAGTGGGAATACGTGCTTCGTCTTGTGGGCCTCACCGGCGACTACCATGTAATATCAAAACTATACGAAGAGAAAATCATACGTCGAAAAGACGTCAAACCTGTCCATCAGTCGCTTTTCAGCTACTACGAGCTATACCTGAAAGCTATCGAACGCGCGGGCAGCCACCATCAATATCTCCATGCCATGACCAATTGCCTGGAAATGTTTCCGGATCAGAGTCCAAGGTTGGTAACCACGCTCAGCATGTATTACATGAAAATAAAGGACTTTTCCATGGCAAGAAGCGTCCTGCAGGACTCGCTCGCATCTACCGCTACTACCAAAGCTTTTTCCCACATATATGACTTCTTGGTGAAGTTTTTGGAAGTGTATGTCTCAGGATGTATGCACCTGGCACAACAAACAGAAACCCCGGAGGAACAAGCGCGACTGGACCACGAAATTTCATATAACATCGAGCTTCTTGAACATATGATGGAAACACACCCCATTTTGCTGAACGATCTAAAGTTGAGACAAAATATTAATGACGTGGGCGCATGGCTGGACAGGGTTTCGTTGTACACCCTGGCGCAGGAGAAATTAAATGTCTACACGGATGCCTTGATCAAAATTGATCCCGAGAGAGTCGAGCAATCAGGAATATTGGGAAAATTATGGTGCGGGTTAAGTGAGCTTTACATTAACACCAAACAACTCGACTGTGCAAGAGAATCTTTTGACAGATCTACTCGAGTGCCTTATAAATTCATACAGGACCTCGAAAGTGTATGGTACAAGTGGGCTGAGATGGAGGTGAATTGTGGTCGCTCTTCAGAAGCAAGAAAGATTTTAGAAACTGCACTGACAATCCCCAAGTCCCCAGAGCTTTTGGTTGACAAATTTTACTCACAAAAAGGCAAAGTTCCTGTTCAGGCAATAATATTCACCTCAATGAAGCTTTGGTCATTTTACATTGACCTTCTTGAAGCATCTTCTTGCGCGGCTGAGGTCTCAAAAGCTTATGAACACATCATCGCTCTCAAATTAGCAACCCCGCTTCATTTCCTCAACTACGTTCAATTCTTGCAAGGGCAAGAGAGGTGGAACGAGAGCTTTAAAATATATGAGCGTGCTCTGGCTATTTTCCCGGCCGCAGTTTCTTTGGAAATATGGAACTTATATCTGAAGGATTCTCTAAAGAGGTCAAGGCCTGTAGAGACAATGCGGGATCTTTTTGAACAAGCCTTGCTTCTGGCCGGCAGTGGCATAGACTGTTCGTCAATATTCATCCAATACAGTGAATTCGAACAAAATCAGGGCATGGACAAACGATGTGTCGACATTCTGGCCCGCGGAAGCCTGGAAACTGGTGAAGAAGCCTCAAGTCTCCGACTATGGGCTCTGTGCCTGAATAAATGCAAGCAACTCTTGGGGCTGGAGAGCTCGCGCGCGTTGTACCAGAAATGCATTCAGACGTTGCCCAACCCCAAAGTGATGCCTTTCGTGCTAGATTTTGCACAGGTGGAGGAAACACTGTCGGACGTTGCAAGAGCTCGAGCTGTGCTTCACTTTGGCGCGCAACTAGCCCACCCGGACTCGAACGTGCAACTGTGGGCGCGCTGGAACGATTTAGAGCTCAGACATGGTGACAAGGCCTCATACAAGGAGATGTTGAGAATCAAGAGAGAGCTTTCAGACACAATGAAAGTCTCTACTGAGGAGGTTTCGAAACAAGACGGTAACGTGGAGTTTGTGGCTTCCAAGGTTGGTTTAAACAGCAAATCGGAACAACCTCAACCAACACAACTCAATCCGGCGGAAATATCTCTAGATATCTAAAGCTAGCATAAAAAAATAGAAAGAACTGAGACGGACGATTATAGATATAAAGTACGTTTTGGTTGACAATCATGTTACCTTACTCTAAGCTTTCAAGCGTTGTTCTCTACATACTTCAGTACTCGCGCAATGCAAAAAGAAGGAAATAACGACAACTGCAGGATTCGAACCTGCGCGGGCAGAGCCCAAAAGATTTCTAATCTTACGCCTTAACCACTCGGCCAAATTGCCCTATTTCGAAAGTGTAATCATATCAATGACTCCATACCGAAGGCTGATTTACACGCATCCTTAGTGGGGTCTTTTATATATCATTTTAAGTTACTTTGTCATTGAAATTAACGAGCTAGTCATAACAAGTTTGGAAAGCTATCAAGATCGAAACACCTTCTTTCTGACGCAGCTTTCGACAAGAGGACTCACGCACAAATCCCGAGAAATCCCGGTTACCTCCCGAATGTTCCTTTCCACATGTCAAATGTAAAAAATCGAGGATACTTAAAATCGGTTTTTCCCCTCAGTTATAACATCTCAGTCTTTTCTAAAACAGTTGGGTCCCAGAAATATAAGATTAGCCAGTACTTATGGTCATCGCTACGACGTCAAGGGCGTCTTCTGGCACTCTCATTTTGTTCGCAGAGTAGAAATATGTCACGTGACCATAAGTAGTACCAATATCTACTAAATAAGATCGAAATCTACCGATGTGATGCTTTAAGCAAATCTTGACCCGGTTGGAAAGCTCGACCTTGAGCCAGGTACTTTACGTATGGGATACGTCTTCTGGCCAAAGTCTTTGGAAAATGGAAGTTATGGATCTAAGACTGTTATAGGTGTCAAGGAGCCTGGTTCCGATTGGATGGTGCTGGCACTTCTTGGAATTGAGGAATACGGGGCATTTTGCAAGTCGAAATGCTGTCAAAAATACGGATTTGCCAAAATTGGAACATGGCAGAAAGATTCGGGACTAGTGCTGGAATTGGAAAATGCAAAATCGACTTTTCTGGTTCGGTTTAAACCTCCAAGGCTCAATTTGATGCAATTTTATAGCTTAGAGCCCATCGCATTGGTTCTGCCCGAAAAGGATTACCTTATTGACTCGACGGTAGGCAAATGCCACCCAGTGGTACGACAGACGAGATCCTCGGGCAACGCGGAGTTTCGACTGCGAACATCCATCAATCTCATAAATCTCTACCATAAGCATCTGCGACTCTTGGAAACAAGTGTTTCCCGCCACATGGAGGAAGTTCGGTCCAAGAAATCGCTCACAATGGGTTTCACTTGGTATGAAACCGCTATTTATCGCAAATCCCGAGCGTTACTTCGATGTTGTGCACTCTACGTGACTATATGTGCCCATTTTTTGGCTGTCACCTTAATCGGCTTCCTCAGTATGACACCATTGAAACTAATCAACATTTCAGCCACATCGCAGCAGATAGACCTGCGATGTCGACAATTGTGTTATTTCCCGGTACAGTTTCTTCGCATCAACGCAAGCGCAGCTCTCAAGGACACTGTAAACCCCCAGACGGAATCCGACATGAGAGCACCGAAGCGATCAACTTTCCCGTGTAGCAACTATCCAGACTACATCAGATTTTACAACACCATATGGCTGATCGCAAACGACTTGTCTTTCGGATTTTCTGTGGGTACACTGCTAGCAGAGAACCAAGACAGGATAGCCGTTTTTCTGAACACCGTATTCACCAAATATCTGTTCGAAAAAGTTCACCTCATAACTGCAGCTCTGAGTCAAAATCCCTTGGGCATTAAGTTAAACGGAGAACTCGCTCAGTTTCTGAGCGATCTTTTTCTGTGGATCATCGACTTTTCGTATTCCACGTATATCAGGCGCATTACAAGCACAGTCAGCATTCGCATTTTCATTAGCATCATTTCCGCGGCGTCTTTCTGCTTCGGAGCTACTTTCGCCATGGCAATCATGGTGGACTTGATATCCTTCCTCACCATGCACATCTCCCTCTTTTATTTCATCAGCGCTAAAATGTACCACTGGCAGCTACACGTATTGCAGACGCTTTTATACTTGTTTTATGGCAAAAAGCGTAATGTTTTGAGAAACAGGGTCGACAGCAACCTGTTTGAACTTGACCAGCTGTTGATGGGGACCCTTTTTTTCACTATTTTGGTTTTTCTGCTGCCCACATTTTCGATATTCTATGCCTCTTTTACCTTGCTACGTATGGCTGTCCTGGTTCCAGAGCTACTTTTCGAATTTTTAATGGCTTTGATGAACCATTTTCCGCTTTTTGTCCTTCTTCTGAGAATCAAGGACCCCAAACGCATTCCGGGTGGCATTTTACTACAGCCGGTCCAAAAGGGCCGCGAGTTCAAACTTGAAAACAACCCGCTGACTTTAAAGGCAATTTTCCGCCCATACTCGGTGCTCTTAAGCACCATGATCGAAAACCACTTTTCACTTCCGACTTTGCGTCACATACTGGTAGGACATCCCATGACGATAAAACGGCATAAAATGTACCGAATTTTATATTCGACCCTGCCAGAAGTGCCCGCACAGACCCGTGAAATCTGGGCATCCTTGACAAGCAAATACTAGGAAGCACTATCAAGTTTTTCGAAACTTATTTTCTTCTTCGATATCTATTTTATTATTATTTACATGATGAGAACGGAGAACCATTGATGGTGATTTAACGGCCGTGAAAGAACCCGTACACGGTCTCTTTCTCACCGTGAGCATACGAATGCTACTACTTTCTCTTCTTGGTCTTTCCTTTGTCTTTGCTGGCCTCTTTTTTCTTCGTAGGAGCACCCTTGCCTCTACGTTTCCTGGCCTCGTTCATTAGCAATCTATAGTCCTCTTCCTGATCGGCAAACTTGAATCCTGGATACAACGTCTTGAGATGCTTAAACTTTAGGAAATCTGGGTTCCCGTAGTAGCCTGCAATTGATGGGCCTTTCAGTCTTTTGGCAAGAATTTTACCACCATTTCTCGTCGCTGTGGGATTGAAGTTTTGGTTAAATATCTTCGCCGATAGGCTAGCTACTTCTAGGAGCCTTTGCTTTGGTACAGACATCGCTCGGCTGGTGATACCAAGACGTTGTGTTCGATGTTGAACACTCATCGAAACCTCTGCATTTCTATAGAAAATAAAGCATACTTCAATCGAGACGTAATAAAGTGCATCACGTGACCTTCGAACGCTGATTATGTATTCAATTCAATGGGACTTTTACGCTGTCACAGCTGGTTGGAAACCTATTTCTCAACTTAACAGGACCTAATGTACTTCTGGCTATGTTATTGAGGTTTTCGACGCGTTTGACGAGGTCTTTTTTTTATGAACATGGTTTTTACAGACATCAATATAACGAAAGAATTTAATACTAGCCTTGGTCGTTAAAAACTTAGAATAGGATGTTTATCGCTTGACTTCTCGAAAGTTTCGAATGGACCTACTGATGAATGCTACTGGTAGATTCAACATTCACATTATAATGCTTTCTATCCAACTTCTGGGTCTTTGGTGATGTCGCTAATAAAGATTGTCGAAAGGCATAATAAATGACAGTGACACTAAATTAAAATACGAATCATAGCCTACTTTGACGATAGGGTTCCGGGTTCTGTGCGTCCAAGAATTGTGTGAAATGCTAATCGCAGACGACAATTTCAATCCGTAACGAACAGTACTTGTTGACATCATGTTAAACAAGATTCATCAATTTATTATATATAATTTGACAAAGGATAAAATTACTAATGAACAAAGGCAAGATCGGTGGTAATAGAAAGAGCCTTGTGTAAACTTTACTAAAAATGGTTTCATTTTATTGGAAACATTGGTTTTTTATTGATGTTGTTATTTGCGCGGAAAATCCCATATCCCCTATGTGGAAAGTGCTTACCAGGAAGCAACTTCCTCGGTGTTACCTTCAGCCCAGTCGGCAGCTTCGGTTTGCTCTTCAGCGACAGCTTCCTCCTTGGTCTCTTCGTCCTCGGCAGGAGCGGCTTCCTCAGCGACTTGCTGGTCAACCTCCTCTGGGTCTCTGTAGAAGTACAAATCTGGCATGATGGACCATTGTTGAGTTCTGTCGACCAAAGAACCTCTTAGTCTCAAGACCTCTCTGGCCAACAAGTACCAGATCAAACCGATAGAGTGTTTACCCTTGTTGTTGCATGGGATGGCAACGTCAACGTATTCGGAAGGAGAGTCCAAGTCGGTCAAAGCGATGACTGGGATGTTGACGTAAGAAGATTCCTTGATGGCTTGGGCATCGGATCTTGGGTCAGTGACGATCACCAATCTTGGTTCCTTGAAAGAACGGGTGATGTAGTTGGTGAAAGAACCTGGAGTGAATCTACCAGCGATGGCAGTGGCACCGGTGTGAGCGGAGAACTTTAGAACGGCTCTTTGACCGTAAGTTCTGGAAGAGATGGCAACAACGTCCTCTGGGTTAGGGATGGCAGCGATGATTCTGGCGGCCAACACGATCTTTTCCCAGGTCTTACCGACGTTGACAACGTTGACACCGTCTGGTCTGGTCTTGAAGACGTATGGCTCTTGGTGAACCTGCAGAAAAACAGTTAGTAAAAATGGGACGAATGGGAATTGTATGTGGGAAGTGCAACGGGCCCTCGGGGTGGGATTGGCAGGTGTAGGTGCAAAAACAGAAACTCGCGAGATTTGCACTTATGAAAGCCTGCTGCTGGATGCTGGCGTCGTTCAATTCTGGCTCAACTCTGTGCGTAATCTTGCCTCGTTCTCGTTCTCGTTCTCGATCTCGCTCTCTTGCTCTTGCTCTTGCTCTCGCTCTCGCTCTCGCTCTCGCTCTGTTTCCTCCTCGATTATCCCTGGTGTCTGTCTATCCGTGTCTCCGTGAAAGCCGTTGCGTTTCCATCATCGCTCGAATTCAACATACTTGCACGTTCTTGGAACCCAAGTGAACGTTGGCAGCCAACAACAATTGGGCGTCTTCTGGGGTCAAGTCAAAAGTAGCTGGTAAAGACATTGTTTATCTTGCTCTTGCTATCTGTCGGGGCTCCGTAACAATACAACTGAAATCAAGCAGGTAATTCGCTCTTCTAACTAAGGTTACTCAAAGTTAATCTTTCAAAAATTTTGTCATAGTGGTGATGTTGATAATTTTTCATCAAAGTTGCGGGCTAGGCAGAGGCTAGGCAGGAGCTAGGCAGAAGCTAGGCAGAAACTACATCGAGGCTGGGCAGACCCAGCTACGACAGTCCGCCTAGCTCCCATGCTGGTTCAGCCTAGCCTCTGCCTAGCTCCTGCCTAGGTCTAGGCGGAGAGCCCGACCTCCCTAGGCGGAGCGCAGGCTGCCATCGATCTAGAAAAACATGCAGCCATCTGAAAAAAGCCATCACGTGTGTCAAAATGATCAGCTGAGCGGTTAAATTCGCGTGCATTTTGTTCGCGGACTTGCGTGCCGTGCGCGCGGGACGGGGAGAGGGAGGTCTAGGCTGGGGGTGAGCCTAGGGGGCTAGGCTGGCGGTCCTGGGCTAGGCATGGAGTCACGTGGTAATGGTCCTTTCAATATCACATGACCTTAGAAGGAGCGGAAGGAGGAACATGGCGATTTTTCACGTTTCACATGATCTTAAAAACGCTGGGTGTTTGTGAAAAATTGTGGATGTCTGGGTGTATCTGTTTGAGCAGTCACACGCCAGAACAAGAAAAGGCGGAAGAGAAGAGCATGTGTACTACATCATGTGAGGACTTTATCGTTTCCTGACACAACGTCCTAGGAAGACATTGTGGGTCTGGCGCTCGAATACAGAGCTGTGCGAGTTGTGTATTTTCCTGTTAAAAACACTTGTTTTCTATTGACGAATTTTTAGATAATTGCACGGAGTGCTAGCGTGTGCGGGTGCGGGTGCGTGTGCGTGTGCCATGATATCGTCGATTTCGCTTGCACAATTAACTTTGAAGCTTACGGACCAGCATCTCAGATGCTGGTGAAGATCGAAGAACTTAGCACCTGTCGCACCATCGTAAGCTTGTTTAGCCATCCTGACACGAAAGTACAAAGTGACAATATCTCTTGGCATTTGATGACGTAATCTTATAAACAAAGTGACGGAATAGTAAAAAATGATAAACTATATGGCTCGTCAAGGACACGGTGGTGGGCACCAATGGTGAGCATCAACGAGTTTCATGCGATGTTTTCTGGTTCTTGATGGGACTCTATACTAGCGCAAGCTTTCAAATTTATGCCGAACTTTAAAACTGAGATGATATTTTTACACTACAATTCACATCGGACTATCAACAATTATCAATACAACACCTGTTTTACGTCTTTCGCAATCCTAAGTTAATCAAAATGACGTCCTGCAACGTAATCTGCTCGTTCCTCTATCCCAAACCTCAAATATCGAACGCTCTCAAGCCAAAACATCTGTTTGTTCCATAAAACAGTCGCACTTTTTCAGCTTCTTCCGACACATAAATATGAACTCCCAGAATACTTAGACCGTCGACTTTAATTCCTTCTATCCCAATGCCCCCACCGCTTCATCAATGGCGACGTTAAGAACATGTTGGCGTGCTCTAACGGATTTCAAAGTCACTCTGTACTTTCCTGACATGCCAAATCGCACCCAAAAATTGGTAATTTGCAGTGTTAATCATTTCGGACCCAACAATGCCCGCTAGGCAAACTCAACTTGTAGCCACAACTGATCTGAAATGGGTGCTTGACTGGATTCTTACTCTCTGCATTTACAGGCACCAAATTCCTCAAAAGTTAAAATATTCCTTTCTGCCCTTTTGAACACTGGCCGTTCACCATCGCGATGATGCAAAAGATCAGCGAGCTTTTTAGGTACAATGTAACACAGTTTTTGATGGATGCAGTGCCGCGTTTCTCAAAATCGAGTGATAAAGCAGTACGCCGTGCTCTGACCCAAAAAGCGGGCGTTGTCGCAATATGTATATCTGCATTAGCAGTTTGCATTCTGCTTCCACTTTGGAACTACTTAGCCTTAAAACGTTGGGCTTTCAAGTTAAGACACTACCTCAGACACGACGTGCTGCGTAAATTACACTGGTTTCGTGGCTCCCGAGTTTTCCATAGTCAGTCTTTCAGAATATGTCTCTTCTGGTTTCTCCTGTCCTCGATATGTTCCCTGGCTGGGGCTAGAGGTGACCTCATCCAAATTACGAAAAGACTGGGCAGAGTAGCAGTTGCTTTGATGCCGCCTCTGCTATTCCTCACTTTACGACCCTCTCCCTTGCCCCATACCTTATATTTATCACTGCTTCCGATTCACAAATGGATTTCGAGAATCGTGGTCCTCTTATCCACTCTGCATACCCTGCTTTATTCCTGGTATTTCGTCAGGCATAAGACATTTTTTGCCAAGATCAGCAAGCCTGCCAATCTCTGGGGCGCTATAGCACTTTTACTATTTGCATTTATTGCCGTCTCCTCTTTGTCACAAATTCGCAGGTTCAATTTCCAGCTGTTCTATTACACGCATTACTTGGCCACATGGATGACCGTTTTCCTAATTCATTTCCACGCAAGGCCGCCTGTTCCTTATTACACTGCAATGAGTTGTTCCCTACTGGTTGGCCAAATTGCTTACAGGGTTTTTCGCACTACTAAAGTGCTGGTTTGCGTGAATCAAATTTCTCCTAACTTGGTCCTGGTCGATTTCCCCATGTCTAAGCTTGCCAAAAGGCCTACCATGCCCTCGGCGCATATTCGGATGGCACCATATCATAGGTTTTCGCCATTAAGAAGAATTCTACAACAATGCGCTCCGCTTCAGCACCCTTATACCATTGCCAGTCTTCCAAATGATGATAACGTGAAACTCATAGTGCGCAGTGGAAAGTTCAAGCTTCGCAATAATTCTCAATATCTTCTTACCGGCCCTTTTGAGCCTAAGCTGGACTTTTTATCCAAGAGCAAAAGGGTTCAGCTCACAGCTAACAACTTTCCGTTCCAAAATCAAAGTCCTGCACTTTTAGCTTCGCCACTCCATTACAATATCGATGCTCGAAGGGCTCTGATCATCACTGGAGGAAGTGCTATATCATTTGGATTGCCATTATTAAGGATTTTAAATTTCAATGGTGTAACAGTACGTCTGAAATGGGTCACAAGGGACTACCGCGACCTGAGGTTGCTCAACCACTTTAAAAACAACTTTGAAGGCCTTGAAATTTACATTACGGGGGACGAAACTGATGAGCAAGATTTGCGTATCGACTATGTTGATTTCAATGACGAACCATCCGATACCTCTGACTCTTCGAGCCAAACAAAAAGTGGATCCCAGCAATCTGATCAAGTATCTTCCCCTTCAAATAATTATGGTACTTTCAGATCAACTGGTTCATCGGACGCAAGCATAATGCAAAACCAGGGACGAAGCAATCAAGAAGATGAAATTGATTTTACTCAAATGTTTAGCGCCCGGAGCACTAAAACCAAGAATACGCAATCGACGAGATCGGCATCGACCCAATTTCACAAGGAAGATGCCTTTCGTAAACCTTCCATCGTTGTGCCGCCCCCCAGCCAGAGTGATAGTAGTCAGGATGCAAATGAAGCTTCTTTAAAAAGTCTCAAAATACCTGCCGGTGTTAAAGTGTATTTTGGTCGCCCGAATTTGACTAATCACGATTACCAGTGGTGTTTGGAAAGGGAGTGCATAGGCCCCTCTGACACAAATGACTGCTGTCAACCAAGTGAATCAAAAGCACACGTTGACGATTTGTGCCGCGTTAGGGTGATCGCTGCGGGTCCTTCTCAATTAGTCGAGAACACAAAAAGATGGGCCAATGATGGAGGGCTACATTTTCACGAGGAAAGCTTTACACTATAATCGATCCTACACACCTGCATTTTATTAAATCATAAGCGTTTCATAAAAGTATAAACATTTCAACTCATTCTTTGCTTTGGAAGAGCATTGAAATCGCAGTCAGGCTGCAAAATCCGTTTTGAAAACCAAAGGATCTATCACGGAGTACTCCCTTCCATCTTCTCTCATAGAGAATATGCGCGTAGTTTGAATCGCTGCCGCACTACCATCCGAAATTGCTGAATACAGCTCTAGTTTTTTTTCTCGTTGGGATCGCTTTCGAGAAATAAATTCATCAGATATTTGATTCATGATATCCTCTAAAATTCGTTTGGAAAACAATCCCGTGCCCACAGCGGTATCCATCTGATCCACTAGTTGTCGCCACTTATTTGCTCGCCTCTCGCTTAAAAATGGGTCTGAGAATGCGGGCGCCAGTGAAGATTGATGTTTCTGCAGATACTCTAAAGCGACTAATTTTTCTTGACGCTCCAGTTTAGAGGACTCGATAGCCAGTTCCTTGAGGCGAAATGAAAACTGTTCCTCAGATCTCATCCCGTATATGAATTCTTGATGGCTCGCGGGGTCCATGATCGAAATTTTATTAAACATCGTTTGCAGCTCCTTTATCGTTAAATCATGGGCCTTCAAAGAGCTTCGCTGTCCGAGCCAAGCCTTTAATTTTGAGTTTTCCACCCAAGCACCTACGCTGGGGACAAAACGATTCTTGTGTAGCTGTATTTTAGGTCCATAAAGGGAAGGGGACACATGATAGTCATCTCTAAGAATCGTTAGAGTGCGGAAAGGAACCCGTACCGGTAGGCCATGATACATGGAGAGACGCAATGTGAAAATTTCGGTGAGTAGATAGCTCTTTCCGGACCGTTCGGACACTAATCCGGTTTCCCTGTTGAAAGATGCTATGTCTGGGTGGCTCGCCTGATCGAGCTCATATTGTTGTTGAAGTCTCACGTTTTGCAGCACGTTGGAGGAAAAGCCGACCCCGAATATGTCAATGTAGAATCCGCTATCAATGTCAATAAACCGGGCGTCAACACTATTGAGGTCATCAAGGTGGTCTCGAGACGCAATAAAAGGCTGAACGTCAATGTAATACCTACCAGTACCCTCTGTGGCAGGTGCAATCACCAGACTTTGATTATAATGTTTGGCTAACAAGCTCAAGTCCCGAACAGGCATCTGAAAAGTTTGTGACAGGCTCCATGGAAACTGCGAACCGGTGAACAAGTAACCATGCAGTGATTCGCGAGCAAGCCACGATGTGAGACCTTCTGAGCCCGCGAAAAGAAGCCAATTTCTGATGAGAGCGTTGAAAATCCGCTGTCGTTGCCAGTGGTCATCGACAAAGCCCGAGAAGAACCTTACATCCGTCGAGCTTTGGTACTTGCCACCAAAGTTTGTGAGCTCCGAAGTCTCGCGAAAGTATTTGAATTCTGGGTTGCCTGACAATAAGTGTTCCTTTTGAAATATCAGATTATTCAGAAACATTTGTTCATTTGATGTTAAACTCCCCTGAGAGACTAGCGCTTCTATTTCATGCTTGACGCTGAAGTTGAAATTTGCGAGTTCCGCCTCCAACAAATACTTGGAAGAAACTCCACCGTCGGTAAACGTTTTACTAGAGTTCATCAGCTTATTATATTCAGTGAGGGGGTCAAAGACAGCCGAGGGTTCAATGATTGAAAACTCCACCTTTTCATGCTCAGTGGAAGTGGATGGCGTAAAAAAGGGTTTCAGTAGCAAGCTATTTGCAAGAGACTCGCCGAAAGCCATCAATTTAGTGCCTAGTCTGATGGATTGGCCATCTCTTTTCAAAAATATCAAAGAAAGAGGGCTTAACTCGTGGTGATACAAGAACGATGCAGACTGCAGCGCCAGCGCTTTTGAGTCACATTGACCTTGTACTTGTTTGACTCTGAACTGGATTGGAGAGTCGAGGCTGGGTATGCAGAATTTCGATATGAGGTCTCTTGCCAAGTTTACTTGAGGGAGCGTTTTCCATTTTCCGCCAGTGTGCTCAGCGAACTCCTCAGCAAAAATGTCTTCACATCGAGGGCCGTCGGGTAGCATCACCTTATTCAACTCAGACCCAAGGTCCTTCCAGTCATACCAGTTAAAGGGTGCCTCTTGCAATTCAGGATTGTCGTGCAAATACCGGTAATAAGCAGCAATTGTGAACCTGGCATCAAATCTATACTTCGTGAAAGGCTACATATTCTGAGTGTTTCCTCGAACGACACTTCGGTCTGAGCACACCTCTTTCCACGTTAGATCGTCGTTTAAGGGTCCACCTTTCAAAAGTTCCGAATCATCAAAATTCCAGGCTCGAAAAAAGTCCGACATTTGAGCCTTGCTTACCAGCTTGATAACTTTATGTCCACTTACCTTTTTGACGGCACTGACGTAGCTCTCCTGCTCAATCCCACTATTGAATTCCCAACTTCCAAGGGCTATTAGATACAGCGACAGCAGTATGGTCAAAGAGCCCAGGAAAGCACTTTTCCACAGTTTTGTTGCCCTCATCACACACAACTAGCTACTGGAAGATGGTAGAAACATGGAGGCTATCTAGACTACCGATACCACTGGGTTAGCACTTCAGTTCGCTTGGCTTTATCTCTCGCTTGGACTCTATAATACAACTTATTCAGTACATGTATCATGAATCCTTTCGTACTCGAGCTGGAAGAGCCAAGATCCTAATAGCGTTCACTCGCACAGGCCATACAAAACCCTTTGTATGTACTCAATTGCAGGCTGAAAATCAGCGCAGATGTCCTTTGGATAGCTGAACCAACAATTGAGCCCCCCTTTTGGTGTGGCGACGGTTGAACAAGTAAAGACGTCATTGATGCCTTGGGGCTCATTGAAAAACGCGTCTTCAACTATATACTTGTCGTCCTCCCCGCAATCAAAAGATTGGTATCCCAGGTTCGTGACTTCGAAGGTGGAAGCAGGATAACGAGCCTCGACTTTGGCCAAAACATATTTCTTGACATCCACGAGACTCAAAAGCTTTATCTTTTGCAAGGCATCATCGTCATTTTTCTGAGAGACCAATTCGCTGTTTAGTGATGCTGCAGTTTCCCATAGCTGCGTGAGTTTTAGCAGATCCCTGAAGAATTCGCCGCCCTTTATAAAGTTACCGAACTCCATCATTGCAGGGCTGGCACCGGTGATTTTCTGAAGTGATTCTCTTGTGCTCATGGGAATGGTTATTTTGATGCACGAGCCCTCGACCTGGGATGCAGGAACAGTTTGAAGGGAGTGCGCAATAACCGCGGTGATCAATGACGTTAGTGATACCTTGTGCGATTTGCATTTTTTCAAAAGTAGCTTCAATTTCGAACTTGGGATGTTGAGATTGAGCTGAAGATTGTCATTCCGGATAGCCCCTGCACTTGTCAAAAGTCCTTGTGGAAAATGGTACTTTTTGAATTTCAAATCCTCATCGGTCAACTCCGGTGCAAGCACTTTCCAAAGAAGATCCACCTTGAGATACGTCAACAACACCATAAAGCGGATACAAACGCACAGAAAAATCCCCGCAAACGAGTATTTAATGCTGTCATACAAGTGCTGAGGAACCTCGAACTTTTGAGCACTTGGTCTGTACACCACACCATCCAACGGGCCACTATGCGCGGGATTGTTTAAATTCGTCATCATGGACTTCCAAAAAGACACCGTCGACATTCCATCTGCGATCAAATGGTCAGTGCAGAACACAAGGGTGCGACGATCTTTGAGTGCAAGGATCTTCCACAGCGGTTTTTCAACTCCGAATGGGAAGTTTTGGTTGCGGAACACGTAGTTATTGAAGTCCTCACTCATGGACTCGAAATCTACGGTTTCAAGCACATCCAAAACCGTGATCTGGTTACTCAAAGATCTCAAAGTCACAGTTCCATGTTCTTCAAACGCATTAGAGTAAAGTTGCGGATATTTTGAGATAGTTGCCTTTATAGCGCCTTCCAACTCGTCATTTGTTGGTGATTTCTTGAGTCTAATTGCGACGTAAAAACAAGAATGGTAAGACAGTCCACTTCGGTAATAGTAGTACTCTTCAAGACCGGATAGAGACTCCATTGTTGCCTAGAGAAGGTAGTTGTAGGATGCCAAGAATTTGTTGTATCACCCACCTTTTATCGCAGCTGTCCTCGAAGTCACCTGACGTCATAGGAGCTATCGATGAAGTTGGATCTTTCACTATTGAGAGCTTTAAGTACTCAGTTCTATTCTTAATATTATGATGCAAACTTCATTTATTGTCTTATGGCTTCGCTCATGGTGTTTCTGTTTTTAAAAAACTGCGAGACGGAGCTTTATAATATTAATTTGTGAGCACGGACCAAATCTGATTTGCGAGACACGCTACGCAATTGATGTAGATCAATTCGCACCCCACTTGCTTCGAATTATCACAGAAGCTGTGAATTTTAATCGGGTTTGCTGAGTACTTGTATCTTTTTGCCTCAGGTAAAAACTATCGTAATCTGTCTATGAGTTTTTAAATGTCATAAGATGACACGAAATAAACATATTTGAAATTCTCACAAATAAAGAGTATGACGCAAATCTGTCAGGCCTTACCTTTCTGTACTGTCTCAAAATTTAGGATATATTTCGGAGGTTCAATAAACAATTATTATATGTGTTGTAATCGGTATTAGCCGCTTAGTAGCAGGTGCGAGGGTGGTAATATTGTACAAAGATCAATTATCATTCTAGTGAGAGCGGGCCCTATGGTAGGATTGGATCATACAACGGGGAAAAGAGGTTACACATAATCTGTGCAGATGCTATATGGATTTTCAAGGACTTTTTTAATCGGTAACCATGTCATTGATACCGAGGTCTTCGTTTTGTTCAGGAGTTCGATCGTAGTCTTCAATCGTCATGTTTGGGTCTGCGTCAGGAGCATAGACGTTCTGAATGTATGAACCAGCAAGCGGATCCTCCATTGTCACCGTAAATTTCATTTTACCATCCAAACCGTTCTGTAGAGTGGCGAAAAACTTCTCCCAACGCGTTCTGGTTTCTTCATCCATGGAGTCAGAGGTTTGTGTAAAAACTCTATTTTTCAACTCTTCATAGACCTGTTGCAGAAGCCCCTCTAGAGTGGTGAATCTGCCACCTAACGTCCCCTGTTGGATATCCAAACTTAGCTCGGGGATGGTCATGGAACATGTCTCACTCTTTAAAATATCACGAGAAAGATCTTCGGGCTCATCACATAGAAGCGTGATTCTCCTGCCCTGCTGGGGAATCGCACCACCAGTCTTCACTTCATTAGACTTGTAGCCACAGTGTTCGCAGACTGTAGACATGATAATCACTTCTTTGAAATGAGGAATATTGACAGGTTTCATGTGGGTGTCGCAAGGACGGCCACATGAGGAGCAGGTAGATCTGAATGTCTGTACTTCGTTGCTGAAGTTCTCGATATCGGTCTCATCAGATAGAAATGTTGGCTTTTGTGCCTCAGATGGATTTCTTTCCTTGTCTGCCAATTTGGCAAGTTCCTCCTGACGCTGTTGCTCCAGCTGGTCTTGTGAGATGATCCCGATTTGAACATTTTGCTCCCCGGATCTTACGTACTGGGTCTGTGACCATTTGTGAGCCGCCTCGCCGGGCTTGTACTCGATCCATGAATTCCCGGCAGGATCGTCCAAGGTAAATGTCAGTGGCAAGGTTCCAGGTTCACAATTCAGGTAGGATCTGACCTTCGAGATAAATGCCTTGATCTGGTCGTGAAGACTTTCGTCGACGGCTTTCCGGGCCGGCTGGTCCGAGGTCAAATCGTCAAGCATTTCACTCAGAAGCCCCTCAACTGTGGTCAACTGGCCTCTTCTGGCTGGAATCTCGATGTCGAGCTCCTGGAACTTACAAGTGGCAGTCTCGGACTTGATAACTTGACGGTTGTAATCGGACTTCTCTTCGATTTTCAAAGTGTACTTGCTGCCCTTTTCCATAATCTGCGATGCTGGTTGAATCTCGCAGTTTTTGAATCCACAGTGTGGGCATTCAAATGACATTAGGACAATTTCTTTGAAGAATGGAATCGAAGTCAACAGCAGTCTGGTGGTACCGTTTCCATGACAGTTCATACACAAGGACTCGATCTCCTGCACTGGATGGCCCTCAGCGTCAGCAGCTCCGGTGTTTGTTGGAACGACAACATCTGGTTGCTCTTGCTGGTCGATTTCCTGAACAGACTCCCCCACGGTTTGAAAAAGGTCCTCGCGATTAGTGTCAGAATTTTGAGACATTGTGTGTAATTTTTTATTCACTTCGAGCTCCTCGTTCAGATCTTCAGATCTTTTCATCGAGTATAAAGACTACAAGATGAACAATCGCCATGCGATGAGCTTAGCTAAAGCTGAGTTTCTTGAGATCTTGAAAAATTTTGACAAATTACAGAAAGTACTCGCGATGAGTACTCGGACGAAGATCACTGGAAAACAGTCGACAGAGCTGAGCTGACGCAGCTCTGGTAAGAGGTTAGAGATCAGATAAAGTTGACAAGCGCGTTGAATCGTTTTTAATGTCCGCCTTAGCTATTGTTAAAGAAATTAGCGTTTTCCTCAGTGCATTGCGGAAGAGTTTACTAGGTCAGCAGGATTTCTGAACATTTGCTAGACGGTGGCTTTAGATTTTCATCACATTTCAGAGCAGTTGCGAGACGATTCTGCTATATTTGTTGCTGGGAAAATAAGAAATAATTTGATGACATCAGAACGCAGACGGGACCAATTGTGCCGCTTAAAATCGAAAAGGGACCTGCACCCTAACGTCAGTTTGCTTCTTGGGACTTCTACGTATTTTCGAAATTGTTGTGAAGTTTTAGAAACTGCTCAAGAGTATTCTCTACGTCTAAAAAAAAACATGGCAGAGGTGTTGAACGTCGGATCTTTTTGGCAATAATTTCTAACCTGCTGTGCTAATTCCGCAGCATACCACACGGAATGGCACAGACCAGGGCTTATATCGATCTCAGACCTTTTTGGAGAGTCATGGCGCCAATAATTTTACGAAGGGCCGGCTACAATTAATCAAGCACTCAAAGAAAGACCTGTTAATTTCTCTTTTTTACAAGAGCGCTCGCAAAGGAGCTCGTGTCATCAATTTGGCATGTAGTTTTGTTTTCTCGAGGACGCTTATAAGGTAATATATGCCTCCGATATGTTAATGCGCGACGGTGTCTTTTGATGGTGTCACTGTGCACTTAATTGTCGTCGAGGTTCATGTCATGATCTTTGACGTCAGATGGTTTTCAACAATTGGGGCACTTTATATAGCGTTTTTGAGCCTGCTTGGTACGGTGGGCTCATCTGACAGTATAATAATTAATTACTGAAGGCCGTATTTTAATTGACTTTAGCGCAACAAAACTAGAAGTATGAAATGGATGCACAACAAGGTCAAGCCAATTACCGAAGACACCGATAGTTGTTTCCCACCATTTGAAATATAGAGTAATGAAATGGAAGATTTTGTGGGAATTTATGATTTGCGTTGATTTGCGTTAATTTGAATGTTTTCTTCTTCAAATTGAACTTTCAAAAGAAAATATCAAGTCACAGTCGTAACACGGGTGGTATTATTGGCATCCCCATAGGAAGACTATAGCGTGCATTCTTGAAATCCAAGTTCACGTCTCACAGTCAGAGATAGCGTTCACATCAGCTCAAATTTTATCAAAATAAGTCGAGCATGCTCAAGCCCAAAAATGGCTACGCACTTTCCTCCCTCAAGTGATATATACGGAGAGCCACCTACTTAGCTGACATAGTTGAGATGTTTATACTCCTCACACTTAATCACAGATTCAATGCTCTACCGAATATGTCAAAAAGTGGACTCCATAGGGTTTTTGAAGATGGCTTTATCGTGTCGTCCTAAAGATCTCGCACCAGTAAAAAAACAAAAAATTAAAGTCAAGATGCCTCCTGTGGGAATTGAACCCACGATCCCCGCATTACGAGTGCGATGCCTTACCACTTGGCCAAAGAGGCTAATGTTACTTGTTGGAAACCATGAAAATTATTGCAACAAGTATAACAAACATAGGTCGATTTCAGAGTAGATAACTTTTCATCATTGTTGGATGTACATCGAGAAAAGGTTCAGCACTAACCGCGAAATCACAGCAGGTAGAAATGTCGAGAGCTCTCATACGACATGGCGGTCTTCTAGATATCGGGAAGTTTGTGTCTCGTTACGGGTATAACGCAGACCCTGCACAAGTCATGATCTCTGCCGACACCATATATGCCATGGAGAAGAACAGGTATTCTAGCTACCTGAATAGTTATAATTGTTTCGTGTTGCTACGACACGGCGGTAACAGGTTCGAAGCAAGCGATCAAAAACTACTCTGGAGGTCTTTCTGCGGAGAAATTGACTCGTTTTATCGTCGATTTAGTGCACTGGCATCGTCGGATTTTACGGTAGCGCCGTCACCGGTTTTCTTCGAGAGCCCGCCGAAAACTTCAATTCTGAGCGATATTCTGGGCGTCGAGCTCGAGTACGGTGACCGTCAATGCTTTTGCTCATTCCAGAATCTAAACTCGCTCGATTCGACCTCTGCTCTTCGCCTGTATTTAGAACACACAAAAGCATCGAAATCACCCGCCAGGTTTGAGCCTATTGCAATTGGAATCAAGATGGTGAGCCCCAGCTCGGCTGCAATAGCGTGCATTCAGCCATTACTCGAAGAATCGTCCCAGATGTATCAAGGTTTCAACTATGAGAAACTTTTAGAGATCGCCAAACGATCGCAAACCAGTGGCCCTGATCCCATGCGGAAAGAGGTGAAGGGATTATTAGAAGTGCTTGCCGGGAACAGACTGTTGACCCCCCGTCTCGCAAAGCTCGACCGGTGGCTCCTTCTCACTGCAGACCATGTCGCAAGCGCGACCGATGATGACACGTGATTTGATATAAAAGTAGTGATTTGTATCAGCTTTACTCAATGATCACCTAGAGCTCAAGATCTCTGAAGCGAACACTGTATTCGTAACAGAGCGAGCCAAAGCGGATTCGCAACTCAATTATGCGACGGAAATCCGCCCTATTCTATCCGATTTTGAGCTCACTTTTATTCATTTGCCTTTATTACAATGTTCAATCTACTATTCGAGGGCATCATGAAACTAGGGGCGTGAAAGATAATTCTCTTCTAAAGTCAAGGCCAGCTGTTCAGCGTCAAGCCCTTCCGCACCAGAAATATCACACAGCAGTCAAGCAATGTCCTAGCTACATGGAATATGCGTCGATTCCGCACTTTAGGGATGTGGACGAAGCAACACCTCTTAGCCTCCCATTTCAAAGGCCTCCCGAAAATTGCAGGACATTCAAATCTCCGATGATCGAGTCATTTGTGGTCGAGTTCATCAAAAAATTGAAAGACAGAGATTTGGCAAAACTATTCGAAAACACATTCCCTAACACCTTAGATACCACAATCCTATGGCACGTCAGTGCAAGTGAAAATCAGAAACTGGAATATCACAAGCAAAAGTCCTTGTCTTACAGAAATGAGTTTCCAGAGACCTTCATTGTCACTGGCGATATTCATGCCGAGTGGCTAAGGGACTCAGCGTGGCAGGTGTCAGTGTATCAGCCTTTCATAAAGCATGACAGCAGACTCAAGGAACTGCTACATGGTGCTATCAACACGCAGGCTCAGCTTTTAATCGAAAATCCATTTTGTAACGCTTTCAACCCCCCACCCTATTGCGACGTGCAAAGAGCTGAGAGTACTGTTGACAAAGTACGTCCGTATCCGGACTGGCGCCGAGTCTTTGAGTGCAAGTACGAAATTGACTCCCTAGCATCCTTTTTGACACTGTCTCGCCAATTTTATGAGAATGCAGACTGGGACGACAGGCTCTCTTTCATCAACATCGATTGGCTTCTGGCCGTGAAAAGAGTGATTGAGGTTGTGGAGCTGGAATCTTCGTCGACATTTGCGGAAGAGGGAGCACCAAATGGCTTTCCATACACCTTCCAGCGAGACACCAATGTCGCGTCTGAAACTCTACCCCTTGCAGGCACGGGTAATCCAGTCAACAGTGGGACAGGTCTCGTTAGATCGGCCTTCAGACCAAGCGATGATTCGACTATCTTTCAGTTCTTCATTCCCGGAAACGCATACATAGCGGTTGAACTGAAGGCCGTATTTAAGATCATGCAAGATTATGTCAAGAGCGGAAAAGCGCAGGACCCATATATTCCTGAAATCGAGGCTCTTATGGAAAGCGCAGCTGATCTTTCTGAGCGAATCAGACAAGGTATTATGGAGCACGGGATTGTAAATCATCCGAATTTTGGGGAAGTCTTCGCTTATGAGGTGGACGGGTATGGAAGTTCTTTGCTTATGGATGATGCCAACATCCCATCGCTACTGTCTCTCCCGGAATTGGGATTTGTTTCGATCAATGATCCCATTTACCAGAATACCAGACGTATGATTACCAGCAAAGAGGGGAATCCCTATTATATTCGCGGGGAGTATCTACAAGGAATTGGCGGTCCCCACATTGGAATTCACAATGTTTGGCCTCTAGGTTTGATTGTAGCTATTCGCACCTCGGACAACGATCAGGAAATCCTTGATAATCTGTCAGCTATACTACACAGTACGGGTGGCCTCGGGTTGATACACGAGTCAATTCAAGCCTTCAGACCGGGAGGAAAGCTATTCACCAGACCTTGGTTTGCCTGGGCCAATTCAGAGTTTGCCAAAACAATCTTGTATTTGGCAGAGACAAGACCCCATCTGATTTTTCAAGAACAATATTTGGGAGAGAAGTTCGAGCTGCAGAGCTTTCTCTCCGCATTAGAACCAAGCCAACACTTATAACTTAAAGGGTTGGGAGCCAAATTCGCAAGCACAGTATCTGTCTCTCTGATTGAGGATGGAAACATATGTATGTGTAGATAGGAAGAAGACTAAAGGCTCACAGAAATATACTAATCTGACGTGGCTTGAGGAACGTCCCAAGAAGGAGTGCCAGATGGTGAACTCTTCCTGGTTTAACCGAGCTCATTAATCACGTGACACGGATTGGAGAATAAGTCAATTTCAGTTTCCTAAACATCTATAATCGTTCAAACTCTTCTTTATCGAGCCAGGCCCATCATCAGACAGTTCCAGAGCTCAATTGGTCATGATGTTCTCAAACTTATTGGCCAAGCTCAGTATGAGTGCCGTTGGCGCCGCTGCTGAACTGACCTTAGACCCTATGTTAAAATACTGGGTCCTTTTCCCGATCTCTATTGTTATGATCTTAGTCGGCGTTTGCCGGCAGTATTTGATGGTGTATCTGGGATTGAAGACAAGGACTGTCTCGAAAAAGAGGCTAACCGAAGTCCAGTACATTAGCAAAGCTCAGGCGCTTCTCGGAAATGGTACTAACCTTTGTGAGAAATCTTTCAAAATGAGAAAGGAATACTTGGCGAATGTTTTAGCAGAAGGGCGGTTTTTGGCGCAAAAGGAGGCTTCAGATACACCTCCAAACCCACTCACAGATCCTAGCGCATCGGACGCAATGATGAACATGGTGACCTCCAATCTGGCCAACTACATCCCGCAGACGCTCATTATGTGGTGGGTGAACCATTTCTTTGCAGGCTTTCTTCTCATGAAACTGCCGTTTCCATTGACTATAAAGTTCAAGGAAATGTTGCAGAATGGGATCATGACCCCTGATCTAGATCCTCGCTGGGTAAGCAGTATATCGTGGTACTTTATCTCCACTTTGGGACTTAGCCCAGTGAACAACCTGCTTTTCGGCTCAAACAACGATGAATCAGAACTGCTAGCCATCTCACAACACCAGCAGCAACTCGAGTCTGTACCTGGTGGACCTTCTCCCGACGTTATGATGAAAGGTCTTGCCAACGACATCACCATCGCGCAGCATGAATCTTGCTTCGATTCCATTGAGGAGAGAGTCTTGAAACTCTATGCTGACGGAAACTGATTTTACAACAGGAAGTAGCGTTAACGGATTGAAATCGGGCAAAGATTATGGACCCAAGGTTCGACAATTCCTGGCCCTTTTCTCTTTATTTTACTTTGGAATCCTCTCAGACGAATCAGCATGTCACATGATTGGAAAATGAGCTAGCCATTTGACATTTTTCAGCCCAACTCAACTCATCGCGATTACCAACTAGTCTTCGAGATATAGCTGACAAGCTCCTGACAACCATAGCCAACTTTTAACCGCGATGCCTATTAAGACTGTGATCTGTATTGGAATGGCCGGGTCTGGTAAGACCACATTCATGCAACGCTTGAACTCCCACTTACACGCTGCGAAAACAGTTCCATATGTCGTGCAACTGGATCCTGCCGTTTTAAACGTCCCTTATGGTGCCAACATAGACATCAGAGACTCTGTCAAGTATAAAAAAGTAATGGAGAACTACAACTTAGGACCTAATGGTGCGATTGTTACGAGTTTGAACCTTTTCAGCACGAAAATCGATCAGGTCATAAAGCTAGTCGAAAACAAGCGAGATGTCCACGACTATTGTATAGTAGACACACCAGGTCAAATCGAGTGCTTTGTTTGGAGCGCTTCTGGTTCCATTATCACTGAGTCGTTTGCGTCCAGTTTCCCTACAGTCATAGCATATATCGTTGATACGCCCAGGAATTCATCGCCCACCACCTTTATGAGCAATATGTTGTATGCATGCTCCATCCTTTATAAGACCAAACTTCCAATGATTGTCGTCTTCAACAAAACTGACGTCTGCAAAGCAGAGTTCGCTCGCGAATGGATGACCGATTTCGAGGCCTTTCAAGAAGCCCTCAAGTCCGATCAAGATCTGAATGGCGAGTCAGGCTTGGGATCTGGTTACATGGGCTCGCTTGTGAACTCCATGTCCTTGATGCTCGAGGAATTCTATTCGCAGCTAGACATGGTGGGGGTTTCCAGTTTCACTGGCGAGGGTTTCGACGACTTTTTGAAAGCGGTGGATAAGAAAGTAGACGAATACGAATCCTACTATAAAGCCGAGAGAGAAGCAATACTGAAAAGGAAAGAAGAGGAAGAAGCTGCTAGGAAACAAAACTCCCTCACGCATTTAATGAAGGACTTGGGGCTAAAAGAAAAGGACAGCAGCAGCGGGAGCAAGAAGCAAGACGACGAAGCTGACGTGATCAGCGACATCGAAGACGCTACCGAGAACGACGGACTGGTCCTCAGAGACGAAGACGAAGGTATCGAGAGGGAGTACACCTTCGCTGGTGACAATAGAACTAGCGGAGAAGTAAATGGCAAAGCTACACCCGATTTACAAAAACGCTATGAAGAGGCTTTTGAGCAGGTTGGGAAAACGGCGAGCAGCGAGACTGCGCAAAACATCTCACGTTACATCAGACAGTGAACACGAAACATACTCTACAAAATAGCTTATCATTTAACCTATATATAAAGGCCCTCTTCGAATGAACTGGGTGCATTACGTACCCCATAAACTCCTTCCCACGACACAGGAGTATGGTACTGCGTTATCTTTGGAAAACCTTCGACGAAAAGCGGGAGCTGGTCACAAGCAGCAGCAGCATCTTCGGAATTGTCTCCCTCTTGAACGTAAGTGTTGAAATACCGTATTCCTTTCAAACAACTCGTAAATTTCGATGATTGCAATAGATGATAGCATAACTTGTATGTGAATTGCTCCGCGCTGATACCCGATTGAAAGCTGGTTTCGGTGAATTTGAAGAGAGTATTATTCGTTGGCCGAGGTAAGACATCCTTCATTTGCAGTTTCTGCTCGAATTCTGCTGCAATATCGTCAATTTGGGAGATTTCACAGATCCCCAGGGAGTAAGGAGTTCTATTCAGTCGCGAGACTGCCACACTTTCTTCAATATCGTCAGTAGCGTCGAAGATTATCAGCTGCTCAATTTGCAATTCTTCGATTAATGGTACCAGAGCTTCTTTACAGAAATTGTTCTCATAATTCTGCAGTAGCGGTGATCTTTGCTGTACCACGTACAGATTCAGTGCAGAGCTATAAAAGAGCTCTAAAGGCGTAGTAAGGGTTTTCCCTTCCGCAGTTTCGTAGAGACTGGCTTGCGACCCTTTAACGTAGTCGAGCGGTCCCGTAAAAGGAAACAAGTACTGACTATCTAACTCTCGAACAAACTCAAATTCTGAGCTCAAAGAATGCAATATCAGATCGGTGACCAGCTGAGGAACATTTCCTGTGGAGACGAGTGGTAATAGAAGGGTACTCATTGAAGAAATAGGCCAGTTAAATGGGAGATTTTTTGGACTACTGATACAGGATTGACGCGATTGAAAGTCAGAACGTGTTGAATATCACGGCCTGCCAACTAACGAGTAGCTAGATGTTCAAATATTCTCAATGTCATGAAATGTGAACACACTCCCTCTATTCAAGGTAATATATCGTAGTCTTGATAGTTCCGCATGACGTACATAGTGATATTAATTTTATCGATTATAGCCAACACAGGTTGTGACTGGCACCTAGGTGCTGTGAGCTTTGGCCTGTAAATCTCAGTCTGCGGAGCTTAATTCTGGCTTAATTTTGGCCTAGTTTAAGATTTGTAGTTCCTTCCACAGCGACCGGGGAAAAGAAAAATGGACACCCGTCATTTTGAGTAATTTATTAGGGGTATACAGTTCTTGCGCGAATTATATAATGAATCAAACCAGCGCCTAACCCTCAAGTCTTGAACACTTCCAGAGCCCTGTTAAGATGTATTGACACTCGCTGAAATATCATTTCGTACAAGATGATCCATGTTTAATTAAAAGAGGCGATCTGGCGTATTGATTAATGTTCTTCCGTACCAAAAGTAAGCGCCGAAGTGTGTTACCAAACAAGCCAGAAGCCTCTACGAGTCTTGGATGTGGGATGGTATAGGATAGGTTTATGACTGGCCTCTGGGTTTACGAGGAGACGGGTTTTTCTTACAATTGGGAGCGTTATAAGCTGACCAAAAATTGTGACACGAACGCGTTCCAACATGGATCAAGATCGGCAAGATCGCTAAGTTTTGAGAATTACAAGGGGAATGAGTAGTATCGATGATGTTAGCGGCACCATCAGCTCAATGACTACTGAGTTCACCAAGACAAACGAATCACAGGAGGACTCTTGAGCGAAGGTAAGTTTTGTTTGGAAGTTTTCGTTATTGAGACCAGTGATATCTTCAAGATGAGTTACAAAGAAAGGTAGAAAGAGGCTATAGAAAGCCTCCAAAAGGTCAAATCTGTCTTTCATTTATGGTTTGCGATTTTTTAATTGTGGGACGCAGACCAGTCAATTGTATAATGAGCTACAGATTGAAGCAGGAAAAAGTTGTTGAAAAAAAAGCTTGAAATGAATAAAATCGACACTTTAGCTCATTCAACCTCCACGATCACTAAAGTTATTGGTCGCCAGGCTTTAGGAAACCCCCGTTTTTTTTGCGGGTTTCGTCAATATTCTGAAATTAAAAAAATGGCAATGCAGTCAGGTAAACTACAATTATCTCCAGCAGCTTGTTTCATTATCAACAGCAACCCACCCATCGCTTACGAGAATTCAGGTCAGTTTATCGCTCAACGACACGATAATATGTTAAATGTCGTTTATATCAAAAGCGCTATGTGGAAAAAATTTTTTTGACATGTCACGATGGAGGCGATGAGCTCAGGTTTAAACTTAACCGCTGCAGTATTTAAAGAGAGCTAAGAGGTGGTCTTCGCAATCAGCAGCTCTTTGTCGTGTTCGCCTTTGATTGTTTCGGAACACAATTTGGATCACGCCGGCTCAATGTCTACTAATTTCGAGAAGCACTTTGAAGAAAACGTCGATAACTGTTCCCTGGAACAGTTGAGAGACATCTTGATCAACAAGTCAGGGACAACGAAACTAGCCAACCGTTTCAGAGCTCTGTTCAACTTGAAAGGTGTTGCTGAAGAGTTTGAAAAGAACCCAGAAGAGGCTCGGAAGGCCACCGAGTACATTAACGAGTGTTTTGGCGATGACAGTGAGCTTTTGAAGCACGAAGTGGCGTACGTTTTAGGCCAAACCAAGAACATGGTCGGTGCCCCATTATTGAGAAAAGTGCTGGCTGACACCAACCAACAATGTATGGTTCGTCACGAGGCCGCTGAGGCCCTGGGAGCGCTGGGAGACGAAAATTCGCTACCTATGCTTGAGGAATATTTCAAGGAAGACCCTCTACTGGAGATTAGACAAACCTGTGAATTGGCCATTGGCCGCATCAAGTGGCAGATTAGCGATTCTGGTAAAAGCGAGAAGCTGCAAGATTCGCTATATTCTAGCATCGACCCTGCCCCACCACTCAATTTGGACATCAACCTCAAAGTTGAAGAGTTGAAGCAAATTTTGAACGACCAAGAGAAGCCGCTATTTGAGAGATACAGAGCTATGTTCAGACTCAGGGACATTGGCAACAATGAAGCATGCTTGGCCTTGGCCTCCGGTTTCGATGATCCATCTGCTCTCTTCAAACACGAGATCGCGTATGTTTTCGGCCAGGTCGGTAACCCAGTGGTGGTGCCCAAGTTGATCGAGGTTTTGAACCGTGAGAACGAAGCTCCAATGGTCAGACACGAAGCTGCTGAGGCCCTAGGATCGATTGCTACTGACGATGTGTTGCCTATCCTAAAGGGACATTTGAATGATAAAGATGACGTTGTAAGGGAGTCTGCCATTGTAGCTCTTGACATGTACGAGTACGAGAACAGCAACGAGCTCGAGTACGCTCCTTCCTAAGCAGGATGCTTTGGCAAGGTGGGTGTGCGAACAGATATGATAAAGGACTACATATATATACATATATGTGTTAAATGTACAATAGCGAGCAATTTAATTTCTGAAGCTCTTTTTTAATGATTCAGAGTGCTGGACGCTCTGAAGATCACTCTGGACCAGGAATTAGGCGGCGGTTTGCTGGTGAATTGAATTCATGATTATTTTTGAATTAAACGTAAAGTCCATTTCATTAACGTGCTAAAAACTACACACACACGAACACATCCAAGAGAAGACTACTAGTTCAAAGAGTGGTCACAATGGTTCCTACAATTGTCTTTGTTACCGGAAATGCGAACAAATTGAAGGAGGTCAAGATGCTACTTGCGCCTCAAGCAGGAAAAGAGCCAACGTTCGAGCTAACGAATACTGATATAGATTTAGATGAGCTCCAAAATAGTTCCTTGGAGGAAATTGCCCGTCATAAGGTGTCACAAGCACAATCGGTGTTGCCCAAGGGTACTGCCGTCTTTGTTGAGGACACCGCTTTGTGTTTCGATGCTTTTAACGGGCTACCTGGCGCATACGTTAAATGGTTTTTGAAAAGCGTGGGTCCCGAGGGGCTAGTGCGTATGCTGGAAGGATTCGAGACCAAAAAAGCCGAGGCTGTGACCACCGTGGCATTTGCAGACTTTGAGGGTCAAGTTCACATTTTCCAGGGAAAGACCAGAGGTAAAATTGTTCAACCTCGCGGATCTAGAGATTTCGGATGGGATTGCATTTTCGAGCCCGAAGAGGGCGCTGGAAAAACGTATGCGGAGATGGAAAAGGTTGACAAGAACCAAATTTCGCAGAGGTCCAGGGCTTTTGCGCTCTTAAGCAAATGTTTGAACGACGCGTGAGCCTGAGTTTGACAATGGGAAGTATTTTTCTGCTTTCATGCTCTGAATAGAGCCGGATAGAAAATCAAGAATTCATTTATGGAAGAACAGTGTTTCTCGTCTCTGTGTTGTGATGAAACATATTTCAAAATCGATAGTGATACGAACAGCAATTTGAGATAGTCAAATTTAACCTTTTTTTCGACATTAAATAGGCGTAAATGCTCGCCAAAGAGCGAAGCTATCAAAACTACGAGCAAGACCCGTCATATTTCAGGACCAGTCCTAGATTCACATCATAGATTCACATCACACATCGAATGTAAAACAGAAGCTTCTTTTTCTACGTACTATTCAAAAACATGGCAACTCTGGTCTTCTCAAGAACACTCCATGAGCTATGAGCTACAGCGCCCATCGTCGTCGCCGATCCGGCCCTGCGAATGTGTCACCCAGACCATCCATCACCTCATACTGTTCTGTCATGAAGTCACGTGACATATTTCCATTAACTTGGCATTGTTAAAACTGATCCAAAGGTCCTTCCATTAGAGTCTGAAGTCTCCAATTTAAGACATTTCTAGCTTTCCAACCCTTCTTTTACTCAATTGCTCCATGCCTCTCCGTGTTCTTTCATTTTTAGTGTTTGTCTTTCTACTACAGTATTATCGTGACTACGAATCTGAAAAGTTTTCAATATTATAAAATCGAAACATTTCGAAAACTATAAAGTATACAAAATCTTGATCTTCCTCCAGTGGAAGCAGTTGCTCTAGCCACGAGTGATCTGTTACTAAGAGGCTTCAACTCTATTTGAATAAAGCGCAACAGTTTTCAGTGTTTTGAACGGCCTTTTTCTGGCTCTTATATGCACTTTTTTACGAGTATCACGGAGTGGCCAATAAAAGAGGATCTGTGCTCTATTTTGCATTACTTTGTTTGTTTTAACGTTACTTATAGCATATGTCGATGATTCAACAGATTCAACAGGCTGTGGACATCGCCAATTCGTCCACGACAGATAGCGCACTGAAAAAACAGGCGCTAGATTTCCTGGAGGAGGCCAAGACCAGTACGACGGCAGCGCAGGTTTTTGCTTCTCTTTTGCAGGATCCCACAAGCTCAAAAGTTAGCAAGTTTGTTGCTTTGCAAGTGCTGAGCGACTTGGTGATTACCAGCTCCGGTGTGCAGCTTGCATTTCTCAAAAACACCTGCATAGACCTTTTGCGCGCCAGAGGGGTGTCAGACAGCAAACAGAACGAACCAGAGTATGTGAGGAATAAGGTAGCGGAAATGGCGTCCCGGATATTCTACTGCATGTATGGCGAATGCAATGGCAACCTGTGGCCCAACTTTTTCGAGGATTTGATCCAACTGCTCAATATCACAGGCCTACAAACAGGCACCTCTTCCGAATTTTCCACCTCGGGGCTTGATTTGTTTTTAAAGATTGCTTTGGCCATAAATTCGGAAATCGCGGACCAGACTTTCGTGAGGTCGAAAGATATTCAATCGAGAAATAACGACTTGAAGGACGCCATGAGAATACAAGACGTGCAACTTTTGTCCTCACTTTGGTTTAACACATTAAAGCTGTTTCAGCTGCAGCAGTTCCCGGCTCAGCTTGCCAATCTTACACTCTCTTGCATCGGTTCGTACATTTCTTGGATAGAAATTAATTTGATCGTGAACCCCGAATATATCAACGTTATATTTGACTTTCTGGATCAGTCAAGTTCTAAAATTGCATGCGCACAATGTCTGTGCGAAATCATCTCTAAGAAAATGAAACCGGGGGATAAACTTGCATTATTGAGCATGCTCAATCTCACGGAGAAAGTCGTCAGTGTTGGAAACGACGACCTTGAGGTCCAGGAACAATTGGCAAGGCTAGTGGCTTCCGTGGGTCTCGAGTCCTCAATAATTCTAGACCAATGCAATGATGAAAATTCAGGACCTGAATGCCAAGAGATCGCAGGCGCTGCAGACAGGTTAATAATACATCAAGTATCTCCATTGGTATTGAAATTCATGGAACACGAGTATGATTCAGTAACTCAACAGAGTTTCCAATTCATTTCTCATTATCTGCAGTTTTTGAAAAAGTTCTTTGCATTGGGCGGGAAACCCGGTAGCGCTGTCGCTATGAACTCCAAAAGGCTCATATTAGATCCTGATCACGAAAGCTTCCTGGATGCTTTAATCAAGGTGTGCATGAAAAAAATGCTGATAGACGAAACCTGTGATGAGGATTCGATAGACGAAATTGACGAGTTCAACGACACCATCAGGTCAAAGCTTAAAATATTCCAGGACAGCATAGCCATAATAAATCCTGGGATCTATTTAAGAAATGTTACGGAAAATGTCGAAAGCCTCATTACTTCAACAGATTGGAGACAGCTGGAATTTGCAATTTATCAAATGCATAACTTGGCAGAGAGCATTAGAAACAATCTTTTTGGTGTCAACAAGAAGGATATTTTCTCTTCAGAGCCCCATAGCGTTATGTGCCGATTTATGGCCACGCTCTTGGACAGCACCAATATTTTCATGGTCCAAAACTCCCTAGTGCAGGTTTCTTTTTTTGAGCTTGTGGTGAGACATCATTTGTTTCTGCAAGCATCTTCAAAAGACGAAGTCACTCTGTTAAATATATTTTGCAGCGAGCTCGGAATGTTCAGCAGTAAGGAGCGAGTCAGACTTAGAACATGGTACTTGTTCACCCGCTTCATCAAGGCTACAAAACCCAAGCTCTCAGCAGAACCGCTTTCACAGCTGCTTATGAAGATATCTCAGCTACTGGTCATCAAACCGGTCGAGACTTCACAACAGTCAGCAGACGTCGACGTTATATTTGACAACCAGCTCTACTTATTTGATGGTGTTGGGTTGTTGATTGGTACTAGCCTGGATTCAAGCTATAATTTACTGGATGGCGTTTTAGTCCCTCTGTTTGCTAATTTGGAGTCGTGCATTTCAGCGCAGACCAAATCCGTCAAAGTGGTCACGCAAGCACATCATGTGCTAATGGCGATTGGTACCGTAGCTCGAGGCATTCATTCCGGCTTGGTTCCTGAAAATCAGGTCAATAACACAGAGGTAACGAGCAAATTCTTCTCAAGAGCTTTAGTTGAAAAGTTTTCAAATGTTGCAGAGGTGATTTTGGTTACATTTTCGTATTTCAACAAACATGAAATCATACGTGACGCGACCAGATTCTCGTTTGCCCGACTGATCCCAATTTTAAATGAAGAGATCCTTCCATTTGCAAGTCGGTTAATTGCGATCTTTTTGTCTTCCGACCTGAAAATATTGGAGCTGAACGACTTCTTGGGATTTTTAGGGCAAATCGTTCATACTTTTCATAAAAGTGACGTTTGCTACCAGCTTTTGAATAACTTGCTCACTCCGGTTATTGAGAAAGTGTTCCATTTGATGGCCAAGGAAGAAGGTAACCCCGAAGCTGTTCAGAGCGGTATGTCGGCATCAATTGTGACCAAAGGCTCGACAGAGAAAAACGTTGTCATCACCGATTCATTTCGCGACAAGGTTCTTTTGAAGAAGGCGTATTACACATTTTTGCAATCGTTCGTGACAAACCACTCTACGTCACTGTTTTTAACGGAGTCCAACAGAAACGTTTTACCTGTAATCCTTGAAGATCTGTTGAGTTACACTCCAGATGAAATATATGAAACGTCTTCGATGAAGCTTGCTCTAAATGTCCTCGTTAACTTCATCAAGCTTTTAGGAACAGGTATGTGTACCGACTCACAAGATCCAAATGCGAATACTTTTGGCAAACTAGTCGGCTTGGGAGAGTTTTTCATTTCAAAAGTGATACCCCTAGTATTTGAAATACCCTTCAAACCAGAATATGGCTTCAACGTGAGAGACGCTAGCTGCAGAATTGTGGCATGCGATTTATCGAGGTCGTTGAAAGCTTTGCATAAGATATATGCTGAAACAAATCCAAATCCTTGTTTAAACTATCTGGCCGAGAACTATTTTCCTCAGGTTCAATTTCCCCACCAGCTTTCACTAGAATTTATCAATGCATTGGTGAACAGCGACGATAAAAGTTTCGAGAAGTATTTTGTTAATTTCATCTCCAGCATGGTAGGCTAAGTCGATGAACTTCCTGTATGGCATATGGAGAGACGGGAAACACATTATAGGTGCAGGAAGCTCTAAAAAAAAATAAGTACATCAAGCCAGTTTGACCTCGTTCTCATTGTAAGCGGGATTAGCATGGAAAAGGTGACAAAAGACTATTAAATGCACAAGCTAAGCGTCACAGGGACAAGCTGGGCGTTTTGGGATAATGGGTTTGTCTCACAAAGCTTGACAGGAAAAGAAGTGCTCCAATTTTTCTGGTATTTTCCTCAGCGTATTAACGGTCATTATCGACAATTATCAGGCAGACCACCGACCAGCATCAAGCATATAGGCATATACAAGCAACAAGCGTGTTAATAAATTTCAGTGAATTAGAGATATGCTTGATATGTTGAGTAATATATATGTATATGTGTAAACCGCTTGAAGTGGCTATTGAGTTTCGCGACGGTGCACACCTTTTATGTAGTGGCTCCAAGACTGTTAATAATTCACTTGTGTATTTACAATGTCTTTCCCGTCGCGCGACATGTTCTGGGGACACTTGTAAATAAACAGGTCAAAGTATCGGCTGAAAGAGTTTTTTACAAAACTTTGGATGATCGTTAGCTTGTTGAGAGTTAGTGAAAGTTCGAATAGAAAAGGTTTCTTTTAGGTCTCAAGAACGCCTAATTTTTGTTTATTATTGAGCTTTCGACAACATGTGAGAATTGCGTATTGATAAAAAATCCCATCAAAAGGCTATGGAGCTCAATGCTCCGATGTACTCAGAAAATTAATTCAAGCAAAATAAGAATAAATTCGTCTACAGCATACCTTTTTCCTTCGAGTCATTGTTGCTTATTATGTCCTGTCTCGAGAGATTGACATGGAAATACGCAAAATGAAAAACATCACAGCCTTAACCCACTATCAGCCCATGAATAATTTTTTGAGCCATTTAACCACACCCTGAGCACAACAAAATGTACATAACCTCTTGCAATCCTCCCTACGCCAGGTGTTACAAATAAATATAAATAAATTCTAGATTTTCTAGTTCGAGTCCTTAAGAGTTTTAAAAAGCGTATCAAGACAGTTAATTAAACCTTGCCAGTGCAAAAGCAGCTCAGGATAATTTTAAACTGATTAAGACTGTCTATTTAGCACCTTTACTGGTCCCAAAAGCTATTTCTTAGAGGGGTGTCTCATATAATCCTGTAAGTTATATATATATATATATACGTATAACATGACACATATCTCAGATCGTTAAAGTGGCAAGTTTAACGTTCAATCCTACCTCAATCACACACCAATGCTTAACAATTCGCACTTGAAAAAGTATATAAACAGGCCCTATCTTCCGGGAATCTGACTCTCGAGATGTCAGAATTAGCTCATAATTCGCCAGCGAATCAGAGAATACCTCTGGACCCAAAAAAAGCCGGTGATTTTGCCGATAATACAAGTAATGTTGGCTTTGAAGAGAATAAGGATACCCCATCAGAAACAGAGGGAATCAGTCATGAAAAAATACCAAACATCGAGGATTTTAGACCATTGTGCACTAGTAAATCTCATGTGTACACGATGCACGAATTGATGGAAATTGCGAAATCGGTCTCAGGCACCTCTCAGGCCACTCTTAGTGTTCATATACCAAAGAAAAGTTTCTGGAGATTGACCAACAGACACCCTGACCTCAGACAATCAGAGCTCAACAACAACACGGGAAACGGCCATAAAAACAACTCCGGTTTCCGATTGCAGGATTTCAATGGTGACAAGAAAAACCACAGAACCAAGAATGCACGCAACGCCAAAAGGGGCGGGAAATTTGCCAAGGGCGATAAACCATATGTGGAGGAAAAGGACGTGCAAGTTAATAACGATGAGCTTCTGGCCTTAGAGGAGGAGATTAAGCCCACGGGGAACTCCATCACGGATTTTGAAAACTGGAGAAAGAAAATGAAGGAGCTGGAACGCCAAAAAAAGGGGCAGTCCACGAACAACAGCTCCGATAACATCGAAAGGCCCTCTTTGGCGAACAATGGGAGCTCGATCTCCGACTTTTTCAACTTGAACAGGCAAAGCTCCTCGAACTTTGAAGAGCTCGAGCCTCAGGATTCTTTGGAGTCCTCGAAAGGCTCACATTCACGGTTTTCTTCTTTTTTCAATGCCGCCGGACCTGCAGGTACCAAAAATGAATCTTTCAGTACGTTAGCCCAGCCTCCAACACCTAAGGACAGCGAGTCCAGACCTGCTGCCGGTTCTCGAATTTTGTCTTTTTTCGATAATATGGAGTCTAGGAAAACTGCAGCGGAACAGACACCTCAGCAAAGTACCGCTTCCATACCATCTGTATCGCCACCACCTGTTCAGGAGCAGACAAACAGCCACTTTTTCCAGGGCCTTCTAAACAGGGGCAAGGTATCCTCCAGTCCAAAGTCAGAGGACAGACAGTTTTCTGCCAGTGACAGCGCTGTCGCAGGGGCGCCGGCAACTATACCATATTCTCCATCTGGCAACGACCAGTCGAGGACTCAGGAGCCACAGAGAAGTAGAGCGCCTCCTGGCTTATCCAAAATTCCAGGTAATAATCCCATGATTCCTCCTCAAGGACCTCCCGGCTACCCAATGGGCATACCAATGAACATGTTTGGTCAAAACGCTCAACCAATGAGCCAGCCACCTGCAGCTTTTCAGCAGTTCCATATGCCACCACCTGGGGTAGCTATGCATCAGCCATTTTTCAACAATCAACGACAGACTGGCGAAAGAGATGAAAAAAACATTCGTACGCTTAAAATGCAGCTCCCGTTCATTCCAGGACCTCCCAATATGCCACCACCAGGATTCCCTTCGATGCACGGCATGCCTCCAGGAATTTCGCAGGACATGCCTATGCCAATGAACAACATGATGCCTCCCCCACCTGGCTTTTTCACCTCTCAGGGACCCTCGATACCTCAACATGGTAATCAGAAAATGCACCAACATGCGCCAAATGGCCAAGAACAACAGCAGGGTATGCGACCACGGGAAGCAAAGTGATTTGGGGCTAACGAAAATAATTTCAAGATTCTTTGAATTTGATGAAGATGTGGCTGGTATTACTTACGATTACGATGCAACAACTAATGCCTAGGGAATGACGCTTGGCTCTATATGAGAAACTCTCCGTGTATATCACATACCTTCTCTGTACAAGTTGGCGATACCAATAGCTAGACTAGCTAATTGAATGTGTTCGTTTCCCCCATTTGTTAGCTTGGAGTCCGAGCCGAATATAAGCCAAGACACTTCGTTCTTGAATGCCTTGGTGAACTGGTCATTATTGATGTAGTATTCGTGAAGCTGATTTACCATGGCAGCTCCGCTCCAACCGCTTCTTTTCAGTTCGGCTATGAATTTCATAATATCACTGTAATCCATACTTGTAATCTTAGTTGTGAGGGTATTAATCAGGTCCATGGGGACGGTACCAGCCAGTTCGTCGACTGCCAAATTTGTGATGACTGGGGGATCTAAATGTTTTACGATTTTGGAAGACGATTGCAAAAGCATGATAGCTCTTCTGAGATCACCTTGCGACACGTCCAGTATCTTCTCCAAAACTTTTTCCTCGAATTTAAGATTCTCCTCCGTGGCAACGTGCTGAAGCCTGCCAAGAGCGTTTGAGGAATCCAATGGTTTGAAACGGAACTTGGAGCACCGTGACGCCAGAGGGTCAATGATTCTGGTGACGTAGTTGCAAATGAGGCAAAACCGAGTAACGCTTGAATAGTTTTCCATGGTTCTTCTCAATGCACTTTGTGCGTCGGCGGTCATGGAATCAGCTTCATCCAAAATAATAATCTTGTAAGGAGGACACGGATATTGTTCCAAATCGGAAGCAGATGGCTTCGAAACCGTCAATCTAGCGAAATTTTTTATCTTGTCTCGAACAATAGCTATTCCACGTTCGTCTGATGCATTCAATTCGAGTACTCGACTCTTCGTGAGTGTGAGCCCGTACAGCTCTTTGGTCAGGGCCAAAATAGTAGAGGTCTTTCCGGTCCCAGGTGGCCCGTAAAATAACATATGCGGCAAGTTCGCAGATTTCAATGTTTTTTGCAAAACAGTCACAGCATGGTCCTGCGCTGTTACGTCTTCCAATTTCTTTGGTCTATACTTTTCGATCCAGGGCTTCGAGTCTTCATTATTGGACTTTTCAGAAGCCGCTGTTTTTTGTCGTTTGTTGAAAAATCCGTCACTCATCTTCCGAACGATAAAACAGATGTTACTGCCAGTGAGACGCCTATTAGTTGGTTTGATTCGAAGGCTGTTTGGCTACTTTGGATTAGCTTCAACGATGGCCCTATACAAATTAAAGCTAACGCAATTCAAGAATCTTCGAGTCACGTGATATATTTTGTACATGCTCGGACGACAACGCTTCAACAAAGCGAATCAAGACTTTGGTAGTATGAAGGTGCTGTTTTGTTCGACACATTTCATTATTTTGAAACTAAAATTGTAGTATGTCATTTCATATACCAGCGTGTCCGCGATTTAGCTGGCCAAAATGGTGACTTTTCTGAGTAAAATCCTTCTCAGAGACTATGACACTCTGGAATACACTTTCGACTATAGAAGATCAGGTAGTAATGCTATGTCAGTCGTGTGAGCTTCAGAGTCATATAAGTTGGCTTTATATTCAACGTGTCACGAAATTAAAAATGATAGACGACGTGCAGAGAAAAAGTGATAATATTTTAGATGACACTCGAGGAAATAGTGATAAGAATCGCAATTGGAGTGTACGATGGGTGCGATGGGGGGGGGGGATCTGCAACGTCTGTCACCGACTTTGAAGCAACGCATGGCTGCGCAGTAATAATCACACGAGGTAAGACGTGTAACTCTGAGAGCTCCATCCCCAATATCACATTTTTCTGTTTCTATGCAATCTGAACAAGCCTGGCTACTCAGAGCCAAGATGTAAACAGCATTCGCCAAGGCAAAAACTTAACAAGCGCTACTTTACACCAGAATTTACAGTCCATCACAGTTTGGAGCTTAAAAACATGAAAATGCGTCAATAAAATGCTTAAATTTAGCAATTCTGCTAAAGCTTCCACAGCTACACGTTCTTTCCAAATAACAAGTTTTGGTCTGGATACTTCGCCCAAGTTCACTATAATGTATAGATATAGTCACTCAAAGCATCAAACTCAATCATAACAGTGCCATCGGTAGCTCTGGCTTACTGGAATATGTTGACAAAAATGCTCACGTGAAGACCTTATACTGAATATTACGGTATTTTATACACCTACCTGCACATTCAACATTAACTTCAACGAACTACACCTTCTCAAGGCTTTCGACCGTCTTAATCTCAGTTCAGAAGTGTGTTATTTAGCGGCCAATTTTAGCTTTTATGAGCATCAGTGACGGTGACATTTGGGCCTCTGATTCAGAGATAATATCTGGGGAATTTCAGCAAGAAGAAACTGCTGAAATACGGAAACTTCGATCGGTACACGCCAAACGAGGTTACTTAGATGGTATAACGTCGGCCAAAGATGAGAATCTGCAACAGGGCTTCGATAGCTCATATAACGTAGGATCAGCTCTTGGTCTTCGCGTAGGCGTTATTTTGGGTGAATTACAAGTCCTGACACTTCTGCATGGTGAAAATGACGAACCGCTAAAAACAGACCTAAAGCGAGCGCAACAAGAGCTGAGAATCAATAAAGTACTCAGCAAGCAGAATTTTGACCAAAACTTCAATTTGGTAGAAGAACAATGTCTCATAAAAGATTGGGAAACGACATTGAATGAATATCGCAACAAATACAAAAATGTCTCATTGAAAAAATGAGCCAAGGGTTAAATACTAAATTCTAAATGCAAGCTTACCAGAACGAGCACCAGCCAATATAATGTTGGCATAGGTTTTCCACCGACGTGGCCTGCTGAATAAGTTTTTCCACTTGGTCTGGGACGTTGAGGTCTTGGAACCTCCGCATGTCATTACCTGTCAGTTTGTCTGTGATTCTCTTCAAAATCAACATTGCGCGAGCGTTTCTGATTTCTGACTTCTGTCGGATCTCCATCTTCGCTGCTTCCTCTGCTGAAATTGTGCCCTTGCGCAAAAGTTCACTGGGGTTAGCAAGCGAAAGTTCTGTACCGGTGTGCTCAGCAATGGTTTGTGTAGGTAAATCAAATCCCCAGTTGATCAAGGGATCGTATGCAAATGCTTCCAAAATTGCCATCAAGGACTCTTTGTTATCTCTCAAAACCCTCATTACGTTTTCGCAGGTTATGCGGAAACTGCCTTCAATACCGCTCACTTCCATAGCATACGTCAACATCCGAGTGAGACGGAAGGGAACCTTTTCAGGGTACTTCTCTCTCAAAATTGCAGCTTCAAAACAATCCCCGAAATCAATGTGAATAACCTTACCTGTTATGCGATCCAGCATCAAATTGCTTGGGTGCCGGTCGCCCAGACCCAAAATGTAGCCCACCATGGACATCACCGCTAAGGATCTGGTGTATGTAGTGCGCCGCTCCAGCCAAGCTTCCGACGATCTACTTTTAAGCCATAGCACCTTGTGTAAGTCTTGGCCTCGAGTGTTGTCCAGTGCATAGGTGAAAACCTCAATCTTCTGTAGCAACGTCAAATTGTCATAATCAGGAGCCATCTGCAGCATGATCCTGTGCTCAATGTTCAAGGGTATTTTCCTCGCCTCACGATGCTCCCTTATGAGAACATGGAACGTGTCACTGTTATTAACCCATCCCAGTAATCCTGACTTTGGTGACAGAGGAATTGTTGGATACCTTCGGATATCCAAATGTCTTTGGGAGCATTCCGAGTCGTTCTGTAACAGAGTATTGACTAAACCAAATAGTTGCATCACCAAATTATCCTGTCTGAGATCTTCATGTCCCTTCAACAGGTATTGGTAGTCTTTTCCATCACTGCCTCTGACCGACAACCTCCTAGGTTTTTGTTTAGAGGAGATCACGTAGAAAATGGGCTCGAAGTATGAGATGTGTACGACGGGCTTGCCCGCCTGATAAGTGCCAGCCACGGCTAGTTGCAAATCGCAAGCAGCTAACAGTTTAGGAGAAACATGCTGCAGCTCGAGTGTTTGCAGTTGTGGCAACTGGCGACTAATCCGGCGGAAAACATTGTAATAGATGTCCCAAGCTTGGTTCAAATTGGTTATATCCTTGTTTCGCTTGTAGTTCATTACCCACTCGTAAGCGTCGTTCAAGTCTCTCCCAAACGAATTCTGGAATGATATTTCTCGCAAAGTAGATGGTCCTCTTTTCAGCATTTCATGAAGAGGTTCTAATGTGGCAAACATCTTCTCGGTATTATGCTCTCCGAAGAACTGTCGACTGGCGTCTTCCAGGCCCTCATACCAGAGCTCATGCCACAAGACCGCAACCCGAATTAGTTCGTGGCTCACCATTTCAGCCTGGTCAACCAGAACCGAGCTGTGAACTCTCATTTTCGCAATGATCGATAAAGCTGCCTTTTGCCTAGAAACCGATTCCGATTTTATAGCAACGGTCAATGGGTATACTAAAGCCTGGGGGTGAGCTTTCCCTAGATCCGAAAGCAACGATAATAGTGATCTGCTAACAATTTGGTTTGGTTGATGGATTCTAGTAATCAGTTGAGGGACAACATCCAACCATTTGTCAATTTTGATTAGATCAAAACCTTCGTGCATAGCCTGAGTGGCTTCTGGAATGCCACCAAACTTGAACCACAGCGTGAGAAGCCTCAATGTGTCCTGCAAAGAGTTCGATTCCGAGTGTAAGATAGAGTGGAAGAAGCCCTTTATTGCCGGTACGACGTGCCTCTGTACCAATTCGGGTGACAGGTTATGGTTGTTAACAACATTTCCTTCCATGCCCATGCCTGCTGGGCCCTCAGGAACTGGTGTAACATTGTCGTTTAGATTTCCCTGGCTTCGTATCTTATCTTCACTGGAGTTGATAGTAATGACGTCAAAATTGGCTAGCGCCCAGTTGTGCCAAGCTTTGTACCACTTATTGTCAAAATGTGTAGCTAACAGGTAAGAGCCCAAAATCGCGTCTGGATTTTCTAGAATCCAATTGCTTTGCAGGGATACTCTCCACTCACCTTGTTTGAGGAAGCAACGAGCCAACAATTTTGTGTACTCCTCAACGTGATGGATTGGTATAGTGCTACTTTGGGGGACACTTTGAGCAATCATATTGCTAGGATCTAACCCTAAATCATGAGCAACCCTGGAAGTAAAGCTTATTAAGTGACGCAGGGCTTCTTTCTGCGATCCAGTTGCCCACATATACTTCAGCTGTGCATACACAACTGGAGGTGGCGCTCTTGCAGTATTTGGGTGGGCAGGGTCACCACCGTCCTCCAAAAGTGAATTGAGCGCTTTTTGAGCTAATCCCATTCTTCCCGATTTTCTGCAAAGATTGGCGAATTTTATCCACACTTGCATATCTTGTTTAGGTTTCACCACAAGAGAACGCACTCTTAAAATTCTCTGCCAAACGTCAACGTTTTTCTGACATCCAAGTAGTCTTTTGTTCCATGTCTTTCTCAAAGCAGCCCTCTTTTCTGACGCAGGGGCAAGCTTTTTGTAGTCAATGATTTCCTCTAGTTCCGATATCATTTGTGAGCGAACTATCACACTATATGCTCTGTTGTAACTCTCATTCACCAGAGCGGAAATTTCAGTAACCAGAAGATCTCTAGCCTCGAATATATGTGTCTGTGCTTTTTCAAAGTCATTCCTATGTGTGCATAAAATGGCGTCAAAAAAGGCTTTGTCTGGGGACTGTCTTTTCATAGCATCAATATACTGGTCAATGCGATCCCATTGACCTAAACCCCAGGCAGCACCCGCAGCTAGAGGTGCAATTACCCTTTTAATATCTAGACTGGACGTGTTCCACTTTTCAGCAGCTAGTTCGGATAGACGATCCCATTCTCCCAAGGCGTGAAGTGATCTCATTTTCCCCAGCCTTACTTCAATAGAGTCTTCACCGGCCCGTTCTCGCTGACTGTAGGAGCTTAAAGCATCTTCCCACCTTTGCAACTTTTCATACCATGTTTCTTTGAGCTGAAGATCATGGTGCTGTTGAGCGTGTTTAAGAATGCCAATTGCTGCGTCGGTCTGATGTAATTGATTGTTGATGCTAATGAGAGACTCGATCGTCGATGTGCTTGGCTCTTGTATGAAAGCCAATTCCTTGAAATGAAGGGATTTGGCATATGCATGACACTTTTGGGCGTATTCACCTAAAACAGGCACTGGTATTGGAAGAGGCTTATCGTCATGCTCCATGAACTCAACCAAGTTCAACAACGTTTGGTGAATTTCAGGTGGATTGTTAGGAGAGGAAAGTGCCAAACACAAAGAATTTACGAGGTCATCTTGGTATTGTGTGTACAACTCAGTCCAACAACTTGCAAATGATGCATTGAAAAGTTCCCTGGCCAATGGATGGTAAATACCTGCAAGACCCGAGCAAGCTCTAAGCGCATGAGAGGGCGATTCTTTGAGGAGTTGGACAGCCAAACGACGTATCCATTCCTGCCAGTCTTCCTTAGTTCTCTGTTGGCTGCATTCCCAAGTATTTTTCAGAATGAGCTGATTGACAGGAAGTTTTTTGGTAGGCAACTCGACATCAGCAACCTCTTTACTGACAACTTCGAAATCACGATCAATGATGATATTTGTTGGCAGCGCCTCATGATTCAGCAGTTTATTGACAAGTTGGTCGTATACTGTGTGCTGAATCTGATTCCGCACCAAAGTCTTATTGATTATCGGGATAAAGACCGCAAAATCAACGCCTAGTTGAAGCAGCAAGAGACTTAAAGTATTCATGGTCGCTCTTATCAATTCGGAGTTTCCCGTGTTCAAAACGCGTATAAGTGCCTGAACAATCCTAGATGACATTTCCGAAAGATTGACAGTCTTTGCCAGTCTTCCTAGTGTTATAATCGCAACTTTGTTAAGAGCACTAACACCAAACTCTGCAATTCTCACGATTGCTGGGATAATGAGGTGAGCGAACTCATCTAAGTTCGCATCAAACACTACTAAGGATTTCATTATTCTCACTGAAACCAATTTCTTATTCGACTTATCTTTCTCCAAGACATCGAGAAAGAGAACCAAGGTTTGGGCAAGGAAACCTCTGAACTCTCCTTTCAAAGACTTTGAAATTGACTCAATCACTGATATAATCGTGATTTGAAGCTTGACTATGGGGAAAAACTCTTCGATAACCTCAAAGATCTCTCCCACGAAGGGGCGTATATGTTGGTTAACAATCGAAACAAGAATTCCCAATTGCTGAAAATAGAATTCCAACAGTGATGGAGGACATGCTTGCATAACGTGGATAATACCTGGTACAATCTGCTTGAGAAAAGAGACACAACGCACCCCTAATGTTTGGAAAATATGCATCACCGCTTGTATTACCGAAGTATGGTGAGATGAAAGAGATGGATCATTGAGAATTTTCATCAGAGTAGCTATCACCACCGTTGGATGATAGTCATCATTTGACGGAGACATGCCTTGCATCAATAAGCCGACGTCAATTGGTGGCGCATTCTGCTCGGCCGTGATATTTGCACTAGAAGTGCGCTCGACCTCCCTGTGCTTGTAAGGATCTAGAGCACCCAAGATACCTATGAGACGAACAGTTTCTCGCCTTATATTCTGTGAGCTTTCTGATTTGAGAATGTTGATCAAAACACCCAGCAGCTGTGGAAAGCTTAGAAGCGGATCAATGACGTAACCCGAAGATGCTGAAAGTTGACCCAAAGCCTTCAAAGCGGCAAGACGTTTGAATGAATTGGACTGGTCCTGAAATGTGTTTATAATCAATGGCATGAGCTGACCAAGAAATGGAATCAGCTCCTCACCTCCGACCACTGCCAGTTCACCCACTGCCTTTAAAGCTGTTGATGCCACCGCAGAAGAGTTGTCCTGACACTTCGGAAGAAGTACGTCCAGAATAGGCTCAATGTAAGGCTTCGTAACGTCTTGACTTGAGCTTATTAAAGTGCTTATCAAAGAAGCGCTCTCTTCTTTCTTGCGGGACATGTTTGAAAAGCTGAGCTGACTTAAAAGTTGCAACAAAGTCTTTCGTAGCGATGGTATAACGTAGGCAGGATTTACCATAGAAAGCCTTCCGATGATCTTCATTGCTTCCATCTGGATAGCGAAAACTTCGTCATTCAAAGCCATGAATAGAAGCCTGACATTATCCGGCTGAGATAGCTGCGGGTCGAAGCTCATATCTAGATGCCTCAGTACTTCAAATCTGATTTCCACTACGGGATCTGTGATAGCTATTGTGAGTAGCTTACTCAGAACTTCTGACACTGTATTAAGTGCGTGTAGTGAAGTTTGCTTACAGACTTGATCTTTCACAAACAGGTCACAGGATGTGAGTGCAGCAAATTTCCTTACTTGAGGACTTTCATGCTCGATGTAAGAAATAGTGATCATTCTCACAAAGTCCGCCAATGAGTATCTATAATTTATCTTGTGAAGCATAATCAACGCTTGATTGAGGATATGAACGTCAAAGATGTCGTCGTTTACTTCGCCTGTCTTTCTCAAAGTCGATTGATCTCTATAATGTCTAGCTCGATCGCTGTTCAGAGGTTTCAATGGAATTGGAGAGCCAGGTGGCTTGAACTTCTCCCCAGACAAAATTAGACATAGCATGTCGAGAGACTTTTCATTTATAGAAGGCCCCAACGCGGGAATTTTTTCGATGATTGTCGTCAAAGTGGTTTGCATGTGGTCGGACAACGGACACGCAAGCATAAGATCTAGAAGATCTTGGTTAAGATATTTGGCTAAAACGGGGCCTACTGCGCATGCTAATTTCGCCACGCAGTAAAAAACCTCCGCTTCGAATTCTTTTCTCCATTTGAATTTTGTCATTAGTACGTCCCTCACGTTGTCAAGAATTGAATCCATGTAAGGGGCGATACTTGAACCAACTTCTTGAGCAATATCGCCAATTGATACAGAAATAGCAGCCTTATCGGCATTGTTTGTTGGGGTTGCATTTTTTAGTAAAGTCAAATAATGAATCATGATGTGATCCAGATACTTTTCGGTAAAAACCTCAGAGTCGGCGGCAGCCAAAAGGGGCAAAATAGCGTAGACCTCTTTCCGAATGACGCTTGACTTGTGATCTTTATACCTCATTGTCATTTCGTAAATTTCGTCAAACTGTTCGTGCAAATAAGTTCCCTTTAACGACAGAAGTTGTCGATATACAAGTAATGTGGCATGTATGGCTTCATTGGTACTCAGCTGCAAGCCGTATGAGCAGCCTTCCAAAAGTCTTTCAAACCATTTTTTGGTAAGTTTTGCGTCCCTTCCTTGAATGATATCCATACACTTGTAAAGGGTTTTGGCAGCATCTATCCGAATTGCTAGTCGTGAGTCTCGCAGAGCTCTCCAAATGTTATCCAAAATCGAATTGATGTATGAGTACAGGAGGTAAGGGGAGTTGTCGGCTATCGCAGTCAGGATGAGGAGCGACGCGTGCTTCCTAAGCTCCTGCTTGAAATTAGAGGAGGAATTTTCTGGGGATGTTGTAAGCCACTCTATGCATGTCTTAACTTCAAATTCAACGAAATCAGACGTTAGTGTGCCTCCAGGAATTGCCAGTTTCCCTAAAGTTGTGGCAGCTGCGCGCATAACGTCGACGTCACTAGACGGGATCAAAACGCGGAGATAATTGGCCAATCTAGAAGTTTGATTGGGAAGCTCGTCTGACTGAGTGTAAAAGTCAATCAAAGTGTCGACTGCCAAGATACCTCCGAATTTCTCGTAGGACGAAGAACCGTGGATGAGCTCGAAAATCTTGTTGTTTATATCATTGCTGAAGCGTTGAAACTGCTCCGTGGAAACCTGACGAGCGAGAGAAACCAAACTATTTTTCAGCTCAAACGATGCTGCAGAACGCTCCTGAGCGCTTGGATTTTTCAGCTTGCTGAAAATAATGGCAAACGCCATGAAAGTCGTCTCTGAACCGGGATCTACTCCTACTGAGCTGCCTGAGATTCCGGCTGTAAGACTCGAGAAATTAGAATTGTCATTCCCAACTGATTCTCCAGCTCCATTGGCCGTGGCAGCCCCGCTCCCAACAGCTCCGGCATTAACGTTGTTGCTCGCTTCGGGACCGTCTTTCCCGCCGGATAGGAGCTTTTTGCGTCTCCCTAGATCATGTTTCATTTTTAACATGATGCAAACGGCTAAACGGCGTCCCTGATGTTTCTTGAAGGTTTTAGAAGCCTTTTGTCTTCGTTTCCAGTTGTTGATCAGATAGTTAGACCATTTCAACAGTAATAAGAATTATAAGTATATCTATCAGACCTAATAATTAAGATCAATATCACTATACACGCGCTGTTGGGCTGAACCGTTTAAAGATCGGAAGCCAAAACCGCTGGTAATGAGATCTTAGTCATAATAGTTCTCGAGAGCTTCGTGCTGGGAAAAACTGTCTACTTCTTTGCTCTTAAGCCCGTGGTTTCGTCAAAAGTAAAAGTGGTGGGTCAATTATATTAAGATGCTTGTTTTGAGCTTGGCGACTTAAGTTAAGTACGTCAACCGGCATTTTACCGTTCAAATATGGAAGGCGATTTGGCAACTGTCGGATCATCATCAGAAATAGAAATATCCTACCATTTAAATAAAAGATAGTCTCATATATATCTAGGTTTATATCACGTGACTTAAAGGCGACACAGGATGACAAGATGATGTTGGTGACAGTTCCGGTTGACGCGATGGATGCTGCAGTTCGATACTGGGAACATTTCTTAGTATGATTTTGTAGTGCAGAAGCATTTTGGTAGCTTTCAGCGCTCCCAAGACCTCCATTTAAAATTATTGATTGACATATAATTTTCTGGCCCTGCAGTACAATCAGCACTCTCTACTGAGCTCAACCGCATAAACATCACGCCGTTCAGTTATCGACTTATATGTCGCGAATTTCGACCGTCGCCTTCCCTCAAATAAAATCAATCACTTCTCAACCAAAACGAATAAATATTATCTTCGCCTTCGAATCAACAAAAATCAGCCAAGTCATATACATGATTAAACCCCCAAAAACTACAGCACAGCTATTAAATCCATGAACTCAATCGCCATCTGGATACAACCAATTCTTAACACTTGCGCTACCGTAACATCACGTGTTCTCCTTCTATACTGACTTTATAGCTTTTCATTAGGGCGACAATGCCCATATATATATATATATATACGTAGTATTTTTTGAATAAAATGAAGTTGTTGTCAACCCCTTTCCACACATAAACGCGAGGCATTCAAAGGCTAAAACGAGGTCATTGAACCGCTTAAGGTTCCATTTTACCATTTCCCAGCTCTGAAAAATGTCGTACTTAAATAATCCGGCCATTGTCATGGACAATGGTACCGGTTTGACCAAATTAGGATTCGCTGGAAACGATTCCCCGTCGTGGGTTTTCCCCACGGCAATAGCCACAGCACAGCGTTCAACGACAAAAAGTAGTGGCAGTGGAGCAAGCACGAGCTCGGCTCAAAGTGCTTCCAATCCGTACTTTGGAAACTCTACGTCTGCCACGTCTTTTAACAGTTTGGCATCAGCAACACTCATGTCTAACAACTTGGCTGGAAAACGAGGCACAGAAGACTTGGATTTTTACATCGGGAACGAAGCGCTTACAGCAGCCCAGGGCCCTTCCTACTCACTCAGCTACCCGATCCGTCACGGCCAAGTTGAAAACTGGGACCACATGGAAAGATTCTGGGAGAACTCGATCTTCAAATATCTAAGAACCGAACCCGAAGATCACTTTTTTTTGCTCACTGAGCCACCTCTCAATCCTCCTGAAAACAGAGAACAGGTAGCCGAGATTTTCTTCGAGGGCTTCAACTGTGCCGGTCTCTATATCGCAGTGCAGGCCGTGCTTGCGTTGGCCGCGTCTTGGACCTCCTCGAAAGTCGTTGATAGATCATTGACAGGTACTGTTATAGACTCCGGTGACGGTGTCACTCATGTTATTCCTGTCGCCGAAGGGTACGTCGTCGGGTCGGCCATCAAGAACATTCCAATTGCCGGAAGAGACATCACACTTTTCATTCAGTCGCTACTTAGAGAGCGCGGCGAGGAAGACACTACACTGAGGACAGCAGAGCGCATCAAGCAGGAGTACTGTTACGTTTGCTCGGATATCGTCAAGGAATTCAACAAATTCGATAGAGATCCTCAGAAATTTGCCCAATTTATTGTAGAAAACTCAGAAAAGACCAAACGTAAGGTAATAGATGTGGGTTACGAGAGGTTTTTGGCTCCTGAGATATTTTTCAACCCAGAAATCGCATCCTCCGATTTTCTAATTCCTTTACCCACAGTTGTTGACCAAACCATTCAGGCTTGCCCTATCGATGTCCGTAAAGGTCTTTACAACAATATCGTACTTTCCGGTGGCTCTACAATGTTTAAAGACTTCGGCCGTCGTCTACAGAGAGATTTGAAAAGTATAGTAAACAACAGAATAGCATTGAGCGAAAGCCTCAGCGGCACGAGGTCTACCGGTGTTGATGTACAGGTTATTTCGCACAGAAGACAAAGAAATGCAGTTTGGTTCGGTGGCTCTTTGTTGGCGCAGACAGCCGAATTCAAAAGCTATTGCCACACAAAGCAAGACTACGATGAAATCGGGCCTGAAATCGTGAGAAACTTCAGTCTGTTCAACATGGTGTAGGTATGGATCCCGAGTGACTTAAAATCTTCTCCGAGCTTACTCAAGTAAATAGTACAGAATCTTTAGAATCAAAAAGCTAGTGTCGTTTATCAAACTTATTTGGCAGGACTTTCATGCTTTAGATTAGTACTCGTCTTTTCCACTTATAATGACGTTATCAATTTTGAGAATCATCCTGCAAAGCTGAGTAGCCAGTTGAATTTGCTGTTTTTTACCAATCAATGGATCAACAACAAAGAGCTCCTTCATGTTATTAGAATCGTTGGACAGACAATCGACGCCTGTGGTAGAGACATTTTCTTTGATTTGCTTACTTTTCAGCAGTGACAGTGTTTCAATTGGATCTAGACCTGAATTTTCAGCTAAAAGCATGGGAATGGTATCAAGCGCCTGGGAAAAGGCGCGGAATGCATACTGGTCAATACCTTGTTGTTTATCCGCTTCCTCAGAAACCGCTACCGACATGGTCACTTCCGCAGCTCCACCACCGTAAACAACTCTGGAGTCTCTCACCAAGTTTCTTACGACACACAAAGAGTCGTGTAGAGCTCTTTTAGCTTCGTCCACGATCATTTTATTGGAGCCTCTAATGAAACAAGTGACAGTTTTCGAGTTTGAACATTCTTCGATTATCAACATGCGGTCTTTTGTGGTTCCGAACTCAATTTCGCGAATCTTACCGCATGTTCCCAACTTTTCAGGCGATAGATCTTGGAAACGTGGCACTATACGTCCCTTGGTGGCAATCGCGATCTGCTCTAGCTCTTGTCCTCCTACCCATCTTACAGCAGGCAGATTATTTTGCAGTAGCAAATGGTTTGCCTCGTCGTCAAAGCCCCACTGACAAATGGCCACGTCTGCACCTGCGTTTTTGACGCAGTCGATCATTTCTGTGAATTTCTCTTGTTCGTATGACTGAAGCTTTTGATATTCTTCGACGGTTGATATATCCAATTTGTGTTTGGTCTTTGGCTTGGGGGGCTCGAATGGACATGTCAAAATGGCAAGCTTAACGCCTTCGTGACCTTCCTTAGGTTGAACGAGCTTGGGCATCTGAGGATGAGAGAAGTCCTTATCGAGGACAACACCTTTGATCAGCTTGGAGTCCTGGAGAGAGCCGCCAACACGACCTTCTAGCTTAATGAGGTCAAAGTCGACGTCTTTCCGATCTAGATCCATTACACTGGTGACGGCGTCAACGGCCATTTGTGCAAATCTGTCGTGGTCTTTGGAGACAATTTTGGAGCCAAGAGATGTTTTGGCAGCTTTGAAAAGATAGTCACGGAACGAGGTTTGGTCGTCGGCGATGTCGTCGGCCTGGGACTCTAGATGAGCTACAGCCACTCTAGCGGCTTCGTCGAAGCCATTAGCGATTTTGATTGGGTGAATGCCCTTCTCGATTAGTTCCAGGGCCTGGTCGAGCAAGGCGCTTGCCAGCACCACTACACCGGTGGTACCGTCACCGATTTCCTCGTCCTGGGATTTTGAGAGCTGCACCAAAAGCTTGGCAATTTCGTTGTCCAATTCCATTTGAGACAGAATTGTAGCACCATCGTTGGTGATCGTGATTTCTCCATCGGGCGAGATCAGGATCTTGTCGAGACCTCGTGGACCTAGGGATGTTTTAATGATTGACGCTACAGATCTAGCGGCCAAAATGTGCGATTTTTTCGCTTCCTGTCCGTGCTGTCTTTCTTTGTTACCTTGGTCCCTGACGATGATAAATGGTCTTCCCATCTCATCCTGAGCCATTATGGCATTGGACATATCGGGCATTTCCATGCTTTGCGGATGCATATGAGCCATATTGCCGTCGTTGTGTGAAGAAGTCTTTGAATGAGTTCAATTGACCTGGAGTGAACGACTTTGAGTGTTGTAGATCAATCAAGCATTTCTATAGGTATTGAATTATACTGTATTTCTAAAAATTTGCCATCCAAATTTCCCAGCTCTACGTTCGAAGTGAGTGGATGTGTGTGTGTGTGTGTGTCGAGTACTCGCGAGTACAACACTCTATATAGATACTGTTTGAAAGAAGCGAAGTGAGCGTGTAAAGGCGATACGATCTTGATTGTGGTGTTCTTCTAATAGATATAAATGTCATATATGTATTGGTTGAAAGCACCGGGGTGGCGTTTTTTATTTTCCTGGAAAGGCTATTTTCCATTTCATTTTTGAATTACACTATCTGTTTTTGGAGCTGCTAGGGGTTTGAGATCGGCATAACACTTGCCCTTGATAGCCGGCTGTGGTATAATTTGAGCTAGAACAGTGGTTTCCTTTCAAACTCTATTTCGTGACGCGCTGAAAGTGCTTGTCGCTCGACACGGACACGTCTCTTTCTCTCTCTGTCATTGTCCAGCGCACAACATAGCTGAATCTTACTCATGAGCGACACCGATACAATCTATCCTTCTAGCTTTTAGAAAAATGCTTTATAGTATTATACAATATGGTGGAAGAGAAATAGATGCCACCTTTTATCGGCGAAGTATGCTGGGGAGGTCGTGTTGATCATCACGGGAGATATAGGATCGAATATCAACGCAACGATCAATTGTCGCGGAATTGGGCAAAAAAAGATCAATTATTGGTTCTAAAACGGTACCCGCAGGCTGTGCATGTGTAGAAAACGGTGGCACCTTCATCGGCCGACCGTAGTTGTAGCGTGTGGTAGTGCATCTCGTCGTTTCCGCACTTGGGGCACTTTTCGCGGATAGTAGCGCCTTCTTCGAGCTCGTTCTTCTTGAGCGATGTCTTGACCACGGACCGCTTGGATTTCAAAGCAGATGGGAAAGCATCGTCGGCGGTACGAGTTACGACTCGCAAATCGGAAAACTTGGACTTGGCGTAGCCCGCTCCGCACTGGTGGCACACGATTTCCGAGTGTTCCACTGCTGACGGGTTATCCAACAGATTACCACATTGTGTGCAGAAGATGAGAGACCCTACCACGGACATGAGGGCGACGAGTGCGGCGTGTGTAGTAGATGAGATGGGATTGTGATGCGATGAGCTGAGATGAGCTGAGATGAGATGAGATGTGATGAAAAATTTCAGTTTTCGTATGTGATGATGTTTGACGAGTACAGGTTGTGGGCGATCTGCTGTAACGAATGCGCACTCTTTTAGACCCTTTAGAGAGCCTAAACGTGTATTTCGACGATACAGTTCTTGTTTCTCGACCTTAATGAGAGGTTATTGAATAATTGAGAGTGTTAGAGAAGGGTGCCACAAGCACTTCTGAACAATTGAGAGCTTCAGCGATCAATGGCGAACTACGTAATATGACTTCAAGAATTGTCGAGCTATTGAGAGCGTCAGCGATCGACGGTAAAGAAATGGAGGACTAGAGTCGATCGCCGACACTCTCAATTGTTCAGTAGCGCTTAAAAGCCGTCTTACGTCATCACGATCGTGAGTGTCAGCGATCAATTTTGGATAGGTGGAGAAATCTTGATCTTTCTGAACAAATTGAGAGTTGGTGGTACTCACTGACGTACATAATTGTGAATAATTATCATAGTTTGTAGCGCAATTGATCAATTGAAATCAATGGTAAAAAAGTAGAGAACTCGCAGTACTTTCATCAACAGCGAGTACGAGTACAGAGAACGCCTAGTACCATTGAACAGTTGAGAGCGTCAGCGATCTACTGTTAATGAGAACAGGACTCTTAGTAGTACTGGTCGATCGACAGCGTCAACAATCAATTGTGAATAAAGAGAGGGCTCCGAGCACGATTGAACAATTGAGAGCTTTAGCGATCAGTTGTGAATAAAGAGGGGGCTCGCGGTATTATGTAGAATAGCCACAAGCACTTCTCATGAATCGTGAGCTTCAGCGGTCGATTGTGAATAAGTAGAGATCTTAAGTTATTCACAATTGATCGCAGACGCTCTTGATTATTCAAAGGACTTCAAGTCTTCTTATATTATTCACAATCGATCGCTGACGCTCTGAATTGTTCAATTTTGCTCGGAGCTCTCTACTTATTCATTTTACGTAATCAGAATCGCTCTCTGACGGCCAATTGTTCGATAGTGCTTGTAGCCATCTTACATGTATAAAGTTGTGGGTGTTAGCGATCAATATTAATACGAACTCTCTACGTCGCTGACGCTTTCAACTGTCCGATAACACTAACAGTTCTTTAACTATTGGCAATCGAGGGCGTCAGCGATTGATAGTTCAATAGTTATATAAGCTATCATTGTTATTCGCAATTATGGGGTTCAGCGAGTATCAAGAATTCTTCACACACATCACACGGTCTTTCACACGATCTTAATTGTTTATTGGTATAAGAGGGTTCATCGTTCACAATTGTTCCGTGATACTACGTGTTGCTTAAAAACCGTGTTACGTAATCACAATCGAGGGCGTCAGCGGTCCATCGTACTCGTACTCGGGTTCCACCGAAGCTTATAAGGGCTTGGAGTTCTCTGAACAATCCTAGCGTCAGCGATCGACTGTGAATAATCTAAAAACACTTGATGTCCCTTGAACAATCCTAGCGTCAGCGATCGACTGTGAATAATCTAAAAACACTTGATGTCCCTTGATCAATCCTAGCGTCAGCGTCGGCCACTGGAACGTCAGTAAAAAAGAGCACTTCACACGACACAACGTCAGACGTCTCACTACTGCAAGCCCGCTTGTAGCCATTCTAACCACTCCCACTTGATCACTGGTGCTATAAAAGCTACAAACTCTATATTTATTACGATTGGGAGCCTTGATCTGGAGCCTTGATCTGGAGCCTTGATCTGGAGCCATGTACATACATATTCACAAATGAGCACGTCCCAAGTACTCCTTGCCCAGATTCAAATTGACATTCAGATAATTGTCGATCTCGATGGCACCTCGTCTCCTTGCCACCTCTGATTCTTGTGCCCACTCCACCTCTTCTCCCACACACTGCTTGCCAAGCCACCGTCAACATTCCCAATAGTATTCACCATTCTGTTTGTTTCTGTCTCTCACGGCGCGGAAACGGCCGAGTCGAACCGCCTTAAATCCGCGGGGTTGAAGAGTGCACCCGGTGTCACTTCGAACGATTATGGCACGCCAGAAAGACCCGTACGATATAAACATCTAGGGTTCCATTACGTAATCGCCCGTCTGTTTCAATCCAAATTCCCATACCCGTTTTTTCCTGCAGCTTGCAGCATACCGTTCCAAGAGCTGCGGAGCTCGAGCCATTTTGGCGTGAGAACGGTATATCGCGGTTTAGGCGAGCCAGACAATCGCCTGTTATCTTCAATCAAGATCTGGACTGAACTACCGTTGAGACAGGGCTCGGCGAGGGCGGTGTTGCAGTAGTAGCAGTGGTGGTATTCTAACGGGCAAAAATGCCTAGTTGACAAAAACACCACGCGCCAGCGGTTTCGTCATGGTGCCTCGGCCAGATGCAGCCTGATTTTCATGATTCTGCATGTGTATGCATATACGTGCATATATATGCAGACAGTGCGTCTCTAAGCCATTCAAGCCTGCGTTTCGGCTTTTGATCCGCGCCAGAAAACGCCGCGGACTGAGCTACTATACATACATGCGGTTATGCATCTGCTGCACTCGCTGTGTCAGCATCCGATCCGCGGTGGCTCAGAATGTGCCTGAGCGCCACGGCGATTGCGCTCATGGCAGCAATCGCTTAATGACGCCGGAGCAGTCTGAACTGATCTCTCTCGCGGAATGTAATAGTATAAGTAGACGCGATTGTTTGACCCCATGCCCCTCGAAAACTTTCCCCGCTAGGATTCACATTTGACTTTCGACACTTGACACGCACGCCACCGTCCCCCGTCGTCGGATCCTCCATTGCACCAAACCACTACTACTACTACTTTGGTCGTTGACAGCCCAGTATTGTTGTTTTTCTCGGGTCTACCCATACACCCGTACACCCATACAGCACATATCTTTCTTCAGAGCTCTTTAGCGCTTGCTCTCTTGTGCTCGATTCTGCTCTGTTCCACCCTGCTGTGCTGAATAACACATCACGGTTCACATCACGGTTCACATCAAGGGTCCTCGTTCAAACGTTCCGCCGTTCCGCGCCGCTTCGTTCCCGCCTGAGCAGGGCAAATGAAAGAAAGACAGAAAGATCGATAGAAAAAAAATCCAAAGGCCAGAAACCCGCCGTCCCCTTTTCCTCTCGTTTCTTTTCTCCTCTCTCTTTTCCCGTACCGTTCTCGGAAAAAGAAACCGGACCACGTGACCGACCCTGCTGCCGCTTGCTGCGTTTCCAGCTTTTGCCACTGCTACTGCTACTGCTACTGCTACTGCTACTGCCACTGCTACTGCCACTGCAGCCCGGAAAATCAGCAAATCTGTCTCAGCTCCGTCTCCTTTTTCTCATCGATTCTTCAATTCTTTGATTTGTGTCTCCTTTGTCCTTCTTCTTCTTCTACTTCTACCTCTACCTCTACACACGTCTTGTAGCTCATCCCTCACACACCCACAATGCGCAGCCGACTCCACCAACATAGCCGACGGCTCGTAACGTTGCTGCTCGCCATAGTGGGCGCAGAACTCGTCTACGTGTGTGTCTCGTTCTACGTCGTCGAGGCCGGGGGCCAATCGGGCCAGTCCGTCTCGTCCCGAATATCGACCCTGTTCGGAGCCAGCGCGCTCAGCGCGCTCAGCTCGCTCACAGTCTCTGCAGACCCAAATCGCATGCTCCCCGGCTTAGTGTCGGGGTCACGTGTGCGTCTGCAAGACCGGCTTTTGGCATACGCGCTCCCCAGCGCCGACAACGGAAGGCTTCGCAAACCCGCCATCGACGATCTGGTCGAATACTACGGTTCCTGGAAATTCGACACTGCGGTCCGCTACGTCATACCGTGCACTTTATCTCAAACTTTCCTCGGCCGGCTCCAAAGACCCATTCGCACTCTGCAAGACCTGTTTCCAGACTCTCAATTCGTGGGCTCTCGCAATCAAGACATTTTGGACGAGCCCCAAGCATCAGATTCTTTACAAATCGACAATGCCGAATTTCCGCTGCGAACTTACAATTACGATCCACGCGCCCCCACGGCGATCTACTACGACGAAATTCTCAATTTCGTCAAAACAAATGGAGGTGCCGGATTTCCAGTTGACTCTGTCACCGGCAAACAGTATCCTCTCTTTGAAAACTTGACTGTCCCTTTCAGCTGGTATGATTGGACGGACTCGCAAATTCTCAACGGATTCATAGATTTGCCTCAAACCGACAAGCCGCATTGTAGCGACGTTGTGCGCCGATACTTTCAGCCCGAAAAACTTCTCGAATTTGAACGCAGGTTCGGCTACAAACTATTCGAAGAAGACCGCTCTAAAGCTTTAGGTGCGTCAAGATTTAGCAGCATATCCGCCTTCGCGGGAAAAAACGACGAAGTTCCACCAGAGAACAATTGTATTGATGATTTTATCAATACTTTGATGCCAGGATTTAGGTCGACTTCTCCACTCAACTTTTCGAGACCGGAATTATACGGGCTTCAGGCTCGCGCCACTCTTTTCGCGTCCAAGCCGTCCGCTTACTCCCTGACTTTTTTGAACAGAAATGGCTCCTCTATCCAAGTGGAAACCAGTAACATCGATGCCCTTGACTCAAAAAGCAGACCTCAAAATGTTCTTTTCAATGGTTTACTGGAAAAGTATATGGAGCGCAACATACCTTCTTTCCCCGAAATTCCTGCATCAGATCATTCCTTTGACAACATACAGAAATTCAAACAACTTAAGCAAGAAATCTTTCATCACTTTTCCGAACGAAGCTCAAATAATGATCCATCGGCGACACAAAGTTCAAAGACTCCTACCAGTAGCTCAGCTTCGGAATTACCGTATTTCGTCGAGTTGACTGAGAAGGATTTCGAATTTGACGCCAAGGCAAAAATTAAACAACTGGAGGCCCTGCCAAAGAGGACACGCCACCAACAGTCATACTTGGAGTCCTTAGAAGGTTCTCTCAATACCTTAACGATGGACTTGAATAAGTACTTCACGGAAGCTTCTCACGTTACTGACTACACTCACATGGGTCATCATTTCGATTCTAGGTTCTTCCGTGGCGCTGTGGAACATTCAGACATGCGAGCACGCCTGGACGCAATAGCTCGTGCGTGGCTGAACTTTGTTCACTCCAATGGACTTAGCGCTTGGCTTTCGCACGGAACTCTCTATGGCTGGATGTACAATGGTATGGCATTTCCTTGGGATGGTGATCATGATATGCAAATGCCGATTGTACATTTAAATATCCTGGCAGAGAGGTTCAATCAAAGTCTAATCGTAGAAGATCCAGAGGTTGGCAATGGTCGTTTCTTTCTAGACGTGAGCAACTCCATCACGAGCAGAGTGCACGGAAATGGGAACAATAATATAGATGCCAGATTCATTGACGTCGACTCTGGTCTCTACGTGGACATCACCGGGCTTTCCGTCTCGTCAGATGGGTTCCATCCTAGATACAAGGGCCTCGCTGAAGAAGTGGCGAAATCCAGTCAGAACCAAACTTTTTTTAGAGATCCTAATATCGTCAAGGGGGTGACTGATCTCTCGCCTGCGGACGTCCTTCAGGAAGAGGAAAAACGTGGAAACATGACTTCCGGACGTCTCAATCACATCGAGCGTTACGCGCAAATGGTCAAAAACGTTCAAAATGGTCATCAAAGTGAATCACCCGAGCAGCGCTATAACATGAATAAGGCTATGAAGGTGTACAATTGCAGGAACAATCACTTCAGCCACCTTTCGGAGCTTTCGCCTCTAAGGCTTACATTCTTCCATGGTGCTAAAGCTTATATTCCTAATCAAGCCATAAAGGAATTGAAACATGAATATGGAGTTCCTGCAAACTACTCGTACTTGGATTTTTCAGGCCGTGCTTTCGTGCCTGAATTCCGCCAGTGGGTCGATCGGTCGACGTTGTTGGCCATAGCGGAAGCCCCAAGCTCTCCGATTCGTGTTGAAGAAAAGGTGTTGAAGACATTAGATTTTCGCAGCATTGTAGCGTTGTTTCAGAATGCAGCGGTTGTGAATGATGACAACGTTGAGAAGTTCTTCAATTACTTGCTAAACACTTTTCAAATGACCACATTCCGTCAAAAAGAATTGGAATTAATGTACGACGAAGACCGCTCACTCGCAGAGAGGGCCTCCTCTCTGGAAAATTTTGTTCGCAACCGTGTCTTTACAGGCGGTTACAAAGACCCCTTTCAGAATCGGTTGGAAACCGTTGTATGGTACAACCTACTGGATAGAACACCTGTCTCGTATCAGCGGCTTGACAAACATTTGAAGAAACAGAACTTGCAGAACGCAGACCGCTTACTTGAGTTGAACGTTCTTAACAACCAAGGAAACTTCCCTTGGTCAACGGAAGCCGGTTATCAAGATCCTCCCAGTCTCTTAGATTTTAATCATCGCGGAAGCAGGTTTTTTGCGATGGGTGAAAATAGTCACAACGATATTTTCAAATCTGACCCCAAAGATCTCTGGTCGTCTTCTTCTTCACTGTCGACCCCAACCAGCACTGCCACTAATAATGCCTGAATACATCAGCAAGCATTGGCGCATTTGATTTGAAATTGAAGGCTGGCCTTCGGTGACCTTCCATGCTAATACCAATTAATTTATTGACAAGCAGTGTGAATTATAAATCCACACACAGACTTGATCATCGCCGTTTCCACTTAGTGGATGTCTTTGACTCAAGCTGAAGGCCAGCCTCACCCGGTGAACTTATTTTTTTTTCTTCAACTCACAAGTCGTCCCTTATCATAGGTTTACTACTCAGCGAGCAACGTCTGAGGAAAGTAACTAATTTTGCATGCTCTGCAACTCATTTTAGATAACTTCTTCATTTAGAACCAGAAGATGTAATAATCAAGATATTAAGTAACATGATTTGTTCTCATCAGCGCAGTTGATTCGCTAGCGACTAAGTAACAACGGCCCAAAAATTCTTATTCTGTCTATAAATCGATGCCTCTGTCCGCCTTAATTCCAAAATTTAAATGACTATAATAATGAGTTCATCAATCGTTATGGAAAATTAAACGCATCTAAATAGTAAATTGAAGTTCAAAAGCGTTACTTTTATCGTCGTTAGTATGACCCAGCTACTGAATCGACTAAACGTCAAGCTACGAATTGCAGTAGTACAATTAAATCCGCAAATAGGCCATGTTATTGAAACAACAGCCAGAGTTAATGCTCTAGTTTCCCGAATAGAAAAGTACAAGCCAGACATCGTTGTTTTCCCTGAATTTGCGCTTTCAGGCTATAGTTTCCACTCGCGGTTACAAATTGAGCCGTATTTGAGTCCAGCGCGCCAAGGCCCCGCGTGGGACCTGTGTCGTAAAATCTCAACTCAACTTTCGTGCGTCACTGTGATGGGGTATCCAGAGAAATGCGATGAGCTCACAGGGCAAAAAATGTACAACTCAGCTATTGTGGTCAATTCAAATGGCGAACTGATATTTAACTACCGGAAATCGTTTCTGTATCATACTGACGAAGAATGGGGGTGCTGTGAGAATCCAGCGGGTTTCCAGACGTTTGAACTGCCCTTCGCGAATATCGCACGTGATGCAGACGGTAAGATGCACGACATCAGTATAAAGAGCGCTGTCGGGATCTGCATGGACCTGAGTCCGTATAGGTTTGAAGCACCTTTCCAAGATTTTGAGTTTTCCAGCTTCCACGCAGAGAAGGGGACGGAATTGATATTGTTTCCCATGGCTTGGCTCAATTCTATATCTGTCACTCGTGACACCGAGAATCCAAGCCAGCGAAGGAAAGATATCACCCGTTCTTTGAATGCTCTTCAGTTGCCACTCAGTGGATCACAAGGCACATACCATTGGGACGTGGATTTGCAGGACGGCACACGTTTTGCAGAAAATCCAGAACACAGCACTCAAGAAAAACCCGACAATCATAACGAGACTAATGGCTTTTCGCGACCAGCGGAGCCGGATCTCTCCAATTTGAATTACTGGATTCTAAGGTTCATGCCCTTCCTGGCATATGCAGACCGACAAAATTGGTTCATCGAGCGCTTACTTGCTCCTTTACTGACCAAGCTTCGAGGCTTACGTTCCTCTTATATGGGCGGGGTCGTTCAGAAACCATGGTTATTTGAAAATCGAAATGCGATTGCAGTAATGTGTAATCGCTGTGGAGTTGAGGAAGGTTCTACAGTGTTCGCAGGCTCATCTAGCATTTTGAAATTCAACGGTCAGCACGGAGATGCCGAGAAAGAACTGGACAGCTCAAACCGCAGCGTCGAAGTTATTGGGAGTCTGTCAAAAGGCTATGAAGGGGTACTGATACGAGACGTTGAATTTCAAGTCGATAGGTAATTGAATGCTTGATTTACTACTGGCTACGTAAAAGACCTAAAACTGTACAGCTTTCGGTTCTTCGAAAGTGTAAGTTGTACCTTTACGACAGCAAGCGACTAATACTACTCGAATAGCTTAGGATCCGCTTTAAATACAATTGAGTGATCTACGGCACCGTCGTTAATGTTCAAATCACCGTCATCTTGTCCCGCCTCTTTGTCTGAAAGCCGAGACAAGAATGGGAGATCTTTGCGGTCTAACAGAGAATTCCACGCGATCACACTCTCAGCGAACTCGAGATTGAGCTCCGAGAGGTCGTCAGAGCTAAGTTCCAGCTGGCTGGATAGTTCATTCCACTTTCGATCCTGAAGAAACCTAATGAAGGGGTCCTTCATAATGGGTTTCAACCGTGAACCAACCTCATTGTAAAGCTGTATTAGTAACGAATGTTTCTTCTCGGCTGTGTACTTCTGCGAAAAATGAAGTTCAATTTCCTTAAGTCGGTAGGTACTGATTTCCTTACTATTATGCATGTAAGCAAGGAATTCGAGAGAGTTGGATTTTGCAGAGTTTCTCAGAAGGATCTCTACGTCTTCTGCATTGAGATTGTTTGCGGGCGACCTGACGCTTTCTAAGCCTTCGTGACGGCCCGCAACATTCATCAGCTTTCGGAGTAGTGATGACTGAATCCAAGACCTCACACCTTTTAGAAAAGATCTCGATTGATAAGTGACGCCATATGATTTCATTGGAACCCTATACTCCCTTTTCAAAAGAGCGATGTATTTGCTCGGGACCAGCGCAGAGACACCATGATATTTGGTAGACACAAGGGTCGAGATCATGTCAAACTGAACAAAATGATGGTTGCGACAATTGTATAAGCCCAGTTCGTGATTGAGATTGTAGCGCTGGTCTGCCGCATAAAATTTGGTAGGGGACGGATTACTTGGGAAATTTATCTTATATGCCTGAATTAATTGTTCGACCTGACGTCTTTCCTCATCAGAATGTGATGAGTCGTTCGCAAGTTTGTTGTAGAGTTCCTGGAGAGGTATATCGGTCTTGTTGGCTATAAGATTCGGGTCACGATGCTTGAGTTCGGTACCTATGCTATCTTTGCGCTGGTTGAAAAACACTGCGTCTCTGTTAGACAGCATAGCGGAAGAGACGCTTAACGCTGTAATATCGATGTATAATCCAGAGTCAATGTCAATGAACCTGGCGTCAATGTTATTGTTCCCATTCCCTTGGATACGATGAGTGATGGAGCTTCCAACGTCTAGAAAGAATCTGCCATTGCCTTCCCTGGGATCTTGCAGGATCAATGACTGGTTGAAATTTTGAGCCAAAATGTGCAGATGTCTTATTGGCATTTGTACGTCGAAGTCATTATCCCAAGGGAAATTCAACCCATTGTACAGGTATCCAAACAGCGAGCCGTGTGCCAACCAACAAGTAAGATGATTCGCTTTCAAAAATGCTTGAAACGTTATCATCATGGAGTTCAAACGTAAAAGACTCTGATCTGGATTGCGAAATATCGCGCCGTTGAAAAAACGAGCATCATGATGCCTTCCTAATTCCAAAAAGTCCTTAAGTCCTCCGGGTTCTTGAAAATACTTTGGGGTGAATGCGAAATGAGTTTGCGTGGAAAAGCGCAAACTATCCAGGTAGGACAACTCATGAGCGGTAAGGAATTCGGCTCGTGAAGCAAGCTCTTCGATTTTGGCCAAAGCGTCGAACTCAAAGTCAGACTTCTGTAGGTATGTAAAAAGGCCTGCAAAAGCTTTGGTCTTTTCTTCTTTCAGATCTTTTATGTCAACCAAAAGGTGTCTTGAACCGTCACTTTCAGCGAACTTGTCAAACTCCGACAGGTGGTCTAACTCACCCCGGGTTTTCGAGCGTTTTGAACCGCGGTCTAGGTATTCTTGAAGCAGTCCCGACTGCATTATGTTTTCTCGACGGTCTTGCTTTATTGGAATTTGCCACGCGCCAGAGTTGCCGTTTAGAACTGTTAGCGACAATGGTAGGCTCAATGTATGAAGGATGTAGTTTCTGGCCTGCAACCGGTAAACCTCGGGTCTTACCTGGTCCTGTAACGTCTTGACGATAAACCCTGTGGAGAAAGCGTTGGACGATTGTGAGCGCTTGGAATCTAGTTGCGAGCTGCGGCTATCGGCCACGCAAGAATCGTTTGCGCGTTTCAGCATATCTTGAATCTCGCTTTCGCTAAGCTCTGGACCATTTTCTGTGTTGTAGTATGTCCTATCGATATCAAACAAACGCTCGCCAGTTTCCGTCTCGATCTGCAGCAAGAGAGAAGAGTTGAAATGGTGTCCGAACAAGAAAGTGCAATTCAATGGCGAGTGTTGCACAGAAATAAGTTTGTTGTAGTCGCGGAAGTCAGCCCAATCGTACCATGAGAACGGTAGCGGAACGACCGTTTTGGAAGCCTGAGCTAGATGACTGGCCAGTACGCTCCATACCAGTCGCGGGTCTGCGTCGTAAAATCGTAAATCTGCTGCAGAGTTGAGTTTTTCGCCTTTCTGCGGACCAATTTGCACTGTGAGGAGATCTGTGTGCAGTCCGTAGACTGTAGGATACTCTAGCGAAGTGTCAAAATGGATTTTTTTATACAGCTGGACCAGTTGTTGCTTTGAGTCTATAACTGGCTGAGGTGACGTTGAAAGCGTGCGAAATTGGTCCAATTTCGACACTGCTGCCTCATAAGCAGTTCCATCGATGGATCGCAGGACCAGGACGCTGACGAACAAGCACGCAAACAGACTTAGCGCGCTGAAGACTTTTCGACGTCTGCGCAACAGAGTTGCGACGAACGGAGCATATCGCTTGAGCCATTTCAGCACTTTTTCACGGAAAACTCGCGACACCAATGCATCAGAACTGTCCATTTTCGTAGAGGCTGGAAACGACAGGGAGAGAACAAAGAGAAGTGCGAAAGGAAACCTAAAAATCGCGTTCTTCAAACAGTGACCCAAAAACCTAAGATCAATTGTGTTTATCCCACTTTGTGCCTTTGTAATCTGCCTTGGAGCTCAAAACTGTATGCTACCACCCTCGGGTGAAAAGTTGTCCCTACACGATCAAAATTGCTTGCTTCGAACGGGACTTTTCGCTCCAACAACGCCCTGGGACTATTTATCCTGGAATAAAATGGTGCTATAATACTGAAACAGTGGTCAATGGCGGGGCTGGTTCTGATGTCTTTCGTTTGATTCTTATTTCTTGTTACACCTTGAAATCAACAGATAAGCCTGCGCCGTTTTCGCCAAGAAAATAATTGGCAGTGTGCAACTAGTGGGAACCATGTATTAAATAAGTTTTGAATTTTTTAAGGAAATAGAGCTCTGAGCGGGATTCGAACGAAGGTCGTTCTGGTGTGTGGGTTTATTGATGGTGTTTGGGTGTTGGTTTTTTATCGAAAGATCCACGAAAGGTGTCAGAATGAATATACAGGATCGAGAGAACTAGGACGCTCTGAGATCTTACTGTTTGGCCAGATGCAAAGTACAAGATCAGTTGAGTGGGTTGTGATTTTTCGAACTATTTCGCACGAGTTGACTTTAGTTTCCGAGAATTGATATTAAGTAGTTTTAGTGTCTGAACCGTTGTAAAATGTTGTAAATTGAAGTTGGGCGATTACTGCTCCTTCTGTGGATAGAATGTGTGCTTTACGTATTTCATATCATAGAATTTTAACATCAAAAATGAATCTGGGAATACTGTTTCTAGTCTGTGCAGTTTTTTTTTGAATATTTCAGGATTATGGACTCTGTAGTGTGTCTGCTACGATTTGTCAAAGACGAGTTGGGAATATTTAATACACTGAACAATTACCTTACCAAACTGTGTGACAATATTTATACAAACAAGCCATTTCTAGTGCCAAAAGTTTGTGCGATGGGCGCTGCAGTCGCTTCAACGGCAAAGGAACTCTGGCATGAAAACAGCTCGAGATGTCAATAATCTTGCTACCAAAGCCCTCACTATTATACGTATAAACTAACGAATGCGACAATTCTAGAACCTACAGATGACGATTTGCCAGCGTTCAGCAATGAGAGCCAATTTTGGTGTCGCGATCTCGACGACAACTTCACTACTGGGCCCCGCTGACGTGCGAATTGCGTATAGTAACAGACCCCTGGTGTCTCAAATTGCCAATTATGTCATTTTCTCATCACTGACGCTATAAAACACCCTGTAAACAAAGACAACTCCTTCACGCAACACACGAATCTCAGGTTGGCGAATTTTGCATCAATTTCTGTGCTTACAACAAGCGAGTAGTTTCCGTACGATTAGTGCATGTGGCATCGACTTCTGTAAACAATCGAACCTCACACTACACTCTCTCACCCGCACACCGTTGTCTTGTTGGTCGTGTTAAAAACATTGATACTATACACACAATTACACAGGCAGAGCCAAAATCTGATCGAAATAATAATAGGTAAGAAGAAAAAAATACTCAGCGGGCTCGGGACCCGGTTTCACCGGACCCACCTCTGCAAACATGCCCTACTGATTGTTGACATCTGCTCTTCTCTTTTAAGAAAGATAGAAAAAAACCCTCCTGGGGCTCAGTTGTTTCTGCCGGCCTCAGACTCCAGCTTGACCACCTCTTGGTCAACGGAGATTCCCGAGCTACGTAGCTGGCGCTTCAAAATGTCCACCTGTTTGAACGCATTTCCGAGCTCCAATTGCAAGCTCTCGTTAGCCTTGGTCAGTGTGCTGACCTGTTGCTCGCTTAGTAGCTTTTGCAAAGTCCATTTTTCGATATTGGCGTTTTCCGTGTCGCGTAGTTTTTGGATATACTCTGCGGCCCGCAGCAAAATCGACGCCTTGCTGGACTCCTTGACCGGTAGCAAGTCGCTGAGCTTGTTGATCGCAGTGTTGATGTTTTCACGACGACGACGTTCCACTTCCTTGTGCGAGTCCTTACGTTGCTGGCGCCATTCCTCAGACCCGGTCACGGGCACTGGCTTGCGACCCCGACGCGCAGCAGCTGCGGCCGCGGCCGCTGCGGCAGCAGCGGCGCTGCCACCGTGTTTGAGAACTTCGTCAGCGTCCACTTCGTCGTCCTCGTCGTCCTCGTCGTCGGTGCGCCCTGCGTGCTGGTGGTGACGGTGGTGCTGTGCGAGTTGGTGGTGGTGTTGCAGCTCGCCGTTGGCGTCGTCCTGTGCGTTCATGAGCCCACCATAAACAGCAGCGGCCGCGGCCGCGGCCGCTGCCGTGTTTTCGTGGTCCTCATCGTCCACCGAGTGCTGGTGGTGCTGTTGTTGCTGCTGCTGTTGCTCATGCTGTTGTTGTTGTTGTTGTTGTTGTTGTTGTTGTTGTTGTTGTTGTTGTTGTTGCTGCTGCTGCTGTTGTTGCTGCAAACTACGCTGTTGGTGCAGACGAGAGTCGACCTCGTCGTCGTCGGTTGGGTCGTGTTTCTCTTTCAAAAGCTCCGCATCGATGTTGCTCTGGTCTGCAGCGGCCTCTTCCGCGCGTTGTCTCTTGATCAATTCTTCGTTGTTGACGTCCACGTCGTTGGGCAACAATCTCTTGGCCATGGTTTATTCTTCTGTGTGTGTTCTTCGATCGGCTTCACGTGTGCGACTCGAGATCTCGTCGTCCTGGTTGTTGATGAACTCGTGGTTTGCACGCTGGTGACAGATAAAAACGCTGTGTTTTGGTGTTTTTGGTGTGTTTTGATGTGAATAATCCGAGAAATGTGAAAGTCATGAGGTTGGAAAAATTGACGAAAAAGTTTGGCTTCTTATATCACGTTTTGAGAGAGGGGTCGTGGATAGAGATAAGGGGCGAGAACGAGTACGAGTACGGGTACGAGTACCCCGAGTACAGTTGAACAATTGAGAGCGTCAGCGATCAATTATGAATAGCTGAGGTGGCAACAAGCATTATTGAGCAATTGAGAGCGTCTGCGATATGGTGGTTAGCGCTCTCAATTGAATGAGTGTGAGTATAAGAACTTTTGTGAGTACTTTTTTGAGTACTTCTGTGAGTACATCTATGAGTACATCTATGAGTACATCTATGAGTACATCTATGAGTACTATTATAAGGACGACTATGTAAACAAGATTGAGTACGACCTGGGTACGAGAACAGTCTTCAGCAGTCAATTGTGAACTACCATGGCTACAAGCTCAATTGAATTGAGAGCATTAGCAATCAGTTTTGAGTAAGCATGATGTCCACATGCACATCTGAGCGCTAGCGCTCTTAATTGCATTAGTACGAATACAAGAATTATTGTGAGTACCATTATGAGTACGAACATAAATACGGTATGTTTTATGAGTACTGATGAGAGTGTACTACAAGTGTGGATGCGAGTACAACTGTCAGCAGTCAGTGGTGAATACCTAGAATGACTGCAAATAAAATTGAGTAAAAAAGAGCATCAAGAGTGAATTATGTGACCACAAGTTTGAGTGTACGATCATAACTACCAGTACAAGCGTGAGCGCGCGAGATCTTGTATTATGCGCCATTAGAGGTCTTCAAAAACTCAAGCAGAACTAATAGTTTCCAGCAATCCACGGTGTGTTTTCATACCCATGTTGTGTGTCACTCTCGATATAGGAAGCTAAGTCAATCACTAGTGCGCACGAATCTGCGAGTACCACAGCGAGAAAGCCAATATCGTAAATGGGATATACACATACAAGGCAGCGCTAAACTACAATACGACTTCATTGACTATAGCCACTTCAAAATCTCGCTACAACTCATCACGATTTTCGAATTATAGACCAATATCTAGGCTAAAAATGCAATCATTTTGACGAGAAGAAGCGGTAAACGACTTCAACGCATCGAAAAGTCACCAAAACGCCTTGATTTATATTCCTACGATATCAATTCGGTCTCTGGAGAAAGGCCTTGAGACATACGAAAGACGGCCATGACGTACTATGTACGTTATTCAATTTACTGACGCGGAGATGTGGCATCTCACGAGTCACGTGACCTATCATTTCAGGTTTCGTTCCTATTTGAACTCTGACTTTTCGAGTAAATTTGAGCGTGTGACAGAAATTTATCATTCCAGGCTCATCGTATGCAGTCCTACAGTCAAATAGTACTGGATACGGTTCCGACCAAACCAACTTTTCAGTCGCAAATCCGGGCACTATGTACGAGATAATCCGTTCCAAGCTGTGCGCCATTGATGAATTGTGAGAACATTTGGGAAACAAAACTGAGATCAGCGCTAATAGTCTCCGTTGAACATCAAGACTATCCATATTCGAGTTTTTTATAATCTTCGCCTTTTCAAAAAGACTCTAAGACCATGCAATTGTCTTTCAATAATTCAAGAGATAGGACTACTATTTCGAAACAACGAACCATTGTAATGACTGCCAGGCTATCTAGTAGACTTTAAAGAGCCACTATTATCTCTCACAATTGACGCTCATAAATGTCTTCATGGACTCATGTCGTATTCTTTCGTGATATGGTCACTATTTACGTTATACATGTGAATTAGTTATCGAGAAATCGAGATTGGGTGCACACGACCATTGAATCGTTCAAGTTTGCTTATGCCCATCTGCATTGTTCCATTGGATTCATTGCCATTTTGTTCACAGTCGAGTTTCAGCGATCAATTTTACGAGTAAGGGTAAAGATATTAGTACGGATATGATGCTGTCATTTTATCTTAATTATGCTACGAACTCTGTTTCAATAACTATTGGGTACTGACGTTCCCAATTGTTCACAAATTGTTCTAGCCATCATAGCATGATCGCGCTTTTAAATATGGTCTTTAAACACAAAGCCCCATTGCTACCTTTTTCAGGTGGGCGATGAGTATCATGACCATTAAAAGTAACTATGAGTACATCACTCTGCAATTCTTCGTGAGGTAAAGTAGCAAATGAAGTTTCATTTTTTTTCTTGTCCTCTAACAGGATTAGGTCTCTGGACTTGATAGGTGCCTGCCGCCAATATACACTAGAATAAAGCTCACTTTGTCGCAAGTAGCTACGAAACCAAATTAACTTAAATCCGTTTGGAAAACTCAGATGCTTGCTGGGCTCGATACAACGCTGTAGATTTCATAGTTTAGGTATGTTCCTATCCCATCTTTTCAACCATCGTTATTGTCACTTTGTACTTAATTGTCATCTGTCATGCCACTGAGGCGAAAGACAGTGGCCGTGACGGTATTTTTGACATGATTGCGTCTTGTTGGGTCTTCCGGATTTCATTTGTAGTTTTACTGAGTCTTGGGAGCACTACAGCCCACCTAGAATTGAGCGGAAACTCGAAACATCATCTCACATATTACCATTCGTGGGCAGAAATTTGTGAGTCGAGAGCTTGGAAGTTTACTTGATTAATGCTACGAGTTTTCCACACCCAATCTACTCCGAAAGTCCACTGTTCAACGGTTTGTTTACTTGTTACATATTCTACCTCCTAACACCAAAGTGAGTTTCAAAAATAGTGGGTCAAAGTATCAACCGGCCATATAAACAATAAACATGAGCGTCGACTTGATTACCTACTTACTCTCATTATTCAAAAATTCTTTAAATTATCTAGACATTACAATAAACAACCCCTTGAGTGAGTATTATTTAGGAGCGCCCGTGCGTCGTGTACTAGCCTTTGATCATCAGCGTCTTCCACTGCAACAGCACTCGAACACCATAAATTTCTTATCCTTTCGAGTCGTGTATCGAAAGGTTTCTCATACTCTCCTCGCCTACAGAATCGCCCGTAGTTGCCCTTTCCGTCTCGTTTACGAGGTCCGCTTTTGAGTCCACTTCCTCTTCTACGGCCCTCTCCTCATTTAGCGTGGCAAGCGACTCTCCGCCGCGAGCCTGTGTCATAATACCCTCAGAAGGTGGAGACTCGGCAATCGATAACATAGACTTTGATTTGTTTTTCGATTGATTTTGATTCAAGAAAGGATTCGAGGTATGCATCACGAGCTCCTCTTCCGAGTTTGTAGTAGAACGGGAGCTTGTTGGTTGCGACTTATCCACACTGCTGTCATAGCTGGAGTTTCTCAGCTCTGGTTCTTTGGGTATAGCGTTCACTGGCTCAACACAACCTTCAGAAATTTGAATCCACCAAGGATCTGCAATAACATCGTCAATTGTGTACCTTGTCTTGATATCCGGGTCTGCAAGCCGCCAAGCAACCCTAGACGCACCAGTGTTTTGAAATTCTCGCCCAAAATGAAATTCACTACCTGGTCCAGGCTTATGGTTTCCCTTCTTTTTGAATTGCGGATTGTTGTGATCAACAAAGTTATCATAAGACAGGACATACGACCTGTATCTAGAGTCGGTTTTGTAAGCTTCCATAAAGGGAGTAGACTGATACACCAATGTGAACAGCATGACCCCTAAAGCCCAAAGGTCCATCTTATGAGCATCGTAGGGTTTTTTATCTTGCTTGGTTGCATTCTCATCGTTGAAGCACATCACCTCGGGCGCTGTATAAGGAGGAGATCCCACATAGTTGTCAAATAACTTTATGGGACTGCTCAAATCATCTGGGTTTTCATGTCCCCAATCCGAAATACCAAAATCTGTAAGTTTGGCCAGTCCATCTTGCGTGATCAAAACATTTTCAGGTTTTATATCCCGATGGACAACGCCTTGGCTGTGAACAAATTTTATGCCCTCAAAAATCTGCCTCCAGTACTCAAACTTCTCCTTCAGTAGTCTTTTTTTCCAATCAGGTCGTATGATCAGACTGTACAAATCACCACCTGGGCAGTACTCCATGATGAAAGCCCAACCTCGGGTCATAAAGGTTGTAGTTGACACTTTGACCAAATAGAACGTATTGGCGATATGTGGGCTCTTACTCAGCCTTTTGGCCATGATAAATTCTTTAGAACAACGCATGTAGAAATGTTCCGCTTTTTCGCCTCTAAGAAGCTTGAATTTTTTCAGCGCATACAGCTCCTTCTTGTGAAATGCAGACCGCACAGTACGCACGTCACTCGAACCTCCCGAGCCAAGATTTAAGTCGTCGGCGGAGTTTCTTTCTGGGTATGAGAAATTGTCCGCCAATTGCACGCTAAACTGCTTGTAACCCTCCGGAAGGTACTCGTTGGGATCCTTGAGCGGTGTGGGCAGCAGAGGCAATTCCTCCTTGCCGTCTTGCATGTAAAAAGATAAGTCGTGCTGCGAGCTCGATGTGTTGTTTTTCGAGAGCGTCCCGTAGGGGTTGTACACCATGTTGGACTCGTTGGACGATGTTTTACGCGACATGGGGTTCGACGCGTTCATGTATGACTGGCGCGGCGCGGCGATATCGGTGCCGCGCCCCAGAGCGCTGAATGGAGACTCGAACCCGTTATTGCGCGACGTTATGAACGGATTCACATTGTGCGACTTGGCATTGTTCAACACTAGCGACGAGTGCTGTTTTGACAGCTCCCGATGCTGCAACTGTGACTGCTCCCGATGCTGCAACTGTGACTGCTCCCGATGCTGCAACTGTGACTGCTCCCGATGCTGCAACTGTGACTGCTCCCGATGCTGCAACTGTGACTGCTGACCCGCACCTGCTGCGCCCGCAGCGTGGTGCTGCGGATGCATCCGCTGCAAGAAGCTCGAGCTCCGGTTGCGCACCTTCTGGTCCGACCCGAGCGGTGAGCGCTCCGGTCTGGACCTTTCCGCGCTCTCGTGGTGCGATTGCGACCGATGAAAGATCTTTTTCAGCGGGTTCATACTTTTGACGGAAGCGCTTCTGTTGAGCTGGCCGATGCCTCGACTGCCTGGACTTTTACGTCCCCCATTGCTGCTGCTCGCACCCGAGCCCGAGCCTGAAGCCGAACCCGAATCTACCATTTTTTTCCGTTCCTCGCTGTTTTTGCTATCCTTCGGACTATTAGGTGTTATCGCATTCACTGCTTGTGCTGCGGCACCACCCAACCCGGGACTATTTCGAATTGCCGTCATTTATACTCACCAACTGAGAACCAATCGAAAACCAACGGAAAACGACCGGAAGAAGATGCTTTGAATACGCTTTGAAGACGCTTTGAAAACTCGCTTTCGCGCTCTAAAACGATCAATATCAGCCCGCAATGAAAGCGTCTTTTTTTAAAATTTCCGTACCCAAGCTTCCACTAACCAATTTTCTCGTGCTAATGGCCAATTCGGTGGCAATACTGTCCTGTTTTCCTCTGTTCCCTCCTGGTTTGTTCTGTTCCGTTAGGTTGAACTTCTGACTAGAATTGACAATTTAGAAATATCAATTTCACTTTAATGGGAAGAGTGTTCCCTCTTTCCACTTTAAAAGGTGAGGTTGCAGAGGGCGCTATGTGGTGTATGGGTGTTATAATAATCACGTGACAAGATGGTGGATTATTGTTAGACACGTGACGATATGACATGTTTGATGGACGACGACAGCGTTTCGCCAACGACGGAAGCGATATCAGGAATGCCAGCGAGGACAGCGTACTCTATTGCGTCACATCAGTGTCAACCTACCCCCAACTTGGCTAGAAGCTTCTCCACTTGGCATGTTTGCGTCGCGGTTGCTGGAAAAAAGACTGTAAATTTGTGATAGTTTTTGAAGCTCTGTGGGCGAGATCGACGGCTTCGTCTCGCGACAGGCCTCTTTCAAGTCCTGAGCAGAGATTTTGGGAGGATCTGTAGCAGTAGTGGTAGAAGTGGATGTTGAAAGAGAAGTTAAGACGGAAGCATCGTATTTCGCGGCACGAAGTGCCGCAAAATGCTGCTTCGCACGTTCGATGCTCTCGCCGTCGTCTGTCTCATTGACATTGGTTGTGAAGTACTCAAAGTCCGCCTTGTCTAGACCCGAATCGTGGTCTTGGTCGCGATCGGGCATTTTTTTTTTTTGGGTCTCGAGGTCCATTTTCCGATGTGCGCTTTTCAAATACGCCGTGTAGCAGAGACCCTGCAAATCTGCGCCAGACATCCCCTCTGTAGCGTCAGCTACCTCCTGGAGGTTGCAATGCGACTCCAAAACCATGCTCCCGGCCTCTACAACGGCCTGTATTATCTGCAGTCTTTCCGAAGCCGTGGGCAGTCCACAGAGCACGCTCTTGTCCAGTCTGCCCGGCCGTAGAAGCGCAGAGTCGATGAGATCCGGTCTGCTGGTCGCCGCCAGCACATACACTCCCTCCAAGCCCTCTGCACCGTCCATCTGCGTCAGCATCTGGTTCACGACCCGGTCAGTGACACCTATGGAATCGTGGCCCCTCTTGGGCGCAATGGAATCGAATTCGTCAAAAAACAGCACACAGGGCCGAGCGGCTTGAGCTCTCTCGAAGCACTCTCGAACACTCTGTTCGCTGGCTCCAATGTACTTGTTCAAAATCTCAGGTCCCTTGATCGATATGAAGTTTACCCCGCACTGTTGCGCCACAGCACTCGCCAACATCGTCTTACCGCATCCTGGATATCCATACAGCAAAATTCCAGATCTAAGTCGCAAGGGACTCTTGGAAAAAATAGGTTCGTACTTGGTGGGCCATTCAAGCGTCTCCAGCAAAAGTTCCTTTGCCTGGTGCATGGCACCCACACTGGACCACTTGACACCAGTGTCCTTTTGTAACTTGATGCCTCTTAGTGAAGAAGGTGTGAAATTTGCAATGGTGCGCTCAAAGGTCTCTCTCGCCACTGGTGTTGAAGAGTCTTCTTGATCGCAGAGATGCTCGCACAATAAGGTCTCTGACAGCAGAAGAAGATCCTTGGGCGAATACCCGTTGGTTTCGGTAGCTATTGTGGAAATGTCTAAGTCATCAGAAACGTGCAAAGACTTGATAGACAGAAACTGGGTCATTAGTGCACTTCGCAACTCTCTTCCGGGAGGCTTTAGGTGCCACGTTTTGCCTATCGCGTGTCGTGAAAACAATTCTTGATTTAGTTTCCCGCGCGTTTCGGCCGTCAACAGCACGCGAACTTGACCGGAATTTTTGACAGAAAGCTGCTCAAGCTCTTGTACGAGCACTTGACATAGTCTCGTTGAAACCCCTGCTGCATTAGTCGGCGATTGACCTTCATCGTCAGATTTGTTCTGTGGGAACAGAATTTCCGCATTGTCTAAAATCAAGATAGACGGCCCATACCAATAGCAGGTAGCCATCAGCCGCTGTAACATTTGCTTCATCTTTACAAAATTGGAATTATCCATGAACTCCTCACAGTCGACGTATTCGACGTGCAGGGGCGTACCACATTCTAAACGCGATTGAAGTTTGTTGACTAGCAAGCTCTTGCCCATACCGCTGGTTCCAGTTATCAAAGAACTTCCTGCCCACGTTAATGGAAAAGTCAAGTGGTGATGCATCTCTTCTAGTAGTCCCTCCATTCCCACACATTTAGGTAAAACTGGCCTTGTGGTAACGTTTTTGGTCCACAGAACTTTGACAGGCCTGTCCGTGAATTTGAATTCGATTTCCTCGTTTTGCCATCTGTAAAAGGGTATGTGCTCGCCTTTCCGCGATATAAGCTCAATATACACCTGGTCTCGCGGCAGATATAATCTGTCTGTGAGCACTGAGCCGTTCATAAGAGAATCCATGCTCTGAATTGCAGGATACTGCGCAATTGAGCTTTTGCCATTAATCAGTATTCTTTTTGTATCTTTAGACTGGTCGACAGGATAGACGAACGCCGTAGGAGCCTCTTCCCCGCTATGATCAGCGACAAAAACCACTTTCAGTTTGTAACCGTTTTGCGAGCTGAACCCGAGGGATTCCCAGGTCAGAGGAGACAACATGACTTGATCTACTGCCAAATCAGGATCTGTTATAATCGAGACTGCGATATTTTGGGCGATTTCGACCTTGGTCTCTTCGTCTAAACCAGTTTCCACGAGTGACTTTTCCAACGGGTTTTTTACGATGCATACCATCGCCATAGAGGACTTTGAAGCATTTGGGGAAACGCAGATCGAGTATCCTCGAAGATCTTTCGTCCGTAGGATGGTTCTTAAAAGGATTGGTTTTTGGACAGGATTGGGATCTACGGGTTTCCTCGATTTGCCGTTGACGAGTCTGGACCGGTTCACCTTTGGGGCCACCATGACCAATGTATCAGTTGTGATCCTAGCAGGGCCAGTAAGGGGTGCAACAATCCTCTGGATTTTGAATTTGGCAATTGTTTGCTCAACGTAGCAGATCAACAATTCGTCCTGTACCACGATCCTGGTCTGAAACAAAATGTTGTCTTGCAGAAATCTAGCGTTCCCGTCCATGATTTCCCAATCATCGCTTGTTTGTGGCTCTACGTAAACCTCTGTGGCTATCTGACTTTGATCGAATTGCTTGATGTGCAAGTCCACAATATCTCCTTCCCTTAGCTTATGTGCTGCGGCTAAAATAGGATTGATCTGAACGCAGCTTTGCCCACTGAGTGACTGGGATGCTTCGAAACCGTCCCAACCAACATGTAGTACACCGCCATTTAAATGAACTGCAATGCCAAATTCCTGAATGGGTATAGCGGTGTTTTCAAGCACTTGAACAATGGAGCCTGGAAGTCTCACAAAATTGCCTCGAATCCGGTCTGAAAACGCAATTCTTAAAGACCGGAAAGCGATCGCACCATTTTCAGCCATTACAATAATATACAGTCAATAGAAGGCCAACAATTAGACTCCTTGAGTTCTTAAGTTCATTTGTTGTAAGTTTCTTCAAAAAATGAGTATACATTATTATAGAGTAGACATCATTCACCCATCCAAAAGATAGATCTGACAGAAGACCAAAACTAGTTAATTCGTGGCTCGTTTAGCAGCTGATGGCAATCAAATTTATAATGTGCCTGAATAAACAGGGCGCCCTCCGACTGATCAGACTTTTTGAGCCGTTTTCCGGAGATGCCGTTAATCATCAGTCGACCATCGCGCAAATATACAAACTGATCTCCTCCAGAGACCATAGACACCAAAGCAACTTTGTAGAGTTTTCGGATTCGACTAAACTGGTTTACAAAAGGTACGCGGGTCTCTATTTTGTGCTTGGGGTAGAGCCAGAGGACGAAGAACTTATATACCTCTCACACATACATCTTTTCGTTGAGGTGCTGGATGCCTTTTTTGGCAATGTTTGTGAGCTGGACCTCGTTTTCAACTTCCAAAAGGCATATATGATCCTCGATGAGATTCTTATCGGCGGTGAGATTCAGGAAACATCGAAAGAAGTGCTGCTGGAGCGCGTCAACTACTTGGATAGGCTTAGTTAAAAGTACATAAATTCTTCAACGTCGCTATTTTTTTGGATGTATTCCTCGACCGCCGACCCTACCGAAGTGTGCACTTGCTCTATGCTTTTCCCAGTCGTGTCTAAAAACACAATGTGATTGTTCTTGTAGTCCTGGCTCTCGTAGTTTTTAAAGATGGTCTCAAACTCGTGACGCACCTTGGTTTGGAAACCAGACGACTCGTAACGCTCGTCACCGAAACCCTTTCGCAGCTCGCTTTCGCTGTTGGTGAGAAAGAAGGTCAAATCTGGTTTCAAAAGTCCCTTTTCTGGTTGTGCGCACCACTGCACATCCATACCGGGGACAGCTTTGGCCGCAGAATATGCGATTCCTGAATACACGTAGCGATCCATCACCACATCTCGCCCCTCAAGTAGGGTGGCTTTTATGGTCTCAGCGACTTCCCATCTGTTTGCAGAGAACAACAGGTGGATGGCCTGGTCGGCAAGATGCGTCTCGGATTCCTTCAGGTACTGATTGATCAATTTGCCTATCGGAGTGGATCTTTCGGGGAACTTGACCAAACGAGCCTGGTTGCTGAGGCTCTCGACGAGTTTCGCGGCCTGAGTGCTTTTGCCTGTTCTGTCAAGACCCTCTATCAGAATAAGTTTACCGCGTGCCATTTGTAGAACCGTGCGAAAGGGAAAAAAGGACGTTGGCGAGGGAGTAAGCTGCTGAATGTAGCAATGGTGTTTGAGTCGAAAGGGATTCTTTCTACTTGGGCTGATGAACTTGGGCATCGTCAGCGCGTAAGATATTGATCAACGAGAAAGCGCGACCTAGAAACATTTTCACGTGCATAGATGTCTATATATGTATGAAGCATATCTCATCTTTGCCATCGAATAACGCCTCTCGGTGGCCAAGTTGGTTTAAGGCGCCAGACTGTAATTTTAACACTGTAATCTGGATATCGGGCGTTCGAATCGCCCCCGGGAGAGATATTTGCTTTATGGCTACATTTTTTACCTCCAAGCTAAACTTAACCAGAGTACCAGTGACGCTCATGGCGGGCACCTGTTTTTGTTGAAGTCACCGTACTATCCGGTTGATGCTAAGCAATGTGGGTTTCGTGACCTCGTCATATGTACAATTCTTAAACTCTACATCCGCTCATTGTTCTATCATCATATCATGCAATTTGTTCGTGAAGCCGACTTATTCCATCATCTCGACGTCTTGCTGCGGCTCAGGAGTATCGACCAGCGTTTTTCCGTCGCTCACCCCTCCGTATTCACTCTCGTCAAACTCCTCAGCCTCCATGTCGTACAGACAGTAATTGACAGGAGTGATGTTCTCGAGACTCAGCCTGGAATGGTAGCTGCCATTGATAAGCGGCGATCCGTATCCCTCCAAAATGTAGTCTTCCACTTCCACGTAAGGCGACGATTCGTGAGATGTGCTGGTATTCGATCGCGCGCTCATCGCGATCGCCTCAAGAGTATTGTCTATCAGTGGCGCCACTGGTGACAGACTTCTAGCTTTGTCGGGCCACTGTGAAACGTTAGATTGGAGTTCTTCGCATTTTTTCAGTCTTTTAGAGCACTGGGTCTGCTTGTTAGATCCGGTTTCGTTATAACATTGAAAGTCTCTTTTTATACCATTTCCGACGTCATTCTCACAGAAAAAACTATCGCGATCATAAGATTGAAACATGGCGTATGTTTGGCTGTGATTCAAGGGCTATCGCTCGCTCTTTATATCGTTTCTACCCATAACTCTGCTATGATTTCTCATTACTCGCGTCTTTCGATTTTTTTATATACAGTGTTTGTTAGCAGGTCCGAAAGAAACGCCAGCGAAAAGCGAATAAAAGCGAAAATTGACTAGACAAATGACTAGATAATCGTCACGAATGACTAGAGAAACAAGTCGCCAAAATTACAAAGAAATAGTCCTCATCTGTAATATAAGAACTCGAAAACTCTCAATGCGATGGTGAAGCAGGTATAACACGTCAATATTGCAGTGTTAAGCTTCTCAAGAGTCCTTATAACAGCCGCGGGATTATCTGGACATGGAGCATCTCAATAGTCTAGAGAAAAGCCTCCCGCCGGAGGGCCCTGTGAACGACCAGAATATCGATAAGGTGAATCGCCAGGTCACTCAGGAATTCAAAATAGCCGCCAACGCCGTGACGAACTTGTACCGGCTTTCGTCGGAGCGAAGCTCTCTCAATAGACACATGGGATACGTGGACTGTCTGGGGGATGTTCTGGAGCTGATAGAGAAGGGCTACTCGACGTGCGAATTGGCTAAATGGTGCGAGGAACGCAAGCAGGAAAAAAGCGGGCAGAAAAATGGGCAAAATGGGCAAAATGATGTGGTAGACACCACCAAAGCGAAACCGCTGGCGGAGAACAAGGAGAATAGCGTTTATGGGAGACTCCCGGTTTTGGAATCGACTCAAACCCCGGTGACAAGCCCGACGTTTCGGTTATCGAGACCGATCATGTCTGTGGAAAGAGCACCGAGACGATGTGTCAAGCCTGAGCTTACAGAGCGGTTTCTGCAGCAGCGAGAGGGCTCGCTTGGGGAGCGTCGAAGCAAGAAGAAGAGAATGAAAAAAGACGACAACGCCAGGGAACCGTAGGGGGGGGGAAGGGAGTCAGACGGCAAGCTTGTGGCAGAGAAAGAGGGTGGGTCTGACAGGAGTGGTTGTGGGGTGTGCACGAGAAGGAGCGCTACGTGTTTTTTGAGAAATTGGCGGTTGATGGTGGGTTTTGGCAAGGTCAGTGGCCAAGAAATGGCTGGGATCGCAAACCACCAGCAAATGGCGTCGCTAAGGTGGCGAGACGTCGCCAAACAGGGCGTTCTTAAGAGTGTGTTGAGCTGACACTGTCGATGCTCTCTCCGAACGATTTCCGAGAGGTGATTTTCAAGAAAAATATATGTGTCAATTTCGAGATGCTTGCTCACCACAACAAGCGAAAGATGAATTTGGAAACACTATGGTGACAATCTCCAGTGCTTGTCTCCTCACTTTCCCAGAATCTCCTCTTAACAACATTTGTCAGTCTGGAGAGCAACGAACTTTATAACCACCTCGTGCAAAGTTGCACACTTCTCATTTCTCGAAACCTCACCAGTCGAGAAGAATACGATTCAGTGTCCCAATTGTACACGTAACACCAGACATATTTCCAGCGGTCTCTCCCTCTGTTCCTCATCGAACGACTCTTGCCATGTGCAGAGACCATACGGAATCTCCGAGATCTCCTGGAGATCGCAAACGCGTCCCTCAGCAACAACAACACCCGTACACCTCTGCACCTCTACATCCACGCACCCATGCACCCACGCACTCAGTCATCCGTACACCTTCACCCACACACCCCATTGCTCATTGCTATATTACTCCGAAAAAAGCACTTCCCACATGCCCCTCACGCGTCATTCTTTGCTGTCATCTTTTGCTCGGCGCATGTAAAGAACACACACGCAATGCCTAGAAAAACCCGCACATGACTCGAACCCCCCACAACAAGCCGCAGCGCGCCCCGAACATCGCGGTCACCCGGCCTCGGCGCCGCCCCTTTCGTCCTTAATTTACCCTTAATAGCAAAACAGCAACACGGCAACTCAGCGACGCAAAAAGGGGCAAAAAAAAATAACACACACGTCGCGCTGACATAAGTAGGGGTTTCCGGCAGAGATTTTGGGTATAAATAGGGCAGGGAAAAAAAAACAAATCATGGGAGATGGGGGCCGGTATTTTGCCAGCGGTTTGGAAAAACAGCGTTTGAACAGAAATTTCAAGTTTTAAAGACTAAGAGACGCGTTATAGGCACTAATTCAAGTCTCCTTGCTTCTTCTTCACGACCACGACCACGACCACCCCCGGGTTCTATATCTCTCTCTTTTTTTCACCGAGTTTTCATTTCCTTTTCCCCTCATCGGTACTCGCTCGCTCATCGCTCGCTCATACGTCTCTCCATAATGGCCGCTCTTTCCGCCGTGAATCGGTCTATCTGCATGCTCTTTCTGGCCGGCGCCACTTTGTTGCTCATCCTAATCGTCCTGTCAGGGTCCACCACAAACTTCCCAGTGGACCGCTTCTACTGGCTCCAGGCAGACACCTCGGGCATCTCCGGCGCGCCCTCGGGCCAGGCCCGCTGGACCTTTTGGGGACTGTGCTCCCGTGACGCCTCCAACAAGCTCGTGTGCCCCGACCTGGCCCCCGCATACCCCATATCGCCCCGCGACAACTTTGGCCAGGCCGCCACCAGCGAGCTGCCCTCCGATTTCGTCAGCTCGCGCTCCACCTACTACTACCTCACGCGTTTCGCGTTCTGTTTCTTCTGGATCGCCCTCGCCTTCTTGGGCGTGTCGCTCTTGCTGTACGCGTTCTCGTGGTGCTCCTACTCCTTCACCAAAGTGGTGTTTTTGCTGGCCTCCGTGGGCGCGCTTTTCGACGTGGCCGCCGTGAGTTGCCAAACCGCCGCAACTGTCATGGCCCGCAACGCATTCCACGACGCTGGTCGCTCCGCTAACATCAGTGCCACGCTGTTCGGTATCGCCTGGGCGAGTGTGGCATGCTCTTTGTACATCTTCTTCGGCACCGGTGTCTCGTTCATGCGTCGCGCCTACCAATCCCACAAGGAGTACGTGGAAATGCAAAAATATAAGGAACAAGCCTTGATGTACCAGGGTAAGCAGGAGGCATTGCAACCAGACGTCGAGTCGTACCCCATCCACGACAACGCCGAGGTCCATGACAGCATGAACCCTACCGGGTTCGTGGCACCTGTTCCTGAAACCCAACCCGAGTCTCACCACAGTGGCATCAAGTTTTTCAAGATCCGTAAGACTCAGAAGGCCGGTGACCAAGAAAGCGTTTAAACTGCGTTTTAATTGCCTTAAGTTGATCGTCTCGCAATTGCTTTTCTTTCAACTTTTATTTTCCTCTTTCCCTATCCACCCCACCACGCCCCCCCCCCCGTTTTCACATTCTAGTTCTTTCGGTATTCATTGTATCATTTTTCCAAAAACAACAAAACAGTGTGCATTGTGTCGATTAAAGCACTGCGAAACTCATTCGAATACCGTCACTTTCTTTTTTAATACACAACAAGGTTCCCAACCGGCCCCCATTTTCAAAACCTTCAAAATCACTAAAAAAATAAAGACAACCAAGGAAGAGTTCAACTAAAGACTTCTCTACACTTTGCACGCGATACCAATATTCATTTTAAATGCGGTGTGCTCCGCGTAAACCGTGCAGGCCCAAATCCTAAAACATACACTTCCTCAAATATATTACCACATTTTTAATAATTTAATGTAACAAAAAGTGTAATCGCGGTGTTCTGACACTTGATCAGTTTTAGGCACCTTCGAATACCCGAGCCTTTTCTTTGCATACTTCTTTACATTTTGGAAGAGATGTGTATCAATATCTTACAAGAAGTGTATTATCATGTAATAACAAAGCGAATGGAAAGAAAAACGCTGAAATACTGGCTTCTTGAAGGGATCTTAAAATCTCAGATTAATGACCGAAAAGTCTTAGTTTGTTTAAGACTATCTCTTTAATTTTCGCAAATGCATAACGTTATATTAAGGTGTAAACTCGCTTTTATCAAAGGCCTTCAACAAGACCAGATGTAAAAAAAAAGAGATGGAAACTGAAAGCTAATGGCATTGAATAGCTAGATATCTGACATCTGCTTTGAAGACTACCTGGGGCCTGGAAATGTAGCTCTCGAATTTCAGAAATATTTCAATTATACAAGCTTTCCATGGATAAACTCCAAAATTCAGTTAAAAACAAAGGAAAACACATTGTCATAATACCCACGGCTCAAAAATACATTAGAACCATCAAAGTTGCACCGGACAGCTTGTTCAAGTACGTCGGTCGATCGATAATGATGAGCCATATGATCGTCTCATGACCCACGAACATCATCGACTTTTACCTATAGCGCTCCATATTGACAACTCCATCGTCTTCACCAAAGAAACGTTTTGGATCCAGCTCCAGTGGACAAAAGCTCATCTGCTCGCCATGAATCAAAGATCATCTGTGTCTACGGTCCCGAAAACCAACCCGTTACGCGTTGGTTTTATAGGACTGTCTGCCACTAAGGGCTGGGCCATAAAATCGCATTATCCTGCGATTTTACAATTACCATCGCAGTTCCAAATAACAGCTGTGCTTAACCTCGATGTAGAAACGTCTAAATCGACCATTTCCAAACTCAAGCTGACGCGAGCAAAAGCGTTCGAGAACATTGAGCAATTCGCTCAATACGACAAAATCGATCTTGTCGTCGTGTCCGTGAACGTACCTAATTTCCACCAACTAGTAGTCGACTTATTCAAGTATTCCCAAGGAAGTCCCAACTTCAAATATCTATTTTCGGAGTGGAGTCTTGGCCGCAACCTGCAAGAGGCCCAAGAAATTTATCAATTGGCCTCGTCGCGTGGAATCCGAACCATTGTGTCGTTACAGGGCCGGAAATCCCCGTATGTTCTTAGAGCCAAAGAACTTGTTTCACAAGGTTGTATCGGCCACATAAACAGTATAGAAGTTTCCGTGATTGGCGGATTTTATGGCTACGAACGACCCTCTAAGTCCCCGGATTATCTTTACGATGCGGAAAGCGGCGTGAACCTGATCTCGATGGCTTTTGGCCATACTGTCGACATACTACAGTATATCACGGGCTCTTATTTCTCGCAAGTGAACGCCATGATTTTCAATAACATACCAACGCAGGCGTTGATCGACGAACGGGGTAAAAACATGGGTCAAGAAAAGTCCAAATCTGCACCCGACCACCTATTATTCCAAGGTTCCCTAAAAACGGGGAACGTGCCAGTCTCCTGCAGTTTCAAGGGTGGCACTCCGGTCAAGAAGTTCACTAAAAACCTGGTTTTCGATATTCACGGTACTAAAGGAGACCTAAAACTAGAGGGAGACGCAGGTTTCGCAGAGATGTCCAACCTGGTGTTGTACTTCTGTGGTCAAAGACCCAGTGAAGACCTCTCCACAAGCTCCGCAGAAACCATGGAAGTATATCATTTGCGCAATTACAACTCCATGGTAGGCAACATTCTGCGCATCTACGAAGCGGTTGCGGATCATCATTTCAAAACGAATGCGCGAAGCAAGCTAACCGAGAATTACACCAGACAGGGCTTCCAATTTGGCGGCTTTCCCACTTTCGCGGATGCTATTTTAGTTCATAGGCTGATCGACGTGGTGCTTCGCAGTCACGACCAGAAGGCCACTCTTCCCGTGCCAGACACGGACAATATAAACGCTCCGCAGGATGTGCCTCCATTGCCAGATTAAAGTAAGACGTGTCTTGGGAACACTAGACGCTACTGCCGTTTTTGATTTGGAATCGTTTTCCACTCAGTTGCATATTTTGCTACTTCATGCCTCCGAGCTTCCCCACGCTAATTTGGCAGAATTCTTCAATGGCTTCGTTATAGTGGACTCCACCGTACCTCAAAGTGTTCAAATAGTCCACGGCAAGCTGTTGTTTGGCTTCAGACGACAAGTTAGTATCTGAGGATCCCACGGCACCGCTGCCAACGCTCAAGATGCGGTGAACTTTTGCCAGATGGAATTTTACCGTATTGTAAGTGAGCAGTTCTTGGATCTCAGGACTTTTCTGATAAACATCATTGAATTCTTCACTGTTAAGCATCGGCGTTTCCTGTTTTCCTAAAGCGACCTCTGGTACCGGTTTCTGTTCAGTTGTGTGCTCATAGTGGACATGCTTTTCTGTATTTTTAAAGCACGCCAACGAGCAGTATCGAATCGCACATTTCGGACACTTGTATCTCGAGTCTTCGACACTACAGATTTGGCATTTGATTGACATCGAATGGCGTTCTTACGTCTAAACCTATGGGCCAGTTTTTATACTTTTCCCGCTCATCGCATATCTGAAAACTTTCAAGTAAGTTTTATGAACTTGAAAGAAAACCTAGTCCGGAGAAGAGCGGAGATAAAGACAAAGTCACCATAATCGCCAAGCATATGTTTATTAGCTTCGCATCGACATCGGTTGAGGAAGTATAAAAGAGTCTGAAGCCTTATATCTCGCTTTTGGCTACTTTTTGACCCAACTAGTCCTTATCAATAAGTGATAGGGAAAGACTCACGAACTCTGGCATTTCGTATTAAGGCTTCAAGTCTCAATCAAAACCATGGATCGAGCGTGGGTTATGCCGAATATCTTGACCCGTGTATGCTCTACGGTGAAACCTGTTTTAAAATTGAATCTGCGCGCTGGTGTGCATACAAAATACCGACATGTTGACTTGAACCTGGACGCAGCAGTCCAGCACAGCTGTGACTGCGATGTGAAAAAGTTGAATGGGATGTTAGGGCCAGAGTCTCAACTTGATCCCAAAATAGCGCTGCCGGCTAGAACCCCACAGTATCACCGGCACTTGATGCTGATATCTCCACCAAGCTCTCCAGGTCAGGACCCGTCATGGAAATCGGGCTGGCAAAGCAAACTGGAGCTGAACACCCAATGGCCATATTCGGCCATTGATGAGCTAAAATCGCATCTAAAGCACACACACAGAGGCGAAGGAATTCTTATAAACGCTATTTCCGTGACTCGTGGACCTCTTGCTGATATACCGTCAACACCTGGTAAAGCAAGCTTCTTAGCTATCCCTGACATGAAAGTATACGACGTGGGAAGCAGTGAACTTCAGGAGTTCGCTAATTTTGTTGGGGAAGGCGAGGTCCAGGGTCACGATAAGGTTTCCTTCCAAAACTTTTTACAAGGTGCAAATGCTGCTTCCAAGCTCCTAGATGCGCGAGCAAGTTCCAGTGGAGGACCTGCCTTTAGAGAGTTTCGAGGTCAAGATTATCGAAGGGACATTACTTTGGTCTGCGGTCACCACCAGCGAGACGCCAGATGCGGCGTTATTGCTCCAAGACTAATACAAGAACTCGATCCTCTGGTGGATTCTGACTTGGCCGTCATCTCACACATAGGCGGGCACAAGTTTGCAGGGAACCTTATTCTCTACAAGTTTCTAGGGATCGGCTCCGATAAAGTGGCCAAGGTTGACGGACTATGGTTTGGTAAGATCCTTCCTTCCACAGTACCTACGCTTATAGAGCATTTAGAGAGAGGAGAAATCATCACACCATGGTTCCGCGGTGGGTGCTCATTGAAAAGTAAATCTCATCCTGTATAAAGTTATAGATAATTCGTCCGCATCACTGCCAACCGACTTTGTACTTGCTTGGCGTTTCTCACTGTCATTTTACTCACCAGGAGCTCCTGCTCGCTGGGATATAAAGTCGAGAAGCTTTCGCAAAAATCGCCATCAACAACGCCCTTTACAGGCGCGTAGTAACTTCGGTACATTATATGCTCACGGCCTACCAAGCTAAACGCACCTTCTATCATAGGCCGTGGGCTGGAGCGTTTTGCTTTGGTATTTGTCCTGACTTCACCTCCCAACTCATCTCGAAAGTCATTCTCAATGGCAGCCATTTCAGTCTCGTTATCGATAAAGAACGTCTCATCTGCATCATTCAAACAGTCTTCCAATTTGTGGAAAAAGTCGATCTCGTTTTTCGTCAGAAGTGGAACTAGACATGCAATTGTGCCCTGCAATCCTGCGTATATGACACATGTTCTGTCTGACATGTCTAGACTTTCCACGACTTGAAATGAAACTGGTATGTCGTTGGCGTAGAAATGGTTAGCCACTTCCCATTTGCATGGACACTCCATGATGTTACGCGGTAATTCATGGCTACCGGCCTTTTGATATTTGCTCACGAAGTAAGAATACTCCTCATTGATCATCTTTTCAATGTGTTGTGGTACCCGTAAAACCCATATGTTACCGAACCGATCTCCTCCAACAACTGTGGATTTGTCCAAAAATTCAAGAGCCGTTACGTGTCGCTTTACAACGTCGTCTGCCAAAGCCATAAATTGATTCAACTGCTTGTCAAAAACAAAAAGCGTCACTGACTCTTGAATATCTCCAATGGCAACTCTTTCGTTTCCCCATTGACAAAGACGCACGACCTTAGAAATTGAAGGCGGCATTGCAGTAACTGATTTCTTCAAGAGTTGCTTGCGGCCCATTCCGAAGAGCACTATGCTGCTCGATAACGAAGCTACCAGCTTATCACCAAACGAAGCCATGGAATGAACTGTCTCTTCGAGAGTAGTATCATGAACGAGCTGAATTGTCAAAGTGTTTTTGTTGTCTTTGGCGCCTCTTTTCATCAGAAGTGTCTTCAGCCTCGAACTGCTGGTGGAAAGCATTAAAAAAGTGTCGTTGGTTCCAAATCGAGCAACTTGAGCATCCAGGCAAATGTCGTCAACGATAAAAAATTTGCTGTCCTCCGCATTCATGTCCAAAAAGGAGCCAGAGCGACAAGCTGAGATCCGACAGCAACCTTTGGTAACATTATTTTCCACAACATATCGTAATTTTTGGTCAAAAGTATCGGCAACGATCTTTCGGCCTCTAAAGTCTGTGAACATATTTTCATCTTCCTCGTTGGAGAGTGCCTCATCCTGTTGAAACCATTCATTGTATTTCGTGAACTTATCGAAGCGACCGATAATGAGAGTGCCACGCGATGAAAGGGCGCAACAACCATTTGACTTCAGATCGCTTGTTCTAAAATCAGCAATCGCATCCAAAGACATTTTGTTCGAGAGAATCAGAGGCCTCACGTAAAAATTTTGGTCGGCTTCGTAGCTAATCCAAGTTTTGTCACAGTGTAGGATGGCACATGAGGATTGTTCGACAGGCACTTTTTCCTCGTCATTATCATCCTCACCATCCTCTTCTTCTTCACCATCTGAGGAAAGTTCATGATTGACATGCATCAAAATTGATATCCTGACAGGTTTGGTCCCCAAATACTTAGTTCGTAGGTCAAACAGTTGACCATCAACCTTATCTATGCTGGAACGGATGTAGACGCCAGAGTCCAATCCAACGTGTAGAAGTAAATCATTCTTGGAGAACATAAGCCTGACACTGCTAGGTGGCGAAAGTAAGACCTGCATTGAAAGCATGTCCAAAAATGTGTCATTATTTGCCGCTTTTAATCCAAATATCTTTACGGAAGAATCCTGACAGCCGACAGCCAGAAAATCGCTTCTGAAGACATTGGGGAGACTTAGATCGGTAATTTTGTCAGAAAGTTCTATTCGCTCCTGATACTCGTTCAAGGTCTCAGCACTTGAAGAGGTATCGAGTTCAAAGTAAACAACTTCATTGTTTGAAAGCGCCAGCGCCAGCTGAGAAAAAGAGCTTGTTGCCTTCAATATTTTGATACCCGCGGGAGGAAACCATTCTGACTTTACATTCATTTTTGTTGACTCTAGGTCGTACTCAATTTGTAGCATGGAATTTTCACATACTTGAACTATCGATCTTTTGCCCATCAACCCGGCAAAAACCGTTGTATCACCATCTATCTTGAACTTGTTGTTTGATTGTTCCAGCTCCTCTAAAGTGCCTTCCTCGATTTTTAAAATCATTGTAGTTTTTGGAAGGGCTAGCAATATAAGTCTGTGCCAAGGATCTCTAGGCAGGCGGATCGACCAGACTCCACTTGCTTTTGGTGGCAAAGGTGATGTGATAAGCTCGCTGAAACTAACGCCTGAACTTAAATTCTGTAAAGCATTCTTAGAATGGGCCATCAACGTCAGCGGAGTAGAATTATCGACTTCCATCGTCAGCGTCGGATTTAAACTTTTCGATTCGTGTAGGAGAGATAGATTCTCAAGCTGCGAAGGGGGGGATATTTTGAGCTGCTTGTCTGGTTCATCTGATGTCAGTATATTTTCGTCATCGCCAAGACTTTCGAATTCATAAAGGCTGTAACCAGCGAGCTCTTGGAGAGACAACAGTAGTCCGTTTCTGAAAATGTGAAGCCTTGAGCTAGGTGCGATTGAATCGAAAAATCCCAATGTGAGTTTCGGAGTAAGATCCGTGGCTTCATTAGGTAGTATTTTTGCTTTGTATAAGTCTCCGTTGTTGCACTGCAGTAACATGAAAAACTCCTTTTTCAGCTTGTGTACTGCTGCAGAGATGATGCTGAGAGACGCACCGTTGCGCGTTGGTAGACAAACCTCCAAGTTGAAGTAACCACGGGCATCTTTCAGCACCAGCTTACCTTCCAAGGCCACGATCACAAAAGAGTTTATTGCGTCGTCGACTTGTGATTCATCTTGGGGCAACTTGGTCTTGATGCCGTATCTTTCCAAATTTGGCACGGCAACAATGTAATTAGCATCTGAAGGTAACAAACTCTCACTCTGCTGAACAACATGGTTGAGACCCAAGTCTAGCATGTAGAAAGCTAGGTATTTGCTGCCGTCAGTGGAGTCGATTTCCAATGAGGCGTAAATTGGGTTGTCGAAGGCTACGTCGCAAACGGTTGTAGATATGGTAATACGATTTGATTTTTGAAACTCCAGTGGGGACGAAACATTGAGAGTGTTGTTCCTTGAATCTGTTTGGTAGCATAGTTTATTGCGTTCAGTAGCAGATATGAAGATACACCTGCCTTGAGGGTCGACCTCTATGTACTTTTGCGGTGCAACTCTGCGTAGCCCGCTTCTTGCAAACGGCTCATTGAATAGTGAATGTAGTCTGATGGCATTAGATTTGTTAACAAATTGAAGCAGAGACAGATTTCCAGCGTCTGTTACCACCACCAAGTACGAGTAGTTGGTTTCCACAGGCAAACTCTGCATTGCCGTAATTGTAGCAAAAATGGGTACCACCGCAAGACGTTGAAAACTGCCTTCTTCCACGTCGTAAAGCTCCAAATGCGTTTCGGTAGCAATACATACTTGGTAGTCCTTTCTGCTTTTGCGTTTCCCTGATGTACTGCCAGGAAGATCGACAAAATGTCCCACACACGAATGAATGTAATTGGACTGTCGCTGCAAAGTCAAGTGGTACAGCTCAAGGCTAGAAGAGTTGACAGTCATATGGATTGTTGACCTTTTTTCTTAAGATGTTTTCTTGAAGGAAGTGATGATATGAGATGAGATGAATTTTGATGAAATTGAAAATAGTTGAACATCAAGCACTGTCGCTGGGCACTTTGCCCTATAGAAGCCGAGTGTTGAGAGTAGTAAATTGATGGCGTCGTGAATTGACCAGTAGGAGATAGGTAGAAAGGAGTCAGGATGGGAATCGGTCTCTCTCGGAATTCGAGTGATTATTTGTAGTATAGTAGTGGTAAACCAAACTTTGGGTATTATTTTATAACTTGGAGGATTTTGATGATCAAAAGAACTTATCGCATTTAGTAATGGCGATCAAATGTCCAGTAGTGCACATAGAGCTCTGGAAAAATGGCATTGCCTTGTGTGACACTCAAAAACATCGGTTTGCAGGATTTTTATTTGCATTTTACTTGGAGCTCATGAACGAAGGAATTCTAATTTGTGCAGTGAATGGAGAACTCTTCGGTGATAGTCTACTCGACGATACGATCAGTTTTGAGAGAATAAATTTCCTGGGTGGATACTTTGAGAGGTATTCGGAGAGGAATGGCTCTGGCTACGATGGTGATCATTGCGACTTATTATATGGTACAAATAATATATACTAATCGTCAAAAAGTGTGAGCAGAAATTTCAGCAGGCTCAATTGAAGTGTTAAACCCCTAGCAAAAAGAACCGTCGGCAGAATGATGTGATTGGTGGCACGGTTAACACTTTCAAGTTTAGCAGAGCAGGTCTTGGTGAGTAGCTCGGGAGAGTAATTTTGAAATTGCCAATTCACAAATCTGCAGGTCTCAAAGTCATATATATCCAGTTTCTGAGCTCAAGAAACAAGAAGACAACGTCAACCTGTTGCGTTGATGATCCAATGCTCGGGCAATGCACTAGCATGCTAGTAAGGACTCTCGGCTCCAGCATTATCACTTTACACTTTTCTGACCTCAAGATCACGTGAGTTGATCAAGAATCATCAATTATTAAAAGGTAGCCACCAAGATACATACGAAATCACATGATTCCACTAGAAGCTGACATCTTCGACAATCACGCATGTGTTCTTACATCTCCTAGGATTTCTCTTGCAAACAAAAGGTTCCGTATGTAGTTTCGTAGATAGTGACTATATGTTGGCTCACTTGAAATATTCCAAAACTCAGATATATTTCAAGCGCTAACACCCCACTTCATTCTGTTCGATTAAGATGACTCTCGAATCTTAATTTTCATCATTTTCCCCAGTTGTTCCCACAGTGTTCTCAGAATAACCTTTTTCGTTTTGTTCGTTTCTGCCCCACATGATTAATTTTTCGTATGAAGAAAAATAACATATAATGCCCATTTCTCACCAGAACAACTACCAATCAAGAGGCAATTCTATAAGCGAATTCGCCCATATCAAATACTAGTCAAAGCTTTCTGTCGATAATGGAGATTTGCGTGCGCCTGAACGATGATTGCGAAAGCGACTACACTTTTCAAATAAACAAAGATGACACTTTTGAGTCGAAAATCATGAAAATGTTCAACCCTAAAACTGGGTTGGCCAAATTCATGGTGTTGAGACCCTCTATTTTCTACAAGCCCGAGCCTAAAACGCTGACCAAGTCGATGCACCCGGGCTACTTGACTGAGAACGGGTGTCTGATTTACCACTACGACTGCGACAATAAGGAATACCGTGAGAAACTGGACTTGAAGACCAATAAAATCTGGGAGCAAATGTGGCCAGGCCAGTTGGTGCTGCCCCAATGGGAGTTATCGTACCGCAATATTGCGGCGTTTGTGGTGCTCATGCTGGCGTGGCTGTACACGGATCTTCCAGACCTGATTTCGCCCACGCCCGGTATCTGTTTGACAAACCAGCTATCCAGAAGATTGGCAGTGGTGGCACACCACTACAACTACAACGCGATTTCTGAAAAACTTTTGGAAGAGACGCAAATAAACTCGGCAGGCACGATCGCGCAGTGGTTGTTTTTCGGATTGCACTGCTTGAAAGTGCTGTTTATCGCGCTGGTCTTGTACACGGGCCTTGTGAACCCACTAACGGTCAACCCCTTGCAGTTCTACCACACACGTAAGGCGGTGGTGTCCAAAAACACAGACACCTTGAAAGACACGCTGCGCTCGATTGGATGGATTGGTGCGAAACGTGCAACTTACGACGACTACCGTGACACGTACTACAATTACAGACTGGAAAAAGCCGGTGGTTTGGTGGCTGCGTATAAGAGCGGGATCATGAAGCAGGCCTCGACGCCAGGAGTGGTGTTGGAGGCCGGTGAGGGCTTCCAGACGCCGCTTGACAAGCGGTTTACGGAGTCGACGTTCAAGACGATGGAAAAGAGCCGCAAGTTTGTGCTCAGCGAGGAGTACCTGATCCAGGTCGAGCAGGACCTTAAGGAGCAGATCAAGGCCTTCGACGAGAAGGACGTTTACAAGATCAACCAGGAGATTCGCAAGTTCCGCCGGTACGGGTTTTTTGAATGTGGGCCGCAGCTGGCGCGTCTGGTACAGCTGCGACAGGAGGTGGCCGCAGAGAAGGCTACCACGCAATCTGCCGAGGAGAAGAAGGAGCAGTAGTTGGGAGAGACACGCTGCACGTTATTTTCTCGAAGCATTACAAAAAATTTCGATGATTTTCGGTATTTCAGAGGTATAGTTTCATTAAAGCATTGTTGCCAGAATTATAGTACTTTTAGTTAGACCACTAGGACAGTATGTAAACTTAGAATGAAAAAAGGAAAATACTTTTGAAGCTCTGGACGTTCCAATACAATTGGGACAGGAGAGGCATGTTCCCACTTCCCATCTTTCTCTCCCTCTAGCACTATGACATTTCGTTCATCATTAACATTATTTATTAGTATACGTCGTACACCTAGCTCAGTCGTGGATTCTTCCTAGCTACAGCAGTTTTTCCTGCGCCTAACTTAATATTTCAGAATAATGTACACCGCATGAACAATGCCCGGTATGTAACCCAAACACGTCAACAGGATGTTGATCAGCAGATCGCAAGTGCAACCACGTTCCAGGAACACACCCAAAGGTGGGATGATAACAGCACCTAGCAGTTTGAAAAAATCGGTTAGAGTTAGAGCCATTGTTGTTAAGATATATGTGTGTGGGGGTTTGGGTTGTGATCTGGTTGTCTAGGATAGCTCGAAATTATTAAGAAAAGGGAGGTGTAGAGAAGAGCGTCTTGAAGTCAAAACTCGTCGCTTTATATACTTTTAGAGTTCGCAATGGGGTCATCAACCCGGAAATTGCCATAACGCGTGTACGTTGGCGGATCCCCAAACTCAGGCGTTTTTGCTTCACCGTTAAAACACCTTATTAGGTAATTGCTATTGCCTAGGGAAAGGCGTGGGCTCCAGCTGAGCAAAATGGGCTGGTGATTGTGTCAAGCCGTGGACGAGTTGGGAAGCGGCTGGTGGACGTGGCGGGTGTTCGATTCTCGCGCTGAGCCTCATTTTTTGGAAACTTCAAGAATGTACTCGTGAAGGACTAGATCGCAGTACTGGTGCTCATTACCTATTGTTGCGTAGGCGCAGGATAGCAGACAAAAGAATACCAGGCGATCAGCATCAAGGCAAACTATTTTTGACCATCACGAGAGATCCGATCCTGTCGCAACGCATGAGATTCGCAATCAGAGCAGTGGCTGACGATGGCTGCTAAAGACAGAATCCCATTACGAAAATGGTGCCTTTGAAATAGGTTCTGGGCTTGATACTGGACTGTAATTAATCATTAATGCCAGCGTGGCATGTTATAGTAGGCATTTAGCGTCCCGCTCGGCTTGTGATTTCCTTCCTTTCGGCTGTAGTGTTGTCAAATTATTGTAGATGTTTATGTCATTCTGCTATGTCATGAAAATTACATATTGATGATTGGAATAGAGTATTCAAGAGAAGAGTGAACAAACCGAAAAACGTAGATTTCCGATAAGAATGCCAGGCAGAAAATGGCCTCTGAATAGGAGTAGATATCATACCACCTACGATCGATAGTAGAAAAAAGTCCTCGTAGAATTTCTGAGTGCTTCACTTAGTGCTCTACTTGACTACGCAGTGTTAGGGACATCCTTCAAGGCTTGAGACTAGAAGTTCAAGAACGTACGACCAAATTTGAAGAAGTGATATAGAAGAAGTAAATGCAAAGCAGGAATCAAACTCGGGGTGAAATGAAAAGTATCTAGACTTTTGAACTCCGCCTGTGAAATATATTGGATAAAAACTCCCTCTGCTCAACAACCGCCCCTAGTGGCCTGGTGGTGGGTGAACCCGCTCATCCCACGTGACAACTTCCTGCTTAGAAAAACCTGTTGGCCAAATGGTAAGGCATCCCCCTCCTAAGGGGAAGACTGCGGGTTCGAGTCCCGTACAGGTTGGAATTTCTAAATTTCCATTTTTTTGGGTCTAACTGTAAGAAGTTTGACGGACGCTGACGCCAAGCTTTCGTCTGTGAACTTTGCCTTTCACTTTTTTAGCGTGATGCAGAGTTAATTTGAAGACGTCACCTTGAATGATCATTTTTGTTTGAAACGGCGAAAAGACATTTTCTGGGCCTTTGAGATGTTCCACACTCCCAATTGCACACTTTTTCTACAAACTCTGTCTGCCTCTCAAACACCGTTTTCCAGCGTCATCGCTCTATCGTCAATGATACCAGGGATCCCACCCCTACATTTACAAACTTCGTAATCCGCGCTTTCCTTATACCTTATTTATTCGTAGCCATTATCATTAGATGCGCCGCCGACGCTCTTTCATTTGCCCTTTGTATAATATTCATAATCTTCGTTCTCGATTCGATTCCGTCTATCCATTAGACTCGAGCTTCTAGCAACACATTCGCTTCCTGTGTCACCAAAATATGCCCTTTCTGGTGTACATACTTTCGAGAATTTTGACACTGTATTATACGCGCCAATTCTCACATTAGGGTTGTCTAAGTTGACAATTGCAGAAAGCGGTTGAACTGGACTGTCCGAGTTTCGAGGTGGCTCGCTGAGGGCGCCTGACTCCCGAAGTGGCTCGTTAGAATACTCAAATTCTCCAAGCAAATCCCCTGGAGGATCCCTTCTTTGGGCTTCTGCAGTTGTCGTTTCTCGAGAAACCAAAGTTGAGGTCTCTGGCTCTTCATGTAAGTCGACTTGAGTGCCCGAGTCTCTGAAGAGGTCAGTTGGCCTTTGAAGAAGCTCTCCTGATGTATCAGAGTCGCCAACAGCTTCGTTGGAGAACTTCAAGTTTGTTTTTGAGTCCTCGAAAGCTGAGAAGTATGGAGATGGATGTCCCATCTCTAGATCTCGACCCAGGGCAGGTTTTGACAGAAGATCTGCGGTAGAAGAGCTGAACATATATTTGTCCTCGCTGGACCTGAAAGACGTTTTGCCAAACGGCTGGCTGGTATCGTTTCGTTTTTCACGGTACTTTTCAACCAGAAGATTGACGTGTTCGCTGACGGTGACACATACGTATTCCTTGAGCCCGCGTTTCCACTCGTTGAGAAGTTTGTAGTAGACGTAGATGGAGCACACACAAGCGATGACGAATTTAGACATGAAAAACGCCCAGACCACGAACGAAAACAGCATGAACGACAACAAAATGGCTTCTTCGCGGTTAGTTTGCGCTATGGTCTTGATCTTGGCCAACAGCCCGCTGATATTTTCCAGTTTCCCCAGATCGTTATGGTTGCGTGATACCAGAACGGACCAGAGCGTGAGCCCGTTGATGACCTGACGCGGGGTGTCCGTTACGAGCAGTCTCACGCAGTCCTTGAGCTCGAAGAAGGTGTAGAACGCCACTTTTTGGAATGCGCCCTCTGGCATGATTCTGTCGTAAACGCAGAACTTGTTGTACTGGCTGAGCGAGTACACACCACGCGAGAAGTTATTGACGTACGTGAGCGAAATGTTGCGCGTTCGATAGATGCGGATGCCGTTTGCCACTTCCCAGATGATCAGCACCACCGAGGCCAGAATACACCCGCTGAACAACCATTTGCTGATGCGAAACGAGATGTATGGCTGAATGATGTTGTTGGACCACGTATTGAACGCTAGAAGCTTGATGCAGGTGTAGACGTCCGAAACGAACAGTGCGATTTTCAGTCCTGTGAGAAACACTACGAAGAATGCGTAGTTAACCACTGTCATAAATCTGAAGTTTCTAAACAGCGAGCAGTCCAGAGCATCGAATGTCTTCGAGTTCATCGAAAGCTGCCAATCGTTGCGAAACATGCTTGCGCCAGGGTCGTTTGAAAGATGCCAAAAGCTGGAAACCACGCAAACCACGCAAACCACGACTATTTAAATCTCGTCGGTCTTCAATTCAGCCTCCAGCCTTCAACCTTTGTCACAATTCGACACAATTCAGTTCAATTCATTGCTCATCGAACCTGAAACCATCGCATCTATTTATTGTTTAAAGAATCTCGAGTTTTTCAACGCTTATGTCAGCATCAGATTTGATGATAATGAAATAATGTAAAAAACCACGAATTTGAAACAAACGACGCGATGAGCTTTAAAACATGTAAAAAAAAATTGGAACTGGACGGGAACCACAGGTGACGCAATGCTCAAATGTCTAGAACGTTGGCATTTTTTTGGCTTGCAAAATCTGTGGGAAAACCAAAAAAACCCGAGCAAAATAGTCGTCTTGTAGCTTAGTTTCTGGCCGGTTTAGCTTGGCTACACGCACTAGACGAACAACTTTTTGCCGTTGTTGTCGGTGGTGACGTTTAAACCGTTTTAGTCTCTCTCTCTTTCGCTCTCTCACACGCTCACTTTCTATGTTTACATTATCATTACATTACTAGTGCGAATAGCTCGCAAATCTTGACTAATTTCGTGCTGAACTTATTACCATGTTTCTTATCTCGTACATGTAGCTGTTGCCCTTGGGATCCGGCAGACCTTGGTTTTCGTCATATTCGTCCATCTCGGCGTCTCGGAGTATAAACCAACCCCCGACTTTCTTGCTCCACCTATTTTCCTCGTGGTAAAATCTTTCCAGTGTCTTGGAGTCTACATTGAATGTCGGGTCGTGCAATGAAGGGTTTGCGCCCAGAGAATGAAATCTTGTCGTTGCAGTAGATGTAAATCGGCCACCCTCGCGGCTCGGTGCAAATTGACTTTGGGACCTTTTCGACGATAGCTCTCCTCCTACTCCACCTCCTCTGTGGAAAGCGTTATTGCCATTCATACGTGGGTTGAAGTCCGGAATTTCCCCAAAAGGATCCTTTTCATTGCCGTCGATCCTAATCCAACGAAGATTTTCCTGATCAAACATCATGCGACCTACCACTTTCCCGTGCTGCTTGGAGTTCGACCTTTTACTAGCTTTAGATTCGTGTGGTGGCGGAAGATCGGGTTTTTCCTTAATCACAATGGCCTTTTTGTCAAAAGTGTCCACATCCCGGAATCTCGATAGTGCCTGCTCGTTCCCTTCCCATGTGAGGGTCTCTGGATTGTAGACCATCCGACCTTTCTTCATCGGCGTGTTATGGTCGATTTCTTGCTTGATGGTTTTCAGTCTTCGGTTTGCGGACAGTCGTTTCTTCGTTTTGGAGTGCCGCTGAGGCTCTCTAAACATGGCCAGTTGACTAGGCCTGATCCATTCGAGATGCCTCTTTTGCAGCTGAGGGGTCAACAGGGAATCATCCGCGGTCACAGTGTATTGGGAAGGAGACAAGTTCAGTGGCGATTTGTCCTCGTCGTCCGAGAGAAACTGAGGTTGCAGAAGACTCTTTTCGAACTTCAGGTCGTCTTCAAATGCGTCGTCGTAGTCATCTCGATCATTATCCTCCTCGCGTATCACGTCGTATCTAGAAAGGACAGGCATGGACTTTTTATACTGGATTCCTTTGGAATGGAGTCGGCCCGCTGCCCTCAAACTCGACGCAGACCTGCTGTTTGCGAGTTCGTGGGGCTGGCCGCTCGAGGATTTGCGGTCCTTAGAGGGTCCTCGTAGGTTTAGCATTGATTGTGGATGTTTATTAGACGGCAAACCAAAGGGATGTCGGGTTCTGGTGATTCCCCTCAGGTTTCTGTTTTTTTTGCTGGGTTGCATGTGTTGAGCGAATCTCTGCGTCAAAGCCTGAAGCTCATCTTCGTCCTCGTCCTCGTCCTCGCCCTCATCTTTGAAACCATCTCTCTCTCTGATATCGTAGTTGTCGAGGCCCGGTTGGACAAAATGTCGCTTCAGTAGCTCTTCATCTCTGTTTTTGCCTTGGAACTCCTCAAAATCGTCCAAAAATGCACTTCCATCCTCGTCACTTTCTGTATGAGTAGAATAACGCTTATTATTGTTTGAAAAGGTGGTACTTTCAGAGCTGGCTGTTGACAGGGGTCCTCCAGTGTTCTTCAAAGGTGACGATGTCGATGATAACTGCTGTTGTCTGTTGGACCCAGGCCAATTTACAGGACTGACAGTGGCTTCAAGGTCTTCAAAAGAAGTTTCTGTAAATTCATCGATGTTCACAGGTCGTATCGACATTGATCGAAAAGCAACAGGCTATAGCGTCAGCTTCTCGTCTGTTTTTAATTATTCTTCGATCTTTGGATTTTAACATTTTATTTGTTTTCCTACAGTAATTATTCAAAAAAAATACCTGAAAACCCCGAAGACGCTAACGAACTGTTATTTAGAGAAAGCACAGACACAAGACTCGGTTAAAAGAATCGATACGAATGCTCGGAACGCTAATATCTAGTGCGCTTTAGTATATAAAATGCAATATTCAGAAACGTTACTGCATCAAAAAAAAAAAAAAAAGGTTTCTAAAAATTGAGTCTTATAGTAAGGTCTCCACCAAATCGAAACCATCAATTTAACTGTTTTAGAATCTTATAAAGATATACAGCAACTTATTTCGAAGCGCTAGAATGCTCTCATAATCTAGCATTTATACTTCTACAGAGCTCGAATTTTGCTCACTTCGTACCTTTCTGTCACAGACAGGTCCATCCTCGTCGTAATCAGTATAATCAGTATTTAAAGCGTGAGATGGGAATTAAAAGTTGATAAAAAAGGGAGGAGGTTCTCTGTTACGTCTTCGAGCATTTTATCGCAGTCAGATTCGTTCAAGCGTTGCTCTACATGGTTCTTTTTAATTAATTTCAAGGTATGTATAAAAGAGTTTTTGAAGGACTAAAATTCATCTTCTCGACAATAAAGCAGTTGGTCATAATAAAGAAGCCGTAAACAATCTATCAAAGTGTGAACTACACGTATCGGTCCATTATAATACTACTTCCATTCTGTTGCATCTTATATTCGTAAATTAAACACTCGGAAATTACAATAATATACATCCATTCCTGTATGGTTTAGAATTTGGATAAAAGAGCTACAACGTGTAGATACTCATAACCAACACCTTTCACGTAGCACTGGCGCTGGCAGAGCCTTGAACTCTCTTGAGCCTAGCTTTTATACTGTAGCCTGCGTAATTATCACGTGTCGGGTAGAAGTGCCAGCATATGTAAAAAACGGCCTAGCTCTCACTTTAATGAAGCTCATCGCTCAAAGAACTCGGAAATTCGATTGCATCAGTACTCACCGTTGGACCAACTAGCCCGCTTCAAGCACCAGCAACGTACGCTCTTAGCTCTATTTAATATGAATAACAAAGCCGAAGCTGAGTCCTCAGATGTCCTGAAGGGCCTGGAGGTGGGTTTTTTAAAGGACAATAATGAATGGGTGAAGATCGTCAAGGGTGTCAATTGGGAAGACACAGCTTCTTTGGATAGCCTCATCAAGTCTACAGAGCAATTGGTATTGAAGTACATAAATCCTAATCAGACTATCAAGCGCAGCATCCAGAAAGTGTTCGAAAACGCTCTGGGGCGATATCCGTTATTATTTGGCTATTGGAAACGATTCACAGCCGTTCAGTACCAGTTGCATGGTCTGAACCGCTCGATAGATGTGCTCTCTCGTGCGGTGGATGCTTTTCCACACTCACTCGAGCTATGGTGCGATTATCTCAACGTCCTCATCGCAAATAATCCCAACGAAGTGGACAAAATCCGTATCAACTTTCAGATCTCAAAGGATCTGGTCGGAAACCAGTTTTTTTCCCATCCGTTCTGGGACCGCTACATTGAGTTTGAAGAGAAACAAGCGAGGCCGGACAATTTACTTGCTATCTACAAGACATTAAGTCACATTCCACTGCATCAATACTCAAGATACTACACTGCATATAAGTCGTTTGCGCACGAGAACGCATCCCAAGCGGACCTCGAGATCGACACCGAGGACGAGATTGATCGAATTTTCGCAACCACACAGAGTCTGGTAAACAGCGTATGGAAATTCGAGTCTCAGATATCTCAAAGCTATTTTAATTTAGGCCCCGTTCCACAAAAAGAGCTGGATAACTGGAACAATTACCTCACTTTCGCTGTCGAATCGGAGCTAGTTTCTGCTAGTTTGAAGAAATCCATCTTTGAGCGGTGCCTTATTCCTTGTCAGTATTACGAGCACTTTTGGCTCAGATATACTTCGTGGATGGAGAGCGCTGGCGATTTCGAGGGCGTCTTGGAAACATATCAAAAAGGCATCAGCGCAGTACCGTTAAACCTACGCAAACTGCGTCAAAAATACCTGGAGTTCCTGAAACTGTCACTACGAAAAAACAAGGACAGAACTTTAGAGACCTACTTCCAAACTCTTGACGAATTTTCTCGTATATATCCACAAGATGGTACATTTCTCAGAGAGTTTGTGGCTGTTTTGAAGAGATTTGAGTTTGGCTCAAGCCTATCACAAACAGATCAAGAGATTTTACGACAACAGAGGTCATTTGTCGCTTATCTCGAGAAAAACATACGTGCTTTTATTCGCAAAGCTCAAGATGGTGATGTCAGGCTCCAAAATCTAATCAGTAACACTACACTCCCAGTGCTCGTTATCGAGCTAATAAAAGCCACCTATTATAACATGAAAAACACTACGCAAACAAGGGCGCTATTTTCTGAATTCGAGAAGCTACCACAGCTCAAATTCGCGACTTCATTTTGGCTCCTATACTACAAATTTTTGAAAGCTACCATCGATTTGAATGGACTGGAGTCCTTCGTGAACAGACTTGGAACTGAAATCCAGATCCCTGTACTGATAATCAACGACATCATAAGTGACTTCAAGTCCTTCTTCATAACTAATGTTCAGCTAAGTGCATACGAGCAGGAAGTATTTGAAGGACGCTATAATGCAGGCTTGGACCCCTTGGTTGATCTTGACTACAAAGTCAATAATCCTCTATGGACTAAGGAACAAACCGCGAAGGGCGGCAACAGACTGCGGAAGGAAAAGAAAGACAATGGCCATCCGGGTTTGTATTTTGAAAAACCGACTGTGTCGAATACTCTTATAGAAAACCATTCCAAAACGTTCGCAAACAACCCTCCACCGCTGCCGACTTTTAAAAATCTGGAGAAAGTTAATAAATCTGCGCTCCACCGAGACTACCTAACCACTGATTATCTGCAGTCGGTTTAAGGGACCAACTAAACTATAAGGTATCACTCTGCCGTCCAATTACTGTCAAACCTGATCTAATTTCCGCTTTTCCAGTGACCAGATTGTTTCCAAACACCTCTAATATTTCTAATTTTGGATTGCGGTCTCCTAGCTCTTTGACAAGAGTGTCATTTGCGCATCCCATGAAACCAATATCAAGTCTTTCAAGGTTCGGACAAGACATCGCCTCAAAACACTCGCCTTTCACCTCTTTCAAAGAGTTGAGAGTGAGTGCCACCAATTTTTCACCCGCCTTGTTCAAGAATAGTTCGGTTACTGCCATATCCTCGAGCAGCAAACAGCGCTTGAGACTACAGACTTTCAGCTGTGGCATCGGGACTTGGCTAAAAAGATGTACCATAGCATCCGTCGATATTTGATCGAGTTCTTCTAGTTCTAAGGACTCGAGGATGCTCTCTGCTCCTTCGTTTTTGGAAAGAGCTTCTTTGAGATTAACGATCGTTGTATCAGTGAGAGCTGTGCACCCGTTTAAGTTTAAGTGTTTGAGTTTCCTCCCAGCTGCTGTTACAATTGCACCTACCACGTCATCGGTAACGTATTCTTCTTTGCTGGGATGCTCCAAGGCCAATCTTTCAAAGTTCCGCACTTTCAAACACCGTGGTATTATGCTGTAGTCGGAAACATCATCAAGCCTACAAAGCCTTAAAGACACTAGAGTATCCCCACAGTTTCTGAACAGACTTTCTAGCGAATGATTAGTGAAACGATGGGTGTTAGAGACATGAAAGGATTTTAGTCTACCCCTCATCCTTGTGAAAAACCTATCCCAGGTTTCCTCGTTGATCAAAAAAGGGCCGTCAAGATCTAAAGCTGCTAACTTGGGAAGCTTTTCAGCGATGTAAAGAAGAGCTTCGTTATTTAATTGACCACACATTTGCAATGAAAGCTCTGACAAGTGAGGTGCAAAAATAGCTAGCAGTTTATATCCCTCGTACGACAACCTCGAACAGTCATGGAATGCCAGTGTTTGAAGCTCCGTCCTGAGAAATAGTTGAAGAGTGTGGTCATTTAGGGCTCGGTTTTTAGATAAAGTCCTGGCCAGTTTATTCATGTTCTGCGTAGATAGCCCACCGAGCGTGTCACGGATCTGGGCGGAAATGCTCTCATCAGATGAGTTGGTATTCTGTTGTAGCCTCGATATGTTGGCGCTAATTTGTGCAATGCAAGTATCTTGTAAAGTGGAAATACGTCTCGTTTTTCTGTCCAAAAGTTCAGCAGCCCTTTTCTTCTTCCTTTTCCTCTGCTGTAGTTGCTGCCGACTCTTTTTCAGTTTCTGCTCCAGCTGTTCCTGTGATATCTCAATGACTGGAGTCTCGGATACTGTTCTTGAGCTCATGCCCTCGTCGTACTCGGCTTCATCGCTATCTTCGGCATCAACTGCAAATCGTTTCAATCGAGATTCAGCGCTTCTGATGGAGGCTGAGCTCTCAACTTGATCCTTGTTCTCGTCGTTATCTACACCGCTCGTCATGCTATCGCCCTCAGCTTCTTCACTTTCATCGTCGTAGTCAATATCATCATCATCGTCATCGTCAGAACTAATTTCGATCGCTCGACGTCGACTTTTTGTCGCAGGTTTCGCGATACTCACACTTTCATCTTCATCCTCACTTTTGACCTTGCCATTGCTCTCTTCTTTATCCTTTTCCCTGCTCTTTAACCATTTCTGTCTGATGCTTTCTGCGTTGATACCCTGTTCCTTCAGAAATTGAGTCAGGGCAGAGTTGGGACCTCTGACCTGGTTATCTTCAGAAGCTTTACCTCTCGGTCTATTCCTGCCTCTATACATTATTGCTGGATCCTCAGTGGTGTCTTGAGACCGGTAAAGATGTTGGTTCACGTCTGAATCTCAGTTAGAAGTGTCAAATAATTTGGATCTGGCATTATACTTAGCACTCCGCACGACTAGTGACTACTTCAACAATAGATGAAGTCTTGAACTGCGAGTACCGGTACCATATCTATCAGTGGTCATCCATAATGTAAGAAGGTGCTTTAAAGTCGGATAAATCATGTCCAAGAGCCATCAACGGTACGCTGCGAGAGGAATTCCCTCGGATTATAATGATTTTATCACGTGATTAATGTGTTGAATCGATTTATTGCGACAGGAAGGTACAAAGTGATATAAATGTTGATAACAGTTATCCAAACACAGAGGTGACATCTATCTGAATCCAAGACGATCCTCGGTGTATTGAGATACCTTTCTTTGCTTCAATTTATATTCACTGCAGTGAAAACTAAAGTCGACTTTTTTTTTATTTGCCATTAATGTTTTCGTCTCACTTGGTGTCATGAAAATGAACAGTTATCCTTAATTGCTGTGTTTCCAAGCTCGAGCAAAAACAATGGATGTTTTTTGCAGTGATTTTTTTTTATACCACTTCAGGCCGATTTAAGAGCGACCGCTATTAGTTATTGATCGAAAACCTCATTTGTGTTCCCTAAACCAGATCGCGGTAATTGCTGCTATCGAAAAAAGCCCCAAACATTTTGATTGTCCAACGACAATAACCTGAAGCTGAAGATGACCTTCAATCTACTGCGAATACGGTATGCAGTGTTTTTAAATACCCTCACCGGAACAACGATCAAACATACACCATTGTTGCGAGCGAATAAAAAAAAAGTTGAAAAAGAATGCGCAAGCCCGGAATCGAACCGGGGGCCCAACGATGGCAACGTTGGATTTTACCACTAAACCACTTGCGCTATTCGATGGAAGACTTCCTCTCTGGAATCTTTATACCGTAGCGTACTGAGCGAAAGATCTAATGTGTCGCGTCTGTACTGCAAAACAGCGAAACTGCAGTGCTACGGGTTCGAAGAACCACTGAAATCAATCAGTACCAGAGGGATTTCGAGATGAGTTATTCGAAATTTGAGTGTCTGTATTGAGTTCAATCGCAAATGTCAAATGGTTCAGGTTAAAACGAGACCAAGGTTTTAGCTAAAGATAAAGAATGTTTAGACGAAGATTGACCAATTGGTTGACTTTATATTGTATCAAACTTGACAATCTAGAAGTATGATATCATTTTTTCCACACGTCATGTCAGCATAAATAGCCAAAGCACTAATTGCCAGTCAATTAATTATTCGGAGTGCTTCAAAATTGACTAAAAAGCAAACCATTCGCTGCCATGAACCTTCATCATGATGAGGTCGAAAAAGATATTATTAGCTGGTCAGATTCCTCTCTTACTTGCTCCAGAGATCTCTTCTTTCAGAACTTATCGTCAAGATTTGATCTTGATTGATCACATGCCTCGATTATACTGACATCGCCAATTTATATCGACCTTATCCATCTACAAATTTAGGGTCTAAGACAAAAGATGATTCAATCCCATCGGAAACTTCGCCTGGCCATGCAGGATTCACCCATTAATAGTAGAGAGCCCGGGTCAATTCACTTAGTTGTTTTAGTTCATGGTCTTTGGGGAAACAGAACTCATTTCGACTACATTCGGGGTGCGCTTGAAACGGAATTCGAATCTCGAAAGTCGAAAGATAGCTCTCGAAACAATGAAGAGCTCGTTATATACACAACACACTTGAACGAAGGTTACAAAACCTACGACGGAATCGACGTTTGTGGTGTCCGAGTAGCGGGTGAAATAGAGGCCCAACTTACGGAACTTAGTTCTGTGACCAAGTTTTCCCTCTGTGGTTACTCCCTGGGCGGATTGATAGCTAGGTACGCACTGGGAGTGCTGCACAAGAAGCAGGTCTTCAAAAAGCAGGACATCGAACTTCTGAATTTCACCACTTTTTGCACGCCTCACGTCGGAGTGTACGCACCTGGAGAGAATATAGCTGTGAAACTGTTTAATATCGCCGTGCCACTGGTTTTGGGCAACACGGGCAAGCAGATGTTCTTGAAGGATAAAGGCCAGCTCACAAACGGATCGCCACTGGTCGTTTCGATGAGTATGGAGAACTCCGTGTTCTTCAAAGCATTGCAAGAATTCAAAAATACTGCATTATACGCCAATGTCATCAATGACAAGAGAACGGCCTGGTGGACTGCTGGGATATCTAGAAACGACCCGTTCTTTGAAGTTGACGAAAAAAATGGCGACCACCGTTTCAGCTATGTAAAAAATTACGCTCCTACGATTGTAGATCACTCCAGGTCCATCAAGATCACCCGCATCGAAGATTTCAATGAAAAGGTTCAAGAAGCTAAACAGTCACGTCGTAGCGGTAACACCAAAGTCGATCCCCGAGAATACTTTTTCCTCACTTATTGGTTTGGTAAATTTTGGCGCTGGCTCGTAGTATTGTTCAACTTGTTGTTGATAGCCCCGATTTGGGTTATTTGGTTCCTGTTGTCGGGGACTATGGAGACCATCAAATCCACTACGAGGGCTGCAAAGTTTATGAAGGGTTACTCCCACCACTTTATTGATGACGTTTACGACACCACCTCCGAGGAGCCAGCATCAGAAGATAGAATTGACGTCACATCTGAGACACCCAATGAATACGAACTACAGCTCCAGCAGTCTCTGAACGATCAAACTGATACCTTCATCGAAAGTGTGTTCAGTGCTATCGAGAGAAAGAACACGCTCTCTGCTATAATTGACGAGACGGAGCCTGAAGATTTCACAGATACCGAGGACAGCGACCGTGTTGTGAGAACGACTTTGAAAGAGCTAGAACTGCTATCAATCGAGGAAGTCAAAGCCCGTAGTTCTCGCTCGGCAGACATTGAAGATGAACTCCCATCGCTGCAAAACTTGCATTTGAACTTAACGCCTGCTCAGATACAAATCATAAAGTCGCTAAACAAAATCTCCTGGCGCAAATTCCCCGTTTACATTCGCAACACGGTGAGCACCCACGCTTGCGCTATAGTGCGTCACAAGGACCAGAACTTTGAAGAGGGAAAAGTCGTCGTAGGCCACTGGGTAAAGGAAGTTTTCGAATTTTAGAACCTTTCACTCAGTGTTTTTTGCAATTGCTCTATCAGATCTTCATTGCTTTCCAAAAACGGGTTGAATTTGCACCTTACGTACAGTCTCGAAATTTCATTGAAAACACGTCCAAGTGTTTCGTGGCCGCATTCTGACTGGCTCCAAAACCCGACAACAATTTTCAAACTTGTTTGTTTCACTAGTTTCCCATAAACGGCGACGCCCTCGAGCTGAAACAAGTCTTTTATCTCGCGATTTTCTTGGCTGGTGTTCATCCACTCATATAGGTCGCTGCTGAAATAATCAAGTGCCATGTTGGAAAATGTGTTAAACTTAAACTCAACGTCATTCCCAGTATTCTCATCTTTCGCGACAAACACTAGCAGTGGTCGATCGTTGTGGTCAATTAGCGAGATAAAGCAGGGTTTAGCTTCCATACTAACCCATAGCCAATAGACTTGGTAGCCCAGCTCTTTGAAACACATATAAATGTAAAACTCATCATGGTTTAAATACTCTATTCCTATACACAAGTACAAAAGTACTCGGATAAAATGGCACAAGATGTCTCTTAGGAAAATAGTGATATGATCAACTCTCAACTGCAATGCCAATGAACCGTCACTCACGTAGGTCCTGGTCTCTTCCTTGATATCCGATCTCGTACCAGTTATTAGGCTTAAAGTTTTGCTGCTATTGTATCTGCTGCAGTGCGTCCGAACACTACACATTCCAAAAGACTGGATCCTCCCAGTCTGTTGGCGCCATGAACACCTCCAGAAACTTCACCGGCAGCAAACAATCCTTCTGCTATAGGCTTATCAAATGAATCAAGAATGCGAGTGTGTTCGTCAATCTTGGCTCCGCCCATTGTGAAGTGGACTACCGGCGTAATCTCTCCAACGTAAATCTTAGTGTTCTCATCTACTTCAGTACCAAAATTGTTAATTCTGGAAACACGGTTAAAGATATCAGATGCTTCTGAGCTATAGGTTTGAAGTTCAGAAGCCAATTCAGATGCACTAATTGGAACGTTATTGGCCAATTCCGCAACCGTTGTCTTGCGAATTAGTTTCTTGAAAATGTAAAAGTCCATGTTGTTCTTGTAGTTAGCGTAGACCGCTTCGCTCATGACGAGAAGAGCCTTGTTGTCATCTTGTGGACACTTTGATTGAATGGCAGCTGTAACGACATCTCGAGTGCCCAGTTCGTTGACAAACCGCCTTCCAGTCAACGGATTCAAGAGAACACCTCCAAGCCCTCTAAGAGCCTCAGCTGCTAAAAACTTCCAGTTGCTGTGCGGGTCGGATGGGTCAACAAAGCCTGTAGGATGAACCTGCACCTCAGACATATCTATCAATTTGCCGCCCAGTTTCTCAATCAGCTGCTGACCGTCACCTGTAGTCTGAGCACCGTTGGTGGTTGGCAAGTTTTTGAGAGCAGGAGCATATTTGTCCAGCAGTTCTTTAGAGAACCCAAAGCCCCCGGAGCAGAACACGACATTCTCGGTGTGAACACGCTGTGCCACTCCATCTTGATCGTAATACTCCACGGACGTGACCTTCTTGTCGACTATTTTCACGTCAAACACCTTACTGTTCAGGTGAATTTGAACCATCTGTGGATTGGACTCAGAAAGGCTTTTCAGGGAGTTCGAGAGCGCCTGGACGATTTCGAACCCTGGTGGTAGTTTTCCCGAGGACCGGTGCGTTCTGGGAGCAGAGTGACCGCCCAGCTGTGCTAGCAAGTCTAGCTTCAAACTGAAATCTTGTTGAAGCCAAGAAATCGCAGAGCTCGAGTCCGTGGCCAGTTTGGACATAAGAGTTCTGACTCCTGCGTTCTTAGCGGAGCTGACGGTGTCCTGATAAAAGGCAATTTCCGAGTCCTCGACATCAAGCGATTTTTGGGTACCAGTGAATGCGCCGTTTATACCACTAGAAGCTTTTATCGAGTTTCCACCCAGAGAGGAAGCCTTGTCTAAAAGCACAATTGGAATTTTATGCTTCAAAACCAACTGATTTGCCGTGCTCAGACCTGCGAGGCCAGAGCCGATGATGACAACTGGATTTGAGTACTTCGAGGCCATTTTTACTTCAGTGCCAGTATTTGCAGTTCTTCGCAGTACTAGGAAAAGTGCAATACAAATGACTAGCGTGTAAAACTTACGTCTTGAGCTCATTAAACCATTAAGTGGCAAGTTATTAAACGTATTTGGGATGCCAAATACCTATTTTAAATGACAAATAATTCCATGACCGGCTGCGTGTCCCTCGCACCTTTGATTTGATGCCAATAGTGGGGTGATTACCTCTGACGATCTTTTACGAGACGTTGGCCATCTGACCAAGTTGGTACGAGACGAAGTCAAGTGACGATCCTCGAAGAGATCAAGGCAAGAAAGACAGACGCCAACTATCAAGGCGCAAGAAGAATACATGTGCTATCTATGCTTTCGTGTATGTAGGTGCAAAAAAAAATGTCATCAGACACAACTAAAAAAATCACTATGCAAAAGAACTGAGGTACAAACAATTGATGCCTGTACCAATGCTAAGTTCAGCCTCTGCTGTTCCATAAGCTCCAAAAAAACCAAACGTATTCGTCGACCAAAAATGGATGACAATCCATTTTTAGTCACTTTTGTCCCTCCTTGTAAGGGCAGGGTTTTCTCGAAAAATTGTCCCGAAAATATGCAAATGTAGATATAGTTGGGTAAACCTCCCCATCCACATGCGTTGAGTATTTGCGGCTCAAAAAAACGCTGTTGGTCCTCAAACGGTCAAAAAAAATAATAATAGTATGCCATTTGAGTTAATTTTGGGCGTTCCAATCGAGGTGGTAAGCGACTCGAAGCAGTTCGACTGCTCTAGTAAAAACTCAGACGGTGTCACTCATGACCACCGCAGCAATCCCTTCGCCTGAGATGCAACAAATGCAAATGCTAAACCGTACCCCCCCCCATTAGAAAATAAAACTCCCAAAATTAACGTAAAAAATCTCAAAATCAACCTTATTCAACTATGCCAGCGAATTTATCATGATTTGGTATGTTAGACTGCACAAGTAATTTAATACTTGTAAGTCTGAATCTCGCCAATGGCGTTGCCGTCAATGTCGATTTCCGTGGACTCGCTACGGTAGATCTTGGTTGGACCTTCCGTGTCAAAAGGATTCTGCTGCGCGTGCTGGAAAGCCTCGATGACAGCCAATTTAACTCTTTCCAACGACTCTTCGGAAATTTGGTAATGCATAGAGACTCTCCCTCCCATTAGCTTAACTTGGTACTTCAAACCCTTCTTGACTAGAATATCAGGGTTCATCTTGGCCTTCTGTAGGTCCAAGAACACAAAGTTGGTGTCTGCAGGAGACTCCAATGGAATGTTATGCGAGCGACAAAAGTCAGCCAAGTCGTGGGCCATACGGTGAGAGCGTTGCAGCTTCTCCTTCCAGTTACCTTCCACAGCGACAGAGGCCATCCGACACATCATACCGGATTGTCTGACACCTCCACCTTGCTGTTTTCTGAAATGGTTGCACTTTTTGATGAACTTGAAGTTACCGACCAGGATCGAGCCCATTGGAGCACCGAGCGACTTGGACAAACAGATAGAAATGGAGTCGAAAATCTCCCCAAATTGTTTCAAGGGCACGCCGGTTTCGGCGACCGCGTTCCAAATACGAGCACCGTCACAGTGAAGTTTGATGTCGTTTTCCATGCACCACGCCTTGATGCGGACCAGCTCTTCTAGCGGGTACACAATACCGTGCAGAGTGTTTTCGAGCGACAAAACCTTTGTGGGCGCACCGTGGATGTCGCCGTCTTCTGGGATGTAGTGGCGCTTGATGTCTTCGAGAGTCATGTAGTTGCCGTTCGAGGGAATCACTGGGACCACCATTGCCTGAGACAAAATGGCCAGTCCAGCAGCCTCGTGGGTGTAGACGTGAGCTCTGTAGTCGCACAAGATCGAGTAAGGAGGCTGCATCAAATGGCACCGCAGGGCAATCTGGTTCGACAGCGTTCCCGAAACGCAGAACAAACCGGCTTCTTTGCCAGCGAGCTGCGCAACGCGCTGCTCCAACGCGATGGTGTCGATGTCTTCGTTGTACACAGCGTCACCGATGGAAGCCGTCATCGCGGCCTGCATCATTTCTGGGGAGGGTGTGGTGAAAGTGTCGGAACGAAAGTCGTTCGAGGCCGAGGTGTAGGCTTCTGGGAGTTCAGACATAGTTTGCGACACGGTCATAAATGGTGTGTGTGTAGTATTGTTGGAAAGTTGAAATTGGAGGATTTTCAAGGATTCTCTAGCCTGCGGAAACGGGTTTTTGGCAGGAATTAAAACGACAAGCAGGAATCAAATGTGGGAGAAAGAAACCCAAGTTTGGCTACCGCGGCGTTTATATACACCTCGGTGAGTTTTTTGCCAGCTCTCAGCTCAGCGCCTTGCTGGCTGACTATGATGAGTCTATGATGAGTCGAAACTCTGTCTGTCTTTTTTTTTTTTCAGCTCACGTAAGCAAGGCTCTTGGATAATAGGGTAGAAAAAGAAAAGTTTATTACGTAATCGCCTTTGTACTTCGTACAAAGGGACACTAAAGAAACACGGCGCCGTCTATATGGATTTTTGGTTGTTGTGAGAGCTCAATGGGATAAAAGATGCTATCCCTCTACCTCTCTCCCGATGGAGCGTAATGTGTGTGCGTATAGCACACACTTTCGGCTGCTTTCTGCGTGACTTTTTGGTAGAATTTCGACCTTGATCACTTTGAACGAACAGACACTACACGAGAGTGCTCGCTATCTGCTGCTGGCTAGCCCGGCTTTCCTCAAAGGAGGAGCCTTTAACCGCGTTTTACGAGGAAAAACAGCGCATTATTTGTTAGTAATCGTCTGTAGTGTGTTTAGCTGGGACGATTTCGATGGCTTTCAACAGCTATGGGACTCGAAGCGTGTTAAGCGCTGGGGAACGGAGTTTTGAAAGGGGGTAGATCTGATTTATGCAGCTCCGTCGCTTTACATACTCCCTTGGGTCCTGTGTCCTGTTTCTCCAAGGTATTTCTTGGGGGGTAAGCAGTTTTCTGCATCCCGAGTCAGAAGTTGGGGGAGTATGTGACTCGGGCCGTTGTGAGCACTATGTACGGAATTATTGTTTTTATCTACTCGATTCTCTAGTTGCACAACGCGCTGCTCGGTAGAAAGCGAAAAAATGACTGCCGGTAACACCCAGACACCCATACTGTGCTCGGGTCCAGACGGGGTATACTACTAATCCGACATTTGGATGCCCCGATTAAATTGTGCACGGGCTGGAAACGCACGGGTACGGGAAACAGACTGGAAACAAACTGGAAATATAGGTAAAAGTCACGTGTCTAAAGTCAGTTTTCGAAAGGCCGTTTGGCTCGGTATGTAGCAGCAAGGGCATCTTGACATCAAAACCGAGAGAAGTATACTGTCTTTGCAAAGGTTTCGACGCTAACTACTAAAAAAATAGGTGTGTGTTAATGACTTGGGCTTTACAGCTTGTCCCCCTGAACCTGACACTTATTCAAAAAGAAGGTCTTACCCGGATTCGAACCGGGGTTGTTCGGATCAAAACCGAAAGTGATAACCACTACACTATAAAACCGGTTATTTGAAATGAGAGGTAGATATTCCATTTATAAGGGTATCGTTTTATCACGCGTACGAGTCTGTACGACCCATTTGTATTATTCGTTTTCAAGACCTGGCATTAACAGATGAACTGTCCCGATCTGCTGAATACGCGTTTGGCACATCTACCCAAGCTTTGCGAGCCAAATACACTCATAAAACATGGACAAGATAGACTTTCTGAGAGCGATAGCCGCCGAAAACAGTACACAAGGCCTGAATCTGAAGCAGTCCACTTGGAAAAAGCCTCACAGACGGCACAAGGCGACCCGCCAGCTGATCACCGATGAGTGGAAGAGAATCACCAACGACGCGGAAAAGCACAAGGACAAGAACCTGCTCACATACTTCAACGTCGAGGCGCCACCAAGCGTGTATCCCACCAAAAAATACTGCGACATCACGGGGCTCAAGGCCAACTACAAATCGCCCGGAAACGGCCTGAGGTTCTGCAATAGCGAGGTCTACTCTCTGGTGATCAAACCCATGGCGCCGGGCGTCGACCAGGAATACCTCAAACTCAGGGGAGACAATGTAGTGCTCAAGTGAGCAATTGACGGACGCGCTCTCGAGAGAACGTCCGGGGCCTCTCAAATCACGTGACCTACAATCGCGCCAACTTCGAGCCCTCAAACCTCCGCACCGTGCAACAACTACCAGTTATGGGTCTCTCCATGGTAAATGGCCGCCGCTAATTGAAAGAGTAGGTTTTCGGGCCTAATTTGGCTGGGTCAATATTGACCATAAAAAAAGAGCGGCTTTATCAATCCTTATTCGAAACGCTCAGTTTCGAGCAAATACTCTATCCTACGACAACATCGAACACACTGCTCAACGGCAACTACTGTTTCGGTTTCTCTCTCAACACTCTCTTCAGCACTCGCAGCTCTGTTCACGTTTACTCATTTCTACTCACTGCTACTCATTTTTTTCGTCTATCATGAACCGCAGCCTCAGACAGAAAGTATATAAACTGACATCTTTAACGTACATGAGTCGAATTTCGGGTATTCAACGCTCATCGCGGAGCAGTTGCGGAGATAAACTCGCAATATAGCATTGATCGTTGCCATCTGCAGATTGATAAGAAAACCGTTTAGGCAGCGGTTCGAGGAAACGGTCACTTCATAGCATACGTACTACGCTCTTATACCGAAGTTCCGATGTCAAATCTGTTCGAAGAGGCTCGACAGCAGCTGAGCCATTCGAATGCTATGATCCCGGACAGTTTGCGGCGGTACTCTGGCCAAGTTACTAGTCTGGCAACTGTTGCATCCCCCGCAGGCGGTAGTGGTGCCGGTGATATGGGGCCCATTGAAAAGTTGGACAGTGCTCATCAGGATCCGCCTCTTATTATGTCCAATGGTAGTGCTGCGAAGTCTGGCGACTCGCTGGCTGTTCTAGATGCTGGTGAAAGCGTTGTAAATGAGGCTGGTGTAGGAGCAGCGTCGCTTCAGGTCAAGGTGAGCGAGGAAGAAGTCGCTGAAAGCGCAATTGGCTTGGCAGCCCCAGCAGCTAACGAGGTAACCAGTGGGGAATCCAGCAGGGAATCCAGCAGGGAATCCAGCAATCCTGCTGCAATGGAGCTCCCACAGTAGCTCTCATGATGGTCCAGGGCCCGTTGGTGCAAAATGGCTCTGGACTTGTGGGGGGGATGTTGTTAGCGTATTCGTACCGGGGTCACATGCTTATATTTATAAAGGATCGTCAGGATTCCGTTGGTTTTGTGGGTCTGGCGACTCCCTCGGTCCACTATTGATTGTATTTGTTGTCTTTATGTCGACCGTTCAGCTATTGAGCTTCCCCGGTTCATATACGTATGTATGCATAGTTACTACTAATTAGTTTTGAGAACAATGGTTTGAGATCGACAGACGTATACATGTGCCAGTGCGTTGACAGGGTTTGTCAGGTTTCACCTCTCTTACCGACTTAGAGGCAGATCTAACACTATGTTGGTAAGGCTACTCAGTAGGCTTCAAAAAGTGGTCAAACCTCGAAACAACTGGACGGCACTAAGTCGAACTTCAAGTTTCGATTATGCTGCTTTTCATATGTGTCGATGAAACCAAGGATCCCCCGCTACTAAAATGGAGGTCCGTAAAGCAAACCTCGCCAACTGTCGAATTACGAGATAATACTCACAGATCTCAAACTGCTAGAGATCTGCACGTATCAATCGTCCCAGTTCTGGCATGGTCGACAGTCGCCAGTATGAGGATCGAGGTACTCGAGGACATAAAGTACTCGAGTACCTATATCACATGACAGGATTACTGACGTAATCTTATGTTTTTAAGACTGAAAAACATCAACTACAGACAAATTGTGATGATCTACAAAAACCGCCTGTTCTCAACTCTCTGCCAAGCAGCGATATGCTACCGCATGCTGTCTTTACGGTCGCTGCCATTATATGGCTATCGTACAGACTTGTGCTTTTCTTGGGAATCCCTGTTTGGCGAATCGTATCAACCTTGGGACTTCAAGTTCCACAAACGACGAGAGTGTCAATAGACGACATCACCGAGGATACAATCACAATTCGTTGGGAAAACGAACCAACAAATGCTCACGAAAAGAGTAGCTCGTCGATAGCGTGCTACATGCTGTATCTGAATAACGTGAAGATAGGAACGATCCCTAACATCACAACCTCGCTTTACACATGTTGCTCACTCCAAGGGCTTTCGCCGCAGACGCAATATCAGTTCGATTTCGTGTGTGTAAATGAAGATGGGTTCAAGAACAAGGTGCCTTCCATTTACGTGATGACCAAGCCTCAGTCTACCGGCGAACACACCAGTCAAAACAGCTTGGACGATTTGGATGCGAAACCGATGCTGGCGCCCAATTTCCCAGCTGAAGCCAAGTGGAGAAAGAGTCAAGTGGCCGTTTACACAGAATCACCTACTTCCTACGCTAGTTTGACGTCCCTGCAAGACCTGGATGACTTCTCCATTACTGATTTGAAATATATCCTGGTCTGTGCACAGGAAGACCTACACGATGTCCTACAGCAAGAGGCTTCTATACTGCAAGATTTTCACGAAAGTGAAGAACAACTGAAATTGGAACTCGACAATCTAAGGGCCCAGTGGGCCCACGAAATCGACCTCAGAAAAAGCCTCAAATCGAGTATCAAATCTCTTGAAAACTCCAAACTTCTTTACGATCTCAAACGCGGTAAACTGGACAAGAACATCGACCAAAGTGCCAATAAAATACAAAAAATGAAAAACGACATGGCCAAGTGGGACCAAGAGAAAAAAAATCAGCTCAGGCAGGACACTCTTCTCGAAAAGTTTAACGATGAAAAAAAGTCTCTGCTCGAAAGAATCGATCAGGTTTCGGCTCAGGTGAAAGAGCTACATTCTCAAGTCTCGAGCCAAGAGGAAGAAAACAAGAAATTGAGCTCAGCCAAGAAATCGATGGACTCCAGTCAAAATGCTACTTCGACAACCACATTGGGCAGTTCAACGTCTTCGAAAAGAGATAGCCCGGTTGAAAATGTCTTGAATACATCTAACACACTCAGTCTGGACTCTATCTTCAAGAAGATCCATGATTTCACCAACGACAAGACTGGCATTCTGAGCAACGCTGGTCATGAATTTTTGAATTCTTTGGGAAACAACTCTGTTATAGCTGCCCTTGTGAGAGATGAACTGAAAAAAGACGTCGATCTCGAAAATCAATGGCGCGCTAAAAAGCTGAAAATGAAAAAGCGCAATGAGATGATGGAATCACTTTGGTCTGAGATTAGCATTAAGAATAGAGAATTGATGGCTGCCCTTACCGCAAGACCATACGTATCGTCTCATCAAGATTCTCCCGATGGGAGTACGCCGCATTTGACCTTGCATGATCCAAGTACTTATACTTCGGGTGACACCCAGCAAGACACGTCTGCTTACGCTGAGATTCCATTTCGGCATGCTTCTCCTGCGCCACACAATAATCTAGCGTACAGTAATTGGAATATGCATAACCAAAACGGCCATCAAATGGGTTTGGGGCCTGAAGATCACCACTTTGACTATGACAGCTCGCACCATTTGTTAAGCGGGCTGCAAAACATGATTTCTGAGGCCGAATATCAGGCAACGAATGTTAGTACATCGAAACTGTACACTACAGATCAGCTGGACAATTATTGGAGCCGTCAGACAGCTCCTGATTTTCTATCTCAGGGTGAAAATGCGAGCTGCGGGACGCAGCCGGCTCGTTTACCACTCTTATCTTCTAGCTCTATCTCAGAACCGCACCACGTTGCTTCCCATATGCGTATGCTCAGCAATGATTCATTCGGACCTTTATCAATGCCCCGTGAGGAAGACCTATCAGGGTTTGTGCAGACGCCACTTGTGCAGAGAGACGATGTCATATCGTTCGGCTCGGGATATAACAATGATCCTGCGACAAGAACGTCACCATTGTCTTTGCCAATGAAGGAAGAAATCGGTAAAGACAGCTTGTTTGGTACAAATCATTTTAACAATATATGGAATAATTCCTCCGCTGTGGAATCTCCAACGGTTGAGAAACTTCAAACACCGAAGTCTCAGCATAATAGGAGCAACAGCCGGGGAAGCTGGGGACTGCCGCACTTTATGCAAAAATCTCCCAAATCTACTCAAGGTAACAACAGCACAGCTCCCTCAACCAGCGAAAGTAAAGACCGAGAAACACACGGGGGCGAACGACGCGTGTCTAAGCTACTCACAAAGAGCGGGATGAATCACCTTTTCAGATCTCCGACTCACGAGACGCCATGAGATGGTACCAAAATTTTGTAGCGGATTGTTTGCGTAACATCGTAAATGTTTATGTACTCTTATTTGTTTCTTACTTTTAAAGTCCATGACCACGACTGGCACCATTCTTAACCATAGAGACCGGCTCTACAGCCCTAACTGCTTCTGTAATTGCATTTTGCGCCTTTCCACCAACCATCTCTCCATTTCCTTCTGATCCGGCACATAATCGAAACTCGGTATGGTGATTTCTGGCTTTTTAATGACATCCTGGCCTCCTAGGTCAGATCTGTAGTTTAACGTCCATTCTTCCTCGTATTGAGAAAGTGCCGATTCTTCTTCTGGGTCTGAGGTCAACAAGTCGACGACCGTTTCACGGTTTATGCTAAGAGGAAGTTTAAAGTTTTTACCTTCATTTGGCAAGAATCCATAGTAATCTGGTCCAAGCGTCTTTTCCCAGGTTTTTATTTTGCTCTGTAGGGCATGCTGGCGTTGACGGGTGCTTTGGAGTTTGGTGCGACGTTCGGAGTCAGCTTTAGCGAGTTCTTGAACCTCTGACAGTTCTAGCGCGCGTCCAAAATATCGACGACCCTTCAACATAGTCCCCGTGAACTTGAAAGTTTTGTCACGAGTAAAGTCAGGGCCCTTCAAAGCATTTCGGATATGACGCTCCCAACGGCTTTTTTCTGAAAATAGGTTGTTCAGTTCGTCATTTAATTCTCTAAGCTGTATTTCATTCAAAGAAGGATCATGCATTCGTGTGAGTTTGGAATTGATATCTTGTATTACTTGACGACGCCATTGTTGGGCTTCTTGAGAGTCCTTGATAGATGTGATACTTGTTGGTCGTTTGAACCTCGAATAGTCCTTGTAGCCACCGGATTTTTCCGCTTCAAGCTCTTGGAAACGCACAAGCACTGAGTTCGCTTTGTCGACGTTTCTACTCATTGTGATTGAGATATCTTCGGCACTTACAGTAATGAACGATCAACGCGATGACATTTAGACGATTCCATCTGTTATAAGAGCTTATTTCTAGATTTTTTACGCATTGTAGAATATAGACACATGTCACATGTCATTTAGGCTGACATTTAATATGATGAGCTGGCTACCTTGATTAGAACGACGAGCTCCAGCGTATGATGCTCAAGTGGTCATAGTTTTCGATTTATCAAGTCGTTCTGCGTATATCTTTTTTTTCTAGTAGTATTCGATTTCGAGCTTGCATCTCTGATGCGCCAATGATGAGGCATGTTAAGTTCGTTGCTGTACTTTGTACGTGGCTTTTACAACGATTAAGGTCAATGTTTAACAAGAGATTGGATAGTAATGGAGATGAAGAGACGGTTGTTTTAAAACCGGGAATGTGATGTGCTAGTAGAAAGGGTTGATTATGAAAAAAGTATAAAACTAAAGGACCTGAGGAGTTGGAATCGAACTGTGTGTGAAAGCATAAATGACTTTCTCACTTTTGAACCAATTCGTGACTGAAAATGCTCTCCGAAACCTCGCTAAGCTTCCTTTTTGCGGTGTATAGAGCCAGCTTCGGGGTGATAATTTAACGTTACTTGTCGAGGCGACAGATGACAATATAGTACAAAGTGATATCAGAAATTAGAGACGGTTCGAAACTATTACCAACGACCGTTATCTTTTTGATGATGACTTCCCGACTGCCCACATAGCTATAGTTAGAGGAAAATGTCAGAAAGTTTTTCCATGATATGACTGCCTACGTTTTTGTGAATTAAAAATGAATTTGTTTCACATCAATACACCACTAAGATTTATATATTATATACGAAAGTCTAGTCTGATTTCAGCGCGGCGAAGCTTTTCGTAATACTCTTGGCCGTTGGTGACTTTCCGACACTAAGGACATTTTATCTTGTTTAGTTGTCTCATTTATGTGATCTTACTCTAGAAAATATACAAAACAGCGATACACTAGAACGACCCTTTTGATAGAATTCTGTTGATTGATAAATTCCACTAAATCGTCGAGGCTTGTTGTTTTCATTTCCCAAGATCTATAAACTATTTCCATTAGCTTTTATCCTCTCTAGTCGACGTGGTAGTCGTTCGTGTCAATGTAGCGTAGTATTATATCAAACGGGCGTGGATTTAATGATGCCACACGGCACTCGTAACAAAATAGAATTTCAAGAGCAATGCACTCTATGGCTAGTAGGAGTGTTGTAAAACAGAAACTCAGGCCAATATGATCTTGAAGATCGGGCGTGGGGTCATGTGACCGACGACAGAAACATCTGGCACTAACCCGAAGATGACTTCTGTTTAAAGTCAAATACTCGAATGGGAATCAGCATTCCAACATGAAAAGGCGGTGTTTCGAGCCATTTCATCTAGCAAAAAAAATGCTCTGCTGAAAATTCCAGCTTTAGTGACAAAAACTCGCTCAAAAGCCCACAAAGTGCAAGAGGAATTTAACATCTCAAAGCGACCCAAGCTTGCCCTCTCTCCACACGCATGATTCGTACCTCCTGGTAACCTAGGAGAGAAAGAGCAATTCAAAAAGCCGGGAAGACCCTCGTATTCTAACAAATTTTCACTGAAATTAGAATGATTGCTAGAAGTAACGTTCCCTCACGGTTAGATCTGAAGACAAACTGCTCACCGCTAAAGGCGAGCTGAGGAAAAGTAAAGAAAATGCGGCGAGGAACTTCTTCAGGGGAAGGGGTCCTGTCGAGTTTTGTGCATTGGTGTCACACCATCGAAAAAAGTTCGAACGGTTTACGCTTAGTCCAGCAACTGAAGATGCATTGCAGGTGCGAGAAAACGCAATGACCTGCATTAGCCGTACTCGCGGTCCTATTATGGAGCTATCCAAGAGTGAGGCTCAGTACAGTAAGAATCGCCGCTTCAGTAGATCTTCGTCGTAATTGTATTTTGTTCAACACCGGATTGGATGTCTAGAGGCTGTGCATGTTACTTTGACGCGCAATTACACATGAACTCAAAAGAAATATCCACGAGACCCTTTTTACTGTAGTTTTGTTCGTACTCCCGTTCAGGCAAAGTTGAAGTGCATTTGTGGAAAAACGTTGGTTATTCTTTGGTAAACCAGAGAAAAATACGGTTTCACCCTGCGACAGCCGTACCTTCCGCTATTCTTACCAGTTTTGCACCTCGTAAGTGCTAAATTGACTAGGGTTCCCCGGAAAATTTCCTCCTTCCCCGGATAAATTTTTTTTCGACATACGTCATATGCACGCACGGAACAAAAGCTGCAGGCTTCCGGAAAAAATCGACCAAGGTTTTTCCGTGAGATCCCAAGTTGCGTGATACTGTGACCTTTTGGGCCAACAGAATTCACCACCGTTGGGGAAATGTGCAACACTCTGTCCACGTATAGCCTTCAGTCACTCTTAAGTCGATGTCATTCTTTCTCCAGATCCGTGATCTACTGGCAAACTCTCCAATGACGACTGAAACTGTTGGCAAAACGTTTTCCCCATCGCAGGCTTTTCTGCGCTGGTAGTCTTGTTCTCCATGCCTCCTGTTGTCTCTCTGGTGCTTGGTATGAGGTTTACGAATAAGCCGTTCGAGGTAACCCAACAGTCAGCTCGCATGTTGATCAAATTTACAACTTTGGCAAGAACAATTCTGGTCGAGCAAACTGCGGCGGACGCGTGGGAAAGTCATAAGGATCTTTTACCATGACTGAAAACGAGGCTCGCAGAAGTTATAAAAGCGGGGAAGAAACCCCCAAAGACAACGAATCTGGAGTTGAATCTGGTTCTGTTCATTCCTGGAGATCAGATTCAAAATCCAATACTTACTCGTGTATCACGATCATGAAACTTCTAACCACTGGTATGGCGGCACTTGCCGTCGCCGTTGGCGTCAAGGCGTACAATTCGTCTCTGGACATCAGCTCGAACGCTACAGCTATGAATTCTTCCGTGGGCAACGAACCCGGTCGCCCACTCATTCATCTCACGCCCAACGTGGGCTGGATGAACGACCCCAACGGGTTGTTTTACGACGAGGAAACGTCTGTGTGGCACACTTACTACCAGTTTAATCCAAACGACAACGTCTGGGGTCTTCCTTTGTACTGGGGACATGCTTCCTCAAAGGATTTGATTAACTGGGAAAATCACGGCGTCGCTATTGAACCTGAAAATGACAAAAATGGAGCCTTTTCTGGATCCATTGTCGTCGACCGCAACAACACCTCTGGTTTCTTCGACAACTCGACCGCTCCCGGCCAAAGAATCGTCGCCTTGTACACTGAGCAGAGCACCGTGGGTGAGTCGCAATACGCTGCGTACTCTCTTGATGGAGGCTACTCGTTCCAGTATTACGAGCAAAACCCAGTCTTGGATATCAACTCTACTCAATTTAGAGACCCCAAGGTATTCTGGCACGACGAAACCGAGCGCTGGATCATGACTTTGGCTCTATCGCAAGAATACAAAATTCAAATCTACACCTCTGAAAACTTGAAGTCGTGGGAACTCCAATCCAACTTCTCTCACCATGGTATTCTCGGCTACCAGTACGAATGCCCAGGTTTGGCCAAGGTGCCCGTTGTCCATGACAGTCCATCGAACGTCACCGTGTCCAACAACAACTTGACCACCGTGGACCACAAATGGGTAATGTTCCTCAGTATCAACCCTGGCGCTCCTATGGGTGGTTCTTTCAACGAATACTTCATTGGTGATTTCGACGGTAAGACATTCACGGCCGACGACGCTGCCACTCGTGTGGTCGACATGGGCAAAGACTTTTACGCCATGCAGACTTTCTCAGACGCTCCTAATGGCGACGTCATTGGTCTAGCATGGGCCTCCAACTGGGACTATTCGGCTTATGTGCCAACTGAAGTCTGGAGATCATCGATGTCTCTCGCTCGTAACTTGACCTTGCGTCCTAACAGCCCTAACCCAGAAACCACACAATTGGCCTTGTACAGCGAGCCTTTGATTGACTACAGCGCATTGAGCACCAACCAGTCCATGCGCAAGACTTCGTTGGAATTGAGCTCGGAGGAAACCGTCACTTACCGTCTGGCGAAGGCTGCCGAGGGTCTACTAGAGTTCTCCCTAGAGTGGAAAGTAAACTCATCCGCTTTGCCCTCTAAGCACGAATTTGCTGACATGTCCATTTACTTGAGAGGTGTTGAAGATGACGACGAATATTTGAGATTGGGATACGAGGTCAATGCGGCTGCGTTTTTCCTTGACAGAGGCAACTCTGAAGAGGACTTTGTCAACTCCAACCCACTCTTCACCACCAGACTTGCACACTTCATTGAAATCTTCAGAGTCGCCGAAGATGGGTTGCCTATCTACAAAGTCCGTGGTATTATTGACAGAAACATCATAGAGCTGTTCATCAATGACGGATCCTTGACTTCAACCAACTTGTTTTTCTTGAGCGAGGAGAACTACTTGGGAATCGTTGAGCTATCTTCCAATGTTGACGATGTCTTCACTATTTTGAACTTCGAAGTCAAGCAACTAGGTCTCAAGGACGAGTAGGGTGCCCCGAAACTTACGATTTGTCTGAATGCTGACCGCGTTTAAAGGTTCATACCCAATTAGCATGCAATCTCTACCGTATGTAGATAGCTCCTTATGAAATTGATGACCGAATACCACTTTATCAGAACTCTGTGCTCTTGTAAAAGTGTAGAAGATCAGGTAGCGCGCCAGCAACGGAGATCGCGTGTATAGATGATTAGTTTTGCTGCTCGAAACTCATGACATTTAATACAGCCCAATTACGTTTACTATTTTATCAATTGTATTCACAGGGTTCGAAACACCTGGTAATTGAATAGTCGCTACAACACTGTGGATTTGGTGTTAGATGTCGATTATCTGTAAGCTTGCAGTCACTACAATGCATGGTGCCAAATATCAGTTATGGCTTTACGACAGAATAGTATGAAGTGCTAATATAGAGTAAAAGGCACCAAATAAAAACCTAGCTAGTCACCAGAGTCACAACGAATGCCAGAAGAAGCCCGAATAGCATTCAAAGATCAATATTTGCTAAGTCTATAACCTATCCGAAGGGTTAACAAGTCCGCTCGATAGCCCGAGGCACCCGTAAAACAGTAAGTTCTCTGAAATATATTTTACTAGTGGTTTGAAATCGTGAGAACGGCACCGATCGATGATTTCTGAAATCATTCTCCGAATGAAACAATCTCACAAGAAGAGCTTTTTGCCAGCTGTATCTTTTTCAGCTTTTTCAACCATCACGCCTCGAGAACTTATGTACTATAATGTGCTTGAATATATAAACAGAGAAACGCAAAAAAGGACTTCCATTCATTATTTGGCTGCAGATTACTGTCACAACTTGAGATCCATGCGGTTTAATGACTATTGAATTTAATAAATATCTCAAATTACCGGGAGCTTCGTGAAGCCCAAAATATATTCAAAAATCAGCGATATAATTTGCGTATTCTCTTGCTGGTATGACTAGCGCTTCCAAATATTCAAGTTTCAACATGGGAGCGTGAACTGTCTTCTTACTTCTCGATCTCATTGACCAACTATATACTCATCTGATACGAAAGGTAAAATAATTTCGACATCTAAAAATCGACGTTTTGAACAGTACGCGTAAGAACTGCTTGACACCGTGTCGAACACTCTGTGTCTTAAAAAAAGCTCATTCGCATCTCTACAGATTCAATAACAATCTTGCTGCTCGATCTCGACTAGTTGACTAACGCTTCAGACAAGATTATTGCATTTGCTTTTCGTTGTTATCAAAATAAGTGTACGTTGAAGCCATGGCAGGGTTGGGCGCCGTTGTGCGTAATTACAGGTTTGTGATTGGATCGCTCACCGCAATCATGTTGATATTACTTCTGAGATCTTCTTCTGGCTCTTCAGGAGCTCTTCAAATATCGTCAAATAATGAAGATGAAACGCTGAGCACTCTTCCCATTGACTCTAACCCTGGCTATATCGACGATCTCAGCTCGAGCGAGAAAAATCCCGCTGTTGCAGACGCTGTCAAGGAAGGTCTAAAGCAGTCGTCTGGAAACACATACTCGACGTCGGCCAAGTGCGACAAAGACCACCAATATGTTATAATGATAGACGCCGGTTCGCAGGGCTCGCGTGTTCACGTCTATGAATTCGATGTATGCACAAAGCCTCCTACCCTGGTTCACGAAACGTTCCACGCCATCAAACCCGGGCTTTCATGGTACGACAATGATGACGTGGGCGCTGCTAAATCTTTGGATGAGCTGCTGGACAAAGCTCTGGAAGTTATTCCCAAAGACAAACACAGCTGCTCGCCTGTGGCCGTCAAAGCCACTGCTGGCTTAAGAAAATTGGGCAAGGCGAAATCTGACAAGATTTTGGAAGCCGTGAAAAACCATTTGGAAAACGACTACCCATTCCCGTTGGTGAAAAAAGATGGTGTTGTCGTGATGAGCGGAGAGGAAGAAGGTGTATACGCCTGGATCACGGCTAATTTCCTGCTAGGAAATATTGGTGCAGGCAATAAGCTACCGACGGCTGCAACATTCGACCTCGGAGGTGGCTCTACCCAGATTGTGTTCGAACCTAGCTTCCCTCCCAATGAGAAGATGACCGAGGGCGAGCACAAGTATACACTGGACTTTGCAGACCACACTTACACTCTATACCAGTATTCTCATCTTGGCTATGGTTTGATGGAGGCCAGAAATAAGGTTAATGCCTTGCTGGTGGAAACTGCGTTGAAAGAAGGACGTATTGCTGGACATGAAAAAGCCATCACACTCACGTCGCCATGTCTAGCTCCGGGCAGCGTTGCTTCTGACGTCAAAGTGCAAACGACAGATGACGAAATATACTCGATTACTTTCGAGGGCCCCGTGACAGCTGCAGGCGCTCAATGCCGTTCTCTGACCGACGCCGTGTTGAAAAAGGACGCTGTCTGTGCTTCTCCACCCTGTTCTTTCAATGGTGTCCACCAGCCATCGTTGGTGAGAACTTTCAAAGAAACAAATGACCTGTATATTTTCTCTTACTTTTTCGAGAAGACCCATCCTCTGGGCTTGCCACGCTCCTTCACACTTCAAGAGCTTGCTGATTTGGCCCGTATGGTCTGTAGTGGCGAGGAAGTATGGGGAAGTGTATTCAGTGGAATCGAAGGTTCGCTCCCTCAACTCAAGAAGGAACCACAGTGGTGTCTCGACCTGACATTCCAGGTCTCTCTGCTACACACAGGCTATGATATTCCTCTCTACCGTGAGCTCAAGACCGCGGAGAAGCTTGCCGACAGTGAGCTGGTGTGGTGTCTGGGTGCTTCGCTACCTCTACTAGATGGCAAGGACTGGACTTGCAAGATATCGAAAGAGTAGAGAGATGATCTCAAGAATTTTCCAAGTATCTAAAGCTCATCACATCGTAACTAGTCAGTGTATATATCGCGCTTTATATCACAGTGCCAAGCTCTTCGATCAACAATTCAGTGGTGATGAGCTTCGTGATAGGTGATCTAGAGTCTTAAGTTTGATTTACTACAGAAAGGATACGAGCTTTCTAACATAAACGCATTAACGAAAGAATCAAAATCACGAAGAATACATCAAGGCAGGCGTTTCAGGACGTTCAATAGAGACTTAAGGAACTTTGGCGTGCTAGGCTAGAAAATATTGTTTTTGCAGCGTTTAAAAAATCCATTTTAGTGGCTTTAAACTGATATAAACGTGGTGCTTCAAAAGGCACACCTTGCGGAACCCTTTTATCAAAACTAGTGAATCCAAGATTGTGTTCACTTGCCTCTCATTCTCGAGGATTAGCTGGCTCTAGAAGTAAGTAAAGGCCAAGACTCTCATTATTTTGTTGAACTATACCAGAAAGAACTGAAAAATCAAGAATGGGCAAAGACGTGGACTCACCGACATCTTCGCCTCTGTCGAGAGAACTTTCGCCCCTGTCACGCACCCTGACTGAGAGCACGGGCAAGACGTCTGCAAAATCGGACTTGAGGGACAAAAAAGAGGTCAAAAACAAGAGCAAACGCTCGAAAAGCGTGTCGCACTTGGCAGACCGCAACAGAATCTTGGGCAGCAGAATGACTCCACTCAATGCCGAAGAGCCTCCAGTGTCAGTTCCTGCTGTGATTGATTCGGGCGATGATGAGCCTGGCGAGGCCGATGCTGCCGAAAAGGTGTTCAGACGGCTCTCTGTGGGTTCAAACGATATGAGACGCGCAACATCCCATGCGCAGCTCTCCTCGACAGCACACGGCATGCGTTTGCTATCTAAAGATATCCAGAAGTCCATGGTGGTCTTAGAGGTTCGCAAACTGATGATCGTCACGAAAAAGCAAGACAGCTCGCTTGTGTATCTAACGCGAGAAATGGTTGAGTGGATTCTGGTCAACTATCCAAACATCGAGATCTACGTCGATGAGGCAGTTGAGAAGTCCAGTAAATTCGACACCCCGGGTATCATCAGAGACAGCAGGTGTGGGTCGCATAAAATCAAGTGTTGGACTCCAGAATTGGTGGCGAAAAAGGACGACTTCTTCGACCTGATCATCACACTGGGTGGTGATGGTACTGTGCTCTACGTTTCCTCGCTTTTCCAACGAAGCATCCCGCCTGTCATGTCGTTCTCCCTTGGCTCCTTGGGTTTCTTGACCAATTTTAACTATGAGAACTTCAGACAGTCGCTACCACGCGTTTTGAACTCTAAGATCAGAAGCAAGATGAGAATGAGGTTGTCTTGCCGCGTTTTCCGCAGGCGTAGACCCAACAAGGACGGCGCACGTTCCAAGAAGAAGTTTAGCATGATCGGAGAATACCATGTTCTCAACGAGCTTACCATAGACCGTGGCCCCAGCGCTTTTATCTCAATGCTGGAGGTGTTCGGTGATAACTCGCTGCTTACAGTCGCTCAGGCCGATGGCTTAATCATCGCAACACCTACAGGGTCAACTGCATACTCTCTGAGCGCTGGTGGGTCTCTGGTTTACCCAAGTGTGAACGCCATTGCCGTCACACCGATTTGCCCCCATACGTTGAGCTTCAGACCTATCATTTTGCCCGACAGCATGAAGCTCAAGGTTAAAGTTCCTCTGAACTCAAGATCAAGTGCATGGGCCGCTTTTGACGGGAAGAATCGCGTTGAACTGTTCAAAGGCGACTACATTTGTATCACGGCCAGTCCACACTCATTCCCTACGCTTGAAGCAAGCCCTACAGAGTTCATTGACAGCATAAGTAGGACATTGAACTGGAACGCCCGTGAGCCGCAGAAGAGCTTCGCTCATATGTTATCTCAGAAGAACCAGAAGAACTACGTTAGCGATACAGAGAAACAAAAACGAGATGAGCCCGAAGTACGTGCTCCGTCTGACGACGAAGAAGACGATGATTATTCTACAGACGCAGAGAGCACTCAGCACCGGCCCAGAGTCCTAGAGTATGCGAAAACGCCTAAGTTAAAGCCGAATTTTCAACTGTAGGAGTGATGAGCTCTCTCGTTTTTTTCGCGGATTTTGGCTTGACGACAGTATGCTATAGGCAAAAAATTTTCGCCGCATCGAGACAATGTAAGGATTCGAGTCGAAGTGTTGAACGAGAACCGCTAACATGGACCATGTTCTGAATTTCCATTACATTGCAAGAAGTATACGTGAATTTGGCGAATAGAGCTAAAATGATCGGGCTCAAATTCTCGCTCCTAAGCATTGTCAGTTTGCTGACCGTTGTCATCGAAGCTTCTTCCGATGATGACACTGTATACTGTAACTCGACAATTGGGGCCTGTCCCGATGACAAGCCATGCTGCTCACAATACGGAGTTTGCGGCAGTGGTGTTTACTGTTTGGGTGGTTGCAATCCCCGCTATTCTTACAATTTGAGTGCATGCATGCCTATGCCTATTTGTAAGGACTCTCAAACCGTCTTTAACAATTACAGCAGCCAGGTGAAAAACCAATACACTTACCTTGGAGACGCAGAAGCGAACGATTGGATCTACGAGGGTACCATTGCAGATTATGACGACGAAAATGCCCTTCTATTGACGATGCCTCAGTACTCCGACGGTGCCGTCCTGTCATCCACCAGATACATGTGGTACGGTAAAGTGAGCGCGCGGATGAAGTCGTCTCACTTGGGCGGTGTGGTGACTGCCTTTATTATGTTTTCTTCGGTGCAAGACGAAATCGATTATGAATTTATCGGTGACAATCTAACCAATGTGCAGACCAACTACTATTTCGAAGGTGATTTGAACTGGACCCATTCCAGCAATATTTCGACTTCCGATACCTTTGACAACTACCACGTTTACGAAATAGACTGGAAGGAGGATCATCTCGACTGGATCGTGGACGGCAAGATTGGAAGAACTTTATACAAAAATCACACTTACAACTCCTCGACCGGCCAATACGATTACCCACAAACGCCAGCGCGTGTCCAGCTGTCGATCTGGCCTGGTGGTTTGAACACCAGCTCATACTGGACTAAGCTATGGGCCGGTGGTGAGATTAACTGGACCGCGCCAGACATCGAAGATCCTGGTTACTACTACGCTACGGTTCAGAGTGTGAACATCACATGCTACGACCCACCTTCTGGCACGAAACAGAACGGCTCCAGGGCTTACAGGTACGTGAACAGCAAGAACTTCACACAGGCTGGCGTGGCTATCACCAACGACACAACTGTGATGGGCAGCTTGGACGACAGCGGTTTCAACCCAGAAAACGGTAAATCGTCATCGTCATCGTCATCGTCATCCAGCACTAGCTCTAGGTCTTTCACCACGCAAAGCAGAGCCTCTAAAAGCAGCAGCAAGGGCTCCTCCGAAACTAGCGCACAGTCCGGTCAGACCACAGGCACTTCGAGTTCCTCGCAGCAAACTGGATTCGTTCAAAACATGAAAAGTACCTCTGCGAGCGCTGGAGGGAGCTCTAGCAGCAGTGGAGGCGCCGGCTCCCTGGACATAAACGCCAATGGTCTAATGCATGCGTTCGTGGTGATCGCGGGGGCCGTTTTGGCACTTGTGTAGGAGGCTTTCTTTCAGAACATTTTATACATTTTTTCTAAGCATTTTGATACAGTAGAAAGCTTAAAGTGAAGCCCGAGTAAGAGAGACCGTTGCAAGAAAGGTGTCATTGAAATGCAGAGTAATGGAAGCGCTCTCTTTTCAACTTTCTCTTTTCAACTTTCTCTTCTCAGCCTTCTAGATTTCCATTTTGTTCATTATGGGACGAATCTATATTCATACTAATTACAGGCTATCTTAAAGTCCCAGGGCTAAAATAAATAATGTGTGCTGCGTGTGCGTAGGCGTAGGCGACGTGTGCTGAGCTCTATGCTGTGCTAGAGTAGCAGCGGATCATAGTGGTGAAGAAAATAATAGTAATAATAATAATATAGTCAAAAGCGTCGTTTCTCGTCATACCGGAAAGACCCAGAGAGACCTGTTTTTTTCTTTATTTGCAGGCCTTGACCATGTAGGTGATCAAATCGTTTCTGTCCTTCTCCTTCTTCAAACCACCAAAGGCCATCTTGGTGCCTGGAATGTACTTCTTAGGGTTTTCCAAGTAGTCAGACATGTTCTGTTCAGTCCACTCGACGTTTTTCTTGATGTTGGCATCGGTGTAAGAGTAACCTTCAGCCTTACCAGAGGTACGGCCGAAAACACCATGCAAGTTAGGACCAACCTTGTGAGGGCCACCTTGCTCAACGGTGTGGCATTGCATGCATCTAGTCTTGAAAAGGGTGGCACCTTTCTTCTCGGATCCTTTCTTGTATGGAGCTGGCATTTTGATGTGTATAAGTTGGTTAATTTATTACAGATTTCACTAGAACAAACAAAAATCGTAAAACTGCCTGCGAAGACACAACAACCACTCTCAATTTATAGCTCCAAAACTCGCCCGGAAACATCGGCATCAAATCTCATGCCAAAGTGCCAGCAAAAAGAAAACATACAAACAACTACTACTACGACTTCGCTACTGCGAGAATACACACAACGAGCCCGCTCCGGGCAATCCGAATTTGATGAAAAAACGACGATATTTCCGGCGCGATGATTCCGCCGCTGACTTCTTCAAAAAAAGCCTATACTGGGTGAAGCTCTAAGCGGACGCGGCAGATGAGCACGGCAGTAGTCAGGTACTGAATTTTTTTTTTTCGCAGATTTCGTGGAATCGCAGTTTAGGTCTCAAGGTTTTTGGACAGATGATGCGACCGTCTGATTGGCCAAAAAGATAATGAGCGAGCCGTGAACGAAGCCGTGAGCAGGCGAAAAGAGACGAAACGAAGTAATCCGTACTTGGTAATTACGGGCCTTGGTGCTGTTTTGGTTTCGGACAGCCAGTTGAGCTGATGTGAATGAATTTTTGGAAGCGGGGCGATGGGACTGATGGGCAAGAGAGATAGAGTTATTCTAGCTTAGTCGGTCGCGCGTTGCGTTTCGAGGTAACAATCATTTGGCGACGCGTTGTCGGTGCAAGCTGTGGTGACAGTTTCGGCCAATGCGAGAGGACAGCGTGGAATGTGGCCATTTTACACATATTATTTTTCGTCTCACTTTTCACTAAAGTGACGCTGACATAAGCCGCGCCAGAAAGTGTGGAAATGATATACGCGACAAGCTGGCGCGGGGCCACGTGATTGAGAGTTTGCTCTGCCGGGAAACGTTACAACGCAGTTTGGCTGTTAGGGGTCGCATTTAGGTTGATTTTGGAGGTGCTGAGGGCTTACTTGGAGGTAGCCTTTGAGTGCTGCAGTGTTAAAACCCAGTTTTCTCGGTTCGAAAGCTATGCTCTTGAAAAACCAAAAAAAAAAATATCAGAGTATCTGCAGAATCGGCAGCATCGACGGGAATGCTATCATTTGAGGCTCTGAGCTATGTGGCAAATTCGGCATATTTGAATTCGTAGATAGGTGGAAGATTTGCTGCCCACTTCACATCTTGGAAAGTATCGAAAAATCCTCTTCGGTTAGAGTATTGGTTTTTATGAACAAAGCTATCTGATCTCTTTCTGTAGCATTTAAACCAAATTATGGCCCTGAGTATGTTAAGGATTTCATGTTTCCAACTCTTCCAAGAGCTTTGGAAAACAGAGTAACGGTTTCAACATTCGATGAATTCAATTCAAGATCAAAAATTCACGGAAGCCCGAGAAAAACACTCAAACGTCACAAACACCACGTCGTGGTACCTGAATCCCCTCGTCCCTCACCCAGGGCCAACCCAGTGGCTGTTAAACACCCGGTCTCTCTCATATTAATCACTACAAACGAAATATGCTCATTTACTTGCAGATCTATAAGCTTTCAACGTCGATGTCGTCGTCCTCAAAGTCTCTTCAATCAAGCTTCAACTGCGATGACATTTTCAGCTCTTGTGCTAGACATCGAAGGGACCGTGTGTCCTATTTCATTCGTCAAAGAAACTTTATTTCCTTACTTCCTTCAAAAAGTGGATTCTCTGCCGCGTTCTGAAGATACTCACATTCAGTCACTATTGCAACAATTCAAGACTGACGATGTTGTAGATCAGATTCGCAGCTTGGTGTCTCGAGACGTGAAAGACCCGATTTTGAAAGAATTACAAGGACTAGTTTGGCAGCACGGATATGCTAGTGGTGAAATCACCGCACCCGTTTACGCCGATGCCGTCGATTTTATCGAGAAAACGGACAAACCAGTTTACATTTATTCCAGCGGGTCTGTTAAGGCTCAAAAACTGCTCTTCCAGTACGTCAAAAGCCAACAAGAAACCATTGATCTACGACCCAGAATTCAGAACTACTACGATATCAACACTTCCGGAATCAAAACCGATGCCGAATCTTACGTCAGAATTGCGAAGGATATCGGGCTTCCAGCTGGCGACATACTGTTTTTGAGTGACAATTCTTTGGAACTAAAGGCTGCTCAACATGCAGGATTCCAAGTGAGATTGGCCATCAGACCTGGTAATTTGCCGGTAGACGACCAAAGCAGATACAGTATTATTACAGATTTTAGCGTACTGTGAAAAAGTGCATTAACACTGCCATTAAAAAATATTATTTACACACTTCTATTCTCGAATAGAAGGGATACAAAACTGACTTTCATTCAATCCGCGTACTCACTGAAAAGCATGTTCGCGGCGACCTCTTCGTTTTTGTCGCATGCAAAGTAAACCTGAACAGCTAGAGTTCTTTCGAACCCCAGTTCACATAACCTTAAAATTGCAGCTTCATCTTGGGGCGTTAATTCGATGCTAGGGGGCGCTTGGCCTTCTTCGGCTCCCTCGCCGGCCATACCGCCCTCAAGTGCGCCTTCCAGATTCATGTCGCCTTCTTGTAGAGAACCACCCACGACCTCTAAAAGCATGCTGATAAACGTCTCGGGATTGCTCATGATTTGTTCGCGAAGTTCTGGATACCTGGTGCTCAAGCTTTCCAGTAGAGGTGCAAGCGCTTCTGGGTTCCCTGTTACGACTTGTCTGAGGGACATAAGGTCTTCCATTGTGAGGCCGATAGTTCCAGGCGCACGCTCGCTCTCAGCAGCCTCTGGACCACCGGTTGTGGCAGCTGCTTGTGCGAACAAGTCGTCTGCAGAGGGTTGCTGCTGCTCTTGAGCAGATTCCAGGGCAGAAGCTCCCTGGTTTACTTCTTGGGACTCTTCTGCAATATTGTGTTCTCCTGTCTCTGTTTGCGATTCAGATTGAGGTTGGGCCTGGGGTTGGGGTTGCTGTTGCAAGTGTTCTGGGATGCCCATCAAAAGGTACTCAACGGCCCTGTCTGGATTGTTGAAAGCGGCCCGGAGGGCTCTGTCTACCTGTTCGCGGTCGTAACCCATTTCCATGATCCGCTGTATGGTCTCGTTGCGTTGAGATCCGGTCACAAATCCCGTGTCATTCGCACGCGAGGTTTCAGCGACAGCACCCGCACCCGCACCTGCACTGCCAATGGATTCTTGCCCCGTGCTGGCTGTTTGCACGGACGTTTGAGCTGCCTCAGAGGCTTGAGCTGCGTCAGATGCCTGTGGCACGCTGGCAGCGGTCTGTCCGTGTTCTATGGGTGGTAGCGTGGTTTTTGTGGACGTGGATTTCTTCTTGGAGATCATAAAGATCACTTGGTCGCCGTCTTTGAGCTTGTATTCCTCAATGGTCCGGTCATCCTGGAGAATCTTCCCGGAATAGATGAGTTTTATCTGTGAATCTTCACAGTCTTTGTTTTCGGCTAGTTTCTGCTTCGCGGCACCGATCGTGACGCTTGGTTCGAACTCCAAAGCCAGAACTTGTTTTTTAAAATCCTTGAAGTTGATTTTGACCATCGATAGATGTGGTTAATGGAGTGGTGCGTGGGAATCCTTTGTTAGGTGAAGTGACGAGTGTTTGTGAGATGCGATGAGGGTTTGATTCATTTTATTTGCCACCAGCTTAGGAAAAAGCGGATCACGTGATATAATTACTAAATTGATTTGGGATATGACAGAGACCCTGGCGAGACAAGATAGGTTTGTTTTAGCCCGGAGTTTTTGGTTTAGGGTGTGTTCCCGTGTGTGTGTGGATCGTAGGGGTCAATTTGAATATCTGTACTTTGCCTTTGGGAAAGACGTCTTTGCTGATTCCATTTCTGTTAAAAAAATAAAAATCAAAACTTACCGAAAAACCAGACTTTGATCGAGGCAAATGGTCCAGATAATTGGGAAATTAAGCTGATTTAGTGCTTTGATTGTTGCTGAATTTGAGCTGTTGAAAGTGCTGGTTTCATTTTAATTCTTTCTAATTTACTGTTTTTTCGTGTGCAATTCCGAAATTCAGTGGCAAGTCCAGCCCTTGGTTTACAACTCAGATCTTGAAACTCAAACAACATGCCAATTACATATAAAAGTAGTGCCTCTCATTACGCACTCTTTAATACTTCTCAAACACACCGTCTTGAATTGAGCAGTCCATATCACTCTGTACCATTCTGTCACATTTTGAATATTTCTCAGACGCTCTGTCGCTCTTACTGGACAGCGTTCAGCTTTAGTGACAAAACAAACTAACTACATGCGTCACGCTTACTATGTTATTGCTGCTTGAAATCAAGTAGGCGCCCCAAGCGCGTCCTCGCTGTGTAGCACTAGCGTGCGCCTTTCCAAAAAAAAATTTTGGCGTCTGCGACGTAACTGGATTCTATATTATTGATACAATTTCGGAGGTTTAGAAGAAATGCAAAGGAATGGAAAATAAGATAACGAAAACCAAAAAATGCCACGGCGCTGCTCAGTTATCTGGATCGAACTCAAGCTGCTCGACATCATCGGGGTTCTTTTTGGGTTTTTTAGACCCAGCTTCTTTGTCTTCAGCAGGCTCATTACCGTCCGCGACCTTCTCCTTTTCGGCCTTGGAGTCATCGTTATTGGTATCGTCGCCCTTGGAGTCCTGGTTTTGGCCCTTTTCAGTGGTATCTTCCTCGTCTTTCTTTCCACCTTCGGCCTCAGCGCCCTGTTTGCCTTTATCCTCTTGCGCTTTTTCGGCCACTTCATCGGCGTAATCGTCATCGATACCGTCCCAGTCGACGGTAACGTGACGGTTGAGGGAGCCCGGATCGACATTCTTCAAAACTTGAAGCCTTTCCATCTCCCATTCGTCTCGAACGTCGTCGAAAGCCACTTGCCAAACGCGATCGTAAAATTCGCGAATCTTGTTTTCTTCAATTTTACGTTTCTCTTCTTCGGCCATCCAGGCCATATGTTTGAGATCGTCGGTGGAAGGTTCGTAAATGTGCCAAATCACATAGTGCGGCAGCCCGATGACACTGTACCCGAGTCTACGCGACAATTTCCCAAACGCTTCGGTTTCAGCATGTTTTTCGAACGAAAAAGCCGGGAAGTGCGAACCCGCGCGGAAAACTTTGGCTTTGCTCAAGATGGACACACCTCCGATACCGTCTAGTTCCATCTCGTCTTCAGGGTTGCCCGAGGGGTCCCGCATGTAAGCCAAATGCGTACGCCACGTAGCATACTCAGGGTAGCCCTCGACAATGACGGCGTCCTCGTCGAGCGAATCGGCCAATTGCAGGCCACCTTCGGACTCTTGCCACGAGTTGAGATCGTAGGGCTGGATGTTGCCCAGCCAGTCCGGCAAGGGACGCCACACGTTGGGCACGATCACGTCCTTGTCGTGGTGCATGAGGTCTTCCAAGATGGTGCGAGGGATGGTTTGCACGTCCACATCACGCCAGTACACCCACGAGTGGTAAGGTTTGAGCGCTACGGATCCCAGCCAATTACGGGCCCGGCCCATCAGTTTCCGTCTGGGACCCTGTGCTGCAAACCCGTGGCGGTCCGAAAACGACTGGCCGATGATCTGGCCGAAATCCTTTTCGTAGATCTCGATGTTGCCGAACCGTTTGCTGCGGTCCGACTGCGATTGTGCTTTTTGCAAGTGGGCCAGCAACACGCCCATTGTGTCGTCCGAGCTGTCGCTGACCAAAAACGAGAGATCGATCAGATTGTGCGGATACGACGTCTGCGCCATGTGGTCGAAAAACATTGGCAAGTGCTCGGCTGCGTCCCTAAGCGGCACCGTGAACAGCACGCGGTCTCCACGCTGCCACCCGTCTGGTTTCCCGTTGTAGTTTCGCAGGTCGTAGTACTGCACGTTTGGCACGTCTTCGAACGACGGCACGTAAGATTTGAAAACGATCACTGGCGGCCACGCACATCGCACAACAATGCTGCTGTTCCCGACCAGCAGCAGTCGAATCACCACGATCGCTGTGATCACAAGCCCGACCACCGACACCGACACCGACGACGACGAATGCTTCATGGGGGAAAACGAGCCAATTGCCAGCTGGAGAGAGAGGGAGATTGAGTGAGAAGTGCTGGTTTTTATAGCTTTTTGGGCTTTTGAAGAGAGGAGAGGTTGATGTTACGATTGTTGATGTGATTGGTATGTTGGTTATTTTTTTGTTAACGCGCGCGAAATGTGGTCGTGATGTACGGATGATTGATAGTGCGGGTAACAGAAGGGGAGAGTACGAGTACGAGTACTCGAGTACAATTGGATATAATCGAGAGCGACATTGATCGATTGTGAAAACTACGTAGAGGATTCCTACAACAACTGAACAATTGAGAGCGCTAGCGAGCGATTGTGAAAAATTAAGGTAGCTTCAAGCACAACTGAAAATTGAGAGCATTAGCGATCAATTGTGGATAAGCATGATAGCTACAAACACAATTGATTGCGAAAACTTGTACTTCTATGAGTACTTCTGTGAGTACTTCTATAAGTACTTCTGTGAGTACTTCTGTGAGTACTATTATAGGCACGGCCATGAGAACTACCATAAGTACTATTATGACTACGACTACAAGTACGACCTGTGGGTACGACTGTAAGAATGGCGATGTGCCCCATGATGAATAGCATTATGAGTACTGAGTACTATTATGAGCGTTGCTATAAAAGCTACTATGAGTACTATTATAAGTTTTACTATGAATACAAGCAGGACTTTATGAATGAGTACCAGTGCAATCGTGAGCAGTCAATGGTGAACAATTGTGGAAGCTATAGGCACAATTGCATAATTGCACAATCGAGAGCGTCTGCGCTCATTGCCTAGAAAACAATTGAACTATCGAGAGCACTAGCGATAAACTGTAAATAACAAATAGCCACAAGCACAACTGACAATCATGAGCGCTTGCACTCTCAATTGCATGAGTTTTAATATAGTACCATCGCGAGTACTATTATAAGTACGATTACAAGCACAACTATGAGAACTATGAGAACGACTGTAATTATCACCATGAGTACTACTACGAGTACTATTAGGAGTACGGGTACAATGAAGCACAACTGACCAATTGAGAGCGTCAGCGATCGATTGTGAACAGCTACTAAGGCTACAAGTCCAATCGACAATCAAGAACGCCAGCGCTCGATTGTGAATAAGCAAAAAAACACTCTGTTCTTCGGTAGAGCACTCTCTATGCTATTGAAGTAGAGGCGCTGAGAAATCGAAAGCGGCAACGATCGATTGTACGACCACGGTTGCTTTCAGCACAATTGAACACTAGAGAGCAGAAGTTGTGAATGAACTATAATAACAAGCATACTCAAGCTTTAGCGCTCTCAATTGTGTGGGCACGAGTTATTTTTACTACTGTGAGTACTACTATGAGTACTTTTGCGAGTGTCATTATAAGCACTATAAGTCTTGATTACAAGTATGTGTACGAATACAACCGTTAGCAGTCAGCTAGGAACACGTAGGTTGGTTCCAAGCACATCTGACCGAACTAGAGTATGCGTGATTTGTTCTGAACCAAGAAAAGCTATAAGTGCGATTGAACAATTAAGAGCCTTAGCGGTCGATTGACAATAATTAGCACACTCTTAGCACACTCTTAGCACACTCCTATTGAGGGTGACAGTATTATGTTCACGAGCAGTTCTTGATAATTGATAACGCAAGCGGTTGAATAAGTAGATAAAAAATATTGCTGAATCTGAATATCGATAAATCTGGGGATATCCAAATGTAAAATCTTAATGTATTCAAACAACCGAGTGTCAGAGCTTAATTGTGAATGAGTAGAAAACAATTGGTGAAGAAGTATTCACAGAAAATGTTCGCCAATCGAAAGCATCTCCGACCGATTGTATGAAGACGAATGTGAGCACTGATATGGGTGCAAATATGATCGTCAGCCATCAATATGAGCAGCACAAGTATGAGTACACGTACGAGTACAAGCGTTAGTGATCGGCTATGAACTATGACACAGCTGATCGCTTGCTCTGAAGTGGGTGACTGTAAGCTCTACCGGACCAGTCGTCGACTATGAATAACTATAGTGGCAACAATGTGTACGAGTAGCCTCGAGGAGCCGAGTTTTACAACGGGTATATTACGCGGTTCCTTGTGAACTTTTCGGCGTCAGTCAATCAAAAAACTCGTCAGACAGTCGTATGTCTCGAGGACCACACAGTGGAAGGAGCATTGAAAAAGGAAGGTCGCTTTTTGCCTAGCGTTTGACCGCTATCTTGTATGTATAAATCATTTTAACAGGATCATATATCTACTCGCAATGGCTACAAGATGGCCTGCAGTACAGGTGAACAAGCAGACAACTCGTAGTACACTAATTCAAGCTGGTTACGAGCATATAATGCTCTATTAATGAGCATTCCATCAACGAGCGCTAATTGAGTCAAGCAATGGAGAGCATCGTTACAAAGCTACCTCGTGAGTACGGGAGAGGGTATGAGGACTCACAGCATACATTTACGATGGGAATAATGCCTGCGCTTTGTCACAACACTGCGCTTTGTCACAACACTGCGCTTTCACACCTTCTCTTGTGACACTATTCTTCAATTTCTGAACTTTACTCTCAATCTGTTACACAGAAGAGATAATGAAAGTTTCCCATCGTCCCGTCGCCCCTTCAACTAGTACTAACTGCCACTGTCAAACGTTATACTTGCGGTATCTGTCCCAAACTACCGAAACAAGAATTTCCTAAATCCTATGGCAATGTTCGCATATGCGTCTGTTTGGTCCAGCTCTCCACTTGTCTGGGTACATCCTTCGTGTTACGAAGTATGTGAGCCATACCTCAAAGTGTTTCGCCCGAAAAACTTGCCATTGTCTCTCCTGGGCCTGCGGAGAGTGTATAGTACTAGTGGGAGACAGTAAAGATTGTGCATTAAGCATCAAATGCCTTGGTTTCCACACCTATAGTGTACGCTACTTCTTACCACGCAGATGGTTGTATTCTAGTGTAAAACAATCTTGCCCAAATCTTAGCCTGGTCGAATTGCTTCATGGTTAATGGCCACACTAACCAACTAATACGCTCATTCCTGCCAGAATCGAGCCTTTCAGTGCTCACCACACACAACTGACCACATTTCGTCCCGTTTCAACTCTCGAAATACCATTTCTCAAAGACCAACGATATTCTTGGGCCAGCGTAAAATTTACCGACAATTCTTGAACATAAACCTAGCATGATTGCCAACCACAGGGAATTGCTACATTTCAGCTAAACAGTCAACCAAGTTTCTGTTTCGAAGGCATCAACCGCTTTCTACACTTTCTTTCGAATTAGCCGCCGAGCCTTCGATTTTTTGTATATATAGAGACAGGGAGAAAGAGAAAGAGACTTTCGAAAAACAAACCTCTTTTCAACTCCCAAACCTACAAGAACAGATGTATCTACTGGGATGATAGTTTACAAGTCGACACTGTTGTGTTAGCCCGTTCATTGGGATTGCGTGGAATGAAGTTCAATTGTCCCAAAATTGTACCAAAAACTCTCGTCAGCAGTTGGTGAACGTCAGACAAAGCAGAACCGTTATTTTCCAGCATTTCGCGTCTAATGATGTCCCCAGTATGTGGCTACTACGGCAAACTATCGGGGTTTGTTATGAGTTTCGGCCTTCAGCTCGCCTCTCCGTCTACGAAACGGCCACTACTACATTCAAAGCCCTACTGACAAGAATAGTGGCTACCAAATAGCGGCCCTCCATCTACATTTGTCTACAATACTCCCTCCATGGTATGTCCGCGGCCCCATCGGGCGCACTAAAGTCTCATTTTGGGTGGCCCCCACGCTTTCTCCGATAACGCCGGTGCGATATGCTGGTCCCCCGTTAAAACGCAGCCTACGCCAGCGATACGCTTAGCGTAACCAACGCTCGTTCAAGCCCAAACTACCGAGTTTTTTGTGAGCTCCAAGCAAAGGCCCCTCTCACAGACTCCCATCCTGTTTAATGCGCCTCTATCGGTTGTGTTTTCGTCGTGTGCTCGTCTAGTCTCGTCTCGTCTCAACCCGCCGCCAACAACACACGTTAACGATTGAATACCTACCCACCCATTACCCGCACGGCTCCACGCGATTCTCCAGGGCTTCAAGCTTCCTGGGACGAACATCCGCAACATCAAAAACAGAAAAACAGGATCTGATGCCTTGAATGAAAATTTTTCAAAGACGAATCCGTGAGTATAAAAGGCACCAAGGCCTGGCATCGACGGGCGTGATTCCGCCCATTTGTTGAACTCTTGGACTTGAGTTTTTGATTCTCTTTTTGATAAAAAGAGCCAGACACACACACATACTTGTATTCCTTGACACAATGGCTGAAGAAGAACACACCTTTGAGACCGCCGATGCCGGTTCCTCTTTGACCTACCCAATGCAATGTTCCGCCTTGAGAAAGAACGGTTTCGTTTGCATCAAGGGCAGACCTTGCAAGATTGTGGACATGTCCACCTCCAAGACCGGTAAGCACGGTCACGCCAAGGTCCACTTGGTCGCCATTGACATCTTCACTGGCAAGAAGTTGGAAGATTTGTCTCCATCCACCCACAACATGGACGTTCCTAACGTCAAGAGAACCGAATTCCAATTGTTGGACATCGACGACGGCTACTTGTCTTTGATGACCATGGACGGTGACACCAAGGACGACGTCCGTGCCCCAGATGGCGAAATCGGTGAGCAGATCCAGGCTGGTTTCGAAGAAGGTAAGGACTTGATGGTTACCATCATCTCCGCCATGGGCGAAGAAGCCGCCATCTCCTGCAAGGAGGCCCCAAGATCCGACTAAACGCCTTCATAGGAAGCAGGGCGGTCTGATGTCGTTTTTTCATTGCAGCACCAGTCTTTATTCCAGAACTTTGTACCATGTATTTAAACGTTTAGTTAACATTTTGCCTTCGGGCAACAGGTAATTGACGGCAAGCACGACTGAGGGTCCGCAATGCAGAAAGGTCTAGTTAGAGAGAGAAGAATTGTTAGCGCAGACTGTGGCGGACTTTCATGATGTGTGTCTGTGAAAAAAGAGTATACTTTTTAAATTCAAACATCTTACTACGGGGTTGAGGGTTACGTCAATGTGTCTCGTCGATGAATTGACCTGTAGAAGACATGTCAGGATGCTTTGTGAGATACTTCAAATGACAAGAGAGGTCTGGGTTGGTTTGCTCTATTGAAATGTCATCGTCGAGAGCTTTCGTCTTTCACCAACGGCTAGAGTAGTTTCCCAAATCTTTTGACAGGCAGAATTCTGAGCTTGTCAGCTATGTCAACGAAGTTCAACGTTACTGGCCATAAACATGCTTTTTAGCATTTCTCTGAATAATTTAAGTGTAATCGAAGATAACTGCCATCTGTTTGTCGTCATAATGTCTCTATTTGAGTGCAGCGATGTCTTCATTTAGAAGATCCGCGGACAGCAGTTTTTGAATACTTGAAAGTGACCTGTTCTTGGATCGAGAGCTTCTTAAATTACGAGCGAGCTGCGAACACAACTAGATTAATTTCGTCTTGTTGGAAACGACATCTATTTCAGTGCTGTCCGCCGGATATCACGACTTTTCAGAAGAGCACGTAATGATTGATTAAATACAGAGACATCAGTAATTTTAAAACGTACCTCGTATTTGTGTTCGCATATTTTAGCAGTCAAAATTGCATAGTTCAATGTTTCAATGTACAGACATTTCGCTCTAATTGACGCCATCGAAGTTCGAGTACTTTTTCGAATAATAAATTTTGGTGACACTACATAGATCTTCGAGATGCTGGCATTACAGCTAAGTAGTCCACCATCAACGGCTCGACGTCACAATTGCTCGAAACAGTCTTACTACTTCGATGGTCCAGGGATCACTCTGTACCTTAATGTCACTTATTTCATACAGGGTGGATAATCAGCGTGAAGGTCTGATCTCATGTTCAGGTCTCTATGACGAAGCCATGGCCCCTACTAACACAAAGTTTAATCACCGGCAAAACTTTCTGTAAAATGATAGCTTAAGTAAAACACTGTTATTTCTCAACAAAATTGCCTGTCAGCTCTATTTTATATGACAGCTTATTTTACAATGTTCAGTCATTGGGTCCAAAACTCATCAAAAAACTGCCAAAAAAGTTCAAGTTCCCGAGTTTCTAACTGAAAATACCCACATTTTGCCCACGGTCTCAGCTAAAAGCCCTGACGACTCGAAACTCAGCTCGAAAACATTACTCATTAAGTTGTATTATGAAGGCTCAAAAGTTATCCAATTTGCACCCAACGAAATGCTATAAAACCAGAAAACTCTCAACAAACTAGCCAAAATTCCAATACCCTCATTGACCCAAGTGCCAATGCCCTTTTTGACCTTTAAGCTGGTAATTCACCGCTTCTAATACTCATTGATGTTGATTACCTTTTACGGCAAACAAATTAAGCTTTGGGAACTTTTCATGATTTGGATCTCAAACCTCTCGAAGACGTGAACTACAAGAAAGAACTAAGGACTGCCATTGAGTTGACCAAGAGTCTTCCAGCACTGATATCAAATGGATGCTATAAGAGAGACACCCGACGCGGTGTTTAGCGATAGAGTTCGTCGTTTTCAAGAGTTTTTGGACACTTTTACGGGCTACAAAGATGCCATAAGATCAATTCAGCTATACAACTTACCAGATGGGAAGACGGGATATGAACCAGACAAAAAAAATGACTTCAAAGAAAATAGACTCCCACAGCGAGTCACGGTGTCGCTGGACGACTTACGGGAGTTCGACCGCTCCTTCTGGGCTGGTATTCTCAACACGCCCGCACAATTCGTTCCAGCCGCAGAGCGAGCCGTGAGCGAGACTGCGATGACTCTGGAGGAATCCCCTGCAAGCGTGGGAGTCGCTGCAAATGTCGCAGCTGCACAGCAGTGGAAATTGTCTTTTCGAGGCTCCTTCGGTGCACATGCACTCTCACCAAGAACCCTGAACTCGCACCATCTCAACAAGCTACTGTCTGTTGAAGGTATTGTGACAAAAGTTTCCCTGGTAAGGCCCAAACTCCTGAGATCAGTTCACTACGCCGAGAAAACTGGCCGTTTCCATTACAGGGATTATAGAGACGCAACAACCAGCTTGACCACTCAAATTCCCACGCCAGCCATATACCCAACTGAGGATCCCGAGGGTAACAGACTCACAACAGAGTATGGTTATTCCACATATATCGACCACCAACGTATTACAGTGCAGGAAATGCCCGAAAAGGCACCTCCAGGTCAACTTCCTCGCTCCATCGATGTCATAATGGATGAAGATCTCGTCGACAAGACGAAACCGGGTGACAGAGTTAACATAGTAGGAATCTACAAGTCTCTGGGAGGTGGTGGTTTAAGTTCTGGCTCTGAACAGGGGGGATCGCTCTCAGGGTTCAAAACTATGATTTTGGCAAACACAGTGTATCCTCTACATGCCAGATCAACAGGTGTGGCTGCCAGACAGGCTCTATCCGATTCAGATATCAGAAACATCAACAAGCTGTGTAAGAGAGAAGATATCTTCGAGCTTTTATCGCAGTCCTTGGCGCCGTCGATCTACGGACACGACCACATCAAAAAGGCGATTTTGCTTATGCTGCTAGGTGGTGTAGAAAAAAACTTGGAAAATGGATCCCATTTGAGGGGTGATATCAACATTCTGATGGTTGGTGATCCTTCTACGGCCAAATCGCAGCTGTTGCGTTTTGTTTTGAACACAGCTTCCTTAGCTATAGCTACGACTGGTAGAGGTTCTTCGGGTGTTGGTTTAACTGCTGCTGTCACAATGGATCGAGAGACAGGTGAAAGAAGGCTAGAAGCAGGTGCCATGGTTTTGGCTGATCGAGGCATTGTTTGTATCGATGAGTTCGACAAAATGAGCGACGTCGATCGTGTTGCCATTCACGAAGTTATGGAGCAACAGACAGTTACAATTGCAAAGGCCGGTATCCATACTACTCTTAATGCACGTTGTAGTGTGATCGCCGCCGCCAATCCTGTATTTGGACAATACGATCTGAATAAGGATCCGCATTACAACATTGCACTCCCAGACTCTTTGTTGTCCAGATTTGATTTGCTGTTCGTGGTCACAGATGACATCAATGAAAATACCGACAGAGCTATCAGCGAGCACGTTTTGAGAACACATCGTTACTTGCCACCGGGCTACCTGGAAGGTGAGCCGATAAGAGAAGCTATCAACCTTTCTCTCTCTGTGGGCGAGGACGCAGTTGTAAATGATGACGATGAAGAGGATGACGATGACGAAAATAAAGTGTTCGAGAAGTTCAACCCTCTTTTGCACGCGGGTGCCAAGTTGGCTCGGAACAGGGGCAATCGCCAAGGTACTGAACTTCCTCAGATTGTTTCCATTCCATTTTTAAGGAAATACGTCCAATACACCAAAGAAAGAGTTGTGCCAACGTTGACTCATGAGGCGACAAGTTTAATCGTGAAGACATACTCGGAACTCAGGAATGATCAGAATACCAAAAAATCTCCAATCACTCCAAGAACCTTAGAAACCCTTATCAGATTAGCGTCATCGCATGCAAAGGTGAGACTCTCGAAAACAGTCGACCGTAAAGATGCTCGTGTTGCCGCGCAGCTACTAAAGTTTGCGCTTTTGGGAGAAGAAGACTTTGGCCCTGATCTCGATGCAGGTGACGATACACACAGATCGCCAACCAAGTCACCTCGCAAGAAACAACGAGTGCGGAATTTGGGCCCTGGTATGAGTCCAATTCACTCGTCACCCACAAAAGCGCCCTTTCCAAGTACTAGTACTCCCACGAGAGGTGGGAATGCCAGAAGGCGAAACATTTTCTCGGATACTGATACCGATGAGGAATATGCAGACCGGGACCCGGAGCAGGACGAGTTTATGGAGAACGATGTTTCTGATATGACTGCCCTACCGGAAGATCAGGAAAGCGACCTGCAGAGAAGACTCGAGAGCGGGCTTCGCGTTTCTCCACGCAGGAGACAGCAAGAGCAGTCCAGCACTGGCACAGGCGTTCCTGTGACGGAAGACGGCCGTCAGATCCTATCTCCAGCGGAGAATTTCCGCAGTAGGCCTGTTCTCGCACCAGAGCCACCGCAAGACGACCAAGAAATTGTTTCGAGTGAAGCAATGGAAGCTGGCTCCATCTCCACCAGCAGGCTGTCGCTATTTTCGAGTATTATGGCGCAATTAATGCAAACCGATCTTTTCGAGGACGAATCCTACCCTGTAGCGGCACTCCTGGAAAAGGTGAACGAAGAACTAGCTGAGGAAGATAAATTCTATCCACCGGAATATCTCGCCGGTCTCAAGGTTATGAGCGACAGAAATAACCTGATGGTGGCCGAGGAGAAAGTGTGGAGAGTCTAAACATACAAAACTCTGAGTTATTCCTAAAGAGTAAAGCAGGAATTCTACGTTTAATCCTGAGATGACAGCCTGACGTATGGCTGGGGGAGAACGTTCAAATCTGCGTCTAATCGGACGTTATAGGTCTTGGATAATGGTTCGTAAACAATGATCAAATTTCAACACGATATACATATATATATATATATTGAACTTCGGCGGCTACTAAAATGTACAAAGTTCCATAAACGTTCAAGCGAGCACGAAAATGCGTAAGTAACGCCCATTTGAGCTTCAATGAAGACCACTTTAATGTCTAGAAAGGCTGGGAGTATAATCTACCCTAATAAAGTTGAACTCTTGCGCGAGTTTGGATGCCATAATTCTCAGAAGTGCAAGATCCGCGCAGCCCATGATTCTTTGAGATACAAACTAACAAAATATCAGCTTCCATCAATTTGAAAGCTTGTAAGAACTCTTTTCCCCCTCGTCCCTGACCTACATGCCATCAAATGTCTCCTAAGTGCGAAATTCTTTAACGTTCTGGTGTATCGAGACAAATCGTTTCAGTGAGACAACAACATCAGAAAACGACTCGAAGGCGGGATAGGGTTTATCAAAACACTGTGCCACGTCGGTGCACTGATAATCGTGGTTTTACGAATCTGAGCGACGTGTACAGCACCATTTTCGAGATTTTCAGAAGATCTTGAAGCTCTCAAATGGTTTTAAGGCCAACAAGGAGCCTTTTCAGTCGTCCTAAATACTCAACAAATGGTCAGATGCCACAATTCCAATGCTGGGACACTCCTAGTACGACTACTACTACAAAATCTACCCTTGTCGATCCATACGACGTGTAATGTGATTTGCAATAGTGGCGAATATAAAACGATTGTCCAGCTTGGCCTCTTAACGAGATGGATATCCAAGATCCAACTGATCGAAGCATTCAAAATTTTGGAGGCATTTGACGGCAAGAAGGTAAGTTTTTCCGCTTGTGCTAATTTATCCAATAGTCTGAATCTTCAGTCTGCTCAAAGAAGCTCACAAATATCTTTTAAAACAGGGTAGTGAGGCTGAGATGAGTTCCCCAGTGGCGAGCCCACTTGTCAAGGACTCGAAACTTCTTTTCAAGAAGGACAAGCTTTTCAGGCCGTATGTGCTTCCTTTCATCCCGCTTTACGCCACTTTTGCTCACCTCTACTTCAAACAGTACGAAGTTTACATCAGAGGAGGCGAATGGACGTTCGTATACCTGGGAGGCCTGGTGTCGCTCAACATCCTGGTAATGCTGTTGCCTCAATGGAACGTCAACATTGCGAGTCGTTTCGACTACACTGACGCGTCCAGCTTCGAGCAAGCAACCCACCTTCTGATCCACACCTCACCCAACAACGGCGCGGACGACATCGTTGAGATCAAGCGTCTCGAGGAAGCCGGCCATTTGCAAGTCTTTTTCCAGTTCCAGAAAAAAAGGTTTTTGCTTGATACCAAAACTGGCTCTTTCACCACTCCTAAGTTTGTTGTGGACGAGTCACCCAAGCTTGAAGTTTTCCAAAATTCTAAGGGTTTGTCTGGCGATTTGGTCCATGCCAGAAGACTCTATGGCGAGAACTCATTTGACATCCCCGTACCTTCTTTTAGTGAGCTCTTCAAGGAGCACGCTGTGGCTCCGTTCTTTGTTTTCCAGATTTTCTGCGTCTGCCTGTGGTTGTTGGACGAATTGTGGTACTACTCGCTTTTCAACTTGTTCATGATCGTCGCTATGGAGGCGGCTAGCGTGTTCCAAAGATTGTCGACATTGAGAGAATTCAGAACAATGGCTGTGAAACCATACGCAATCAATGTGTTCCGCGATAACAAATGGCAGGAACTATCGACTACCGAGCTTCTACCTATGGATTTGGTATCCGTTACAAGAACGGCGGAAGACAGCGCACTACCATGCGATCTCATTCTTCTAGAAGGTTCATGTATCGTAAACGAAGCCATGCTCTCTGGTGAATCGACTCCTTTGCTTAAGGAATCGATCAAATTGCGTCCACACGATGAAGAGCTGCAACTCGAAGGCCTAGACAAAAATTCCGTGCTACACGGGGGTACTAAAGCGTTGCAAGTTAATACACCAGAAAACCTCACGGATATGCCTATTCCTCCGGACAACGGTGCCCTAGCTGTTGTCACCAAGACTGGTTTCGAGACCTCCCAAGGATCTCTTGTCCGTGTGATGATTTACTCTGCGGAGCGTGTTTCTGTTGGTAATAAAGAAGCCCTGTACTTCATTTTATTCCTGTTGGTTTTCGCTATCGTTGCTTCTTGGTACGTTTGGACTGAAGGTACGAGAATGGGAAGAATCCAGTCTAAGTTAATTGTTGACTGTATTCTTATCATTACGTCTGTAGTGCCTCCTGAGTTGCCAATGGAACTCACAATGGCTGTCAACAATTCTCTGGCTGCTTTATCCAAATTTTATGTTTACTGTACCGAACCTTTCAGAATTCCACTAGCAGGAAGAATTGATGTTTGTTGCTTCGACAAAACTGGTACTCTGACTGGTGAAGACTTGGTTTTTGAAGGATTAGCTGGAATTACTGAAGAGCCAGTCAGCTCCGATTCTCTCTTTTCTGCCAACGAGGCATCTATTGATACAATCTTGGCCGTAGGTGCTGCCCATGCACTTGTGTTGCTTGATGATGGTGAAATCGTGGGTGATCCGATGGAAAAGGCCACTTTGAATGCGTTTGAGTGGAAAGTTGGTACTAAAGATACCACTAGCAAAGATAACATCGGTCAAATTGAAATTCTTCGTCGTTTCCAATTCTCCTCTGCTTTGAAGAGGTCGTCCTCTATTGCCAAGCACAAAAACAAGTTCTTTGTTGCTGTCAAGGGTGCTCCCGAAACAATTCGTGAAAGACTGACCTCGATTCCATCTAACTACGATAGCATTTACAAGCACTTTACTCGCTCAGGCTCCAGAGTTCTGGCATTGGCCTCTAAAGAGCTCAAAAGTTTGTCTAAGAAGCAAGTTGACAACCTGGACAGGAAAGATATGGAGGTCGACCTTGACTTTAGAGGGTTCTTGGTCTTCCAATGTCCTTTGAAAGAGGATGCGGCAGAAACCATCGAAATGCTTAACGAATCCTCTCATCGCTGCGTTATGATCACTGGTGATAACCCTCTTACCGCTGTTCATGTCGCCAAGGAGGTTGGAATTGTGGAACGCGAATGTCTTATTGTCGATGAACCTACCGATGGCTCCAAAGATGGTCTTGTTCTGAGAAACGTGAGTGAGACTGTTATGATTCCTTTCAATCCCGCGAGTGACAAGTTCGAGCACGCCGAGATTTTCGCACGTTATGACATTGCTTTGACTGGACACGCCTTGAACGCATTGAAGGAGCACAGACAATTAAGAGAAGTGATTCGCAATACCTGGGTCTACGCTCGTGTCTCCCCCACTCAAAAGGAATTCATACTGAACACTCTTAGAGATATGGGATACCAAACCTTGATGTGTGGTGACGGTACGAACGATGTCGGTGCCTTGAAACAAGCTCATGTCGGTATCGCGTTACTCAACGGTACGGAAGAAGGCTTGAAGAAGATGAACGATCAGCGTCGCATCGATACTGCCAAAATGCTTTACGAGAAACAATGTTCCTTTATGGAGAAATGGGGACAACCAACCCCTCCTGTACCCGAACCAATTGCTCATCTTTACCCACCAGGTCCATCGAATCCTAACTATTTGAAGGCTCTTGAAAAGAAAGGCATTACCGTTACTGAAGAGATGAGACTTATGGCAGCCGAAGCGGCCTCAAAACCTGTCGTGACCAAAAAAGCGGATGCTTCTCAACAGAAGGCCAGCGAATTGGCCGATATGGTTATGGGCTCTCTTGGCGAGGCCGATGGAGAAGATGCCCCCGCCCTGAAATTGGGAGATGCCTCTTGTGCTGCCCCTTTTACCTCTAAACTTGCCAATGTGTCAGCGGTCACCAATATCATTAGACAAGGCCGTTGTGCTTTGATCAATACTATTCAAATGTACAAAATTTTGGCTTTGAATTGTTTGATCAGTGCCTATTCGTTATCCGTCATTTACCTTGCAGGTGTTAAGTTTGGCGACGGTCAAGCCACTGCATCCGGTCTTTTGTTGTCAGTCTGTTTCCTCAGTATATCTCGTGGTAAACCATTGCAGAAACTGTCCAAGCTTAGACCACAGCCTGGAATTTTCAACACTTACATTATGGGTTCAATCTTGGGACAGTTTGCCGTTCACATTGTCACTTTGATCTACATCACTTTAGAGATCTACAAGATAGAACCTCGGGAACCACAGGTTGATCTTGAAAAGAAGTTTACTCCTTCCCTATTGAACACCGGTATCTTTATGATCCAATTAACTCAGCAAGTTTCTACCTTCGCCGTTAACTACCAAGGAGAGCCTTTCAGAGAAAGCATCAGAAGCAACAAGGGAATGTACTACGGTTTACTTGGGGTTGGTGGACTGGCTCTTGCTGGAGCTACCGAGTTTTCGCCGGAATTGAACGCTGCTATGAAATTTGTACCTATGGATGATCTTTTCAAAGCGAAGTTAACTGGAACACTTCTTGTCGACTTCTTTGGTAGTTGGGCTGTTGAGTTGGTTTTCAAGTACCTCTTTATGGACTCCAAAGCCGCTGACATAGCTCAGCGTGACTGATCACATCTAAGTTGCACCTACCAGCTCTGCTGAAGTTATAGTATTTGAGTTAGTTTTTGATAGAATCTGTTTATGTTCACCACCGTAAAAAGGACAAGCGCATTCAGAATCTTTCAGTAGAAAGGCCAAGCATTGATCTATGCTCAAATACGACTTGCACTTGCGAGCGCGCCCGGAGACTCAGAGAGTCTTGATTTTTATTTGCCCAACGAAAACGAACATTTTATGTTATCAGAGATTCTCTCCGACGTGATCTATATGTGCTCTAAAATACATGAATCAAATCGAAGACCTGCCAAACTATCTGGAGAACTGGTGACAAAAAGAATTCTTGAAAGAGCCTCAAGTGACAACCTCTTACGCATGAGGCGTCGCATATGCTGAAATTATATATCCTTCAGCACAACTGACACCTGCCAATGACGCCTCTTTCAAGACGAATGCTTCATTCTCTCTACCAAAAGTGATTTATCGAGGTCGACCCATCTGTACACTTTTAGACTTCCTTCAGCTTCAACCATGTGAATACGATCTGGCAATAAATTTTGTAGTCGAGCCAAGACCTGATGTGTTTCACTCTCTCCGATTGGATTATTGCTATCACAAAGACTATCAATTATGAGCGACGTGAGGTGTGTTAAAGTGTAGGGTTTATCCTGAGGTAACGAAAATAGAATGTTGAAGATTTGGGAAGTTTTGACATCCAAAAACAGTTCATGCTGACGCTCTCTCTGAGAGAGCAATGCGGCTGCTCTTCGTTCCTTCTCTCGTATCCTCTCAAGCAGGGAAACATTTCCTGCATCCTGGGCGTCTTGTTTAAATAAAAACTTGTCTTTGGTATTCGAAAGATATCCTTTCGTTTTGTTCCTTTTCGGCTGACTGAATGAGCGCAGAGGAGCTGCGCTGTCAATTTTCATAGTGTCTTTATGACAGTCAGGACGATTGTCACTTCCTCGTCTTTTCCTGATGTTGAGAACTGGGACGTCGCAGGGAACTTCTGGATTTTGCACGGTGCTTAAAAACCACTGAGCTGCCCTCTCGGTGTACTCCAATTTCCGCGACTTATTTGACAAGTTATTCATAACGTCGCCAGACGGAGGTCGTAATGTCATTTCAAAGTTACTATTAAACCCCAAAGTGTAAGCCTCATGCCAGATAGTCATCATTCTCAAAAAGTCTTCTTGTGACACCTTACGCTTCAACATGTTAGATATTTGCGGCAGCAGCGTGCGTAGTTCTGGGGCCGATGTCAGCAGAGATCTGGAAATCGAATATAGCGACAAAACGGAATCAGTGACATTGAAAATGTTTTTGCAAAATTCGACCTTGTTCTTGAGAATTTCAATAGCGAAATCTCGAGGGTATAGTTTTTGAGCTACCTGCGGAAACTGCTGGATTTGATCGCTAAGGAAGAGGTTGAAAACCGTCTGATTGCCTAAGTTGGTTTGAAGGTCTGGGAAAATGGTGAGATGCATCGAATTTGCTGTTGAAAATTGGATCGGGTCGGTGATATGCGTATTATTCGAGTAGTGCGAGAGCAAGCTTCCGGTTTGAATTAAGATGCAATCAGGTTCATCTATTACTTGCCATCCATTGTTGATTTTATACTTAATTCCTCGAGCAGCGGGAAAAACAGAGATGATACCTGGAGAGCTATGAATCCTGTATTCATCGTCGTAGTCGAAGTTCAAGCCCAAAATCGACTTTGACATTGATTTATGAAATCTGATGACTTTTGCATAGCAGTTTTCGACGATCTCATCGAAAACTGCCGAAGGCGAGCTCGACTCTCCGACTGATGCCAAGGAGACTTTTGCGAAAAATGTAGCGACTCGAATAAGCCTTGAAGTTAGTTTTCCGACAGTCGTGTCTCGTAAGCCCAGACGACCTGGCTGTCCAACAAATTGTTCCACGCAAATTCCATTTTCCAGCCTTTCTGCACCTGAAAATCCTTGATCAAAGCCTTGTGAGACATCAGGTTCCTCATCCTTTAAGATCGATAGCAGCGCTTGGACCGCGTCCATGTTGGCATAGTTCTTCAATAGAAAAACGCTACGATAGCGCAAACAGTCCCGAATAATCGGTAAAAGTTCGTCTTCAGTAGTCACAACATCAAGATCAATGACTTTCAACATTCTAAATATCAATTGATGTGTCAAAGGTCTCTCATGTAGTCCAATATCCAAACTTCACTTGCTATTTCAATATTAGTTAAAGATTAGATGAGATGAGATCAGTTAATTAAAATAAAGGTTCTATAAACTTACACAACTTTTACTCTCAAAGCGCACTGCTGAATGGAACAAACCGCTAGCAATGACCAGGGAGCAGACTCCCTATCAAAGTACAAAAAGTATGAGATTCATGAAGGAATTGTATTTTGCATTGAGCTCTCGAAGGCAATGTTCGAGAAACCTGCAGATTTGGACAAAATTCAACTTATTGAGATCTTAGAGACTCTTCTAGAGCTTATGTCCCAGGTAATTATTACGCTGCCAGGTACAGGAATTGGATGCTTTTTCTATCATTGTAATCATGAAAATGCTCGCGAAAGCATTTACGAGTTCTTGCCTCTGCTGGACGTCAATGTAAGGGCAATGAAGAAACTCAACGATTTACTTGAAGACGTCAGAGCAGGGAACACCACGATTGAAAAAAAATTTCCGCTAGATCCTGATCAAGGATCTTCGTTAGAGACCGTTTTTGTGCTGCTGCAAGAACAATTTCTGCGGCAAGTGCCGGGCCAGAGGGCCTACAACAACAGGAAAATATTTCTATTCACCGACAACGACAAGCCTGAAGAAGCTAGCGATCCTGGAGCTCATCAGCGACTTCGAAAAGTGATTGACGATTTGGATGACTCGTATATTAACTTCACAACTTTCTTCATTGGTTCCGAACAGAAACCATTTGACCAAACCTTTTACAGTGACGTGCTGAAATTCGGCTCCAAGGAAAAGGTTCTTGATACAGGCTACACGTTTGACGGTCCAAGTACCGCTCCCATATCCGCCAACTGGATCAAAGCTCGTGCCTTGCGGAAAAAAGAGATCAAAAGAATTCGATTTCAATGTCCTTTTATTCTCGATGAAGCAACCGACTTTGTCGTATCCGTAAAGGGCTACACCGTTATATCGCACGAGAGGGCAGGAACCAAGTACAAGCAAGTATACGACAATAATGGCCTACGCAAAGAAGTCCGTTCGCGGCGCAAATATTTGAACGCCAATACTGGCGAAGACGTAACCAGCCAAACTGCTAAAGTTTACAAGTTTGCAGAAGTTGATATCGAGCTTTCCGATGAAGAACTTTCCAAAATCAGCAAAGACTTCTCGGAGCACCAGTCATTTTTAAAGCTGGTAGGGTTCAGAAGTTCGTCCAAATGTTTGTTTTTCCACAATACTATCTCGAGCAGTTCGTTTCTGGTCCCAGATGAGACGAAGTATGAGGGCTCGCTCAGAACTCTAGCATCCCTCCACCGAAGTCTCTCAAAAAAATTCAAATGTGCCATTGTGTGGGGCAAACTTAAGAGTAACTCTCACCCGTCTATATATGTCCTGAGTCCCTCTACTCCGCGGGATCAGAACGAAGGTTTTTACCTGACGAGGATACCATTTGCAGACGAGACAAGGAAATTCCCCTCTCTGCCAGAGTATGAAGGGATTTCCAGCGGCAAAGAATATGAGCAGATGTGCAAAATCTCAGAAACCTTGATTACTTACTTTAGTTTGCGCCTCCCCTACAAGCCGTCCGACTTTCGAAACCCAACTTTGAACAAGCATTTCCAACTCTTACACGATTACCTTCTGCAAATAGAAGTGGAAGTTAACCCAGACAAGAAAGAGCAACTACTAAGCGAAGATGACACCTTAGTAAAGCTACACCAGGTGCGAGAGAAAATATTAGAGTCGGCGAGCTCGACTGAACCAGCTCAAGCAAGGCTCAGTAACTACCTGAAAGCTTGGAACAGCATCTACAATAAGGAGTACAATAAGGAGCTAGAACCGATAGAGAGCTCGAAAAAGGTCAAGAAAAATTAGAATGCTATGGTAAAATGATTTTATAATTTAGATACTTTGGGGCCCTTAATGTATGCAGAACTACCCGAGCCTTACATTGTGAGCTCCAGTTCACACATCATGGACAAATGATCGCTTCCGTATTCGCCCTCATGAGGTTGTCCATGGCCAGGCATTTCCCTCGAAGGAGGCATTCTTAACAAGCTTCTGACTTTCAGTCCATTTTCCGCGTGGAAAGTGTCTATATCGTCCGGAGTTTGTCTTTTTGTAGAATCCCACTTCTTTATGACAAAAATATAGTCAAGAAGACCCCTCCAGGTTTCCGCCCAATTGGAAATTTCTGGTTCGCCAAAATCGTTGTCCAGTCCTGCGTTTTCAACATGGACGTGCTTGTAGGCGACTGAGTAAAGAGAAATAGCCCTCATTTCCATGCTGTTATGAAGTGCTGCCATACTCTCCACTAATTCTTTTTGTTCTTTGCTAGCGTTGAACTCAGATGGCACAGGATGTTCTGGCTGGCCATCTCCAAACTTCTCAATATTACCACCCTCTTCATCGTCACATTCTTCGCCATCACGAGCCTTGGAAAAAGTGTAGGACGTGCTGCACTCAATGACCGTTTTGGCTCGGCCCGTATAAGTGACGGGTTTCGAGGACATTGAAAGATATGGGGCATCGAAGGGTTGAGAGTTGAAGTCACCGCAAAAGAAGGAAGACCACTCGCCTTGTGCTTCGTTGGTATTTTGCAGGAGTCTGACGCGATGCTCAAACTCTTTCATCTTAGCAAGAAGAACGTAGCACTGGCGAGTTCTTTCGAAAGTTCCAAATGGATGCCAGAAAAGATGCGTTGTGCCCACAAGAATACCGCGCCTATTACTCTCTGGGAACCTGTCGCGCACTTTTTGGGTAAAATTCAATGCCACTACCAAACCCACGTTTTTCGTTGTTGTTCTAGGTGAAATGTTGCCCGAGAGCTCCTTGTCGTAATCGACCAGCATTTTGTCCGACATTGTGAAAAGCTCCCGCTTCCAAACAATTGCAATTCCGTGGTTTTTGGTTCCATGCCGGTGGAACTGTGAGTCGTAGCCCAACTTCGAAAACTCGTCCTTCCAGAAGGACTTATACTGAATGTAGTCCACTTCCTGCAGGCACTGAACGTCAGCGTTATAGTATTTGAATTCATGCAGCAGAACTTGCGACCTTTTGAACCACTTCAATGCATTCCCGCTGGTGGGGAACAATTTACGCCGAATTAAGGCTTGGGCCAGGCAATTGTAAGTCATGAGACGGAACGAAAAGCCTGGGCTGGGCAAATCTTTCGGAACCAAAGACAACATGGGCCTACGAATAAATTGCAAGTCTGGCGGAGTGTCTGGGTCCAAACCTTTGGCGATCATTGCGTCCCTTTTGGCTTTTTTGGTAGCTTCGCGCTGCGCCCGCACTCCTGCGATATGTTCTGCACTCACTTTCGAGCCTTTCGATCCATTTTTCTGCGAATTGATGTGCTTTTTGCCCTTGCTGTGCTTCCCTTTATCTTGCTCAATCTGTGCGTTGATGGACTCCGCCAGTTTCTGTTCATCCATGGTTAAAGGTATAAACGGGACCTGTTAATTTGGCCAGTATGGCGGTATAATAGTAAAACAAGTCCCCCGAAAGCGATTATGAAACTCTCAAAGGGCCAATTGTAGTTCTTAAGACGACAGATTACTGATATCGGGCTCTAGCCGTTCACCTTTCGTAAATCCGATGACGAGTAAAATGGCCAGTCAAAATTTCACACCGCGAACATGATTACGTCATCAAATTTTTAATCAGAACCTACATTCTGTCACATGACTTGCTGGTGTAAAGATTCCGATTTGGTCACGTGACAGATTTTTCAAATTATCTCAGTATCATGTTTCACGAAGATCGCTACAGGAACTGAAAAATTACAGCATCTGTATTCAATCCTCTAGTCGAAAGAGGCCCGTTCTGGCACTGGCACTCCATAAAACGGGCTCCATTGGTGTATCCATCATTGTCACAAGATGGTCTTCTATAAGATAACTCTCTCGAGATCGACTATAGGGCTTCCTCAGGCCACCAAAAACATCGCAGCGAGTCTGGGTTTGGGTAAGACGGGATCCGTGGTGTATCGTAAAGTGAGCCCGGCAATTGCAGGGTCCATCGCCAAGATCAAAGAGGTTGTTAGTGTGGAGGTGACGGAAAATGCATTGACGCCGGAACAGCAGCGCGAGCTGCGAAAATCCAAGCCAGGGTTCACGGTGGAGAAAAGGTTGTAGCGCGAAAGCGTTTGTCTGTACATAGCGAGTTTAGCCAAAAAAAAAAGTTGCATCGCATTGCGTTTGTTTTTGTGAGTGTGTTGAGTGTGTTTTGTGTGTTTTGTGTGTGCTGTGTAAACGTGTGAGTGGTTTTGTCGTGTGCATTGCCTCGTCGCTAGCGAAAGGTCATCTCGGGAGGCAGAATGGGACCGCTCGCGAATTTTGAGGGCGTTTCAGCAGCAGCGTCGTCGTGTTCGGCATCATCTTCGTCCTCTTCGTCATCTGCCCCTTGGCAAAAGGAGTCCACAATCTTGAAAACGTCGCTTCTGTTCATAGCTTTGCCATCGAAGCTCAGATCAACGCTCTCGTTGGCCTCGCTCGATTCCTGGAAAGCCACACGCGCCAGCGGGTTAATCCTGGTGCTCTTTGAGTTCTTCAAAGCACGCTCCCGCTTCGGGGCGCGTTCCTGGTCCTCCGAGCGCTCTAGTGTACCCGAGATATCCGCCAGCGCCTGCACTTGGCATTTTGTGTCATCTGCGGGGCCCAAGGGCTGTTTCTCGTGGTACCTGTCTCGCTGCGCATCTATTAGGTTTCTCATGAAGTTGTCGCTTTTGGAAGCTGGATGCGTGAACGGAAGCTCTGCTACCTTGTAAATTTCAGTCCCCACTGTTGAAAGTGAATTGATTTTCACGCGAGGATTAGCGTGAAGAGCGAAAGCCGATGCATATCTTGCCTCGAGCGACTCTTGTGGTTTTTTCGCGACCTCGATGTCGTCAACAGAACGCACCTCTGTGTATTTTGGAAAGTTAGCAAAATTCTGAGTTGTTGAGCGTGGAGTCTTGACTGATTGGCCAGCTTTTCCATTGGCGCCGTTGTTATTCATTGCCAATGACCGCCTGGAAAGACTGGTATTTTTCAGACTTCGTCTTTCGTTTTTGATATTGTGATTGTTGTTGCTGTTGCTGTTGCTGTTGCTGTTGCTGTTGCTGTTGCTGTTGCTGTTGCTGTTGCTGTTGCTGTTGCTGTTGCTGTTGCTGTTGCTGTTGCTGTTGTTGTTGTTGCTGCTGCTATTGTTGTAGTGCGGGTACACATTGTTGTTCACTGCAGGCATAGCATATAGATGCATCATATGTGGTGGTGGCGGGGCTGCCAGATACACCACATTGCCGGGAAAAGTTGGAGAATTTGCCAAGTGCGACTGATATTGCGGCATGTGGTACATGTTGACCGTGGGGTAATTCATCACTCGATGGAAATTGGGATCTGAGAAGCGTCAGTTAGCGATAGAGGTATCTTTTAAATCAATTTCCAGTGAGATTTTGACGCAAAAGAAAAATTGATGTGAATCTGGCGAAAAGCGCAAATAGAACCTCTATGATATCCTAACCTACAAAAGACGTCAACGGTTCCCAAAACTCGATAAAAGCTAACTTGCTTATTTGTCGTATGCTTGCTCAGCACAGACAATTGAGTCCTCTTTTTCCTATTGTCAAAAACGCTTCTTTTCAGGCAACCTGATAGCTACAGAGACTACCAACAGAAGCTGTTCTCACGGGACGCTTAAGCTATAAGTACTCTGTAATTGAACTAGTCTTATTGATCCTCTGTTTAGATTTACCCATTACAAAAAATGATGTATTAATCTCGAGATGTACTCGCGACACTTTCGCGAGTACTTCTTGGAAGACGTCAGTTAAGTAAAACGGTACATGGATGCGCTCGAACAGGTATGTATCGATCTTTATCATATGCATTTGATATTATTTACAAGTATGAAAAGCTGTAGAGTTCCCTTCATTGCATTTCAAGCTCCATCACACCGTCTAGACAGTCCAAATTTATTATTTTGCAATTTGACACTGTATCACCAATCGCCCAGTGAGACGCAACGTCGGGACGCAGTTTGAGAATTCCTCGAGCAGCACTTAGTTCAGGTACACCACATCGCACATACCCCATTTGTGGGACAGATGTGACCATAACAGATAAACTGAACCCAGGGTTTTGCTCCTGCTTCGACTTCAAGTACTTGAGAGTCCAATACGATGCAGAGTGCTGGGCAGCTTTTCTCAGAACAACGTCGCGTGACTGAATGTGCCAAATCATTTGATCCACCTGGCTTTGCGTGAACGGCAGCTCTGTATTGTCCAAGTGCGCATGCAACTGGAGATGATTTATGAGATCTGGAAATCTCCGGAGTGGTGACGTCACAGTAAGATAGGCAGGCGCGCCAATCATCTGATGTCTTGAAGGCTTGCCTGTGTAGAAACTGGAGTTCAAAAGTGACGATAGTTTTGTGATATCTCTTACTGACGGCAGTTTTTTAGAGTGCATCATCGAGCGCAAAGAGTCGTACCCGCTCTGTGCTCGATCCTTTAGGTTGAGCTCTCTGTAACAACGGAAAACACCGGGAAGTTTCTTGTCGCGGAAATATTTCCCGGCCAAAGTGTTGGCTAAAATCATCATCTCGGAAACCATGACTGTCGAGGCAGTTTCGACCTGATCCACAAATTCAATGGCAGGGGCTTCATTGGTTCCGTTGTCGCTCAACTTGACTAATCCTTTGTTGAAACCCTCGCCAAAAACAATTGCGTCTTCTTCCTCGACTCTTCTTTTCCGCAAAAGGGTCGCGACTTTGAGAATCGCCGATAGCTCTCGAACCTCTTGACTGGCAGTTCTTTTTTTGTTCAACAGCTCATCCACGCTCTTGTAAGTGACTTTTGGAAATTTCGAAACTAAACCTTTTCTTACTTGGAACGTATCTTCAAGAACTTGCAAGCCATCACCGCGACATTCCACGTCAACGGAAAACGTCAGCGTAGTAGAGGGAACTCCATCATGCCCGAGGTCACCAGCTTTACTAAAAGCTTTTGGCAGCATAGGTGTTACACGGTCGGGCAGGTAGCTAGTGAAGCTCCGTGCAAACGCAATTCTCCACACTTCATTTTCTGGGCATTCTTCAACACTATTTGCAAACAGAGGAACGGGATCAGCGATATGTATATGCAAGCCAAATCTTGTGGGGCTCTTCACATCAATCGATATACCGTCATCGATCTCGTGAGCATCCTCTGAGTCAATACAATAGACCGCCATGTTTCCAAAATCATGTCTTTTCGAAAAATTTCGGTTTTGTATGGGGGACACCAACTCGCAAACTTTCCCGTCTAGTGCAGTGTGACCAGACACCAATGGAACAGCGAGATTATCGTTAAAATGAAGTGGATTGATGTTAAGATCAGGCTCCAACTTTCGCAGTAAAGCATGGCATAAGTCTCGAGTGATGTCGCGGCTTTTATACTCTTCAATTTTTCTGAAGAGCTTAGAAACCATTGTCACAATAGGTCCATTCTTGTGGAAGTTTCCGGCTGCATAGTCTCGCAAAAGTCGGTTGATCTCGGGAAAGTCATGACGCGCCGCCTTTAGATCATCACTATTGACATGGTGTGCGAATTTGGAGACGGCAGCGTAGTTGTCTCGTTTCAGCTTTTTGAGAACCGAGTCGTAGTAAAGATGAGACGATTTCAATGGCAAAATTGTAACAGATATTGGCGTTAGCATTGCTCTGTGAATGTGAATTTCGCCCCACAAGTTGTGTTCTTGCTGTTGTACTAAGGCCCAGTATGTAGCAAGAAAAGTTGCGGCGTCGATGTGATCGAATTTGTCCTCTACTGAGGTCTTCTGTCGTGCTAGTAAATCAGACGAGGTAATGCCAACCTTACTGAACAACTCCTCGACGTATACGTTGGTGGGGGACGAGCGGCATTTCTCGAGATTTATCAGTTCTACTAGCTCACAAAGCTTGAATATAGATATCTGCCACGGGCCAGAGCCTCGTTGCAGGAACCTGTGTAGCAATTCCAATTTTTTGGTGACGGTCGCCATTCGGCTCCATGCGGCTTTCGTGATCTCGAAGGGGACGTAAGAAGTGTACAGCAAACGCGCAAGTATTGGCAGAATGTATGTTTTATCGGGATCGTCCTTTACAGTGCCCACTCGATTATCCAGATATGGGCTTTCCTGGCGGATCAAATAATTGACGGGTTTATTGTGAAACGAGGGCATTCTGAGAAGAATCATGCTACGCATACCAAACTTGATGTGGCCGTCCACAGTAGCAAACGCGTAGCTTGGGTTCATCACGTCGGTGGGAACCTCTACGCACATGCACAGCTGCGATGGATCTGATCGGAGTAGCACCACGTCCCCCACAGACAGTGGTTCGTCGAGCAGTCGGTTTGGGGCAACACTAAACGTGTTTTTTTCTTTGTCAAAGAACTTGCCGTCTATATACCATTGCAAGTTTTGCTGATGTTTGGCAGAAAGTGACCGGAGATCCATGTTAAGACAGTCTTTCATACTCGTCCAGTTTATCTCGTTGTGTTTACACCAGTCTTTCGAAGACAGCAAGTAGTTGCTGTAGTACCTTTCGTCCAGGCTGCTCTGTATTTCTGATAGAGACTTGATCTCTAAACCGGGCTCGACGTGGCCAGCTCTTTGATAGATGTGCTTCGTGACTGGGGCAGTTGGTGCTGCTGGTTTGACATGGTTTGTTCTCTTGATATGATTCGTACTTTTGGCATTACTGACAGCATGACGCAGCGCTCTCGACGCTGTGTGGAGTCTTCTTTCCATGTACCGTGGAAGAGTTTAGAATCGCAAGCTCGTCGCCTGGACAGAACGACAATGATAGATATTCTTAAAAAGTGTTTTCACAGGTATACTGGTTAATTTATGAGTATTATATTATGTGGTGTACGGATTTTTGACCACATTCCACGGACTAAAACTTCAATGGTGCATCAGTAAAAAGCCATATTAGTGTCATTAGATGGCCAACATCTACCTTCATGGCATGCCACTAGCTGAGTGTTTTGTTTGCTTGGTTTTCTCAAGATTTTGGCTGTTTAGAGATATTCCTTAATTTTATCGATAAAATGACATAATAGTACAAAATGATCACATCAAATTGTGAGAAAAGCCACCGACATCAAAGCGCAAAAGCTACACCTGGAAACCCGTCATGATTCAAGTAGGCTGTGGCAATTAATTAACGCTCAGGGCTGTGTAATGAATCATCAAAATTGCGACTGCTTTCCTGAAACTTAGCCTAGTTTTAATGATCTCTAGAAATATCAAGTTAAGGTACTAGAAGCTTCTCACAAGTCAAGGAATAATCCAAAGCTCCCCCACCGACAGATAATCCGTCAAGTGTCGCTAAAATCATGGATCATTCTCTCTGTCTCTCGCTCTATTCATATATATTCGAGCGCACGTGACCAAATGAGTGCTTAAATGAGTGTCTACTAAATAGCTACCTAATACAGCTTTTTGTCAAGCAGCCTAGTATAAATAACATCTTCTCCAGAAAGCCTTAAGAATCGAGCATTCGAGGTCCACCTAGGTGTTCATTCTATGTGATGATGTTCAAGCCAGTCCAGTTTTCTCATAACGTATCAGCAGCAAGTTCAGATTCAGAAGTAGAGCCCTTGGAAACCCGTCGAAGGGAAGGCAATGACGAGGAAAAGCACGTTCGTTTAGACGTTGAGTCGAGCTCTGGTGAGCCTGTTTGCCCCAAAGATGATGATTATGACCTTCCAATGTTCCAGAAACGGCCACTTAGCGATACACCAGTGGGATCATATTGGAATTCGCCAAACGAGTCGGGTGATAACTCTTGCGACTCGACGCCCGTACCTTCGCCCCACAACAGCTCCAGTAATCTGCAAGAGCTTCACGAGACAGCAAAGGAAAACAGTGACGCCACTTCGCCAACTAACACACACTTCATACACCCTAAAGTAAGACCCACCACGATCGATGTGCCGGGACTAACCAAATCGCGGACGTCGCCAGACGGCACGATTTCAAGCAAAGACCCGGGATCCAAACTCGTGATTGTCATGGTGGGGCTTCCAGCCACCGGAAAGTCATTCATCACCAACAAACTGTCGCGCTTCTTGAACTATTCCATGTACTACTGTAAGGTTTTCAACGTGGGCAACACCCGTCGTCAGTTTGCAAAGGACCACAATTTGCAGGACCAAGACTCCCATTTTTTTGACCCTAACAATCCAGAGAGTAAAGCACTGCGAGAAAAATGGGCTATGGACACGTTGGACCAACTTTTGGACTATCTACTAGACGGGCCAGGGTCCGTGGGTATATTCGATGCCACTAATTCGACAAAAAGCCGCCGCAAGAAGGTTTTAGAGAAAATTCATTCTCGCAATAACCAGATAAAGGTCCTGTTTCTGGAGAGCGTATGTTCTGACAAAGCTACTGTTGAGAAAAATATCAAACTAAAGCTATTCGGACCCGATTACAAGGGCAAGGACCCACAAACCTCCCTTCATGATTTCAAAGAAAGGCTTTCAAACTACATGCGGGCCTATGAACAAGTCGAGGACGACGAAAACCTGCAGTACATCAAGATGATTGATGTTGGAAAGAAAGTCATCTCTTATAACATTCAAGGGTTTTTGGCTTCTCAAACAGTATACTACCTCTTGAATTTCAATCTGGCCGAAAGACAAATTTGGATTACAAGAAATGGTGAGAGCGAGTACAACGTTCAGGGTAAAATAGGCGGGGATTCAGATCTGACACCTCGCGGAAGGCGATACGCTAAAGCTTTGGCCCGTTTTATCGACGAACAGCGTGCAATTTTTACTGAGAATGAAATGAAAGCTTACCTCGAAGATCACGAAGAAGCGAGGAACTTCAGCGCCACGGAATTTTTCGTCTGGACATCCATGCTGCGTAGAGCAATTGAATCTGGCGACTATTTCAATGAAGATGAATATCCGAATAAGCAAATGAGAATGTTAGATGAGCTCAGCGCTGGAGATTGCGAAGGATTGACATATGCTGCAATTCAAGCCAAGCACCCAGAGGAATTCGAAGAAAGACTCAACGACAAACTGAGGTACAGGTACCCAGGGATTGGAGGTGAGTCATACATGGACGTTATCAATCGTCTGAGGCCCGTCATCACAGAAATCGAGAGAATTAAAGAAAATGTTTTGTTAATCACACATCGTGTTGTGGCACGCGTTCTGTTGGGCTACTTTTTGAATCTCAATCGAGACATTATTGCTAACCTCGACGTCCCACTTCATTGTGTTTACTGTTTGGAGCCGAAGCCATATGGAGTTACATGGTCTCTTTATGAGTACGACGAGGTCAGGGACACCTTTTTCAAAGTTCCTCAGGACGAGCTCAACACAATGAAAGTCAAAGAAATTGGGCTGGTGCACACAGAAAGACGGTACTCTATAGTGCCTACTGCGCCTCCCAGCGTTGCCAACACTAAGGGTGAATTTATGACCAGCAACACAAGCGCTACTAACTTGACCAAAAATAATCTCTCGAACCCAAGCAGTTCAGTTCCGAGATTTCCAACAGTCGGTGGGGGCATGTCCATCGCAAGACCGAGTTTAAGACCTCAAACGTCCCATCATGCTAGCCATAGCAGATTAGCAAGAGAAAATGTCAGCACTAGGGTCGAGGAGGGAAATCGCTCCATATCCACTCCGCCTTTGGTTGGTGGGCGTCAACCTATTGAGATTAACAAATTGAACGAAAAACTGGCTCGTTTGGGAATCTCAGAGCCTCAAAGAAGCCCCGCATCAAGGCCTGTACAAATGAGTAGAAGTCAAAGCGAGTTTTGAGCTAATAGCTAAAGTTTGCACTTCGCAGTAGAGTGCTCACTTTGAATGTGGGATTTTCTTTATTTATTGGGCATATTCTATGCGATTGTATAGTCCTTTATCGTTAATGACATGGAATGAAATTACTACTAAATTGTGCCATAAATAACGCCGAATGCGTCGACCCACTGACCCACTCTACCAAACACACCCAAAAGTTTTTGACCGCCGGGCACAATAATTTGATGGCCACTTCCTCCATTTGCGTTCCCAAAAATCTTGCTGGCACGGCCCTTGTTTGTTATAACGCCAATGCCATCGAGCCAGCAACCCGAGCGAATATCGAATCCGAGAAGTTGTTCATCGTCGTCGAAGAATATATCGCTGTATGAGCCTGTTTCATGACCAAAGAGCACGGAAGGGCCCGTCGTATTCTGTGTATAGACTGATTTTACAGTAGTTGCAAGTTTGCCCATGTAGGATCGTGGAGGAAGTGGTGGTTGTTTTTCGTTTGCCCGTTGCCTGTGTAGGTAAAACCTGACACCATCCACTGCCGCGCCATGGTATACTCTTACACCGCTGACCTGTCGTCCGTCAAAAGGAACTATACCGACATCTTGTCCTCTTTGAGCTGACCCGTAAAGGGTTGACTTCATACCCATTACGTGAGCTGGGAAGCCATATTGAGCCATTGAGATTTGGGATGCTTGCAGAAATTGTGGGAACATTTCCCAGTCGGCCTCTGGTGAATTGAGCGCGCAGACCTTTAATTTAAATGTGTTGCGATATTGCGCAACGTATTCAGGAGGAATGCGAGATCTCAAATCATCAAGCGACAGTAAAATTTCCTTCTGAGGTCCTACACCACCTAAAGAGAGTGGAAGGTATTCGATGAAAGCACGCGCCAGATCGCCACATATAATCTGGATGCAAAATATGCCCGTTTGAGACTTAAGAAGGCAACAATTATTAGGAAGAACGTAGACAGAAGGCGCTGGAATAGTGTGGCCTCCAATACAAGACGGTCTCATCATCGAACTATCATTGTAGTCCTGGGGAATTGTGAACGAAGGATGGTGTAGAAACTTGAGAAGATCTATTCTGTTCCACGTACACTCTTCTAGGGGATAAATGGGGGGTTTGGCACCATGAGAATTAGTTCTTGTTGAGAAGGCCTCCTTTGTCAGGAAAGAACGATTTAGTCGAACGTAGTCACGAAGCATCACACCATTTTCTTGATGAGGACTGCCGAGTAAATGTCCAATTTCATGCATAAAAGCACCTACTGTGAGCGTGAAGCATTCCCAATGGGAACCACATTCTCCAGAATCATTAGCAACCTCTGACTGGGAACAGCGGGTTTCATCTGTGAAATATGGGATGACATCTTCGATACACGTTGGCCATGAATATAGGCCGTGCGATCCAAAAATGGCAAGCTTTATACGGTCGTCGCCACCGCCAAGCGCTGCGTGTGCTGTAATTAGTTTCAATTTGGGATCCCAATGTGTGTCAAGAAACATGACGGCTGCTTGAGCAGGGCACCCGTGAGGGGGGTCAAATGGGCCTCCATATTTGCGGAGGGCATCCATGGCTATACCAAAGAGACCACCAGCATCAGAGGCATTGGGGTTCTGCTGTGCCAAGTTCGGGTCTCGTAGCTCTTTGAGAGTCTTATCGGATCGCAAAATATGAATCTTGACCCTATTGCGCATACGAGACTGTTTGAAAGTCGTGTCGCGAGCAAATTCCTCGACAGCTCCAAAAGTTCTCGGGCCAAATCCATTGCGAAGCATTTGCTCGCTGGTGAAAGCCTGCATCAATCGCGTGCCCACTCTAAGCTTGCGACAAGCTAGTTCCAGGTTATTTCCGCCCTCTTTAACCTGCTGGGAACGGGGCGAGTCAAATGTCAAAGGCGAATCTTTGGCAACGAGCAGACACATATGAACTGGGGGATTTTGCAATAAAGGCGTATAGCGCAGGGCAATCGATTTGCGTTCGCCTTGGTCACTGATGAAGGTCAATCGATTTTCGCCCGGATTCAGCATCACCACACATTTGAAAACACATTCGTTGACAGGAAATCTCAGAGTCGGCAATTCCGGGTTATGAACCTCGAGGATTGTCGTTCCTGGCCTGCTGACTTTCCCGTGAATTATGTTACATGCCGAAAACTTCTCGCTGCCATCAACGGCATTGTACAGCACTAATTCGCCCATTTTTTGTAGTCTTTCTGTTTTCAATGCGATCAGAATAAGAACTAGAGGTTAAAGAGAATTGGGGTGCGCTGAAGAGGCTCTTTTGAGTGAACGTTGGATCGTTTTTACTTGTAGGATCTGCTCAAGATGAACTTCGAGGCTACCCTGTCACTTTGGCTATTAAAGCCCGCGAGTACTAAAGTACTCGCGCGGCGCAATAATAATAATCTTTAGCCTGTGTAGCTGTTGAGCTGACACCAGGTTTCTGATCGGCTTGACACATCTGGCGGCGTGGCCAGTCCATAGGCTTGTATTTGGCACCAGACTTCAAAGAGTCTTTACAAGCTATAGCGAAGAAATTCGAACTGAACAACCCAAAAAAAAAAATTGAGTAAAATGGCCACCCAGCAAGTGTAACCGACACCTTAATCTAGCCAATGAAGTTGGTTTCAAGTAGGTATTTCCTCAATTGAAACACTCGCATCTGTGAAATGCCAAACTATCAAACTTCCTCTTGCAGCTTTCGGTTTCCACATAATACAAACGAGTATAGTCATAACGCAAACTTGCACTCAACTTCCTACATCTACCAGATTTCTTGTGCGTTTCGGAAGCCAAAAGACACAGACCTCGCCTCTAGGCCCACACACTCCCAAAGAGCATAATTCAAATTCGACTACAATACGTACCACCTCGCCATCTAGTCAATCCTCCTGTCGTTTCCTCTAGTCGGAAAATAATCACAGATCAATATCACTACATACGCGGTTCTCAATAACACCAAATCTTGGAAAAAAGACAGGTGGCAAACATCAACTTAAACATCTACCTGAAATTCACCAGAAAGTCGCGTAAACAGCACCAGTTCAACGCCCCGGAGATGTCTCATAGGAAGCGTGTTTATCCCCAGCAGCAGCACAGTTATGGGCAAGGCGCGGGAGCGGCCAATTCGCCCGTTATGGTGCCCAATTTCCCATCACAAGTTGAGACGCCTGTGACAAACCAACAGCCTCAATTCTTGACTCCAGCACAGCAGCAATTGCAACAGCAACTGCATCAACAGGTGGATTACGCTTCGCAAGCGATGTCGGGCATGCAGCTCCACAATGTGCCGGTTATGGACCCTAATTTGGCGCAAACTGCAGGCATGGGTGTTCCACAACAAGGCGGAGGGGACTTCAACTCGCCAAACATGGCCGGTACAGCTGCAATGTACGGTCCACAGGCAGGCATGGGCTATGGGCAGCAGCAGCAGCCGGTCTCTGTGGGCAGGCCCATGAACCAGCTGTATCCAATTGACCTCTTGACGGAGTTGCCCCCTCCCGTGTCGGATCTAGAATTGCCTCCCCCACCTCTCATGGTGCCCTCTGAAAAGTTTGTGGTTCCCGTGGAGACCGCTAATGCACCTCCCGACTTTGTTCGCTCGACTTTGAACGCAGTGCCCAAAACGAACTCGCTGTTGAAGAAGAGTAAGCTTCCCTTTGGTTTGGTGATAAGGCCCTACTTAAATCTCCAGGACTCTAACTGCAAAGTTCCCCTCAACACCGACGGGCTTGTGGTCAGATGTCGTCGTTGTCGTTCTTACATCAATCCCTTTGTCAGTTTTGTCGACGGTGGCCGCAGATGGAGATGTAACTTCTGCAACCTTGCCAACGACGTTCCAATGGCGTTTGATGCTTCCCAGCAAGGTTTGCCCGTCAACAGATACGAAAGAAACGAAATGCAACATGCCGTTGTCGAATATCTGGCGCCAAAAGAATACGCGGCTAGACAACCTCCACCTTCTTCTTATGCCTTTGTCCTCGACGTCTCGCAAAGCGCCATCAAAAACGGCTTGTTGGCGGCTGCTGCCAGAACACTGCTTGAGACTTTGGACTCTATACCAAACCATGATCAGAGAACTAGAATCACAATTCTGGCTGTTGACAGCTCAATTCATTATTTCGCCATTCCTTTGGATGAAGATGGCGATCAAATAAAGATGATGGATGTGGTGGACTTGGACGAACCATTCTTGCCAATGCCGAACTCCATGTATGTCTCGTTGCAAGACTGCAGATCCAACATCGAAAAACTCTTGAATCAATTGCCAGAAATTTTCCAGTACAATATCATGTCCAAAATGGCGCTAGGGCCCGCTTTAAAAGCAGCTTTCAACCTTATCAAAGGCGTTGGTGGCAAAATTATAGTAGTTGCTTCCACTATGCCTAATTTGGGTATCGGAAAGTTGCAGAAGAGAAATGAAGCGGGCGTGGCTAATACACCAAAAGAGGCATCTCAATTACTTAACTGTCAGGACGCTTTCTACAAGAACTTTACGATCGACTGTAACAAAAGCCAGGTTACAATCGACATGTTTTTGGCGACTGAAGAATATATTGACGTCGCATCTTTGTCCAATCTTGCCCGTTTCACCGCTGGACAAACCCACTTCTATCCCGGCTGGTCGGCTTCTAAGCTCACAGACGTTATGAAATTCACAAAAGAATTTTCCAAACATCTCACCATGGATTTGTCTATGGAAGCTGTCATGAGAGCTCGTGGGTCTTCAGGTTTGAGAATGACAAGGTTTTACGGCCACTTTTTCAATAGATCATCTGATCTGTGCGCTTTCCCCACTTTCCCAAGAGATCAATCCTATGTGTTTGAGATCAGTATAGATGAACAGCTGGTTCGTGATTTCGCGTACTTGCAAATTGCCGTTTTGCTGTCTTTGAATACAGGACAGCGTAGAATTAGGGTCATTACTTTGGCCATCCCAACGACAGACTCTTTGGCAGAAACCTATGCATCTGCTGACCAGCTGGCCATGACGGCATTTTTCTCCCAAAAGGCGGTCGAAAAGGCTTACTCTAACCTGGAAGACGCTCGTGAATACTTGAATAGATCTGTTCAAGAAATTCTGGCCACATACAAGAAGGAAATTGTGGTGTCAAATACTGCAGGAGGTGCCCCACTAAGACTGAGCGCCAATCTCAGAATGTTCCCACTCTTGATGCACTCTTTGACTAAGCATATGGCATTCCGGGCCGGTCTTGTTCCAAGCGACCACCGCGCTGCGTCTCTCAACTTTTTGGAGTCTAGTCCCCTTCCTTACCTGATCAAAAACATCTATGCCAAGGTTTACTCTTTGCATGATATGCCTGACGACGCTGGCCTGCCCAACGAGCTAGGAGAGACGGTGCTGCCAGATCGCATCAATGCGACATCATCGCTACTCGAGCGCTACGGATTATATCTCATCGACAACAGTACAGAACTATTTTTGTGGGTTGGCGGTGATGCTGTCAACGAATTGACAATGGATGTTTTTGGAACTCCGGACATTTTGGAGATCCCAATCGGCAAGCAAGAATTGCCACTTTTGGAGAATTCCGAGTTCAACAGCAGAGTGAGAAATATCATTTCCAAGCTCAGAGAGCATGACGATGTCATCACATACCAGCCCCTATACATTGTACGTGGTGCGTCTCTGAGCGAGCCTGTCAACCATCCTTCGGCTAGAGAGGTGGCCACTTTAAGATTGTGGGCTACAAGCACTTTGGTTGAGGACAAAATTCTAAATAGCCAATCTTACCGCGAATTCTTGCAAAACATGAAGACAAGAATCAGCAAATAAGATCCCCCAATCAATAGCATCTTTTAACAGAGCTTTTTAGAGACTAGCGGTTTGCGGCTTTTTTCCTCGGTGGGCTGACTACTTATGATTAAAGCAGCGTTGTTGTATAAAAGTGTCCGGTACTTTGGCACTCTGACACTCGATTTCGTGACAGATTTCCGAAAGGGATATATTTCGTTTCTGATAGAAGTGTGTTGAACCAAACGCCCTGGTTTGTGAACGTACCAATTGTCAATCGACATATATAGCATATTTTATTAATTTTAACGTCAAACAGCGAAGGTTGAGGTTAAAAGACGATATCAAAATGGTGAGCTCCACAGCCAAGTTATGGCAGCTGAGATTTGTTTGAGACCTCGTCAATAATCGAGTTCATCGACCTCGTCAATAATCGAGTTCATCGACCTCCAGGTGATTCTCTTATCGATGTTTGTTTAGGTGAAAATCATCTCATCTCATCACAAATAATTAACAATTCAGCTCATCGCTCAAGCCATCAGTCTCACACCTATCACACTCAATAATGAACTCCACTAAGCAGTATGTTTCGATTGTAATTATAAGCACGTCGTGATAAGCACCAAACTACTAACGCGCTCCATTCTAGTGTCTCGAGAAGTGAATTATACGATGACAATTTGAGTTCTCCATCATCGTCCACTGAGTGGAATGAAGCGATAATACCCGAATTTGAATATGTCTCAGTCGTCAAGACTGGCGAAGATGATCAAAAGGAATCCACCGAAAATGCACAAGCTAATGAGGAGTTCGACTTCCCTCTGTTTTCTTTTGGAACAACCATGGAAAATGTAGATCGAGATAGCTCGCTCGAAAATCCAGATGATGACGAAGGAAGGGGAAGAACGTCTACACGACTCATCAAAGTGTCACTGCGGGAGCCGTCTCCAGAATTTTTCAATAATGAAAGGCATCGCAGCTTTTATTTTGCAGATTATACGGAAGAAGATCTTGAGAAATTCAAGAACAGCGCTATAGATTATGAACTTGCAACTAAAGAGCACAAATTCCTGGGAAAGTACTCGATACCTGGCCGTAAAAGTCGTGTTCTATGTCTGGAGGAACATAACGAAAAGATAGAAACTGAACGTCTCAAAGAGCTCAAAAGGAGGAATAGAAGGTCTGGTAAAAAGCAGCGAGAGGCAAGAAAACTGGGATTAGAACGCGTGAAACAGCGATTGGAGGATGCTAAAGCTGTAAGAAAGCTGATGAAGAAGAAGTTCCACAAGCGTGGTGGTAAAAAAAACAAAAAGCGGCAGATTTACCTGTTAAACCACAACCGCGACTGCGCACAGAATGAGTCCGTAAATTAATGTTAGGTATTGACAATTTGGCATGCATTATTTATAGAGATGGGGCACAATTTAAATGTTGCCTTATTTTGAACTTTGTTTGTTCAGAATGGATACCGAGTCAAGCATCTTCTCAAGACCACAACTAGCTATTACTGGATCTGTGTTCAAAGTTTGCCGTATACTTTGCATTATAACAGCAGAATTGGATGCGAGAGCTTTGCCCACAGGACCGCCTCGGGTGAATGAAGTCTCGAAATCCTTTCTGAATGCTTTAGAAACACGGTTCCAGAACATATCAATTAAAGAATCGTGCTTCTTGTGCGAAATGTACTCGCTAAAGAGGCTGACAGTATCGATGGTTGTGGCGCGGAGCGTGTTCTCCAAGAGTGAAACGTTCTGGGCGTTTCTGACAGTGCTCTCCAACGCCGTGGGAATGATCTTGATAGATGTTATGGTTTTTGTCAATGCTTGAGCGCTGGAATTAATTCTGGATAATAAAATCTTGTCCATCACACTGACGAAGTCTTTGGGTGATAGCTCATAGAGAGCTGGTAAAAGTCGACTAGCACTTTCTAGCTTTGACTGGGATTTCATTTCACCGGAATAAGTCTGTATTAACGATTCGGACATTACTTTAAGCGTCTCACGACGGCTTGGTGTTAGGGTCTCTGTTTCGTATTTTTTAACAAACCTCAAGGCCCTCAGATTTGGATTGGAGAATAAAGCCGTTTGGATTTGAGCGTGGGCCGAAGCCAGTGTCAATAGTGTCTGATCCGAGAGATTGGTTTCGTTTTTCAGTGCCGATGGGTCCGTATTACCCAGCTGTTTAAGCAAATGCAGAAAGGTGAGCACGTCTCTCAAAATGCTCGAAGTTTGGTGAATTTTACTCAATGCCGATTGCAGTTGTAAGCATTCTTCATAAGGCTCAAGAACATCTTTATCGAGTCTGCTATAAGACATTTTCAAATATTCAATATTAGGACCCAAAGATTCGCGAGTCTTGATCCGAGCTAAGTTTCGATTGTCAAAGGTATCGATCAAGTGCAACGGATTGGCCCGTATCACATTCTCGCTTCTTTTGTTCACTTCATCCAACGCGTACCTTACCTTCTTAATCGATGTAAGTAAATCCAATTCGTTAGAGTCAGGATCGATATGTGAGCCTTTCAAGAGCTCAAAACAAGCTTGTGAAGCTCTGAACTCGGGATCTAGATATTGCTCGAAGTCTTTCAAATGTTTCCCACTGCTCATTTAAGCTCAATTGGTTCCTGGTTAGTCTTATACCTTGGCTTGCAAGAGTTCGACTAACTTGAATAAATTTAGTTATCACTACAAATATTTATGAGATTACCATGACAGACCTAACGCTAGTTTTACATATTTAAGAAACAAGTTTAATGGTCCATCGAACGATATTTTAGCACAATGTGAAACGTTGTTTATCGGTTGGAATTTTGAGCGAGTCGAACATCATAAAACTTGAATGGTGAAGCCCCCACGAATTTTGATAGAATTGACAGTAGCTTTTTCCAGTTGATGATGGTATACATACATATGTACAGTCCAGGTATTATCGAATGCCTTTATCTTTGTCTAGCTTTCGTTTTCATAGATCGAGACGATGGATCTTTTTAGGCCAGCCTGAACTTTAAATGTCTGCCAGGCTAAGCTCAGAGATCCAGTCGTTATTCTTTTCTGGATGTAATTTTGAAACTCGATAACGCTTCCTCCAACTCCAAAATATATATCTTTGGCCGCCACTAATGCTGTTGCTGTTTGTTGTCTTGATTGTGAGTCCTGTAGCAACTGGAGTATGAGGTCAGAAATCACAGGAAGCATGTCTGGCTGGTAAATGGTCTCTGAAGACAATAAAAGCAGTTCAGAGCTCGAATTTTGCAGTGCAGAATCGAGAACATTATGAAAAGTACGGCCCCAGGATCCTGAAAGTAGCTTGAGACTAATACCTCTTGCAAAGATATCTTCTTGGAACTTCTGCAATAACGCTTCAGTGAACAAAAGCTCGTTTTCGACTACCGGAACTGAATCGTTGTTGCTCTGCTGTAATCCTGTGAGTTCCTGCAGGCTTAAAGTCTCCATCGCCCACGTTATGATGAAATTGGGTAGGGATACAAGTCGCAGAACCGATTCGTTGTAGTCTGCTAAAATGAAGGTCACATCGCAAGGTTGAGCACTGCGACTTAGAAGCTGGCTAAAAAGATACTCAGACGGCAGCGACGTGCCACAGCCAAGCTCCACGATCGTGCCACGATTTTTGCCGCGATGCACAGAGTCCGAAAGCGCATCTACGAGATCGATGGAACATTCCCACGATTTCAAACCACCTTCATATACGTTTTTACGCAAATCCTCGTTGGTTTCGCCTATCAAGATTTCTAGTTCCACTTTGGCGTCTTCATCTGTCTTTTCTTCTGACTCCGTCATCAACTGATGCTTGACATCGAAAAGCTCTCTCCGATACAGGGGGATAGAACGTTGAGGTGTGAGTACTTTTTCGAACGAAACTCTAACATCAACAAGGCTTTTCAGAGTGTCCTCTAGACATTCCCATTTAGGCTGTTTGACTTGTGCTGACCTCAGATGGGCTGCATCTAGAGCGCTGGCTGTTGAAATCTCTGGTGCTCCGTTGGCATCGGAATTGGAATACCCACCATTTTGTTGGTCGCCAAATTCATCATTGCTCAAATCTTGACTTGAAAAGCCAAACTGGAAGGACATTGGGACTAATATCAGACTGATTTGTCTCTCTTTTTTACTTGAGAGATGAGCAGCGATGAGCTACACTTACCGAAATTTTTCAAAATCAGGAAGAAAACCAACCATTACAGAGGAAAACATAATCACGACCAGGATTCACACAAGCTGTGAATGCTGAACCTTTCTGGGACCGTGGTTTCCAGCCATCTCTGAAAATTCCCTGATGATTGTTTATTCTGTGACTTAAATAAAATTATAGGCGACTACCGAACTAGATGAATTCATGAATAAAATAAGAGTCGTACTTGTATGGACCTTTAGTTCCGATCGAAACCTTCCCATAAATATTTGGATGAATATGCGCACTCAAAACTTCATGGACAGACTGAAGTTCGTGAGGGGGTTGAAGATAACGGAAACATGCTTATTTGGATTGAACCTGGGAGTAGCCACCCCATGGATTAGCGTTCTTGGATTTTAGGTACTCGTCGGACTTCAATTGCCATTCTTTAGTCATGGTTTTTGGTTCCTCGCCGCCGAATTGTCTGATGAAGGCGAAAAGAGCAACGGATCCCACAAGACCGAAAACAACACCCTTGGCGATGTAAGCACCGTCGCCCTTGGCGTGCACGGGTCTTCTTGGGCCCCACTCACCGTATGATATGTACCAAGCGGCCTGCTTCTCGGTCTCAGTCATCTGCGACCATGGGAGTTTTTGACGTTCGGTCAACTTCGAGACTAGCTCTTGTTGCTCGACGGCTGGTAGGTCCTCCCAACGGCTGTGTAGGTCGACAATGGCGGCTTTGGAGACAGCCTGCGTCTGTGCGAATCTTGAAGGCACAACACGCGTCACTTTGCTAAACGAGGAGCGCAACACTGGTGCAAAAGTTAGTATTTTGGCCACAAGCCAGTGGAGAAACGGTCTTCATTTGGTTGGGAAAGAAGCAGATATGCGGAATAAAACCAAAAAAATTGGCTGAACACTAGCACTAACGCTAAACGCGCGCACACACAAACGTAAATGAAGTAGCACTGTTTGGTGACAGAATCCGCCATCATCATGTTCGCAATACTACTCGGGCCGAAAAACAATAAAATGCCAAAAATGGCTTATTTCGGCCACAGATTTCCATGCCAAGCTCGTTGTTCTTCTCATGTCAGCCTGTCTATTGGGTCCTGGCACCCCAAATCATCAGAAAACTCGCTATTTGCCGTATCTTCATCACTCTCGTCTGTACATCTCAACTTCCCAAAATTTGTCCCAACTTGCCCAAATCTTGACCATTTCGCCCGCTTCAAACGCTGTAAATCATAAACATACTTGTATCAGTATTAGTATGGACCTGTGAACACCTAATTCAATATTGAACTTCGACTTATCGATCAAATCTGGTCAAGATCCGACTCTTCAAGTTAAGATTATATCTAGTTAAATCGATAAATCCAAAAATTTTTAGTATTACGCCAGCTTTAAATGATAGCCAATCATATGGTCGAAAAAAAGTACATACAGGCACGTGATTATATTACTGTGTACGAGTGATCGACGACAGCTCGATGACAGGCCTTAAATCGTCAACTTTGAGCTACCACGACGGTAACGAGCCCTTCAATAGATTGGTAATGCTCGGACGGTTGCGCAGCCTGGGTGGGAGATATTTCTCCGAGAAAAATGGTCTTTTCTGTGTGGTTTTAGCAGGATTTGCGATAATTAGATTTGTTTGTAAATCTTCAGCTTTTGACGAGCTACTTGGAGTGTTCGAAATCCGAGAGGGACTTTCGAAATGCACAGACAAATTGGCGTCGTCGGTTTGTAAACTTATCTCGACCATTTGGTCTTGAATGCTGGGCTTTCGGGACTCGAGGTCACGTGTCACGGTGATCGAGTCCCAGGCTATCCAGTGGAGCGGTAAACGTAGGAATCGGTCCCGTTCCTGGGACTCCAGCTCCGCACGCGCCTTGAAAGGCAGTAGTTCGATGGCATTTTGGACTTGGGAACTGCTGCTATCCGTGGAATGGCGTCCACCACTTAGAAAAATAAATTTGTAAATGCTCCAGATCTGCGTCTTGTGCGTCTGTGACACCTCATGCCCGCCGTCGCTGTGCTTTGATGGAAACGCCACGTCCTTCAGTAAGACACACATTTGTAGGTCTAAAACGTGCTTACGCCCGTCGAGCACAACGTAATATAGTGGAAGAAAACTTGTCAGGTCGTCTGTGGCCTGAAAGTCTATCAAACGTAGCCCCAGTGGGTAATTTGTGCGAATGCGACGTCTGCGCTCGAGCTCAACACTAGCGCGCTGGAGCTCTTCTTCACGTGCCGCCTTGGCTTTCTCCTCCTGTACCCTTTGCATTTGTTGCGCGTTCTGGCGATCACGCTCTTCAGCACGCTTCCTTTCATCTTCCGCTAGCTTTAGCAACAACTCCTGCTCTTTACGTTTTTTGTTCAACAACCTCTTCTGTCTGTACTCTTGCTCGGCCTTTAGTCGTTGTTCTTTGTCCTCGGTGGTTTCCGCAGGTTTAGGCGTGTTAGAAGTCGTGGGTGTGGTATTTTGGCTTCTTTGGGCATCTGAGATCAACTCTGAGGCACCGGGGCTCCACGACCTTTCCAATTTAGGTTTCTTGTGAGTCACTGAAAGGGCATAGTTGGCCATAGATACTTCAGGTGACTCTCTGGTCGCTATATTCGAGACCGCATCTTCTTTACGCGGCAGTCGCATGCGCTCTTCTTGCTCAGCAGTGCTAGAACGTTTCCGCGAAAGATTAGGTGACCGTGGTGAGCTTACACTGGCTTCTGGTACGAAAGAGTCCTCTTTTGTCACTTTCTCGGTACTGGGCTTTCTACTCTCCCGCTTCGTGCTTGATTCCTTGGTTCGCAATTCCTCACCGGTCTCGGATTCGCTGGACGACATGTGTGCATCTTGCTTCTCGCGCAAAGCGAGCGCTTCTTGTATCATTTCTACCTCTTGCTTACTTTTCAGTCCCAAATCGCTATGTTTAGCGTACGACAAAACAGATCTTCCATTTTTATCTGGCATAGTTGGATCTGCCCCGGCCTCCAAGAGAAGTTTTACCGTTCCCTGATGACCACGTCCCAGCGCTATCATCAGTGGGGTTTGTCCCTCGCGAGTTGTCATGTTAGCTTGCGCTCCAAAAGCCAAAAACAAACTTGTTATGTCTTCATGGCCATACTTGACAGCTTCAATAAATGACTTGTAGTCAACACGGCCCCCATTTTCGAGATAAGCACCGACATATGGTAGTCTTCCCTCCTTAGAGGCTCGCAAGAGCTTTTCTCGTCCTAACTTCGAAGAAATATCGGTCCAATAAAATTCGTCTTCCATCCGGATGTTCGAAGATGACCTATCGGTATCTGAGTTTCTAGTATACGATGAGGACCGTGCACGTCTATCGTCTCCCCTTGTGGATCTTTCCATTGCCTTTTTCAGCTCCCGTTTTAGGCCTTCCACAATGTTAACCTCTTCGTCATCCAGGTCCGAATCTTCTTCGATCGATTCGATCGCGGTCAAGCCTTTTGCATTCGAAATTGTTGGATCAGCGTTGAACTTGAGAAGTAATTTCACCACATCCAGGTGTCTGTTCGCCGCTGCGTCGATTAAGGGTGTATCTTTGATGGGTTCATACGACTGTATATTGATATCTGCTCCGTTTTCAAGCAGTAACTCAACGATGTCGAGATGACCATTCAAGGCGGCTTCGTGCAAAGATGAATTGCCTGCGTTATCTTGATCATTAACGTTAAACCCCTCCTGTATTAGTCGCTTGGCGTTATCATATTTTCCCTTGTCGCACGATATTTGTAACTTGGTTCGGCCGCCAGCATCGCGGTGAACACCACTTTTTTTTGGTTTCAGTTGTTTTCTCATGGCAGTGTAAGCTCTTGCATGAGTTGGCGATGCATGAGATCTCTTCAGTGAGGCCATGGGTGATGACTTCAAATTGAAGTGCGAGGTTCTGTCGGGCGGCGAATCGCCATGCAATATACTACTCGAGAGTGGAACCTGATTCAATTCGTCCAGATCTGATAATTCCGACTCATCACTGTTAGCAGAATGCAAACGTGGGATCCTCCGAGGGGATGATCGGAGTTGATCGCCCCGTACCAGTCTGCCCAACCTCGGTCTAGGAGGAGACGCAGGCTCGGTGGGGGCGTCACTTTCTACTTCACTTAATTCGCTTTCTTCGTCTTCGGTATAGTGCTCCGCGGCATTCTGGTCGACAGTGCGCAACATACTCACCAACTTTGTCTTTGTCAGTTTACTATTACTTTCTTGTTCTCTAGGGTGTTCCGTGTGAGTCTGAACTTCCTGTTTTACGACATGCGGCTCGAGAACAGGCTCCTCCATATCGCCTTTCATGCTTACATTAGAATGTGATGCTGGTTTTTTGGGTTCCATATTTTCTAACGACTTCGGTAGCATACTGTTGGATTGTGCGTCTTGGATGTTCCCGACTGCCTTGTCTCGTATTATATTTTCGTCAGTTCTTTCTGCATTAGCCTTTATTTCACCTGAATCTTGCCGGTCCTTAGGCGTAGATGGCTTTTCCTCGGCCAACTGCTCACTTGCACTTGCCAAATTGGCATTCTGTGGAATTGCGGGCATTTTGGCCTCAGAATCTGCAACATCCTTCTTTAAAGGTTCTTCAACAATGGATTTCTCCTGTGATACGGATTTGGTTTCATTAATGTTCACATTCACAGACGTACGAGAATCACCTGTAGAGCCATCATTTGAATTGGTAACTGCACCCTTACTTTCCAGTCTTCCGTGATCAGATACCACACATTTTGGACCAGCTGTAGGTCCCTTGTCATCTTCTTTAGAGCCTTCCTTCTTTTTGCCGATTTGCTCAAGCTCCTGCTTTCTCTTTTGAATATTAGACAAATAATTACTCAAAGAGCGCTTTTTCACCACCGATGGAGTCTCGGTGCTATTCGAACGCTCTGAACCATTACTCATGGCTCTTGAGTGCGACGACAACGCTTTAAACTATGGCCCTTACAGAACTCTAAGATGAGATCATCTTTTTCGATGAGGAAAGTCATTAGTACAAAATGACATCAACATCACAGAGAAGTTCATTAATCTCAGATGTCAATAAAAAGAGAGAGTAGAAACCAGCGACGAGATCGGCATTATGAAATCGAAATATATGTGGAATTCTTCTTAAAATTACATGAAATCTGTGAAAGTCCTTAACACTAACTTTGAGGCGTGTTAAACCCTTTTTGGAGAAGAAAATGAGAAGGTTTAACAAATGAGTTGAAAACGATGAAAATGAGGCTCCGATGGATGGGGTATGCTAATGAATGATAACCGGAACCGACTGATAAATTTAATCCCAGCCCACATGAGGCTTGTTGCAATTCTCAACAGCAGAAGTGGCGTATGAATCGAAAATACAGGAGTACTCTGTGGGACCCGATAACAAATGTCCAGTAGAGTTGGGATCCTTAGCAGTGCCTGAACTGTTGAAAGGTATTCGATCACAGTCGAAGAACTCGTTGGGAGTGCATGGCGTATTTTCGGCGGAAATGTTAGAGCAGTCGGGACTTGCAGAAGTGCCCTTCGTGAGGTCTTGGGAGTCCTGGTGGGAAATTATTTTTGAGATCTCCAAAGGCGCCAAGTCCGGCCGGTTGTAAGCGTCCACTTCTGGAGCATTTTGTGCTGGCTGTGAGTCTGCTTTTTTTTGGGTGGTGAGCATCTCACCCCACTCCATGAGCTGGAATATCAAACTCATGTTCGGGCTTATGTCCTTAGCGACCGATTTAAGCTTGTTGTATGCATCATGGAGAGGAAGTATTTCGTAGCGCATTATGTAGGCCACGATCAATGAAGCAGAGCGAGAGACTCCGCATTGGCAATGCACTAGCACTGTTTGTTTGCACTCGACGGCCTGATGTATTATCTGTGTTAGCCGGGGCAAATCAGCACAGATTTTCGAAGTATGAATCCAGTCGATATGGTGGTAGCTGTCTTGTTTGGCAAGTGGCAGATGCAACCTGAGGTCTGTGATCTCTTGGGCAACGTTTAGCGTCACATCAAAACTCTCGACTTCTTTCAAAGAAGGCTCAGAGCATAGATACAGAAATGAACCGTAAACCAGCAAGGGTCCATTGGGATACGCGTTGCTCGTGTTGCAGCCCTCGCCGTAGCCGTAAGGTCCACCGTTGTCGTTCAACGACGAGGTGAAAGACCGGGTCGTTCTGTGGCGGGCCCAGGATTTTGAGTTTACGGTTTGCCGCAGGCCACGCTCAGAAACAGACTCTAGAGACAAGCGCTGGGCCTCTATTGGCGACGATTCCCACGCCATGCTCGGTACACCGATGCTGTCGGAGTTGTTGTGGGGGGCAAAGGGCGTTTTTAGCTGTAGAGGCAATGACATGCCTCTCTTGAGACGGTTGACCACCGACTTAGGCTCGTGATTGCCAGCCGACGCGGCTGAGCTGTTGAGCACGTTGGAAAGAGAGAAGATATGGGCTTCGCTGCGTGCGTGTTTGCGTCCTCCGATCGAGCACGCGTCCTGGAGCTGCAGCAGGGGCGGCTGCGGGGCCTGAGGGTCGCACCCGGTCGTGTTCAGCTCCTCAGCCCTCTGCTTTGTCGAGTTGTCGATGCTCAGAAACAGGTTTTTCGAGTTGCGGTTGCGGACATGGCGTAAACCGTTTTCTGGTGCGCGCTCCGTCGTTTCAACGCCACCAAATTCGACAGCAGATATCCTGCTGTCCGCTGGCATCAATTCTAGCGAGTTTTGCGGCCGATCCTGGAGCCTAGTCACCGGGCTAAGTGGTAACGACACTGGAAGTCAAAATCGCAGTTCAACTGCTGTTAAGCCTCCCGGGCCAGCGTGCTGTGCCACAGTGCCTTTCTGCACCTATTGTTCGACCTCCAGCCTATCCCGTTAACGTCACTGGGTGCTTGGAGAGTCTGACTCGCTCCGTGTTGTGGCAAGTGGTCGATTGAAGATCTTGTTAAACCTACAATTGATATGAGTTTCACATTTTGGCTATTATCTTGGTCTCAGGCTAAATACTTGAGGAATATTCGTTGGTCGTGATATAATCGAGAATTTGGACCAGAGAGCGACCTCAGCAGTAGGAACGACGATTGGCGAGGGACGAGAAGCTTAGCTCTTGGTGGTTATAGGTTAATGTTTTCTGTGAAAGTTTGATTCATAAATCTTTGGTTTCTGCTGCGCTCGTTGAAATATTTCAATATTTTGAACAATTATTTGTTGAGACGTTTCTGGGTGACAGGTTAGTATTTTGATGGGTTTTCTGAGCAAGGTCTGATGATTGAAACGTTTGCTTGGGGTTCTTTCTTGCTCCTGACATCTTGTATTATTCTGGGTTTTCTGTTGGAATTCGTGTCAGTGGGAGATATAATGACTTATCCAATGACAGAAAATCACAGATGTCGCCATATACATAAAAAGTGACAATCAACAATCGCATCGAAACCACCGAGGCAGATGTGAATGACATTTGCCATTCCATCTGGTTCAAGCATAACTTCAAATTTCACGCTGTTTTGTTCTGCTTTTTTTTCGATTAATTTTCTCTCACTCCAGGATGCGTGTGTGTGTACTCCATACATTAATTTTGCCTATATCACAAGCTCTAAACTTTAGCTCCGGCGACCATTTGCCCAAGCTCACCCATGCCACCTTACAACTCGCTTTCAAAAGAGATTACTCTCGTGCCGTCATCATCCGGATTAACACTTGTCGAGCCCTGAACTCCCACGCTCTTCTCGCTGTTAAAAAACGGCATTTTATAGTACATGTTGCCGCGAATAATCAGATCAAAGTCGTAGCGTATCAGTTGTCGCCATTTGTCGTGGCCGTTCTCGATTTTCACTCCGTCAATTGAGTCGCCAGGTTCCTGCCCTTCATGGTTTTCAACAAGTCCCGGTTTCACGAGCTTCACGCTGGACCGGGATATATCGTAGTTTCGGTGGAAAAACCCGCCTTGAAATTGCAAAGACGTTTCCATGTTTTCCGCCGTTCCTAAAAGAATAGTTTGATATGGGGTACCCAGAGGATCCCCCTCCGTCCCCAGGTGCGACGTCTTTGCAAAAATGTCCAATTCCACCTTTTGAATCTCCACCGTGAAAAAGCCCGGATTGAATGCAGTCGCTATAACGTCAAAGACCAGTTCGTCCGTGCTCACCAAAACAGACGTTACTTTCGCGATTTCCAGATCATGCAGCTCTTTGTTGGTGGCCAGTAAAAAACCTGAAATGAAGCCCAGTGTCAGTAGAAAGGACACCACAAAGGCAAAATACACAATATTCCTCATTTTCGTCCAGGTAGTCTTCGTAGTGTAAAAATTGTGCGGAGAATAGCCCGTATGGTGAGTTGATTTCTTCTTCAACGGAGTGGCCTCGGTCGGTTGATAAAAATAGCTATCACCATAATATTCTATGCCTGGTGGGTACTCTAGCTGGTGTCCAACGCGGTCGTGATCCTCACCTTCTTCCTCGTCGTAGTCCGAGAGACATGGACGAGCCTCTAGGTCCGTCTTTGGATGTGAGTAGTAAAACATGGAGTGGTTGTCTTCCTCGTCGTCGCCATGGCGCGCGTAGCTCACGGGCTCATCCTCAAAGTCCGAATCGCTGTGGTAGGCGAATTTATTTGGCGTCAATTCGCCGCCGGTTTGCTCGATGTAATCTTCTAAGTTGACGTCGTCGGGCACGCCGGAGTACCGTCGCAAGGATGCACCGTGTGCGTCGAAAATTTTGGATGCTGTTGTGCGTAGCTGTCTTCGATGAGACACCTTCCGTCTGGCGTTATTAGAGTTGAGATTGTTCGAGGTTTTGCGGGAGGTGCGACGGGGAACGGAGCTCCCGCCATTTTGACCAAGTGATATCAAAGACAGTCTTTTACCTGGAGATTGTGGCATCGCCGTGTAGGAACGCACAGGTCTGATTTCCTGCTGATTAACATGATTCACATACTTGAGGCTGTGCAGGTCATCGGACTGTTCAGACACAGGAGCGGGTATAGCTGCAATGCTGGTGTGACGAGTAGCTTTGGCCCTGTTTAGAAGCTTCGCGTTGGCTGCTCTGGGACCCGTGTGATTGAGAAGCGGTGCGCTCATTTTGGTCGGGAGACCGTGAGACCGGGGTTCGCCGGGCATCACGTTTTTGTTCGACGTTGCTGTAGACTCGTACACGAACGTCTCTTCTGAATCGCTGATCTCGTTTTCTCCCACTGCAGAGGCAAGTTGCGCAGCGAAGAAATCAGACTTTTTGGGCGGCTCTCGCGTTTTGCGTCCTGGCTCTTCAGAGCCGTGCTCGACTCCAGCAGCAGCAGCAGCTGCTGCTGCTGCCGTGAGACCTGCTGAACCACCGTTTTTCTCGTCTGCTTCTGGCTCTTCCACGACTGCGGCACGAGACGGGAGTGCCGACTCCTCTGTAGACTCTCTGTACGATTTCGAAGCAGCACTACTGCCAGCCACGAGTGGTTTGTGCGTGATTCCTGCAGCTATTGACGGCGATGCTTCCTTCCCTAAAAACGAATCCATGAACAGATTGGACTTCTTGTTGCGTATGGCTCCGCTGCTGTTGTGTAGCGACATGGGGTTGTGGTCTATGAGCTTCGCAGAGGGCTCCTCTTGCGTTTTAATGCCCGTGTCTTCCTCATCTTGTTTGTCCTCCAACTGCACGGGCAGGAGGTTTTGAGCAGGCGTTTGAACGGTCTCTGTCTCCACCGTTATTCTCTTGTCATCGTCGGCACTCATGTTAGTGCACCGTGTATCTCAGTTGCTCGCAACCTGGTAAGAGATGTTGTAGCCATTTTACATGGTTGCGCTTATACAGCTGGAATCTCTGGGAAACGGTACGCGTGAGTATGACACGTGACCAGATGTGTTTTGACAGAAATGTCAAAACTAGAAATAGTGATATTTTCGGCCGTGAAGACGTTGATTGCGGGTGCTTGACTGACTGACTGAATGGATGGCTGAATGCTTTGAGATTGAGCCAAGGGTGGTGTTGGTGTGCTTAATTTTGGAATTTGATGTTGTGCACACTTTTTTTTCTTGTCGTTTGTTACCAGTTCTGTGTGTCGCAAAGGAATGTGTTTTGTTGAGCAACAGTGTCGTTATGTGGGGTAGTTCAAAGTCGAGGTAAGCCAAATCTCAGAGCAAGGAGCATCGTCTTGGTGAGGGTAGAGACACCAGAGTTGTATCACTTTGTACCAATCCGTCATCTGTCACGTGATCACGTGAATAAGCTCTTTACTAAAAAACGTAAGCATTACGGGGTATATGGAGTTAGTACGAGATTGTTACATAGTCGCACGAGCTTAGAAGTGAGGTTTTCTGTTTTGAGATTACGAACGATTTCCCTTGGTACTCGAGTCCCCAACTTTCATGCTTATGGGAGGATAAAATCGCTTTCTAAGAGGAGGACAGGCATGAGACACGTTTTATTATCCCGCTCAACCAAGGTAGATTTAATTATCTTGCCTGAAACGTCTCCTGTAAGTATGAATTCAACCTCTTAAGGTGGTTATATTTCTTTGTCCATAATGTGCAACCATCGAAATGTGTCATTGAAGTGATCGCGTCGAACGGAGCTTGGGCATCTCACCGATGAGCACGGGCTCAGATCATCGAGATTCACCCAAGGTAGCTGGAGAAGCTGGCTAAAGGGACCGAGACATCTTCCAGGAGTGCTGGTGTTTTGCTTGTCCACTGGTTTTGCTTGTCCACTGGTTTTGTGGTACGCCGGTTTTACTTGTGCATTGTCTGATGCAGAGATTATTATATAGCCATCCTTAGCGTCAACTGACGCTGGCATTGCTCAACTGTGCTTTTAAGATCACCAGCGCTCTCAATTGCTGATGCTCGGCAGTTCAGGGATTCCAAGGTTTGTAAGATTTCTTTACGCATTCACAATTGATCTCTGACGTTCCCAGTCGCCCTAATGTGCGTAGAACCACGCCAAGAAGTCCTTAAAGTCCCAAACGCTGGATCGTGCTGAGAGAGCCATCCCTCAAACTCACCGACACTCTCTTTTGCTCGAATGTGCCTTTGAAGCCTCTCTTCATTTACCTTCGATTGCTTAACCTCTCAAAAAGTGCTCGTAGTTCGAAGCTCTAGATTGCTTACGCTTGAGATTTTTCAGCAATGAAAAGAGTCCTCCATCTGTTCACAATTGATCGATATCGCTCTCAATCGTTCAATTGTACTACGAGCAGTCTACTTATTCACAATCGATTGCTGACACTCTTCATAGCTGAGTAGTGCTTGTCGTCATCTTCGCTGACATTCTACTTGCCGACTGTGCTTAAGGCCACCGCAGAAGATCACTAGCGCTCTCAATCGTTGGATGTGCTAAGAGCCGTCCCCCAAGCTCACCGATGCTCTCTTTTGCTCAAATATGCTCAAGGTCATTGCTGACGCTCTCAATCGCTTGAATGTGCTACTGAACCTTTCGCTTATTCACAATTGACGCTGGCGCTCTCAAAGCGTGCATGTAGCTCGTAGTCCTCTCTTTGCTCACCATCGAATGCTTGCGCTCAGTTATTTAGCGGTACTTCGACTTCTCTATATATTCACAATTAATCGCTTAGGCTTTGAATTGTTCAGTGATACTAAGAGCTCCAATTTATTCATAATTGCTCGCTAAGGCTCTCAATTGTTGAGAAACACTAAGAGCTCTATCGCTCTCAATTATTCGAAAGTGCCTGTAGCCGTCTTGAATATGCAAAATTGATCACCGACGCTCTCAGTACTTCAGTAAAGCTTATGGCTATCCTACGTGTTATGAATCGCTCGCTAACGCTCTCATTTCTTCAAGAGTGCTTGTAGCCCTCTCTTCATTCCCAACTGATTGCTATTGCTCTCAAATTGTCCAATATTCAGTACGAGATCTCTACAAATTCAGAATTAATCGCTAGCGTGCTCGTAACTCGTAGTCCTCTCGAAATCTACCATTGATTGCTTGCGTTCAGTTGTTCAGCGATACTACGACTTCTCAATATATTCACAATCTAATGCTGACGCTCTCGATCGTTCAACTAAACTATGATTTCTGCATTTATTCACAATTGATTGCTGATGCTTTCAATTGTTCAGTGACACTAATAATTGATTGCTGACGCTCTCAGTTGCTTAATAGTGCTCCCAGTTCTCAATTGTTCAGTTATGCTTCTTCCTACTCCTTATTTAGACAAAAAACTAATATCCAATCCCAACTTATCCACCTAAACAAGCAAACTGACAAAACCAAATCGCAACTAAACGACAGAAAACGATGCTATCATGTACTACACGCACCCGAATCCCAGAAAAGCAGTTCCAACCTACTAAATGCGCTAAGCGCCCTGGTTTTAGCTTAAAAACACGTCAATTGCGCCGTTAGCCGCCAACGAACAAACCATATTGTTCCCGCCACAAATACATCAGAACACAAGAATCAATGATCAGACACTTTGGAGACTCAAAAGATTTACCCCAGCTATACGTGTGCTTGGTCTTTACTTCATCTCGACACCCATCTGGCAAGACATTATTCTTCATATTTTCTTCGAAATCTGCCCCGAGGGAGTTTCGAACACCGGCCACAAAACACAGTTTTCCCCAACCCGTCCACAAGCCCATGTGAAAATGGCACCCCGTTGACCCGGAAACTCGGACGCGCCCCACCTACCATCCAGGCACGTGACCTGGAATAAAATATGTGTGTGCGTTCGTGTGTTGTGCGACCGGCGTCCATCTGATCATCACGAGTATCCCTAAACTCGCGTCAATTCGTCCATGTTCAGCGCCCACCACGTCCGACGTCCCCGGCCCTTTAATTCCGCCACCTTAATTTTGCGCTGTTTTCATTGGCTCACAAACCGCATTCACCCACGCTCAAACGAGACAACTCGACCACTTTATTTATTTACACAGTGTCATTCCCATTGCCCAACAAATGACCAATGAAAGTTTGCCCACGGGAAAAAAATTAACGATTTGACGAACAATGAGAGTATAAAAAGGTCGAGACAAATGCGTTCCAGTTTGGGATTTTTATTTTTTTGGGTGCTAGCGTTCCAGTTAGTGTGAGTGTGAATCTCAGAATTGAATCATCTCTCAGCGTGCTCCCCACACACAACAATGGCCCCACCTTTCTTCAACGACATCTTCAAGGATATCAACGGTTTGTTGAACCGTGATTTCTACCACGGCACTCCAGCTGCCGTGGACGTCAAGACCACTGCTCCAAACGGCGTGGGTTTCAACGTCAAAGGTAAGAGCTCGCCAAAGGACGGCTCGATCGCCGCTAATGTCGAGGCCAAGGTCTCCGACAAAGCCACCGGTTTGACTTTGACGCAAGGCTGGTCGTCCTCCAACGCTCTCGATACCAAGATCGAGCTCGCAGAGTTGACCCCAGGTCTCAAGTCGGAATTGGTCACCTCGTTCGTGCCAAACGCGTCTAAGGCCGCCAAACTCAACCTCAGCTTCGTGCAGCCCTTCTTCACCGCCAGAGGTGCCTTCGACTTGCTCAAGGGTCCTTCTTTCGTTGGTGACCTAACCCTAGCCCACGAGGGCTTCGTCGGTGGTGCCGAGGTCGGCTACGATATCGCTGCCGCGGCCGTTTCCCGTTACGCCGTCGCCCTGGGCTACTCTGCCGGTGCCTACTCTGTGGCTTTGTCCATCAACAACGCCCAGCTAACCACTGCTTCGTTCTTCCAGAAAGTCAGCCCATTGCTCGAGGTCGGTGCCAAGGCCGTTATGAACCCACAAGCCGGCTCCAACGTCAACATCGAGTTCGCTTCCAAGTACACTTTGGACCCAACTTCTCAGGTTAAGGCCAAGGTCGCCGACTCCGGTATCGTGGCTCTAGCCTACAAGCAAGCCTTGAGACCTGGTGTCGACCTCGGTGTCGGTGCCTCGTTCGACGCTCTAAAGTTGTCCGAACCTGTGCACAAGCTGGGCTGGTCCTTGTCGTTCGCTGCTTAAATGAATAAAAAAAAAAGTGCGAATAATTCACGTTGGCCGACTTTTGGCTGTTTTTTAATGTCTAGTAAATAACAAAACTTGTTATATGAGCAATGACAGCCAGTCCCGGGTCGTTGTCCCTTTCCTCACATCCATTCATGTATAGATTAATATTCAAGCTACTGAGTTACTGTTTTTTAATGAGACACTGACACTGCAAGACTCTTGACCAAAATCGCACTAGCAACCACCAAAAGACCGTCCAGATTTCCAATATAATTATGGTCATGAAACGGTCATAGTTACACGGCTCTCAGCGTGCTCTTTTAGCTGGATTCTTGGATTCGCTTTCTCTGGTGCTTTCGAGTCGTGGACGACGACGATCAGGCTTTAATTTTATATGATTTATATATACAGATATTTTATTTAAACCGATGATGCCCGTATTTCTTCAACACCGTCAGTACTCTCTGCGAGCCCATAAGCTCACATTCGACCTTCGTGAGCCATGTCCAAAGTGGGAGAAGAGGTGTCCACAGCTATTTCCGAAGATTTCGGATTCAAACCTTTGGGAGAAATCGAGCTTTTACCAGGTTTTAACGAAAATGTACCCTTCTCAAAGCTGCAGAATTTGGCCGTTTCCAATCGTACGGGGCTGTACGTGGCTGCAGCCAGTGGGTGTGTCGTTCTAGGTGAATTGAAGACTCTTAGAGACCAGGTTTTAGATAAGACAAACGAGACGAAACCGCTGCAATTTATATCTAAGGAATCTATGGATAACGTCGTGTTCGTGGGATTTCACGGCTTAGAAGACTCAAACGTACTGTGCGTGACTAAAAATGGCAGTTTCCACAGCTTTGACATAGCTAAAAAAGAGTGGTCCCAAAGATCTACCGAGATCACAGATTTCAGCGCAACAGAGGTGATGAAAGTCCAACAGCTCAACAACACTGCCAATTCATTTCTCGTTTTATCCAACCATAACAAGGTTTACAACGTCGCAATGACCGGTGGCGCTAAATGCGTGGCTGAAAACGCCTGTGACTTCGATGTTGGGGCGGATAATTGTGCGTTTTTGTTGCTCGACGGCACCCTGGAGATGCGCACCGGGGGCGGAGAATCTCTCGAAAAAGAATTCAAGCTGCCACAAGAGATTTCTAACGAATTGAACGACAGCCTTCGACCACTGTCCATATTGAGCCTGCGTGGCACTGATTCTGTCGTGGTACTGGGCAACGAGGTCGCGGAAACCGACGAGGATGTAGAGTACGATCAAAAAGTCTACGTGGTTCACGAAAACGAGCACGGCCACGTCGAGTTCCATGAAAGCTACGACATTGCACCTGCCTTCGGAAACGTCCTTAGAAACCCAAATTACTACAAATGCATCTTAAATGACTTGATGACGTCCGTTCCTCACCTTTACATCATTGCCTCGGCCACGTCACCAGAAGTCACAATTCTTGACGAGAAAGAAGTGCTCCAGCCCAGTCAGGATAGCGATCGTGCAGTTCTGCCCATAAATAAGGAAACCGATAACGACACAAATCCTATCGGACTGGCAATTGATCTGACCGCAGCTGAGCAAATTCCGGAACCTTGTCAGGGCGTTGACTTTGCTACCGACTTGCCATTGGCTCTAGTGCTTAACAATGAGGGCCATCTGTCAGTTTTTGCATTATTTCACAGCTCAGGAATCAAGGACAACAAGTTCTCCACCAAAACCTGTTTAGAAAGCTTGAAAAAATCCTACGAGTTAAATCAGCAATCATCAGCCCAGGTCGAGCTAGGCAAAGGTCCTGGTAGTGACTCATCACTGGGCACAAGCCTAAACTCGCCTCCTAGTGACAGCAAAAGCACCAGTGAAAAATCTGAAAGCAAGCCGCTGTTGCCTCACAATGTCTCATCGGATACTAAACCTGCATTTTTTTCCCCAGCTACCACCAGCTCTGCTGGACAGAATGTGTTCGGCCAATCGCCGTTTGGATTCAAACCCACAACGTCTGGACAAGGTAGTTCTGAGAACTCGCCCTTCGGATTCGCTTCAACAAATCTTAATAATGGCTCATCCTTTGGGTTTGGTTCTACGAATAATAGCAAGTCATCTTCCGCCTTCGGCAAGCCTAACTTCGGGTTTGGCGAGAAGGCAACTTCAGCGTTTGGTAAACCTGAATTCTCCTCGTGGCAAAACCAAGGCAGTACCAATAACTCGTTGACTCAAAAAGCACAAGACAATATTTCGAACCCTACCTCTACCCCATCAGTTTTTGGAAAGCCCGAGTTTGCTTCTGCTGAGTTGAAAAAAGGTCCTTTCGGTGTGCCTGAGGCGGTGGCAAAGCCAGTTACTCAAGGAAGCTCAGATAAGGGTGTTTTTGGCAAACCACAGTTTGCCGTGCCAGCTGCTGGAAGTTCACCATTTGGAAACTTTTCGACAAAGGCAGGTGAGGCCAGCAGTCTTTCGACTGATAAGAAACTACTCGGAGGTGGCGGCTTTGCCTCATTCGCAACGCCAGGATCTCCGTTTGCCAATGTTGGCAAGACTTCTTCTCCATTCGGTGATATCTCCTTCCCACCTAACTCAGCTGCGTCCCCTTTCGCGAAACCAAAGGATAAGTTAGATGAACATTACCAGACTTCAAGCCCTTTCTCATCGTTTCAGAATATGACACCTGCGGCGACTTCCTCAAAACAAAAAGCCGAGAAGGTTGTGGGCATAGTGGAATCGGATGGTAAGACAGAAACGGATGGTGAGAACAAGAGTAATTCTGATGACAGTGAAACTAATCAGTCTTCCAATTCAGACGAAGAGAGTCCTAGCGAAAGCGAAAACTTGGTGTCAGAAGAACTCGACTCTAATTCCATAGCAACTGCTACATCGGATAGCAATCTGGGAGACTCTAGCAATGAGGATAAGAAATCCTCTAATAGCGAGCCACTGTTAGATTTTAGCTCTTTGGCAGAAAGGATCAAAAAGGTCGCTAACAATGACGTAGAATCAGGCCTCGATCATATACCATCAACTTCCCCAAGGCCGGTGGATAAAAATGAAGCATCCAATTCAGTTTTTTCAAAATACACAGATACTCTGAGCAAAGGTACACCTCCTGCATTCTCCTTTGCAAACCTTGCAAAGCAAATGCCTAAATTCGGTGATAATGCTTTCACATCGTCTGCAAACATTGATAAAAGTGAGAATGAAGTGTCAAACAAGATAGAGCCAAAAACCTTAGAGGGCAAAGGCCATCTTGGACGTGGCTCTGCGTCTCGCGACTTGGACAATGAAGTTGATGACCTGTCTACTAGCAAGATCAATGAGGTTTCATCGGAATTCGAAGCTGCTGAAGGACAGGGTGCTGATGGAACAAAAGATTCTTTTGACAGCGATGAAGACGATGATGAAAATAATTCAGAGCTTTCTCATCAAAAGTTTATCCCTGAAGCAGCCACAAGCGAAACAGTTGCAATTACCCACGAGCTCGACAGCGAGGGGCCTTCGCCTTCGCGAGAGGACACCAAAGAGGATTCTGACATGGCTTTTAATGATGATTCGCTTATCAATGTTTCAGATGGAGGGCTTCCCACTAAGAAGTCCGGTGATTCTACTGAGAACGAGTCATTTGATGAACTGGACGATTTGAAAGAAGAGTTGGATCAGATTAAAACTGGAAAGGAGCAATTGAGCAGTGCTGTTCCCAAACATGTTCCCATTGAGCCACAATCGGCCACCATCAACAAGAGCTATCAGACTCAGGAAATTGAAACGTCAAGCAATGGAACGCAGACATGTCCATTAGTTGAAGATGCTGTTGTAGTGACAGATTCAATTGAGACGAAAGAGTTTGAGGTACAAAGCTTTGAAGATGACGAAGTGTATCTAGCAGAGCAACACAAACCAGCAGCTTTGGCAGCTTTCTACACGGGAGCCAAATTATCTTCAAAGCAAGCTGAGCACCCAAATCAAACTCTGAATAGAATTGAGGTCACTTTCAATGTCGTTTCCGCAGAAATTGATGTTCTTGAGACAAATTTGAAGAATATCAGATCTTTCTTAAGCGACCAAAGCTCCAAACCCTTTTCCAGAACTCAGGATTCCTTGCATCAAATTTACACATGGCGTTTGGAAGAGGCTGAAGATCTCAATTCTATCGTTGATGAAATGAGAGCCGATGTTAAAACTAGTGTCGAAGATGTTTCCACCCTCTTCTCTAAAACCCAAGAATTGTTACGTGTGGACCTGACAGATCTAGAGGAGTCTCGGTTTTCAGCTAGAACCCAGTTTGAACAGCTACAAGCGCTCTATAAGGAAAACAAATGGGTAGAGGGGGGACTAACGCTACATCAAACGCAGATCCAACGCCGTTTAAGAAATAAGATGTCGGTTGCACAAAGGCGAATTGAGAGCATTGAGGACATTTTACGACTACTGAAGTCGTATTTTTCGACAGATGACATAACTAAAGCACCTATGGTGACGAAAATTATTCATGAGAGCCTGCAAAGGAATGATTTGCTGGACGCTATAAGGTCGTTACGAAAGGAAGTGGCAGAACTGAAGATTAAAGATCGTAATATCTCTGAGCTTTCAGAGTCAGATCGTGCTTTACAGACTGCCCCCATTAGCGAATTAAAGATGAAGCTTGATACCAAAAGACAAATGGGCGCGCTCTTCGCAAAAAAGAGTGTGGAGTAAAAAATAATGTACGGAATCTTCTAGTTAAGACAGGTCAGAAATACATAGACTTATCTCGCGAGGCTGTCTAGAGTCTTGGCAAATTCTTTTACCAGGTAGTCATTTTCTTTTTTGGTCCCAACTGTTATCCTCAAACAACCAGCGCACCCATACTCAAGGCCTCTAAATCTGGTGACAACTTTGGATTCTGAAGCTAGTTTATGATAAAGCACCTTGGCAAGCTCATTACAGGGTTTGTTATCGGGGCCCAGAATTCTTACCATGATGAAATTGGCATCTAGACCACCAACTTGCGTGTCTGCGACATGCTTCAAGGAGGTGAGATCTTTCAACAAACGACTTCTTTGCTCAATAACTTCTTGTACAGAGTTTTTCATGATAAAGATAGATTCCGGTTCCATGGCGCGTAGGGCAATCTCTGACGCCAAAGATGAGATATTGTATGGAGCTTTCATTGCATTCAAAACCTTTGCCAGTGGCTTTGACGCAAACGTCAAACCAAGCCTGACACCTGCCAAACCAAACGATTTGGATAGTGTCTGCAGTACTGCCACATTTGGATACTTATTGACAAGAGGAGCTGCAGACCCCCCAGTGACGGCGAAGTCGATGTACGCTTCATCGACGACCACGATACCAGATTGCCACTGAGAAGCTAGAGCCTCGATACTCTTGGGATCCACTAGTGCAGCGGTAGGGTTTCCTGGCGAGGTGATGAAAACCAGCTTAATTTCGGGGTCCTTGTTTAGAGTGTCCAACACCGCGGGTAGATCCATTTGAAACGAATTGTCCTCGACAATTAAAGGCACTTTAACGAGGCCCACATCATTTATGTCGGAGCAAACCGAGTACATGCCGTAAGTTGGAGGCATCGCCAAGATCTTCTCTTTTCCGGGAACGCAGCACGCACGTATCAAAGCATCGATGCTCTCGTCTGATCCGACACCAAGACATATGTTTTCTGGAGTCAGAGGGTCCAGATTTTCACTCTTGAAACTGGACTGCGTATTTCTCAAATCTGCAATTTTGGTCTTGAATTCCACCTGGTGAGGGTCTGGGTATCTATTCAGTCCCGCACAGCTTTCTGCTTCTTTGAGTGTGGGCCCGTGTGGATTTTCATTGGCATCTAGAAGAATACCCTCTTTAAAGTCGTCTCTGGCGCAACGGTAAGGCTTCAGATTCAAAATTTTGGGTCTAACAATTTTGGTGAGGTCAAAATTCATTGTAAAGTTGCGAGTCGCACGCTTGGCAGATAGAATTGGATGACTTTTGTCGATGACTTTTGTCGAATTTTAGCCCAGTCTTGAAGGCTTTAAGTATGGTATTCTTGAAATAAGAATACGCTTAGGATTTTCAAGCCAAACTTTATAGTGACTCATGGTCGCATCATACGGCTCGACAGAGAAACATGAAGTGTAAAGGTCCGATAGGCCATTGTAAAGAGCACCGGAATGGCTTCAAGACCTGTTTATCGTGTGGATGACTAGTTTTTGCGAGTTATGAGCTTTTCCCCCGAACCCAAAAGTCAAATTCATGGTAGACTTTATCAGATTTTGCAGCTGCACGATTTCTTTTTTGGTTTTGTGACCTTGACGACGGCCAGCAGCCGTCGAGCTTCACACATTCTTACTTGAAAGTTTTTGTTTTTCTATCACATCCTTTTTATCTCTCATCTTCTCAATTTCACGATACCAGCTGGGAGGCAGCGCCCTCTGGTTTCTCCTCGTGACGCGAGGTTTTATCCTGTAGTTTCACAAAGTCCGGCACCGACTCCCTTGTCACATTCAGGTCCGTTTCAAACATCGTGATAAACTCGAGGTCCACGCCGCCCTTGAGTCCCCCGCTGAAAATATCGTATTCCTGGTAGATCCCCGTGGTTGACCATCCTTGCAGAAGTTTCCGTATAATTCCCACAACCACGCCCACACGGTGCTTGCCCTTGTTGGAGTGGATCAGGATCGGGTAGTTGCGTTTGTCCAAGATTTTCAATAACACCTGCTTCATCTGTTCGTTAATATTGGCGTCGCGACACGACTCAACGTGCACAAACTCGTACACGATGTTTTGCGACTCCAGGAAACCCCTGTAGTCTTCTGAAACGTCTTTATCCCCCACATAGATCACCGTTTTCAGCTGCAATTGATCTGCAATAAACGGGTAGTTCAGTGGCATCGGATATCCAGATCGATAAAGTGACACCTCCGTACTCACCACAGGAGCGAAGTTCAAAGGCGGTATATATACCATTCTATATAAGCTTATAATACCTATGAAGTAAGGTCCTAAAGCGAGCCAATGGTCTCTTTTATATGTCGAAAGTCAGTGTTGATGTTAAGTTCGAGTATTTATGTTTATTTATATATCTTATTTACTAAATATATATTATATAAAAATCTTGAGATGAGCTCAGATTTGATCCGTTACACAACTGTTGAAAAAGTGTCATTGAGGAGCAGGTAGGCCTGCAGTGACGAAGTGAGTATTTGCAGCTTATAAAACGGAGCTAGAATGTCGATTACAGAGGTTTTGGAGCGTGGACTGCCCTCTTTGGGGCAAGGATCAACGGCTTCCAACAGCAGTGAGTCAGGGTCTGGTTCGACGTCGAGCTCTTCTTATTCGACTCCAACCATCACACCACCTTCAATAGCGGGGAATCCGCATATATGGCGATCTGGGAAACCCGCAGGAACCGTTTTCATCGCGATGGGCTCGGTCGTGGGGTTCATTCTGGCGGCCATCGTACTAATGTATTTTGTTTCGGCGTACATCTCGCACAGAAACGCCAAAAAACAGCGGTACGACGCAATCGACCATGAGTTCCAGGCACACATCAGCAAGAGCGCAGGAACAGAGTTCTTCAACTCGGAAAAAAATCAATATTCGGACAAATTATCGTCCCAGATGCCCATGCTCTCGAACCACAGCATGGTACGCATGCTCGACCCGCAGGGACCGGAAAGACTATCACCAAGCATCACAAATATGGGCTCTCAGTTGACGGTGGCGCAGGAGCCCTATTCTCTGCTACAGGGCCAAAACGCCGCAGCACAAAATCGCCAGTCGTTGTTCATTTCGCCCACGGTCGAGGTCGTGAACCAGCAGCGGAGAAGCATGTTCATGCCAGGCACAAACGCATCGTCGTCTTCTCTGGTGTCGGAAATCAGTCCCGAACTGAACCGGCCCGAAAGAGCCGCTTCTCCAGAACGCAAAAAAGGTCATCAAGCCAGATCAAAGTCCAATCTCGGCTCGACCGTGGCTTCCGCTAAGAGTAGCTCTCCGTCTCCCGAAAACTCGCAGGCACGGGCGACTCCTTTTCAAAGAGCCGAGGCGCCGTCCATGTATCTCGAGAAGCTGCTCGAGGACGACTAGAGAGGTAACAGACTTCGTTTTTAAACATACACAAACAGCTCCAAAAAAGGGCTCCAAAAGAGTGCTCAAAGAAAGGGCTATAAAGTGCCCCTCACGCCCTGCTGAAAGACACAACATGCCCGCATTTCTCTCATTTTTAAACTGTTATTACGGTATTAGCATATTGATACACTTTTTCTAGATGCCTATTGAATGATAGCGCGACGTGAATACGATTGAAGTTGTTTTCATTTTTCCCCAGCAATTCGGCAATTCACATAACCGAGCACTTGCTGCTGCTTTTGCTCTCTTCCTGGCTGCCCTCCCGGGCACCCTTAGGATGCGCTGTCAAAGCGCACCTGGCGGCCTCTGTGAAGGCCTCGTTCACGCCGCGATTCATCTTGGCGCTGCACTCCAGGTACCTCAGCGCGCCGATTCTCTTGGCCATGGCCAAACCTTCGTCATACGACACCAGTCTGGCTCCTTCCCTGGCATTTGCTGGTTGCTGCTGCTGTTGCTGCTGAATGTTGCCTGGCGTAATGGCTGACTCCAATGCGAACTCGTCCGTGTTGTTTCTCAGATCGCATTTCAGAGCCACCAGTACCAGTTTGACGCCCTCGCAGTGGTCGGCAATCTCTCCAACCCACTTGTGCTGCACGTTATCGAGCGAGTCGCGTGAGTCCACCGAGAAGCACAGCATGATAGTGTGCGTGTCCGAATACGACAGAGATCGCAACCGGTCGAATTCCTCCTGGCCCGCAGTGTCCCAAAGACTCAGAGTAATGTGCTGGCTATCGACAAAGATGTCGTGTATGTAGTTTTCGAATACCGTGGGCTCGTACACTTTTGGAAAGTAGCCCCGAGTGAACACGTTCAATAACGAGGTCTTACCGCACGCACCGTCACCCAAAATGACAATTTTACGCTCGATGGGCTTCTTAGAGCTACTGGAACCACCACACAATGGCATTTTCTGTTTAAATCCTTCTATCTGTTCAAATATTCGCGAATCAAGCTCAAATCAAACCTGCCACTTTTCCAGCTGTGATTGAACGAAATTCAAGTCTCGATATTTCGACTAAAGCCCTTACTTATTAAATCAAATTTCCAGACTTGGTTTCACACCAAAGTTCCCAAAGGTCAGCTCTCTTTTAGTCGTTCTTTCGAATATTTCAAGCGATTGTTGTGTTTAACAACTTCAACTATTTCAAATATCGAATGTTTTTAATTAATTCTTGACTTTATAAAATAGATCAACAAGAATAACAACTGGACAAAAAATATCGTGAAATCGTCTGTTTATCCCGTAAATACTTCATTTCATGCCTTTTTGAGGCCAATACGCTCGAAAAATCTGAGAGCGACATCAATGGCTTTTTATCCCAGTTTTCAGCGTGTCTAGAAGTGCCCTGGTCGTCGTGCTGTGGATATAAACGTAATTAGGCTTTTGTAGAGAATTTGAGGTCAAAAATGCTCGACACTCATGTTTTTGAGCGGCCTTGAGCCATTGAAGCTGTGAGAGGAAGAAGCACTAGTTTTGTGCTTGATACAGCGCGAGAATTGTCGCGTCTTGATGTCGTGGCCCTTAGTTTCAATCTCAACGGAAACTTAATGACAGCGTCATTAATGGGTTCCAAAATAATAATATCCGCGAAAATACTTGGGAACAGGGAGAGGACTGGGCTTGAGTCAATGACATGTAACATAAAAACGTATGCGAGGTTTTGTGTGGGGTTTTGGGAACTCGTTTATGTGTCAAAGCGCTCTGCGAAGCGAGCCATCTGAGAATACGGCGATCTATTGAAATCCGACACAACGCCGCAACTAATGGTCTTCAAAAAAAGAACTGCATCGTGTACGCTGAAAACTCTTTTTGACGGCAACAACAGCCAAAAGCATCACCATCTTCTCAAATTTACCAATGATCTTTCATTTCCCATTGCCAAGACCACAGCCCAAAAAAAACAAAACAGAACATAATGGTAACGACCCAGCACAACGCTCCACACAATTATCACACCAACCTAAATCTCTCTACATGCCATTTTTTCCAATACGCGATCGCTATGTGCGTTCGCCCATCTCACGTTCCCAGGGCTTTTGCGAGTGCTTTTTTTTCATGGGTCCAAAGAAATCGTGTCAGCCTGGTCCACAGTTTAGCTCGACTCGGTAACTCGAGAACTTCTCAAATATTTGCCCGACGATAAATCGTGTACCGCAGTGGATAGCTATTCCAAGCACCAGTGAAATCATTTTTCATGTGACTAGAATGGCCTCGAAACCCAACAAGCAGCTTAAACGACACCAAAATTGGACTCGTATAGATAACCGCCCTAATGAGAGTCAGCCTACAGCGTGTCAATCGTGTGTTTGATCTGCGTTCGTTGGGTGCCAAATCACCGAAATTATGACATTCACACAACTGTTGTACAATTATTGTTGGAATTCCAAACCAGCGTGTCCAAATCGTTTAACTTCCCACACCGAGTTCACCAGCGATGACGGTCAATACCCCCATTTGTCGTGGCGCATTTCGAACCGCTCAGCAGATACATTTCTGTATTTATTTGGCGCCAATCTTGCTCTGAAGTCGCGCTCGATATTCTTCTAAAAGAAGTACACTATTTTACCAAAATCAAATATTTGAAAATGAAGCCCGAAACTGAAAACGAGTTATGCCATATTTTGCTGACAGAGCTGCTAGCCTATCAGTTTGCTTGGCCTGTCAGATGGATTGAGACCCAAGATGTCTTGTTGAATCAATTTCAGGCGGAAAGACTAATCGAAATTGGACCGCAACCAATCCTGGCAAACATGGCCAAAAGAACACTTGGTCAAGCTGCAAACTACGAAAATGCCACATCCATAGCGGCACGCCGGCAAGTACTCTCTGTAGCTACGAGCATGGATGAAATCACTTACCGGTACGATCCGCCCGTGAAAGATGAGGCAACTGGAGGCGCTGGCGCCCTAGAGGAGCCTGCAAGGACCAAAATCGACGTCTGCGCCATGGTCGAGAGTGTAAACATTGACGTTAACCAACCGGCACAGCAAGCAGCCCAAACCTCACTACAGCAGTTTGCTGATGCACCAGGTATTACCCCGGACCTGGCTCTCAGGTTTCTCATCTCTCGCAAAATGAACAACTTCGATATACAGTCGTTGCCAGTGGACAAGTCCATCAAAGAGATTTGCAATGGAAAATCAACCCTTCAAAACGAAATAGTGGGCGACCTTGGCAAAGAGTTTCCAGAGCTGCAAAGCGCTCACCAAATTGAGGAGATGCCTATTAATTCGATATCAAAAGAAGCTGCGCTATCCTGCGAGCCACCAAACGAGTTTGGTCCGTTAACTGTTGATGCTGTCTCTAAATTTATGCCTCGCAAATTTGCAGGGGACCTCTGCAGCTTAAGTAACGTCAAGCAGTATTTGAAGACGACATGGAATGTCCAAACAAGCTCTGGTATACTGTTGTTCATGGCATCTGCAGATCTAAAGGAACGGCTTTCTACCGAGGAAGAGACCAAACGGTTCATCGATGAAAGCTGTGCAGCGTATGCTAAAATGTGCAACGTCAACCTCACTGTAAGAAGTTCCAAAGCCTCAGGTCCGGACGGGGGAATTCCAGCTGAAGATTCTGAGGCTGAGAAAATAAAAGTCGTTGATATTGAGAATTATTTGGCCTTTGAAAGTGATCTGTTGCAATTGCATAACCAACAACACCAGATATTGACCCAGCATTTGAAAACGTCTGATGGAAAATCTGAGATTGACATGTTAAAAGCAAAATTGGCAAAAATGGAAGGGAAACTGTCTGCAATCGAGGAAGAGTTTGGGGCCGACCTCATCAACAATTCCTTGCAGCAATCATTTTCACCTCTGAAAATTAGAAATTTCGACTCTGCTTGGAACTGGGCAAGGCAGTCCATCCTCATGCTGCTTCAGGCTGCGCACAGGGAACCCCAAAGATTAGCACAAATTTTAAACCCAACTATTGTTCAGAATATTGCAAATAGGGCCGACGCAAGTGTGATCAGAATCATACAGTACTCATTGAATAACAATGATTATGACCCAGTCGTGAAAAGAACGTTTGAAAAAGTGATCAGTTTCTGCTTGCAAGAGATCTCAAAATCACCGCTTTACCGTGTAAAGAACTTTGATTCCACTCAGTCTAGACTTCTATGTCACTCGCAAAACTCAACTCAGTACATCAAAGAGATATCTTTGGCCACGGCGGCCTCTACCACAGAGCCTTCATCATTTTCCACACGTTTAAACAGCGACATGAGCAGCTACTACAAAATTGAGAAACAGCTATTTCAAGTGTATTCGAAAATTATCCAGTATTCATTGACATCGAATAATTCACCTTCTAGTATACGGTCGCAATTCGAAACCGTCTACGAACAGTTGCTAATTTTCCTCAGAAATTCTGATCATGTAGCGTCATTCTTCAGAGGTATCGTCAATGAAGCTGTACGGTCCGTCAACAAGACGTTGATAACAACAAAAGACGATGATCTAGATGTTGTCATCAATGATAGTGAGATTCTGTCATCCGATGATGAAGATGAAGATCCCAAACATGCGGAAAAGAATCAGGTTGCACCCAACGTCAAGATTCCTACTGGTATCGTACCATTTCTTCATCTAAAAAAGAGATCCAATGTATCCGGAGAGTGGAACTACGATAAGCAGCTTACACAAACGTATCTCAACAATTTGGCAAGAATAGCACAAAACGGTATTTCCTTTTTCAATAAAAGGACGTTGATCTTTGCAACGGACGCCAAGGACAAAATCGCTTTGGAGGTCATACGCGCTCTTCTACAAGCGGGTTCAATAGTTGTGATTGCCAGCGAACGTTTTGATCGCGAAACATGTGAAATCTTTCAGAAGTGCTATCAGAATTACGGGGCTACCGGGTCAGAGCTGACCGTCCTTCCATTGAATATGAGCTCCAGAATTGACGTGTCGAGGTTTTCGGCGCATTTGTTTTCCAAGGTTGGCGACATAGACTTTTTTTTGCCGTTGCACGTTAGAACAACTCCAGGATCAATACTTGACTATACTTCTGGTGCAGAGCTTGCGCATAGATCCTCAAGCGTTAACTTGCTGCGATTCCTGGGCAGTATTGTGAGGGAGAAGAGACTACTTGGCATAGAAACAAGGCCCACGCATGTCCTCTTGCCGCTATCACCTAATCACGCAAATGTGTATGAGAAATCTAACTTCAGAGATACGTTCATGGCTCTGGTTCTTCAAAAGTGGTACGACGAAGATTGGTCTGCCGAATTGAGTATCTGCGGTTGCGTATATGGATGGACTCATGATGATGATGGTGACGTCATTGCGCAAGGCTTGGAGAGAATGGGTATTCGTACATTCGCAAACAAGGAAATGGCATTCAACATGCTAGGACTCTTGACTTATGATGTGGTGTTCAATTCTCAAGATAGTCCATTGATTGCAGATTTAAATGGAGGTTTGCAAACTCTACCGAACCTGAGCTCACTTGTAGCTAAGCTCAAACATGACTTCCAATCGAGGGAGAAGATCGAAGAGGCTGTAAGCAACCAGCATTTGTCTGACAAAAAGCTTCTTGGTTATAGCTCCGTCCAATACACAGAAGTTAAACCTAGGGGAACTGGGCATCTGCAGTTTCCAGCTCTTCTGCCCTACAATGAACTCAGTGACAAATTCCATGGCGAAAATCTGGCAGGGCTTCTTGATCTATCGAGCGTTGTTGTCGTAACCGGGTTTGGAGAGCTCGGACCATGGGGAAGTGCAAGAACACGCTGGGAAATCGAAAAAAATGAAACTTTCTCTTTGGAGGGATGTATTGAAATGGCAGCTATCATGGGTATGATTGAGTACTCCAAGATTGACGACGGCAAGGGTTGGGTTGATTGCGAGACGCGAGAACCAGTTGAAGAATTCGAAATCAAGGAAAAATACGAAAGTCGAATTCAGGAACATTGTGGAATAAGATTTGTAGAGCCCGAGCTCTTTCAAGGTTATGACCCACATAAAAAGCAGTTTCTCCACGAAATTGTATTGACCCATGACCTAAGTCCGGTTACAATGTCACTCGAGCAAGCGGAACAATACAAGCTGCTTCACGAAGACAAAGTTGAAATCTACCCTGCGAACAACGAAAGCGAGTGCAGAATTAAGTTTTTAAAGGGATGCTGCCTCATGATTCCAAAGGCAATTAAGTCGGATCGATTTGTGGCTGGTCAAATCCCCACTGGGTGGGATCCGGCCTCCTTTGGTATTCCGGATGACATAGTTTCTCAAGTCGACCCGGTTACGCTTTACGCCTTGGTCGCGACGGCAGAGGCGCTTATAACATCCGGCATTAAAGACCCATATGAGTTTTACAAATATGTTCACGTCTCGGAAGTTGGGAACTGTTCAGGCTCAGGTCTCGGTGGTATGAAATCCCATCGTGAAATGCAGAAGAATCGCTTCAAGGATCAGGATGTCCAATCTGATATCCTGCCCGAGACTTTTGCCAACGTAACGGCTGCTTGGATCAACATGTTACTTTTGTCATCCTCGGGGCCAATAAAAACACCTGTTGGTGCGTGCGCCACTGCTGTTGAGTCCCTTGAAAATGCAGTTGAAACTATTCTCTCCAAGAAAGCTAGAATTTGCATTGCTGGTGGATGTGATGACTTTGAGGAACACATTGCTCATGAATTTGGAAATATGGGAGCAACTTCTAACTCAGCAATGGAACTAGAGCGCGGAAGAGAGCCTAGCGAAATGTGTAGACCGGCTACCTCGACTCGTAATGGTTTCATGGAATCACAAGGTGCAGGGATGCAAATTTTGATGTCCGCAGATCTTGCAATTGAGATGGGTGTTCCGATCTACGGAGTAGTCGCAATGGCATCCACGGCATCTGACAAAATCGGAAAATCTCTTCCTGCACCGGGCCAAGGTATATTAACATGTGCAAGGCAAACCAACGCCAAACCAACTAGGGAAAGCCCAAAGTTGAGCGCTAAGTACAGACAACATCAACTAAGTCAGCGTTTGACAGAGATCAAACAATGGGCCGAGACTGAGATTGCCGAGGGAATGGATGCTGACTTTGTTGATCAACTTGCCAAAACTCAGCGGGAAGAGGCTAAAAAACACTGGGGTAACACTTTTTGGCACAATGATTCCAGCATCTCCCCAATCAAAGGCTGTCTTGCTACGTTTGGGTTGACAATTGATGACCTTGCTGTTGCTTCCTGTCACGGAACGTCCACGAAAGCCAATGAAAAGAACGAGTCTCAAATATTGAACACCATGATGACGCATTTGGGAAGAACAGAAGGAAACCCAGTTCTCACGGTTTTCCAAAAATACCTGACCGGCCATCCAAAAGGTGCCGCTGGAGCATGGATGGCCAACGGAGTTTTGCAATATATGCAAGATGGTTTGGTGCCAGGGAATAGAAATGCAGACAATATCGACAAAGAATTTGCCCAGCATGATCATCTAATATATCCTTCTGAGAATTTGAACGTCGGCACAATCAGAGCCGCTTGCTTGACATCATTTGGGTTTGGCCAAAAGGGCTCCATGGCAGTTATGGTTAATCCTAACTTTGCTCTGGCTGCGCTTTCTGGGCAGCAATATCAGGAATACACTACTAAAGTGACCAAGAGAGCCAGGGAAGCTCAACGTCATTTCTCCGATGCTCTCATCAACCACACAATATGCTCTATCAAGAGTAGAAGTCCTTTCAGCGACAAGGACGAGGAGAATGTCTACTTAGACCCGTCTTCAAGAGCTGACGACACACTCAAAATTAGCATCACTTAAACTTGGTCAAATTTGAAGGTTCGAGTGTCGTTAAAACAACAACAGAATACTTAAGCTTCTATATAAAATCAACACGCATATAAGTCTCTCACAATCGAGTATTCCGTCGCTACGGAAAGCTCAGTGAAATGGTGTTTTCTAGTTTAGCTAATTGAGATGTGAATTAAAATGTGAATTAACACATTTTTTAATAATTTTTCAAATCATGAACCTATGAACATTTTGATGTCTATCAACAACTTCAAGACTCTAGTCGACGTGCACTTGCCTTGAGCTTAACATCTAATTGTCTCTCACAATGTCTCGAGACACAAGTCTCGCACCGTTGACAGCCTATCCGTTGAGGGAGCCAGATCTATCACGAGAGGGAGAACCATTTGATGATCCAGCATCATATAATCCAGAGACACCAATCGCTATTGATTTTGGGTCGAGTCATGTCAGAGCTGGATTTGGAAACCAAGAAAACCCAACGCATATCTTTTCCAATCGCATTGCGAGATGGAGGGACCGGCGACGGAACAAAAACCTTACGTTCATTGGGAACGACACTAATTTGGATCTGAGTGTGCGATTGCAGGCGAAGAGCCCATACGACGGCGCACTAGTGTCCAATTGGGATTATACCGAGGAAATTCTGGAGTACACTTTCCATCATCTGGGAGTGGACGGACAAAACGGGGTTCCCAACCCCATTTTAATGACAGAAAATCTAGCTGCGCTCCAGTCACAGAGACGAAACTTCTACCAATTGCTCTTCGAGTGTTTTGGTTCCTCGCAGGTCACTTTTGGTCTCGATAGTCTTTTCTCCTTCTATGCCAACAACAGCCCCTCGGCTTCGGGATTGGTTATCAGCAGCGGTAACGAGAATACGCATGTGATACCTGTGGTCGATGGTCAAGGCATATTAGGTGAGGCTAAGCGAGTAAACTGGGGCGGCAGGCAAGCCACCGACTATTTGTCAAACCTATTGGCCCTGAAATACCCTTACTTCCCCATAAAACCTTCCACCTCACAATTCGAAGCGCTTTATCAAGACTACTGCTATGTATCAGAGGATTATCAGGCTGAAATCCAAACGATTCTTACCATGGAGGAATTGGAAACCAAAAACGTCGTTATAGAGGCGCCGTTTTCCGAGCTGGTTCAGCCAGAGAAAAGCGAGGAACAACTTCGAATGCAGGCCGAGAAGCGGAGAGAAACTGGAAAGAGATTACAAGAGCAGGCCCGCCAAAGGCGTGTTGAAAAGCTGGCTCAGAAAGAAGAGGAATATGAATATTACACGCAATTAAAGGAACAAATGAAAGATCAGCCAAAAAAGACAGTTCTTTCGAGTTTACAAAGTGCTGGTTTCGACGATGAGCAAGACTTTCGCAAATACCTAAATGGTTTGGAAAAGACTTTAAAGAAGGCGCAAATTCTTGAAAACGGTGACGAAGAGAATGAAAATGACGCTGGCAAGTTTGATCTGGTTGAAATTCCTGATGAGCAGCTCAATGAAGAACAGATACGGGAAAAGAGGAAACAACGGCTGATGAAGGCTAATCTTGATGCGAGAATCAAGGCTAAAGAAGAAAGAATCAAAAAAGAGCAAGAGGAAGAGGAGGCCAAACTAAAAGATGAAAGCTGGCGCAAGGATGATCTCCCAGGCTGGATAAAAGACAAGCGAGGTAAACTGAACGGCTTGCTGAAATCTAGAAAGGAAAAGTTGAAAATAAAATCGGACATGAAAGATAGAAAGTCGCATGCTGCACAAAAACGGATGAAAAATATTGCCACCCTCGCAGAGGAAAATTCTCGAGGAGGCACGAAAAGATCTCGCCAGCCAGCGACAGTAGACAACGATCCTAATGACACATTTGGAGCAAATGATGAGGACTGGCTAGTATACAACGACATTACTTCTAGTGCAGAAGCACTCGATCAGTCTCTCGAAGAAGAGTACAATGTCATCATTGAACTTGAGAGACTCCTTTTGGAGTATGACCCAAATTTTACGGAGGAAGACACCTTGGATGCTCAGTACGACTGGCGAAACTCTACCCTTCATCTCTTCTTGAGGGGTCCAAGAGCCCATAATAGCGAGAATATTAATGAACAGCACCAAATGCATCTCAATGTTGAACGAATCAGAGTCCCAGAGGTAATTTTTCAACCGTCGATGGGCGGTTTGGACCAAGCCGGAATATCTGAGATAGGTGAAACAATACTTCTGAATAAGTTTGGCTCGAGCAGGCGAGCGTTAAGCGAAGTTTCCAAGCGATTGGCTATGAACATTTTTCTTACAGGTGGAAACGTTAAGGTTCCTGGCACAAGAGAAAGAGTGGTTCGTGATTTTACAGGAATTCTCCCGCTTGAAACCAAGCTGAATGTCACATTGGCCAAGGATCCGTTCGTTGATGCATGGAGGGGAATGGCCAAACTCTCGCAGTCGGACACTTACAAGGAAACTTTTGTGACGCGAAAGGAGTATTATGAGTACGGCGCGGACTACATAAAGGAGCATCGGCTCGGTAATGCTACATACATTTAAACAAAGCACAAGATCACGTAGGGCAAAGAACTGCTTCCTTTAATTTGCTTATGAAGTTTCAATTATGACATTGATGGATACTATATATACATTTACACGGAGTGCTTCAGAAGTTATGCAGATTTGTGAGATTAGTTTTTAGCGGTGCTCTTCTTGGCATTAGGATCAATACCCTTTTTGAGAAGACCAATTTTCCTAGATTTCTCGATGTACTTTTCATCCTCCTCGTTGCCGAAGTCAGCAAAGTCATCGTGGATGATACCTTCCTCCACGGCCTCAAGTCTGGCGGCTCTCTCCTTTTCTCTCGCATTAGCTTGGTTATCATCGTGTTTAGAAGAAGCAACCTTCTTGAACTTGGCTACAAAGAAACCATCAACGTTGTAGACATGAGGGTAGTATCTTCTAGCCAGCTTGACGCTTGGGTGGAACTTTTTGCCTCTGTAGCTCACGAATGCCTCCTTACCGATTGCTAATCCAGCGTCAACCAACTTAACATTTGGTCTTTTTCTCAAAGCGTAGTCGACAACAGCTTCGTTCTCATCTACCGCCACAGAACAAGTCGAGTAAACGATCACACCACCCGTCTTAGAGTTGGCATCCACCGAGTCGATTGCAGATAGTAGCAACTGTTTTTGCAGATGTGGAATTTGCATAAAGTCCTTTTCAGAACGATTAACTTTAACCGACTGATCTTTTCCAATAACACCTGTACCAGAGCATGGGGCGTCCAGTAGAATTCTATCAAAACCACCAATTACTTTTGGAAACTCGCGAGCGTCGTAGTTACACACAATTGTGTTGGTGCAGCCTAGACGATGAATATTGGCAATAAGAGACTTGGTTCTGGCCTTGTTAGCGTCGTTGGCAAAAACGCAGCCCGTGTTTTTCATCATGGCCGAGATGTAAGTTGTTTTTCCTCCAGGCGCAGCAGCCATGTCCAGAATTCTCTCGTTTTCGTGAGGGTCAAGAGCAATGACCGGTAAGAAAGAGGACGCAGCTTGAAGAATATACTGGCCAGCCAAATACTCGGGGGTTGCACCGATGGGTACTTGAGAATCGAAAATTTGTAGACCGACTTTAGTCCACGAACCGATGGGTTGCAAGTTAACACCACGGTTTACCAAAGTTTGAGCCAGGTCTCTTCTTCTTGTCTTCAAACTGTTGGTTCTGATGGTGATAGGTCTGGCAATTTCGTTGGCCTCGAAAAACTCTATGGCTTCGGTAGGTGAAAAGAGGTTGAAAAGCTTTTCGGCCAAAAATGGTGTGTATCCGAAATATTCGCAGAGATCTTTGATCAGACGATCCACATACTCGCTTCTAGAACGTCCCTCTGCACCTAAGTTCTTGAAATCCTCAAGGACCTTGACAATTTCGAGCATACGTGTCCGAACTGCTGTCAGGTCAGTTGGCTGTCCAGCTAGGGCTTCCTCTTCTTCTGGAGTTGGCAAAATTTGGGCTCTTGGCTGCAACTGCGCCGCTTCGACAAGTTCTGCCTCTGCCTCTTCTTCTTCCAAAGCTTGTTCAGCGTCCAGCTTCGAGGAAAGGGCCTCCATGTTTAGAGCGTTTAGGTTTTCAATATCCTCACCTTCGTCGTCCGAAAAGAAGGGACGTTCGTTTTCTTCGCCATCGTCTTCACCTTCAAACTCCTGTTCTAGGTCGAACTCATCTTGCAAGTCTTCGTCCACATCTTCACTGTCCTGCTCCTCTTCTTCTTCGTCGTCTTCGTCAAAAAGCGATTTTTTGGATTTTGCCAATGCTTCGAAATCCACTTCTGGAAGCTCGCTTTCCTCGAAGTCTGAGGTCTGCTCTGCTTCAACTTCTGGTCCTTCTTCCACTTCTTCTTTTTCCTTCACTTCGGGCTCTTTGGCACTTATTTTATCACTTTTTCCAGACTTTGCTTTCTTGCTCTTACGCACATCTTCGCCGTCGCTCTTACGCTTGGACTTATGTGTCGTTTTGCCCGACTCTGAGTCTGCTTTCCTCTTACTCTTGGTATGCGATTTATCAGATTTCTTGGATTTTCTAGCTTGGAATTCATCCAAACTTGGAGGAGCCGCCTGCTTGTTCTTGAACTGTCTACTACCCATTTTGCACGCAAGTCAAAATTGTAACAAACACGACTACAGATCGATCTTAAGCTGCTTAATGGAGTCTTTCGAAAGAATCTTTTGTAGATGCGATGAGATGAGATGCGATGAGATGAGCTTATATTGAAAATTTTCCAAAATACACTACGCTAAAAAAATCAGTGTAACGACACACAATTACGACATGAAAAAAAGCTAGTCTTGGTAAAGTTTCGATAGAGTTGTTAGAGAATGATTAAAGGCTTACGGACTGATCATTATCGAGCTCGGGTAAAAATGCTCTCTGTTCTTGGTATTTAATATTTTTTGTATTTTGTAGAGCTGGACGGTGTATATTTATTTTATGTAGATGTCCTGTGCCAGCTTTTGAGGCATATAAATTTTAGAGGCCCCAGCAGCATTGCGCGGTACTGCAGGAGCATCAGATTGAATTGGGGTCTGGCTCATTTGCGTTGTAAATGTTACATATCAAGTTGTTGTAAGGTAATATAAATCAATTATAAGTGACAGGATGGTAAGAAGTGACATTGATGAGGACCAACAAATACCAGAAGCATCAGAGCTTGTCTTGAAAGAAAGCCTTCAGATCTCTGGTGAGCCAAAATTACTTTGAAATAGTACTTACGCTGTCTCGGGGAACTTTTGGTGAGCTTTGATGGGAGTTAGCTTTATTATTGTTAGGCTTTAAAAAACAAGATGAAAGCTCGACTGACAAGACACTTTGGGACAACATGCATAGTGTGTAGCACTATTTAGACAGTTTTTTCATCACAAGAATCTGTCTGAATCCATCACAAATGTTATCCCCCGATATATTGAAATAAAACTGAACTCGACTGAAGCTCTCAAATGGAAAGTTGAGGACAGCAATGGCATAATTCAGAATTAGCACAGGTGAAAGCCTATTCATAACTGAGCTGACCCTCCCGCGTTGCCCTGAGCCAACACCAGTCAATCCCACAACTCTGTCGTCGTCTGGTATTGTCGTATATAACGATCTCATCGCTCGAATTTTCAGTGCAGAATCAACTCAAGATCATCTCATCTTCGTCTGTCCCAGTCATCTCATCGAACAGGTATAGCAGGTTCCAACTACACCTCTCTGCTAGTGTTGATCGTACCTTCTTAGCATACATCATTCAATTCACTTTTCATTTGATCAAAAACGCCTGCGGCAAATGAATGCGGTCACACACATATCATTCAATACCCATGTACTGGTGAGACTTCCATCCAACAATCTCAAAATCTGCGAGCTAAAGCCAGACAGTGACATTTCCCTGGGAAAATTTGGGGCTTTCAAAACTAATGATATTATTGGCTTTCCATTTGGAACGACATTTGAAATCCATTACGATAATGCAGTCGACGATAATGTAGCTGGCACGGGTAGTGACAGCACGTCGAGAAGCTCTAAAAACAAATTCAAAATACCAGTGGGTACTATCAGTGTCATAGAAAGTGGCGTGGCCAGTAGGTCCGGTTCAGACGAAGAATTTACGCCGCAGCCCGAATTACAGCTGATTGGTAACAGCGATTCCAATAAAAACCTGATCAACGTTGGCAACAGCATTCAAAAGCTCACTACGGAGGAAATTGAGCTGCTCAAGCAGCAGAGTGCTTCCGGCGAAGACATCATCAATAAAATGATCGAAGCTCACGGTAGTTTTCATCAGAAAACTGTTTACTCTCAAGAGAAGTACCTCAAACGCAAGAAACAAAAATTCGCCAAACGCTTCACTGTGGAGTACTTGAGCAGCTCTGGACTTTTGCAATATTTGCTGGATAAAGGAGACGTTACTCGTGCCCTGGACATGTCAGAAGAAAGCTTGGGTATGATACTCAACCTAGCCAACATACGGTCCAACGGGACATATCTATGCGTGGACGAAACTGGTGGTCTACTGGTTTATGCACTTTTAGAAAGAATGTTTGGTGGCAGCAACGATAACGAAGCTGCTGGGAAGATCATTGTGGTGCACGAGAATGAGCATGCAAACCTGGATCTGCTTAAATTCTCTAATTACACTGAGGAATTCATGCAAAAACATATCAAGACCGTGTCAATCTTGGACTATTTTGAGCCTCCTACATTATCGGAAGTTCAAGAAGCATTTACGCCGCTCTCAGATGACCAGTTGAAAGCCATGAAAAGCAACAAAAAGGGCGCTTATTACCGCCGCCTGAAATGGTACACCGGTCAACTGGACATCATTGATTGGGCTACTAAACTTCAGTACGATGGCTTGGTGGTGGCATCCACTTTACATCTGCCCACTTTCATACCGAGACTGGGCCAAAGAGTCCACGGCTCAAGACCTATCGTCTGCTACAGTCAGTTCAAGGAGTCCGTTTTAGAATTATCGCACGCTCTGTACAGCGATCTACGGTACCTTGCCCCAACTATCGTGGAAACTCGTTGTAGGCCATTCCAAACTATTCGGGGACGTCTTCACCCGCTTATGACTATGAGAGGTGGTGGTGGATATCTTATGTGGTGTCACAAAGTGATACCAACAGACCCGTCAGAGGTAAAGGCCCCGCTTCCGCTCGTCTCCGCAAACCCAGAAGCAACGGTGACTGAAGCGAAAAAACAAAAGATAGAATAAATGTACATATTCGTTTCATTGCATTAGTGCTTGAGCTCACCGAACCCTTCAAACACTTTTTCCCAATTCAGCGTAGTGTGTGCTCGCTTGTAACCAAAGACCACTCTTGCTTGTCTATTAGAATCGAACTTGAAACCTACTCGCCACAGGTCGGAGAGTTGTGCATTTTGGGCAATCCGGTGATGTATGTAAGTACATTGTGACAGTTCGCCAACCTCATACACGAAAGCGTCTGTTTTTTGAAGCCAGAAATCGAGCAAGTTACTGTAGAATTCCGTTTCGCCAATAAGTGCTAGTTTGGGCTCGAATAACTTGACTGATCTCGAGGTTTCTTTGACAAAGGTTGATTTTGGGATGTACGGAGGATTGCAAGTAATGATATCAAAATTTGGAAGCTCATTTGGAGCGTGAGCGTCGAGAATGTCTAGTTTTACTGGTTGAATGTCAATATTAAGACTGGAAGCATTTAAAGAGACCAGTTTGAAAGCCAATGGCGAGCAATCGATGGCATGGACTGTCGATTTTGGTCGCAAGTGCTTGAGCAAAAGTGCAACGCATCCAGTGCCTGTACAGAGATCCAAGATTTGCAGTTTCTGGCTCGCTGGCAGCCGTTGAGCCAGGTCCATGGTCCATTCTTCAGTCTCCCAACGCGGTATCAGAACTCCGCGTTCGCACTTCACGCTCAATGGGCCGAACGGCTGAGATCGCAGGATGTATTGCAACGGGTAATGGCGATATCGGAGTTTACAGCATTGTACAACCTGTCGATGAGACGTGCACTCGTTTTCAATCCAGTGTAGTTCTTGTTTAGCTGCTGAAATCGATCTACATTCTGGCAACAAAAAGGGCAGGGCTTTATTTAGGGAAAAGGCTTTCCAAATGGTTGACGGTTTGATCCGTGGCATAACGACAGGACCGGGAGCTAAGGGCTTGCTTCACAGGGCTGGGAACGTCCATTGAAGGCTTGAGATGGGATGTAGCGAAGAGCTTATAGAAAAGTCATGTGATTGTTGGACTAATATTGGCCATTATAATTGCCCAGCTAGAGCTATAATGGCGATAACAACTGCCAGATTTCCACTGTAGGGTGTTGCAATATAACTGGGAGCTCAAAGATGCGTGGGGTTCGCAGAGAGATTTGTCGTTTTCTGGTATAAAATACGTTCGAGATGTGAAAGTGAAAAGTGACGTTGGGGCCGCTTTAATAATGGAAAAAGAATAAGTAGAGCAGTAAATTGAGGCGTGTTAAGACGCAAGTACTATAGAACGGCATTCAATTCATTTACACCCGGTTTACGGTGCTGTTTGCTATATTCGTCATGCAAGTTCTGTATAATTGTCGTTTTGTACGGGTGTGTCGTCGCTCTGTCATCATGACGACACACAACAAGTTGAAACCGGTGAATTCCGAAACTACGGCTATTGAGCAGTCATGCAGTCGCAAACTGCTTATGCGCAGCGGTGGTCTTTCCAATTTAGCCTCTGTGAGTGTGTGTTTCGCCTATACAGAACAATGAAAAAGTTAACAATGGCATGGAATGAACTAAATTAAAATATCTGGAAGGCCAGTGGAACAAAACAGACTACAAAACAAGCAATTGCGTTGGTACAGTGCTAAGGGAGAGTCCACATCGTTAAACTTTTCAAATTTATTTAATATATTGTAGCACTTTCTGTCTTGAAAAAGCGGTGCGGCTGGCATATTCAACGCGAGCAGAAAAAACAAAAAACATCCAAAGAGCCGATTTAGTGGGCTTAACACGTCGATAAAATGTATAATGTAGCACCTTCCATTCGAATAAAAACAACGCTGGAGTTGTTTAAACTTGTTCACCGCATCATATAAAAGATCACTTTTTCCCAGACTGACACATTTTACCATTGTATCACGTGTTTTGATATATAATCAACATATTTTCCAGCTCGTACACAGCGACTGAAAAATCTTTTCGAGAAGTTTCTAAATGAAAACTCGAACTCACCAGCGATGCGATGCCCTCACAACTATAAATTCAAACAAGTTTCGGATATTCTAAACCTTCAAAGTCGTCATCATCGATCTAGTAAGACGCGTCTCGTTTCTCTCGTGAAAAAGTGCTATTCTCCCATACTATTTTGACCCTTCACACTTGTTTCTTCGCCTCGAAACAGACCGATCAAAAATACGTTTTAAAGATCGACACACGATTCCAAGAAGCCTATCCATTCCCACTTACACAGCGTTTACACAGTTACAATGGTAAAGGAAACTAAGTTCTATGACCTTTTGGGCGTCGCCGTGGACGCGAACGAAACGCAGATCAAAAAAGCCTACAGAAAACAAGCTTTGAAATACCATCCAGACAAAAACCCAAGCGCAGAAGCTGCAGAGAAGTTTAAGGAGCTCACGGTGGCGTACGAGATACTAAGCGACAGTGAGAAACGTAACATTTACGACCAGGTGGGTGAAGAAGGCCTCAGTGGCGGTGGCGCTGGCGGTGCTGGCGGATTCGGTGGTTTTGGAGGTTTTGGCGATGACATCTTCTCACAGTTCTTCGGTGGTGGCGGTGCATCCCGGCCCAGAGGCCCTCAAAAGGGTAAAGATATCAAGCACGAAATGGCTGCCTCTTTGGAGGAACTTTACAAAGGAAGAACTGCGAAACTCGCTCTTAACAAGCAGGTTTTGTGTAAGGCGTGTGAGGGCCGCGGTGGTAAAGAAGGATCTGTCAAGAAGTGTGTGTCCTGTAACGGTCAAGGTATGAAGTTCGTCACCAGACAAATGGGACCCATGATCCAGAGATTCCAAGTGGAGTGTGACGTCTGTCACGGTACTGGTACAATTATCGACCCCAAGGACCGCTGCAAGACTTGCAACGGTAAGAAGGTCATGAACGAGAGAAAGATCCTAGAGGTTCACATCGAGCCCGGTATGAAGGACGGCCAAAGAATCGTGTTCCAAGGCGAGGCCGACCAAGCTCCAGACATCATTCCCGGTGACGTGGTGTTCGTGATCTCGCAAAGGCCCCACAAGCATTTCGAAAGAAAGGGCGACAACTTACACTACCTAGCGGAAATCGATTTGCTCACCGCAGTCGCTGGTGGCCAATTCGCCGTCGAGCACGTATCTGGTGAGTGGCTAAACGTCACTATTGTGCCCGGTGAGGTCATCTCTCCAGGCATGACCAAGGTCATCGAGGGCAAAGGTATGCCTGTCCAGAAATACGGTGGTTACGGTAACTTGATCATTTCTTTCAAAATAAATTTCCCACAAAACCACTTCGCAGACGAAGAGTCTCTCAAGAAACTAGAGCAAATCTTGCCACCAAGATCTATTCCAGCCATTCCAAAGAGTGCTGAAGTCGAGGAATGCGTCTTGAGCGACTTCGACCCATCCAAGCATTCTGGTAGCCAGTCCTACGGCAGAGGCGCCAACTATGACTCTGATGATGAAGAAAGAGGTGGCGCAGAAGGTGTCCAGTGTGCATCGCAGTAAGCTGCTTCCCGGCAAGCTCTTTCCCACTTCCCGTCATTATTTGAATCATATCATTCAAGAACGTATTTTTGATTACTTTGCCAGCAGTTATAAATCGTTTTGCTCCTATTTTGTACATTAAATCCCAAGTTTCATTTACTCCCAGATATTACCACTCCCATTGATCATAGGCTTGGGCAAATTACCGTGATACGACTTACACTAGTTGTATACAAAGTATTTAGGTTGTTCCATTCTTGTAATGAATAGTATAAAGTGTATTATTATGTTCGGATGTTATTTTAAAATTTATCTATTCTATCATCATTGCCTTCCGTTCCGCACGCAATGCTCTTCTTTCCCGCCATTTCATCCCATACATCATGGGGATAAATGTGATGAAATTCCCGATGAAGATGAAACCACTTATTAAGGTGAAGGTCCCACCCACCGTTAGTGCCTTGTTCATTTTAGCTAAACAGGCCATGGAAATGGCACTCAGCGAACATCTAACGAAATTGTAAGAACTGGTAGCGGTGGATGAACGGCTTGGGTAAAGGTCGACCAGTAGCGTACTAGACGAAGAAAGGGTGCTCATGGCACAGAATGACCCAATTGCGGATGTAATCAAAGGTACTGAGATATGCCATCCTTTTTGGATACTCCAACCAAAAAGTGTGAATGCCACAACGGAGAGGAAGTTTTGAGGAATTGAAGTGAAAAGACGCGATCTCAGAGTATTGAATTTTGCGTCTGGTGGGATAAGGCCTTGTTCCTTCTTTTCCTCGAATGATCTCACTGCCCTGCTGTAGTAAATGTCTATAATTTTCCCAGTCACAAACGACCCTACTAGACCACCAATACCAGATGGTAAGTAACATATACCCACAATAGTTAGTTTGTAATTGTAGGGAGCCGCTGTTAGCTGAGATGAGATCGACGTCAAAGTCAAAGTCCACAGGGCGAACTGAAGTCCAGCAGGCATTAATGCCATCAAGATCTCGGGATGCGTTAAAATCTTGAGCGTGGAAATCAAGTCAACTTTGGGCTTGTTAGGATCGAGAGTTTCTTGGTCGGGATCTGAATATTTGAAGTGATCCCTCACTGACTTGAGTAGGAAGATAGGGGCAGTGTTAATAAGCCTTTTTGGTCTTATGGACATATTCCCCACAATTGTTCGCTTAGTTTCTGGTAATAGTATGAAGTTAATGATCATGCATGTACCACATCCGATGGTCAAAAACCAGAAAATGGCTCTCCAATCGTAGGCTGCAGTCAGAGCAGCACCAATCAAGGACCCAAACGCTTGTCCCATCAGTGTGAAACCTGACACAGCCCCTACGAAAGTACCACGTTCATGTTTCAATGTGAAATCGCCTGCGACGCCAGAATTGATGGCAATGATTGGAGATATACCCGCACTTTGTAGACACCTCAGAAACACAATTACACCGTAGGATTGCGAGCACGCCAGCCCGATTGATGCGCAGACGTAGACCAGCATACCAAACAATATGACGGGCCTGCGGCCATATACATCTGCCAGACTGCCGGAAATCGCGGGTGCAACACCTTGGAAGATGAGGTACACTACGACTGTAATGTTGACCATTTCCTCGTCGACGTTGAACTGCTTTTCCAGCTGTTTTAGCGCTGGGTAGTAAATGGGCGAGCCCAGCGACGACCAGAATCCGGCTGCAGTAAGCAACGCTACCATCCACCACTTTTGTGCATTAGTTAGAAGCGTGTAAGGAGCTTTGGGTACCTTTTCCGCTGCGAGGTCGCTAGCCTCAGCAGCAGTATATGTGCTTGCCGAGTCGGGTGTCGAAGTGGCCATTTCTCGAGTGACCATGCCAGAAACGGATTCCATTTTGGCGCACTTGGCAGCATGATGCTTTTTTTCACGCTTTTCGTGATTGACATCGTCACTGCCGCTGTCGTCGCCATGTTCGGAAGCACTGTCACTTTCGTTGTTGATATCACTTTCAGTTTCGCTCTCGCTCTCGCTCCCATTTTGATGTGCTGTTTTTTCCCAGTTTTGCAGATTCCTGTTACTCGGTACGCTTGGCGTATGAGAGGGTATATCGATGGTGTTTCCCATTTCTATGACAGCGAACAATCGACGATTGTGTTATTACAATGCTGTGATAAGCAATTAAAATGAGAGAAATGGTTCCTTATGAAGGAAGAAAAATACCCTTATCTCTCTGGCACCAAGATTCGGGGAGAAGGCCCTATTTCGTGCCTTTTAAATGCCTTACTCGAGCCTCGAGGATTGCGTTCTCGAGCGTTTTTCGTACAGCGGTGTGGTGAGCATCACCCTACTAAATTGGATGATTCACAATCTCTCGGAGGAAGTCGGCGAGATCACCCGATTCACATCACGTGTAAGATATAACACCGAAAAAAAGCAACAAAAGTGCGTAAAAGGAAGCCTAGTTTTTCCGAGTTTTTCCGAGTTTATCCGAGCAGATCCTCGTTGGTTCGGGTAACGCCCAAGTGCAGCTCCGATGTTCACGTGGCTATGGTCGAGGAATGAACCGTGGACATGCGTCTGAGCATGTCGACGTTGTGAGACCCTTCGGCGCTGGAATCGTCTTGGGAAGGATGGTAAGCCTCGTCGTGTTGTTCATCGGTGTCGGCTTCGTCGTCGTCAGCGTCCCCGTTCTGCGCCTCTTCCTCTTTCATCGTGCGGTTGTGCATCATTTGCATGCCATACCTGATTGGCACGAGGAGAGCGGCAGTTGATGTCATTGTGAGACCAGCCAGAAATGTGAAAGTACCTCCCACGGTCATGGAGCTCATCATCTTGTTAAGCGTGGCGACAAACACAGCAGCCATGATGCAACGTGCGAAATTGACACATCCAGTAGCAGTAGACGATTTCTGTGGATACAGATCAACGACTAGAGTAGTAGCACAGGCGATGACGCAGTTTGAAAATAGCGACGCAAACCCGCTGAACACCAGCACGACGGCCAAGTGTTGATGTGCGCCCAGGCACCAGCCAAACACTATAAATCCCGTGCCGCTCAGCAACAATGGCGCGAAAATGATCTCCAGGCGGGCGGAAAAGATGTTAAAGGCATATGCAATGTCCTCAGCCAGGATTTTATCCACCTTTTTATCATCGTGGCCATGCTCTTCCAGTAGTTTGGCCCGCGTGTTTCGCAAAAACACTTGGTGCCTTGAAAACCGGCGTTTGTAGTTCCAATTCAGGATTCTGCCTGCACTTGCTACGCTAATTAAAGTGCAGATGCCGCTGGGCAAGTAGCATAGCCCTACCTTGGCAACACTCAAATGGTAGTCTTTTTCCAGCAGCGATGCCATGGCTGTCAGGTGCGTCACCCACAGTGAGAACTGCAGACCGGTCACCAAAAGAAGAAGCGCTATTTCAGGGCGAAGAAATAAGGTTAGTGGCGTCAGTAGATTAAGTTTCTCGGCTGGGACCAGCGTTTCGTAGTCAGGATTATCCAGATGAAGCTTCTTCCTCCACGCAGGTAACGCAAAAATGGGAGCCCGTGACCAGATCAGACGGGGAGTGATGGACCCATTCCCGACAATAGTTCGCTTAGTTTCGGGCAGTACTAGAGAGGTAAAAATCAAACTAATCCCGGAGCCTATTGCCAAAAACCAAAAGATGCCTCTCCAACTCCATTCAGACAAAAGCCCCCCGCCTATTAGTGCGCCAAATGCAGATCCCACTATCTGGAAGCCAGAAGTGAGGCCAACGTATCCGCCTCTCTGTTCGCGAGTGGTGATGTCGCCCATGATCCCGCTGTTGACAGCGATCACCGGAGAAATGCCTGCACTCTGCAAGCACCGAAGAAATAGGATTTCGCCGTAGGTCTTGGCGCATGCCAAGCCAATGCAGGCCACGAAATACAGCGTTACAGACCATAGCACAACGGGACGACGTCCAAACGAATCTGCTAAGCCGCCCATGAGCGTGGGAGCCAGGCCTTGAAACACGAAGTACAGTACCACAGACACATTTACGAGCTCTGTGCTTATGTGAAACTCATTTTCGATTGTGTTCAGGGCTGGGTAGTATATAGGGCCCGCGATGGTCGAGAAAATACCGCTGGATGCACATATAAAAACCATGATGTACTTTTCTCGCACGCCGAATCGCGAATAGGGTACCACATTTCCTTGTGACGATTTGTGTGAACTTTTTTTGGTCAGAGGCTTTTCCAGTGTGCTGTGATCTTGCTCTTGTGGAAGCTTCGCTTCTTCATGGGATGTCATCTCCTTGAAGACGCCTTTCAACATCTTTTTTTGCTAAAACTGATCTAGCAAAGTGCTTATTGAAATGGATACGCACTTACAACGCAGAAATGTAGACTCAAGTACTGGTAGATCTGTTTGACACTCTAAGATGGTCAATTATAGAAACTTTGGCCGAGTTGAAGGTATCTGGATTTTTATAGCATATCTCGATGACTCGATAGATGCTGACAATGAGATAGCATTTCTCGTTGCCTTGCCCTGACACGCATTTTTTCCTTGGCGAAATGCTAATTCCGATAGCGGAAATAGAGTTAGTAACGACTGTTGCAGAGCCAAATGATAACACAGATACAATGGTCTACGGACAGAAGTGGAGGACTGGGTTATGACAGGATACGCGAGCGTAGTGAGATGAACATATAAATCAACCGTGCGTGCTTTTTCGAAACTGGTGATCTTGGAAGCTTAAATGCTTTGGTGAATTGACAGCAGGAATGGGGTGATATCCTTATGGACAGAAGCAACAAGTTATCAACACGAAGAACACATTTTTGGCACTGAATCAACAAAGAAGGAAGATGTGATTCAATTGTAGATTTAGCTGAGCTTGTAAGTATGAACAGAACTTTCTCAAAGCGAGTGTTCCAGGGGGGAAGACAGGTTTAAAACTTTGGGAACCTCGAAATAATGGAAGTGACCCGAATTTTGACTACCACACGAGTTATAAATGCTGCTTTCACATCAGCATTCAAATCTTTACGCTACCGCTTCTCAACTGTCAGGCTTGTTTTGCCACCTGTGGGCCCTTTGGGCAGACTTTGTGGTATTCAATACCGTATCATTACGCTCCTGTGAAGTTAGCAAGCTCAGAACCACTTGAATTCACTCTTTTAGCAATGATCCTGGTCTCTTGAATGCTTTTGAACTGAGGTTTTTCGTATTTAACACGTAGTTACGAGACGATAAGTTATGTTTTGTGAGGTGTTTCAACTTCATTTAACATGGAAATTGTCTTTCGAGAAAATAGCCGCCGAATCTCGACTCCCGAAAAGAGGATTCAAAAAATGTGGATATCTCAAATTCATTTGAGAGCTGAAAATCACAGCGCTCTGGATAAATTATTCTAGTACTCATACCTTTATCATTTACTCGTTCTGCGAATAGATAACAATGCATTATGGTATATAACAGTTGTCCGAATTCCAGCTGGCTCAAACACTAAACCGGCTTTCAATGCCCCTGTTCTCACTCGGGTTCGATCATTTGCAGTATCTTTTTGCTCAACGCCAGCACCTTAAACTCACGGACACTGGCCTGAACGGGAAGAGAGGAGGCGTCATGTTTTATTATATCAAACCCAAAATCCATTGCTCACAATGAAACTGACATTGCTACAATTCTTGCATTTTTGATAACCATCTTCAAAGGCTATAGTGGGAGCTTCAAGGCAAATCAAATTAGAATTCGTATTGTGGGTTCTGCGCCAAGATAGTGGTTAAAACCTGACGGTTTTTTTTCATTTCAATACCGACGACATCTAAGCTTGAACAGCACAATCATGGAAAGACACAATCACTAGAGAATGCTTTCTTAATCGTTTTCGTTGGAATGTGCTGGTCTCAATCGAAAGTTAGCGGACGGTGATCCAAAGTGTGCAACCTTTGCTCCTGCTCGAGATCAGAGTATGATTGCGCACACGCTATATGCTGATCAAGCTAATTACAAGTTTCCTGATTTTACAACTGAGAATTATGTGAGTTGAAAAGTGAGCAGCAGTATCTCAAATACAAATGTTGGTGTCAGAAGCATTATAAGAGCCTCTTCAAATTCTGATATCGTACTCGATCTGTCATATTTGGCACACAGCACAGAGAGAATTCGTTTTAGGCAAGGCGTATTAAAAAACACCATTGGAAGTGTATCACGGATAGTGAATGAAATCTGTACAGTGCCGATTGACTCTTAAACCCCTCGCATTATCCAGTCAGCGCTCAAATCGGGCGTGTTGACACTTTATTTTCGCTAGTCTTGTGAAACGGTTTCGATGTGATAGAAAGTTGCCATTAGCGACAATGCAGAAGCTGGGGGCTGTTCCAGAAATACAAAAGCGTAGCAAGTAAGTTGGATAGAAACTTTGCACCAGTTCACGGTTAAAAATAGTGTTTGTGCTTTTTCATGCTGACAGCATAGCATAAACAGGTGAAGAACATGAAGTACGCACCCCGCCAGAAAAGAAGGCAAATTTCCAACAAACAATGAAATTCCATAATACCAGCCACCCTCTTTCAGCCCTGTCGCAAGCCCTCCAGTGCCCTGTGCCCTGCAAACAGTGCGATCCCAGAAGCCAGTCTGCTAGTCGACTCGGTGACGTGCGGAATTACTGACGTCGTCTGCAGATCCTTTCACTCACGAACACACATCTACTCAAATTCGCTGGCTCGAAAGCATGGATCAATCATGTATGCTCTAGCGTCAATATCATTTGCTAGAGACCCTCTTTTTCAGCTTAGTTTTCTAAATATTACACTCTTCTTGGGCATGCCACACCTCGCGCTTTGCTTGCAAATTCGCTGCTGCTTGTCAACAAGGCAGTTGCGTCTTGTTACCAGGCCTTGCAACACCGTTACATTTACATACATACGTCTTCGATTGTCACAGGCCAAGGTGATCAGACATCCAATCTGGTCAATACAATGCATCTTGAATGCGGCTGATTTCAAAACTAATTTATTAATACAAGCTGCACACAGTTAAGAGTTGCCAAATCGATGGACAACAAAAGATAGAGACAATAGTTCCTCGCCACGAGCCAGAGCGGCATGATAACAGACAAAAGTGTTCGAGGACACCAAAAAAAAACCTTGGATACAAAAACGAATGCAAACTGAACTCACTCAGTTGTACAAGACGAAGTGGGCCTTACCCTTGGTGACAGAGACAGTGCAACCGTCAGAACCTCCGTTGAACTTACCGTTTTCGTAAACACAGTCACCGATAACAGTGCTGTCCGAGTCTGCAGCGACGATCTTGACATTGTAGTTTAAAGCATCGTAATTGTTAGGGTTTGGAATTAGGGCCAAGTATGCAATACCATCGGTGTAACCACCACCAAAGTTCAATGGGGCCCAGTTACCAACGCCAGAGCCAGCAGTACCCCAGACACAGCCGTCTTCTAGAGAAACACCGGCATTGTTGACGTAAAACTGAGCAGAAGTCTTCATACCTTTCCATTGGTAGTAAGTGTCCTCGTCAACAACGGTGAGTGGCATAGAAGAGCCAGCCTCGACGTAAGTTGGAATAACCATGTTTTCGGTACCTGGGTAATCGGTTCTGCAAATAGCAACGTCTTGACTCAATTCAGAGACGACCTCGGCCATGTCCATTCCCCATTCACAAAGGTATTCGGCGTCGGTGTTAGAACGGTAAAGGTAGCCGTTCTTACATAGCAAACCACCGATAGAGACACCGCTGCTAGGTTGGCTGGAAGGCCATTGAGTCTTGGACATACCGGCTTGGCAAGCGTAAGAGCAGTAAGAGCCCTCCTTACAGCTACCACCAGTGGAGCCATCAGAGTTTTCAATTCCGGACCAGCCACCGAAATCCAACCAGTCAAGGGAAACGACACCTTGGCCGGATGGAAAGTCGCTACAAGCGATGGTACCGTCTTCAAAAGCCTCGGAAGGACCAGAGAAGGCGGACAAGTCACCGTTAATACCGCCAGAGGAGGCAGAGTGGGTGGCCGAAGCAGAAGACTGAGTCGACGAAGCCGAAGAGGAGATTGGCTCAGTGGAGGTCGAAGTCACAGAGGAAGAGCTGGAGCTCGAGGAGGAAGTGACCGAGGGCGCGCTGTAGGCGGAGCTGGATGGCACAGAGGACGAGGAGCTCGAAGAGGTGACTTCGACTGGGGAAGAGCTCGAGGAAACGGGCGCGGACGACGAAGCTGGAGCAGAGGATGTAGCGGCAGCAGAGGACACAGAAGACGCGGACGAAGAGGTGGAGCTCAAGGTGGTGGTGGTGGTGGCTGGGGACGACACAGTCGCGCCCTTACCATCCACGGTGACGGTTTCGTAGACGTACTCGACGGCTACGGCACGTTTGCCAGCACGGTGGGTGTGTGCGGTGGAGCAAGGTTCGTCTTGTTGAGCTTGAGCTCTCTTATGGACGTGAGGCATTGCCTGCACGAGAGTGGAGCCGGCCACAGAAAGGACCAGAGCAGTGGAGAACTTCATTGCTTGGAAGGAAAGTTAAATCAATATTCGAAAGGAGTGAATGCGCTGTGGGAAGCGGGATTTGGGGAAAACTTAACTGAGCAGAAAGGAAGAAGTTAGTAAGATAAAGAGCGAGTTGTGAGCTTCTGAAATGCTGTGAATGATGATCAAGGCTGGAGATGTTTGAAATGTCCAAAATGTTTAAAATGTTTAATAGAGTTGGAAATGACGCCCTCAAAGGAGAAAAAAAATGAGAATTCAAATCCCGAAAAGAGACAGAAACGTGTCCATCTCCGTATTCAGTCAATTTTCTCACTCGGGATAGCGTTTAGACTCTGCGCCTGTCTGTCTGTCTGTCTGTCTCTCTCGCTGTTCGCTCAATGCTCTTGCTTCTGATCAAAACCGCGAATTTTCGAGATCTGCCAAAAACCAGCCTAAAGCAGTAATATGACGACGCGAAAATTTAAAAGGCTGAACCGTGAACCGTGGACGCGAAACGAACAGAGAAAAAGCCACTGACAAGAACATTGAGGGGGGAAGAACCCACAACAGAGCGCTTGATCCGTAGCAGTTTAAGCTCGTGGAAAGTACGGCTGTGGACCACATGTTATGGGACCAGTTTAGCAGATCGTGTACTTTTTAGATTCGACGGGTTCCCGTGGAAAGCGACTACTAAAGTACTCGAGTACTGGAGTTCCATTTTACATTTTGGTGAGGTGTATGGGTGTCTCTCTGACACACCAGAAACAAATCTGACTCAAACCCACCAGACGAGACGGGACCATCTCGATGGAGTGAACAAAGCATCAGTAGAAGAAGAAGAACATCAATCGAACATACCTTTTCTTAAAAAAATCGAACAAGTTTGACCAAAGTACCAAATTGTGTGTTTCTCTCAAAATGAAATGAGTGGAAGTCGGAGAACACAGCGAAAAAAAGGACTCAGTTGCGAGAGCCTAAGGAAAGGAATGAATGTAGTTAGTTGGAAAGAAAGTCGACGGGAATGAACCGTGAGCTGGATAATATAAGCTAGGCGTGGTTTTTCTTGTTTGGCTTAATTTTTAAAACACCCTGGGGTGGCGAGCGCGGGGCCTGAAAACAGCTTTCTCCTTTTATAGGCGAGATCTGGAGGGAGATCTCATCTGGCAAAAAAGGCAAAAAAGGCAAAACACGGAAGGAGGAGGAGAGAAAGAGAGAAAATAAAAAAAAGGAAAATACTCAGAAACTGGCGAGAAAAATAGTAAACAGTAAACAAATGACGCATGCATGCATGCTTACGTAAGGACGCCGGGCAAAACACAAAAACACAATTGCGGGCGGGCGAATGGCTGGGCCCAACAGTCACTTGCCGCATCGGGAAATGTTATTGCCAGTTGTGGAAAGGTGCACAAAAAAGAGATGTGGCACGCGCCACGTGATGCGCCAGAGCTGGCGACAGCGCTGGCGACAGAGAGAGATGGCTGGCACACAGGCCCATTCCATTGCCTGGCGCACCAAAGAACTAGAGACGAGATATCGATATTGAAGGAGTTCTAGTCGAGGGAAGCAAAAGCAATGATGGGGTCGGTGTTGTAGTGGCCATGGGCCGGTCGAGCTGAACTCAGCTTGCTCAAATTGCAAGTGCCAAGCGTGTGCCACGGAAAAATAGCAGTTTCGTCCCTCAGATAGTCGAGCTGGTGCTAATGTGGGTGTTATTTTGCCCGTACAGATGCCAGGTTCTGTTAGGTGTACTCGAAATATTAACATGGATCCTAGAGAGATGATTACGTAATCCATTGGTCATCTTTATCACTAGCACATATCACCAACCATTTCCCTCGACCCACACTGCTCGACTCACATTAACAGTAGCAATCATTAAATAAATAAGGTAGGCATAGAGCATAATCTCTACTGAGGAATAGATAATATGTACATTAGAGACGTCCTTAAAACGAAGCGAGAGGCTGTAGAAAGGCAATGGGAAGAAGAATAAGCAGATCAAGAAGGAGAAGAAGAAGAAGAAAATCGATAACGTGCTTCGCAGCAGCGCTTCCTATATTGCTCAGCGATCCAATATATCATATCGTTTTAATTTTCTCTCACTGGCCAAAAACATCCGCCAAAAACGCTTGTTCCTCGGCAGTGTGCAAGCTTTTGGATCCGGCAGCAACAGGCCCACTTGGGTTTCTACCCGCGAATCTGACCTCCGCATCCTTGTACTTGTCGGTTTCCTTTAGCACAGTGTCGAATCTGGGCCCGGCATAGGTCCACGAACCCATGTTGAGAGGTTCTTCTTGGCAGAAAACAATGTCTTCTAAGTTAGGGTACGAGTTCAACGAGTCACGTAGCTGAGCAAATGGGAATGGATGCATCTGTTCAATCTTGAGGAACGCAGTGTTCTTGTCTTCCAAAGACTCACGTTTCTTGTGCAGCGCGGTGTACACTTGACCCGTGCAGATCACCAAACGCTTGGTTTCTTCCTTGGAGCCAATCGTCTTGCCATGGTTGACATCTTCAATGATCCACTGGAATTTGCCCTCTGTGAACTCAGATAGGCTCGATCTAGCCAAAGGATGACGTAGTAGCTGTTTGGAGAAAAACAATATTAGAGGCTTGCGGAATTGACGATGTTGCTGTCTTCTCAAAATGTGGAATAGATTCGCTGGCGTTGTTGGGTAAACCACTTGATAGTTGCAGTCTTGATGTTGTCTCTGTAGCTTTTCTTCAGATGGGAAATATCTGGGATCCTCGTTGGCCATTTGCAAAAATCTTTCCAATCTACCAGAGGAGTGTTCTGGTCCTTGACCGTCGTAACCGTGAGGCAGCGACAAAATCAAACCGGAACGTTGCTTCCACTTGGCCTCACCACCAGCCAAAAACTGGTCGATGATAACTTGAGCTGTATTAGCAAAATCACCAAACTGAGCTTCCCACATCACGAGAAAATCTGGAGATGTCAAAGAGTAACCGTATTCGAAGCCCATACATCCGTATTCAGACAAAGACGAGTTACAGATGGTGAAATTGGCTTGTTTGTCGGATAGGTGCTGCAGAGGAGTGTAAGTTCTTTCCGACTTTTGATCGTGTAGAACAGCGTGACGTTGCGAAAAGGTACCTCTCTCAACATCTTCACCGGAAACTCTAACGTGATAACCTTCCATAGCCAACGAACCGAGGGCAAGTGCTTCACCAGTAGACCAGTCGATACCTTCACCGGTTTCGACAGACTTACCTCTGTTGTTCAAGATTCTCTTCAAGTTTCTGTGAACTTCAAAGTTTTCCGGCCAGGACGAAATAATCTTACCAATGCTCTTTAGCTTCGATTCTTCCACGGAGGTGGACTCGTGTGGCAAAATTTCCAACGCCAATTCTTTAGGAGACTTGAAGTTGGCCCAATCAGCCGTGAGCCATTCTCTTGAGGTTGGCTTGTACTCTTTCGATTTATCGAATGCTTCTTCGAAAAGACCCCAAACCCAACGTTTGTGCTCGTCGATGTCTTGCTTGGTGAAAGAGCCTTCGGAAATCAGTTTCTCAGTGTACACATCGATAACTGATTTTTGTTTAGCGATTTTTTGGTACATGAGAGGTTGCGTGAAGGAAGGCTGGTCAGTCTCATTATGGCCGTGCTTTCTCCAACCCACAACGTCGATGATAGCGTCGGTGTGGAAAGTGGCTCTCCACTCGGCTGCTAGGTTAAAGATGAAAGTCAAAGCTTCGACATCGTTGGCGTTGACGTGGAAAATTGGAGCATCGATGGCTTTAGCAATATCGGATGGGTAAGGTGTAGATCTAGCAAATCTAGGGTCAGTTGTGAAACCAATTTGGTTATTGGTGATAATGTGAATGGTACCACCTGTAGAATACTCTGGCAGGTGACTGAACCCCATAGTTTCATAAATGACACCTTGAGCAGCGAAGGCGGCGTCACCATGCAGCAAAACACCCATGGCTTTTTGATAATTGCCCAAATCGTTTTTGGCAAATTGAATAGCTCTGGTTCTACCAAGAACAACTGGGTCTTGAGCCTCCAAATGCGAAGGGTTTGCAACCAGTGACAAATTGACGTATTTGCCGGAAGTGGTTGGTCTTTGGTAGTTCATACCCAAGTGGTACTTGACATCACCGGAGCCCTCGTATTCTTCTGGGGCAGCAGAACCTTGGAATTCGGAAAAGATGGATTCGTTGGGTTTACGCACCACGTTAGATAGCACGTTCAGTCTACCACGGTGCGCCATACCGAGAACCACGTCTTCGACGCCCAGTTCGACAGACTTGTCGATCAAAGTCTTGATACCGGGAACGATACCTTCCAAGCCTTCAAGACCGAAACGTTTGTCGTTGGGGAATTTGGTGGACAAAAAGGTCTCGAACGAGGTAGCCCATGTGAGTCTATCCAAAATCTGTCTTTTCTCATCGATACTGTAGCGGAACGGCTGTGGGATTTCGATACGTTCTCTGAGCCAGTCACACTGGTTTCTAGATGGGATGTGGATGTATTCGATACCGTACGAGGAGCAGTACAGTTTTTCCAGCGCGTTTATGATGTCACGCAAAGTCATGGTTTTGCGACCCTCGCGCGCGAAACGTGGCAAAATGCCGGGACCCAACGTGATCTCGCTGTCCAAGTCGCGCTCGGTGAAGCCGTAGTGGTCTAGCGTGAGTTCCTTGGGGAGTGGTTTGGACTTGTCGTCACCGAATGAAATCTGGAGTGGGTCGATGTGGGCCTTTTGGTGGCCACGCACCTGGTACGCACGACACAGCAGCTGCACCTTCAAATGGGTCATGATGCCTTGGTCCATGGAGCTGGAGGGTGAGCCTGCGACGCCCATGGCCATGTCGTGTGGGATGTGGCCACCGGTGTGGTGGGACACGAGCGTTGGGGGTGCCACGAACGCGGACGACGCTGGGATCTGCGTATTGCCCATGTTTTTGAAGTATGCGTTCCACGACACGTGCACGGAGCTGGGGTCCTGTTTCCACGCCTGGAACATTTCGTCGATGTATGTGGCATTGGTGGTTGACAGAAAGTTGTCGTTTCCGCCGTTTCCGCTGTTGCTGGCGAGTCCTCTGGCGAGTCCTCTGGGGGCACCGCTGGGGACACCTCTGGAGAGCCCTCCTGCCTGCATACGCAGGACGGCTCTTTGCAGCACGCTATGCTGTTTGAAGCAGCGACTAGTTCCTCTTAGCATGTTTTGGGGATTTCTCGATAGAATATCGAAATCGAAATCGAAATCGAAACCACTGATAAAAGACGACTGTAAGACGACTCTAAGACGACTCCAAGACGACTCTAAGACAACTCTAAGACGACTCTAAGACAATTCTAAGACTTTCAAAAACGCTTCCAAAACCCAATTTAAACGCTAAAACCGCTCTGTTCTAACCCAAAAAAAAGCTCCCTAAACTGAACCGTCGTGCAATCCTCGAACCTCTGTTTTCAGCTGCCGAATAAAAGATCTCGCGCGGCGTGTTCGTTCGTGCAAAAACAAAGAACTATTCAGCTCTTGTGTGTGTGTAAGTGTTCAACTTGTGCTGATTATTGTGTGATGATGAGTGTTTTTACTAGTTGTAAGGAAAAACGCCATATATATATATATGGGTAATTTTCGAAATCGGCTTAATTTTGACTGGAGGGACAAGTAAAATAACCCGAATTTTTGTGGGAGTCGTAGAAGACGATTGGTGGTAGCCGTATGGATCGTCATTTTGTACGCGAGACGTCAATATATTAAAAAAAGCGGGGGCGACATCGGAAAAGGTGTCACGTGGGAGAGAGAAACGAGAGAGGAAGAGAAACGAGCGAGTAAGCGAGAACGGGGGTGATTGGGGCTGGAGTTCTTGCGTTTGGGTGTGCTTGGTTGACGGTCTTTGAATGCGTAGTTTCTGATGGTGTGTCTTTATAAAGACTTCGTCACTTGATACGAATGGTTATTCATTTGGCATATACAAACCACGCACATGGTGTTTCTTGATGTTTTTGGGTGTTTCCGTATGTGTCTTGGTGTTTCTTGGAGCACGAAATGTGCCCCCGGTAGCAATGTTGAAATGTGGGAATCCGTAATATCTCGGATCACGTGATTGTCGCCACCACTGTCGTCGCGTCGTGGTTGTGGCACAGCATACATCGCTCGCTCTAACAAGTGTGTGCTCCCCACACGCTCCTCACATCGCTTCTCACCGGCTCCTTTCCCACTCACACAAACTCAGCCCATCGGTCACGTGCTCCAGCGACAGGTCCCTCCCACTCACCTCCCTCTCACCTCCCACTCAACTCGACTCCCACCTCTCTTACTCTCTCTCCCTCCCTCCCTCTTCCTCTTACTCTATCTCCCCCTCTCCCTCGCCAAAACCTCTACTTCTAATTTGGTACCATCACCACCACTTCGACTCCCAACCTCCCCTCCCCCGGCCAGAGCCGTGTTCCTATAATAAGCACTCGCCCCTATCTCAATCGCCGCCAAACATCAACAAATACACTTACACTCACAATCCTTGCATCCCTCTGCATTAAACCCCCGTAAGCGAAATCTGAATGTGCCACCGACGACACAAAAATAACAGAACACCATGACACACTCAGAATTTCACCACAACAAAAAGTCCGGTCTCGAGCCACTCGCTTTTTTCGACTATATATGAACACCACTCTACACCCGTAGAATAGTCCATACTTCTTGTCTCTCATAACATCAGAAACCTCATCTAACCAAACGTCATTTTCGCTAATCACATTTCGAGCTCAAGCCAAAGACAGATAACCAAAACCCTTCAAATAGCATTTTACCTTGCAATATAGCTAAGTCTCGGACCAGTGTCAAGCAGCAAAATCAAGCCATCCCATCCCCATCCATCCTTCCTTCCACAAAAACCCACAATAAAAAAAAACAGGAAAATACACTGGGAACATCTCAGTCTTTTCTCGCAAGCATTCTTAGCTAACAAATCCTCTTCCGCAAATTATGTCAGTGCTATCCACCGAAGTTCACCACCCATTTTGGAACGAACTGTCGCAACCCTTATCCGGAAACATCGAAGAGCTCGAAGATCACTCACCAGGAGTGTTGGCCTACAATTCGCTTTTCGAAAACTTGGAGGACCGCCACACACCTGAGTTTTACACTCATTCAACCAAAAGAGACCCAGTGCTTCTAGAGTCGAGCTTGCAGGAAGAGCCACTCCTGAAAAAATTCAAGACTCCCATGTCCAGCAACTCCGAATCCCACAATTGGTCTATCGACGACATCCTGGCTGAGTGTACGCCAGAGAAGACGTCTCTGTGGACAGGCGCCATAAGCGAAGAAGAACATTTTCCCAAAGAGGTCAGCCACTCGTCTTTCGATAGCCCTCCCAATTACAGCAGACTGAATTGTGATTCGGATGTCGTTATTGACCGCGAATTTGGCGCAGACATGAGTCCAGATTTGCAACCCCAAACGCTGGCAGATGTAAATGTGCTTGGCTCGCCAGTTGATGCTGTAAGGCATATGAACATCAAGGCCGAATTCCAGGCTCAGAAACCAGTTGTGAAATTGAACACAAAGATAATAACGCATAGTGTCAGTGCACTTCAATCCCCGAAGCGACTATTTGCCAAAACCTCCACCAAGACCGTCTCCACCAACAAAATCACCAAGACTGTCGCAAGCAAATTCCGGGGCAATAGAAGCTCCAAGTTCAACCATGGCGCAAAAAGAGCGTCGCTTCAGCGATTAATTCTCGATTTACAGTCCCGGGTCACGTATCGAACAACGAGCGCAGATGGGTTCCTCGTCCGCAAAAGCGTTGCCAAAGAGCTTAAAATTGAGGACCAATGTGTCGTTCCTGTGCTTGACTTTGTTGGAACTTTGTTCCCCCACGTCTGCCAATATCTTGGCGAACAAGCTGTCCATTTTCAACCCTCTGGCCAGTTTAGAACAATTTGGAACTACCACAGAGAGCAAAATGGGTCCACTATAAGTATGTCACTGACTCCGTACAACGGAGAGTCCAGTTGCGATGGGGAAAATTATCAGTTCTCGGTGATATCCCGAGTCTTGCCCCACGATTGTTTCGGGAAGCCGCAGAGCTTATCCAAGAAGAAGACCAACAAAGTTCAAGATGAGCTGGAGCACGAAAAGCGGGCCGCTGGCGGCTCTATGTTTCAATGGCGTCATTTCGTAACTAGCTTTGAGTATTTCAAGCTCGTGTCTTTCATGCTTGGGTCGAATTACGACTACAGTCTCAACGACAATCAGGTAGGCGAGACAAGAGGCAGTGACGGGAAAGTGATATCACCAGAAAAGAGACACGACATGAGAACACGGTCACACGCCAAGATTTATTTCGAAGGTAAAGCGGTCAAAAGTGCTCACGAATTGATGAATGGTGAGACTGCCAACAAACGCAAATCTTTCATCGTGGGAACTTTTGGACAAATCATGGGGTACACTCACATGAAACCGTTTGGCTCTGATTCTTCCCTTTCAGTCATGGAATTCAAGTATCTAGAGGAAGCACTCTCGAAAGAGATTAACTTCCACTTGTTCCACAGTGTTTAGACCAGTTTTCAGTGCTCATCTTGAGTGCAACGAGATAGAAAAGAGAGCAGTTCAAAGTACTAATAATTAATAGAGTTGGCTGTGCTGTGGGGATGTGCTAGTGTGTTTAGATCATTTAGTTTAGGTCAATGGATCTTTCAGGTTTTTATCGTCGTCGAAACGTTAAAAAAGTAAGTGATGTGAAGACCCCATACCGTGGTAAGTAAGTGGTATCTGTAGCCAAGTCCCCAGTCTACCGTTGTAAAAAACTGGCAGTCTGGTCGGAATAGATCAAAACGTTTTTTCAGGCACAATTCAGAGCCTCTTCTTGCATCTTACTGTCTTCATTGTTCTTGAAGGAGTGTACGGATGTAGAGTGGTCAAAGCACAACACATGGAAAACAAACACTCTTCGCAAACCCCGCGTAGCTCAGTGCTAATGAGATCCAGGTCGCCAACGAAGTTGTGCTCAAAAAACAGAAGTTCGACTGAACTACAATAATTTGATATCACCTTCAACATGTACAGGCAAGATGCTACGGGAGCTTTTAAAAACGAGAAAAAAGCCGTGTGGCAAGCTAAGTGACCAAAAATTTGAGGAACGTCAGATGGCTCTTTATTTTAGTGAGCACTAGTAACGTTCCTCCCGTTGTGATTGGAGTTCGACTCCGAGGAAGGGGGTAGAGTCCGCCTATAAACACTCTAATGTACAGCTACTTAAAAAAGTTCATGTCCAATGGACTTAGTTTTCTTGCTCGACGAAACCCTTTTCGGAAACGTAGATACCATCCAAGAACTTACGGATATCCTTGTTTCTGACACGGCATATTTGCTGGATGTCAGCAGCGTTCTGAGAGACGTTTTCGATGGAGTTACCAGACAAAACGATCTCGTCCTTTTGGATGGTAGAGAACTCGATGGAAACACCTTCTCTGACAGGCACCATTCTGACGAGCTTGTCACCCAAGAAGTTTCTAATTTCGACAAACTTCTCGCCCTCCTTCTCAACAACGTTCACGTTGATGGGAAAATGGGCGTACACGTATCTCATCTTGTACTTGAAACCCTTGGTCACACCAGTGACCATGTTGGCGACTAGAGACTTAACGGTTCTCAAAGCAGCAACGTGCTTTCTGTCACCGTTATGAACAGTGATCTTAACCTGTCTGTTGCTGACCTTGGCGAAAGTGACATCGATGTGCTTCAAGTTCTTGGTCAAGACACCTCTTGGACCGGTGACCTTGATCACTCTGGACTTGATGTTGACGGTGACGCCTTCAGGGATGTCTAGAACTTGGTCGGTTTGGATGTATTTCATTGCCGGTGACTTTGATACTGTTGATTCAAAATAAGAGAAAGTGGAGGGAAATTTGATAAAGTGTTGTCCAAGTTTTGATGTCTTTATATACCTGAAAGTCCTGGCAAAAAAATTTTTCACCCAAACAAAAACTCATTCAGTACTCATGAAAGAGAGAGAATCCGAGTACTCGCGATGAGCGTCTTTGCCTTGCTTAGTCCAAACACTGCCATTGTTTCCGTATAGAGCACATACTATATATATAATACATCGAAAACTAATCTTTAGCTTCGAACCAGGTATTCACGAAATTCCGTAATTCTCCGGCATCGTTGAATACCAAGGAGCCCTCCTCATTGTAAAATTGGGCGTTGTCAAACATTGTTTTGAAATCCTGATGAACGTCAGCAATCGATTCGTATTGGCCCTTCTTGCACTTTCTCGTTATAGTATCCAAAGCCACGGGCGTCTTGATTAGTGCGAAGTAGTCGGGATACAGCTTTTTGGAGGGCAGAGTCTCAAATATCGAGGTCCGAGAATGCTCATCGTTCGGGTCCAGTTGAGCCCGCAATTCCGCGAGCAGTTCCTCAACAAGCGGTGTAAATTCACACGCAACAGGCTTTTTCGAGGGCCTCGACGCTTTACTCTTCGAACGAGAAGCACTGCCCGGTTTCTCGTCTTTTTTAGTGGCTATTCCGTTGACTTGCGACTCCACCGGCCCGTCCGCGACGCCATTGGCGATCTGATCCTTTTTCTTCTTAAGCGACAGTTTAACCGTCAATTTTTGCTTCTTTTGAACAGGTTCCTCCGTCTTGACAGGCTTTTCCACAGGAGCTTGCTCTGCAACGTCCTGTAAAAAAGTATGTTCATCTTCTATGGCCTTTCTCTTCGACTTGGTAGGACGTTTGCTGACTGGCTCGATAAAATCTGCTTCTGGCGTTGGTTCCAGACTGCCTATCTCATCTGAGTCCGCGTCTCTACCCAATTTGTTTGCCTGTCTGCGCTCTCTTGACTGTCTTTTCCTCGTTATCGCAGCTTCCAGAGAATCATCGTCATCATCTACAGCCTGTAACCACTGCTCTTCCGTCAAGCCATCGTCGTAATACACCTTCTTCCTCTCTCTGATTCTTCCTACTGCCGCGGGTTCGACATTTAGATGCTCGCTGATGTCTTCGGTGAAAACTTCTGGCAGCTCGTGGGACTGAATTAGTCTTGATAGCGGTGCAGGAAGACCTTGTGCTTTCGCCAGCTTCGCTTCCGCGGCCTCCCTTTCTTGATCCATCTTGTCGAAAAGAATGCGTTCTTCTTCGCTACGGGCCAGAATTTCGTTGAGCTCCTCATCGTCTAATTCGGCTTGCTCGCTTTCATCTTTGACCGTCTCATTCTCCAGCAATCTCCTCAAAAACGCTTCTTGTTCCTCTGCCGTCGACTTGTTGTCGAACTTACCTGCCTGAATGACTTTTCCGTCAATATCCAGTTTTTGCATTGCTCTCTCCAGAATGACCTCCTCTACAGAGTCTGTGGTAATCAGTCTTAATATCCGCACTTCATTCTTTTGCCCAATTCTATGAGCTCTGTCTTGCGCTTGTAAATCCTGGTGAGGATTCCAGTCAGTGTCGAAAATAATGACCGTATCGGCGGTTTGTAGGTTGAGCCCAAGACCACCAGCTCTTGTTGACAGCAAAAAGCAGAAGTACTCAGAATCCTTAGCATTGAACTCTTTTAACATCGAGGTACGCTCTTCGGTCTTGGTGGCACCATCCAGTCTCAGGTATTTCAGATCTCTCATCCGCAAAAAATCCTCCATTATGTCCATAACCTGGGTCATTTGAAAAAACATCAGGATTCTGTGACCTGATGCTTTGAATTTGGGAAGGACACGGTCTAGCAACTCGAATTTTCCTGCTACTCGGTAGAGGAGGGGACCGTTATTTCTTGTCGGATTGATAATTCCCTCGACTTCGTCAAAAACGAATGGATGGTTGCAAATCTTCCTCAGTTGCATGATCTTATTGTTGAGACCTTTGATACCACCTTTTGTAGCACCTTCTGCGCCTGCTCCGATAAATAGAGCGTTGTGATTGAGCATCTGCTCATAAAGCTGTTGTTGTAAACCAGAAAGTTTGCACTTGATTACCTTTTCTACTTTGTCGGGTAGATCCTTTTCCACCTCTTTCTTCAAACGCCGCAATAAGAAAGGTCTCAAGACTTTGTGTAGTCTTCTAATAATAAGAAGGGTTTCTTCTTCCGTAAGCTCGAGCTTTTCTTGGCCGCCCGTATTAGCGAACGGTGTGTTGAACCATTCATCGAAGGTCTTCGCAGAGTTGAAAATTTTCGGTAGCACGAAATTGAGCAAAGCCCAGAGCTCAGGAAGGTTATTCTGCAATGGAGTACCAGTTAGAATTAATCTGTTTCTAGTTCTGTAGTACCTCGTGAGTGTGAATGACAGTTTCGATTGAGCGTTTTTCATTCTATGACCCTCATCAATAATCATATGCGCCCAGTCGTGCTTCGATAAGAGTGAGCGGTCTTTAATGATATACTCATAAGTCGTGAGAAGGACCTCGAAATTACCGTATCTTATCTGATGTTGCATCGATTTTCTTTGATTGGGTGTGCCTTTATAAACGACTGTTGCTAGGCCAGGAGCCCACTTCTCGAATTCTAAAGTCCAATTTGTGATAGTCGACAAGGGCACAATCACCAAAAATGGGCCAGGTTCGTTTTTGACTTCGCGCAAATACGTGATTAGAGATATCGATTGGATTGTCTTACCGAGACCCATTTCGTCGGCCAAAATACCATTCAGATGATTATTGTACAGGGACACCATCCACTCTAGACCCTTTATTTGATACTCCTTGAGATTACCTCCTATCAACATGGATGGCTGTTTTTGGACTGTCTCCTTAACAGTGTGAGCGACTTCGTAGTAATCGATCTTTTCTCTATCTTCATCGGTCATTACGCCAACCTCTTCGCCACGCTTCAGTCTAGCCTCATTTTGCTGTACCTTAACTGCCTGAGCCAAAGAGTCCAAAAATGTGTTAGTCTGTCTGAGCAAATGAGTGATTCTCGTGTCCTTGGTTTGATCCAGCAGCTTGAGGTATGCTTCCTCATCGTTGGACTTCAAAGCCTGCAGACGTTGTTTGGCGGTTCTCTCCATGCGCTTCTGTTCATCTTTCTCTGTTTGACTGTGCAATGAAGCACACAGCCTGCCAAATTGAACACTACGCTCCCTTTGCGTAGACTGTGTTGTTTGCTGCTCGTGGACATGTGCAATAATCTTGTTTACCTTGTGCATATGGAGGTTCCGCTCTTTCCTGCGTTTTTCTAACAGCTGCTGCCTCTCAAGCTCTTCCGCTAGTCTAGCAGTTTGGGGCACGATGACCTTGTTCCTTATTTGAACCGATCTTTGTGCTGCCATTGTATACGGAGAGTCACGAAGAGATGGAATGTTGTGGTGGGCCTGACTTGTCACATTCATGATAAGTTTCTGTCTGATAGACTTTTGTTTTGTTAGAAGCTTTAGCGCTTTCAATTCCACCAAAGCCTTGAGCTTGAGATCGTCCACGCTGGAGGGCACGTCGTCTTTTGCCGTGAACTGTAAGCTGTCTGAGAGTGCGTAGGTGCCCAGATTCGCAGGCAATCTTTCCAGCTCTGCAATTCGTTCGGCTATTCGCGAAACGATTGTTCTCTCGATACCAGGAGAACCCAAGCTTTTCTTTCCCTTGGCGATCTCGAAATTGTAGAACTTGTCGCCAAGCCCGAAGGTTTTTGCGTTCTCATCGAAGTTGAGCGAGAGCTTCAAAGGTGCAAGTTTTGATAGTTTTGGCACCACTTCGTTCCCCACATCGCCAGTATTTTGCGGCTCTGCGTCGCCGAGCAACCCCTCAGGAACGTCCAAATCTTTGCTAAGAAGCTGCAGCGCTATCAATTGGTTTTGGAACACCCTGTCGTCGTACTCGCACTCTTTCTCCATGGCATGCCGTATTTCTTGCAGCTTTTTCACGTATTCGTCTTGCTGTTGAGATATAGAGCTGAAAACACGTTCCAGCGCGTTAATTTCGACACGATTAGAGTCTGGGTCCTGAAACACGGCACGATATCTGTGGAGTAGCTGCTCCAGTTGAGCAAGGGTTTCCGGAGCTGGGATTTCCACCGTAGCCACCATTTCTGGCTGCTGTTTGGACGGAGGGGCCGTCACTGGGATTTGGGCCATGTTCATCATTTTTTGAGATTTTTCGATTTGGCGTTCTGAATATATGAATAAAGGCTATCGACTGCAACGGAAATCGAATCGACGAGCTTTAAATCGAAGGATCTCTGCTGCGTCAGTGTTTCTCTGTCAATGGCCAGAAAATAACCCGATTTTCAAGTCTTTCGGTGTGTTGAACAACTGGGGCCGAAATATGTGGTAATTGACTCGAGATTAGAGCACCAAAAAAAACAACCGGTGATCACGATGAAAACACGTCCGTTTTACAGTCTTTGAACTCACTTGGTGTTTTTCGCTGACGCCGTTCAGATGTTGACAATTGAATACGGGCTCTATTTACCTTCTCAGTGATCCTAGTCTACTGTAACCTGCGAAATTGGTGATTATGGTTAATTCGTAAAATTTGAAGATTAAGTGATCACTGTTGACGTAGACTAGTGGCCGGGTAAATTTAGGGATTATTTTGGTCACCATGTACGTACATCTCTGTCATGTGTTTCACACATGTCTTTCACGTGCCTGATTTTTTCATTAAAAATAAACACTCACTGTATACGGGATTTTGGAAAAATCGATGCGACGTTTAAGCATTTGGCTCACAGCGATGAGCTATCATACTTCTACTGCCAACTGGAGTTCGAAGTTCCGCTTCAGAAACCTTCTTTCTCACATTATAAACACAACGCAGATCCGTTATGAATAAAGTTTCGTCGCGAAACCAGGCCACCGCGGTGGTCAACAACGTATTGTCTCAAATATTACCAGGCTGCGCCAAAATTGACGGCAACACCAGTAGGCCAAGCCGCAGTAAGCGAGCAAGCAAGGGCTCAAAAGCTCAACTCATCAGTCAAAACCTCAAAAATGCCGCTAGAGTACGAGAACAAGACGCTCATGGTATCAAGAAAAAAGAGCTCAAAAAACGCAAGAAACAGATCAAGGCCAAACTAGCGCACGAGGACAAAATGGATCAGAATGCTAAACTACAGATCCTGCAGAAGCATCAGGAGCAGGGTACTCTTACGCAGAAGGAACGCAAGTTCCTCAACAAAGTCATTGGCAGAAATGTCCGGGACCTGAAAAGCTGGGACATGGAAGGCGAAGAAACTCTAAGTGAGCTCCAGGAGTCGATTCTCGATAGCCGCAGTAAACAAGGCTCTGCTCGCTCCAAGAAAGGTAGAAAAGATTTCAGAGAAGCTCAATCGTCCAAGGCACAAACCTCTGATCATCGTTACGCCGGGTTGACGCCCGGTTTGGCTCCAGTCGGTCTCAGCGACGAAGAAGAGTCCGACGGGGAATAAGTTGGGCCTGCCGTCATGAACAGATACCGTCGTTCATCTATCAGTATACGGAAATTCTAAATCGGTTTGTAATACGTACTTTTTCTTCTTTTGCATTTCCTAATCGAAAGGCACTTGGCCCAGCTCGAAGTATGCTTGTCTTGTGTCAACACAAGCCTTCCGCACCCTTCTTTTCTTATCGTCCAAAGCCACTGCCAACCTCATAAGAACGTCGTCTTTGAACGGCAGCAGGTAATTTAGCGGCACATGTTCTGTGAAACTGAGCAAGATCTCGACTGCTGTCAATCTGACCATGTAAGTGTTGCGTTTGGCAGGACCGGCTAAATCAAGCATTATTGGGACTAGACTGTGGACGTGCTCTGTCACGAGCTGCGGAGCCTGATCGACAGTTCCCTTTATCGTGCTCAGGGCCGAAAACACAACGTCACTGTTGTCTAATTTGACGGCCTGTATCAGTAAAGCAAGCAGTTTTGGAATGTAACTGATGGTGATTTTATTCGCAGTGTTTTTCAAGATGCAAGAGAGCGCCATCAGGTAGTTTGCTTTTATCGACATATCGTCAGTCGAACCATACGCGGAGACCAAACGAGGAGCCACATCACCGAAAAACTTTTGCTTGTACAGCACCTTGACGTTGTTATTCCACGATATGCCTTTGATCTTGTCTAATGTCGGTAGATCCATGGCAAACACTTCGAATAACTTGGCTATCTGCGATCCTTTTGAGGCCTCGGAAAGGAGCTCAATAAAATTGCTGGTGAACTCAACTGCAAAATCTGAATTTCTCATGACCAATCCCTTAGTACACCAAGCCGTGATCTCTAAATTGATCATGCTAGTGTCCTTCATGTGCAGCGTGCTTTGCATAAAGCTGTCGCTACACCATTTGTTCGATAGCACAGCCAGCAGTTCCAGGTAAGATATCTTTTCAAAAGTACTGCAACGTGTGTCGTCATTTGAAAGCAAGTTGACACAACGCGAAAGCAGCTCCTCTGCGGGAACGTGACAGGCCTTGTCGAAAGCCGAAAGGTATTTGGTCAAAAGTATTACTGAGCGATTTGGTTTATTCAAAACCTTGCGATCTTCAACGAAAAGCTTCAAATACTTGTCCAATTCTGTCTGATGGGTCGATCTTGAAGCGTAAAGGTTGATAAAAAACAAAACTGATGATATCATTGACAGGTTGTGATCATCATCATGTATTGGCTGACACAGCGATATAGCCAATAAATCTCCTTCGATATTTCTTTTGAAGTTGGAAGCATCCGCCTCTGTTATGACATCTTTATTGATGTCGAGTAGTGAGTACAAGCTCGACAGCAGTTTGAAACACAGATCGCTGTTTTCCGTATCTTTCGAAGCGCGACACAGCACTTCACTTACACCCACGATACTTTCAGTGACCAGACGGTGTCTTGAGGGTGTAAAATCCAATAGGACCTTCAAAACCTTTTCGATTAGAATATCTTTTCCATCCATCACTAAGATTGAGTGTGATATACCGTTTCTCAAAAGTTCCATCATTTGATGCAAAGTGACCTCGATGACAGTCTTCTCCGAAATTTCGCTTGCGGCTTTCAGTCCCTCGAGAGTAGCAAAATAAATGTTTTTATTGTCGTCAGTTAGAATAGTCTCCGTAAAATACTGTGTTATCAAAGCAACCTCTTCTTCGCTCAGATAATCGGGCATTTGCAGTAGCTTGGTCATTTGAACAACAGACAAAGTTCTGAGACTCACCTCGCTTTTCGAGCTGCCTTTCAAACTCCTCCCGAAAATCATCAAAATCTCGTCCTTGTACTGTACCATCTTGTTATCGCTTACCTTCTGACCATCTTTATCGAGTTTCTGATATACATCAATGTAAGCGTCGAAGAAGAGAGAGAGATTAAGTATTAGCAATTTTTGTTTGTTCACATCAAGGTCGCTGAGGTCCTGAAAGATTAAGTCCAAAACATCGGCAAGAACTTTTTTCAGAGTGTCCAAATTGGCCTTCGCTATTGCTGATAGAATAGAGCAGCTCTGTTTTAAATCTTTCTCGTTTTTGAAATTAGGCTTGAGCTCATCCAAAATATAGACGTAGAAAGAATCGAAAGCGCTTGCTTTGTAGGAAATTAATTGCGCAGAGATCGCAGTAAGAACTTTGAGCGAGTCTTCGTAGTTGTTAAAGTCGATGGGCACGCTGTCCGGTCCATTCCCATCGGCATCCGATCCGTGCATCACTTCAAATTTAAGTGCATTCCACGTAGGTAACCAGTGTCGAAAGCAGGCTTCTCCGCCAAAGTTTTCGATGCACGCCTTCAGCGTCAGCAAAGTATCATTTTTGACACTTGGTGAGGATGCTGTCATTTTATCAATCAGGTTTCCGTAAGCATCTTCTTCGAAATGAGGGCTGGCAGATATGGCGTTGCGCAGAGCCAACTTCAGGTCGCTGTTGCTGATTTTGTAGGGATCATTTTTAGGCGGTTTAAAAGTGATTGGGAAGTAGCAAAATAGAGTATCGAAAAGGTCTTCTTTGAATTGGGCTACGTCCTTCAGAGTGGTGCTCATTTTCGAATTGAGGTTGAAAGATATGAGCAAATTTCTGGGGTCTTTTTCACCTGTCGCAATAGAAAGGAAAGTTTCTATGAAAAGGGTATTAAGCTTGGGGCTTTCCAGCAAGTTTTTGTGAAATCTTTCAAGAAGTCGTTCCAGTATCAGGAAACCAAAATATCTTGTCGCAGCAAGGTGCTGAGTGGGTTGGTACTCGTCCTTCAGCAGATGAAGAACGCTGGCAACTTGGCTGGAATAGAAGCACTTCATTCCTATCACATGGCTTAGACCGAGCAGGACTTCGTCTACGCAAGATGTGTCATCGAATTTACTTAAATAGAAATCGAGCACAACTGAGACGTCATTCTTCGATAATGTGGCCTTGGGCAATTGACCCAAAACGATAGAGAGACAGTGTATGGCGCTTTTTCTCTCCGTGTTATCGCTCGACGTTATGAAATCTCGCAAGCCTACCACTAGTTCCAAAAGTTTGAGCTCTGTATTGCTAATCTTGCTAGCTATATGGGATGCCAGCTCGAGCGCTTTGGCTTCATTTGTTGTGGTATTTGCAATCACAGATACCACATCTGCCCGCAGGCTCTGGGTTGAGTACTCTTGAGGCATCAGTGACGTTCGGTAGTTCCTGTGTTTGGGAAAGCGTTGCTGCTTGTTGCGTTGGCCTGACGAACAATGCTTTCAATTTATTATAGAGTTTGGTAAGTTCCATTTGGTCACGTGACTCAAAAAAGGTGCCAATCTGTTAGCACGCGCTGATTTCCCACCAACGCTGGGTCGGCAGGCCAATCACGGGCTTTAGTATTTAGGATCTCTATATCGGTGAGCTGAAATCTGACGTGTTAGCGTTTTTCTGATCGGTTTATATCCACGCATCAAATCGTCAAAACTTCGCGCAAGAGTAAGAATTACTGACGTCTCCTCAATGGAGTGAGAAGTTCATCGTCCTCAGCCACATCCAAATCCAGCCTCACGGATTGTTTGCAGGGGTGTGATGTTTTTATTCAGAATGTAATTTTTCATGTTTTTGATAACTGGCGCGACATTTGCACGTTGTAGGATCGTGGACCAAAAATCATACCATTGTAGGGGAAGATTGCCACCACCTAACTTGTGGTTTGCTGCTTAGATTTAGCCAATTCAAACCTAAATAAACCAATGCTTCCTTTCATTTTCTAAGACTTATGTTTCCACTACCATTTGTCGACGAATTGCATGCTATCCTCACCGTACATGCCTGTCAAACTTGTGCCAATATATTTACACTACTCCACTACTTTGGAACTATTCTGTCATGATTAATCTCGCCATATCGATCTTTTAGTTCCTTAAAGGACCAAAATCCCGGTGATGGTAGGCAAAAAAGCAGATTGTAAGAGTCTACTCACAACGTGGACGTATCTTCCTTGTGCGTTTTACATAATTATCAGTCACAACTACGAGACCACAACTCAAATACGCCAAATTTCTGCATTTGTTATCGACTTTGGTTCGATTTTGACCATTTTGATCGTCTTTTATAGATGTCTGATCAGAAACCCTTTTTAAAGCGATGAGGTTAGATTTTCTGAAAATCAACACTGATTGAAAGACAGTACCCAAACTGAAATCATTTGCTATTATCAGCATAAAAGCTGAGGCAAGAGCGAAATTATAGGTATCAACAGCAGCGAAAAAAACCCTGGAAACTGACCAGTTATTAAATTGCAAACGGCGGTGTTGCTCGTTCGCGCTTTTCGATGAATACTGGTTTCACATTTCCGCCTAGTTCAGGCGATCAGAAAAATGGTAACTTCAAGTTCCCACAAATGACCGACGAACGAGCTACTGCAGACGGAAAAGAGCCTCTCAGTATGAGTCTCGAGACTAAAAGGCTCGAAACTTCGCCATCTGATGCTCTTCCCTCGCAACTTTTAACAGCAGAGGAACCAGCGTTGGAGACCTCGCCAATCATCATAAAGTCCTCTACGCCACTGATCAACGAGAAAGTAGCGCATCTGAGTGAGCCTGTCACCATTATCTCTGCAGCAGAACAAGAACAGGCAAATGCAGCTGCATCCAAAAAAGCTTCAACCAACGAATATGCCGTAAACATGCGGCAACATCTGGCCACGGACTGGAAAAGCCCTTCCGAGTACGCACTACACATTCTTTTTACGAAGTTTGTACGACACGCCGAGAGTAAACTCAATCTCTGTCTGCAATATCCGCTTGACTCTGAGCCCCCGATCGTCGAACTGCTAGGTGAGGGCGTAGACCATGCCTTCGACAAGATAACAGAGTCGTTGGGTTTCATATCAAAGAAGAAACCCAAACCTGTAATAGACGCTATGATGTTCTGGAGGAAAACCAAATCGGAAGTTGCTGCAATGGCCGCAGAAAACGTGGAAAAACTAATCCAAGAGTATGAAGTGCTCAGGCGTGGCTCGACTCTTCAAGAAAGCGTTAAAGTAAGCCATACGGGAACGACAGCTCACACGACACACTCCAAGTCTTCGAGCCTGGGAAGCAAAAAATCTCACAAACGGCGCAATTCCTCGAGGTCCTACTCGAGCAGCAACAGCGGCGCTGAAATGAGGTTACGGGTTATGGAAGATCAAATCAATGCCGCTAAAGAGACTGCTTTCCAGGCCGACAGAAAATCTCTCATCAGCATCTACATTCTATGTCGGGTCCTTATTGAAATTGTCAAACAGGGCTCCGGACCTTCTGATGACGATCTCAACGATAAATTGGAAGAAATCGTTTTCACTCAGTTGAAAACCACAGATCCAATTTCCATCTCTTCTAGCATTATAAAGTCCTCGAATTGGAATTCATTCGCAGAACTCTTGGGCTGGATGTCAGAGACGAAATTTGTTACTGTCAGTGACCGATTTATTGCTGATTTAGAGAAGCTGCCGCCCTCATTGCCACGAGAACTCGAGCCACCCGTGCACCTTCTTATTCTAGGCATGAGATATTTGAAGCTCAAAAACTATCCTCTTGAGGTTTTCGAAGAGAGCGCAGACTTCATAAAGTCCTTGGCCAAGTTTTTCGTCGCAAGTCAGAATTTCTCTATTCGATTGGCTTATGCTGAAGTCATAAGTCAGCTTCTACTGCCGCTAGCTGGTTCTTTGACGGCAGAAGTAAATCATCCCACATGGGTGGAGGCAATGGGTTTAATTCTAGAAAACTGCAGAAAAGTTCAAAATGATAACAAATTTTGGGTCAGTTCATTCAAATTGATGGTTTCTGTGCTTTGCGTCTCACCTCAAGAATTGTTCTGTGATCAGTGGATGACGTTGCTGGAAAGAAACATACCGAAGATCAAATCTAAAAGCTTAGAAGAGCGGGTGGTCTTTGCTACTGGGCTCTCACGCCTAACTTGGGTATTCCTTTTCAGGTGCACAGAAACCTTGAATAACACAGAGAGACGCTTGAGAAAGCTTTTCACGCTTTTATTCACCCCGAAGAAGAAGGATAACTGGATCACTACTGATATGGACTTAATCAACCCCTTGACTGATGTCTTAGTCACAATAGGGTCTCTTCATTCGCCCTTCATTATGGAAAATGTCATAATGCCTCTCATCAAGATGTCCTTTAATGGGTCTTCACTGGAGAATTTGAGCTACGAAAAATTGATACTGTCGATCGATACTTATAGAGGCTTGCTGGTTACAATAGAGCGCCCAGAATTTCCTGAAAATGACTGTAGGTTTTACGAGGTCAATCTGAACAAATTATCGGTCAAAATGGCCAACGCAGTATCGAGCGATCATGAAGAGACCTGCAAGCATTTTTACAAGCTTTTCCTACTTTTAGATTCAACGATCGGGTCCGAAGTGTGGTCCCCAGAAAACGAGCATCAACGTCAAACGAATACTCCCTTTGCTGGTATATCGTCTTTTAATTTCAGCTTTTCCGGTGAAAATGCTAACACTTCAAGTCGTGAGATGAATGCTGCTTTATTTGCCGCCATAATTGAGGCCCTTCCCTGCTGTTTGACGGTTTCGGGGTTGGTTCCTTTCAAGTCGACCATTGAAATTCTAGCACGAAATGCAGTTCACAGAAATGTTCTCGTTGCCGCTAGCTCTCAAAATGCGCTCAAGGCTTTGGCCCTGAAAAGAAACCCTTATGCTTTGATCACTTGGTTTGCAAAATACTCTTTCGATTTCGATGAAAAAACTCAGTCAAGCTATAACATGGCATACCTTTCTTCTGCTGAGTACCGCAAGCTGCTTGTTCATTATATCGAACTTTTAAAGTGCTGGCTTCATGAGTTCAAGAGCTCTAAAGAATCAAAGTTTACGAAAGAGATGGGTTTGGGAGGAGCTACTACAGCGGGTCTCGCAGATAATGTCCCTGCTGAAATCAAAGACACTGAAAAGTACGAATGGAAAAATACTTTGACAGTGATTGAAGACGTGGAAGGAAATGGTTTGTTCTTCTTGTGCTCTCATGACCATGTAGTGAGGCGCTTGGCGATTCAGATTTTACGCATTGTCTCCGAGTTCGATGAAGCTATGCATGAAAAAACGCAAGGGCTGGAAAAAACGCATGCACGATCGCTGTCAAAATTTGTCGCCAAAAGTGGTACTCGTCTGATTGACTTGCTTCAATCTAGCAACTACATGAATCTTCTAGAGAGTAGAAAGCTGTCTTTGAGTGTGGCCGAGAAAGCCAGGCTTGCAAAGCTAAATTCAAGGTATAGAGGTGAAATTCTTGTCAAGCTAGCAGAGTCAGATTATGGGGTCGACACCGCACTGTGGATGCGGGTTTTTTCGAGACTTCTGGGTGTGATCTTCGAGCGCTCTCCGGTCACAATGGCCCTTTGTCGATCGCTTGTGTGCATACGCTTGGTCCAACTCCATGAAATAATCTTATCAGTCGCAAGTAATGCTGAAGAACCTTTGCAAGAAATTTCTCCTCAAGTTATTGTAAATCAATGGAAGCTTTACCTTATTGTTGCATGCTCTTCACTCACATCCACAAGCGACCAGAAATTACACATCCCTGTCACAAACCATCAACACGGCAGAAATAAGTCTCAACAAATCTTCACCGTACAACATCAAAAAATCAAGTCAGCCACATCGATCTTCAAGATGGTATTGCCCCTCTTAAAGTGTCGCAATGCCTTCGTCAAGGACGCCATAATCACAGGTTTGAGCGCTATGAATGTTAACATTTTCAAGGCGTACTTACAAAGTGTTGATGGGTTTCTTACCAGCTGGCATCTGGGAAGCTCGTCCAATGGCATGAGAATCGAGATCTTTCACATCCTGGCGGTTTTGGCGTCTTTTTTCTCCAGTCCGACAGTTCTTGATGACGATTGGATACTGAGAAAGTTATCTCAATATTTAAAGGACGTCAAGCAATTTTTGGAGACCAAGGAAGTACAGAATTTATTTGAGTATCAGCAATTGCGGAGTTACTTTGCCACTTTGTTGTCGAACTACTACCTAGCAATCAAAAAGCATCCACTTGTGGATGAGCTTTTTCCGTTTGAGGCACGAGCCTCTTGCTTCAACTATCTTGAAGAATGGTGCGGTTATGGCCAGTATAATTCGATAGCCACTGAAAGGTACAACAGAATGCGAGGTGCCGAGTACTCTAAGGATAGAGGTGCTCGCTTCACGGCTATTGAATTTCAAAGGTCCCGCCTTGAGTTGGTGGCATTAGATGCGATGGTACATCTTTGTTGTGACATTATCACAAAGACGATGGATGATATACCAGGTTCCCCCATTTACATTTCATTCGATATCTCCGGTCTCGTGTGTTGGATCGACTCCTTATTCAACGCATCTGACGACAGGGTTCGAGCACTGGGAACAACGGCTCTTAAAGGTCTTCTTGAGAATAATAAAGAAAATTCTCAGCTTTACAATGATACTTTGATGCAGTACTCACTTCACAACTTAGACACGAGAGTGGCCACTCTTTATTACACAGCAGTTTGTGATTCTTTATTGAAAATGGAAACTTTTATACTGCCAGAAGACGACATCGTGTTTCTTGGTCTGAGCGGACTTTACGACGAGAGTACCGAGATTCGATCCTTTTCCATTGACATTTTATCCGCCATAGAAACCAAAACTTACAAATCGTCTTACACCAAAGTTTTCAAGGAGCGGTTGGCTAACGACTCTAAAACAGTTTACAAATCTACTGCAAAGGAAATCTCAACCATTTTCGCCGAGCTCCCACCGTCAGATGTTCGGCTTAAAATATTCTCAAAAATGTGTCGCAACATCAATTTTTTGAAATCTGAGCTAAAGCAAGACATATTCACGCTGCTTGTTCCATGGGTCAACAAGTTCACGTTGAAAAATCTGGAAGATCCTGGAACTTTCATGGTCTTGAACAACTTATTTGCCATCACAGTTGAACATAATAATAGCTATCCGATGGAGATCGAACAGCTCTGGATTTTTTTGGGCAAAGGGAATGGGTTTCAAAACATCCATGTGGCACTGGATTATATATTACAAACGTCAATCTCCTCGCGAAATCCACAATTTGTCAAGAAAGCTAAAGACGTTGTTCTCTACCTAGCCAATGTGCCTGGGGGAATGGGACTGATAGATTCAATTATGATTAATCTTGAGCCTAAGCACATGATTCCAGACGCATCGCGCTCTAGGCTAGAGATGCCCACCGGAGAGCAATATGGATTTGTGGCCAACATTTGGAAGCTTCTCGCGTACCGGGGAAAGGAAGTTGTTTTTTCTAAAGCCCAACTTTCCGTCATATATCTTGTCAATTTGCTGACAATACCCAATGACTCGATTAAGTCTAAGGTCCCATTATTACTTCATATTTGCTTTTCACTCATCGATCATTATGTTCCCATAATTCATGAGAGTGCAGCAAAGATTTTATCAGATCTCATTTTCGGCCTTGTTCCGACTCATGAGAAAGCGGAAGAGACTGTTGCGCTTATAAAGGATAGAGATAAAATATGGGCATACGACAATCTCGTTAAAGACAAAAACGGCGCGCGCTCTCCCAAGACAATGGACGCATTAGTGAGAAATGTTGTACATCTTTTTTCATCTTTTGAAAACATACAGGTTGATTGGCAAAATATCGCACTCACTTGGGCGACGACCTGTTCTGTGCGACATGTGGCGTGTCGATCCTTTCAAGTGTTCAGGTCTTTGCTCACTTTTTTGGACCAACAAATGCTTAGAGACATGCTGCATAGACTCTCAAACACAATATCAGACGAAAACTTTGAAATACAGGGCTTTGCGATGCAAATTCTCATGACCTTGAATGCCGTGACAGCTGAATTAAGTCCTGCAAAGCTGATTGATTTCCCACAAATGTTTTGGGCGCTAGTTGCTTGTTTAAGCAGCGTTCATGAGCAGGAGTTTGTTGAGGTCCTTTCGAGTTTGACCAAATTTGTCTCGAAAATTGATTTGGATTCACCTGACACTGTACAGTGCTTGATCGCGACCTTTCCATCATCGTGGGAGGGTAAATTTGATGGCTTACAACAGACTATCATGGGAGGATTGCGGTCCCAGAATTCGTGGGATATCTCGTTAGGGTTTCTTGACCGTTTGAACCTCTTCCAAGACAGCAAAATAATTGCGAATTCGGAGTCCAGAATATTGTTTGCCTTGCTCGCGAACTTGCCTCGCTTTCTTCACGCAATGGATGGTGGAGAATTTGATGAAAGTACCAAAAAGGCCGCTGAGTCTTTAACTGATCTTGCAGACAGTAAGGGTCAGCCCTCTCTAGCACGGCTTGTCGATTCATTATCCAAAAACAAATTCAGATCCAAGAAAGATTTCTTGAGTCAGGTCGTAAGCTTTATATCTCGCGCTTACTTTCCGGACTACTCAGCTCAGGCGCTAGTGTTTTTAATGGGGCTCCTCTTCAACAAGATTGATTGGGTTAAAACAGAAACGTTACAATTATTGAATAGCATAGTGCCCTTGATTGATTTAAGCCGGCCTGAGTTTACAGGCGTTGGTGCTGACCTGATATCCCCGCTTCTAAGACTGCTTTTAACGGAACATGAGTCACAAGCACTGGAAGTGTTGAACTCTGTTCGTAACGTATCCGGCAGTAAAATGGACAAAGATGTTTTACGCATAAGCATGGGGAATAAGGATGCAAAAGTATCATATAGCAGGACTGCAACATTGTTCGGTATTCCCGAAGAGAGTGGCTGGTCAGTTCCGATGCCTACGATGACGGCAGCCACTACAAGGCACAACGTGCATGCTGTTTTCACGACTTGTTCGGACGGTCCTAGTGGTGACGCTGTCCAACAGGAGCCTGACAACCTGGTAGACGTGCTAGAATTCCACGCAGACGGTGGTTATGCCCCGGCAGCAGTGGTGGAAGCCAATGATACCACATCTGTCTTAGAGGATAAAGACGGCTCTCTCAGTCACATGTGGGCAGAACTAGATAACCTCGACACGTTCTTCACCACAGAAGTGGGAATTCATGATGCTGGGCTTGAACCAAAAATATTTGAACATGCTCATTCGAACTCAGGCGATACAGTTTACATCGATAATCCCCATAATTTGGAGTCAGCACCTCAGCTCTACGATAAGAAAGTGTCTGTGATTCTCAACCACAGCTTGACCAGAACACCTTCCAATGTGTCTTTCAAGACAAATTTGGCAGATTCTTTTGGTACTAATATGCATAAAGGACCGCATGTCTTAACAGACAGTAATACCATACATACCGTGCGTGCCAGCTCCAATTCCACAAGACCGAGTTCTGGCGCACCCTTTCAACCTGTAATTTCTGCATCCAGAGCATCTCAGGTCCCATCGCATCCCAATCTCGACCCTACATCGCCTACAAAGCAAAAAACTGCGGAGAACCCAGAGCATCTTTTTAGGTTCGAGGGAATTCTAAGAAATCCTAACAGGACAAAAAAGAAGTGGCAGAAGCAGCAGCATCAGCAACAGCAATTACTGGCCCAGACATTTCAAGACGAGCCTAACTTGTATCAATTTGAGAAGAACTCAACTGCAGATCTTTCACCTCAAATTGGCATGGTTAAGAGCTCTCCCTTATCTCCCACTTTAGTTCAAAACGGGAAGCAAACACAACCAGCTGCGAAGGAAACACCCAAACAAAAAGGGTCTCAGACAAAGCCCAAAGCTCAAAAGCATCATTACCACCTGCCACACTTCTCTGGTCGCTTGTCGGACGGCAAATTGACCCCTCCGCTTTCTAGTTCCTCTGCTCCATTTTCGCTACGCTCGACCCCATCTCCCAGATCAAGCAAATCATCCGCTCCGACTCCGCTAATGAGTCCGCAAGGTCCAATCTCCAGAAGAGTCAAGTCTTTTCACGGTAAATCAAAAATAGGCGCTGGGATGGACGGTGCCACCTTCACTCGGGAAACACCGGTTCAAAGATTGATGCAGGATAGAAATGTAGAAGATGACTTAATGATCGAGAAACAGCTGCTTTCCTTACAAGACGAGCTGCAAAATAGGTCCTCAAGCGGCGACATCAATTCAAAGTAAATAACAGGTATATTGACTACTACGAATATAGTCTGTGACCAAACAAAAACTGGTACTCTTTAATCACTTTGTCTACAGGTCGCTGCCTAAGCGAGACAGCCAACTCGGTCTCTGCATGCCAGAGTTTTGGGCTACTGAGACATGTATGGGGGTAAGTAGCGGCCAAAGAGTTGAACATCCAATTGATCAAAGGCGCCAGGAACATAGGAATTCCCGGCATCCACATCTGGAGATGGTTCCGGGTTCTTTTTGGAGTAAGAGTTAGAAGTCTGCGGCGCAATCGCCTTATCTTCAGATCCAAGGTTTCCGCCCACGTCAAAGAAATTGTCCATTTCTAAAACATCACCAACGAAGTCGTAATCTTTGGCCATGAGCATGCTGGAGGTATTAACTGTATTCATGGTGTTAACTCCCGATATAGTAGCGGTGTTTTGTGGCGTGCTACCGTCGGGATTCTCCAATGCCAATAGGTCCATGTTGTTAGTCTCCAGATTGTAAGAGCTGGACTCATCGCGCACATTGATGGGCTGGGTTGTTTCTGGCAATGGTTCATCGTTGTATGGCAATGGCGCCGTGTATTCATCTTGCTTCACTTGGCTCCATCTAATGGTTTTGGAGTTGAATTTCTCGAAAAGCATGTGTAACAGATTGTAAGTCCTACTAGCGGCCATACTGGTATCTTTTAGGTACAGCAACACACTTTTGCCCATTTCAGCATCTGATTTGATATCATTGTATTCTTGTTCACCCTTTTCATCAGAAGGAGACACTTCGTGTAGGTAATATATCAGCCCTGCGACTGAAAAGAAGATGGTGTATATGCTAAACCAATATGAGCCTGTCAGGGTTTTCTTTTCCATCATTTTTTTGGCCAACTTCACCACTGTACGAGCGACTGATATACAGTTTCTAGCTCTTTGAATGGAAAGGGAGTCCACGGCCTTGGTCGGTCGGGTCGCAGATAGATAATGAATGAAGGGCCGGTACAGAATGACCTGGATCTGCAAAAAGGACAGATGTAACAATTGGTTTGCTCTTTCGTATTTTGCTGGAACGTCATTCACACCAGGCGTTAGTTCTGGCGGTAAATTGTCTAACCACTGCCGCAGTTTGATCTCTAACTGAGTGACCACATCGTGAGATATCAAATTGTTTGTCTTCTTGACTGGGTATAGCTCTGCAACGATGCTATCGAGTATCATAATAAGCTTGGTATGGTAGTTTGCTATCCCGGCAGATGAAAGAACATCGCCTTGCTGATCGAAATTGAGACCGGTTTCGGTTATGTATTCATCGGCCAATTCTGCAGGAAAAGCTTGATCAAAATCTCTTTGCGACACACTTCTGGGAAGCCCTAGCATGGTGTTCACATAGACGTCCATCTTGTAAATGGTATAGAATAGACGTTTTCGCATCTCTGTTTCGATAGGGTTGTACCCTTTCGTGTCTGCGTTCAAATTCCGATGCATTCCTTCTCGCAGCGCATTGCGCATAGCAGCCCCAATGTAAGTGTAACATGTCGATAATCTAGCAGAGCATTGTAGGAAGATGAAGAGCATCAAAATGGCTTGTATGGAATAGAGGTCTCGAGCATTTGTGATGTCAATGAGGTTGCGTGCGGCTACAAAATACTTGTAACCTTCGTCTTGCATGAATTGACTTGGAGAGCTAGCTGCGGCCTCTGGACTTGTTCCTGAGGTTTTCTGAGCAGATTTTGAGAACAGAGCACCAACTGCCATTACACTGTAGCATAAGGGCAGAAAATGCATTTGGTCGTGAGAGTACTCGTGTGGATCCGTTTCGTAGAGTTTGTCCAGACTTGCGATGAAGCTCGGGCGATGATAGAATCGAAACAGCACGCAGCACTGCTCCCAGGTGACGTGGATGAAATGCAGGGCCACAGATTTGGGAGGAAGTATTATTTTGATCTCACGGCCCTCGTTGGATTGGATAGAGCCGTCGATGCCCTCTATTGCATCTGCCAGGAGTTCTGGCGTCGCTGTGGCGGTACCTGTGGTAGTTCCTGGGGATTCTGAATCGTATGGCTTATCTTGGGTGCTGCTAAAGTGATGTTCTTTGGTGACGTCCTGGACGGCCTTTTTGAAAGAGTCCGACTTGGAAAGCGCTTTTACGAACGCGGAAACGTCCAGGGTTTCGATTGGAGGCAGTTGCGGGAATAGTTGTCCAAACAGAGCCCTGTACTTGGACAGCACCTGCATTTGTGCGTTTTTCGATGGGACTCGTGCAGGACCAAGACCTGATCGTTGGGTTCGAGAATATGGCGAGGCTCCTGCAGGCCCTAGAGAATCACTCCCGTCTGTCTTCGAGGGCAGATTGGAAGACACTAGCTGGCTCGCTGATGCTCGCTTGCTGGGTTGGTTATAGGTGCACTCATACGAGTACACTGTGCAGTGGATACACGGCTGTTGGCCATCGCACTTGACCTTTTTTTTACGGCATTCGTCGCACGCCCGTGTCACACGGCGACGCTTATGAGTTGTTTCCGACATGGTTCCCACTTGGACACCTTATTTGAGATTCACGAATGACTATTATAACTAGTGATGAGATGCTAACTTATATGGCAAGCCACAACACAAAATACTGAACCGTTTTCAATAGAAGTACCACCAATTTGAAGCCATTGGATGAAAATCACATAGAATTACACTATATCGGTCAGTAAAGCGTTTATTCTGTGTGAATATATAGCCTTTGGCTGATCCTTTAGACGTTCTTTTTTGGCACGATTTTTCGTCAAGACGTTTTTTAACATAGCCTGAGGCATTTTTCAAATTATAGTGGGTTGACTGAATAGAACCAGGACAGACAATCGCTGATTAGCCTTGAGAGAGATATCATTATGCTAGAAAGGGCGAGTACATTAGCGATTGTTCTGGAGATATTTGAGGAATATTGGGAGAGCCTGGAAGAAGAATGGGGAAGGAAAGTAAATTGGAAGCTGGGCAGGGGTGGGAAGTGGAGTGAGAATGACAACGAGGCGTTCTGCTGAAAATTAGGTTGAGAAGGTTGCGATTTTGAACAAGGTTTTGTTACATTTGGCAAAATACTGGTTGAAGAGCGCAGTCGATGGGTGATATAATATAAACGGGAGTGTTATGTAATACTTTGGCAGGGGTTTATGGATATATTGATTTGAAAACTGAGCTGTGTATTTGTCCTAGGCATTATGGACTGTTAAGGCATGGTGAGGAGGACAGTGGGATGCTCTTCCATACAGGCTTTGGATGCGACTATTCTCTTAATTTACTGTCATTGGGTTTAATTAAAAGGTGTCATTACGAACGGATCTGTCGTTAGCTGCACGAGCAGCTAACTTTCGCAACGTAAACGTCTCTGAGCTTCTTAGTTTAGCTTTGTGGCTTGAGTTTTTGGTTTATAATGTAGAAGAAGTGTTCTTGTACTTGTAGGGAGCCCTCAATGGCCGAAAACAAATATCGCGCTGTAGGAGACAGAATAGTACGAAGTGATAAGTGTGTTTATGTCTTCCGTGCGGGGCGTTTGCTCATCTAAAGTGTGCTTGCATACTTGCACATTATTCTCATCTTTCTCCCAGCCTCTTTGGTATGTGTAGAAGCTGCTACTGTGAAAAAATTGCGTCTCAGAGAATCTCTTTTAATATCCGCGAAGCACTGAATTTGGAATTGAATTTGCCTTCACCTAAGAAAGCAGACAAGTGATTTGAAAGTTTCCATGCTATTTCCATCCCTAAAAGCCTCACCAAAACGCTGTTCCAACCCCAACATACCCCTTTCACCAAACAATTGAATTCACATCTTACCCAATAAAAAGACCGAAACACTCAGAAAAAAACCCCCCACAACACATGCGCACAAATTTGACATTGGAACATCCTAAACGTCAAAAGAACCCCAAAGCAAATTTCCAAACTCGCTCAGACACCCCAGAGTCCAACACAATGCGTTAACTATGACGCTTTCAACAACTTCGTGAAAAATGCGACACTTTAGTTGTCAACAAATAAAAACAAAACAAACACTCATCAACTGTTTACTAACTGCGCATACGGACTCACAACAACCATCAAAGACAGGTCTTACGCGCTGTGACTTGACAAGGACCTCGGCGGCTATAGTGCAGCACAGAATTTAAGCGCACCAATTTGAACAGTGTCGTCTCAAGGACCCTTTTTTGATATTTTTTTACTCCTTCTTGAAAGTGAAGTTTTAAGCTGAAATATTGTGTGTGGACAATATTATCTATCACACGGAAGATAAGCTGTATCACTTTGAGTTTGTTACCTATTCGCATTTTGTTTCCGGGAAGTCCATACCAGGTGCTGAGAACGGTTTGTAGTCGTTGACTCTCGGAATACGTTAAAAAGCATCCACTTTACTGACTTTATGAGTGCTTCCACGGGTCAAGAGTTGGGAAACTCACAACAAAACCAAGTATGTTACGGGATCGAATTTGAACAGAACTTAAAAGAGGAATGGATTGGAAAGATTGAGAACGAGGGGTCGTCTGTAAAGTTAAGCATTTCGAAATTGCTCCTGGATCTGAGAAAAACGGAAAGCTCGCCTCGTTGCTGCTGCATACAAGACTTGCTTTGATTTTAGAGCTGTGGAAACCATACTACCTTGGTTCCGTCACAAGAGAAGTTCAACAACCTTGCTCCCCTGAATATTAGGTTCCTCTTCTGCTACTTCGCACACGCAATTACTAACATACATTTTTTCGCTCAGGACTTGGTGAATGCGGTGATCTCGGTGCTGGCCACCCCGGAACAGCCTACAACCGTCGCAAATGTCTATTCAAATGAACGCAACTTGGCTACAGAAGTTCAGGCATATGCCAAGATAGCCGGACGCAACTGGACGCTTTATGTAAAGCATCTGGTGCTGACCATAGGCCGTAACACTGACCCACAAGATCAAACCGTGGACATCGATTTAGGCCCCGCCAAAGTCGTTTCGCGCAAACATGCCACCATCAAGTACAATCTCAGCGGTGGGTTTTGGGAATTGCAGGTCCAAGGTCGAAACGGGGCAAAAGTGGATTTCAAGCGCGTTGGCGCCGGACCACAGGCTGACCCCGTGCAGTTGCAATCCGGCTCGATTCTGGATATTGGCGGTACTCAAATGATGTTTATTTTGCCTGACCGTGGTCCCTTTGTAGATCCACAGGCGTTGGATCATTTAATCCCCAAGTTAAATGCTATGTACGGGGCCACAACCACTAATCCACTGCTCCAGGATTTGCTGCGAGATGTCTCGCAGCCCAGAAATGCCGTGAAAGCTTTTCGCATGTACAATTCCTACGACAACCCATATGCCACAGCCTCCGCAGGCGGTTCGTACAACTCACCGCAAATGGGGGCTGGTTATGGTGCAGTTATGGATCCAAGCTTCTCTCAAGCTAACGACATTGCCTCAGATTTGTCGCGGGAGGAGAACAAAAACGTTAAACCACCCTTTTCTTATGCCACCATGATTACACAGGCCATTCTCTCTAATCCTGAAGGGGTTTTGTCTTTGGCTGACATCTACAAATACATCTCTTCCAATTTTGCGTACTATCGCTATGCAAAGACTGGTTGGCAGAATTCTATTCGGCATAATCTCTCTCTGAATAAGGCATTTGAGAAAGTGCCCCGAAAACCTAACGAACCTGGTAAAGGCATGAAGTGGCGCATCAGTAAAGACTATCAAAACGATTTCATGGACAAGTGGCAGTCGGGCAAAATCTCCAAGGTAAGGAGAGGATCCTCGGTGGCTCGGCAATTGCAACTGCACATGACCAAATTCAACACTTTACCACAGCCGGGCTCTGGCGCTGGTCCCGGTGATCAAGAATCCCCCAATGATCATCCAGAAAACCTGCAAAATGGGCCTCATCGACCTTCTTCGCAACATCAGTCCTCTGAAAAGGAGCAATTCAATCGTCTGCATAAACAGGAGTCACAAGAACAACAGCCGACACGAGCCCAGAATTCCAGAGAGGTGCGACCACTACAACAGCAACAGCAACAGCAACAAGAACAGCAACCACAACAGGAACATCAAGAACGACAACCGCAACAACCGCAACAACAACCACCTCAGCAGCAACAGCAGCAGCAACAACAACAACACTCACAGAGACAAGCACAGCCACCACCGGTTCCTAGTTTCTATCAAACATCGCAAGGCCACGGTCAAAACGCTTCGCCGTCATCTGCAAACGTATACGGTACTTTGCCTCCTCCAACCACGCTACCGCCGGCATCTTCGCTGTCGCCGATGGCCACGGGCCGGCCGTCTTCGCCCCAAATGCAGCCGCCACTTAATGTCCCCGCCCGACAATCATCTTCTGGTTTCCCCACGCTGCCGCGTCCTACGACTCGTCCTTCTACCTCGCACATGCAAATGGGTAGCAGTGTGCCTGGTACAGCGTCTCGATTATCTCCTGGCCAAGACTCTCTGCTGCGCTCGCCGACAAGACCTTTCCACATTACCGCAATGGAAGCTTACACGCCCGAGCGTGGCAGCGGACAACAGACACGCTCACCAACTGGGACGCACGCTCAACAACTCAACGTCGAAACCAGAGCCTCGACGCGACAGACGTTGCCGCAAACCGCACAAAGCTCACCCGGAGTTTGGAATCTGCTGCAGTTTAGCTCTGTAAACAACACGCCGGCTGGGTTTCGTGCAATTGAAGACGCTGCCCAGGCCAACTCTGCAAATGAAGGTCCAAGAATGCTTCAGCCGGGCCCCCAGATGGGCAGGATGTCACAAGACCGAAACCAAGTTCCAACGCTACACATCAACGGCCACTCTGCTGCACCGGACAAGCAAAAGAGCCGCGACGAAGAGTCCGAGTTCGTATCGTCGCCGATCAAGAACCACAGCAAGGACACGTCGAAGGGAGTCAAAGACCTGATGCTCGATATCAAGGGCGCCAAAATCAGCGTGGTCGAGGACCATCGCTAGTCGAGGGCGAAAGGGCGTGTAGTTACAGGCTTCAGGTTAAGCCAGAGTTTTGTCCTTCAATTCCAGTTGTCTCCTCGAGCTCGGCGGCTAATTCCTGAGAAAGAAAAAAAGGATATCCATAAGCCATTGTTCCCGACATAGTCTTTTCTTTTTTCTGCATCCCCTTTGCAGTGACGTGCATGACGAAAAAAGAAACGAGACCACAATAGTTAAAAATAGATAAACTGGAGAAACGTGATATTTTCGTTTTTAATGATGTTATGGACTTCCAAGTTCGTTAAATTAACAACCCAAATAAAGATACGTACAGTAGCGCCCAACCGGAAGATTTGACGTGTTTGACGCGTTTGCCATGGCCATTGACGAGCAATTGGGGGAATCCGATGGCGCCAACTTGGTGGTGTGCTACAGCTCCCACGAACGTGGTATTTCCAAGACCATGGCCGACTTTCTCGCTCCCAAAAACGCCAACGACAGCGCAGCTGCCACGCGGACGTTGTACTTCGTAGACGCGATGGACAGGTTCCCCGTTAAAGAATTTTGCGAGTTTTTGCCGCCAGAAGAACACCACACGCTGTTTGAGAACGTTCGCATTTTGACAAGTCTGGACATGGACGAGTTTTCCCGTACGGTAGGCCAGATATCGCGGTCGACGCTAGCACTGCGTTCGGCACACCAGCGAAGTCCGCAGGATGTTCCCGTGCCAGAAGTGTTGGTTTTTGTGCGTGGTTTGGACGTGATCTTCCGAAACACGGCTCTAAAGGACCAAATGCACGCGCATCGGTCGCTGAAAGACGCCATGCTGCGGCTGCGCATGCTGGGGAACGCTCGCGAGTTCCCCACACGCACAATTGTGCTATTCCCGTCCCAGGGCCAGGGCCCGTCTCCGAATACTCAAAACGTCGTGCAACCCTCTCAAAAACGACAAAAAAAGCTTGGAAACGGCGCTTTCCAAAACTACAATTCCCTTGCTGGGTATCTAACCAAGTTTTACGCCGATTCTGTCATAAGCGAGCCTTGTTGCTGAGGTTATTTGATGAGGTCCAAAAAGAAGGTCGTGTATGTGACTGCTCTTTTCTCGATGCCAAAAACCCATACATCCACAAATATGGGCTTTCATAATTTTTCATTTGGTGAAAAAGATAGAAATTTTGCGTCTACAAATGTTTGCGTGGGTGCCGTTCCACAAGTTTTACCACGGCTGGCCGTCTGTCTAGGGCTAGGCAGAGCGCACTCGCGAGACCCTGCCTAGATGCTTTGTGTAGCCACTGGCTCTCCGTCTAGCGCTGAGCCTAGCTCGGATTCTCTCTGTCTGGACCCTGTATAGGACCCACGCAACTCTTCGTCCAGCCAGGCCCAGGCGGAGGGTCTGCCTAGCTCTGGATGCGGTCTCTCACGAGCTCTGGGCAGGGGCCTGCCTGGAGTCTGCCTACACTCTGCCTGACCCTCCCTCTAGCTCTCTGCCTAGCCCCACACTGGCTCTGCCTAGCGCTAGGCAGGGCAGTGGCAGTGGGAATTCTCACCACCAGTGTCTCTTTCCATACGGATCCTCAGCTAATCGATGGTTTGTTGGTATGGAAAAAACGAAGTTGAAATTTGACCACTGGACACACCTAATTCAAGTGTAGAAACAGCTAAGCACAAGCAATAGAGATGTCTTCTTTCGAGCCAGTTGTTGTTATTGATGGTACGTTTAAAGATAAGGAAGTTTCCAACGGTGGGAACGTGCAAAAACGGGAGACTGAGAGGTGTCGTTTCGGTGGAAAACCAACGAGTGAATTTTTGAGCGAAGTTTGAGCTTAGGTCCAAGTAATAATGACAATGTTGATGTTGATGTTGATGTTGATGTTGAACATGGAAACCGTCTACTCGTGCTCACCGCCAGCATGTCTCTCGAAACGCGCGATTTTCGATATCCAGGTATACTAACAGTCACTTTTTTTCCACAGGTAAGGGCCACTTGCTAGGTCGTTTGGCCTCGACTGTTGCCAAGCAACTATTGAACGGCCAAAAGATCGTCATTGTCAGATCCGAGGCTTTGAACATCTCTGGTGAGTTCTTCAGAAACAAGTTGAAGTACCACGACTTCTTGAGAAAGGCCACCCGTTTCAACAAGACCCGTGGTCCATTCCACTTCAGAGCTCCTTCCAGAATCTTCTACAAGGCCGTCCGTGGTATGGTTTCTCACAAGACCGCCCGTGGTAAGGCTGCCATGGAGCGTTTGAAGGTCTTCGAGGGTGTCCCACCTCCATACGACAAGAAGAAGAGAGTTGTTGTCCCACAAGCCTTGAGAGTCTTGAGATTGAAGCCAGGCAGAAAGTACACCACTCTAGGTAAGTTGTCCACCTCCGTCGGCTGGAAATACGAGGACGTTGTTTCCAAGTTGGAAGAGAAGAGAAAGGTCAGATCTGCCGAATACTACGCCAAGAAGAAGGCCTTCAACAAGAAGGTTCTTGCTGCCACCGCTGCCAACGCCGAATCGGAAGTTGCCCAAAAATTGGCTGCTCTCGGTTACTAAATCTCATGAATTGTGTGTAAAAGACAAATCTCTACAATCAAATCAGTCCTACAGTTTTTTGTATAACTAAAACTAATAAAATTGGAAACCTTTATCTGATTTTGATTCGCTGCCCGTCTTGCAACGACGCGTTAGCGCTTTGATACATATACCCTTGGCACAAAACACTCATCTCGCCAATGCCCATCACAACAAATACCGTAAATTCTCATATATACAAAAGGTTATGCAAGTTGAGGGTATAGCTCGCACCAGATTAGCAGAAAGGCCTTTGTACAGGCCTCTGACCCCGTCTTTCTTGTAAATGGAGCTCACCAGATTTGACAATCGATATGACGTCTCGTTTTGAACCGCGTCGAAACTTTGTAGGTTCGATTTCAGCAATTGAAACGGGTACACCGCGGTAACCGAAATCATTTTACTCACTGACGTTAGTACTATGTTCTCAAGGTTGCCCAGCCGCTGTTCACTCTTGATGTTTTTACTTGCAAAATAGCGATGCTTGAGGGAATCATAAGCTGTGAAATAGATGGCACCCTGCGCTACACCAAATATGGACGGTACTAGTCCCCTCCAAAACCCTCGAATGCCCTCCTTTTCGTAGATCTTAACGATTCCGTCCAAAGTCGATTTATAACGTTTTTGAGCGTTAGTGCTTGTAGACATGATCCTAGTCTTTATCACCCAAATCGGGTTGGTCAAAACGGCCGTTGCGGTCCCACTTAGAGCAGCGGATGCGAGGTACATGAGGGGTCCCATTTGGCTATCGTTTTGAAACGATGTGCGTTTCTGAGCATCTTGGTCGATCCACAGTGTGAAAAGCGTATCCTTTGAATACCGATAGAGCCCGAAATACAGCCCCCACGCCACGGAGTTTCCAATCAGATTCACACCCAGTCCACGGTACGCTTCTTGCAAGACGCTATTGTTTAGTTTTGATTCTTTGAAGATGTTTTTGATAACATCAGTGTAGCCCAGCGCAGAGTTGGAAGTTGCCAGAAGCTGCAGACGTAGCTTGACAAGGTCTAAAGGATGCGTGGCAATGGTGGTCACAGTTCCTGCCGTCAATCCTGCCACGATCTCTTTCTGAAGCTGTGTATCATTGCGCATTTGCAAAGTTTAGTTGACTCAGATGGAAAGATTCGTCGTCGTAGCTAGCTTAACTTCTACGATTATAAGTAAAAGAGGGTTTTGAATGCCCACAAGAAAGGTATTTCCGGCCAAGTTGAACCTGCCCGTCACGCCGGCACGCTTGCACGTTCAAAAGTTGCGGTTTCCACTGATAAAATGCCCAATTTTTGTTCTTTCATTACTCATTTTACGTACGTACAACGAGTATAACACACATTATTATTTACAGTATACCAGTGAGGGTTGGGGCCCAGCAGCAAGCCTAAAAACCACGTATTTAAACGCTTGGAAGAGGACTCAACAAACTAAATAGGTTAGGTCTGTTCGCAGTGTGTGCCCAGCCCAAGTACAACACAAATGGCAACCATCCGTAATGGGCCACTGTTTGGGACAAACTGAAGATCTTTGTCATCCGTTCTTTGGATTCGTCACTCAGAATGAAAGATGGGAGGTACGCCATTATAATTGAATATTCTAACCGGTATAAAAAGGCAACAAAGGGGTGCTTGAAGTCTTGACGATTCGAATTGAAAAGTTGACGATTTTGACTTTTACTTTTGGAACTTTTATATGGCAATTAACAATTTTATTAAAAAACTGGGCCAATGACAGCGACAGTAAGAATTAAAGTGATAATGGTGAATTATGAATAGCTATTTGGATGATCAAGAGTCGTTACAAGTTTCTCAATAGCTCTCGCGACAACGCCACGCTGTTTCCAATATAAGACCTACACGTTCATTGACCGCGATATAGTTAGTTTACAAGAATTGTGATTTGCGATATTAAGAATATTTCGGTTGATAATGGGCCTTAGGCGCTTTACAACAGCATTTCTAGCGGGTTCTCGATAACCTTCTTCAACTCTTTCATGAACTCGCCAGCCTTGGCTCCGTCAATGGTCCTGTGGTCAAAAGTACCGGTGATGTTCATCTTGTCGTCGAAAGAGAAACCGTACTCGGCGCCAGCGTCTTCGACGGGTACTCTCTGCACGGTACCGATGGCCAGGATAGTGGACTGGGGTGGGTTGATGATGGAGGTGAACATGGAAACGGCGTCGTTCATGCCCATGTTGGAGATGCAGATGGTACCGCCTTGGAATTCTTCGGGCTTGAGCTTGTTGATCTTGGCGCGCTTCCCCAGCTCCTTGATCTCTTGGGAAATGGAAACCAGACCCTTGGAGTCGGCGTTCTTGACGATCGGGGTCAGAAGACCCTGGGGCGTGGCCACGGCCACGGACACGTCCACGTTTCTGAACTTACGAATGACGCCCTCTGCGGCCATCCAGTAAGCGTTGGCGTCAGGAACTCTTTGAGCGGCCACAGTGATGGCCTTGATGAGCATGTCGTTGACAGAAAGCTTGTATTGGTCCTTGCCGGAAGCGTTCAATGATTGTCTCAATTTCAAGAGCTTGGAAACGGATATCTGAGACGACACAATGTATGAAGGAGTGCCGGAGGTGGACTCTAGCAAACGGTCGCCGATAATCTTTCTCATCGTGGTGATTGGCACGTCTTCGTACTGGGCAGTAGCCGAGGCGCCAGCAGCAGCTGGAGCAGCAGCAGACGACGACGACGACGACGCAGGAGCCTTTTGTAGATACTCTTCCACATCAGATTTGGTGATTCTGCCGTTGGGTCCGGTACCGGTGACGGCCTTTAGAGAGATCCCCTTGTCCAAAGCAATGGTCTTGGCTAGCGGAGAGGCAATGATTCTGTCTGTTGGGGCACTAGAGCTGGCAGAAGCCTGTTTTTTGGCCACGGGCTTGTCACCAGACGACGCAGCTGGCTTGGCGTCTGGAGTCTTGTCGGCAGCTGGTTTCTGGGCGGCAGCTTTGTCGGCGGCGCCCGAGTCCTCGACGGTGAAGTCCTTGAACGCGGCCACGTCGGCCTCGTCCTCGACGTACACGGCGATAGGCTTGCCCACGGGCAAATCCTTGGTACCTTCTGGGACCAAGGTCTTGGCCAAAAACCCGTCTTCTTGGAACTCGAAATCCATCTGTGCCTTGTCGGTCTCGATTTCGGCCAGCACACAGCCTGGTTCTAGCTGGTCACCGACTTTCTTGGACCACACGGCCAGACCGCCCTGTGTCATTGTTGGCGACAATGCAGGCATGCCAATCACGGTGTGTGGTGGGTAGGACGCGTACGCTCTCAATTGCAGTTTTGCGGAACGCAAGACCGACGATCTAATGGTAGGAATGGTGCGTAGAAAAGCAGACATCTTTGGATAATGATAAGTTCGATATTTTGGACACTATTTTAGTCAAAATCTGGTCGAATTTCCCGCGAAAAAAGCTAGATTCCTTGAAGCGACCCGTGTGTCACTTTCCGGATACTCAAATGTGCCTGTAATAGCCTTCCAAGCGCAGCAAACTCCTTTTTTGCAATTATCGTCAAAGATACGAAAAAACCCCGGGTCTTTCGATCAATCCAGGTCTCTGGGAACTTCTAAAACTCAAAAAAGTCTAAACCGGCTCTGCACTTCAAAGCCACACACTACTTCTCAGTCTAAAGACGTCTCTATCTCCTAGTTTAGCGATTTCGAGATACTTTCAAGGGCATGCCTTTGTTAGATTCCGGGGTCCCAACACCTCCTCCTATTTATACTCCCATACTAAAATTCAGGCCTGAAAAATTTTAGAGATTTTCTACGGCCAATGAGAGATAGAGATCAATGTCGTTTTGAACGTTGTGTGAGTTGTGAGACTCGCCAACGACAGCGACGGCGAGAGAAACAAATCGATGAGTTTGGGTAAGCACTTTGGCAGTGGATGGGTGTTTTGTAGTTTGAAATATCGGCGGTGTGCAGTTGGGACTCTTCGGTAATTTTCGAAGTAGAATTTTCTGTCGTTTGGTAATTTGTTTGGGTTTTTTCTGGCTTCTGGGACCCTGGAACTGGAGGCATTGGATAGGTTGGCACTGGGTAGGTGTTTTTAAGTTTGAAATGTTGGCGGTTTGCAATTGGGACGCTTCAATAATTTTCGGGATAGAATTTTCTGTCATTTCGCAATTTCCTCGACCCTTTTTGTCTGTTATTGGAGTGTGTCCGTTGGGTTGATTGACACTCTGCAGGTGTTTGTACTGTGAAAAATGAGCAGTTCGCACTTTGGAGACTTCAATAATTTCCGGAATAGAATATTCTGTCATTTCTTGCCTGTCGTTGATGTTTGTTATTTTCATTTCTTGGAATTTCGGGGCATTAAGTAGGGTGAAACGGGATAGACTGGCACAGGACAGTTTTGTAAACAATTCGGAATTGTTCATTTTCTCACACATACAGGTCTCAGTATTTTCGCATTTTGTTTGCGTCTTTTGTCCGTCGTTAATGTGTGTCTTTGACTCTATCGGACATATGGGTGCTGGCCCTGTGAAAGTGTCTTGTAGAAGTACGAGCAACTTGCGGTCTGCTCACTTCAATAATCTTCGAGGTAGAATATTCTGTCATTTCGACCAATTTGTTCAACCTTTTTTGTCTGTCGTTGGGTTCATCTTCGAGGTTTTCGGTTATTCAAGGAATTAGGCACTTTGACGATGGGCAGATGCCATATATTAAAGTACTGAGCAATTGGTTTCTTTCCATTTTTCAGAAATGAAGATCTTAATTTTATCGCAACTGGCTTCCCTTTTGTTGTCTTCATCGGTGTTTGTCTTTTCACTTCTTGGAATTTTGAGGACTAAACAGTTCTCTTGTCATTTCCAATACAACCGGCTTGCCTATCAGAAGTGAAAACCTTTGATTTCGTAACTTTTGGCTTTTCTTGTGTTCCCACAACCTGCTTGACATTTTTCGTCTGTTTCTTTAACTATTAAAGCTTGAGGCACTGGATAGTTTGGCACTGGGCGGGTCCCTTGTAATCTGAAATACAAGCATTTTGTTCCCCTTTACAGTTTTCGGAGTAGTAAATCTTGTCATTTCGCGACTTTTTTGGCCTTTTTTGTCTGTCATTGGTGTTGGTCTGTGCAATTCGAACTTGAACGTGGGTGAGTATCTTTCTTTGTGTAGGTCAAGAGCACCATTCGTGTTCTTCGCTTGTTGTCTTCTGCCATTAAGCTGGCACGAATTCCACCCAACGTTAGTCCCTGGATTATTGGATTGGAATTTGACCATGTAGTTTGGGGCGTTGGGTGCTTTAAAGCAGGTCAAGTCCCGTTTGGTGTGAAGTACAAGCAATTTGCCATTTTAAACGTTCTTAAAATTAAATATCCCTGCTTTTCCGCAACTTGTCTGACTCGTTTGTCTGTCATCGGCTTCTGTCTTTTATTTTCTTGAGAATATGAGGCGTTGGGATCTTTGGCTCAGGGCATGTGCCGTTTACCTGGAATTGAGCATTCTGTTCCTTACCAAATTCTCATAGAGAAATACTTCTGTTCTTTCGCAACTTATGTGCGTTTTTTGTCTATCGTTGGTTTTGTCTTATAAATTCTCAAAAATTCGAGGCATTGTGTGTTATGACGCTGATCAGATCTCTTGTAATGTGAGTTTTAAGCAGTTCGTCTCTTTCACAGTTTTGTGACTACAATATTTTGTTATTTCGCAACTCGTCCGGCTTTTTTGTCTGTCGTTGGTGTGTCCTTTAGTATCATGGCTCTTGGCATTGACACTATGCAAGTGCCATACACTTAAAGATTGAGCAGCCTAATACCTATTAGAATTCTCAAAGTAAACTTCTTTGTTCCTTCGTGAGTTCTCTGCCTCTTTTGTCTACCCCTCCTGTCCGCCCTCCCTGTCCAAGCGCTGCAACTGACTTGTGTTCTCTTTCAAACGTCTTTCCACAAGTTGTACCCGTTATTCCCATCAGTCTCCTTACAACCGAATCTTCATCTTCTTGCTTCTTGCGCTGACAGCTTCCTTGGGTCTCCTGCTGAAGTGCATCTACCCATCGTCTTCCCCACTTTATTGTCCACTACTCCATCCCATACCAATTGTCCAGCGTAACGGCTTTGGGAGGGGCCGCAAACATCGCAGAGACAGATTGAGATCCCTTTCCCATATAATCTTCCTCCCATTCGATTGGAACCGCATCCGCACTCTTGTCTAACAAAGTCTGTGCCGTTTGCCACGAAAATCGCACCATGTTAGATGGCCACCCAAAAAGCCCGGTTTTGTTTGCGCGCAGCCAGGCCGTGGTTTTCCCATCGGAAGGATACCCCGAGCCTATCACTTCATCCTCTGAAGTCTTGAGTGAGTCTATCAGCACATCACGCGTCACTTTGGCAACAACACTTGCCACGCTGACCACGCAGTACAGAGAGTCTGCCTTCTTGGCCACGGTGAATTTGATGTTGGGAAAATTAGACTCCAGTTTCTTTTGATACGACGCGGGGGGACCCACTGTATCGACGTATACATGGTCTATCGCCACACCTTGGTCGATTACACCTTTGATTAGAGCCATTGTTACGTCGTGAGCCTGTTCATTCAGATTGTAGTTCTTTTCCGGTGGGAATCGGAGCATACCGCTGGAAATATCACAGGGCGTAATAGACGTTGTTGCGTACCCAACCTGGTCTATCTCCCCAGTGTACATGCGTTGAAAAAGGTCTCTTCTGACCGGGTCTGTGAGTTTTTTGGAGTCGTCGAAAGCGTAGCGCTTCTTCAAGATTTCGTCCTGGTATTCCTTTGTGCAGTAACTGATACCGTAAACCATCGGCCCAATCACTGGTCCACGTCCAGCTTCGTCAACACCAAGAATGACAGGAGTTGTGGAGTTCTTGATGCTAGTAGGAATGTCAGAATAGAATGTTCGAGTGTGCAATGAATCTTTGGCTTCGACAACTGTAGGCGGCCAAACGACCAGCGGTTCCGCTGTTTTCGCGTCCAATACAGAATCCGACGTTATTTCCATTAGTGAGAGTGCAATTGGCCTCAGCAAGATCCTTTTGGGTGTGATTCTTTGAGAGTCTAGCTAAAGTGTGAATAACTGAATATATCTATCTATTCATGAGATCAGTTTTAATACAGAAAACCTGGGAAATATCAACTCATAAGACATTCAAAGACGAACATTGAGAATGGCCACGTCGAAGTCTTGAAATACAATGCGTGAATGCTAGAAATGTGAATGAATATTACAAATAGTTTTGTCCTTATTGTCTACTAATATCATCGATTGTGCCAAAGCTCAGAACGCGCTCTATCCTAGTGTTTCCGGTCAAAAGCATGCACAATCGATCAACGCCCAATCCAAAACCGCCAATTGGGGGCATTCCCCATTTCATTGCCTCCACGTACGAATTATCCACTGCTAGGGACTCATTATCTCCATAATTGTCGTGAGCTTCCTGCTGCGCAATGAATTTCTGTAATTGTAGAGCGGGACAGTTCTCTTCCTCGTAAGCATTAATGTATTCCTTTCCACCTATAAATACCTCGAATCTTTTGCTCGTAAGCATGCTGTCCTCTGGGTTCCCCTTTGCCAAGGGAGACATGACGGTAGGATGGTGGTATATTAGCGTGGGCACAATGCCTTTGCAATACTTGTCTTCGATGTAGCGCCCACATAAAAAGTTCAGGATCTGTTGCGGAGATTTGCCATCAGTATCAAGGTTGATTCCTTTGGATGCAAACGCCGCTGTAATCTCAGAAGAACTCGTGAGGTCAACTTCACTTAGATCCACATTGGTCTCCTTTTGCAAAAACGGCAGAAACTCGACCCGATTGAACTTTGCGCCGTTCGCTAGGAACGGTTCCTTCAAATCTTTCGCAATAGCTGAATCGACGCTACTCAGAACGTGGAGGTAGAGTTCCTCGCTGAGTGCTATCAAGTCTTCCATAGAGGCATACGATTGATAAAATTCCAGCGTGGTGAATTCCGGGTTATGTGTGGCATCGACGCCCTCGTTGCGGAACACTTTCCCGATCTCATAAACATGATCCAGCCCGCCAACGATTAAGCGTTTGAGCCAGAGTTCCGGGGCAACACGCAACTCGAAGGTTTTGCCTGTGCTCTTGGCACGAGTTGTAAAGGGCTCGGCGGCAGCGCCGTTTGCCTTTGACGACAGGATCGGAGTTTCTACCTCTACAAAAGTGCGGGTGTTTAGAAATTCGCGAATGGCACTTAGAATTTTGTGTCGGACGATCAAAGAGTCGTGCCCGTTAACCTGGTAATCCAGAACACGATTTTGGTTGCGTTTTACGGGATCGGAAAGTTTTGGAGGCAGTGCTTGCAGCGCTGGAGCCAATATCCTGATCAATTGCGTGCATTTCAATGACAGTGTGCGTTCTCGTTGCGAAAAGCCCGGGAAGCCACAGGCCTGTATATGGTCGCCGGGTTTTAGACTCTGGACGTGTTGAAAGAAGTCTTCTTTTGTGACTGACGATTTATCTGAAATATGTTTGGTCATCAAGTTGTAGTTTAGTATCAATTGCATGGAGCTTTGGGCGTGAGCCACGTCTATAAAACACATATTTTTGCCAGCCGAGCGAATGGAATTGATTCGTGCGCGCAGCACCTCCCGTTCACTCGTGTCGTCGTTTTCGAGAGCTGCATACTTGTTTTTGAAATGTGAGATCGACGTAGTCACAGTTGTGAGCTCTGATAGAGATGGATAGAAATGGTTTAAATTTTGGGAAATGGTCTCATTGCGAGCGGTAAAATCGACTGCTTGGGTCTGAACTAATCTGAATGAGCCTCGCAGCCTGGACGCCAGCGACCAGCGAAGCATTGATCTTCTTCTTGAGTTCGAAGACTAAAGATTTTGAGTTGAGATTCTGATCTGAGCTCATCTCATCTCTACTGGGTATGAATCATTGATATTATAGATCACGTGATACGAGATTTGAGATTGGACTAGATATAAAGAATAGAACGAGCCATTTGACTCGCTTTTGATGCTTTACAATGTTCAATTTAGCCTATCTGAGCTGTAAATCCTGTTTTAAAATTGCCACGATGTTTTCCATTGATTTTGTTTCGATTTGGTGGAGAAAACGTGAACTTTGTGGAGGCTCTAGTGCACTATTCGAGGTATGGGTTTAGATTTGCCTTGTGAGTGTGTGCTGTGTGGTTTTCCAGTTCAAGAGGCGGGACGATGGCCGGTTTTATTCTAGTGACCTTTGGTGGTGTGTAACATTTAGAGCTTGAGTTCCGGACAATTAAGGACAAAGTGATAGTCTCTTGAGAACATTTTTGCATATGGCGACAGAAAGAAGGTCCCTGGTGGGTGAGATGGACCTTTCCAAGCGTATGCACTGGGTTTTTAATAATATTGAGCACCAGAAATTCATACGTAGCCCACGGATTGTTTCAATTGCATTTCACATGATTACTAGTTTTGATGATTTGATGTTTATGACGCTTCGTAGCGATTTAAGCATGTTTTGACGAACAACAATCCTAAATACCCACAGCAAGGGCCAAAACATCGATTACTTCACGTTGTGCTCTTCGAACGTAGCGCTCCTCGAGCATCGGCCTGGAAGTAGCCTTACACTATGCGTCCACGCAGAGTTGCTGGCGCCAGCTGCAATTACACACTACACAAATACTACAACGACTACAATGACTACACTGTCTACGCTGCTTACGCAAAAATCCCAATTCAAGTCTTCTCGTTTCGCTCAGTCGTGTGTTAATAGATATTTTCCGGTCAACTGTAATTAAACAGCTTTCAATACGATAACGCAGTAATTATTGATCATCTTCGCGAACAAGTGGCAAGAACGCCATTGTGAAAAAAACCATCCAACTTCTGTTGAAATCGATCTTTCCACAATGGTTTGCTTGGTAATGGCAGAGAGTGGTGGACGAAGAAGTAAGTAAGTTTTCGCTGTGGGAACTTTTTATATAAATAATAGTTCGTCCGGGTAAGGGTGTAATTTCTTATATGTTAAAAAAGAGGTCCTACCCGGATTCGAACCGGGGTTGTTCGGATCAGAACCGAAAGTGATAACCACTACACTATAGGACCTAGTAGTTGGTAGTAAAGGGCTATAAAGCCGACATAGGTACAAGTCAAGGTAATATGGTCTCTCGCCAGCCGTTCCTCTGGGACCCGTTGGCCATAGAAATCGACAACGATGGTAAGTGATGGATAGTGCGTTGTAAGATGAGATTGAATAGAGGGTCTAAGTATCTATTGTTTGATAGAGGACAGTTTCTGCGGGCTTACGACGAATCAGAAGCGTAAATTGCTGAAAAGAGGGACGATCTTGTTGCGTGTGAGATCAATTTTGGAATATACTGGATCATAATGGGACGAAATAATACTGGACATCGTGCTGTAGGGGTATTGGGAGCTTGGGTAATTTAAATTATCTGCAGTGTCATAGAATTTTATAAGGTTTTAGGTAAATTGAAAATGTCAGCAAGTTCATAGGGTTTGAGAGTTTAGGTAAATTGAAGCGAGCATTATGATAGAACTTTAAAACTGTTGGAATTTTTCTAGGGTCAGTAATTTAGTCGTTTTATGGCACCACTGGCCACAGTATACTTTGAAGCTTTTGGGCCATTTTTCTCTGCGTGAAAAAGTGTCCCCACTTGCAATCAATTGCGAATTGAGAGTTGAAAAGTGGAAGTCGGCTGGTAAGAAGGGCGCGTCGTAGACGAGAAATGATTCATTGCAACGGCTACGTGGCTTGCCGTGCTTGACTTACTTGCTAGCTTGGCCATCCGGGCGCTCTTGATCATGTGATCAAACGACAGATGACAAAGTCAACAACGAGGACCATTACGAGACCACGATGCCTCAGTGACAGAGTTCTCACAGCTCTTTCACAGCACTTTCATGCCTTTTCTCGCCACGAAATGATCCATAGTGTGAATTCCGGCACCATTGGAAGCACACCGAAGGCCCAGTAGCATTACTGAAGAATTTACAGCGTCAGCGATCAATTGTGAATGAATAGAGCACTCTTGGTAGTTTAGAACACTCGCAGTACTGATAAAAAATGGCTATAATTACTATTGGACAATCGATTCATGTCGCTCTCAATTGTGAAAATTTGGGATGACGGCAAATCCGCTTGATGTATTCGTGATACGAGAATTATCACAGCTGAATGCGTTAGTGTCAGCGACTGCGATCAAGTGGGTTACCTAGAACAACCGTCGAGTATCAGGATTTATTTGCTAGTATGTAGGATCGATCGCTCAGTCTCTCAATTGTGGATGAATAGAATGCTTCCAGAGCGTCAGTAAAAAAGATGGTCATGAATATCATAGATGATTTTATAGGTATAGACCAGAAGCACTACTGGGCAGGTGAAAGCGCTAGTGAATAAATAGAGGGCCCGTAGTACTTGAACGTTAACGATTGAGACTAAACAGAGAGGTGGTAGTATCATTAATGGGTGACGAGTCTCGTTTTTTCCACGATCACTGAGGCCCCTTAATAGTAAGCATGTAAGACAGAATAAGTTTCCTCGATGACTTAATTTTGGTATGCGTATATCTCACTGCTTCCTGATGAGATGGTCGCGCGTGTTATTATGCAAGGTTTTGTTTCACTTACATAGCCCCACGCCAGTTGTAGTCTGTGAGTCTCAGAAAGCAATACCTGAGTACATAATGCATGGCACTTACCACAATTCTCTTCACTAACGTCTTCAAGTCCTAGTCTACCCTGTTACATACTCTAAATAAATATACTGAGGATTCACTCACTACTGGGTCTATAATTCGACATTGATAATGAAATGATGAGGTATTGAGCCAGTCTGGGTCAATGAAGTCGCAAAGCACTACCTTGTGTGGGTCTTCTAAAAGAATTCAAGAATATAAGGGGCGCTGAAGCTCTCGAATTTTGGCTCTTAGTATTGATGTACTATTGAGCGTGTCACTTCGTGCAAGCCCAAGACTTGTTACAATTGTTCGCTTTCACTCTCAACTAGCATAACTGTTCGAGTGTAAATTAAAAAAATCATTTGTCCCAATCCTAGCGAATGATGCATCACGATCAATTGTCCTCAACCATACAGCTCGAGGCATGAGCTTGAGCGATATGCAAATCCCTGCAAGATCGAAAACTAAACAGCTTTGACAATACATCGACACTCACCGTTGTATTTACAGGGTAGCTAGAAGCATGAACAAAGAATAAAGGGCCTCAATTGAAAGCGAAAGCTATCGATTGACACTTATTAGAGGACTTTCAATATTTCTTAAACGATGGAGAGTGACAATTGAGAGCGATTGGGAACAATTGTCAGTACGAAAGATGGAACTTAGCAAAGAACAGTGTATGCACAATTTAAGGTGTATAGTTGTACAACTAAGTTCAGCAGCAATCAATTTTGAACTAGCAGAGAATTAATGGAGCGTCAGCGATCGATTTTGAATATGCAGAGAGTTTTACAATGATATTTTTCCAGGGCATTACAGAGCAAGGTGGCGTGGAAAAAACACCACTAGAAAGTTGGATTGTCAGGGATTATTTTTGGACAATACTAAGCCCAAAATTGCCGCGAGTTCAACGAAACTAAGATTTTTTGATCAATCGTGAATCATTATGGTAGTTACATGCACAATGGAGTAATTGAGAGAGTTAGCAACCAACGGTGAATTAATGGAGCGCATGCAAATTGAAAGCTTCAACGATCATTTACGAGTACGTACAATGACTACAGCACAATGAAACAGTAAAGAGCGAAAGTGGTCAACTCTAGAATAATTAAGAGATCTTCGTATCATCTTGGCACTGCAAAACCGAAAATGGTGTCTAAAGAATCAACAACATATTGTACGTCGGGTCCACCGGAGCAAAATAAACAATAGAAAAGGTGCCAGACAAGCGTCCAGGAGGGGAGCGGAGTGCGGTGAATCGTTGTGATAGTCTCAAATCACGTGGCCAGATGACAGATGACAGATGACGCGCTGGTACAGAGTGATAACACCCGCGATTCGAGTCAAACCAAAGCTGGAGAAGAAGGAGGAGGTGGACGACGACGCCACCCACCTGGATCCTGCTAATGTATCCAATTCTCAGTGACCACCCTCCCGAATCCCCTATCCTAAAGACTCAAAGAGTCCATCATTTTCCTGGAAACTTCGGTCGCGACCACGAAAGACCAGACGGAAGAGAGAACGCAGGTATTTGCGCTTTCAGTTCATCCTCCTCTAGTACGTCTACTTCGCCCTGTCTCTTTGGCACACTTTTAATGACCCAAATGCACCTTCTCCCGACCACATGACCTGGCGCCACACGACAATTTAATGCCAAAATGACATGGCATGCAGTACAATCTGGCACCAAGCAACTATAGCAGTACTCTGTGCAATGCTGCCCCGGTTTTACGCCTCACACATACCCACACACACACACACACACACACACATTACAAACATTCACAAACATTTGCAAACTCCATTTCACGTCGTGTGCAGATAAAGTGATGGAAAACCACCGTACGGAAATTCCAAAAAATGCATTCAATTGAAAAACAACTACAAAAAAAAACTCTCCACACTTCTCCAGACCTCCATTTCTTCTCTCTCCACCACCGAAAACACCAAAATACCCGGAAACTAATTTTTACACCAGGAATTCGAATTTTCACACCGTTCCAACGATTATTCCACAAACCTAACAGCCCTTACCAGACCAAATCAAATCCGCAAACCCATTTTATAATTCCCAATTCCGCCAAAACCAACCGCTGTCGTCGTCAATTTTTCGATCTTTGAGAAATATATACGCCGTACCAAGTGACTCTCCCAGAAAGGGGAAATCTTATATAAAATAGTTTAATTCATTTCAGCCCTGGTAGAATTAAGAGGGCCCATGATAGATAGATAATTTTGAACTTTTAAAAGTCACCAACTTCTGGTTAAAACAACGAAATAAACCGCTATTACTGAGTCAAACGGTCGTTTTGAAAGCTGTATTTATACCGGAACTTGGGCTCCAGGCTTTTACCTTTTTTTTCCGACTCTTTTGACCTCGTTGCGACCTCGCTAGCCCGAGTTGTTAGTCTTTGATTGAACCAATCGCACCAGTTGGTCAGACTCGATGGATAACGAGCAGAACCAGCTACAAGACGAGGGCCCAGCGCCCCAGATCTTCGAGCGCAGCGTCCAGGACCACCAGCAGCAGTTCCACCAGCCCGGTGCGGTGCCCGAACGGCCCGGCGCGGCGTCGCGCGCCGGGTCGTTTGCGGGCTCCTTCACGGGCTCCTTTGTTGGAGGGTCTGGAAGACGCACGTCGCGGCCTGGATCGCACCGTGGCTCCGTGTCTATGGCCCCTGCGCACCACACGCTCGAGGATCTCGTTGCCCCGGCGTTAGACGCATCTGCGACGCTCGTGACAGACTCGCAAACGGACCTCGACAACGTGGAGATGATCTACTCGGACCGAAACTCGACCCTGGGTCTGGACCGCGCGCTAGGCCGCACGCGCACAAACTCGAACTATAATTTGCCCCAGCTGTCGCGCGCCAATAGTAACGCCAGCGCAGCCAGCATGGCAAGCGTCAATTCGAACGCCAGTGGAGTCAGTAATTGCAGCAACTGCACTTCCACGGCCTCAGATCGGCCTCGCATCTTGCGTTTCTACTCGTACGCAGACATGATCTCGGACGAAAACGCCCAGTGTAGACGGCCCTCGGTCTCCCACTCGGCGTCCAGCACACTGCTACGTGGGCAGTCACCTCAGCCGTCGTTCACCAATCCGTTCCACGGTGCTGCAAACCGCCGTGCCTCGGGCTCGTCGCCCTCGGCAGGGCTCGCAGCGCCTCCTCTACGCAGCAGTGCTGGCGCACCGTTAAGAAACTCGTCGCGATCGCCCTCAACGCGAGTTTCGTCGCCAACATTTGCTCCCGTCGCACCACGTTCTAAGAACAAATTCACGCTTGAAAGCAGCGGCAGTGATTGCTCTACAAGCGAGGGCGAAAATGACGACGAATCAGACCACGAAATGGCAACTTCGCCAAGCTCGCGCTCCACCATCTACAACTCTGCCAATCCGCCAAGCTCACAAACCTTATACAATACCGTGACAGGGCCACGTTTGACGAGAACAACGACCCAAAACAGTTTCAACAAAGCGCGCCCCACTTATAAAACGCGCACGTATTCCAGCGCAAGTTCAGTCTCACCGTTTCTCAACGCCAACCGCGCGCTGCTCACGCACCCGGGGCCTGCACAAAACATGAACGACGTGTTGTTTGACGACGGATTGCAAATCAACACGGTGAGTGACGTGCTACGGAAAAAAATCAGTAATGCCGATGAATTGTGACACAGTTGGGACTCGAGCTCCAAAATTAGCCCGTTCGAAAAGTCACGAATGGGGGCAATCTTTGGTTATAGTAGCTTTATTTGGGTAAATATCATTGAAGACAGCAGGAGGGACAATAGCGCTGTCTTCATATCATAAAGGTTAAGCACATATGAGAATTGAAATTTCGAGATAGTTGAAGCAGGGCTCTGTGGACGTCAGTGAGTGGGTGCTATGAACAGAATAATGACGATACTTGATTCTGAGTAAAACAAGTGTCGGCTGATACCGGACTCTAAGCAAGAATTCATTAGTAAAGAGCTGGGCGAATAATTACCGTTTATAAGCCTACAAGATAGAATGTGCACGAGAAGCTCTAGAGTGTATCGAACGTGTGGACTAATCATCTGTATTGTTCCCGCCCGTTTTTCTCCGCCTTCGTCCACAGACCCCAATTCGAACACCAAGAACTAGCTCGATACAGCTCAAATGTCTTCATCGTGAATCCGTTCTTCACTATTTTCCTCACTCTATGCATTAGTTTGATATCCGTATTTATTTCTTGAAATCACAAATAGTCCTTTCTACTGGCAGTTCTGACAAACCGTCTTAGTTGCCATTCCACATCCGCATCTTTATTGTCCAGGGTTCCAAGCCTTAGTTCAAAGAGTCGCATTTCGAATCTGGGACCCACTTCGGCCAGTTCCACGCCTTCTCGCGTTCTCACGTAAACGTGCTGTCTTACGCTGATAAAGTCACCGCGATTGGCAAATGTAATGACTCGAGGCGAGTCCTTTTTGGGACCCGGAGGAAACAAATGTTTCAAAACCGTGACGACCCTTTGCCCCAGGGGAGTTGTGAAATTGTCGAAGATCAGATGTGGGTTCACCTCGCTCTGATTACCGGCATTAAGTATATCATGTCTCAGCACCACGTTGTGGAGCGTGAAATACGCCGTGGGGCCGTGTGGAAAATGCGACACAGTAAGCGAAGTGGGAACACCTCTGTGTTCATGCAGCACGACGAGATCTGAAGTGCCCGATTTTTTGCATGCGTCCACCAAGCTGGGCATCACGTAGTTACCTCTGTTGAGTCTGACTGCGGTAGGGAACAGCAATCTGATTTCCTTGGCGAATTGCGAAAGTCTGGTGCTAGGGTCTCTCGAGGTCGTGACAATCAATTTAGGCTCGGCCAGCCCGCTCGTCGCGCTGTATTCGTCGTCTATCGTTTCCTCGACAGTCTGGTCATATTGGAAGTCCTTTTGGAGTTGCTCATCGTCCGCTATGTCCTTGGGCAGCGGCTTTCCCTGTGCCAGTGCTTGTTTTATAAGTTGTCGTTTTTCTTGGAGCTGCGAGTCCCGTAGCTCCTCCGCCTTGCGGTATAAATACTCTCTGCGTTCACGCGCCTGTCTTCTAATCATCCTGTAGTCTAATTATTAAGCTCTGGGGCTGGGGCTCAATGACTGTTCAAGGTGGTAGCGTCCATTTGTTGGTAGCTCATCGCATCTCATCGCATTTCTAAAATTTTTCAGATTTTGACATTTTGAAGAAGTCGTGAGTAGTGACTGACAGAAGTAATTGAATGACATAATCAATGTCATGTGAAGTCCACGTGACGTGGATGTGGTTATGGCAACCGGGTTTTAGGATTGCTGACGTCATCCGCGCCAGGTCGTTAAAATCAGTTCTTCATAAATTTAATCTAGATTAACAGCCTATCCAGAGACAGACGGTTCCTCCAGTAATTATCTCATCGTCCGTTATGTGCCCTGGCGAAATACTGCTCTTCGGAGAGCTCCATTCGAGTTTTCAGAAACGAATTAGTGCTGTTTTTGGAAGGAATATCCATGGATTCGCGTCTTTTCAGAGGACCCGGTTTCGAAGATGCAGATGACGACGACAACGAGGATTTAGCCATTCGTTGTTGATGGACGTTATTGGGCAAAAACATATGTGTGGACAAGGCGGTGGGCAAAATGGTCTGCGCCGTCGGAGGCGCGTTCGATTCGTGCTTGTATCGTTGTCGCGTGGAATCGGATATTATGCTGCTAAAGCTGCCTCGCCGGTTTGAAAGATAGCCCGCAGCCTTGGGCTGATGCGTGTGCGCGTGCGCGTGGGAGTGTATGGGTGCTTTATCGTGTATCATGGCCTCACTCATCGCAGAGAGCCCCTTCCAAGAGCTTGAAGGTGTAACGTCGCCAACAGCTGTGACGCTACTCTTTTCCAGCGTGGGGTGCTGCACGCTCAAAGAACTCATGATAGGTGGTGCCGATTTCTTCGCCATCTCGTTAAGAAATAGCCCGCTAAGCAGGCTTCTTTTGGGATCTTGTTTATCGGAGCCCGGCGACGACGTCCCCCGGCTACTGTGGGTTCCCCGAGAGGCATCGTTTCGAGAGAACATAAGTTTATCCCATTGTTTTTGATAGTACCGTTCATCTTCTTCCTCATCGTAAAGTTCTGAGTCGTCCGAAAGCGAGTTCCAATCGGACTCGTCTTCGTCACTACTGTAAAAGGCTCGGTCGTGCGAAGCGTGAGTGCCAGATTTGGGTTGCGACACTGGTGGGCCGAAAAGTGATTTAGGCTTATGGTCTGCCACGTCCATTGCACTTTGACCGGCCGATTTGTCGACGGCTCTGGTCGCAAACAAGCTGCCGGCGGAAGGAGGTTGTTGTAAAGATCGCTTGCTAGAATTTTTGAGCCGTTGGCTGTCCGAAACTTCAGGGACGCCGGCTAGAGTGCCAGTGAGCGATGCGACTGAATCTCCTTTCTTGACGAGTGATGCTTGCGAGTCCGAAACACCCACCGGAGGCTGTTGGACGGGCTCTGGAGATGCTAGTCGGGACCCACCGTCTGAACCTAGAGTGAAACGCACGTTTCCCTGACTGTATTGCGGGCGAGCAAGTGGCAGTTCGTGCGGCTTGTGCACGCCGCGTTTGGCCTGCAAATCGCTTGTGACTCTAGCCGGAACCTGACCGCTTGGAGATTGATTTTGGTGATGAATATTTTGATGAGGATGGTGGTGGTGTTGATGATGATGGTGGTGGTGGTGGTGGTGCTGATGGTGTTGAGGATGGTGATTTTGGTGATTGAGGACAGGACACTGATGGCTAACCCGTGGTTCTACTGGCGTTCGCGATCCGCCAGAAACGCCCTTCATCGCACTCATGATCTGCAGCGGCTGCAATTTCTCTACGGATTTCTTGGGATGTTCACGTTCTTGGAGATGTCCGTTCTGCGCTGGATTGATTACGCGATACAGGTTCTTCACGCCGTCGCGTTTCTTGGACTTGTTGAGTTCGTGATCCTTCAGAAGCGCCTTGTTCATGATCCGCCAACTCAAATTGCGCAGCCGTTCCCCTTGCTCCAACGCCTCACTGCTGCGAATCAGCGTTGTGTATAGATCCAGACTGTCGAACAACGGCAGCTTTGCTGCCGTGAACAGACTGGGCGCTACCTTTAAAAATGTGTGCCGACTTGGATCTTCCGCTAGATGCGGTACATGCTGCTTGTGCTCCTGTTTCGATGAATTTTTCGGGCTTTTCGCCGTGGTTCCGTTGACATCTGTGCTGCTCATCTTCGATCTATTTACTGTTCGCTAACGCCTCTAGACACCGCGAAATTTCGATAAAACTTCAATTAATTCTTGCTTGATACGAGCTTCCTGTTTTTTTTAGGCTCGACCAGCGCGAGTACGTGCTATTTGAGTCAGATAGCTCTGGTTTTGTCTTGTCTTTAAACTTCTTATTGTTATGGTTTATATATGGTCTTGAAATATAACCAGTGGTGCTACAAATTGGCATGAAATTGGATATTTATATAGTGTCACATGACACAAGGACCCGTACACCACAGCCTGGACATTCAAGAAATCGACTACAAAAGCTCACTCACTACCTCAATTCATCATCATCGTGTCTATGGCCAAGAGCTTCTCTCCCTGAATCTGTCTCCAGTTCAATGCTATCCTCCTAGATGGAGAGTCGTTTGTAGATGTCGAGTCTGTTGTGTGTGCATACATATCCATTGTGATGAAGGAGATACGATAATGTTTCTCTCTTTGTACATAGGCTCGAACAATACTCACTCATTCACTCACCATTTGACTCGTCAGGACAAACTAATCTTTCTTGTCTTGAACATAGTCCTGAGCAGCGTTCAAACCTTGTTTGGCCTTAGTATGCAAAGTGTCTGCCGTGGACTTGGTGGCGCCCAACGCAGAATCAGCATTGGACCAAAACTTGCCCTTGGCCTTTTCAGTCCAATCAGAAAGCGTTTCTAGAGACGAGTTGTACTCGCGCTCGGCTTCTTCGTACTGTTTCTGTGCCTTTTCACGCAAATCGTTAGTCTTGTCCTTGCCCTGCGACCACCACGCCGCAGTAGACTCGTCGAGCTGTTTCTTAGCAGCGTCCATCTTTTCCTTGGCAACGTCAACAGCGTCCGAGAGGTTTTTGGGGGCAGGGGGCAGGCGTCTACGGGTCTCCTCATATTCGTCCTGAGCGAGTTGAGACGCGGTCTCGCCCCAGCCCTTTAGAGCTTTGGCAGCGCGTTGTGCCAGGTCAGCATCGTTTTGGCCCTGGTGGGTAAACCAGCCCTCGTTTTTGATTTTCTTTAGCGCATCGAGTCGTTTTTGTGCCTCGCTAGGACCAATTTCCTTGTTTCTAACTAGCTCGTCAAGCTCCTCTTTTGCCAAAGCTTCTGCGGTTTCACCCCATCCGATAACGCTGTGGGACGCAATTTTGTCGATGTCGTCAGAGTTCTTGGAAGAAGAAGTGTCCTTACCGGTCAGCCATGTGAAGAATCCCTTTTTGCGTAGATTGCGGTCTTCTGCTTCTAGCTTGTCGGAAAGTTCGTTGATGTTGTCAGTGGTATACTTGGAATATTTGGAAGTGGCATCGTCGAGCTTCTGCTTGTACGCCTTGAGTGCGGATTCTGCCTCCTCCATTTGCTTTTTCAGTTCCTCGCTACCGCTTGAGAATAGCCCCGATTCGGACTTGTATTTCTCACGCACCTCGTGGAATTGCTTGTTGGCATGGTCGTACTCCTCAATGGCTTTGGCGCGTGCCTTTTCGGCCTTGCCAAACCCCCAGTTGAAGATGGATTCTGATTTTTGTTCGGTGGCCTCTTTGGCTTCGGACGCAGTGTCGCGCGCCGACTTTTCCCACGACTTGGCGGTTTCGTGGCTTTGCTTCTTGGCGCCGATTAGAGCGTCCATGATACTGGAAGCGTCCTCAGAGACGCCAGCCCGAATATTCTGGATATCGGAGGAGATCTGATCGCGGGTGTCATTTACAAACCGCTTGACCGCGTTTTGGCTTGCGCGCTCGCGCTCATGCGAGTTTTCTACGATGGCGTTGAGTTCTCCTGAGCGTTCCAGATACTTGTCGCGACGGTCCCCCACTTTGTCCTTGGCCTCGCCTAGTTGCTCCCATACCCATTGGGAGCCCCTGGCCTTGGCGTGTTCCACCTCGGCCATCGTGGATGTCATTTTGTCGTCGGCGTCACGGGCCAGGCCCGAGACTTGCTCGCGCGCCTTGTTGGCCGCGTTGTCGAGTTTTGCGCCTGTACGCTCGCCCTGGTGCTCAAACGCGTGCGTTTCGCTGTTCTTATGCAGCGACGCCGGCTGCAGCGAGGTTCGCTGTTGTTTCTGCTGGAGCTGGTACTCGTAGAGCGCGTATCCAGCCGCAACGGTGACGACACCACCAATGATCATTCTGGACGACATGGTGTTTTTTGGCTTCTTTTATGTGGTTTTTGATATTGTAGGTATTTTTTCTGGCTCCTTTTGTGGTAACTAACGAACTAGACTTCAGCGGCAACGGCAGTTCACGTCTTTTGGAAATTAAAAACTAAAAAAACGACTATTCTCGCACCCTTTGACTCTGTGTCCGGACAAAACTGGTGAGCTGTTACTTACACGATTGATGAGATGTGAATAGCGGTATATAGCGTTGTCAAAAAAACACTATACTCTGTATACCGGGGTCGATACCTCTGTAAATCTGGGAGACTGAGACCCGAGTTCTTAGAAGGCCTGCCGCGCTCATTCGCCCTTTATATACGTTTTTTTTCGGCCCCTTGCTCCCCTAAATTTTTGCCATTACACAAAGACGACAATTGCGGTCTTTAAAGGTCGACCTTCTTTTTTTGCTGTGGGGGAAAACACAGCAGGATGGATCTCGTCGGTAGTGACGATAATTTAGAAATTGCGATCTTCGTGGATAGCGATAAGATTCTGAGTCAAATTTGAGTAAATCGAGAGTGGTGGTTGTAGTGGTGGTGGTAATGGTGTTTATGATTCAGTTGTTTGAAGAAACATGAGTTTTGTATTAGCCTTAGAATTAAATTATCTGTGATCAAATGGGAATGAGCTTGACGGTATTTTTAATATCTCGCGTTAATGCTTCGCGCTAATGGTTGATCGAAACGTGAGCAGAGAGTAGATTGTATACACTGCAAACTGTAGACGAAAAATGCTAGAAGCTCGGGTTTTCGTTCAGCTCATGGAACTGTGAATTGGGAGCAAAGAATACGAATGTCACTATTGACGAATGTGTCGTCGCTAATTAATCTCAACACTGTATAGTAGTCGAAACATCCACCAGTGGACAGGCAACTACGCATAGCAAGCTTAGAGTTGTCGATGGTGATCAAACAATAGAGCATGGTGTGGGGGAGAATCTCAGAGCTAGTCGAAATTTCAGTAAGCTGTAGGGCTCGATTTTGAGAAAAAAGACTGCATATGGCGAATCTGCTTTTGAAAAGCACAAGGAAGGCCCAAAGAGAGTTTATTTTTCGATTGTTTATATAGAAATCTCCCAATTGAATTCTAACTCTGCTAAAAATTGCCACCCAGCATCCATTATTGTCGTTCAAAGACCATACGAAATTGGTGCTGACTTCAAAGCAAACTTCCGTGTCACTGAAATCGTCCTCAACCTCCTAACTTCGCTGCAATGCTGAAAAACTGAGGTCGCCACCGTAAATGTCAACCCGTGTCCCGTGGGCATGAGTTTGAAATGTTTGTGTGTGTGTGTGTGTGTGTTGTTTTTTTTTTCATTATTTTGACCGGGGATTTTGACGCTTCGCTTCAAGGACCATTCAACAAATGAGTTACGAAGAGGCCATAACACTGGGGAAATGGCAATTGAAGAGTCTCCATTGTGGCCCAGTTCAAACAGCAACGAATGGAAGCAGAAAGTTTCCCAAAGTCACTTCTAACGAGTGCGTCGTCCATACAAATTTAGCCCTGTATACGATAGTAAGAGCATCCATCGGTGGATTAAACAACTTTGTATGATAAGCCTGAAGCTGTGGGTCATCTCACCTAATTGTGGGCTTAATCGACTTTGCATGAGCTTTTTTGTCTGCTACATTCACTGCTGGAGGTACCGCAGATCAACCGCTCCGTGCGCTGTAGCTTGTTGTGCAAGTAACCTCCGAAAATGTGTCATAGCAGCTTGTCTGCACTTGAGGTGTTAATTTAGAGCAATTATCTACCGGGCCCTCTTTTCTCAAGGAAAACGTACTTTATACTAGGAATCTAGCTTGATGGGGTATACGAAAATAAATTTCTCACTATTTGACCTCGAGATTTCCCCATTCCAGCCATAGAACAGCTCATAGGGTCCCTTAAAAGCCAATAGGTAAAATAGATATGACTTTTCTCGTAAAGAGCAAGCTGTCGTGGCACTGAAACTATCCTCATACCCAGCCACCCTCGCTGCAAGCTCGAAAACAATGTTGATATCACCGAACCCGTCACTGGCCTTTGTACTTATTCCACTCACCAGGGCTAACGCTCACAGCAAACCTGCCAGTCAACTCGGTTCTACCCTCTAAACGCGGAAGTGCTCTTATCACTTTATACTCATATGACATCTGTCATTTGAGCATATGACTTTCTTTACCAGTCAACACTGATCAGTACAATGAAAAGAGCCGATTTTCCTGCACTCGATGAACTTGTTCTGCAATATGCGAAGTTCTGAATCATGCCAGAGTTCTGGTGGCCCAATTATGAAGTTTTCAGATTAAAAGCTAACACCAGCGTAGTGCTGTAATCTTTTAACAACTTTATGCCAAAATGTCGAAGTGCATATTCTCCAGCGTGCTGGTACTACGTCGCAGTGCTCTTTATCATTCAAAAACGGACAATTACGAAATTGGAAGCATTGATATGAAGTTAGTAGCGGGCAATAAAGAGCACCTAACATGAACTATTTCACTGCACAGGAAAGACAGGCTCTGTTATAGGAAACTCTAATTGTGAATAGGCTCTCAACAAGTATCGAATGTTCATCAACTGTCATATTGCATACGCTATGAAATTGTGACACAGTGTGCGGAGAGTGAACAATGAGCCGGTATTAGTATTTAACATCTAGCAAGCCCTTTAAATCGAAATTTCAAACCGGAATATTCATGATGAACGAATAGAGGACTCCCTTCCTTTATAGTATATGATACTGAATAATACGTGATAACTACTGATCGATGTCAAAACAGAAGAGGTCCTTTAATTTTTGCCTCATAGTACTTATACTGGGAAATGTGCTCGCTGCAGAGGCCTTTGTAATACCTGCGTTTAGTACTTAAAAGCCGGAGCATTCGAATTGCATGAGAATCCGCAAAACTCGTACAACTGCTATAGTATCGCTGGTAGAGGTGGAGCATTGGATTTTTGCATACAGGGGCCCGGAGCCGCCAGCCTACGTGCTCTAGTTCCTGTTCGGCGTTGATACCGGAAGCGCTTTGATTGACATTGTGAATAGCATCGCTGATGGCACTCAAAATCTCTCGAATAGAAAGCTTCTCGATCGAGAATCAATTGATGCAACAGTAGTCGCACAATTATGCGCTGCTCTTGCAAGAGGGGTTTGACGTTGTCGGCTAACCGCGTATTTTCAAGAACAGAAAATGCCAACAATTTCGGTCCTCTTAAAAAGGCCCTGTTAACACTGCTCTTTGCAGTGTTGATATTTTGTAGGTTGACGTTATAGAGAGTGATCTAAGCTACTGAGCAGGGTCAGTTGTCGCACTTCATCTGTCAAAGTGATAGAACGATTTTTTAGATATCTGGACGTTTCAGGAATCGGCGACAAGAGAACAGAAGCCTTATCGGATACTTTGAGAAGTCATAGAGGCCTCTTCAAGGCAAGAGAATATCATGATTTTAAGTGCTAAGTTCAAGATCGATTGTGCGCGAAAAACTTGGAAGACAGTTGACAAAAAAATAATTTGATACTGGTAATTTTATTTGCGAGCTCTTGTGAACTCGACTACCGCAGTGTGTGTTGTTAGTTTTAATATACTTGTTATCACTACCGGGCATCTCAATTGTATGTTGACCCTTAAGAAAATGTGAGAAAATCAAATGATTCTCCCTGCTGCCACTCGAGCCATTTTACATCCCGACCTACCAGTAATATACTTCAACAATGCTTGTCATGCTTAGCTCCTTCCGACGACTCTATCAAATTTCAATAGAAACAAATCCATTTACGTAACCGTCCTCAAAAGCTCGAAAAACTTTCACAAGCCAGGAATAATACACAATCCAAGTCCATCCACACTAATTTCGCCTCGATCATGACCTCTCCTAATCAAACAACTGCCCACAGCAGACGAATATCAAGAAACTGTCCTAAATTTGCCTATACAAACGATAAAAAGCTCCTCAAAACTGCACACAATAGCTAAAAAAAACGCAATCAACACCTGCGGTACACCGCTCAAGAATAAACTGCCAAATTGCTCAAAGATCTCTGTCTCTTGCTACATCTTTACGCTATTGGCAATATATATATGCCCAGCCTTTATAATTAAATATATTACTAGATTACGTAACGGGCGACATTAAATAAAATGTCAACCAGCCTTTTGAATTTAGTCAACTGTATTTCGTAAACCACACATGCAATCCCACAATCAGTAGGCCTAGCCGCGCCATCTTGTCCCCAAATTTGTCGAGTATGTAGGTGCCATGTAAATAGTCTATACAAATTTAGAACGGTGTAGGTAAGAGGCTCGAACCGTCCAACCACAAGAGACGGTCGAGAATTCAGCCCAAAGCGGGAACAAACAGGAGTACTGGCTATAGAGATCAAGATGTCAGAGGGTTCCGAAAGCTCCTTTAAAACCCAGGAGTCGAAAATCTTGGATCTCAGCGACCACAACCTTCGTCAGAGACACACACTTCACAGCTTTACTCTGGGAACCGACAACAATCGGGCATCGTTTCGAAGGTACACCACATCTCTTTTGCTAAACTACGAGGCCGAAGAGGACGATGATATGACGGACGAAGAGGAAGAAATTTCGCTGATCAAGCCTCTAATAGATGCTCATTTTCAACACACTCGTCCAGTGGAGGCTATGCCAGCTCTGACCTCTAGCGAGAACCCGCTCAGACCACAGCAAGTCCGTCGACAAATTCTTAACTCTGCTCCATACACCACCCACAAATCCAAGCTTTCTCAAAATATAACAATTCTGGATGAGCCAAAACCACCGACGCCGGTTTTCGCTAGTCAACGCCTTACTATGAGCCAGTTTGATCTGCAGCAAGCCCAAAATTACGAAAAACGCAACAGACTGCGACAAGAGGCGCTAGGGCGTCCTCAGAAATCCGAAAACTCTACTAAAGTACTCGAGAAACTTTGCAAATGGTCTACGTACTCTAGGCCGCGAAATTCAGGTGCCATTCCAGAGAACGACAAGCCCGTGAGACGCGGCTATTCAATCAAACGCCTGAACTCGCTGACGAGACGCAAGGATTTTTCTACCCGTGCTGAAGTCGCATCGCTCTCGCAATCGGGCAACTTTGTCTTCCACCGTGGGTTTTCGTTAAGGCGCTCTCGACTGGGATCTACTGCTGCGAAGTTCAAAAATCGCAATGAGCTTACAACAGCATTGAACTACATCAACCCAGAGTCAATGTCAAGCTCAGAACTTACTTCCGCGACTCGATTTCTGGTAATGCAATTGAAGAAGCCATCATTTTGGCAAATTCTAAGACTACACCCTAAGTTTGTGCTACGAAGCTTGGCTGCCGAGCCTAGGCAGACCTCAGCCCAACTCAATTCACAGCGTAAAGCGACAATGCAGCATAAAAACAGTATTCGAAGGAAGAGGCCCAGAGTGACCACTATAAGAAGAGTTAAATCATGTTCGGTACCGTACAGCCGATCCGCGTCGTATTTGCAGAATAAGCCATTGTACGATATGTGGAATCGTTACCTTTCAAACGTCATTTCGCAGCGTATTGAGTTTCGACTATACTTTAATGCTTCGGCGTCGATTACCAGTTCTCTCAAAGGCACATCGCAAACTTCCCGATCTACTTCCCTGCCAACGCCTTCTGATGAAGCTTATTTCCCTTCTCTCTCCTCCAGCTTAGGTGACACGGACGACGAGAATTCCAGCCACCTTGATAACAGGGCGAGAAACTCCACTTCGCTCAAGTTTGAGAACGATGTTGCTTCAATCTCGACCGCTGAACGAGAGCGGAGCTCGCTTCAGTTACAAAAGGCTTACTGAAATACGGTTCGGCGTCTATAAAGATTTATCATTCAATACATACAGGTTGTGTATAATTATTGTTATTCAAAAGCCCAGGAGGCCCTTATAGATTGTCATTTTTGGAATTTGGCTGCGCTTGACCGACGTCCAGACATCAGCAACTCTCAGATCCCCTCCGAACTTGCTTTGCTTTGCAGTCGCAAATGCGTCTACCTTTTCTGGCATGTCCTGCCACATTTCGAATACAACCACAGACACAGCAAGAAGAGTATTTCTCGAGCGTTGACAGTCGACGGAATCGCCCGTTGAAGACTTCTTTGCCCATTGATCGAAGTGAAGGTCAAACCAAGCCCATACAACGTCGCGAATTTGCTCGGAACCACAAGCCTTTTTTGCATTATTTGACAATCCAAACAAAGCCTTCTCGCTACCAGCAGAGCTGAAGTTGCTTGATACAAAATTGAGAAGCTTCTGTACTAGTTGAGGCTCTGTGCAGAAGCCGATCGATTCAAGGGCCGCATCTTGGATATCCGCTACAGAGCAGCCAGATACATGGGTCGCAAGACCCTGACTAGACTTTACGAGGTCGTAATGTTTTTTCCATTGCTTCAGGGTCGATGTGCAAAAAGAGTTCACCGTCAGGATACTCTCTACAAGCTCGAACGGTATAGCTCCTTGAGGCCCTTGAAGTATTTTTCTGAAGTATTTGCTGGACAGCGACTGCACGTCCGCCAAGGTTTTACCTGCAGATAGAACTTGCGACATCACGAGCGCTTGATGGATACTGGGACGAACATTGTGGAAGGATTCTGGCCATTGAATTTGGTTGAACAATGGTGTAATAATGATGTCCGAATATTTCTTATTCTCCTTACCGCTGCCAAATCTCAGATCGCTTAGCTCCAACTGCTGAAGGATTGTTAGGCCTAGACTCAAACCGCGATAGTACTTTGGGTATATGTTCAGATCCACACGAGATGCGATGGTGCAGAGCAGTTGAATCAAACCGTTCAAGTGTTCTCGTTTCTGGTATGACTCGTCACCAATGAAAACATCAAGATCACGGAATACCCCATATAAATCGAGATCCGATAACTGCCCGCTCGCCAAAGCTTCACACAGCTGACCGTAGCATTCTGCACTTTCGTAAGACACTCTATAGTACCCTTTGACATCTGAGTTAAAAAGTGTAGCTTTGAATGGAAGCTTTAGAGATCGATCTGTCATCAGGATGTGCTGTTTATCTTCAGACCCGTCCGGTAGAAGGGTAAATAATGGAATATGAAAAGGAACGTCCTCTGAAGCATTGTCTTTGTCGGACTGAAAGCGATTTTGCTTTAATAGCGTATTGCCATTTTCGCATGTAACATGTAAGACTGGGAATCCTGGAGATTGTATCCACGAAAACATGAAGTTTGATATGTTTGCAGATCCCAGTTGCTGTCCGAAGAAGCTCCAGATTTCGGAAGGTTTGATGCAACGTTTATGGAATGATTCGTTATAGGCCAATGATTGTAAGGCAGATTTGAAGTTGTCTTTCCCGATAGAGCATTGCAAAGATCTCAGAATTGATATACCTTTGCAGTAGCTGTAGGGGTCGACGGCGTCGGAGGTCTGAGAGATTTGATCTATTTTGGATCTGGACGCTATGCTCTGGCTATCGGCACTGCCGTCTTTCAAAAGAGCGCCACTTAATTGCTGCAAGTATTCTGCAGACGACCAATAGTCCTGTTTGGAATTTGTGCTAATCAATTCACAAGCGCACCAAGTAGCGAAAGCCTCGTTGAACCACAGGTGCTCCCACGAGTCAAACGATATATAGTTTCCCATCCATTGATGCACTAGTTCGTGAACGACTAGCTGTTGGACTTGGTTTTGAATGGTTTCATCTGCTAGCACAGAGGGGTCCAACAGCAAATGATCCTGCCGAATTGTGATTAGTCCGAAATTCTCCATCGCCATATCGCTGAGAAAGGGCAGGAGTGCGAAGTCCAACTTAGCTAGTGGGTACTTGCATTTGAACAGTTCTTGTAGAGCTGGCAGATATTCACACACAGTGTCGAGTGCGAAAGCTGCTAGGTTCACTTGCTGCGCGGCGAGAAAGCGAATTGGCAATTTGCCCTGAGGCAGCGTGATCTGAGCATCTATGGAGTGCAGGTCTCCCAAAACAAACCCGAAGAGAGATGGAGCCATCAGCGGAGTTGTTGTGAAAGACACTTTTTTCATGGAATCAGAGTTCCCGGTAGAGTTTTGAAAGGTGGGCTCGTCGCTTTCAGTTTCGACCTGCGTGTTGGAGGCGACGACGAACCGACGCAAAGTTTTGACGCTCAACTGGAAAAATGCCTTATGATTTAGTTCATCGATACAGGGAAAAATTCTCTTAGCAAAACCCGGTTGCGAATGTGTGGCTACGACGTAGTGATTGCTGTTTCCAGATGCGATGTCCATGTAGTTCGTTTTGAAAACTCCGCGAGTGACATCCTGGAAAGTTTTGATAGGCTGAAGTTTACCCACGTACTCGACAACCAGAGGGTCCCATTCTCCAGCATCATTTACCTTCAATCCAGACTCGAAATGAAAGGTGACAATGCTAGAGGATCTGTCGAAAGTGACATTCAATTCCTGGCTACCAATTTTTGCAGATAGCACAACGATTTCCTCTGCGTGTAGTGAAAACTCCTTGAATTCGTTGCGTTCACCCCTATTTTTGTTGATTGTTAGATCTGCTCTCAAAAGCCCTCTAAAGTTAGCCTTCGATGGGTCAATTATTGTAAGTTCAATAGCATAATTCGTGGGAACCACAGGGTTAGATAGCGAAAGCATTTTTGAAGTGTCTTTGACAAACTGAATGGTTCAGAATCTAACAGTAAAGATCACCAGCGCTCCAAACTGACCTTCAATTGAGACAATTAAGTACAACTTTGTATGTCTTGAAGAATTTCATGGAATTATAGAAAATTCGATCTTTCATATATATATATAAATCAACCAGATTTAGTCAAGATGATGAACTTTAGACATCAACAACACCAGATTTTTGCCAAAAGTAGCCTTTAGGTTCGGTAGACGAGAAATTGAATCTTTACGGAGAGAATTGGTTGTCTCTTATATATTGTGGATAAGCTCCCAAAAATTCGGGTCGGGTTAATAAAATTAAGTTAACAGTTTCTCAGAATATGAGTCCAGCAACAGATGGATCGCTTTACGAGGTTCTGGGAGTGTCAAATGAAGCTTCTAAAAGTGAAATAAAGAAGGCGTATCGTGCAAAAGCGCTGCAATTGCACCCTGATAAAAATGGGCACTCGGAAGCTGCGAAACTTGGCTTTCAGAAAGTGTCAGAAGCTTATAGAGTTCTACAGGATGACAACAAGCGTGCGATGTACGATCGCTTTGGAACAAGCGACGAATCGCAATGGCCCGCAATGCAAGCAGCCGAGAGCCCCAGGGGTTCTACCGGGATGTCTGCAGGTGACCTTTTCGCCCAGTTTTTCGGCGGTGGAACTACTACTGCAGCCAGCAGCTTCTTCAACAGCAACATGGACTTTTTCGGACGCCACTCTCGTGCTCCTCGTTCCAAGAGTCTTTCCCATGGTCCTGATATAAAGCACTCGCTAAAGTGCACCTTGGAAGAGCTTTATCAGGGCAAAAACACCAAGCTTGCGCTAAACAGGACGAGACTGTGTCGCAGCTGCGAGGGCAAAGGTGCTTTGAAAATGACAACTTGTAAAATGTGCAATGGCTGCGGAATGCAAACTCAAACCAGACGTCAGGGGCCCGTCACACAGTCGTGGTCCTCTACATGCAGTGGATGCGGAGGTCAAGGCACACTTTGCAAACCAGAAGATACGTGCACTGCCTGTCAGGGCCAAGGTTACATCGGCGAACGCAAGATATTTGACATAACGATCGAAAAGGGGATGGAGAGCGGACAAGAGCTGATATTACCAGGCGAAGCAGATGAAGTTATCAACACTAATTATGGCAGCGAAAGAGTCATTCCTGGTGATGTGATAATCGTAGTGGAGCAAAGTTTTCATTCGAGATACAAGCGTCACAGAGACTCGAGCCTAATACTAGAGAAATTCCCAGTGGGGCTGAAAACAAGTTTATGCGGAGGTCCCGTATGGATAGACTCACATCCAAGCGGCAAAAAGATCAAAATAAACGTCATTCCCGGCGAGGTTTTAAAACCTGGGGCATTGAAGTCTGTAGAGAATTTGGGAATGCCCAACAAAAGAGGTGGGTTTGGCAATCTGTACATCGAGTTTGAGGTCATATTTCCCAAAACAATGGACGCAAAGACTTTAAAGGCGATAGAGCCTATATTAGATCGGGATGAAAATGTACAGGAGGTTGAAAAACAGTGTCAGAAGCCACCAAGTGATACTGGCTCGGTGGAGGAACATGTATTGAGTGACTTTGTCCCCAATTTAGACAAGCGTCGCAGTGGAGAGGAGGATGGAAATTCTCGAAAGCGAAACAGACGAAGCAGAAGCAGGTCTTATGACGACGATGAGTTCGCAGGTTATTAGGGAGTTTTAGATATCGAAGTCGAAGTCGAATATTTTGACGTCAGTAAAAAAGAAAATAGAATGGACAAATTTTAAGATAGTTTGCACCAATCAGGTTTTGGAAAAGGTCTGGTAATGACAAAAGTCAGTTATCGGGCAAAGAGGCTCTGTAAAACTGTGTTCGAGTGTGCCACTTGCGTTGAAGCTACTTGGCGGTCAGGTGACACGGTGACGTGCTTGAAGAATCAAAATAATGGGCGATGTGTGTGTGCGGCAGTTTTACGCAGTTGAATTGGCAGCTTCAAAAACCAAGCACAGGCAGCATTCCAAAACATAGAGAGTATCATTCGGTCCGTTTGGAAACCATAAAATGAAATCTTTGATGATGCGCCAGATGAGCCAATTGTATCACCATGTACGAAATGAAAACAATCAAAACGATGTCATTGAATCTCAGGGCCCTAAAAGCCCTGATATTTAGCCGTTTACCGACCTTAATAGTAGCGGAACTATTAGAACAGTAGCAGAAGCAGCTCTTTCAGTTTTTAAAAATAGGTCCAATTCATGGATCGAAATTCATTTCTTTTTGAGATGAAGAACAAAATTATCATATAACGTACAAAACTAAACAAAACCTGTTCCAAATAAAAGCCATTTTGTTGTTAATGTCACACCTAGATCAAGCCCATTGACACCTTCATGCTTTTGAAATGCCCTCGAACCGAGCACGTGACTAATGGTCTTTGTTTATGTTTATGTTGAGCATCCCTTTGCACGAAAAACGGTCGTTGGGTATATAAAAAGACCTATAAGATGAACGGATCATTTGAACTTGTAAGGATCACTTGAACTTAAGGACTGGAAAGTACAGGACCACAACAGAATCAAACGCTACTATGGATAAGATTAGAGAGGTATGGGAAACATTGAATTGTTGATGGAATTTTTCAATTGGTTGGTGGGGCTGTCCATTTTTCAGCCCCGAAAACCATGCATTCTGGATCAAAAACATGATCAAACTAACATTTTATTGTGATTTGATAGAAACTCAGCAACCTGAAACTCGAGGCCGAAAGCTGGCAAGAGAAGTACGAGGAGGTCAAGGAGCAGTTGAAGCAACTGGAGCAGGAAAACACGGAAAAGGAAAACCAGATCAAGTCGCTCAGAACCAAAAACCAGAATTTGGAAGACGAAGTGGAAAAATTGGAATCCGAGCTTTCAGAACACAAGCAATTGTCCGAGGACTCGCACAACCTGCGCTCGCACAATGAGAACTTCACCAAGAAGAACCAGCAGCTCGAGGAAGAGCTTGAGGAGAGCGATTCCAAGCTCAAGGAAACCACGGACAAGCTGCGTGAGACGGACCTCAAGGCCGAGGGTCTCGAGCGCAAGGTCGTGTCTCTAGAGCAGGAGCGTGACGACTGGGAGAAGAAATACGAGGAGCTCACCTCCAAGTACGACGAGGCCAAGAAGGAACTCGACGAAATCGCCGCTTCGCTTGAAAATTTATGATTCTGGGGCCCGACAGAGTCGAGGCTGAACCGGTAAACGCAGAGCATACCCTGCTACAGCTGCAGCGGCAGCGGCAGCGGCGGCAGCAACGACGACGCTCCGGGTCCGCCTCTAGCCATTGCAAACAAATTTTAGCTCGATCAAGCCGCGCCAACGAGTCCCCTCATACCATTGCAACGCTTTTCGGCGTCGACGACGAGCTTTTTGAAACTATATTTTGCGTGGGTCTTGTGGTGCTTTCGATGTTGAAAGTATATACACTGCTATACTAAATAGAAGATAACTAAGAGAGCTGGTTACAAAAGGGGGGAGAGCCAGGGAGCAGAAAGCTTGCGAACGTGAGATCCTACAGCTTCTCGCGTGTTTACAGACGGTGAAGAAAAAACACCGTGGCTGTCGTTGTTTTGATAAAATAGTATTATTTCCACGACAAAGGCAGAGAAAAGGAGAGAAGCAGACACACACACAGACAGACACACACAGACACACACAGAGGTCCAAACACCACCTCCACTACCTCGTTACAAGCCCAAACACACGACTTTCAACGAGGTCCGACGCCCACAATCATTTTATACTATTCTGACACCTTTTCGGATCTCATTCAATAATCAACCGATTTTCAATCTGGAAAGCATCCCAGATACCCAATTTTCTTTCCAACACACCCATCTTACCCCTTCCATGCCACCGACTCTTTCAAAGCCGCTAAAACCCTCATCACAATCACCATCCGTCATCATTGTTGTTAAACTTCATTGTTCATCCACTATATGAAAAACTAACAATTATCATCCGATGAGCATTTAGAAAAAAAGTGACATCTTTCTCATGAGAATATATAAGAAACCAGATATCTAAAAGATCCACCAAAACTCACGGTCTGGGAATCCTCTATTGATGAATCTTAGTCGAGGATCTTTGTGAGAAGTGGACAGGCTGGTTTGGTGTTATAATTTCTAAGAACATTTGCATGGCAGACTCCGGGTCTTCAGCAGGAGCGCTGGACTTACGGAGTGCGCACGGGTCGCAATCGCAGATTCACATCCATCATCACCACCATTACCATCGAAGAGCAGCCAGCGAGGGCAACTCGCAGGCGAAACGAGACGCAGATGAGGCATCAGGGAAAAAATCGCCATATCAGTCTCTCAAATCGCTCACGCTCAACAACCTGGACGCGAAACAGCACTTTTTGATAGCAGTGTGCAGGGACGTTTCGCTGCTCCCGCCGCTGCTGTCGCTCGCGCACTCGTTGAAAAAAGCGTGGGCGCTGTCGTACCGCTCAGACGTGCTGTACAACAATACAAAGGAGCTGTTGCAGGCTGAGCTGCCCTCAGTGTGGCACAGACCCCTTGCTGTCGAGACGCAGGCGTCTTCGGCGGCGGACTTGGAACTAACGTCGCAGCTGCTCGTGGCTCGGTCGTCTGAATACTTGCTGTGCTCGCTGTGGTGCGTGGTCTCAGCGTATCTGACGTACGCCATCCTGGACTCGTTGATGGTGCGGTGGATCGTCAAGTACTCGACCGTGGCCGCTATTTTGCGCATGTTTTCCATGTCACTGATCATCGTCACTTTGGAAATGCTGCTGCTTTCGTCGCTGTCGCCCAAAGGCGACTACTACTTGCACACCTGGATCCTGATCAGCTGCGTGCTCACGGGTGCATACATCTGGCAGAGCTTTCTGACCTCAGACCTGAATTACGTCCAACAGGACTCGCCCTCGCCAACACCGCCCGCCTCCAGCTCCAGCAACGACTTGGCGGGCGCCTCGACCGCCCGTCGCGGGTCGTCAACTACCATTAATACCAATACCAGATCCATACCTGGCATGCCGTCGTCGTCGTCGTCGTCGTCGTCGCCGCCCACCACCGCCACCACCACGTCCCAGGTCACGTGCTCGCCTACCGATGCCCGAAAACGCAGACGTGGATCGCGGTATCTGGGACTGACCAAGAACCGCCAGATCCACCTTTACAACATCACTGTATTTTGCGTGGTTCCGGTTGGCGTAGCCAGTTTTATCACCATGATCGGACTGCTGCGAAACCTCGTGATTCAGCGACTCGATTTGGAACAACTCGAGCATCTAATGGCGCAAAGTTATTCCGAGCAGGGCTGATACGGAACAGAGCTGATCCGGGAGCTGCTAGAAATACTGAAGCTCGCGTATGGTGCTGTCCTAACTTCAGTTGCCGAAACCATCAAAACCCAACCCACAAGAATCACGTGTCTTGAGCGTGACTTCCAAAAAGTGTTGCTGTCATAATGTACGACTGTGTCGTTTTGTCAAAATCCAATAAATAATATGTATCGTTTTAAACGTAAATCTTTAATTGAGTTTTCATCCAGTACATCTCAATGAGCTCGTCTAAACCAAGACAACTTTCATCAAAAGATCAACGACTAAACCACTCTTCTTAGGCTCTACTCAAGCTCTGTGCTCGCACAATGGTAGTTCACATTTTGGGCAAGGGTTTCAAAGGGAAAGAAGTTATAAAAATCGCTCTGGCGTCGAAAATCTACGGTGTTGGCCTGAAAACGTCGGAAACGCTATGTTCGAAATTGGGTTTTTATCCGTGGATGCGCATGCACCAGCTGTCGGAACCACAGATCATGAGTCTCACCAGCGAGCTCTCCAACATGACTATCGAGGGAAACGCGCGGGCCGTGGTAAAGGAAAACATTGGGTTGAAGAGAAGAATTGGTTCGTACGAAGGTATGAGACATGCTCTGAACCTGCCGGTGCGTGGTCAACGCACCAGGAACAATGCCAAGACGGCCAGACGGCTGAATCGTGTGGATAGACGCGGGCTCCACACGGACAGTCGCGGGGGTTTGAGTAATCAGAGATCTGGACTATGGAACTGGCTTTTTACCTAAGATCGACGACTTTTTTTATTCAGACCAGTCTGAACGATGAAAACGAGGCCGTTTGATGCCCCATTTAGTGACAAAAGTGCGAATCTATGCTCATTGCACGGTTCCTCTGAGTTTTGAGATTCCATAACGTCATTTCCCATTTTGTATTTTCAGTGCACATTTATCTCTCCTGTAAATAAATATATATAGAATTTGGTTAATATAATGCTAGGCCAAACTTACACACTCGCGTATCACAGAGCATAATCGTCGTCGAAAACATTCCAATCCCGGAGTTCCATCAGATGTCGCATGGTGGGCCTTCCGTGCGGACAATTCCACGGTTTGTCCAACTCGCTCAAATTTCGCACAACGCGCACCATCATTTTTTTAGATAATGCCTTGCCAACCATTATGCTACTCCGACAAGCCCGCATCGCTAGCATGGCTCTTACTTTTGAGCATCGCACGGCGTCTTTGTTCAACCCGTCAGACTCTCTTACAAAATGGATTAATTCGTGCAAATCATTCATGTCAAAAACGGTTTTTTTGGACACAGGTAAGCTAACCAAGCGCACCCGGCCACCTTGTGGTTGGTCCTTTTCAACCTCAAGCTTGAAACCGTTCTTTTCAAACACGTTTAAATTTTCCATCGCGATAAGTTCATCCATAACACTCATTTCCACAACTTGAGGGGCAATCAGACGTTGTGATTTCAAGACCGTATTTCTTTGCAGCATCTCAAAGTTAAACTTTTCGTCACCGGCGTGCTGATCGATAATGAAAAGATCGAATTTCCGACCGATTCTTCGCGTTGCTAGAATAAACCCCAGGTTGAACTGACCTACGATTTGCATTGTTTTGAAGTCTCCTTTTGATACGGAAAGCGTCAAGTACTTCTCGCCCTCCTCAAAGTTTTCTATTTGTTCATTTTTTTGGATAAAGTTTTCGTGCTTTCTCGTTCTTTGACGCTCTATCAATCGAGCCTGCTCTGTAAATTTATTGTCCAGCTTAACGGGACTCACTTGCACTGTCACGCAAAGAATATCAGAGTTGACAGCGTGTGCAGAGCTTTTCAGAGTTTTCCCTCTTTGCGACAGTGTTGAACTTTTCGGTGTGTGTGCAGGTCTTTGCTCTGTCGGTTCTGATATCACCGAATTTCTGAATACAGGAATGTGAGAAGGATCGGCGCTATACTGTGTGATTTCATCGTTACCATCAACTGAAAAGCTGTTTTCTTCAAATAGTTCGTCGTCCGAATCTTCTTCGTTGGCCGATGAGCATGTGCAAGAACCGTGAGAATGGTCAGAATGGTTCGAATCGGCATTTTTCGAAAATATTAACTGATTGTCTCTGGTGATCGTTGCCCTTTCTTCAAAATGCTCATCGCCAATCTGCATCGTCAGTGGCTCTTCAGCGGCGTTTGGTTTTCTGACAAGGAATTCGGAGTCAGCTTCTTTCGTGTGGTTCGCAAACACATCAAGCGTTCCTTGAGTCTTCTTGATTTTCGGAATACTTACAGAGGTCCTACCACCACCAAACACAATTGACTCCTTGACATTAGGTGCGGGACGAGTGTCAGCCTCATCTTCTTCACCAGAAAGCTCTGAGTCCAAAACGAAAATTTTAGGTTCCTGCACTTCGAGATCATTTTCCGGTTGAAAATTCTGTGATGCGGGTTTACCGCGTTCGACCAACTCCGAATTGTCAGGCTGAGGCTCAGAGGTTCCCATATCATTGTGAAACTCAAAGTCTAGCTCTTGACTTACGACTGCCGTCTTATGTTTTTTAGGTTCTGGCTCATCAACATTTTCCATTTTGACCTTTGACGAAATGGGCAACACCATTTCCTGATCCGAGAAATACCGCGCCAAAGCGTCTCTTAAAGTATCGATTACAGCGCTTTCGCTGTGCAGAATTACCGTTCTCTTGTCGGGTGTGATGTTAACGTCAATGAATTCCGGCGCAACTTGGAAGTTTAGGAAACAGGCCGGAAACTGTACATTGTTATTGGTGCGGTAAACCTCGTTACAGCACTTAATAAGTGACGGGTAAATTACAGGACGCTGGTTGATGTATACGAACTGCCGATCTTTGGCGTTTCTCCCGCATCCAGAAGAACTCTTGGAGATAAAGCCGGACACGTCTATGGTATATTCAGAGGCCCCTTTATAGTCATCTCCAAATGCTTGGGACGCCCAGGACTTGCCCGAATTCACCACGAGGTGCAGATTGATCCCTGAAAGGCCTTGCATAGCACTTGATCCGTAAACACCCACTATTCTTTTTGGGATGCCCTGGTCCTTGGTAGACGACAGCACGAGAGTGCGTCGTCCGTTACTGGTGATGTGCCAGATCGAGATCTTCATCCGGTCCTGAATTATGGTATACTGCTGTAGGAGCGCGATGCACTTGTTAAATTGCCGCTTGCAATTGCGAGTAAAGTCTTTTTTACGCACCGGGAGATTGTTGAACAACTGAGAGATCAAAACCGTGGTGCCCTTGTTGCGGGACGTGACGGTTTGTTTTGTCAACTCGCCTTTGGCATTGAATTCCAACCGGGCTGCTTTTGGTGGAGTCGTTGTGGTTGTTACCACCAAATTTGCTATGGCAGCCAGAGACGAAAGAGCTTCGCCTCTGAACCCTAATGTTGTAACCTGCGATACATCTTCAAAACTCGATATTTTAGAAGTGTGATGTTTCAACGCCAAACCTTCGTAGCTGTCCTCAGGAACGCCACTGCCATTATCACTGCACTCTATAGATTCCAAGCCGTAATTCTTGAAAACACACTCGAATTGGTCTGCACCGGCATCGATACTGTTATCCAGTAACTCCTTCACTGCTGAAGTCAAATCAACGATTACTTGTCCTGAGGTGATTCGACCGACATCGATCTCGCTAATGGCGGATATTTTGGAGCTCATGAAGCCACGCTGGTCTAAGTGATCATAAAAGGGGAGAGGGCTAAAAAAGACCCGCGTACCTTGCTCAACTTTATACAGATTTCGATTGTTCCACAGGTTGATTAAAACTTACAAGGTTGATGACATGAGTTTCGCGTTATTTCTAGGTCACGTGTAAATATTATAATGTGGGATACTGGGCGATTGCGAGAGCAGATTACAATGGCTAAATGCCGCCGTAATACGCAGGAGCTCGTGAGTAATGTTGCAGTGCTTGTGGAATGCTGTTAGTGAGCCTACAAACTGATGAGTCCAGTTGAATAATTTCGGTTAAGATCACTTAGTACGGATATATTTATTCAAATGACCCATGAATCTTACTTGAAACCCCTGACCATGGCTGCCGCAAGGATGGATATCATCGCTTTCCGCTCTTCGAGAAACTTGGATTTACGTGGCTTTTCGTTTAAATGCAACGGCCTCAGAATAAAAGTGTCAAAGAACTACAAAATGATATCAATTAATTGACATATGATGTCATAAACGTATATAGTGATATGCATTTGGCGTGAACCATCAGAAACACACCTATCTCATCGAATCCTGCGCGTGTGAATTCAGCTGTGCTACGGTATAATTTGAACTTTCTGATGTGATCATTATTGTTGGTCATTTTTTGGAGTAAAGGGACAATTATATCAATGCTAGTATTTTATATTATCACCAGGGGAAAAAAGGCGAACAAAACAATTCCTGAATCGCAAATAGAGCGATGGCCAGCTCTAAATGCACCGCTACCATACACTATTAATTGATATTGTGGCTGTGTTTCTGGTAGCAGCTTTAATTTAACGACGACTTTAAGCTCTATCACGTGACGGTATTAGCGATATATGTCAATCTTTAATGATCATATACAAGCATCGATGAAGACCACAACTTCCAGCTGTCAGGTAACAGGCTTCTCGCCCGCTTTTAAGTCCTATTAGCAAGATGGAACATGTACTGGGCAATATCAAAATGGCTCAAGGTTTTCCTGAAATGCTATGTTAATGTAATACTGTACTATAGAAACGTGTACCCGAAAGAAGCGTTTGACTGGACATCTTTCCAAGCGTTCAATTTGCCTCGCTATATGCCCATGAATCGCCATCCTGGGCTTCAAAACTACATTGAGACGATGGTGACGGACGTGCTTTCGAAGCTGGAAGCGGTCCAGCATTTCAATCTGAGAATAATTCAGCAAGATGATGGGGCCTGTGTAGAGCGGTATGCACTGGATTTCGGGGAGTTGCGTCACCAGGACACCAGTGAGCTACAAGAACCACAAATTTTTGACCAGCTGCGTTCAAGCCTGAACAGTTTGATAGCCCGTCTAGAAAAATTGCCAAACGTTAAACCGGCCACTGTCACCTTCGAGATTGTTATAGACTCAATCGGGTTAAGTCTGGGGAAGAAAATGAGCCGCGTTCAAAACGCAAAAGAACGACAAACGCAAGAACAGGACTCCAATTGGGCTAAATGTACCGAAGAGCCGTTCCTGTCGAACCCGCAACAGAGCAAGCCCCGCATCAAGTTAATCACTTTGACTGGTTGTGACGCAGGCCCTTTTGTCATCTACCAATTTATGGAGATGCTCATCTCCAATCCAGAAGCCAGCTCCCAGGTGTACGAAAGCTCCAGCCCGTTTCAAAGCTCCCAAGCGGACCCTTTTCCATGAATATTAATAGTTTTGTCCTATTTAGCACAGCACGTATTTAAATAATGCATAATCATACAAGAAGCTCATTCCAACTTCATGCCTTTCTTGAGGTTTTCGTAACATAGGTAGCTGATGGAGACGGCAGGGCATACTTTGGCCAAATTGGGTACCAGACCTTTGAAGAGTCCCGGATAGCCCTCCCGTGCAACGGTTTTAGAGAATACATCTCTAAATCCTTCATATCGATAGGGATGTGCAAACGTACCCTGGGCTTGCAATCTCGTCCTCAGTAGGTTTATGGGATAAACCACAGTTGCACCCACTGTTCCACTGAAGGCACCCATTAACAGCACAAAAACATTACTGATTGTGACCTGGTCTTCTGAGACACCAGTCATTTGAGCTCGTCGTGAGATGTACCATTTCTTCAGAGCTGAAAAGGTTCCCAGGTCTAAAGCGGCATAAGGAAAGATACCCATAACACCGACTGTGACACCTCGGTAAAAAAGTTTTAACCCGCCCTCTTTATACATTTGTTTCGCTGTCTCGATCATCAACTGAGTGCCCTTTTGGTGTGTATCGAGCGGAGCACATTGAACCCTGTACTTCAAAGTATCGACAGGATACACGGAAAACTGAGCCATCACACCTCCTAAACCACCGGCTATGTATGTGGAAAATTTGGATAGTTCTGAAGTATCTTTGACTCCCTCTAGTTGCGCCATGGCGCGCTTGGCAAATTCAAAGGATCCAAACTTGATGGCCGACTCTGGGAAAACTTTTATGACGTTCAGCCCGTTTCCCACATAAAATGAACGGATCCCACCCTGTCTATAGAGCGAGGTGGCAGCTTTCACCAAGGGAGATTTTATTTTGGCCTTGTCAGCGCTCGGATTATGCTGCAGAACTCGATCTTTGGAATTCAGAAATGTAGAGGACAAATCCGTTCTCGCAATAAGGAACACTTTAATCCGGTCAAAGGGTGCGGTGCACGTCCTGGAGATAACACCAGAAACACCGCCTGCAATGAAAAATCCAAAACCACGGATGAAATCGTTGATCAACGTCACGTCACCTTCGGATGACAAGTCCACGTCTTCGTTGAATAGATAGAAATACGAATAGGCAGTATGCAATCGGGAGCCCCTTTTACGGGGCATGAAGAGCAGTAAGTCGCGCCACTGGTCATATGTGATGTAAGGCGAGTTTTCGGCCTCCTTCCTTCTGGTAGTGAAAGCCCAACTCATGAATTTTTTGAAAGTTAACGATTTTTCTGGTCTCGGCTCATTAGCTTCCGCCAATTTGCCCAAGTACGTTGACAATTCGCTCGTTTGGATTTTCCCGTCTCCGTCTCTGTCGAGTTTAAGAAACCCCTGTCGTATTTGGACCTCTGCAGCCAAAACGTATTTTTTAAAATCTTCAAAATCCACCACCGAGTCCTTATTACAGTCGAGAGACTTGAAGATCTGTTCTATAGCCTCGGGTGATTGCTTCAATGGGTGTCCACTTTTCTTAAATGCTCGCGACAGTTGCTCTAGATCGACTTTTCCAGTTTTTTCAATATCAATTGTGCTAAAAAGCTGCTGCAGCCGGCGATCTCGCTCCTCATTAGTCTCCTCCGGCAGCGTCATGTTTGAGGACAGTTAAACAGACGGCAAAGCTCACGTTTTGCCTTCCGATCGAGCTGTTGAAGATTCCTATGATGATCGTCAAATTATACAATTTTTGACGATGAGATGAGCTCGAAAAACCATATACGCTTGTACGAGCTTATTTCGCAGAGTTCCGACATCTTGCCCTTTAAAGCAGAGGTCGTTGAGGCTGATAGTTTAATGTAAATACTGGTGGAGATTTTGTGTGGAGAGTGGTAGTTAGCCCGGTTTTTACCACAACTGCTCGACTTTTTTCGAGAATTGAGATCTGATTCTCGTTTTAGAATGAGTGAGTTGACGAGTGATGTTGCAACTAATTGTTGGAAGGCCACTTCTAGCGCAACATTATTTTTACGTACTCTTTAAACCGCCAGTTAGCTTGCAACAGGTCTTCTCATCTGAATTTCTCTCTTTCTCTTGGATATACCTCTATGCGAATAAGTATTTTTCTCAGCCCCCGCTGCCAATAATAAGAGCTTCTATGGCCAAGTTGGTAAGGCGCCACACTAGTAATGTGGAGATCATCAGTTCAAATCTGGTTGGAAGCAGTTATTTTTTTGAATTTATTGGTCTTGAATCTAGGTAACAGCGACCGTTTTAGCTTTTCGCTCTAATTAATTGAGGAACAGCTTGGACTCGGCGAGTTAGAAGAATATTAATGGTCAAATTGTCCATATCCTTGACAATCCATCGAGGCGATCTTCTTCACCACCAACCCCTTTCACATCTCTCGAAGCTCGTCACATGGTCAAGAGCTACCTAAAATGGCGTAATAGCATCGACGTCTCTTCTCGTGTGCGCCGATCCTAGATACGTGATCTAAATCAGGTTGGGATCTAGTCTCGAGTTCTACAATTTCTGATATAATCGATTGCGGACGTAGAATAACTCAATTATATTGCGGATTCGTTCTAAGCTAATTTTAGTTAGCAGTATCTTGGAGACCTGGTCTTAAACGCCTGTTCTTGATCAATAGACTTGTTCCTACACCTCGTCTTGCCATATATATGTTCTCTATCACGCTACATTTCTTCAGGCTTCTCAATAAGCGCTTCTATGGCCAAGTTGGTAAGGCGCCACACTAGTAATGTGGAGATCATCAGTTCAAATCTGGTTGGAAGCATTTTATTTTTATTTTAGGAGATTAAATTCCAAATTCCCAATATCAATTTTACCGTAACTCTTGGCCATCGTTAGTGATTTGGAGTCTTCAATTGAAATTTTCAGCTTGAGGGTTCATTTACTTCTTCTTCTTCTTCTTCTTCTTATCGCCATCCACTCGAATCTCTGCTCAATTCTCCACTCAATAATTTAATCACACTGCACGAAACTGGGGAACTATGCCTTTTTGTTGGATGCCAATCGACAATCAGATCTAACCAACTCTCTCCAGATGAGAACCACTACAATCCTCTCTATAAGACCGGTCTACAGCTCCTCAAACCGTTTCAGTCTTTTAAGCCGTCTCAGAAACTTTTAGGACGAAAAACGCTTTTTCTGAGAACCTTGCGTCGTCGAGATCCCCCACCCCCCACCCCATTTTTCTCGACGTGTGTCTGCGTTACTTTATTGAATCCCGAGCTGAACTTTCAAGTCTCAACTTCAACCTTTTTGGAGCGTCCGAAGCACATTGCTGTTTGAAACCCTGTTATCGTTTGAGCCTCCTCGAACTTACCTCTGCGACCATTTGTTTGTTAGCTTCTGACTTTCCGCTGTTTTAGGTCTTCCATCTAAGACTGGATTCTTGAGTGAGCAGTGTTGATCGCCTTCCGATTTCAAATTAAGAGCTTTTGACAAGTTTGAGCTCTTTTTTCCCTTCCTCTTGGTATTACTAGTGCTTCTTCCTTGAGTAGATAAGCGCGAATTCAACAATTCTGCGTTCACCTCATGCTTCGTTCCATACTGCCACGTCCAAGCTCTCAAAGCGCTGGGAAGGCTTTGACGAAAACCTTGGAATTCAATCTCTTCAGAACGGTGCAGAATAAGGGGAGCATCAGAATGCTACACAAGAGAGACGATGGCAAGTCCAGCGATGCTTCCACGCAACCTGACGCTGCAGCTACTACGCTCACTGACCAATACGAACACAGAAGGCTTTCCGGAAGCCCCAAAACGGTCGGGGGCTACGAAGCCACTTGGCTCAATGCTTTGGCCGAACGTGAAAAGCAGCTTGCCCAGGGCAAAATCATCGATTCTTACGTCTACAACTCCGTGAAGTCAACCGAAGTAGGTGAAAAGACCCGCAAGGATTCGTTTGCGTATCTCACACTTCCCTTCCGTGAAGACGCAGGAGTTGCTGACTTTTATGTCAACGCTGCCGGCAGATTGAGAATGGGACAAGTTTTCCAAGACTTGGACGCTTTGGCTGGTAGAATCGCCTACAGACATACTTCTCCAGCTGAACCTGTGATTGTTACTGCCTCTGTGGATCGTATTTATCTGCTGAAGAGTATTGACTCCATTATTGATTACAACGTCATACTCTCAGGAGCTGTGGTGTGGACCGGTAGATCGTCTATGGAAATAGCCATCAAAGCTACTGCCATCAAGGGCGATCTTCCAAAGGTAATCACTGAGGATTCTCTAGTGGAAGATGACACATTTTTGACTGCGTCTTTCACATTCGTGGCCAGAAATCCAGAAACTCACAAGTCTTTGTCCGTGAACAAACTTTTGCCTTTAAGCCAAAAAGAATGGATGGATTTCAGACGTGCTGAGTCCCATAACGCTGCGAAGAAGCTTCGCGCTGCTAGCGAGAGTTTAGAGACTAACCCGCCAACCGGACAGGAATCTAGAATCATTCACAACATGTGGGTAGCCTCAAAGCAGCTGGCTAAGCTTCCTGAGAAGCCACTAAATGTTATGTTCATGAAGAACACAAACGCAAAGTCCACCATGTTCATGCAACCTCAGTACAGAAACAGGCACTCTTACATGATTTTTGGTGGGTATTTGATGAGACAAACCTTCGAGTTGGCCTACTGCGCTGCGGCCTCCTTCTCGCATGCGTTCCCCAGATTTGTGTCCTTGGACTCAACGCATTTCAAAGCTCCCGTTCCAGTAGGTTCTATTTTGCACATGGATGCTACTGTGGTTCACACTGAACACCTGTACGAGAGAGATGCGAAACCCAAGATTGCTGATGTAGCCGATAAATCAATTAATGGCAGTACTCTTTTCCAATTTGACCCATCGCCGATTAACCAGCTCTCGAACAGTGCAGATGCTATGTTGAGCAAACCAGGTACTTTGATTCAGGTGAAGGTCGATACAATGGTCCAGGAATTGGCCTCTGAGAAGAAGACTTCTTCGGGCTCCTTCATTTTCTCTTTCTTCGCACATAGAGACACTGATGACAGTACAGGACAGCCTGGCTATGCCACGGTGGTTCCGGAGAGCTATTCCGAAATGATAGAATACATTAGTGCCAGAAGACGGGCTCTCGACACAGCCAATTACGCCGGCAATTTGAAGCGCAACAACAAGCTATAAAGTGTTTTACTTCTTTTTAATCTTTATATATTCTCGGCCTATATGCCTATGCTGTTTTCAAGCTTTGTGGGTCAGCATTACCGCGGGTCAATCAGCTATTTCCATGACTTCCTTGTCGTGTACGTATGTTCCTTTATATTATTGTTACAATGACTTGAGACAGATGATATTATACAATAGAATCCAATGACACGTCCATTTCTGGAACGTGTCCTTCGATTTCATTGGCATCCCGAACGTTTACACCACTCTTGTTCGGTAGGTTAACTAACCGCTTTGTGCTTCTTTTCCTGTTCAGATCAGCCATCTCTTGTCCATCACGCTCAACCCATTTATAATTATCACCTTGCTTAACAGGTATTATGTCGTCGGAACTACTGCTCGTCATCTGAGAGTTCGCTGAGTTTTGATCATGAGGAGATTCTGTCAAGTCTGGTAGAACTCGATCACTAGAAACCTGGTTTCTTAATGGATTGCTGGATTTCTGAGGGCTGTTTGAGTGCATAGCGTCAATCTTGTCAGCTCCTGTTCCGGCAGAAGGCCCTAAAAATACGGAGTCTCTAAGTCCCAAGGATGACTTTCTTGGGTCCTTCGGAAGCGTTTGATTACTCGCGATTTGTGTATTGAAAAGTTCGGCTGTACTCACAGTGTTCAGTGATTGGAAACTCTCGCGAATGTTTGCAGCATTTGCTGTCCTCGTCGAGAATCTCCATGACTTGCGGTTGGTAGGTTCACTATTCAGACAGACCGACGATGTATGCTTGTTAGAGTCAAAGTATTGGTCATTGTTTACCTCGCCTAACAGGGCATCCGTGCTACCTACCTGCAGTGCGTCTTGATATAGATCAGAGGCAGATGAGTTATTGGTCCCGACCTCAGCTTTTTCATCCATGGTAGATACATCGGATCCGGAATTTGCTTGTTCCTCTAGCTTGATGGCATTCAAGGCTGCGAGCCTCCTTGCAGTAGAATTGTCATCGATCGAGTTTTCATCATCGAAAGGCGATGGCCCACCATAGAATGCAGGGGCATTGGCTGGATTTCCAAGTCTTGGATTGCTGATTTGTGGAGAGTTTTCTCTGTCTGTTACGGCGGCAGATCTGCTCTTTCTTCGTCTCCACAAGAACAAGAATAGGATGAGAAGTACGAGAAGAACAAAAACAGGAATCGCAACACCACAGGCTATGGCCACAGTGTGATTTTTATTAGAGCTCGCTTTGGTAGACAAAGCCGGTACCGCTGCCGTTGAAGTAACAGATGCAGCAGAAGCGCCGGATGATGTTGCGCTCGGTGTGGCTGATGATCGAGATGAAGAGGACGTAGATGTAGCGGAACTTGAGGTGGAAGACGATTTGTGCTTGCCCTGAACTGCAGCTAGCTTGAAAGTCAATTTTTGAGACTGACTATTCTGCTGAGCTAGTACTTCAACCGTTAAGCCATTAAAATTATTTGGCACCTCACCGGACAAAGTCATGTTACTGTCGTGATAGGATAACCACGATGTGGATTGCGAGGTATTGGCAAAACTCAACGACACTTCTGTGTTGTTATAATCAGTAAACTGTGATGGTAATAGCTGAGTTTGGAACCATTCGCCCTGTGTGGCGTTCACGTTGGGTAGAGATGATACTGCAAATAGTCGATGCGTGGACTCTACCAGAAAATTCAAATAAATAGAGTCACCATAGGTATCAAAAATCGCAACTGTCAGATTTTCACTGCTTTTTCCCTCGGGCAATGTACCGGACAATGTCTCGTTTGTAACAGTAGCCCAGTCGTTACTTTCCTGCAGTGAGACAGAGCTGATATTTGACGACGAGACGGGCTCATTATCCAGATAGACGTAGTCCATAGGTAGCGGGTAGTCAAAAGAACCTGTGGAAGAGACATTGACTGCCAAGGTGTTTTGAATCGATGTCGTAAATTGATGACCGCCCACGACTATATCAAACTGCACCTCTGCACTTGTGTAGTCTTCGATATCAGAAGCGAGCAGCGAAAAAGAATACGAAAACTCAGGCGCGATATCAGAATTTACCACGGGTGCTGTTCCACTGAATTTCAGATTTGCCTCGTCAAAAAACATCCAGGGAGGAAGTGGCGCGTGGTACAGCTCTGAGCGGCCATAATATTTGGTGGCAGAGCTCGAGTTCTCAAAAGTGTCTCTGTCGAAACTAATGTTGAAGACCTGGCCTGGAGTAAGCTTCAGAGCATTCTTTCCGTTAGTGTACCCGCTATTTTTCAGCAAGCTGAGTAGATTGAAGGTTGACGAGACTTGTGGCTGAGTTTCACTCGAGAGTGCTAGTTGATAGGTTTTGTTCAAGGAGGACTGGTCACTGGGGTCCGTTCCTTGTAAAATGTACGAAATCTGCTTCGTTTGGGAACTATCATCCAAATCTGAGCTGGAGGGTTTCCCAGAGAGGACACGCGACTGGGAGTCGAACTGAAGCCATGAAGGGAACTCGAATGCACTGTATTCTATCTGGGCACTGTCATTGACAGTGGATTTGAAGGTGTCATTGGATAGTTGGAACGAAAACTCGACCTCGGGATAAGCAACAGGAGGATACTGACTTGATGCTCCAAACGCCTCGTATGGCTTACAGAACACTACTGTTCCACCCAGGGCTGCGAGAAGAAGCCCAGCTAGGCGCATAGAGACTTCAAAAAATTGCAGCTGATCAAGCTGAGTTGGTTAGTAGACGGTTTGCCTTTGTAAAACAGACGAAAGTCGTGGAGAGGTTCTCCTGTCAGGACCGTTCTTTTAAAGAATTCTCGGCGGTATGAGGGTGGTGTACATTCCGAACGCGTTCGTGATGCCCATTTTTTCCATACGTGGTCATTTTCGCGTTCAATCGCGAATTTTTGGCGGTTTACTCTAAAGTTTCTTTCACGAAGGGAATCCCCAGTAGCTTCATTAAGGTTTTAGCCAACCCTGTTGTTCCCAATAGCGCACCATTTTAATGCTTGTTTGAAGTGTCACTTCGTGGGAGAGATGACGATCATCGCCGTGGTCACTTCAAATCTTAAGTGAATTCGAAAATGTAAACGAGTTCATGTAGTCTTAATACCATTTTTTGTCGTTGAAGGGTGAATGAAGATCAATTCTGAGATTTAAATGAGAGTAAGTGCTTCATAAATGGTTGTGGGAGCTTTGTACCACCATCATCTTTTGATATTTTGTAGTTTGTTTCAGTATATATGGAAGTCAGATAAATTAATTAATATAAATTTAGTTCCTAGTTATGAGACTAGGCTACAATTGGGAAAGACAAAGCTTGACAAACAATCCTCAAGACGATTGTTTGGTTTTTAAACTCAACGTAAAATGCAAATTTTCTGGTTGAGCTGTGGATTTTATCCTTGTCAACTGAGATATTTTTGAGTTCGCCGGTCGTGAATCGTTGTCTATTTTTTTCAGTTCGTACGCATCATGCAAACTCTGGTGGCGGCAAAGAGACCCCATGAGCGAGAAATTGAGGCTGTGGGCTTTTTTGAGCCTGTGTGGAAGCATGTTATCTAAGGACTTCCTCATTTTCGACACCAACAGCCACCAACATAAACGTGTAGCAATTATATTATTCTTTGGCGGTCAAAATTGATGGTAATCGACACCTTGCTCCATAAATTCTATACAAAGAGGACTGGTATCACCTTCTAAGTCTAATTCAGCAGTTCATCGCGCTACTTCATCCAGCAATCGGCTCGTAAGTATTATCACTTTATACTTGCGTGTCGTTTCTATCACGTGATATGTCTATATAATTCGATATATGTGTGACAATTCCTCGAGGATATGCAACAGCTAACATCACCACTTCTTGCAATTCTTAACAACACTCTGCGCTACGCAATGCTGTAATTTTCGCAGCTTATCGAGTTTCATTCAAACTTCACGAATTATTGGTGACGACACATGTGTACGTAGTGATCTATTTCTACATTTCAAAATCGTTAAATTGCCCCTAAAAGAATCATATTCGAACGTCAATTGCCAACTAAAAAAGTGTAACTGATCAACAGCCTTAACAGCAACCACTGGGACCCACCAAATACTCTATAATCATGCCGAAACTAGAGCAGTTTGAGATCAAGAAGTACTGGCAAATTTTCTCGGGTTTGAAGCCTGTTGACAACAAATTAACGCATGATCAAGTTCAACCTATTCTGTTCAATTCCAAGCTAGATTCGTCCATTTTGAACAAAATTTGGTTTTTGGCTGATATAGACGATGACGACAACCTCGACTTTGAGGAATTCGTGATTTGCATGCGGCTCATCTTCGATATGGTCAACAAGAACATCGAGACCGTTCCAGACAACCTTCCGGACTGGCTCATCCCAGGTAGTAAACTGAAGCTTATCCAGCAACGCGAGTCTCGAGATGTTGCTCCCGAAAGTAGTGTAAGCTCGAACATTACGGTTGAAGACTCTGCACCAGCAGTAGCGCCAAAACAGCCCCCTTCACCTCCCAAACTAGATTGGTACATTGGTCCCTCCGACAAATCATTATACAATTCGATTTATGACTCCTGTAGCAAGCTGACAGATGGTACAATCGCGTACGGCCCGCTATTCAGTGCAATGCGTTCCAAATTTACCAGCATCAATTCCGTTGACTTCGATCGTCTGTGGGTGCTTGTGAATCCTCAAAATATGGGCTCCATCAATAAGGATCCTGCTGTGTATCTGATACACGCACTCAAACAGAGAGCTGAACTAGGCTGTGAGCTACCTGCAGAGCTACCGCATGCTTTCAGAGAGGTCTGCAACCAGCAGAGGGTCTCGTACGACCTAAATTCTTCGCAAGGCGACATTACACGCCATTCTCGCCATACCAATACGAGCCACAATGCCGATTCTCCAAGTCAGAGCTCCTCCGAGGCATATGGAAGCGCAGATCCTGAGGTTGCTGCCCTAAGAAAGCAATTGGCTGTCTTAGACAGCGAGTCGTCCGAACCAGAGGACGCTAAAGCTATAGAAGGATCCGACCCCGCGGTGGCAAGATCCGAATTTGAGGAACTATTTCACTACCTTCAAAAACAGTCCTCTAGTTCCCAGGGTGCCACTGGGGCGGCACTCGATGTCAGAAGCATAAATGAAGATTTAGAAACAATCGAGCAGCAAGTTGGTGTTTTGGAGCAATTCTTGGCCAGTAAGAAGCAGGAGCTGTACCAACTGCAATCTGAATGTCAATCGATGCACGCGTAAACGTCAAATTTCATTACTTACGTAGCAACACTAGTTCTGCATAGAAAAACAATGCCTAGAAAGGAGGTTTTCTGCTTTTTTACTTACATGACTATGAAACTCCGGGCTATCTTACATGTGCTGTCTGTTTGCAGTTCTTGGCTTAGCACGAATGATGTTGTCGACCCTTAGAAGAACTTCGGCGGCTTCCGATGCAGAGTTTACCACCGCTCTCTTCAGTTTGTAACTCTCGACAATTCCCAACTCCCTCATATCAGCGATACTTCCGTTGTTCAGATTGAGACCGGATGTAGTCATGCCGCCATATATAGAAGATCTTAACTTCGAGACAAGTTCGCTGCTGTCGAACCCTGCGTTATCCGCCAAAATCGTAGGTAGCTGTCTGAGAGCACGGCCAAATGCTTCCACGGCGTAAGATTTTTTACCGTCGACATTTTGAGCAGCTGTATCAACTGCCTTGGACATGATCATCTCAGCGCATCCACCGCCCAGCACAGTTCTGGTCTCTTTGGTAGTTTGCGACAGCACTGACAGGGCATCATGTAGAGATCTTTCGGCTTCGTCCAAGACTTGATCGGTAGCGCCTCTTAGCACAATGGTACAAGCTTCACCAGCTTTGCAACCACTGAATTTGGTAAAGGTTTCCTCTCCGATCATCACCTCCTCAATAACATCACACTCGCCGAGTTTACATTTTTCAGGGTTGTCGAAAGTCGAAACAACCTCTCCGCCAGTGACAAGAGCTAGTCTTTCGACACCTTCGAAATCTGCATGCTCGATGGAGTTGATGCTTAGGTCAGTGAAAAGCTGCTCAGGGTAGTCGTAGATCAGTTGTCTATTGATGAAGGTGTTGATACCGAATTTGGAAATCTTGTCTATCTTGTTTTTCATCTTGGTCTTTTCTGCCTTTTCCAGTTGAGCTAGCTTGGAGGTGGAGTCGACTTTGAATTTAGCACCAAAAACCTTGACTTTGTCTGTATCTAGAGAAGTATTTGCGATCAAAATCTTAGCGTTCTCTACGCGCTTGGGTTGGTTGTTACCGAATCTTTTAGGCAGTATGAATCCCTCATCTAAAAAGGAGTCGGAAAGCCTTCCGCCGATGATTTTCAAAACCTGTATGTGCTCCAAGTTGACAGAACCTCCGAGTCTCATGATGGAGTCGGCTGCTAGCTTCGAAAAGTGCTCCTTGTCCTGGGACAAAATCTTGGACGATAGAGTGGTTTTGGCAATGGAGATCAAATCCTGGTAAAACTCTTCCTTGCTGGCAGAATGGTCCACCGCAGTCTTCTCGAGGGCGCACAACGCGGCCTTCGACGCTATTCTGAAACCCTCGATGATTGTTTGTGGATGAATTTTTCCCTGGTCGATGAGCTTCTCCGCCTCTCTGAGCAATTCTGCGCTCAAAACCGTCACACTCGTCGTGCCATCACCAACCTCGTCGTCCTGCACTTTGCTAATATTGACCAGCACCTTAGCTGCTGGGTTATCGAGTGGGATAGCCTTCAAGATAGTTGCACCGTCGTTGGTCACCATCGAGTTTCCACTGTTAGCGCTTTGCAGCAGTTTGTCCATGCCTTTTGGCCCCAGAGTTGTTTTGACAAGATCTCCGACAGCGATTGCTCCCACGAAAGCTGACATACGAGCGTTTTCGGCTCTTTCTTCCGTGACTTGATCACCAAAAATTTGGACACTCTGAAAGGTAGCAAATGCGTTAGTATTGGGCGTTTTCGGGCGGTTGAAAAAGTGATTCGCAGCAGGACTATTAACCAATTACTTGCGCGTCGAATGAGAGTAACATACCATGATGTGGAAGGTTTAATGGTGGTTTTGAAGGTGTTTTGTTCGGAAATTTGGTTGAAGCATTTGGTTAGAGAAAGCTTCAATTATACAATAAAGATTTGACCAGTTTTCGCCACTTTCGTGAATAGTGATGCAAATTAAGCTCAAATTTATATACATACAAAATACATAAAATAATATCAGCCTGAAGAGAGACTAGCGAGATTCATGGCTCTTAGATTTAATCCATCTCGACCGCTTTGTGTGTCCCAGGAGAGTGTTTTTACTAAAGAGTTAAAATTAGTAATGTTTCAAAAATTATAAAAATAAAATGCTTCCAACCAGATTTGAACTGATGATCTCCACATTACTAGTGTGGCGCCTTACCAACTTGGCCATAGAAGCTACTTGAACGGCAAGTAAGGAGATTTAACTCATAATGTATCGTTTTTGATGTCATGTGAGAAGGTCGAAGAACCCAATGACAGAATTGCTAGACAAGGTCTCGGTGTTGTTCAGCTAATGCCAGAAATTGAGTCTAGTTCTGATTCCGAAGGTTTATCGAGCTAAATAATTGTAAAACTTTATAATCCATGTGGATGTTTGCTTACGAAAATCCTTATGTCAATTGTGATCAACTCCTCCAGTCTTCCTTGAGCTCGCGACAGCGAAAAACGATTCATTTTGTTCAATATCATTGAAGAAAGTGTCATCATCGAGTACCAGAAGAGCAATTGTGCCAGTATTCGTAATCCAAAAGATGAAATAAAGTCATTTCAAAAGGTCTAGCGTAAGTTTGCTTATTTTATTTAATGGTGACGCAAATTGAATCTCTCAATAAGTCTCCTTGTGTATCTCAGATCAAGATGTAATGTCTCCCAGCTCTTCCGCTCAATTGATAAATCACAGCTAAAATCATACTTGCATTGCTGGACTTTTATCTATATTCGACTTCGACTCCTTATATAACATTTCATCAAACGCTTTGACCAGGCAAAAACAAAGCAATGCCATTCTATTTCAATCAATCACAACAGCTCTAACGCTCGAATAGATTACTTTTATTGGCTTTAATAAGTCTCGAAAAAACCTATCTCTCCATTAAAATGCTTGCCTGGCAAATGATACCGCCTCAGCAAACTGTGTGAAATCCTGAGTCTCGCAAAGTCCTGCCTTGGACAACTTTTCTAGTATTTTGGCAAACTGCTCCAAAAAGCGCAGAGACCTTTTGAACTCTTCCTGAAGGTTTGGAACAGCCTTGCTGGTGTTAAACAGTGTCATTACCAAAGACATAGCATCGGCCTTAGAGTCGCCACTGTGCAAAAATTTCTGTAAGTAAAACTCCCACATCATAGCCATAACAGTGCTGGGTGTGGATAATTTGAAAGGCATGGCGCCAACTATTTCGCTCTGCCATCCGAAGTTGTCCAAGGAAAGTCTGTCAAATTCGCCCGCCGCTAGACAAGACACCGTCGTAGCCTCAAACAAGTCGTTCAAATTCTCCTTGACAAAATCCAAATGGTCTCTGAAAACAAGCGTTTTCCGATCGACCGGACCATGGAAATTAGAAGGCTTTTGTTCTATCCAAAAAACACTCAATACTCTCGTAATGGCCAAGATATACAAAGACTCCTTGGGGTACGATCTAAGTGTCGCTTTGGATAGCGCAGATGGAGTCGCTGGCGTAGTTTCTTGGAATAGTGACAGCACCCCAGTCTTGAAAAACACGAGTAGTATGAAAACAGATTCAGCGAATTCAGCATCTAGATTATCTTTACTCATTGACAATAAGATCTCACCCCAAGCAGTTGGTTTCAAAGTGCCCTTACTGAAATCAGATTCGAAAAATTCCAATAAGGTCAGAGCGCGCAAGAAATTGGTTGCCATTAAATCGAATGGTGTAGATAGTTTCTCACTTTGGGGGACAGAATTGGGGAATATCACCTGCTTGGACATAAACGATTGCGACAAATCCTTGGCTCCAACTAGAATAGAAATGAATTGAGAAATTGAAAATTGAAGATTCGACTGTCCTGTCCTGACCACCAAAAGATTGATTCTATCAAAAATAGATGGTATTGCTCTGTTAGTCAGGGTGACTGGATCATCCGGCGCAAACCATTTCACTTGTTTTATTGGTTTTATTTGATAGTAGCGATTGATGGGTTGTGTGAGTTGGTTTATTTCTTTATTTTTGAACATCTCTGCGGAGTCCTTGACCAGCTTTCTATAAGAATCAGAAGAACCTCCATCTAATGGAGGCTCTTCTGCGTATACCCCGGTCGTTAGAGCATCCAAAAGCTTCCCGCTGATAAGACCTAACGACCGGTAGAAGTAGTACTCGTGTGGTAGTCTTTGGGCAACCACGTCGTGCACATCATTTGGAATAACATCTGATGAGCCTGCAGATGACGGAGGGGAGTGGGAAGTATCCGACCCACTCGATCCAAGATCTTCGCCCCTTTCAGCTGGCGAGTAAAGTTCGACTTTACCATTTTCTTTTAGTACTGGCATGTATCTCAATGCCGAAACACCTTTTTGGTAGCGTGCAACGGATTGAGTAGTCTCAGTTTTTATTGGATTGACCATTTGGTATGCATAGAAATCTGTGCCGCTTGTGAGGACCATGTCCAAAGCTATCTCGAAGACTTGTTGGGTGGGGTAGACACCTAGCGGTGACAAAGTGTATGGCTGAATGTCATTCCCGACAGCCATACTAATGTCGATGAACTCCTCCATAGAGCAGCGTAGATCCTTCAAAACCCGGTTTTTATCGATGAACCGGTATTCTTTGTTAGGGAACTCCATGCCTAAGATAAATTTTTCCACAGAGCTTAGTAGCAGTAGTTCGGTTGGCCCATAAATTGCGTCAATGAAGCTCTGGTGCAATAGATACGCCAATTGAAACCACGAAGAGTATGGCGCCACCTGGTAGCGTATTTTGCGCGAAATGAAATAAGCGATCAAATCACTCTGGAACCGTTTGGTGTCCAAAGGGACATTATACCGAAAGGGTTCTGTTGGAGGTACAGGTTGATCCACATAAGTTGCTTGGTTGTTTGACAAAAGGTTGGTCCACTGGGTCCAGCCTTTATGTCTCTGGGCTAAGACCGCTTCTTTTGCCGTTCTGCCTGGGGTGCTCGAGGCATGGCCCATTGGTCCCAAACTTGTCGCATTTGTCGCTGCGGCTGCAGCTTCCGCAGCTGCTGCTGTGTAGTACCCGCTAGCCTCAGCCTGATTGGCCACTGGAGATCCACTGAACACGAAAACGGGTGTGATATCATATTCCTGGAAAACCTGAAGGTCCGATTCCAAGTACAGCTTCAAACTGGTTGGAAACCCGCCAATTGCGTCCAGATATTGCTCTCTTTTCGAAGTCAACAACCGCGAAACGTAATGGTCAACATCAATCCCTAAAGTCGCATTTTTCAGCGACTCAATGGGGTACGACCCCACCAGGCCCCTTTCAAACAGGAAAGACTCCAGTGACTTGATTGGCATACCTTTAACTCGTGGCAGAGAGCGTGTTAAGCAACAAAGTCGCTTGGTTCACGATGGTTGTAGAAGTTTTAGGTTTCGATATTTGTATATAGGTATCTATATATATGTTTTTACATGAATATTCGAGCTTCTTGAACTTGCGATCTGAGTCACGTGATTCAAAAGTATAAATCGCATCACTGAAGCGAGAACGATGCCAGAGATCTGGGCTTCAGCGTAATCCATCCTATTGAGGTTTTGCAGGGAGCGTACACTTTTTGTTCCCACCTATCGAAGCTTCTGACTGTTACAAATAAAATATTAGAGTTTTGGTCGGTTTTCCTTTGTAATGCCTGAGGGAGAGAGAGCGAGAGAGAGGATTTATTGCGATATAAAATACCCGCAATCACCCCGTCAAGGAAACAGTTTCTCCATCTGGGTCTCTTTTGGAGCGTTGTCGTCGTGTTCGTTGTGGTTTGTCATCTCGTACGCGTGTGTCATTTTATCACGTGACTTTCAGAGAAGGTGATATTTTCGAACATGTTCACCAGGCCCATTTCACTACACCTGAAACGATGCCAAAATCATTCTCCGTATTCTGCTCATATTCTCCCACTTGCGGAACTTCAAAAAAAAGCGTCTCAATAGAAAGGTATTCTGGTCGTGAAAAAAATGCGTTGTTTTCGCTTGAAAGATAAAAATAACCCTTCTCCATTATGCCCTCCATCCTTCGCGAATAGAACTGTCAATCAACCTTTCCTATCGAATACATTTGAACAGTTGTCCTCTCTCAAATGGCTAAAATTGTAGAATTTCGTCGTCTTTTCGTCCGTAGTGACACTCAAACCTAGCATATTGGAAAAACCCGTAATATATATCTTCAAAGCTAGCTGCGCAGTAGATGTTGTAGATTTGTCTTCTGAATTGAGGACTTACAGACCCATTCGCGCCTCAATGAGAGTTTCTTTACTGACTAATTTAGTAGCAGCACTGTTAGCTTCAGTTTGCGCGGCTCTTTCGAACCAGGCTTTGGCCAAAGAAGCCTCCAAACAAAAAGGTGTTATCAAATTGACCAATGCCAACTTTGAAAAAGTGCTGGGAGGACAAAAAGATGCGTACTTGGTTGTTTTGCTGACTTCCACAAACCCTGCCATTGGCTGCACTTTGTGTGCAGAACTAGAACCGGAATTCGATTTGCTGACGGAATCCTGGCTGCATGACCATCCAGCTGGGCTTTCTGCAGACGGAGAACGAGCACTTTTCTTCGCCAAAGCAGACTTCGACGCCAAGAAAAACAGTAAGGTGTTTGTGCACTTCAACGCAAACAATGTGCCCCGTCTTTTGTTCATAAGTCCCGAAAACGCCTTTGGCACATTCAGCCAAATCAACCTGCCCGGGGAACCTGGCATGACCAGAGTGGCAGCCATCATGAGCGCTCTAAAAGAAGCTACCGGAATAGCAGACTTCGAATTGCACCAGCCCATCAACTGGGGCTCAATTGCCGTCACTGCTGTCGCCACTGCCGTTATCGTAGCTGTTGTCAGAAGAAATAAAGCCCTGGCCGCGAAATTGGTCGCTTGCAAATCCATCTGGGGACTTGGAACAGTTTTCATTATAGTGATCTGGAACTCGGGATACATGTTCAACGCCATCAGGGGAAGTCAATTTGCGGGCATGTCTCAGAATGGCGACGCTGTAATCTATTTCATGGAGGGTCAACAACAAAATCAGTTTGGGATCGAGACCCAGATCGTCAGTGTCATATATGGAATCCTGGCAGCTTGCACTGTGGGCCTCATCACATTCGTTCCCTACGCTGCGAACTTTTATGCTAAAGACAAGACAGGCAGGCCGTCCCCTTCGAAAGCTTCGTTCGTCGAAATGATTCTCACACTTTCCTTCCTGATCACGTTGTATGCCGTTTACAGCGCACTCATGGCAGTTTTCGGCTTGAAAAGCTCGGGGTACCCATTCAGACTCTTACGTCTTCCTGGTAAATACTAGTAAGTGTTTCCTGTTTTTCCCAGTGAATACGATTACTTTATAAACAAGCATCAGACAGCGATTTGTAAGTTTCGAGTAGCGCTTCTACTCGCAGTTTGAGACCTTTCAAGCGAGCAATCTCATCTCGCAGTCCGTCCTGCTCATTGTAGAAGTCTTGCTCCTCCTTCAACGAGTTTTTCACTTGACGCAGTTTGATCAGAAGTAACGCTTGAGACTCCCTCAAGTCGTTGACAGATTGGTATATACCGTCTAGATTGTTAGAGAGAACTGAGTATACACAGAGTTCTACAGCGTGCACCCCGGTGGCTGAAGAGACGTCCCGTGTATCCATTAGTGGGCGGTCTGTTTACTTTTTGCTCTCAAAGTGTGTGCTGAAGTGGAAGTAGGACTATTATCCGAATGAACAAGATGAAAGTTACTAAAAACTAAAAGTTAAGAATTAGCATAAAAATACATAAAAATCATTTGGCATTTTCATCGCTTTCTGCCTTTTCACCACCAAAGATGCCTCTCTTGAGTTTTCCAACAGCGCCCAGTCCTCCGCCGATGACTGACGTACCGGCATTCAAACCTGTAGAGAGTCCCTTAGACGCCAAATCGCCAACCTTCTTCTCTTGCTTGTGTGCCGTTAACACATGTCTAGGATTAAAAGAGAAATTCAAGTGCAAAACGCCTCCATCTTCCCCATCGGGACCAGTAAGAGGCACATCAATGTCGCTTGGATTTTCTGGATCAACGTTCGCTAATGGAAGTATCGCCGAGCCAATCAAGTCATCCTTATTACCAGCGTCCCAGTCCATCATTCGTATCTTGAGGTAGTTGTTGACACGATTGTTGATTTGAACTTCACATTTTTCATTCCAGGTAGGATCAAGCGTTCTTTTCTTGTGGTGTGTCTTAAAAAATGAGTTTTCACTGTTGTCCATGTAGAACTTGACAAACGGATCAGATTTACCGTTGCGATCAGCAGCGATCAAATTGTTAGCACTCAAAACGTTGATCGTAAGATCACCCGTGTTGGTAATGAGGTCTGCTTGAGGTAGCTTAGTGGCAGCTACTGGAAACCAAGAAACTTGAAGCATCAACTTACAGCTCTTGTTTCCGGTCAAGTTCAAGATTGATGGCTTGTAGTAACAGTTTTTAACTAGTTCAACGGTTGGAAGTGTAACCTCCGCCAAACAATCGTCCGCTTTGCTATTGTCTCCTTTCGTGGTCACTCTGAAAGTTGTCACCGACCACTCCAGTTCCTTGATGATCACGTCACCAGTAGAACCATTCCTGATGGTTCGTCCGCCATACTTTTGAGTGACGTAGCGCGCATAACTATTGGAGTCGAAGAAAGCTTGGATATAAACACCAGTCTGAGGGAGTTCACCGCCCAAAACGGAAAAGGCCAGCACACCACTTTGATACTGTAGCAGCTCATCAAGGTCCAGCTTCATCTTGTTACTAAACAAATCCTCCATCTCCTTGATCTCAAATTCTTCTTCCTTCGCCTTTTTCTCAGCAGCCTTATTCATAGCTTTGTCGCCCGTTGCATTGACTCTAGACGCTAGTGCCTTCTTTCTCTCGTTGAGATCATCCACTTCCTGGATTTCCTCCAAACTTAAAACGGGAACTGTTGGATAAAACGAAACGTAATAGGTAACAGTACCCTTGACACCCTTCTTACTGACCAGACGGCCTGTCCGTGGCTTTTCATCAACGCATTCAACGTATTTATCATCGTTGCCCTTCTGGAACATCTCAGATACATCGATGTCGAATTTGCCTAAGGTACGGTCATTTCCTATCGTCTCAACATCGAGGCACTCTAAAGTTATTTTTTGATTTGGAGAAGTTACAGCAACGTAAATCCCCAGATTCCAAACAGGGTTTAACGTAGATTCACGAACATCAGTGCGCCCTCTTGCGACTCCATTCACTAGAACTCTAGCGTAGGGGTCAATCTTTCCGAACTTCTCCAAATTTCTCAAGCCTTCTGCCTTGCTAATGAAAACTCTTATGGCACCAACAGGAGGGGTGTATGCAACTGCGTTCGCTCCCAAGTCAAGCTCGACTGGCTTCCAATGGGTGCTAATTTTGATCTGACCTTTTCCATTCTGCAATGGAATCCACGTCTTGTCAACCTCCGTTCTATCGATCAGGTCATTCAAAGTCTGAACAGTACTGCCGATAACCTCACCCTTGGCGTTCTTGACAACAAGTTTGGCTCTGGTCTTGCGACGGTCCGTAATGACCGCCTCATACTCTTGATTCCATACCGGATTCTCGGTATTTTTCAAAGTTCCGGTGGTCAGAACCAATTTTGCATTGAAGTATAATTCAATAAATGTGGACACCTTAGAGCCAGGTTCGTCCAGCTCCTTGGCTTCCTCGACAACGATTTTACTAATACCAACGTTCAAATCTGGTGGCTGTTCAATAGTACCGTCGGGCAATTGCTTTGGTTCCAAAGTCGGATGGAATTTCAAGTTGAAATTAAGATCCCCGACAGGTTTTGAGCTTCTCAAAAAGGAGGATTTCAAGTTAAGCTGAGACCTTTCATCGTGTAATGTACTCAAATTGTAAACTATTGTTCCTAACACTTTGTCCTTCGTCTTTTCACGCTTATCGTAAAGCGTAATGGTAAGCGGTTCAGTGAAAGAGTTGAGTAATAGGAACGAAGTTTCGTTCCAAACTGGATGCAAGGAATCCCTAACGGTTCGCGTCTTGCCGACGGACACGCCGTTCAGTTCAAAAGACAAGTAGGGGTCCACTGACTTGTTGAGTATGTTTCGAGCACGTCTAATATCGACCGCATCTTTAACTGTCAATTCCAAGACACCAATAGATAGAGGGGAACTCGAAATCAATTGTGGAACGTTCAATTGCAAGGAAAATGGAGGCATCAAGATAGGTGCCATATATTTTTTGGCCATTTCTCTGATCAGAGGGTAGAGCCCTGGTATGTTCATGATTTCCCAATTGAAGATGCTTTCACCCAACAGTCTGGCAACGAAGTCGACATCAGGCACTTCCAACAACTGCAAGTTGACCGTCTCTATGTGCGGGAAGGGAGTCATAAGCTTGAATCTCACCTTGAGTCTCGACTTGAAAGCAATGTCATTCACGGTGACGGAGAGTGGCAGGCCGAACGCCTTGGCTTTGATGGTCACTTTCTGGTTAACATAGTTTTTCAATTGCTTAGAATTTAGGTCCGAAAGGTCGTGGGGAGTGAAGGAGACACCCCAGTCCATCACGACCACGTCGGTGTCGGTGTTCTGGTAGGTTTTGACGAGGTCGATACGGGGCGGCTTGATGCCCAGCGTGAACTGGTCGATCCAGAGTGCCTTTACAAATCCGGGGATGGCTGGATGCGTCGCCAGGATCTGGTTCACTTGTTGCACGACCATTTGCGACAGTTCCGGCTCCAAACGCGTCCAGTACTTGTCGAGGAAGCTGTTGAGCCACTCCATTGACTCGTGGTCGCCCTCCACCTTCTGCACAATGAATTCTTTCTGTACCTGGTCTCTGATCGTTGCACGGTACCGCTTGATTGTCGCTCTGTACAGCAGACCCATTGCCACGATAATGAAGAACACAGGACCGAGCGAGAACCCCAGCTTACCCACGGAAAAGGACAGAGTTCCGCCCAAAAAGAACACTGCCGCTGCGTGGTACCAGTCACCGTACAGTTTGTCTGGGATAATGTTGTCTAGAAACGTCTCGTTGTTCAAGTCCAGCAGCTCGTCCTCCAGCGTCAGCGCGTCCTTTTCTTCCCAGCCTCCAATCTGCTTCCATCCCACGTACGACGCGTCCATGGCCTCACGGTCAACTTCAGATGCGTTCACGGTTTTGACTGCTTCTTCGGGCACCTCTTTGCTGACTTCCTCCTTTGCTTGCGGAGGTGCCAGTTTGTCCACCCCATCCACTGTCGCCACTTGGTCTCTTTCGTTCGGGACCACCACCTCAGATCCAGTTGTCGCCATTACAATGTTGAATTGGCCGTCCAGCAATGCCTCTTATAGTCCCTATAGAGGTCAATTCCTTGAATTTTTGGTGAACAAGAAGTGAACTGAAAGAAAGCAGATTTGAAGGGATATTTATGTCTTTTTTTCTATCCAGGTCAGATGGCAGCACCGAATTATCACCAGAAACGTGACCTTGGTGAAGTCGACAACAACGTCAGGGCCTGGAAATGAAGAGTCCAGAGAGGCCGTGAGGCCATGAGGACAATGTAGAACTTTAAGTTGCTATATGAAGAGTAGTTCATTGCGAAGAAAATGGCATTCCTAGGAGCATTTTAAACAATTTTTTGTTTTTATTTGGTGGAATTTGCTGGTTGTCAATTTCGAATTTTTGTCGATCTCAGAGAGATGTTTGGACCACGAAAAGACCACCAATGGAGAGGCAAAACACGCGGCAATTTTGTGCATTATCCAGTTTTGCGGGCACGCCTCATTCGAACGCATGAAATGACTCGTCGTCGTCTGATTCGTCGTCAATGATAATAGAAGCGTCCATGTCGTCCTCGCCGTCTGCGGAGGATTCACCCGACAGCGCTGGGATCTCAGCGTAGGAGGGTTTGGCGGCGATTCTGGCAGTCGTACGGCGACTGCGGGGCACTCTACGAACAATTTGTGGTTCTTCTTCCAAATCGCTGTCGTCATTACCTTCGTCGTTCTCGTCGTCGTCGTCGTCGTCGACAGAGGGTTTTGCGCGTGGTTTGGGTGTAGCAGTTTTGCGCACTGCGACCTTCTGCACCTTTGCAGGGGCCGCAGGGGCTGCAGATGACACGTTGGAAGATGCAGGCGACCCGTCGAACAACGCGCTAGCTTGCTTGAACTTGCTGGAGAAAATACTCATCGTGTCGTCGTTCTCCTGGTCCGTCTTTGGCTTCTCTGACACGCTTGTGCCCGTGGAATTTTCGCTTTCAAGAGATCCAGGCGTGCTTTGGGGTGGCGTGGTGGATCCAGACACAGACCGTGATGCCGATTCTGCCTTTGTTTTCTCTGGCCGTGTGTTCTTCGTTTTGCTCATAAGACCAGCGATCGTGGGCTGGTTTTCGTCTTTCACCTTTGTGGCGCGTTTTGGTTTCTCAAGTGCTTTTTGTTCAAGCAAGACCGCCTCGAAATTATTGACTTCCACCTTCACTTTAGCTGCAGACGCTGCCTTTGGCTTCTTTTTCTTGCGACTGGGGTCATAATCCTCGTCGCCTGCCTTCGCCCTACGGCGCTTCCCCTTCTGCTGCACGGCTGCATCGGGAGTGACACTGTTGCGAACCAGCTCATCGTGTGCCATGAAGGCCTCGTACGCTTTGCTAAATGCATCGAGGTCATTAGACCACAAGTCCTTGGCGGACAGACGAAGCAGTGCTTCTAGCTCCGCCTCTCTCTCTTGCTTCTGTCGCATCAGACTCTCATACTTCTCCTTTGTGAGAGACCATATTTTCATACCGAGCAGATACTCGAACGTTCCGTATTTTTCTTGAGGACCATTGACCTCATCTTCCGCATCTTTCAACACTGTGTCGTCGGATTCGTCGCTTTCCTTCTTCAAAATAGTCTCCTCGTCGACATCTTCGATCTTTCCGTAATACAGCCTACCTTCCGAATTGATCTTAGGGAATCCCAATTCTTCCAACTCTGAAAAGAGTACTGGGCGCGATTTGTTGCTGACACTGAACTTTTGATCAACGATTAACTGAAGAAAGCGAATCTGTTGAGACAACTTCTCTACCTGCCACTGTAACCTTTCCGACATATAATCCTTCCTTTTCTGGAAGTATTCAAGTCTGACATAGTAAAAATCGCTTAGAATCTCTCTTGCGTCTTCATACTTCTTGATGCGGCCCTGGGGATCAAAGGCGACCATATTGGCGAGACTTATACTCGAGATCAGTTTGAATCTTTCGTAAAATCCTAATTTGCTGGTCTTCGTCATTTCTTCATCCGTTAGCGTCACAGTAAATTTGATGGTAGCACCATGATTTTCTTGCATGTCATCAATCCACTTTTTAACCTTGTCGCTGCCTGCTAGGCCGAGCAAAAGGTGTTCTTTGATAGTTGACATCCAAGTTTTCGCTGGAAGTTCAGTAATTTCCAGAGTATTTGGACCCACCTGCTCGATTCTCCCATACATTCTGTATCTTTGCGTGTCAATCTTCTCTAAGCTACCTTTCCATCCTCTGAAATAAGGTGTCATTTCACGCATTTCTTCGCCGTTCATCAATCTCTTCAGATTTTGAACGATATCTACAGGATTAAAAGGTGGGATGTTTGTGCTCCAGCCAGTACCAATACCTTCAGCACCATTCACTAAAACCATGGGTAAGACAGGGAGATACCATTGTGGCTCAATATTCTGACCATCTTCCTGAATGTAGGTGAGCAAAGGATTATCAAGCGGGTTGAAAATAATTGGAGTTATACCGTTCAGTTCCGTGAAAATGTAACGAGGGGCAGCAGAATCTTTACCACCAGTAGCCCTAGTACCGAATGCACCATTAGGCTTCAAAAGATAGATATTGTTAGAACCCACAAAATCTTGTGCCATACCAACAATGGTCTGTGCCAACGACATCTCACCATGATGATAATTCGTGTGCTCAGATACGTATCCGATTAACTGAGCCACCTTGATTTCGGATCTTAACTTTCTCTTAAAACAACTGAAAAGAACTTTACGCTGACCGGGCTTGAAGCCATCCAAGACCGAAGGAATGGATCTTATGTTATCGGCTAGAGAAAAGAGAATGAGCTCTTTGTTGATAAAATCACAGATTGGAATTTCGGATAATGCAGGGTCTAAAGTATTACCAGGTTCATACTGCCTCAACCACTCCTTACGGTCGTCCGCCTTTTTCTTGGAAAATGCTAGGTCAATCAGGAGACTATCGTCTCCTTCAAGAGCGTGAAATTTTTTCAAATGCGTGTCAAGATCTGAGAAGTACTCCCGAGCTTCTTGTAATGACGATGTTCCCAAACCTTTATAATACTTTTGCTTCCAAGAAAACTTATGACTTTCGTTGTCTCTCCACTTTTCATAATCAGGCATGGTGTAGAAAGAAAGGACACTGCGACGGGGTTTTGTTGTCGTCACCTTAACAATCGGTGTGATGAATTCTATCAGAAACTCTGGTATATCTAAGAGCCCGGGGAAAGAACTTTCCAAAAAGTTGATAATTAAACCTTTAATGTGCGAGCCATCGTGGTCCTGATCAGTCATGATCATGATGTGCCCATAGCGTAAACTCTTTGTGTCTGCGTACTTCTTTCTGTGCTGTAGGCCGACAATCTTTTTGATGGCTTGAATTTCGGCATTCTTATTGATTTGTTCAGCGCTTGCTTCTCTGACATTTAACATCTTACCACGCAGTGGATAGCATCCGTAATAATCACGTCCCACTACACCGAGACCAGCGACTGCGAGCGATTGGGCTGACAGACCCTCGGTTAAGACAAGGGTGCATTTGCCGCTTTGCTTGGTACCAGCAAAGTTGGCGTCTTCTAAAGTTGGGTAGTCTGTAATTCTGTTTTTCCTGGTACCATCAGATTTTTGTAACGCCTTATCCTCATTCTGATCAGCGATTTCGAATATTTTCTCGGCGATTTCGGTTTTCATGACTTTGTTGATGAAATCATCTTTAATGTCACATTTTGAACCAAAATCTTTGACCCGGGTGGTCAGTTGCTCTTTGGTCTGGGATGTGAAAGCAGGGTTCTCAATTTGACAGTTGATGAAAATGAACATATGATTCTTGATTTGAAAGCCTTTAATTGTCTTTCCCTTTTTCTTCTTTTTCAACACCTCGGTGATCTTCTTCACAATTTGATCCGACACATAGTTCACATGTGTACCGCCTGATGTCGTTGCTATCGAATTGACAAAGGATATTTGCTGAAAGGATACATCTGACACTGCAAATGCAATTTCCCACCTGTCGTTAAGCCTCTCATAAAGAATTGTAGGGGTCTTGCCCGCTTCAGTGCCGTTTTCTTCAGACTTCTTCTTCTCCAGAGATTTTAGATAGAGCTCAACGTAATTTTTGAAGTTGCGAATCTTCAGACTTTTACCGTTTAAGTAAACGCTTACGTCTCTGACGGACCCATTGATGTCAAACGCTCTTCGACGCATTACGCCTACGGTGTCGTTGTCGAGAGTTTCCATTCCGAATCGCTTGAGGTCGGGTCGGAAAGAAACCTTGGTGTAGGATGGCCCTTTCTTGTAGGAAGTGATCTTAGGTTTGTGACAGACGGTCATGTTGTTTTCCCACTTTTGGACGTACTTTTCACCCTTCGTCGGATCTGCCGTTTCGAGGATAAATTCGGTCGAGAAGATGTTACACAGCTTAGCACCGTAACCGTTTCTACCACCCGTGACTTTCTTCTCATCGTCGTCGTAATTCGAAGACGTGAGCAGGTGGCCAAAAATCATTTCTGGGATGAAGATTTGCTCCTTTTCGTGAATTTCAATTGGTATCCCCTTCCCGTCATTTTTAACCTCAATCATGTTCTCTTCCTTGTTGATCGTCACCTCTATCTTCTTCATAGTTGGGTCGCGAACTTTGTTATCAGCAGCATTTACGAGAATTTCGTCGTAGATTTTGAAGAGACCGGGCACGATCTTGACCTCCTTCTCTTCCATGCATTCCGTTTCCTCGTTGTGAATCCATTGCACTTGCTCCTGTACTTCCACGGAACCAACGTATGTGTCTGGTCTTTTCAGAATATGCTCAAGTTGCGAGATCTTCTGGTATCGCTCAGATGCGCTTTTCGCGTCTGCCATACAGCACACTATTTTAATTCAAGCACTGAGCGATTCGACCTTTTAAACGGGCTTGATCAGATCCCGTTTCTAGATGTAGTGAGTGTAAATGTTGTTTATGATGATGTGGGATTATGGTTTGTTTTGAATCTAAATCACTGTCGCGTAAAAGAACCTACGAAATTTAAATAATGGTGACTTTTACGTGCGGTTATATAGTGAAGTCTGTGGCGGGTTCTTTCAAGAAACTTAAGACTTCGTGGCCAAGCTGGTTAAGGCGTGCGACTGTTAATCGCAAGATCGTGAGTTCAATCCTCACCGAGGTCGTTATTTTTAATTTTTGGATGATTTTATAATCATCATCGATTTGATGCCATGCTCACTCGAACATTTGACCAAGGTGCTCGAACTAGCCCTTTAAAACTGACCTGCCATTCATTATACAGTTTTTATACCTTTGTGTCTTTCAAATTATTACACAGCACCCTCGCCCGGGCTCTTTATTCACCAGCAAGCTCGTTCTGGTAGCAACCTCGAAGACATCGTCTACTCCGCTCCCATCAAGGGCACTGCATTCCATGTAACGTTTTGCGCCTATCGCCTGAGCCACTTTTTCGGCCTCTTCGCGCCGCACGTAGTTTGGAGAATCTCCCTTTCGGCGTAGATCGCTTTTGAGACCCACCAGAATAATTGGCGAGTCTGGGCAGTAACGTAGAGCCTCTTCTGTCCATTTCGTTCGAGCATTCAGAAGCGAATCAGGGTCGTCAACTGCGAATCCTATGACAATTATGTTGGCTTTGGAATAAGAAAAAGGCCGCAAACGCTCGTATTCTTCCTGCCCAGCTGTGTCCCATAAAGCTAGTGTCACCTTGATCCCGTCAACTCGACAATCCGTCACGTAGTTTTCGAAAACCGTTGGATGATACTCTTTGGGAAACTTTCCCAATGTAAAAACATATAGAAGCGAGGTTTTCCCGCATGCGCCATCGCCTATTATTACGAGCTTCCTCCTCACAGCATTTTCTGACATTATTGACACCGCTTTAGTTGAACAATAACTATTTCTGGTGTAGCCTTTGAGCAACCAGTGCAATCCTCAGCTGTTGCCTATATTCTTTATAAATCTCTCGAACGAAAAGTCAAGAACACCAATCTCCTTCTGCCAATGCCGTTCAGTGCAGACGATCACTGACTAGATCTGTCTATAGAACGTTGTTAGCGTTGTACCCTGCTTTGTTGTCTTGTATACTGAATGGTTCATAACAGTCAATGAAGCTCAACGGTTAGTATATTATCAAATGGTGAGTACTAAAGTACCCGCGAGATCTTTCGCGGAATGAACGAACGAATGAATGAATATACAGGTAGGATAGATCAACTGTTCTCGACTGTTCTTAACTAGGTCATCAGTTTGTGTGTCTGCTATTTACTGACTCGTGTGAAGGTGCTAGCTGTTATCCCCAGATATTGTTAGTTCGAGCCTTTCCAAAGGTGTGGCCGTAATTATAATGAGAGGCGTTCACACCTGGCACGGCTGTAGCGCCGGGTGCTGACATGGCGCCATTGTTGCCATTATAGAGATCGCCAAACAAGGCATGAGGATACGTTGTGTTTTTCAAGGGACTCTGACCCTGGATTACCTCTGCCGTTGTGTTAAAAAAGTTCGTCTGAGTCCGAGGTGGCTGCTGCTGCTGCTGCAAGTAACTGTAGGGAAACCTTACATGGGTGACGCTGCCACTGACGTTTGTCAAAACCTCGCAATTGTGTGTTGAACGCATGCCAACGACTTGATTGACGTAATTGTTGTAAGTCAAAGCATTGGCGTCTTGCAACAATGAGAGCGTAGTGTGATAAAGCTTTTCGACATCAACAAAGTCTTTATTGAGCTCGCCTCGTACCAGGGAGTAGGCCTGCAAAATGGCTTCAGCTAAATGATTGGACGAAACGGCGGGAGCAATAGAGCTCACCCCATTCCAAATGTTGGGCGCAATGTTTCCTACACTTGGACTGGAGCCTAAAGGTGCGTCGTTCTCCCATATTGATTTTCGCTGTGGTTTCACTGCGTTGTTGACCGGGGTGCTTGAATTCAGACCGGTCATATACGGAACACTGGAATGATGCTTTTGATCCGTCGAAGACCACATGTTCTCCGGCACCTGGAAGCCTGCTGACGACGAATGATTTCCAGCAAGAGAGGTTGAGGACAGAAAGTTGGTTAGGTTGTCGAGTTCGTCATGAAACGATTTTTTGCGATCACCCACACCGGTTCCGAATTGAGAATACTGAGACATTGGATTGTGTACCGGAATCGCGTTTTGATTATCAACTTCACTAGGTTGTACTTTTCTTGGGGACATTTGGAAAAGACCGCCCATGTTGCTCCAAGAATTATCCAACGATTTTGCGCCAGTAGCAAGGGAATCGTAGGAAGCATTTGAAAACGGCTCCGAGGCTTGCCAGTTTGTGGAATTCACTCCCATGTTGTTGAGTGACAAGCCCGTTGCGGGTGGTTGCGGTATGGTTGGCCGCGCTACCTGAGGCTGGAGCAGAGTCTGGAGATGAGAGGAAGGCGTTGACAGAGATTTGGACGCAGCTTCATTAATCATGTGGAATAGGTCATCATTGTCCACACTACTTTGAGGCATCGCATACGGAACTGCCTCAGGGGGCGTGCTTAAACGCCGTTGAGAGGGCGTCTCCGAGCTACGACGCTTTTGAATCTCTTGCTGAGCGTTGGCCGCATCTTCCAACTGTTTCTTGCGCTCCAATTCCAGCCGCTTCTGCTCTTTTTGTGCTTTCAGTTCTTCTTCCTTCTGGCGTTTAGCTTCTTCTTTGAGGCGTTTTTCCTCTTCACGCTTACGTTTCTGCTCTTCTTTCAACTTTTTCTGCCTTTGCTGTTCTTCTTCCTTACGCCTTTGTTCTTCTAATTTGCGTCTCTTCTCTTCATCCTTTTTACGCCTAGTTTCCTCAACTCTTTGTCTTTGGGCCTCTCTTCTTTGCATTTCGCGCTCCTCCGCTTCCTTCTTTGCTCGCACTTCTTCCTCTTCTTTGCGTTTCTTCTCCTGCTCCTTCGCAACCTGTTGGGCTCTCTTCTTTTCTTTCTCCTTTTCGCGCTTGCGCTGCTTCTTCTCTTCTTTCTCGCGCTTTTTTTGTTCTTCGGCTTCAAGTTCCTGAAGCAACCTCAGTCGATTGTTTTCAGCCTGCTTCTCTTGGTAAGAGTCCACAAGTTTCTTCTGTAATAGTTTGGTGATTGCAATTTGGATAAGTCTCCTTCCTTCTTCTAAGCGCTCTTGTTCATCGATACCGCTATCGTAATCCTCCTCATTTCCGGCAGTACTGACATCCTCTTCACCAAGATCCAGCTCATGCTCGTGGTGGTGGTTTTGGTGTTGCTGCGAGTGATGATGGTGTAGATATTCGTCTTCATCCATAACATTTTCTTCGTACGCTTCTTCTTCATATATGGACTCTTCTTCGTCCTCATAATCAGAATATTCTTCTTCATCGTATTCTTCTTCGTCGTCATAATCGATCTCCTCCTGGATCTCTTGAGTAGCCATCATCTGCTCACCTTGCTGACCATTGTGCGTTGTAAACGACTTCAACAACATGCTTATAGGATCTTCGCCTGCCAAAAACTGCTCGAACAGACCCTTTCCGTCACTTTCCCTTATGCTTTGCAATTCCCGAGCTTGCGACTCGAAAGAAGCAGTCATTCCAGCAGCGATGTGTCTTTGAATGCTAGCGTACTGGTCAGGAGTCAACGGAACTCGATCTGCTGGAATTTGGCCTGCCTCCTGCGATTCGTCGATTTGTTGCCCATCTGCTGGTTCGTTGCCTTTCTGAACAACGTAATCTTCCATCGCTTTTATGAAACTTTGCCCATTGTTGTACATCAAATCTTCTGTCAGCGCTCTCATATCGGGATACATCATCATTCTATTAACATACTCCTGTGCAATTTTAGGGTGCGATGAAACAAAAGTCTTTGCAAAATTCATATACCGATCTTTCAATTCTTCATTGGTAGCCGGTTCCTGGTCATCGGAGAAAGGTATCTTTGCCATGCGTTGGGAGAGTTCAGATCCTAAAAGGTCTTGCTGCACATCCGAGCTTTGCGGACCTGCCTGTAGATGAATATTTGCTGCGTTCGGAGGTCGTTGTTGCTGCAAAAGTTGACGGATTTGTAAGTCTTTTTCTCGGAGTTGGGATGGCGTCTCATTAGAAGTGCCTTCAAAGGATTTTAAATAATCATCTGGACGATGTTGGGATGCCTGGGCATATTGCTGGCGTTGAGATCCCGCCAGCGAAACGGGCTGGAGATGTTCAGAAACTGCTCCTATGTTGTGTCGCTCGTCCAGAGGCGAATGCTGATTTGTTTGGTGGTGCTGTTGCTGCTGTTGCTGATGGTGCAGCTGTTGTTGCCGCTGCTTGTTGTGCTTGAACTGTAAAACCTCTTCCTTTAGAGACTCCACAGCTTTGCTTGACAAACAGTACTTGACGGCCTCGTCGCGCATCTCGTCGAGATACTGTGGCGATGGTGTGTCGAGTTGGTCGGTATTCAGCTGCTCGCTGTTCGTGGTTGCTGAGTGAGCGCTCGTGTCAGCACTGGTATCACCATCGAAGTTAGCACTAGAGTTGGCTTTCTGCAGCTCCTTGATCATGTTCAGATGAAAAAGTACAAAGTCGGTGTCTGAGTTACTCTCTTTAGCATTGTCGTGTAGTCGATTGTATATCTGCTCGAGTTCCTGCTCCATGGCCACGTTGCGACGGCCGCATACAGAGCAATTACAGTTGTTGCTCGATTGGTAGTTCTTGATCACCTCAAACACTTCTTGTTTCTCTATTCGCAGAATTCGCTTTTTTTCCTCACTGCTCAGTGTTTCCCAATGCATATCGAGTTTCGTTGAGATACCAGGGTCTTCTTTTGCCGGTTTCGCGCGCTCTGTTTCTTCCAAGGACTCAACAATGACATCCCCGTTTGGAGCTCTCTTGATGATACGTGAACTCGGGTACTCTGCCTCATTATCGTAAACTTCTGCCTCAGGAACTATCTCACTGGGTTTCTTCTTACTTTTCGATTTGCGTCTCGTTGATCCCGTCGAATTCTCATCTGAAAGTTCGAATCGTACGTCATTTCCTCTTACCACAGTCGCTGCATTGTCGCTATTGTCATTAGTCTTCTTCGCTTGTCGCTTCTTTCCCATCTTGCCCTTGCACGATCGTGGCCATCAAGCTTGACTATTCTATATAGTTAAATTTGAAAAGTTTTATACCGCGTTTCAGACTGGCTCCCTTAGTACAGAGTGATCAATTAAAACTCGAATTTAGATCGAATGTGAGCACTGACACTTGCGATAGTGGGCAATCGAAATGGTGTTTTTGAGTGGTCTTGAATGTGGGAATTAATTTGGGTGCGGAGGTCCGCAAGTGTAGCAAATTTACCGTACTTGGTTAAACGACATTTAATTTTAATTATATTTTGAATGTGCGCATGTGATGAAATGATCAACAAGAGATGCCGAGACGAACCCTTCTTTAACTGTGCGTTTATTCTTATTTTTCGGTAGGGTCTGCCGTTAGCTGACCTTTTTTGAACTTGGAAACACGATGACCAAATCAACTTACAATTTTTCCAAAAAATGAGTGTCTCCGCTAAACTAAATACTGCTAAAATACTTCATGCATTACATGTTACGATGCTTCAGATCTCGTTATCCTAGACCCTAAGACGAGCTCGATTCTCTAATCTTGTCGACTAGATGCTTCAGCGATGTTGCCATATCACTTTGTACTTATATGTCGTTTTTTGAATATAATTGAATATTATAGTACAATAATACCATAATACCAAATCTATCGCACGTCAGTTGCATTGCATCCTAAAGATACCAAGTGAGCTGGCACTAGCACGAGTAGCATGCACAAACTGAAATTTTGATTTTACGGCAATAATGAATTGAAAACAGATTATTAAATACCCTTGATGTATAAAATTCAGAATTCGGTCGATCAAAGTTCTAGTACGCTAGTATCTTTACTGTGAGCTTTTTCTTAAAAAAACCAAGACATTTCCAAGCGCTCAGGCGCCCCTAAGTGATACTAAAAATGCTCCTTCTTTGACGCCTTTGATAATACACAAAGGAATTTTGCTGACTTTCAATCACGTTCGGTGATCAAAAATAACCAAACAAAAGACGCCTACGACAATCAACACTCGTAATTTATACAGACCAGCTCACTGAACTCCCGTATTAATGGTTGATAATCCCAAAGCTAAAGAGAGGTAATCAAGATGGGAACTATCGGACATCCACGTGACCGCAAATAAAGACTACCCTATATATCTTCAAATATTCGATATCAGTAAACTCACAACTCCGGCAAACTGCAGTTGATACCTCGAAAACGTCCATCAACCGCTTTTGGCCAGCCTGAGAGATGCCTTCGTATCTCCTCCCCACGACCAATGGCATCGACTGGTCTTCTGAACAGCCTCCAACCTATGATGTGCCTAATCCTAGACAAATCTTGCGCATCTGTTTAAACCTGAAATATCTTATAGACAAAGTGGTGCCGATCCTTTATGATGAGAAATTGATTATGTGTGACCACTCGCGGATTCTGAACAAGCACGTCCTTTCTTTGGCACGGGAAGCGTGCGGTGGGAAAAAAGATGACCCAAAGTCCATTCACAAGTATCAATCAGTAATCATCTTTTCGTTGCTGAAAGTTTGCAGTTGGTACTGGGACCTCGCTGCAACAGAATTGCACAATGCTGAGCTCTACTGTCTAAGAGCCTCAGCAGCACAACAGCTGTGCAAACTGGTCATAGAGCAAGAAGAGGGACGCGAAGCGCAGTTTCTGTTTATTCAAATGCTCTGTCGTCGATACGTGATCAACGAAAACGACGAGGACTCAATTGCGGAAAATGCCTTGGAACTTGCAATGGACATGCATTGCACCACGGTCATTGGGTCCAGTGGCTACCAGAGGTGTCTAAAATGGCTATGGCGTGGGTGGATCATTCAGAGTAGGTGCGACCATAAATCATATGTGATTTGCGACTCCGTATCGTCTTCAAAGTTCACACGCCATTTCCATCCTGACCGCTTGAAAACTCCAATGTACCAAAACATCATCAACATCATGTTCTCCTTCGTGTTTCTTGTACTTTACACGGTGGTCGTCAACAGCAAGGACTCTAAGGCGGTGCAACCCATCGAGTTTTTGGAAGGTATTTTTTATTTTTTCACGTTAGGAAGCGTTCTAGATGAGATCTCAAAATGCTACCATGTTGGATGGTCGTATATTGGGTTTTGGAACTCCTTCAATGGCGCCATGTATTTCATCATCATGTCGTCAATGATTTTGCGAGTCGTCAGTGTCAGTCCTATTCAGACACATTACCCAGCAGAGTATTGGGATAAGATTTCCTACAGAATACTTTCTTGCGCAGCACCTATGGTGTGGACTCGTCTTCTACTCTATCTAGAGTCAAAACGTTTTGTGGGTGCTTTGCTAGTGATTTTGAAGCATATGATGAAAGAGTCCATTGTGTTCTTTTTTTTGCTGCTTCTAATCGTGCTTGGATTCTTACAAGGTTTTGTCGGGCTAGATTCCTCAGATGGTAACCGCGAGATCACCTGGCCCATTGTGTCGAACCTCTTGCTGACAGTACTAGGTGCTGGTAGGTTCGATATGTTCGATGATTTTGCGCCACCATTTGCGACCATCCTCTACTACTCCTACTCATTCGTGGTATCCGTCATCCTGCTCAACATTCTCATTGCGTTGTACAGTACCGCCTACGAGAAGGTTATTGATAATGCTGTTGACGAATACATGGCCTTGATGGCTCAGAAAACCCTGAGGTACATAAGAGCCCCCGATGAGGACGTTTATGTCCCTCCTCTGAATTTGGTTGAGCTTTTCTTGACACCATTCTTGCACTTTCTTCCTCCCAAGATGGCCAAAAGAATCAGCGTTTTTGTAATGACTATTCTCTACTTCCCATTGCTACTCGGAGTTGCTGTTAAAGAAGTCAGGGAAGCCAAACGTGTCTTTTACAATAGAATGAAGAAGCAGGAAGATGATGCCAACGAGACGGATGTGGCATGGGACCTAACGGACGGTTACGTTGACGAGGCTGACGGATGGATTCCAAACAGCGAGTCGTCTGGTATTATGGCAACGCAGAAAAGAAACAAACGGTCTCTCAAATTACAAAAAGACGCTGAAAACGCAGACCCGGACTTCAAAGTTAAGGGGGAGTGGTTTCAGAGTGTCAAGTCCGCAATCCAACCGGTTGAACATGGCTTTACATCAGGTATTGGGTGGGAAATGTATGACGTTTATCGGGAAGCGACGGAACAGAGAGAAGCGAGCGATAAGAAGATCGATGAGCTAACCATGATGGTCGAAAGTCTCACAAAGATGGTCAAAGAGTTGGCTCCGCAGTCGGACTCTTCAGAAAAATAGCTGCGAGTTAATTCGGGATAAAGAATTAAGGTGCTCAAATGTCAAACTTGACAACGACAAGCGACCTTTGTTCCCAAAATCAATTTCAATGTATATTCTAAATACGAGTAATATACCTGTACATCTCAGCAATTGCAAGTGCTACCTGAGGCCGACTGATCGCCCGAGGATCTGAGGTCGACGCGGGAGTCGTCATTGATACGCAAGCCAGATGACCCACGCCCAGCGCCTTGTGTTTGGTTCTGTGCTGTTTTCAGCGGAATTTTCTGACCAATACCCAAAAACACTTCGTTGACGTTACTACCAGTCTTTGCACTAGTTTCGAAGAATAGCAGACCTTCCTGTTGCGCCAAGTTTTCGGCTTCTTCGCGCGCCACTTTTCTTTCTGCTCCCGACTCGATCATATCGAGTTTGTTGCCCACCAATGCAATAACTATGTCTTTGGAGGCCTGTTCATGCAGTTCCTTGACCCAGTGGCGCGCCTTGATGAACGACTGCGGCTTTGTTACGTCGTACACCACCAGTGCGGCCTGTGCGTTTCTATAGTACATTGGAGCGAGTGACGCGAACCGTTCCTGCCCTGCAGTGTCCCAGATTTCGAACTTGATCGTGTGGTCGCCCATGTTGACTCGCTGTGTGAGGAAAGCTGCCCCTATGGTAGGCTCTTTGTTTTCAGCAAAATCGTTCGAAACAAACCTCAAAACGATCGAACTTTTGCCCACGGCAGCCTCTCCCAGCAAGACCAGCTTGATGGATGTGACTGGACTGTTCATTTCGCCTCTTTTTCTAGCTTCTGTTCTTCTTTCTCTCTTTTAACCTAAGACCCCTTGCAGATGTGCTTTCAATCTCCAAAATGTCGTAAAAATGTCGTAAGAAAGGTTCTTCACTGAATTCTACTGTAAAACGGCAAGATATGCTCAAATTCAAGGTCTTTCGGCGTCAGTTCCTTATACTTTTACCTAGATTTTGTCTTTTCCAGTGACTAGTTTCTTATACAATCATATTTCACACGAGTCGTATTTAATAATCACTATATATATTAGCATATATAGACAGAGATATACTTGAACAGCTCGAACATTATCTTAAAAAAAGGCCATCAGAATGGCTTATTTGAAGTAAAGTGAGCACCTTATCAGAGTATCCGAACTTTAAAATTCTCAGTTTCAACGATCTGTCTAGCGTTAAAACTGATGATTTTAGCGTTCTAAAAGGTCAAAGACAATTCGAATATTCTAACGTAAGATATATTCTTGTTGCGTAGGGGAAGCTATATCTCATCTGGCCAGAGAAAATTGAAAGCCTAGCTTTTTTTCAGTTTTCATCATATGCTTGTTCGAAACTCATCATCTTGGTCGCTGATCACAGCTAGTAGAAATGTGATAGATACATTGGTAGAATAATGGGAACTAAAATATCAAGATGACGGGATTGATAATATGGCAATGAAACGGTTTGCAGATTTAAATATGTATTTCTGGATAAGCTTTGGACAAATATCATGCCTATGCACCGCAACACCAATTTTGTAATTGTTATGGTGGAAAATGGGAATCAAAGTTTTGGACTGTGCTAAGAAATTAGCTTTCCTGTGTCCCTAACGATGATGACATCTCATGCAGTGACACCGAATGGTGCAGAAAAGCTGCACGGCATCGCAATCAAAATGAAATAAATCCAAAAGGGCTCAAAAAAAGCAGTATGCTAGTAAATCGCTATGATGTATGCCTATTTGTGCGAATGGTAACGATTGATGCTCCCGCAGACAATTCATGCAAGGAATTCATATGCAAACAAGATCTCTCAAAGTTTTGGCTTGAGTGGTGCGGTGGCCTCGTAGTTCAATTCGAGTTGTCCCGTTATTTCACCGGGTTCGGCTTGGCCGAAGAATACAACAGTCACGGTGAGATCGTCCCTGTATTTGCGACTCATTGGGGATGGAATGCTTACTAGCGTGGAAACATAGTCGCGCTGTCCGCCGGCGCTCAACGCGTTCCGTATCAGGTGTGTTGCGGCGTTTTTGTCTTCGAGCAACGATTTGGGCTGCTTGGCCTTCAAACCCTTTTCTTTGTTCATCCAGTCGACTACCAAATCTTTTATTTCTTCATTCTCTAGAAGCTCAAACAAACCGTCCGAGGCCAGTACCATGAACTTGGCGTTGTCGCTAACCTGTGTGGTTGTGATCACTGGCTCAGCAGTCACGTATGGCGGAGTTTTGAAGTCTCTAGGTTCACGACGAAAGTAAACTTTCAAATGGTCTGGAAGATCCCGCACCGTCTTCCCGCCCAGTTCCTTGACTTTGTAACGGTAGTCACCAAATGCTCTTGAAGGCTGCAGGGATCCCAAAACGCGGCCATTGCGCACCGCACCAGGCTCGCCAGGGTGCTCTTGTCTAATGCGTGCCACTTCTTCGGGATTATCGCCGGTCTGGTCTACAGAAACCGCTTTTATAGACCATTTGCTTTCGGAGTCCTGAAATCCTACGAGTGCTCTGGAGTCACCGGTAACTGCGCATTTCAGCACCGAATTCGCAGAGTCAAACATTGTTAGAAGCGCACAGGACCCGGAAATGGCAGGCAATGCGTTGACCAGGTTGTTCTTGGTTGGGTCGGTGAAAAGCTTGTGCAAAGACCCGAGCACGAGGTCGCGGTCCAAGGCCGTGAAAGCCGAGGTGATCGCTGTGTCTACTGCATCAGACGAAGCCGAGTGCGACCCCAGACCGCCGTAAACCTGTCCCAGCTGATGAGCCACATATGGAACCAGTACTTGCGCCAATTTAGTGCTGGTATAAGGTCCGCTGTGGCCGTCGAATATGCCGAAAAAATACAGGTCTTCGTCGCTGCCGGGCTGTTTTCCTGGCACCGTGATGACCTGCTCCACATGTGTGTCTTCTATGGGTGAATTTGACGGCAATTGTGCTGTGTCGTATCTCACCACGCCACGACCTCTTTGGACGTAATAGCTCTGATCCAGCTGTCGCAGACGTTGTGTGACCTGCTGATCCGAGAGTAAAGAGATAGTGCTACTTCCGGACTCGGGCTCTCGTTCACCAGGCTTGGAACTGAACTGTTTGATACCCTTCACACTCTCACAAGACACCACTCTGTGGTCCCACAACGCATAACTTAAAACCAATGAAGTGCTGGCCAAAAATGCTCCTTTTCGAAGCCCGTTTTTTGTACCCAGTACTCGGGACGTGTATCTACCCGTCAAACGTGAAAGTACACTCATTTAACCGCTCAAAGTAGCCCTAAGTCCTTACAGACTCTCATTGATAAAATGTCCTTTAAGTTCTTATTTTCAAACCTTTTTCATAGTCTAATATTTGATGAAGTTAGTACGAAGTGATATAAAACTTCATCATTTTTTTTTCAGTTCAAGAACAAGAAAGCTTCAACTCTCGAGAAAACTACAACTCTAAAGAGTCTAAGAAGCCCGAGGCAGACCGCTTAATTTAGCTTTAAAAGTGGACTATAAAAGCCATTAATTCAAGGATTCTGAACTTGTATTTGAATCAACTCATCAAGCAAAATGCCACCCAAAAAAAACAAGCAGCAACAGCCTGCTAAGAAGAAAGATAATGTGGACAAAACTTTTGGTATGAAGAACAAGAATAGATCCACCAAGGTGCAGAAATACATTCAGCAGGTGCAAACACAGTCGGATCCTAAAAAGGAGGAGATGAAGCGCAAAAAAGCGGAGGAAAAAGCTCGCAAGGAACGTGAAGAGGCCGAGAGAAGAGCATTGTTCAACCCAGCGATGGACCAAACTCTGAGAGCTGGTGTGGACCCTAAAACAGTGCTGTGCGCCATGTTCAAGATCGGAAACTGTAACAAAGGTGCCAGATGTAAGTTCTCGCACGACTTGAACGTGGGACGGCGTGTGGAGAAAAAAGACTTGTATCAGGACGTCAGACAGGAAAAAGAGGAAGATACGATGGATTCGTGGGACGAAGAAAAACTGAGATCTGTGATTCTTTCGAAGCACGGGAACCCCAAGACTACCACCGAAAAGGTGTGCAAGTTTTTCATCGAAGCCGTGGAGAACGGGAAGTACGGTTGGTTCTGGGTGTGTCCTAACGGCGGTGACAAGTGTATGTACAGACACTCGCTGCCTGAAGGGTTTGTGCTCAAAACCAAGGAACAGAAACGTCTGGAAAAGGAAGCACTCGATAGTCAACCGAAGATCACGCTGGAGGAATTCATCGAGACCGAAAGAGGCCGTCTGGATAAGTCCAAGTTGACTCCTATCACAGTTGCCAACTTTGCACAATGGAAACAGAACCATGTTGCCCAGAAGATGAACGCCGAGCGTCTCGAAGACAGCAAGCGCAAACCTTCCGGACGGGAAGTCATGTTGAAGAAGTTTTTGGAGGATAAGAAATTCGCAGAAGCAGACGACTTGGATGCCACAAAGGGCTCAGCCTGGGATTTGTCCGAGTTTACTCAGGCTTTGAAAGAGGCGGAGAACAAGTCTGACGACGGTATTAAGGACTACGGAGATGGTAGCAATCCCACATTTGACATCCCAGTGAAAGCTCCTGCCACTGCATCTGCATGAAGACCCCAGTCTTCCTCTTACACAAACACAAACACACACACTTTACTGTTACAGAAAATCCATTTTGCGAAAGATGGTTCATCGCGAACTCTCGCGTTTCGATATTGAAACCTGACTCTTCGTAAGTAATTAATTACCGTTTCTACCGATTGAAATGTATTATCATTATCGTCATTATCTTTTATAAAAGTGCGTCGTACTCTGCGCCCCGCCTTCCTTTTTCTCTTTTCTGATGATCTCTATGCTATCTTCCAAACACAGCTCAGGCTGGGTGAAAAGTTGGAATCTAATGTTGACTCCACAATTATTCAACTCTAAAATCGTGTCCATCACCCTCTGGCGCCAAGAGTCTGCTTTAGAGTCGAAGAAAGTGGAATATGTGCCATAATCGTTTTGAGAGGACGGCGTACAGTAAATAGCGTCATCAGTGTAGCTGCGGTCAAAGCTCAAAACGTCACTCCCATCTATAGGGAAAGTGGCATGCTTTCTAGGCGGCAAAGTAGGCGCAAACTTTTTCGATTTGTTGATCTCCTTCTGCTGATCACTAGTTAAAGATGGTTTTTGATGCGGTTTGCTAGGCTTGGGTTTTGATTCGTAATTGAATAGGTTAGAAGCATCTGAAGTAGGCTGAGGAATCTTGCGACTCGATGCAATGGCATTGTCGCCATCGAAACAGGAGCCCTGTCTTCTATAGTATTTTTTCTCGATCATATAATTCAGTTCGTTGACCACCTTAGGTGCATTGACCGCCGAATCACTCATGGAGTCCTTGCAACATCTGATATAAATAGCTGCAATCTGTGTCGGAAACTGCTTTACAGCCTCTGTGTATGCCTCTAAGTCTCGCTCACCAGAATCCCCAACCAAGATGAATCGTTTATGCGGGAAGTCTCTCAATATGCTAAATATCGACCCCAGTTTGCGTTTTGCGCTAGACGACATCAAACTGGATACTAAATTGCCAGAATATTGCTTGAGGAAAAGAGGTCCGTGAGGGAAATGCTGAGAAAGGTAGTCATCCAGCAGCGGGTATAGCTGGAAGGGAGAATTGGAAACGTAGAAGAAATTGACATTCTCAGAATCCTTAAGCGTGTTGTACCACAGGGACATTCCTGGGACAGCCCAGGTTTTGAAATCGTGCACGAACACATTGGTAAATAGAGACCTCTTGTCCCCTGTGACCCCCGTGTGCTTAATAGTGTCGTCTACGTCACTTATCAACGCGAATCCATGCTCATGAACTATATTGATGGGACAGCTTGCGGACATTCCATCCGGAACATCGATTTTCACGCTGATGTTCTGCGGTTGGAAAGAAGTGAGGATTTTGATGTCGTAATTGCCCCAATTGTCGGTTGCAACGTTGGTGTATTCGTGCTCGACGTGGCCGTCAGACACGTCGATTGCCATTGTGACGCCCATAATGTGTTTTTGAAGAAACCCTGCTATTCTGGACCGCAGAGTATCTTCCTGACTGGAATCCAGCGCCAACGAAGAATGTGTCGAGGCAGACTCGAAAGTCGACTGCGAGTCGTTCGAGGGCATCTCTAGTTGCTCTTCTATGTTGGCTTTGGTCTCTGGAGACGTAGGCCGGATCAACTGGCGACACAAAGAAAGAATCAGCCGCGATTTGCGGTTCATTGTTCCCGGTGTATAGACCAGACCCCTGATGTGCGTTTCGAAACGGCCCTGGTCCACCACGCGCGTATACGAAGGGTACACTATTGTTCGCATGTCCGAGGGCCACACGGGGAGGCCTGTGGGAGCGGCAGTGCCACCAGACCCATCGTAGTAGCTTCTAATCGTGCTGCTAGCCTCAGATTTCAGCTGCGAGAATGTAGTTGTGAACGTGGGCACGTACACGTCCCGCGTGGTCCTCATAATGTTCAGCAACCGTTGTCGTTTGTTCAAAGCCGAACCACCCGCCCTCAAATCATCGCTGCTGTTCATTTTCGCCTTCTTTTTCGCCAAAGCACGACGTCTGAACCGTTTAGACAGAGAGATTGATCTTGTCTGGTACAAAACGCTTCTTATATCCAACAAAACGGCAAAAAGACTTCAAATTTATCCTAACTTTCGCAAACGGTTTCCAGAATATACTCGAAACTCTTTAACTCTTGATTCACTGGCTCCTGGAGTAGAACTAGTGCCCGTAGTTGTTCAAAATACGTGTTGAACAGTATTGGTTTAGGATAGGGTTGGGTGATGAGATGAGCTGTGAACTTGTATCTTAAACGGACCCACACGTGACCAACTTTAAAAGGTGACAGATACGTCAAAGTTGCAGGCTAAGGATGGTTTAAAGATGAGGTTTTGGCGTGAGATTTGATTGTAAAATCTGATTTTGAAGCTTGAGTTTTGCTAGGTGGTTTTTTTGAAATTTCAATTCCAACGATTTTGACTTTTGGAAGTGGATTTTCAATAATGCAATGGGTAAGACTTTGGTTGGTAAGAGGTTCATCCAGTGGACGTCTGTGCGTCGTCTGATTTCAAATGCACCGGTCGAGGGAGAGAGAGCGAGTTGCCAAAGGAATGAACTTGTTAATTTTCACCGTTTTGTTTTATCTGGTGCCAGCAAAATAATAAAAACGGCTTTTGGCCAGTAATTTAGGATTCGGACGTAGTAGACGTTCTAGTTGCAATGGCACTATTCATGAAAAAATAGTGAGTATGTGGGTGGTGGAGTTTTTCCTGAGATCTCGCAGTTACGCCGCTAACATTAATTCTTGATAGTCTGAAATCTCTATTTCAGCAATGGTGTAATAAACTGGCTGTTTAACTCCAGAACCACACGTCGCGGTCTTTTACCAAATCTCGTAGACCATTTGAAATCGAATGATGATGCAACAATGATTTCAATGAGAAAGTCTTAGAATGCTTCTCAATCGCCCCAGCATATGTATTTCGAATTATGATAGCTCATTACCCAGCGACACTAAAATATTCAACAGTAAACTCTAGTTTCACCCAACCAATCGAGTGTCGTTCACGATCCTCCGATCACCCCCATACCCATCCGCCCAGCTACAATTACGATGCTTTTTAATGATATTTACTATAAATGATGAGCAGGAAGTCAACGTTGTGACTCAACCCCAGAAGAATTTTGTATGTATAGCTTGGACGGATGCTTGAAATCAGCATCTTCTCTGAGGTAGCCCATCAGTTGCCAAGATGCAGTTTATGATGTCTATTGTTATGTTCCCAGTAGCCAAACCTTTATCACTCAAAGCTTCATCTGCACTTTGAGAAAATATGTCACCAGAAATGGCAGCGTTACAACCATGATGGGATACTGAATCAACAGGAAGAATGAGACGCAGTCGAGCTGAACGGTTTCAACTGCATTGTCGGGTGTGTAGGCTGCAGTGAAATAGATCTGCGTGGTCATACTAGGAAGGGCCCAGTTGATTGCAATGGTAAACAAAAGCATGCGGTCGTCCCCCCAAGTGACCCAACCGGCCTTCACAAGCCGATCGCACCACAGAACACCAAAAATTGGCATTATGCATAGTTTCAAAAGCACCAGCGTTAGCGCACTTTTCCAGAAACCTGGGTAAAGCTTGCCGATCTTGAGTCGTCCCAGTGTACCACCAAGCAGCAAAAGTCCGAAAGGCACCGAGGCTGCACCAATGTATGCGGTGTAGTCCATCAAAAAGGAAAGCGCGGGCTGAGCATCGGGCGCTTGTTTAAGCTTTGGGGTGTTTGCAGTTGTAACAAAAAGGGCCTTTAGCCATGGAACGAATGCGATAATGAGTGCGAGGATAACAGCTATGGAGCACGGTCTCAAACAGTTTTTGAAGAAAAACACCACATAACGCGTAGGGGACAGCTTGTAGAGCCAAGGGGGCAGCGATTTACCCGATTCATTCACATCCTGAGTGTTAACATTCACATCTGAGGTAACCATGCGTGCAAGAGTCGAACTCCGAACCCTCTCAGCGGTGGAATACTGACCTGCGAGAGTCAGCTGCGAGCGATGTGTGTCGCTTCGTCTGCGACCATATTGGTCCACATTTGAATATTCACGCACCAAGTCCGAGATACCATTTGTTGGCGAGTCTTGTGGTTCTAGTGTGCGAATGGTACTAGCAGTCGATCTGCGCCGACGGTGTGAGATTGCTGCGCTACGGCCCGTTTGCAGGGGCTGAGGCTGGTTTGAGTCGACCGTTACAGCTTGGGATTCCTGAGGAGTTATCGATCCCAGACTCGACAAGTGTTCGGGACCTGCATTGGGCTGGTATGGACCCGAACCTCCGATGTGCGCGACAGGAGGCGCCTCGGGTGATGAACCGATAGTTTCTTTTTCACAGTTTCCCGTCGCTTCTTCAATAGTGCTGCGTTCTGCACTTTCCTCGTCGTGGTACTTGAAGTCTTGCTCTATCAGTCGAAACCCACCCAGGTTGAAAATCAAAAGCATGAACATGACAAGGAAAATGATGACATTGGCGACTCCCTTGTTACCTTCTTCCTGAGTGAAAATGAGACCCTGGTCCATGGTTTGCAGATATGCGATGGGAAGATCGCTGATGTTGGGGAACATCCCTCCAGCCAAGATACCACCTCTCCATTTTTTGGGCACTGGCATGAAAGAGCGCACCACAAACGCACAAAAGAGACCTGTACCGAACAGTAAAGCTGACGTTAGACAGATAATGCCCACTTGTTTGATGTCTTGATCTTCGATGTTAGCTACAATTTTGTTGAAAGACAAACATGGTAGCAAAAGCGTCAAAACAATGCTGGAAATACACTTAATTCCGTCTGCAGTTAAGATATTGGCCTTTGACAGAATAAATCCACTTCCAATGATCAAGTAGATTTTAATAATGGGCTTAACAGATGCCCATATTGCTTGTCCGAGCGTCAAAGACATAGCACTCAAAAGTACTCGATTTTGACCAGAAAAAAGCTGTCTCAAATGCGATTGGTCTTCTCGTTCAGCTTTTTGATGAATATGGAGTTGAAATAGACGCTGAACAGGTTTTCTGGGCCTTATAAGGCTCGTACACTTTAGATCGAGCCATGACCGAAGATTTTATGATGAGATTCAAAATGGTAATCGTTATCTTTATTGTGAAAGAATAATCTTATCAATAGGACTAGATAATTGACTAGAAAGGTGCACTGAGAATTGGGTAGATAATCGAGTAAAAAGGTGAGTAAATGGTCGGATAGAGGATTGGATAGAGAACCAACTAGAAGTTCATGAAGCCGTCACCTTTACATGTTTCCTTACATTGACATTAGTACAGACAGTGAAAAGACAAGATTGAGAAACGTATTCTTGAGCTCCAACAATTTCACTCCTCATTCTCAAAGTCTGACAACAGGTAAATAGAGTTGTTTTCGCCGTAGTTGATGCCGAAGTGAGCGTCAATCTTAAGCTTGCCGCGCAACCAGTCGGATAAAATAGTCATTCGGTTGTTTTGCCATCTCTTGATGCCGTATTTGAGAGAGTTTGGCTCAATGAAACAGCACAAGTCTAGAACCACTCCGTTGTCTTTCAAAAGCGCGGCCACCACGAGAGGGATCAAATTCGAATACTCGTACGCCCTATTGCCACGACACTCAATCAGACAGCTTAGCAAGCCACCTACCTTGGCTACTACGCAATTGTAGATAGAAGCGTGTGCGTTTTTCACGGTTCTCTCGAGATCCACCACAAAATGTGTCAGGCCCAGTATTTCGATGGTCTCGTTTATGCTGCCCAAAACATACAACAATGTTAGGCTTAAGACATTGTCCCGCGAGTCTGTGCATTTGATGCTCTTCATGAAGCCCAGGTCACCTGTTCTGAGGTACGATAGTCCGTTGTCCGCGTCGCCTTGAAGCTTAGACTTAAACTGACTGGAAATGAAAGGTAGCTTAGTCAATTGGCCTTTGTTGCCTTTCCCATTTGACGTCATTAAACGCTTTTCAGCGGGCAGAACTCGACTAATGTTGTAGTCATAGACATTGCCCTCCGAACAACACCATAATTCACCCACCTCATGTTCGAAGCATGGTTGAAGGGTTTCGGGATTCACGACCAAAAGGTCTGTACAAACCGGAACAACACCCGAGTCTTGTAAATGGAGACACTGGTCTAGTTCCTTGGCAGAGAGTGTACTGGGGTCCACTTCTCTGATCACACCTTCCCTCAAAGATACCAAGTCCAAATAAATGTCCACCGGTGGGATACCTAAGTATGATCGCAGAGATATCAAAGGATTAAACAGGTGTTGGTAAACGTGGTTCAATTGCGTAGGGCCCACCGTTATGGACGGGTATCTCTTTAGGGTGTTTTGGATAGCAACAATGTTTGGTCTGCCTCTCGAGGGTATCATGATGTTTTGGATCTTTTGCAAAAAGTCCGGCCGCAGTACAGACTTAGCTGATCTTAGATCCTTTTTCCCTGCGGTCGGAATTTTGCCTTTCTGAATTAAGGAATTTGCTTGATCCATCATCGCATAGAGCATTTCTGGACTCAGAATCAAGTCTTTGACATTCAAGTTTTGCAAAGCTACCAAAAAACTGGTTGAATCGCTCAAAACCTCTTGGAAATTAAAAAAGCATGTAGTAGCGCCCACATATATGCCCAGAAGGCAACTTTGAATGAAACCCAAACCATTAGTATGGTTATATATGGAGATGATTGGGTTATCACTGGTCAGTTGCAATGTCTCTTTGGAGATCTTACACATGTTAAGCAGTACCTTGTGTGTCATGACCACGTTTAGTTCCCGGTCAGTGTCTCGCTCCCGGTCCACCCATATCACACATGAACTGGACGAAACCGAGCTGGAGCCGTGTCTTTCTTTCAATAGAGACTTGAGCCCTGCCGAGGATATATCCCCTTTCTTTTTTATTTTTGAGAATACTGTTATTTTTGGGAGAAGATGTTTGTATCGCTTTAGCGTTCTGCTGATCTGAATCCCATCATCAAGTATAGCTTGCATCTTAGTGTCGACAAATATTCTTTTCACTTTGTAGTTAAGTACAGTGCTCAGTAAAAAGCTAACCTCTTCCTCAGGATGTGTGTCATCTAGACGAGCAATCGGTATGACTATCAAGTTAGCATAGAAGCAAGCGAGAACTATTGCGACATACTCCACAGAGTTGTCACATAGAACAATAACATGGTCGCCGCCTTTCAAGGGTGTTTTAGATTGCACGATTTTCTTGACAAACCAACCCACTATCGACAAAAATGTTTTCCAGGACACTTTGTTGTGCAAGCTGTTCGAACTAGCCGTCAAGCTCGAGGTACCAGCGTTTCCATCACTAAAAGCAAACTCGTCACCATTTTTTCTAGATCTCCATTCTAAAATCTCTAAAATATTCGGGAATGGAGCCAAATCTGTGTTCGTTCTGTAATCCAATGCTTTTTCGCGATAGTCTATGCCGGATGTCTGCCAAGTGAGCTGAGGTGGAGAGCCTGTTGCAATTGTTACCTCTTGTGCCATCGCTTCATGTCTCAAAGAGGACAAATGCTCTGAGAAGATACTCTCGTTAACAAAACTTGAGTGCGGAATGAAGTCCAAAATAACATTATCAAGCTGGAATTTCACAAACTTTGAACTTAATAGACCACCAAGAAACTTCTTCTCAACAGTGCTATTTGCAATCTCAAGCGAGCAATATCGACGTGGAAGAGACCGAGGTGATACTAACATGACACATAGAGGTTGTATTCTGTGAAAAATCCAGAGAATTTTGTAGATCTGTTCCACTGTGCTAGCCATCTTTTTCTCATGTTGTTCCCTTTGCTGTGGCGTAATTGGCAAGCTTGACGTGGTGATTAGAGCCGATTGGGAAGCCAAAGAGCTCTCGACAGCCATTATTAAAAAATGTTCGTCCTTGTTTTGAGGAAGTTCAAAAACTGAAACCTCAGATGCTTTATCCACCATTCTTACAACATTCTCAGTGATATGCTGCAAATAAAAAGTTTGAACAACTCTTTTTGAGGTGAGCGAATCCAGTTTGTTGGTTGTTCGGCTATTATGAGATACTTCGCTCCTCCGGGCTCTTGTGACATCTGAGGTATGGGACCAATTTGGTAACCTGACCATCTTGTTTTGGAGGAACATATCCTCTATCAGTGACAAAACATATATTTTTCCGTTATGGACGAAACCCATCAGTTTGGTTCGAATGTAGGTCTTTTCGGGGGCGCATATCCCCATTATCATATTCAGACGTTCTGACGAAACTGAAACGTCAAGTTGGGCGCCCAGTGCGGTCCATTGCAAAACTTCGGACATTCTTTTGAAATTTAGTCGGGCGTTGAAAACAAACTCATTGATCTTATCCATCTGATAAAACTCGTCGGTTATGCTTGGTGATGAAATCCAGAGCTCTCCTATTGTCAAATCAGGAACGAGGGTGCTGTCGTCGGGATTCACAATGCATACTGTAGCATCTGGAATGGGAAATCCGAAGCATGCTAGTCGAAGGAAGTCTTTAGTGGAGCTCGAGGAATTGATCATTGCCGTTATACTTGGACTTACAATGTTTTCCTTCAATTTCTCTTTGTCGATAAAAAGCTCGTCTTGCAATCGGAGTTTGGAGTCATGTACAGGAAAGTTCTCTAGGTTGCCAAGGTGGTCTTTTAAAGAGATAAAAACCCCGCCAAAATCGAGAAGCGTGAGCATAGGAGAATAGCATTGCGATGCGTCTAAGCAACCTAAATTCTTGAGCCATTTGTGTACAATCATATCCGTAACCTCTGTGTCGATATTTGTGCAGGAAGTGAGACACCATTTGACGCAGCCCATGTCGATTTTGTTTTTCTTGGACGTCACTAGAGATGGATTCTCCAGGTAATTTATGACCACTTGCTTAAGTTGCAGTTGGTCGTTTAGTAGAATACTGACTCGATGCTTGTTGATGATGTTTTCATACAGTCCCGCCTGCTGGAGTAAGCTATCATCCACAGTCATTAACAAATTACCTGTGTATATGTTGAACAGAACGCCAAAAATCAGTCCCGAAGACCTAGTAGGATCTAAACTACTGAGTATGGTATACCTAGATGGTGTTCTTTTATTTTTATAAGATCTCCGTACGTCTCCTGTAGTCCAATGCTTCTCTCTTCGCGAGTTTAAGATGTTCGCAAGCGTTTCCAGCTGTTTGGACAGCATTTTGTGTTTTATCACAACACCAGATAGACGCCCAAGGGGTGTTCTGGTGAATTCAATGTATGATACACTTGGTATTTCAAAAAGAGGTTTGTTTTTCTTTGCCTTTGAGTAGACGCCAAGATCTTCAGTTGAAATGAACGTCATTTGAGAAAGAGCGCCGTCTTTGGTAAGTTTTACCTTGGCGCTATCGCCATATTCCAAATTATCTATTTGCTTCAAGCAGTGTTCCGATATGAGGGTTAGTGTTGCACTCGTGAGTCCAACAATTTGGATGATCTCGCCCAGAGAGTATGTTTGTAAAGAGACCGGTACGGCCACCATCCCGGCTATAAAACACCCGAGAATAGAAACTGCAAACTCCACGAGATCGTCTTTATTGAACCAAAGTAATACCTTGGCCATTTTGTAAAGTCTGTGTTTCTCGATTTCGTGTGCCACGCGCTCTGCTCGAAGGTAAAGCTTGTCCCACGATATGCTCGATTCTTTATTCTTGTGATTTACGCATGTGAAAGCAGTTTCACGTTCGTAGAGCTGCGATCTAGACCGAAGAATGTATGGCAACGAGTCCGAGACGGGTGAATTTTCAGTTCGCGGCAGCAAAGGGATCATTGGGCGGTAGAGGGATGCCGACGAGCCTTCCTCGCCGCCAGCTCTAACCGACGTTAGCGAGCAAGCTCCACTATTCAATAGGCTAGAATTACGCGTTGTGACCCTGTACGTGGAGCTTGAAGTTTGTCTTGAATTGAGCGTTGGCGAAGTGTTTAGGACGTAGTTATCTTTTTTGGGTGTACCCTGAGACCGATGCGATCGTATCGTAGAGGAAAGGCTATGGTTTCGAGTATGGGGGAAGTTTTGGTGCGCTGCTGATCTGGGTGATTGCACTGGAGATGCAGAAATGCCATTCAACTCCATCAGTTCGTGCCGTTTTTTGTAGTATCCTTTTGCTGTCAAATCTCCATCTTCAAACTCCTGTATAAGTTTTTGAAGCTTGGACTTGGCTTCCATGGAAAGGCCCGCAGGCAAAGACAAATCCATGGGAGATGATCAAAGACTTGCGTGTCCGGTAGGGCTATTGTAAATGTACAACAGAAAGAATGTGTGTCTATACATACATGTATAATAATGGCATATTATTATTGATGATTTGGATCCAGTCACGTGAGGTCTACGTCAGGGTTTCGAGCATGAATTCTGGCACAACCGACAAGGCTTCTTCGGATCTGGCAACCCCCTTTGGAGGTGTTGGCACGCCGAAAAAATGGTAAAAGGCTGTTTGATTTCTTTTATACAGACTTTGTCCCCGTTATTCGAAAGAACCACCGTTTTTCGTTATTGCTAAGGAAATGTAATTGTTGAGTGCGTAAAAAGTAGTCAGCTCAACTGATTAAGGTCAAATACAAAATTCTAATGCGTTGAAAATTACACTGACGAGGTTAGTTATTTGGTAATACTTCAAAATTCACCTTTTGAAGTTGTTTTCGTATTAAACTCCCTCTAGAGCTTTAATACACTGTATCTGATAATTAAAATGTACAGCCAGAGTTTAAAAAACGCCTCTGAACTGTCTCACAGATAGTCAAATTTTTAGATTTCAATGAGACTGTATATTGTGGCTAAGTTGAATGGGCTGAGTCCATGCCAGTATATTTGATCACAAATGATGTGAGTACTGGATCTTGAATCTTTGCAGAAGAGAATTCTTTTAACGTAGAGCATTGACGTAGAGGCAATATATACACCAATCCTAATGAACTCACTAGCACCAGAAATTTATGGACGTTACCGAACACTGACACCGCAGAGTCCTGAATGGTCCCCATATTATCACTTTTTACTCTTCCGTCCTTTTTTCCTGGCGCGAAGAATTACTAAATCTTGGCAAGCGTGAAACATAAAAATAATTGAGACGCTTTGAGCACTGGGCAATCCATAACCTCTCGTTATTCAAATTCACTTTTTGCATGAGATTCGCGTTGGAAAATTCGCCTTTTTAATTTTCCCCTGCTCAGATCCACAAATTCGGATACTTAAGTATCCAAAACTAACCATGACTTTTTTTGTCGAGCCGCGCCCTAGTAAGAATCAAGAAACTTCCAAACGGAATCAGCACTGTCACAAGCGAAGGAGCCAACTTTCCCCCGGGCCTTTGATAATACTGATGTCGCGTCTAAATAATTGATATGCCCTTTGTTCACGTGACTCGGTATCGATTAATTATCTTTCCGATGGACGGTTGAGAGAGATGAGAGCATCATCGTACTGTTGATGCCAAACCTTCGAGCTCTTCAAATCAAGCTCTGATATTCACACGCTTGGATTGAGCATTGCCTTAATAATTAGACTCTCAAAGGCTCGGCTTTTAAAACTCTCAAAAAAACCTGTAAACGTATCGCGCCAGACACAGCATTGACTCTTCAAAATGGGAAACTCTATATCGAAGGTTATGGTAAAGATGTTCGGGTACAGAGAAATGAAGATTCTGATGCTCGGACTCGACAATGCTGGTAAAACTACCATTCTTTACAAGCTGAAGCTCAACAAAATCAAAACTTCAGCACCTACAGTGGGGTTCAACGTGGAAACAGTGTCGTTCAGAAATGTCAAGTTCAATATGTGGGACGTCGGTGGCCAAGACCGGCTGCGGCCTCTGTGGAGACACTACTTCCCAGCTACGACAGCTCTGATCTTTGTGCTGGATTCCCAGGACACAGAAAGGCTAAACGAAGCCAAAGAAGAATTGTATAGCATCATCAGCGACAAGGAAATGGAGGACGTGGTGCTTCTAGTGCTGGCCAACAAGCAAGATTTGAAAGGTGCAATGAGTCCCCAGAAAATATCGGATTTTCTGGAGCTCAAGGACCATCTAAATAATCAATTGTGGTGTGTTATCGGGAGTAACGCGCTAACTGGTCAGGGTCTCGTGGAGGGTTTGTCGTGGATAACCAACAACACAAACGCGAAAGATAAGAAATAGTGCAACAGTCTGCGCTACGCCGTTGTCTTCTAATATTATAAAATGTAATAGTAATTTTGAATGGAAAAGCATCTGTAACCTCTAACTTGTTTCATGAGAGTGTAAGACTATGTAGCTCATTTTATGACAAGCGAGCTAAAACTTGCTGCAGGAATATTTAGGATGTAGAGAGATTAAAGCAAGCGAGGAAGATGCCTTAGAGGATCAGCTTTTCCTGGTATCAAGATAGCTGAGACAGAACTTAACCAGGCTCGAATTTTTTACTATTGTACAGAAGTAAGACATGTGTGTGTGAGTGTGCGCGCCTGTTATTCACATCTTATCATGCGTGAAAAGCGGCTAAACTTGAAGTTCGACAGAACCGTCTGGGTTTCCAAAGTATGCTTTCGAAGCGTTGTCGATGAAAAGGCCGGTCTCCACGACGCCCACCAACATTTTGATGTCCCTGTGCAGGATTTCAGGGCGTTCGATTTTACCAAAGTCGGCATCAATGATGAAGTTGCAGTTGTCGGTGACCACTGGACCAGCCTTTGCGGGAGCACCTTGCCTTAGAACGGCGTTTTTGCACTTTAGTTTGGTTTTCAGGTCTCTCAGCACGCGGATATATCCCGAGGGGACCACCTCGATTGGAACACCCTTCACCCAGTTAGTGCCCAGGTACTTTGGTGATCTTTTACGGTAATCTGCGACCACGATGAATTTCGCAGCCGAGGTGCTCACCAGTTTTTCCTGGAACAAACAGCCACCACCACCCTTGATCAGTTGCAGGTTCTCGTCCACCTCGTCTGCACCATCGAAGACGATATCCAAAGCTGGATATTGTTCTACGGACCCAAGTCTCAGTCCGTTAGTCAGAATCAGCTCTTTCGACTGGAAACCCGTGGGAATGCACACAAACTGCGATGCGTAGATAGAGTACTGGGGATCTAAGAGGTACTGGCCCAGTCGCTCGGCCACGTATATGACAGTGGAGCCACTCCCGACACCGATCACGCGGTGATTGGCATAGTCCAAGTTCTCATCCACTGCTCTGTAGGCTGCAAACCGTTTGGCCTGCTCCAACGTGCTGTGTAATGCTGGCAAATGCTTGACGTCTGGTAAGGGACTCATTTTCAAACCAAAGCCTCGAGTGCTGAATCGAACGAACTTGTTCAAGTTTCGCAACATAAACTTATATTTAAAAAGTGTTGATGAGTGTTGTGAATGAGCACCAATTACTTGTTTTTTGCATATGAGTGTGGGAAAAAATTTTGGCAATGTCAGCGTCACTGGCTTGAAAAACAGAACCGAGAACTATAAGAACTGGTGGATTAGAGCTAGTACGATAATTTATCTGGGATCTACACCTCTTGAATATTTCCAGGAAAAACGCTGGTGAAATTTTATATAGGTTTTGTTGTCTGTGGCTGGAGAAGTTGATATTGTCAGACAGTTTTTGACGACAATATGATATAGAGCGCACTTCTCTTTCGGACGCCAGGTCGCGGTTAGGGTGGTTGGAAGGTCGCGCTGCTGGGAGCCAACAGGGACTTTTGACCATTTTTTGAGGTCTTTTTCGTGTCGCTAAGTAGACAATCGGGTAGATGACGCTGAGAAAATTGAGATGAACACCGTCTCCATAGACACGCACATATCGAAAGTTGGTAAAATCGCAGGTTTGTTCGTAAAACGCTGCAGCGAGAGGGCTTCGAAAGTGTGTCCTGGGCGTTAAGAAATTATGATGCGGTGTTTGGCAAAAGCTGAGAGCTCAGAGCCGAAAGCTGCGGTGTGCATTGGACGTCAAGATATGATATTTTAAGTGGTGGAGCGTAGACCACTCGAAGCGATTGTTGGGGATATGCCGGTAAATTCCTTAAAACGAGTGTTTTCGGTGAGGAGTCACCACATAAGAAGAAACTATTTACGACTGTGGTACATATCAAGGTGCTACTAAGTTACTAGCATTCTGAGGGTCATTGGGTCCTACATTTATTTACTTCTTTTCATTCTTCTCGCTCTTCTCGCTCTTCTCGCTCTTCTCGCTCTTCTTGTTCTTCTTGTTCTTCTTGTAGCTTTGACGTATAGTCTTCACCTCTTTCCAATTGTACTGCTAAAACCCAGACATTTTCTAAATTTTTCGAAAACACAATTTTTTAAACTTTTCAATTTTGCGTGGGTCCCGTTTTTTGCGTGGGTGCGTTGTATTTTCAGGACCCCCCGCAACACGGGCCCAGCAACGCGGAGACTAGGCAGAGCCCTCTGCCTAGAGTCTACGGTCGCTCCTTCCAGCAATGCCAGCTCTCAGCCTAGCCCCCGCTAGCTGGGCTCGTCCTCGAGCGTAGCGCTCTGGCTCGCTCTGCCTGGCTCTGCCTAGCTCTCCCGAGCCCTCCTCAGAACGTGAATTTTTCACAACACTGGTGTCTTGTCGATATTGTCAAGTTGTTGGTCAAAACTAGTGTTAGAGCAAGCTTAATTGTAGGTGAACTTCCAACGTCAAGATCCAGATCCACCACATAATGTCTGCTCAAGCTAAGATTCTGTCTCAAGCTCCTACCGAATTGGAATTGCAAGTTGCCCAAGCTTTCGTGGACTTGGAAGCCGCTTCTCCAGATGCCAAGGCTGACTTGAGACCTTTGCAGTTCAAGTCTATCAGAGAGGTATGTTCTAGCACGCACGGGAGATGAAGCGCAAGGACGATAAGCACGAAACGTGGGAAATGTCGAAAGTACTACCAGGACGCAGCGGGTAGCGTATTTTTTTTTGAAGATTGTGGGTTGTGTCGTCCTGTTTCGTGCTTTTTCTTTGTCGCTACAACCGCCCTCGCGAGTTCCTCTTTTACTAACCCGATTAACAGATCGAAGTCGGTGGCGGTAAGAAGGCCATTGCCATCTTTGTCCCAGTTCCATCTTTGGCCGGCTACCACAAAGTCCAGACCAAATTGACCCGTGAGTTGGAGAAGAAGTTCCCAGACCGTCACGTCGTCTTTTTGGCCGAGAGAAGAATCTTGCCAAAGCCTTCCAGAAGATCCAGACAACAACAGAAGAGACCTAGATCCAGAACTTTGACTTCTGTCCACGACAAAATCTTGGAAGACTTGGTCTTCCCTACCGAGATTGTCGGCAAGAGAGTCAGATACATGGTTGGCGGCAACAAGGTCCAAAAGGTCTTGTTGGACTCCAAGGACGTCCAGCAAGTTGACTACAAGTTGGAGTCTTTCCAGGCTGTGTACAACAAGTTGACCGGTAAGCAGATCGTTTTCGAGATCCCAGGCGAATCCCACTAATCAACTTGTGAAACGAGACTGCTTGGCCCCGCTCATGCGGCCTCTCACATCCATCAACTCGTCATCAAATATCAACAAACTACAAACTCCCCTTTTTGACAAAACAAAACTCAAAATGTTTTAATAGGTGTATAATTTTAAAGCGTTTTTTCGACCTACCGGTGTTGAAGTTAGGACGAGGAGGAGGACTCTCGGGCCTGATCTACAAATTTCTCATATGTAGATTCGGGAGGAACTGGTTTTTTTGGCGGCTTCTCGCGGTATCCCTTCACGTCCTTGTACCTGACGATTTCGTAGTCGTCCGACGTGGTGCCAGCGCGCTGTATAAAGTCTTTTCGGACATCTTTGGGACTGCTGGTTTCTGGCGATGTGGTTTTCGGCACCAACTTGTCGAGTTTCGTGGAAGTCAATATGACAAAGCAGATTACGACGCCGGCAACACATACCGCGTATTTCAGCAGCGTCAAAAGGCTCACCAGAATTCCGCCTATAAGAGCTTTAAACACTGGTTCGAGGAAAGAGATCAGGATTGTCACGACGGATCCGAGGAGAAACGATAAGGCATCTATGCGTGGCAACCCGCGGTCCTCCCACATGTGCTTAGCGCGTGATAGACATGATGTCGCATACTCGGCCAACTGCTCCATCGACCACAGTGTAGACCCAAGTTTCGCGATGATCTCTGTATTTCATTTACCATTCATTAACTTGCCTTATTTTACCTGTAGATGTTAATTTTGGTAAATACGATGAGTAGATGTTCGATTAGATATCTAGTCGAGTGAGTAGAGAGATGGGTACATGGCACTTGTTGGTCAGCAGCGACACTAAAAACAAGAACGATGATCCCGAGGCTGGTACGATTCTTACCGAAAAGTTTAGCCTGACCAGTTGAAACTGACCAGCTCTTCCGGTACTGGCGATTTTTTTTAGACGCGATCACTTTGTTCAATTTGATTGTCCCAGCCGCGAAATCACTGCTCGAGCACGGTCAAAAACCACTGTTGACACGATAATATTTCAAAGTTTTCGGAGTTTTTTTTCTGTCTGCTTTACACTCTCGTAACATTGCTGGCCCCTACTTGCCTACTGTGAGCACTGTAATCGATAATCGCCGTTCCAGCACACTGCTTTGCCCTTCGACTCTCGTCCCGCTCTCATTTATGACATATTTTTCAGATTTCGACAAATTCCGATGATGACGTTATATAAGTCCAAAAAAAAACATGAATATACTGTCCAGTTATCATTCGCCCACCACTTTTGATAACGATAGGTAACAACAGTGACCCATGCAAAGGTCACAGAGAACACAATGAGCCAAAGCTGTGGGTTTGGCAATGGCTGAACCTCGCGATCTGTAAGTTTTAGCGCTGCTGTGGCGTTTATAGCGACCTTTCCCGTCGAAACAGCGCTTTTACAAGAATGTGAGGGCTAAGCTGGCGTAAAATTGAAAAGACACGTACATCTATTCGACTTATACTACGCGCACAATGGATTTGATACCCATCACCGTGCTGGATACACTTTCTAATACAACAAAACACAGACATCTGCTTGTTGATGGCCTATGACACCAGACTCCGGAATATTGGCAAGGCGCCAGAAAAGTGGTCACAATCTTTTTTAGCACGTTTTCGAGTCGTCGGAGGCTCTTGATTCAACTTTTTTGTCCATCATCGCTCGGTTTTTTGGTGCTTTTCGAGGGTCCCTCGAGGTCCATCCGCGACTCCCGCTGTTCCCCTTGAAAAACATCAACGTTCAGCTGTTTGTCTAGTCGTGTGTCTAGTCGCTTGTCTAGTGGTTTGTCTAGTCGTTTGTCTACTCCATTTTTTGGTCATTCCTCTATTCGAGGGTAGAAAATTCAGATTTGGAAAAGTCGCGTGATGTACTCGAGAATATCAATATTATGAAACGGCTCGATGTTTATCAAGTACCACGCGTTAAAACAATCCTCCCCTCGTTGTTTCCACCAAGTGCTTGCATTGATGGCATTCATAGGACGAAAACCCATACGACAGATCGTCGTCGCAGCGCTGCTGCTTGCGGCGGTGTGCTTTATCCACGCGAGACGCCAAGAACTGAGCAAGAACAGCAGAAGCAGCCTGCAACGGGACGTAGGTGCGCAACTGATGGCTGAGCTGACAGCCGGGGAGTCCAGCACTTATGGTAAAAATGATGGATCAGGTGCAGACGTCAAAACACTGACTCCCGAGCAGGCGTGCTCTGCTTATTTCGCAGCTCTTTATGCTGCCGATCCACGTTGGTGGAACGATTACCGAGAGAACGCGGCGTCGTCGTCGTCGAGCGACACGTTTCAAGACTACGAGACCGAAAGACTGAGTCTCATTATGGAGCGCATGCGCGTGTATGAGGCTTGTCAGGCGCTGAACGCTCTTCCCGTCCAGATCGCGGATTTGGACGCTCGCATGTTCCCGTTCATTCGGCCGGGCAGCACGCCCTCGTTTGTCTCTGGTGATCTTGGAAAAAAATACGATAATGGAGTTGTCCCAATTTTGAGCGGCGGTCCACAAGACACTTTCAAATTCCAGTTCGATCCAGCTCATTCTTTTCTGGACAACTGGAAGCGGTTGTCCCAAAGGTCCTCAGGGACCACCTCCCGGGGCATTGTTCTATCATTTCCCGACTCTCACGTTTCGATGGCAATCAGGCTTTTGAAGGTGCTGGAACACCAAAAAAATCAATTGCCCATCCAAGTGGTTCACAAAGGTGACCTGTCCTTTGAGTCTCAGCAACAAATATCTCAAGCTCTACCAAAGGGTCAGAATTTGTGGTTTGTGAACGTGAAAACAATGCTAGATGAGAGATTTGCTTCAGATTTTCATACCTACAGAAATAAGTGGCTTGCCGTTCTTTTCAATACTTTCCATGAGCTTGTGTTTATTGATGCGGACGCGGTATCAATTCTACCGATGAATTCTTACTTTGCGTTCGAAGAGTACAAGAAGACTGGAACCCTCTTCTTTCAAGACCGCGCTTTCGCTCACAAATTCGACTTCTCCTACTGCGTTCCTGAGTTGAAGGCATTGCAACCAACGCCTTTTGAAACTAAACACTTTGATCGAACGATGCCGATAGATGCGCAACTCATGCTTTCGATGGATTCGACCACGGAACAAAGTATCATTCAAAGTTTGTTTGTAGGTCAGCAGCGTCACCATATGGATAGTGGGCTTCTAGCGGTGGACAAATCAAAGCATATGTCGGCATTGTTGGCGGGCGTTTTTCTGAATTTGGCGCCAAAACTCTCGAGATGCGCCCATGGAGATAAAGAGTTTCTCTGGTTAGCGTTCCTTTTGACCAATCATGAGTACAAGTTTCATCCAACAGCGGCAAGCGCTATAGGTCGCGCCGATGAGTCCAATGAGATTTGCTCAGTCCAGCTCGGCCATACTTCCACAGACGGCAGTCTGCTATGGTTCAACAGTGGGTTCAGGTTTTGCAAATTTTCAGACGGTGCAGACTACGACTGGGACGCTTACAAGAAAGATGAATTGCGCAGCCGGTTTTCGTCGATTGACGCCGCACGAGAATTCTACAAGTCGATGGTAAACATTGAGTCTGCTGTTATACCTGACCCATCGATCAATCCATGGGGAGGAGGATTTGCCGACCTTTGCATAGGCTACACTTATTGTGCGAAAACCTCGGCGGGAGCAGGGGAAATCGTTCATTTTCCTGCTTACGCGCAAGAAAGAATCAACGCGATAGGCAAAGTCTGGATGGACGCTACAGAAGCGGGACTTCCTTTCTTTAGCCCTTAATTTCTAATTAACGAATAATGTACACTAACGTACCTCTATTTAATGTAATGCAAATGTGTCCTTCAAAAAGACAGCCTTAACGGTATTCAACCTCTTCTCGCCCGCATCCTGGCAAGCTTCCTGCCTGGGGGAAGGTTTAACATTGGAGTTTGACCTTGCGGCTGAGGCAGACCGCCCATGTTTGATCCTCCAAAAATTTGAGCCGGATTCTGGTTTGCTCCGCCAAAGGGCTGGGCTGCGTTGGGTGCGGGACCACCAAAGACTTGGGCCGGTGTTGTCCCTGCGGTTCCCCCGAAAATCGAGCTTGGATTCTGGGATCCAACACCTCCGAAATTAATGTTGATATTGTTTGAGGGACTAAATGGCCTACTTTGAGGGTTTGTTGTTGAGAAACTGGGAGCATTCGACAGTCCAAAAGGTGGTGGAGTTGAAGATGCAGTTGTATTTCCCGCACCAAAGTTAAATGCAACTGGTTGATTGTTGGTGCTGCCTCCAAAGGCAGGGGAGTTGTTACCTGTGGTCGACCCAGAACCAAAACTAAAGCCGTTATTTTGTGAAGACGGTACCAGTGATGAGGTGGATGGTTGCGGTTGCGGTGCGGCAACTCCGGAGTTCGGGTTCCCAAAACTGAAGGCAGGCTTCCCCGCCCCCATGCTCGAGCCGGTGGAGAATGAGGACTTCGGCTGATCACTGTTGTTAGTGCTTTGATTTAAAGTGCTTTGATTTAAAGCGCTTGTATCAAACTTAAAACCAGTAGCACTCGCTGATGAAGGCCTGGCATTGGCTTGTGGGCCACTTCCGAACGAAAATGTCGGCCTTGCTGGCTTATTTGCCTCCGCAGTTTGACCAAAACTGAAAGATTGAGATGCGACCGCTGGGTTTGAGCTTAAGTGCCCGGGAGCAAAATTCTTCTGATCAGATCCTGTCGCTTGATCTGAGGATCTCTTGGATGAGAAGGATGGAACCTGCTGCGCTCCGGGGGCATTTTCTGCCGGTGCCGCTTTGGTTTGTTTACTGAACTCAAACGGGGTGCCAGGTTTTGATGAGTCCGCCGTATTTTTGGAAGCGCCGAAGGTGAAAGGAGTAGATGATGCTGTCGTATTGGTTTCCGTACTATTCTTAGGGGCACCGAATGTGGATTTTTTGTCTTTGGAGGCACCCAACGTGTCCTTTGAAGCACCGAAACTGAAAGAGGGAACCTTTTTGACTTCATCCACCGCTGGGGGCTTGATGTTGTTGCCAGCAGCAATGTCTGGTTTCTCCTTCGAGGCACCGAAACTGAACGTGAGGTTGGCAGCGGGGCGAGACGCGGAGTCCGATTCAGGTGCGGTCGAGGTTTTGGTAGAACTTGCTGATCCGAAGTCGAACGCAGGTTTAGAACTTTTTGGAGCGCCAAAGTCGAATGCGGGTTTGGAAGCCAAGGTATCTTTTGCTGTGCCCGCAGCTGGCGTGCTTGCATTTGGCTGTGGTTCTTTCTCTGCAGGCTTAAAAGTGTAGGATTGTTTGGGAGGAAGAGAAGATTGACCTAGTGAAGTAGATAAACCGTTTGCATCATTCTGCTTAGACTCTAAATCATTCTGATTGGTAGCTGGTTTCCCAAAACTGAAGATGGGCTTGGACTGCTTGATTGAGTCGTTGTTGTCTTGAGCTGCCGATGGAGAACTTTCATCGTTGACGCCAGTTGATAAAAGCTTGGGTTCAACAGTGGTCTCTGTGGAATTCGCCTTGCCAAAAGAGAAAGAGCTCTTTGCGGGAGCAGAAGCAGCGTTTGTGGTGTCTGCTAAGGACGAATTCGACAAGGGTTGTATCGAGACTTTAGAGGCATCAGAGTTGGCGGTTTCTGTTGGCTTTTGGTCCATGTCGTCTTTTGGTTTCAGGAAGTCGAATCCTGAACTGGGCAGAGCCAAAAATGGTTTTGTCTTCTTGGGATCGGTTTCTTTTGCCGGAGGTATAATCTTTGTATCTGATGCTTTAGTAGATGTCAAATCTGCTAAGGATTTCCCATTCAGAAGACTCAGTTGCGTTTTTGAGAGACCGTTCGAGGTAATCCGTTTCCCGCCCATTGTACCCTTTTTGAGCACTCCTGGAGAGAGTCTTGGAGACTCTAGGCCTGATGTCGGATCCTCGTTACCGCTGCTGCTGCTGGTTTTCGATACTTTAGGCTTTTTAACAGTATTATACTCGGAAAGATCGTATTCAAAGTCGCCTGTCCATCGTTTCCCCAGGCAGGACCTGTTTTTGGAATGTGGATTTTTCGATAACAGTTTGGTACGCTCTGTTTTACTGAGAGGCTTTCTTTTCAGAGACCTTAACGGTACCAATTGGTTAGCAGCTAGCTGTGTGGGTTTAGTGGTGCCGACACTCCTGTTGAGCTGACACAGTTGTGAGTCTTGCAGATGCCGTAGATACTGTTTTTGGCGCAAGATTTTGAGTCTCTGTAGCGGAATGATGGGAAGCAATAGCGGTCTTTTTCCGTTTTCGGACTCGAAGAGAACCAAGTCAGGCACGGATGGCAGGTCTGTTGTATCTACATCCTCGAAATTGGCCGTTATTGAACTGGGTTTAACGGACTCGCCAGAGCTATAGTAATCCGCCGGAGTTTCTTTCTTGAAAAAACTCGCTATAGCGGACGAAATAGAACGCTTGTTTGACTGGTGAGAAGCTACGCTCGACATGGCAAAGGAACGAGTCTCTAAGCGTGCTAAATAAGACTCAATTTGGAGCTGATGAGCTGCCGTAAGATGGGTTGATGTTTGTTTGGTCATGATGCTTGAATTTAGACATTATGGAAATTTTCATGTCACTGTGTACGTGTGGGTTTCAATCTTAAAGTTAGGATAGTGTGTACGAGTACGAGTACGAGTAATATCACACGGGTTATGAACCATCGCTACAGAATATGACCCATACAAGACAGCACCACAGCCGAAATACGACTGGCTATAGTTGTTTCAATATCTCATATGTTTATCATGGATTTCGAGCCAAGTGGTATGAGTGAAATGTCGATATATTTATTTAGAGTGCGTGAAGATATTGTATTGTGAAGTCAATTGCTCGTTTGGCCATGGAAACAAAACGTCACCCGCTGTTTATATGTAGCAGAAATGATATTTGCTCTCCTTTACGCTAAATACATATAGTCCGAGTGCATCATCAGTGACGCTATGTTCAATAATGGACCAGTGAGCGACACAGGCGTACGAAGTGACTCGTTTGATGCCAAACCATACGTTCAAGACTTTAAACTATGAGGACTCGTCTGACGCTGTCCAAATTTGCGGATCTTCATATGATGATCTCATTCTCCTCTCTTCAATTGACATAAAATGAAAATGATGATAAGTTTTTTACATTCATAATGGTTTTCACCTGGCACCAGGCTGAGGTTTTTCCAAATACTTGAAAAGGCGCTCCTAGTGTCACAACGGATGAGAACAGGAGAGCAGACCTTTTCTGACGAGCAGAGTCGTAGCTCATTCAAGTCTGTTGAACTGAGAGGGACCATATCGCTTTCCACGAGTGTGTCACTTGAAATCAGTCATCTTTTGATACCGGAAGTCAGCTAGACTATACCGCAGTTGTGGGCTAGGATGCGTTACAAGAAGAATCGTGACGAACTCAACACCACAACAATTGATTACCAGCTTTGAAAGTCTACTTTTCCAACTCGAAAAAAAAGCTCAAGAATGGGGCAGGCTTAATACAAAATGGAAAGGTGCATGAAGCCAAGGTGTCAGTAACGTAAATACTTAGTTTACGAGTACCTTGCTCAATACGTTTTAATATCCATGTGGTTATGGAGCGATCCGAAAGACGTTTGTCGTTGTATCATGTATAGGTTATTCAATTTACTGACACCGAGAAAAGTGCAACGATGAGCCATGTGATCTAATCGACTTTACGAGGCTACTGGAGGATACCCGTACCCCGTCCTGCTACGTCGTCATTTTCTCTTTCTACTTGGCCTGTTTTCTGTACTGGTAACAACGCTATATACCACTGTGATTTGTATTTGAGTTGTCCACCGTCCTGATCTCCACACGTACGAGGCTCGTTTCAAGACCTTCACCCGGTGCTAAGTAGCTAAATTGTCTAGTCTGCATACGCAAGACTAAGTATCTCGATTGGTTTTTCGCACCGCTCCGATTGACGTCGACTTCTACATTAATTGTTTTTCAGTACAGACGTTTCCTATTACCATGCTCCCATCAAGAAAGATTCACAATATTAAGATTGCTGGGGTAGTTTTCCGGGCTTGCTACCCACACTTTCGTAGTCCGATAAACGTCGAACCTTGTAGTGTCGGCCTGTGTTAGTCGTATTCGGTTCATTCTGGCTCCAGTCTGTCATCTGGTCACGTGATATCTTAGAGACATATCTAGTTTGTCTATCATCCCATCCCAGAAATACATCGTCGAGCATGTATTTCTCATTCCACTAGCACCTCATACATAGTGCTACGCTCTCACGATCGTACGCACGCACCTCCAAGTTTGCCCGCGATTTTTGTTCTTTTTCTTGTAATTCACTTTTTCAAATTACAATTGGCAAACTGGCACACCCAAAGCTACAGCTACTAATCAATCCCAACGTCTATCAAACTCGCCTTTCAACTACCTAAACCAGCCGTCTCTCGTCAAATAAAAAAGCTAGCTCCGACGCGCTCAAAACATATATCACTTTCTCCTTTTACTGACACCTCTTTCCTAATGAAAAACTATATTTCGGACTGGACAGCTGTCTTCATCTTCTACAACTAAAAACATCCAACCGAATCTTACTCTGGTAGCCACGAAGGCATGCAATTGAACTTGAAAAGCGGCACTGCCCGTGCTCTTGCTGCCGCATGCATAATAGCGACCTCTTTGTGGCTTTTGGTGCAAGGCACCGGCTTTGGGACGGGATCTTCAACTTTAAAACAGCAAGCCTTCAAGGCTAAAGACAACTCGAACGGGTTCACGTATCGTAAGGTCAGCCATGGAAAGTATACTGGACCCAAGGAAAAGGCGACTTTTGTGACTTTGGCGCGTAACGAGGATCTTTACTCCCTTTTGGGCTCGATTGCCAGCGTGGAAGATCGTTTCAACAGCAAGTTCCAGTACGACTGGGTTTTCCTCAACGACGTAGAGTTCAGCGAGGAATTCAAGCGTGTCACGACGGCAATGGTCAGTGGTACCACCAAATACGGACTTGTCCCAGCAGAGCACTGGTCGTACCCTTCGTGGATCGATCAAGACAGGGCAGCCAAAGTACGGGAACAGATGCGTGAAGACCAGATCATCTACGGTGACTCGCTTCCTTACAGACACATGTGCCGTTTCGAGTCTGGGTTTTTCTACAGACACGAGCTTTTGGACGACTACGACTGGTACTGGCGTGTGGAACCGGACACCCGTATCTACTGTGACGTGGACTACGACATTTTCAAGTTCATGAAAGACAACGGTAAGAAATACGCGTTCACCATTTCTCTCAGGGAATATGAAGCTACCATCAAGACCCTGTGGGACACCACCAAGGAATTCATGGACAAGAACCCAAGTTTGTTGCACCCTAACAACATGTTGGACTTCATTTCCGACGACAACGGTGCGTCCTACAACTTGTGCCATTTCTGGTCCAATTTCGAAGTCGGATGGCTAGACTTGTGGCGTGGGCCAGCCTATTCTGCTTACTTTGATTATCTTGACAAGGCAGGTGGGTTTTTCTACGAACGTTGGGGTGACGCTCCAGTTCACACCATTGGTGCTGCTTTGTTCTTGGATCGCTCAGAAATTCACCATTTCGGCGACATTGGATACTACCACGTTCCATTCCACTCCTGCCCTATCGACGAAAGCGTCAGGCTAAACAATCGTTGTAACTGCAACCCGAACGACGATTTCACCTGGAAAGGATATTCTTGCACCTCCCAGTTCTACACTGTGGCCAACCTCGAGAAACCCAAGGGATGGCAGAAATTCGCCGATTAGATATGAGATTTTTTGCATTGATGTGCTAAGTAGAACTCACTAACTGGACTGGATTCTAGGACAGTAATATTCTTTATCACTCTTGTTACATATGGTATTGCTTGAACACATGGTGGGTGAGCTCGACACCCAAAAATGTGGCAGCGTTGGCTGGGAAGCTTCTCATCAAAGCTGGCCCGAGTCCCGGGAAAAAACCCTTGACGCCTGCGCGCTGATAAATTTCGCGAGTCGCTTCTGACATCGTACTTGCTGATGCACTTGACTGTAGCTTTGTTTTGATGGTGTCGATGGGGAAAACACCGATCCACATGCTCATTCCTGCAATTCCGCCGGCCAAACAAATGCTGGAGATGCTGAGAGTGCTGGCTGGCTCGTTTCCCGAGAGGAAGCGTTTGGATACCTCGTAGGATGCAAAATATAATGCACTTCCCGGTCCGTCGCGAGCCAGAGTCGCCAGAGACCCGCGAAATAGCGATTGCACGCCGCCTTCGCGTACCAGCCTGCCAGCAGCGCTCACAAACGACGCTCGCTCCGTGGTTTGCATCACGACTTTGACTCTTTCGGTTGGTGCAGTGATCAGCGTAGTTGGGATTGCCGAAATGAACCCTGCCAGCGCCAGCTGGCTGGTGCTGAGCGGCGTGGTTTTGGAGCTAGAGCCTGCTATATCGGTGTCTGGACTTGTGCCCCAGGATACGAGCCGTTTTCCCATGTCATAGCCCCAGAACGACACTGCGAATATCGGAGTTACTCCCAGCAGAGGGGGGATAACGCCTCGATAGAAGCTGCGCACCTGGTTCAAGGGCAATGGGCCCGGCTGTGCTCTGGCCTCCTGTAGCACTCGTCTGACTGCGTCCATGGACCCAGAAGCCTGGTTTGACTGGCACCGGACTTTCAGCAGGTCGAACGGGTGTCCTGTGAGGACAGCACAAACTCCACCAACGCCTCCCGCTGCCAGCGACTTCAAATTGTCTCTCAAAGAAACAGCATTTTGCGAGTCCCGGGTTTCTGCTAATCTAGCCTCCAGATCTGCCGCGTCTTGCTCAACGGTGGCTGACATCCTCCTAAATATGAGATACGTACAAGTTACACTGAATATATACACTATACACTAAATAAACACTATTATCTCGTAGCTATGAAATAAGTTGAGTGATTGTACTTGAAACTAGCGAGTGTCGAAACGTCCGAACTCGAGTTTAAGGCTCCCTTTTATACCTGTCGTCGACAACTGTCATTGTGGGGGGACCTGTCACAAGGTATAGTGACCTATTGAATTAAACCGGAAAAAGGGAAATGACCAATAGATGTGACAGCTTGAGGCTAATAATCAAGCAATTGAAAGTGAACAAACTAGATGGGGATTGTGGGTTTCAATGACACACATTGATGGTTGAATCTTGCCAATTGGGCTTGATTTTCTGTCAAGCCAAAGATTAAAAATTAAAAATTATGGTTGCTAAGAGATTCGAACTCTTGCATCTTACGATACCTGAGTGTTCCACCGTTAGACAGCGTTAAGAAGAGAACTTCTTGAATCAGGCGCCTTAGACCGCTCGGCCAAACAACCGTTTTGCGATAAACCTAGAGTTTTGGAGAGCTAGAACGGACCTCCAGGAGCGTGTGATAGACAAAAATCAGGAATGGCTAGAGGATCCATAGGCTAATCGACTAACCAACTAATCAACTAACTCACAGTCCTGACGTCAACCATGTATAACCGATTCTTTCGCTTTGAATATACATTTATATTTATATATAATGATTAAAATACCATCTATTGTTCCTGATTTCCGTAGCTCACGCCGTACATGCCGCCAGTGTTAAAAACCTGGTCCCATATTGTCTCTGCACTGAACTGGCTCATCATGTCATACACGCGCTGGCCGTCCTTGGACGTTGAGTTTGCCAATTGCATCGTCTCTGAGATGGGTCCCTTTTCGAGTTCCTGCTCTACTTTGTCATAAGCCGCAGCATCGGCACTGGTAGCCGGCAGCGACACTAGTTCCGGCGTATCGTAAGACCCGGCCAGCCCGGTCAGATCGGTGTTCGGGTCTGAGAAGGGCGAAAGTTTGTCCAGCTCTGCGAAAAACTGATCCAAAGCTCCGTAAGCGACTCCAGACGCGGCTGCATCCTTCCTAGTGTTGTTGTTGACACTACTCAAGCGAGGCTCTTCTCCCAAAGCCACTAGGCTGCCTTCGCTCCCGGTTTGGTCCGAAGCGTGAAGCGAATTGCTTCGCGGCGTACTTCTCGAGCCCGGTTGTGAGCCGGACTGAAACACGGGCTGTGACGCAGACCCAGGGTTGTCTGTGTTTTCAGCTTTCAATTTCAAAATGGCCGCAGACAACACCTTGAAAATGATCGAGCCTTTCTTGGCCGCCTCACATTTACCAACCAGCCGCTCTAAAACGTGTACTAACTGCACGCAGGTCTTTTCCGCGTCTGCTATCGTATCTCCAAGATCGACGCCAGCGTTGTGAAGCACATACAGAAACGTCACACCCGACATGAACAGCGTGTGTACCGCTACCCATGTGTACATGATGCTGTCCTCATTGCACAACTTGTAATAAACATCAATGATGCCTTTCGTGCTGTGGTACACCATTTTGTAGCCGTGGTCATCTAGACTCATACACTTTGGACACAGTCCGTACAATAGAACCTTTGAGTGGAAGAGCTCTAGCTGGAACAACTCAATCCGGAAATCGCAGTTCATCTTACGAGCGGTTTTGGGCACTTGCTTCTGAAACCAGTCATCAAGCCGGCTATTCATGTGTTCTCTCCATTCAGGTAAGCCTCTAAATCCACTCGGAAGTTTTCGCTGAGTGTACAAACCTTGAACAATATCTGCTTGTAGTTTTCGTACTTTGAAAAATGCTATTGCCACGCATTTGTAAGAAGCCATGGCACTTTTAGCCTCAGAGTAGTCTTCAATGTCGTCTACCGCAGTCGTGATCAAAGCGTCGTCAAGCGAGCTCGGAAACACACTAGTAACGTTTTCATCTGGTATTCCAAATGGTCGACCGAAAAATGCACAGATTTGGCGGTCCAAACAATAAGTGCACCAAAATAATCTTCTTCTCATGTCCCTCGTGAAGGGATCGTAGTTTTGATTTAGTTTCTCGGCGTGTAAACCAAGATCTACAGCTAGTCTCAAAGCGGAACCCATCGTATACCATACACCAGGAACATTGGGCCGCATAGTTGAGTACTGGGCAACTAGCAGAGTACCCGCTAATGCTTCCATTTGATCGTCTGACCTAAACAAAGCGTCCACCAAAGCAGATGCTCGGTCCTTGTAAGCCGCAGACTTGCTTTCATCAGTCGTCAAGATCTTGGCAGAGTCGCCTACGGCCATAACGATGTTCAAGAAAAACAATGGAACGTGGAATTTGATTGGGATTTCCTTGTCGTGGCCTTCCACTTCCGAGAGTGATGGTTCGTACCATTCTTCGCCCATGAGGTCAGAATGTTCTTTTTCTGGAGGTAGCTTGAAGTGCTCATTGATCGTTGTGGTGTCAGAGCCCAGGGAAACTTTAGAGTCCCAGGGACCATAAATGGGTTCGAAAAATCGCTTCAAAAAATACTCACGATGTAGAATAGGTAGCTGCGCATTACAGCAGTTGAAATATTGCGATATTAGACCTTGTGCATCCTTTTTGGTGGGCAAATATGACAGCTTGAACACGCTATTGTCATTTTTCTTCACAGGCACGTCCTCTGCTTCCTTGGATGCTTCTTCGACCGCATCAGGCAAAAAGTTTATGGCCGTAAATATAAGCTTGGCGAACGGGATCCCTGAAGAGTCGCCTAGATACGAATTGGATGCTGCCCCCATCGCAGATTCGGTCGATTTTGAATGCGAGTGCTTCATTGATCCAAGACTCTGCAGGCTTTTGGCCGATTCACTAAGCTCGGAGATGAGATCGTTGTCTTTGTGTTCGCTTGATGATACCGAGTCTCGCGACGATCCGATTTCGGGTTTGGTGCTTTTCAGAACTCCCTTCTTCATCGATGTTCCATTATTGATGATATAACCAGCCATAACATTGTCGTGTCGTATCTTATGTTCGGTCCTGAGTCTCTCCTCATATACCCCAAGATCGCATGGCTGATCCTGATCTGTGGCAGGAATGTTTCCTTGAACTTGACTGGGGTCTACGCCGCAATCTCTCAGCTTTTGCATCATCGCCTCCACCCGGTCTTCCAAATAAACAACATAAGACCTGGGAACATCCCGCCCTGTTGCTGGATCTACAGACACACAAGGAGAATTGGAGGCAGCACATTTTGCGCAGGTGGGAAAATGTTGATCGCACTTGATTTTCTTAATCCTGCATCTTTTGCAAGCGGCGATGGACCGTGTAATACCCATCAAAGCAGAGGACGGCCGCTTTTTTTTGGGACCTTGATCGTGCTCGTGCTCCGCATCATTATCGTGCCTCTTCCGATTGGACTCGCCCATAACACAGACTTCCACACGCACTCAAGCGCCGCTCTATTCCCAGGTCCAAGTTTTCAAGTCCCACATCTGATCTCTCATCATAACAATTATAACGATGTACTCATAACACCACGAGTACAGGTGTTGTAACAGTTCGCACAGTTCTTTGAGCTGGGACTTCAATCCAGGGAAGAGGCTGTAGAGGTTGTGCAGAGCCTCGGATTTTGGAAATCTTTTGAGAAATGGTCTTGAATGTTGTGGGTCAATTGGGAAGCGGATTTCGAGGCCTTGACGTCTTGTGTACTTGGCCTTCCTCTTTGTAGCCGAATTGAGCCGTTCCCCGATTGTTTTAACCAGGGCTTCTCGTTCCTCCAATCGAGAATAACGCTGACTTTTATACATTTAGAAGTTAGCTCTCTAGTTTTATTTGTCATTCAGTCGCCTAGTGTCTTAGCTTTAGAGTTGGAATTCGGTTGTGGAATTTGTAGCTCCATTAGTCGTTTTACAACGTGTTGCATGTCAGTGACCATGAGACCAATGGGGTTTGGCCTTAAAATGTGGAAGAGTGCGTCAGAATTGGCTCTCTCCTCTCGAGTCGAAACATCCATCTGTTTGGCCTAACTCAAATCTTGGTGCCCTCTTGTCAAGACATTCTTGAACCGTTTTTTTAGTGGTCTCAGTCAAAACAACGTTCCAGACATTTTGAGGCGTCTATTGGACCAGGCATGCGCTTTTCGGCTATTCTTGATGTTTCTTAAATTTGACGAAAACAAGATGTTAATATATCTTCTTATAATACATTGAAACACCTAATGACAGAAAACCAACATCGAAAAAGACCCGAAATCTGATCTGAAGCCAAACCATTCAAGACTTCATCATCTCAACCTCTTGTGACTCGTTCGATGATTCTCAAACACGGTTTGGTAGGTCAGAATACCGGCATTGGTACGCTGTTTGTTACCAGTTTCGAGAATGAAATGGGAGAAAAAGACATATATGACAAAACATCACAAAAAACCTGCGTTTGGCTACCACCAGCCAGCATCAGAACATTATGCTGCTTTTCGGCTAAAATACGGGCAGAAATCAGTGTTATAAGCGCTGTTCACGCTCGATCAGCACAAGAATTGAAACTTCAGGAACTGTCCTAAAAAACTACCTGTTAACCCGTTTTTTGTTGCCACTTTCGCCTGAATCTCGAGACTGCATTCATTTATCCGATCTAACTTCGTTATCGACAAGTCACAGCTCTCGTTCAGGGCTAATTCGGCTGTCGTAGGTCTCTCTGCTACCCATCGGATTTAGCCGCCGAGACTTTCTTGGAAATGATAAATTTCAAGATTTTAACAATCACGTGATTCGAGATTTGTCTTGACAATCCCAAGATGTACACCTTTCTTCAAGAGCCAGGGCTTTCACGCACTGGGAAAAGAGGAATTAGAGCCTAAAGAGGACCCAATGAAATTCATCACCATTCCATATCAACCCGATACAGACCTTGTGAGTTTAGGTGAATGTGTGAGCCAGCCACGACCTCATTTGCCGACGTTTTCACGGACCGATGATGATGACCTGCTAAAACCTGAAGATATACCGCTGAACAGACGGAACTTCATATACACGCCGTGCTCTCCAAATCCGCTTTTTAGCACTCTCAAATACGCCACGAGCGAGTATCCCTTCGATGTTGCAGGCTTCAATTACATGGACAGAGCGGACGACATGGGCGTGCTGGGACACTCGAACAATGCGGTAAAAGTTCCGAAACCGCTGGGCTGGCGAACTGCCAGATGTGATGCATGCATAAAAGAAGGAACAGTGTACTGGGAAGTTGAGGTATTGTCAGACGGCGACCTGGATCTAAGCTCTGATGGCGCTCTCAAATCCATGAAGGACAAGGTAAGCAGCATGCCACACATACGCCTCGGCATTTCGCGACGCGAAGCGTCTCTAGAGTGTCCCGTTGGGTTCGATTTGTATGGATACGGTATTCGAAACTTCAGCTTGGAGTCAATCCACGACGGAAAAATGACTCAGGCACTGCCTGCGGGCCAAATAAGAGCAGGTGATCGATTGGGCTTCGTGTTACGTTTACCCTCGACCGAGATCCAAATTTCACAAGCCAAAAGCTTTTCCGCCGTCAAAATTGCAGCGCTTTCATCAAGTTCCGAGAACTCCACAGACGGACCTGTGAAAAAGAGAGCCAAGAAACTCAGTCGCGAATTCCAGAAGGAACTGTTGCGCGACCAAGATTTTTCGAATGTGATACGCGATCAAATTGCGATCCGATATAAAAATCAGCTTTTCTTCGAAGCCACGGATTACGTCAAGACAACGAAGCCCGAATACCACACGTCGGACAAGAGGGAACGTCAAGATTTCTATTCTTTAGAAAATTCCCACCTCAAAATTTATCTGAATGGCAAGGAACTTGGAGTAGCTTTCGAGCAATTAAAGCCATTTCTGCCACCCTTCAGTGAGCTCAAATACAATGAGAAGCTTTATTTCAATTACTGGAGAAACGAAGCGGGCGGCAGTGCAGAGACAGACGACCTCAAGACCGGACCTGAATCGCGTCGCCCGCGTAATATTCTAAGAAACAAATACGTGAACAATAGCAGGTTAGGATATTACCCGACAGTGAGCTGTTTCAACGGCGGCAGCGCGAAGCTGCTCACCGCAGCCAGTGATTTTAAGTACTGGAAGTCCGTTCGATCAACAGAGCCGGAAATCAAAACAATCAATGAAGTACACCAGGAGCAAATAGCCGATGACATTGTGTGGGATATCGTGGATGAAGTAGAGGCTGAGATGTTGAGCGATACCTAAACGACCTTCCATTATAATGACCGTTTTGCTGAGCAAAATAAAAAACCACTTCTACGTTTGACCGACGGAGGAAAATGCCACTATCAGTAGTGTCCAATTAAACCAAAAATTCCCCACGAAGTTACACCAAGATGCAACATAATGCTGTTGTCAATTTTGTGAGAATTGTTGACTGACCAAGAATCAAATATATGAGATAAAGTTACTGACGCAGCAATTTCAGCGAGCTAAAAAGCCTCCAATATCTGAACATTATTCATGACGGCCTGAGAACAACTCTGCCAAGACTCACCAACCTACGAAGGATAAGTTTTTCAAGCCGAGCTGCAACGCCATTGATGTAAGTTTGGAAGTCAACTTAAAAACTTTTCTGACAGCTTTGAAAAGCTGCGAAAAAAAATGACTCAGTGTGCAAAATCAAAGCGAGACTCTATGCACTCGTTGGTCAATGTAATCTCAAGCCACGGACGATGACACCATCAACAAGTAACCTGTTATACTAACCAAAACTACCCACCATCTTCGTTCAGAATTACGATGTCACCGAAGTGAAATTATTATTTTTGTATACTGAGAGGCAAGGGGTTTCTAAAGCGTTGAACAGCTGGCGACAAGAGGTGAAGAGTAAGAGTTGCTGGCCCACATTAGACCCATTCAAGTGGCCCGTCAGCATCAGTTTTATATGCACTAATTGACAAGGAAGCTCAGGAAGAAACAGACATTGAGTTTTGTCGCTTTTAAAGGCGAGCAATTGTTGAACAAGAGTTAATACCCGTCATGGCAGAGCCGCAGACGAGCAATGAGAATCACCAACTTTTCATACTGGTTTCAGACCCACAAAAACAGAGGGATGAGCAAGGTAAGTCGTCATTTTACGTGACTTACCAGATCTCCACAAAGACCAGTGACAAGTCATATTACGATGCATACCACAGACAAGAAAATCGATCTACAGACAAGAGTGATGGCTCTTCATTGGAGATTATCGTCGTTCACAGGCGGTACAGCGATTTCTTGCTGCTGCAAAGTATACTGAGCCAAGACAATCCAACATGTGTAATTCCTCCTCTGCCAGACAAAAAAGTGTTCCAATACATTGCTGGTGACCGATTCAGTCAGACTTTCACACAGAAGAGGTGCCATAGTCTACAGAACTTTTTGAGACGAATTTCGGAGCACCCCGTTTTGTCAAAGTCCCAAGTTCTGATGACCTTTCTTACGAGCGGGGATTGGGATGCATACCGTCGAAGTCTCTCGGGGTCCCTCAACGGCGGCAAAGAAGAGGTAAGCGACACTTTTATGAATGCGTTTAAATCTGTGCACAACCAAACAGAAGAGTTTGTGGAAATCAAGGAAAAGAGCGATAAACTTGACCACAATGTTTCGAAGATTGATAAGGTGTTCCACCGGGTAGTTAAGCGCCAGGATTCTATTTCAGAAGACTACCTCAAGTTCAGCGCCCATCTTCAGGACTTGCAAGAGCTTGTATCCAATAACTCTGCCGAAGACGAGGCGTTAAGGTCCAAAGTCAAGCTTTTTAATGAAGGCGTCTCTCAACTGTCATACGGACTCAAAGATTTGAGCAAGTTTTTGGAATACGAGTATATCGTTGATTTGAAGGATTTGGAGCATTACATCGACAGTGTCAATCAAACTGTCAAAATAAAAGATCAAAAACAAATCGACTATGAAGAACTTAGCAATTATCTCACGAGGTCTATTAACGAAAAGAACAATCTTATTTCTGGTTACGGGGGTGGGAATTTTTTCACTAGCAAGCTAGAAGAACTGGCTGGTATCAATCAGGAAGCAGCCAGACGCGAGAAAATATCTAAACTCGAAGCTAAGGTCACGTCCTTAACCGGTGAAGTCGACAATGCCAAAGAGGTGGCAGATGCATTTGAACGAGCAGTTCTTAAGGAGGTGTCAATATTTGAAGAAATTAAAACGAAGGAGTTGAAGAGTTCGCTGGCTTCGCTGGCCGACAACCAAATTGAGTTCTACAAGAAAATGGTTGACACATGGACAAGAGTGGAAGAAGGTCTATGAGAAGGGTTGCGACTTTCCATGCTTAAAATATCAGTTGTTATGCGTCAATCAGTTTGTTTGTTTTTGTTTTTTTTTTAACAATTAGCTTACGGGTTGTGATTTCGGTTTCTTGGCAGCTTGAAGAGAGAACTGCTCGCACTTGTTTTGCAAGTCCTGGAAAAAAAGGTCTTGGTTCTTATCTATCAAATCCCAATCTAACTTTTCGCTCAGATCGAGCTTTTTGTCGTAGTATTCGAGGAGCGATTCACCAAAAAGACTTGTGAAGCCGTCTTTAGAGAGGTATATGCTCCAGTCCATGGGGGGGAACGTTTCCAGGTCAAGTTTCCGATTTGCCTTGGCTCGGGGTTTGGGAGATCTCTCGTTTTCTCGCACGTAGAAGTATCGTAGAAGCATGATGGCTTCTTTTCTCAGAAGTCCGGGTACAGATATATGGCTATTTTCGGGCGCAGTGGACGAATCTTGATGGATTCGGAGTATGGACCCGTTGCCGCCAAATCTTTCGTTCCCACACCCGAAAACGACTTTCTGAATCCCCAGTTGTTTGAGAGCTGACGCACACATGATGCAAGGCTCTACCGTGACGTACAGTGTTATGTTTCGAAATATCTCGGTGTTGAGAGGACCAAATTTGGCCTGGATTTGCGCTATGCCCATGAATTCTGCGTGTGCGATACCTGTGAGCGACCTGTTGGTGTCGTTCATGCCGTAAGCGACCACTTGGTCTGTAGGTGTGTGAACAAAGATGCAAGCCACGGGAGTTTCGTCATGATCCAGTGCATATTTGGCGAGTTTAGTGGCCATTCGCATGTAGCGAAGATGGTGTTCCAGATCCATGGGACGGGGTGAGAGGGGTGGAGGGGCACGGAAAATCTTCGAGACCGAGCTTTTTGTCTTCAAGATATCGTTTTTATCACATTGTTTAGTCAAGAGTGATCGAGGTGTTAAATTCGGCTATAAAATGAATCATAATGTCAAATATTAGCGACAAAACAATAAACAATGGAAGAATGAGAACAATGAGGGGGATTATGGTAGATCGCGAATACAAGGGCGTGGTTTTGGTATTAAACCCTTATCCAGAAATTCCAACGGCCTCACTCGAAGCATCAGGAAAAAACAGTATAATAGTTTAGTTTTCGGTGGTGTGGGGAAAACAGTGTTGAGGGACAGTTAGTGCTATGATCAGTACAATCAAATACCTAGAGATGACGCTTTGTCGTTAGAAATCTAAGCTCTCTTCCTTACACACTTTTCCGTCGTGTCTTCTGTGTGCCCACGAGCGGACGACACACACGTACAAAGTGAGCAAATATCTTCACACGTCACCACGACGCCAAAGACAGTACCGTTGGCTGTTTCTCCCACTTTGCCCAAGACAAGTCCTCCCGCAGTCCTTTCTCGCGCCCCCTATCACGCATAATACCCCCGATTGTCAACCACATTGCACAACAAAATCAATAAAATTAATAAAATTAAAAATAGTTTATTCCCATTTAAAAGGCGTGTCGTCTTTAACTCCCTGGGTCGTTATACCATTGCATTATCACTACACTATTGCATTGTCTCCTCAATTCGCTGTCACTGCTCGCTGTCACTGCTCGCTGTCACTTCAACTCGCTGTCACTAACCACCTCGTACTTAGCGACATTCTAGAACCTTCAATTTTTTGACCAACGTGTCTTTTCCGATTTTGCCACCTATATAAACACGAAACCTTTTTGAGAAAATATACACTTCACATCAGTGATTTCAACGGTTTTCCTGACTACAAGAACTAGGACACTGACCGACTCACACGGGCTTGAGAAACTTACGTGACACTGTTAGCAGAAGAAGATACACAAACACTTTTACACGTAGTTCAGGGCGTTTTAAAACATGGTATTCAGCAGGTCCAGATCTGGAGGATGGATGGTGTCGTTCGCGGCTATCATCTACGCAATGTTCCTGGTAGCTCTCCCACTGGCTTCACAATCGAAGTCGTCTCACGGGTTTGCCAGAGCAGACGATGTGGAGAACTACGGCACAGTGATCGGTATCGATCTGGGGACCACGTATTCGTGTGTCGCGGTGATGAAAAACGGGAAAACAGAAATTTTGGCCAACGAGCAAGGTAACAGAATCACACCCTCATACGTGGCCTTCACAGACGAAGAAAGACTAATTGGTGACGCGGCCAAGAACCAGGTGGCGTCAAACCCTCACAACACCGTTTTCGACGTCAAGAGACTCATTGGGCTCAAGTACAGCGACGACTCCGTACAAAAGGACATCAAGCATCTGCCCTTCAACGTCATCAACAAGGACGGCAAGCCTGCCGTGCAGGTCACCGTCAAAGGCGCCGAGAAGGTGTTCACGCCGGAGGAGATTTCGGCCATGATTTTGGGCAAGATGAAGCAGATCGCCGAGGACTATCTCGGCAAAAAGGTGACCCACGCCGTCGTCACCGTCCCTGCCTATTTCAACGACGCCCAGAGACAGGCCACCAAGGACGCAGGTACGATCGCGGGACTCAACATTTTGAGAATCGTCAACGAGCCCACTGCCGCTGCCATTGCGTACGGTTTGGACAAATCTAAGGAAGAACACCACATCATCGTGTACGACCTGGGTGGTGGTACTTTTGACGTTTCTCTACTGTCCATCGAAGGCGGTGTTTTCGAAGTCCAGGCTACCGCTGGTGACACTCACTTGGGTGGTGAAGATTTCGACTACAGAATTGTGCGTCACTTCATCCAATTGTTCAAAAAGAACCACGGAATCGATGTCAGCAAGAACGCCAAGGCCTTGGCCAAGCTAAAGAGAGAAGCCGAGAAGGCCAAGCGTTCGCTATCCAACCAGATGTCCACTCGTGTTGAAATCGACTCCTTCGTTGACGGTATCGACTTCAGTGAGACCCTAACCAGAGCCAAGTTCGAAGAATTGAACTTGGCCATGTTCAAAAAGACTTTGAAGCCTGTGGAGAAGGTACTGGCTGACGCCGGTTTCAACAAGGAAGACATTGACGACATTGTGCTAGTCGGTGGCTCCACCAGAATTCCAAAAGTCCAAAGTTTGTTGGAATCCTACTTTGGTGGCAAGAAGGCCTCCAAAGGTATCAACCCTGACGAAGCTGTGGCTTACGGTGCTGCTGTGCAAGCTGGTGTCTTGTCCGGTGAGGAAAGTGTGGAAGATATTGTTCTTTTGGATGTCAACGCCCTTACTTTGGGTATTGAAACCACTGGTGGCGTCATGACTCCATTGATCAAGAGAAACACTGCCATTCCAACCAAGAAGTCTCAGATGTTCTCCACCGCCGTGGACAACCAACCAACAGTTATGATTCAAGTTTACGAAGGTGAAAGAGCCATGGCCAAGGACAACAACAGATTGGGTCAATTCGAGCTAACTGGCATTCCATCGGCCCCAAGAGGTGTTCCACAGATCGAAGTTACTTTTGCGCTAGACGCCAACGGTATCTTGAAGGTCTCTGCCACCGACAAGGGAACCGGTAAGTCCAACTCCATCACCATCACCAATGACAAGGGCAGACTATCTTCCGAGCAGATCGAGAAGATGGTGGAAGAAGCTGAGAAGTTTGCTTCTGAAGACGCCGAGGTTAGAGCCAAGATTGAGGCTCGTAACCAACTAGAAAACTACGCTCACTCTTTGAAGAACCAAGTCAACGGTGAGTTGGCCGACAAGTTCGAAGAAGAGGACAAGGAAACTCTATTGGACGCTGTCAACGATGCTTTGGAATGGATCGAAGACAACTCTGACACTGCCATGGCTGACGACTTCAAGGAGAAGTTCGAATCCTTGTCGCAAGTCGCCTACCCAATCACCTCTAAACTATATGGTGGCGCTGGTGCCGCCGGTGCTGGAGAGGAAGACGAGGACGAAGATGATGACTACTTCGACCATGACGAATTGTAAATAACGAATCGTGACCGGTCGAGTTCCGGCCCAGCATTATCATGATTTGCATTTTTGAATTTGCGGATCACACTCTCACATAACCGAAGTGTTCCGATAAAACTTATTCGGTATATCTGTATATGAATATACTCGCCGCCGATTACATCGGCTTCTCTGTTTTTAATTCGTTTAACTACTTGTATTTGCTGCAATCCAAGAGAACTTCCTGTGTCTTCAAGCTAACGTGAAGGCCAGGAAGTAATCTGAGTCGGACTCGTGGGTGGAGAATCGAAGTACATCTTCGTTCCTCAATTCTACGTATCGGGCTCTGGGGAGAGCCACGTCGTTCAGTAACGTCCCATTGGATGAGTTCAAATCGATGACATACGCTTTGAGCTCGTTGTCTCTATTTCTAAACTGTATCACGCAGTGTTGCTTCGAACACGTTTCTTCAGGAATTGGAATATCTGCTAACACGACTTCTCGATCTTCATCTTGCTCCGGGCTTTCATTCTCCGTGCTCAGTTTCCTGCCCACAAGATAATTGGTCTGGTCCAGCAGATCATACTTGGCAAGGTAATTTTCGTCTGAGTCGCTGTACACCACTGCTTGGAAATGTGTCTGCTTTCGCAGTGGAATGGAAAACTTCTGATAGAAGGAGCTAGGAGATATGGAATCATGCGGTTCCGTGTGCTCCAGCTGGATACCCTCTTTACTGTGCGTCTCGAGAGCCAACAGACCCGATGGTTCGAACACGGGCAGAATTAATTTCTTGTTAAATCTCATGGGATCTGCATGCGGAGGCCGGAATTTTTTGCGTTGACAAGTTACCGCTGAAGTCGAATGAAATGGCCGTTTGTTCAGATCTTTCTGCGAAGCCATGGGTGAAAAGCCATCGTTCAGTTAAAGGCTTTAAATGCCACGATACAGAGTTGAGAGTTGTTAACTGAGTTTATATGGTATTAGGTAATTAATTTATTATACCGATGACGAGTACAAAAGTACTCATATAGAGATCGCTTAAACTAAACGATCAAGACAGCTTTGCTGAAGCGTCCCGGACATCAAACAAAGCCATGTTAATGAAAAGCTGCGAGAAAAATATGTCAGTATCAAAATACGAAGCGAGTTTGGCCCAGTTTTGGAAAATATGGTCGTAATTGATATTTATCGAACTTTTGCGTCGGTAAAAAGGCTCAAAAACTAAGAGTACCAACTTTAACCAAAGCCTAACTATGAAGCCAATTTCAAAATGCTCTAAGAGCTCCAGAAATCGCTTTCGAGTACACCGGCGTCACAGCATTTGTTGATTTGCCGTATACAATCACCATATACGAATAATGTTGGAATTTTTTCAGCGCTAAAAATTAAAGATCGAAACTTTTCAAGCTCATCGCATCGCATCATCGCATCGATTGTCACATACATTCTTATTCTGACAGCTGGAAACGTTGTATCCTTTCTTAAGTGCATTCTACAACATACGGCAGACAATCCCACTTCTTCCCCAGCTTTTTTCTCTCAAATACGGTAGAATATGGCGAAGAAACATAGAGTCACCACGGCTACCAGAAAACAGCTCAGACAGAAGGAAGATGAGTATTTGAAACAGCTAGAGAACCAGATTGAAGAGTTTGATGCAGAAAATCTGAAAGCTAGCTTGTTCAAGGACCTTCCGCTGAGTCACAACACGCTCAAGGGTCTCAAAGACAGTGCTTTTTTGAAAATGACTGAGATCCAGCAGAAGTCGATTCCAGTGTCCCTCAAGGGTCACGATCTCTTGGCTGCGGCGAAAACCGGATCGGGTAAGACACTGGCGTTTTTGATTCCTGTGATAGAAAAATTGTATCGTGAGAAATGGACGGAGTTCGACGGTCTAGGAGCCCTCATCGTCTCTCCGACTCGTGAACTGGCCATGCAGATATATGAAGTGCTGGTCAAAATTGGTCGATACACCTCATTCTCAGCCGGTTTGGTGATAGGCGGCAAGGACGTGAAATTCGAACTGGAACGTATATCGAAAATCAATGTCCTTGTGGGAACTCCGGGAAGAATTTTACAACACATGGATCAAGCCATTGGGCTCAACACGTCGAATCTGCAGATTTTGGTTCTCGACGAAGCTGACAGATGTCTCGATATGGGTTTCAAAAAGACTCTTGACGCCATTGTTAACAATCTACCTCCCGTAAGGCAGACGTTGTTGTTCTCTGCCACCCAATCGCAGTCTCTAGCCGATCTGGCTCGACTATCGCTAACTGACTACAAAACCGTTGGCACCGCAGAACTTAAAGACTCGAGCAAGCTCCCTGCCACACCTGAAAGTCTACAGCAATCTTATATTGGCGTTGATCTTCCGGACAAATTGGACATTCTCTACAGTTTCATCAAGACCCATCTTAAGTGCAAAATGATCGTCTTCCTATCCAGCTCCAAACAGGTGCACTTCGTTTACGAGACCTTCAGAAAGCTTCAACCGGGTATATCGTTGATGCACTTGCATGGAAGACAAAAACAGACCGCGCGAACAGAAACTCTGGACAAATTCAACAGAGCTCAGCACACCTGTTTGTTTGCAACAGATGTTGTCGCAAGAGGTATCGATTTCCCCGCTGTGGACTGGGTTGTACAGGCAGACTGTCCCGAGAACGTGGACACGTATATTCACAGGGTTGGTAGATCCGCTCGTTATGGAAAACAAGGTAAGTCACTAATCATGCTGACACCACAGGAAGAGGAAGGATTTTTGAAAAGACTGAAACAAAGGCATATTGAGCCCAATAAGCTTACAATCAAACAATCACGCAAAAAGTCGATTAAACCTCAATTACAATCCCTATTATTCCAGGATCCAGAATTGAAATACCTGGGCCAAAAGGCCTTCATTTCTTACGTGAGATCCATTTACATTCAAAAGGACAAAGAGGTGTTTAAATTCGATGAACTGCCAAACGAGGAGTTTGCCACTTCGCTAGGTCTTCCCGGTGCACCTAAGATTAAAATGAAGGGTATGAAGTCTGTAGAAAGGGCCAAGGAATTGAAAAATACCTCTAGACAGCTTCTTTCGCTCTCCAAAGCCAACGACGACGGTGAAATTGTCGAAAACAGCAAGCAAGGTCGTACCAAGATCGATAAGATGTTCGACCGTAAAAACCAGACTGTGCTCAGTGAACACTACCTGAACATCACGAAGGCAAAGGCAGACGCAGAAGAGGAAGATGACTTCATAACGGTAAAACGTCACGACCACCAATTGCAGGAAGACGATTTGCCACAGTTGCATGCGCCATCGTCCAAACGGGCGCTGAGACGTGCCGTATCGAAAAAGGCGTCGCTGGCTGCAAAGGGCAATCCTTCGAAATTGGTTTTCGACAACGAGGGCCAGGCGCATCCTATCTACGAGCTAGAGGGCGAAGAGGACTTCCACGCTGGCGGGGCTGCGGAAGACCAGAAGGAGTCTTTCATTTCCAGAGAGGCTGACGTTATGAAGGAGAGAGACGTGGCAGACAAAAAGCTGGCCAAAGAGAAGCGCCAGGAGAAGAAACGGAAGCGTCTCGAGGCTCTCAGACGCGAGCAGGAGGCCGAAATTGACGACGATTTCAGCGCCGACGATGGCGCGTATCATGCGACTCTGGGTCCTGCCAACCTAAGCGACGATATGGAATCTGGATCTGAAGACGAGGACGACAGACGCCCTCGTGCGAAGAAGGCCAGATATTCCCAACGGGACGATTTTGGTGACGCTGACGCTGACGCCAGCGACAGCGACAGCGGGGGACAAAGTGACAAGAAATCGAAAGCGCGTCGTGTCATCGAGGTCCACCAGCCCGAGTCCCTGGAAGACCTGGAATCGCTCACGGCCCACCTATTACAAAACTGATGAGACTAAGGTCCTTCCAAATACAAACAAGTGCATGGTGCTCACAATGCTCTATTTTGACGCTTAATTGAAGTAACGTTATAATATAGTGTCACCCTAATAAAATTACCGATATTTTTTGAGATTTTCAGGAATGCCGAATATTGACCAAATTACATAGAAAAAAAAGCCGTTTCAAGCGAATCAAATACCAAGCACTCAAAACACAGGTTACTACATGGTGAAAGTGCTACTTCATCCCAATCGTTAGCAAAAGCTCAATTGGTGCTCTTCTTTCTCATATTTATATAATAACAGAGGAACTAGAGGGCCTTCGTACACAATGCTTAAAAAATTTAAGTTACCAAGCTGGAAACTAAAGTGTCGATGAGTAGTAAAACGGCTCACAGGATATAGCCCAGATTCGGTCAAGAATAGGCTCGTTGTATCACTAAAGTTGTAGCCAAGCTTCACCGAAATGTCAGGAACATTCCAGACACAACTACTGCTGTCTCGGCCTTATTTAACGCGGGCGCAGATAAAACGAGCACAGCACAATACCATACCAGATCGCCGGGTTTACAACCAGAAAAGACTCTCCGTATTCAAGCTCCTGTGCGATATTTGCATCCAATTCAAATTTCCTCGCAAAACGCTCGAAACGGCGATGTACTTTTACCAGCGCTACTATCTGTTCAACAGGTTTGAGTCTGAGCTCTGCTACGATGTAGCCACTAGCTGTCTGTTTTTGAGCTGCAAGCAGGTAGAAACCATGAAAAAAATTACAGACATAGCATCGATGTCCTTAAGACTGCGAAACGTCCTGAAATTGTCGCCGGAAATAGTGGATAATTGCAAAAAACGCATAGTGCAATTGGAACTTCGGATATTGGAAACTTGCTGCTTCGACTACAGGGTCAACAACTCGGTGCATATCGATGACATTCTCACCAAAATCGCCAAAGATCTGTCCCTGAGCCGCGAGGTAGCCCATCTGGCATGGATTATTGCATTTGACGCTTTGAAACTCGAAATTCTTCTCATGGTTCCTCAGCACACGACTGCATTGGCTGCACTCAAAATAGCCTGCGAACTCACAAAAGGAGCCTCGTGGCCCAGCATACGATACTCGCTTTTCGAGAGTGACGAACCCTCCGTAAGCGAAGCGTACTTCGACCTGTTGAATTTCTTCATCAATGCGTTTGATCTTTCAGACCTGAAGGCCAATTTACCTGAAAATCTGCGAGATACAGGCATTGAGACGTTTATCGAGCTGAAAAAACAGGCAGGCTTGGAAAAAGGTTTGAAAGAACCCGACAATATAATGTCAGATTTCTTACTCATGAGCGAAAGAGATTTTGGCATTCGGGAGAGACGGTACGTTCTGTCACGAAAAAGACTCAATGACGAGAGACCCATCAAGAATACGGCCAAACGAGAGAAATTTTAAGACCAGGCACAAGAACATTCTTTCCGTTCTAATTTAAGTAAGAGTTTTGAATTCAACATGCATCCCTTCGAGAAAGAATCATCTTTTTCTCAGCAAGGGAACGATATCTATTTTTCCTTAGCGGGTCGAATGACACGAGCTTCCTCAGATATTCGGGTTTCATAGCATCTATGTCTAGGCCCAGTTCCTCGACCTGTATTGTTTCCAAAAAGCACAATAACTTCAGGCACCACATGTTTTCTTTGCCAGAAAACTCCATTTCGTCCAAATTTATCATGACAATGCCATCCTTTAGCTCCTGCAGCATGATTTTGTACTCCTCTGTACTGAGAACTTTCAAGACGCAATCACTCTTGACAAACCATTTTATATAGTACCATACCGATTGATCCTCAGCATCTGTGAACATTGCGTTGGTGATATACCGTTGTTCCTTCTGAATGAAGTCTTTCACATTTGGAATTTCAGATAATGCAAACATTTTGGGCAGCAGAGTTGCTCTTAGATGCCAAGCTGAGAAATTGGAGATGTTCGCATTTATCATAGCGGTGGTATAGTCAAGTTCCTGCTGGTTTAAGCTCGTTCGAGTCATCTGTTCTAGCCTTTTGATCACGACCCTTCTATAATGCCAGCTGTGGAAGTTCCTGGCGTCCATGGTCAAGAGCTTGTTGACCAGTAGCAATTCTTGCTGCCATTTCTCGACGGGTGAGCCTGGATACGCATTCAAGCACCAAACTCTGTGATTCCAGATCCAGTAAACCTTCGGAAACAATTTCAGCTGCTGTGTAGTGAATCTAATCTCTTGGTCCCAAAATACGACATCGAGCTCATCTTTGAGATGAGTAATCGTATCTCTTCGAAAATTCCACACGGCGTTGAATTCAGGGTTCAGCTCTAACAGTCTGGTCGTGGCGTTCAGATTCTCTAGTGTGTAATTTTCTTCATTTTTAGCGTCTAACACTCGTTTCGTTAGCGTACGGTAAGTGACGATCTTTTCAGCATCCCGAGCCCTCTTCTTGGAAAGAAACTCTTGGGTCAACTCCCGTCTTTTTATACCATGCTGTAAGCTCAGTTTTGTTAGTATTTCGGACAATTGATTCGCAGTTTTTCAGCAAAATAAGACTAGCTTACCATTTAATAGTGTCTTTGAGTGTGTGATGACTCGAACAAGTTTCCAGCACCTTTGAGCGAGCTAGACGTTGACTTCTGAAGTGGAGTGTACTAATCTTGATCTCATCTTAGGTGAATCTGAGATTCAGCTAGCTTCAACAAATCACGTGATCTATCTTGTAAGAGGACATCTCACAAGGACGGTTCTCCGTCTGTCAACTCGGACACAAGGCTCTTAGTTGTATGTCGAACTGCTATGGATTTTGTATGAGATAAACTAACTGCTTCTCCAACATCATTTAGGCTGAACTCATCTTGAGATTTAATTGAGTTGGTGACATTGAAGTATAAAAGGATATGATGAATTCAACACCTATGAGTTGGGAAGAATTCTACTGAACCAAGCATGCGTTGCATGTGAAAAGTTCACTTCACTGGCCTACAGCCCTCTAATATTGTGGTAATAATTCGCTGCTGGATATTGTAGCCCATCGACTCCAGAAAATACGAGGTAATTGGTTTTCAGAAGAAGAACTAGAATTTTATTATGTTGAATAGCTTATGCACAGAGCTTATCATTACCGGAATTTTGACATCTGTAGCAACGAAGCAAATTATTAGGCTCAAAGATTTTCTTGACAAACCGTACTTCGATGGATCTCTCTGTACCGTTACTAGGAAGACTATAGCATATGTCTCAATCGCTCGAGATGACAAATAAAAGTTCATTGACCATGAAAATGCAACCGAAAGGAGAATGCCATTAGGATTTGCCAATCCTCTTTCGATAATTAAATCTCTGGAGGTTTAAAAAAGTTAAACGGCAAAATGTGCTACAAATTGTCCCGCTCCTCATTGAAATCATAAATCTCCAGTCTTGTTCCAATTTCTTACACCAATTCCCAACCAAGAGTGTCATTAGTTATCAACATTTTACGAATGCAAATCACCATGACGTGCCAAAATATGTCAATTCTCACGCTTGAAAAACTCACTCCTACCAAAGCTACTGAATAGAGCTCAACTATCCCATCGAGAAGTGCTTATAGGCTTTCGTAACGACGCCAAAACCCGTATTCCATCAAGCCAAACGACCTACCTGTCATCTGGTCACGTGTCGCCAATTGTTTGTATGGCAGATGATTTGAAGATCCAATCGCGATGTCTATGTAACTCTACAACTTAGCAGGTTTATATACACATCTTTGAGCTCCTTTAGCCAAGTTTCTCTCCTGGATTATGTCGTCTGGCCTCTCAATAAAAGGATCAACGAGAACAGTCACTGAATTCTTTGAATATAGCATCAATTCTATTCTCTTCCAGCGAGCAGTGTATCCGCCGGAAGATTTCAGTACAGTTAGGAAATATGACCTGAATCTGCTGAAAACGCACGACGACGAGCTTAAAAACTACATCCGTCAAATATTACAGCAGGTACATCGGTGGTTATTGGGTGGTAAGTGCAACAAGCTGGTATTGTGCATTGTAGATAAATCAAGCTGTGAAATAGTAGAACGGTGGGAGTTTGACGTTCAACACTACGCGCAGCTTCCCGACGGCGACCACGCAAGCAATTCTAAGCAGGAAGACACACAGCGACAAATTCGCGCTTTGATGCGGCAAATCACTGCAAGTGTCACTTTCTTGCCAGAGCTTGAAAGCGAGAGCGGCGACGAGGATAACTTTACATTTAATGTTCTGGCCTACACGGACGCCAGCGCCAAAGTTCCTTTAGAATGGGCAGATTCGAATCCCATGGAGGTGGCAAAGGGCAGCGAAAAAGTTGAATTCAAGAGTTTCTCTACTAATGATCACAAGATCCGAACACAGGTAAGCTACCGGGTTAATGCAAACTTGAGCTCGTGAACTCCATTCTATCACAGTTATACATGCTAAAGAGGAAAATACAGCGTTCCTGGAGGCTTTTTTACCCCCCTCTGTGGAAAAAGCCCGCATTTGACATTAAATTCTTGATATTGCCATTCAGCTTGCTCGGTGCGAGACGCGGCGTTGGCGATAACGACCTCCCACCTGAGCTAGATGAAGCACTTCCTTCAACTGTTGGCGTCAAGCTCAGCTCTTCTCGGACAAACTTTTGCCACGTAGGGTCATTTATACTGGTCAAATCATACTGGAACTGAAGCGCAATGGGCTTGCATCGAGCGAAAAAAGGCAACAGAGGGAAATCTGCCGCGTTCTTGTCATTGGTATCTTGAAATGCTCGATGAAGCGCTTTCCATCTAGCAAGCTCCCACGGAAGGCCTTTGAGAGCCAAAACGAAGCACCACGATAAAGTGTTTCTATTGTTATCCGTGATTGCAGCGTAATTTTCCTGGTATATGTCAGGAACGTCTAGCGGTACCGTCAGCAATTTCAAGAAACTTGTCAATTGTTCAAAACTCTGCTCAATGTGTTTTTTGATCCTTTTAGAGGACGCATCACTGCCGTTGATCATATCGGCCAAATCATCGGCCCATTGGATCAGCGCTTGTCTGAGACATTCTGTGTCCAGCTGCAATTGTTCACCAATATTCACAACTTGCGATACTTGTAGTGTACGGGGAACATTCAGGTTGGCAAACGGTGGCCTTGGTTTTAGAAGCTTGAAAATACAGCTTACAAAGCCGTCGCAGATCAGTTCGATTACCTTGCCCATAAAGTTCCAGCTGTATAGTTCCCGGTTAAAACGAGGTATAGTTTTACGCATTATCGATTTTTCATCTCTCAGAATCTCCCGAAGTGTTACAGTGTACCTACTGTAATCTTCTACTTGCACGCTCTTCCAGTCTGTGTTATCAAATTCTCGCCATGCAAATGACAGGTCGGGTGCTATTAGAGAGTTCAGTAAGAGGTCCATCGCACTCGATACGATCGCTCCGTACTGCATATGAACCTTGTCAAATGGTTGGTTCAATTTTTTGTCGTCGGATAGATACTCAATCAATTTGTCTTCTAATTGCCTTATTGTTGTCGAGCAATAATCAGCAGTATTAAGAACAAGGAGAGTGTAGGTCATGGCCTCTTCTTTATTTTCAATTCTAGCATTTGGCGGGACCAACAAGGGTCGTAAAATCTTCTCCAGATAGGTCTTGAGCCATGTGTTGAAAAAAGCTGCCAGCTCAAAAAGCATTTGGTCCCTTCCATCACCACTCTGGATCAGCTCGAGGGTCTGAGACAGAAGTGACCGATACGTTCTAAACAGGTCTGCACTGGACGGAAGAACCAATGAGTCCGATGACTGAGAACGCTTGTCTTCCGCCATGTAATTTAGAATCTTTGAATTCATTAGAGATTCTTGATGCTGGATCCACAGCACTAGGTAAGGTTCAAAAGACTTTGAAATTCGCTCCACGTTGTCTTCGGTGTTTAAGCGGTTGGCGAACTTCACGCCAATGTACTTTTCGAATTCCAGCGTTGTCTGCAACGCTCCCATAAATACGTCGATGGAAGGTTTCACTTCGAGCTCGCGCTTCAGCAAGATGTCCAGATCCTTTCCGGTGATCGCGTAAAATTTAGTCGTAATCTTTATCGGCATATCCCAATTTTTGGGAAATGTTTGAGCTAGCTCAGAATTGAAACTGTTCAGAACCTTCTTGAAGTACACGTAGCGTCTGGAAAGGTTTTCTAAGGAGCCAGCTTCGTCGTCAACTTGAAATATTTCTGTCAGTTCATATAGAAGCTTGTTAACAGCCCAGTCTATCAGTTTAGCTTTGGCACCCGTATTGGTTTCCAACAGGGCACACGCCCCGTCCCTAAGCATCGACTCGTCGAAGTCTTTCTTTGCGATGGAGCGAGAGGTCAGAAGATCATGGTAAACCTTCTTTACTTCGCCCAAGGTTTCTGTTTGCAGCCGAGATACTTTGGCCACGATGTAACCAATTTCTTCCACAGATTTGTAGTCCTGAAAGTACGTCACAAGGCCGCTCATGACATTGTAAGAAGGGCGCATGCCCTTGAAGTCTTTAGATTCGAGTAGATTTCGACATTGGAAGTAAAACACTGTGAGCTGCTCAAGATTCTGGAAGAATGTCATGGACCGTGAAAGATTGCGTTTGGCATTATCTAATTGAGAAATGTCTTTTGTGAGCTGCGAGATCGTTCTCTCGGTTGCTTGCGAAAGAGAGGTGATCTGCCCGACTTCTGCCAGCAGTGTTTGAAACTCGGATAGCAATTCCGATGACTTGAGTGTCTGATCGTTGGATTTATCCTCAGGAAGACCTGCAACTATCTCGTCCTCTAGTTGGAATTTCAGGGCTCTTGTAGCATGAATAAGTTCGTCTATATCGTTGAGTGAGCTGGATGATCCTAAAATACTCTTCAATGCCGGTTCTGCATCGTAGTTGGGCTGTTCAATGTCCATTGGGTCTTGGAAGCGGAGCCCAAGGTGTGCGGTTGCAGTTTGAACTTGGGGCTAGCTAGGTTGAAAAGGTTGGAAGTTTGACTATTATTCATTTGGTCAAAAATAATAAAAATATTGCTCCAGGGGAGGTTCGAACTCTCGACCTTCAGATTATGAGACTGACGCTCTTCCGACTGAGCTACTGAAGCAATGTTGTGATGGTTGAGTTAAAAGGAGTGGTAATAACGACATGCAAGACAAATGTCACTCGGTACAGTGTCAGCACGACTGTGCAGATGGATAGTGTTCGTGAGCCGGCCATCAAATAGCGTGTGTAGTCTTAGTATGGATATTGAAGATACACTCAGAGCGTTGAAAATAGAAGTTTGGTTGGTTCTCAGGGCTCAAAGATATATAAATTTTTCCTTTTTTTGTATCTTGGTCTGAGTGAAGACCTAGTTTAGCCATTCGAAAGAATAGATTAATACTACCAAAACTGGCTCGAGAATGCAAATTCATATTTTCTACGAGAGCTGCCTGAAGTAACTTTAAAACGACTCATGACACAATCCTTTGTAAGTACTAAAAGGTGCCTGGAATTTCAAACAAAAATGCAGGCATTTCAATTCCGTCTTCAAGTCACCGGATCACACACACACACACACACACACACACACACACACACACACACACACACACACTCTCTCTCTCTCTCTCTCTTGTCTCTCACATACTAACACTGGTCTAACTATCCCTTCTCAAAAAGTTATTTAAATTGATTTCAAAATCCTGTCATGTTTGTTTTAACGTACAGTAAATATCAAGATAAGAACACCAAAACCCAGCAAAAATCCAGTACAACCTAAAAACACATTGACCTGGATTCTAAAGCTATCTGACGACGTTGACACACTCAAATTAATGTCACTTTATATAGTTTCTCAACTTAAGATATCGATCATGTGACCTTCAAAATATCCAAATTCCAAATTCATAGCAGAAAATTTTGTCATATATAAAACTCAAGCGTGTAACGATGATTTCAGTGGCAAAACCCAGACTTAGCATCGATCAATTGTCGGTTGTTCACGTCATTTATTAGTTCGACTGCGATCTTTGAAGTTTCAGTCTAAGTCCAATTTCAAAACAATGTCTTTGAAGCTTCCTCAGAACCCAAATGCGGGTCTTTTCAAGCAAGGCTACAATTCTTATTTGAACGCTGATGGCCAGATCAACAAGTCTATCGCGGCCGTTAAAGAGATTCACCAGATGTGTCTCACGTCTATGGGACCCTGTGGTCGCAACAAGATCATTGTCAACCATTTGGGCAAAATTATAATCACGAATGACGCTGCCACTATGCTTAGAGAGCTAGACATCGTTCATCCAGCAGTGAAAGTCCTTGTGATGGCCACAGAACAACAAAAAATCGACATGGGTGACGGTACCAATCTAGTGCTAATTCTTGCCGGTGAACTGCTGAACGTGAGCGAAAAGTTGATCGGGCTGGGTCTCTCTCCGATTGAAATCATCCAAGGTTACAACTTGGCCAAAAACTTCACATTGAAAGAACTAGACGCCCTTTGCGTCGAGCAGGTAACCGACAAACATAGCAAAGAGGAGCTGGTCAAGATCATGAAACCCGTCATCTCGTCAAAACAATACGGTTCCGAAGACATCTTGAGTGAACTGATTGCAGAGGCTGTTTCGCATGTTCTGCCCTCCAAGTCACACAGCTTCAACGTCGACTCCGTCAGAGTCGTGAAGATCATGGGTGGCTCTCTTGCCAACTCAGAAGTCGTAAAAGGTATGGTCTTTAACCGGGAACCTGAGGGCCACGTCAAGTCGCTAGCCCCAGGTCAGAAGCACAAGGTGGCCGTTTTTACTTGCCCAATCGACACAACCAACACAGAAACCAAAGGCACTGTGCTCCTGCATAATGCCCAAGAAATGTTAGATTTCACCAAGGGTGAGGAAAAACAACTAAATGAGATGATCAAAGAACTTGTAGATGCAGGCGTCACCTGTGTTGTCGCTGGTAATGGTGTGGATGACCTAGCTCTGCATTATCTAAACAGATACAACATACTGGTCCTCAAAGTGCCCAGCAAGTTTGAGCTCAGAAGAATATGCCGTGTGTGTGGAGCCACGCCAATGGCCAGACTGGGGGCTCCTACACCTGAAGAAGCTGGTATTGTGGAGACCGTCAAGACTATAGAGATCGGTGGTGACAGAGTCACAGTTTTCAGACAGGAACAAGACGAAATTACTAGAACAGCCACCATCGTATTAAGAGGTGCTACTCAAAACAACCTCGATGACATTGAGAGAGCCATCGACGATGGTGTTTCCGCAGTTAAGGGTCTTATGAAACCAGACGGTGGCAAGCTTTTGCCGGGCGCAGCTGCCACTGAGATCGAATTGGTTTCAAGAATCACGCAATATGGTGAGCGCACCCCTGGTCTTTTACAACTAGCGATCAAGCAGTTTGCTGTGGCATTCGAAGTTGTTCCCAGAACTCTAGCTGAAACTGCAGGTTTAAATGTTAACGAAGTTCTTCCAAATCTATATGCTGCCCACACGAGCACAAACAAAGAATCCGAGGACGGTTCTTCCCAAAGTGACGGGATCTACTATGGTGTTGACATTGATGGAGAAAGCCCAGAAGGAATTAAAAACGTTAGAGAAGAAGGAACCTTCGATCTACTTGCAGTCAAGAAGTTTGCCATTAATGTCGCCACTGAAGCAGCCACGACCGTTCTTTCCATAGATCAAATTATCATGGCTAAGAGAGCTGGTGGACCACAAGTTCCCAAGGGCCCCAAACCTGGAAACTGGGATCAGGCTGATTGATTAAATTCGGTAAGTAAATAGTAAACGCATCTCTACAAGAAATCACTTTGTACTTTCATGTCGCTTCATCTCTCAAGAAAGCCAACTATAGAAAATTTTGAAAAATGTGGAGCCTGCGATGAGCTAGCTATTTCATCATATAATCATCCATCTTGCCCTCCGTTTACCGGCTACTCGAGTAAAGGTTAGCATCGAGCATTTACGACTTAATCTTACCGCTAAAATGGCTAAACAGAGAGGCAGAAACTTTTCCAAAACACCGAGAACTCAAGATATAGGGTTTTCATCAACCGCTGAGACGTCAGACTACAACAGCTCTCGTTCTGAACAAAATGAACATGTTGCTGGTCAGCCAAATACGTTTTTTGGTGTCTTAGATACTCAGGAGCTAGAATATTTTAAGCAGGCAGAATCAACTTTGACAGTGGATACTTTTGAGACTCCAGAGGAGAAGAATCAGTTTATAACAAGTGTTATCGAGGAAACAAAAGGTAAAGAACTAAAACTAGCCACATCCCAGATATGCTCCAAACTTATGGAAAGACTCATTCTTGCCGGAACAAATCAACAATTGAAATCAATTTTCCAGAGCTTTAACGGGTTTTTTTTCAACATGGCATGTCACAAATATTCATCGCACGCCCTTGAAACGCTTCTAGTAAGAAGTGCTGCATTAGTAGAGAAAGAGCTCTTGACTCCAAGTTTTGAGGATTCCATACCGATTGAAGGTGACGATGAGGTTTTCGCTCCTATGGAAACGTTATTTTTGCACATGCTAAATGAAATCACACCAAGCATCAGGTCCATGCTCAATCATCGCTATGCGTCCCACGTTCTGCGTCTTCTAATTCTAATCTTGTCCTCAAAGACATTGCCAAGCTCTACGATGAGCAATTCCGCTTTACGTTCTAAGAAGTCCAAAATTGCGCGTAAAATGATTGATATTAAAGACAACGAAGATTTCAACAAAACCTACAAGACTCCAGACTCCTTTAAAGTTCAGTTGCGAGAAATGCTTTCATCTCTGTACCGGATCTTGACTGGTGGGGTCGAGATAGGCTCTTCTCATTTCAAAGACATCAGCGCCACCGATATCGTCAAGGTTAGAGAGATGTGTATCGATCCTGTGGCATCCCCTGTCCTTCAACTCATCATTCAAGTTGAAGGTATTTTCGATAGAGATCGCTCGTTCTGGCATTTGATCTTCTCTTCAAGCGAGGAGAAAAATTCCAAAGAGGAAGCTCTTGTGGAATATCTCCTTTCTGATCCAGTCGGATCGCATTTCCTGGAAAATGTTATCTCTTTCACTCGTGCAAAATATACTGAGCGTCTCTACAAGATGTACATGAAGGACCGTATCTTGAAGCTCAGCAAGAGAGATTTAACCGGTGCCTTTGTCGTACAAGCTCTACTCAAACATTTACGTTCTCACGATGTTAAATCGATCCTTAACGACATTGTGCCTGAGCTGAGTGTCATCGTGAACTCTAATATGGATTTTTGTACCAGTGTCATAGAAGCCAGCATTCAGCAAGGTGATTACATGAAGGAAACGGTTGTGACGCAGTTGCTAAAGAAATACTACCCCGAGGAGTCAGAAGACAAAGATATTCTTGAAAGTTGTCTTTTGCTAAGCTCGTCGACGCTTGGTAATACAAGAGGCGACTGGCCAACCGCAGAAGAGAGGCGTAGGGCGCTTTTCCTGGAGAAATTGATAGATTACGACGATAGGTTCTTGGAGGTGACCATCGATAGTATGTTGGCGCTCCCAGAACAAAGGCTTCTCCAAATGTGTTATCATGGTGTATTTTCGCATGTTGTGGAGCATGTTTTGCAAGTGAAACGTGTTGACAAGATTTTAAGAAAACGTCTTCTAAACATATTTTGCACCGATATTGTCAATCTTTCTTGCAATGCGTACGGTTCGCATCTTGTCGACAAACTTTGGGATTTTACTGCTCAGTTGCCGATGTACAAGGAAAGAATTGCAACCAGTCTGACAGGAGAATCTGAAAAAGTCAAGAATAGTGTCTATGGACGTCAGGCATGGAAGAACTGGACATTGGATAAGTTCATCAGAAAGCGTTTCGATTGGAAGCGGTTAGTTAAAGACCAATTGCAGGAACTGTTTCCAGAATCTCAAAACTCGTTGCCACCTGCCCGTGCTTTAAAACGCAAACAAGAAGGCGGCTTTGAACGGAGTGACAAAAAATCGAGAAGGTAGCAATCCGATCAGTTAGCATTAATTGGAACTAAGAACAATTATCGATCAAAAAAATATACGTAAATAAAGGGCAGATCGGCTTCAAGTGGTCACTGCCCCACTCATTCGATCTTATTCTTACCAGATGTCGGCGCCTCTTCTGGATTTGACGCCCAGAAATCTTGCAACGTCGTTAAAGGTCTCGGTCAATTGGTCTGCGGAGAAATTCTCGAGCTCTTTTTTGATGTCTTCCTCGGGCAAGTCGTTGATATGGAAGTTGTCGAGCTTGCCCTCGAGATAATCCTCGAACTTTTCCTGTTCCTTCACGCTGGGCGCTAAAAGTTCGTAGAATTTTGCTAGTTTGAAGAGATCGACGTCAGAGACGTTTTCGAAGTCTTCCAACGAGCGTGGGAAGAAGCCTTCCGTGATAGTTGGGATCTCACCGTCGGAGTTGGGCAGTGGCGCAAGATAATCCTTTTTTTCAACCTTGGTCGAGTTTACCAGTCTTCTGATGGACCGTTCCTCGATGGACTCCAATTGACCTTGTAGCTCACCCACTAGCTGCACCAGGTCATCGTTAGTGGCGAAATCGGTCGCGTCGTTATGCCCAGCAGACGACCCTGATTTCCCGCTCTTGTTGAATCCTGAGTACTTGGAATCGAAGTCTTCAACGTCGCTTTTCTGCTTAGCCACTTGCATTTCCAACACAGACTGGCCTGTCTTGCTGATCAAGAGGTTCTGTTTCTTGACCAGTTGTTGCAGCTCTTCCACCTGGCTCTTCAATTTGCTGAGTTCTTCGGACATGTTTGACAAAAGGGTGTAAACTTTACACAGAGTATAACGTCACAAGTTCAGTTTTTTAAGAAGCTGATCGGATCCAAATGCAATTCGGTACGTTGATCTAAGAATCTTCTTGAATTCAGAGTGAGGTTGTGGATAGTTCGGAAACCCCTACTCTTGAATACGTGTTTTTATATGGATATTGTACAATGTGTCATTATAGACGAGGTGGAAAGCCCTGAAAAACCAAAATACATGAGTCTCGTGACCAAATGCCAGTGTCAGCGTCAGTAAAATATAAGGTTTTAAGCGCATTATAAGCGCAATTGGTAGAGTTTAAAACCTCAAGCTCTTCAAGTTTCCTGTGATGGAGTCCACTCCAGTATTTCCTTGGCGCTGTTTGTTTCTTCTTTGCGACAATTTCCCCTTGCTAACCTCGTCAGCAGCTTGTTTTAGACGGGCCGCCTCGTGGTTCTTTTTCACGAGTTTTCTGCCACCGGACTCCAGCTCGTAGTTTTCGAGGAAATCATCCAGCATGGACTCGAAATCGGCGCGCTCGTTTGCCATGTTGAAGGGCTGGTAGTCCTCCTCTTCTTGTTCCTGCTCCTCTTCGTAGTTTTCGTATCCCGCGATGATCTGGTCGTGGCGGTCGTCGAGCACCGTCAGCGCCTCGGACCGCGCGATCGCACTTGAACTCATCGAGAATCCAGAAACGTCCGACATCGTACCTTTCTTGCGGCGGCTCTTGCTCGTGCTCTTGGTGGTCTTCTTTTTGGTGCTGATCTGCGGTAGTTCGCCCACAAAATCGTCCTCCTCCTCTTCTCCGTTTTCTTCTGGCAAGGCCACGGAGCTGCCAGCATCTGAATCATTCCCAAACTCGTTGAGCGAGTCTTGATCATCTCCACCCACTTCATGGCTCTCTCCACGACCTTTGCGTGACTGCTGCTGCTTGAATCGTGTTACGTCTGCCTGGTAGTCGATATTTTGAAGATCCTCGAAGTTTTCAATGTTGTCAAACTGCTGTAGCTCGTCGCGATAATGCTCCTCTTCATAGTCTTGTAAATTGTCAACATCCCACTCGTCGAACTCTTGATCAAAATCTTCTGCGTCTTCAACCTCACCCCCGAGTAGAAGTTGTTCGAACAAGTCGTCATCGTCTGCGCCACCTTCAGTAGTCTCTTCAGCATCAGCTTTAGTCTTCTTGACGGCGATGTCTTTGTTCACCACGTAAGCGTCGTCCTCTAGCGCTTCCAGCACTTCTCTTAGCGCGGGGTTCAGGTCGGGTCTGAAGCCACGCAGCTCCTCATCCACATCTTGCTGATGCTTCAAATACTCCCGCTTGGCAGTACCACCACGCTCAAACATCGATTCGTTCTTTTTATCCTGGGGCTCCTGAACTTCCAATTCCGCGAAGAGGTCTTCAGCCTTCAGCTCGCGCGATTTTGGTTGCGTGGTCGACTTGGCGGGTATGAAAACCGCATTCTGTGGGTCCAACCCAACCGGTTTAAGATGCTGAGTGTAATCGTACTTGGAATCGTCAAAACCAATACCATAGAGCGCTGCTTCACCAATGTGTTCGTGCGCCGCACTTTTCTTCAAGTCTTTCTCTGACCTTCCTTGTCCCTGAGCAAACGGCGACCTAGCTTTCGAGGAGCTTTTCTTCTGTGATTTGCGATCTTCCAGCGGTACCAAGACGTGTTCAGATGCTTCTGCATCGTGGAATCGTGGGTCATCGTGCGGTCTGTGCACAACGGCGAATTTCTTGGCCGTTTTGCGGTCAAATCCGGGTTTTAAAGCCATTTTTCAATACTTCAATCGCACACAAATACGACGGTACACACCACCAATAATCTCAAGCTCTAGAAGATATGTAAACCGAGCTTTCTTTACGGTTTTTGTTCCAGCTCATCGCATCTCGAATTTCTATTTGGAAATATCTAAAATATTTTTCAGATTCTATATGGTTTAGTTAAGAGTAGCGAATAAAATGGTGAGAGTCGCCGGATCTTAAGGCCAAGACATGTATTCAGCAATTTATCGCTATCCCATCGATGGAGACGTTTCAGTGTCTTTTATGGGCTCTCCAAAGATGCTATAGCTTCTATAATTCTGACCTTCTGTTAGCTGCTTACCTAATCTCCCATAGTTAAAGCTCATCTCGAAAATTTTCAATTAATTCAATACTGGAGTAGCCCTGGCGAAGTGCAAGATCATAGAGAAAACAACGTAAATACTCGATTCAGTCGATTACCGGAGGCAGCTTGGCACTGAATTTAAAGGTTAGACTCTTCGGTCTCGTTTCTAACCTTGTTTGCGATGTTCATTTTGACTAAAATCTCTGATTTGGTGCGGGTTCCACCAGATCAATTCCACAGACACCCTAAGGCGTCCATCTTCCACCAACTCAACAATAAGTTCGCCAATAAGGTGATACCACACGTCGGACTTTGTATTACCATCTACGATTTGCTGGCAGTCGAGGAGGGACAATTAAAGCCCGGAGACGGTGCTGCCTACATCAACACAACGTTCAGAGCCTTAGTGTTCAAACCCTTCGTGGGCGAAATCATAACAGGCTGGATCTCCCAATGTACAGTAGAGGGAATCAAGGTCTCGCTTCTGGGGGTTTTTGACGACATCTTCATTCCTCACAAAATGATGTTCGAAGGGTGCTATTTTTCACCAGACGACAACGCCTGGGTATGGCCCATGGACGAGGAAACAAAACTGTATTTCGATGTGAACGAAAAGATTAGGTTCCGTGTAGAGCGGGAGATTTTCGTGGACGTAAAACCCAAGTCTCCTAAAGAAAGAGAGGCAGAGGAACAGAGCGAACAAAGTGAAGAGGGCGGAGACGAAAATAAAAAACCAAAGGTAGAAAAACCTCCTGCATACGCGCTTCTGGGCTCTTGTCAAACTGATGGGATGGGTCTCGTTGGCTGGTGGGAATGAACAACTAACAAAACTGAATCATAGAACACGCATTGAACTGTAATATATGTATAGAAGATAATAACAAGGTTTACAGCCGGGTTAAGCCAAGGGCGCGATTTGATCTCCCGTTTGGCTTGATGGATCGCAGTTTTGATGTCGATGTTGTTGTTCTTGTTGTCGCTTTTTGCACTTTACATATCAATTATATTGCATGTAGCGAGAGGTGGAACTGAACTTCTTGTAACCGTTAATGACTTTTTCAACTGCTTGTAAGAAGTCCTTTTCTGTGGCTACCTTTCTCCTTGCCCTGATCGCAAACATGCCCGCCTCTGTACATACAGACCTCAGCTCTGCACCCGTGGAATTTGGACAAAGCCTTGAAATCAACTCCCATCTAATACCACGCTCAACGCTCATGGATTTGGAATGAATTCTGAAAATATTGGCACGACCTTCAAGGTCTGGTAAAGAAAACTCCACTTTACGATCGATTCTACCGGGTCTGAGCAGAGCTGGATCTAGCGTGTTGGGTCTATTTGTGGCGAACATTACTTTGATGTTACCACGAGGGTCGAAACCGTCTAATTGTGTAATTAGCTCCAACATAGTTCTTTGCACTTCATTGTCACCACCGGCGCCATCGTCAAAACGCGCCCCACCTATAGCGTCGATTTCGTCGAAAAATATGATGCATGCCTTTCTGGTTCTGGCCATTTCGAAGAGCTCTCTCACCATACGTGCACCTTCACCAACATATTTTTGTACCAGTTCTGATCCTATGACTCTGATAAACGTAGCGTCTGTTCTGTTGGCAACGGCACGCGCGCAAAGCGTTTTACCTGTACCCGGGGGACCATAAAGTAGAATACCTTTAGGTGGATCGATACCCAATGTGGCGAATCTTTCGGGCGATAAAAGCGGTAGCTCTACAACTTCACGTAGTTTATCAATCTGTTCTTTGCAGCCTCCCACATCGCTGTAGGTAACGTCTGGTTTTTCCTCCACAGTCATCATGGTGACGGAGGGGTCGATACGAGGGGGCAGAGGTAGTTCGATGTGATATTTGGACCGGTCGACACCTACACGCATGCCTTCCTCGATATCGGTGGGCGAGACACGCTCGCCAAGCCCCACTACGAATTTGGCGATCTGCTTGAGGTTGATGATGTATTTCGAGTCTTCTTCGTCGTCCTCGCCTGCTGCGTTTTCCTCAGATGCCTCTGGTTTTATGATCTTTGTGCACCTTGCCACCTGCAAAGGATGCTCCTCGCTCAGCCTCTGTCTGTCACCCATGATATCCCACAAGTGTGATGGTGCAAGACCCGTGTCACTTTCCTTTACACCGGCCTTTTCTTTGATTCTGGCTTCAATGTCCTTGAGATCCTTTTCAGTAGCCTTTAGTTTGTCCGCATATGGAGCCGCACCCTGGAAAATGTTAGTAAAAAGAGTTTTCATCGAGAGAACGCGCATCGATTGAGTAAAAGGTCGGACCAACACGAACCAGATCTTCCGTTCTTATAACCAGGATAACTACTGCTTCTGACCACCGACAGCTGCCAAAAAAAAGCACACAACCGGTCAATTTTTCCTTCAGAAACAGGAAAATCATTATTATCCGTGACTACCTAAGTCCTACCGTGTCTCAACCCTGTTCTTCACACCTTCAAGCTCACATTGCTCAACATACATAAGTCTTCAAAACCTGGATATCTCCTTCCGTGAGAGGAACATTGGGTTTTTCTTCCTTCTGATCCTCCTCAACAGGCGCTTTGTACTTGTCCCAGTCCTCGTTTGGTGCCATTGTAGCTGGTCGATGCTGATGTGATGGGTGGCAAAGACGAGTTCCTTAATCTTAAGAGTAGTGTTTCTTATGTAAAAAAAGTGCGTACGAAGTGATATCTTGATGTGATTTATAAATCACGTGAAGAGAGCTGTCAATAAGAACTGGAATCAGATGTCTCAGACTGGTCGATTAGACGGGCACGATAGATTTGACGCTTTTCTCTCTCTATTAACTAGCTCTAGTTTCTATTATTATTTGTCTTCGAGGCCTTGAAGCGTGTTGTGCCACCAAAAAAGTGCGATTGAGGGTAGCATAAGATACAAAGGTGGAAAATTCAAGGGCAATGAAACTAGTGCTTGTCTGTTGTTGAAAACTCCGTTGATACTGAGATGTGTAATTGGTTTACAGGCTTTGTTGCTGCTTGTTTGAGGGCATTGACACACTTTTTAGCTTGCAAAGTGTGGTGAAAAATAAACGGAAAAATAGATCTTGGAAATAATAGACGTTTAGCACTTTCAGCGCGCCGATTGATATTTTCTTCATTGATTCGCAACACAGGAGATCTTTCCCATGGAATGAATTAGAGATGTCTGTCGTTGAGTTCTGGGTAGTAATATAAATACTGCTGACATCGAGACACGGGTCACGTGAATGTGTGAGATCTGGAAATCGCGGCAGACAAACAACGAGTGAAATGGGATGTTTCGAATGGAGTTGCATTGCAAATGGGTTTAATAGTTAAGCTCTCAACCCCATAATTTGCAACGTCGCCAGATCAGCATTTTTATGCCACATAACGAACAGTTTTATGAAATTCGAGCATGCCATCCAGAGATCTTTATGATATGAAAGCCCTACTGTATGATAATTTTGAAGCCAGTCGAATGCATACATAGACTTTTCTTTATGGTTGTGGGGCCGGATATCAACTCGCTGATATCGTCCCTTGGGTGACAGATTAGCTGGCCACATTATATTAATTAAAGCTAGGATGTCAGAATTGTACAAAATGATAACTACAGTGTTTCTGAGCCAGAGCTACACACAAGTCGGCAACCGTTGTGTAAGAACCGAACCGAAGCTCAACCGAAGCAAGGGTTTCGAGCCTACATATTATGCGATGCTTCATGGGGGGTTTGTTCTGTGTTTTACATATTTCTTGTCTCAACGCACTATTGATAGATGTCGATCTGTCGCCAGCTACACACAACCTCCTGATACGATAATATCGAAAACACCAGAATCTTAAGGGTGACCATCTCAATGAGTGTTTCGTAAGATCAAGGGCCATAAATTCTATATTACTTGTTATCATCTACAATTAAAATGAAAAATCATCAAAAAAGTGTCAAAAACTATCGTGAAAGGTTTCGTTTTGCCATAAAATCAACACCACTATTCACTGAATATCTTGATGTCATAATTCAGTCTCGACTCGGCCAAATCGGAACCTCAGTGATGTTTTATTCATGTTATTCTTGTCGAAATCCATCGTATCGCACTACATCTCATCTAAGAACGGCACGCTGTAAATTATATCTATCTAGTACAATACATAATGGCACATAATAAATTCACATCTGGCTTAACCCAATAAGCATTATTTGCACATCCAACCATCCCTCGAGAGATCTGCAGATGCCAGTAAATCTTCGAAACAGTAGGACGGCAATTTCAGACGAAGGTCTACGATCGGTTACCGACAGTCGTCGTCCATCTGGTGTAATATCCAATGTGGCAGCTTCTCCCGACAAACATGCTGCAGACATTGTGTCCAGACACTTGGCAGGACCGTCTGACGGCAATGGATCCGAAACCTTCAATCCTCTACAGCTTCAGGGTGGAGACATCGCGCGCGAGCTGTATCGCTGGCAAGATCAAAATCAAGACGTTCTATCAGATAATCAATCAGGACGTCTAGAAGCACCCAGACACAGACGCTCCATCAGTTTTTCGGGAAGTCTGGCATCTCACGGATCTGTTCCAAGTACCGAGATGTCAGCGGATCAGATTAGGGCACCCCAGGGCTTCAGGCGAAGTTTCCTGGTCCAAAAATGCCTTCAAGAAAATGGCGATGTGCCCAACTTCGTAGCTCGCAATTTCTACGAGTTTTTGACGCTTTATGGCCATTTTGCCGGGCAGGATTTGAGCGAAGATGAAGATGAAGACACAGATCAGGAATGGAATCAAACTGATGATGAGGAAACAGCTCTTTTGGGCGAAAGTTCCACGAAGCGTCGTGCCGTGCTGCGTGCTGCCCGGCGCGAGGCGAACAAGTCCTCGTGTTTCAAAGCCGTTCTGCTGCTGCTGAAATCGTTTGTGGGCACTGGTGTGCTGTTTCTGCCTCGTGCCTTTCACAATGGAGGATGGGCCTTTTCCAGCGTTAGTTTGATTATGTGTGGTATCTTATCATACTACTGTTTCATTCTTTTGATCAACACAAAAAACAAGCAGAAAGTCAGCGGCTACGGAGACCTTGGCCGCTCCGCCTATGGTCCATCAATGGAAGTGGCAATCCTGGGGTCTATCGTGTTGTCACAAATTGGTTTCGTGGCCGCCTACGCCGTTTTCACCGCTTCCAATTTGCAAGCTTTTTTTGCAAATGTGTTTCATTGGGAGTATTCCATGTCATTTTGGCTTTTAGCCCAGTTGGCCCTGTATGTTCCTTTGTCATTGACAAGAAATATTGCGAGGTTGAGCGGTACAGCCTTGCTAGCAGATTTTTTCATTTTGTTGGGAATGATGTACGTGTATTATTATTCTGGACAACTTGTGGCCAAAAACGGAGTCGCATCGGACACTATGTTGGTGTTCAACAAAGATAATTGGACCCTGTTTATTGGCACTGCTATTTTCACTTATGAAGGTATCGGTCTTTTGATCCCAATACAGGAGTCGATGAAACAGCCAGAAAAATTCAATAAATGTTTGCTAGGCGTTATGGTATTCGTGGTCGTCGCATTTGTCGCATGTGGTTTGGAGTGCTACTCTGCGTTTGGAGACAAGGTAGAGACAGTTATTTTACTAAACTTCCCCCGTGATTCAGCTATGACGGCAGCGGTTCAATTTCTGTATGCTATGGCGATTATGTTATCAACACCTCTCCAGCTATTCCCTACGATAAGAATTTTGGAGACCACTATCTTTTCGAAAAACGCATCTGGAAAGTACAATCCACGCGTGAAATGGCTCAAGAACTACTTTCGGGTGATTATTGTCTTGGGAAACATGTTAATCGCATGGGCAGGCGCCAACAATTTGGATAAATTTGTATCTTTGGTTGGAAGCTTCGCGTGTATTCCTCTGATTTACATTTACCCACCTATGCTACATTACAAGACATTTTCCAAGGGTGGCGCATCTAAAATGTCACTTCTTTTTGATGGTGCGATTTCGGTATTTGGTGTTGTAGTAATGATCTACACGACGTTCCAGGCCCTCTTTTGATGACATTGATCGCTATAAAATAAACTTTAGCGACATTCTTATGGGACTTGTCACTGAATAGGCCAATAATAATCAATAGAAGACTCTTGATACTCTGGATTCAAAGCAATTGTACGGTATTTGGAAGCATCGACAACAAGACTCTCACGAATGAACTGGATATTAGAAAGAGGAATTTAAACGACTGTGCCCATGTGGTGAATATTGTAGTTCATCTTTCAATTCTATCGCTGTTCTTCTCATTCAAAAGAAGAACATCGCATCAAATGCCATGCGACCCAAACTTCGAAAGTCTAGTGTATCTAGAAACACAATGTGTGTCCAGTCGAAAGCCCCGTCGCCTTTACCCATCCTCGTTGTAAATTTCATAAACCATCTTATGAACTTTTCTCCCAACCCAGATCTGCAGGTGAGAACAGCACGTCAGACACTGTTCAAATACGCGAGGCAGCATCTTAATCGCCCAGCCATCCAGCACACGCTAGCTTGATGAAATTCTGTGCTATTGCATAGGGGCAAAAACCAGTGTGTAATGTTCAGAGTTCCTATTCTTACAGACTCATTACCCAGTTCCACAATGCCCTGATAGCTGTGAATTGCTGTCTCATTGATTCGTTTACTGAAGCTTAGCGTCTTGACCGATTTTTGCCAAGACTTATAGCGTCAGGTGCCCTCTATCTGAAATTCTTCGAGCGTATATATAAATTATATATAATATACACCTTTAACAGCACAACTCCGTGAACTATGCCTTCTACGCCCAGAAATGGCTCCGATTCCTGCGAACATCTGTAAAGGCAAATTCCTATGGGCAATACGGGATGCGTTGAAATGGAGAGGGCTTCAAATTGTTTCAGCGATTTTCGTGGGTCTACTTTGTGTCTTGAAAGTAAGTCTTGAAAGACGATTTCTAGCCCATGGTACGGGGGAAGAAGTAGCGTGCAATTTAGTTCAGACATTTTTCAAAACTGCTTCGTGCTTTGCTGTTTTGCCATGCTGTTCGTCGTATTAAAGAAAACGCATAACACCGTAAGACAGCAGAGATTAGAGCTATGTCGCAAGGTCATGGCAGAAAAGCCAGGAACGAGCTTAGCCAAATGGGACGTGATCGCGTCAGAGATGAACGAGTTTTTAGACAAGCAAGGACTGTGGCACTCTCCGTGGTTTTTCTACGATGGTGCCACATTATTCAGACGCTTCAGAATGCTGGTTTACTTACCTCTGAAGAATGGAAAGTTCGATAGTGACGCAGAAACCGCGTTGCTTGGCGAAGCTGCGCAGACATATGAAAGATCTATATTTGACTCCGATAAGAAGGACGAAAAGAATGATCACGCCAGAAGTATGCCATATGAAAAGAAGCTACCGGTGGAGATACACAACTCCAAAGCTAGGTGGATTCTTGCGGCTTACACGACGAGATATTTGCTCATTGGACCTTTTTTGATACTGGCTTATGGATGGTATTTTGGATGGTATCCGACTACGGCTTTTGGGATTGTTTGTTCTGGTATTGTGGCTGCTTCATATCGGGATAGAAAAGATGTAAGATCTCTAACGAGCTCGCTAAAGTTCATGAAGATCGTCCACGAGTTTGAGCCTTGGGAGAATCATTCAAGGTGGGAAGAAATTGCCAGGATTATGAATGCATATTTTTCGCGCAAACCACTTGATTTCGCCTTTGATGGAGGCGAGTGTCGTCAAATATTCGAGCAAAAATTGTCATCGATTATTGCCGATCGTGGAACGAGAATGCCGGAACTGATTCCTTATGCGCGTGAATTGAAAGAAGCTTGCGGATGGTTTTGAACAAAAAAGGGCAGTTGGACGTGGGAAAAGTGGCGAAAAAAGTACTAGCGTTGTCCTAGTGTTAGTCACTTGCTGCCGCTCTGACGTAAATTAGAAGGAAAAACGGTTTACGAAGGGTTCAATGGCCCAGTGATCGCGGGAGCTGCTATTATTGCATCGAGCCTAGGTGAAAAAAAAAGAACTCAATTAAACATTCACCGCTTCTGCAGGCTGGGCACAATTGTCTCTATCAATATCACACACACGAGTCCAACGGCTATTGTAAACTGACGCTGTCATTCAGTCACGTGTCAAAATATATCCTCTTCCCTTCTATCGCTGTGTCATCCGCTACTCTCCCATAGACCTACAATATCTATTCAATCCCAAATCACTCTCTCGAAACCACTTAATCCTTGAATCAATCACATTCCTAAAAACTACACCTATAAAAACCCTCGAAATTGCAATGATGCAATTTCCAATTCCCACACGCGAATTTCAAAAATATCTCCTAACTCTCAAAAGAACTCCTATTTCATCAACACAGTGCTTCAATACCCAATTCTCGCTCGCCGTTTCGCTCGAAGCTTCAAAGTTTCAATGCTAATGCCAATTTGTTCGTCCATTGGCAATTCCGTGTCGCGTCCGAAAAATCCATCAAACAAGTCCCGTAGAGAGTGAGTACTCATCTCGGAGCAGATCGGGTCGCGCTCATTTGTAACTAGAGCATTTTTATATAAGACATGGGAAATAATTGACATTTTAGGCACTCTTTTCGTAAACTTTAAACCACACGGCATACGCTAAAAGTGGTACCGAAATCCGTTAAAAGCTGAAGCTATAAAGGGTGCTAATTGCTATCACTTTGAGAGGATCAGAGTTGGCCAGCTTACCGTTAAAAAAAGGGTATAGAAGAGACTCGAGGGCCTTTTTTGAATTCATACAGTACGGTCTCATAAAATCTTGTTTTTGAAAGTTTGTCGACAAAACCCGCGTTCTGGCAGGATTTAGACCATTAAGAACATTGATTGCAGCTTAAAACTGTAATTAACATCGAAATTCGAGCCTAGAACTTCGATTTGGAACGTATTTCGCTCAAGGGACGGCCTCTGAGTGTGTACCTCTGAATAAATAAGAAAACAAAATTCCAAAATGCTTTCGTTGAGAAATTTGAAGGTCTCGACCACCAAGAGACTGCTCAGCAGCTCGAACCGTGTGATGCGTGCCGTGGGCACGTCTGCAGACGTAAATGGCTCGAGTTCGGCTCCTTTTGGCGGGAAATACCAAGTAGTGGACCACGAATACGACTGTGTCGTGGTGGGCGCCGGTGGAGCTGGTCTAAGAGCAGCTTTCGGGCTTGCCGAAGCCGGCTACAAGACTGCCTGTATTTCCAAGCTTTTCCCAACCAGATCGCACACCGTAGCTGCCCAAGGTGGTATCAACGCTGCTCTGGGAAACATGCACAAAGACGACTGGAAATGGCACATGTACGACACCGTGAAGGGCTCTGATTGGCTCGGGGACCAGGACTCCATCCACTACATGACCCGTGAAGCCTCGGACTCGATCATCGAGCTGGAGCACTTCGGTGTGCCCTTTTCCAGAACCGAGGAGGGCCGCATTTACCAGCGTGCCTTTGGGGGTCAAACCAAGGAGAACGGTAAAGGTGGACAAGCGTACAGAACCTGTGCCGTCGCAGACAGAACAGGACACGCCCTACTGCACACGCTATACGGCCAGGCTTTGAGACACAACACCCACTTCTTCATCGAATATTTCGCCATGGACTTGCTGGTCCACAACGGCGAAGTCGTCGGTGTGATTGCCTACAACCAAGAAGACGGTACAATTCACAGATTCAGAGCCCACAAGACCGTCATGGCTACCGGTGGTTACGGACGTACTTACTTCTCTTGTACCTCCGCCCACACCTGTACCGGTGACGGTAACGCTATGGTGTCCAGAGCTGGTTTCCCACTACAAGATTTGGAATTCGTTCAATTCCACCCATCTGGTATATACGGTTCTGGCTGTTTGATCACCGAAGGTGCTCGTGGTGAAGGTGGTTTCTTGGTCAACTCTGAGGGTGAAAGATTCATGGAACGTTACGCTCCAACCGCCAAGGATCTGGCCTGTAGAGACGTGGTTTCTCGTTCCATCACTATGGAGATTCGCGAAGGTAGAGGTGTTGGGCCTGAAAAGGACCACATGTTTTTGCAATTGAACCATTTGCCAGCCAGTGTGTTGAAGGAAAGATTGCCAGGTATCTCTGAAACCGCAGCCATTTTCGCCGGTGTTGACGTCACCAAGGAGCCAATTCCAATTTTGCCTACTGTGCACTACAACATGGGTGGTATTCCAACCAAATGGTCTGGTGAAGCCTTGACTATTGACGAAGAAGGTAAAGACAAGATCATTCCAGGTCTGATGGCCTGTGGTGAAGCCGCCTGTGTTTCTGTCCACGGTGCTAACAGACTAGGTGCCAACTCCTTGTTGGACTTGGTGGTGTTTGGTCGTGCTGTGGCCCACACTGTCGCTGACACTCTACAGCCTGGTCTACCTCACAAGCCACTACCTGCCGATCTCGGAAAGGAATCTATTGCTAACCTAGACAAGATAAGGAACGCCTCTGGCTCCAAGCCAACCTCCGAAATCAGACTAGCGATGCAAAAGGCCATGCAGAACGACGTTTCTGTTTTCAGAACCCAAGAATCCCTCGATGAAGGTGTTAAGAATGTGACCGCTATAGATAAATCCTTCGCCGACGTCCGTACAACCGACAGATCTATGATCTGGAACTCGGACATGGTGGAAACTCTAGAGCTACAAAACCTGTTGACCAATGCTCTCCAAACTGCTGTCTCTGCCTCCAACAGAAAGGAATCTCGTGGTGCTCACTCCAGAGAGGACTACCCAGAGAGAGACGACGTGAACTGGATGAAGCACTCGCTCTCGTGGCAAAAGGAACCTCAAGGAGACGTCGAATTAAACTACAGAAATGTCATCAACACAACTTTGGACGAAAATGAGTGTCCGGCTGTCCCACCAACTGTGAGAGCATACTAAGAAGCTCTCCTTCAAGCATCGAGTCGAGTGGCATCAATACACACAAATTCCCACTCTTTGACTTGACTATTTATACCATCATTAGTATACTACGACATGCAGATTATTTATTCTTCTTTTATATTCCGACTCATCGAGATAGTTCATATTAGTACATCGCACTAATGAGAAGGAGAGTAAAGATCTTACATGGCTGAGGTTTTGCGAATAGCTGTGCAGGGATGTGCTCATGGTGAGCTTACCACGATTTACAAGTCGATTGAAACCCGTTTCGAGTCTGCATTGCCAGATTTGCTGATAATTCTGGGTGATTTCCAATCTTTGAGAGATGAGCAGGATATGGCATCGATTGCAGTGCCGGACAAGTACAAGAAAATGGGTGACTTTTACAAGTACTACACCGAGGAGCTCACTGCTCCTGTACCAACAGTTTTCATAGGTGGTAATCACGAATGCATGCGAGGGCTTGCAGAGCTGCCGTTTGGAGGATTTGTCGCCAAAAACTTGTATTATATGGGTTACAGTGGATCAATTGTGGTCCAGGGCATCGAAATCAGCGGTCTTAGCGGTATCTACAAACGTCATGACTTTAACACTATCCGTCCCTCACTTAAACAGATAGAGCTAGAAGGCTGGGGAAATTACGTGCGAAACCTATATCATGTTCGAAAATCAGACGTCTTACCGCTGTTCATGCTCAACCACACCGACATTATGCTCAGTCATGACTGGCCAAATGGGGTGGTTCACCACGGTGACACTAAGAAGCTTTTGAAGCTTAAACCGTTCTTTAAAGACGACGTCAGGAAAAATGAGCTAGGAAGTCCAGTGAGCTGGCAACTTCTGAGAAAACTGATGCCCAAATGGTGGTTGAGCGCACATCTACACGTCAAGTTTGAGGCAGAAGTTACCAGTAACAAGAGAGCTTTGGAGGAGAAAAATCCTGAGGAGATTGACTTGGACCTGGACCTAGATCTCGACAACTCGACATCCACACCAGAGCCCAAGACCACCAAATTCCTAGCGCTAGACAAATGTGGACGAAATCGCAAACACTTGGAAATGATAACAGTCAACGTGAATTCTAGTCATCCAACTTTCCATCAGGATTATCTGAGGATCTATTTAAATCCGGAATTCTTGGCGAACCGTGAATTTCTGAGCAAAGAGCCCCAGACTGGAAGATTAGAGGACATCGACTTTGACAGATTACGCGAACAGCGCGGGGAAGTGGAGAGTATCAACTGGGAGGACTACATACTTGAGGAATCTGGCAGAAAGGCATAATTGCCATTGGGGCTCTTGGCATGATTTAAGCTGTATAGGAATATATATTAAATTCGTGAGGAATCGTTCAGAACTTGAAGACATGGTCCTTAGCATGGCCCAACTCCTTGAAGATACCAACTAGTTCGCCCTGGTCCTGAGGAGAGGCCTTAGGTCCCGAGTAAGCCTGCATGAAGGGTGGGGGACCGCACAAGAACACTTGGTGGGAGTCTCCAGGGCCGGGGATGTTCTTTTCCAAGTATTCCTTGGTGATGAACCCGGTGTGACCCTCGAATCCGCCCTCGGCCTTGTCGACGAAGTAGTGGATCTTGACCTGGTCGGGGTACTTGGCTTGGATTGCATCCAATTCTTTCTTTAGCAAGATATCGTTTGGAGTTTTGTTTCCGTACAGCAGGTTGATCTTGGTCTTGTCCTCTGGGTTCTGCGAGATGTGGTGCACCAATTGGAATAGCGGGGTGATACCAGAGCCAGCGCCTAGCAAGGTGATGTTGTCGAAGGAGTTAGGTTTCCATTCCCACTTCTTGATGGGGCCCTTGAAGGCGACCGTGTCGGAGGGTTTCTTAGCGAATAGCAACTCAGTGAACTTACCACCGTCGTAGTGCTTGATGACCAAATCGAAGTGGCCTTTGGCGCTCACGTCGCTGACTGGAGTGTAAGGTCTGATGACGTTGTTGCCCTTGGCAGTCTGGAGCTTGGCCAACAACGCAGATGCAGTGATCAGACCGGTTAGTTGGTTTTCCTCAGGCAAATTGAATGTGAATCGACGGGTGTCGTGCGAGACTTCCTCGATCTTAGAAATGGGTAGGTCTACCCAGGTTCCGTCGCCGTTGAAAGTCTTCAAAGTTTCGTTTCTCAAGGTGCTAGTATTGTAGAAGGCGGCTGCAATAGCGACCGAGCTGATGGCAAGAGGCATGGTAGCCCTGTGTCTTAGGATTCTGGTTAGCATTGGTTTACTGTATGAATATAAAGATGGGCACTTAGGCTGTTAAAGTAAACCAAAAGGTACAACTTCGAGCCTTTAAAATCGACGAGTTATTTAAAATCTCCAGAAAGCCACTGTTTATATATGGGCAATTTCAATCACATGAAGATACCACACCCAACAGCAGTTTGGTTCGTTTGCTCTAGCCAAACAGACTTTCTATTGGACGAGAATAGTGGTCATGTGTGTGGTGTCAGTGCTGTCACCGCGACGAAAACTCTGAAATAAGTTCAGTTGACGGTTAGTTGGCTAAGGGAATATGAGGATGGTGTTCATTGTGCGAGTAGGCCGGGTACTGTGTGTTTCGCAGCATGTTTTATAGTTGGGTAAAAGATTGTATATTTGATTTGGAATTTTATCTTCACAACGAGAAGTGGTAGAGAGACAGAATTAATTTTACAAAGTTGCTGAGAAAGACGACATCAGGCCGTGTTTCTTACTTTGTTCAATTTCGATTTATTTGAAGGTCATGTTGGTGTGTTTGTACGCTGACGTTGGGTTTTTATTTTATTGAAGCGGTAAATATATTACTTAAAGTGCTCAAATTTTAGAAAAAATATAGGAATCGCAAAGATATTTGAGATTTTGAGCTTATCCAAACGAGCATGTCGTCGCTTACTATTTGCAAGGGGACTGGTCTAAGGCTGTATTGTTCTCCTTTCGACAGTATCTGAAGTTTGATTTTGTTAAAACTCTGAACATCGCGTGTAGTCTTACTTCTGTATAAGTAGACGCTAATTTGAAAAAGGTCAAAAAAGTCAGAAAAGAGCGATCTCAGCATAAACCCCATTAGCCAGCTCTTTTCACCTGAAACGTATCATTATGCTCTCTCGACTATCCCACAAAGAGCTTTTGCATCTGGCCACTAGAGCTGTGATTCCTCCACTCAAGCCGGAGTTCCATAAGGGACAATGTGGCCGCATTTGCATTATTGGTGGGTGTGAGGACTACACAGGCGCTCCGTACTTCAGTGCGCACTCTGCAGCTCTTTTCGGGGCAGATCTCACGCATGTGATGTGCGAGCTAAACGCCGCACAAGTGATAAAGAGCTACACTCCGAATTTGATGGTTCATCCATATTTGCGAGAATCGGGCAGCGGCACTGCGCCCGTGGACAAGATCCAGGGCCTACTAGACCGCATGCACGTCTGTGTGGTGGGTCCCGGACTTGGTCGAGACCGTGCCATGCTGGACTCCGTAATAGATGTGTTGGAATATCTCGCATCCAAGCACAAGGGCGAAACACCTGTGGTTTTAGACGCAGATGGGCTATTTTTGATCTCTGATGAAAGCTATTCCGACAAAGTCTGCAACATTTTGCGTTCTTTTAAACCCGGCAGACTCGTGTTGACTCCCAACGTTGTGGAGTTCAAGCGAATCATGAATCGGTTTGGCTGTAAGTCTGGAGCAGAGCTGGCGCGCGAACTGAAATGCGTCGTGGTGCAGAAAGGCAAAACCGATCAGATCTGGTACAGTGACTCGGTGCTGGAATGCTCTGCGAAGGGCACCGATAAGCGAGTGGGCGGTCAGGGCGACACACTGACAGGAGTTATAGCCACAATGTTGGCTTACAGCCGGGCAACATGCGATTTCAAGATATGGGACCCGAGTGAAAATTTAGAATGGCTCGACATGGTGGTTTTAAGCTGTTATGTGGGAAGCGCTGTGACACGCGAATGTGCGCGTTTGGCGTACCAGAAACACGGCAGGGCTATGCAAACTACGGACGTGAACGACCGGGTTGGTGAAGCTTACGTTTCTTTATTGGGCGACACATAATGTGATATGATATGATATGATATGATATGATATGATATGATACGTAATTAGATATGGTTAACGACGACTAGGACGACGCCATACTTGTGAGTGGGATGCCCTCGCGTCCCAACAGAGTGCACTACACCTGTGCAAGCGCGGGTGGTTGATAGTGGTGGTCTTTGTCACTTTATGATGCCAATATGTCGCTGGAAAGTGGAAAGCTGTCTTTACATACCATCGCGCCATCCAAACCTGTACACCACGAGTTTTCATTCCGTACACCACAAAACCCAAACACCAATATAGGGAGCGCACAAGGTGTACATCCAAACACCCAGAGACCCATACACCAGTGTTAAACACCCGTACACCAATTACAATACCACAGCGCACCTTACACCTGCACATCCACCCACCCACACACCAACAGTCTAACGACCGTACCACACACCCAACCACCCACACACCCGGGATTGCAAACCCAGACATCCAGGATTCTTCCAGCTTCCGCTCCCTTATCTCAGGCTTCTCAGAACTTCTACCAGCTTCCTACGACTTCCGGTATGCCAACCCGGTTCCCAGCTTCCTCGATCTCGTCGCCGTCTAGCGCTACCGACTTCTTCATCACCGTATTGGCAAGCTCGTCTAATTCTCCCTCTCACGTAAGAAGAACCTGTTGATCCATCATCATCGTTGCTGGAGGACGTTTCTCTCATCTGGTGACGAGCGAGAGTGGTGAGACTAATTGACGGTCTCACTAGTCTACCATAAAATTGTGGCAGACTATAAGTACTTACGAAGTTTACGAAGTTAGTTAGATGTTAAATATGATTCAGTTTTGTCTACCTTTGCATCGAACATCAATTCAATCACCCTAAACACCATATTATAATGCCAAAGCTAGTCCTAGTCAGACACGGTCAATCCGAATGGAACGAGAAGAACCTTTTCACCGGTTGGGTGGACGTTAGATTGTCCGCTGTCGGTGAAAAAGAAGCCAAGCGTGCCGGTGAGTTGTTGAAGGAACACAACGTCAAGCCAGACATCTTGTTCACTTCCAAGTTGTCCAGAGCTATCCAAACCGCCAACATCGCTTTGAGCGCTGCCGACAGACTTTGGATCCCAACTGTCAGATCCTGGAGACTAAACGAGAGACACTACGGTGCTCTACAGGGTAAGGACAAGGCTGCTACCTTGGCCGAATACGGTGAAGAGCAATTCAACACCTGGAGAAGATCCTTCGATGTTCCTCCTCCAGTCATCGACGACAAATCCGAATACTCCCAGAAGGGTGACGAAAGATACAGCGACGTCGACCCAAGCGCTGTCCCAGCCACCGAGTCTTTGGCCCTTGTCATTGACAGATTCTTGCCATTCTGGCAAGACACCATCTCCAAGGAGCTATTGGAAGGTAAGACCGTCATGATCGCCGCCCACGGTAACTCCTTGAGAGGTTTGGTCAAGCACTTGGAAGGTATCTCCGACGCCGACATTGCCAAGTTGAACATCCCAACTGGTATCCCATTGGTGTTCGAGTTGGACGAGAACTTGAAGCCATCCAAGCCATCTTACTACTTGGACCCTGAAGCTGCCGCCGCCGGTGCCGCCGCTGTTGCCAACCAAGGCCAAAAGAAATAAGTGCAGAGCTGACGTTGCCCGCTAGGATGGTTTCCCCTCTCTCTAGCAGCACTCTTCTGTCTATCTACTCGCACTACATAACGATAATGAGATAAAAACCATTGTTTTAAAACACCTATGCTGTGATCACCAGAATCGCTGGTAAGTTTGTGACGTAAAGTACTACTTTCTTAAGCGCTGTCCGATTCTGCGTTTCAACCTTTCTTCCAACCTCAGCCGGTTTTGATCTGCAACCTGCGTTTGCTTGTCGTACCATTGACGATTGTGCACTTTGCACAGGTTTTCGCCCAAACCCTTCATATCTGCGTATTGCTTGGTCACGTAGAGTTCATAAAGACCAGCGCTTTTGTTCATGAGCTCTACGCAGTCTATCAGCTTGTCACTTGGGTAATGTAGTAAAATACTGATCACTTCGCCCTGGTCCTCACACGAGTAAAGGTCTCGCGCAATGGCTATTAACAGCACCACAATACAGCATGCAACTAGGTCTTCCAATGGGATCACAAACGTGAGTAGATGATCCCACACCTTCAGCACATAGTTTAGGTCAAATTCCCTTAAAAATAAAAGTCGGGTCCACCGGATAAGCCAAACCGCATTATCCAAACCATGGTGCTTTGTTAGCAAGTGGTGAAGCTTTGGCATGGTCAGCTTCAAGATGCGATCAAATTTGAAGTGCGCGAAATCCAGAAGAGCTGCTTCTTCGTAAAATACTGGTCGCGCCCGTTCCATTAGCTTGTTGAAGATGTTCAGTGTGTTAAGTTTGCGAGTCTCGCAGCTTTCATTCGCCATCTGCATATACACGGCGCCGCAGAGCTCGTGGTAGCCCTGTTTGTAGCTAATTTGGTTGTGCATCACATAGTTGTATAGAATCTGAACCATTTCGGCCTTGCATTCGGTAGATTCGAACATTGGATGCAGTAGAAGCCGCGAAATGTCTAGCCTCACGATCTGCAGTGTTTCTTGCACCGAAATCTTTTCTTTCAAACGGTCTTCGGCGTCCTGGTTTCCTAAGTTGGCCTCATCTTCACCATGCATTAACGGGTGCGTGCGTGCCCGTTCGGGCGTCAAGTTTCTGAGCCGAGATTGTGTCCTATCAGGGTGCAACTGAGCCTCCTCTATTGCAGCTTTTTCGGGCACTGGCGCCAGTTCTGTGACTAAAAGCTCATCTTCTCCTCTTAACAGTAATGTCTTCCAGCACCACCCGCGATCCAGAAATCGCGACTCTTCGGCGTTGTAAAGGTCTCCACGCCAAATTCCCCGTCTGGTCAGATCTTCTCGCGTCCCGTAGCGTTGAACCAGGTGCTGAATCAGGTTGGAATCTGCCATTAAATATCGTTGGTTTCGAAGTTCAATTTCAAGTGATATTATAAGAAAGCCCTTCTTAACTTGTAAACTACACCTGGCATAACTACTAAAATAATGACAAAACCGATGGCCAGGAAGCCTGAAAAAGCGCCAATGAAACGCATAAAGGCGACTAGTAAATGCTCAATGCAAGCCGAATAAGTGAAATTCTACTTGTCTGGGGCTTAGAGTCGCTCCTGCGTCAAAACTACACACCAGAACCATAAGTAATCGTCTGTCTAATGGTCAAAAGAATTGTTGCGTTGTTTACTACCAGAATCGCTCCAAAATCTGACGAAACTCGATGTCTAGCACCAATTGTATCAACTGGCAAATCTCAAGACCTGCCAAGGGATACATAATGTATGTTTTTCTCAGAACCTATACGAAACGCGTTTGGCAGACACGGCGTCTCAATGTTAATTCAACATCGCCACTAATAAACTCGTTCTACAGAACTCAACACAATTCACCTCAACCCGACCCCCGAACCACCAAATTCTGCACACACCACGAAACAGACGAGAATGCGCCTTTGAAAGCGGGCTTGGGTCCAAGCTCATCGCTATGGAATCACCACGACAATAATAATAAAACCAAAAGCGAAAAAAAAGTGGCTATGAGAAGCCCTTGTCGACCACACTAGCTCAACAGAGGCAATGAGAAACTCAACGAAGGTCATAGTTAGAGCTCTCTGAAAGGATCCCGAAGAGCTCTTGCCAAGTTTCTATTGATGCCCCATATCATTCTCGTCTCAAGTGATTGTTTGTCGTAACTAATATCTGACATCTCTAAGTCTAGGGATGTTATAAGTTTCCCATATGTGGTTCTCGAGTTGAACAACATCTCGAGAACGGAGTGATTCATAGTGGACTGGCAGCCTTTAAAGCATGAACGGAGGCTTTAAATCGTCGCCCCTGTTGGACGAAAGCGAACTGTCAAAAAACCGACAATTGGGGTCGATTAACGTCGACTGGTTGACAAGAAACAGCTGTGCACATCAGGACCAAGACACGCCCACGACAGCAAAAACGCAGAAAGCAGAGTCAAAAACCGATCATAAAGCTCACGGCAAGAAAGAATTGACGAAAAATGGCGAACAAGACTCGAGTTCGGGCGATTTGGACACCTCGCGAGCCCTGTCACCAGAATCTCGCAGCATGACAAACGGAACGGGTCTCGATCGCTCCTCCAGCGAGCGGAGAAGCTCAGTGGCAGACCAGAACTATTTTGACGGGATGGCATGCTCGAAAAGTCACGCACAATACACAGGCTCTCTTTTGCGTCGTAGCAATTCGCTGTCGACGAACTCTATGGGACACATCGAGGAATCCAAGCCCCAGAAGCAGGGCTTTCTACGATCGCTTTTCGGTCGCAGGAAAAAAGACGAGCCCAAAAAGGAGCACGCCAGACGCAGCAGCATCAGTGCGAAATCGGAGTACGGCGTGGCAAACAAACCCCAACACGAGACCGTTACGGAATCGCACGACGACAGGAAACTAACCGCTAGAAGAGCTAGTCAATCCTCCAGCCGTGCAAGCTTGGCCCAGCCCCAAATGTCCTCAATGACCAGGTCAAAAACCACCCCGGCACATCCGGAAGATGCCGATCCGAACCTCGATGAGTTTTTACAGCGCTATAGATTGGCTCTCAAAACAGCTGTTGCTGTCAATTCCAGACCCACCTCATCCCACAGGCCTATACGACCGGATACGGCCAAGTCCAAGGCTACCTTTTCCATTGACGAAGGCATAGAAACGGTCGATGAAGCAGAACCAAAGCGACATCTTGATGTCAAGGGAAGGCCTATTCCGTCACATCCTTACAAGTCCAGTCTGGCTCCAGCATTGCGGAAACAATATCGGTGTAGTCGAAAAGAAACATTGCGGAGAACAAATACGAATACGTCGTCATCTACCAACCGGTTCGGCGCATTTCTGAAGAGGGTGACCTCTCACACCGACGAGCATTCGTCGAAGGGGTCGCTTACAGATTCTGATACAGACACCAGTGATGAAGAGTCGTCAGTAGGTTTTCAAAGCGGCCGCAGGCTAAGCATTCCCGGACTAGAGGGTATTAAGCCTCTGAGAAAAGTATCCTTTGCCACCAACACGTACTTCAATGACCCACCGCAGCAAATCTGTAGCAAAAATCCAAGAAGAGGCGAGGTTGAGGTGAATCCTGATGGGTCTGTCATCATTCACCGATTAACACCTGAAGAAAAACGCGAAATATTGCAAAAAACAACATCGGGGATTGTGGTAGGTGGCTCCGGTCACTTGAAGCTACTATGCGATCCAACAGTCAATGAAAATGACGCCAAACGGCGAGAGGAGCGAAAACCCGAAGCCCCCACTGCCAATGGCGAAGAAACAGAGGCAGTCGCAAAGAATCAGATCAAGGATGCTGAAAAAACAGCCGAGTCACAAGCAGATAATACTTCCAAAGAGCTCGAAAATCCGTCTGCAGCTAACGAGGAAGAAGTCTCTGTCAGTAAAGCTGCTTCTGAAGTGAAGATAGACAAGCCTATGATCAGCAGACGCTCGGGCTGCTCTCTTTCGTCCGCCTTTTCGACGAGCGATGACGATAGCACTGAGGTTTATCCTCCTCCAGACATGAAGATTCCGCATGATGTTACGTACACTCGCTGTTGCCACCTGCGTGAAATACTACCTATACCTGCAACTTTAAAACAATTGAAGAAAGGATCAGTCGACCCGATTCCGTTGCTCCAGTTAAGGAATCCTAAACCTTCTTTGATAGAGGTTTTGTCATTTAGCGACTTTTTGAGCATTGCTCCGGTGTTATGTCTCTCTCTGGACGGTGTCAGTTTGAGCGTTGAAATGTTAAACATCATATTATGCTCTATCACCAACAAGAAAGAGTTCGAGAAGCTCTCTTTACGAAACACCCCAATAGATCACGAAGGATGGAAACTCTTGTGCTACTTCGTAGCAGAGTGTAAGAGCCTGAATGCTTTGGACCTATCAATGGTTCCAGGGATGTCTATCAATGTTCAAAAGCCGTCGAAGTCAGCTCTAAAGTCTCGTGTTGTTAGAATGGAATGTTCACTGGAAAGCAGAGAGGAACTAAAGTGGGATCTCTTAACTGCATCGTTGGCAACTAATGGAGGCTTGGAAGAGATCATCATTTCGGGTGCAAAAATGTCTCTCAAACAATTTCAGAACTTTATCGAACTCGGCTGCATGCAAACGAAAAGATTGGGGCTGGCGTATAACTCTCTAACGACAGAGCAGTGCGCCGTGCTTGCAGATTGGCTGGTCCAATCTCAGGTCACTGGTCTCGACATGGCATATAACGATTTAAGGGGGAAACTGGGTAGATTCTCTGCAACGCTCATCGAAAAAATGCAGAGCAATAACAATGTGTTCAAGTACATTTCGCTAAACTCTACTAATTTAGAAGTTTTGGAAGGTTCCGAGTCGAGCAACAATGATCTTTTGCGGCTAATCAGCAGCTTGTGCTACTGTGACAATTTAAAGTTGTTAGACATTTCCAACAATCCTCAAATATTCCCTCATGTTACAAGGCATCTCGCGCATTATCTCCCCGTGTTTGTTAATTTGATGCGTCTTCAAATGGACTACAATAACATTCCTTCGACATCCATAGTCACCCTGGCTGAGGTTTTTCCAATGTGTCAGAAACTGAACTACGTCTCGCTGCGTGGAACAAAGCTAGATCGTGCTTCCGGTTGTGCGTTGGCTGCCACGATGCGCAAAAGTTCTTCACTGTTGACCCTCGATTTGGACTGGGAAGGGCTGTCGGACAAGATCAAGGATAAGATTTCACTATGCGGGATGAGAAACATGGAGTCTGCAATCAACAGAGTGGATGACAATGGTACACCCAAACTTCCGGATGCATTGGCTAGCTTACAGAAAGAACTGTCTGAGCTTTTGACAGAGAAGCCTATGAACAAAGAAGAGCTTGGGCTCGTGACACAAAGCTTTGTCGCTAGATTGACTAAAGCTCGGTCGTTTATCGACAAAATGACGGAAGATTTGTTCAAACTCAGGGTAGAGGGGAATCTGAATACCAGCGGTAAAGAGACGTTGATCAGATTTTGTTTTATTGACGCCACTTTCGAGAGAGGTTTGAGGCTCTTGGCTCAGCGGTACAATAATAAGATTGACATACCGAGCCACTCGGGTATGCACTTCGACAAAGGCGGCGAAAGTATGCGAAGAGTAGAATCGACGGCAACTTTGTCTTCAAATTTCTTTGCAGAAAGTGGACATTCCGCACTCCTGCCATTTCAGTACCCACCAATCGAGCGCTCAGGACCTGCTGAGGATGCTGTGGAGATCAAGGACGATATACCTGGCAGCGTTGACTCACATGCTCGCGACCAGCTGAAGGAAGAAGGAACAATTTTACGCAAAACTCACGACATCTTAGAGCGTGCCAGCGGCGAAAAGTCCGCCGTAAGCGACGCGAACCACCCTGGTCACAAGAACGTGGAAGATTCGCTTCTAGACACTCACGATTTGAGCGACGTTGCTAAACTTGACGGCGAAAAGATCAAAGAGTTTATTATCACACAGGATATTTCAACTGTTGCTGGATTTCTCCAAAAGCTTCGCGAGCGGGGCGTGAACCTGAATGACCTGTTTAAGAAACGAACGGACTCGCAACACACGGATGACTCAAGAGATCCTATTGACAGTGATGCGGAACAAACCTCTAGAGAATCAAGCACTGTGGTGGGGGTTCGAGCCAACTTGCAGGACGAGAAACTATCACAAAGAGAAAATGATTTCAGTGACTCTGATACCGAGTCCGACGTTGCTAACGAGGGCCATTCCATCGACCGTGTCTACGACGAGGTATTGGACAATATCGAGCGGGGAAGATTTACAAATCATTAATTACTGAATCAGTAATGATAGTCTTTACTTGATCTATTTGTTAACAATTGACTGTAACTGAATTGGAAAGCCTACGAAACTACGGGATCAACACACCATCACGGTAGACCATCGTCACCTATACTCGATCATAGTAGAGATTCGACCTTATATGTATCATTTACTACGGATATACACGACCTGAAATAACGAAAATTTGAAGATTGACAGCGATCCAGCTATGGTCAACAGCGGACACATCAACAAACACTCGATCGTCAGAAGTCAATTGTCCTCCTCGGTCAGCTGTTCTGAAAGTTCAAGAGTATGTCTTTAGGATCATTCTGCTCAATTAAGCTGCCAGTCTTCATGTTGAACTAGCCTACTAACGAAATCAATTTGCAGTGAGTTTTCAATTGAACTTTAACAAGACAAATAATGGTACAGCTAGTGCTGCGCCATTGTTCGGCAGTTCCAGTACACCATCCAAGTCTTCAGATACCGGAAAACCTCTTTTTTCAGGGTTTGGTCAAAATCAGGGAGCTCAGGGAACTCAAAACACTGGAAGCTTATTTGGGAAACCTACACAAGAAGGAGCAGCAACAACAACAACTTTTGGCAGTTCGCAATCACAACTTTTTGGATCGCTCGGTAGTAAGCCTGCAGCGTCGGGATTTGGCTCTACGAACACTGCTGCGACAAGTGGGTCTGCTAACTTTAGTCCGTTCAATGCCTCGAAATCGGGATTAGAGGCCGGTCAAGAAAAAACCCAGAACTCGCCATTCTCTTTTGGTGCAGCTCCCTCGGGCCAAAATAGCACTTTTACGTTTGGCAGCAGCACCGCCGGCAAAACCAGTTCTCCTTTTGGTCAAGGAGCCTCGACGCCAAGTGCAGGGCAAACCGCATCTGAGCCTGTGAAGGACAGCAAGCCAGCTTTCAATTTCAGCACAGGTAACCAAGCCACTGCATCGACTGATGCCAATAACAAAAGCGAAGCCAAACCGACTTTCAATTTCAGCACAGGTAACCAAGCTGCCTCAACCACTGACGCCAAGCCGGCTTTCAACTTCAGCACAGGTAACCAAGCCACCGCATCGACTGATGCCAATAACAAAAGCGAAGCCAAACCTACTTTCAATTTCAGCACAGGTAACCAAGCTGCCTCAACCACTGACGCCAAGCCGGCTTTCAACTTCGGCACAGGTAACCAAGCTTTCTCATCCTCTGACGCCAAGCCGGCTTTCAACTTCGGCACAGGTAACCAAGCTTTCTCATCCTCTGACGCCAACAACAAAACTGAAACCAAACCTCTCTCATTTCAAAATGCTGAAAATAAAGACTTGTCGAAAGGATTTACCTTCGGGGCTTCTACTGCTGGCTCTTCTTCCAAACCTTCGCTTGGAGGATTTGGCGGTGCAACACAACCTTCAGCAAAAGCAGAAAGCACAGACACTAAAAAACCCGGTTTCTCCTTTACAAACGGTATCGACGCCAATGAGAAGAAGAACGAAGCTCCTGCTCCCGTCAGCTTTGGAGCTACTCCAAGCAATGCAACTGATAAGAAAGAGGGTGGAAGCTTTAATTTTAACCCAATAAAAGGCACTAGCAATGAAAAACCTGCCTTTAACTTTGGGTCTTCCTCTTCGAGCGGCGTCACTGGCAACAAACTTGGAATTGATTCAGCTAAATCTGAGCAAAAAGATGCCAACAAGCCGACTTTCAATTTCGCAGACAGCAGCAAGACAGGGTCTCTTTTCTCGGGTGCCACACAAAATGAAGCTCCTAAAAACACCCCACTATTCGGATCTGTCGCAAGTAAAAAAGAAGCACCTCTTTTTGGAGCTAAAGGCGGGGACAATGAAGCAAATAAATCAGAGGACAAAAAAGAGACGAAGAGCGATCCCAAAGTCGGTTCATTGTTTTCTACTGGCGAACCTTCGACAGCCGCAACAAAGGGTTTTAATTTTGGAGCAAGTAGTAAATCCGGCGCTGAAGCACAGCCAGGCATTGCTGCAAAATCCTCGACTCTGTTCGGGGGATTATCTGACAAAAAAACAGAGAAGCCTGCCGGTAATGACAACATATTTGTCAAAAAACACTCCATTGATGATGCGCAACAGGACTCTAAGCCCACTTCTACCACGGGGACGATTAGTGACAAAAAGTCTACTTTGGGGGGGTTCTCGTTAGGAAAAGGAAGCAATGACACAACCTCTTCTAAACCCGCATTTACGTTCGGTGCGAACAATTCTAAAGAGACCGCCACCACTGCTGCCGCCGATAATGATAAAAAGACTGCCTCATCTGCAGCTAAGACATCGGATATATCATTCAGTGGCAAAAAAAGTGAGAAAAGCGAGGCCAAAAAAGAAGCGTCCACTGCTTCAGCTGGAACTCAGAATACGCAGAAACCTGTTGACCTACAACCTGTTTCGCTTGACAATAAGACTTTAGACGATCTGGTGACCAAATGGACTTCTCAGTTGAGCGGGTCTGCTGAGCATTTTAGCAGTTATGCTAACAAAGTGAAAGAATGGGATCAAGTTTTGATGCTAGGCGGTGAGCATATTGGTCAGTTGTATTCTGAGATGGTAATGGCGGAGCAAACTCAAAGTCGGGTTGATCAATCTCTCCAGTATGTCGAACGACAACAAAGCGAGTTGGAAACCTTTCTGGATAACTATGAGAAAAAGGCCGATTCCCTTCTTTCGGGCGTGTTTTCATCCCCATCAGGATCATCCGCCAATATCAACGACCAAAAAAGGCAACAAGTATACCAAACTGCCCAGGCTCTGGATGATAACTTGACGTCTCTTTCGACAAACTTGTCATCTTTGATTTCAGAAATTAACGGCGTTAGCGACACTTTCAATAAGGCTACCAACATGAGTGTTACTAATGAAGACGAGAACACACAGCTGATAAAACTATTAAACTCTCATCTAGATGCATTAAAGTCGCTGGACAACAGTTCAGAGTCCCTGGAGAATAAAATTAGATCTCTCTAGATATTTAACATAATTAGTACACGAAGAGGATCTGGGCGACAACAAGGCTTACATGATACTTAAATTCTAGACACATGGAACCTTCACTTGTAGGCGGTTAGTGTACATAGCAGTACAACGAGTTTCACAAGCTGAGCTAAACCTTCGCTGTTCATGGTCTCCCGTTGAAAGCTCTCATCCTCCTCTATTAAGGCGTCGCGCTTCAAGACGCCTTGAACTAGTTTTCGGAAATGATCCAGAAGAGTGCGGGTCCTTCTTACCACGGCCTTGTTAGCGCTTCCCATGCTAAGTAAAATCGACGTCATGAGTTGGAAAACTGGAACGACAATCTCGAAAAGCGACAGACCACATGCATCTTGATTTAAAGTTAGAGAACTATCGAGACTCAAGCTCACATGAAGCGGATTCGAGGTATCCATGCTCACTTCATCAAAGACAAGGTCGAGGCCCAAATCAGGGTCTACCTTTAAAAAGGAGCAGGATTCTATAACATGAAAGATGTCATTTTGAACCAAGGCCTGTGCACCGCTACGAGTTTCTGCGACGCGAATGAGAAAATGAATTGTGGACTTGAATGCAGTCAATTCGTACAGCAAGTTGTCTAGACTTATGCCCTCTAATCCAGATTTCAAAAAGTCATCGGTTGCTGTCAAGGAGTGTCCTATGAGCAAGAGCATGTTTGTTTTGACTAAGCTTTCTAGAGCGAAATTGACTTTATGGAGACTTGCGAGCTGGAAAAGAGAGTCCAAAAAGAGTATACCTGTAATTCTAGAAGAACCTTCTCCAGATATGGCGTCGTTGAATACCACCTCTATTAGTCGGCCGCTGGACATCTTTAGAGTCTGCGCTATCTGCTTGGCCTCCCTCGAGTCTTTCAGCACGTTAGAAAGAAACCTGTTCGCAAGAGCGTAGAAGTCTGATCTCAAAGAAAGCGTGGATAAAGGTGATCTGATACCATTGATACAAGCCATGAATAGCGACATTAACCTACCGTCAATAGAATTACTCTTGGAGTGTAGATGATGATCTTTATGATATGTGTCGTAGAGGAACACACAAAGTGAGACGATCTCTTCGGTGTATGCAACGTCGAGCTCAATGCAATCCATGATCCTGGGCACCAAAGCTTCGAACAGCTCGAGAATAAATTTCGAACGAGCCTCTTTGCTCAAATGCCCATCAAGCACGACAATTTGAACTAACTGAACCCAAGAATGCAGAACAGATAGCTGCAAAGACTTAAACCGATGAAAAGAGAAATTCGTTGACAAGTAGTTTGTTAGGATAACCTCTTCGCTCTTCGAAACTTGATATAGAGCTTCGGTATCTGGTATAGTTGTGTGTGGCGTCACAATTGGAAGACACCTGCTGAGAGATTGGGTCTTCAGCTGCACTAAAGAATGCAATCTTGTCATATCATAGATCTTGTCACTATTAGATATGCTATCTTCCGCCTTGAGTGCACCCAAATCAATATCTGCGCATACAATCAATTCCTGCAAAACTTCGCTAGGCAAGGCCGTTATTTCGAAGCTCAACACATCGAGAAAGGAAAAAATGCGGGGCGGTTGCATGATATCGGAAATGAGAAGATCTATTCTGGAGTCTATGTTGGCTTTCAGCGATTGACTACTCAGTCTGTGAATATCCAAACTCAAAAATTGCAAGGAAAATGTTCTGTAAGACAAGAATCTCAAAAATGCACCAGCAGATTTCTCATCAGTGTAATCTGGGAAGCCATTGGCGGAATTGCCTGAAATTATCTCAGATGACCACCTGGTTATGTTGTTCACTTTGGGATCGAGAACGAGAAGCTTCTCGAATAAGCCGGAGTCGCTGAGCCGACTCAGGATTAGAGTCGATGTCAGTGTGTTGCGACACAGCTTGAGTATAATCTCCATAGACAACGATGCCAACTGCACTGGTGCATTTTCGATGTTTTCGTCATTCATCATTTCGAGCGAAGATTGTAGAAGGAAGATAATGGAATCCAAAACAGAATGTCCTGAACTGATAAATGTGTTTAGGTCAGGACCCAATGAAAGCGTGCTTCCTATGAAGAAACCCAGTAAAAAGTGGGCGACAGAGGGCTGTTTATCCGTGTAGAAAAGAGTCTGCGACAGAAAGCTCAAAATTTCAACCTTGAGCCTTAGAGTCTCTTCGTCCGTAATTGGCATGAGTAGTTGATTTATGAAGGCTTCTTTAACTCTGGCAGACTCGTCCACAGAGTCGAATACGCTCAACAATGTGTCTTTGACAATTGCCTTATTGTGATGGCCTTTCATTTCCACTGCAAGCTTTTTCAAAATTTGAAGCGATTGAGACGCAATAGTGCAGTCTTCTAATCCGACGTAAAGCCCAAAATGTGCAATCATTGGTAAATCGAAAAATACGGCATTGTAGAACGACTTCAGGCCATGTATACCGAAATCATGAGGCAGAAAATAGTCTGCTTTAGTATTTCTTTTGACGATCGGACATAGTTCTTCCACGTAAGTTTCTTGACAGACCAGGAGCTGATTGATATTTTTCAGTGCCAATTTTAAGAGCTCCAGTGACTCGCTTGAGTTCCGCGACGCGAAAGCCAAATTATCGACGCCAAATGAAGCATTTGCGAAAAGAACCGTAAAAACCTTCTCTTCGAAAAGGTAATTGATGGCTGCGGTGGCTGGAGATTCTTGAACATAGCAGTAGAAGTCATCGGTCTCGACGAGTTCGTCCAAATTGGAACCTGCTGGAATGGAATTAAGAATCACAGAATAGTCGAAGGAGCGCAGCGCATAGTCAATGATCTGTAATATAGGTTTTTGCACAGCTGCTTTTTCTTTCATATTGGTGAGCTGCTGAGATTGAACAAAAACCTCATTGAAAACGTAGTTGAAGTAGGGCCAAACCCCTACATTTCTATAACCCTTACCGAGCTTTGCTGGGAAGGGAAGGACTCCGAATTTAAGATATTCATCGAATCCCGTCGTGCATACTCTGAGGAGACTCTCCAATAAGTTCAAAAAGCCTGTTACGTCGGAAAAGGTTGTCAGTACACTTCCGTAAGCCTCGCGATAGGACTTTTGAGCTAAAGAGAGCTTAGAGTCTCTAAAAATCCACGAATCTAGCTTATACCAAAAGTTTGATCGACTCCCTTCGCTCTGAGGAACTAGATTGCTCAAAACCTTCAGCGCTGCTCCCAGCAAAGGAGTGTTGACTTTCACAAATTCAAAGAGGATACTGGTGAAGGTTTTGGAGAGGTGCGATTTAGTAACTTCGTCCAGATCGTGTGACACACAACCCACTAGAGTATAAAGAGATGATAAAAGAACGATGACTTCCTCATTCAGACCACTTTTCATAGCCACAGCAGTTAAGTCCTGCTCGTTCTTTTCATTTCCCTGACTTTCTTCTAGTTTTCTTTCAACATCCAATATTTTGACGATGTAGTCGCTTATGATTTGAGCGATGTGAATCCAGGAAAATTGTGAATTTTGATTGACGTAATGGTAAACATTGAGCGAGTTTTCCTCTCCGAAAGCAAGACTCGAAAGCATCAGAAACACTGAAGATCGCATTAATGTATCTGTACATTTCATTGCCCATTCAATAAAACCATATGCGCTTGACTCTTTGTCTTGCCAAAAAACCGCACAATACTCTGGTCTGAAAGCGTAGAAGTAATGGACGGTCAGAAAGAATCGTTCCAAATCCGCCTTTGCCGATATCTCGTCCAGAAACAAATCTTCTCCCGAGAGCAAAGAGTCCTCTTCGGCGTCTTTCATCTTCGTCAATAGAAAAGCACAGTCTGTAATGATAACTTGTAACAATTGATTGAAGGCAGGAAGAAGTAGATTTTGGCCCTGCTGAGATAAACGGATAGTCTCGAAGTCTGATGAATTCGAGTTGTATTCATGAGACGACTGGTCAGTATCTATAAGCTGTCTAGCATATAGTCTCGGTATGTGCTTCTGTAGCAAAGATCTAATATCGTAAAAAAGCTCTATGCTGCTGTCTTTTTCGAGTTCGGAAGTATCAGCCGCAAACGCCATGAATTGCTCAATAGCTCCTAAGCTAACAGCTTTTGTCATTGGTTCATCCACCGCAGTGGCAAAGTCATATGAAGATGCTCTTTTGGAAGGATCCTCCTTGCACCATCCAATAAAGAAAGCTAGGAAGGCGAAAATGATTGCGACCTTGACGGGCTTCGCGTATATGGTGTCATTTTTGAGTTCCTCGACGAATTGTTTGTGAAGGTCCCTCACGTCGCTGTCAGGGAGAACGTGTAGTTGCGAAAAGGCCTGCAGGAGAGACGAAAGGAAGTAGACAATAAAAAAGTCGCTAGGGTCCATATCTGAGACCCGATGTACAATATCCAGAAGTCTTTCCTTTTTCATGAATGTGCCATTCCTAACCAAGCCATGAAGAATCTGACTTAACGAATCATACTCTGTCAGAAGAAAGTCCCGTCTAAAGCGCACGTTTTGCTTGGCGAATGCATCGTAGCTATCTAGCATTTTCGTCTTGGTCACGAGCTGCTTTATCTCTTCCAACTGGGTCTCGACTTCTTTGAAGGCAGAAACGAGGTTTTTGATCAAGGTGCCGTCCGAAACCAAGTCAGAATACACTTTATCGTTAGAGTCACAGCAATTGGTGACATATGACACAATCTGCAAGACGTACTGCCGTCTAATGTAAAAGGCTACTTTGGCCCCGTTGATCAGGGCAATGTTCGAGTTTTCATCGTCCGAATCAATGTCACAATTTAGCAGTATAAGCTCCGCTGAAACTACTTCATCTAGATTCAGCTCATCAGAGAGGCCAATGGCCGCAAACACAAACGCCTCGTTGACTTGGTGAATGTCTCCCGACGACAATTTGATCTCGCCTTTCTCGAGTTGTGCTCTGCTGGTGGCATTTTTCGTTTTTCCATCTAAAACATTTAAAGCCTTTAAATCGGCCAGATTCCGGTCATACTGCGAGTTATCGAGACTTCCCTGCTCAATCGAGTTGTACAGGCCTTCTAGTGGTGCAATGGCCCATTGAGTCATGGTTCTCGTCCGCGCCAGTTGTGTTTTCTAGTTGGTTTGTCCGATCTGACCAGTATATTATATATAATTTTTCAGTTCAGAAAATAACTTACAGCTCAAATCACACTTAACTGTCATTTATTATTTGGAGCGGTGAACATGTTGGAAGTCGGGCAATTGGCGAATGAGAGATGATCTGTTGAATGGCGGCTACAATGAGTTGAAATCTAAAATCAAGTCCGAAGATTTCCGCTCGATATCTATCAACTTGTAGTCAAAACTTGTAAGAATACTTATAAACGACTCGGCCCAAACTTGTGATCGTATTAGTATAGGAGATATTATTTTAGCCAACACTAGATACTTATTTATTGTGTTTTCGAGCTTCTGTTGCCTGAAAACCAGATGGGAATGTCTGCCAGACCTGTTTTATACGTAGAAAACAACTACACGGTGCAATACAGAGCGCATTCTCGAAAAGTAGGTTACGCATCTAACATCTTGTCATCTAGGGGAAAAACGCTAATCAAAAGCGCTTTTATATGCGTATAGTGGTCTTACACCCATAATATGATGCTGTGACATTGACATCTTTCAAATCATCTAAAGAATGAATAAATATTACTAGTTCTAAAAATTGGTTTTCAAAAAATAATAAACACTCACGGTGGGGGTCGAACCCACAATCTTCTGATTAGAAGTCAGACGCGTTGCCATTACGCCACGCAAGCTATTGTTGGGGATTTAAGGAAACTACAATATATATATTTGCCTTTTAAGACCACGCTACGCCAAACAGCTTTCCGTGCAGATCTTGAGCGTTATTATGGGCTTGGAAGAGCACTTGACAGATGCAAACTTATGCCCTTAGGGCGAGGAAACCGGAAGTTCTCGAGACGTCACTAATTGATATAACAAGCCTCTGAGCTTTCGCTCTGCTTCGATTCCTATGAACAGGTTTGTGCTTGTAACGGGCGTTTTTCTGTATTACCTTGCGTGGCTACTTCTTCCGATATTCGATATTGAAAATACATTGCCAGGCTTTCCCTTGCCATCTATATATGCTGTTATTTGCCCCGTCGTGCTACTTTTGACAGGTCTTTTTTGCGTTGTCTCGTTTTTGGGAATTCTGGTCCTCTATTCTGGAAGCACCGACAAGAAGAGTCGGAAAATGAAGTCATCATGAGTCTATTTAGGCCTCAATTCACAGATCTCTCGTCGATCCAGCACTCCCACTTTTCAATCTGGCTCTTCAACACACTGCCTTCAATGGCGTCGACATTGCCGTCCAAGGCATCGAAGGTAAATTGGCGTCCGCTCTGGAATTCGAGCGAGGCAGCGCCGGACTCGTCCTCGTTGTTCTCGCCGGAGACACCACCCGCTTTGTTAACCGCACTGAGAGATTTGGCTTTTCTTTCGATGTGCTTGCCGATTTCCTTTTCCAGCGCCTCACGGATCTTCAAGGGAGGCCTAGCGCTAAACGACTCGGATTTGTTGCATGCGATCATGATGCCCACTCCTTCCGGGAAGCGTTCTGTCAGAGCCAAGATATCATACAAGAACTCGGCAGTCTCGGTGAGCTTCTGTGGATCGACGGTAGAGTCGACGACGAAAATCAAACCCTTCAAAGACGTCGACTCCTTCAATGCATCGAACAAACGGTATCTCAATTTGACGTGGCCTGGAAACTCCAAAAGTTTGAACTTGAAACTTTTGGTGATCGAAGGAAGCATGTAGTCCTCAGCCACGTTGGGCACTTGTGACATAACCGTGGGTTTGAATGTATCCGTTGTCAGCTGTTGAACTTTTGTTAGTGGGGTGCCAAAAAAGACACCGGTGTTCTAAGAATATGAAAGCTCTTATCCTAAACATACCATATTGAACAAACTGGTTTTCCCACTGCCACTAGGACCTGCAATTATGAAGGTTGGATCCCGGTTGGTTACCTTATGGCCCGGGATAATATTTGCAGAGTTCTTTTGGACTATCAACAACAGAGCCGTTGTAATGAGTAGCACCAAAAAAGATACGAGCACCGTGTTGCTCAACTCAATCATGACGTCTGGATGATGTTGATTATTGTAGGAAGCCTTTCAAAGAGTATTTGGGGCCAAGCTATGGTGTTGTTTCGAGATGTGGAACTTTGCCCGTCTGATCTTCCATCTTTATCGTCACAAACGTGACTGGTGAAAAATGCCAGACGAGATGAGCTAAACTGGAAAAGTTGAGCACACTGGCGATGCCCTTCCCAAAAACGATAGAAAACAGTGTTGAAATCATCTTCTTAAGCTGTTCTCAATGCTTAGACAAACAGCTAAAGGCGCTCTATTTCGGGCAAAATTCTTAGGACGATTTAAGAGCGATTCTACGCCATTTTCGGTGCGAGATTTGGACTCGGTCTCTGCTGAGCATCGGCCACTGGATGCAGGTGAAACTCAATACCAATTCGGCCGAGTTGTAGAGGATCAACAATCTGATAAAGTCTTTGTCTTGTCCAGGGATGAATTGCTGGAAAATAATCAGATGAGTCCGTTCAGGAATAGTTTAGGCGAAACGTTGCAGGGCGAGAACGCCAGAGAGTCAAGACTTTTACCGAAGACGTTAGAAGCAAGAGCGCCGGGAAAGCAAATCCAGCTCAACCCCAAAGTGGCAGATGCCATCAGAAATAACATACTGAGTCTTCACATCCCAAATAATCTGCGAAGATCAGCTGGTAACCGATTTGTCGAACTTCGACAGAGCAACCTTCACCGTTCTGCACGCACAAGCATGGAGGTCGATTCTCACGTTGCCTCTGTTTTCCTGCAAAATTACGGCGCATGCTTTCAGAGCTTAAGCGAGCTGCAGAAGCGCCTGGGTAACAACTTTTGGCCTGACAGGGTTCTGGATGTTGGATACGGACCTGCCACCGGCATGGTGGCACTTAATGACTTGCTCGGGGACGAATACCGCCCCAATGTAAAAGATGCTGTCATCGTGGGACATAAAGAGATGCAAAAACGAGCAAAGATTATTCTTGGCAGACAGTTGAACGAGGTAACAGAAGATATTCCCGCTAAGAAAGAATTTGACGAGGAAGGGGACACAATTGACGAAGATAACGATTTGGTGGGTGAGGTTATGACCAAAAAAATCAGGATCAAGACCAAATTACGAGACCAAGCACCAAGCTCGAAAATGTACGACCTCATCATTTTGACCCACCAGCTTTTGAAAACCGAAGAAAAGTTCCCGCTTGAGGTCGATACGACTGTTGCGAATTACCTCAAAATGCTGGCCCCGGGAGGTCATATAGTATTGATTGAGCGAGGAAATCCTATGGGTTTTGAGATCATAGCCAGAGCTAGACAGGTCGCCATACGTCCTGAAAATTATCCTGACGAGCACGGCAAAATACCCAGACCATGGGGTAAGAGCAAGGCGAAATTAAGTGGGGCCATAGCCGAAAAGTCATCCACTGCATCAGAACTACCTGCAGATCTCGAGAGTGAACACGAAGAATTAAACGCCGAAGATCAATTGTTAATGGAGGAGATCATGGAAGTGTCAGATTCGCAAGATTCGACTGAGAACTATCATCTCAAAGTAATTGCGCCGTGTCCCCACCATCGGAAGTGCCCGTTGCAAATTGGGAAACCACAATACTACGAATATGGCGAAGGCAAGGGTCTCAAATTCTGCACTTTCCAGAAATCTATACTGAGACCTAGATATGCAATAGAGTTGAAGAAGGGACGCCTTCTAGCAACTCCATGGCAAAGCAAGGTGGAGCCAATTGGCATAAAAGGCCTGGCAAAAGAGGGTACGGGACGGCCTCACGGAAGAAACTATGAAATCCTGAACTACTCGTATTTGATAATAGAGAGGTCCCAAACGGATGCGACAACGGTTGAAAGTATATTTCAACAACGGGAGGCTCAAAACGAGGCATACGAACGTGGATCGCTAGGTGACGGGACGCCAAACACATGGCCAAGAATCATAAAGCAGCCGCTGAAGCGCAAGGGCCATGTCGTTTTGGACTTGTGTGGGTCATCAGGACTAGTCGAGAAGTGGACAGTTCCTAAATCATTTTCAAAAGAGATCTATCATGACGCAAGAAAAGCGATGAAGGGAGACCTGTGGGGTCTTGAGGCCAAAACAAAAGCGCCAGGAATGGGAGGATTGAATGTTAAGAAATTAGAGAAGGTCGAACAGGAGAAGATTCGCGAGGCAAGACGGCAATTGAAGCGCAAAGACCTTGAACTCAAGCAGGCAGTCACTGAGATGGATTTTAATGACGAGCTCACACCTGAAGAAAGCGTGGACGTGCTAGCGGCAATGTACGGGGGCGAGTTCGAAAGGAACAAGAAGTAATTAATGGCAAGAACGGCTCGTCGATGAGTTGCATACGAATATGACTTTAAAAACTTGAGACTAACGCATATAAAGAGGGCGGGAAAGTGAAGGGCAAAATTGCCCCGCAAACTCGCGGCACAGCATCGCCGATAAAATCAACTAATATCGGACATAAAAGCAGGACATAGATATCAATCGTATTTATGCTATGTTATTTTGTATTATTTTTATGGTTATTTTTGTTCTCTTGACACATTTCACTCGTTCCACCACCACACTGACGTGCGCTACAATTCCAGTGTGGCAGTCCTCTCAAAACCTCTCTCTGATAACGACTTAACTAATTATTGTGTACAGCATCAAAACTTACCTATAAAAGTAAAATATGGTGTATTGTGATAGGGTGTTGTGTGTGAGCCTTGTTGTAAAATTGTGCAAATTGGGCGAATAGCGCGCGAGCCAGAGCTCCGTTTAAGGAAGCGATTTCTCGAACGGGCTAGCCGTTTACTTTCTTCTGAAAGAAGTACCCTCAGACAACTTGGCCTTACCACCGGTAGGGGTGCACAAAACGGTGGCACAAGACTCGCAAGTGACAGCGGTTTGGGCGTGAGAGAACACAGTGGTGATGTTCAAGCAGCCAGGGCACTTGACGTCCAAGAAGTAGGATCTTGGGCCCTGGACTAGGGTCTTCAACTTGTGCTTCTTAGCCTCGGAGGCTGGAGTTGGGTGCAACAAATCTTGAACTAAAACCTGCGGGAAAAGAGAGAAAATGTTAGTACGTTGGACGCAGATGGGAGTGTGAAGGAGGGGAGGATGCAATTTGAATGCTAGAGCAAAACGGAATGTGGACGACAAAAACGAGCCAAAACGTGTGGGAGAGCTCCCAGCAGTAGCTAACAAGCTTCCCCCTCGACTTTCATATCTAGAAAGAGCACTTTGAACATTGTTCCCACCGTATCTGGCTGTATTTTCAAAGCTTTATAACACCCAAAATGGGCTGGATCGACCGCAAGCGTCTTGTCAATTTCATATCTGACAGCGCTGTCCTAGTTCCATTTGATTCTCCGTAAGCTCTGGTTGAATGTTCTCCGATTTCGCTCGTTTTTCTTCATTTTTGCTCGTTATTTCTCATTTTTTCTTCCTGTAATCGCTCTTTGGTCCGCTGTGGTGTTTCCCCTCGCTTATTCGTCTCGGTAGTACCCACTACATACCATATTGAGTTCTTTCGGTGTCTTTTAAATCAACAAATGTAGCTATGGGAGGAACTGGTTGGCAGTGTGAAAACCTTCAAGACTATATACTGAAAAAAAACCTACAGTGGACCAAAAAGTTCCATCCCGATTAGAGCGGGTAACGGGCTTCTCGTTGGCCTCTAGATTACGTAAGACATTTTGCGTGGGTGCGTCGGTTTTTTTGTTTTCCGAAAATCGATTTTTTGGTATTTTCAGGATTTTTCAACTTTTTGTAAATTTTGGTTTTTGTGAAAACTAGTGGTGTATGGGTTGAGTTGGAAAGACAGTCACACTTGGGAGAAAGTCGTCTCGACAACGACCAGGTAAAGATGGTTGGACGATGAGGAGTGCACTTGTAGGTTGTTGAGAGTGTAGAGATCAGTAGCGGTCGAGATCGGCTATCTAGTGTCAGTTGGTGATAAAAAACGATATCAGGGTGTAGATATTCGAATTTACAGATACTGTTAATTGAGATCGCAGTTGTGGATTTTCGAGTGAAAAAAAATGGAGCATCTTCGGATTACGCTATGAAGTATGCAAAGGGAATTTCGTGTTTTAAATAGTGTCGCCAGTTAGCCAATCGAAATTATCTTGCTGCCTGTCGTCATTATTTTCATCATTGTTCAGAAAAAAGTCTTGGGCTATCGTTCATGGTTTGTATTCTACAGTTGGCTACCGTTAATTTGCTCCTCACAGCACTGGCGTGTGGTTCGAATCCGTCAAGTAACTGGCACTGCAATGCTCAAAGCCAGTCCCTGACGTTGGGCGAGATATAATGACAAGAAAGTAACAAGTGATATCTCGTCAAAGTGCGACCGTGATTTTCCCCACAAAAGTAGAGCACAGCGTGATGGCATCTTAAAACAGATGGAGGATATTCACCTACAGCTCGAACAGTATCTACTATCAAAGATAATACCACGATCCTGTGTTGTTAACCGGCACTTGACCCGGATATCACTTTGTACTGTTCTGACATGCGAGAAAGCCATCGCGTGGATAAGCTCAACGGAATGACTTCAGCTTGGTCCAGGTAGAGATCTCCACAGCATGGCTTTGATTGAATGTCGCATCGCATCCCCAGCTCCTTACTGCCGCCCTTACTCTGAAAATTTCCTGCTCACTGTTTTAAGATGATGTTCCTTGTCTGTACATTCAGTATGTACCCACTTCCCAACTTTCTTTCCTTTGCTACTATTTATGTTAAACTCATATGTACATACCAAGTAGCGCCCCGGGTGCGTGTCTATCAAAATTAGTGCACCAAGGGCATGCCTAATGAACAAAAAACAACGATTAGAATTGTATGCTTTAAAATGCAGTTAAAAGTCAAACTTTTGAAATTTTGTAACTCTCAACAGATCACACATCCGCATGGAAAACTGTGTTTACGCTTCCCATCCTTCGTGTTGGTAAAATTTGGCGATTTAGAGGGCTGCTTGGACTGAGCTTTTCTGGCTTTCCCAGCCAAATAGCGCTCTGAATTGACATCTTTTTCTGACGCGGTCCTCAGTTCAGTGCTGGAGGTTTCGGACAATTTTGCCAGAGGGTTAGAATTGCTCCGCAATGCAAGGTCATTTGCCGATTTTTTGTATATGGTTTTGGTCGCACTGGGTAAATATGAAGACTTCGCGAAACTTGAAATGGACGACACTTTTGCTAAACTAGCCGTCGAGGGCGTTGACACGCTCTGGGAAGGCTCCTCTGTTCCCAACATGCGCTCCTTCCGCAGCCAATCCTTGTACAGATCGATGTCTCGAAGCACCTTGTAGAAAACTTCCTGAACTCCAAAATCTTCCAAGGCGGAGACTTCGAAAAAGGATTTGTCCATGTCCAATTGTAGATCGTCGCATAGCTCAACAATTTGGTCCAGATCCACAACTTTTTCGTCCTGCTCCAGATCGGATTTTAAAGCGCAAAGCACTATAGGAATTTTGTCGCCGCGCAGCTTACAGAGCTGACGATGCAATAGTTCTATGTTCTCCACGGACTCTGGATTGGTAACGTCGATGCAAAGCACAAATCCATCTGTTTGCTTGATTTGCAATGCAACCACTTCTGAGTAGTCTGCTTGCATGGCATCTGCGCCGTCCAGTACTTGAACGTCCGTGACATCTTTCTTGGGAGTTTCAGACGGTACTTGTGATTCTTTCGTGCAATCTTCATTCTGTTTTTCGCACTCAAGAAGATTGCTGATCATATGCAATTGAAGCAGCGAATACTCACTGCAGCTGTTGGAGTTAGCAAGCGCTGGATACAGTATTTTCCGGGAAAATATGTCTTCCCCGATATCGACGTCGTCCGCGTCCGGCAAAGGCAGACTGCCACGACACCAACGGTTGCATAGCCACGTCTTGCCACATTTTCGTGCACCAAGCACCGCTATTCTGGAAGTCGCCAGGTCCATCTCGCGCGGGCCATTGGCCTCGGGCATCTCCATATCGTACAGCAGAGCTACCATCACGTGCCTCGAAAATTGTAGATCGTAGAGGGCCTATTTCTGAGGGAGAGAAATAGAGAGAGAGAGAGAAAATCGAGCGTCGCTTCAACGTTGAAATTTCACCACTTTGTCGAAAAAATGTTGAACAACAGAGTCGCTTTAATTTCTGTTTCTGGCCTCGTGTCCAACCCGTAAATGTAATTTGTTCTCAGCGTTCTCTGCAGCCGATAGCCGTTCAGTACTTGTATTATCCTCAAAATTCTATACAGAGAAATGAAATCTCGCGCCCGTTAGCAAAAACCCAGCTCCGGCACAAAGCCCGCATTTTGATTGTTGATTTGAAGCCACACAGCGCAGTGAGAAGCTCATCGCATCGATTTTTTTTTCTTCGTTCTTGCTCTCGTTCATTCGATACCGTTCAATTCGAACTCATTTTCGTCCATCTGCAAGATTTCTGTCAATTTTGACTTGCTGGCTTTGGCCCTCGGCTAGCAGCGCTCCCAGTTGCAGCTGCGAAGCCCTGCTCGATTTCTAGTGATATGCAAGAATCGAAAGAATTGAATCCTGGCCTTACAGGATAATTTCAAAATTTTCTTCTCTTGCAGCCAAGAAAAATCTCGAAGAAGCGTTTGCATCTTCCATGCAGAAGTGGCTAGGGCTTATCAGACTCGAGGATGAAGGTGCTGAGCTAGCCAAGAGTAAGGTTGCGCAGTAGAAGAAATGGGGTAGGCATAGCGGACGCCAACTGAACATCTTTTGGAAAATACAACGCAATTGAACGGTTGAAAGAAATCCAAATTCAACATTGGACGACATGTTCGTGCGTTTCTGCCAAAAAATGTGTGTCACCTGGCTGATTCTCGGCAATAAGCATGCTTGCTTACTCTTTTTCCCAGTCTTGGACCGACATGAGTACTCTGGTGATGGCATCAAATCCTTGGTCGTCAGTTTGAGGACCCACGGTCCCATTGGATAGACACTCGAACAAACACCGGTCGATGCGGACGTGCTTGAGGGCCGGGTTGGATCTAGACAGCGCTATCGCCACGTGAATCACGCGATACCAGCGGTCCAGTACTCCGGCATGCACTGCCTGCAGAGCCATGTGCTGCGGGCCTCCAGACGCTTTTCCGACAAGATCCAGCGTCTCCAAGCCGGTGAATTGCGCAATTAGATTTGCCCCTACAGGGTGTAGGGACTCGCCGTGGAGTCGCAGGCTTTTCAGAGCACGGCACTGCTGCAACTGAATGAGCACCTCGCTCGGAATTCGTTTGGGCAGCTCGTAAAATTTGTAGTCGTGGAAAGCAACTAGCGAGAGTTTCCGTAAGGTTTGCGCGTGCAGCAGGATCGACGTCATGTACTTCTGGGCCAGAGCTTGCCAGCTTGGCCAAAGGGCCAGCTTGCTGTCGTCCCAGTGGATTGACAGATCTAATTCCTGCAAAGAGACGCCTGCGTCTTCTTTCAAACTGCGCAGAAACTCATGCACGGAATCTTTTATTGGTTCGCGATAGTCCAATCGCAGCTTTCGCAGATTCTGCAGGAACGGTGATAATCCTCCTAAAAAGCTGGATTGCATGTGTTCCAGAGCCAAGCTTCGAAAGTCGGTGACTTCGTAATCCACCTCGCGGATTACTTGCACTTCCTGTACATCACTTAGAGCGAGCAACTTAATAGCGCCCAAGTTAATGCCGTCGACGACTCGCAAGCAGTCTTCAGGCACTACGCTAACCCCCGATACCTCGAGATTTCCCAAGTTTTCGAATTTTCCGTCCCGACTCGACACGCTGTCCAAAAATCGCCAGAATCCCAAATCTCTTTGGTTGAATTTGACCACCTCGTCGCTCTCTGCCGAGTCCGGCTGTTCCAAGTTGTTGTTCAGCATGAATCCTGTCACGATCAAAGATTCGTTGCTGGGCCTGCTCAGCACCGAGGTACACTCACGAGCCACGCAAAGCGTTGTCAAATTCTCGACCACAGTGGGGACCAAGATTTTAGACAAAAACCCTGCAAGCCTGCCAGAATCCACGAAGGGATTGATAGACAGCTTTTGCACATTTGCGAACGTGTCGATTGGTTCGCAGCCGTGACGCAGGTCTACGTTCACCGCCAAAGTCTCAACGCCACGCTTGTTGGGCATCAATTGTAGCATTTTTGGCGGTAGTGAGAGTGTGTCGCTTCCACAATAAAACTTGCAAAGGTTGCCCATAACTGGTAAACTTGTGCACATCAGAGTCCTAATTTCGGACTTGCTCATGCCATCTGGCAAATTGATTATCTCAAAACACTTGATTAAACTCCCCAGATTTTCACCGTTCTCGGATATCAGACGCATCAGTCTTGCGAAATTGTAGCGGGTCTTGACATACGTAACGCGATTTTTCACGGTTTGGTGTGCACCCTGTAGATATGAGTGTCTCGAATCGACCACAATCTTGGAGAAAAGTGCTTGCATGGCTACGGCACAAAACTGTTTCGAAGTTCTTGCTAAATTAACCAGATCATACTGTGACAGTAAATTGGAAATCCGGATTTTGATCTCAATGGGCAATTTCGATGCTGAGTCCGTTGTGCATACGTTGTAGTCCATGGGAAATGCTTCTGGCGTTGCACTTTTAGGAATCTCATAGCTAGCACCATGAAAATAATCGTGCGGTAAGGGAAGTCCTGCGTGCCCGATAGGTGTATAAAAGCTAACGTGTTCGGTCATGATGTTATCAGATTCCTCTGAACCTGTTATTTTAGGAGATGAGCTCATCGCACCAAAAAAGATGCTAAACAAACGCTGTTTTTTGTACCAAAGCTTCGAATCACACTTAAAGGCTCTCTACACCCATATGAACCTCGAATGTGTGTCCAGTTACCGCCCTTGATTGACGTATTTGGGTGTGTGTCGCTTGTGAATACACCTTGGTTTCTTGACCAACACCCAGTTACCTATATCAACCAGAGCCTGATCTGATGTCACGTGTCATTTTTTATTTTGAGAATTGTTGTCCAGGTGGACACCGTGCCAATTCAACTCTAGAACGGGGTGTCGATAATCCATTGAGGTGTTCTTCTTTGGCGAGTTTTGATTGCCCGATGCTCTGACACACTTAGAATGACATCACATTCTTAGACAAATCCAGCTTGAAAGCCGTTTTCAGAAAATGGTGAAAAGGATAGAAGATGTGCTTCATTTTGGTGCGGTAGAAATGGCAGTAGCAATACAGAGGTATCAAGTTTTTGGATGGTGTTAAAAATTGACTTATTGCCCAGAGCAGCTCACTGAAAAACGCTAACGACTTGTTGTATTTTTGTTTTCATTTTTTGTTGCATTTGAAGAATGACTGGCTTTTTGGCGCTCTTGAAACACTATATACTACTACCGGCAGCCGGAGACGTTTCTTGAGGGATCTACAGTCGTTTGGTTCGAATGAGATACATGGTATTTTTGATCTGTCATTTGGTCACGTGGTCTCATGAGCTGGCCTTCTGGCAAGCTGACATTGCCCTTTCCATTGGGCTTGAGTTGTACCATTTTTATGACAGAATAATCAGCTCGATTGCAAGCCATCGAGTTCGTGGTGCTGCATAATAATCAGGCGCTGTTACGAAAAAAAGTCACTCACGCGGCGAGCGCTCGAAAAATGCTACAAATAGTACTTTTAGAGTTGCTAGCCCCAATACCACTATTAATTTTTTTTTCACCTCTAGTCTGTATACACCGTCATTTCTCTCACTCTTAACCTTCGCTGACTTGTCGCCTGTGATGAGTTTCCCAATCGTTAATTTATGACGGGTCTGATGTGATTCTTTCAGTCTGGAGAGTATTAAAATGGAAGCGCAGCAAATATTAGTGCAAACATCGATCTAATGTAAAATTACTTCTTTCAACTGCTTGCATTAGCTGCCTTCAACAATGTGAGCTGCCATCTCCTGTATACTTTTAACGCCTCAATTACGTAATCAAAACCATTGATGACAGAATAATTTAAAATGATGCTACAACAAAATAAGCATTTGCAATCTGGTCCTAACCTGAAGCTCAGTAATAGCATGACGAGAGTACAACCCGTGGCAGCTATACTTTTATAAAATCGGAACTCAAAACACTCTACGACCGCTCAACAGCTCGTTGATATTCTCATCCTTCAATATATAAAATTTTGGCACTTTTCCTAAAATGCACGAATATTCATACCAGGTTCAATGGCCAAGAGAACCAATGATTCTAAAGCAAGAATTTCGAGCAATAAAGACACTATCTTGAAACTTGCCATGCGCTCAATCTATACATAGCTGAGCATTTCGACAAACAAACTAAAATGCTCCCTTTCAAGAACGATATCTTACATTGATTCCCACAAAGTGAAATTCGTCAAATTTGTAACCAAATCGAATCTCCCTAGTTCTTGAATCTTCTCGTTTCGTCGACTTCCGGAGACCCAATAATTCGTATTCATAATCACCGTCGCAGCGTCTTAGATCTCTCGACGATCTTCGAGACACCTCTCTATATTGAGTGTTACCCGGCGCGTCCTTGCTACAGTCCTGGAATATTGAAATCACAACACATAAACAAAGCAAGAACGCAAGCTTCGACAGTTGAAGTAGGGTTGATCTTGTCCGATTCTGTTCGTAAACGCTCTCACCAGAAGCTGCACGTTCAAGTATGCAAAGCGTGTGGGTCCCAGATCCAGAACGAGTCTTCGTTCGAGCAGAATTGGTGGAGGAAAAGACACTTCGAAACAAGCAGAACAAAGATGAGCATTGGGCGGTTGTGAAGGTCGATGGAGGCCAAGTAGAAGTCCCAATCGAGGAAGTATGTGAGGTTAATCCCAACACATTTGACCGAATTGATGACATGTCAGAATTGACCCATCTGAACGAGCCCTCCGTTCTGTATAACTTGGAAAATCGATACGCAGATGACACGATTTACACTTACTCGGGGCTCTTTCTCGTTGCTATCAACCCATATAGCAACATTCGCATTTATTCCCAGGACTACATTAATCTATACCACGGATCTCCAAAAGAGGATAACAAACCGCATATATTCGCCATTGCAGAGCAGGCGTATCAGAATCTACTGAGTTTGAAACGCGACCAGTCTATCTTAGTCACAGGTGAGTCTGGGGCAGGAAAAACCGAGAACACCAAAAAAATACTACAGTATTTGGCCAGCATAACGTCAGAAGACAAGCTAGCACCTGATACCACGCATGAAAGCTTCGAGCGTAAGATCCTGCAGAGTAACCCCATTCTAGAAGCATTTGGTAACGCCCAAACGGTGAGAAACAATAACTCCTCAAGATTTGGCAAATTCATAAAAATCGAATTTGACGAACTGGGTAAGATCAATGGTGCTCACGTCGACTGGTACCTTTTGGAAAAATCTCGAGTCATTCAACAAGGTCCGCGTGAAAGAAACTACCACATTTTTTACCAGATGTTATCGGGCCTTAGTGCTCAAGACCTTCGCAAGTTTGGTCTGGAAACCAATTCTATCAGAGGCTACCGCTATTTGCGTGATTCGAATGCGAGTATACCAGGCGTTGATGATACCCAAGACTTCCATGCACTACTAAATTCTTTTAAGGTCGTAGGTTTTACCGAATGTGAGGTTCATACAGTTTTGACTGTCATAGCTATCATACTTCATATTGGTAACATTGACTTTGTATCCGAAAGAGCCGAGCAGGCGTCATTCAGTAATAGCGTTGAAACCCTTTGTCAACTGCTAGGTGTGACGGAGTCCGATTTCAAAACCGCTATACTGAAGCCAAAAGCCAAAGCCGGCAAAGATTGGGTTGTTCAGTCGAAAAATGCACAACAGGCCCGATTCATTTTAAACTCTTTGTCTAGGTCGTTATATGAGAATTTGTTTTCCCATGTTGTTCAGAAAATCAATGATAATCTCGATCACGGTTCCATGACAGAAAACTACATTGGTCTTCTCGATATAGCTGGCTTTGAAATTTTTAAGCACAACTCTTTCGAGCAACTCTGCATCAACTACACCAACGAAAAGCTGCAACAATTTTTCAACCATCATATGTTTGTTCTCGAACAAAACGAATATCTCAAGGAAAACGTCCAGTGGAGCTACATTGATTACGGAAAAGACCTTCAGTCAACGATAGATCTAATAGAAAGGAAGGATGAGAACCCCGGCGTTTTGCCGTTACTGGATGAGGAATCGATTTTGCCCAAGTCAACAGACGATTCTTTCTACTCGAAACTGGTCTCTTTTTGCAGCGACAAATCCGCCAAGTTTAAGCGCTCAAAAAAAGACAGATGTTTTGTGTTGACGCACTACGCGGGAGACGTCGAATACAATGTCGAAGGGTGGCTATCAAAAAACAAGGACCCTCTGTCGGCTAACCTATTGCAGCTCTTGTCCACGTCCTCTAATGATCTGATAAAGCGATTTTTCGATAGTAACGACTCTCAACCTAATGCTTTCAAAACATCTTCCCATCGGCATAGGAGTCAATTGAATTCACTTTTGGATCGGCTATCATCCACAGAGCCTCACTTCGTGCGTTGTATTATACCTAATGACAAGAAGAAAGCTCACGATTTCAATAGGAAGCTCATTTTGGACCAGTTACGGTGCAACGGTGTGCTCGAAGGTATTAGAATAGCTCGAGAAGGATATCCAAATCGTATCTTTTTCAAGGAGTTTTTTCAGCGTTACAAGATCCTATCAGATGAATACCGTTACTCCAACAACTCCAAGAAAAACTGCGAGATAGTACTGTCCTCTTTGCACCTCGATCCGGCATTATTCAAAGTAGGAAACAGCAAGCTATTTTTCAAAGCTGGTGTTCTGGCAGGTCTAGAAACCAAAAAGGAGGATCGCATTGCATCCATGGTGTCCAAACTTATTGCAAAAATCAACGGAACGATAGTAAGGAGACAAACCTCTGATCAACTGAAAAAATTGCAGGCTGCGCAAGTGCTAAAGGTCGCTTTCACCACATATGACAAGCTAATGAAAGATCGGTGGTTTAGTTTGTATGTCAAAATCAAGCCTTTGTTGGACTCGACACAGGAGATCTCCAAGACCAAGAAAATAGCCGAGCATGTCAAACAACTTGAAGCAGAGCTTGAACGTGTGAATTTGTTAAACAGAACTATTTCAACAGACAAAAGTGCCCTGACAGAGGATCTTACCCGCGTGAGGGAGATACTTCTCGTAGAGAGAAACAAACTCAAAGAACACGAAGATAAACTGGAACTGCTGAACAGCAAAGAGAAGGAGCTGAACGATCTTCTGGAAGAATCTGAGAAGCAGAGGCAGCATCTGACCGACGAGAAAAGCACCCTACAAAAAACTTTTGAAAAGTCCCAAGGTGATATGCAAAGCGCTGAAGATGGTGCAGCTAAAGCACAGGCATTACTGCTTAAACTGCAGAAGGAAAATGAAGCGCTGAATGATAGCATAGCGAAGCTCCAGTCAGAGCTAAACGGCGCCAAAATTGCATGCTCTCAACTCGAATCTGAGAAACACAAATTGAGTGAAGAGCTGGGCGCCATGGAGAAGGAGCTTTCATCAAAAAAGAACAGCATAGCAGAGTTAGAGACGAAGCTTTCACATTCAGATATTGAGCTAGAAAGGGCCTTGCAGGGCTTGGAGAAAAAGTTCCACAGCACGAGTAAGAGATTGACATCATTAGTTGAAGAAAATAAATATCTGAGGGATTCGCTCGAGAGATCTAAAAAGGAATCTGTGGAAGTGCAAAACACATTGCAGTCGAAGGAAAAAGAGCTGCAAAGATTTCTGGAGCGGTTGGAACAAAACCAGGTCTTAATACAATCTCTCAACAAGGAAAGGGATGATCTTTTATCGGAACACGTAAGCCTAATAAGTGGAGCCAAAGCTCTCCAGGCAGAGCTTTTAGAATACAAGAAAAAGAATCAGGCGCTGGAGCAAACATGTAAAGCTTTGCGAGACACTGCCAATTCTTCTAGCGAAACTGCTTTATCAAAGGTACCTCAAAACGAGCAGACCACCAAGAGAATCGAATCATTAAGCGAGCAACTTGCCAGAGAAAAGTCTTTGACCAAGTTTTTGAACGAAAGACTTATAGACAATGCCTCAAGCCGAACTTCCTCTAGATCAACTAATGATCAGGAGGATAGTCGACTCATGTCTGGTGAGGATATTTTCGAGGCCTACGATGAGCTCAAAATCGAGCTGCGAGAGGCTTCTTTTCGTCTCGAGAAAGAGGTCAACCAGAAAAAAGATCTTATTTCCAAGCTACGCTTTACTGAAACAAGGCTGGCATCAGCGTCGTTCGAAATCCAAAACATGTCATCACAACTGAGGGCCTTAAAAAGTGCCATAGTTAATGCTGGCTTGCATGTAAATCTCGAAGAAATTCTCAGTCAAGTTGAACCTGTAGAGCTGAACCATGAAAAGCTCATTTTAGAGATTGCGCATCTCAGAAGTCAACTTCAAGCTGAAAAACAAGCCAGGTCAGACGCGGAGAATGCTGCTTCCGCGCTACACAGTAAGATCAGACAGATTCAAAGATCCGATTCCTCTTCTGACATATTCCGGCTCAAATATGAAGCCAGCGAACAGAGAGTAAAGTCGCTGGAGTCAAAAATCACCTCTCAGGCTTTGAGAGACAAAACCAATCTCACCAACGGTGAGATTTTCATCCAGCGAGGTAGCATTTCAAAGTACGAAGAGGACCTGAAGCTCTACAAACTAGAAAAGTACAAGCTACAAGACCTTTTGGTGGAGTCCGAGAAGCAAATAAATAATTTGAAAAAGGGATTGAGGCAGTACCAAACTGATAAGGCAGCTCTAGCAGAGGAGCTTGCGCGACTAAAAAAAGAATTAGATGTTTCTGAGAGGCAAAATCGCCTGCTTTCAACAAGTTCGAATAACCACAAAGTGCAATACGAGAATTGTATTGAAGATCTCCATGCTACAGAAGGACAATTGAAAGAAATGATTCACTGCTTGAGGGAATCAGAGGCCGATATAAAGATTATGGCTTCCATTGTGGAGAGGTTGAAAGCGCAAAATAAGCAGAAGGATAAACAACTATGGGAAGTAGAGTCGCGCAATAATGAGCTCGAATCAGAGGTTGAAGAGAAGAATATTGATATAAGCAAATTACAGTCCCGAGTTCACATTCTGAATCAAGATCTTGCTCATTTCAAAGATCGCGTCAGAACGGCAGGCGATCAAAGGCAGCTGCTTGCTGAAATCGAAAATCTGAAAGCTGAGTTAAACTCTTCACTCAGAGCTGAAACGGAGTTGAAGAAAGAAAATTCGTCAACAAGCTACACCTTAGAGAACGTTAAGATCGAGTATGACTCCAAGGTTGAGGATCTGTTGAGGCAAAATTCTCATTACGAACAAGTCATTGGTGGCCTGGTGGATGAAAGGGACGCCGCTACATCTGTTAGAGACGAGTTGCAAAGTTCCCTCACGAAGCTGCAAGGAAAATTGGGAAGTCTTAACGAGTCCGTAACAAGTTTATTAGAGGTGAAGCGTCAACTTGAGTCACAGCGAGATGGCTTGAACGATAAGTGTGACGAGAGTAGAGCGGCTCTCGAAAAACTAGCGGAAGAAAAAGAGATGATAACAAGTAAAATCCATTCTCTTGAGGAAGCCTTGCACCTTCAACAGCAACAAACTGAGCGAAATGAATCACTGGTCGAGCAACTGCAATCTTCTTTGACAGACAACAAGTCGCAACTAGCGATTGAGAAGGATAAAAACATTGTTTTACGTGAAGAGAATTTATCTTTGGGTAAGTCGAATGATCAGCTAAGGAGTACATTAGGCGTTTTAGAATCGAAGATTGCCGACAAAACGGAACAGGAAGCCTGGATCTCAAAGGTGCAGGAGCTGGAAGACCTTGTGACGCAAGAGTCTGACGCTAAGTTCGAAGAAATCAAAAAAAACAAGGCCCTTCAACGAATTGTTGAAGAACTGAAGGGGATCAACAAAAAGCAAGCGGATACTATTGCTACCGCGAACACAAACCGAGAGGACTATGTTCGAGAAATTGCAGAAAAGCTGGAAAGATTGGAAGTTTTGGAAAATCATGTTGCAAAGCAGGAAGTAGATGGCAGAAGAATAGAACGCGATAGAGCGTATCAGGAAGAACAGGTCCTCTATTTGCAAAAAGAGCTTGACCTGTGGAAAGAAAAGTACAATGATTTATCCATGAGACGCAAAAGTATAGACGCTCGTTCCAATGATGAATTGTTTATTTAGAATGCACAGTGACGATGAACGGTTGATTTGTATCCGAATTTTATATACAAGGAATTGGAGAGCTTGTGTCGGACGCGCCACTCTCAAAACCATCTTTTTTTGGTTTTTTGGTCACAGGAAGGTCTAACTTTTCGTAATTTCCTAGACCGTAAAATCTCAAGACAGTTTCAACGTCCCCAAATGATTCTCTTTCCCCCTGCATGACAATAGTTGCTTTTCCAGTTCCCTTGCCCTTGTTTTGAACCTTGCCTGAAAACACATTTTGTGCCGTCCTTCTGATGTCTTCAGTAGTCAGCCTTTCTATACTTGAAATCATTTCACTAATGGGAATTTTACGGTCATGAAGTTGCACTTGCCTGCCCAAATCTTCAAGCTCCACGAGTTTCGACTCTAAATTCATCAGCAAAGAAGACTTCAGCTGGTTCTTGGCTCTGGAGACCTCCTCCTCTGTCAACTGAAATTTACCTGTTGCAAATGTGTTTGCCAGTTGCTGAGCAATAATTTCGGCCATATATGGAGCTGCTTGTGGGACACACGAAGCAGAAATTCCAAAGATACCAGAATCCGAATAAGAATGATTGAATGCCACGCAGTTTTCGACAAAAAAGTGCTGGTTCAAAACATGAGTGTAGAGACGAGAATACATTCCCTTTCCTGGTCCACCAGCGCTGAATGATCCTCCGCCTCCCAACAAAGTCTGTAGAGTAGCCAAAGCATATATGTCTGGATGGCCGATTGGTAGGCCCTCAAAACCCACTTGGATATGACACAGTTCAGGAAGATTTCCAAATACAGGAGCTGGAGGTATGCACATTTGTCCGCCCGTGTAATGGGCAGCTTTAATTTCGCGGCGAGCATGACCGGCAGGTAATGTCATGGTGTCGAAGTACTTGTGAGCATAAGCTAGCGCTTTTTCATGAGGTACTCCGACAAAGGCAGCAACAATATTATCAGGTGTGTACAACTTGCGCCTATAGTCTTTTAAGTAATAATTTGAGATTGATGGGATGAGCTCCTTTGGACAAAGTAGAGGAGAGCCTATGGTTTCGCCCGAAAATGCCGTAACGTGAAGCAACTCGGGCAAGATCAAGTCGGGCTTATTCCATACTTCATCAATTTCGTACTCGGCGGTGAGCTTTTGCTCTTCGAGTTCTTCTGCTGTGATGCGCGGAAACCTCACTGTCTCGGCCATAAGTGCAAACATTTTCTCGACGTCGCCATTAAAAACAGAGGCCTGGTACATCATGGTTTCACGCGAGCTCGAGCACTGATAATTACCACCTAACAGTTCAAGAGTCTCCGCCATTTCCCTGCCTGACATGTGTTCTGTCGACTTAAATGCCAAACGATCCATAATGTGCGTGCAACCCTTCATTTTAGCCGTTTCGTATCGAGACCCGGCTCCTACATAAATACCCAAAGCCGAAAAATGGCCGGGAACATTGCTGGTAGCCACACGCAAGCCATTGGCTAGTTTCGAAACTTGATGGTTTTCATGATTTCCTGCAACTTTTGAGCTGAGAGTCCTCAAGAACTGCGTTCTGGCTCGAAGCATGCTTCAAATTTATATTCGTCGCTCCCAAATGAGTGAATAGAACCGTCAAGTGAAGGGAAGTATGTGGTTTATGGGAATTCTTCACGAGTAGTCATCAGTCAAGAAGTAAGTAATTAATCGACACGAATGTATCTCTTCGTCTGTTAGTACAGAGTGATGTATAAATATTAAGAGTCTTATTACACTATAAATTAATTCCAACAGAGTCATAGAAGCTTGGCAGTTCGGACTGGGACGATTCGGGTAATGATGTGTGTACTTCAAGATTTGCTAAGTTTTTGGGTGGGCTCTTAATTAATTTTTGGTGCTTGCCGGGAACTTTAAAATTCGAAACGTATTTCTGAAAAGCTTGCGATATAATGGCTCTGGGGAATGTATAAAGTAATAGCAATGAGTGCGTTGGGCTCTTTGATGGTTTGAATGGTGCACCGTTTTATTTGTTATAATTTTAATTTCTGTTTGTCATTGTTTTGGGGGCCCGAAAGACACGCGACCGGAGGCATGGAATTCAGGATTATTGAGTAAGAGCTGCACAATTTTTGCCATCAAATGAAATCGAATTCTTGTTCCCAGTGTTTCATTTGTCTAAACCCATATGACACTTGATTCCTGGAGAAGTCATTTTATTTACGGTGAGCACATAATACTCGAAGAACTGGATTTGCATCATCGAGCTCTGTGCTTTGCGGCTCGGTTTAATTAAATTCCCCCAAGAAATTTCTTCTCAGAGCTTATGGTGAAATAGAAACATCGGACTCCCACAATTATGGATCTCCCCAATATTCACGGTGCCCCGTATGTAGTGGAAAATCCATTGCAAATATGAGAATAATGGAATCTTGTGAGGCAGTTTCGATGTACGAAAGCATCTTTTGGCACCAGGGCACCAGTTTCAATTCGCTCATAGACTGGATTGACTCTCTGTAGCCATTCAAATGAAGCACTTCTGCGCCACCTAGTCAACCATCTAGTCATTCCTCTACTCGAAGACACTGAAATAATCACACTTCATCCTCCAAAAAGGTCATTCAAGATACGATATGAAGAACAACTAAAATGCCAAAAAGCCGGACTCTACGTGCAAAAATTGAGCCTCTGACCAACTATATTAGCCACAGATTCCAATCTTTCCATTGAATTCACTGATTTTAGTATATCCACAATTCACACCTATATAAGCCTTCAGACATAATTTCAAATTCAAAATGGAAGAGAACGGAAACTTTACACAACAAATACTTTTCATACCACCGTCAATCACCAAAATCCTCATTTCCAACTGCTCTCTTCATGCTTGAGCGTTGAAAGGCCTCTATTTTGTCAGCTTCGACGAAATGAGACAAACTCAATATTTTAATTGGCAAAAAAGTCCACCATTTCACCAGTTCTTGGTTGACTCACATCACTCTTACAAGAGCACACCTCGGTCCTTAACCGCTTTCATTACTCCACTAAATGGCTCGTAGCTTTAACATTAGTGTTCCCGCCTCGTCGGCCAATATTGGTCCCGGATACGATGTCCTTGGTATTGGTCTAGCCCTGTATTTGACACTGGCTGTTGAGATCAACGCCAAAAACGCAGGTGAGACCAATGACGACCCAAACAACTGCAAAATTACTTACACAGAGGATAGCGAGGGCTACGGAAATGTGCCACTGAAATCTGACGAAAATTTGATCACTAGAACCGCGTTGTACGTGCTAAGGTGTAACGGCAACAGATCTTTCCCATCAGGCACGAAGGTTCACATTCACAACCCAATTCCTCTGGGCCGTGGTTTGGGGTCTTCGGGAGCCGCAGTAGTGGCCGGTGTGATGCTAGGAAACGAAGTGGGCCAGCTAGGCTTCTCCAAGCAACGTATGCTCGACTACTGTCTGATGATTGAGCGTCATCCAGATAACATCACGGCCGCTATGATGGGTGGATTTGTCGGTTCGTTTTTGAGAGATTTGACCCCTGCTGAAATGGAGAGACGCGAAATTCCACTCAGCGAGGTCTTGGGCGAGCCCAGCGGTGGCGAAGACACAGGCTTGGTACCACCAAGTCCCCCCACTGACATTGGTCGCCATGTGCGCTACAACTGGAACAAGGTCATTAAGTGCATTGCCATCATTCCAAATTTTGAGGTCTCTACCGCTGACTCGAGAGGTGTGTTGCCCCAGGCTTACACTGCTAAGGACTTGGTGTTCAACCTGCAGAGACTTGCCGTCTTGACCACCGCGTTGACTCACTCTCCTCCAAACCCAGATTTGATCTACCCAGCAATGCAGGACCGTGTTCATCAGCCTTACAGAAAGACTTTGATCCCAGGACTAACGGAGATCCTGTCGAGCGTCACGCCATCTACCTACCCAGGCTTGTTGGGAATCTGTCTCTCGGGTGCCGGTCCAACCATCTTGGCTTTGGCCGTGAACAATTTTGAGGACATCGCTTTGGAAATCATCAACAGATTTGCGAAGAAAAAGATCGGTTGCAGCTGGAAGTTGTTGGATCTGGCATACGACGGTGCTCAAGTGTCTAGCAATGAGGAGACGGGTAAAGAGTTTACTGAAACCATCTGAGTGAAATCTGAGTGAGAGCGGCAGCAGACGCTGCCAGTTTTCCTTCATTGATAGATCTGTAAGTTATAGAAGCGCAACTAATGAACTCTTGAACATTGAAGAGTGGTGCGGGAAAAAAGTCGTCGAATATATGTTGGCAATGCCTCGCTGTATGAGAAAGAGAGACTGGTGAGCTAGGCATTGTATACACTGAGGGATCAACAATCCTTTACTTCCGGAGTTGTACAAGACTAGAACAAGACTGGTCATTTCAAAGCATCTACTGCACTCACTCACTCAAACGAACTCCAAACTACAACAGTTCCTTAATGTCCTCTATTCTCTCACGTCGTCCCTCCTCTTTTTGACCACAACCAACATGTCTACCGCCAAAACCGATAAAATCACATTTTCCAGAAATGCACCCGTGCGAAGACAGTTTTGGGCAGAGCTAAACATAAGAAGAAACTCTGAATCAGTGAGCTCAGTGTGCTTCCCACACCCACCTCTTCACTCTCCTATAATGCTCATACTGTCACTTGACGATCGCCGCGACATCTACCCATTCCTCTACTCGTCAACTAGCTGACGCCGTTCCCACAAACCTAATCACTCCGTACGTCTCAAATTTTACAATTTTACAGTTCTAACGTATATCACCTACATCTTACCACTATTCTCACCAACCCTAATCGACAAACTCCAGCAAGTAACGCTTAACTCTTAGCGGCACATTCGTTGGCATTCAAACCTTCCTTATGGCTGTCAAATCAGAGTCGTCAATGGGCCTTTCGGGCTTCTCCTTCGCGCAAATGCTGCGCTACCTCGTGGTAGCCGTTATTCTATGGTATGCTGGATACAAGTTGTTCACAGGCCACGGTGAGGACATCAACTTTGGTAAGTTTCTCACCAAGACTTCGCCCTACATGTGGGCCAACCTGGGAATCGCTATGTGCATTGGGCTCAGTGTCACCGGTGCTGCATGGGGTATCTTTGTTACGGGATCCTCGATTCTCGGAGCAGGTGTGCGTTCTCCTCGGATTACGACCAAGAATTTGATCTCCATCATTTTCTGCGAAGTTGTGGCCATTTACGGCTTGATCATGGCTATCGTTTTCTCCGCCAAAGTGACCACTGCGCCCGCAGAAACTATGTTTTCCAAATCAAACCTGTACACTGGGTACTCCCTTTTCTGGGCCGGCCTCACTGTGGGAGTTTCCAATCTAATTTGCGGTGTTGCAGTCGGTATTACTGGTGCTACTGCTGCGGTTTCGGATGCGGCTGACTCTGGCTTGTTTGTCAAGATTTTGGTTATCGAGATTTTCGGCTCTGTTTTGGGTCTGCTCGGTCTGATTGTTGGATTGTTGATGGCAGGAAAAGCTGCTGAATTCAGCTGATTATAGACTTTCAAAAGCACTGCTGTCAAGGACAAGTTTTTGGTCGCCGCTTTTACCACTATGCAGTCGTATGTACAGTGATTTTCGGCACGAGGCTGCTCTGTGACATTTAATGCACTGCAGTACAGTACGATTCTGGTTTCTAGGCATCCAAAAACAAATCCTTAAGGCACACTATACACACTTTAGAAAAAGCTAGTTAGCAGTATTGCATTTTCACTTTTGACAATTTATCATTACTTAAGTGGGAACGCTACCGTTTTGTCTATTTTATACACATCAAATCTAGCACGCTCATGAATTTACTCTTCTTCGCGGTAGTCGGGATTCTTTTTTAGAATTACCACACCCTCGAGACGACTGGCGTAGGTGATGTACTCGTTTGTTTCGAGCTCGGCTCTTTCACCGTGTCCGAGCAGAACCGGAGTTGAGTGCGTTATCCAGCCTGTAATAGTCTTTGGTTTACCCGCTTGTCCCACTGTGTCGACAGCCTGTCCAACTCTAACGTTGACCTTGATGGGATCACCATCCTCGTTTAACGTCAATATGTATTTAGGCCTCACACCGCTGTTCAAGTAGTAGAATAGATAATGGTGGTCCAACATGAAGGAAGGCGTTACCAAACCCACAAGTACGGTCAGTAACGACGCCAAAGTGACCTTGTTTAGTACCTGTGCGTCGTTGAAAATGTCGAAAGTCATAGTTCCCTTGCCGAGATGTACCAAGCCTTGCGACAATCTGGTAATGAAGAGAGCGTTCTGCTCGCGTGAATAATAGCCTGCTAGCTGTCTTAACAGCTGTGCTAATCTCGCGTTGTTGGTTCCTGCACCGGTGAGACCCATCGCGAAAATGGAGTTCATTGACACGTCAAGATCGGCATCGTGAGAAGATCTTGAGAGTGTGTCGAAGATTTTTACTTGAGGGTCCGATACCGAAAGTAAACCGATGGCTAGAGGTACAGTTTTCCTGATATGGTCGTTACCGTAATGCATTAAATGACTGAAATGACGTAGAGACATCTCCTTGCCGATTCCTTCACCCATCGCAATCATGGCAATGCCCAGAACGGCATAGGTGAGCTCATCAATGAGAGCATACTCTTTTTCTTCTTCTTCCTGACTCTTTCCGTCTTCTTCTTTGCTCTTGTTTTCGTCCCCTTCTGCAGCCTTCTCGTCGTCCTTCTGAACTTCTTCAGCAGAATGCATCTTCTCATCACCATCATTGTCGGTTTCTTCCTTTTTAACGGCATGAAGAGTTTCGGCAAGTTCCTGATCGATGGCGCCTTCTAAGTCGCCAGTTTCCTCTTCATCTTCGCCTTCTTCCTCGCCCTTCTTGTCTTTAGGGGTCAAACGATGCAATAGGTCTTGGATCAGTAGAACATCCCCAGTGCCAGTGAAGGCGCATACGTTAATCAAAACTTCGATAGCAGATGTGATAGGGTGGTCAATCGCAGAGATCGTTTCAATGACATCCTCGACTTGATCACCTTGGCCAAGGTACAAAATACCCAAAGCCAAGGTCAAGAATCTCGTCCACTCAGTCTTTAGCTCCGTGGCATTTCGTTCAAGCAGGTTGTCAACAACCGCGGTCGTAACATCACCGTTGCAGGTACCAACGAAGGCGTGGGCAAGGGCGAGAGATGCCATAGCCGAAGTCTCAATTGGCAAGTTGGTATCTGCGGCTATCGGCAGCAGTAAGCCTAGTAGCTCGTCGTTTCTACTCCCGGCAAAAGCAATGCCGAGACCTAGAATTGCAGCAGAGCTTAGCTTCTTATCTGGGTTAGTCACATAGTCCTGTAGTAATAACATGGCAGGTTCTACTTCGCTGTCATGGACACCACAAGCAGAAATACCTATACCTAACAAAGCACCAGCCTTGACTTCGGGCTCTTCGACGTACAAGTACTTGTCCAGCTGTTGTAGACCATCCAGGTTCCACTGGTATATGGACCCAATGCTAGCTACAGTCGAAGTCATCCCGTCTCCCTTGGTCTTGTAAACCCAGTTGTCATCGCCCACAATAAGCTTATCACTCGAGTAACCGAGGTTTAAGAAACCATTGACAAAAGATGCGGCCAAGTTCTGTTGAGCGGAGTCTAAGCCGCTCCCTGCGAAAACGCCCTTGGAAGAGTTATCTAAATGACTCTTGTAAATGTCTTCGGGGACTTTTGGTACGGTCAGATTGAGTTCTTTAGCTAAGAAAAGGAAATGTTCCGAAAGCTTGGTGTTGCCGATGATGTCCTGAACACCTTCATATTCAAAAGATGACTTCTGCGCTGAAAGAATGTATGCAAGTTGCTTGTGGACGACTTGGTCTGACGTAGCATCAAAAACAGCTCTTATTAGCGATTCGTCATCCAATCTGATCGCCAACGCTAGGGCTTCTGTCAATTGTAACTCACTCAAGTAGATAGAGTAAGCCGTTTGTAAGAAGAAGACATCATCTGGAGGTGGTAATAGTGGAACGCAAGCAATCATGTACTGGCAAACGCGTTGAAATGTGTTTTCGTCGATAAATTGGGGAAGTTTGTCAATGGATTCGATCTCTAGAAGCAAGTCGACGGCGTCGGCTTCACCATTGTGCTTGAGAAAATAAGGCACAATTTCTAGCGATAGCTGAACCAGAGACTCCTTGGAAACTTCCACGGCGGGTCTAAAACCTGCAGATGAAGGCTCTGGGGATTGCTCGGACGAGTCTCCGGCCTCTTTTTCGACCTGCTCGTTGTATACATCGCCAATTTCCAGCGCCAAGTGGCGAACGTATTCGTGGCCCCAGCTTGCGATATCTTTTTCGTCCGAAACCAGCCTAAAGCGCAGCGAGTCTCGCTTGTCCTCGTCTGAGTACGTCATTGCCAGGACCGAGAGCGTGTCTGCCATGATAGACTTGAGCTTTGCATCGGTCCATTTCTCGTAAACGTTGCACATTTCAGGATAGAAGGGACGAAGGAATTTAAGCGGTTTGGGCACTGCTGTCATAGAACTGGTGGAATCGCGCACCAGCTCCTTCAGATGTGCGAGAGAAGGCTCGTAAAGCGTTGCATCATCCTCCATCAATCTTTCCACCAGAGTCTCGAGGTTATTTTTCAGTTTCAGATCTTCTTCTGAGAGATCTTCCTCGGCTTCATCGTTGCCCTTTGATTTGGCATGAACTCCATCGTTAGGCGGTATTTGAGAGCCATTCGACTCCTGAACTGGCTTCTCTGGAACTTTGGATGTTTCTTCTGACATCAAAAAGCTTCAGAATCAATTATGAACTGTTAGTTTGGCCTAATCGTGTTGTTGGGGCCTCCCGTACCGCTCTTGGAGAACTGGTGTTAAAGGTGCTAAATTACAAGTTCGCCACCGAGAACTTAAAGGTCGATTTTGGTCGCTATGTACGTCTACGTCATTTGGTCAAGATTACCTTGGCGTAATTGGCCATCTTACGGCAGAAGAAGCTGGTCATAAACGAATTTCATGGTTATTTTATTTGATAAAGTTGTACCAGGAATATTGTCGGTTTTTTGGCAGCTCAATTGGCTTTAAGTGATGGTTCTTGCAGCGTCAAAATCTAGTGTTTAAGGACTGTTCAAAATTTCGTTTGAATGAACAGAACGAGTTGAAATTTGAGGGAATCAGTGTGTAATTTGTACGATGACATGGGAGGAAGCTTACATTTGAGGCTGTTATTTTTTTTTGTTTAATTGTGATGTGTTTCTTTGAAATATTTCATCGTTCGTTTTATGGTGATTCAACGTTTGATTAATTTCGAGTTCTGGTGAGCCACACTGATCATGATGCAGACCTCTGGACTACCATCCTCTTATCTTGCCCCTGTTGTTTTCATAAGGCCAAAAATCTGCCATCGTAGGCCTGAGCTGCCCAGTTCAACAACTTGTCGTAAACTATGTTGTTCGCATTGTGGTATCTAATGCTGTGGTCTGAATCCGGGAAAACATGCATGTCATAGTTCTCGACTCCTGCGAGGTCCAGCATGTCCAAAAATTTCAAGGAATTCTGGAAATGCACATTGTCGTCTCCAGATCCATGCATCAATAGAAACCTGGTAGTTTCGCCCAAAGCACTAGCATTATGCACCTTTGCTTTTGCGTAGCCATCGCTGTTCTGCTGAGGTTTGTGCATGTATCGTTCCGTGTAAACAGAATCGTACAGGCGCCAATCGGTCACAGGCGCCACCGACATACCGTACTTGAAGGTCCGACCAGCGTCTCTTTCAAGCGTTTTCAATGTCAAATAGCCTCCGTACGACCAGCCGAAAAGAGAGATCTTTTGGGCGTCAACAAATGGCTTTGCTGCATACTGTTTTGCAGCGCTAATCTGGTCTTGAGCCTCCACATCGCCTAAATTATCCCGCACTAAAGCCCTGAAATCTCTTCCCTTAAAGCCAGTACCACGGCCGTCAACAACCACAACAATGGCATTCAGCTGTGACGAGACAACTTGATTAAAACCAATCGAGAACAGCTTGGCGACCTGCTGAGAGTTAGGCCCACCATACGCGTAGAAGAACACTGGATAGTGGTCTTTCAATTTGGGATTGAAATTTGGAGGCAATATTTCATAAGAGCTAGCAATGATGTCGTGGCCGTTCTTGTCCTTACCCAAATTCATCTCTCTGAAGGTCTTTTGAGGTATTTCGTAATGTTTAAGTCTCGACTTCAAAGTCTCATTTTCTTCAAGGCAGAACAAAGTCTTCCCTAACACATTACCAGCCGTCAAAGCATCTGAGGTATTCGACTTGAATTCGACAACTTTTTGGTACGGCACTTCTGGGCCCAAGTACGAGACAAGCGCGAATCTAGAGCCTGAGGAAAACGATATGGAGAAGTATCCATCCTCAGATGTGTCAGACACATCCTTGATATTCAACGGATCGTGAAGGTTGACGCTGTATATATGTCTCTCGGCTGAATCCTTCTTTGTTGCGATAAAATATACGTTGTTGCTTTCGAAATCAATTGCAGCTGGACCATCGACTACCTCCCACTCGCCGCTTGTTAGCATAACAGGATCTGTGGAATTGGCTGGAGAATAGTACGCCAAGTGATTGTATCCATTGAATGGGATTAAGTCCACATAGCCATCTTGGTCTCTACCCCTCAAAGAATCCCGAGGAACGTATTTGGTGTTGTGTGTGATTTCCCACCAACCGTCTTCCGAAGATTCTTTGCGTGGTACCTCGTGGGAAGCTCCCTTCTCTGCATCGACTAACACCACAGACAGCACATCTGAACATCGATCGCTAGTCTTGGCGAGTATTTTAGCATCGCCGACCCACAAGACCTCTGTAATAAGTGTCGAAGCATCTCCATGCTCAACAGCTGAGAACTTCTGAGCATTGATGTCGTATACCATAAGCGTTGCTTGAGGGTTGGCGCTTCCACTTTTCGGATACTTAATCTTGCGCACCTCTGGATAAATATCGGCATCGTCTTGTGCAAAGTAAGGGATGGGGAATTCGTGAACTAATGTCTCGTTTATTCTAAGGTAAGCTAAGTAGTCACCTTTTGGAGACCACCACATCGCGGAGTCACCTTCAAAAACTTCCTCTTCGTAAACCCAGTCAGGTTTACCATTGAAAACCTGAGCACTTCCATCGTTTGTTATACGCCTACTGACAGTATGCGTCTTTGTGGAATACAGAAACATGTCATTTGCTTGAACGTATGCCAGGTCTTGGGAGTTCGGGGACCACTGAACAAGGGCTATGCCGTGACCCAAAAGACGCAATCCATTCTGGTCTTCGTCCAGCAGGAAGTAGGACCCGACGGTAGAATGCCTCCAGTTCTTTGTCGTGTTCGACCTCAGCAAGACCTGGGACAGGTCAGGAGACGCCTTCACATATTCGACACTGTAGTTATAACCATCGTGTTCGAAGTGCTTGGAGTCCAAGAGAACTCTGGAGTAGTTCTTGTCCAACACAGACTCAACGACATAAGAGTCGTCTTTTTCACTCAGAAACAAGCCTTTGTCACTAACAGAAGAATCGACGCCACTGATCCACTGAATAGAATGCAGTTGGGGAGCAAATGTCGCGTTGCGAACGTTCGCGAATGATATTTTGTCTAAGGATTGCTTTCCTGGACGGACCGGCCAGTGCCACTTGAAAAACGCAGAGATACCACTTGGCACGTCAGAATCAATTGTTTTTAGAAGAGCGAACGAGCCCCAAACCAGCAAAGTCCACAACGCAAGCTCTACCGGAAAAATGCCCTTAGTTTTTCGTTTTCTGATGTTCGCTAGCTCATAATTGAGGGGTTCCAATTCTTCATCTTCAAAGCCCATTGAAGATGGAAAACCACTTATTTTTGGTGTCTGTTAATAGCTCGGAGTTTCTAAAACTGTTGAAGAGCTTAAGTGATGGTTTTAGAGCGACAGAATCAGTTAATTCTCAGCCTCTTATACCTCTTGAATTTATTCAGAATCTTAGAAAAATGATGTATAGTTACTGTTGATAACCAATTGTTCGAAATTACAAAAAAACATTAAACGTGAAGAGCAAGTATGTAGGCAATCTTCTCAGTAAATAGACCGACGAGATATGATATATGTTTGAGGTTATTAACTATGCACTGTTCTTTCTAGTCCTACAATATTGACACACACAATAAGTGTTCGCGCACGCGTACGTTTCCCACTGATTATCTTCATTGTCAAGGCATGCTATGCTTCGGGCTAGGCCCGACGAGGGTTGCCTCTCAGAGTGACTGATAATGTGATTTGAAGAGTATTCGAGAGGCGAACGAATGAGAGACTTCTTTGTTTTTTCGTCGGAATGCATGCTCGAGAGGAGTCTAAACTCTATGTGGCGCGAGATGGCCTGGGCGTAGAGGGCCCAGTTTATGCGTACTTCCGATCAAGCCCAAACTCCAGTTCTTTTTCGAGATCTAAGAAGTCATCTAGAGAGCCAGCCGCATCCAGTGAGTTTGCGTTTCCGTTCAAAGGCGACGCAAGTAGGTTTTCATGTGGTCTTGGCGGGAAATCGATGTTATGGTCTGGTAGGTCACCAGAATGAATGCCAATAAATTGGTCGTGAATGTCGGGGGAATTCGTTGACGGCTGCGAGAAAACCATGTGCTGCTTGAGGTCTCCATCTTGATAATTATCCAAAGAGGGCTGCCCTCCTGCCCCGAAGCCTTGTGATTGCTGGCCCGGACCGTGTCTCTGTTCTGTTTCCTCTTGTTGATGTTGGCGTAGTTGCTGTTCTTGCTGTTCCTGCTGTTCCTGCTGTTCCTGCTGCTGCTGTACTTGCTGTGCTTGCTGTACTTGTTGTTCTTCTATCAGTGGCTCTCTCACAAACTGTCGGAAATCTTGCACCTCCTCTAGAATCATTTGCCTCAACTGATCCATTTCATTCACAGTCTCGAAGCCAAAATCAAATTTCTCAGTGCAAACAGGCTCGTCACTGGGGTCATGCCATATGCTCAAATAAGGATGCTCCAGAGCTTCTTCCACTGTAATTCTTTTTTGAGGATCGAACGCAAGCATTTTCTCCAAAAGATCAAAGGCTTGAGCATTGGCTTGCGGATACAAGACCGAGAAGGGGACTTTGGGAATATAGCCCAATTGATGAATGTAGTCTTGAACATTTTTGGACCCAATGCGCTCTAGAGTCTCCTCTGGCGGGGTTCCCAGCACTTGTAAAATCCTATTCAGCTGGTCCACATAGTCCTTCCCTTTGAAAATAGGCGTGCCACCCAGTAATTCTGCTAGGATACAACCACACGACCATATGTCTATAGCCTTGGTGTAGCCTTGGTAACTCAGCATGATTTCCGGCGCTCTGTACCACCTAGTAGCGACGTATTCAGTCAAAAATTGGTTGTTTTCCACAGGGTTCTCGGAGTAACCTCTAGCCAAGCCAAAATCGCAGACTTTCAGCTGACAATCGGCATTCACCAGTAGATTGCCCGGCTTCAGATCACGGTGAAGAACGTCTGCGGAATGTATGTACTTCAAAGCACATAGAATTTGGTAGATGAAGCTCTGGTAATGTGCGTCCGTTAAGGGCTGGCCCGACTTTATGATTTGGTGAACGTCACATTCCATCAGCTCCTCATATAGATACAAACCATTGAAGGTCGAGTCCGGAGAGAAGACAATGTCCATGTCGTACAAACATGTTATATTTTTGTGACCTCTGAAGTGTCGTAGCAGTTTTAGTTCACGAAGTGATCTCTTACACAGTAGCGTCTTAGCAAATATGTTGGTCACCTTTTTGATCGCAACGTTCGTTTCATCGGTTGCTTCTGTGAATCTAGCCGAGCAGACGATTCCATACGCGCCGTGACCGATTTCCTTGATCAGTTGGAATCTTTTGTCGACAGTAAAATCTTGATTGAACACCTTGAAGGTGTGCCTCTCTAAAGCCTCGGTCATGCTGATATCGACTAAAACTTAGTTCGAGAGACAGAATTCAGGTCTCAACAGATCTAGTTGACTAACTACGATCTCTTCGTTCTCTTAAGTTATCCCTTTTCACAAGCCTGAGTGTCTAGGATTTAAAAAATTTTCGAATACTAGTTCGAGTAAGGAAAAGTGAAGTACGAAATTCAAACCGCTAATGGCTTAAACTCTCTGACTTGGTTATTATGGTTCGGCACTGTGGAAGATGCCAGATCAGAGACTTCGCAGCTTATCCGAAACGTTGCGAGTGCCCTCTGATATTCGCCCAATCGCCATTTTTGGATTAGTTATCCAAATTTTATATGCCCTATAACGCTGTCCATGTTAATTTCGCGTCGCTCCAGTGGTGACCACGGCGAAAAGTAGTGTCTGATTTGCCCTTTGCCCTCAGCCCGGATGGCTACCATTTGAACTAAAAATAGGAGAAAATCTGTGGGATAATGCAGTTTGATTTTTTTTCTAGGCGCGCCTTGCATGCGGAAGATGAGTACACTTACAGCGAGGCTTTTGCAGGAAGAGTTTTGTATCGGAACGAAATACGCAGCGAAATGCAGAACGCTTGCCAGGAGCGTAAGTGCGTTGCAGCCGTAGCACTTCCAAAATAGTTCAAAGGTTTTTCTGCCACCTACCTCTGCGGACTACTGTCAAAAAACTGTGCTTGCCTGCGTACTCATGCCGAAACGATCTCCAAAGTCTTGTAGAAGTTCTTGACTTTGTCGTTGGCCTTGATGGCTCGTGGGTCGAAATTTACAATCTGCAAGCGGTCTTTACAAACCGCTCTTGACAAAGCCACGTAAACCTGGCCTTCCTCGAAAACTTTTTTTAGATCAACTTTTAATCTGTCGATTGTTTGGCCTTGAGCTTTGTGAATGGACAATGCCCAACACAGTATGAGCGGTAGTTGCGTTCTGCTGACACTTGTCTTCTGAGCTGGTACATCAACCGTGAATTCCGTGGGCGATATTAGTTCGAACCTGAAAGCACTGGTGGGGGTTGTAAACCGAATGAGTGGATACGAGCAAAGTTTGTTCTCACGTTCGGCAATTTTTAGTAGTAGTCTTAGATTTTCCGCTCTGTGGAAAGATCTGTTGTTGAGTTCGGCTTGAACGTCACTAGGGTAGTTGTGCGGCGCTAGCCCGATGCACCGATCCAGTAGCCTCATATCAAGAACTAGGGACGGGTCAGAGAGCTTAGTAGAAGGATATAGCTCTAATATTTTCAAGTAAAGCAGCTCAGTAGTGAAAAACAAGAGCTTTCCGACCGAACCGTTCACCAGTGTTTCATCTACGTTCTTGACCATCATTACCTGTGCGTCTTCCTTCAATGCTAAATGCTTGTCAACCATCAACGAGTCCAAAATCTTCAGCAGATGCGGGTTATCGCTAGTGGTTTGGTCCTGTGCCTGGAAAATCTTGACCTCGCCTGCCAGTCTATCCAGCATTCGCTTATTGGACATGTCAACTTCGCGCCGCGTCGGGTACAGTTCTGTAGGCATAATGCCATCGGAGTATTCAACTTCTCTTTCATACCTTTTGATCTGCTGAACGATTTGGCGGTTGATGTCGCCAAATCTGATGCTATTTAAGAGCTCCACAAGCTCAGGGTCTTTTTGCCGGAAAACCTGGGTTAGACGGATAGTGTTGTCGATCGCTTGTTTCCAGACTTTGCTCTCAAAGCAGAAAGTGGGCCTCTCTGCGCGAGGGTCTCTATCAGCAACCGGAGGCAGTTGGAAAAAGTCTCCCGTAAGAACCAGCTGAATGCCACCGAAAGGCTTGTTTGGCGTTCGCCGTACGTCTCGTGCCACGTAGTCCATCTTGTCCAAAAACCTGCCGTCAATCATCGAGACTTCGTCGACGATTAACACGCTAGTTCGCTTCCACCGCTCGCTATTGTTCTTGTTGCGGTTGACCTGTGCAGCCAGTTTTTGCACGCTGCCCATACCGATGTTGATGCCCGAAAATCTGTTGACAGTGATACCGCCGATGTTGACGGCAGCCAGGCCTGTCGACGCCGTAATAGCCACCGCCGATTCACCGTAGCGCGCCCGGAGCTGCTTGACCAGTTCTCGCAGCACCACCGACTTACCGGTTCCTGCAGACCCGGTGTAGAACACGTTTTTGCGCTGGTTGACAATCAGATCGATCACACGACGCTGTTCTGCGGTCAATTCGAGTGCGGGCTCGCTCTTCAGCGTGCCTGGCGTGTGAGGCGCCCCCGTTGACGTGCCTCGGACCGGTTTCCGTTTTTTTTTGAAGGAAAACGAAAACTCAGACACTGCCGAACGTTTGACCGCGACAGACGCCGATCCTGACGCGAAAACGGCACTGCTAGTGCTTGTGGCCGTTGTGGATCGACTCAGGGCACTTAGACCACTGGAACTGCTTTGCAGCGCCGTGGAGGGCGCTGTTACTGCTGCTGGTGATTTTTTCGCAGGCTGCAGGCGCGCTTTGAAGTTTTGCAAGGGCGTCTCCTGCATCAGCAACGACAATGCTGCTTCGCCCGCGTTGTCGTCCTCGTCGAAAGACCCCTGCGACTCGAAAAGCGGTCTCTGACGCTGCCGAAGCGCCATCACCGGCGATCGCCCGGTCTCGGCGGCTATTTCTGAACTTCCCGCCAGCCGCCGAGAGGCCGGTTTTTTCCCGAAAAAACTCGTCACCGTAGCTTGTCGCACCTGTGGCCTAGCTGTGCTCGCCGTCTGGCGCTTCTGTCCCCCGATTTTGTCTCTTCGTTGTGTAAACATGTGTATAGTTCCGTTTGGGTTACTTTGAAATTCGCTGTAACTTACGCTATTTGGCTCCGATTTCGCCGCTGGAAGTCGCTACCGCTAGATCAAACAGTCGCAAATCCGCCACTGCACACGTAACGGCCTTTTTCGAGCTCTTTGAAGCTCTAAAACGCCCGATTCTTCTCGTTTTGTCCTCTCGAAATGTCATCAAAACATATGTCTAAAAGAGATAAAGACGCGTTTTTATATACCGATTATTTAAACCCTGAAAAAGTTCCCTCAAATCATCGCATACGGAACGGTCTATTCGAAAAATTAAAATTTCAAGATGCTCATCTCATCACCGGAAAGTAGCCTTTTCGGAACTTAGCTGAAGATCGAGAAAGAATCTCGAAGGCGCTCGAAAACGTTTGGAAAGCCCTAAGACAGCACAAGCCGTTATAAGTCGGTTAAAAATTGCGTCAAGAAGTCCGGAAAGAAATTTTCGGGGAGAAAAAAGCGAGTTTCTAGCGCTCAAAATGGCCCCAAAATCGAAACAGTTCAAGCACACGACAGGCGAGAGACGTTCGTCGCTGATCGTGTCGAATGGCATCAACAAAGGTGGAATTTTCGGCGCCGTGGAGTACTCCATGCCGGGGGAAGTGGCTGTGGAGGATTGGGACGAGAACATCGAGACAGCTGAGGCCGGATCTGCTCGCCAAGAGCAGGATGCGTTGCTTGGCTCGAACCGGTCGCCTTCCGCAGCATCGCAACTGAAAATTGACAGCCACATCGACCTCCAGGGCTCGTACGGCGCCACCGGCGGTGAATCTCCAAAATCGTACCCGCGCGACCTTTTGGAAGAAGAGCGCGACCTGCTGGTCGACAACAAACTCATCGCAAACGACCGGCAGCACGCAGACGTGCCAGCAGAGCAGCGGGACAAGCAGATTCGCGAAACGTGGGAAGCGGCCATTGAATCCGGAAAGATCATCTCGACGACCCCGCGTCGGGAGTGCCAGGTGCTGCTCAAAAACGCTCTGCCTCTCGTGTTCACGTTTGTCATGCAAAACTCGCTGTCACTGGCGTCGGTGTTCACCACATCGCGTCTGGGCATCAACGAGCTCGGTGGAATCACTCTCGGGTCCATGTCGGCCAATATTACCGGCTTCGCAGCCATCCAGGGTCTTTGCACCTGTCTCGACACACTTTGTTCTCAGGCACACGGTGCAGGAAACAAGCAATTGGTGGGCATTTTGCTGCAGAGATGTGCTATCATTACCCTCATTTTTTTTACTCCTATACTGTGCGTGTGGTGGTTTTGGTCCGAAGCTGTTCTCGCAGCCGTGATCCCCGAGCGCGAGCTTTGCAGATTGGCTGCTAATTATCTGAAAGTCGTAGCCGTCGGTGTCCCCGGATTCGTGTTCTTCGAATGTGGCAAAAGATTTTTGCAATGCCAAGGCATTTTCCATGCATCCACGCTTGTTCTCCTATTTTGCGCTCCCTTCAATGCCGTGATGAACTACGTTTTGGTCCTGGATAAACGCTTGGGTATTGGGTATATTGGTGCTCCTATCAGCGTTGCACTCAATTATTGGCTCATGGCCTTTGGTCTGCTTTTCTACACCGTTTTCACCAAGCACAAGTCAAATCCTCGTAAATGCTGGGGCGGCCTTATCAAGCCCAATCAAGTCTTCCGCAACTGGCGTAAGATGTTCAGCTTAGCTCTCCCTGGCGTCGTTATGGTCGAAGCTGAGTTTTTAGGATTTGAACTTTTGACAATATTTGCATCGCATTTGGGCACAAGCGAACTTGGCGCTCAGTCTATCGTCTCAACAGTTGCATCATTAGCATACCAAATTCCATTTTCCTTCTCCATTTCTACCAGCACTCGTGTTGCCAACTTTATTGGAGCTTCCCTTTATCAAAATTGCATCGTCACTTGCAAAGTGTCACTTATCCTGTCTTTTGCCATTAGTTTGCTGAATATGACCACCATTTACTCGTTCAGGGTTCAAATTGCCAATGCCTTTTCGAAAGATCCTGAAGTAGTGTCTTTGGTGGTCAGCGTTCTGCCCCTACTTGCATTCATGCAAATATTCGACGCATTCAATGCCAGTACATCCGGATGCTTGAGAGGCCAAGGTCAGCAAAAAATCGGAGGTTACATCAATGTCCTTGCCTTCTACTGCATCGGTATTCCTATGTCATATTTTTTGACCTTCAACTGCAAGCTGGGAATGGCAGGTCTGTGGTATGGTATCACTAGTGCATTAATCTTCATGAGCATTTTCCAAAGCTACGCTGTCTTCTCGTGCGACTGGAAAAAGATCATCAAAGCTGCGAAAAGTCGTACTTCAGAGCAGGACAGAGTTTAGAATTTACAACTTGCAACTATAAATGGTCATCGTTAGACAGTAATAAAAATGCATTTATAATATTGAACATGGCGTGTGTGCTAATACATTGAAATGAGACTTGAGCTTTTCCCAGATGTCATCACCATCAACAGTACTGCTCCAAAATGCTGGTTAGGTTATTGTAAATCCAAGCCACTGTTTTATCATTGCGGATCCTGATGTTTTCAAAATGCTGTATGGACTCTTCAATGGTGATATCGTGTCTTGTCGCATACTTCCCAATTTCGCACGCAAGTGCCCTGCGCCGCTGGTACGTACGGACTTGAGGCAATTTGGATAGCTGGCCTTTGCCATATCTCTGTTCGAAATCTAAAATCTGTGGCCGTAAGACTAGTTCATATTCCTGGTACATGTCAGAAATGGTCGCTGGGCTAGAACTCATCACAAATTTGAAGTCTTTGATGTTGATGTGCTGTTTTCTCGACTTGAACTTCGCAATATTTTGGACATTTGATGGCAGCAAAGGTCTGAGCTGCGGCTTCACTATGGGTTTACCAGATGAGGACTCTACTATATGCAAATTTTGGATTCTCTGGTATTCAGTAAACTCATTTTCGTCGCCTGCAGAATCATCAGGTCGGCTTCTTTTGCGACATTCTGCTGGAGACAGAGATTCGAGGTTCCTTTTCCAGGGTGACGGCGAATGATTGAGAAAACTGTGCACGCTAAACGCCAGTGGATATTTATTGAGAGGAGAAAAGTCGTGGTTTACACCTGTAAGACGCTCAATATCGGAATCTGGTCGGGGCAACCTTTGTCGATCGATCGATGGAAGCCATTCGGTGCCTTTTCTTCGTGGTTTGTCGCTCGGCGTGATCACAATTGCATTATCGGTTGAAACGGGCAATTTCAGTGCACCGCCAGAAGTGTCTACCACCGCGCTGAAAAGGTTATTGGTTTTGTCCTCCTCTATGCTCAAAAGTCTCTTGATGCTGTTCAGCTCGACTATAATCACGGTATTCTGCTCCTGTACCAGACTCACTTTCTCTTTCAGAAGCCTCATCTCGTCGTTTGACGTCTCTGCTGTCGCAGAACTCAATCGATTCCATTCTCGCGCCAAGCTGTCAATGCGAACTTTGACAGAGTCGATAATTTGGTCCAAGCTCATTACTTATGTCGAATAGATGAGGCGAACTTGTGTAATGTGTTGGAAAACTCGTTTTAGAAGCACAGAGTCCAATGACAGTGGCCTCTGCTTGTATCTTGAATTTGCTTCAATATGCTCAAAATTCAGTCTTTGAGTCTCAAACAGCCCACAAAGAGAAACAATCAACCAAGCTGAGACGAATTGATTCACCAGACTTTAACGAGCGTCTCTTGGACTTCAGCAATCGGCGCTGTCACTACTGTTTTGGAGGTTTTACTTAGTTCCTGATATTTGTGTCATTTTACAAAAAAGCTGACGTCGCTGTCATAGTTTAATATTTAAATAAAACTATCAATACCACGGTTTAAAACACCAAAAACAAAACAAACGGATCCTTGAGATCGCGTAAGAACATGATTTTGGGTTGGGATTTTTGAAGTCGATTTATACCGTGATTTTGAGCTAATTTTTTTTTGATCAAAGATCAGTGTCTTGAGCGTTGTCACTGTCTTTAAATTGTTGGCAGGTAAACCATTTATATAAGTAAACAACTCGTCGTGATGATGAGCAAAGAGTCTTGAGCATGTATATACAAGCAAGCATCAACTTTGATGGGCAGGAAGCGCAAGCTGGTGCCCTGCGCTCTTTTTCTTGTCATTCTGTACAGAAATGTCATTTTTTGTTGACGATGATCCTCGACTAAACCGAAGTTATAATATACAATACGTTTTATAGTTTATGCTTTTGTCTTCTTCGCTAGAACGCCTTGTTCAGGTTCTTCTGCGGCTGCTCTTTTCTTTGCCTTGTTGATACGAGACGCAAACACCTTGTCAAGCTCGTCTGGGTTTGCAATTTCCATCAACGCAGCGTCGAAGTTGGATAGCTCCAATTCCGTGCCAGCGATGGTGAACTTTTTCAGCGCCTTGTCCTTGACCTCAGCATCTGCTTGTTTAGTCAAAGAGTCTAAGACGTTCTGGTTGTAGTAAAGTGGGAGCACTGGCGATTTGTTCACCTTCAAAAAAATGGATCTGATCTGAGAGCTCTCAATTAGCTGTTCAGCCACTGCAAGCACATTGGCGGCGAGGGCGTCGGCAGAAAACCATTCCAAATCTCCCAAATGAGCATTGAGCGTTGTACCCCGAGGCATCTTGGCTGGAAGGGTATTTAGATAGATTTTCTTGATGCTGTTTACAAGCGACGTTAGCGAAAAGCCACCGTTCTTATTGGTCTTGATAGGAATAGGCGTGGTGGCCACTTTCTCGTATGCTTTACCACCCAAAAGTTTAGGCAACGCCGTCACGACGGAGTCGTCGGCTAGGATGAGCGAGAAGTCCTGCACAAAAGCTCTTCTCTTTTCAAGTGCTTTGTACTTGGTTTTGAGATCGTTACCCGAGATCACGGCGTTCACGGTGATGCCAGATTCGTGCAGTTGCTCATAAAGCTGGTCCTCGGAGCACTTGGAGGCGTCTTGATCCTTGAGTATCAGCAGAGTCTTGAAGTCTTTGACAGCGGTTTCGCTGGCGTCTTTCCAAGGCTTGAACAGAGAATGCTCGATTTTGAACAATCTGGGCTTGAAAACCTTTCTGTTGTCTGTGAACGAAGTGGTGTTAACAGCGATTAATTCCACTTGTCTGTCCAGTTCGCCATCGTCCAGAAGCTGGTTAGAATCTTCGGTTTTGGCTTTTTCGCTCTCTACAAACTTTTGCAGTTCTTGCACGGCGCGCACAATTCTATCCTTTGGAATTACAGATTCCGGTTTTTTGGCCGCAACAGGAGCGTCCTTGGACTTCAAGACTAGCTTTTCGCCCTGTTTGCCAGAGCTCTTGACCGCTTTCTTCTTGGTTTTCGACGGCGTCGATCCTGGTGTGGAAGCTGGTGTCGAAATCCTGCTCGAAGCTTTCTTAGTTTTTACAGGCGGTGTGGACACAGGAGTGCCGTTTTTCGAGCCTCTGCCCTTCTTGATAGGCGTTCCCTTAGCCATTATAACAGATTCCAGCTACTAGTACCTTTTATACTGACGTTTTCGATCAAACGTGTATAAAATGTAGCTTTACTTGTTGGTGAGATGAGCTTCGATGAGATGAGATGCGATGAGATGAGGAAGAAGAGCCTATGAAAATTTTCAGAAAAGAAGCCAAAATGAACTTGATTTAAAGGTCACGTGAGGAAAAGTGACAGACGAGGGAAAAATGTTATGAGAGGCCCAAGATGGATTTTTAAGAGCGGTTCGAGAGCTGTCAGAGGCTGGCGCATAGTTTGGGGAGCTAACACGAACTTTTGGGAGATTTGTTGTAGATGTGTGAGTTTTTAAAATTACGAAAAGTTTGGGCTAGCATAGAGGTGATTTAACTTCAGCGAAGACCGCTGGGGAAAAGATGAGCTGGTGGTCAGACTGGGGAAAGGCGAGTTTCCATACTGAGGGAGGCTTTGCGGCAGTGAAGCAAGTTGAGCGGGAGATTTCAGATGAGGAAATGTGATAGGTGTCAGAATAGTACAAAGTGATCTGAATTAGGAAGAGACATTTTAGCTGGGTATGAGCACCGTTAATGGAACCTGCTCAGCCGCTTAAACTCGGCCTTCTGAATGTGCTGATTCGACGGTTACGGAGTCACTTTTGAGAGCAATTTCTAACACTACCTGTCAAGAAAAAACACCCACCCAAAAATTTAAAACGACTCTTTCGAGCTACAGGAATGGAAATTTAGCCGGGAAAAAGCACGACCATTGGCAAAACTGGTCCAGCCACCCATCGCACTCAAACAAAACGCCCAATTATCCATATTCCAGGATTAAAATCGACTGAGAGCTTCTATCGAAACGATCACGCGACACGTCTCAAATTTATTGAAATTATTACTACTTCTACCCACACACGATACTTGGATAAAAAGCTATTGATCAACAACACAACTCGCACACCTTTTGAGACCAAAAGAGGCCGAAGCACACTCCCAATAGCGGCGTCTGGCATCGGAAAATGGGTAAGAGAAAGAAGTCGTCAAGAGGCCCCGCGAAAAGAGTGGTTCAAAAGCTCGATGCCACGTTCAACTGTCTGTTTTGCAATCACGAACGATCAGTAACATGTACGCTGGATAAGAAGAATAGCATCGGGTCGTTGTCATGCAAAGTGTGCGGACAAACGTTCCAAACACACGTCAACGCACTGTCACAGCCGGTGGATGTATATAGCGACTGGTTCGACGCAGTGGAAGAGGTAAATGCCGGGAAAGTCAGCGATTCCGAGGGCGACAGCGATAGTGCAAGCGACTACGAGAGCGATTCCGACGCCGAACTGGCGAACAAGAGACGTGCACAGGCGGATTCGGACGAAGAAGAGATCTCCGACGATGAAGAAGCCGTGGGCAGCTCGAAACGTGGTCGTGGCAAGATCGTGGATTCCGAAGAGGAGGACGACGACCAAGAGTGAGCAGTGCGCTCACTCACTCACCCTCTCGCTCTCTCAAATAGCATAAATAATAATGGTAGTAGTAGTATTTTTCCTACACAAGTTATTTGCGGGACCGCCGCCGGGAGGGGGACCGTGTGCTTGCCTTGGCTTGGGGGCCGCGCATATGCTGTGCCGAGAGCGGGTGGAACCAGGAACCGGCCTCAAAAAAGGGCTGCTGCTCCTCCGTTTTGGCGAGGAGGAGTATTTAAATAAAAACAATGCGCCCGACCCTCTAATTGCTGCTGAAAAGCTCCTCCTTGAGTGGGATGGCGAGCTCGGCTCTCACGTCCTTGAGCTCTTCTAGGTACGCGTTGTACTGCTCCTCGTTCTCAACCTTGTATTTGAGGGCTTCGAACACACGGATCGCCGTGGGCAAGTCGTTGACTCTTCTGGCAGCTCTCAACGCCTTTTCCACCACGGCAGGCGCAGGGACCAAATCGTACGAGAAACAGTTGTTCAACACTCTCTGCACCTCGAACAGGTCGTATGCCTGCTCGAACTCTTTTTCGTATCTGGCCGTGAACTCTTCGAAAGTCTCCTCATCGTGGTGTTCGGAGTATTTCCTTATGGACTGGAATTGGCTCAATTTGGGCATCGTGCGGGCCACGCTGGTTCTTTGACTGGCCAACGTTAGCAGGCTTCTGCTGTTCACACGAACTCCTCTGAAAACGGCTCTGGAAAACATATTAAAGACGGAATTTCTTCGACAAGAGAGAACGAAATATAACCAACAATTCTAAACTGCTCCTGTAGTCCTCGATTAGACTCAAATCACTTCAAAAATTGGCTAAATTATGGATGAAATGATGGTCGATTTATTCCAATCTTTGATTTTTTTCGGATGTTGAGAGACGGGAAAATATCAAGGAAATTCGGGTCTACCATTGGTTCGTAGAAGAAGATGAGTATCACGTGACAAACAACACGTGAAAGTCATGTGATGAGTAAAACACGACCAAAAACTGCCCCATTTCCTCTAGACCAAGTCTAACCACCTAGTCGCAGTCGTCAAAGATAGATCGGGGTGGAACTGCGGTTCTAAACTGGTCGATTGATGGCAATTGTAATTCGTGTGCATGGACATTTGCATCGCCATGCACGGAAAGGTTTGGTTCGGTATCCAGTCGTTTTTCAGTTTCCACAGCGGCTGTGTCGAGTGTGATGGAGGTGCTGGGATGGTGCAATAGTACCTGGTGGTGGTGAGGGTGTAGGTGATGAGAGCTTTTCGAGGATGCTGCTGGAAATGCACCCACGTGACCAACCGGTCGCAAGCCCTGGTGTCGATTGGGCGACTCCTCCAGCCGCGAGTAGTCGAACTCGGGCGGCGGCGACACTGGTGGCGACACCAGGAACAGTGCCCGCTGCTTTGGCAGCTCCAGAAACTGTTTGGGAGCAGCCAACGGCGGCTGTGAAGCCGCCGCGGAAAACTGGAACTGAAACGCGTCCAGTTGTGGCCACTGCGAATGCAACAAGATCGCCTCTTGCGCTATTTCCAAAGAAGGACACACCAAAACACACCTTTGTAGCGTAGGCAGCGCCACCAGCTGCATGGGGCACGTCGCTGTGACCTGGAAACGCGTCAACACAATGGCCTCCAAAAACTCGCGAATAAGCTCGAGAGAAGGGTTTTCCGCCGCGTTTTTTCGACGTGACGTGATGATCACGGTGTTGGAAACCATATCCACATTGTAATACCGGCTTTGAACAACTGAGGAGTATCTAAGCTTTGGCTTTTATGTTCATATCCAAAGGGCTTTACAATTCTTCAAATGGGCTGGTGTTTTGACATATGTTGAATTTCGAAATCTCAAATCATGATATACGAATTAGGTCTCTGTCTCTCTACACAGCTCTTCCTGATGAACATCTACTTCTCCGCTCCCGTTACCACACCGCTACTTTATATCCAGTGTCTATCTCTGCTTTTAGAATATCGGTTTGATTTACATATGCACATCGTTGCCCGTAGAAAAGCTCGCCAGCAAGTAGAAATTCAAACCCGAGATGAATAACCACAGCACGACGGCACACACGGTAGTGAACCAGCTGTTACTCATGTCTGAGTACAAGTCATCTTCGTTTCCCGACGGCACGGCCGTGTCGATATCGAGCCTGCCGCTATCATTGTCGTCTTCATCGTCGTCTTCAGGTCGAGCCAGGTCCTGCAACGATATTCCGACGTCGCGAGCCTCGTAGTAGCAATTGTTAGCCAGTTCCACACGCATGATTTTCTTGTTGCTGGTGAAGTATAGCAGCGGTGCCGATACAAAGGGCAAGAGTAGTGACAACACGACTTGTGACGCATTCAAGGCCCCGCTCAGGCCCCGACGTCCAGCCACCAAGACCAGAATCAAACAGGGCGTAATGGCAACGGCTCGCGTCAGAGCTCTGCGTAACGCAGGCGCAATGGTCCAGTTCAAAAAGCCCTCTGAAACCATTTGCCCGCTCAAGGTGCACACGATCCCAGCGGATTGGCCGGAGAACAAGAGCGCCAGCACAAATATCGTTCCTGCTGCTTTTGACAGACTTTTGCACAAAAGCTCGTAGATCGAAAACAGGTCCGCGCTCGAGTCCTGCGTGGTGCCATACAGCGTTGCGCCGGCGACTATCAGGATGGAGCAGTTAACGAATAAAGCCACCGTGAACAGTGACACCAGCAGCTCGGCAATGGTATAGCTGAGAGTGTCACTGATGGCATCGTAAGAAGGCTTGTAGTTGTCGTGATTGTTGTCCATATCGGATTCGCTGGGTTTGTAGTGACCGTTAGTGATGTCGTAGTCGCGCAATCTGGGCTGCACCACACCCGAGCCCAAGTACAAACTGTGAGGCATCACGGTAGCACCTAGAATGGCCAAACTGAGGTAGATACCATCGCCTTCTACCACGGCTTTGCTCGGCAGAAAGCCGTGGAATACGTCCCCCACGTTTTCGATGCTAACCGAGAACAACTCGACGGAAAAGCACACCACGGTACCCACAACCAAAAGCGACACGAAAATCTCGAACCACCGGATGAGACGCAGAGAGCCGTTGGGACGGTACGCCATCAGCACCACGAGCACGTCGACCACGGTCAAAATCACGCCCAGCGGCAGTGGCACGTTAAAAAGAATATTTAGCGAGATGGCCGTTCCGACCACTTCTGCCAGATCCGTGGCGATGATGGCCACCTCGGCCAAGATGTACAGCACCAGATTCAGATTATGAGGCAAATGGCGCCGGCAGTTCTGGGCCAAGTCCAGCCCCGTGACGGCTCCCAACTTTGCACACAAACACTGCCAGAACGCGGCCAAGATATTGGCCACGAGCACGGAAAACAGCATTTTGTAGCGGTGTGCCGAACCTGCCGCCACAGCCGTACTAAAGTTTCCTGGGTCCATGTATGAAACTGAAACCATAAGGCCGGGTCCAATAAATCGTCCGTATTTGCGTAGTATACCCAGTATTTTCCAAGTTGACCGTGGCGCCCGAGCCCCGCTGTTTACGCGCAACACATGGCTTGTATCGAGCTCGAAGGAGGGCGAACGTCGTACCGGCTCGTAATTAGACATCCAGTGTTATGGGGAAAAGCCAATTGAGTGGCGTCTTGGGCGTTTGTTTTGGATACTCTTGGGGAACCTTCTTGGCCAGGTGAGTGAAGAGCTCGATTAATCCTGTGACACCTGGCCAGCTTTTCCAGTTTGAGAGGTGTCGTCAATGGTGATCAAAATGCTAACAATCAACCGAGAACAACCGAGAGACGGTCCAGTTTTAGGCTTCAACGGTGGTTGGGAGCTGGGAGTTCTGGTAGAGCAGCGGTGTCTAGGTTTTCTTGAATCCAGGGGCTTTTTCTTCGTATCAGATTTTGTTTTGTCCTGTCTCTTGGCAACTGACGGTTCCCACCGCAAAAACCATACACTTTTTGGCAGGCTACGGGACTGCAGGCGATACGGAGGATCCAGTTTGGTGCTAGAAGCTCGTTCTGCTGCTGCTGCTGTGGACCAGACTTCGGTAACGAAACCAAAATTTCCAAAATCTTGGCTTTTCACAGGTGTGAGTCTGAAAGAGTCGAGAGAAGGGTGTTCAAAGGGGCACTCGAAGGTGTTTTATCAGTGCCAGGTGTTTCAGCTCACCAGGACGACTTGAAAGTGGACGTTTACGCATTGATGTCTGCGTTCTTTGTTGTAGTTAAGTGGTTAAGTTCGTGAATAGCCGCCCAAAATTAATGTATCTGGAAAAAGCTAATTTGTCCATGAGTACATGAGTACAAATGTCATTAAATATGAGCCACACTGTAGTTTTCAGCACACCAAGGAACTTCGGTTCTCAAAGTACACTGGAGCTGACTGAGTAAATGAATGAATGAATGAATGAATGAATGAATGAATGAATGAATGGATGAACGAACGAATAAATAGTACTACAGTATTTATCGCTTTGAACAATCGAGTTTCTTCTTACATGCCAAAAAATATCTCCCGGGGGCGATTCGAACGCCCGATATCCAGATTACAGTGTTAAATTACAGTCTGGCGCCTTAAACCAACTTGGCCACCGAGAGGATTCGATAAAGTCACGAAAGTTTTTGTCATACTAGTGCAGTACCTCTTGCTGCTGCGACGGTGGTGAGAATTAATGGCATCAGAATAGAGGATGAAAGATCACCGCTAAATAAGAATTCAATGCTAGCAAAAACAATGATATCTGAGATCTGAACAATCCACATTTAAGATCCGGAGAATTTAAATTGGCTATATATATATATATATGCAGTCTTCTCCAGCGGAAGGGCATGATTTCTGATTATTTAGCCATGCGATTGGAATGACGAGCCGCAAGTCCATACAAGTTCACCAACACGCACCCTCACGTACGCTTTGCTTCGCTCACTGTTTCTCACTGTGTCTCGCTGACATCGCTGTACTCGAATACTTTTCGCTCTATTACGACTAGTGCTGATAATTTCAAGCTCATCGCATCCAAAAAATTTTATCTCACACTTGCAAGAAAGAGTTCGTCAGAACAGAAGCCAGATCGAAGCACTCAGTCGTGTTGAGCAATTGAAGTTTCCATCATCGAGCACTCGATTCTCTAAACTAGTTCTAAACTCTTTCAAATAACCGAAAATGGCCAAAGACAAGTCCTCCACAAGCGAAGATAACTACGACGCCAGACTACCAGCCGTGCTGCCTTTTGCACAGCCGCTAGCGTCCAAAAAGCTAAACAAGAAGGTGCTCAAGACTGTCAAGAAGGCTTCCAAGGCCAAAAACGTGAAAAGAGGTGTCAAAGAGGTGGTTAAGGCGTTGAGAAAGGGCGAAAAGGGCCTGGTTGTCATTGCTGGTGACATCTCTCCTCCAGACGTCATCTCGCACATCCCCGTGCTGTGCGAAGATCAAACTGTTCCATACATCTTCGTGCCCTCCAAGCAAGACCTTGGTTCCGCGGGAGCCACCAAGAGACCCACCTCCGTGGTTTTCGTGGTGCCAGGCAGCAGTAAGAAGAAGGACGGTAAGGCCAAGGAAGAAGAGTACCGCGAGAGCTTCGACGACGTCGTCAAGGAAGTCAAGTCCTTGTAAAGTGCACCATCTAAAACCAACCAACGAAAAAAAATTGAAGGCATCACTATAATGGGAGTTCTGGACGAGCATCTCACTCTTCTGCCCTGAGCTGCTGGTCTGGAAGGAATTTTCAAAACGTTATATATATACAATATAATATCACCGAACTTTGTAAAATAAGAAGATATACGTCCTAAGACACAGTCTCAAGCTTGTCTCTTTTCTCTATCTCGTGAGTTACGGTTCTGTATGCTTCTTACGCATTATAAGATAGAATCCATACTCATCTCGCGATTCAAGAAATATCTAGGGTCTCTGACCATTCGAAAATAGCCGAATGGGAGTCAAGAAGAGACCGTACTCAGCGGGAAATGGCCCCAAATCAAGAGTCAAAAGAGCAGACTCCTACGAACCAAGCTCTCTGGTCAGTGCACACCGATTTTTCAGCCGAAAAAGCCCAGACGCCAGCACCGGTATCCGACGCAGTGCAGCGTTCGTTCCTCTAACAGAGCTGGAATACAGCGATTTCCAAGATTCGAAAGCTTTCGGTGAGGTCCAAAACGATGTTTTGGACTTTGTTCAACTGGAAAATGGCATTTCGTACCTTTCCATCCAAGATTTTAGCGCCCTGGACTTGGCCTTGGTTTTAGGATTTGTGTTTGGCAACAGAGGCAAGCAGTGGGTTAGAGAGGGTGCAACAGATCCAGTCCATGTCGCACGCGAAGTGCCAATAAGGGGAAATTTCTACGTTCATAAGTCCTGTGGAATTGCACCAGAGACGAGCAAAATAAGAGACGGCCTCACAATAGCGAAGTTCGTCGAGCTTCGCGACTTCACCGAGATCTTCGTGAACTGCTACGGGACTGGCACTCTGTTTGAGTCTGTCTGTAGGTTGACGAAGAGACTGAAGTTCCAAAAATCGGCTCCTCGAGTCAAGCAGGAGTTCCCCATAAGGTTCAGAGATCTAAAATCGAAGAGAGCCATTGCAATGACGACCGTACCGTTCTTGGAAAGAGGAATTTTGATGGACTCGGAGGCCCTGTCGAAGATCAACCGTCCGGTTGTAGAAAAGAGCAAGACTGCCCTGAACACATTTATTGAAGCAGTGCGCAGGCATAACGAAGTCTCGTCCCCTGCAACAAATCAGGAATCCGTGGCTACACCTAGATTAACTTCACAGACTCCCGGTCCCGCTAAGAAGGCCGGTACAAGCACATCGCGGTACGGTGGTCTCACTAGGACAGATCAAACGGCCACCAGAAACAACGCTGTGCGCAGCGTCAATGGAGACGGCAGGACGCTGGACGCCCAATCGCGCACATCATCTGCGAGCTACCTCAACCAAGAACAGATCCAAGACTATTGTGTTGCAAGCGTAAAAGCGTCAATTGATACAGTAAAATCCAAATCGCCATACCAAATTTTGAAAACTTACATCAAGTGCCCGCGCCAGCATTATGTGGACCTTGTCTACGATAATCTGCACGATTTGAGGTCCAAGACGAACTGCAATGTCGTGGTGATGAACTTGAACAACGTCCATGAGTCTGCCACATGGTTCGGCTCGCTAGACGTGGCCAAGTATACAAAAGAATCAAAAATTGTCTCTGTTCCACATCCAAGCACTGTGAGAGTCGTAAGCATTGGTGGTATTGGCGAACACAACCTGGAGGCCCTAAAACTACTTCTCAATCTACTGGAGACCAAGGTATAGCGATCTTTTGACGTTTACACTGATTTTGGGTCAATAATGGTCACAGCGTACGTCCTGGGTACGTACCAACCTGGAATTTGGTCTTATAGACAACTCTGATTCAAACCATCGCAGGAAGACTACAAAGGAAGGCCATGAGTGAGCCTAAACCCAAGCGTAACTCATTCTTCTTCTTCTCGAACAAGAGCAATGCGCCAAAAAATGAGCCAAAAGCCTCTAATGTCAAGTATATTGGAAAATACCCATTAATGCCCTCGACGAGCACCCTTGCTGGATCTGCGTCAAGTGAAGGGAAGGCTAGATCTGTTGGTACTTCAAATCTACCAGGGATGTCTCAACCTTTGCAAAGCACTGTAAAAGACTCCAATACCGTCATAACGTCCAATGTTAGCAAACTGAGCAGAATAAGGCCACCACCACCCCAAGTGAATCTCGCGGAACTACCGGTTGAGAAGCCTGAAACGGAGAAGAGTGATTCAGAGAAAGAAGAACACCCGCAGTCAGACGGAAATTCGGCTCAGTTCGGCCACGAGCGCAAAAAATCTGAAATCGACGAACTGATGGATCACATAGAGCATTTTGGCAACGAGAGTCGACATGACCTTGAAGATAACATATCGCTGGAGTCTTCTTCACCATATGAGTATTTTGAGACTCCAAGTCTGAATTTGCCCGCCGAAGATGCTGACCAGGAGCGGCAGTCAATACACGTCAAATCGCTAAATTTATCAGACTCCAAAAGAAGTTTAAACTCAGCCGAAGTCAAGAGTTCAAAAGACAACTCCATAGAGTCAAAGTCAAATTTAATGTACGAAGGAGTTTTCCTGGACGAGGATCGCTTCTCTTTTGCTGCCTCTCAAGTGGATCCCGTTCAAAACTTACAACAAATATCATTCAATAATGAACGGGACTACGAGCCCGAAAGCTCCAGAGGTAGTCATCAGCAGGGCCATCACAGCAGGAATGTCTCGAGTAGCGACCAGGGTGCTCCAGATGGGCGCTCTTTTGATTTAGAAGCTTCCAACAACAATTCCTTGTATGGCGATGATCAGTCGTATTTCGACAAACCAAGACAATTCAGAGTGGTTAACGAGCACCGTCCAAATTTTACTCTCAATGATGGCAGCAGCACCACCACTGACAACGAGAGTTTCGTATTTGCGCCTGCGGATGCGGCCTTGCGCGTGCATGACGCAGATATAGTGCACCCACCTGTAATTAGTTCACTTCCACCAATTGCATCGTCATCGCTTCCTTACGATCAAGAGCTCGAAGATGAACAGACCAGCTCGAGTTCTCCAGCGCCGGTGCTTAAGGATCTGAGTCCTATAAGTGGGCCAGAGTCCGACTTCACAATACAAGCTCAGTACCCAGAAGCTCAAGATACAGCCAAATCACACAGCCCGCATAGAAGTGGGACCGATAAGTCTGTAAAGCTTGTGTCCAGCTATGTCGAAGAACTGCGACTAAAGTACTTTCCAACATCTAATTCCCTTCAGCCACCACCAAATCTGCCATTTGTGCTCAAAACGAAGAACAGTTTGGAACAACCGCAAAACATCAAGGTCAGAATACGCACCAGCTCCAAGCAGATTGGTATCAAACATGGGAAGGCCAAGCAAAAACTCCTGTCTTTGGAGACGGCCAAAGAGGAAGACGAGGAAGCCAGCACTGGAGTCAAGCCTCGGGGTAAAAACAGTTCAATTTCCACAGAAGTGGACCATACGCGCGAATTTCATGATTTGTTGAACAAGAGCGCCTCGGGCATTAATTTGCTGGCCGGAGGCAACCTGGACGACAGTGGTGGTCATGAGAATGACTACAACGAGAAGTCTGATGATCTGTACCTGCAAAACATTCCCGGTGACGAAGCTTATGATAGCGATGATGTGATGGCTCCATTACGGGAACGAAGTGATCAAAACGTTGGCCTTCGTTTCGTCGCCGGTTTTGACGAGGGCTCCAACCAAACAGGAAGTACTAAGGGTCGTGTTGGTCGGAGTGATACGGTCACCAGTTATTTCACACGCAAAAACAACAATCGGGCTCGCAGTGGGACTTTAGACGCAGATTATCACTACAAAGCGAGTCGGACGGAATACGACTGCTCCTTTAAGGACCAAAAAAGTGCTGAAGACTCTTCTGATGATGAGATTTCCGTGCAGACATCGAATTCCGCCTATCTTCAATCTACATTTAATGGTGGCCTTCGAGTAACCAACCAAGACCCCGTGTCAGACTAGGTGCTAATGATCAATGAGAAGCGTTACTGGATGGCGTGGTCAGTTGTGGGAAGACTAATCATCAACACCATGGTCGTTCCAAGTTCGAATTACTCTGCCGTTTTTATGCGACGAAGAAAAATTAGCAAAAGGACCATTTTTCACAAAAGCGTGAGCTCGTTGCGACACTCATTACAAGTCTCTTAGCTATCACCCGTTTGATCTGTCCTGACCATTGCTAGAGTGAGACACAGGCATCAATCACTCTTGGACGTTTCGGTCGTTCACTCATCGCGTTTGACGGACACGCACACATGTGCCAACTGGAGTCCAGGAGAGCTAGTGCAAGAGGTTTTAGCTGGTGATTCATCTCCGAGTTGTTTCTGCGCACACTAATGGGAACTCAAATTAACCTCTAATTCTCTAGAATGAACAATCATGCCTTCGACTTCGTCAAAAATTCACGAACTCTCCCTCTCTCTGCCTCTCTCCCTGACAATTCAGTTATGTCAGACGAATAACACAATATGATTCAAGAACCAAGCATAAGGGAGACCAAGAACAAACTGCAAAAGACGAATTGCGCTGTGAATGGTCACTATTCTACAATTCTCAAATTTCTCAAAAAATCATAAGCAAACAAGCTGAGGTTAAGAGAACGGATAACATCAAATCTAGCTCCCTCAAGACTTTGATTCTCGACAGGACTGAGGAACATTGACAGGCCCGGCTAAGAACTGCTTAACGACATTAGTTTGGCCAATGACGCTAAACCACAACTACGTGTATAGTGACAAATAACTTCGACAAGTGGCAAGATTTCAAAACATGAAATAACAACTCAAGTTGACATTTCAAAGATCCAACAATTGCAAGTGATAACTGGCGGGTTTAGGTCGATTAAGATGAATGCCGTTCTTCAGCAGTCTGCCTACACGCTGGTGTATGATCCAAGCCCGAGTTTGATCGGGTTTACCAAGGCAGAATTGCAGAAATCGCTGGAAAAGGGTTCTGATGAAGAAAAGATCAGCACGATGAAGAGAATACTGGTGATGATGCTGGACGGTAATCCGATGCCAGAAATGCTCATGCATGTCATCAGATTTGTTATGCCCTCAAAAAACAAGCAATTGAAGAAGTTGTTGTACTTTTACTGGGAGATTGTGCCTAAATTGGATTCCGAAGGTAAGCTGAAGCAGGAGATGATCTTGGTCTGCAATGCCATCCAGCACGATCTCCAACATCCAAACGAATACATCCGCGGAAACACGTTGCGGTTTTTGACCAAGCTGCGCGAGGCCGATTTGTTGGAGCAAATGGTGCCTGCCGTTAGACAGTGCCTGGAGTACCGTCACGCTTACATCCGCAAGTACGCGATTCTGGCTGTGTACTCGATCTTCAAAGTCAGCGACCACTTGATTCCAGACGCGTGTGAAATCATCAATTCATTCCTGATCGCCGAAACTGACCCCATCTGCAAGAGAAACGCATTTTTAGGTCTGGCTGAACTGGACCGGGAATCTGCTCTTAATTATTTGCAGGACAACATCGCGTCCATTGAAAGTCTTGACTCTCTATTACAGGACGCGTTCATCGACTTCGTTCGCAAGGACGCCATTCAGACTCCCACTTTGAAGCCTCAGTACGTCGATCTTCTACAAGACCTTCTCGCAGCTACAACGTCGCCAGAGGTGGTTTTTGAAGCGGCTCTGGCACTCACTGTGTTGACGAGCGACCCCAAAGCTCTATGTGACGTTGCTTCGAAGTTGATTGACGTAGCTGTAAAGGAATCTGATAACAACGTTAAGCTGATTGTTTTAGAGAGGATTCAAGATATTCACAAGAGAGCTCCCGGCCATTTGGTAGAACTTACTTTGGACATCTTGCGGGTCTTGAGTGCGCAGGACTTGGATGTGAGAACCAAAGCTCTGGATATCTCGCTAGAATTGGTTTCTTCCAGAAACGTGGACGACGTGATTAAGCTCTTGAAGAAAGAACTTCAAACCACTATTACCAACGCACACAATGACGAGAAGGCCATTGATTACAGACAGATTCTCATCGAAAATATGCACAAAGTTGCCATCAGATTTGCCGAAGTATCTGCTGATGTCGTGTCTCTTTTCCTAGAGTCCATTGGTAACTTGAGCTCCAACGCTGCAAGCGGTGTGATATCATTTATCAAGGAAGTGATCGAGAAATATCCTCAGCTCAGGAAAGAAATCTTGCAGCATTTGCTCGGTGCTCTTCCTTACGTACATTCCGCAAAGGCTTATCGCGGAGCCCTATGGATCTTGGGTGAGTATTCTATCGATGCTGTAGACGTTCAAAGCTCCTGGAAACATATTCGGAGCAGCGTGGGAAGCTTGCCTATTATCCAGTCAGAGTCCAAAGACCCCGAGGACGGATCAGCCGAACAGGATGCAGCTCCTGAGGTTGTTGTATCTTCTGGTCCAGTGGTGTTGCCAGATGGAACTTATGCCACTGAATCCGCCTTCGCTGCTGCTCCCACAGAATCGTCGGCAAGCGAGGAAAAAGAGTCAAAACCACCACTTCGTCGCTTCGTTTTGAGCGGAGATTTCTACACTGCTTCCGTTTTGGCTACCACAATTGTGAAGTGTGTCTTGAGATTCGAAAAATCATCACAGGATGGATCTGTTCTTAACGCTTTGAAAGCTGAGGCAATGCTCATTCTTGTCAGCATTTTGAGAGCGGGACAGAGCTCTCTGGTAGAGAAGAGAATTGACGAGGACTCTGCAGAAAGAATAATGATTGCGCTATCTATTTTGATGGATCAATCAAGCTTTGAAGACGCCGAGAGTAAGAAATTGCTGGAGATGGCCTACTTGGAGGCTACTAAAAACTCGTTTGAAATCAAGATTGCGACCGAAGAACGAGAATCAGCGAAAAAGAATGCCTCTGCTTTGGCGCGCACAGCCGATCCAGTTGACAAAGCAATTTCATTTAGACAATTCGCTGCAAATGATACTCACAGCACTCCTATTGATACCATCAACGAAGACTTGGAAAAAGCTATCAATGGCGACGCTCTGAATGCAATTGCCTCAAATTCTGTGATGTCAAAACTGCGCAAGGTTGTTCCTCTCACTGGTTTCTCGGACCCAGTATATGCAGAAGCATACATCACGAATCATCAGTTCGACGTGGTAATCGACGTTCTGTTGGTGAATCAGACGAAAGAAACTTTGAAAAATCTTCACGTTCAATTCGCTACTTTGGGAGATCTTAAAATCATCGACAACCCACCCAACACCAATGTTGTTGCCCATGGATTTCATAGACTTACGGTTACGGTAAAGGTTTCATCTGCAGACACCGGAGTCATTTTCGGAAACATCGTTTACGATGGTGGACACGGCGAAGACGCTCGCTACGTTATTATGAATGATATACACGTTGACATCATGGACTACATCAAACCAGCCAAGACAGACGACGGGACTTTCCGCAAAATGTGGAACGCTTTCGAATGGGAGAATAAAATCACGGTAAAATCTAAACTTCCTACTCTGCATACATATTTGGAAGAGCTTGTAAAGGGTACGCGAATGGGTGTTCTAACCCCTGAGGAAGCATTGGGAGAAAAGGATTGCAGGTTTTTGAGCTGTAACCTGTACTCTAAGTCGACATTTGGAGAGGACGCTTTGGCCAATCTTTGTATCGAAAAGGATCCTGTGTCAGACGAAGTCGTTGGCCACGTCCGCATTCGTTCCAAGGGCCAAGGTCTAGCGCTATCGCTGGGTGACAGAGTAGCCTTGATCGCAAGACAGATGAACAAAGTCAAGTTAGACCGCGTTTAGGTACCGAGTTATAAGCTAATTCGTAAATAGAGACGCAAACAAAAGAATGATAGTGGTTCTTTATCGTATTTACATGTTCATTGTGAAGTTTCCTACTACTTTTTTATCTTTTCTGGCCCGTGGAATGGAAATCCGAATCCGCTCACCAAGGTTCTAGCTTGAACATCGTCTTGCGCGGTCGAATTTATGTTGATATGCAAACCAAATGTCTTGGGCCACAGATCCTGATTTGACTCGATTTCAGGGAAGAACTTGACGTCTTCTGAGGTCAAACCGAAAGAAAGACAACCAAAACGGTTTCCAGACTTGTTGCTGATACCTTTGTACTCTCTGATTCTCGGTAAAACGATCTCAGTCAACGTACTTAGAAATTGGGTCATGGGACGGCCTCTGAGCTCCACTTTGGCACCCATATGTGTTCCTCTTCTCACTTTCCAAGAGGGCACATCGGTTCTTGCGTAAACGGGTTGGGGCTTGCATCCAGTTAGTTGCTGCAGTTGCAGAGCAGCGCTGACGGGTAGCACCTGATTTTCCTTGGATTCACGGACATAGCAATTCAATACGACGGATTCGATTGCTGGAACGTTATGCCACTTGATTGGCTGCATGTTCGGCAATTGGGCGGCCGAGCCCTTTGGCTTCCGGGGCTGACGATTCAAATGGTAAGGACTGGAGTAATCCCATTCTCTGTTTTTGACTCCCACTTTGGTCTGAGCGTTATGCGAGTAGTTAATAAGCAGAAGGTCTGGCTGAATTGTAGCGTGGTAATGGCCATTAACACGGTCCTGGTGCGTGGCCACAGGTTTGAACGCTGGCGACCGAATATCGTTTTTGGCATATTTCAGCTCTTTGAAACGCGGCGAGAGTCGCAATTTATCGATCTTGACCAGATGATGAACTGGTTTTACCAGTGAACAAGCAGCCTTGCAACTTCTGGAGCTGCTGGAGAACTCTCGGATCAGTCTCATGGGTTAAAAGTGTATATTTTGGGTCCTATATTGAACGAACTTTGTGAGCCCAAAACTGCTTCAAAATTCGAGCTAGAAAAAGGTGTAAAAAGCCTGAAGTATGCTCTATTTGCTCAGAGTTACTTTAAAGTGCTGAACTGGGGCCAAAAGGTCCTCTTTAGGCTTCGAAATATCGAATTTGATGATATTTCTGGAAAATTTTATAAAGTGATGAACAATATAGATTTCAAGATTTCTTAACTGAAGTTTGATCAACTTTAAGAACCAAAAAGCTCAACGCTCAATTCGAATGGCAATAGCCCTTTGAGGTCTTTCGAGTATTTATACTGATACTTGAAGCCAGTTTCCAAGATGCGTTTTAGTTTTGACGAGCTTTACGGCACCGAAACGCCAGAATTGTGCGATGAAGACGAGTATTCAATTATTGGAAGTGATGACGAGGATATTCCACGGTTAAGAGTTCCCAAATGCAACAATTCTGGGTTCAAAACTGGTCTTTACGCGCTGGACGATCAATTAGACGAGAATCTACAAGAATTACTGGCGAATTTGGATCTAAGTGCCAAGCTTCCAGGGCCTGGTAAAGTGAGGTACTCGAGGAAGATTAATAGCATGGGGGCAAATACCATGACTCCAGAAGTTTTTAAGAAACCGGCCACCACAACCGTGGAAGATAGAGGCTTGGGATTGACTGAACTGCAGAATAAGGTGACTAAGGAAATTTTACGGAAAGTCGAGGCTTTACAACAGAGTAACGACAAACAAGTTCAGATCGTTCGAACTGAAAAACAACGAGTATTGGAGGAGCAACGAAGAGAAGCTCAGCGGCAGCGAGAGCTGGAACTCGAGAAAGAACGGCAACAAGAAGAAGAGGAACGACGCAAACGCCAACACGAAGAAGAGCAGCGGAAACAGGATCAGGAGAAACAGAAACAAGCAGAATTCAAGGCTAAACAGGAACAAGAAGAACGTGAAAGGCAAGAGAAGTTGGCTGCAGAGCAAGAAGCAGCAGCAGCTCAACAACGGGCACGCGAAGAGGCCGTTAAGGGCAAGGGAATCACGAATTTCGCAGCAATACACACCTCGTTCAAGCATTATAAGAATCAAATCAAGCATATCAAGACTGAAGTGGTCGAAGTTGTCAAAAAAGATGCGAATTTGAAGTCGATTTTATCCAAGCACAAACGCAAAATCAACCCTAAATTTGGGCAATTGACCAACAGCGAACAACATTTACAATCGATCATTTTGGAACTTCGATCCCTGGTGGACCAGACCAAGCCCAATAACCTGGGATACCAATGGATTCTCAATTTCATCGCAAAAGCCCTTGTGTCGCAGGCCGAAACAGAGGTTCGGGTCAAACCCGAGAGCGCAGTGCCATTGGCAAAGCTGGCATTGAATCTACTGGTGCACTATCCCGAGCTTTTGGAACTTTTGATGGCACGGTTTGTGAAAAAGTGTCCATTTGTGATTGGTTACTCCTGCAGCATTGAATCAGAAGCCGGTCGTTACAATATGGGGTGGAGACGTAGTCGAGACGACGCGTGGGAGGATGAAACCTCATATGATGAACGGATGGGTGGTATTGTGACGTTGTTTGCAACGATAACTCGTCTGCCGTTGCCTGCGGAACTGATTCAAACGCATAAGCACCCATTGCCCATTTCGCATTCATGGCAATTGGTTGCGCGTGTGGCAAACACTGCACCGGAATTATTGAGCAATACGCATTTTGTAGTTTTGGGAAGTTGGTGGGACGCGGCAGCTGCTCAATTGTTACAGGCGTTTGCAGGACAAGCACACAAGCTGTTGGTGTTGATTGCTACAGATTTAACAGGTTCAGTGGCGGAACGTCGGTACGTGGGGGCTGCGCGCTTGAGAATTTTGTTTGAGGAGTATGAAACGGTGGGGAAGCCGGGGAGTTTTCCGGATTTGAGTTGATCTGAAGCACCCGGAGTACTTATTATTAATGGAGAGCGTTAGCGATCGATTGTGAACAATAGAGAACTCGAAGCACTAATGAACAATTGAGAGCGTTAGCGATCGATTGTAAATAAGCAAAGGACTCGAATTACTTCTGATCAATCGATCGCTTACGCTTTCGATTGTGAAGAAACAGTGGACTCGAAGCGATTGTTAAGAGCCAAACAGCCTTAAGAATGGTTGAACAATTGATGCCCACTGCTCTGATGGCTATAAGCAATTCTGGTGGAGTGAGCGTCAGTGACTAATGCTCAAAAAAGAGCTGCTACAAGCAGCACCAGAAAAGTCGGAGCACTCCTGAGCAATTGAGAGCATCTGCGATCAATTGTGAATAGTCGAGAGGCCATTAACTCCGCCGAACTACTGGGATTGACAGCAATCAATTGTGAATAAGCAGAGAACTCGAAGAACTACTATTGAACACTCTCGATATTATTGAACTACAGAGAGCATCAACGCTGCCGATTGTCAAGAAGCAAATTAACATCGACCATGGCCGAACAATCGATAGCTAACGCTCTCAATTGTGAAGGTCTATGATGACTATAAACACTTCCCAAGGCTGCTACAGCGGTTGATTGACGTTCCCAATTGTATAGCCAACGTCCATAGACAAGTAGACAGTCGTAAGCCTTCGATCGTGCCAGGTCCACCACGCCGTCAATCGTTCAACAGTACTACACCGACTGTCAAGAGAGGTAGTTCTTAAGAGGAGAGTGCGAAGCAGTTCAAAAGAGCTAAGTAGTTCAAAAGTGCATTAGTTCCAGAAGTGCACTAGTTACAGAAGTGCATTAGCTCCAAAAGTGCGCATTAGTTTTCGAACGGTCGCTCATGAGACCCTCAGACGTGCCCATCCCCAGCTCGCCCACCGCACCCTTCCCTCTCACCACCCCGTTCTGCGACGTGGTGGCCGGGTTCGGTCGCGGGTCCGCACAGCTCGGCATCCCCACGGCCAACGTCCCAGCTGAACAACTGCCCGAGGACTTCGACAGCCTCGCTCTCGGGGTATATTTCGGTTTCGCCAGGCTCCAGCCCACCTCAAACGACGAAGACGACGACCACCACCACCACCCACACCAGGCCCGTCCCGATGGTTCCCACGTCCACTTCAACAACGGCTCCCGGCTGGCCACCGAGGACCTCCAGACCCTGCCTGTCGTGCTGTCCGTTGGCATGAACCCGTTCTACCACAACCAGACCAAGACCGTCGAGCTGCACCTGGTGCACACCTTCGCGCACGACTTCTACGGTGCCCAGGTCAAGTTCCGGGTCCTGGGCTACATTCGACCCGAGCTCGACTACACGTCTCGCGATGCCCTCATCGCAGACATCCGCACCGACATCGCGCTAGCGCAGCGGGCGCTCGCCCTGCCCGGCTACGCTCAGCAAAGCGATTTCTAGAGTTACGTATTTCTATAAACTTCAGTCTTCACTCGACTGGCCTTCTGTTCACTCTCGCTCACCACTTTCACCATCTCGCTGTTCAATCATGGGCTTCAGGCTACGAAGAACAGGCGTTATAGCTTTCTACGCAGTCCAGACGGCCGCCTTGGCGGCCGGTCTGTACTGGACAGCGATGTGGCCGTTCCTGACCGCGCCCGTGGTGTTGGCGTACAGTTTCACCGCGCTGGGCGTGGTAACGTCCGAGTTGTTGACTCCCAGCCTTTCGGTAGTGTCGCGCGAGCTGCTCGGGGTGTCCGAGCGAGTCGCCGGGTTGACGTTGCTGGCGCTGGGCAACTCGGTGCCCGATATCAGTAGCACCTACCAGGCGATGCGGGCGGACGCTTTGCCCTTGGCCCTGGGAGAACTGGTCGGTGCCGTGGTGTTCATGTTGACCGTGGTGGTGGGAACGATGGTTGTGGTGCGGCCTATCGAGCTGGGGGGCACGGGCGGGACGCTGGGAGTGCCTGGCGTGGCAGCGTTGTGGTACAGCAGAGGACGGATGGTCAAGGACCTCGGGATGCTGGCGTTGATGATCTCGCTGGCGCTGTTTCTGTTGTGCGACGGCCGGCTGGCGATGTGGGAATGTCTGGTGATGGTCGGTGTGTACGCGGCGTACGTGGTGGGCCAGGTGGTGGGCGGAGAGCCCTGGGAGCAGGACGAGGAATCGGTCGAGGAGGAGGAGCCAGAACCCGAACCCGAGATCCGCGACCCCCAGCACTTCTTGCAGCAGCTGGAGCTGCGCAAGATGGCCTTCCAGGCCAAGCTCCAACGGCATCTACGACTCAACTACTCTCGCCGGCTCACGCTGTCGCTCGACTCGATCATCAACGTCTGGGAACACCGCGACGTCTTTGCACCAGCCGAGCGACTCACCAAAAGCCGCTCGCACCACGACTTGTCGTCCTCCTCCGTGGACCAGCCCTTGCTGCGCTCTGCGAGCGTAGACTACCTTCTGTATCTCGACAATCGCCTCCAAAACCACCAGGACCCGTCCGAACTCGAGCTCTTCAATGATTCGGTAATGTCGCCCGCCTCGCAAGCGTCGCTGCTCGACAAACCGGTCATTCAGGCCACGCTGCGTCACTACTGGAACGGCACGAACACGACGCCCATCGCCGTGGCAGAACTTCTGACGGTGTTCATGGTGTCGCCAGTGATCACCGTGTTCAAGACTTTGATCCCAGTGTGTTGCGATATTGTAGACCCCGACCAGCGTCCTTTCGGTCTAGAGCTGGCCCAGGTCGCTGCCGTTCCATTCCTCATATGCTATGTGCTTACAGGCTCTATATATGTGACGACAACGCTGTTGGTGTCGGTGTCACTCGCAGGTGTGCTGTGGTATTTCAATCGAAACCAATGGGGCCGCTGGGCTGTGCGATACGTCTCGGTGTTGACGTTTTTGACTTGTCTGTGTGTCATTTCGCTCATCGTTCACACCGTGGTTTCCACACTGCGACGCGGCGCTCAGATGCTTAACGTGTCCGAGGCCATTCTGGGTTTGACCATCTTTGCCTGGGGCAATTCTATTGGCGATTTGGTCACTACCATTACTTTCACCAAATTGGGTTTGCTGGATATAGCCCTGGGTGCGTGTTTTGGCGGTCCCCTGCTGTACTTCCTGTTCGGAGTTGGGTTTGATGGTATCCTGGTTATGTTGTCGAGTTCCCACGACCAAGGTCGCAGCCCGCTTTTGCACCGATCTATCGACTTTGAAGTGGACAGATTGTTGATCATAAGCTGCATCAGCCTGTTCATCACTTTCCTCGTGTACGCGGCCCTCATACCCATGAACAATTGGCGAATAGACAACAAGATCGGCGTGGTACTTTTAACTTTGTACGTGTGCACTACTGCAGTGAACGTCTACCTCGAGATCAGTTGAGCAGGCAAATCTCCCCCGAGTGTATCGTAACACACATCCACATCTTCTGGCATGTACGTTTCGCAAAACGAAATTACGCTTTGCTTGGCGTTTGCGCTTCGTTTCGATACCAGAGGCAGGATCTTTTGCACGATATATCTCCTGTTTTCCAAATACGACGTTTCCTGGTCGGTCCACACCCTGTTGCAATACTCATACCAGAATTTGGCGCTGTCCAGATAGTATGACCAGTCTTCGTCAATGATAAGTCGAAATATCTGCTCTTCCAAGACTTCTCTGGAGAATCGAGCATACATTTGACACACTAAATGTAACAATTCCTCTTGACCTTTTTTATTCCCTCCATAACTTAGACGCTTCCGCAAAATGTTCATGGCCACGCCCTCGGCCTCCCGATGGCCCCATTTCTCCACGAACAGTGTGAACTGGAAGTAATCCATAAACAATTCAAAATCATCCGTTTCCTCTATTTTATCATCAAAAGCTGCTTGCGTTTGCTGGAATAGCAACACTAGCTCTTCCTGTTTGCCCAATTTTATCAGCAACCCGCACAGTTTCTCCAGAATCTTGGCTTTCTTGTGCGACAATTGCAGTCCCAGGGACAAAACGTTTTTGGACGTCAAATAATCCTGAGAGTTCTCTATTAACCAGGCTGCAAATTTGAGCCAAATCATTTCGTAGTGAGCCAAGGGCAACAACGCTCTTTGGAAATTCAAATGCGTCAATTCGTCCACCCCATTTTCCACACTAAAGTCCAAATATCGCGACCACGCGGTGATTTCGCTTTTCTCAATTAGCGTCTCAGCAGAACAGTAAAAATGGGTCTTGATATTGATTTCAAACAAATTGTAAATCTCCAGCACCCGGTGTTGCGTCACCATGTAAAGCTCTTTTGTGAATTTCCTCAACGCTTTTTTACCCTCTTGTAACTGGGGACCCTTCCTTTCGCGTCCTCGTACCCTAACTTTGATCTTCCGGTGAATTTCCAGCTCTGGCGCCATCAGTGTGAGTTGTTTGACGTCCTTGATTTCATCAATGGCATGTAACCAAAGTGCGAAGAATTTGCTGTACGAGTAAGCCGGTACTTCCAAGACTTTCCTCAACACTGCCAAATACCGCCGGTGGCCAGTGCATCGGAGTTTGATCTGTTCGAGATACAATTCCCAGAACTCTCCGCTGTAGAAATGGAGACCAACATGCGATTCTGCCAATTCATACTTGCGGAACAACTGTTTATGGTTTGTCACCACCTCGTTACAGAGCTTCAAATATTCTAGCCACAACAGCAGTGATGAGTTGTTGTGTCTCTGTAGCGCTGCAGTGAACACTGCGTGCATTTCCTTGACGTTGCCCAATTTGTACTCCAAAAGAGCACAATCGACACTGTAGTTTTCTAGCAAGGGGAAGTACGTGAAGAGGGACCCATACGTGTGTCTTATCAGTTCTAAAAGCTGTGGATTAATCCTTTTGTTCAATGGATGTGCCTTTTCTAAAAGATAGTTCAGTAAATCTACCCAGTTGCCCAAGGCCAAAGGCGACTGCGAGACGTTCAGGGACAAGACGCCAAACTTGTCGTCCAGCAAGTCCTCCAAGCTCTCATCCATACTCCAAGAGAATCAGAGATTGACCAATGGATTGTTGGTGTTGTTGATGTTAATGCGATGCCATCAGAGGTGTCAGAATTAATGAACTTTAAAGCTTTTACGTAGAGAGTGATTTACAATCGTCGAATTATCATAAATCATAACAATTCCAACTGAGTTCACGTAGTTTCGCTCAGCTTTCTCGATCTTTATTCAGGTTCACTAGTTTCAATGGTCTTATTGTATTCTGCTTCATCTCTGTTCAAAATTTCATTCTTTTGCGCGAACTCTCTACCGTCTTTAAATCTTGGTTTCCTGTGTAAGTCGTGATCTTCCATTATTTACAAGGTCGTTATAAACATTAGTTACATGTTTTTTTATCTTGGGGATGGTGGGAATAAGGACAATATTGTTGCTTGTAAAAGCTCATACGAATGAATGAAAACCACCCACGTCGACTTTCGTCTTTTCAAGTTTGCAGCGTAAGTGTGGTTTTCCCGCTTTTACTGGACAACTTTGTCCAGATTGATCTGTTCCAAAATGTGTTTGGCACCTTTCTTGATCATGCTCTGTGCCAACTGCTGGCCGCAGATAATCGAGTCTCGACGGACATCGTCGATAACCATGGAGGACTCATCCTCAACGGCCTCGGTGCCGTCAACGCTGACCACCACTCCTTTCAAACGTAAGGTCCGTGTGGCTTCGTCGTAGCTGGACTCAACGCCGATCGGCACCGAGCACCCACCCTCCAGCGTTCTCATAAGCGACCGTTCTGCCAAACAGCAAATGGTGGTTTTCTTGTCACTGATCTTTTCCAGCAGTCCCGAAACCCAGGGGTCCTTGGACCGGATTTCAATACCCAGGGCGCCTTGGCCCACAGCGTGGTACATGACGGAAGAATCGAGACGCTGCGTAATTCTGTGCTGAAGTTTCACTCTCAGCAGCCCAGCCGTCGCCAGTATAATACAAGAAAATGGGGTCACAGGGTCGTCCAGCTTGCTAATTCTGGTCCCGATGTTGCCTCTGACACTTTCGAAAACGAGCTTTGGGTATCTGCGTCTCAATTGCGCGGATCTTCTTATCGACGACGTGCCGACCACACTGCCGTCCGGCAAGTCTTCGAGACGCTTGTAAGGGCTGCCTTTGGCCATGATCAGACAGTCGCTGGGGTCAACCCGCTTCGTGATGCCTCCAATCTCGAACCCATCGGGCAGCGATGTGGGCATGTCTTTCAACGAGTGAACTATCAGATCGATTCTTTTCTCTTTATCCTTTTCATACAGTAGATCCTCCAGCTCTTTGGTCCACACGGCCTTGCCTCCAAACGAGTACAGGGGCTTTGACAGGACTTGGTCGCCCAAAGTTTTCAGAGCACGCACCGTGCAACTATACTGTGGGAATGCGGTTTCGATCATGTCCTTGACTTCGTGCGATTGGATCACGGCCAGTTTCGACTTCCTACCGCCAATGCGTACGATATGGTGTGGGTCTTGCATCTTTCAAGAATTCGATTGCCGGTTTGTTGCGTTGAAATAATGATTAAAGGTCAAATAGCGAATCCTGCTGGAGTAAAAACAACGTTTTGCACCTAATCTTCGCACTTAAAGTTAGCAACAACTCGATAAACCACACGTCTCGACCCAATAAATAAAAGTGTCTTTCAAAGCTCGAGCTTATTGGCGGCACTTGAAGCTCGGCTTACAGTTGGCTTCACTACACTGTAATTGCACTGCTCGTTTCGAATCCCAAGGCCAAATCTCACCGTAAAAGTCGGTGATATTTCAAACAGCTGGTGCAGTAGCGATGTCAGACGACCGCGAATTCTTAACAATCGGTTCGTTCCCGGGTCTACCAGTCAAAAACGTAGCTGTTTTGTCAAACTTGATTGGAAAATTTTTTTTTTATTCATACTGTAAAGCCAAATAGCTATCCTTCAACGAAAGAGCCAGTTTGACGGACTTGTGGGTAAACAGACGTTTTGAGTAGAGGAGAACAGCTTTGGAATGTAGCGGTTTGCTGTGCAAATCGAGTTGCAAAGGCAGGTATGGTGAAATACCAGTTTTGCGTGTAGGTTTGCGGGCCTGCTGGAAAGACTGCAGAGATGTGTTTAATGAGTTCGATTCCGTCATGGAGGGTGTGTAGTTTCGTTCCAAGAGTAGGTTGACAATATCTTCTGCGATCGGATACGGAGTTTTCAACGGTTCTCTGAGATCACTGTCAGAAGACTCCCTCTGCGATGGGACGTTGAGCTTTTAAACAGGCTTTTTCAGATCCATGCTCACAAATCACCTTTTGCTCATCTGAGGACGGGAGGTGTGAGGCTAGGGGTTTGCACTTAGGTCTGGGCCTGGGACAGTCCAGGGGCTCTGGAAACTTGAAATGGTCCGTAACTGCTGTATTTTCCGTCCCTCTTGTATTCGTAAATGGTTTGCTCCAGGGCCAGCGAGTGGAGGGGCCGATTCCCTGGTCTTCTCAAAGCGTATGCCCTCAGTAGGCTATTGAAACGACAAATGGGTCAAGGATCTCGTCGGTTTGTCTTGTATCGTTCTTGGCCCTAATTCGTGGGCTTCTAACTTATGAAATCTACCTTTCCGGGTCTCATTGTAAGCGCAATTCGCCACACATTGTCCATTCCACGCTCCGGATTGTCGTTTCCTGTCCCCCTGGTGTCTTTTCTCGCTACTTCTGCTCTTCAAAAGGTGTTGAAAGAAGAGAACAAGTTTAGCCGCCGAGCGTTTTTAATTTCTGTAAATAATTCCACAACGTCACGAAAATAAAAAAGTGATCATCATATGTTATCCGAATAACGATTAAACTATACAACTTCTGTCTCTGAGCACAACCCGTGTCAGTGCTAATGGTAATTCTACCAAATATAATAAATATGCGTCAAAGCTCGTCCTTCAAGCGTCCATAATTTGGCTCCTAAAGCTGAGATTTAACCCAGCCTTCAAGGCCGCCTTTTACGATAATTTCTTGTAAGTTCTTGCCTAGTTCGCCAACTTTCTGTTCCAGGACGACAGGGCCGTCCAAGGAGCCCTCAGTGACAGTGACAGTGCTGTTGGGCAGGTCCCACTGCAAAAACCAACCAGTTCTTCTTGTGAGCTCCTTAGGAGCGTCCTGGTATTTTTCGCGCAACATCTGGATCAGCGCTGGGATCTCTAGCGTCAAAAGAGCGTTGTTGATCGAGTTTCTGGAGAAAATGTTACCGAAGGAGCCCGAGACCACTAGGTCGATGCCCTTAGCCAAAAGCGCAGTGGCGGCTTGTTCTCTGGACGAACCTGTACCGAAATTGAAACCGCTGACGACGATGTCGCCGGCTTTGACCTTAGTCTGGAATTCAGCGTCGTAGTTTTCCATGCACACCTGGGCCATCTTCTCGCGCGACACATCGTCCTGGTAAGTGTATTTGCCGGGGTAGATACCGTCGGTGTTGATGTTGTCAGCGTCACATAGCACTAGCTCACCCGTGATGCGCGATGGGAAGCCCTTTAGCATCTCAACGGGACCTGTCTGGGTCGCAGCAGCTTCCGCATCATCTGCTGGCAACTCCTCGACCCATCCAGAGACGCCATTGAAGGCCGGATCTTGCTCGTGCAAAACCTCAGCAGGAGACCCGATTTTGCCCAGAACGGCAGAAGCGGTGACCACTGCAGGAGACGCAAGGTACGCCAGAGCGTCCTTGGACCCCATTCTACCTTTGAAGTTACGGTTAGTGGCACTGATACCAACCTCGCCAGGTTCCAAAAGACCAGTTCCAAGGCCGATACAAGGACCACAGCCAGCAGGGAGGGTCTTGCAACCGGCACGCAATAGCTTTTCCCAAGCCCCGGAAGCCTTGGCGTCCGCCTCGACCTCTGAAGAGGCAGCTGCAACGTAGAATTCGACGCCAGGAGCGACTTTGTTGATTTGGTTCAAGTCGCCCGTGGGACAAACGACGTGAGCTGCGGCTTCTAGATCGCTTAGACGAGAGTTTGTGCAGGACACGAGGTACGCTTTGTTCACTTTGATGTTCTGCTGCGACAAATCCTGGACGGTAGCCGAGGTCTTGACGCTGTTTGGACCCGAAACGTAGTGAGTCAAAGTGCTGAGGTCGATAACCAGTTTCTTGGCGTAAACGGCATCTTCATCGGCCTTGAAAATGTCTGCTTTCTGGGCCAATTCGTTGATACGTTGCTCGTTGACACGAGGGTGGTTGGGGCCCACTTTTTGCAGTCTTTGACGATAGAAATCGATCAGAGTTTGGTCCACGGGGAACAAACCCGACAGGGCACCCCATTCTGTGGTCATGTTGGCGATGGTGAGTCTGTAGTCCACAGGAATTTTGTCCAAAGAGCTACCGGTAAACTCAATGGCATGATTTAGGACCTGATCCTTGTTGAAAAGACCGCACAGCGCGACAATGATGTCTTTGCCCGAGATTCCGTGGGGCAACTCGCCTCGAAGCTCAACTTGGGCCACGGGAGGGATCTGCCACCAGGTTTGGCCCGTGGCCCAGATGGCTGCGGCGTCTGTGCGCACAATTGGCGTTCCCAACGACCCAATACCACCGTACGTGTTGGAATGCGAGTCTGAGGCCACGGTCAAGTTGAAAGGAAACGCATAGCCCTCTTCTATCATGATCTGATGGCCTATACCACGGCCAGCCGGGTAGAAATTGATTCCTTGTTTCTTGGCGAAATTCTCGATGTTTTTGTATTTGGTCAGGTTCTTTTCCGTGGTGTTCTGTACGTCGTGGTCCAGTGTGTTGACAATTTGCTTACGGTCTTTTACTTGCGAAGCACCTAGACCCATGAATTTGAGAGCCACGGGCCACGAATTGTCGTGCGACATACAGTGAGCCGGTTGTATCGACACATAGTCGCCAGAATTCACTTTCTTGCCCTGGGGCAAGCCAACAGCGTAGGTTTGTACGATCTTCTCGGTCAAGTTCTGACCTTTCAAGACATGTCTTGACGACGAAAACTGACGAGCAAATCTAAGCATGATTAAGAGCACCTTAAAGTAGCCAAAAAATAACCAGCTTTAGCTCAAAAAATTGACAATTATTGTTCGAAGCCTTTCAAAACCTCTAGCGCTAACTCAGACAACTTCTCTCGACCGTTGTGTATCATTGATGTTTAAATACTGGACTTGAAAGTTCACGATCGTTAACTCATCGAATTGAAATTTCCCACGGGAAACTGACGTCAAAAAATTTTTTAGTATGGCTCTGCCAGTCCGATGCGAATGGAGTTTTGTTAGGAATTAGGAGTAAGGTGATTGAAATTGCGGATAATGGGCAGTTGGCTTGGGAAGCGACGTTTTTGGGCTTATTGGGCCTTTTTTTTGGTAAATTTTGGATATCATATGGTTGGTATACGGTGTATGAAATGTTATTTGAAATTGGGAAGTTAAAACTCGAGCCAGGGTCAGAGACGTGGTCTAGTGGCGATTGGGAGAGTTGATGTAGTTATTTGTGGAGTTTGGAAATGTCTTGTTGTGAGTTGCTATGTTTTCGGACGTTTTCTTGGCATATATAAATAAATGTTATAATTGTAGTGTGTGAAATGAGTGCAGTGAGTGTAGTGTGAGTAGGGCCAGTGGTGTTTTCAATGCTGTGAGTCTTTGTGAATGGGGAGTAACCAATGAGGGATTGGTGATTGGAGGGGAATTGATAGATGGCGACGCTAGAAGGGTGACAGTGTCCGTGTGTGCAGGCGTATGTACACTGATAAAAATCTGATTTTGATTGTTTGCTATTAACAACTAGCTGAATTTTCTCGCTTCCTGGCTAAAGAGTTGGTATCTCGCGAGAGATGTTCGTTCGTTCTGGTAGTGTAATTATTCGATTCTCATTTTTTGTAGGAATTTCACTAAATCGATTTGTATTCCCCTGGCTGATCAAGATGCTCCCCTAATTAAATCAACCAGGTTTAAAGCGCACGTCGCAAGACCATTTTCAATGCTCATTGTCCGAATGCCATCTCGTTTAGATGTAATCTAGGTGATACCTGCCACTTGATCTGTCATCTAGTTGATCACTTTGTACTATTCAGTCGCCCGTCGTCAGAAAACTCGCCCGTACACAGCAGAGAAGACAGATAGTCGAGTGCTTGAGCTGTGAGAGTTTGTACACTAGATCGAGACACCTCTGGTAGAATTCGTCTTACCCTTGGGTGTGCAGAAAAACGGGTCGTGACGATTGTGTCTAAAAAAAATCTAGTCCAAGGGTTTCCGAAAGCGGTGCAGAAGGCGTCAAATGAATACACACTGGCACCGAGAACTCAATTTGTATGGTATCCGAAACATCAGAAATGATACTCTCAAAACAAGGAGATTTTCGCCAGTATTCAGGTCGTTGGTGACAAACACCCTAACCGTACCCCTCGTCACCACAATTAAACCTCTCAATCAAAGCTCAATTTGAACTCTCGACAAAAATACAAGCACACTCGCACTACGCACACCCACTCACACACGCCTCGTCACTACTCCAGCTTCCCATACAAAGAAACCCACTGACCCCACTAGATCACTTTGAACATACCTGTCGCCAGGTGTTGGACAATGAACTTTAAGCTGGTTTGACGGATCGTTTGCCTGGGATGAATGCTGCTCAACCTTATCAATTTGAAATCTAATCGATTTTTCGCACTAAGTTTTGGTGATGTGTTGGTGGAGGTCAACGAGAGCGGAGAATTTCCCTTTTAATGCTCGCAGCCAGATTATTTACCTTCGGGTGATCACACTCGCAATACCGTTCACTGTCGATAATATTAGGAGCTCTCCATTTTTTAGGAGCTCTCCATTTGAGAAGCTCAACATACACTGAACGCTGCTTTAGAGCACTCAAGAATGAATAAAATATGTGCGATGTCTTAGGACAAAGGAATGTAGAGAAGCGGGTAGTCTCGTAGTACTGTGAGATTATTAATCTGCTGATAATATTATGAGTTGTCTGCTTTTCACCATTGAGATCGTTAGCGCGATCTCGAACTATTACCAACGAAACTGCGATATTCTTAACTTGTAGATAGTATCAATTAATCTTATTAATTTATCGATGACGCTCTTAATTGAAGAACCATACTATTAAGCTGACGCTGTCGATTTTTAAATGGTACAGCGGGTTTCTCACTCATTGAAAATGTAACTAGTTTTCTTTTAGATCGCAGACGCAAACTATTCTTCAACTGTGCTTGTGGTCATCTTAGGTCCCTCTCTGTTCAGTGATAATACGAGTTCTTTATAACTAAAGCTCACTACGAGTTTTCTACTAACTTATAATCGCTAGCTAACGAGAAACCCTCCTTTTATTCACAATTGAGAGCGGTAGGGATAGATCGTCCAGCGGTGCATCCACTTCTCACCGACGCTCAAGTGTTCAATAATACTACGGGTTTTCGCTGACGCTTTCGATTGTGAATAGTCAGATAAATTCCAGTATCACTGAAATATCGAGAATGTCATTGAACCATGGGAATACTTAAAGCTGTGAGATTTATTGTCCACACCTACAAAACTATCAATTCTGATGCTCTGCTGACGCTCAGTTAGTGAATAGTAGAAAGATATTTTGTAGACATCAACAGCACGCTGACGAAGGGGTGAAAGAAAGACACTGTGTAACTATTGTTTTCTTGGTGATATAATCTTCTACTTGTTCAAATTTGAGACGAGTGTACTAGTTTTCTGTTTAGGGTTTGTCATGTAGTGCTAGCCATCACGCTCACTCCCCTACCAGTTAAGCATTTTGGTAGCCATTCTACGGATCGCTGCTATTTTTTCGTACTCAGACTTGTCAGTTTAATTATTAGGCCGTCGCCTGTTCACAATTGACCACTGACGCTCCTGATTGTTCAATTATGTTTAGAGTCACTCTAGGTACTTACAGCTGCTCTCGATCACTCGAAAGTGTTTGTAGTTATCGTCCATCTTTCACAATCCATCGCTATCGCTCTCAATAGTTTGGTGACACTAGGAAATCTCCATTTATTCGTACTCCATTGCAAAACACTCTCGATTGTTCAGTAATACTAAGTCTTCTCTTTTTATTCACAATTGAGAGCGTCAAGCATGAGCATCTCGATAATTGTTCAAAGTTTTCTACTACGAGCTCTCTCCTACGAGCTCTCAACCCGTTCCCAACTGATCACTGACACTTTCAATTGTTCAATATTACAACGACTTTTATACATACCAGCAATAGTTTTTATAGCCACACCACCTATTTCACAATCGATCGCTAATGCTTCACTTGAGCTGTGCTTCTAGCCACCTTTATCGCCCTCTAATTGTGCACAATTGGCTGCTGACACTCTCAATTGTTCAATAATGTTACGATTTCTATGATCGCTGACACTTTTAATAGTTCAGTAAAATTGCGAGTTTTGGGCTCATTCCCAATTGATCGCTAACGCTTCAATCGTTCGGCTGTGCTTCTAGCCACCATAATGCCCTCTCAATTTTTCAGTAGTTCTAATGTTTCTCTAGTTTTTCTACATATTAGGAAAAGTGCTTGTAGCCATACTATGGATTGCTGAGCGATACTAAAAGCTCTCTGTCTATTTACAACTGGCCGCTAAAGCTCTCAATTGTTCAATAGCACTGCGAACTTTCTCGCTATCGCTCTCAATTGTTTAGATGTGCTTGCAGCCTAACTACGTATTTTACAATTGATAGCTAAAGCTCTCAGCTGTTCAGATGTGTTCAAAGCCAGTCTGAGTATTCACACTCAATTGCTGACGCTCTCGATTGCCCAGTAGCACTACGAGTTGAGATGCTGAGGGCATCGGTGAAGATGCCCTTAGTTGTACTCGCGCTTGCAAAGTACTCGTACTCGTACTCGTACTCGCGAAAGTACTCGTGCTCGGGAACATCAAAAACTACCACCACACCTCTGCTTACCCACAATTGAACGCTTATGCTCCCAAATTCTGATTAGTTCTTGCAGCCTCTTGGCCCTTTGGTATCGCTCTTAAACTACTCTTTTGAACTCTTTTAAAGGCCCAAGAAACCCCGGTGTCAGTGACGTACAGAGTGACCAACTACTAATTTCTTCAAAATTTAGCAAAAACTCAAGCCAAAAGCCCAAGCCAAATTTGGGCAGTCTCAGCACACTCGATTAACCGTTCTAAAGCTCTCAATAAACAGCGTCCTTTCCTCTCGCTCATTTTCGCCCGGCAAAATCGCGACATTAAACTTTATCACTCTCGACGACATACAAATTTTTTTTTTCCCCTTCCTCTGTCCAATTTTTTTTCCAGCCCTGAGAATATAAAAGGAGCCGATAAAACTGTCAAAGTTGTAACCCTAAACCGAACCCGATTGTTCTGATCGTTATAGACTTAAATCCTCTGGAAACTAGAAGGTAGCTCAAAGAACTGTATCGTTTGGCTTGAGACTCTGAAAACCTCGCTTTAAAACCCTTCTTTTACGTCTTTGTTTGGTCCAAATACGCCCACTCAGAGAAAACACCCGTTTGATCCCGTTTGATCCCATCCATTTACTCTCTCAATGACCTCTAGCTGCGATTTGATGTACTGGAGAAACCCGGTCGAGACCGGGAAAGTATTCGGTGGCGCCTTGGTGGCGTTGCTGGTGCTCAAAAAGGTGAATTTGATCACATTCGTGCTCCGCATCCTGTACACCACAATGTTCGCCACGGCGTCCGTGGAGTTTTTGTCAAAACTGTTCTTGGGCCAGGGTCTGGTGACCCGCTACGGCATCCAGAGCTGTCCCAACGTTGTGGGCTTCTTGAAGCCCCGCATCGACACCGCTTTGACGCAACTTCCCCCTGCCATGGCCAAGTTCCGCACCACGCTCATGGCCCAGTCGCCAAAAACCACATTCAAGGCCAGCGGTGTTCTGTACGTGTTGTGCAAGCTGTTCAGCGTGATGTCGCTGTGGACCACCCTTCTCGTCGGCACCATCGCCGCCTTCACTTTGCCTGTCGTTTACAAGACCTTCCAAAAGGAAATCGACGCCACCGTCGCCCAGGGTGTTGAGGCCGGAAAGCACCACGCCTCCGCCTTGCAATCCACCGTCTCCGAAAAGGCCTCCCCATACATGAAGCAGCTGGATGAGAAGATGGGCCCAGTGTCGGGATTCATCAAGTCACGTGTACCTGCCACCAGAGTCGGAGGCTCTAACGTCACTGCGGAGTCCTCCACCGCGAAATTGGCCGCCCAGGTGCCCTTCGAAGAGCCCGCCCAGGCCACAACCTCCTCTGCCGACTTCCCAACCGTTCCCTCGACCCACTTGGGCAACGGCCACATCGTCACCGACGAAACCACTGGTCTGGCCCACGAAGTCCACGAAGCCCACGAGCCCATCAGACAATGATCTCATTACATCACCACCACCACAGCACTTTAAAGCTTCGATCCAATTCCCTTCCCCTACCTTTTTTTTGCTTTCTCCCTCCCTCTCCAACTCACTTCTTCCCATCCATCACCTTGCCCCCACACTTCGCATCCGTGGTGGCTGAACGCGGTTTTTCTTTGCGCTGTGCCGAGGTACCGTTCCGCTCGCAAATTCATACACCACTTGCACAAACTGCCACGATACCATGAATTGTTATTACATTGGGCTTGACGCTGCATTCTCGTCTTTGCTTTATTCCTGTCTCTTTTTATCCGGCGTGAATTTCAGCAAGACGAACTCAAGCTCGAGTCTTCTGCCTTACGACTATTTTAAGTATACGATTATATCCCATGAGAAATCAATGTCAACATTTACCCGACAGAGAATATCCATCTGTTTTTCACTCTCACGAAGTGGCCGTTTAAATAGGAATAATATCTTGGATGAGTATATACAGCAAGGCTAACTAACATGTGGCTACAAAAAACAAATTGGACGTCACAGCAGACAAAACGGAACAGAACAGGTCAGAATGGTCAATCAATGTGACGGAATCAATCAAATAGAAAAAAATCGCAAACGTTAGGCCAGTGTATTCAGTGGATCACACCACGCTCACCACGCAATTGGTTTCTTAAAATTTTCAGCATTAATAGCGAAGTCCGGACGAAACTTCCAATTGATCAATAATAGGCTCTCTGACACTTGGCTGTAGGTCGTCGTTCGATAGTTGTAGCTGCTCTTGAGTCCACAAGTTGGGCTCGCTTTGGTAGTCTGGGTCGCCCACTCCTAGCAAGCCACCTTGCATCTCCCAGTCGCTGACACGGGGCAATTGTAGAGTGTTGAATACGTCATCAACAGCATCCAGAAGAATATCTGACAAGTCGTCGGTGTGGCCCGGTGTCGGGGTGATACGAAGTCTTTCGGTACCTCTGGCCACGGTAGGGAAGTTTATGGCCTGCACGTAGATTCGATGCTTATCCATCAAGATATCAGACGCTTTTCTGGCCAAATCGGGGTTTCCGATCAGGACCGGAACAATGTGGGATGGGTTTGGAATGACTGGAATTTCAAGGTCAGCTAGTCCCTGTTTGACGTAAGCGGTGTGTCTCTGTTGCGCTTGTCTCAGTTCCAAATGAGAACGCTGGTACCTGATGGCCTCGGCCGCTCCAGCCATCACTGCAGGAGGCAGAGAGGTGGTGAAAATGAAGCCAGGAGCGTAGGATCTAATCCAGTCGATGAGTCGTTGCGAACCGGCCACGTAACCTCCAACGGCACCGAAGGATTTGCCAAGAGTGCCGGTGATCATGTCAACACGGTCCATAACTGTGGTATGATTGGGGGACGCAATACCGGCCGCACGATGAGCTTCAAAATCGCAGTGCTCTGCAACACCTGCACCGTGAGGACCGTATAGCCCGACTGCGTGAACCTCGTCCAAAAACGTCAAAGCACCGTATTTCTCGGCCAAGTCACATATTTTGCCAATGTCAGCAACAGATCCAGACATAGAGTACACCGACTCGAACGCAATGAGCTTGGGGGTCGATCTTGGGTAGCTGGCGAGTAATTCTTCCAAATGGTTCAGGTCGTTGTGTTTGAAGATGTGTTTGGTGGTGGAGGCATGCTTGATACCTATGATCATTGAGGCGTGGTTCAGTTCATCCGAGAAGATAACCAGATCTTTCAATTTCTGACCCAACAGCGAAATGACCGCGTCGTTGGCCACAAAGCACGACGAAAACACCAGAGCACCTTCTTTTTTGTGGAGCGCCGCAACCTCGGCCTCCAGTCTCAAAGCGTGCTGGTTGTGGCCGGCGATGTTCCGGGTACCGCCTGCGCCCGCACCATATTTGTCCAAAGTCTTTTTCATCACTTCTACGATCTGCTGGTTCTTGGAAAGTGCCAAATAATCGTTCGAGCACCACACAGTGACTTTGTCGTGCTCTTCTTGGCGATGTGCCATGGGGAACTCCTTGGCCAACCGGTTGATGTTGTTGAAGAAGCGGTACGACTTGTCGAGCCGTTTCTTGCGCACTTCGTGCTCGAAAAGCCCTTCGTAGTCGAATTTCAACTCCTGCGTCGCGTGGTCCGCCATCAACACGTCCTGGGTTGTTCCTTCGCTGGAAACTGCGCTCCCAGCGCCCGTGACGCTTGCTCCACGTGGAGCTGCTGCTGCCGTGGCCAAATGCGCCTTTTGCATGGCTTGACCCATAAATGGACATTGCTGTGCCATGCTTGACACGCTCGACTGCTGGAGACTCTTGACATTTCTCAAAGACGACGCAGTCTTGTTCATAAACGGACAAAGTCTCACAGACTGTCTGGCGATGTTGTCCATCTTGTCAAATCTCAAAATTCGGCCTTTTGAACTGCGGAAAAAAGCGACCTGATCGTTCTGATGTTACCTGTATTTCCAAGCAAGCTGTACAACACTGGGAATGTCCCTTGGAGCAGTGATTTTGAATCTCTTTTGAAGCTCCGAAACCCATGAGATGAGCTTTCTTGTGAAAAGAAGTTCAGCTCAATTTCGCTTTTTTCTACCATTGGGTATCTGAGTGGTGAAAAACATAATGATTGGGGCGTACGAAGTGATGCGCTCAAACGGCTGTAAAAGATTTCCTAATAGGGGAATCATGTGACATTGTGTGCTTTGGTCACGTGTGCGTGTGGGATCATGTGACCCCTTCTCGAGCCCAATGGGGCCGGCGTCAGATTCACCCAACGCTCCAGTCGTAGTTGTTCCGGAGCCGTTCTTGGGCCTTGATATGACCAGCATTGGCAGCTTTCTGGTAGTGTTCGCGCGCTGCCGCGAGATCGACCGCACATCCAACGCCATTCTCGTAGAAAAACCCAACTGCATATTCTGCACGGGCCAACTTGCCCTCCGAGGCGTGGCATGCCTTACGGGCCCAGTTGAAAGCTTCATGGTTGTTGGCCTTGAGCACGCCCTTGGCACCCGTGAGATACCAGCCACTCAGCGACATCATGGCCATCGGATTCCCGCGAGGTTTGGCTGTGGCCGCTTTGGCGTACCATGCAATCGACTTGTTGGCCGCTAAAGCCAGGTTTAGCTGTCCAAACTCGTAGCACTGGCCTATTCGCCACTGTGCAAGTGGGTACTGGTACCGCGTTGCACAGCGGTGGTAGTACTGTAGCGCTTTCGTCGGATTCCGCGAAAACCCCGCCGCAGTCAGCAAATCTTGCAGCATGGGCGCCAAACCATCGAATTCGTACACTTTTGCGAGCTCGTACATTGCCTGTGGCGAGACTAGATCATTTTTTGTAGCATCAGCAGCCCCGTTGTGCTGCTTAGCAGTTTCATTTTCAGCTTTTTCGGAGGTTTCGGGCCTTTCGCCGACTTTCTCATCACGACGAATTGCTCTTAAAAACCAGTTCACGGCCACTTTGACTTCTTGCTTCAAAATCTGGTTTCCCTCTGAGTCTTTCACGCCCTGGAGACACAGCATCCCCAGCTTATACATGCACGCGATGTTGTCGCAATTAAGTGCACCCTTTTCGTAATAGTGTATGGCCTTCTGCAACGATCGTATGCGATTCAGCTCTGGAGAAGTGCCCCTTTGGTATTCGTAGCACACACCGGCACGGTAACAAGCGTCACTGACGTCTAGAGCGGCTGCCTTGCAGTAGTAATCCAACGCTTTGGCGTCGTTCCGCGCTATCACAGCTTGGATCTTGACCTCTAGATATGGCTGTTGCGAGTACAGCGTGGCCATCAAATACAGTGCAGGCCCATGTTGCAGTGTGATCAGCTTGGTCAAAACTTTCAAAGCGTGTTCCAAGATAATTTTCTGGTTTTTCAGCATTTCTGCTGCTGTTAGCGTTCTTTTGAGCTTGTTGCCGTTGATGTTGTAGTTGGCAATAAATTCATCGATAAAAGCGTATTGCAGCAGTGTCTCGCACCATATCATTTGGATCTCTGCGGTAAAATTGGGCGAGTCATTGATAGTCGCCTGATAGACGTCGAAAAATCGCTTTGCAACTTCGCTGTAGTGCGAAAAATCGCGTTCCTGGGACTTAGCACTCTCATTCGAGCGAGGAACTTGATCGCTGGCCTCGCTAAACTCGCTGAAATCGCTCGGCTGGCGATACAGTTTCTCTTGCAGAACGCGTGGCGTCTCCACTGCGTCGGTTTCCACGTAAGGCGGGGGCGGCACCGTAGACTCTGACACCTCACTAGCACTCTGGAATGTGTCGACGGAGCTATTACTGGGTTTTGCGTTCATCAACGAGTCCGCTGAGGGGCCGCGCGATGCCAAACTCTGGAAAGAAAACGGCTGATCGTACCGTGGGTTTGTGGGCGTTCCTGTTTTGCTTCTGCTGTTTAACGATGCTGTCGATCGCATAGAGCGCAGTGTCTGGGCCGATTGCAGCGGTACGGGACTCATGGGCTGCTGGGCGTCTTCAACTGGATACGGTACTGTTCGAGACGGGCTTCCGCCTGCAATGCGCTGGGAATGCGGCTCTTTTCGAGCCGGTGGATACATGTTGATGTGGGTATCATACAGCGTCTGTTTGCTACGTTCCATCGCTGTAAGAGCCGGTAGAAGCCGAGACTTCAAGCGTTTTTTGGAGTTTACTGGTGAGAGTTCACATTTGATTAGCATGGTCCATTGTGTAGTATATAAATCGTTATATTAATGATCGCTATGTACGTTGAGGGGATATGTCCATATATATAGCTCGTGTGTAGTGACTTTTATTGATACTTAACAGAACCACGACAAGCGCAGGCTTTTACAGTAGTGCTAGCTCCATGGGCGGATTTTATCAGGTGTTTTCCCAATTCAAATGGACTTTTAAATTCCACTCAACATTTGTACGACAATTTTGGGCTTTTTATGAGCTCTTTCAAGCTTCTTTCTTCAAAGTAACTTCTGATTTTGAATATATGTATATACTCCTTGCACGCTAAAACTGTTGATTATTATCTACCCAGTCGCCGTGAAATGATGTTTCTACAGTGTATGACACAGTGCTCGATGCCCTGCGCTATACCCTTCTGGGCTGCGCAGAAGTCGTCTTGTCGAACACCTTATTTTGGATGCCATCTGGCGCGGCAGTCTTGACTCACCCTCCACCTACGTTCGATTCCCTTGTGGACCGTTTTTAATTCTTGATGAGACTAATTTTTATCACCACTCTAAGAGAAGCACACCTTTCCTGCTGGAAGAGTTGTCGATGAGCTAAAACATACAGCTAAACAGCACATATATAGGTCCCCCACAATGGTCTGGCCTTTCAATAAAAAGCGTGAAGAAGCTGCGGTCCAACAGGAGCAGACTGAGCCCCAGTTACAAAACTACAGCGCCGGGAAAAAATACCTTTTGGAGGATACAAAACCCCGGTTTGCCAACGAATCTCAAAGTCAATATGCCAAGTCACAGGAGCAGGCTTCGCTTCGAAAAGCCTGGGAAACCGTGAGCTGGAATGATTTCAGTCTCCAGCGTCTGGTGCAAATCCCGTGTCTGCGGGATGCTGGAATGAGCGGATTCACCAGCATGTTCGTTTTAGGTGGAGTTATATTCCTGTATCATAAAAACCCAGCAAAGGCTGCGAACTGGGCCGTTGGGGGTTTCATGCTCGGTAGCATTGTTGGCTGGGAACAATGTCGCATGAGGCGAAAAAAGAGCTTTCAAACAGCACAGATGGCCAGAAATACCATCGCAAATAAGGAAAAGCCCATGATGAACCCGGTGGTACATGATGACAGGGTCAAGAAAGAATGGGAAGGACACACCTCCGATAAAACTTCTCAAAGGCCCTGGTATAAGCTGTGGTAGTATGTGTATATAACGACCCAAAAAATTTAAACAAACGCAACATTTCATTGTTTCTGGACGTTGTCTCTGTTCGCAGCACTTGCAGCGCTTGCAGCACCCTGGACAACATGTATATAGTTATGTAGAGTATGCAGCTTTAGGCAGGCGTTATTGCGTCGAGCTTTTGCTGCTACGAGTATCCAGTTTCAGATCGGTCAGTCCGTCCAAAATCCTTTCACTGCTTAAGCCTTCAGTTTTGTCGTTTCCGTCGTTGTTTTGCTCCTCCTCGTCATTATTTCGGACTTCTGTATCGCTTTTCTTTCCCTCCCCCTCCCGTGCAAGCGAGTATTCTTGTGATTTTGGCATCGGAAGTGAAAACGAATTATCGTATGCATCGTCATTATCGCTGTCCTGGTTGGCAGCGGCACTCGCTGAGGAGTGAGACCCACTTTTGCGACGTGATGGCGTGATCCTTAATTTAGCCGTACGTGGCGTCCCGTTTCGACTGATGTGCGAGCTTCTCGGAGAATTCAAAACGTCGCTGTGATATTCATAGGTTAAATCTTCATTTTTTTGATCACTGCCCGCGTTGTTAAACGGGTCGTCGGCGTTCACCAGCAGCTCATCTAAACCCCCGCCTGACCACCCTTTTCGTGCAATGTTTTCGCTGATCTCTACTTGTGCCCTTGATACAGTTGCAGTGTCTTTTAAAACATCTGAACAACAGCTTTCAACCATCTCGTACGAGTTCTGATAATAGTGATGCTTCAATGATTCCAGTTCATCTAGTTGTAGTTGTAAATTGGCCAAGTTTTCCCGATACGAGACCAGGTTCCGCGTCTTTCGTCTGGAAAACTGTGCATTGTATTTTTCCTGTAATTTGAGTTTCTTCGCCTCATCGTGAAACTCCCGCTTGAACTCTGACTCGTGTACTCTTCGCTTGTACTGAAACTCGTCAATGCGACTCGTCAACGTTTCGACCAGCGATGAGCTGATGCAATTGGACATAATTCGCTGGTGGTTGGCAATCAGGTGGAATAACCCGCTGGAGCTCAAATACTTGTCTGCACTGTCGTCGTTGCACCCCTTCAAGCGCGCCATTTGCTCCAGAGACAGCGCCAACAAACTAGCTTTTTGTGACGTGGCCGAGAGTTCCTTTGCGTAACTTTTTGCATTAGCCAGTAGTTGCTGCATTGTGTCCACGGTTTGCGTCATGTCCTTATTGGTGACCAAGTTCTGTAGGTCACTTATTGTGCTAAATCCAGATCTGAAAGACGAGGGACGACGCAGTCTAAACACGCTGGAAGTTGCAGCAGATCTGAAGGGTGATTCTAGTCTATCCATGTGGGTTGGGGCCTCTACTTCTGACTTTTTGATATCTTGAACGTTTTGACCAGAACTGTTTACTAAAGGGTAGAACTCAGATAAATGAGGCGCGAATCTCTCGGCCGCTATCTTGCCGTCAGAATATTCTGTTGTCATTTCAACAAGATAGAGAATTGGGTGCTAAGCAGGCTGAAACCTGTTACTGTCGGGGATCAGTAACGAGTTGGATGAGAGCTGACCTTTCAGCTTTACATCTCGAGATTCGTAGTCCTCCGTTTGTAGTGATGGGATATCAATAATTAGATATGTAACAGAGCTGTAGCGCGAGCGAAAGGTCCAGATGGATGGCGAGCGTTGGTTGTCGTTGGGCTCAGTGTCGTGTTTTGGCGATTAAACTTGTGACCTATGTTGCTGTTTATTTTGGCACTTTCAAAATTGTTTAAAAGTCGTCAATATTTAGGACAGCTATGGCATTACTGACAAGTAATGAAAGAACAGCAGCTGAGAACATCCGTGGAGTTTTTCCCTAAAGCTAGAAACCCACCTAAATCCCCATTTTACCACATAACGATTTCACTGAGGTCGACATGTCAGGAGTTCCACTGACAGGTGAATTAATCACTCAATTTTTTTTGGACAAAGAAGATACCATGGAGGCTTGGATACCAAAATTCATTGTCGAAAATCGAGGGAGATTACCACTGAGGAAAGTGATCGACCTTTTAATGGTCCGAATTCCTACAATGTCAGCTTTGAAATAATCATATACTATGATAAATTATTATCACTTTGTACTAACGTGACACCTCGGAAGTGTTCTTTCCAAAATAGCATGAGAACGGGTGAAGGAATTGCAAACAGCTACGCAATCGACTTCTGACGATCTACCATCACCTTATGGGGTCCCTTGTGATAGAAGGCTTCCCAAACAAAACCGAAAAAACCTCTCGAATTTAAATCATAAAAAAAATGAGCCAAAAGACTAACGCACTACAAAGAAAGAGTCAAATTAAGGCTTAAATACGAGAAGCAAACACACGCACGAACCGTTAGCTCAAAGCTATCCCGCTGCTTACAAAACCTCCTTTCAAACAGAGTTATTTCTAATCATCTTTCACGAAGTCACGACTATAAAAATTTAAGCATCGAAATGCACCATTTTGAACAAATTGTCTATGTAATCGATCCATCAAAACTCGCTACAATAACGGTCCTAGGTGCATCCACGAGATGTTCAATCTTACTGCAGGCTTTTTGCCACGGCTCAGGTTCTCTTTTACAGCTTTTCAGCATGTCAGACTGATGGCTACCGGTGCCAGAAACACCGTCAAACCGCTTCACTCCAGAAAGACGTTTTTGATTGACACTTACAAAGACTTGATGGATAAGAACCCCGTGGTGTTGTTTGCACACTACAATAACTTGCTGAAGCACGAAAATGCATTTTTCCGCGCGCAAATCCAAGCATTGGGAGGCAAAATGACTGTGCTAAGAAACCAGCTTTTCCAAGTGTATCTGCGAAATGCACACCTTCCAGACCCCTGTGCTGCTTCCACGAAAGCCGTGCAAAACAGAACGCATCCTCTGCTGCCACTTTTCAAGGGTCCCACCGCTGCCATCACGTTTTCGGACACAGACCCGGCCCAGATACTCAAGTTTTTGAAGCTGCTCGAGAAGAGCTCGGACAAAATGTTTGTAGTGGGTGCTAGAATCGACGGCCAGGTGCTGGACATATCTAAGGTGCACGAGTTCAAGACGCTACCGTCCAAGCCCGCCCTACAGAGCCAGCTTCTGGGCTTGTTGTCAGTGCTCAGCGGTGCGGGCTTGGTAAAAACCTTGGAGGCGGGTTCTCACTCACTGTATCTAACTTTGCAATCGCATCACGATAACAAAGAGAAGTCCAACTAAATCAAATTGTGGCTTTCAGAACAACAATCATAAATCCTGTATATAACGGTAAAAAGACTAGTCATTGATCATTTTGGGGCGAAACGAGTTGCAAGAAAAAAGAGCAGACTTGACCAGCAGAGTCGAGAATCCTCGGAGTAGCTAAACAAGTCCTTAAGCGTGCCCTTGAGATTGGTCAACTGGATATCCAACTAGAGGCTTTTTACAGCTTGAAAAATTTTAGTAACTATCATCTCATCGCATCTCATCGCATCGCATTATATCGCCAGATTGAAGCTGCTAGTAGCGTAGGAACACTTTCAAGTGCCCTTTATCGTCGAACTAAAAGTCCACTATGAAAGCCGGTATGTCTTTGGATGATCCATCCAGCAAACGTCAAGCTTATAGGTTAAAGAAGCAAGAGAACAGACAAGAATTAAAACATGTAAGAATCGACCCAAGTGCTAGTTCGGAGAAGATAGACCTGCCCAGAAAGAGATTTTACCGCCAAAGAGCCCATTCGAATCCGTTCTCGGACCATCAGCTCGAATATCCCGTCAGTCCTGAAGAAATGGATTGGCAGAAGCTGTATCCGCACTTTTTTGACGAGGCAACCAGCAAGATGACCAAAGAAGTGACCATTGCAGACATCGGTTGTGGTTTCGGTGGTCTTCTGATTGATCTATCGCCCGAGTTCCCCGAAAACTTGATACTTGGGATGGAAATTCGCGTGCAAGTGACAAACTACGTCGAGGACAGAATCATCGCGCTGCGATCCAACAACGCCGCGACCAATGGATACCAAAACATCAGCGTCCTGAGGGGCAACGCTATGAAGTTTTTGCCCAACTTCTTCCGCAAGAGCCAGCTGGAAAAGATGTTTTTCTGTTTCCCAGACCCTCATTTCAAGCAGAGAAAGCATAAGGCTAGAATTATCACCAACACCTTGCTCTCCGAGTACGCTTACGCATTGAAAGAAGGCGGGATTGTATACACGATCACAGACGTGCTAGACTTACATCAATGGATGGTTAAGCATCTGGAGGAGCACCCACTTTTCGATAGATTGTCGACGGAGTGGGAAAAGAACGACAAGTGCGTTCAGATCATGAGGCATGCCACCGAAGAGGGCAAGAAAGTGGAAAGGAAAAAGGGCGACAAATACGTTGCTTGTTTTGTCAGGTTGCCTAACCCAACCATTATGTAGTGTACTTTATCTTGGTCAGCTATGAGTAGTCGGTAAATTAGAGAATATCTCATTATCATTGTGATCATACAAATACGTCTACATACTCGATTTCACACTCTGAGTTAAACGTAAACTCAGCTTCTGGACCCTGCGGAATCATTCGCAGGCAGCGTTCCATATGCGCCATTGTCCGAGGATTTACCCAAACCCACGACCCGATCGTAAATCAGCCCAACTGTCTCTGAGCCTCTTCTGACCAACTTCCGGAAATTGCCACCTTCTTGCTGCCCTTTCTTGAACTCAAGGACTTGCTGCAAGGTTGGGGGATCGAGCGCCTCCGCAGACAACATGTTAGTGCTTGCTATGCTTTTTTTGGATATGACACTTTGTGCACTGCTGGTGACCGGTGGCTGGTTCAACAATGACTCGTGCTGACTGGCAGCAGGATGCAATGGATTCAAGTTTTGATTGCTTCCATCTAAAAGAGACGGTTGAGCATTCAAGGGTTTGCGTGCCAACGACGGATTAGCGTTTGACGAGTTGGCGAGAGATGCGGTATCAACGTCCACTCCTGTGATGGAGCCGTGGAAACTAAAAGTGGAAGATTTGTCATCGAAAACTGATCCCATATCCTCCAAGCGCAATCCAGCGGTTTCTGGATACACTCTCAAAACACACCAGAAAGATAGGAAGCAAGACGCGGCGTGTATCAAATACAATCTCCATTTGATCTTTTCCTGCAAGATTGGTGTCATAATTCCAACTAGCCAATTGCAGAGCCAGTTTGTGGCCGTTGAAGCTGATGCCATCGCTGATCTTGCAGACAAAGGAGCAATCTCGACAGGATACAACCATGGGATTGGACCCCAGCTGAAACCAAAAAATGCATTGAAGATGATAACGAAAATGACAACCAGGTTAGGAGTGAAAGCAACATTGATGTAGAGCGATGCAGAGATGGAAACCAAAGAAAGTCCCATCACCATACCACCCATCAATAGTATGGGCTTGCGACCCCATTTGTCAACCAAGTGCCAGGGAAAAACAGTTGAGGCAGCATAGATAATACTATTGATACCGGTCATCAAAATTGCATCTCTACCTACCCAGCCTGCCTGCTCGAAGACCATTGGAGCGTAGTAAGAGATGACATTAATGCCGTTCAGTTGTGCAAACATTTGAGAGCTCATGGCAATCAACATTCTGCTTCTGTAGCGTTTGAACACGTAAGAATATGATTTTTTTTCGCCCTCGAGTCTAGAAACCAAGACAGTTTCTTTGATGGCTTGAAACTCTTCGTGGGCTCGAGAATCCTGAACGTCGCCATCACTATGCAAGTCTGCGATGACTATCAACCCCTCAACGTCATGATCGTGATTAAGGAGCCATCTTGGGGTCTCGACAATGACAAAAGAGCCCATTAACAAACCGAAACCCATGACACATTGAATGAACAAAGGCAATCTCCATGCTGTATTGTTCTCGATAAAAGAGCACCCGTAGTCGACCCAGACGCTCGAGCAGTAGCCAACAATATTGCCTGTGAACTCGATGCAAGCAAGCTTGCCTCTGTTGTGTGGCGGGGAAATCTCGGACTGGTAGATGGGCACGATGGTACTCAAGAGCCCGACCCCCAGACCACTAATAATTCTGCCCACTACCAGGTGGGCCATTTTCAGTGCTGAAGTCTGGATAAGACCACCTAAAATGAACACAAACGATCCGTACCTGATTGTACGTCTGCGACCCCATTTTTCACCCAAACGTCCAACCATCAAAGAGCTGATCAATGCTCCAATCTCCAGGATCGAAACCATGTTTCCGATCGCCGCACGCGAGGGGTCGTCGAAATACTCTTTAAAAATAGGTCCAGTAATGACACCAGACATGACACCCTGATCGTATCCAAACAGAAACACGCCGAGGGACACGAAAACAGACGTAAAATACAGTAAGGCTCGGCCCGTGAGATACGAGTCCTTGACCTGCAGATGGCCGTCGAACCCTGGAGGAATGATCTGTGGGTGACTGTGACCCTCCAAATGCACGCCCGGGCCAGGATTGTGCGTCACGGACGCTTTGCTGTCCTGATACAGCATTCCTGCGTTTCTTGTCGGTCCACGGTCGCCTGCTAATTTCCCCGTGTCATACTGATACACAACTGGTTTCTTGTGTGGCAAAGACGTCAATTTCGCGTCCCGGTGTTGCTCGTTGAAGCTTTGAGCCCTGGCGTTTCCCTCGTGAACCGCAGGGGGGGATCTTTCTCTGGACTTGGGACTAGGACTTCTCTCAAGGCTAGGCATTAAGTGTTGAAAGAGTGTCTAGTACAGGCTTGTTGATACCAGGGATGTCAAAATGGCTCGTAAGATTGATCTGAGCGCTGGAAGTACCGCTTTTTGGTGTCTGGAGAAGTACGGTTAGGATGTGGGTTATTTCAACATGGATAATTATACTCGAAATTTGGCACTGTTGTCGCTTTCTACGGAGAAAGTGCTATTGAACAGGTTAAAAGGTCAGGTTTTGGGAGTAATAGCCAGTGTTTGCGTGATCAGAGTGTCTGCAGAGAGCTGGGAAGTTCTGATTTTGTAAGTTTCCGGTTTTTTGCGAATTTTTGCGAGTTTTGCGAATTTTTGGGAGACTAAGAGTTGATTTGTAGCCTTGGGCTTGAAAATAAGGAGATTGGTGTCAGTTCGACAGTTGTGACATCATTTTTGTCTTTTAAATTGACAACTGCATGTTGTAAGTTCGTGTATGTGTGAGTTGCATCAAAATTAGGGAGCCGTGTCAGCCGCACCTGGGCTTTATGCTTCACGAGTTCAAGTGAATTCGTAGCTCGCAGTGAGAACGGCACCACGAGCAGCACGACAGCCCAATTTTCTGTTCAAAACAGGGCGCGCTTCGCCTACAAGACGCGCTCGTTTGGAGCCGACTAATTTCGTGTCGCTGACGTTCCAGATGTCACGTAAGTACAAAGTGACAAAGTGACAAACGCTGATCTTGGCGAACCCGCTCCCGCACCAGGTCTCCTAAGCTACTGCAGATCGTGTTGCCATCTATTTTTCAGCCTCGTTTCCCGTTTCCTTTCTACAAGTTGCAAACAGAAAACGATAGTCAGGACAACGCTTCTACCACCCGCTATTTGCGAAATTTCAGAACGAAATCGTTTGTCCTGTGCATCAATTTTTTTTCCCAATCGCCTGGCATGGAAAAGTCTCGACACCTGGCCCCGGTTCACGTCCAGCAACGAAATTAAGCGTACGGCGCGGTAATCGAGAGTTGTGAAAAAAGGTGACTGGATTTCGAGACAGGAACTGTCGGTGTATGAAGAAAATTCAGTCTTGACGGCCAGCCAAATATCTTGGTGTTCCCAATGCAAAATACACCAGCAGTTGATGATGATGTCAGCGTCCATGCCGTGTCGTCCAATGGGATTCTGGCTGGGTACGTTTTTTAGGTATTGGTCTTTCCTATTTGGGCAATGGTGAAAAAGAAACCTCCAACGAGCCGCCTGAAAAAAAGCAAAAAATAAAAGCAAGGAGCGTAAAAACCTTTTTGCATTTTTCCGGGACAACACCTCAGAAAAGAGCGCAATGCAGTAAAAGGTTTTTCCGACTGCATGATGCTTCGATACTTCATGCAGAGGAGGCTTCTATGCATGTTTTTGCTTCTAATTTAGTCTCGAAGACCTTCCTTGCGTCATGGATAATATTACGAAGAACTACACCGCGGGTAGATCGCTTTCTCTCTCGCTCTCTCCTATGGTATCTGGCCTGCCTGGTCTTCATTTTGTCTCTTGAGCTTGTCAAATATTTTTTGATACAAGGTTCCGCCATTTCTGGCCGTGCCCAGATTTTCGCTTTTCTCCCATCTCAATTGCATGGCTGGTGCCTCTTTTACAAGCCTGTTGTGTCGTAATCCCACACTTTTTTGTTCATGTCGTCGTCCGTGGACGCACTGACACGACGCAAATCCCCGAGCGTGTTCTATCGCGCGCAACAACAACAACTCCTCCGCCCAGAAGCTGGGGCATGGGTCCTCTTCCACAACTCTTTGTGGGATTTCCTATCGGATCTCCGAAATGTGCGTTAATAGGAGGGGCTGGGGTGACGACGACCTCTCTTCCGACCGCAGCGCAAGGCATCCTGCAATCGAATTGCTTTCGCCGTCATATGCTACCCAAGCCACTAGCCCCAAGTCGCATCGACAAACCGTGCCTGCATGGAAAAACATGATCTCAACAGATATACTGTAGGAATAGACAGACATCAAGCTCGTCTGGTGCGCCGTGCGATTTCTTTTCTCGCGAGAAAACGACCAGTTTCTTGTAATTCGACTAGTGATGTAATCTTAGTGCAGCTGTCGTCGTTCGCATCAATCTGTTCAGAAAAGCTGGCTGTTTTCTGGCTGGCTACAGTGGCCAAGCAGGCAATTGGTGCCAATGCGACTGGTGAGCTGTAGCGACGTACGTGTGATGACTTAACGAACGTCATTGTTTAGATTAGTGTTCTCTTGCAGAAATAATATTAATGACACGACAGATGGGATGCAGACATCGAGGTCCGGTGCACATGGAGCGAAGCTGATGCGATAAACGGATATATAAAGAATAAATAGCACGGCGGTTGATGTGGAGGATCAGGGGCGAGGCGATTCGAGCAACAAGAGATCCGAGTTTGTTCATCATCTTCTGAATTGTGATCCTATTGGTCAGATCTGCTAGGCTCGAGACCTCCAGCATTATCAGTGCTCGTAGCATGAACGACCCGTACAATAACAGCGTGGACGACGGGTGCGATGCTTTTCGAGGCAATCGGGCGCCCCCACCCATAATGGCAGGGCCAGGATCGCCCATGCCACCGTATTCGCTGCCACTGCTGGCGCAGCAATCACAACACAGTACGCCCACCCCGTCCCAGCAGCAACAGCAGCAGCAGCAGCAGCATCAACAACTGAGTGTCGTCACTTCGCCAACGTCTGATACTGGCTCTTCCTCCAGTCAAAAACCCTCTAGAAGACTGTGGACACCGATGGAAGATCTGGTGCTGCTGACCCTGGTTCTCACCCACAAACATGCGCTGCCCGTAGCTTCCAACGCACGACGTTTTTGGGAGTTTGTCAGTCAACAGCTTCTTCAAGAGCATTCCCTGCACAGGAACACCCGTCAATGTCGGGACCGCTTCAATCTGCTGCACGCCCGCGGTGTGAGAAATGCTACCTGTAATGTTGAGCCCAGCTCCCATCGAGACGCACTAACCTTGAAGATCGCACAAGTATTCGACTCAACAGACAGAGGCCATTACAGACTCAGTCGTGAGTATATTGAGCAACTCAACTCAAATTCGCCCCAGACCCTAAGCTACGACGGCAGCGATCAGCAGTTCCATGCTGAAAGCCAGTTAAGTCATGTTAACGCATACCCAACAGTGACGGGGCCCGGAGCTTCTGTGCCTATGGCTATTCCCCACGCGATGCCACACGAAAATGATAAACACAGCGCACCCACATCAGAATTGATCCACATCTCAAATTCAATCACATCTTTGGTATCTTCTTCCCAAAGGCTAGCCACGGACTTTCAAGACTTGTCGGAAAGGTTCGCACACTTGACAAACCAAGTCAGGTATATCCAAATGCGGTTGGATAAGTATCAAGGAACATACCAGAACGATGTCCCGGTACGAGAACCCTCGCATGAACAGTTCATTCCCGGGGGCGACTTTATCGGGCCGGCGAAGAGGCAAGATCAATGAGCCGAAGGTGTCTTGACCATTTTTTCAGCATGGCGATGGATTCGATAATCGTCGCCCAACCAATTGCATTCATTGTCATCAGACATTTTCCACGTCCCTGAAATCAAAGCGCCGTGTAGTACAACCTGGCGTCCGTGCTCATATGGCTTGCATTTCACCACTATTTAATCAGTGTTACGATAAGTTAGACTATATTCCAATCGACAGTGCTCTGCACTGGCCTGTAAATTACTGTATCATTACTTGCTCTATGTATAAGGATCTGAAAGTCAAATTCAAATGTTCAAGACGTTGCTGGGGCGGTGTTTTCTTCATTTGCTCACTAGTTTGTCGAAGGCTGGGATCAAAGATTGTGCCAACGCGAACGAAAACACTAGCTTGGGGCCGGTAGTGAGAAGCTTGGGAGTAAGACCTTTGAAGAAAGCCGTGATTCCTTCGTTTTTCAAAGTGTTTTTGACAATTTTGAATCCGCTCTCTGGGTTGTCGAAGTGTCTGTTTTGGATTCTGGTCTTGATGACATCGAGAGGGGCGGAAACGATCAACGAGGCACTAGCACCGAAAATAGAGGAAACGAAGTTCTGGGACCATGTGGCCGAAGAGTAATCCTTGAGACCCAAAATGTATTCCTTCGCGAAAGCGTTACCTCCGAAAAGTGCGAAGGACCCAGGTGCGTTTCTGGCGGCAGTCCAGCCCCAGCCTCTGTACAAGCCGAAACCCTCGTCCTTCAAGATCTTAACAAACCCTCTGCCCTTGAAAGATTCAGGGTTTGTTTGTCTTTTGATTTTCAAGACATCTAGCGGCAGCAGCACGATCTCACCGATACCGATAAGAGAACCTGCGGTGGCCGAACGAAGTGCTTTACCTGTTTTTTCGCCAAAAGCGTTGTCGAAGTCTGCCTTGAAGTTTTTGTTCAAGAATTCGTTAGCAAAGGGCTGGCCACCATATTTGTAAACTCTTTGTAGAATCTTGTAGGAAGCTGCATAGCCCAAACCGGGGAACAACGTGAACAAACGTTTCCCCAAAGCCTCACCGGCATGCTCACGGAATATGACAGTGTTCAGCTGCGCGGAAGACGCGATTTTGGTGTGGTTAGACATCAGTCTCTTCGAGACTGTGTCCACTGGGTGGAAAACACCAATTTCCAAAATACCAGCCGAAGCTGAGCCCAAAACGCGGGCTAAACCAGATTGTTTTTTATCGTTGGACATTTTGGAGTTAACTGGACAATATCACACAGTCCTGGGGGATTAAGTCGAGGCTAAAAGTGGGTTAGAAAGTCAAAGACTCACTGGTTGATCAAGCATCTTTTACACTACCGAAAATTTTCTTTAAATTAACCCACTGTCAGAGTCGAAAAATAGATAGATAGAGAGACGATAAGCTGGTAGAGACAAAGCGAGATGTTCAAGAGAGAATTAAAATGTCACTTAATTGACGTTTTTCTAGTGAGCTTATGTCCATTCGATGGACCCACTAACAGTGCAAGATTTCAAGCCAAGGGGAACTTATACCATTGTTGATCATTTTATACGTGTGTGTCGTTCTCTCTCTATACTTACCATACAATGGCGTCTCCTCCTTCTTATGTTTCTTCTAGCTGACCAGTACATTACTGGATGAGTGGACGATGAATGCTTACGATTTTGATGCGACGAGACGATGTTTTTTTGATGGTTAACAAACCTACAAAAACTGGGCAAAAAGAGGCTTTCTTCTTCTTCTTGTCTCGATTCCGTAACTGCAACGGTATCACGGACATGCGAGCTGGAAAATCAAAATTACAATTGTCTAGGTCGACCGTTTTTTTCCTTTTTAAAGCGTGGGGACGCCAGCTTGACAACCAGTAAAACAATTGCCCCGGTCAACCCTTTTTTTTTCTGAAATGCAACACTTTGGTATTCTTAGTTCCGTCTTCTGGCATTTGATTTGCGGCCTTTCGAACCTCTTTGTTGCCGGTGGTCATTTAAGACCACAACGAATGGGGTCTCCTATTCGCACGTTTTTCCACGGTCGTCATAATACCGTTGATTTGCAATTGCAGGCAGGCTGCAGTGTAAACCTAATAAAGAAGTGAGCTCATCGACCTGTACACGAACTTAATATTTTGGTCAAGTAGACTTTCCAATGCAGGTGTAGATCGCGCGCGAAATTTTTTGAGTGGTGGCTGGAACATGAAGAACGACATTTTTACGAGCGTCGAAGGATATGGGGTCCATGTAGGCTGTTGTCCGTTCCGTCCCGCAGCCTAGTGTTTAGATTATCTTTGCAGGAAGAACGAGGGCCTGGACAGTTTTTTCTACTTGTTCAGCAGTCCGTTATTGTTGCAAAGCAGTCCCTCGTTTCTGGCCACAAGTCTCGTCAATTACAAATTCCATAAGCTGTGGGATGGATCTGAGCGTTATCGTCGCTGTTGATTAACAGAGTTTGGCATGAAGCGAAGGTGAAAAAAAATAAGTCAATGACCAGTAGTCATATCGAGGCTGTTCGCGAATAACGTCGTGAAGTGCTCATGGGCGAGATCTCGTTAGTTATCTTGTCATTTTGTACTATTCTGTCGTAAATTGAATATCTTGAAATTATACAGATTCTTTGTATGTATAACATCGCACACACATGAGGACTTCAGGGATACAGAAAGGCTATTCTCGTCTTTTCCAACAGCATTCGCGTGCTTCTATAAAAATTCGCTTCCTCAATTAATCGTAATTGAAAGTGGAAAAGTCAGTTCACTGTAGTATCCAAAAGCAAGTCTGGAGTTATTGACCACAGGCTTTTGATGAAACAGCCATGATAAACCTAGTTTGAGTTTCAATCTACTACGCTAGAGAAATACACGCTAAAAATTGCATGCCTAGTTTATCATGTTCAAATCACATTTAGTACGATCTCTGTGTTCTCAATACTATAGCAATCCTCCATTATTTTGGAGCAGTCCAACGCTCCCGAATTTCCACTAAACCATATGTTATCACCAGGACTTGCCTCAAGCTATTACCAATAAAGACAGTATTCCAGTTTCCTGAACTACATTATTTTAAAATTTTAGAAAATGATACGGAATCTATCGGAACAAAGACTAACGAAACCCTCTCAATCGCAGAGAACAAACTACAATAATTACGACAATTAACGCTCCAGCTGATCCTACTCGCACACATAAAATGACAGAAATCTAATTGTTTTCAATACTCGTACATAGTTACCAACTTAAGGCTCAAATTGACTGAAAAATTGAACTTATAACAATCTCATCACATCGCCTACTTTAATGTTCCATCAAGAACACATTGGTAGCCCCCAAAACCCTTCGCAGTAGCCAATTTATATATCGTTAGCATCTCTCAAGCTTTATTATAAATGGAGTGCCAAAAAGTGGCCCAAGATTTCGCCAGCATTCTGGAGGAGTTGACTTGCAATTCAAGACCAATCATTACTACTCTTACAAAGACAGCGGAAGAAAATATTGCATGTGCTCAGCAGCTCGTTGACGCAATTGAAAGACGTATTGAGCGGTGTGTACCGAACCAAAAGCTGTATGCGTTTTATGTTATGGACTCAATCTGCAAAAACGCAGGATCTCCCTATACCATTTATTTTAGTCGAAATCTTGCAAAACTGTACAAACGTACCTATCTTTTAGTCGACAACCAGACCCGTTCGAGTCTGATTCGGCTGTTCCAGACATGGCTGAACCACAGCAGCAGCACAATGGGCGATCATTTGTTCGGAAAGGAAGCGCTCGATGCGATAGAACAGTTTCTAATCAAAGCCAGCACATTGCAACAGAAAAAAGTCGCACTGCCGACTGTTTCGGGACTTTTGCATGAAATAGACAAACTCGCGTCGCTGACAAAGGAGCGGGCGTCTCAAAATTCGCAGGACCCGAGGTTGAATACCAAGATCCTGGTGCTCAAGCAACTCAAGCAGGAACTACAACGTGAGTCGTTGGCACCACAGGCTTTGCAAGAGGTGCAGTCTCAGCTCCGCAAAATATTTTCTCAGGAGCAGCAAATGCTCCGAAAACAGCAGCAGCAGCAACAACCCAGTTTCCAGAATGTGAGCCAGAACTCGTCCGCTGTCAGTTCGACGCCTTCGCAAGAGCAGACTCCAACTCCTGGAGACTCTGAAATGATCCCGCTATTTGGTCCCACGTCCTCTTCAGCCTTTTTCCCCAACGCTGTCAATATTTTACCCCCGTCAGATTCCTCCAGGCAGGTAAATCGCGTTCAATCTTTGTATGACTCGCTGGCCAAAGAAGGCCTGATTAGACCGGTTCAAAATCAATCCATTGTTCGGCTAGAAAGCGTTTTGGCGCAAAATTCGAACGAGATATCCAAAATAACGCTCCCTTCATTGCATCTTTTGCGGAATATTTTGGGAGATATAAAGTCTCACTTCTCGGTATATGGCGTCGATATCTTGAATACGCCTAACTTACAGCTTTGTCAACAAACTATAATTGAAGACAATCCGGCTGTAGCTCAATTGAAGAATTTGCTATACAGATACAAGCCTAACAAGTGCAGTTCATGTGGTAAGAGGTTTGGCACTACTGAGGATGAAAAAAAGCGAGAGAGAGATCACCTAGATTGGCATTTCAGAATCAATAAGAGAATCAAAGGAACTTCAGGCGTGAACGGCACGGCCGTGAAGAACATTCAGTCCAGAAATTGGTATCTTGACGATACACAATGGCAGCAGTTCGACGATGAAGAGATTGTCTCGACGACAAGGTTGAAAAATGATACGTTTACTTTACCTAGGTTGGGCGTGGTTTCGGAGAAGGATACTTTCGATGAGGTGACATCTACTCAGAACAAAGCTATCGCTACTGATGAGTCGAATTTGGCGAAGAAACGTGTCGTGGTTCCGGAATCATCTGTCGAAATGTCCTTTCAATGTCCAATCTGTCGGGAAGAACAGTCTGCTGTTTATGATGATGACACAGGAGAATGGGTCTGGCCCAACTGCGTGGAATCTCAGGGCAAGTACTTCCACGCCACTTGCTTTCATGAGGCAGCTAGCAGTGCCCCGCAACAAGCTCTTCATCAAGGCTTGGAGCGTCTTAAGGGTCTAGCAGGATAAAGTCTTCTGTGTGGGGAAAGATCAAACAATGTAGAAGAAAGCGAAAAATCAATAACTTTCTCCTTCAAGCGCTATTACCAAAATCCAAATATAACACAATCCTAAAAGATTAAATAAATACATACAAATCGCATTCTGAAGTGCGCTTCAGTGCTGAAAAGTCTTCTCTCAATTCTCAATTTGCGAATTAATCTTCAAGTCATTATTGTAATACTGCCATCAGGCGTGTTCCTCTCCCCCGGAGTCTTCGCACGATATTAATGCTTGTAAACGAGAACTCAAAGCTCTTCTCTTTTCTTTCTCTAGTTTCATCTGTTCTTTTAAATGAACGATGATATGATGCTGGTTTTTCATCACCTCCGCAGACTCCGCTTGTTTTCTGTCCGCGTCGCGCTTTTCTGCTTCCATTTGTTGCGTTTTATGAATCAAGGCTTTCTCAAAATCTTTTCGTTCAGCAGTCAATTTCTGTACCTGCTTCTGCAGTTCATCCTGGGACGCCATGCTTGCTTCCAATTTTCTGGCAGTCTCAGCTAATCTGGTGAGATTGAAACCTCGATTTCTGAAATCTTGTGGTGATGTATCTTTAACGCCAACTGCACCTGCTGTGTTTTTACTACCAGCTCGAACATCATTTCCTACAATCGTTGCTGAACTCTCTAAGCTCAAAGAATCTGACGCTAGGCCCGGTGCGCTGGTTTGTAAAGTACTTGCAGTTGCGTGGTTGTCTGATCTTGCGCGGAGGGCACTTGTTATCACATGAATATTCTCAACTACATTTTCATCGAGAACTCCACCCTGAGCCGGTTCTCTCACCGAGGATGGCGCAGGTTGCGACACTGCTCGCTCCCTTTCCTTTGATGCACTCCTGTCTCTTTGTGGTTGAGAATGCAACTTCTTCAAATTATCTGTAATATTGGGACTGAGTGATTCAAATACAAATTGCCACTTTTGACTTTTAGATTCCTCCTCTTTCAGTCTTGACGTAAGATCTGCAATCACCTTATCTTTTCTTGACAGCTGTCCATGCAACGAAGCCAGCTTAAATTGATCTTCTATGACCTCACTGGCTAAGTAACGAAGCCGCTCATCCTCGGCAATTACAGTACCGTTCGAACCTCTGTTTAGGGAACGTTCCTCAAGGCCAGTATTTTCAGAGAGCAGTGAGTCTTCTTTATTAGACTCGACTGATCTCACTTGATCGTGACCTTTTTCTAATGACGGGATTGGTGGCTTCTCGCCCACATAGCTCTCCGATGCACCGTTGCGAGGATGCTGATCAGTAGGAGCCATTATGGAATTCCCGTGAGAGTCTGCATTTTTCATCATCGCAGATGTACGAGGTAGCGCACCACTGACTTGACCTATATCCTCATTTGGAGTTGGTTTCTCTGCTTCCAAAAGCTCGAACAGCCTCATTGCATACGCATAGCTCCATATTTGTGTGCCTGAGTATTCAAACGCCTCAGTATAATCATCACTTTTTAGAAAGTCGTTGATGATAATAACAACATTGACAAAGGAGGATTTCTTATCAGAGATTAAACATCCTAGCCGCTGGAGGTGATGATTTAAGTTCTGAATGCGTGCACTGACTACATCCTTTTCATCAGCGCCCAGAAATCTTTCTTGATACAAGTCAAGGTAAAAACACGCGTCACGCAATCCTTTCCGCAAATTCTCCTTGGTTGGCTCATCGATGCGAGTCACCCTTTTGTCAACTATAGGCATTTGAATCCTTTCGAAACATGATACTTCAAGCCGTGCTCTTTTCGACAACTGTTGAAGGTAAAGAGCGGGGCTCTCTTCATAATTTTTGTTATTGCAAATATTATTACTGCTTGTCACAGAGCGACCTGACTTTAGAGGTGGGCATATAATGACGCCTGAAAGAATCATGTCCAGTAGCATTCCTTTCTTCAAGCGTTTCGCTGACGCCATCACGCCTCCTACCCGGCGAGCTACTAGGCGCTCTATCTTTTTGCGATCTTGCTCAGGATCAGATCGTAACACAGTATTGGACTCTGCGGGTATATCTGTTTCTGGTAGGACTTTATCAGTATTTCCATCGACAGAATGCAAAGGAGAATCTGTAACGATCTCTTCAGAAGGGCGTGAGATTTTGGATATCTTTCTCGCGTTTGAATCGCCTATACCCCCGCTTAATGGTCTTTTCCTTCTTGGCACAACAGCATCAAGTGTTTCCTTCGTAAGAAGTCCTGAGGAATCTGATGAAGCGTCTGATGCATCGCTGGACACATTTTCCACTTCTAACATCGAGGCCCTTTGTAGCAGAGGAGCATCAGACTCGTTCGCAGCTCCGGATGAGACTTTTTGCGACAATTGTGGAGTTCTTTCAGCTCTTTGGAAATCAGACATTTCTGGACCAACTACTATCTCCTCAAGTTCCCTCATATTTTCCGCAAAGCTGGATTTTTTGGGCGTTGTATCTTTAACAGACCTGAGCTTCATGTTTGGTCCGCGGGCAAGGTCTGTAGCTTTCGTGCCTTTCCTTTTGGCTCTTCTACTGGCGGACCCAAATGCAGGGTCCACTTGATGTCCAGCAGTTGACACATATTCTGTCTGTGAATTAGTCGACTGCACCGTGGGGAGCTTGCTCGAGTTTGAAACCACCGAGGAGCGGGCAGAGCCAGAGACCGCATTTGCAGTGTTTCCAGGTTGCATTGTTGTTCGAGATGTCAACCCAGTATGTGATCTGCTAGCAGCACTTGATTTTTGATTCAATTGCCTTCCTGACGCAGGTGAGGTGGAATTCAACTGATTGTTAAGTTTTTGCTCAGCATTTTGGCCTTTAAGCGGCAACTCGTCGCGCCTGATCGCTTTCTCCAGTATTGTGCCAGCGCGAAAACGCTTGGAAGTCGTACCTGACTTTTTCTGAACTGAAAGCGAGCTGTTCAACTTCGTGCTGCTATACTGAGCCGACTTTGCATTGTTCGTGGTAGTCGCTTTATTCGATTGATCTGGATGGCTCTCTAAATATTGGACGATAGGCATCGAGCTAATTTCCTTCTCACTAGGGGGTTGTCCGTTTGTTTGCATGACCGTGTTCTTCCACTGGGAAACGTAAATTTGAGACTGCGGATTGTTTATAGGCATTGTCTGTATAATTGGGTCATTGCGTGAAGAAGTGCCAAAGGAGGCCTTTTTGACTTTCTGAGGAGATTTGGGCTGCGATGCTTTCGTCGTGGTCGATGCGGTGTAAGATTGTTTGCCTTTTCGACCAGATTTCTTAACGTCATTCGAAGCTTTTTGGCTCAAAGCTCCATCATATCTCAGAGATGCTGGGCCTGTTTGTAAAGGTGCCAAGCTTGAGGTATCGCTATCGGCTTGATCATTTCTCGTGGTGTTATTTTTGTTCATTGCATTCGAACTCTGCAAAGCTTTCCCTGATACCGCAGATGGGGAAACGGCCAACTCATTCGGCTGTTGACTTCTTTGAAGGTCAGTGGATGGTTTGCTTGGAGCACCTGTATACTTCACGTGGAGTGCATCAAATAACTCACTTCTGTCTCCAGCCAGAAGCTGATCGCCGAGAGCAGAAGGGCGCACTGGAGTGGACTGTGGATCCAAAAAACCGGGAGCGGACAATGATGTGTCAGATACAGTGGTTAGTTGAGGAATATACCTTAAAGTGGTCGAGAGCTTCTGCGAAATCCCTAAATTGGCCTCCTTCGTTAAGTCCAGAAGCGGAGCAGCAGGAGAATTGACTCCAATTGTATACCCGCTTTCCAGCTGATTCTCAGAAAAGCTATTGATTCCAGCTTCTCTTGGAGAAGCATTTTCATTCCGTGCTGGTTTCGATGGCAAAGGAGCTGGGGTTTCGGCAGGAGATGACTGCAACCGGTATACGTCGTTTCTGACTGATTCGTGGTCAGGTCCTGAATTCTCTGGTGCTGGCGCTTGCCCTGACCCGGATCCAGACGTCTCTGGTATAGCTGCCTTTTTTTCACCGAAAAAAACCCCTTCACCAGACTCGGTCGGTACTGGCACCTGTCTTGAATGCGATCCAGATGTCTTTGATATCGTTGCCACTTTTTCACGCGAAGCAAGCCCCTTTCCAGACTGTGTCGGTGGCAGCACCTGCCCTGAACCGGATTCGGGCGCATTTTTATCGCCTGAGGGTAGCCCATCCCCGGAGCTTGTCGGTACCGGTACCTGTTTTAGGCTCTGTGGAGTTGAGATCAACTTCGCGGTTTCTTTTTCACCTGAACCAAGAGCATACACAGGGTTCTTCTGTACCAGCGGTTGCCGCAGGACGACCTCAGATGGCTTTGTTATTTCTGCCTCAGTTCTTACTGGCTCAAGACCAGTACCTAACTTGGTCGAAGGCGCTTGTCCTTGATTTACTCCAGCTATCTTTCCTTGCGTTACGCCATTTTCAGCTCCACGATTACTGGATTGCGGATTTATGGGCGCTGGTGGCAGATTGACGGGTTCGTTGTGTGGATTCGGTGGGGGCGTGCTGATTGTTCCTCCAGAGGTATGATTACGTGGAAAAGTAGTGGGAGGTGAAGACTGCTTTGAATTCTGTTCAGCTAGGTGCGGTTGCGGTAGATTCGACTGGGTATTAGCCACGGGTGATGGGATGTCTTTGCCTGCCACATTCGGTGAGAGAGGCCTCGCCTGTGCCGGTTTATGTACTACTTGTGGTTGAGAGAGCATCGCTTGAGGTTCAGTTGGCAACTTTTTTGGAAATTCGGCATAGGTAGAACGTTCTTCTACCACTGGTCGACTCTGAGTGGTGCTCGTAGTGGTAAATTCTTGAGACTTCATCATGCTTCTTGAAGCCGCAGGCGGGACACTTGGGTGTGATATGCTAGACGCACTTTTCGCAGCTTGCGGCGTGGGTGTTTCACTCCGGGTTGCTTTAGGCCCAGTGGGAGGTGCTACGTCCAAAACAGCTCGTACCTGTTTCGAACTTTGCGATATGAGCGATGAGGCAGGAATCGTGATCCACTGTGATATTCGATCATGGAATGATCTCTTTGGAGCTGCAGAAACGCCTGACTGTTGCTGGAGGTCTTTCGCCCCACTATCGCGAGGTTGGATTGTTATCTTCTGGGATTGTTCTGCTGGATAAACAGCCAGCTCTTGTGGCATTGGCTCGCTTTTCACGCTTTTTGATTTGAGCATTTGCAGCAGTTTATTGGCCTCTACATGGATCTCGCGAGAGCCCGTAGGCGACTTGGAAGACCCCTGCTCCACACTGGCTCTCTTGATAGGAGTTGACTTGAAAATGTGGATTTTGGCTGGATTCATTGGTGCTGAAAGTCCATCCCCAGGTCTGTTTTGGTCAAACTCGCTGCGCGAAGGAGTATTGTTCGCGCTGGACATTAGCGATTATCCTTTCCTACAGATATTTCTGGTCAGAAAGGAGTAAACACAGGGCTTTCAAACGGTTTTGTTTTGTTGTTATTGATGGAAACAGGTTTGAAGTTGTGTGCTTGTTTGTATAGGACGACAGTTCTTTAAATGTTAACTTTTGAATAAATTCATACTATAAGAGAGAAATGAATATAGAGCAGGCTATCTGGCTAAAAGTTCAGCTTTGCTGCTCACAATAAACGCAATCCAAGTCTATACATGGCATAGCAGTTGTATATAAGGATAATGGTGTGAAAGGAGACGAGAAATAGCGAGTTTATTCGCAGCTAAAACCCATCGCACTTATTTGCCTAGACACTTCAAGATGTCGGACCACACAGTCTTGGGAGGCTGAGAGGCGTCGACACCAGCCCAGATACCGGTTTTCTTGTAAAAGTCAACGATAGGCTCGGTTTGTTGGTGGTAGGCACCGAGTCTCTTCTTCAAAGCGTCAGCGTTGTCGTCGCTTCTCTGGACAAGGTCTTCGCCGGTGACGTCGTCCTTCATGTCCTTCTTCGGAGGGTTGAAGGTCTTGTGGTAAGATCTGCCGGAGGCTGGGTGGACCAATCTGCCGGTGATTCTGGAGACCAACAATTCGTCGTCGATCTTCAATTCCACGGCCTTCTCCAGAGGTCTGCCTTGCTCGACCAACATCTGGTCCAGCTTCTGGGCCTGAGGAATGGTTCTTGGGAAGCCGTCCAAAATGAACCCGTTCTTGCACTCAGAGTTGGTCAAAAGCTCGTGCTTGATCATGCTGACCATGATTTCGTCAGACACCAAACCACCTTGGTCCATGATTTTCTTGGCTTCCAAGCCGAGCTCGGTTTTCTGGGCCACTTGCGATCTCAACATATCACCGGTGGCCAAATGGCACGCACAGAAACGCTCTTTCAAGTTTGGAGCTTGAGTACCTTTACCGGCACCTGGAGGGCCAATTAGCACCATTCTGATGGATTCTGGGACATGTTTCAAGTCTTGTTGGGCCATTTTTGTATCCTTAAGTCGTGAAGTCGTGAAGTCGTTACAGGAGGGGGAGTCAACACAATTGATTTGAGCTGAATTTGAAACGGAACCTTAAGATAGACGTTTTTCCTGATCGTTAGAGGCTCTTGGAGCTCGTTCAAATTTTTTATCCAAAGAGCTTGAAATTTGGTGTCACGTGTGATTCAGTTCGAGACAGAAGTTTCGATTGGCATGTTTAATTGGTGGATAACTGACGCCAGGAATACAAAGCATTACTGGGGAACGCTGGAGGTAGGAGAGGAGACGTGTCTATCCGTGGCGTGCGGGTTGTAATTGGTTGGTTTATGTGGGCCTATTGAGCTCAGGGGAAAATGAGAAAGAACAAAAAAATGAGATTTGTCAGTTATGGGTTAATAATTAATTGTGAAATTGGTCCAGGGGCATACAATGGAGTTTGACTATTATTCTTGGAATACGATTGCGGATATTGTTGAATTAATGGAAAATTTCTATGAGCGAAAAGTAAGACGCTGTTGATGTCTTTGAGAGCTTAATGAACTTTCAAATTGGTACGATAGAATTTGCGCTGTCATCTGACACCGACATGTCAAAACAAAGGAGAATAGAAATGCTTTTTTCTGGCAGCAATAGCGGATTTCCTCACCTAGTAAACTACACCAACACGCTATTGTATGGCACACGGTCGATGAAATAGGAGATATGGTTCTCACCATCACCTCATACGAAATGTTAAAGCCCAGTCATTTACTGTCATAGGCCAGTGTCAGTGAGAAGAGAAAAGGCCAGAGGGCATTATTTGAAAATACAGGGAACGTTGCAGTCGCCTTCGGCACCTTGATGCCATAAATTGCTTTACGAATGTGAAAGCATTGCATCGCCTACGGTTTTTATATAACAATATCGTTTTTTTGCAGAAAAACGGCGTGAATTTACAATAAAACATTTTTAACTCGTGTTTTTGAGCTCCCGAACACGAAGAGCTCCGTGGTTACGTGAATGCCGGTAGGCTAGAATACTGTCAACTCCGGGGTCCGTCATCAAAAGTTTTTGATAATCACGTGACTGATCACTCACCTCATTTTCAGGGAGCTTTGGGCCTGGAGAGCGTCCCTTCTAGCAAGGTCTATTCCACGCGAACTTGTACTTTCAATAGTCGACTTCTTAAGCTGCCGGTTGGAACCTCACCTCGTTGGTTGAAATGATGAGCACCACATCACGTGACACGACAACGAATCCGCATCCATTTCATCTCTGAGAATGGCAGGAATATACAACTTTTTAGCTGTCCAAAGCCTTTTCAATGTCCAACCAACCATGTCCGCAATTACCTTTTTCCTGTGAATAGTCTTTTCGACTTCATAGTCCTTTAAACTTCCCGTGCATACAAAAAGCTAAACGCTGTGATTAGCTCGACCCAACTCTAGGCTATTCTCGATCCTGGAATTCAACAAGATACAAAAAAATGTTCGTCAGCTATCGGATTTGAACCGATGCGGGCAGAGCCCAATAGATTGCAATTTAATTCCAAAGGAACCAGTATTCGAGTCTATCGCCTTAACCACTCGGCCAAACTGACATATGGAGATGAAAGTTGAATTAATTTCCATCAACATCGAAGCTACCTGAAGGAATCGAACAACCGACAGCTATGAATGCTCGCCAACCACACCAGGAGTGGTGGTTGATAATATGGAAGGATAAATACTAACAAATATAGGAATAGGAAGCAGGTTTCTCAGCTAGATCGACTGATGAAGTATAAGTTAAGTGATCCGTGTCAGATTCCTATGAAATTACAGTGATTCTACTACGCACTGATCAATCACAAGCTTTTTTCCTGTGGGATGAGTCTCAATCGAGGAGATTTGTGTGTCGCGATGTGGCACTGCAGATGGACTACCGAAATTCAAGACATTTTTACTGGTATGGAATGCCTGCAACGCTTGTATTTGTCCTTCATACTGCATGTAATTAGAGGTATAGACACTTCTGAAATGATTATTCCCACCGACACTCGAAATGTCAAAAAAATAAGCAACTCCTCATAGGGGGCTCGAACCCCTGACATTTCGGTTCCTTGCAAGCGGTGCTTAAAAGCCGAACGCTCTACCAACTGAGCTAACAAGGACGAGTTGCTGCTAGCTCCAAACCTGTGTGTAATATAAGTGGTTGTAGGAAGGGCGTGGCCAAGGCACGGGGGACTCCAGATTTCGTTCGCAGTAATTCCTCGAGCTTATTTTGAAGTATTTCTCACGCTGGAGACACATCTTAGGTATCAAACCTCCATGTTATGTGTCAGCACCGAGATATCATTGCCACTCGAGTTGAACTCATTGATAAAGCCTAGACGTTGACATGAATTAAATGCTCTTTCACACACACGGCTTGAATGTTTTATTTGACCCATGTATAAGAAATGTAACGTTAATCACCGCGAAACGGTGACATATGCTTTTCATTCCATTCAATAATAGAATAAAATGAAGAAACAGACTCTATTCTCATACCTCATTTAAGTGCAAATGAAGCTACCTAGTCCAAATAAAGCTTCCTAGAGAACTCAAACGTCCTTAAAAAAATTCCCCACTCTCGAATACTCTCAGATACCAGATACCTGCTCTATTTGCGCTTATCCAGCTCAATTACCACCATTTTCACCACTTGTTTCTTATACTGTCATCTGCGTCAACTACCTTTCAAAGAGGCCCAAAAATTACAAAAATACCCTCAAAAAACCCCAAAATTTATACCAATAACAACAATTCCTTTTGAAACTATCAATGCCCTTCTTTCACGAGATTTTGGTCGCTTTTCTCACTCACCTTGCTCAACTCTGCCAATTTTAATCCATCCTCTGATCACATGCCTCGATTAGAAACATTTGTCGGTGAAATCAGGAAAACGCCAAAATTCACGGACATCTCAGTAAAGTTCATGATAGCCCTTAACAACCCAAAATATGGCACCAATGGGCTTGGGAATCAACAGAAAGCCTCACAAGGTACCAGACCTGTCACGTTATGACTACCATTATCAAACGAAGGACGAAGAAAGCGGGAAATTAGGCCTTTCAGCAGCTGCAGCTGCTGCGTCTGCTGGAAGAAGCAGGTCGCTAGTGCACTCCAGAAAACCGCTGCAAGCAAGACCAGAAACAGCACACGGTCGTAGTTACAGTCTTCGCAATAGTGCCAAATCGAACACCAAGCCCATTTCCGGTAACTCTGAGCAAATGGGCTCTCTTACCAAGGGCCGGCCCTCATTGCCAACTCCGGGGAGAACAGCTTCGCGAAGTAACTCGATTGTCACAGTGCACACCACTGAGGTCCGAGACCCCACAGGAAGAACCCACTCGATTACCAAGAAAAGTGTACGTCGTGTAAATGGCTATGAGTACGTTGAGACAACCACCACTACAACTACAACCAACGCAGCTGGCCCAGGAGACACGGAGAAACACTTCAACGAGTTTACCACAGATTTTTCGCAGGACTTTGAATTCGATCACGACCAAAACCACGATCAAGGCGAGGACCACGACCGGTTTATCATGAGCTCTGGGGTCTCTGACACGCTTAGGGAGGAAGACGAGGAAGACGACATCGATATAGACGACGCTAGTTTTATGGATGCCATGGACTATCTGCCCAAGTCCAAAACCACAAAGCCCACGGCACCTGTGCCACGTAAAGTTAAAAGACTGGCAAAACCCAAACAAGCACTGAGCGAACAAGAAATATACGCAAAGGCCTTGGAAGCTGCGCGAAAAAAGGTCTATGGTGATCAAGCGGTGGACAACGCTGGCCCGTCTGTAGCCACCCGCAATGCTACGCGGTTGGGTTCTTTGCGTGAAACTCCTGCAATTGAACCTGCAACACCAAGGACAAAGCGCAGAAGCTTTTCGCTGAAAAAGCTAGGGCAGAAGCAAGCCCGGCCCCAAAACGAAGCTGTGAACAACTACGAGAAACCAAATCAAACAAGAACGACTCTTAGGGACCAGCTGCCTGCTGTTGGTAGCTCCTCACATGCTCGCCGGATGAGCGATGGAGAAATTCACGCCAAAGCGCTGGAACTTGCGCGTGAGCAATATGCCGCTGGAAAAGCCGATCAACCTACCGTGATCTCACCTATTGAAGCTCCTGATTTAAAAAACTCTCTTGTTGAAGCTCCGTACGTCGAAGCTCCTCATGCCGAGGCTCCTCCCACTAAAACAGGTAGCTCCAACTCAAAGGTCAAGAACTTCTTCAATAAAGTGGCACAATTTAGCCACGAAAACTACGGATACCAAACTAAAAATGGGAAGCAGTCGAGTACCGGAGCGAGCTCCGAAAACAAAGTTTGCAGGGAATCCCCAAGTTTGGAGAACGAGAGGCGCCCGGTGGCCAATGACGCGAACGGGCATGTTCAAGAGCCTTCGAATGATGATGGATTTCAGGACAAAGTGAACTCCGTACTGAAATCTGAAGACAGCGATTTGGCTCGGGATAATTTCGCTCAGGATGAGACAGATATAAACGTGAAAACAAGTTCTAGTGATGAGGCAATGGGAAATGCGACGGCTTTTGTACCCGTCAACGCTGAATTTATCCAGGCTGGTGCTGCAGACACACAAGTTGTCAATACAGTGGTAGTGCAGTCCGAGACTTTGGAAACGACTTCTAGTAATCATGAGCTTTCAGCACCCACAGTCTCGAAAACACAGCAAGTCAATGTTGAAGAACAGCCTAATGATTTGGAGCACGCCGAGACCAAGTCCCTGCAACCGTATCGTACGGAAGTGGTGCCGAAAACGGGTTTTAATCCAAGCAGCCCGGCGAAGACTTCTAGTGGCAAGACTACGCAGGCCACGCAGGCTACGCAGGGGACAAATGACACGCAGCCGCAGGCATCTACTCTTGCCTCGTCAGTGTCCAGCTCGCAAGCCAATTTTTCCAGACAGAGTGTGAGAGGCTCACTGCCAGGCCCTCGCCAGGACCAGGTGCAGCCCGGCCTGTACGACACAACTCTGGCCAAAAAGTCGGAAAGTACGGATTTGCGTACGACACCGGCGTTGAAAAGCTCGCAAAGAGGAGCTGCGAGAAAGCCTACGTTCTTGCAGAAACTGTTCAAACGGTCCAGCAAAAAAACCAAGCAAAATTAGCGCTGTGCAATACCTCATTTTTTCTTAACATAATAACATCATCTGTTCTGATCTCCTAATATACACAACAGTTCCCGCAGAGGTCCCGAATTCTGCAGAAACCAACCTATAAAATGCTGTTTCCTTATTGAATTTGTTGTTGTTTTTTGTACCGTTTCCCGAATGGCGAGCAACGAGCGACAAGGACCCGATTTTTTATTATCATCATCGCCATCGCCATCGCCCTGCACTCATAGTTCCTGCGACGCCTTTTCTGGCTTGCCCGATTTCTTTGGAAGCAAGTTCTGGTGGATGTTTGGCAAAACACCACCTTGGGCGATGGTGACGTTGCCCAGCAGCTTGTTCAATTCGTCATCGTTTCTGATGGCCAATTGCAAGTGACGGGGGATGATTCTGGTCTTTTTGTTGTCTCTGGCAGCGTTACCGGCCAATTCCAAGATTTCAGCGGCCAAGTATTCCAACACAGCGGTCATGTACACTGGGGCACCAGAACCAACTCTCTGGGCGTAGTTTCCTCTTCTCAACAATCTGTGCACTCTACCGACGGGGAAAGTCAAACCAGCCTTGGCCGATCTCGATTGCGATGCCTTAGCGGCGGCTCCAGCTTTACCTCCTTTTCCGGACATTATTATGATGTGTAGTTGATGTGTATGTGTGTGTTTTGTAGGTTATACGTTAAGAATATATAACTTATGGTATCTTATTTTAGACGTTGCAGTTCTTGTCTTAGAGTTCTGCGAAAACCCAGCCCTTTATATACTTTTTCCCCCCTTCCGCTGTGATGTGCCCAGAGCCCATAAGAGCGCCTCCCTCCCAACGCTACTGTGTCCAAATCCAAAGATATTACTATGGTGGGAGCATTAATTTCGCAGGCCGGCCGGTCCTGTTTCTTCGCTAGGGGCGCGAAAACTCTGGAACGTTAATTTAGCGCTCCTTTGAGTTGCCAGAAAATCAATTTTTCAGGAAACGCGGTCGCCCGGTTCATTATGGTGGTTCGTGGTCGCTTCCCAAATAGGCAATTTGTCGTGAAAAATTAATTTACGGACGGCCAGCGGACCGAGATTTTCGCGCTTGAAGTGCGAGGACGTGCGAACAAACTGGGCCTCTGGAAAGTGGATAATTAATGGCCATTTCAGAGATGTTGCGCAATACGCGCAAGGAGTGGCGTTCGCTGCCAGAATTTTTGTATATAAGGAGGGATTATCGTAACACCACCTTGTGAGAGACAATACCGTTCAATAACAACAATCTCACACCTCGTTACAACACATCAGAAATGTCTGCCAAAGCCGAAAAGAAGCCAGCCTCCAAAGCCCCAGCTGAGAAGAAACCAGCGGCCAAGAAGACCGCGTCTTCCATGGACGCCAGCAAGAAGAGAGTCAAGGTCAGAAAGGAGACCTACTCGTCATACATCTACAAGGTGTTGAAACAGACACATCCAGACACCGGTATCTCGCAGAAGTCGATGTCGATCTTGAACTCGTTCGTCAACGACATTTTCGAGAGAATCGCGTCCGAGGCCTCCAAGTTGGCTGCGTACAACAAGAAGTCGACGATCTCTGCTAGAGAAATCCAAACCGCCGTCAGATTGATTTTGCCCGGTGAATTGGCTAAGCACGCTGTCTCTGAAGGAACCAGAGCCGTGACCAAGTACTCTTCGTCGACCCAGGCCTAGGATGGGCGTAGCGGGAAGCGAGGAAAGAAAAGACCTCGGTTTTTTGTTCACAAATATAGTTTGTATAATAGTAATGGGAATATGAGAATTTTAACTTGGGAAACGCGGAGTCTGGCTTGGGGCCCTGGACCCTTCCTTCGCTCAGTGTTGCAGTGTTGCAGTGACACATCCCGGTGACACATTAGTACAAAGTGATGTGTGGGGATCAAGAACGACTCGAAATTGGTGGACTGGGTGTAAGAACAGGCGTCGACGAGACTCATACAAACGAATGCACACGCACATACTCACACTGAACACTCAGCTTGGTGGTATTTTCTCAGGGACCCTTGCATTGAGTCACTCAGTACGGGTGTGACGTCCGTGTGAGATTAGTAACTCTAACTAACAATACTGTGGCCCAAATTCTGGTCGTTATACCGTAGTAATTACCAAAAGTGATCCCCGTCAAACCCTTCCTTACCTACCGTCATCTTCTTACAGATACAGTAATGTTTTTTAGAGTTCTTAAACTGTTCCAATATAATTGGTGAATTGCATATCCATTTTTCAATGTCTACTTCTACTTAAACAACATTAAAAAACCCGATGACAGAACACGGAAGTAAAACAGATACATTTCAACGCGGTACTCCCCACCCTGCCCTATTCCGTCTCGTCAAAAATCCTACTCCCGTTCCTTTACACACCTCTCAAAAATTCAAAAATCCATTTTTTTAGCCTAATTTCCCCCAAAAACATCGTTTCTAGTCCCAAAAAGCTCCGAAAAAACGCTATAAATTCCTAGAGTCCTGAACCAACACTTTTTCCACTCACAAACATCTCATCGCCAGCCGTTCTGCTCTCATTGTTGTTTTACTAATGAGCAGGCTTCTGATTGGCCGTACGAACGTACCATTTTGATGCCTCCAAGAGAATCCCAAAATCATATTCATGACTTAAAAGCAGTTCGAATCCCCCCAAAGAAACCATCTACTTTAGAGTAAACTAACGAACTCTTCCAGGCGAACAAATCACTGCCTCTATTCAGAAAATCGGAAAACAGATCCGTTGGGCGAACTCCAGGCTAAATTTCGAGCATTTTCGTACCTTTTACCGTTCAATTTGGTAAACCTAAAGTTTGTGGAACGGAACACCTATTGTCGCGAATTTAAAGGACGCGAAAGCCAAGGCTTGAATTGAATAGAATTCATCTGTTGTTGCGAGAAAAAAACGAATTGCAGAGTGCTCTTTTCCCCAGCTTTTTTGATTATTTAACTCTTCAATTTGCACTGGCATATTTGAGATAGCTTCCTGCAGCTTATCTCTGAAGATCCCTCTTTCTCTTAGCTCCAGTTTCAAACCTGTCTCGTTATGTCAATTGTCGCCATCAAGAACGCAATTGCCAAATTGGTGTCTAGAGACCCAGAAAATGCACCTCTTTTGACCAACGATGCTGCAAATTCGCAGTCTAACGACGCCAACAATTCCTACCTTTCGGCCAGCACCAGCGACGAAGAACGCGGCAAACTTGAAGACAAACGTCAAGAACGTCGAGGCGGACTTTTCGGCTCGGTAGATCCACGTCTCATGAGCGACTTGATTATCGGACTAAGTGATGGTCTTACAGTGCCCTTTGCTTTGACGGCTGGGTTGTCATCGTTGGGGGATTCCAAGCTCGTTATCACCGGTGGTTTCGCGGAGCTTATCTCCGGAGCCATTTCCATGGGTCTCGGTGGGTACCTCGGTGCAAAAAGTGAATCGGACTACTACCACGCAGAGGTCAGCCAAGAAAAACGCAAGTTTTATAACAATACGAATTTGATAAACCATGAAATTGAAGACATACTGCTGGAGATAAACCCTAACTTCTCCGACGAAACCATCGTCTCCTTCATCAAAGATCTGCAGAAAACTCCGGAATTGATGGTAGACTTCATCATCAGGTATGGTCGCGGTCTCGACGAGCCCGCTGAAAATCGACAATTCATGAGTGCGATGGTCATCGGTGGCGGCTATTTTGCAGGAGGTTTCGTTCCATTGATCCCATATTTCTTCCTTGAACAGGTTGGCACGGGGCTTCTAGTGTCTGTCATATTGATGTCCATAACGCTGTTTTGGTTTGGTTTCGTGAAGGCCAGTATATCCATGAGCGACACTTGCACACTTGCTAGAAAGATAAGCGAAGGTGCGCAAATGCTTGCAGTGGGGGGCATGGCGGCCGGAGCCGCCTGGTACATGGTCAAACTCATCGGATAACCAAGGGAGAATATAACAAAGTCAAAGGGGCACAAAACTCGGCTTTTTTTCAAGGCTTATTCGAGATTTCAAACCCAGCCGAGGTATTGTTTTGCCCATAGGGAGTCGACTTGACAGATAGGCTGTTGGGCTATCGTGGTCAGTGCTCAGGAGTACTTGGCCCTCATTTCGAACATTTTCCCCTATCCGTTTCCATCTTCGAGATGCTGTATATTACATAACTACAAATAAATCCAATGCTAAAAGGAATTGCGACACGTAAATTCTGACCTTGCTCGCTACTGCTCAGATTCAACCACAGTCCTCAACGTATCTATGTCGAACATGTTGCCGCCATCTTTCAGAACATTGGCCAAAAGTACAAGTGATTTTGGTGTAAAATCTTGGGCTTCTCTGAGCGAGTTTACGTCTTCACCGTAGTGCTTGAACAACACACTTAAGTATGCATTTTTAAGCTGTCCCTCGTCTTTGGAAAATGAAACTCTTTCCTGAGCCTCCTGTATCGTCTGCTGAATTTTGGTTAGGTCTATATTGTTCACGTTCTTGCGAGACTTCTCTGATAGTTCTGTTGTGGTGAGTGGAATGTCGTTTAGTATTTGACGAGTAGCTTTATCAAGAACTTCGTCTTCATTCTCGCCAATGACATCATTTTTTCTATCTTCTTCGAGGTCTGAGAGCTCCACATCTAACTCTTCTACTGCAATATCTTTAATTGCACCACCAGACGCTGTTTCTCCGCTGTTTCGCGTTGGTTGTTCTGATTCACTGTCCGATGACGATGAAGATGACGAGGAATCGGAATCGGACACTTCTGCGGTTCTTCTCTTTTTACTTCTTCTGGTTTTTTTACTGGGGCCATTGCCAGCGGCTAAACTTCTAACACTCATTACTAGTGAGGATGGTTCTCAATGGGTTAAACCGGATGACAGAGCTAGAAGTGTTTGGGTATAGCTAGCTCATCGCATCATCTACAATTACCGCTTGATAATTTAAATTTTTCAAAAAAGTTTGATTACATAATATAACGACGGGATATGATGAAGTGATGTAAGTTCCTGAACTAAATAGCCCGATCTACATGAGCTTATCCATTTCTACCAACGAGTAGTCCAGGATGTAGCTCTGCTCGACTAGATCATCTACTCGAGCAAAATGCCTTTCTGTGTATGGTATGATGGCGTCAATAATGTTCATTATGCCTGGTATGTCGCTGAGTGCAGCGATATTGTGACGCATCAAGATGCAACGTATGACTTTTTGAGCCACGGAATGCGTGGTTGCATTGGTGTTCCAATCCCTGCTCCGTTTGAGTAAGTTGAGCACTTGTTCATCTTCTAGAGAACCAATGACAGTATCAAGCTCTTCGTTGAACACATGGCTCGAGTTTTCATCGCCAGCATGCGAACTGCTGTCTAACACTCGGTACAGACGCATAGGGTGATCCAAAGTCATGGCCAATAAAAACGCATTCGTCCAGTCTCCTTTGGAAAGATAATTCTGCAATGATTGTTCCTGAGTAATTCTCAATTTCTCGTCTTCCAAATTTTGTTTTGCCTCTTCTTCACTGTTGTCCCTCCAGAATTGGAACAAACCGTCAGCGTCAGCGGTCGCGAACTCTTCACCGTCTTGTAGCACGCTGAGCGCCCAGATTCTATTGTCATGAGCATCCAAAGTACGGAGACACTCCCCGCTGGAAAGGTCCCATAACTTGATCAGTCCATCAGCCCCGGTCGTTACAACTTGTTTGTTCTTGTTAATGAATGAACACTTTTGAACAGCATTAGTGTGACCCTCGAGCGTCTTCTGCACCGAAAAGGTTTCCAGTGACCAGATTTTAACCGTCTTATCACCCGAAGCTGTAGCCAAAAGCTTGTCGTATTGGCAAAAGGAAACGTCCCAGAGACCACGCTTGTGACCGGCCAATGTTCCCTCTAGTTCTCCAGTGTCCACGTTCCATACTTTGCAAGTTTTATCATAGGAGGCCGTTGCGAAGATGGAATCGTTGGGCGAAATGGACAATGCATTGATATCTTTTTCGTGAGCCCTTCGCGTGTATTCTGACGCTTTGACGATGTGCACGCCTTCGTTCTTGCCTGTAGGCTTTGGAACTGCCCATTTCTTGATTGTCAGATCATTCGATGCAGTAATTATGAATGCTGGCCAATCACCACGCAGAACATTGGGCAGCCCAACGGCTGTCACGGGCCCCGCGTGTCCTGTGAACTTGGCGTACATTTCGAAGGTATCCAAATGAGCGTCAAACCTCCATAGAATGGCGGTGTTATCTTTAGAACAACTGGCTAGCCATGTTCCATCTTCCGTGGAGTCGACTGCGTTGAGTAGGTCGGTGTGTCCCTCGAGAACTTCGACTTCTAGTGGGAGACTCGTGCTATCATCATCTTTTCCCTCGCTGTCTTTGAGGTTATCGAGGTCTCCTGCGAGATCTTTTTTCTGAGATAGAAAGCCAGCAGTGGGGACAATTCTGAGGCCCGGAGAGTTGGTAGCCAAGGCCAGCAGATTCAATTCAGGTCCCACAAACCTCATGTCAGCTACAGTTCCGTGATTACCGGCGATCTTACTTTTAATTACGATGTTTTCTCCAGAAGCTTCGAAAGAGGCTTCAAGGTCAGCCAAAAACAGCGTTTGATCGGATAGAACCAGATACACTTTGCTGGCTTGTAGAATTGGCAGGACACCTATTATGAAAAGCTCCTCTATTGGTTTTTCCGTTTTCTTAATGACATTTCCTGAGTCCAGCGAAATTATTTGGAATACTGCTTCACCACCAGCTGTGTAAATCGAATCGTTATTTTCTGATACCTGAATGAACCCACAGGCCTCGATCTGCTGGCTCACAGGGATGGTTTTAAGAAGCTTCACCTTTTTGCCCGGCCCTAGTTGATGCAAGTTGACAATGTCATCCCTACCTCCCGATAACAGTTCGAGAGAGTTTTGGTCAGCCGAATTAGAGAGTCTGAGATCAAGTCCTCTAACAGCAGCTGCATGCTCTTGGATGGTGTACAGACAGTTTCTGCGAACCAGGTCCCAGACTTTCACCATACCGTTGGTATCACCAGATGCCAATCTCCAGGTAGTGCTGTTGAGCTCGCCGTAGAACTTCACGCTGGAGATGGTTCCTCCGTGCCCTTTGAAAGAGTGTGTCACATAACCGTTTTCGACGTCTACCACGGTAACACTACCGTCAGTACCACCAAGGGCCATCAAAGTAGAGCTACTGTCGCAGTCCATCACGTAAACTGGAGACGAAATTTTCATAGATCTGGTAATTCTCTTCGCGCTTAAATCGTAAACGCGCAGCAGTTGAGCTTGCGACATAAAAGCCAGGAATTTGCCATCGGGGGTAAGCTTCAAAGCTGTTATTTCTTGTTCGTCATCATTTTCGATTTTGTGCAAGATGCGTTTTGTAGTTCCAAGCTCCGTGATGATCACCTCATCTACGACTGAAGTTGCCAAGAGTTGGCCGTCTTCTGATACAGAAGCGATGGCACCACTTCCAGCATAAAAAGGCCGTAATTCGCGGTTCGTATAGCGACTTCTCAAATCCATTACAGAGCTTAACAGGGATAAGTCTGCTACGATATGCTAGACGATGTACTTAGCCGATGAGTTGAGGTGAGATGATCATATTGTCGAAGTTTTTCAAATTTTCGATGACATTGGCGTTCACAGTGATATCAATGCTAATAAATCTAGTGTTACCGTACTATATGTAACGAGACTTTATGTGAAGAGCGGACGCGGTGTCGTCGTGTATTTCTGATTCTCCGTGATTGATTTGGTTGCGAAATTTTGGAATTGTTTGGTGGGTTTTTTGCGTAAGGTTTGCTGTGTTTTTGCTTGTTTTACTGTTTGATCTATGGACTCGAAAAACCAAAACAAATGGAAGCAGTGAAGTAGCTGTAAGTCAATTGAGACCTCGTAATATTTGGTTACGTCGTTTGAAACACTTTGGCTGCACTTTTCACTTTGCTTAGATCATCTGCGACAGTATTTCTATTTAATTTGATGTACTCGCAGTACTCGAGTCCCATAATAATGATGTAGATTATTGTTCCTTTCTACTATATGCTGATACACATGCTGGAGCGCCCGTCTCTATCGGTTGCTGTTCCTTTAAAAAAAATACCCTGTTGGCCGACTTACCAACACATTTGCTGCTCAACTCCATCTCCAAAAAATCGCATGCAAAATGTTCAAATGTAAAATAAAAATTGCGAGAGGTGCGACATTGTTGACGTCCCTGAATCATTGCAAAACGTCGCTGAACTCAATGACAGAAGCACTTGAGCCACCAATAATTTCCTCTAGATCTGCTAATGCACTTTCGCTGAAAAGACCACTTTTTGTAAAACGTAAGTTTTCGGCAGCAGCCTCAACAACACTTTGGCGCCTTCTCCAAGCGGCACCAGTTGTAATGTGGCCATCATCCGTAGCGTCAACGTCCACTGGAGCCGTGAGAGTAGCCAAAATATCAGCGTCTTCCGCGTCCAAGCGGTCGCCATCCTGACCTGCGTGGGGGATGAGGTCATTATCGGTGTTGGCCAGCAGATTGTTAATGTCGTCCAAGCCCATCGCATCAATGGATTTATTGGACGTGTTCACCTCAGAGTTTGTCTCCTGTTCGAGTCTTTTCTCCAAGACGCTCAACGGATCTTCCGTTTTCAGAGATACCGCCAAATCTGCACCCCCTATCTCGCTTGACGCAGCGACCTCCGAAAGTCTCTCCTTCTCCAGTCTATCCCGCTCCTTTTTGAGCTTGAGGAGCTTCTTTTTCTTTTTAAGCTTTCTCCGTTCCTCACTCTTCTTCTTTTGTAGTATCTTCATTCTATCAATCTTCTTTCTGGTCCTCTCACTACCCACATAACCGATAGGACACTTTCTGGCGGAAAATACGGGAAGCATGTACTCTTCATCATGTCCAACATCAACTCCTTTGTTTCTGAAAGCAGATAAAGGTACTTTGGGCTTCTCGTACCATTCTGATACGGCAAGGTTGTTATTGGCGGTCCGAGACGCTTCGTCTTCGTCGTCTAACTCGCTCATGTTGAGAAGTTCATTGAGAGTTAGCTCTTCCTTTTCACCTGTGGCACTTAGTTCGCTCGCTGACATAGGCTGTTGCAATAGCTGTGACTGCTCTAGAAGCTGCTGCTCCTGTAATAGAGGATAGAGGGATTTGGTCGACAGTCCATCAATAATGCTGAAAGGTTTATTATCTGTCTCCCAAGTTCCCAGCTTTGGAGGTTTCAAGCCTACGACGTTGGCGCTCACGACTTCTTTTGCTTTTGAGCCGATTTTCTTATTTCTGGTGTTGGGAGGCGGTAGCGTCTCGTCCTCATCTGTTGACTCACCGTCAATGTAAACGACAGTCTCAACGTAGTCCTTGTCCCCTGACTCGGTCTCCCGTCCCGGTTCGGCTTTCTGATTGCTCTCGCTGTTTACATCGAGTTCTTCGTCGTCGGAGCTATCGTACTGGAAGTAAAACGAGTCCGGATCCAGATCGTCAATATCGATGAAGACATGAGACATACTGACATCGTCATCTTCGTCGTCATCTTCCTCTACGTCATCACCGGCATCACAGTCACCGCCCTTCAAACCACCGATCGAAGACGTTAAGCTTTCTTCATCCGTTGGTATATGAGCAATGTCTAGAAGAATATTTTCGTATTCTTCTTCGCTTGAGTAACTATCGGAAGCCGCGGCCGAGCCCAATTGACGCAAAGATGATTCTATGCCTTCTATGTTATTTTTCTCCTCGTCGCTTTTGAAATAAACTCCAAAAAGGTACTCCTCATTGTCTAGATCTGTGGCTGCGGACCGCTGTCTCCGCTCTTTGTCAAGCTTTCTTGCGAGTTTGCGACGTCGAATGAATTCTTCTCGTTCTCTCTTTTTGATCTGTTTCTTGTCATGGTTTCTCTTCTTCTCGTCATCCAATATTAGTGGAAGCGACGTGCTCAGCGAGAGCGGTTGATCGGATCCAGCACAATAATATAGGTTGGCGAATTTGGGGTCTTCATAAAAGGGCTCATCAAAATCACTCATGTTTTCGTCCTCGTCATCATCATTGTATTCGCTGTAGGCCTGACTGCTGAATTTAGCACCTAGACCCTTTTTGGCTTCGACCTCCACAGGGTCTTCGCCTTCTTCGTGTATGCTACCGTTGAATGAAAGCTCATCGTCTTTTTCAAGCTCCATAACAATATGATTTTCCTCCTCGTCCAAAATTGGAACATCGTCCTCGCCAGTGTCCATGCCATTTTCAAGTCCTAATATATCTTCTTCGTCATGTTGAATGCTTTTGAGGTAGGCATCATGATCTATCTCATAATCGGACTCTTCACTTTCTGATATCTGTGGCACGTTTAATGTGTCCACGGCGTTGTTCTCGGCAGAGATAGAATGGTTGGAAGCTGACGATCCGTCGTTGACTTCCTCACCTAAATCCTCGTCGCTAGCGGCTTCCTTAGGCTTCTTTCCGAATTTTATACCGCCATCATTTTTAAAGGTAAACGCCATCGCGTCCTCATATGAACTTTCTCCACTGAAGCTGTCTTTTTTGTTGTTCTTGACATCCTGAACGGTCTTCTTGATGTCTTTAGTAGCGATATCGCTCTTCTTGGGCGATTTGCCTCGCTTCAAAGCGCTCATGGCCCGCATGGCCCTTTTCTTTCTTTCTGCACTCAGTTTGACGAAATCCACGTCGTCGTCGTCCGAGCTAGAAGTTGAACTTGAAAGGTCGTTCTGCCCGTCTTCGACATCTTCTTCATCGTCTCTGTCGTTGCCATCGTCTTCACTGCTGCTGCCAGGGCTGTCGCTTTCATCATCGATAGCTCCCGAGTCCGAGGAGGACTCACTATTGGAGTCGACTGCATTTTCCGGTATCAGTCTTCCGTTCTTTCCCATTTCGTTAGCGACACCCCGCTTTGATTTCTTACTCATTTTGGGTATCTTATTACTGACTTCTCGGTTGTTGTCTAAATCAGAGAGTGCGCTCAGCGACGAGTCCGAGGAGTATATCAGACTGAAACGTCTTGGTCTGGAGTTGAAAGCAGAGTGCGCAAGTACCGGTGCTGATTTCCCGCCTACATTGCGGTTTTTCAAGGTTTTCAAGTTTGACGGCTGCTTTCCCGCCATGGCATCGGTTTTCATGGGACTTTTGCCGGCCATTTTTCCAATGGTTTCCCCACTTCGCCAGTTGATATGCGTGTATTTGGAACTGAATCTTCAGGACAAACTTCTTAAACTATCGTAAGCGCTCTGTAAAGTTCAAGCCCCAACTTTCAATTGACAAATCTCTCCTTTTCAAATCCCCCTCTAGCGGCCCACAGTAATCGTTTTTTTTCTGCGTTTTTTCACCAGATTGAAAGACACTGGTAACAACAAGGAAGAAACTGGAAGTTGGTCTGAAATGTCGAGTTCGGTCCTGCGAAATGCCTGGTATTCCCTTCTATACTTTCAAAATAGGGCTCTTCGCTAAAATTTTTTTGCTTGAAATCATCTCTCTTTCTCATCTCGACTTTTTCTTTTTCAGAAAGTCACTGAGGTTCTGATGATTTTATGAAACAGTAACTTTTTGATATGGCGGCTGATGACATGAGCATTGGCGGGTATAGACCAACGCCCAAACAAACAATAACGACGTTAAAGGGACGCTGGAGGTAGACCAGGATGGGTTGGGTCCTTTGGAATTTGCATTATCTGTTTGCGTGGGAAATTTGACTACTGTTGTTCAGATGTGCCCTCGTAAAATAGCCTTGTTGGGCAAAACGGAAAATCTCTGAAAAAAAGCTTTCAGCGGTGACTTCAGTTCATTATTTGGTCCGCTAAAATGCGAGATGCCGTCTGAAGAGTAAAAAGCTTCGAAAACACAGATAGCGTTCGTGTTAGCGGCAGAGAAGGGCAATATTCAGCTGTCTTCAGCATTTTGAGCGGCACACAGTCGAAAGATTGCTGGTCTTTGGCCAAAAACGCGGTTTTTTGTAATTTCAGGGGGACCGCCATGAGAGCGACGCAACTTGGAAGCTGGAGATTCGAAGAAACCCGACTAAGCAGTGCCGATGGTGGCAGGAGATAAATCTCAAACAATCCTTCAGTTTGAAGGACTAATACGTGTCTTTTTAAGAAATTCTTGATTCAAAACTGAGCTGAAGGCGAATATGTTGTTGTTTGCCCCTGAGTCTCCCCCACTAGGGAAACAAGAGATCTTCACATCGTACGTCTCCTCAAGGGAAAGTGCGCACCGACATACACCGAAGCGGTGACTTGACTGAGCATACGACTTCTAGTGAAGATGATTAGTTTTGGTAAAGCTTAGTGTAAGTGTACAATTTTGGGCCCATTTAAATATTATTTATTTATGGGCGGCTAATTTTTCGTATAATATGACCAAAATGGTGACAGATGTCATTTTCATGCCATGGTGATATAGACAGAAAGACAGTGGTGAAGTAGTTCTGATCGTTATCCAGATCAAATCGAGAGCAGTATTGTATTTGGTCCAACACTGGTGCTCTTTCTTTAGGTTCTACTGATATTTTATATTTTAATTGTGTGCATAGTAAGTAGACAAATTTCTCTTACAAACCACGTGATCTTTGCGGTCCCAAACGACACGAAAAGAAGTTGAACGATCGACAAAAAGCCTTCTTGATCTAATCACTTCTCTTTTTACAAGTTTATCTGTCTTGAGACCACGCTGGGGCTGTGAAGGTGTATTCAGTGCTACATCCCAATGGCCCGCTAACATCAAAAGCATATCGGCATCTCGTGGTTTCTTGTACACCGTTGATTTTGAAACGATCGTCGCATTTAAAAAATACCTGTGCTGATCGGGCAGGACCGTTCCAGCACATGTCACCCCGAGAGTACTGCAGATATAGTCCACTGTTGATTTGTGGCAAGTTGCCAATTAACAATTCGACCTCGTAGTCCGTGAGATCATTCTCCAAATGAGCAATGAGGTCCGATTCTGAGTAGTCTATTCTCAGTTCGTCAGTGTAGCGGTCAGAAGCGGCCCTTGGGTCGACACCGAAAGTGTCAAATCGGCCAATTAGAACTTCTTTACCGCCAGGCTTGTCCTCTCTTTGAACTATCACCCCATCTTCGCTGTTGAAGCAAATTTGGTAGATGTAACTGTCGATTTTCTGTTCGATGCAAATGAGAGGGATTTTGGTTAGAAGTGTTTTCAATCTCCGATTTTTCGCATTTTCGCCGTTGTTGACTTTGTCCTGTGGAGTTTCCTTCCTCAACTGTTCCAATTGTTGAGCTTTTGATCTGTAGTCTTTTCTCAGCGCCGCACATTTCTCTTGCAGAATCACAACCTTTGATTTCAGGGCCTCCAAACCCTGCTCTTTATTTCCGAAAGCACTCTCCAAATTGGAAGCCAAATTTCTGAATACGGACATGAAAGAGGTTTTTTCCTTCCATGCTGGCGTGAGCAACTCCGAAGAAGCAGCTTTTACCAAGCCACCAACCTCCTCCAACCGCTTAAGTACTCCATAAGAAACTTTAAAAGGCTCAAACGCTTTGGAGTTCTTAGCAATGAAATTTCTGTAGCTTATGACAGCATTTTTAACTCCAGAGTCTTGAAAGTTAACATTGTAGTTTGCGGACACATCGTTCATGATATCTGACAAGCTCTTAAGGGTGTTATGCATTTTTTCGCAATAGTTAATTTTGACCTTTACTAAGGCCTTAGCCATTGAGAATTTTCCTTCTATCGCTGCAGGAGGTAGGTGCGTGGTGCCTTTTAGAATCATGCTGGGAAGTTCTTCGGTGAGGTACTCTTCGATTTGATCGCGCTGAGTTCTATCGAAGCTAGCACTTACTGTTCCCTCCGCTTTGTTATTTTGCATAAACTCATTGAAATTTTGGACATTTCGATTTACAACGTCGTCATTTAGATTTTTGTTATAGGTTTCTTCGAGAGCGTTCATGATGTCTATCAGCTCGTGGTAGGTTTCTGAGTATGATTCCGCTTGGGTGAAGATGTTGGAGATGGAATATGAGATGCCCGGAATGTCAATCTGCTCCATGCGCAGCATTAACGGGTTCTCCCGTTGCAGCTTCTGTTCGTAAAGCTCCTTCGTGGAGGCCAAGTTCGTCACACAGGCCTTGTATTGATCAGCATGCACTTCATAATCAGCTTTGAGCTGCTTGAGAGTCGTTTCCGAATCATCAGCTGTGTCTTCAAGAATATCTGCTCCAAACTTTCTTTCCATGTCCCGCAGTGCGTGCGCACCACGTTCATGCCGACTGTTTTCATGAATTACCAGCGCATCGTACTGATCACGCAGCTGGAGACAGCTGTAATCTGAAAAGGGCTTGTCAGTACTCTCGTCAGAACAATCGCAACAGTCACAAACGCCGTCATCCACCTTGTATCCCGATACGTATCTTGCAGCGAAACCTTCGTTTGGACAATAAAATCGCGACAAAGAACCACATGCGCTGGTTCCAGGCTCATCTGACCCATCAGGACAGTCGCAGTAGTCATCGTTGATTTGTGAGTAATTCAAAATGATTGATGGATCGCTTAAGCACGCCCATTTAGAGCTGTCTGATTCTAAGGGTTTGTACAGATGTTGTTGTGCCTCAGAGACGCCTCTCACAGAATTGGCAGATGCTGTGATTGCATGTGCAAGCAGTGTGTAGCGTACAAGTGACAACATTGAAGCCAGCTTCGCGAAGTGTACTCGTCTCTAGTAGCTTCAACTGGCTCATGCCATCGATTCTCTAGTTCGACAAATGGAATATGTCACTTTTCTCGACAATGAGTACGAGTACGAATACAAGAACATGAAAGACGGTTGAGCAAAGCCATAGCTTCGGTGAGAGTAGCTTCAAGAGGATGGCTGGAATGGATCTACTTATGGAGAGATCGTCCAAATAATTTCCGAGAGTGAATGGAATCCTCTTTTATATCCCTGGAAACTTTTGGCGATGGGTGCAAGAGAGAATCTATGGTCGCTCGAGATTGATAGTACTCATTCAAGAGCCATGGGTTGATAATGACGTCAAGGACGCGAAACATAAAGATTAAATTATGGACTGGTGAATGAAGCGTGAAAGACGGATATTCTTCTACAATTTGGAATTTTTTGGTCAGTGTCAGTAATAAAAGGTACGAACTTGATAACGCTCAGGAAGGTACAAATCAAGTAAAGAGGCTACTGTGATTCCTTGAAAGTCTGGAAGTTGAGGTATTTCAGTCGAGTGTTGCTTGGTATGAAATAAGAAGTGAAAGCAAATTAGGCGACACAGCATCGCCAGAACACTTCAAAAGCACCAACGCCATGAAATCGAGAAAATTTCTCTTTAAAAGCGTCAGAGTTTGAAGAGACAAAGGTAAACACTAAAAAACCTGCGTTATCCTTCAGTAAACTGAGTAATCCATACAAAGTCTTGTAAATAGACATCAGGTTTTCGAGCTTGTAAAAGGTAATTTTGAAAGTCAAAATCCCCAGATTCTAGTTTCATGGCCATTTCCCGTCGTGAGTCTCTCAAGGAACAAAAAAAAGCTCAATATTTGCGTGCTCAGACATGCAAGTTCATCATGCAAGCTTTCCTCTTCATTTTCTGGAAGTGCGAGGTGGTGGGCACTACTAACACCAAAGCACTGCAAAGTCTGCAGCATCAAATATGTTCATAGTAATCCCTAGAAACCGCTTCGACGAGCCAAACCAATTTCAAAATTCAAGTAAATTTATTTCAACACAAATAAAAAGCTTCTAAACACCACCAGTGCCATCAACTCTAACAGGATGCCTAGCGTTCTCAGCAATTTCAACTATATTTTGGCAGTGTCAGTTTTTCTCAATAGGGTAATCAAAACTTTGGAAAAATCGTCAATATTATGATGAAGTGATGAATCCAAAGCATTCAAATTGAATCCTTGAGGTGTGCCAAACAAGCCGGCAAACGCCTTCTAAAGGAACACTAGCTAACACACACAGTTGCTATCAAAGCTCTACGTTAAATACTGCCGGGAAATTGAAGTGCCTGGGGGAGGCTCCATAGGTTTTCTAATACTATTTTTTGGTGGAGCAATGACCGGTTGCGAGCGTCGTTCGTTATCCGACCTACCGCTCGATATAATCATGGAGATTCTGTTCTATTTGCCCTTCCAGGACCTTGAAAATGTTGCTAAAACCTGCAAGACACTGCGAGTCTTGAGTAACGAAAGTATCACATATCACAGGACGTTCAAAGCCACAAGCCCAGCTTCCCAGTGGACAAAGCAAATACTGTTCGATTTCCTGCACATTATCGATCAAAAGCAGCAGTTTTTGAACTTCATCGACTCTGAACAGATTTCGGTTGTAAATGCGGCTCATGACCTGCAAAAACGGTTCAATCTCGGCACATACCCGCGTTTGCTGACACAACAGGACTCGGACGGCCCTTCAAGCTCAGAGAGCCATCAAGAAGACAGTCCTGACACCACAACAAGAGAGTCGGGGCTGAAAAGTGCTTTTGCAGTTACGGGAAGAACCCGCAGCACTGCTTCACCCGATCGAGAAGGTCTGGCCTATCTTAAGATTTTACAAGGCTTTCAACGCATCGCCACAAACAGTCACAAGCTCTTTGAGAGCAAGCATAGCAATATCAGAAACCAAAGCTCAGGGCCTGGATTTGGACAGACTGCAGAAAGGCCTCAAACGCCGAGCAAAGCTGCTGATGCGGAAGAGCCTCCAACGTCTCAAGATCCCTCCAGCCTCCATGCACTCAGTCCTAAGGAGGAGACCGACATCACACTCACTGAAAACAGCTCACCTGGCTCGTCGCACCATTCTAGTTCGACAAGCTCACTATTTTCCGAAGTGCCGAAACTATCGGATCTGACGTGGTCGTACTCTGACGTTTTCAAAAGCGTAGAGCCTCAAAACACCGATTCGGACGGGGAAAGCTCCGATTCAACCTCGTCGACCAAGTATCTGCGGGAGTTGCAACGCTCGACCAAGGTGAGCGACAAAAAATACCTGTTTGAGCGTCTACATACGCGAATTCAGCTGGCTCAGGAGTCAACGCATTCCAAAACCGAAGATGGCGATGGAGACACGACTTGGAAAGCGCGGCCGGCGCCAAAGACTGCACAAAGTTTCTCTCAGGGCTATGTTGTGGAACTAGAGCGTTGCAACTCGCCTTCTCTGCCTCCACAGCTCGAGGCCTCCAAGAGCTCACAAGAATTCTTGACCCGGTACCAAGACCACATCGCTACAGGAATAAATTCCACGCATGAGGCAACGCGCAAGAAACACAAGCCAAGGCGCCAAAGTCAGGCTCCTCATCGAAGGACACTAATCGCCACGATCACAAAGGATAATAGGATATGCTACGAGAAACTTTAATGACACTTACGAACTTGTTTTTAAGAAACACATAAACGGAACTAATAAAATATTGTAATCAACTATAAATGCTCAAGAAATGAACGGTAAGCGGTGAACGGTGGCTAGGCTCTGCCCACTCATGTCAACTACTGTTGTTGGCTGGTTTGAGTTCGAAGACTGTGCCAGACGTCGTGGATAGCGATTTTAAATTAACAATTGTAATATCATATGTATGAAAGCGAGCTAGTTCATCATTCACATCACCGTGAACTGCCTCAACACCGCCATCTTCTTGGGATTCTTCGTCGCATCAAGTAGTTGGGAAATGTCACAACCTACCCCCAAGTCACCTGCTACCACAACAGAGGGTTTCAACGCCCGTGTTCTTTGGCCAGACATGATCAAGACGCCGCAGAACAAGTGGGTGTATGCGCGTAAAGAAATCGTGGACCGGTTGGGTAATGATCCTCATTCAGCATCTGAGCTGAAGAGGCGAATGGAGAAGTGCTTGATGTACTTTTATGTGATGAAAAAACAATTGAAACTGTTCGACCATACTTACACAGCGGCTTGCATCCTGTTCTTCAGATACTGGTTTGTTTATGGGCTGCCGCCGAATTCGAACGAATGCATCCATTTATCGCAAGCCCTGCTTGTGACAGCCTGCAAAACTGTGGAAAATAACAGACCGATTGACGTTTATGTGAAGGGAACTGGCGAGTTTTTGCTAAAAGACGTCCCAACTGCTCGTGGGGGCCAGAACCTAGAAAAACTCAAATGGGAGCTACGAGACAAACTCGTGGCCTACGAAAAACAGATCCTCTGCCAACTTGGATTTGACTTGAATTTGAATAACCCCAAAGAGCTCATAGAGGAGATCTTCAGCGGGTATTTCCGCTACAACAGGGACTTCGATATGAGCGAGCAATTCACAAAAGCGCTTCGTAACGTTATTCAAGATGCGCGTAATTTTATCATACAGGCTGGAACTCAACCGGTATCACTGCTCTGTGATGGTTTCACTTTTACGGCGCTGGCATTAGTATTTTGCGGCTTACAGTTCAAGAAAAACGCGGATCCATCTTTCAAGTTCCCCAAAAACTTCTTCTCACAGCGATTCCCTTTCAAAGCAACATCGCAGCTGTTCGTGGAGCTGCTGTCCGATTATCGGATTCTGGAACAGAATTTCTTTGATCTGAAGAGTAATAAAGGAGAGAAATTGCAAGTAACAATAGATGAGATGAGTAATCTCATTGAAGAGGATGAGAATTTTATTCATGATGATTCCAACGGAGAGAGCGTTTATGTCTATGAGGATATCAAGGACGGGGTTGTTCGGGGCGAGCTGCTCAATAGCATAGAAAACCGTGTCAAAGAACTCACCGCGAGGATAATAGCTCAAAGCCAGGCGAGTGAGAAGCGAGATGCAATTGAGTCCGATCATGCAGAAAACGTGGCAAAGAGAAGAAAACAGTAAATAGAACTAAGCGAAATGACCTGACAGGATGAATGTTAAAACTTATCAAAATATATCATCTCACTGATGATTGAATAGGAAAAGCTATTCTTATGACACAAGTGAGAAACGAAATCGTCCAGGCTGGGAGATTGGAATGACCTCAAAATTCATAGAAAGTGAGCCAAGCCCAGTGTCAGCCAAGAAAACTCTAGGCAGCATTAGAGAGCTCTTATTTCTCATTGAGAGGAAAACGAAGGGTCATATATATCATGCAACAATTTTCCGAGCTCACATGGCATGTCTCCTTTGTTATCCAGATAGCAATTCTCCCAAAATCGCACCCAGGAGACACCTTTCTGCCACTGGGCTTTCGAGAACTGCTGATGGGTCTGTGGCTTTCCATAAATTTTACGTTTTGCCTTGAGTTTGGCAGCGCTGAGTAAAAGTGTTATTTCGTGGTTATGTTCCTTATCCGACTCTTCATAAAGTGTGTTCACCATTATCAGTCCATTACCGCTTGCTTTCATGAGAACTTGGGGGCACTGAAGATATTTTGAACCGGCGTTAAAAGCTTCCATCTTATCCCAGTCTTCTGTAAGCTCTTCCGCAAGCGCTGCATACGATGATTTCACGATTCGGGCGGGTTGCTGCGTTGAACGGCTCAACACAAACTCTGCCTGATGGAATCTTTTAAGCTCAAGGAAGAATGCTATGATACACAGATGGATTCCACCATATAGGATTATTCCCTCCAGAATTTTATCGAAACAGCGGACATAAGTGGGGTCTCCAGACAATTTGAAAGTAGATGCGAGAATAAACTTACGAATCATACCGTCAATATGACTTCTTTGCGGCCTGATGGCGTAACTTTTCGAAATGCCAAAATCTTCTACCTCGCATAATGGCCCTTTCAGAAAAGCTATGCATTTTTCTATTTGGCCCAGGACGGTGAACATTTCGTCCATCATAAATTGGTCCAGTTCGTCACCGCATGTCAAAATGCTAGGTTCGGTACAGTCTAATATGTTTGCCAGTAATCCTTCGAAAATATCGAGACGATCAACCTTGAATTCTGAGGCGATCTTTGCTTTAGAGGCTTGAAGGCCACCGAACCCTTTGATGAGCGATTTAGCACACAGAAGGGACAATGAACGCTCATAGTCTAGAGAAACTGCAATGGGGAGGTTAAAAACGCTTGGAATTCTGCGGCTTTCATGCAAAAACTGGAGGGTCCATCGGAATTTGAAAAACGCTTCTGCGAAATCTCCGTCAAAGAGGTCAAGATAAGCGATGACAGTTTTGGAAACAATCACCAGCTTGATTTTCAGCTCCAGAGCAGATTGGTCGTAAAGCTGATTGCGCGAAATGCTTTTCATCAAAAACCGAGGTTCCACTTCCAAGTCCAGCTCGGGATGGCTAATGATCTCTTTTTCCAGTTCCAACTCTAGCGCTTTCCTGCCGCTGCATCCCTCTTCTAGCAATTGCTGAAAGCAGCTTTCCGGACACAGACTCACGGCCAATTCGAAAAACTGGAATGCCACCTCGACAAAGGGCTGCTTGCCGATCGAAGCCACTAATATCGAAACTGCTTGAATGAAATGCTCCAATAAGTCTTCAAAGCCTGATTTCGAGCCACAAGCGTGTCGGTTTTCCGTTTCGTCTGAAAATTAAAATGTTAGAAATTTACTGGCAAAGGTTGCTGTGCTCTAAATTTTGAGAACAGCTTTAAACCCGAGAATAATGTTTGGGTTCCTCGAGATGACTTACCTAGAGTCATAGTCATTAGAACGCTAAAAACTGATGGATTCAGTGCCACCAAACCAAGAAGTTGTCATTATGGATTAAACTGTCATTGTACAGATCGTTAATCTTAAATGAAAAATGTAAATACCGAAGTTGATGTCACTAAACTCAGTTACACAAACAAAGCCATGGATGTCAATGATTTCCAAGCTGAACGGGATCAGGTTGTTGGCGAAACTCCAAAAGCCCAGCGGGCTGGGATAGCCACGAATAATTCGAAAACAGGGACGAAAAAGACCGACAATTCGGTAGGAGAGATCCGGAGTGTTGTTGATGACAGTGTGGGACTAGACGATCGAAAGACAGCAAAAGAGCCCATGCTATTTGACCAGGAATCACCAAGCAAGACAGGAAACTGTGAGTCTAATCCGGTAACGCCCAATTTAGACAGGGTGAAAGCATTTTTCCGCAATAAAAGAACATTAGGTCAAAGTGGCTCTCCTCCGACAGCACAAGTTCTTCAACTTCAAAGCTCACCTTTAGACACTCCGCGATCGCAACGCGTAAAACCCGACTTTGGACCAAGGAAAATCTCACCAACATCCTTGATTAGCAACATGCGTAAAAATCAGGCCCCAGATTTGAGCAGGGACACCAGTGGGTTTATGGAGTTAAACGAGGATTATCACGAGCAACAATTTAGCCCTGATCAAAGCCACATACAAGATCAGACGCCGCCTCCCATAGTTTCGACAGGATTGGGGAGAGATCAGAACAGCTTCTCAAGGCAACAGTCTAAAAAAATTGGGGACCTCGTGTCCACTAACAGTAGCAATGCCTCAAAAAGCTCTCAAAGGGTACCTGTTTTCGAAACTCAGCAAGTCGAGGGGTTACAAGATTCGCAGGCGAAGCCTCTCGACACAGACAAGCGCCATTTTTCAAATTCAGGCGGTCATCAAACTGTCGAAATTAGCACACAACCTATAGACACCACAGACGAAAAGGTGGCCGTTTCAGAAAATTTTGACGGCTCCGCTACACAGGTAGATCTTGGCTCGTTAACTTCAGTTCCAATCCCTGAAGTAACCGATATTGCCAGTGACTATCAATCACCTCTCGTAACCAGGTTCACATCTAAACATGCCATGTTTTCAAGACTGCCTCCAGTAGGAAACAGCACACCTAGTCAATTGATTGTGTCTCCCAGTAACGAAGTTATACCTCTATCCAGTCTCAAAGCATCCCCTGTTAACGACGAGCAAATATCGAATCATCAGCATGAAGCTACCAGCACTCCTTCGAGAGTTCAAGAAGAAAGCAAACACAACAACTTCAACAGCGATGCCTACTGCCTTCCTGAGGATGAAGTAGAGCTCAACGAAAGCGAGAAGCGAATACGATTGAGGTTTTCTAACGTGTACGAGCAGTACATGAACTGCGAAAAGTTCGATGATAAGGTTGTGAATGGAAGCGTTGTTTACAGCGATGTGGAGAAGACACAAGAGCTACCGGAGGTCGAAGAAGGCCCTCAGCCTGAGTTGATTAAGGACCCTGAAATTGCCTCTCATACGGTGCACGAAAGTAATGTTTCTACTCAGCGCTTCGACACTCAAGATATAACCTCTCATAGGAGGCCTTCCATTCAAGATTCATTTGAAGCTTCCCAAGGCGTAGTCAAGAACAGACGGGTGTTTCGGAAAAAGCGTCATGGACGTCTCAAGCTCAACGATTTTATGGAAGATACTAGACCGGAAAAAGATGCTTTTCAAATTTCGCCGAAAAGATCAAAAACAGAAATCGAACGGATTCAATTATATGCATCCGACCTTTCAGTAAATAGAGGGGCTGCAGGCATGATTGTGACAGCGATTCCTGATCGTAATGACATAGTTGAATTGAAAGAGAGGCAAAAGAGCATTCAGGAACCGGTTACGACAGCAGTCTCCCATTTCCCGGGGGAGATTAGAATCACAGACGGTGGGTTTCTCACTCGTAAAGACATCCGTTTCCCCGATGCTGTTTGGTGCCACTATGACTTCAATTACATGTACTATCCGGGAAGAATTTGGGGAGGAGAGCCTCATTCAAATGAAGTAGAGGTTTTGTTTGAATCTGGACTTTCGACAGTGAAGCGGGAAGACTTGCATTACCTAGATGTGACGGTTGGCGAGACTATAATGTGGGAGGGGAAAAGTTACGCAATTACTGCATTAGAGTGTCGATCACCAGATGAGTCGAAAGTGATCAGATGCGTTCGAGGCTACGACACCGTGCAACTCAAAAGAAAGAACAAGAACGGTGAGTTAGGCAAGAGAACATTGACAAAAGCTTTGTCCTCCATAACTTTGACAGTTGCTCTCTGGGCTAAAAGGCCCAAAATTATTCTCTCGAGCGACTTTCAGAATCGCGAAGAGGCTTTCGAGGATTTGCGGCATCCTATTAGAGGCCGGAAGTACACCACACTAGTCACTCCTTTGTCTCCCTCGAAAGAACTGATTGATAATGCTTTTGGGCCCGAGTCATTGACAGATCAATACGCTTCTTATTCAAGCGTTCAGGACAATAAAGTGGAGTTCAAAACCATAAGCACAAACCTTCGTAGCACGGAAGGTAGGGGCATATTTCACGGCTGTCTCTTTGTCTTAAGCGGCTTGAGCGATCGCAAAAGAGATTACTTATCGTCATTTATTGAACAAGAGGAAGGGATCGTGTCAAAGATGAGCTTTTCCAGCATAATAAGCTTCATTCCTAAGGTGCACACAATCGCAGAAAATCTTGATCTATCCTCGCTCAAGTTTGCTGGCTTGATAACGGAAAAGCATTCTAGGAGCCTCAAGTATTTGGAAACTATTGCACTCGGTTGGCCTCCCTTGCATTACAACTTTGTGGAGCATTGCGTAAGAGTCAAGAAGTTGGACTGGACTAGTATCTTCCAATTTCTTTTGCCCGCTGGGGAGAGCTTTCGGCTAGGCAGTTCTTTTGGCTCGAAATCGAGCGTCATCAAGTCCAGCAATATCTTCCATTTTTATTTGAAACTCTTCCAGCAGAGTTCTCTTGAGGACAACATCAACTCGAGAACATTAAAAATGAGCAATTACCATGTTATAGTGTGTGGGACATCAGATCTCGACAAGTTCGTCAGTTTCGCTTTTCATGCGTCAGGTGCTGCTTCCGTCAACTTCTGTGGAACGGGCGAGTCTTTCCTAAACGCTCTCGAGGCAGACGTTGAAAGCCAAGAGTTGGATAGCATTATCCCAGGTGTCGTCAAGGAGAGTTTAAAAACCCTTCCCAAGAACTCTAATGTCCTATTGTTTCTCAATTCTAAAAGCGAGAAGAATCTACCTGCGAATGTTATTGGAAAATGCATTAAACTGACCTCTACTGGTCACAATATATACATGGAGGGAAAAGAATGGTTGATACAGACCATCATCAATGAGGACACTGCGCTTAGCGGCGTGTAAACCTAAGCGGATTCCTGATGAGGATCCCAGTTAATTTCACGACCCCGCGATTCTTCACCTGTTGCATGTGTCTTGAATGATTCTCGAATACCTAAAACTTTTGGATCGACTTCAGACTGATCTAACTGTCTTTGAAGTACTAAAAAGTCCAGCGATAGCTTCTCCAGGAAATGTGCATGAGCAAACCTGTCGAAAACGTAGAAAAAGAAGCATTTTGCCACAACGACGTACTTTTCAGACAAGTGGTAGTGCTCGGCAAATCCTTCTTTCTGGTTTCCATATTTGTTATCCTTCTCTTGCTGGCTTTCAGACGGTGTTGTGCGTGAGGGTGCCGACAGCTTCGGAAGCCTAGGTTCCGCATTCGAATGCTCGCTCGGACCCTTGGTTCCAAACACAAATTCCGTGGTTGATTGCTCTGGCATTTTTAGGAAATTTGCATCGTTAAATGAGTAGACGAGGACATTATTGATAAGTTTTTCCAAGTGGTCCATATCGATGGACATTGGGACGCCTTCAGCCTGAAACTTTTTGGCGCCATTTCTAAATTTAAGAAATTCCTCGGGGCACACGGCGGCAAGTTTCGGGATTAATAAGTGATTCGCCAATTTCTTCAACTCATTGTAAATGCAAAGTAATTTGAAATTGGGCGTTACTTCGAAGTCCATTATAAATTTGATGACAACAAGGAAATTGTAGTAATAGCCCTCGAGGTTCAGAACCGACAACTTGGATTTGTTAAATTCGATGGTATCATCTTTGCTTTTGAACAACTTTGAGATATTTTTGATTGAAAAATTGAGGGCAACGAGGAAGTCGGTGACAATCCCATAAGATCCCCTGGTCAATATATTCTTATCCTTGCAGATTAAAAAGTTTTGATAGAGCTCCAAAATTGCGTTGTTCCAAACCTTTTGAGAGAACAGGGGATCAATTTTGCAAAAGAATATCATGCAAGTTAGCGAGTTACGCATGTCGATTGCACTTTCAATCAAAATCAAAGAGCTGGGTGCGGGCGAATTCGAGTAAGGGAGGTTCATTTCCAGTTTTTTAGTATCTATCTTGGTCAAGAACACCTGGAATGGAATCGACGATTTGTTTCTTTTTATGTTATTGAACTCATAAAATAACAAAGCGCTGCAAAGAAACTCTGGAATCAAATGCATCCCGACGCTGCTAAAAGCAAAACTCCTATAAAACTTCTCGAAGTTCGTCGTGTGTTGTTTGTAACAGCGTTTCGGGGTTTCTTGAAAATTTGCAGCTTGCCAAACCTCTTCACTGTCAGGTATCACGCTGGCGCTGATTTGAATGTCATTTAAAAAGAGCGGGGCGTCAATGTTGCAGAAAACGTTGAGAAATTGACATACCTTATAAGTCATGAGAACTGTTCTTACCGTAGACTCATAAAGTAGGTACTGGTTTGGGGACTCAAAGAAAAAGATCGGGGTAGATGCTGTGAATAACAGGCTCGTCCTCACCAGCGAGCAAAGTGCCGAGACCTGCTTTACAATGATCTCGGCATTTATTCGCTCTAATGGATCCGCGAACATTGCGAACACAACGCTCAGGCACAGAGACTGAATTAGCCATAGTTTTCCTCGCTGCTCTTTCTTTTCGGCTAGCTTTTCTTCTTGTTTCTTGCGTGTGGTCAAGTAAACATGTAGAGCTCTGCGGCTTTTTTCATAGAGATCAAGACTGTGAACTCGAGCTCCTGGTTTGTATAAAGACCCTATCGAAGCGATGAATAGCGGCAAACAAGCGATGTTTGAGTTGAAAATCATTTCATCCTCCGTGACTCTGGATTGCCCCTCGTGAATGTAGCTCTTGAAGTCCTCTAATCCTAATGACAGCAAGCGTGGGTGAATAAAAGGGTAGTGAACAAGAAAAGAGCTTTCGAAATAACTCGCATAAAGATTTAGTTCATGGCAGCTAGGAAGCTGAGAACCGAGTCTCTTTGCTTCCGCCGAGTGCTGATCTGAGGGATTACCATAGTAATATTCTAAAGTCTTGACGCACATGTCTCGAACTTCTTTAGTGAAGAATTGACATGTCGCAGTAGAATTCTCGCGAACAATGGGCGGTGAAGTTTGTGAGCGAGTCAAGTCTATGAAGCTTTGATCTTCATTTGAAATGCTACTGGATATGTCCGCAACATTTGAGAGGTCGAACTTCCCAGAGTCCTCAACTCTGATCGGCGACCGGGGGTATTGGGGGGCTTGGAAGACGGACGCTGCATCCACTTGAGGATAAGGTCCTTCTTGTGCCCCAGAAGTTGCTGTGAAATGTGTGTTAAAAGAAGAAGAATCCACGGCGGGCTTGTTGACAAATTTAAAATCATTGAATCGGGATATGATATCAGGTGGGTCATCAATTTTCTGAGACTGGGGATTATCCCAGTTATTTTTATTGAATAAAGAGGGCAGTAGCTCTCCAGACTTTGCGTTTGAGTCCTTAACAGCATTTTCTCTCAGCCCAGGACGAGTGGGATTTGGATCGAATAAAGAGTTAACAACAAGATTGTTGCCCTCTATTTTCCACGATGACGAATTGCGCTTCCCATTGGAACGACCCGTGCCCAAAAGATTATTGATACCGCTAGGCAGCGCGCCAGAGAATCGTCTGTTTTGAGAGCTGCCACGACTGCTTCGCCGGCTCCAATTGCTGCTTCGACTGACCAGACCACTGCCGGTGATTGGAGAATCGCCGGAGTCACTAGATTCTTCCAGCATCGGCAAAGAGTTCATTTCCTTAATCCACGTGTCGCGATCCAGAAGATTGAAATTTGAGGTCCCTAAACTAGTTGGATTTTTGGATCCAGCGGAAGTCTGTTCCCCTAGTGTTAAATCCAAAGGAAGAAGTTGCGGCGTAGAAAACTCTACCCGACCCATGTTGGCCCCTTCTTGACCAATTTTGGATAACCCCGCGTATTTTTCTGCCGATTGAGCGGAGAAAGAGACCCTTCTTTTGACAGTGAATGACCTTTTGCGGACCCTGCCGATATCCGAGGACGAAATTTTTATGGGGGTGCCATTTTCGTCATCTTTGGAGCGCGGACTTTTAGCGTCTTTCCCCTCCGCGCTTGCTGGAGCTTGAGGGAGTGGCGCACTGTCCTGACTTCGGCGATACGAGTTCAAAGCATCGCCCCCACTGCCGTTGTGCGCCCTGTGCACGTGACGAATGAGCAGGTCTCGGCGTGTAAATTTACGCTCACACACGCCGCAGTGGTACGGCTTCTCCTTGGTGTGCGAACGCTCGTGTCGAGCAAGATGCTCCTGCCTCGCAAACGCCCTCGTGCACACTTTGCACACGAAAAGTCGGGGCTTGCCGCTGGGCGTGTGGCCTTGATATCGCAGGTTATCAGGAAGTTCGCGTAGTCGTTTGTTGACTTTCGAGTTCATATTGTTGTTGTTGGAAGTGACGATGCCGCCTGCGGCCGCGAGAGTCGCTCCGGTGCCCGTGCTGGTACCGGACGAAACGACGTCCAGACTCAACTGTTCCGTTTCCTTCGCCAGCGTTCGATGATTCCCCCCACCGTTGCTGCCGCTGCTGCTGTGAGCACTCAAATTGGCCTGCGGTGAGCCCAAACCGCTGCCGTTTGCCGTTGGCTGTGTTCCTATGGATGTCATTTGTTTATTTCGTGACGTTCTTTCCGTCGTACCTGATCGCTACGGACGGGTCCGAAGAACCCCAACCCACGTAGCGGCTCGAAACGCGATTTGATTTCCCCCACGCGCTATTAAACGCGTCCCGTTACCACAATACAAGAGAGCTTGTACTCTCTGCTATCGAGGCCCGTGTTTTGTAGCTGCCTTTTAGCAAGCCTACGGTGCGTTTTTAGCCGCCAAGCGCGTCAAAAAAAAAAAACGAAAAACCCAGGGCTAAAACTCGAGAAAGATCTCAGCCGTGAATGAAACCCGCTAGCCCTTTTTACCACTTTACAAAACCCCAAAGTTGTAGCACCTGTTTCGTTGAAACACTTTTCGTTTTCACTCTATTCTACGGTTCAAAAAGGTGTATGTGCCGGAAAGAGCTCAGCTCGGAAAACAACCGGTATTTATACCCTCATCACAGACATATATTATGTCACTCACTCCTTGTGCGGGGAAAGAAAATATAAACAGGGGATGATCAACAAACGCCGTCGAGAGTGACTAAATTAGGGGTTCAAAATGTCAGAATGGGAAAAAGTGATCTGGAAATCAAAAATTTAAAATTGACGACGATTACGTCAGCGGAAGCTTGCCAAGAAATTCAACAATGGCATCAAGCTCATCATCAGGTCCAATTGCTCGAGTGCAATGGACAATAATAAGGTGTAGAAACGAACGAAGTCCAAGTGCTGGGTGGTTTATAATGTAGTTAGTATATGGTGATAGCCCGAGCATGTTTGTAGAGCGTTCGTGTGACGCTTCTTGGTTCAATTCTTACAGGTTAAATCGACCGTCTGGCGATAATTGAAGTTTGGAAAACATCTCGAAATCAAACACATTTCCCATAGCTCGTCGTGTTGGCAGTTATGAGTCACTCGATATCTCCTCGAAACTGTGTCCCGCTCATGGCTTATCTAGATGCACACATGTGACATGGGCAAATGCGCTGAACAAAGAGGAGGACGACGGCGCTGAGACTCCGCAATCAGTGGAAGACGTGAAGCTGTTCGTCTGTTTTAAATACCCGTCAATCGTCCTGTCAGAAGCTCGACCCATGAGCCATGGTCAACAAAGAAGTGTCGCATAGTAACTCTGTCAAGAGCGTTCGAACAGAGTCGAAAACTATGGCGTATAAACAAGAAACTTCGATCGAGGTGCTACGGCTGGACGAGGGAAAAGTGTTTGCAGATGGCGGACTAAAAGCGTACTCTGTAGTGGCAGGTTGCTGTTTCGGCCTTATCGCCGCCTTTGGGGTGATGAACTCCGTGGGAGCCATCCAGGCATACGTGTCGACGCACCAGCTCCAGTCTCTCGAGGCATCGACAGTTTCGTGGATTTTTGGACTGTACGTTTTCACAACCTTCGCCGCGAGCATTCTCTCCGGGTGCTATTTCGATCGCAATGGGTGCGGAACGTCCAAATGGATCGGCTGCGCGCTTGCTATCGTGGGGGTCTTCTGTCTGGCAGAATGCAAAAAATTGTACCAGTTCATTCTTTGTCTGAGTATCCTGTACGGAGTCGGGTCTGGAATCCTGTTGACGTGCTACGTTTCCTGCGTGGCGTCCTGGTTTAAGGAGAAACGAGCACACGCACAGTCCATCGCAGGAATTGGCGGGTCCGTTGGAGGCATCGTCTTCCCAGTGATGCTTAGAAAGCTGTACTCCCAAGTGGGCTACGCCTGGGCCATTCGCACACTCGCCTTCATCGTTTCTGCGTGTATGGCCATTTCTATGCTGCTCATACAAGAGAACGCTGCGGTTATGAACTACCAGTCTAAAACGCTTCCCTGGAAAGAGACCTTTCGTTTGTATGTTCGGTACGGCGTCGATCTACGTTTCTTGAAAGACAAGAAGTTTGTGTGCTGCGCCCTTGGCTGTTGCTTCGCTGAGAATGCCACCATGGTGATAGCCACTTACTTCCCCTCATATGCACTTTCCACAGGCGTCTCAGAAAGCACTTCTTACACTTTGATCACGATCATCAACGTGGCTGGGATCCTCGGTCGGGCCTCGGGCTACTTGGCCGACCGCTTTGTGGGTCGTATGATGATCATAACAATTAGCCTACTGGTCATGACGCTTCTCTCCCTCGTAATGTGGCTACCCTTCGGTCATACTTTGAATGTGCTATATGTGTTTTCCGCCATCTACGGTGTCTTCTGCTCCTCCATACTGTCATTGACGCCCATAGCTGTTGGTCAAATTTGCAGTATAGAGGAGTTTGGGAGACGCTACAGTATGATATATTTGATGACAGCTCTGATGAGTTTGCCCGTTTTCCCGGTCGCAGGTGTCATTATAGGAAAAGGCTCATCGAGAAACTACAATATGTTTATCGTTTACTGCTCGATACTGACATTCGCTGGCGCGTGTCTCTACACGGCTACCCGCTTCCTGTCAATTGGCCTTAGCAAGAGAAAGTTTTAAAAGGTCATAGTCGTATGCTGGAAAGTGTCGGTCAAGTTAACAGATCTAAGAGTGCACTCAAGTTGTGTACTATTCAAAAAATAAACGAACTCCGATACGGGGAGTCGAACCCCGGTCTCCACGGTGAGAGCGTGATGTGATAGCCGTTACACTATATCGGATTTTCGTGCAAGATGTTGTGACGTGGTCTAACATTCCATTAATAGTTCACACGCCATTGTCGAGTTCTGCAGGAAGTGTCACTACAGGCCCTCCCGCTAGATGCCCTTCATCTGCGTGGTAAAGATGAATGCCAGCTTTCAGGAAAGCCCGACTTGGTATTTTATATCAGGCAATCAGAGATTATTCCTTCTCTGTGTGCAAGCTCTGACGCGGTACTAGTTTGTAGGTTAGATTTATTTGACAATAATGATATTTACAAGAGCCTATTTCGTGGAAAAGGAAATGTTGTATTCCTTCAAAATTTCTTCTGGGACAGCACTGGGACTTTGAACTACTTGATCTGAACCACTAATGCTTTTTGGGAAGGCGATCACATCACGAATGTTATCTGTTCCACACATCATGGCACACATGCGATCGAAACCAACTGCAAATCCAGCGTGAGGAGGAGTCCCACATTCAAATGCCGTTAGCAAGTGGCCGAATAATCTCTCAGGGTTTTTGATTTTGAGAATTGACTTGAACACATAATTCTGCAGTTCAGGGTCGTGAATCCTTGTAGAACCACCGCCTAGTTCGGTACCGTTGACCACGAAATCGTAATGCAAACCTGAGCAGCTTAATGGATCCTTTTGCAGCTTAGCCAGATCATTTAAATTGACCATGGTAAATGGGTGATGGCTGGAGGTGAATTCCCCCTCACGGTATACAGGGAATCGTTGTTTTTTGCTTCCTGGCGTAGATTCTTGTTCCAACGGCGCAAAGAGAGGAAATTCAACAATCCAGGCAGCTACTGCATGGTCCGTTTCCTTGTAAAGCTTAGAACCGAGTTCCGTTTGCGTTACCAATTGTCTTAAACGTCCAAGAGGAGTAGGATTTTCAAATAGAGTATGGTTGGGCTGTCTTGTTGCACCGCAAACGATATCTCCTTGCTTGATATTTAAGAAGCGGGTCATCATGGTAGGATTTTCGAAATTAGCTATTGGCATGAATTTCTCGAACCAATTGTTTTGCATCTCTATAGAATCGATTGGTACCACAATTGGCGATCTAGAGTTGTATTGGTGTTCATCAGAGAGTATTGACCAGTTCTTCTTATAGTTTTCCATGGTGTCAAAAGCATTACGCAAAACAAGAACCTCGAAAACTGGAAAATTCTTATTCTCAACACCATAGGCCTTGAACTCTTTCAAATCGATAATCTTAAGGTTGGGAAATCTGAGGTCGGGTTTATCAATCCCGTATCGAGTCATTGCATCGCGATATGTCATTTTGGTTACCGACTGGGTATCGTTAATTGAAACAATTTTACCTCTATTCACAGTGTGTAACTTCCCGCTAGACGAAAGCTTTTTCCACGTATCGGTGACCATGGATTCCACACGTTCCATCACTTGCTCGCCTGAGGAAAAGGCCATCTCCATATCAATTTGAGTGAATTCTGGTTGTCTGTCGCTTCTTAGGTCCTCATCACGAAAACAACGAGCGATTTGGTAGTAGCGCTCGACACCACTGGCCATGAGCAGTTGCTTGTACTGCTGGGGACTTTGCGGCAGAGCATAAAAGGCAGGTTCGCTGTTTATTTTATTTCTTGTGGGCACCAAAAATTCTCTGGCACCTTCTGGCGTTGATTTGAACAAAATCGGTGTCTCTATCTCGGTAAACCCAGCCAAGTTGAGATGCTCTCTAACATTCTGTGCTATTTCGTGCCTTTTTCTCAGAAATACTTGGTATTTAGGCAGACGAAGTTGGAGGTATCTAAGATCTGGAGGATAATTCCCCTCTTTTTTATAATCCAGTAACTGGGAAGGTTTTTTGCCAGACTTGTTCAAGACCTTCAAATGCGATAGCTGTATTTCGTACTGGGGTGCCGCTTTGTCATCGTTAGTCTTTTTAAGGTTTAAATGTCCCTCAACTTGCACCACGTCTTCGACGTTTGCGCTTTTTAAAAGCAACTGAGAATCCACTAGTTGAATACAATCACCTTTTGTATCTCGTAAGGTGCCGAAGATAAGGTCTTTACCAACTTTTTTGGGTTTTTTGTCGATCCATCCATTCAAAGTGACTTTTGTAGATGCATTAGTATTTGGCAAGTTCCTGATGTGAACGGAATTGCTTGCAAAGCTAAACCTTTCTTTGATCTCGCTAGAAAGTACTTTGGTAGTAAAGTTTCTGCTGTGTCGGCTCAAGCAGTCCAGCCGGCGTGTCAACATCTCACAGTTTTTCGTTCTTCAATGATATTTGGATAGTAGCTAGTTTTTCAATCTTGTAGAGCCGAATTAAAGCATTGGGACAGAGACGCTAAAAAGCTTCCTTCTCGCGTAAAGTTCTATGTACAATGTATCTGTTTATACTGGGAATAGGGAAATTCAAGCAGTGGATTCACTGTCTACCCAAGTCCATAGGTTGCATTCGCCGCACAGCGAGATTGAACACATTAGAGACCCGTGACAGCTGATATCCATTACTGGATTACCACAGTGCTTTCTCTTAATTCTATGCTGCAGTTGCTTGGTCTGAGAGTCCCAGCACACGATTTCGCCCGTTTCAGTGCCACTGACTACGATGGGGTCGTCAGCTTCTTGCGCGGGATATAAAAAATCCATACCACATGTGTATCGCAGCGAATTGGACTCTCCTGATATGAACGTACGCACCACTTTGCCTCTCACAAAGTCCCAAATCTTCAATATGCCGTCTAGAGACTTGACCAGCAGAAATTTGCCATTGACCGAAAATCGCACTTGTGAAATGGGAACGACCCCGTTTTCGCTTTGCCAGTCCTTGTCGTAGGTGAGAGTCTTGAGACAGTGGCCCGTAGCGGTGTCGAATATTCTAATGAGTCCGTCGTAGGACCCAGAACTTAAAATGCTGGCGTCGTGCGGGGGAATGTCTATGGAAACCACTGGTTCTGAATGGGCCGACAACGTACGCAACAGACTTCCTGTCAAAGTGTCCCAGATCTTGATGCTTTCGTCCATAGAGCAGGAACATAGAAGATTGCCCTTGTGGGTGAATTTGAGTGCTGTAACAGGCGCGGTGTGGCCCACCAGCCGGTGCAGCTCGCCGTATGCCACATGTGTGATAATCACGGTGAAATCGTCTGACGCGGTCGCAACACACTGAGAGTCCGGTGACCAGCACAAGTCCGACAAAGGTCGCGAGTGCAGCGTAGAGAGCAGCACAGATGTCTTTTCGTGGATGTCGTAGATCTCTATGTCAGGTCCATTACAAAGAGCTATTTTCTGTCCGTTTGGCGAGATTTTGGCCGCTGTAAAGGGCTGTTTTGAGCCTTGCGATTGTTTGACCGTGGCGATCAGTTGGAATTGACCCATGGAGAGAGGCTTTCGGGCCCTGACAGAGCGTTGTGAAGTCGCAAGGTGGTTTGATCGTGGCATGCCAGATGAGCTGGATGAGAGGGCCTTAGAGCTAACTCGTATAGAGTGATGCAATTTCATTTATTAACCACAATAGTCACGTGACCAAAGATCAATGAAAAGCCTGGTCCGTCAACCATTTCTTTGGCATCCATCGTACTACCCCGAACTCAGCACAACTGATACCTCAAAGCAAGTGCTCCATTTTCAAGACTGTTTCTTTCGTTTTCAAACCTTCTACTTTTATTGTTTCCCAGGTTTTCCAACCGCTCGAGTACTTTTCAGTACTCACGTACACAACGACCAGACTCTCTCAACCGGTGGCAAAAAAAGCTAATAAGCTTTCCTCTCTCATTCTAATATCTCATCCTAAGCTCCAAACACAACTACATCAACTACAACAACGACCACCAAATAATGAGCATTGTCCCAAACCACAACTACAGATCCACCGTATCGTCCACTGACGGCCACCAGACCGCTTCCAACGCGGCTCCTGCGCTTCCAGACACCTTGAGAAGCCAAAACGGCGGCGCCACGCCGCTGAGCACTCTCGTCAACGGGAAACACCCCTTGGAGCCCAAACTGCAAAACTGGGACCACACACAACGCCAAAGAGACCTACAGCAGTACCGCCAGGTGTTTGGCCTCGCAGAACCTATGAAACGCGAGATGGAGCTCGCCATTGTGCAAAACTCCGATTTCAACCCTCTGTCACTTGGAACGGCATCGTCGTCTTCTAATTTGACCTCTGGACTGCACCAGGATATCTTGCGGAACCGCGAGGCAAGCGTCGACTGGGAAGACGTGTACCCTGGCTCCGTTGTTTCCGGAGGCGTTTCACTGGGCGTGGACGTTCACGGTGCAATTGAGAAATCGCTGGGCATTTAAAGACCATCGTTGAGAAGGCGAAAAGCGAAGAAAGAGCGCGAACTAAAGAAACAGGGCTTCTGGCGTGCGCGCGTGCGTGTGTATGGTGAGTTCAATTGAGTACCCAGTCACGTGTAAAAACTCACCAACCCTTTCACGTGACGACCATTCAACTGTCACGTGAAACACACATGTCACCTTTCATCACCACAAACGACGCCCGACTTGTACTGGCCACGATTTTTTTTCGTTGTTTTCCCTACCAGATCTGAAGAATTCCCACTGGCAGAAAAATTTTTAAACCCAATTTCAGCACTGTTCGCTAATGGTGGTGAATTTTGAAGGATTTAATTTTACCCATATTTTAGAGATTTTGGCCAAGTTTTGACTGGGACCAGGCAAGCAAGCAAGCAAGCTAGAAGGCAAGCAGAACACTGGTAATTTCGAAGTTTGAAAATGGATCTACATCAACATACACAACAGGAATCTCTGGGTTCAATTGGGTCGCAATTGCATGGTATGCCAGTGCCTAACACAGCAACAGCAGCAGCAGCAGCAGCAGCAGCAGCAGCAGGAGCGTCGTCGTCGTCCTCGTCGTCGACTCCTTTGATGAAGGGTGGTCGCACACCGCTGGTGAGGTCTGGGTCGCTTTTGGACAATCTGGGCGTGCAGCGGGCAGGGTCGCCGTTCGTGACTAGCACGGAAACCGCACTTTTCGGGCTCCAGCCACAGCAGCAAGCCTCGATGGCAGTGCCCAATCACCCAGATTCGGCATTTGGCGGGCTACACGAGCCATTGGCATCTGCGTCGGCATCGTCAACGTCTCTGGCACTTGACTGGGCCAACGGACATGGTCAAGGCCAAGGCCAAGGCCAGGCCTCTTCGTTTGGAATGGCAGTCGGGTCAGATATCGCAGGTGGTGGGAGTACCAGCTATCCTGTGCTCCCGGTGCCGCCGCCACCGGGGGTCTTTGCACCCCAGATACAGGTGATCGACTCTCGATGGAAATATATCGATTTCCAAGGTGTGATTCAGGGTCCGTTCCCCTCGCAATCTATGACCAACTGGTACCAAGCAGGTTATTTGCAGTCGTCGCTGCAAATCACCCGGGTTGCGACGTGTCCCGAACCCTTTGGGGTCAATGATACATTCACGTCGCTGGGTGATTTGATGGCAAAAGTGGGCGATTTCGCAGACCCTTTTTCCAAGTTTGATTTCATTGTGACCCAGGCGCAAGTGCAAGCACAGGCACACGCGCAAGCCCAGTTTCACGCTCAGCACCCATCTACCGAGCAGGCCGCTTCAGCATCAACGCCCACTAGTCGACCATCACTCTTTGACGGATTGCAATTGAGCAAGGATTCCGGCCTCTCTGGGCCTGCGCCCACTAACATGGCGCAGGATGCTGCCACATTTCTAGACGGCACTGCCATAAATCTCGAAACCCAGGACTATACACACAGTCAGCTTCTGCAGGTACATGACAGTGACGGAGGGTACTATCACGAAACCGTATCCCAAGTTCCTATAGATAAATTTGTTGAGAGCGAAGCTAACAAGTCCAAGATTCTCGACACTGCTTCTTTCAAGACTAGAGTCAAGCTAGATCAAGACGCTGTACAAAGAAGACGTGACCACGAACTCGCCGCCAAGCAAAAGGAACAACAAGACCAGACAAAGGTGGTTCAAAATAGCTTCCAAAGCTCAGTGCCGGTAGCGCATCCAACTGCTCCGTTCAGGGCGGAGCCGGACCTAAACCAGTCTGTAAAAGTTGAAACCGACGGTATTGCGAAACAGCGTCAAAGACAGCAGGAAGAAGCCGAACGTCGCAGACTTCTTGACGAGTCTGCCCGCCAACAACTTTTGAAACAACAACAACAGGAGATAGAAGAACAAGAACAACAACAACAACGTATTGCTCGCGAGCAACAGGAAGCGGAAGAACGCATGAAGCGCGAGGAGTTGGAAAAATTGCGTAGGGAATCCGCAACCCCAAACGCTTCAGCTCCGGCCCCGGCCTTGCTATCCGCAAAACCTGCACCTTGGGCCAACAAGGGCAAGCCTGCATTTTCGGGTCCCTCGTTAGCTGATGTTCAGCAGAAAGAAGCCGCTCAAAGGGCCAAGCGTAAACAGGAACAAGAGCAACAAACGAGGGAGCTTGCTGCCAAATTGCAGCAACAAGTTTTAATCGAAGAGTCTACCAAACCAAGAATCGACTCGATTGCGTCGTGGGCGAGTAAAAAGAAATCTGCCTCGACACAAGAGCAGTTGAAAGCGCCAGTGAAAACTATCGAACAGATTCAAAAAGAACAGCTGGAAGAGAAGAAGTTCTTGGCTGAGCAAAAAAGATTATGGGAAGAAGTTCAAAGAAATGCCAAATTGAATGTTCCCTCCTCTATCAACGAGACAAACGAATGGACCACCGTGACGAAAAAGCAGCCGGTACCTGTCAAGGCTATCAACGGGGTGAAAAGCATCAAACAATCAAGTGCGTATTTGAACCCTGAAAAGCTGCGCTCAATGAGTGCCAACTCAAGCAAGCAAATCGGTTCATCCACCAGCATACCTACACTAAAGGCTAAAGCTGTTGCCAAGCCTCCTGCCACTACTGCCGGGAACGTCTCGACATCGTTGCGTCAGGAATTCTTGAAATGGTGCAAGGCACAGATGAAGTTGTCCCCTGATGTTGACGTGAATGGTGTTCTCGAAGTTCTGTTCAGTCTCCCAGCTGGTCCCGAGTCGAAGGAAATAATAGCGGACACCGTCTATTCTAACAGTTCATCCATGGACGGTAGACGCTTTGCAACCGAGTTCATAAAAAGACGTGCCGAATGCGAAAGCAAGCTCACAGATAGCTTATCTTGGAGCGAAGCATTGTCTTTGCCCGAGGGTGATGCCGAGGACTGGGAATTTCAAGTTGTGGGAAAGAAAAAGAACAGAAAGCATTAGAGACCAGATATTCTCCAGCTTCTGACAAGATATGTGGAGGTTGTGTAGGCCTATGTAGTACAAAGAAAGTAACGAGTAAAAGTTTTCATTTTTTTTCACTGATACAAATTCAAACTCTTCTCCTGCTCGCATTTCAGTATAATATATTATTCGTCGCGTTGTGTGTCGTTCATCTACTTACTCAATTAGCTTGCCCGTACTATCAAACTTGAGCTGCCACTGCTCCGAAAAAACCTCCTTCCGCAGCAAAATGGCCTGAAAGCGTCTTTTCAGAGCTTGGTTGAAACAGATTTCTTTGCTAACGGCAACGTATAGTTGAGGCCAACCGGGTTGCAGCCTTTCAGCTTCTTGAATGGCATCTTTGAACTCCAAATCCACCAACTTTACCTCGTTTTGATACCGTTTCCAGTACTCTTCTCCGACACAGCCATTCTTGTATAGCATTGTTACCTGTGGTTCGCTTTCCTTGAGCTTTAGCGTTCTTCTGATGGCCTCAGCTCCACGATTGAGAAGTGCAGCTTTCAACACTTTTTCGTGAACTTTGGCGTCGCCCGTATCATTCATTTGCTTCAGCTCAAAATATAGATCTCTAGCGACTGACTCGTCAAACATAGATGGCAGCTCACTCAGCTCTTTCACTGTTTTCTTCCGGTAATGTGAGGCAAACACAGTTAGCGATATAACCAAGATCGAAACGTAGATCAGAGGTGTGTAAAAGGACACTGCTTTCATCTCAACAGTTCCCGCATCATCCTCAGCAAATGTGCTGTTATACTGAGTGTTGTTAAAAGACATTGGACTCTTCTAGTTGCGTTTGTTGTACTTGGTTTGAAAGGTGTTCTGGAGTCGAGTTCTACATTTTTCAATATAGAGTTGTATTCACGAAAACTGGTTAGCTTGTCAGATTATGTAAGCACATAGTGAAGTGTCAGCGTTGAGGAGACACGATCGTCGTTGATGTTGTGAGTATCTGGAAATGAACGAGGATTTGATGGGATTAGGATTTCTATGACTGTAGTAAGTGTAGCTTTGAGATTGTTCGAGCGATCAAACGTTAATTACAATATTTGCTTGCTTGGGGTATTGAAGACTTATGTGGAAGCTGAACAAAGAAAGTGAAGACGGTCAAAATTATGTGGAATATCTCTCGTCAAAACTGTATGTCAATCTCTGTCCTAGGATTCCAGTAAACTATTTTATTGCGTGATAGTGTTTGAAACCTCGGGTGAACACAGTGTAACATGGGTGATTGAGAGTGAGGAATCAACAGGGAAATTTATAGTATTACAATAATACCATTCACAAGATTACAGTGCCCGCCAATGGTTGGTAAGACCTGACGTTATTCAGGTGGTGACGAGTAAAATGCGTTCGTGACACGGGCCTCAGAATGATGTCACTTTGACCCAATATGTCACCTTATCTTGCGTATACCTCTTTACATTGTTATAAGATCTGGCATCACCGTGATGGTGGCATCTTTGAAAGCAGATTCGGAATCTAATCTCAACTTCAGGGACGTCGCTATCAGCCTATATAGTATACAGACTCGAAGCCTGATACAAGCTACTTTTTTGTCGACAATTCTGGAGATAACATGCTAAAACACTGACAAACCAGAGAGAGAGAGCTCTGCAAAGAGCAAACCATGATAATGGGGAGTTCTGCAAGATGATTATGATTAAGTTCTCTAAAATGGTTCAAACTGTCAAGCTGCATAAATCACTTCCCAAAAACTGACGCTAGATTTCACACACTTTTGGTGAGTGAAACTGTCGCGCGTCCACTTTATTGCGTAATGGGCGCGAAGTGTGATGAATTATCGATGTTCAAATCTACAAAACCACATGGATGACCTCAAGTTCAAGAAATTGCTTGGGCGAAAATATCTACATTCTTTGGTGTACGACAGTGCGCGCTTGCCAAAAATTTACAAATTGGATGATCAATGAAATAAAGCAGCCTCTCTACTTGACCTCGCGATAGAAAAATTTCAACATACCGGAAGCTCACTCACATTGCACTCAAAGAAACCTTTATCACGAACGTCCATCTCCTACTTTATTTGGACTCTGGGAACTTAACCAAATGCGTCCTGCAAATTACCCAGTTTATTGTCCCGGGCTCAAATCAGTATTTTCCAGGTGGTAATTGAATCACCACAGGTTATTGACATCATTATCGTCTCGAGAACTCTCATACACCGACTAGGCCAAGCTCAGCCAAGTGAATCGATCACCATTCGCCTGCGTGTCACCAATTCTCTTTGTCACCTGACGTAATGGCATTTATTATCAACAAGAATCCTATCGCGAAAACACTCTTCCCTCTTCTTGCACTCCAATTTCAAGTCGAAGCCATGTCAGACGGTAACCAGACTTTACCAGACCATTTCAGACCGCTTCACTACTCAATTGAGCTTGATTGCTCAAAACTTCAAGATGACAGCTTTTCTGGATCGGTTTCTATCACCTTTCAAGTAAACCAGAAGTCAAATAAGGTGTTTCTGAACATTAAGGATCTGAAAGTCCTTGATGCGAACATTGTAGCTAAAAATGGCAGCTCGATTGCACTTAGTTCTCAGACTTACGACGGAACCACTGATGTCGCTATTTTGACGTTTGCAGAGGAGCTTGCCCAAGACTTTACTCTTAACATCGCCTACGAGGGCGCAATTCAAACCAACATGACAGGTTTTTACAAATCTGAGTATCTTGACCCAGAAACCGGTGAGAAGAAAGTAATGCATTCCTCTCAGTTCGAAGCAACCGACGCAAGAAAAGCATTCCCCTGCTTGGACGAACCAGCACACAAGGCCACTTTTGACGTAACTATAACGGCTGCATCTCACTTGACAGTCCTTTCCAACATGCCTCTTAAGTCATCGACTTCGCTAGAAAATGGGGCAAAAACTGTGCACACTTTCCGTAGGTCCCCAAAAATGTCCACATACCTGGTGGCATGGGCACTTGGTGAATATGACTACATTGAAAAGCACACCGAAAAATGCATTTACCCCTGTGATGGCAAGGAAGGCTCGCAGCAAGTCCAAAAACTTCCTGTTCGCGTATACACGGCAAAAGGAAAGTCTCACCAGGGCCAATTCGCACTGGACGTTGCTTGCAGAGTCATTGACTATTACTCTGATTTGTTTGGCATACCATACCCAATTCCCAAATTGGATCTGTTGTGTGTTGAGGCCTATTCTCATAACGCCATGGAGAACTTCTCTTTGATCACTTTTAGACCTACCGCCCTTTTACTCGAAGGACCTGTTGAAGCAAGCAGCCCGCTGTCGCTTCAAAAAATTGCGTATGTCGTCTGTCATGAAATTGCTCACCAGTGGTTCGGAAATCTGGTAACGATGAAATGGTGGGATGAACTGTGGTTAAACGAAGGCTTCGCCACCTGGATTGGTTATTATGCTGTCAATTGGATGTTCCCGGAATGGGACGTTCCATCACTTGTAATGTGGAAGTCCCACGAAGTCGCATTAGAGCTGGACTCTTTGAAGGAATCACACCCAGTCAAAGTTAGCGTCAAAAACGCAAAGGACATAGATCAGCTTTTTGATACTATTTCATATTTGAAAGGCTGCTCGCTGCTTGAAATGATAAGTGAGTTCTTGGGCTCCGCTTATTTCATTAGAGGTGTTGCCTTATATTTGAAGCGTAATGCCTTCTCTAATGCTACTATGGATGATTTGCTTGATAGCGCGGGCGAGGTATGCAAGATCGACGTTCGATCACGTCTTAACAATTGGATACTCCGGACCGGGTACCCACTGTTAGTCGTAGATGAGGAGTCTACAGGAAGATTGAAATTAAGTCAAGAAGGCATTAGTTTGGGGGTTGACCCATGCACATGGTGGATACCTCTAATGTCAAGCAAGGGCTCCTCGGGCGAAAAGCTTGAGCTTTCGGAAAACAGCCTCAGTCTAGAGTACCCCACGGACGAGCTTGTGCATTTGAATGCGAATGGCTTCGGTTTTTATCGTGTCGAGTATAGAAGCGCTTCTCTTTTGTCAAAAATCTGCGCCAATCTTGAGAAACTTTCATCTCGGGGCAAGATCGCGTTGGTCTCCGATGTGCAAACTACGGCTAGTGCTGCTGTTTTGCTCGACGTCTTGGGGTATTTTACTAAAATACAAGACCCTTACGATTATTACGTGTGGGCAGTTGTATTCGAAAGCTGTTCGAGACTCCTCCTACTCTTGGACACTTCATCAAACTTGTACGGGAAAGTTAAGTCCTTCATCAAGCTGGCGATAGAACCTCAAGTATCTGATGCCCTGTCCTTTTTGCGCGACCCTGATTCGCTTCTAATGAGCTACGCTGATAAAAGGCGTGCTTTGAAAGCTCAGTTTTATGAGCAGATCCTGTTGATGGCAGGAGAAGTATGCCACGAACAAGTTGTCGAACAGTGCGTATCTCATTTCCGTTCCAAAAAAAGCAGTCCTGTGACCAGGCAGATAGTGATGTCAGTTGTTTTATCACAACCCGAGACGTCGCTCGAAACATTTGATGCCGTTGTTGAAGAACTAAAAACTGCTACACTCGCACATAAAGAGGGCTTGCTGGCAGCGTTGGGTAAAGTTCGCAATCCCTTACTTTTTGCCAAGACTTTTGATTTGATTTTCCAGGTACAAACCATGGACGTTCAGTTTTTGGCCGAAGCGATGGGTAAAAACGCTGACATTCGTTGCGCTTTGTGGTCATTTATTAAAAGCAGTTATGAGAAGATACACGCGCGAATTGGCTCCAATCCAACAGTTCTTGAACGATTCGTGAGATTTTCACTCAGTAACATGATTGGATCTTCGCTGAAACTTGAAATAGAACAGTTCTTCGCGGACAAGGATGTGTCGAATTACGACAGAGCGTTAAAACAGACTTTGGAGAAAATTGGTAAAAGCACTCAGTACGCCGAGGCCAATGTTTAGAGACTATTATGAGGGAGCTTTTGAAACATCGACTCGGCCACTTTCGATTTGGGCTTCAACAGGGTTAAATGTTCTACTACTTCTGCTCAAGGTGATGGATCCTACCTTTAGGAAAGTCATTGCATTCTTTTCTTATTGGAAGAGATTTGCCCAACTAATCAAAACGGCCTATTCGAGAACGATGCCTCAAATTTTCATTCTACGTGACGATTGCTGGAGAGAGAATTCCAAGGTTTAAGCATCCGGACAAATTTCGAATTGCAAGAGCTGGTCCATCTTAATCAGAAAAATTGATTGAACGCGGATGATTTAAGTAAGAACTCAATGATGTTGTATTTATAACAGCCTCAAGTGTGCATGAATGGTTCTTGTCGGACAGCTTATTCGCAAGATGAACGTTTATTTACCTATACCCATTGCACAACGTCACGAAAACTATATAATGATAAATAATTAACATTATTAGTTCGTTCATCTTAGCTATAAGGTAAGTTGCCACTAAGCTACCCAATTCACCGATAATACATTCCACAGGCGCGATGATTCTTAGATTTAGATCTCCCGATGGTATGCATCGCATTGAGTGCGAAGAATCGCAGATTTATGACACTGTTTTGAGCCAATTAGCCCCAAAACTTAGCCCACAGGCGGATTTGAACACTTTGAGAGTTGGCCTGAGATCTAACGAGATGAGACTGGCTCGCGAGATCTGCGATTTGAGCCTTGGTCAACTGGGCTTTAAACACGGGACGATGTTGAATTTGAGCTACGACAAATCTAAAGATGCGAAGCAGACCCCAAACCAGGGACAGACTCCAGATACGGCGAATCAAAGCGTGAAGATCAACCCTTTTAAGCTTCTTGGTCCAGCTGATGTTAAGGAACTGAGTGTAGATGAAGAGCTCGAAAAATTGGATGGTTTGATACCGAGAAAGCGATCTTTTCTGTGCAGACATGGTGATAAAGGAATGTGCGAATATTGCTGCCCTCTACCTCCATGGGACCGTGAATACCAAACTGAGCACAACATTAAACACATTTCATTCCATGCACACCTGAAACAGCTCAATGAGCAGACCAACAAAAAGGGTAGTGGTGGTTCTTACATCCCACCGCTTTCACAGCCCGATTTCCGCATAAACAAGAAGTGTCAGGGCGGACACGAGCCATGGCCTAAGGGAATATGTTCTAAATGCCAGCCATCTGCCATTACTCTTAAACAGCAGGATTTCAGAATGGTGGATCATGTTGAGTTTCAAAAAAGTGAGCTCATTAACGAGTTTATAGATAGTTGGAGAACCACGGGAACGCAACGGTTCGGCTTCATCTATGGCCAATATGCTCCTTACAGTGCGACACCTTTAGGAATTATAGCCAAGGCGGAGGCTATTTACGAGCCTCCTCAGCACGATGAGGCAGATGGTATAACAATGGATATGGAACTTGTCGAGCGCGAAATGGCCAAGGTTGACGAAATCGCCAAAGAAATGGGCCTTCTGCGTATTGGCATGATCTTTACAGACTTGACGGATGCTGGGAAAGGCAACGGTTCCGTGCTCTGCAAGCGTCATAAGGATTCCTTTTTCTTATCCTCTTTAGAAGTCATAATGGCAGCGAGACAACAACTCAAAAAACCCAATGTATGCAAGTTCAGCGAGCAGGGCATTTATTCATCGAAATTCGTCACTTGTGTCATATCGGGTAACATCGAGGAAGATATTGACATCTCCACTTATCAAGTCTCCACCGATGCCGAAGCGCTTGTACAAGCGGACATGATTACAGGCTCCACACATCCCTCAATGGCATATATCAACGATACGAATGAAGACCGCTACGTACCAGAAATGTTTTACATGCGAAGAAACGAGTATGGTCTTTTGGTCAAGGAAAACGCAAAACCGGCGTTCCCCGTGGACTATCTGTTAGTTTCTCTGACGCACGGGTTCCCTACGGCCGATGCCCCTTCAGTGCCCAAATTTTCAAGTGTAACAGGGTTTCCTTGGGCTAACCGCCAGATTCTTGGTCACTCTCAGGACTATTCGCAACTTAAAGCATATTTGTACGAGGCTGCCACGTCAGGAGATTTTCATCTGTTACAACAAAAGCTGTCCAACTTCCACTTGTTGCTGTACATCAATTCCTTACAGATTCTGGGGCCCCAAGAGTGGAAGTTACTGTGCAAAGCGGCCACGGCCGAAGACCAAAGCACCATATATCAACTTATTGACTCACCGGAATGGCAAACTTTGATCATGATCCTCCAGGAGTCTGCTTAGCATCTGAAACAAGTGTGAAAATGGTCTGAGATAAGCTTCCCTGGCCGGGGTTGACAGACGTGGCAAACCGTCATGCGTGCACCATGAAATTTTCAAGCTCTAATTATCCTTACCATTTGAGTAAGTCTCTACACTGCAAAATCCTCCAGTAGAACGACCTCAAGAGGGAAATGCAACTGTGGTGGAAAAAATCGGGAGCCCAATTTCAGAAGCCATATGCAAACTGAATACACACATACCTTCATACATTTAAGTCACACACCTTTCACCGTCTCCGGATTTCTACTACCACGATTAGCACTACCCTATCATCACGAATGCCAGGACGTGGCGTTAGACGTCACGAAAGAAAGCTAGAAGCTTGTAGATGTCATAAAAGAGCACAGAAATGAAGTTTACTCAAAATTTCCCAAAGGTTGGCTCGAAAAGTACTTTCGCTTTCAATTTTGCTTATTCCAAACAAGATTGGCTCAGAAATGACAGCTTGAACCGAGAAAGTTGACCAAATCAATCGCGAATGCCTTCAAAAAGCACAAGAATCAAGTGTATACAAGATTCGCCAGAGGTCTACCCAGCTTACCCATTGTTTGTCAATTTCACCTCATTTCACCAAATCAGGCTTAATTTTGACGATTAAACTCGGAAGAGCTTACCAATTCGATGGTAGATGTCATCGAAAGGCACAAAATTCAAGCTTACTCAATATTCCCGGAAGGTTGGCTCTGCTGGTCCATTATTCGTCAAATTTGCCAAATTCAACCAAATTTGTTTCAAATTTGACCATGAAGATCGGAACAATTTGCCAATTCACTTCCTTGTAGATGTCACCAAAGAGCGCAAGACTGAGATTTTTTGAAGATTTACCGAGGATCTACTGACATAGATCCTTCTCAGTCGATTTTGCTACCAAATTTGGATTGAATTTGGCGGTTGGAATCGGACAAGTATGCCAACTCGCAAGCTTGTAAATATCCTTACAACGCACAAAGATCACATAAACTCAACGTTCCCCGCTGGTTCACTCAAGTAATCCATTTCTCGCCGATTGCTCCCTCATTCGACCAAATCTGGCTCAAATTTGACTGTTGAAATCGGAATATTCTCCCAAATCGCTACCCTATCCACTACAACCCACAATCTCTACAAAATCGTTTCCAACACTCACAGCACCCACCTTTATACCTCTCTTTCTCAGTTTCCACCTCTCTTTCCAGAATTTTCTAGAAATATAGCAACTCTTTTCATATAAATTTCGATATCCTAGCCTTTATATATAACAAGATGAAAATTTTAAAGTCAAGTTTGTTCAACTCTCATTACCACTTACAAACACCAAAAGTCAAAGAACTAACCCAAGCAGTTCCTTTGAATACACGAACATCATGAGTACGCCATTTGGTCTAGATCTAGGTAACCACAACAGTGTTCTGGCTGTTGCCAGAAACAGAGGTATCGACATTGTGGTCAACGAAGTGTCGAACAGAGCAACACCATCGATGGTGGGATTCGGCCAAAAAAATAGATTTTTGGGTGAAGCTGCCAAAAACAAGCAGACCTCGAACATCAAGAACACCGTGGAGAGTCTAAAACGTATCATCGGCATGAACTACGACGACGTGGACTTTGAGACCGAGAGCAAATACTTTCAGTCGAAGCTGGTGAAGCTTGAAGACGGCAAGATCGGCGCCCAGGTCAGATTGGGCGGCGAGCAAGCCGTGTTTTCTGCCACCCAGCTGGTGGCCATGTTCATCAACAAGGTTAAGAACACCGTGATCGAGGACACCAAGGGCAGCAACATCACCGATGTCGCCATCGCCGTTCCAGCTTGGTACACCGAAGAGCAACGTTACGCCGTGGCTGACGCTGCCAGAATCGCTGGCCTGAACCCAGTGAGAGTCGTCAACGACGTCACCGCCGCTGCCGTGACCTACGGTGTCTTCAAGAGCGAAATGCCAGAGGGTGAGCAAAAGCCAAGAATTGTCGCTTTCGTCGACATCGGCCACTCCACCTACACCTGCAGCATCGGTGCCTTCAAGAGAGGCGAGATGAAAATCTTGGGTACCGCCTACGACAAGCACTTTGGTGGTAGAGACTTCGACCGTGCCATCACCGAGCACTTTGCTGACGAATTCAAGACCAAGTACAAGATCGACATCAGAGAGAACGCCAAGGCCTACAACAGAGTCATCACTGGCGCTGAAAGACTAAAGAAGGTCTTGTCTGCCAACACCGCTGCTCCTTTCTCCGTGGAATCGGTCATGAACGACGTTGACGTTTCCTCGCAAATGAGCCGTGACGAATTGGAGAAGTTGGTCCAGCCTTTGTTGGAGCGTGTCACTGACCCAATCACCAGAGCTTTGTCCGAGGCCAACTTGAAGCCCGAAGACGTCGACTTTGTTGAGATCATCGGTGGTACCACTCGTATCCCATGCTTGAAGAACGCTATCTCTGAAGCTTTCGGCAAGCCATTGTCCACAACTCTAAACCAAGATGAAGCTATTGCCAAGGGTGCTGCCTTCATCTGCGCCATCCACTCGCCAACCATGAGAGTGCGTCCATTCAAGTTTGAGGATGTTCACTCTTACTCTGTCTCTTACTCCTGGGACAAGCAAGAAGAAGACGAGGACCATCTAGAGGTTTTCACCGCTGGCTCCCAGTTCCCTTCCACCAAGATGATCACCCTTCACCGTACCGGTGACTTCTCCATGGAGGCTAACTACACCAACCCAGAAAAGCTACCAGCTGGTGTCCCTGCTCACATCGCCAAATGGGCTATTTCTGGCGTGAACGTCCCAAGCGGTCAAACTTCTGTTCCAGTTAAGCTGAAACTAAGATGCGACCCATCCGGCTTGCACACCATCGAGAGCGCCTACTCCGTGGAAGACATCGAAGTCGAGGAAGAGGTTCCTCGCGCTGCCGATGCTCCAGAAGACGCTGAGCCAGAATACAAGAAGGTTACCAAAACTGTCAAGAAGGATGACCTAACTATTGTTGCTCACAATTTTGCTCTGCCCGCTGAAAAGTTGAACGAGCTGATCGAAAAGGAAAACGAGCTTTTCGCTCAAGACAAACTTGTTGCCGAAACCGAGGACCGCAAGAACGCTCTAGAAGAGTACATCTACACTTTGCGTGGTAAGCTAGATGAGGAATACTCTAGCTTCGCTTCGGACGACGAAAAGACAAAGCTAACAGACATGTTGGCCAAGGCTGAAAACTGGCTGTATGAAGATGGTTACGACTCTACCAAGGCCAGATATATCGCCAAGTATGAAGAATTGGCTTCTTTGGGTAACATGATCAGAGGTAGATACCTTGCTAAGGAGGAAGAGAAGAAACAATCTTTGAGGGCCAAGCAGGAAGCCGAAAGAATGGCCGAGATGGCCGAGAAGCTGGCTGCTCAGAGAAAGGCTGAGGCTGAAAAACAAGAGGAAACCCCAAAGGCCGATGCTGAGGGCGATATCGATTTGGATTAAGCCACTAACCTAAGCTCAGTGGAATTGGGAATTATCTTCCGTGCATGTACGATGGTAAATAATGATAAATATTATAACTTTTTGAAGCTCTAACCATGTTCATATGCTATCTTGCCGTTACTGTGATGAAGACAACCATTCATAATGAGCTTGCCCAGCTCAATTATACCTGATACTTGACGATTCGAGGTTTATAATCATAATATGCTGCTAACTACCCGTCGCATTTGCTCCCTTCTCTACGCCGCTAGGGCGCACTCATTATTAACCCTGAAGTTCCTGGTTCAGTCGCGCCTGCTTTTTTTTGCCCTCAAACTCCGCGAAAACTCGAATGAATACCGGGATATCATCCCAACCCTCGTCGTTTTCTGGCTCATCTTTTGCTTTCGAAGCCATTTCCTGCCTTTCCATTTGACGTCTTCTCCTGGCATTGATCACACTTTGCGGCAGGCTACCTTCTCTTGGTGGAAACAAAGCTGCAGTGCCTCTATTCTTCTGTTTTTCTAGTTGTATTTTCATGCTCTTCAGCTTGGTTGGCACATTTTGAAGATCCAGAAAATTCAGAGGTGGATCGAAATCTGCGGGCCATGTTGTATCCGTTCCTTTCAACTTCTGCGACGCTTCCTTACGCTTATTTTTCCATTCACGCAAGTCCTCGTTGTAAATCTCCCACACACAGTTCACGCATCCTGACATGCAGCAATTATCGGGCTCTTGTGGTTTTGGGGGCACAACAACACCTGCAATTTTAAGGGATTGACCTCTTAAAACACGACTTGAAGATCTCGGAGGATCTCCTTTGATTCGGCCTCCAAATACATTTTTCATTCTTTCCTCCTCTGAGCCCAGGTTTTCACGACTATTGCCTTCAAAAGTCATCGCCAGGTTGCGATAACTATGAAAATACCGATGAAGTACATTTCGTGAGCCAGTTTTCAATAGCATCGTGAATCTTCAGTTCCAAGTCCAGCGGATCTGACCCAAAACTGGTGTACTTCTCTAAACTTGAACTTATCGTTGGCTAGGTGTAAGGTGAACTTTGAGCAGATGATTGTAGATCTACATTTTGGACCATGTGACTTGGTGATAATGCTGTGTGACTGCGTTAAAGTAGCTTTAACACCAAATTTTGGGAAGCTTTGACGATAAATCTGGATCCGTGAGTTGCTGCTTCGTAGTCGAAAGTATCATGGTCAAGCCTTTTCCCAAAAATTTTATTTCACCTTGTTCTCTCTATTTCCTGTCGCCGAGAAATAGGAATCGGAAAACATCAATGAATTTGTACAACGATGGCCCGATAGCGTCATTCCAATTGTTTAAAGAGTCAGGCAATTGTTAACTTATTAGGTATTTTGCATTTTACGCAGCAATTGCCCGGAAACCGCTTCTAAAGCAACAAAAAACTTGGGAATCATGTCGCCTGCTGGGGCGACAGCTTTCGAAAAGCACTCCGTGTCCATGATCTACTTCTCGTGTAGCAATCTAGCGAGTCTTTTGACCCCAGCATGTTCCAGTCTGCATCACAATAATCCCAGTCGTGAGGCATCCAGCCATCGTCAATCCAGAACCAGTCTGGCTCCAGTGACTCTTGAAATTCCCACGGCGAAACACTCTGTTGCCAGCCTTTCCCCCATCCAGTGGTAAATTTGGTTCGTTCGTAAGCAAGCGTATTGTGTGTCCAGCCGTCCAGCGGCCATTTGCGCTGATTCTCGCAAATTCGGTACTCAACAGTCTCAACTTTGGTCCAAGTGAAATTGGGATCGCCTCGTAGGTGCTCGCACCCGCGAACAGTGGCATCTCGAACGTACGGTTTCAGTTTTACTGCACATTGAGGGCTTTCCAAAAGAGCCAGCTCCCTTGGAATCACCACGTCCAATGCAGGACGGAGAACTGTGTAGCGATGTGCATCACGATCGGTGGCCGTCGAGTCACGTCGTTTACAGACAATAAACCACAAGTGTCGGGCAAACAGGCTTCTCCAAATCAAGCGCAAGGTGCATTGGCACCAACTGGAGTGGAAGACGAGGCCTGCAGTCACGATGATTTTCACGTAGTTCTCAGACGATACCAAATACGTGGCAACCAGCCAGTTGAGAGGCGTGAGCACAATTAACAGAAACGGAAAATCACGCCGCTGGAGTCGGAACACCCTGGCCACGTCTTCGCGCATTTTCTCCAGCTTATAATGAACGTTATCCATCATTACCACGATATCGTCCAGCGTGGGCGACTCGTCTTGTTTAAGCTCCCACAGCACGCTTGAAACGTAGTACATGCAAGAAAACATGATAAAAGCGCCACTCATGAGTCCAAACCACGAGTTCACCAATGAGCCTAGAACATTGGACCCTTCACTCAGGACACTTTCACAACTTACTACCAAAGTCATGAGCACGAGATAAATGAACGGCAAGCAAATATCGTCACAGCACCACATCAGATTATTCAAGAGCCCGTCGAAAATAATCAGAAACGGATATAATTGGTACAATGCCCATGAAACCTGCGGGGCAGTTGTATATGTCAAGCAGGTTTTCTGGCCTTGTTTTTGCACCAGTTTTGCTCGGAAAACCGTACTCTTTGCTGACATCAGTAATGGGAACTGTCTAGCATACAAATGAAGCTTTCAAATGCTGTAATGATGCTTATTTAATGACTGTAACTGCACTTTTATATCTTCTGTTCTGCTACTCTTCATTTAACAAAACATCAGCCTTTAATTTAATGAGATGATCATCGCGACAACTCAGATCAGAGGAAAGCTGAAAGCAGAACAGAAGCGAGTCTGCCGGACTCGATGACAACGATGGAAAACCAGAAGATCTTGGTTAAACATCCGTCTGTGAAAGTTCTGTCTCACAAGCAGATCAAGACAACGATATATCTCAAATCAAAGACACCGTATATTTCTGCGCTGAAGAGAGTTACCAAGTTCATGACCCAGTTGCAGCGACAAGGAGCCGAATATGTCACTGTTCTGGGGATGGGGAAAGCTGTAGAAAAAACGCTGTCAATTGCGTGCCATTTCCAAGAAGAGAAGGGCAAAAAGGTTGTGGTTTTGACTCAAAGTGTTGCGCTGCTGGATGAGATTCTAGCTGACGAAAACGACGACGAGAACGTTGAAGACATTGAAGATGAAGATAGAGAAACCGTGCTGCGAAAGAGGACTGTTAGCGGCGTAGAGGTGCGAATATACCCTTAGCCGTGTGGTGCGGTTTGGTTTGAGCCCCCAGCAACAGGGCAGATTTATAGATTTGATTCGACGTAAGAATTACGAATTGGGTGAAATGCAGTGTTAATATTATTATTATTATTATTACTATACAGAGTGTGTCTGACAGTGGTCCAGCATCTGTTTGAGCTCGTCGATTTCTTTCTGGACTTTTTTCCTGCCGTCGAGCGTTTCGAGCCGTGTGATGAGGTTCTCGCATGCCTGGGCACAATTTTCGTAGCGTTTTCGATAGTAAAGTATATGGCAGTAGCTTATAAGCTTTTGTCTGGCCTGTTTTAGCGATATGTCGAATTCTGGATCGGAATCGAGCTTCTGCAGCGGATTCTCTTTGGTCATCCAGCCCACAGGTGTCCATATAGGGCCCTTTTCCACGTCGAAAAAATGACTTCTCTGATGTTCGTATTCATCAGAGCTCTGCCCTTTACGGACTTTGGTCTTTCCTGTGGATTTTCTTACCATCACCTCGCCTGTATCAGCGTTCAATGAAATAGGCTTGGTGACCGCTTGGTTCGGCCTTCCACAGGTGTTTTTGATGTGTGGAGCATCGTCAGCAGCCGAAGGTACGGTTATTTGAAGATTTTCAAGCTTTTGAGTGATCATTTTGGGTGTTTTTAGTCTCAATCTTGAGAACATTTTCGATGCGATGAGCTCTTCTTAATGCTACGGGGTTTTCGAAATATCACTATAATGTGTAGAGCAAGAAGCTGATCGTGAGAACAGGCCCTAAGGTGACCGAATGTGTGGCAATTCTTGGTTAGCAAAGCACAGTTAGCTGTAGATATATATATTTATAAGGTCTATTTAGTATCTCCCCGTCTGATGGTTTGGCTGATGGAGCCGGCCACCATCTCCGATCTGACGTGTATAAGAAGACGAAGTGCCAACGATACGCAAGATAGTTGGTGCACAAGAACCTGCTGTGGTTGCATTTAGACCGCGTTGAGAGTCACAACTAATTCATTGCTGGAGTAGAATCTTTCGACCAAATCCATTTCTGGCTTAGTACTATCGCCCAGTTCGTAAATGGCCACGGAAAAGTCGAGATACTCTTCAGGACCCACAACTATCATTGGAGCGTGCCAGACGCCTGCACCGTAAGTTACAGCCTGGGTTCCCTTGCAAGTGAAGCTTCTCAAAGTCGATAGATCGGGCTCGCCTTGCTCATTCGACAAAGCTACAACCACAATATACGCTATAGCTTTGGCAGCTCGACCCATAGGCACAAACGTTTGAGAGCTGTAGGGATGCTTTTCTAGTACACTGATGCTATGCTCGACAATCGTGTTGGTAGGGGACTCTGTGAAGGCCCTTTGCAGATGAGGACGAGGAAAAGAACGGAACAGATTCCAATGAGAAGCCTTGATACCGCAATCATCGGGGAACAAATTCTGGTTTTGGCTGACTTTTAATACTTTTATGGCAGTGCCTTGGTTGGCACCTTTTGTCTGGTCACCGAGCTTGGAAACCTCTTCATCTGGTGAGATTATTGAGCCGTAATTCTTAAACTGGTCTAAAGAGAGCGGTTGTGAAGGTATAAGGACCGTTTTGACCATTTGAAATGGAGTTGTCGCGACCAGAATTGCGAGAGGAAACGTGTTGTCGGAGGTAGAGTTTCCCTCTCTGTTTTAAACAACTCCAGATAACAGGTTCGGATGTGACCGAGGTGATAATCTCTGCGATGAGAAAAGTACTAGATTCTGGCAAGACTATGATGACACGATATTCGCAGTTTACAAGATGTTTCTAATGTTGTATGGAGCACTGATACAGTAAAACCATGAATAGCTCGAGGCCAAGGATGGCTCTGGAGTTCAGTGATCTGAATAACCTGTTTTCTGGGCTTCAAAGCTCTAACTCGCGAAGACGTGACCAGCTACTGACAGAACGACAGAGAGCACAGTTGGACGACCCTGGTGAGACGGCAAGCTATTGTTGATTCGCATCAACTCTAGACTGAAGCGCAGATTTATTTGTTTGAGAAGCAATCTTTTGGGTTTCATTCCATGTCTTGGAGAATTGAGTAAAATGTAGGGAAATTAGAATTCAAATTCATCAACGTCGAAACGGCCAGAAATAAGGTTCAGAGAGAGACTCAACCAGAAGTTACATTACAGCATCTGCACGGCTTCTTCAAATTTTATCAGTAGCCCAGTATTATTCTGAACAAGCAAAAGACAAATCAATCGATAATTGAGTGGAATTGCCATTCGACGTCTTAATTCGACTCCGAAAGCTACGTAAACTCTCCTTGAATCCAGAAAAGTTTGTAAGACCACAGGTATTGGTTTTAAAAGTGGTGTTGTGAATAAAATAAGTATTACACATATCAATGTCATACACTTCACTCAACTTAGACAAATGAATAGCGTTGGATAAACAAACAATCAACCTGATTTCTAGAATAGCTTATTGCAACGAAAGAACCTCGAATCAGCCGTCGATGCCTATTATTAAACAGAAAAAGTATCAAGTTTAATCCAGATTCCCGATGGTTAATTAAATTAGTCCTTTCTATGTCATTTGAGCTTCATTTGAGCTTCATTTCACCAAGTTCGGCTCAAATTTGACATCTGAAATCAGAAGTATCTTTCAATTCAACTGTAAACAGCTTCTGCGAGCTCGCAAATCAAGTTAACCAAACGTTCCCCATAGGGTCACTCAGCTAAATCCATTTTTTGTCAATTATTTCACATTTCCACCAAATCTGGCTCAAATTTGACCGTTAAAATTGGGGAAAATCTCGCGAATCGATTGTACATACCATCACGAAGCACATGAATCAAGTTTAAACAAGGTCCCCTCAAGGCTTACCGTCTTGATCTCCATGTCCATAAACCATATTGTCAAACATCACTTTGTAATTATCTGTCGATGACAATATTTCACTATCAACAATGGACGTTGTCATAGTCATCATCTTGGCTAACTTTCGCAACGGCCAAGAAACCTACAAAGCGCCGCGGTACCACCTCGAAATGACAGACTCCAGACTCATTGAACGATGGAAACAAACCAAGATAATTGGAATTATTGGTATGGGCGACATGGGCCAAATGTATGCCGAGAGATTCGGGCAACATGGATGGAAAGTTGTGTGCTGTGACCGAGAAGAGAAATACGAGGAATTGCTAGAAAGCTCGCGAAACAAGAAGTACACTGTTGTTGAAAATGGGCATTTTGTATCGAGAGTCAGCGACTACATCATTTACAGCGTTGAAGCTGAGATTATTGACAAAATCGTGAGAGAATATAGCCCATCTACGAAAGTTGGAAGCATTGTTGGAGGACAAACAAGCTGTAAGAGCCCCGAAATCAAGGCGTTAGAGAAGTACCTACCCGAGGATGTCGATATTGTTTCTGTACACTCACTACACGGTCCACGAGTCAATCCAGAAGGTCAACCGTTAGTCCTGATCAAACACAGGTGCCACAATGAAGAGTCTTTCCCATTTGTAGAGGCAGTCGTCTCCTGTCTTAAGAGCAAACAAGTTTTGCTGACGTACGAGGAACATGATAGAATCACTGCGGACACTCAGGCTGTCACACACGCGGCATTTTTAAGCATGGGCGTTGCATGGTACAAAAAGCAGTTGTATCCCTGGACTATTGGTGTTAATAGGTGGTACGGTGGATTTGAAAACGTGAAAGTCAATATCTCTCTTCGAATCTTCTCTAACAAATGGCACGTTTACGCGGGTTTGGCTATCACCAACCCAGCCGCTCACCAACAAATAATGCAGTATGCGAAAAGCGCCAGCGAGCTGTTCAGCCTTTTTGTACAAGGTAAAAAAGAAGAGCTAACGCAGCGGCTTCTCGTGGCCAAAGAATTCGTCTTTCCCGAGCAAAAATCACACAGATTATTGCTGGACGATTCTCTGCTAGAGAGATACTCGCTCAGCAAGCATGTACCTCAAGAGGGTGAGGAAACCCTTCCGAACTCGCATCTGTCGCTTCTGGCAATTGTCGACAGCTGGTTCCAGCTTCAAATCAACCCTTACGATCACATTATATGCTCTACGCCGTTGTTCAGAATCTTTTTGGGCGTCACAGAATATCTGTTTATGACACCCAACCTGCTCGAGACTACCATAGACGCTGCGATCCATCAAACTGCCTTCCGTGATGACGACTTGGAGTTTGTAATAGCGGCCCGGTCATGGAGTTCCATTGTGTCATTCGAGAGCTACGATCTTTACAGACGCCAATTCGAAGAAGTTCAAGAGTTCTTCAAACCCATGTTGCCGGAAGCCAACGTTATTGGGAATGAGATGATAAAGACCATTTTGCGTCACGTTAACAACCATAGCATCTAAATGTCATTGTCCATTTCGTCGATTTCGTCGATAAAGGCAGCAATCGCATCCATTGAGCTGTTAGGGCTATGGCAGTTTATACAGTGTAGTTATCGCTTTGCAGTAATTGCCGTGCTTTCAGGTTTGACTTGAAAGGACGACGGTAAGTTTCATCATCGCTGTATATCAAAAGTTTATCACAACCTTGTTGTCGCTGTAGATCAAAATCGTGTCGTACTTTATTGAGGCATCTATACAGAGACTAGACGCTACGTAATGCAGAAAATTTGGGTTTCGGGTCTCTACTGTGGTCTCCTTTTCCTATGCAAATCCAAGTCACTATCGCACTCGGATTCTATGTGGGTGGGCAGCGTGCTGGCTGCCGCTGTTTTTCGTCTTTTGGTGTCCTTTCCCTGTGAGCTGTTGTCGCAAGCGATGGTATTGCTGAGGGGTGACAAGTCCCGAGGCCTAAAAGTGGGCTGTTGGACCGGCTCGCGTTTGGTTCTGGACTCCGTCCACAGCTGCACAGAGCTTAGATCATGCGACTCGGGTGTGAAGCGTTCATATAGTTGCGGGAAGTGTACTTTGAAATCCTTGATCATAACTCTATTCCAAGTACGCATGAATCGGGGGTCGCCAAGATTGGCTGTGTGCTCAGCCATTCGACACAGCTGCTCTAGGAAGCCTGTAAGACCCTGATTTAGTAGTAATGGTGCCAGATGCGTGAGACTTACATTCTGATTTGCGGGGAAGCAACCGTTGGGAGTAAAGCATCGCATCACCACCACGGGCTCTGTGTCAGAGCCCCCGCAAAAAAGCACACCGTAGAGTTCTGCAGCTTCGAAGTTCAAAACGAAGTTCCACAGCCGCAGATTGGAGTCCTGAGGCCGGACATGGTATCGGTCGCTTCCTTGGTGCCACAGCCGTTTCCAGTCTCGCAGCAGGCGTCTGGTGATGGGAGAGATCATTTTGAAAGCAGAAAAAAGTGGGCTACGAGAAGAGGAATAGACAGTGGTGGGCCTAGAGACTTGAAGGACGCCAAAGTTCGCCTTAAAGACCACAAGTTGGACGTTGAAAGACGACTTGTTACTATCTTGATAGAAAGATGTGCCAAATTCAATATTTAGTATTTTTGTTGTCACTGTGAACGTATTACTCGTGAGTACATCTACGAGTACGCTGGCGAGTACAAGACACGACCACTCATGACAGAACACGCATGGTACGCATTTGAGCGCACATACCAGGAATACTAACACTAACCATGAATTTTCATAGCATCAGGGCGTTTTTCTTGTTGACTTGAGGAGTTAGAAACTTGCCATGTTGGGATTGGATAAAATACTGAGTATAGAGAGCTCAATGGAAGTCTTATGATGGTAAGAGGCAAATCTGGCGGTGTTTTCGGTAACTGCAGGATTTAAATAGTGTGCCCAATGGTTTTCAAGTTACGATCAGCTGCGACCACCAACAATTATCGATTGACGAAGCAGAGATTGTATATAGCTAAATAGAGAATTTTTATTTGACGTCGAACGGGCCGCCACACACCAAGCGCAGCATTCGAAGTTTCCATCGCCACTCAGAAGTTTATTTCCCCACAATGTCAGACGCAGCAGAACATGTCCTGGGATGGGCTACGACGCTTGACGGCACAGTGACGAGGTAGCCACGCACCACGTGACCAAATGACAGACGACGGGTCACTTGAGTCAACACCCACTACACTACCTGTGATACTAGTGAAATTGCCATTGCAACGCAACTAAAAAAACCTTATGACTTGCAGTCTCTCACGCATAATAACCGTCTTTCAAGCATGCTCCAAAACCAATGTCATACGATCAAACGACTGATGACAGAATGGTACCAAATGATAAGATTACAACCACTGACATTGATCGCCACAAAGCACTGAGACCTTCTAAAAAAACATACCCGTTGTTTAGGAAGGTCCATTGCCTCAACTGAGTTCTAACACGAATCATAACTACCATCTCCGATCCGTATTCTCTGTACAAGACCTATATTTTGACTATATTTATATTTATTATATTCATATAGTATATATATATATATATGTACACCACCCGATAAAAGCTAAAAACACAGCATAAAACAAAGCACTGAGATACCACAAAATAACCTTCAACTTCCAAAACCCACATCCCCACTGTCTCAACAAAAAACCCAACTTTTACAAATTTCTAGCTTTCCACACACACAAATTACTAATATACAAAATATTCACCTTTTTAGCACCAAACCAAGGCCAAAATGAGATTTAAAATCTGGTATAGATAGCCCGTTTCAAGCCCAATACATTCTAATTACTCACTTGGTCAATGAACACACTAATCGTGCCCATTTGGCGTCTGTCATTCGAATTCTCTTTGAAATCGCCTTGTACGGAACTGTCAAATATCTAAATTACTAACAAATTCACCATAAATGTCAAACTCCAGCACACATCTTTAAATCCCAGCATTAAAACCCATCACCAAAGGAACGGCAAATCGGGTCGCTCTTTCCTGAAGCTCTTGTAAATCAGCTTCCAACACAGCCAATTGCTGGCTAGTCGCACGCACCAGTCGCACACACTAGCCGAAAAAAAGCGAGACGTCAGATCGACTTTTTTCCAAATCCTACTCTTCACATCCCCCTCCTCCCCCTTCTTCTCCTTCTACACTCCTCCAACATGGGTAATTTCTTTAGCTCGATGTTCGACCGTCTGTGGGGCGTCAATAAAGAGCTGCGTATCCTGATTCTGGGGCTAGACGGTGCGGGCAAAACCACAATCCTTTATCGGCTGCAGATCGGTGAAGTGGTCACCACGAAACCCACCATCGGCTTCAACGTCGAAACTCTCGTATACAAAAACCTCAAACTGAACGTTTGGGATCTGGGTGGCCAGACCAGTATCAGGCCCTACTGGCGCTGCTACTACTCCAACACGGCAGCCGTCATTTTCGTGGTCGACTCCACAGACAAGGACCGTATGGCCACCGCGTCCAAAGAGCTGCATATGATGCTACAAGAGGAAGAGCTGCAGGACGCTGCACTGCTCGTGTTCGCCAACAAACAGGACCAGCCCGGTGCGCTCGGTGCGTCCGAGGTTTCCAAACAGCTCAGTCTCGTCGAACTCAAGGACCGCAGTTGGAGCATAGTCGCTTCCAGTGCCATCAAAGGCGAGGGTGTCTCAGAGGGTCTCGACTGGCTCATCGACGTGGTCCGCGAGGAACAATTGTAGTAACAGCATATAAAATCCCAGCACACACGACAGGCGCCCGTACGGCACGACCCGGCTTTCCCATACTCATCGCCTAATCCATATAATAAGATCGGCCCAAACCATGCTTCTTTCCCTTTTACACTTCACAACGTCAAAGACACCCCAAGAACACTTTTTTTTGAGCTTCAAGATGCTCTGGCAATCGCTGTCCCACTCCTGTAGAGGTGTGCGAAATGGCGTGCGATTTGGTGCACGAATGGGCCCGCAAATGGGCTCACCAATGGGGTTTCGAACAGGATTGCGAATGGGGCTTCACTCGAGCTCACGCTCGAGTTCGCACCCAAGATTGCTGGCCCCGACGCTGTTCTCGCTGGCCGCGGCCGTAGCCGCGTCCCGCTCGTCTTATTTGCACAGTGAAACGTTGCAACCGGACCCCAAAGGTGACACATTGGAAATGGGACTTTACCTGGCATCTCAGAAGGAACTGGCAGCTCACATTCGCCAGAAACGAACGAGGACATTGGCACATTGCCGGTCCAGACTGACGCGGTGGCTGACTCGAGCATGGTTCCAGTTTAAAGACAGAGTGCTGGAGCCTGTACTGACGGCGTGGCGGTTTTTAGAACTGTCGTTTCTGTTCGTGCCCGTGCTTTTGGCGTTTCCAATCTCTTATTTTGGCCATATGGTGCGGGTTTCAGGCTCCACCAAGAGCGTCAAGTCCACTTACGGCGCACTTTTGTGGTATCGTCTGCTCAGATTCGTGCTGGAGCTCGCAGGCCCAAGTTTCATCAAACTGGGCCAGTGGGCTGGGTCCAGAACCGACATCTTCTCGCAAGGTCTGTGTGTAGAGCTCTCCCACTTGCACAGCGACGCCAAACCTCACTCACTCAAGTACACGACGGGAGAGCTATGCGATGCGCTTGGCGTGAAAAACCTGGACGAGGTTTTTGAAGAATTTCAAGAAAGTCCACTGGGCGTAGGTGCCATCGCACAGGTCTACGTAGGCAAAATGACCTCCGAGTTCGTGCAGAGCCGTCAGCTAGAGTTGAACCGCGACGAAAATCGGTGGTGTGCAGTCAAAATCATCCATCCACACGCAGCACGCAACATCAGTCGAGACTTGAAAATTATGCGTTTTTTCGCAGAGGCTATTGACATGATTCCAACCATGGAGTGGCTTTCGCTGCCCAACGAAGTGGAGCAATTCTCTATCTTAATGCGCTTGCAGTTGGATCTCAGAATAGAGTGTTTGAACCTCGCCAGATTCAACGATAATTTCAAGGATTCCTTCCAGGTCAAGTTCCCGACCGGATTCCAAAGCCTGACCAGTCGCCAGGTCTTGTTCGAAGAGTATCTATACGGTTTCCCCATGGAAGACTTCTTGCGGGCCAAGGACGACTTGGGCGACCCTGCGCTCAGCAAAAAAGTCAGCGACCCTTTCATCGATGCATTCCTGCAAATGCTGATTCTGGATGACTTCATTCACGCGGACTTGCACCCGGGCAACGTCATGGTGCGTTTCATAAAGACCGACAAGTTCGGGACCAAGTCCGTCTCGACGCAGCAGGACTGCTTCGAGCTGGTGCACCGGCTGAAGAGCAAGCTCAGAAACAAAGATGAGTCCTTCGTGCAAGAGCTGCGGTCCATTGTTAACGAGTACACGCCCCAGATATGTTTTATCGACGTGGGGCTCGTTACAGAACTCAACAAACGCAACCGTACGAATTTTATCGCTCTTTTCGACAGTTTGGCCAGATTTGACGGCTACCGCGCTGGTGAACTTATGATAGAGCGCTCTCGCACGCCAGAAACAGCTGTTGACAAAGACCTGTTTGCGTTGAAAGTCGAAAGGCTCGTCAACAAGGTCAAAAAACGCACTTTCACGCTGGGCACCGTGTCGATTGGGGATCTTTTGGATCAAATGCTAGGCATGGTGAGGGGCCACCATGTTCGCATGGAAGGAGACTTTGTGTCCGTTGTGGTCGCCATTTTACTACTGGAGGGCATTGGAAGACAATTAGATCCAGACCTGGATCTGTTTGCAAGGTTCGTATTTTACACCACCATCAACGGTTTTGACAAGACTTTACTAACAAAATGAAACTATCTACAGCTCACTCCCAATCCTACGAGAGTTTGGAATGAAGCGCGAGGGACGCAGTATTTTGCAAGACGTTGACACCCTGTCAATGTGGAAAATATGGCTCGGGCTCGAACTCCGGCAGTTCATGAATTTGTCGGTAAAACAGGTATGTTCAAGATACTGAAAGATAACCAAATTCGGGCACCATTTTTAACTAAAAACACGAATACTAACATCAATACCCAGATGCATGATTTGGTAAAGACCGATCAACTGTGTCCAAACTACTGAATCGATATGGTTCGCGATTTAGCCTAGTTTAATTTCCACGTGTATAATGAATTCAGTAGTGATTCGTAAAATCAAGTATATATAAAGGTCTTCAGCTTCCTAAATTCAGCGAAACTCGTTACAAGTACCTTGGGTATGGAACCAATTGGCGATTAATGGCGTTGGACCAAACCAGAATCGTTGAACCATGAAATTCGGCAAGACTTTTCCTAACCATCAGGTCCCGGAATGGTCACACCAATATGTCAACTATAAAAACCTTAAAAAGCACATCAAAGAGATCAGTATTGCGCAGCAAGAGCTTCACAAACAGCGCTCATGCCACACTGACATTCTAGCTAAGTCCAGGATTAATTCTGATGCGGCAGAAATCCTATTGGAGGAGCCAGAGGTCAAAAAAAGACTGGCCACATTCTTTTTTGCCCTCGATAGAGACATCGAGAAAGTTAGCGAGTTTTACAACACGCAGTTTCTGGAGTACGACCGCAGGCTCAGAAGGCTCCTTTCGTCTGCGCAACTCACCAGTTTAAATGCCATAGCCAGAGAAACCCAAGATAAAAGTATCAGCCATCCCGAGACAGGTGCTCTTTCATCGGACATCACAGAGGACTATGCCGAGATTTTGGGTATTCTGGTGGAGCTCAGGTCGGATTTCCGTAATCTCAAGTGGTACGCGGAGCTCAACAAGCGTGCTTTCGCGAAAATTTTGAAGAAACTCGACAAAAAAGTGGGAACGAAGCACCAACAGGCGTACCTCCAGCATCGAATCCTTCCGCTCGGTATTTCAAACGATGCAGAGATCTCAAAGGAGCTGGGTCTCATCAATGAGACGCTTGACTTGATATCCCCGCCATTTTCCAACTTACAGGACTCAGAAATGGATAGCGACGATGCGCAGCTACCTCTCAAAGACTCGTCCTCACCAATGAATGTTGTTGCGCAACTGATTGAGAAAGATGACGGTAGGAGTGTGGTGACCGAGCTGGTCTCGATGTATAGATCAGTGGTGTTCATTCCAAAGCGGACTTTGATTGCCCTCTTGAATAAAGCCGCTCTGTCGCAGTCTTTTGAATGTATTGACGAGATATTAAAGATAATCCCAACTCTTGGCGACCACTCAGACATAAGTGGTCGCAACTTCTTTCACCACCATGTTATCGCATTAGGAAAGGGCGTCAAGCAACAGAGAGGCGAGAACTTGCCAAATTTCGTTCCCGAGGTGAGTGGTATGGATTTCAAGGATTCCAAATCTTTTGATGAGTTGTGTAACGTTGAGCCAGCTACCTTGCCTGAAAAATCATCAAGACTAGTTGGTGCATACGGGCCTGACGGCGTGAATTCTAACGATTCGCCCGTATCTCTCCTTTACGTTTTGAACCGGCTTCCACCGCACTTGAGATCATCCCTTTTGCAAAGAGATGCTTACAAGAGAACACCATTGCATTACTCTGCCCAATATGGCTTATTTGAGGTCTCAAAGTTGATTATTGAAAGCCTACGGGAATGGGGGGCATGGGATCCTGCGGTGCCAATCGATAGTAAAGAGGTGTGGGGCGATGGCGAAGGTTTCACACCCCTGCATTTGGCTGTCATCGGCTTGCACCCCCGGACTGTCAGCTCATTGACAAGTTATGGAAATGCCTCCACCAAATTTGAGTCACAGAGACTGCTTCATTTGGCCACCAAATTGAACTCACCCGAGCTTTTGAAAGCGCTTCTATCGGTTCCCGGTTTTTCTGTAAACTATGCCGATCCTGATACTTGTGAAACCGCACTTTATATTGCAGCAAAGCTGAACTTGACCAAGGCCCTCGAGTTTCTTTTGAAAAACGCTGCCGACACCGAGATTGGTGAGCGAAATTTCGGTTGGACGCCAATCTTTGTCGCGGCAACAGAGGGTTTTTACGATGTTGCCAAAATGCTTGCGGATTATGGTGCGAACTACTCTAAGTTCGATGAAAGTGGGTGGACGCCTATGGAGCATGCAGTTCTCAGAGGACATCTGGACGTGGCCGATGTCTTGAAAATCGAGGACCAAGTAGTTACAAGACCAAAGCTCTCACCACAGTTTAGCCAAAATAACGAGTCGGTTAGCGAGAAAAAAAGTAGTTGCACCACAAACACCGAAGTGAGACCACCACCCGAGCCGTTGCCAAAAAACTTATACCAGCACTCTTCGGGCTCTGAAAGCTTTATTGCTGGTGGATCGGATTCGAATATCAAGAATTCAAGCCGGCACCATCTCTTGAAAAACTCGGTAAGTGGTGAACCTAAAGCATTAGGGACCAAAAGTCTGCGTCAAACGTCGCCTCAGCTCAAATCATTTGGTCATACTCACTTGCAAGAGGATCAATCGATTGTGTTGGTATTGCTAGGTCCAAAGGAAAGTTCTGTTGCGGTTTCATTCAATAAAGTCCCACTATCCAAAGTTTCATCCACTGAGTTGGACACCGCCCTTTCTTTAGTGATTACTTGTCCGGATGATCTGAAGAATACGCCAGCAGTTCTCGATCTTCCTCTTGACGACACGCTCGATCCCGTTCATTTCACTGTACCATTCAAAGAGGACTCATCGCATACGCTATTTTTTGACATTGTCCCCACATATAGCTATCATGCGACGAAGATTATGAACCACTCTACTGAGGTCAAAAGAAGACCGTCACCCCCAAGCTCAGAATCTTTGAGTGGCCTTGGTGAAACTGCGGGAACAAGACCATCATCTGCTAGTGTGCTCAAAAGACCGGAGAGCCATAAATCTAAAGTGTTAGGACGAGCAGTGGCTTTGCTCGACAAAGGTGTAATGTCAGTTGGTCCTAATCGAAGCTCGCTCTCTGATACGAGAACAATTCCTATCATTGAGTGTGAAACACTGGAGGTCTTGGGCACTATAAAGTATGAGTTTATGATTGTAAAGCCATTTATCCATCCAAACATTAAATTGACGAGAGGAGAGACCTTTTGGAAGTCTTTGGTGTCTACAAGGGTTATAGGGCACCGTGGTTTGGGCAAAAATATGAATACCAACAGATCGTTACAGCTGGGTGAAAATACCGTTGAGTCTTTTATTGCGGCTGCTTCCTTAGGTGCATCGTACATCGAGTTTGACGTGCAGTTAACGAAGGACGACGTACCGGTGATCTACCATGATTTCATAGTTGCAGAATCTGGAGTTGACATCCCAATGCATGCGCTGACATCGGAGCAGTTTTTGGACCTGAACAACGCCGATAGACATAGGAAATCTCTGGATACCAATTTCAACGGACGTTCAATGGATGACACTGACGCAGCACTTGTGCAAAGGGCCTATAGTGTGAAAAGCGAAACCAGGCCCGGGATTGGTAAGATAGCAGCAAGTGAGAAGTCGCCTTTGGCCAAACTCTACGAGGACAGAATGCGTCTTACCAGAACTTTCAAGAAGAATAATTTTAAGGGCAATGCGCGCGGTCACTCCATCGCCAGTTCGTTTGTTACGCTCAAAGAGCTGTTCAAAAAGATTCCGTCAAACGTGGGCTTCAATGTTGAGTGTAAATATCCAATGCTGGACGAAGCCATTGAAGATGACATTGGCCACATAACCGTGGAGCTCAACCATTGGTGTGATACGGTTCTGGGCACTGTATATGATAATGTGAACGGGCGCGATATCATATTCTCGTCCTTCCATCCTGACGTGTGCATTATGTTGTCGTTGAAGCAACCTTCTTTCCCCATCTTGTATTTGACAGAAGGCGGAACCAAGAAAACTGTCGATGCTCGTGCTGCGTCGCTTCAGAACGCCATCAGGTTTGCGAAGACCTGGGACCTGTTGGGTATTGTTTCGGCTGCCAAGCCCATTATTAAGGCACCTCGTCTGGCGCAAGTCATCAAGTCCAATGGTCTGGTGTGTGTGACGTACGGTGTCGACAACAACGACCCTGAGGTGGCCCAAATTGAGATGGACGCGGGTGTTGATGCTGTCATTGTCGACAGTGTTCTGGCGGTGCGTCGGGGACTCACCAAGTCTGCGAATGTTCAATCCTTGAGTGCATACCGTACATAACAGGATCATTACACAAACCTAGCTGAATGAAGTCATCAAATCATAGTCACGCTGATGCGACGTTTGGTGGTGCGAACGCCCTCGTTGGGTGTTTCCTCGACCCAAGTGTCCATTTTGGACATGGTTCTTGGCACGCTGGCGTCGGAATTGGAGATGGAACTTCCATGGAACGACTGCTGTGCACGTTCCAAGTCCTCCTCGATATGAGGGCTCTGGAATAAGAGGTTGGCCGAGTGCGCTTCGGACGCAGTTGCGAAAAAGACCTGCATCGTCTTGGTTCCGTTACTATCGTTGACGTAGTGGTACTGATCTGGGAAGGGCTGCATGTGCACCACAGCAGCATCGCCCGCCATTTCCCGGATAAAGCGATCGACGGAGCCGTCACTAACATCTTCTGGCACGTTCGAGACTATGATCGAGTGGCTCATTATTCGTTACGTTGCGTCGTGGTATTTGTTGCCGAACTAACTAGACCAGACCGTATACAAAAACTGTACGGATTTGAATGTATGAATGTATGTATGTACGTAGGGCTCCAGCGACTGTTTTCGAGTGCTGAATTGAGTTTGAGAATCCCGTCTACACTTGAAGACAGTAGTGGTCCAAGGGTCTTCAACATCGGACGTCACAGAGCTCGCATCTCTGGCCTTTTATACTTGAAATTCGGGCTTGGAGAAGACGCTGAGTTGATGCGATGGACCAAAGTTCTTATCGGTTCTCCCATTAGCCCTATCCTCACTGACCCCAGCCCAGATAACACAAACTGAGGGTCTAACTACCTACTAGGTCAAGAAATAAGGGAATAGTGGACAGCTGATGCTGTGATGAGCTTTTGACCGATATCAGGTTAACCATCAACAACGTCAAGTGTAATAAAAATGATCTACTCTGGCGAGTATAAGTACTCGAGTCGTGGACAACTCTGGGATCGCTTTAAGAGAGCTTTCAGAGCTAGGACGAGGGTCTTTGACGCTGTGAGTCTGATGAAATACGGGTTTGGAATAGTGTTCAGTTTGTATAGATTCAGAGACGATTTGTGTGGGCTATTTTGGTTGGCGAGAGTGCGTAAGGTGGTTTGTTTATGAACAGGACTTGAGTTTTTGGTCAGAGTTTGGGAGTCTACAGGGCGGAAGACTTTGGTGTGTTAGGATTTCAGAAGTGTCTTTTCAAATTTGGATGGTGTTTCCATGCGAATTCTGTAGCGTCAGTAATTACGGACAATAAATGATTAGAATACGCATTGGTAGCACATCGTACCCGAAGAGTACGGTGCTTAGCAGTAGGATCTTGTTGAGTGTTCGTGAGCTTTGAAAGGGAAAAGCTCAAGAGAAGGCGTTGACTCTTAAGATGAAATACATTCGAGATATGTGTTTTAAATAATCTGGTGATTGTCATGAAAAGAGTACAATGTGGGAGCTACAAGTAAGTAGATGCCACGTCAAGCACACTTGGAATTGTTCACCATTTATTATGACAAGATAGAGATGTGTGTGTCAGATTTTGAGTTGTGATATCGCTTTAAAACGACATATGGATTTTTCATGATGGTGATAATGTACTAGTAAGTAAAAGTGTTCTTTATACATTGATTCTTGCAGACATATGATGATATCCGCTATAAAGAGCTGACTTCGAAAGGCAGGCCACAACCAGCAAAATAACAGAGAGCTTTTTGCGGCTATTTGTGACGGAAAAGCTGAAGAAATGCTTTAAGATGGACAGACGTTGTATATACGCACACCACGTTAACCAGGGTAGGTATTCACACTACTAAGCTTTCAGCCAAAGCAGCACACATGGATGGTTATTACGAATGCCAGTTATGAGAAAGAAGAGCTAGTTTTTAAGAAGCGTGCGAATTGTGAATATCTCGCAAGCTAGACAGACATTGTATTGGGAAGTTCAAAATCAACGATCAAGACAATCGCGAGGGAAAATCATAGTTCCATAGCAGAGCTTGGATTTTGTTTGTGAGAAGCCTACTGCTGTAGCGTTCAACACAATTGCTAAAACGTCGCGTATTCCAATTGAAAGGTTTTCAATGAAACCGCTTATGGTGTGGAAACTATGGAAGAGACGCATACAACAGTTCGCGTTGGGATGAATAATAGGAATTTCAAAAGCCATGCAAATTGCAAAGGTCATAAAATATGACGAATTTAATAAGATATATTATAGTGAAAACGTCAAACAATCGACAAAGGGGGGACAGGTGATTAAAGAACCAAGTGCGCCCTCAATTGTGTCTCGAACTCAGCAAAAAATGGTTTGTACCAAAGCTTTTCAAGCATGTTTTCATAGAGTGGGATATATACTCAATTTCGCTAATAACAACATATTATATATTATCAAAGTCGCGTCACAAAAATCGTAAAGCCTTGATGTCTTTCTCAAATGGCCTATGATCAATTTCTTTTAGTGAACACAGCTTTCGGCGACCACGAACCTCTTGCCCATTGTTTCTACTTGCCTGACACTTTCGACAGCTCAGCAATCGCTTCATCTGCACAGGTCTGAAAAGACCATTTCCTATCGTCTACGACATGTATTTTCAAGCTACGGGCTTTTCTCAACGTATCCTATGGTAAATACCATCTCCCCCCCGCGCTCTTTACACCAAAATTCCAACGGCGAGTCACCAAGGCCAGTGCGTTTCCAGCGAATTCACAATACCAGCTAGCCATTTCTCAAACCCGAAGTTAGACTCTACACTTTGAATAAAATTGAGACATGCTAAAAATACGATGGTGTCTCCAGCTCTGAATAGTCGTTTCACTGACATTCTGAAAAGATGTCGGAAATGGCTGACACGCAAAAGAACACCACCGACATCGCCATATAATAAATTTTAAGCTCACACAGAGAACACAGCACTGATATGTGTTATGATAAGGAGTTCGGACTTAAGTTATGCTAAACGACGATTTACGTTTTAGTTATTTCTAAATCACCAGAGACACCTAGTTTTTTTTTGTCGAATTGGTTCAAAATTTGTGAGCTTAGATACCCACAAGCTCCAACACAAGCACTATCAAAAGATCAAATACTGGTCAAAAGTGGTCTCTCTTAAACCTCTTCGAAGTAGTCCGTCTTTATTCCTATTGAAATGATTGACATAATTGTCATTGTGTACGAGCAACGCTCTGCCCTACCAAAATATATATATATATACTGAGAAGTTCTACACATCTCCTCTTCTCCTTCTCACCACTTGGATGAGCAAGACATCGCTCGCTAGAGTCATTGAACTGCCTTTTGAGAGGGCGCAATTGTTGGAAGACGTGAGCCATGGATTGCTGTGTTTTGTTTGGATTGAGAGCGGTCAGTAAAACACGCCTCTGGAATTAGCCGCCGAACTTTGCAATGGTAAAGAGCCTTTTTAAGGTGGAACTTGAGAGTGGAGTCAAGAATTGTGAGTCTCTTGTTTAACCAGTTGTCGTCGTTGGTCAGCTCTTACGTCGTTGTGATGTTTGTGAAAGACTCTTTTTCGAAAGACAGAAATCCTGTCTGTTACACAAAACAGCAAAATTGTACAAAACGTATTGAGAACCATTGTTGATCTTTTTCAAGATAAAGATGAGTCTCAGATTGTTAGTGGCTTCCAATACCCACTGCAGCTTCTGTGCTACCCAAACTCTGTGCTGCTTGCCAGCCGCATTTCAAAAACCCACTCTGAAACGACTTTCCTGTGGAAAGAGGAGTATGAACTAATGTGATAGATAGATGGGTATTTGAGGTGAAGGAGGTATGCGCACCTGAACACACTTCTGAACGACTTTCCTGTTAATACTACAAAATAAGATAGCCCAAAGTGCACTACCCCCGACGAAACACTGGCCTTGGCGTGGTTTTTACATTACAAGAGACTCAAACCTACATGCACCGTCAAACACCACAGACATCAGAACAATCGTCCAGTTTGTCGCCAAACACCACGCACATACCAATAATCTTTAATCAGAACTAACTCTTCCTGCACTGCACAAAATCAGACCCTGCAAAACTTATCAAACACCACTGAACCGTTCCAAAACGAAGAACTCGACTGATCCATCGCCAAGCAGGACGCACACCGCTATCAAACCCGCTCGTTCCCACGTCTCTCTAGGTATCACGTGTGCCTTTATACGCACTCCGAACGAGTTTCAACACCACATTTTGCAATTGCCCAACAGACTGGATGGCGTGCTGGCCACCGCCCTTTACATGGTTGGAAAAAAATGGCTATATTAATAATTTGCTAGGGCAGCAAGGGAAACTTTGTTGTCATGAATATCTTGCTTGCAGTCTCGACATTCATCGGCTTTTGAAATATTTTGGCTTGCAAGAAGTTTCACATTTCATTGAAAAGTATAAATTGAAGAGGCTGGCTAGCTATTCAAGAGGAACTCACTCATTGAAAAGTCTCAGTTGTTCGTGGTTTATTTTCGAGTATTATTCATTTTCCTCTACCAGAAAACCCCCTCCGCACTTTCACCAGGCTCATCATCTTTTGGTATTGCAGAACATCAGGGCGCAAAAATTCTGGAATTAGTTTGATAAAATAGCTCTTGACACAACTGTGAACCAATGCAATACACCGTCGAAGTTGGAAAAGCGGCGAACGCTCACGAAACGGCGCCCAGGAGAAATGCAAAAGTCAAGGACGGTGCTGTTTCTCGTCCCTTGCAATCCAAGGCTACCACCGTGTATGACTTCATGCTAGAGTCTATTCAACGTTGTGGTAATCGCACTGCTATGGGATGGCGTGAAATCGTCGAGGTGCACGAAGAGAAGAAGCAAATCACCAAAAAAATCGACGGGAAGGAACAGCAAGTCGACAAAACATGGCTTTACTTTGAAAAGAGCTCTTACCAGTACAACACTTACAACGAGCTCGGTAAGATATTGCACCAGTTCGGTCGTGGTCTGGTGGACATGGGCATGAGCCCTGACAACACAGATAGGCTCCACATTTTCGCATCTACTTCTCATAAGTGGATGAAAGCTTTCTTGGGTGCGCAGTCGCAAGCCATTCCCGTGGTAACGGCGTATGACACGCTAGGTGAAAAGGGCTTGATCCATTCTATGGTGCAGACCGGCACCAAAGCTGTCTTTACCGACAACGCCCTCCTGCACCGTTTGATCAACCCAGTCAAAGAAGCCAAAGAGTTGGAATACATTATTCACGGCGATGTTTTGGACTCCAATGACAAGCGCAACAACGGAAAGTTCTATCACGAAGCTCACAGTGCATTGGAGAAGATCCGCGAGCTACGTCCCGACTTGAAAATCTATTCGATGGATGAAATTATAGAAATGGGCCAAAAGGCCGAGTCAACCATCGATGTCCACGCCCCTAAGCCTGAAGACTTATCCTGTATCATGTACACTTCAGGATCCACCGGTGATCCTAAGGGTGTTGTCTTAAAGCACTCCAACATCTTAGCTGGTCTTGGCGGTGTTTCCGTAGTGGTGGATCGGGACTACATCAAAGAAAGCGACCGTGTCATCGCGTTTTTGCCACTTGCACACATTTTCGAATTGGCTTTTGAGCTAATAACCTTCTACTGGGGTGCAACTTTGGGATACGCAAACGTCAAGACTTTGTCTGACACATCGGTTCGCAATTGTCAAGGTGATATCAAGGAGTTCAAACCGACCGTTATGGTGGGTGTTGCTGCAGTTTGGGAAACTATTCGTAAGGGAATCATGGGCCAAGTTGACAAATTGCCTTCGATGAGCCAAAAAGTATTCTGGGCTGCCTATTACATGAAACTCAAGATGAAAAGATTCCATATTCCAGGCGGCGATACTTTAGGTAATATTATTTTCAAGAGGATTCGTCAAGCCACAGGTGGCTGCTTGAGAATCACTTTGAATGGTGGTGGTCCTATCAGCAGGGACACTCAAGAGTTCATTACAACCCTTTTGTGTCCTATGTTGATTGGATACGGTCTTACCGAGACAATGGCCAACACCTGCATTGTCTCACCTAGTCATTTCGAATACCAGGTTCAAGGTGAATTGACCGGAGCGGTGACAGTCAAGTTGGTGGATGTCGAAGAGCTCGGTTACCTTGCGAAAAACAATCAAGGTGAAGTCTGGATCAAAGGTGAGAGTGTCATGCCCAAATACTACAAAAATGATGAGGAAACCTCTAGTGCGTTCGAGGATGGTTGGTTTAAGACCGGTGACATTGCCGAATGGACTCCAAAGGGTAGCTTGAGAATCATTGACCGTAAGAAAAATTTGGTCAAGACCTTGAATGGTGAATATATCGCGCTGGAGAAGTTGGAAAGTGTTTACAGATCCAATCCTCTAGTTCAAAATATCTGTGTCTACGCAGATCAATCCAAGGTCAAGCCTGTGGCCATTGTTGTACCTAACGAGGCTCCTCTTGCTAAATTGGCAGTCGACCGGGGCATAATAAAGGAAGCAGGCGATGTTGAAAGTGTCTTGCACGACAAGAAATTGAGAAAGGCCGTTTTGGAAGAACTTCTCAAGACCGGTAAGTCGCAAGGTCTTTCGGGCATTGAATTTCTTCTGGGTGTTGCCATGTTTGAGGACGAGTGGACACCTCAAAATGGGTTCGTAACCTCGGCTCAAAAGCTTCAAAGAAAGAAGATTTTGAAGGCCGTCGAGGACCAAGTTGATGAAATCTATTCTAATCAGTAATTTGCCTGGGTTTTCAGCTCACAAAGCTGACTGTCGCGAATTCGTTCTGGTGGGTTTCGACGAACATAGGTGGTAAAACGCGAAGCTTTATAGTATACAAAAAAAGCATATAATTTGGACTGTGCTGTTCCCGATTTTTTGAAGTCTCTTGGACGGAGAAGTTGTACATAACTATTTTCGATAGCCCAAAGCCCAATCCTATAAAAGACCAATGACACAGGACACAAGACACAGCGTGTAATGAGATTTTGGCTATTCGAATTATGGTTCCGGTTTCTGAACTCAATTGGTGCCAGTGGATGTTGTCGCGATAATTTCGTCTCTTCTTGTAAGTTCAGTTCTTTAAGAGGAGCACTCCGTATTCATTTAGCATAATACAGCCTAATGTGAAAGGCACCCAAAACAGTATGCCCAAAACAGTTATGTCCTCTTTCATCATTAAGAGTCATACAACTACTGTCAAGAACAGTATTGCGCTAAAATACTTGTGGAATACAGCCTCGTAAACTAGTCTATTTTCAAAATCGTCGCGAGGAAGTAGCCTTTGAGTTATATCATTTTTGTCAGCATTTCCCGCAGATTCAGTGGATCTATGACGGGTGTCTTGTGTGCGTATGCGCGGATTGCTTAATATTTCAATGATGATATTGGGAGTTGATTAGTCTCTTGTAATTTCTTATAAAATTACGCTCGAGCATATTTCATGGGTACAAGATAAAAGTATATGAGCTCGCCTGAAGCACAGCCTTCAGTTCACGAGAGCTCAAGTATTTGTGTTCAGCTCATTGATAACTTCAAGGGCGGAGATCCGTTAATACATATTTTACAGTCTTCGAAATTGATTTCAGGAAGCTGAAAGACGACTTGTTGAAAACAAGCCTGCATTTGGCGCCTCCTAGTGAATACTCGGACCATTAAACAATAAAATACTTGTCTCCTGGACTTTGATGACGGGCTGAGGTTTGCCGAAGATTTTTTTATATACGTTGAAATCATAATCTAATCTGATCCGCTTGTAATGTATTATGCAACGAATACGACTTCTTGAACGCAATAGGTGTCTCTATAGCGGAAAAACTGCGTTCTTCAATTTACAAGAATGTGTTTCTAAGGCATTTGTGTGTGCAAGACGAACGAGTATTGTTGAGCTGAATAAATATACCTTTCGTATTTCATTCAATATATACAAAACTCTCACGGGCTACTCGAATACTACTAATTGCACACTTCTGCATTACGCTAACTCCGTATCATAAACGATGAGTTAAGCATTCCAAAAAAAAAAGAAGCTACTTTAGTTGAATGTTGATCAAGAAACAACAGCATCACACCCTCTAACGGCATCGAATCGTTATATAGCGCTGATGTAGGACCCCGTCGGAGTGTTCGAATCATCATCAGACGCTCACTGTCATACACATATCACTTTGTACTAGTCCGTCATTTGCACGTTCTGTCACGTGCCTTGATTGATCACGATTTATGATTCTCCATTACCTTCGAAGATGAGACTTTTGACTTATTCCCAGATCTTTCTTTCAGCTCCAAGCTGACTGATATTAATATATCGCACCCCCCTGGGCCACGGTGATCAGATTGAGAGCTTTTTTTTCTTTCGAACGCGTATGTTTTTAAGCTTCACCCAGTGAAACTCGATAAACGATCACTTTAACCTTATTTGTCGCAATTTCTTGATCGCCGTCGCTAAAATAAGCAAGTTTCGCCGGCAATGGCGAAACGATTTTTGACGCCCGATGCCATATAAAAGTGGCTCTCTGAGTAGCTAAAATGCTCCTGAGACTTTCTTGATCAAGCCTTCCTTCTTTGTTCGAAATATCAAGAAGAAACTTCTAAAATTCTTTGATTCAAAAAAATGAGATTGACACGCTTTTGGACTATTGGCCTAGTTGCCGCTGCAGCTTTTGGAGCTGCCCATGCTCAACGCTTGGAAGGTCAAACCAACCGTGATGAAATAAAATGGAACGCGTTCCAGCTTTTCATTCAACTTGGTGCCATTCTCCTCACATGCTTTCCTTTATCAAGCCTCACTGGTGTGGCCGTTCCCATGTGTGCGCTGACAACGCTTGCTGCTTTCTCTACATCGGTGGGATTACTGCTGAAAATATTTGACGGGCTTCTTGTGAAGGACGAACAGCTAGCTCCCCAGGTGATAATGTTTCTCCATAGTATCGGAATGAAAGTGACTGGACAACTTGACACCGTTTCTACAATGGGCATTTTCAACGCAGCTGCATGGGCCGACTGGTCTAATTCCACCACAGCTGCTGAATTCAGAAATATGGGCGCTACCGTTGAGTTTGCTACCGAAACAATCACGAACACAATTGGAGAAGAACGCCCCAGCTACTGCTTCACTTTTTCTATTGGCAATGAAACCGCCTCGCATCCACTAGCGGACTACCGTTCGACGATGTGTGCATCAGAGCTTGCTATTTCAAAATTATTCAAAGTGAGATCTGAGCGTTTGCCCTCCAAAGCACTTTCTATGGCAATGAGACCGCTTAAAAAGTTCAAGCTATGCGAAGGGTATGTGCAAGTCTATGAACTTGTCCAGGGTCTATACACAGTTTTTGGATCTTACACGGAGGAATTTTTAGCCAAAACTTTGGACCTCATCCAAAATTTGGATCAAACTGATCATGATTTTCAATCACTTGCATTTGAGATCGCCGATCAGATCGACGGTCAGCAAGAACAGCTGTTCTGGATCGAACTTAACAAAAAATTCCTATTGTAGCACACAGAATTATTACACAAATTGCCTTGAATTTTAAAAATTCTGGTAATTACCAAGAGCCTGAAAAGGAGTTGTTGGTCAAAATATGGGATTCCCTTGAGTAGATATGTGTCGATGCTACTCCAGTCGTTATGTGTCTGTTAACTGACATCTAGTCTTTCGTATTTAGTGAGTAAAATTAACGAAAAATCAACGTACGTATATATTCAAGAATTATAAGTATTCAAGACGGTAATTAAATACTATTTCGAATCAATCTCGATATTCTCGTACCAGAATAACTATACTTTTGAACCCTTTTGGTGATGTCTTTCGGACTTGCGAATGACTGGGGACTTGGAAATAATGGTGTCAAAATATCCATAAACTATTTCGATGGGATTATAGAGCAAAGTCTCTTGGGCGCCCTTGGGTCTGCAGAGCTACAACTGATCTTCAAGTCTCTACTGAAAAGAGACGAGACCACCAAGGAAAAAGCACTGTGCGATTTGCTGGCTTTGCTGGGCGACGAAAAAAACAGATATTTATTCGAAGATGAATGCTTCGCCCTATGTTGGTCTCAAATCTACGCCAAGCTGACAACGAACGAGTCTCGAAACGTTCGGGTATCAGCACACACAATTACAACAGATGTGATCAGACTTGTCGGTAAAAAAAGTGGGAAATTTCTGAAGGACTTTGTGCCGTTTCTGCTCTCGGGAATTTACGACCACGATGCCTTCGTCTCCAAATCATGTTCAAAAAGCTTACTGCACTGTTTTGGTGACAACTCTCAAAAGGTCAATGCTCTTTGGAAACTATTCCAAGCACAGGCCCTCAGGCTTGTAAAAGAGGTGTTGATCGTGGAAACCCCGGAGTCGCTAGCAGACGAACGCTATGTGTCGAAACAGGACTTACAACTGAAATATGCCCGTGTGGCAATGACCGCAATCTGTATGTTGGACCGCTTGGCCAGGGAGAATCCCGAAAACTTCACGCCCGAAACCTCTGAATATCTGGACATCTTGTCAAGCGACAGTCTGTGGAACTTGTTGTCTTTCAAAGACATCCACAGTCTCAAAACATGCGAGGCGCTGATGCGCTTGATAGGAACCATGTGGGATTTGGGTTTTTTGACCTCATGCAAACCAGTTATTAAGCTAGTTTCAAAGCGATTTCTGAAATCGATCGGTCAGCTATCAGGAAAAAATGTGCCCATTGCCTCGCCCTTATTCCCAAAAATTATGTGCCTACTATCTGATTTGCTTCAGTACAAAGATGGCAAAATGCTTTCATGGGATAAAGCATCTCACGAGAAAATCAAAAAGCTTTTGTTGTTGGGACCTGCGAATTCAGATCCTTCCTATTACAACGCGTTGCTCTCGCTTTATGAGAAAAACAATGCGGTACTGGGCTTCGACTACCACTCAGAGTGGCTGGAAATATGGCACAAAAATCATAAGTATGAGAGCCAAAGACGAGGTGTGCCTGTTAAATGCCAAGCTATGTCAGACAAGTTTTGGGAAGCCTACCTCAGATTTATCTCTCTTGCACCAGCACAATTACACGAAGAGATTGTAGAGGCTTCACATAATGAAATCTTCACGAGTCTGAAGGAGAAGTCACTAACGAAAAACCCCAGCATTGTCGACTTATTCGTGACGGAACTTTCTTTCGACGCTTTGGAGATAGAGATCACAAGTTTGCTGCCATCAGGGGTTAATAGTGAACAAAAAGATAAGCAGTACCTGAATAACCTTTTCACCATTGCATTTTCCAAGAAACAGAATGAATTATTTTTGAGACATATATCAGAGGTTATGATTGCATCTATGAAGCAACATGAGTTTCGAAGCTCGCATTATGGTTATATCTTCTTTACGCAAACAATGGATTCGAGCCACTTACAATTGCGGGATCAACTAATCGAATTACTGGAATTACTATCAAGAAATCTTTCTTCGGAAAGTTACCACGCTGCGTCAAATATCTTCACAAGTTTTTCCCACACATTTCCCGTCGACCAGCTAGAGGATACCCGCGTCTCAGACGCGTTTATCAGTTTCTTGAATAAGCTGGTGGAGCTAGACATTCCGGAAGCAAGTAAACTTGCAATCTCGAACAACCTTGACAAAAGCTATCTTCAAAATATTGCAAAACGTTCTCATTGTTATCAACAGTTTCAAAGCGTCACCCTCGATAACTTCGTCTTCTCTGATAGCGAACTCTACAAGAGCCAGCTAATTAACGAAAAAACAATTTATGACCTTTACGAAAAAGCTGCAGAGCATTCCCAGTTGAGATCATTCTGCTCTAATATCAGTTGCTATCAACCTAGCCTCTATGAGCACCTACTTCTGCATAGTCATCTCATAGTAGACGTTTTGTTCGGAGATTATGGCGCTGTAGCATCAGACATGAGGGCTAAAGTGCTTCAACTTTCCAAAATTAACGACGACGTGGCGATTAAAGCAGGGCATGCGGCTGTGCAGAGTGTGAAGCTGTCTTCTGAAAATATGGTACCTGACATGCAGGAGTACATGATGAGCCTGGTCGCGGCCAACGATAAAGTTATAGAGGTGCTCCTACCGCAGAACATATTACAAGAACTTGATGGGGCTGTTCCCTTTGTGAGTCACCAGATGGCAACTAGCAGCTCATTGGGCTTGAATGTCTTCTTGCTGCCAACTTCCGATCAAGAGATTGACCTGGCACTGGTCGAGCCAGTCATCAAAATGGCGCAATTCTTGGACTCCATTTTGGCGCAAATGCCCGAATATCTGACAGACGAGGTGTTATTGTATCTGACAAGTGTTAGCGAGCTGGCAGCCGACTACAACTTTTACAGCTCAACGCCGTCGGAAGAATACCAAAGCTTTAAATGCACATTGTTTGCATCTGACCGAGTCAACTTCGATGCCAGTGCCATAATCCAGGCCCTGGTGGATACAAAAATACCCGATTTCAAAATTTTGGAAATGCTGACGAACACAGAAAATGTGACAGCAACAATTACTTTCTTCAATTGTCGTATCATTAAAAAGCTCTTGACAAATGCCGTGGATTATTGCTCGGCATCTATTCTCGATGACAAAAGTATCGAATCATTCATTTTGAGAACTGTGCGGGAAAAGACATTGTCAAGTGGAAAGCTTCTTCAGTCGGCGACTATACTTTCATCCATTACCAAATTCAGCACCTCTGATGCCTTAACGAAGACAAGAACTTATTTAGCATCAGAACTTATTGGAGCCAAAGTTTCGGAAGCGGTGGAGAGGACCACCAGCGTGCTAATATTGCTGAATAATCTGCTCAAGCTTGATGATTTCACTAACATTCCCGAGAATTATCAACCCATCGCACCACAACGTCTCAAAATGATATTAAAAGACGTGGACAGATGGTGTGACAGTGAATTTTGGTATGATGATTCATTCTCGGTACTCAGACTTGCCCTGTCGGAATTTTTGGAGTCCTTGTTAATTCTACCATCCTCATCTGCCCTAGCTAGCTCTCTTTGCAGCCATGCCCATCGCATTGTAAGAGACTGTGTTGATTTGGTGAGTGCAGGGGGCGTTCCCTATGCCTGCGAGTTCAAGATTCGCTCGATCAGTTTGTATAGACGCCTGTCAAGTGAGAAAACTAATGCTATGTTGGGACTGGGCGACCTTACACCAGGAGATGAGTCAGAGTTGTTTGACGCTTTGATGGAGGCTTTTCTTCTACAAGCGGATTATAACAAACATAATCACTTTTCATTCGTTTTCTACAGGTCGTTGGGTGACATTCTGCATCGCTCGGCAACGTCAAACTTTTCACGGTATGGTGATGGGCTCATGAAGAACATCACTTTAAGTTCATCTGAGGTGAACATAGATCAGGAAAGACTGGCCGTAAGAGTATTGAGAGAGTCAATTCTGTTGGAGCAGCAGACGCTTTTGATAGACTTTGAGTTTCACAACTCTTCTCAAGACACTGTTGATGATGAATCAGTTAAAAAGTTTCAGCTGCCAACGGAGTTGTTAGATAAAGTCGAGCATGATGCGCCACATGAGTATTTGGAAAATGAGAACGAATACCTATTTCTGAAATATTTGTGGGGTTGTTATTTGACTCTGACGTATTTCAAGAATATTTCCTACAACTTGAGGCAGCTGTACGTTGGTCAATTGAAAGAGCGTGGTTTGATTTTCAAACTATTCGATTTTATTTCTGACCAGTTAGACCTTGACGACAAGTCATGGGTACCATTGGAGGAGTCCTTCATTCTCGCTTATGACATCGAGGGACTGGGACTTTCTTCATCACAGGAAACCATTCTTCAAGAGTGTAAGAATCTTTTGCTGCATTTGCTTTATGTGCTTTTCAAAGACATGGGCGCCATCACAAGCTCATGGTGGCTAAATCTCAAAGATAGAGCTCTTCAGGCAAAGATAGAGAAGTTTTCCGCGGCCTACATTTCTCCAATTCTGGTCAAACAGGAATTGGAGGACGTGGGCAAGAAAGCTAAAAAGCTTACGGATCAGGACGAGACCCTCACTGTGAAGGTAAACAACGTAACAAACGAAATCAAGGCCGGATACCTAGTGGACGAGCAGAAGCTCGAAATAGCGCTGAGACTCCCTTCTAATTATCCTTTGAATAACATTGAAGTCCATGGAGTCTCGCGGGTCGGTATCAGTGAGCAGAAATGGAAGTCGTGGATTTTGTCTGCCCAACGAGTCATGGTTGGCATGAACGGCTCCGTAATGGATTCGCTGGAGCTATTCACTAAAAACGTAAATCTGCATTTTGCTGGATTCGAAGAGTGTGCTATCTGTTACTCTATTTTGCATGCTGTGGACCGTAAATTGCCCACCAAAGTGTGTCCCACCTGCAAAAACCGCTTCCACGGCGCCTGTCTGTATAAGTGGTTCCGCTCTTCTGGCAACAACACATGCCCTCTGTGCCGTAGTGAGATTCCATTTAGAAGGTGAATATGAGCTTCACGAAACAAAACTTGACAAAAAACTGCTAGAGCTACAGTGTCCACTTCTCCAGAACCACAGACTTTCATATACAATCATCAGATCGCTGTACTAGCTCGCTACAAAGCATTTTTTAAATATAATGATATATAGTAACTCGATTTAAAAGATCAATTGCGTACTTGATGGGTGCTAATCCTCTGATTCGAGGTTCATGGACTTTGTTTGCGAGAACAATTACTCTGAGATGTTCGTCAATGTTATAAGAACTAACATCGTAAAACCTACAAAGACGCTCATCAGATCAAAGCATCAACGAAGAAAACGAGCTTTATCTGGCTGATATCTATAAAGAGCTAGCTTTCAAGAAAGAGCGTGTCGTACTTAAAGGATACAAGATGCGTTTTATCTCTAAGCGAAGACCTCGGATAGTGATATTGATTATTGGGTTAGCAGCTCTCATCTCGGTAACTGCTCGAATCATCATCCAATTCCAGCTGGGACAAGAGATTGAGCATTACCGGACGTTCTTCAAGAACCATAAAGATAGTTTACATGACATTTACGATCCTTTGAGCATCAAGCAAATTCCATTCGAGACGATCAATGCACTGTATGAGACTCGAATGGCAGATGGAGCAGGAAGTCAACAGAAAGCGATCCAGTGGGACAATTATGCATATTTATCGTACGCTACAGAGCTTGAGTACCTGTGCAATACACTAATACTGTTTAAACGGCTCAAGCAGTTTGGCACCAATGCGAAATTGGTCGCCCTGGTGTCGAGAGACCTGGTGGAATCTGAAAACAGCGCCAAACAACAAAATACCAGAGCTCTGATGGATAAATTAACGGAGATAGCTCCAGAACAGGTCGTTGTCAAGCTCGTTGATAGCATTGTCAAATCTGGTGATCCTACGCCGTGGAGTAAGAGTCTCACGAAACTTCACATCTTCAATCAGACCGAGTATGGGCGTGTTATTTACCTGGATAGCGACGCCGCAGTGTCTAACAACATGGACGAGCTTTTCTTCCTGCCTCCGTACGTGAGATTCGCAGCTCCTTTAATGTACTGGTCTTTGTCAGAAACGGATTTGCAGACGGCATGCAAAGAAGTGCGCGTCTCAGAGAAAAAAGCCGTTAAGCTCGATAACATCGTCAAAACTCTTAACCAGAGGGTGAGAAAGCAGCAGCCTATCTATAATCATCTACCCGGCTTGCCCAATTCCCTATGTTTCCATTCTAGCAACGTCGCCAAAGAAATACTGGACACTAGGCGGTCCATGTCTCCTCTTCTCCATTTTGGACGAGGAGAGGAAAGGGCCAAGATAGAATTCAGCTCAAACTTGATGGTGATAAACCCTAATAGCCGCACATTTGAGTCTATTGTTCAAAATCTGCTTCCTAAAGTAATGAATCAGAAGGGCCAATTCGATACGGACTTGATCAATGCAGAACTGTACAATTTGAAGCAGGTCATTCATGCCCAATTTATGCTGTTCCGGAAACTCAAGACTGCATTTATTCCGGAGGTGATGGTGCTACCCTTTGCTGAATATGGTCTCCTCACGGGCTCGATTTGTAACGAAAAGCATCAGAAACTGATCAAAAACGAGATTCTGGGTTACGAGGCCATGCAAACAGCTGAAACGGAAACTTTGGAGTCACTGGTAGCCAAGTCAAAATATATCCATTACTCGGACTTCTCCATAAGCAAGCCCTGGTTTTATGCTGATTTCGACCAGCTTGAATGTCATCCTGGCGGTGACGATCCAAACGAGGCGGAAACATGCAAGATCTGGAATTCGGTGTACCAGGGTTTTTGGCAAGCGAAACAGATCTGTGAACTGAAGTAACACGACTGTGCAATCGCTGTAAGCAGTCAGTACACTACGCTACACCCACGTTGTTAATGGCTGCCTCAGCGTCGAGCAGTCTTTCGACCTCGTCGCCGTGTTTCTCACTCCTGCTGCCCTCTTTCAAGGCGTAATCCACGCTGATGCATCTGTTCATCACCATCTGGCCATTGAGTTTTGCCAGGGCCTTATCTGAGTGCTGGAAAGTCGTGAAATACACGAATGCACATCTCATTTGATTCTGCTTCAGGCTGAAAATCTCGGGAGGTCTTACGAGCGGCCCAAATTTCGAAAAGATCTTACCCAAAGCCGCTGCATCCACAAGTTCGTCAATATTTTTCACAAACAGCTTGGCTCCCCCGCTTATAGCCCCAGCCTGGCTCGCACTGTCTGAGCCTGGCCCATTCGCGGTGCCGTTTGCCTTGCGCACCTTGAGAGCCCGCCCGTACAACTTCACACCGTTGTTCAAGCATTTACATGCATATTCTGCATCTTCGGCGCTATAAAACTCTACAAATGCAAATCCCTGGTACGTGTCCAGGATTCTGTCCTTGGGGTATCGAATGCTTTTAACAGGACCCACTTGCAGGAACAGCTCGTGAATCAGCTCTTTTGGAACCTCAGGCGTTATGTTACCTACATAAACTGTAAATTCCTGAACAGCGTGTGGGTTGTTCATTCGATATGAGCGAATACTTGGACGTTTATATAGCTATAGAGTCTGATTGGACTGATCATGCCATGATCGAGGTGATGATGAGATGACATTGAATATTATATAGGCGAAATTGATGTTAATTATCACCAATTACGTAATCGTCTTTTGAAAATTTGTATAAATACCTGGAAAAGAACGACAGTTTGACGATCTTGAAAAACTCTTTGATATACACTTTTTGTTATAAAAACCATTGATCGCTGGTCGCTTTGACTGGTCTAGTGGGAGAAATGTCTTGATAAGTCTTGAAATGCGATTTTATTATTGTTTCGGGGGACTTTTTCGGCGCGATATGAGTTTTTGTTGTCGCGGTGCGTTTTGGTATGAACTCTCTCAATTGCGTCTTACAACATAGTTGTTTTAAACACTGGAAACGTGTGGGTTTTTTCTCAGATGCTTTAGAGACGAGTCTGGGGTTTTTGTGAGTTCAATGCAAACGGATCGGCAGTTTTCCCACTTTTCTTTGGCCCGTCACTTGAGTGGTTTGGAACACCTGTGGATGATGAAGGAGAAATGAGCAAGACACATCTAGTTGAGGGGTTTCGTGTTCGAGCTGGTGACGGCATTTTTTTTGAGACTAGCGGTGGGAAGACTTCAGAAATTCAACCACTGTGCGTGCCCAATTGACGAGTGTTTCGTCCCCGGGTGGTTTGGGATACACAGCCGTTTTCATACGTTTCGCCTCCATATAGTATGGCGGTGGTGTGTTTCGAATCGCGTGTGTGGTTGTTTTTTTTCGGTCTTTCTGAGTCCGCTGGCTTCGAAAATGCTGTTTCTTACTTGGAATGGGAGCTCGAAACGGTGTTTTTCTCTTTATTTTCTTCTTCTTTCAGTTATCTGCCAGACTCCAGACTTCTCAAGCAACGAGAGAGAGCGTCGCGGCTGAAGAGGGTGAGTTGTGCCGATCCTGTGTTTTTCTCCAGCTCTTTTTGCTCTTTTCTGTTGCAATTTTGATTTAACCCTGGTTTTTTCGGTGGACTATTGTTGTAAACCGTACTACTGGGCACTGCATCAATGATACTTTTGAGCCTCTTTCGTTCCATTTCCGTGACCTAGAATCCATTTTTTCAAGATTTTCCTGCTTTTCTCTTAGCTATGTCCAGTTCTGTCCGATCGAATCATATACTGAATTCCCGTTTAATCGCTCATCTATTGACCATACCGTAATAGCTTGCAGTTTCATACTCGGGAGACATCTTGCAATGGAAAACAACCTACTGTAGAGTAAAGCGCTTGTAAGGACTCCAAGAGAGTCCTATAATTGACTGGCATCGACGACTGTCATCTAATATATACACACTGTTTAAAAAGTGCCCGATTTTAATGTTAAAAACGAGAAAAGAACGGTATAGGACTACGAGAAAATACTTAATAGAAATAGCCCAATGGCAGGCGAATTTGAGCGTTAGAAATCACGTCATTAGCACTGTTTTCGATTGTTATTTGCGTGTAGTAGTGTAGTATTTATTATAGTTTTTTAGCTGTGCGTAATGAAAAAAAATTTGAAATACTCATCTCATCGCATCTTTTGAAGCATTTTATCCAAAGAATACGATTGAGATTAACGGTTTCTCCGATCAAGACAGCTGTTGATAACTATTTAATATTATTTGATCCCATTTCCGAGCTCGAACCTCCTACAGATTCACCTTTAGCCCTCTTGTCGCGGTCTAACAAGTTTCGATTCAATAGCAAACACTTTATGCCTGGAGAGGACGTATCATTCCTCTACAACAGACCAGCCAAACCACGATAACATCCCTTAAGCGGTTCACTGATTTTTACTCTCAGATCTAAAATTACAAGGGAGTGAGGCCTCTCCCACTTGAAAGAATCAAAAGCACAAAATATTTCATATATTCATTTCCTGTCGTTACAATTCCCACTCGACTTTTTTCCCCGTTTCCCATTTCCCTTAGATGACCGTCTCGCTCGAAGAAATCTCCCACCACTCCTACATTGACCGCGAGCTTTCGGCGAACCTGGACTCCACCGATGCGTTCGAGGGCCCTGAAAAGCTCTTGGAAATTTGGTTTTACAAGAGTGCCCGCTCCGTGCCCGACCAAAACAAGACTTTGCGGTCGATTGAGTTCAGCACTTGGGTGCGGCTGCTGGAACTGGTCAAGTGCCAAGTGCTTTCCATGAAGCAAACCGACAAAATGAACGCTTTTTTGCTCAGCGAATCCTCGCTGTTTGTGTTCGACCACAAGCTCACACTCAAGACGTGTGGCACCACCACCACGCTCTCCTGTTTGGAAGAGCTGTTCCGCACTGTTAGGGACCACCTCGGCTGGAATTTCTGTTTGCAGGGCAAGGTGAACCCTTACAAGGTGTTCTACTCCAGACGCTGCTTTATGTTCCCAAAGAAGCAACAGGGCATCCACCGCAATTGGGACGACGAGACCCAGTTCTTGGACAAGTTTTTCAGCAACGGGAAGAGCTACTTGGTCGGCCGGCTGGGCCAAGCCAGTCACTGGAACTTGTATGTGACAGAGACGAGCCGTGAAACGTCCGTTGGTGGCAAAGACGACGACGATGATGAAACTCTGGAGATGCTCATGACGGGCCTGCGGCCTGCTAAAGCCGCACAGTTCGTCACCGCCCGCGAGCCTGGCCAGCTCGTAGAGGACGACCGCGACGACGAGGGTCACGTGCTTGGAGCCCACGTCACCTCGGTCACCAAACTGGACCAGGTCTACGACAACGTCCAGCAAGTTGCGTTACAGCAAGATGCATTCGCGTTCACGCCCTGTGGCTACTCTGCGAACGTCACTTTGGACCACGAGTACTACTACACCCTGCACGTGACCCCCGAGTGCGGCTGGTCCTACGCTTCTTTCGAAAGCAACGTCCCGGTGCATCAAGTGTCAAACGGGACCCAGGACAATGTTTCCGTGATGCAGCGCGTGTTGTCCATCTTCCAGCCTTCGGATTTCTGTCTCACGTTCTTCTCGCGTCACGTACAAAACGACAGCTTTCACAAGCTCACCAAACTCACCAAAACTCTGGCCAACTATGTTTGCAAGGACAAGATTGTCTACGATCTAGACGACTACCAATTGCTGTACCTACGGTATGAACGCACCGACTGATGAAGTCCAAAAACTTGCGTTTTATCTTGACTTTGCTTCGTATAATTTTATGGGCCAATTTTTATTACATGACGAATATCACAACCTTTTAATTAGGTTTTTATTTAATCAAATAACGGTCAACAAACAACTTATGAAATTGCTACAACTTGATGCGGCAAAGCCGGATCGGGCAGCAACGGGAGCAACCCTGCCATGGCGAATAATTTAGTATAAAAGGGCTCGATTTTGAGAAGTTGTTTCTCGTTGGCCCCATCTCTTTAACATACCTGTACATATTGTTAGACCCAATATTGTGAAAAGTCTTGGCATTTTGACACCTATAGGATGTTGCATAAATACACAACTCATTCAGCTAACAAAGAACACCGCGATGTGCCAAGCGGCCATGATAAACACGCGGTTCCAAAAAGTTATAAGCTCTTGTCCGACAGTTTGCAACATCTGGCCCTGGACGGCGACTTTGAAGCTGCAAATAAGTCAAATGCGATGCACAGTCGCTATACGATCCCACAGGTGGGACTGCCTTCTGAAACAGCATACGATTTGCTGCACAATGAATTGACGCTGGACGGAAATCCACACTTGAATTTGGCCAGTTTCGTTAACACCACAACCAGCGAAACGGCTCGCAAACTGATCCTGCAAAATGTAGACAAAAATCTGGCAGACAACGATGAATATCCACAATTGATTGAAATCACCCAGCGATGCATTTCCATGCTATCGCAGCTGTGGAAAGCTGACCCTGAAACGGAGACCCTGGGGTGTGCAACAACAGGCTCTAGCGAGGCAATCATGCTGGGTGGGCTCGCAATGAAAAGACAGTGGGAGCAGCGCATGAAAAAAGCGGGCAAGCCCACCGATAAACCCAATATTATCATGTCGACGGCCGCACAGGTGGCTCTCGAAAAGTTTGCCCGGTATTTCGACGTGGAGTGCCGTCTAGTGCCCGTTTCCCACCAGTCAGACCACCATTTGGACCCCAGCAAGCTCTGGGACTTTGTGGATGAAAACACAATCGGGGTGTATGTCATTCTAGGCACCACGTACACGGGTCATTTGGAGAGCGTTGAGGAGGTCGGGGACGTCTTGACGCAAATTGAGGAGCAAAACCCAAACTGGAGCAACAAAAGCATTCCTATTCACGTTGACGGCGCCTCGGGCGGCTTTATCGTTCCTTTCGCGTTTACCCAGGAGCAAATGAGCAATTACAAACTCGCCCGGTGGGGGTTCAACCACCCTCGGGTGGTGAGTATAAACGCCTCTGGTCACAAATTCGGGCTCACAACCCCAGGTCTAGGCTGGATTCTTTGGAAGGACAACGAGTATTTGCTACCAGAACTGAGATTCAAATTGACATATCTGGGTGGTGTTGAGGAGACTTTCAACCTAAATTTCTCAAGACCGGGATTTCAGGTGGTTCACCAATACTTCAACCTTTTGAATTTGGGTATGAAAGGATACAAGGAACTTTTCGACCAGTCCCTCTTTGCTGCGAGATTTTTCAGCTTGGCGCTGATGGAAAGCGAAGAGTTCAAAGGTAATATTGAGATCATCAGCAGTATTCACCAAAGAATTGATGGGAACAAAGCCACGTTGAAAGACTGCTTGAAAAGTCCTGAACTCTTCAAGCCTGGTGTTCCGCTGGTTGCATTCAAGCTGTCGAACCAATTTCACGAAAAGTATCCCGAAATTCCTCAGGCCATGGTATCATCCCTTCTAAGAACCAAGGGCTGGATTGTTCCCAACTATCCTCTGCCATCGTCCACGGATAAATCCAACAAATGGGAAGTCCTGAGAGTGGTTTTTAGGACAGAGATGAGCCTCGATCTCATTCAGCTGTTCATACATCACGTCTACCAAGCTATTGAGAAGCTTATTACATGCTACGAGAGTGTTCCCGACGTCCTTTCTTCAGAGGAGAGAAAGGATGCTATCTATAAGATGTTGCGGATTTTGGCGGCACCAGAAAGTGCAGAAAACGAGGAAGAGAACACTCGCCGTAAAAAGAAGAACTACAGAGGTACATGTTAATTTCGGTGTCCCTTTTGTGTAATTAGAAAATCATAAGCGTGTGGTGATCAATAGGAATGCAATTTGATATTTTTATGATCCGTGGTAATTTTGGCTAAAGCGAAAAAATCTTCTTGACACTTTTAACTACTCTCGGAATTGAGAGCTCTAAAAACGTCACTACTCAGGTCAGGGACCGGGAGGAGGTCCATCAGTCGGTGAGTCTAAGTGTCTGTACTGGACAAAATCATTAATTATAATTAAGTAATTCAATAGGTGTTCAAGTCGCCAAAAACTATAAACTGCGTATTCCATCCCACTTTGACGTGTGCTTCTTGCATATGCCAGCTACTCCTCAGTGAGCATGTCGAAGTCTGTAATAAAATCTCCAGCATCCATCTCAATCAAATCCGTAAATCCGTTACTGTAACTGTTCCATACCTCATCTGCTAACATCTTGACAACATCGTCGGGAACCTCTTCGTTTCCTACCGATGGCCAATTGTGGGTTACCTCCACCCGGGTTCTGCTATCCAAGCCTACTTGGAAAACCGTACGATTCACACGTTCCAGAGCCATCATGATAACATAATAGTGCGAGTTCCACAACATGCGAGTCATTTTGGCATGTTCAGGCTTCCACAGCTCGTCGAAAATAGAGCAAAACTTTGTAAAGCTGCCGCGGAACGACAAAAAGAGTCCGTCAGGAACAGACAGATCGTCTAGCGACGGCCCATCCACAATACCCTCATCCATGGAGACTATCAGCCCCTTCTCAAACAGAGTTATTTTGTAAAACAGAAGTCCGTATAGTTCCGTTAGCATTCGTGTTGGGAGCGATCCTAGAAGAAGAACGCATAAATTCAGCGAAGGAGTCAAAATATTACTCTGTTGCAAGTGCGAGGACGGCAACCGCTCTTCATCCAGCGCATAGCACCTTAGGATGGTGTTCACAGAGATGGCAGTTCCTATGAGCATAGATTTGAAAAATCCGTTCTTTATGGATATTGTGATCGTTTCTTCAGAAACTCGTGTCAGATCGTAAAAGTTGGTGATCATTGCCATTGTAGGAGATAAGATCATGATATCGAAAAGGTCGACCTCCGAAATAAGCGACGAATCAGTATAATACTTTAGAGGCTTGAAGGATCCCTCGATGAAGTCGGTCAACTGCGATACGAGCGTCATCATCGGGGGCCGATGGACGGTGTCAAATATCGCATGCATGCATTTTCTGCCCACAAACAGGAAGTTTCGTAACAACGCGATCCGTCCACGATCGAAAGTTACCAAGCGGGAGTCATCATAGTGGGCTGATGAAATGGCCATGGGTGAGCCAATGTCGAAAGATACGTTCAAGTCCACAAAGAGGGTCCAGTACCATAGGTTTTTCAGAGAGGTCAAAGACCCAACTTCGGCACTTTGATGCGCATAAAGTTGGTCGATATCCTTATGCAGACCTAAACTCATAGAAGTGGAACACAGCAGTGTAGATAAGGATACCAAATGAGAGCAGCCGCTTCCACTGAGACCATTGTAAACACGAACCATGTATACCAGAAGTAGAAATTGCGCTCTTTCCACATATAAAGATTTTGCAGTTGTAAACCCTAATAGTGAAATGCTCAGTCTCTGAAATGAAGTTGGAATATTCTTCTTGTAATGCAAAAGACTCAAAATCATGAGTACGATACCAATAATGAAAAACATCTTCTTGTCTTCGGTCAAGACCATTGCAACCTGTCGTCTGGGGACGTTATCATTACCCTTGGCGGCGATGTAGCCAGGAACAAAACATCGCGAAAAATCCCGAAGCACTTTGTCTTTATCAAGAAATTGATAGTAGGTGTGCAGGGGATCGTCGAAAAACTCGAGCAGTCGGGATTCTATGGTCTCGTAGGGCGGAAGGTCTGGTAAAATGGAATTGATCAAACTGCCACTGCCCGCGTACTCGAGTGAGCTATAGTCCATGGTAATGAGGCCACCATGCACGTTTTTCCAAGCGTCTAGCTCTGACTTCACTTTGCGCCATACCTTAACGTACTCGGCCACAAACCGGTCGCCGGACGCGGTAATGACGGCCCTGATAGACGTGGGACCATAGTAGATGTGGCGACCATCTTTTTCGCGTAAAACGTAAAAGTCGGTCAGGTCTTTTTTGCCAAGAACCTCGCCGGGATTAAGGACGCTTGCAGGGATGTCTGAATGCCCGTCGGGGCACCAGTTGCTGGTATTGCTGCTGCTGCCGGTGTCGCCCAAGGTGCCACAATTACTACTGTGTCCACTGTGTCCACTGGGAGCACTGGGAGCACTGGGAGCACTATTACCACTGTGCGAAGTGGGAGCACTATTACCGCTATGTGCACTGTAACTACTGTTCCCACTCTTCCCACTGTTTCCACTGTCTCCACTGTTTCCACTGTTCCCACTACTGCAATTTGCACCCTCGGTCTCTGCAACCGTGTCGTCCTCCAGTGTAGCTCTGTCCAGTGCCTCTTCAAGCTCACGAATGCGTCGAAGAAGCGTCACGTTGGGCTGCTTGCTGAAAAGCTCGTCAGAAGTCAATTGGAAGTTGAAACCGTCGGTATAAACGCACTCAGGCAATTTTCGCGCTGCACACGCCCCACACATGGGTTTCTGTTGATCGCATTTCAACTTGCGTTGTCGACAAAAAGTGCACGATTTTATAGTTTTCCGTCTTCTTTTTTTGGTAGTGGGTGGGTGATCGCCTGCACTCTTGGATGAGTGGTTCACTGGTTCTCTAGCCATTGCATACCGGAGTTGTGGACTTGAAACTGGAGTAAATTCGTCGTTGGAAACAGGGTCTGTCTTGTTGGTACCACGCCGGCTTACAACAAGCTTTTGGCGCTGAACAAGCTCTCTATAAGATGAGAGCGATAGAAAAGACGGTAAAGAGGGTTGAGATGAGATTCATAGAAGTGGTTGGATCCGGACTTTTGGTCTTTGGAAGTTTTTAGGCTTTTTATACTTGAAGCAGCATTATCAAGAAATGGCATATGAAAAAGTCCTGCTTACAGCCGCTCTTTTCAGTATATCGTATATGGTGATATAAGAGTCTAGTTTAAATTGATCTCTAGGACTGCTCGTATGTAGTAAGTAGTGTTGACAAGGCGTAGAGTAGCAGTATCGAATAGTTGGAAACTTATGGTACAACGTAACGTGCAATGTATACCGTTGCATGTGTGCGTGCACTTGTTATGGATTGTTGACGGGAAAGAGAAGCGTTGTTTTCGACGAGTAGAAGTCACGTGCCATATTTTAGTACGAAGTGATGAGATCTATAAAGGACGACAGACGAGACAGTGTACGAGGAACATGACTAGCTACATGTGTGTATTGTATCAGGTACCGTTGGTTTTTATGATTCAGAAAGCCAGTATAAATGGACATATATAGATTTCATGTCTATTTCAGTGTCATGGGCGAAGCACGTAAAATATTTGTCATACACAAGTAAGTCTCAGCTACGTATCATAGAATGGATCTTTAGAAAATACGAAAGACGTGTGACGTTGGTTCATGCTGAGTAAACTCTATTTGCTGACGCAGAAGACCTAAAGCAGAAAACACGTGACCACATATCATGCTGTACGCAAGTGACACTGGCTTCCAGCGTCACGAAATAAAAATGTTCGTGGCAACAACCAACTAACCAGAGTTACTGGAGCCCTCAAATTCCAGAAGCAGTGCTGCTCATCGTTTAGTCCAGCGTTGATATTTGCATCTCCCAAAAATCAAGTCAAAGCCGAGCTGTTGTCATTGCGACACATGTGTTTTGCCAGCTACCACCACAAAGCCAGCATTGGTGATACTAAAACCCAGCGTTCATTCTTGATCCCGATGCCGGAAGTATGGTACCGACATGCTAATACATCTGTTGAGCAGTGTCTTTACTATGATATACAACCATATAATCCTCGGCATCACTCGGCTTGAATCCTCAAAGGTTTTTGTCGAGCAGGCCAAAATTTGGAAAGCAGTCTCTTAACTACATAGTTTCCTTGCGCCGGGGCTTCTCAGGTTACTGCGATCTTTCTTCATCAATTTTTCACTAACAGTAGCGGCTTTTCCAATACACAAGTGCAGGACTTTGTATACATCATCGATACGGCCGGCGGAAGCAACTTGGAATAAACTGAGCGTCTGGAATAGCACCACTTCATAACATCTGTCACAGAATCCGGACTTAATTTGCTGTCTGCCTTGCCTCCACAACTCTAAAAAATCCCAACAAACACTGCTCGCCTGTGCAAGCTATTGTTTGCCATAAAGCTTTGCCCTTTCGAACAAGTGCTCGCCACTCCTCTTAGAATCCCACTGTTTAGAACTCCAGGAAGACTACATTTCCCATTTTCCATCGATGAACGTGAATTCAAAAGGGCCTTTTATTTCCTGATTTCCGTTTCAGCAACATTGCATAGATGGAAATACTTCTTTGTTGTAGAATAGAAAGTGACAGTATTAGCTACGTAATTCACATCATCGTTTTGCAGAAGACGATAGCTGTAGAAGATGGAGCAGCAGCTGTTAAGAATCCTTAGCAAATGCATTGTTTTGTCCAGTAATTAAATTGCAATTCTATGTCTGGACTCGACCCGTCGCAGATATTCACTTTGATGTCTTTAAAATATGTCGACTTGTTTCGGATCGATGGCAGGCCAGCATCCGTTAGAGAGGAATTCAAAAGCGATGAATTTTTGCCAACACGCTTGTATTGAGCTTCTGGTCATCTTTCAGGTTCCTCACAATACCTTGACCAATACGCAAATTGTCACTTGCGCTAAAAACAAGTTTATAAGTCTTATAAACTGTTTGCAATCTTAAAGGTCTTCTTATTGTAGAAAGAACCATTCATCTGTAATCTGAATAATTTTAATACCTCCACGACTGTGCGAATCGCTAATATAAACAAGATTTAAAAGATGTTTGTTGGTGACGACCTATGAGTTTACTAAGACGAAAAATTGTTGGGCCTCAATGCAGCGATGTGGGGTATACAAAGGAAATTGTGAAGCTTTTTTTGACATTGTAGATAGTCTTTTCACGGCTCGTTTCATGGTTGTCCGGTGTTTGATCTTTCCAGCTGTCCAGTTGTACATGGTCCTGACACTGGGACTGATTATCAAGCTTTTTCATGTGACTAAATGACAGATCTGTTTAAAGGGCTCATAGTGTGTAGCGTCAGCAAAGATATGGCTATGACACGGCTGTGCAATTGAGATTTTGTGGGAGTGTGAGAGTTTCATTGTCTCAGGTACAACATTCACAACTTGTGGTACTGTTTCCCAACTTGATCGCTGACCCAAGTACGTTATTTTGACTCACATCCGGGTGTGACCTGGACTGTACTTTCGCGGCCGATGCGCGCGAAGGTGAGGGTACAATGATAAGTTCATTGATGAAAAATGACACTTCAGTCTGGTTGGTCCATTGTTATACTTAGTAATTGCTCTATGATTAACGAATCTGACCTTTTCACTTGTTCCAAGGTTCTTCTAGATCGCCAATGCTCTTTGTTGTTTAACAGTAATGAGAGTTCTTGACTTTTCCACAATTGAGAGCGTTCAAGTTCTAACTTGGTATTTGATAATGACCTCCATTGTCCTTTGATGCTAAGAGTACTGTATTCATTCACAATTAATCACTGATGCTCTCAATTGTTCGGTAGTACTGAGAGTTTTCGATTTCTTCTTTATTGATAGCTTACATTCTCGATTGTTCAGTAGTAGTAATAGTCCTCGCTGAAGCTTTCGAATGTGCAAGAGTGCTTGCAGCCATCTCCACTATTCACAACTGATAGCTTACGCCCTTGATAGCTTACATTCTCGAAGCTCTCAATAAACTCTCCTCTTATTCATAATCGATCACTGTCGTTCTCAGTTGCTTTGCAGTGCTTGTAACTAACACTCTTGACTGTATAATGGTGCGACTAGTTTTAGTTACATTACTACCGATACTATTTTCAATGCTACTAGGATTTCTCTGCTTATTTACAATCGAGAGCGATACTAAGAATTCTCTCTTCATTCACAATTGAGACCGTAGCGATCAATTGATCTTTGATACTAAGAGTTTGCTATTTTTTCACGATTGAGAGCGTCAGCGAGCAATTGTTGATCAGTCTGCTAAAATAGCGCTCTCGTCTTTCACAGTTTATCGTTCTCGCTCTCAATCGTTCAGAAGTGTAGCACCGTACACTGACGCTCTCGATAGTTCAACTGTACTACGAGCTTGACTTATATCCACCAATATCCGTTTCGTACACTAAGACCCTGCGACCCTGCTATATCCGGACTATCTCCGGACCATCTCCAAACTATGTGCAACTTGGCCCCCTGCGTCATTATCTAGCAGATGCCTCAGAAACCACCGCTTGAGTCACATGCAATAGTGTCTCGAGCCATAAACCCGTTCAAACCCGCTGAGCGGGTTTGAGCCCAGCGCTTGGCAGCGGAGTATTAAAGCATACGCTCTCTAGCCAGCAGAGATGAAAGAGATGGTTTTTCAATTGCTACTTTGATCCATCGTTACACCCATATGGACTCATCGAATTGTGTGTTTCTGTCCATCGCACTTAGAGACTCACGATTACTACCGGGAAATTCTGCCGCCTCAAAAAGCGCCAAAGTCGTTCTCTAAAAACACCACCCAGACACCGCATAGTCATCGTCATCGTCATCGTCATCGTATAGATCGATCGATCGATCGATTGCCGTATAAAAGCACATTAAAAGCGAAAAACAAAGGACCCTGCTGACGTAAGCAATAACGCCACTCGTCCACGTGACCGAAACTTCCCAAAAACCCTCTATACGCTAACCTCACTCTCTCTCCTCACCCTCTCCTCACCATGCTCAGCCCGAAACTCGTGCTCGGAATGTGCCTGGCATCCCTGTCACTTACGCTGTTTTTAGCTGCCCTCGACATCGTTATTGTCGTCACTCTGTACGACGTCATTTCTAAAAAATTCAATGCCTATGGCGACATCGGCTGGCTGGTCACCGGTTACTCGCTCCCCAACGCACTGTTTACCCTGTTGTGGGGCCGTTTGTCTGCGCTGTTTGGGCTCAAAACCTGTTTGTCGGCGTCCATTTTGATTTTTGAAATTGGCTCGCTCATCGTTGCACTGGCCAACTCGATGTCGATGCTCATCGGCGGTCGCGTGATCTCCGGGATCGGTGGAAGCGGTATCCAATCGCTCGTCTTCGTCGTGGGCACCTCGCTTGTCGAAGATCGTAACCGTGGCCAGGTCATCACCGTTTTGGGGCTCGCCTTCATGATCGCCAACGCAATCGGTCCCATCTTGGGCGGTGCTTTCAGCCAGCACGTGTCCTGGCGCTGGTGTTTCTACATCAACCTACCGGTAGGAGGTCTGGCCTACGCAATGCTTCAGTTTTTCTACAATCCCACCAGCACCTCTTCTCTACAATCGTTCAACTCGAAATATACGGCTGCCAAAAATTATCGCTATTCCAACTTACTGACGACGCAGTTCTGGGCCAAACTAGTTCGCATTTTCATATTCAAGCTCGACTTTGTCGGGTTTGCCCTAAGTTCTGCTGGATTTGTGCTGTTGCTTCTTGGGCTCACGTTCGGGGGTGAGAAATATAAGTGGGGGTCCGGCACCATTATCGCCTATCTCGTCGTGGGCCCCATCTTGCTTCTTTTATGGCTGCTTTACGATTTCATCATTCTTCCCTACTTTGGCAGAAATTTACCCGAGTCTGAACGTGCAGAGCCGCTACTGCCCTGGGAGTCTGTTAAGATGGTCGGCGCTTTGACGGGCACAATTGCCAATTTTTTCGTTTGTTTCGGTTACAACATGCAACTGATTTACCTCGTCCAGTTCTTCCAATTAGTTAAAAACCAATCTCCAACGGGTGCTAGTCTGCATATGTGGGCCTTTCTAGTCCCCGCTATGGTCGTTATCATCGCACAGGGAAATATCAACAAAAGGTTTGGTATCATCAAACCCGTCGCTGTGCTCGGGGTTGCTCTCGGCACCATTGGTTCCGGTTTGTTGACTATGCAAAACGGTTCCACCACTTTAGGCCAAACCATTGGATATTGTATACTCCCCGGTGCCGGTTTTGCCGCCGTGATGCAGTCCACCATGCTAAGCGCTCAAGTGCAGGTAGAGAAAACGGATCCCTGTTTCCGTCAAAAGTTTATTGAGCTAACGGCATTGAACACTTTTGCTAAAGCTCTTGGCATGGCATTTGGCGGTATTATGGCCACGCTCGTATTTTCAACCACTGTGAAAGATAAGCTGATGCATGCCGATTTCCCTGTCCCCCATTTCAGCAACTCGGCAGAGATGATTGCCTATCGCGAGTCGCACTATGACGGCGCAACCTCACCACTAGCCAAAGTACTCACCACAGGTGTTCAGAACGTTTTTTATGCTTCCCTGGGTTGTTTTACCATAAGTTTCCTCTTCAGTGTTATCATGTCCAACAAACGCCTGGTATTGGGGCCCAAGGCAGGCACCGCCAGCTCTGCGACGGATGTTGAGCACGATGCATGCTCCATTCACGAATCTGACGGAGAGAAGAATGTTATCAGTATCATAAATTCTGGCAGTAGTGCCAATGAACCATCTTCATGTGGAAAAGAGCAGAAGTCCAAGACCTGAAAAGAGACATCAAATGACGCTTGAGAAACGGTTCAAATCCGATTTTGACGTATGCGTACCCTCGCTTTATAATGGATTCCTGTAAATATTAAGGTATGCAGCAAGATTAATAGCAAGAAGCTTCTTTGACAAAACAGACGTCTTCACTTTTCCTCCAAACCACTCTAGGTCAGAGGAATGTAAGTGAGGGCTCAAAGAAAACGCGCATTCCAGCGAAATAAAAACATTCCTTAAGTGAAAGGCTCATATCTGAATGCATACTGGTCCACCTCTACTGATAGTTTTGTCTTGAATTGTGCTTTCTATATATCCTGACAGAAAGCCTGCCAAAATACGTGCCTTTAAGTAACGTTTATGTATGGTCATCTCCATGATGATCTGGCAACGCTTTATTTTCGGGCACGCAATTGTTGTGTTAGACTTCCAGCAAGTACGATATAGGTAGCGTTGGGGCCGAGCAAGCTAGTCACTATTCAATTCGTTACTTGGCTCTCATGATTGGTTTCCAAGGACCTGGCGCGATGTATCACTTTATACTATTCTGTCCGACAGAAATTACAGAATTCTATAGAAACGAAGGCAAACAATAAAAACGCTTTCCCGTGAAGCTATATACAGCCAGATCGCCAAAGAACTATGCCTTACGCTCGCCTTAAATCAAATTAGCTGTTTCTAAAAAGTTTTCTAAGAATTGAATTCGGTTTCCAGAACTTGTAAAGACCTCATTCTAAAAGAGAGGTATTTGAATTAATGGAACCATTCATAAAATGTTACAACGATACCCGCGGACTTGAGATAATCCTTCAAAGGTTTTAACAATGACACTGCAAGAATATAGGCAATTCCCGTTGCGATAAGAAACAATGGTCTTGGCAAGTCACGTGCAAGGACCCTTAAATCGATTATTAGGCAACCAGTTCCCATTCTTTAAAGATCCCTCCCCGTCTCACCATTTAGCTCAACTAAAGTCTGTATACGTCAAGTCATAGTTCTATAGTCTAGTATATATACCCTTATATTTGAAGAGTCGTTGGGATGGTTAAGATTAACCTTCCGCTGATAATTACTCTTTCTTCCCTGGCGCTGACACTTTTCCTAGCTGCTCTGGACATTGTCATCGTCATTACGTTGTATGAGACAATCGGCCAAAAATACAGAGATTATGCGAGTATTGGCTGGTTGGTCTCTGGGTATGCGTTGCCGAGTGCGCTGTTTACGTTGTTGTGGGGCCGTTTGGCATCCATCTTTGGCTTGAAAACAAGCCTGACAATTTCTATTGTTATATTTGAGATAGGTTCGCTAATTGTTGCTGTCTCAAACTCCATGGGCATGCTTATTGGAGGTAGAGTTGTGGCTGGGTGTGGTGGAAGCGGCATCCAATCGTTGGTTTTCGTGGTCGCGACGTCTCTCGTGAAAGAACGAAACAGAGGCCTTGTAATTATGGTTTTGGGTTTCTCTTTTGCCGTGGCTTTCGCAATCGGACCTGTGCTCGGTGGTGTTTTCACCGAACATGTAACATGGCGATGGTGCTTTTTTATCAATTTACCCATCGGGGGCCTAGCGTTAGCCCTGTTGCTCAGCAGCTATAATCCTACCAGCACACGCTGGCAGGATTCATTCCGACGCAAGCTCATAGCGATCAAAAAATTCTCTTACAGGCAGCTGCTCACCTCGAAATTCTGGCATCAGGCCTATCTTTTCCTGGCGTTCAAGCTAGATCTCATTGGCTTTGCCATTTCATCCTCTGGATTTGTGTTATTTCTGCTGGGAGTCACATTTGGAGGAAATGAGTATCCATGGCACTCAGGTACCATCATCTCGTACTTGACAGTTGGTGGCTTCTTGATCATATTATGGGTATTGTTTGACTTTTCACTTCTATACCGCTGGGCTAAGTGTCACCAAAACGTGGAACCCGTTCCACTGTTACGGAAAACTCTATGCTATTTGCCCGGTATTGCCACAAGTTCCTTAACGGTCTTTTTCGGATGCCTCGCTTTCAACATGCAATCTGTGTATGTTGTCCAGTATTATCAGCTGGTTCACAATAATGGACCCACGTCCGCCAGTATGCACCTGTGGGGATTTTTGGTGGCTACCTTGATAAGCATTGTTGCCATAGGCAAAGTTTCATCGACTTTCGGAATCATCAAGCCAGAGATTGTTGTTGGTGTGACGCTTGGGTTGATAGGTGCGGGTCTACTGACCTTGATCAAGACGACGAGCACTACTGGGAACACTATAGGGTATTGTATTCTGCCTGGTGCTGCTTTCGGGTGTATTTTGCAAGGCACGCTGTTAAGTGCACAAGTGCAAGTCGACCGGGACACTGCTGATTTTCATACCTTGTTCATTGAAGCAACCGCTTTGAACACCTTTTTCAAGTCCCTTGGGATGTCTTTCGGAGGAATTATGGCTACTATGATCTTTACTAATTCGGTCAAAAACCAGTTGAGAGACACAACTGCTGGATTGCCGCCCTTCAGCAATATCGAGGCGCTAATTGCGTACCGGGGCCAGCACTTTGATGGATCTAATTCCGTGCTGTCTAATGTATTTGCTAAAGGCATCCGAAATGTGATGTACGCAGCACTTGGATCTTACGCCATAGCATTCATGAGTGGCCTTTTCACATCTAACAGAAGATTAGTGCTGCCTTCAAAAGCTGACGACCTAGAGCATTCTTCAGCGGACCACACGATCCATGAGAAGACCAGTAGCAGCACCGAGGGTAGAGACGGCCGTTCCACGATCGAAGAAAAACCCAAGATTACATTTAAGGACAAACTATTTGACGCCTTCAAATCCAGGAAGACTGACCAGTCGTTGACTGAGTCGTAGGGGTAAATTGGCCGTAACCGAACAAGCCGTACGTCGAAATATGAGCAATCAATGGACAATTTCTAATCGCCTTGAAAGCCTCCAGAGTCTTCCAAAACTTATCAAATTTATTCCCACATTCATACTGAGTACTACGTGTTCTTTTCGGGAGTTTTAAGTAATCTAGCCTTCAAGAACTCGATACTGTCATTGGCCGCCATTACTGCAGTTGGTTACCAATTTTCACCAATCAAATTTTAAATAAAACGTAACGTTATCAACAACAATCGAGTTTTGTCAATAACAGACCAAACTATTCATATTCTGAGCTTAAATTCACTGACGTGAAGTACGGACTTTGAAGATCATTATCGACTGTTCAGTTCAAGCGTATTTAACGAGTTTTTGAAACTATTATCGTTTAAGACGGTTTGATTAAAGGTCAAATTCAAGAAGACAGATGTGTAAAAGATGCCAGCATTACTAGTCCCTGAAGATGCCATTTTGTTGTCCAAAGTTTCGCTGCTTCTGTAGATTTATATTCTCTTATTAGAGCTGAACTCAGGCTTTCGAATATTTGGATTTGTTCCTATCATTTATTCCTGTTCATAATGTCTGGATTTGACAAGAGCGATACAGCTCGTGTGGGTCGTAAAAACCAAGTTTACTCTGCCGTAACGGGTGCAAGGCTAGTGGCAGGATGTGTGTGTCTCAATGAGTCTAAAACTCACGTTTTGATGATTCAATCGTCAGCTCACAAGAAGAAATGGGTCCTGCCGAAAGGCGGAGTCGAGGCGGACGAGACGGACTTCAAGGCTTCTGCCATGCGAGAAACGTGGGAGGAAGCCGGGGTCTTGGGGCATGTAACACAAAAGCTGGGAGTCATTGAGGATTTGAGACCTCCCAAGGACTGGAACAAAGACATCAAGGCTTTTGAAAACGCAACAGGCGACGCAGAGGTGAATAAGCATCCACCCCGGTCGGAGTTCCATTTTTTCGAGATGCTGGCCGAATCACTCGCAGAACATTATCCAGAGGTCCACGAGCGCAGCAGGAAATGGTTTACGTACCAGGAAGCATTAGAACAGCTACAGATAGCCAAACGACCGGAGCTTATAGAGGCGCTCAATCGCTCCAGCATTAAGAAGTAAGAGAACAAAGAGAGCCAAAAAACCCCCGACAAACAGGGCCAAATTTAGAGCTGTCCTGCGTGTCGCAATATGACAACTCAAGTGGCGAGGAGCTTTCGCATTATCAAAGTGTGTGCTTCCTGTCTTTATTCATTGGTTATACTCTATAGTGATAATTCCTATGCGATGATTATAGAGGGAAAATTCATTCACCCAAGCTCTTTCTACTTACCGCCGAGAAGCCCGGACATTATATCCTGCATGAAGTTCACAGGTTTTTGTATCTTCATTCCGAAAAACTCCTGGCCCAAATACTCTAGTTGACTGGAGTATTGATCTATAGACCCTGAGTAGTGGCTCTTTAGGTTTTTGAATAGGTCGGCGTTCTTGGTTTGACACGTCAAAATGAGTAGTTGTAGAAAATTGAGGTCCGCGTAATCTTCGAAATACCACATTTCGAACCCGTTCTTATCAACCTTTTCACACTGAACGCTCGACCAGTCGATAAACTTCTTCAAAAACTTGTCTTTGACAGCGTAGGCGTTTTGGATGTTGCCAATGAAGAGGTAGTTGAACACTGGTCTTGCAAAAAACTCACCCACAGCTTTTTTGTCGCCGGCTTGTAGAAACCATTCCCACAGCAGCGAAACGTACTTGTCCACAGAGTCATTTGTCCCCAAAACGAAGTATCTCTCTGCCTCATACACATATCCTCCAACTGCGAGTTTGGACCCAATCACGGAGTGTAGATATGGGTCGCCGTACTTGCATGGTCCAAATTTAATGGTCCAGTTGTTCATGCCCGTTACCACGTCTTTCAAATTGGGTTCTTCTGGGTCCAAGTTTGCCAAAAGTGGCACCAGTCTGGCAACAGAAACATCGCTTACTTGCACTTCTGCTGTGTCGTAAACCTCTAGCAAATAGAATATCAAATCCGTCGCCGACCCGCCTTGTTTGGCCGATAGAAAAGCCTGCACACCCTCTACAATCAAGTCAATGGCATCTCCATAGTGTTTACTGCGAACATAACGGTTTGCAATAGTTCGCAACGTTTGATGTGCCTCGTAAAAGTCACCGACCTCAATTCTTGCCTGGAAGCGGGCCAGCGTCTTTGTCAGTTTAGTATTGGAGCTCATATCTAGACCTTTAAGCGCTTTTTGAACTTTACTGAATTTTAAGTTCGCTAAGCCAAGATTCTTGATTTTATAATATGTTGTTAGCTAAACGACAGCGACTAAGGAAATAAAAGTGATACGTTTTCAAAGCAGACCCTGCCACACAAGTGGTGATTTATAGTGTGAATTTTGTTCTGAATATGGTAGTTTTATTACGCTGAGTTTCCTGGCTCGGCAACGTACGTTTTATTAACAAGCAAATTCGACGTCAAAGGTAGATACTTTCAAATATAAGTCAAGAAAGCCTATCTAGAATCACCAAGGTCAGTCTACTTGGCAATAAACGCGTATGAGAATAGCTGTAATTTTAGAGCTTTTTGGAAAATGGCCAGGAAAACTGTTTTGATGTTTACTACTCTACTAAAACCATTTTGCATCGTTGCTAGGAAATAGTTGTTCATCGACTACCTATATGATCTGCTGAAAGATTGTGTGGCTCTGTAATTGGCTGCATTGGGATGTGTTCCGAGATAATGGTTGACCTTCAAACTTGGACGATTCGTAGTTTCCAAACATACCTCCCACTCAATACCGTTCGACGAGGTGAAGACCAGAACAGACGTATGAGACTTGGCGTGAAAGAGACGGTCTCGTGTTGTGTCCCTATCCCAATTTCCATTGACGAATGTGAGGTCTCCTTCTTCACTGTTTCGCGACGCTCGCCGTACTTCCGACGAAGCATTCCACAGCTATGTGCAGGCCAAAGACTTGCACAGCTTTTAAGTAGCCAAGCAACACTTGATATCGTTCCAACAGCTCCTTTAACCGACTGTACCTTCCCCCGGGCCATCCAGACACTCTGTTTCCTCTTCAATGCCAGCTACTCGATCCTCTACCCAGTCATCCATCCGTTCATCTACCCAATTTTGTCGTCGTTTATAAGAACCCTAACATAAACTCATATTGTTCACCAATTCAGAAGACCATTTGAACACAAGCGCGTCCAAACTTCACAATCCAGCAAGCCATGTCCACCTCTGATGTTGCCATACAGCTCATCAACGAGGCAAAAGAGTTCCATCCTGAAGTTTTGGACTTCTTTGACAAATGCGTTGAAAGCCGGGACGTCGGAATGGACTATCATGTTATTTCTGTCTTTGGGTCACAATCTAGTGGGAAGTCAACGCTGCTCAATGCGCTTTTTGGGACCCATTTTGATACTATGAATGCGAAGGAGAAACGCCAGCAGACAACGAAGGGCATTTGGCTCGGCCATACCAAAGACGTTGCTGTTTCTACGGACAAAAGAGAGCCAATGAAAGATCTTTTCGTCTTGGACGTGGAGGGATCTGACGGTGCAGAACGTGGCGAAGACCAGGATTTCGAGAGGAAAGCCGCGCTTTTTGCAATCGCGGTGTCCGAAATTTTGATTGTGAACATGTGGGAACAGCAAGTTGGACTCTACCAGGGCAATAACATGGCGTTGCTAAAAACGGTTTTCGAGGTCAACTTGTCCCTTTTTGGCCATAGAAACGACCATAAAGTGCTTCTGTTATTCGTGATCAGAGATCACGTAGGTGTCACTCCACTCACAAGCCTCCAGCAAACACTAGAAACGGAATTGGAGGACATCTGGTCAGGTTTGACAAAGCCCGAAGGCTGCTCAGGCCGCTCTCTTTACGATTTCTTTGATCTCAAGTTTACTGCTCTAGCCCACAAAGTGCTGCAACCGGACGTTTTCTCAGAGAATGTAGGATCCTTGGGGCTTAAATTTCAAGACAAAACCGGCACAGAAGCCACCTATTTCAAGCCCGAGTACCACCACAACTTGCCGCTGGATGGCTGGACGATGTATGCGGGGAACTGCTGGAACCAAATCGAAACAAACAAAGATCTCGACCTGCCCACCCAACAGATTCTAGTCGCCAAGTTTAAAACAGAAGAGATCGCACAGCAGGCCTTTGCAGTGTTTTCTGAGAATTATCCAAAGGACAGTTTCGAGGCGAACGAGCAGTCAAAGCTAATAGAAACCTTACACGACCTTAAAGCCCAGTGTATTGAAGAGTACGACACTTATGCCTCGCGGTATGCCAAACCTGTTTACACAGAGACCAGGAGTGGACTAGTAAATGATATTGAAGCCAAGTTCAGAGAAACCGTTTCCCAGCATCTTCTCAACCTGACTGAAATCTTGATTTCAGCTTTTGAGAAAGGTGTGCTGAAGAGATCCAAAGCAACTCCTTTTGATCAACAATTGGAGTCTGCGCGCTCTGAGGCCAGTGATAAGTTTCATGTGGCTGTTTCCGACTTTACAAATCGCGAGCTTCTCACGCATCTAACGAAAGAAGAGGCGCTTTTCAGCTCGGCTTTGGAACAAGCGTGTGCCACACAAATTCAGAAAGAACTCAAGCAAATTGTAGTTCGCTCCAACAAGCTTATCACAAACGGCATCAAGGACGAGATAGTATTTTTACTGGCGCATCCAGAAAAGGATTTGTGGGATCAAGTCATGAAAAGTTTCAACGACATCATCTGCAAATCTGTTCAGAGGTTCTCTCCAGAAGTAGGGCAATTCGACTTCCAGATTGGCGTATCAGAAGATGAAAACAAAAAAGTCTACGAGCAGATTCGATCAAGCGCATGGGCTTCCTTGCACGAGATTGTCCATGATTACCTCACTGAGGATAACGTTGCGTCGATTTTGAGAGAACGATTCGAGAACAAATTCAGATTCGATGAAAATGACTCCCCCCGGTTATGGAAGAACGAAGAGGAAATCGATGCTGTTTACAGGGTTGCCAAGGAACATGCCACGGAAGTTTTGGATGTGTTGTCTCTCGCTGCCACTTCGCGTCACATCGAGGTTATTCCTGACGTTCGCGTTAAAGCTTTGAACGGTTTAGACGAAGAGATAGATCTTCGGGGCGAGTACGAAGACGACGAAGGTGTTTTCCACCAGAAAAGCTTTGCTCACATTTTAACCGCGTCTCAAAGAGAGAAGGTCCTTCAAAACTTCAAGCGTCAGATAAACACGACAGTGATTGAGGCCAAGAGATCGATTATACGCACAACAACGCATATTCCAGTGTATGTATATGCTCTAATTGCAGTGCTGGGTTGGAATGAATTCCTCATGATTATCAGAAACCCCTTATTTGTCACACTGCTGCTCATCTTCGGAGTGGCCTTCTACTTTGTTCACAAGCTCAATCTCTGGAACCCTCTTTTGACGCTGGCTAATTCGGCCGTCAGCGAGACAAAAGCTTTGGCAAAGGACAAAATAATGGGATTCTTAGAAGACAAGCCTGAGGCTGCAGCGTCCTGGTCTTCTACATCGAGCAACTCTGGACATAAGAAAACGAGTGTTCCCAAGGAAGAGTTTGAACTACAAGACATGCCTAAAGAATCAGCACCAAGTGCTGTTGACGAAGAGTAAATAAGAGAAAGTGGTACATACAAAAGCAGATGCCAAACAGAGTGAAAACAGGGCGAAAATTTACAGCAGATGCCCAGATTTGATAGTTCGTGTAAGGTAGGTTTAGAATTATATATTCTGTATTTATGGACCATCATCTTTAAAAAAACCGTAGCCTACTTCATCAGAACAATGGAGCAAATGATGAGGCCAAGATGAAAGAGGAGAGTTCAAGTGAGGTGAATTTAGCTAATTTTGAAGACTTCTCTCGATGGAGAACTTACAATATAGATCAGCAGCTTTACTATGGTGCTGTCGGTAACTCTAGCAGATCAAATGAATTCGACTTTTGTCTTTCCACAGCTTTCGAATCGCCCTTAGTCGTCCCTTTTAGAGCCAAAGACGTGAACAAACAGGCATTGGAGCAAGGAATTATTGTTAAGCCGGGCAATGATGCCTTTACCAGTGTCTTGGAACTCTTGAAAAATCCTACGCATCGCCTACAAATCTCTTTGATGGACACCAAACTAACTGTTAAGAGCACATTTTTTGGCAACGTAGAATTTCGACTGATTTTGGAGACTCAGACCGTTGATGGTCCAGGATCTCTGCGAATTACTCAGTCTATTGCTAAATCTTTGTCCTGTGCGTTGAGTCTTCAATGTGGTGTCGTCTCTGAACTACAAAAAACTATATCAGAAAAAGACCGTGCGCTTGCATTTATGGTTGCTAGCATTCGAGATTTAGGTTTTGAAAATGTCATTCGAAGGTGGGCTCCTGCTGATTCCTTGAATGACAAGCTTTTACAGCATTTCGATTTCGACGACTGGTTGGCAAGATGGAGTTCCAGTTCGAGTGAAAACTGCAAGACCAACTCACCAGCTGATAAAACTGACCTGATGAAAGACTTGATGCTCAAGAAAGTCAACTTGATTCGTGAATTGCGCAATCAATCACGGGATGACGGTTTGAGGCCTGCTTCTATGAGCGATGACTTTGGCTCATTCAATTCAGACACCCAAAACTGCGAATTTTCTGACGCCCGTTCTGGGTGTCTTAAGAAAGAGGAGCTTGAAAGTGTCAAAACCGAAGAGCTTGGTGAAATCAAATTCATTGAAGATTCTGAGAACGGTCCTGAAGTCAGGAAATTCATATCGGCGAAAGAGCAAAGCCCACAGAGTCAACAAACACCGCTGAGAGACTCATCGTCTGCTACAGATCTGTCGAGACAGAGTTCTTCGGAAACTACTGTTGACCGTTCTCCCAGTAAGAAAAAGCGTAAATTTGGTAAAGTACGAGTGCAATAAACCACAATCCGCTATTCCCATGAAAAGGCTCATCAAGGCTCTTGCGAAAGACAGGCATTATTCCACCGATCTGATAGTACATTTAAGGCTTCCTTTTGGCTATTGTCACGATCTTTGTAAAAGCACTGAAGTGCGAATACCCAAAATTCAACAAAGTGCTCCAGTTCCGTTACACTTGATGGAATCTTCACTAAAGAAGATCCAGGTGTCTTCCATGCTTGTTTTCCAATATCCGTGCCTTTAAAGTATGCACCAAACACGGATGTCCAGAATTTGGCGACGCACCGGCAACAGGCTCGGAGATTGGTAACGTTTGCGCTATTGTAGTCGGTGAAATCTAATTCATCTCCATACTCGACATGCATAATGTGATCTATCGCAGACAGAGCGATGCCCTCAATCTCAGTGTAAACTAGCTCTGCATTTTTCTGAAAGTGAGTTTCAGGCTGAGCCGGCAACTGCTGGTTCGGTGTCAGCCGCGGGCTGGGATTAACGCTGGCATTGTGACTTGGAAAATTAGGTGTCTCCTCGGCGACTTCAGGAAGGGAACTTCTTTCTTGGTAAACCCTGGTCGCTATCAGCTCAGCGGACATGCCTGGGCGGAAAGACACTGTGAGTATTTTTTCTGTGAGGGCTTTGAGACACAAGTTTTTGTCATTGGACATCAAGATCACAAAGAGATTTAGTTTCTCTCTGTAGTAGAGACAACAATCTAGAATTGAGTCGTCTTTCCTGCAGCTGTAATCGAGTCTTTGGTTGAGACGCTGGCCAACAACTGCGGAATCCAAGTTTGAGAAATGAGTGTATATCCAGTCATTGGCCTTGCGCGCCAGCGCCCCAATGGTCGGCGAATCGGAAAATTTCGATTGGTTTGATTCGATTCTATCATTGGCGTTCTTCAGACCGTCCAATTCTTGTACAACGGTTCGAGGTATCACTATCTGATGTTGGTATTCCATGCTAAGGGTACGCAAGTCCTCCAATATGCTCAAATGCGAAATTATGAAGTTTGTATCAACCACAAAGGCCGTTACACATTTCTGATCGCCTTGTTCGGTGCCGTCCATATCCATCTGGTCTGTCCTCGTTGCCAAATCTGCATAATTCGAGTCGTGCTGTCGATGTTCCCCGATGATATTCGAGATTGTTTGCACTTGCAAATCCTCCGAGACATCCATCATTGCTGCATCTTCAGCAAGGAGATCTTCTTCACGGTGTTGGGAAGCTTCTGCGCACGTCTGCGCTACAGAGTTGCCAGCATTTTGATCTGCGAGAAAACCACGCTCAATGTCCTCAATTGTATACTTTTTTGGCTTCGTTCGAGTGCCTAAGTAAATGGCACGATTCTGGGTGTCCTTAGAGCCAACCAAACGGTCGTTCGCCATCAAACGAGCTCAAATCATGTGTATCTTGGGTTCTATAAATCTTGAGTTTAGCTTAAGTTATACCTTTCGTATAAAGATACATAATTACTCGAGTTGGTATCAAAAGACAGGCGTCTTTGCCATGAAATGAATCCATTCTGAGGTCTTTTACTAGGTGTTTTTTTGCAAGCATTTTGAGAGTTTTAATCTGGTTATGATTGGTGTTTTTTGAGTGACGAATAGGAAGGAATATAACTTTTAATGTTTGCGGAGGTTTAAAAGGTGGTTTTAGTCCTGTTAGCTAGAATAATAATGTTATGTTTCAATGAATCACCATTCTAAATCAACAACTGGTCTACGGTAGCGCTCTCTTCGATTTGGGGTACCTTCCAGTTGCTCATTGGGCTGTCACTCTCTGAGCGATGACGGTATAGTACGAAGTGATATGGATCATCAACTAGGCATGCCGTGTGTGTGTTCAGAGAAGGTCAATTGAAGCTTGTGTGATCTTGTCTTATCTTGTGGGCAATTCGTGAGAGTTTTGCCACTCTTTCTAGCTCTTGTAAGCTTACCTTCGGATTTTACATCAAAATTGTCATAATTTTAAATACGACATAAAATGAATTGCAACATATAAACGTGAAGATACAACGACAAAGCGCAGGAATTAAGATTTCAAGTGTTTAGTCTCAAGGGACTCGCTTCCAACCCGTAGTAAGGTAGACGCACCGACTGGTAAGCTTAATTGTGAATTTTTTTAAAAAAGATAGCACTTATATGAAGTAAGACATGATAAAACAAGAGTGTGATTCAAAGAGGAATATCGAGGATTCAATAAGACCAGCTACCGCACGTCCGTTGATTGTTGACTCGTGATTCGAAGCTGGGTGTAGGGCATATGATAGGGTCATCATAGCTTTCCACTTTTCATATTTAAATTCTGACCACATCATAGCGACAATCAACTCCAGCAAAAGAAAAGAGCACGGATATTACAGGAATGGGAGGGCTCAGCGGGGTGTCCCACGGCTTGCGAATGGAAACTTTACCACTGACGGTCAACGGTCCAGTCAACAAAAACGGGAAAAAGTGTGTGTGTGTAGGGTGTGAACAAAAATGGCCAAAGACAACCAGTAGAAACGGCAGACTTCTATCTGCTGTTTCGTTGCCAAGGCACGTGGGAGTTTCTGTTTAAACACATACCTTTACCCATCGAAGTAGTAAAACAACTTTGCAGAACTGGTGTGTCGGAGCCCGAAGGTGGAGGGGCTCCTCCCCCCGCCAGGAAAAGTTCCATTGCCATCACGCCCGCTGTCCCTCACCGTCATCCCTGATGACAATATCGTGCGACTTTTGTTTCCGCATAAACGCAACAAAATCTGGAGTCCATTGCGAATTGTCGCTAGCAAATTTTGATTCTGAAGCAGAAAACGGCCATTGAATTTAGTAGTGAACGAGATTCGCAGAAACACGCGGGACTGTTTGTCCTTGTGAATCCTGACATATTTCTTCTAAGTTTGACGATTTCTCGTCTTGTCCTTCTCGAAGCACCCGCTCTCCACGGCTTACTCTTTACTTTAGTGGTATTTTAATGTGATTTGTAGATGTTGGTTTAAAGATAAAATAAAAATGGCGCTGAAAAAGCAAAGCAGCAGCAGACGCACATCTTGTTTATCTCAAACGACGAGCCTCACGTTCAGATTCCATCAACACCAAAATGTCGTTTTCTCTGACTGGACCCTTCACGTTTCTGACAATGGTACGGGAAGTGTCGTCCACGAATTCAACACGGACTTGAGTGACACCACCACGGGAACCGGTACGGCCCAAAACTTTGATAACCTTGGCTAGAGTAACTGGGGTCTTAGTGTCCATCTTTGAATCTGTTTCTCGCTGGTTCTTAACAAAAAAAGTGGCACTCAAAGTGTAGAGTTGGATTGACGCTGGTAAGCTTTTTTTGGTCGAGAGAGCTCAGCACCATCTGAAAAATTTTTCAGAATGCGTGTGGACTGGAAAATTCAGGTTTGGAAAGCGATGTGCGTGGTCATAGTGGACGATCATTGTGCGGGTAATCGGGTGGGAGAGCGATGCCGCTGAGGTCACGAGGCTAGGGCAGGGCGCGAGGCTAAGGCAGGCCAGTGGTGCTAGTTCTGGGATTTCGGCCGACTGAATCGTTTGCAATAACGTTATTTGTTCAGTTGTGGAGGATTTGGGAGTGGTGGATGGTTTTCAGCGTGCATTCGAAATTCTTGAGTTTCAGTGCCAGTACTAGGTTCGAGGTCAATTGAATGGTTTTTTCTTCCGTTCTTTTGTTTTGATTGTGAAGATACTGGGACTGGCTAATGTGCATGCGACGTTAGTGAGCTGATGGTGTTGGTACTGAGTTTAAGTCCAATTGAATCGTTTGCAACTTCCGTCTCTTGTTTCGATAGCGAAGGAATGGGTTTTGGTAACGTATGTGCGAAGTTCGTCAGTTGTAGTGTCAGGACTGGGTTCAGGGTCAATTGAATCTTCTGCACTCGCGTTATTTGTTTCAATGGCAATGGAATTGGAAGTGAGCTGGGCCCTGGTGAACCATATCCAACGTGCGCGCGAAATTCGCGAAATTAGTGATTTTTGGTACCAGTACTAGGACTCAAGGTCAATTGAATTGCTCTCCTTCCGTTCTCTGTTTAATTGCGAAGGCATGGTCTCACCTTTACTAGCGTGCATGCGAAAGTTGTTGATTGTGGTGCCAGTACTAGAACAAAGATCAAACGAATCGTCTCCACTTCCGTTGTATGTTTCAATTGCGAAGCCAAGAGCTTTGATGAACCTTCTCCAACCTGCATGCAACCTTCACCACTTATGGCGCCATTACTCAAACTGTTTCCGCCCGCGCCGAATGGCGTCAACAAGCTGATCTTCCGGTAAATGTAGCATTCCCTTGATTCCTTGCAAGTACTCAGACATTTGGGCCACGTCCCGTTGAAAACTGTCTTGTAGCTGCGCGAACAAGAGTTGGTATTTCTGCGACAACTCAGAACTGATTTTGCGGTTGAAATCGTCGTTGATAATCTTCATTTTGCGTGTGAACTCGTCGGCGAATTGGTGGATCGAACTGAAAATCTGGTCCTGTAACTGGTGTGTCAAAGACGAGCCCAGTAGATTATTTGTCTTGGCACCGGCATCAAGGCCCGCAAATGGAGTCGTCAAAGTCGTCGCATCGAGGTTTGTGGACTCCGCCGCAACGGCAGCACTGGCAGCGGTGGCCGCAGATGTGTAGATCTTCCCTACGCTGGGGGGATCCATCGCTGTGGCTATGGGCTTTTGTACGACAACGTCCACTTCGTTCCCCGCAGCACTCTTGAGCGGCTCTCTAATTTCTTTCTTCGATCTGGTTGCCCGCGTGTTTGCAATTGGAAGATCTTCGGCCTTTCTCTTCCCTCCCTTCTTGTCAGGCAGGCTCTTTTGCAGCTCTTTCGTATGTTCTTTAGCTTTGACTTGGGCGTCTAACGCATTCGCGGTCTGTTTTTTCGTCTTACAATGCGCAGAAGGCCCCAGACTATTAAATATGCTGTCAAGCTGCAAAATCTCACGCTCTGAAATTCCAGCGCTGGGTTTTGCCTTATGTAGGTGATGTTCCTTAACAACCACCGACTTGGAGGCACCCTTGGGCTTTTCAGTCTCAATTTCATCGCAAAGTTGTTTGAAAAGACCCAGTGACGTAATTCCTGCCTGTTGCGTAGCCGCTATGGCCAAGGCCTCCTTATTCTTGCGATTCATTCTGGCTTGCTTCCTTTTCTGTGCCATTACGAGCGGCGACTGTTCGGGATCTGATCCTTCGCGTCCATTAACCGCTTCTCTCCAGTCTGCTGCGACATGCGTGTCGGGAGAACCCAAAGCCGACTTTGCTTGATTTCCCACACTAGAATGCTTGAAATCCCATTCGTCTTCCACAGTGTGATTATTGGGCTTATTCTTTGCTTTTTGGATTTTGCCTCTGGGGAAAACTAACTTCAGCGGCTTTGGAACTACTGCAGTTTCACGCACGACATTAGGCGGCCCACTTGGCTTCGGTGTCGCGGCCTTTTTTCTTGGTAATACAAGCGCATCTGATGACTCTCTTTCTGGTGTTGGAAGAGCTAGGGGTTCAAAGCTCTGAGACTCACCAACTTCTCCCTGACTGGAGCTGTTGAACTGCACAGAAATAAAGGAAGTACACTCACTCACTTTTTGACGGCGGCAATTTTTCAGCAAATTTTGGCTAAATCTGGCGTCATCGAATTCAATAAAGATAGCTGTTGCTGCAGCCCAAGGATGGTCCAGTGCGGGGTCCAGGACAGAAATTGCTGACGCTGGGGAGCTTAACAGCTTCAATTTAAGAACACCTGTTGCAGTGGCACTAATTTCAAAATATTGCAAATTGAATTCGAAGAGCTCTTCTGTCGCTGTCCACACGTAAATCACGTCGCAAGTGTACTGAACACACTTAATATCAGATTTTCCGCTAGTAGACCGCGTCGTGTAAGAAACAGCTCGAGCGATCCCAAAGTTGGATAGCGGTCCTATTTTCTTTATGACGAAATCGCAAAACAGTGGATGCTTACTGGTTCCCAACGCAATGAAATCGGAGTCTTCGAAAAAGGCTTTATTTTTGCGCGAATCTTCCCACAAATGAATAATCGAGTTTCCCCGCACTCTCGTGGACGGTGTCTCGCCATTCGGTGCCAGAAACGAGAGCATCTTGACGAGATATATAGCCAGCTGGAAGTCTTGAGTTTGGTCCAAAACGCGGGCGAGACTGCTGCGGAACTTTGCCTGCACCAGTGACACCAGTACAGGCGTGCACCGCGCTTTGTGAAGCGCCACGATTCTCAATAGCAACGCGATTGCTTTCCAGGCATCGCAGCCCCCATTGTTGACCGCAATTCTCAGTAACGTATCGAAGATATGCGAATCGAAACCTGCAGCGTCGCTCCAAATTTGGGAGCCCTGAATTCTGTGAGTTAGAAAAACTGACGCTTTTTGAGAACGAATGAAAAAAAAAGGTTTCTTGACACGTATTGCATGGCTAACGATCAATGCGTACCATAAGCCTGTGCCAAATGGCGTTTCTAGTACCCTCCTCTGCGTGGCCGTGGATGCAGGGCCTGCCCAGGCCCTGTGCAACCACATCCGCCACACTCCACTTGAAGGCCACGCTACTGCGTTCTGTAGCGTCAAGAAGGCCTAACACTGCATCTTGAAACACCAATGGTCCATCTTCATCGATTTCCTCCGGTTTTCGCGCCTGTAAACGTCGAACAAACTCTGGCGTTTCGCCCTTCGCGCTGCTCCTGACCAGCCGCTCGAGCTGTTCCAGTTGTCTTTCGGTCTCCCACATAAAATTCACGATTTTGTAGCGTTTTTAGCAGCTATTCAGGGTATTTTCCAGTCCTTTGGCCTCTTTTCAAGACGCTTTTAGTTCGTTGTTTGTTTTAGCCGCCGAGGGTGTAAAAGGGTCAAAAAGCTGAAAAAGTACTCATTTCTTATATAAATCAATGAGTATTTTCGTCCATAGTGATTGACAACTTGAGTACATAAATGATTTCGACTCTTCTGAAACAAATAGATCGCGATATTTCCCATAGAACGAGACTTGATATAGAGTTTATCTAGATCCATTAAGCTCTCTTTCTGTGTTGTTTTGTTCTGAAGTGCCAATCTGTCAGCTTTAATTATGTCTATTATAGAGCCCTTGGCTCTGTGTATAACTGATAATAAGCTGTTGAATATTGAAAAATTTGAAAATTAAAGAGTGTGATCATCGCATCAAAAAGAGCTAAATCCTGAGACATTGAGCGCTAAAGCTAAGCTGTTAGAGTGTCTAATACGGTAGCAATGAGTTCCACGGACGAGCTGGTGGTTTTGCTCGAAAAAATCGGGTTCGAAGAGCCCAAAGTGAAAGAAATCGTCAAGAACAAGAAGGTCGCGGGATCCTTGGAAACCCTCATCAACGAGGCTCCCGAGGGACAAGAGTGGGACAAACCACGCAGAACGCTTGTTCACAGTCTTGCACAGCTCGCGAAGGGTGCAGAACTACCCAACTCCAAGCTGGTTGTGGACGAAATCGTTAACGGGAATCTCAAAACGCCATTGCAGGTGGACGCCGCCTACAAGTACGTCAAGCAGGCTGGAAACGCAGCGACAGCAGATGAAGTCAAACAGGAGTGTGGTGTTGGCATTGTGGTGACGGACGTGCAGGTTAGAGAGCGTGTGGTGCAGTACATAGCCGACAACAATGCGAAAATCGTCGCAGAGCGTTACAAGCTCGTTCCAGGTATTCTTGCCTCAGTGAAGGGCCTACCTGAGCTTAAATGGGCTGAACCACGCTTGTTCAAGCCTATCATTGACGAGGAAATCGTTAAGGTCTTGGGTCCAAAGGACGAAAGAGACGTGGTCAAGAAGGAGAAGAAAAAGAAGACCAAGGACTCCGGTGCGGCAAACGCGGCCAAATCGGGCCCAGCTGACGCCACAAATGAACCAAAAAGAACAATGTTCACAGAAGGCTTTTTGGGCGACCTCCACAAGGTCGGTGAGAACCCACAGGCCTATCCAGAACTCATGGCAGAGCACCTCGAGGCGACTGGAGGCAAAGTGCGCACCAGATTCCCACCCGAGCCTAACGGGTATCTGCACATTGGCCACTCAAAGGCCATTATGGTCAACTTCGGTTTTGCTAAACACCACGACGGTGTGTGCTATTTGAGATTTGACGACACCAATCCTGAGGCCGAAGCCCCCGAGTATTTCGAGTCCATTAAAAGAATGGTTTCATGGCTCGGTTTCGAGCCTTGGAAGATCACCTACTCCTCAGATTACTTTGACCAGTTGTATAAGTTGGCCGAAAGACTGATCGAGAATGGCAAAGCCTACGTTTGCCACAGTACGCCTGAGGAAATCAGACGCGGTCGCGGGATCCGGGAGGATGGTACGCCTGGTGGCGACCGTTTTGGCTGCGAATGGCGCGACAGATCTCCAGAGGTTAACTTGGCTGAATTCAGAAAGATGAGAGATGGTTTTTACAAACCTGGTGAAGCCACTCTGAGAATGAAACAGGACTTTAACTCGCCCTCACCACAAATGTGGGATCTAATCGCCTACAGAGTGTTGGACGCGCCTCACCCAAGAACGGGCGCTAAGTGGAAAATATACCCAACTTACGACTTCACGCACTGTTTGGTGGATTCCCTCGAAAACATCACTCATTCTCTGTGCACCACTGAGTTCTACTTGTCGAGAGAAAGTTACGAATGGCTTTGCGACCAGCTTCATGTCTTTAGACCGGCTCAAAGAGAGTACGGTAGATTGAACATCACTGGATCTGTGCTTTCGAAAAGAAAAATTGCCAAGTTGGTGAACGAACATTACGTGAGAGACTGGGATGACCCCCGCTTGTTTACTTTGGAGGCCATCAGAAGACGTGGTGTTCCCCCCGGTGCTATCTTGTCTTTTATCAATACTCTAGGTGTCACCACCAGCACAACCAACATCCAAGTCGTGCGTTTCGAATCCGCGATCAGAAAGTACCTCGAGGACAACACCCCAAGATTGATGATGGTGTTGGATCCTGTCGAAGTGGTGGTCGACAATCTACCTGATGACTACGAAGAATTGGTCACCATACCATACAGGCCAGGCACCGTCGAGTTTGGTGACAGGCAGGTGCCTTTCACCAACCGTTTCTACATTGAGAGATCAGATTTCTCTGAAGCTGTGAATGATAAAGAATTTTTTAGATTGACGCCCGAGCAATCCGTGGGTTTGATCAAGGTTCCTTACACTGTGTCTTTCAAATCTTTGGAGAAGGATACCGACGGCAAGGTCACTAGAATCCACGTCAAATACGACAATGAGGATGCTAAGCCCAAGAAACCTAAGACTTACATCCAGTGGGTCCCTGTGTCAACTAAATTTGCTTCGCCTCAGCGTATTGTTGAGACCAGAATTTACAACCAGTTGTTCAAATCGGAAAATCCAATGGCAAACCCAGCTGGGTACCTCGAGGACATCAACCCCGAGAGTGAGGTTGTCTACCCCAACTCTGTGGTGGAACACAACTTCAACTACGTGATTGGGAAATCGCCTTGGGTAATCGAGAGCTCCAAGAAATCCGAGTTTTACGTTGAGGAAGAAGCCGGCCGCAAGGAAGTGTGTCGGTTCCAGGCCATGAGAGTCGGGTACTTCACGCTCGATAAGGACAGCCAAACTGACCGTGTTGTTTTGAACAGGATTGTTAGCTTAAAAGACAGTAGCAAATAGAATGGGTAAGCGTTTTTTACTTATATCTTAGTGTGTGTGTGTGTGTGTGCAAGCTTAAGATATATACTCGAATACGTTAGTTTGCCTTCATCGCGTCAAGTGCCGACTATTATGGAATCGAAAACATGTTTTAATAGCATTTCATGAAGTCATGGAGTATATGACGGTACCACTTGAGCAGAAATAGCCAAAGTCACCGAAGTTACTTAGATTTTTAGTCAGTTTCTAAATATACTGATTATTGATACTATTTAGCACCCATTATAGGTGTTGTCATCTGAATTTTCTCGAGCAGAGCTGCACTGCTAAAAACTCGTCAGAAATCATGACAAGATGTATTTCGTCTTGCAAATTTCGACTAAATACACTTGCACTGTGACAGACCTTACCGGCTACCTCAAGCGCAGTGAGTAAGATCTTCTTTCTTTATCACAAACATTTCTCAAGGTTTCTGAATGATTGTAAAAATTCCCAGACCTACCTTGGTAGTTCAAGTAGCATTTCAAGTTAAACCAGTCAAAATAAGCTATCTTATGCTAGCTTTGCTAGCTCTTGGGAATTTCGTGTCGTCGAGGTCAGATCTGATTTATCGCTACTTCTGCACGGGATCAACTTTTACAATTTTTAGATATATTAAAACTTGTTCTTTCCAGTTCACAGCTCATCTCATCGTTCTGAAGCTTTACATCGATATCATCGCAATCATATCGCAATGTCTAGTCGTCAAGGTGGTAAGCTTAAACCTCTAAAGTCCAAGAAGAAGTCCCAACAGGATCTAGATCCTGAGGAAGTCGCTTTCAAAGAGAAGCAGAAGGCAGATGCTGCTGCCAAGAAAGCCCTTTTGGACAACATGAAGGGCGGCAAGAACTTGGTCAGTGGCGGGATCAAGAAGTCTGGTAAGAAATAAGTGGGCTTAGCGTTTGCCACTCGGCTTTTTTGCCACGGTTCGTCAACTTCACGGACAGAGTGATTTCTAGTGTAGCCATTTTCAGCGTGTGTACGTTTAATCAAACTCTAGTGTATCAAAACCGCATTTGGAGAGATTTTGATGCGGTTCGAGCATTCAAATGTCAAGCGCAGTCTTGAGTAGTTGGACTGCATTAGCCTTTCGGGGTTTTTTTTGGGTTTGGACCCAGAAGCCTAAACTGCTGCCGCTTGGCAGGCGAGAAGAAGACACTTACGAAGAACTCAGCAGACAGAGACCCTGTAAATACGGATAGTTGTTTTGGTTTTTTCGCGGGGTACGCCTGAGATGCTGGAAATGACCTGTTGGTAAATCCAGCAGGCTTTGTATAACATCTCTAGCGAAATGAATTCAATGGCGGCACAGAAAAGCCAATCCGCAAATACCAAACTTGGCTTCTACCGCTATGCAATTGTGCTGGCGCCAGAACTCCGAATCAAAGTGTGGGCCAAGTGCCAAACGACACATTAGTACAAAGTGATTTGTAATTTCCCTTATTTGTAACGGACGCCACGCTAGACTTGTCCTGAGACTGCGAACGAATACATCTCAGGCCCTAGTTTATACGCAATTAAGCGTCTCGCTCGTGCACTTTTCAGGTCAGTTCGTGGAGTTTGCGTCCTGAATAAGATTGCGTCAACTCGATCCAATATCTCCAATTGATGAGTAAATGTTATATTTACGGACAGATTGAAGCACTTCGACAAATAGCACCAAAACCTTGAACTAACAACACTATAATTCACGCCAAATTCATGATAAATCTTAGATCTATCTGTCTAAACTATCCTTCGATTCAAAGTCCTCACTCTATACGTTGTGAAGAACGTCAGATTCCACAAGTTTATGAACTAACAGATACTCTAGCATGTCCAGCCCGATGAGAACGATCTTGACCAAAGTAAGGACGCACAGGGCATCAAGATGAGTGGCAGTCGAACTGGCAAATCGTTGACAAAATATAAGATAGTGTTTTTGGGGGAGCAAGGTGTGGGCAAAACCTCGCTTATTACAAGATTTATGTATGACACATTTGATGACCATTACCAGGCAACCATAGGAATTGATTTTCTGTCCAAGACGATGTACTTGGACGACAAAACCATCAGACTACAACTGTGGGATACTGCTGGCCAGGAGCGGTTCCGATCGCTCATTCCCTCCTACATACGGGACTCGCACGTCGCTATTGTGGTTTACGATGTCACCAGCAAGAAATCGTTTGAGTACATCGATAAATGGGTTGAAGATGTGAAGGCGGAGCGTGGAGAAGAAAACGTGGTGCTGTGCATCGTGGGAAACAAAAACGATCTATCAGACGAAAGACAAGTCTCTACCGAAGAGGGCGAGAGAAAAGCCCAGGTCTTGAACGCCACGATCTTCATCGAGACCTCCACAAAAGCAGGATTCAATGTCAAGAACTTGTTCAGAAAGATCGCCAAGACGCTGCCGGAATTTCAAAAGTCCGACACTGTTTCACTCGATGATAAAGCCTCGAAGAGTAAGCCCGATGTCATCGATATCACCACCAATAACGAAGACCAAGAACAATCAAGCTGTCAGTGTTAGCGGGTGCATAAAAGTGTAGTAATATTAAATATAATGCAACAACTTTCAGGTTTTTATTAAACCTCCGGCTCCCGAGCTGTACGTGTGGAATTTCTAAAAGTCTGAAGTACTGCTATCTTACTCTAAACCGACAAACACTCTTTTTGATCCCGATTACCTTTCCTGTTTTCTTTGTTTATAGCATTTTATATGATCTATTTGCGCTTACATGACTATCTTCTTAGGTGTTCTTGTATCTACGCAAGTTTGAAGACCGCCAAAAAATGTCTTTAAACCACCGAGCTGTTCCTTGGCAGCAGCGATGTTCCCCAGCTGCCTCGCACATCTACATGGAGTCAAAATCTGTTTCCACATAAGAACCGTTGTATGATAAAGTTTTGCACAAACCCGGAAGTACTTCGACTTGCAAAGGTTCAAATGGAAACATTTCACCGTCAACGGATATGATGCTTTGTTTCAACTTCGGAACTAGCCGATAAGCAGTAACTTTAGAATGAACAACTTCAGGTTGCAAAACGTGATGTCCCTTGTCTAATGAGAGGAGAATGGGTGCCATCCTTGTAATAGAAGTTCTCGAGTCCGTCAAAACAAGATCACAACATCCGTCGCTCGGCAAAGCAGCAGGAAAAAACTTGGTGTTAGGAGCAACATAAGGCATCTTTCCTGCATAAAAGATACCGAGATTGCTTGTTATGGCAGGGTCTACGAGCTCCCAATCGTCAGGGACAGGATCTGACAAGCTGTAGGTCAATTTGAAGTCTGGTTCTTCCACGTCCTGCTGTTCTGGAATTTCTAGAGACGAGTCATCGCTGCTATTTTCTTGCTTGCTCTTGTGCAAGTTGTAGTGCTCCCGCAATGCATTTTTCGATTTGGCAGCGTACTTAACGTAAAGATCGCATGGATACTTTTTGCGCTGTAATACGTTGATCAGAACTCCCAGTTCAAAGCGGGATGGCCCCATCCATCTAATGCATTCAGTATTGATATCAGATTCTGCTATCACGCCGTATGTTTGGCTCAGAAAGGAAAGTCTGTGTTCAGTTTTGTAAGAGCTTTGAGTGCAGCACATCAAATCTATCCTTACTTCCTGGGCCTTGACCACGCTCAACGCGGCATACGTGGGGTTTGCTGTTCCGTGACATGACAAGCTCATTGCATTCCCCGAACCACAGGGCAACTGCGTAATGGCCAGTTTGTTAAAGGCATCAGCACGGTCTTTTCTTTGAAAAAGACCGTTGAGCACTTCGTGTGGAATTCCATCACCAGACGCACATGCAATAACGTCATACTTGTCGATGTCGAGAGTCTTGGCTACCTCTGAAGCATGGCCCCTGTAGGAGGTTTCTAGCACCTCTACTAAACAGTTGCTTGCCGCGAAAATGGGTTTAACTTTAGACACGAAAAGCTTTTTCGCCTGACCCTTACCACCATGCGGATTGATTATGACCATAATGGATTTCTCACGCTTGGTGTTCTTGTAGCTTCTTTGCATCAAGGTTTCTGCGACATCGTCATCAGGAGCGATTGTCCCAAAACTGAGAAGCAGCTTTTTTGGCACCAAGTTATGGCGCCTCGGTTTAGCAAATGTAACTTCAACGAGGACCGATGGGAGTTCTGCACCTGGGGCATTGGTTTCAGAATTACTGCTGCCAGCAACGTCGTCCCTATATGGAGAAAAATCATTGTTCATAACACAAATTTTTTTGGCGTAAAGGATCTTAGCGTAGGGGATCAAAGTGTTAGCCGGGAGCGACTGCTCGCCGTTTTCGTCATTTGAGTTGGAATTGTCACTCAGACAAGTTACGCAACTGATGAGTGATGCGCTGTCGAAGCTTTTGCGTGTGGAACTTATTTCCTCTGTTTCATCCTCAAATGGGTTTGGTTCAGGCCCAATTTCGTTGAACTCCTGCGCACTATCCAGCTCGTCCGAGGGGAAAGAATGCTGGCTTTTTATCATGACACCGGAGTCTGTGAGCACGGCACGGCTACATTGGTTCATGTACGATTTCAGTTTTCTCATTATAAACCCCTTAGCCCTCAATGGATTCTTCAACGCGATCTCGTTCCTAGCCGTTGCAATCACCTAATTCAGAGTGGAACTCTTGACAGCTACTGCACAAAAAGAGAGAACGTCTTTTTACTACTCAACTTTTTGTAAAATGAGTGCTGACAACCTTTTTTAAATGGATATGAAGGCTGGAAGTAAACTCGAAGAGCTTGAAATGATAGTGTGAGTTCAGAGAAGTCTCTCAATTTCTTTATAGCCTTTTCAGATTTGTGTTGTCCGTTATATCGGCAAAAAGGTATATTATCTGGACCTTGCTCCTAACTATTGCACGGACTTATGAAATGAAGTAAAATTCGGTTTAAAATGCGTGCTCCGAGGACTGATGAACCTGTGGAATCGTAAGTTGTAGTATCGATGGGCTCATCTTTTTATCTAGCCTGAACAATGTAGAGACGATAATTAAAATGGCTAAAATAGCGACTTTAAGATAACGTGACTATTCTTGAATTTATGAACGAGGCTGGAAGTGACACACACTCACAGATACATACTCTGCTATTGTTGACGATATTGTTATCGGCGTATATTATTTCCTGACGTGTCTGTCTGTGTCCCGGAAACTCTGGCCAATGCTCAGCCCCAAATAGTTCGTATTTTGGACTACAACAACTACAATACCCTTGAAGCCTATTTAGCAAGGTTTTTACTGGACTGAGAAGAATCGGCATGGCGTTAAATTAATTTATCTTTATTCTAATCAAACTGAAGCACTTGAGAGGCTTCTTATAGCATTATGTGGGCTTTAAAAATTCAGAGAATCAAGGATGTATAAAAATTCATAATTTGCCCGTGAAATAACCGAACAAAGCGACTTCTATGGTGGTGTTTTTGTGACTTCAAAAAAGGAAGCAATCAAATCCCTTTTGAACCGGAGCCAGAAGCTTCGAGTGCTTTAACTTTAAGAAGCTGCCCGTTGATTCACACTACTGATGACAGTTTCTTGAGCTGGAATATTAATTAATGTTTGAAAAATACAGGAACTACAGTGAGAGCGACAGAACAACAATGAATGATAGGCAAATAAGAAAGAACAAAACCACATCATCTTTTACAGCTCCTGAATTGCGTCCTAGAGCAGGAAATCTGTGGTCGTAGTTCCTTTGGGAAGATTTCGAGTAGCATATCAAGGATAGACCAATAAAAAATGAATGGCACAATGGACGACGTTTATGGACACTCGAATGGTTTCACAAGGCCGGAATTGTAAAAAGTACCTCTATTTCCATCTGCGTTTGTCCAATTTCCTGCGTTTTCAATCTGCCCTTCCCTGTATCAAATCAGACTGGCGTCTCAAAACAATTACTTCGTCCAGACGTCGTGGCATTGTTCGCATAAGAACACATTAGCTGGAACGCTTCCCTGCTGACACTATATTTTCGCAACTTGCCGCATCCCCGCCTCGATGTCGCATGAGTAAAAAAATACCGTGGCCACAGTGAACAAAATAGTATTCGGAACATATGGTAATCGTAAATTTCCAGTACGATCGCTGATTGCGGCTATAATGAGAGGCTCAGTCCAGCCCGTCAACAGTCCTAGCATTATTTCCAGCCCGAAAAATTGATTCTCTTTCCCCTTTGGTAACATACTACTGTAGACAACGCGGTTAAGGGACCTTATGGCACTGCTTGTACTCATAAACAGCACAAGGCCAGTCCAGAATTCCCACCTGTGTTTAAAACCTACCACGCTATTAGGGTTAGCGCCGAGAGCTCCCCAGAAGTTGACGAACCAGCCGAAGAACAGAAGGATATATAGTGATTGTTTGATGAGCATCACATTTTTGGCGTCGGAAAACCGACGACATTGCCAGTTGTACACCAGCATCCAAAGCAAAGATCCCAGTAGCGCTACAATATTACCCATCAACTGCCACACCGTGTACTCTGCGTTGGATGAATTCAAGCCGAGGGTTGAGCGATACATGAGAGCTATCACCGAAAGAAAGTTAGAAAAGGAAATATTCCACAAAACCCATGCTATCACGTACCTCATTACCTGCTTGTACTTCCACACATCCTCTGTGATCTGTTTAAGTTTAATGAATGGTAACATTAAAAAAACCCTAGCTTTGGACCCTGACGAATCGATCTTGAGTGCCCTTCCTTGAATATTGGGTATGAAGAACACAGAGACTAGTCCGATAAGCACAGTCATAGATCCCGCCACCGTGATGGCGATCAAATAATTACGGTAGTCGGCTGAAATTGAGGAACCACCGATGTGTGTGATCATTACTCCCACTATGAGTGAAAGAATACCTCCGACATTACCCATTATCAGTCCTAAAGCACTGACTTTGGATCCGCGTCTTAACGCTACACCGCCTGACTCGCGAGAAGGTGCACCTTGGCCCAATTTCTGACTGGCAGCAATCATAAATATTGGGACGTATGAACCTTCAATTATTTGATAAACCGTCTCCACTATCAGCATCAAACAATATAATACGGATACTGAAATCAAAGAGGCTCTCGATTCCTTGTAGAGCGCGGCAAAAGGGCAAGCCAGTAGTCCGAAAAAAATGACTGAGGCTGCCAACATAGTTCTTCGGCAGCTGCTGTAGTCGGCAAAAGCCATAACAAAAATGGCTATCAATCCTTCCAAGGCTGTGTAAATAGCTTTGAGATACAACACGTAGGAGGAATACTGTACGTCAGTACCGCCGAAACTTACGTAGCAATTGTCACCACGGGGAGTGCATTTGTTCTGAGAGTTTTTTTGGTGGCCAAGCGCATGGGATAAAGACTGAATCACAGCAGGAATATAAACCTTAATCATTGAGGAAGTAGGACCAGTGGAGAAGCAAACAAAGAGCCAGGCAAGAAATACTTGATTTTTGTTCCACTCGTTCATGTTTTCTTCTTTGAGAGGATTACCACTTTCGGTGTTCACACTAGTATCATCAACACTGATAACTTCCACCAAAGCGGTTTGGCTAAGGGTTCTCTTATTGGCGGGAGAGTCGTCATTTTGGCGATGACGGCTGGCCTCTTCAACGCTTCCGTAACGGCCTGTCAGATCCATGGGTACGATATTATAGGTATGGTGTATTGGGAAATGGTATAGAATAAAGCACGCTGACTATTTATACAGCAGCGTTATTCCTCTGGCACATACAGCATCAAGTCCAAGTTTCACTTTTATAATCTTGGAAAAAGTGAGACCTCGCGCCGGTCAAAATTCGATGTGGCAAGAGCTCGCAACTCCATTTGTCGAAGTCTTTTTGAAGCAGATTAATGCTTGGAGATGATTAGATGAGATCGATTCATACGTTCTGAATTCGATGCGCAATCCAAACGGTGAAATTAAAACTCTTGGATCTCAATTTGTGCCTTTTTGAATAATGGAAGACCAGTAACATGTAAGAGACTCAATAAGCAAAAGCTGTGATATGGGCTCCTAGTCGTAAAGTTCAAAATTGCCGATCAATAGCGACCTTTTTCCAATTAAACTGACCCCGGTAGGAAATTTGGATTTGCACGTCACTAGTAAAAGAGTCGCTTTGCGAAGAGATTGAGACTAAACGAAATTGAACTCAAGCTCAGTGGTATTTGACTAGTGACGGTGAGCTCATCTTCAAAGCTGGTCTCAGCTTAATTGTCTCGACGACAGTCACGGAGAATGGGAAACGGCTCTCGAACCACTTGTGACCATACCTAAGCTAATTAAATTCAAAACCAAAAGCGTTTCACTGGGACTAAAAAAACTTCAAACTCAGGCACTGGCAGTAGTCGTTGATCGATAAACAATGGGTTTGAAGTGAAAAACGTCAGATCAAATTGGGAATCTCACGCCGCCATCAAAGTACAAAGTGATATGAAAAAATCTCAATGGTTACAACAGAAGATATTCGCTTAGGATGCAAGCGAAGTGAAGGACGAATCGATAGTAATTAGACACAAGATCAGATATGACGACGTCTAGGACTACGACCTGTGCCGATCTGAAGCCGTTAATTCATATCACTTCGTACTATTCTGTCGTTATTTGATGAAATAATTACCCAACGTAAAATAGTGGTAATCGGATGCAAAAAAAAGGCCTGAAAAGGGAATTTTCTACGCCAATCAAACACGTACATCTATGTCGCACATTGAAGGCTATAACAACTTTTTCAGTCAGTTTCTTCAGCTAGTAAATTTCGAAGATGTCAGTAAGGCAGAACTGGAATTTTCTGGAGAAAACTTTTAAGCCGGGTAACGAAAAAGGCCATTACCATATAAAAGGCAACAGCTTTTCCCCTGACTCTTACTGATTTCTGCAAGAGAAACCGCGTAATTCCCCAGATATTCGTTGTAGGTTTTCACCGATTGAAGCATAGATCTACTAGTTCTCGTCTGAAAACATGTTGAGAGCTACCAGAGGATCCTTGAGCAAGCGTTTGGCGTACGCTGTGCGTCGTAACTATTCCTCTCACAAGGAACTTAAGTTCGGCGTTGAGGGCAGAGCCGCCCTACTGAAGGGTGTGGAAACTCTTGCTGAAGCTGTTTCGGCGACTTTGGGTCCCAAGGGTAGAAACGTTTTAATCGAGCAGCCATTTGGCGCTCCAAAGATCACAAAAGATGGTGTTACTGTGGCTAAAGCCATCGTTTTGGAAGACAAATTTGAGAACATGGGTGCAAAGCTGTTGCAAGAAGTTGCTTCCAAGACTAACGAGGCTGCTGGTGATGGTACCACGTCGGCCACTGTCTTGGGACGCGCCATTTTCACGGAATCTGTCAAAAACGTTGCCGCTGGTTGCAACCCTATGGACCTAAGAAGAGGTACCCAGGCTGCTGTGGAAAAAGTGATCTCTTTCCTCAGCGCAAACAAGAAGGAAATCACCACCTCTGCCGAAATTGCTCAGGTGGCCACCATCTCTGCCAACGGAGACGCCCACGTCGGCAAGCTTTTGGCCTCCGCTATGGAGAAGGTCGGCAAAGAAGGTGTGATCACCATCAAGGAGGGTAGAACCTTGGAAGACGAGTTGGAAGTGACCGAGGGTATGAGATTCGACCGTGGTTTCATCTCTCCTTATTTCATCACCGACGCAAAGGCCAACAAAGTGGAGTTCGAGAAGCCATTGATGTTGCTAAGCGAAAAGAAGATCTCTTCGATCCAGGACATTTTGCCCGCCTTGGAGATCTCGAACCAGACCAGAAGACCTCTCTTGATTGTCGCCGAAGACATTGACGGCGAAGCCCTAGCTGCCTGTATTTTGAATAAGCTCAGAGGACAAGTCAAGGTGTGCGCCGTTAAAGCTCCAGGCTTTGGTGACAACAGAAAAAACACTTTAGGCGACATTGCCATTCTTTCTGGTGGTACAGTTTTCACCGAAGAGCTGGACTTGAAGCCCGAAAACTGCACCTTGGAACATCTAGGTTCCTGCGATGCCATCACAATTACTAAAGAGGACACTGTCATTCTCAATGGTAACGGCAGCAAAGACAACATCACTGCTAGAGTGGAACAAATCAAGAACTCCATCGACCTAACCACAACAAACTCGTACGAAAAGGAAAAGTTGCAGGAACGTCTAGCCAAGCTTTCCGGTGGTGTCGCGGTTGTGAGAGTCGGTGGTTCCTCTGAAGTCGAGGTCAGCGAGAAGAAAGACCGTTACGACGACGCTTTGAACGCTACCAGAGCTGCCGTTGAAGAAGGTATACTACCAGGTGGTGGTACCGCTTTGTTGAAGGCTTGCAAAGTTCTAGACGAAGTTGAGACTGAGAACTTTGACCAAAAGCTCGGTGTGGACATTATTAGAAAGGCTATCACCAGACCCGCCAGAAAGATTATCGAAAATGCTGGAGAAGAGGGCTCTGTTATCGTGGGCAAGATCATCGACGAATACGGGAATGACTTTACCAAGGGTTACAACGCCGCTAAGAGTGAGTACACTGACATGTTGGCCGCTGGTATCATTGACCCATTCAAGGTCGTGAGATCAGGTTTGGTGGACGCCTCGGGTGTTGCCTCTTTGTTGGCTACTACCGAAGTGGCCATCGTCGACGCCCCTCAACCACCAAGCGCCGGACCCCCTGGTGGCATGCCAGGCATGCCCGGTATGATGTAAGCGAGAATTTCAAGGAATTTACATCTCCAAATTACGTCTCGAGTCATCGGGTATATGTAACGACCGACGTTTCTACTTGTAAATATTAATTTTAATCGAGTTTCTGACCAGTTCTCAGCATACGTGAAGATTTGCTAAGTCTTGTAGACTGCTCTCTTCTGCCCTTCTTGAACAACTATCACTGAACTTAAAATGAACAAAATATATCTAATAAACACACTCAATAAATAGTCAACTAGGTGAAATACAGTATTTAATAAATGCCACACCACGGGAACTAAACCTTTACGCAAGGGTTTGCGTCGTGAGATTGGCTTTGAGAAATCCGTTATTTCTCATCCTGCTGCTCCTCCTCGGGTTCATCATCGCCCGCATCTCCAAAAATCATCCAGTCTTCGAAACCGTCATCCCAAACTTTAGCCAACTCTTCATCGGCTTCCAAAGCATTGTTCTTCTTTGTAATTTTCTGGAATAGTTCAAATTCTTTGTCGTTCAACAAACAAGTGTCGAGAGCTTCGGTCAAAGCCTTGACGTTGATGCGAACACCAATGAACACCAGCTCGTTACGACGATCACCGTAAGCACCTTCAAAGTCTTTCTTGATGAGCTCAAGAGCCTCTGGTGGGACGTCTTCGAATCCAGAAATGTCGAACCAAGGTAGACCACCCTTCACCGTTAACATTGGCCCAGCACTAGACCATTCACCTCTGACAATGAATCTGGTAGCGAGCCAGAAAAAACCCTTAGAACGCAATACAGCGCCAAATGGCGAGTTGGATCTGTTTTTGTTTATCTGTGCCTCCGAGAGCTCCTCCTCCTCTTCCTCTTCTTCTTCCTCTTCTTTGTCGTCGTCTTCTATTTCTTCGTCATCATCATCATCATTACCTTCAACTCCGCCTTCGGCGTCTTGTCCATCCACCTCATCAACACCAGTTTGTTCAATGACAAAGAACTTGTCTCTAAGCATTTCGTACAGCCTCTCAGGGTGGAATGGTCTTCTTTGGCGGTAAACAAAGTTGTTTACATTGTATTCCTCGGTTTCTGGCTTTGGCGTTAGAACTCTCTTTTTCTTGTCTGCTCCAAAACCTTCTCTGGCGCTTAGTTCGTTGATACTTTGCAACCATCCGGCAGCCGTGGACGCCTTTTCGTAGTCGTACAAACCGGTGTTGAGCACAGAGTCCAAGGGAATGTCGCAGTAGTCTGCCGTCATGACTTTACACAGCGGATTTAAGGCCTTGATCATGTTCTTGATCTTCTGCATTTTCTTCTTGTTCACCAAGCTTTTCTTGTTGACAATGACGATGTCGGAAAACTCGATCTGGTCGATCAGCAAGTCCGTGATAGTACGCTCCGATTCGCCCTGGCCGGATTCGCCCCATCTGTCGGCCAAAAACTGCGTGGTGTTGACGTTGGCCAAAAAGTTCAAAGCGTCGATGACTGTGACACAAGTGTCGATCTTGGCGATGGACTGCAAGCCGCCCATTGCGGATACTTTATTCAAAATCGCTTCTTCCTCTTCTGCGATTCCGCCTGGCATGTTGAGCAAAACGTCCGAGAATTCCTGGGCGAAGGTCTCTGCCACCTGCATGGGCTCTGCGATACCGGTCGACTCAATGACAATGTAGTCGATGTCGCCGGCCTCGCAAATACCGACAAGCTCTTCCAACAAATCTCCACGAAGTGTGCAGCAAATACATCCGTTTTGCAGCTGGATCAGTTTCTCTTCTTTCTGGCACACTCTGTTGTTCTGAATCAAAGCAGAGTCGATGTTGACCTCTGCCATGTCATTAATGATCACGGCAATTTTGAGTCCATGGTCCGAAGTCAGAATTTTCTGCAGCAGCGTGGTCTTACCAGATCCCAGGAAACCCGAGAGCAGGGTGATTGGAATAGGTTTGGACACTGTCTTGGTCGAGGTCATTTTGGTCTGTGAAGATTCCGTTCAAATGATAAAAAGTGATAAGTAGTGATCCCATTGGTGAGCAGAGTCCATCGATCATATAAATACTCGCTTCTCGACACTCAAACGAACGTTATCATAACCCTGTAAGTAGGAACTCATCGTCGTCTGCTTGTTTTCAAGGCATCTACTGAAAATTTAATTCTGACGCTAAACTCACCTTACTAACTAACCATCAGGGTATTACCGCCAGCTGTGGTATTGCACATGCACCAACCAAGAACGAAAAATACCGAGGGTAAAAAAATACTTGAAGTATGGTGTCTGTGATGGTTCAGTTTGAGCCAAGTGACGTAAATTTCCGATTGTTGTTTGTTGATGAATCTGTAGCCATTATTGTGGGTTAAAAACGCTCCAACATTGTAGTGTTTGTAGCATTAATTCGATGCCCATCATAAGGAGTCGGCAAATAGATAACTACGTGATTATAATACGTGATCTCTATGCAGATGTGATGCCAAGAATGGACGGCTCTAAGTCCGTGGATAGTTTTTTTTTCACTGTCGTCGTATGATGGTCATCAAAAAAATTAATCGGGGCGAGCTGGGAATTGAACCCAGGGCCTCTCGCATGCTTGTGGTTATTTAGACCGAGTTAAGACTCGACCTTCGCCCAAAGCGAGAATCATACCACTAGACCACACGCCCAACTGATGGGAATATGAGGTTTGATGGAGGTTATAGTCGTGGGTCCCAGGTCATGTGCTGCAGTAAAACCAGTTTTGATTGTAACATTGCAGGTACATAGAAGCCGTGGAAATCATAGCAGTAATGGGCTGAGATACGCGGGACTAGCTGTCAGGATATACTGCTGACAACGACTGCGTTATCGCATTCGCTCGGGGTTCAACTGAGTCACGTGGTTACCATATCACCCCATACGATGTATGTTGCACTAAATTAAAAAATTTGTACCTATAAACACAGCTCATCGCATCTCATCTCATCGCATTGACAACTCCAGTTTAACCACCCCAAACCGAGACGCGCGCCGCCCAAATCTGTATTATAATTGCATCTCCCATAAACTCAATGCTCGTCCTTTGATAGATATCGAACTCTCCACGTCTTCATGTTCGAATTACCAGCTGTACAGAATAGCAAGCGAATACGAACAATCCGCAAGTTACGGTACCAATATATCAACGCTTTGCATCGGGAACATGCGAAAACCCAAGGACAAATCAACGCCGATGGCACCCTACCCACCCCAGAAAACTCCGCTGCAGAGGAAACCAGCGATGTGGACGCTGACAGAGCCTCCACACTCATCCGCAAACGGCGCAAAAGAAGGTCACTCAGCATCCTAGGCTGCGCTGATTCGGATTCTGAGCTGTCAGATACAGAACTGCAAGACCCTGACGCGCAGGACGATCCTCACCGTCATCATTTCCAGCAGGATAGCGAGAAGGCGTTCTATGCAAGACACGAGAAGCCGCAGGAGACATTCGAGAGTTGGAACACAGACCGACGCAATGCCGTCCCGATGATTTCTAGGACCATATCGTATGCTGATTGCAAACACATAGAAAGAAGCGCCCACAGGAGAACTATTGCCAGGAACACCCATATCTCACAAGCAGCCCATCTGCAATATTCGGCCATCAGAAGCGGCCAAGAAGTCTTCATGCCTCCCTCCTTCGGGTACCATAGCGTCCACTACCATCAACTAAGCGAACTTCTGCATTTAAGCATCTTATCCAGAAACTGGGAGAATGCCTACAGGTGCTTTTCTGTTCTCATACGTTTGCCCGGAATTGACGTCAGAAGTCTGTGGGGCGCCGGTGTGGCGATTCTGGACGCACTGTCCCAATCGAAAAAGGGCATTGCCACCAGTACGGACTTTTTGGGCTGGCTAAGCAGCATATACACCTCCAGGAGTAATTTCAATCACAGTATGAATTTATCGTTAGATCCAGTCTTCAGATCGGGCTCGAAGACTCACACCGCCAAATTCGTGATATCTTGGTTGTGGGAGACCCTCTTCGATGCTTGTTCTGACATTAATTTAAGCCAGACTAAAATGTATGATGGCATCGACAGCCGGTTGCCCAAACTTATGGAGAAGTTATCAGAGATGATTCTGGCTCCTCCTTACATGGAAGACCCTGAGGTTTGGTTTATATATGCCGTGTGTCATTTGGTGTGCGCAGACAAGTTTTCTGAGCGATTCTGTAATCAAGGTGATGGGTTTAGTGGGCTTGAAAAGGACATTGCAAGAAATCAAGTTGTTCAACATATAACCAACACCCAGAATTGTCTCAAGAAGTGCATGGTCAAAGGCGCCGATTTCAACTATCCTGAACGATTCCTTCAAGAGCAATTGGCTAGTTTCGAGAAGAGGCTATATTTTGATGGCAACGCTGATCAAAGTCAAATGGAGGCTAAAAGTTCAGAAGATAACACGTCAGATTCATCTTCCTCAAACTTGGACACTCAGGAATTACCTGCTGCGGACCTCTCGTCGTTTATTAATGAGGACGAAGACGAAGACTACTTTGGCAGAAGCGAAAGAGTTCATTTTGGATTCGACTCCGACGAAAGCAGCAGTTAACACTTTACTTCACATTAGCATCAAGACATTGTTTGTCTTTTTAATAAGCATCAAGTTTCTCATATATAGCGCATATAGCTTACTTATGAGAACTACATTCATAAAATTCATCTCTTAGGGAATTCCTCTTCGTAAAGCCTAGTCCCCGACATTCCTATTCGGTTCGGGCCTTTTTCTTTAATTCCTCGACCTTACATTCCAAGTCGGATATCCTTCTTTTCATTCTGTCGATCTCGTAACTACTCTCAATTGAAGAGTTTTTGATCACCACTTTCTCTGGCGTTTGAGGTGACTCTTCCTGGGCTACGAACTCGGGGCGCATTGTATGCGTTATTGTCAGCGTTCGCGTTACCCCATTACTGTCAGATATCTGGATTTTTTTTACGTCGGGCCGTTGTGAGCTGATTGTCGGAAATGCATACCATCTTAATGGCCCGGCTGTGGCACTTGAGTAAGCTGTAGGAAGTACATTTGTCGCATTTCTCGATGAAACTGAATCCGCGACATGCGTCGGAGTGGGCGAGTTCGCCCCTGGTCTAGTTGAATTTTGAGATTGCGTGTTCGAGGTATTTGTAGCTTGAGCAACGTTCCCCTTCTCGTCAAACACTGGCACCCGGCAAATAGGACATGTTTGCGATCTTTCCATCCAACTCTTCAAACATCCCAAGTGTAGGGTATGGTTACAAGGTAATCTTTTAGGTTTCAGTCTGGGGTGAGTGACTTGGTCGGCGGGCAGCATGTCATCCATGCACACAATGCACATTCTCTCATCGTGCGAGTTGAGTTCAGCTTCGGTGACCGTAGGCAACTTTTCGTCGATTTGTCGGTTGCTCTTCAACGTCTTCCAAATTAGGTGGGACGTTTGATAAACGGCCAGCAAGTCCAGTACAATGTCTTTCATCACCATTATTGGCATGGAGAAGGGAATCAGAAGTAGCGAATGTAGACATCCTTTCGCGCATCGACAGAACAGCTCCGCAAACTTCTCATAGATGAACTTGCCCTCGAGTCCCACACCTTCATCCTCGTTATGTGCTTGTGCTCTCTGGACTTGGTGCAGCTCCACGGCATTGATCACTGTCTTCAAAGCCACTTCCAGCACGTCAATGAAGAGCATTGCGAACTTGGTGCCGAAAAGGACATACAGTGTTGATCCGTTGAAGATACTCAGGCCTTGACGCATTAGTTTCCGGTAGCAAAACAAGACCACTTTGCAGTCGAGCCACGCCAAAAAGCAGATGTTGAACACAAACTTCGAAAACACAAATCTAACGAGTCGTGTGTTTTCGTCGGTGTTTTGCATCACATACTCGAGTCTGTCTTTCAGGACCCAATGGAACACTTTTACGAAGATGAGCGCGCCTTCGAACACCAGCACAGACAGAAATTCGTTGTCGGAGTACGTGGACGTCATGAAGAAGCTGCTGACGAGCGTGAACGATAGTCTTTCAAAGATGTGTTCGTACTCCAGGAGACGGAGTTCGCCGAAAAGCAGTTTTGACATGCCCTTCCACAGCAGAATTGTGTTGATCACCACAAAATTGCCCTGGATGATCAGGTTGACCCCATTGCACAATTTCGTGGTTGCCTCCAGATACGACATGCTCGACTGCAGACAATTAAACGCGGACCAGATAGCTCCCACGTACGTGGCCAGCGTATACGCCGCGAACTGGCTTCTTCGGACGCCTGGCACCATTCGCGTAGTAGCCAAAAACTAATTCTCTTTAAAAGGATGACCTTTCCACCAACAATAGCCTGAAAACAGAGCTTCCAAGGCCACGTATCCCTTAATCAGACGAACACTTTAGTTTCTTGTATACAAGCGTCAAAAGTGGACTTTTTTGGTCTCTATGAATCGGGAATTCGCAGATGTCGACCTACTTCACAACCTCAGACCTTAAATAGCCTTCAAGTCCTCAGTATACGCTGCCTTTCACGACTTTTTTACGATTTAAAGGTGAATGTGAATAGTTCAAAATATCTTTAATTCAACAATAAATAAATAATTATATATATATATATATTTATACAAGAATTGAACATTATTGAAGCCAGGGTAGTTTGAATAAAGCTCTACTCGCAGTTTGGCAATTGCTGGATATATAAAGTATAGAAGTAAGTGTATTATAGCATAAGTTTATTGACAATGAGCGCGCTAGCTTTAAAACTAGGAACTTTGCTCATCAGACAGGTTACTCGACCGGTCGCAAACGTTTTGAAAGCGCAGGCCAAACAGCACGACAAGTTCAAAGAGGTTTGCGTGGGACTTGCACAGAGAATGCACCGGGTAGATGCGAGATTGAGGACGAGATTAAGCACTGCGGAACGAGAGCTCAAGATCCGGCCTTTGAACGACGCACGGGCCGTGGAAAACGGTGCAACACTTCTGAGCGAAGCGTTCGTTTTCGGTGTCACGGGCAGCGTAGTGGTGTGGGAAACGCTCAGACAACGCACTAAGGAGCTAAACAGACGAGACCAGGTGGCGAAGGATATCAGCTTTCTGCAGAGCGAGATCGAGGAGCTGAGAGCAGCTTTACTAGCTGCAGAACCAGAAACCGAAAGGGCATCCAAAAAACAAGATCCCCAGAAATAATACATTCCAACATACAGAGTAAGGACTAGATTATGGTACACACAGCGGAGCAGGGCCGGCACAAATGCGCGTACGCCCGCTCCGTCAGGCCCGCGGACCCCTCAGTTTTTCGCGCCCTTGCGCTCCACCTTCAGCAGCAACGCCTTGTTGATGTGAGGCAGCACACCACCGGAGGCGATCGTGGCTCTCACCAGTGTATCCAGCTCGTCGTCACCACGGATGGCTAGTTGCAAGTGGCGCGGTGTGATACGCTTGACCTTGAGATCCTTGGCAGCGTTTCCAGCCAGTTCCAGCACCTCTGCCGTGAGGTACTCCAGCACCGCCGTCATGTATATCGCCGACTTCGAGCCCACCCGCGTTCTGCCAGCCGCGTTGCGCTTCAAGTATCTCTTGATTCTTCCCACTGGAAACTGCAGTCCAGCGCGCGCTGAGTGCGTTGTTGATCTTAGATTCGAGCCGGTTTTCGCGCCAGATTTGCCCTTTCCACCGTGCGCTTTTCCAGACATTGTTATCGATTGGGATTGGGTAAAGGGTTCTGAATTTAAGCTATTTTTCAGTTGGATTCGGCCCAGTTCAGCTGTTGAAGGTCAAGTCGTTAACTGAATGGTGTTGGTGGAATCGTTTGTTTATTTCTTAAAGATGGGAATATCTTAAAGCTTATAAAATACACGCGTTGGCGGGCGGGTAACCAGAGCGAGTGGAGACTTGGGTGGATAACCGAGTAGCTGTTTGATGAGAGAAACGAGTGGAATTCTGACTGCATGTTGCGACTGCATAAGTGGGTAGCTGTCGCCGCTTTCTTTCTTATAAGGCTGTAATGATACTTCGTCGCTGACTTTCAAGATACACCACAGCCAAGTAGAGTTCCCGATAGTTGTCTGCGTTCTCTGGGTCTCTGTCGAGTTTTTGTTATTGTAAATATTCACTTCTGCATCCTGTACATACTTTCATCTGTCGATAGATATTTATATTCACAAGGTGCCCGGCACTCTTGGAGCTAGGTAGAGTCTTTCAATTATCCATGACACATCGCGTTAACGGCGGAGCCAAATTCAGGTCATGGTATATTCACCACCGAAGCGTGGGGCATACAAAATTAGGGCGTTGAGAAGACCAGCGATTAGTCCGGCAATAGGCAAAGTCAGGAACCATCCCAAGTAACACCAGGCCACCATTCTCCAGTTGACGGATTTCATGTCTCTGTTGCACAGGCCAACGGCGACAATACCCCCGACAGCGATCTGAGTTGTGGAACTGGGGATTGCCAACTGAGTGGCCATCACGGATGTTACTGCAGCCGAGAACTCAATGGAAAACCCTCTGGAGGGCGACTGCAAAATGATTTTGTTTCCCAGATTTTTGATGATCTTGTAACCGCAAGTCCAGCATCCGAGAACCAAGGCAGCAGCGCAGTACGCTAGGATCCACACTGGCACTTCGGATTTGGAGCCGTTACGGTTTGTCTGCCATATTTCGTAAACCGCAGACAATGGTCCAGTAGCGTTAGCGACGTCGTTGGCACCGTGTGCAAACGACATCGTTGCAGCAGTAATGGCCTGCAAAACGGAGTATACGTATTCCACTCTGTTGTCGTAAAATTGAGATCTTTTGTACATGTCTTTAAGATCGCCAGACAGCATATCCTTGGAGTTCACCTGGGCGCCCAAAACGTCTTGAGTCCATCCATGGGAAATGACAAGCCACATCAAGCGTGGCCAGAATCTGGGGCCCTGTATTAGTAGCTGCCACCAAATTTGTCTGGTGGTCCTGTTTTCGCTTTTGTCTTCCACCGCTACTGTCTTGGTACTTTCGATGTCAGTTTCTTGTTTCAAGGTAACCTTGTTCTCTTCGTCCTCAGTCGTCACACTAGAGTCTTCTGTGACCCGTCTTCCCTCGTAGTAATCGATGGTGAGATCGTGACCCTCTGGCATCGCAGGAATATTGTCGGTGGACTTGAAGTAGAATGCTGGTCCTTTGAAGAGATCCAAGAGCGATAGGGTCCAGTCCTTGTGCAAGAGCTTTCTGCGGTAGAATGGGTAGAAGAACGTGAAATACACGAGTGACGCGATTAAGCCAGTGAGTAGGATCGACAGGACGGTTTCCTTTCCAGACAGATCGTCCAAGTGCAAGTTGGGCGAGCCCTTCCACACGATCAGCATGGTAAGAACGGAGAAAGTAGCGAAAACCAGGAATCCAACCAACAGCAAAGCGTTTTTGATAGATCTTTCGATTGGTCTGATACGCAAGACGCATATGTTGGAGATGAGGAAAACCGTGGCGGTAATGGCACCTGCGAGCACTGGCGCGATAAACCAGGACGCGATGATCTGAGAAACACCTTCCCAGCCCCAGCGAACGCCGCTGGCGCCGCCTGCAGCGATACCGGCGCCGATGGTGCCTCCGACAATGGAGTGGGTTGTGGAGACCGGCAGTCCGATGGCGGTAGCGATGGTCAGCCAGATCGACGAGCCGATGAGCGCGCATGACATCGTCAGCATCAAAACGGCCGGGTCTTTGCTGTAGACTGCGGCGTCGATGATATTATTTTTGATGGTGCTGGAGACCCTGGCACCGGCGAGAACCGCGCCCAGAAACTCGCACAGACCGGCCAAGACCATTGCTTGCCAGTAGGTCAGCGATCTGGACGAGATCGACGACGCGAACGAATTGGCCACATCGTTGGCTCCTATGTTGAAGGCGTCCAAAAAGCCGAACACCATGGCGATCCCGAATATATAATCGAATTGATGCAGCACCATTGCTAGTTAGTTATAGTTGTGAGGTATGTGAGGTGAGTGCCGGGTGGTTTGGCTTGCAAAGTTGATGTTTGATGGTGATAAACGCTCTTTTTGAACAGCTATCTCAGACCCATTAGTCGCATTAGTGCTGTATTTAAATATCAGTTGTACATCCATATATCTGTGAGATCATCCATTAGGCCAGCGTTCGACACGCTTTCTACGGCATCAAAGGCCAATTTGGCGGCCACAATACGAACAACACCGTCCTAGGGCCCTAATCAAGCCAGCACCGCCTCCCCACATGCACACAAAAGTCGTTGTCATTACTATTGATCGAACCCTGTCGTTAAATTGGTTTTTCGATATTTTATTGATATTTTATTATTTTTGACTGGTTGCCCTGAGAAACACCATTGTTCATGCGCAGGGTCCTAATAAAGAAATGTAGTTGATAACTCAATATATACTATAGCCGTCCACATGAAATATACCAAATGTAGAGAGCGTGCGAGCCCTTCTCCAGCTGGGAGCCCTGAGCAGTTAGTGCGACGTGAAGTGCGTTATTTCCCAGGAAAAATTGTATTTTTTTTCCGTTTCTATAGGTTTTCTCTGCGCGAAGCTGGGCTGAGCAGAGCTGGAACTGTGATGAACATGATATTTGCAGGGTTTGTATTTTTTTTCCCAGCAGGTAAGAACGCGGCGTATCAGGAAATCATGGTGGGAGCTTAGAGCAGCTCAAAACGTGGGGCGTTTTGATATGATTATGGGAGACAATTGGGAAACAAAGTAATGAAAAGCGGTGTGTGGAAGGTTTCTGTAAGGGTTTCTGTAAGGGTTTCTGTAAGGGTTTCTGTAAGGGTCGTGCAACCATAGGACGCAGGGTCAGTGTGCTTTTTTTCCACGTTTTCCAAATAAGAGGATGAATTCGTAAATTGTCGAGGGTTGTGCTGCGTGTGTGCGTGGTTGGTGTCTTTGAGTGTAAGAAGCAAGTATTTGGCGGAGGGGCAGGGTGGGACCTTCGTTATGCTTATCGGGGAAGCCACTAGAGTGGCTCACCACGTACTTTTTTCATTTTCTCTTTCTCTTTGTCGCGTTGTGGTTCAGTCGGCGGCCAGCGCCCAGTAGGTATTCTAGTTGGCTCAGCTACCATCCCTCTGCTTCCTCGTCATTTGATTCTAGGTCGCTGTCTCAAGGAGTGTCATCAGAGGCAGCGAAAAGTTCGAATGGGTCTGACAAACCATCGTCATCCTCGTATATATCGTCCTTCTCGTTGCAAACATCACGACGTGCGGTGGGACCGCGTTTGTAGAAGCCGAACCTATCAAACCTGTCTCGCAGTAACAACAGGGATTTGACGTTTGTTGATGACAGTTGCGTCCTGTCCTTCCCCATGACCCTCGAGGCCAAAGAAATCACTCTTTCCACTTCGCATGAGCTGAGCTTAGTGTAGAACAAGAATATGGCAAGCGGGAAGAGCCTTGGGAACCTGGTCCGATGCTGATACCACCAGGCAATCGCGGTTTCCTTGAACCTATTTTTCAAAAGTGGCTCTCGCTTGTAAGCGTCAAACTCCTCCATAAGCTCCTCAGCATCTGGCGTGTCAGCATCATTCAAAGCCTGTGAGCCGCCAACTGTGTCCTGAAAGTCTACTATGTCAATTATGAAATCTTCGGTTTCATGTGAAGAGTGCCTCTCGACAGCAGTGGAGGCTCGCAAATCAACAGAATTACTGTATTCCTTGAGGTAGTCTTGAATAAATTGGCGAGCTTCTATCAACTTCTCGTCGGCCTCCGCCTTTGACATCATTCTGTACAAGGCGCCTGTCTTAGCACCTGGATCTAGTATTATTGCCACATAATAAAGCGCGTCGTGTCGAACTGAAGTCAAATACCGTTGGTGACATTCTTGTGATGCCAAAATTGCTTCCTAAATGAGTCGCTTATCCGTGAGACGGAGCTCAGCCGCTTCATTTAAGCCTGTAAAATCGGAACCAGACCGGTTTTTGGGGATCTCATGGCCCTATAAAGCACCTTTACAATAGGAATAGAAACTGTTCATCGAATAGTAGAGCGGTGCCCCGTTTGGAAGGTGGTTGTAAGAATCCTTTTGTAGCTTCATTGACAAGTCGTTAAAAACTCCGAGACTGGAGACAAAATATTTCAACATTTGTAAGGTCCGATCGTCAAAATGAATGTACTCGCGAAGCTTGTAGACGATGTCTACATCACCGTTCCCGTCACGCTTCTGGAACCACAATTGCTTATAGTTTTCAAGGAAAGAATTTACTTGACGCCAAATGTACATCCACCGAGCGGGTGCTTCAAGGGGAATGAATGGTATTCTGGCTTTTTTTAAGCTAGCGCGAATTTGGTTGGAGTGTCTCATATTCTTCGCTACCACCTTGATTCTCCGCAATGCTGTTGCAAAATTAGCTTTTTTTAACAACTCTGAAACTATTGTCTTGGCATGTAAGCTTAAAACATGGTTTGCGCAGCGAATATAGCGGGCCTTACCGAGGAGACGGCTCGCCAGAGGATCCTTGTCCTTGAAAAGCGAGAAAATGAATGACCGGTACATTGAGACGTTGTTACTAGCACTGTCCATAGTTATTGTCGCTACTTTGTCTGTAAGGTTATGCTTCTCCAAAAGTTGCAGGAATATTGGTAGAATGTTTTGACCAGTATGCTTCTTCTCGCCCAAGCAAACAAAATCAAGCAGATGAGTATTTTGGGCCGTCCCATCATCGTTGAGTAAAATTCTGTGATCTTCCATATCGTTTATTATCTTTTTATTCCATATATTAGGTGCAAACGAGACCAGCAGCCCCAAATAAGATTCCCCACTTGTTGCAGTCCAGGTGTCTAAATGGATGTTCACAAGGTGTGCATTTCTAAGGTTGAGAGACAGCGTTTCGTCTAACATAGCAGAATAAACCTGTAGCTTTTTCGCAAAAGTCGCTCTAGATCGAATAGGAGCTACTGACTGACCTTGGTCGCCAAACGTACTCCACATCGTGAGTTCGACTAAATTTAGCGGCAGAATTCCTTCCACAACAAGCAAAGCCGTTCTAAAAGTGTGTGGGTTCTTCCTGAACTCATTGGTAATAGACTGGGAGATCCTGAGTGTTTTCCTCTTTTTAGTGATGGCATCTGATGCTTTCTTCCTATCGATCTTTCCATTATGAGCTCCAAAAGCTGATGGATGCAAGGCCCGAACGTGCTTGCTCATGTTTCCCGTGGACTCCCCTTCTTTGTAACATTTTCCGCAATGCTTACAATTAGCAGTTTTCTTGCCATCTCTAGACTTTATGTCAAAGAATTTTAACAGGGAAGACTTTACCATTCATCCTTGATTTGGTTTAGCTCCCCTAGAGGGGTGCTGCTTGTACTAGCAGCTTGTACATTATCGTTCTCTCCACCAGGTCCTGGGCTTGCTTCGAGTACCTGTAGCCGCTGATAGTTTAAATCAGCTCGGGTTGGCATTTCCTGCTCTATGGTGGGGGGGATTCTCCTCTGACATCTCGATCCTCAGCAGATGGTTGGAATTGAGCATGATGATACTTGAAGCCTTAGACGATAGGCATCCAGTATTTTCTCAGGGTTTTATTCACTTTAAAATTTTTGACTTATGCGTATATTATTGAATTAAGTAGTAAGAGTGACGCGTAAACTTGTGAATGAGAGAAACTAAATGTAAGTTCCCCGGTAGTGGTACCTTGAATAGTTCCTGAGGCTAACTTCAATGTAGATAAGCTAAGACAAACCATTTAACTAGAAATTGACCCTTTTGAAGACATCAAAAGGCCTAATTCTAGTGGATAAAACATGATGAGTTACCCAAAGACACTTCCCGTCTATAAGCCCGATTTCGTGGGTACTCATGGGTACCTGGTGAGTTACTCATTGGACACTCGAAAATTTCATTACTTATTGAGCATACCTGATTGAAATCAGATCAGTAGTTTTCTTCTAGTCACGTGTAATTTCTGCTGGTCAGCTGAATTACTCGTGACTTGATAAATTACATGCTCTGTACTCGTCACGTGCGCTGTGTCTCTTGAGTACGGCTCGGAGTTCTTATTATATATTTTTGGCGGAGGCTGAAAAAAAATGGATATTCTGCGTAAGCCATTGCTTGAAAAGTTCTTGAATAAAAACCAGCTTATCCATACCATTCGCTCATAAAATAAAAACTCCGTAACGACTCGTTCTCGGAACCTTTTCTCTCCATTTTGACGATTCACAGCAACGAGCTTCCAGCGCTGCCCTTATTGTAGCGATAATTCTGGCTGATCTCTGGATCTTTCCTGTTCATCTTTACACGCCTGGACGAGATGCTCTGGCAACTTGCAATCGTGACTATTATTGTCAACGCAGTCGCAGCTTGGTCTCCTACAAATAGCTACGCTCCAGGGAACGTTAGCTGTGCCGATGACATCACTCTGGTGCGAGAAGCTTCTGGCTTGTCCGCCAACGAAACTGCATGGTTGAAAAAAAGAGATGCGTACACCAAAGACGCGCTAAAAACCTTCCTGGACCGTGCTACCCAAAACTTCACAAATACTTCTTTTGTCGACACGCTTTGGAGCACGGGCCAAATCCCCAAACTCGGCGTGGGCTGCTCTGGCGGTGGCTACAGAGCAATGCTCAGCGGCGCAGGAATGCTGTCTGCAATGGACAACAGAACCGTCGGAGCCAACGACCACGGTTTGGGAGGCTTACTGCAAAGTGCCACATATCTTGCAGGTCTCTCTGGTGGTAATTGGCTAGTGGGATCGCTTGCATGGAATAACTGGACATCTGTTCAGGACGTGATCGACAATCGGGGCAAAGACAACGAGCTCTGGGACATCAGCAACTCGCTTCTAAATCCTGGTGGAGTCAACATTTTGAGCAGTGCATCTCGCTGGGACCACATCTCCGATGCGGTCGAGGCGAAGGACGACGCCGGCTTCAATACTTCTCTAACGGATGTCTGGGGCCGAGCCCTATCCTACGAATTTTTCCCCACCCTCTACCGCGGTGGAGAAGCCTACACATGGTCTACTTTGAGAGATGCAGACGTGTTCAAAAACGCAGAAATGCCCTTCCCCATTTCAGTCGCAGATGGAAGATACCCTGGAACGGAAATTATCGATTTAAACTCCACTTTGTTTGAATTCAATCCCTTCGAGATGGGGTCTTGGGATCCTTCGCTAAACGCCTTCACCGACGTCATGTACCTGGGAACGAACGTCTCGAACGGCACACCCGTCGCGCAGGGCAAATGCGTAGCGGGCTTTGACAATGCAGGCTTCATAATGGGAACATCTTCCACTTTGTTCAACCAATTCTTGCTGCAGTTGAACACCACCTCTTTGAGCTCCTTCATCAAAGGAATCGTTGGCGATTTTTTGAAGGACTTGTCAAGCGACTACGATGATATTGCCATCTACGAGCCCAATCCTTTCAAAGACACCCCATACGTTGCATCTAACTACAGTCAGAGTATCGTCGAGTCCGAAAATCTCTTCTTAGTCGATGGTGGTGAAGACGGGGAAAACATTCCTTTGGTACCAATGTTGCAGGAGGAAAGAGATTTGGACGTTATTTTTGCTTTGGACAACAGTGCTGACACCGATGAGTACTGGCCAGCCGGATTGTCTTTGATTGCAACCTACGAACGTCAATTCGGTCCGCAAGGAGAAGGTCTCGCTTTCCCTTACGTGCCAGATGTTAACACATTTGTCAACAAAGGACTGAACACCAAACCTACCTTTTTCGGGTGTGATGCCTCGAACTTGACAAGCTTGGCGCGTACCCCACCATTGATCGTGTACATGCCCAACAACCGTCAGTCCTACAACTCTAATACCAGCACATTCAAGATGTCCTACAGCTCTAACCAACGCATGCACATGTTCCAAAACGGATTTGAGGCTATAACACGAAACAACATGACCGATGACTCGGGATTTGCGGGCTGTGTTGCCTGCGCCATCATGAGACGCAAACAAGAATCTTTGAACATCACTTTGCCCCAGGAATGCACTCAGTGCTTCAAAGATTATTGCTGGGATGGAAAAATTGAGACATCTGGTGCCGGAGTCAGTACTGTGGGGACCTACAGCGGTTCGATCTCCTTCCAAACGGACGCTGCTTCGGCAACGGGAAGTTCCTCATCAACAGCGTCAAGTTCCAGTAAGCAAAATGCGGCCGCTCAGATGTATCCAACTTACAGCACAGGCTGGATCATTGGAACCATTACCGTATTAGGCTCAGTTCTTGGTCTGATGTAAAGGTGGCAGAAAGCATACGATAATATACATAGATGAACTGTACACTTTTTACATAAATCGAATGAGTGGTGCGACTCACGTCAACCGAGTTGAAGATTGTCTGCTGCGGGTCATGATTTTAAATGTAGGCTATGATGATCAAAACAAAAAATAGACAAAATAGAATCTGGAGTTGCGAGCACTTGGGCGTCAAAGCCTTAGCAAACTGGTCTCTCTCAATAGTATTACTAGTGCTCGCGTCGAGCTTTGTAATTGTATTATCGCCTCGGTTGCGCTTCCCTCGCGCTTGAACTTTCGTCGCGAAAATCAACGTCATGAGGAAAGACTTTGACGTTAACTCTGCATTTAATCATCGGAGAAGGAGAGTCAATTGACTAAAGATAAGCGTCAAACTATAGCTGGTGGAGGATCAGCGCTAGAAGTAAAAGATTCTGATGATGTGAGTATATAATATAAGGTTCGTCTTTGCTAATCAATAATGGTTTCGTGGTCTAGTCGGTTATGGCATCTGCTTAACACGCAGAACGTCCCCAGTTCGATCCTGGGCGAAATCATTTATTGTTTTTTTGGTTCGAGTTTGTAGAGGTCTGTAGTGAGACATTGAGATACAAATCTCCTCGTCCATTTTAATCTCCTGCTCTGAAGACCGACCAACCAACTTGATATGAAATTACTGTCTATTTTAACAAGCTCCCACAAATCATGCGCAATTTAATCTCTGATTCTTGCGTAGCCCTTCGGAATCACGGTGTTCACACCGACTCTTCTATTTTCCAAGGCATTGAGAAGGTCTCTCATGACAATTCCCGGTTCTTCTCTGGCTTCACGATATCGAATACCAATTTCTCCGCGAGCAGCAACGTCTGATGACACTTTGCCCAAAACCTTCACAGAGTTATTGTTAGCTTTCGGACCGGCGTTCAGCCAGCTGTACTTCTTTTTACCACCTGCTATCATCATGTTGGCGGTCGCATTGGAAGCCCTGTGCAGTGTCTCCTCTGTTTCGACTTTGGCCTCTGCAGTCTCCTTTTCGAGCCCCATCGAAATTCTCCTCTTGACTCTTTTCTCTTCCTGTTCTTTTTGGTGGATAGCGATGTCTCGCAGGGCTCGAGACACGTCGCTTCGACGACCAGAACTCAGCTTTATGGAGCGACGTCTGTGCCGTGAAATGACTAGTGAATTGGTTATTATGTCTCGCATGAACGCCTCGCATGCTGAAGACATCAGACTCAGTACATCGTGAGCTTTGGAGAAGTCCTGATTGAAATTCTGCTCCGAGCCAACTTTTTTCATGAAATCGGCGACCTGAGTCGGATGCAGCAGCGGCACCTGGGGCGGAAGTGTGTTGTTGAGTGCAGGGTCGGCGTGCTGACCACTGTTCTTTGTGATGTTCATGGAGGAGTTCAAGAGCGCCTCTTCTTCGCGGATATCGACACCTGCAGAAAACAGTGCGTCGCTGAGCTTGTCGGGATCTGTCTGCATCTTGGAGGAAGCCTGGTTGGCGTTTGCGCCGCCTGCTCCCGAGCCACTGGCGGACCCAGATCCGTTCCCTGCCGGGACCGCCGTGCTCGACTGCACTGACTGCTGCATTTTTTTCGTACTCTGTTGCATTCCCTTGGGCTTGGCCTTCTTTTTGTCTTCTGTGCTTGTAGTTGCAGAGCTCACAAGGTTTGTTGTTGGGGTCTTGCTTTCCGGTAAAGTAACGCCAGATGCTGGTCTGTCTACCATGCTGTCGAACGGAGTGGGCATATCTGATCCGAAATCTGTGTTTCCGGCATCCAAGCTCTCACTAGCTGTCCCACTCCCTATTTCAAACGCGGGTTCTTCATCTTCCAGAAGGGTGTCATTGTCTTCCTTTTTTGCCCTTTTTTGGCGCGAGTTGTCGGCCCCAAAACCGCTTGGTCTCTTGGGTGATTTAGCCATGCTTAAAGCTCTCCAGGCAGTGCTTTAATAGTTGTTTGGACCTAGTTCTCAGTCCCTGGGTCTGGCTTTTGGCCACAGCAACTCAACGTTTTAGAACCATTACGTTTGACTTTTATAAACCAAGAACTACTAAATATGAACGCATTTTTATTGCCACTAGAAATGAACGTAGAAAAACAACATGGCGCCAGATCACGTGCAGTAATCGAACAAAGACGATGTTTAAGCGACTGTGATATTGTTGTCAGTGGGTTAAATGTTGTCGTTGCGATGTTGAAGCGGGCTATTAGTTGTTAAAATGACTTGGAGGGGTTTTCTTAATTTGTCTTGGAGAAATTTCGCTACTGACAGAAAAATGGATTGGAAAAGAAAACTAACGATTGTTTGAGCTGGCTGATACTTTCGTTCTCATGTATACGCGGTAAAATAGATGAGCAGCATTTCACTCCCTTTTTCTCCTCTCTATGTAGTTGTGCTCCCCGCGTAGGATAAAATATTATTAAATACTTATTTATTACACCGTATCACTGAGCCTTTTTTTTGGGCGACGTAAATTGTGTCTGCTCTTAGATCCGATTGATCCTACACAGCTTTAAATTGGATGCTTTTGCGATGCTTCGATGTCGAAATACGTGTGCGGGAAAACTACTTTTATACTTGTCATTTGGCCTCGATTCGTGTCCCTGGGGAATCGATTCACAAAATGCAGACTGCAACTGAAAGGACGACCAGAACAGAAAAAAGGGCTAAAGGCATGCAACGAAACCTACCAGACTTCGCTGTTCCCCGCCCAATAAAAAACCAAATGAACAAAATGAACATTTTTTTATCTGCAAATCAAGAAGAAACAGATTTAAACCGATTATAACTTCTTATAAACATTAGCGTCATGGTTTTGTCCTTCTCAATGGCAGCAGACGGTGGGATGTCCGCACCTAAAAACAACAAATGTACTTCCCTCTGTACTTCCCTCTGTACTCGTCATTGTACTCGTCATTGTACTCGTCATTGTACTCGTCATTGTACTCGTCTAAAAAATCACACATCACATGATCTCATCGAAATCTTGAAATATGGAAGATTTTTCAAAGTCGAAGCTCATCGCTCAAAGCTCATCGGAAGCTCATCTTAGCGCTAGTCAAACAGAAGAAATTCTAAGGCTTCATCGCTGCGTGTCCCTTACCATAATTTGAAAACGGTGAGATTATGTCTACAACTCGATATGCCACTTTTCAGGGCTGCAGAAACTTCCGACTGCTGATAGTTTTATCAACGCTTTCTGGGAAGCCCATTCGAGTAGAAAAAATCCGGTCTGAGGATTTGAATCCAGGCCTGCGAGACCACGAAGTCTCCTTTCTTCGTTTGATGGAAGCGATGACCAACGGTAGCTCGATCGAAATTTCATACACCGGTACAACGGTCATCTACAGACCGGGCATCATCACAGGCGGTTCATATACACATCAATGCCCGCCTGGGAAACCCGTGGGATACTACGTAGAACCGATGCTGTATCTGGCACCATTTTCCAAAAACAAGTTCTCGGTAATTTTCCGGGGTGTTACCGCTTCGCATCAGGATGCGGGTCTGGAGGCCATCAAGTGGGGGCTCATGCCGGTGATGGAAAAGTTCGGCGTTCGCGAATGCGCTTTGCACACTTTGAAACGAGGATCTCCGCCTCTGGGAGGTGGTGAAGTTCACTTGGTTGTCGACTCTCTGATCGCACAGCCTATTACCATGCATGCTCTTGAAACGCCTCAGATTTCGTCCATCAGAGGTGTTGCATATTCGACCAGAGTTAGTCCCTCAATGGTCAACAGAATGATTGACGGTGCCAGAAAAGTGCTGAAGAGCGTAGGATGCGAGGTTGATATTACTGCCGATGCGTGGAGAGGGGAGAACGCCGGAAAAAGTCCAGGCTGGGGTATAACATTAGTGGCAGAGAGCAAAAAGGGCTGGAGATACTTTTCAGAGGGTATTGGTGATGCTGGTGCTGTTCCTGAAGACTTGGGTACCCAGGTCGCCTACGAATTACTGGAAGAAATTTCAATGAGCGCTGTTGTAGGAAGAAATCAACTGGCATTAGCCATTGTCTACATGGTTATTGGCAAGGAGGATATTGGTAGACTCAGAATTACGAAGTCTCAAGTCGATGAGAGGTTCATTTGGTTATTAAGACACATTAAACAGATTTTCGGGACTGAAGTGTTTTTGAAGCCGGTTGACGACGCTGATAGCGACGATCTGATAGCGACCGTCAAGGGAGTTGGCTTTACCAATACCAACAAAAAAATAGCATAATGCCGATAAGGCTTGGATGTCAAAAATAGTCATCAGTAACTCCGATTCACGCAAAAAACGCATTTCTTCACTCTTAATTTTACTCACTGTTACGTATACACCGAGGGCCCTTACGTTTCGGCTTATCTCGACGTCGGCATCGATTGAATAGAATCCAGTAGCTTTTCCCACTCGTTAGAGTTAAGTTCCATGTAGTTCATATTGAGCTTGGCCCAACGTTGAAAGTTGTCTGTAATCAGAAACTGAGTTTCTTGGAAGTGAACATACTCTTCCAGGATGCATTCTCTAACTAGCCAGCTCTTGTTCATTTGCTGGGCAATACTTCTACGGTCTCTTTGGATGCTTTGCTTGACCTTGTCATATTCTGCACCTCTCAAATCAGGTTTGTCCTTCATTAGCTCCATGCGCTCAGTGCTGAGCTCTATACGTCTTTGAAGCTGCGGTACGTTATTTCCAGCCATAATTTTGTATCTTTCGAAGAGCCCCTTCAGTGCCAAAACAATATCTATGAAGGTCCTGAAGCGTGGCGATAACTCCTTGCTCATTTCCTGACTTTCAAAAAGTGTCAGATTGTTACAGGAATTTAGATGCTTGGAGACCATGCCCAAATGATCATTAATCTCGTGGACAGTAGTGCTCGTCTCGGAAGAATATATGCGCGGAGTATTCTTGGCAAAGTCGTCAAGCATAGATGCAAGCAGTGCTCTGTCTTGGCTAATGAATTTCATTCTCTTTTCATACCTCTCAACTAAAATCGTGATTTTTGCCCAGAGGTCAAGCAGCGTATCGATGGAGGAGTCTGCCTCATTCCAGCGGTCTGCCAATTCTTTGTGCCACATCTTTATGAAGGGGATTCCTATCTTTTTGTCAGTAAATTCATCGGTAGTATCGTAGCTCGCATTCTTTCTCCAGCCCAGCAAATCTGTTGGAACAGTGAGAAATGTTAAAACCAAGTCGTCTGTCTTGAGAACAGGATGTTTTACAACAAGATTTATAAATCTTGATAAGCCATTGAGTCTCTTAATAAGAAATACCGAATCTGCATTGTGAGACCCTATTTTCTTGGGTGGTAGGTCTGGAATCATCCGAAATGGATATTTTTTCAGCAAAACCTCTTGCAACCATACAAAATCCGAGTATCTTCTTACCACACTTTTGTCACTTGTAGGCTCTGTGTTGGGGAGCTCAACTAAATGCCTCACCAGATAGTTGGTGTGTTTGAATAAAAGCCCCTCTCTTTCGGGAATCTCTTCAACCATGATTATATCGGCAGACAGAGGATTATACGCCTTTCTTACCTCAGACAGCCAGATTTCGTAGTCTTCTTTTGTATTTGGTTGAGTAGATCGACTGGTAGATTCTGCAAAGGGAGTTTCTGTCAGCATGTCACCTTTCGAGAGACCCCTAGAGACCTGATTGTTAACATCACCCAGAGAGTCGCCCCAATTAGCAGGTGTGGTACCAGTCTGCTGTCCCATAATCAAACTAGATGTATCTAGTTGCACACTTGGGCCAATCGATTCGTTGTGACTGCCTCGTAGCAAGGCTCCATTGCTCGATGTCCGGGCATCTCCCTGCAGGATACCGGACGACGTCAATGGATCAGCACTTAGGCTTGCCCACTCATTTTGGGCAGCTGGTGGACCCGAGATCTGTTCAGACCGCCAGGGATCCTCTAAGTCGCCGAAAAGGCTCATTACTCTCTGGTTCTACAATAATTGTTTGTATTAGAGAAGTTGATAAATTCAGCCCATTTAATTATTAACCTCCGAACTACTTGATTGAATAACGAGGCAGTGATGAAACGTCTCTTTCACGAACAAATGAGGCTTCAAAGAGCTTAATTCAAAATAATGACCCTTGATGTTTAAGTAAACGCGTTTTGATCTCAGACAAGTTCTCAGTCTAGAGCTCACGAAATGCTTCTGAGTAGAAGTCTTGGCTAAAAGTGCGATGAGCTGCCAAGCTAGCAGTATACAGATACACATAGACGCATAAGACTTCAAATGTGAAGGCAGTAAAAAGCGCAGGGGACCGCATCCTTTTCTTCAAAATGACGCTAATATCAAGTTCCGCGCATCTCGATATAACAGTGAAAGAAAACGCGCGTGGTCTGTAATACGAAGGGTCATCTAGTTAACACGTTGGGACTTAATAGTAAGTAATTGAGTTGACTGGATCACGTTTCTATTGCAGGAGTTTCATTCGAAGTCTATGCTAAGTCGAGTATATTACAGCCCTAATGTTTGCCTACGTTGTGCTCACCGCTGAAGGAAGTAATTGGTCCGAAAAAGTGTGTCTAAGGATATGTCCGCAGCCGTAAAACAGCGCTTACCATTACAGTTCGTTGAAGTAAAGTAGAGGTTGAAAAATATGCTAGAGCCTCTTAGCACTTCTTGAAGAACTAACTGCGTAAATTGTCACCGACAAATAGTCAGGAAAACAAATTCTTTCCAATGCATGCTGTATCTGAATTTTAGATTATTTCATCGAAATAGTCTCCAATTCTGCCAGACACCCTTGCTTGACAATGCATTCTTGTAATTGTTGTGGGGACGCTCTATTACTTGGTGTGCCGGCCGAGAATATTGCTGTGTTAGGCGACTGTCAGCATGATACCCCATTTTTATGAAAATTGTCATCATACCCAATTCATGCCGATAAGACAGATTCTGAACACCAAGTTCTGTACTTTGTGAATCGCTTAATCTTTAAGAAGCAATTCTGGTCATCACCAGGAGCCTGTGGTTTGACCCAGCAAGGAAGAGGTTTCGAAGGGCGCCCATAATAGCCTCTTTTGAATCCTCTATCTTAGCACATTCTTCAAACAGCTTGTTAGAAAGTCCTTCACGTATATCCATAGAGCACCAGATAGGCTGTTTAGAGCTAACACATCATCAACTCAGAAATATATTACTAGTTGAGACCAGGTCCGAAGCTAGCTTATAACTGGGGCCAAAAACGTAAAAACTCTAAATGGCTCTGTCAACGATATAATATCTGTCGATGATGTAAATCAAGGTTTTCCTTTCATTTTCCTGAACCTAGCGATCTCGCGGCATGAAATTGTACTTTTCCTAGCTGACTGCACGATTCAGCAAATATAGCATTTAAGACACCAATGTAAGCATTAAATTCCCTAGTCGAAAATCATTAGGCAACGCTGATCACATACGTTTACAATGCCTTACGTTTACAGTCCCATCCTATGTATTTTCGAAATTTGCAACATTTTGTCAGCGTGAAAGTCCAAAGGCCGTTCTAAACGTCTCATAGAGTGAGGCATTTGCCCAAGTCTTTAGAACAGCTCTCATCCTTGCGTGGGTACGTCTTGATCTTGCTCGAAAGAGTCCTCGTCGTCATCATCTTCGTTGAAATCCAAATTAATCCAGCTAGGCCACGCGGCCTCGACTTTAACTATGGTTCTAAAAACCTCAAGTAGAAACTGCTCAAGCCTTCCCACGCTTCGCAGAACAGAACCTTCGACATTGTTCTGTTCACCTATCTCGCTCTCAATTTTGATGCTTCGGATTAGCGAGATTCTTTCCAGTGACTTTTTGCCCAAGAAAGCTGAGCTCCCCGAGTCAATGATAGATTCTCTTGCGTCTAATATAGGATCTGCCACATCGCACAAAAAGCTTATAAACATCTGTTTGGAGAGATAGGCGACTAAACACAGAACATGCACGCCCAAGTCAGTAATCGATAGTTTCACTGGCAAGCTCATAAAAGAGGGACTCGGGTAGTTAAGTGCCAGTTCCGCATTGACGTCTATTTGCATGTCGCCTTTGTAGTCTATTTCCAGTAGAAACTGGAGGTCGCTCTGGCTGCGTGGGCTTGGTTCAGATTCACAGTTCCGACTTTCACCTGGTCCTTCGCGGCCATCATCATCGTCGCCATCTGTTTCTGGTTCTCTCGGCAGCTCTTCGCTAGCAACATGCTCATAGAACTCATCTAGAGGATCTGTAATCTCTCGTAGAATAATTTTTGGTGGTATGTTCCCCAGACAGAAATTGGTTACCTGCAAACTGTTGACATAACTGGGTAAAGAGATGGACTGCAACTGAGAATTGAGAAAGGACTTGATAGAGTTGTTAATTAAAGGATCGTCCCCGACGTTATCCCAATTGATCTCGAAAGACATTGCTGGGCTTGGCTCATCGACGAGTAGTCTAATTAACAAATGAGTTCGTTAATATAACAAACATATTGACAATGAACAATAGAGTCTTGGAACAAAATATAATAAACAACTAGCAATTAGGCCACATTGGCCTTTGATCGCATGATAAAAGGTGCGGGCGGAATTTTCAGCCTATTCATTCATAGAGGCTTTTATCCGCTTAACAACAGGTCATTTTCACACACAGCGGGTATCTTGTCAAAGACGCAACAATTTCTAATAACCAGAACGATCAATGCTCCTGCCGCCGATGTTTACGATGTGGTTTCCGATATATCTGAATACAAAAAGTTCATGAAATACTGTAATGAATCCTTCGTCGACAAAAGAGACCCTGAGACAGGTAAACCTAGCGAGGCTGGTTTGAGGGTGGGTTTTCAGCACTATGACGAAACATTCGTTTGCCAAATAAGGTGTCTGGAAGAGAGAGACAACAATTATACTGTGGTGGCAAACTCACTGACCCATAGCTTGTTTAAAGCTCTGCAAACGAAATGGAGCATCAAGCCCCATCAGATGAGACCCGGGGTGACTGAGGCCATACTTTGCCTGGAGTTTCAATTCAAAAATGGTTTATATAATAACGTGGCGTCTATCTTCGGCAAAAGTGTCACTGAACTCGTCATGAAATCGTTCGAAAGGCGCATTTTTACCTTGAGACGGCAAAATTTGAAAGGTAAGCCTGCGGATGCTCCGTAGCATGTAAGCTTGAAGCTCTAATCGAGACAGCTTAAAGATCAAAAGTGTCTGAAACTGAATCGACAGTCTGATAGGCTTCTTCAATCACCATCTTTTTTCAAAGTACACTCATTCAAGTCTTTAGCCCAATGCCTTTTTCTGCGATTCCTACCATTATTTAACACTTATAAAAAAAAACGAAGATGGATAGCACTAAATCTTACATCTCCGTGCCAGTTCAGCTAGTGTTTACGGTCCTTTTTATTCGACCAAAGCTTAAGTGACCACCAGCCGGCCACTAAAGCTGCAACACTAAAGAAAAAAGTCTTGTCTCTCGAGTTTAGCGTGTTCGAATCCTCCGATGGGTCGCCTTTGATCGATGCGTCTACATCAGTGGTACTCTCAGCCTCTTCGTTTACAATGTCAAAGCTTTCTGCTGGTGCATCGGCCTGGAAAATCACCTTGTCGTGGTCTGTGGTCGAAACCTGAGGTGATGTATCCGATGTGCTGTCCTTAGCAAGCAGTTCCTTTTCCAGCATTGTCACTGGTTTTCGATCTGCACTTTCGGAAAGGGGTGTTATGTGAACGATATACTCCTTGTCCAGTGACTCCAAAGAATCCTCTGTTGCTGCAACGTCAGGAAGCTTGACATCGTCTACAGGTTTTGTGTCACCTTTGTTTTTGAGCAGCTTGGATGAATGCATCTGACGGGCTCCAACGATCTTTGACATTCCGGGCATTGATTTCGAATTTTCGAATGCCAAGATGCGGTCTACAAGCTCACCCTTTCTTCCCGACAGTTTTAGCCCCCGATTGCGGCACTCGTTTTTGAGTGCCTTCAAGCTCAAAACGTTGAAGCTGGCTAGCTTGTCATTGCTTAACAGCGTCGTATGGTCTTTCCGTGGCGTACTGTGTACCAGTCTGACCGAAGAAAGTGGCAGGACCCCCGACCAAGCACGGACTCCTGTTGAGAAAGTGCCTGTGCTAATGTGTTGCTGTGAGAGCCGTGAAAGAAGCCCCTTCAAACTCATTATTCTATAGTGTGTGAGATGCGAATATCGGTATTGTTTAGAGCTTCAAAGTCGTGTCTTTCGTCGAGAGCTGGGCTCTTATTTATGGTATTTAGTTGGTATGGGAAGGTCATTCCTTCAACCAGATCAATACGGGCATCTTGTTTATTTACTTGATGGAGAAGTAGATAATCACTTTGAACGCAACCAAAACAAAACAGAGATGTGGTCAAGTCCTAGGAAGACTGTAGCATTGCTGGTGCGTGCCAAGTGCGTAATCAGTGCGTGAAATTCAGCGATGATACTATTTGGAAACTGGCGTGATGTTTTGATTATTTACAGTTTTTAAACAGGGCCGACTTACGGGTACCGTTTGTGAACCCAGATTATTCTTTAATCTCGGCGTTCAACACACATATATATAAGTATACTTGGATGAGAGAATATGGATATGAGTCCGTGCAATTCAGAGCTTGACTTTGACCTTTCAAGAGCTTTTAGAGCTCGCCCGGGCGCGTCGTTGACGCAATTCCGGTTGCCAGAAGGCGAAATTAGTAATGACGGGCAGCTTCTTGGCATGCCTTCAACTGCTGCAGGTAGAAATCGCAGATTTGCATGTTTCCGCTGTTTTCTTCCAAGCAACGAGTGAAGGTTCTGGCATCGACGTCACAGGTTCTGGCCTGTTCGTGAGCGAAACCCTGCTGCTGAGCTGGAGCGGCAACCATCTGCTGCTGCTGCTCGGCAGCTGGGGCACTAGAAGAGCCGGAAAACATTCCAGTGAGACCGGCACCTAGGGTGTGGCCAACAGCACTACCGACAGCCACACCGGCAGCAGTGGATGCCATTTGCGAGAAAAGGCCAGGCTGACGGGGCTGAGCAGCAGCCTGAGGCTGGGAGTAAGCCGAAGTTTGCGGAGCGTGCTGCTGTTGGGCTGGGTGGGCAGCCATGGTCGATGCCGAACGGCTTTGAGCTGGAGCTGGTCTGGATCTAACGCCTCCTCTGGAACGAGCCATTGCAGTGGATCAAATAAAGTTGTAAGTTAGAATATGTCTCGGAAAATATCGCTCTGAGTCGATATTAAAGGAGTCTTGAGGTCTGAAGTGAATTCATCAGAACAAACTTCATCATGAATTCCTTCTTTTATACTATACAAATCAATTTATCTCGGGAAAATGAATTTTTCGCCACTATTCCAGAGGCACGTGACTGAACGGGGCCGATTGTAGTTTACCTAAGCACTTAATATAAACGCGGTGTATGGGCAGTGTGAACATGTCCTCGACTCTATACCAACCTGATCCAGACGCCCTGTCCACTATGCTTAAGTTGTCTCTTCATTCTCTTCAGATTACGGTTCGTATTACAGATCCTCGTCGAACATCTTCTCCAGGTTGATGCTGGGCGGCCTCACCGCCCGTGGTTCGCCATACGCGACCTGATATAGAGGATCTGAATGTTCCAAGATATGTGTGTTTCGAACCGGGGCCATAAACTCGGAAAAAGCGGATTGTGGTGTGTCGTTAGATGACAAACTTTTGGCGTTTGCTGTATTTTTCATGATTTCGGTGGGAGATATGAACATGGAGTTACGTTCAGCGTGCGAAATCATACCAGCAGGCAGGGTTCCTCCTTGGAGCAGGTCTATTGTGGATTGAGAGCCTAAAGTGCGCAGTTCAGGTCGCTTGGAACTCCTTGCCTTCAGAACACTCTCTGAGACATCGCTGTGAGTGGAACCATCTGAGTATTCTGAATCAGCATCGCCAGATTGAAACATGAAGGGGTCTGCTTGATAGCGCGCTTGAATGCTCTGCGACCGGTACTCACGGCGTGCACTTAACCACCCTCTGATTGCAAATAATAGCCAGATGATCGAGAAAAGCACTCCCAAAAACCCAATGATAGCCCCAACGATGACAAACACCGTTCCAGTAGGATACGACGTTCTGTAAATGTGCTTGTTTCCTGCCGTGTGGGGAACACTGGGTGTGAATGTAGCGCTGTAAGACGAGAGAGAGGCCGAACTCGTGGAGCTCGTGGAGCTCGTGTTGAGACTGGATGTATTTGAGCTGACTGTTAAAGTGGGCATCGCACGCTTAAACAGCGGTTGAGATGTGATGGGGAAGATAATCGCGCTCGATGACGCTAATTCTGCTGACAAAGTGGGCATTGCACGCTTAATGAGCAATTGAAATCTTCTGTCAAAATCTCGGTCGGCAGACGCGGAGCATATCAGAACGCTGAGTGTGCAACAGAGGTATTTCAGATTCATCCTTACTCTCCCCGAAGTTTATAGATTCCTTGTTTGCTGTAAAGTGCGTCTCGCTTTTGGCAAACATAGCCAAGAGTTTGCGAGCTTTTCAAAACCACATTGGTTTTATAATGCTTGGTGTTCAATGGAGTTTACCGTTCGTGGTACCGCCTTGATCGTGTGTAGACCGACGCGATTTTACCCAGTTCGCGAAAAGTTTCAATATATTTATTCCTTAAGCACGAAAAATTCATGCAAAGAAGACGTGTGCTTATATAATGAAAAGTTCGAGAGAGAACGGTTACTGTTAAAATCAGAATCTCAGAACCGCCAATTCTCGTCAGCGGACTCAACAGCCCACTTGAATTTGTCTCGAAGCGATTTCGTAAATACCTTTTCCAACGGAACACCGTATTTCTTGCAAAAGACCACTGTCAGTCTGGGATCAATGTAGTTGATTTTTGAAGTTCCTAAAGCAACCTGAGAGTTATCCTCCTTATCTTTCAGTTGAATGGTGTAGTTTTCTATCCTTTGCTCCAGCTTCTCTACCTGTGACTTGAGCTTTTCCACATCGGAGTTTGTGATTGTCACATTGCCACTTACAAGCTCTTGCTTAAACCCGGTTTCCATCTCGTCGACCTTGCTCATCCACTCTTGCAACTGGGACCCCGGCAAAGGATCTTCCTTGTCAAACTTGCGCTTTTCGTTCTCCCGCGCAAACTTTTTTACATACTTGTCCCGCTCCTTTTCGATCACACGGCTGTGAATAGCCGCTTCCTGTTCTTTGACAAGGTCGTTCACTTCCGCGAAATACTTCGGATTTCTTTTCACTTCTATCTTGTCTAGCTGCATAATGGCTCTCTTTAGTCTGATCTTTTGCCATTCTAACTCTTCGATTCTCGCCGTGGCCTTTTCCACTGAGGCAGCATGTCCCTTCGTCACTGTCCTCTGGTGATTACACAAGATGGCAACCGTTCTATTGGCTGCATTGTATTTCAACAGCTTTTCAGCCACTGTTCCTTCATTAGGAATCAGATCTAACTGGTCTTGCATGGTTTTCGACGCATTATAAGTACGAAAAACTTTGGCTGTCAGTCCCGGCATGTAATTTTGTAGGTGCTTGTTCAGAATTGAAGGATCCAATCTATCAAAAAGTTCGTGACCGGGTTTTTTGGGCGGTTTCTTGAACAAGGTCAGATTCTTGAAGACTTGTTTCTCTACCTCTACCTCCTGGTAGAATCTGATCGAGTCCTTACCCAGGAAGTCGAAAATGACTGTAGTAGGAGGTTTGAGCGTGACGTGCTCGTATCGTAAAGAACAGCATCCAACTGTATCTGCTTCGTCGTCTGCCTTCTCGCCACCAGCTCTTAGAGCAAAAACATCAATAAAGTAACACGCCACTGCAATTTGCCTTTCTAACATGACTTTACTTTTAAGATTTTTATTGTAATCTTTTCTAACAGCACCAATATAGCCCTTTAACTGACGAGCCTTTTCAAACTTTTTGAAGTCGCTCATACCTTTCAATGACGAGTTGGCGGCGAAACGCACGTATTTGAATGAGTTTGAGATGTTTTCTCGCCACATGGCTAACCATTGAACAGTGTTATCGTGCCGTATTTCTCCCCAGTTGTGGCCCTCGGGCGGCGGTGGAACTGTTGCTTCTCGATCAAGGTTAAGCACCACGTCCTCAGGATACACTCTTCTTTTTAACTTACCAGTTTTTGGATGGGCACCACGGCCACGAAAAAGTCCCGGTGGTTCAATTCTGAAATTTCCAACCTGTTCTTTACGACCGTCAAGAAAACAGAATTTATATGGCTCTTCGAATTCTTCCTTCTCCTGCCTCAATTTCTTCTTTTCCTGCGGACTGAGTTGCTTCTTTTGATCCTTTTGCAACTGAAAATAATCGAAGATCTTGGAGAAATCGCAAAGCTCAAATTTCTTGACTTCTACGCCATTACGAGTACCGCCACTCTCCTTCAAAACCTCTAGGAAGTCTTCAAAAAAGTTCTTTTGGAAGACGGGATTTTTCGCATGGTCAGATTCTAGCAGGGCCGCGAAGAAGCCGACAACTTCTTCCGCTTGCGGTGGCAGATCAACAGGATTTCCGTCGTAGTATAGCTTGATATGGGTGGGAAGAGGGTCATATTTAGGAGGAAAAATAACACCATTATGCTTGAGTGTGGTCCATTTCACTGTTTCGTCATCGTTCTCTTTCTCCCACCACTTAAACTCAGCGACATCCTCGCTGGACTCCTTGTTACCGTCCTCAGAATCCACATTCTGTAGTTCAAATGAATGCTCTCTCTTTGGTATCTTAGGCGTCTTCTTAACTGCCGGTCTTTTAGTCTTTTTATCAGCCTTTGTATCTACTTCAGTGCTTCTTTTTCGAATCGTCTTCGCCTTTTTTGCTATCTTTTGGGGAGAAGCAACTTTAGACAGAGCTTCATCACTATCGATCGCATCCTTATCCTCCCGTTTGACGCTGGAGGCATCACTTACAACCTTCAAGCCGCCATCCTCTTCATCTAACTCCCCGAGCTTTCTCTTATTTCGTTTGAGCGTGGTCGCAAGTGGTACATCTTCTTCGTCAGAAGACGTGTCGTCTTTCAGTTTTACGGTCATTGCAATGTGGATGGATCTTGCTTGCTTGCGGTGCACGACCTGGCGAGTGTTGGTATGCCTCTGTATACACAAATTATAGGTACATTTTTTTTTTCGTCAAGTTGGCTTTTAGCATCAAGCCCTGACCCCGTCTGAAGTGTCTCTTAGATTCAAAAACCTAGAACACGAAACACGTCAACTTTGAATTTAAAAGCGATGACGAGGGTCTCATGTCACGCTTGAGACAAAACAACGAAACTAACGACAGGGAGTAAAAATAATTTCCAAATCAATCTGCAGTCTCATTCGTGCTTTATGTCTCCTAGGACGTGGAAGCAGCTCTGAAGTAGCCCTGATCACCGCGAACAGCTTGAAACCTTGGAGCCCTGGTTGCAGCCTGGCAATTTGTCCTCTGAATCAAAATAAATATTCTAAAAACCGTTTGGCCATTGTGGTATAACTACCAATTGTTACGTGTTGGTCTCACTGAAGGCAAGGAATAGCCGGCGTGATTCTCTTACATAAAAAAATCGTTAATGTCTGCTTCGAACAGTCATTCACCGACCATAGCATCCCACAAGTCCTTCAGAACATAATTCATATTCCAAGTTCCCGATGGCCTATTGCACAATGCCGTAGAATCGTCCTCAAACCCAAAACCCTCAAGTGTGCTCTCGTCGCAATCCTTGCCTTAATGTAGCTCCGCTGCTACTCAACGGTACTCAGTGTATGGGCATTGCACGCAACACCATAAACCCTTAGTCTCGACTGTTCGCAACGGCCAACACGTCTCGGAAAACACTTTCGATAGACAATTGAGTCTGACCTTCCTCTATTATGTCACAATCTCCGTATAGCCTAATCCAACCAATAGATCAACGCTCAATCAGGGCATGAGCGGCTCCCGTTAGCTCCCAGGCAAGACTACAAAGTTTTGTTTTCTGTTGACATTTTTCTACTTTGGATTGCAGATATAATAAATCAACAGTTTGTTTACCTCTCAAAAAACTTCGGCATGGATTCGAACTAGAACAACAAGTACATACAATTACACCAACACGACGGGGCTCTTGAGACTAACTACCAGCTACATTTTGTTAAACTCGACCGTGAAACAACTGTATCTGTAGGATTAAACGGGGTTGAGATACAACATCTGGTAAAAGAGCTAGTTTCTTTCTCCAGACACATCTAAACGCGGTCCGATATTTGGACGATCGGCTCCACGTAGATTTAGGCTTTAGAAGTCACAAACACAAGCTGCGCTTTTAGCTTGAGACAGTGGCGAATTGGTGACTGGACCTGCATTGTCAGTTGTTCCGTGCTGCATTTGCTTGTCGCACCTTCTAAGGTCCCTGCCACAAAACTATAGCAGGCACCTTCCCGAGTTTTGAAATCCGGCAAATCAGCCATTCCACACTGTTCAAAATGTCTGCAGCGCCACTTCAGATTGTCAACGAGCGACAACTAAACACGCGCACAAACAATGTATACACGCCCACGAAGCACACAGGAGGAAAAGAAAACCTGCATCAGAGCAGCAACAAGCGTCCCGACCATCACCATGATCAACACAAACAGCCGGCCCCGAAGAAAAAGAAAGAAAAGCTTTCCGCTCTCTGCAAGACACCCCCATCGCTGATCAAAACGAGAGGAAGAGACTACCACAGGGGTCATTTTCTCGGCGAGGGAGGATTCGCAAGATGTTTTCAGATCAAGGATGACAGCGGTAAGATATTTGCCGCTAAGACGGTCGCCAAAATCTCAATCAAATCAGAAAAAACTCGTAAAAAGCTTCTTTCTGAGATCCAAATTCACAAGAGCATGCGACACTTTAACATTGTGCAGTTTGTCGACTGCTTTGAGGATGATACCAATGTGTACATACTGTTAGAGATCTGCCCTAACGGCTCGCTGATGGACCTCTTGAAAGCCAGAAAGGTGCTTACCGAACCAGAAGTACGCTTCTTCACTACCCAGATAGTAGGCGCCGTCAAATATATGCATAGCAGAAGGGTGATCCACCGAGATTTAAAGCTGGGGAACATTTTCTTCGACAGCAACTACAACTTGAAAATTGGTGATTTTGGACTAGCCGCCGTGTTGGCCAACGATAGAGAGCGGAAATTCACAGTGTGCGGTACGCCGAACTACATAGCGCCCGAGGTCCTCACCGGCAAACATACAGGGCATTCATATGAGGTGGACATTTGGTCTTGCGGTGTGATGATTTACGCTTTGCTCGTGGGTAAACCACCCTTCCAAGCGAAGGAAGTTAACATCATATATGAGCGCATCAAATGCTGTGACTACTTTTTCCCCAAAGACAAGTTCATCTCTCCAGAGGCTATGATATTAATCAAAGACATACTGTCAATAGATCCATTGGAAAGGCCGTCTTTAGACGAGATTATGGATTATGTGTGGTTCAGAGGCCTATTTCCACCAAGAATTGACCCCGAAAGTCTAGCTTCTGGGCCTAATTATGACTACTTGGATATGGCCCAATCGAACACCAACTTTAAAGCCTGCATGACGCGGTCAGGATTGGTGTCCGGGTCCTCATCCTCGACTAAAGACCCCATAAAACTTGTGAAGAACGACTTGGACCAGGAAAGGAGTAGAACAATCTTACCGCAGTCTTTGTCGCCAGGCGGAACTAAAAACAAGTATCAGGAAGTCGTGGATCTTGACGCTCAAAAGAAGCTGAACGATCTAGCACGCGAAGCAAGAATCAGAAGGGCGCAACAAGCGACTCTCAAAAGGGATCTGGTAGCCACTTCTACCAATGCTATCAAGTCCGAAATCTCCTTGAGAATTTTGGCAAGTGAATGTCATTTGACTCTTAATGGAATCCTTGAGGCAGAAGCTCAGAAACGCATGGGTGGGCTGCCCAAGTCGAGACTGCCGAAACTCAAAAATCCAATCGTAGTAACAAAATGGGTGGATTACTCGAACAAACATGGCTTCTCGTATCAACTATCAACGGACGACATTGGCGTACTCTTCAATAACGGTACCACGGTACTAAGGCTTGCAGATGCAGAAGAGTTTTGGTACATTAGCTATGACGATAGAGAAGGCTGGGTGGCAAGCCACTATAACTTGCCAGATAGACCTCACGAGCTGGCACGACATCTAGAGGTGGTGGACTTTTTTTCGAAATACATGAAGGCGAATTTGAGCAGGATCTCGACTTTCGTTCGCGAAGAATATCACAAAGATGATGTTTTCCTTCGAAGATACACCCGTTATAAGCAGTATGTGATGTTTGAACTCAGTGACGGTACGTTCCAGTTCAACTTCAAGGACCACCACAAGTTCGCCATTTCGGAAGGTGGCTCTCTAATCACTTATATCTCGCCCGACCGCGAAAGCTCCACCTACCCCACCGTGGAGCTCCTGAAGGCTGGCGAAATGCCCGAGCACCCCGACATCGATTTTACCGATAAGCTTTTCATGATGAAAGAAGGTCTCAAGCAGAAAGCTGCGATTGTTTCCACAGCGCAGCCGCAAATATAACGGGCCACACATCGGGCCACCACCTTCGAGCACCACTTCAGAGTCCTCGCTGTACCACTGCCGACTAGGGTTAAAGTAAAGAAAGAAAAAAAATAATAAAAGAGGATAGCTTGAAGCCATGACCTGTGTTTCAAGGCACGTTTCTGTTTCTCTCCCCCCCCTCCTCTCTCTTCTCTCTTTTCTCTCTCTCTCGAGAGAACGAAAAAATTGGTCGACGACCGGTCTCGTAATGCCTTTATTGTTGTTGTTCTACTAAATACTATAATACACGGGAATGGCGCTGCGGCGTTCCTGACTAGCACACGGCTCCTGCTGCTACATGGCGTAGTTGTCTTCGGAGGCGAGCGTCTGCAGATTCCATTCTGTCTCGAAGTTCGACTGCAACTGGCCCAGTTTCGAGATTATCCCGTTGCATGCGTTCTTCAGCGCTTCTTTGGGGTCGTAGCCCTCCACTGTCTGGATTCTCATCTTAAACTGTGCAAAAAGCGGATGCTCCACCTTGTAAGCAGCAAAAAGCACTTTTTGGTCCTCTAACAGCTCTCCCCGTATCAGGTTTGCCAGTGTGTGGTCCTCTTTTTCAAACGTTACAATCACTGCGTTTGGCGCCTTGGTATCTGGATCAACCTTCAACTTCGCCTCTCCCTCAGGCAGCAGGAATAGTTCAAATCTATCTGGAGCGTTCATTTGGCGTTGTTTTAGGTGCTATCAATCGAACAAACCCAAGATTGATGCGGTCTGTAAACTTTAATCCCATGAGTTCTCGATTCTTCAGTTCTTATTTGTCCAATTCTTGATTTCTCATAAAATGGTGAAGCACTTCTGACGAAAACTTAAAGCGTCTGTCTACCATGTTTTCGCTTTTTCGATAACCGCCCCTTTAAGAAAAAAATTTGTCCCCAGCGGAAAACTCTACACATAAACAGTGTAAGGTCAAACCTGTGAAAGCCTGAATAGGACATTTTAAAGAGGTCAGGACTGAAACGACACTGCTGAGGAGAACACAAGATAGCAGGAGCCATATTCGTCTTTTTTACGGGCTTTCAACGATGTCGCAGAACTCGCAGAACTCGCAGAACTCACAGAACATACACTCCGCGCCAAGCCAGTCTGGAGCACAGGGCTGGAACGGGAGTGTTACAAGCTCAAACGGTGCTGAAACTGCACCCAGCATTCTTGGAAGTACAAACCGGCCGAATCAACCGCTCCAGCAGCAGCTGCAACAGTTTGTTCTGCCGTCGATCAGCGGACTTGAAAACGGACACCACGGGGAACAGCAACGGCTGCCCTTCATGCCCCGGCCAAAGGGCTTCTCTGTTGCCAGTCTGGATAATCCACTGCCTGCACAACAACAACAACAACAACAACAACAACAACAACAACAACAACAACAACAACAACAACAACAACAACAACAACAACAGCAGCAGCAGCAGCAGCAGCAGCAGCAGCCGCCCGACGGTAAAGGTGCTCCCATCACCACACTTCCTGCAGAGCACGTTCCTGGCACCTCGTTCAAACCACTCAACTTCAAGGACGCACTTTCGTATCTGGAGCAAGTGAAGTTCCAGTTCAACAGCCGGCCAGATGTGTACAACCATTTCCTGGACATCATGAAGGACTACAAGTCACAGGCCATCGACACGCTCGGTGTCATCGAACGCATCTCGACCCTGTTCAAGGGCTATCCGGTCCTCATCCAGGGCCTCAACACGTTTTTGCCCCAGGGCTACAGAATCGAGTGTGCTCAGGACCCCAAGGACCCCAATTTCATTTCCGTGACTACTCCTTTCGATAACGCCAATCGCCCCACAAGGCTTGAAACACACGATATATCTGTCTCCAACACCGCGAGCGCTGCGACAGCTGCATTACCGCATCAGCTCAGCGATACTCCCACATCTCAGAGCGCTGCCGTCTCTGAGCAGGCCAGGATTGATGTAGTTCAACCCGCATTACCGGGACCACCACCCGTCTTCCCAGCTGGAAATCAACAACAGCAGCAAATGCCGGTGCGTCACGCTGAACAAGCTGAACAGCAATTACCTTCGAGCCTTCGGAGTCCACAATCCCAGCAGCCTTCCCAGCAGCCGCCCCAGTCACTTCAACCTCAGAAGCCATCTCATGCACAGCCACCACAGCAATATCTGGCAGCCAGGAACGCTGGTGATGTCGAATTTAGCCACGCAATCAGCTATGTGAACAAGATCAAAACAAGGTTCGCGGATCAACCCGATATTTACAAACACTTTTTGGAGATTTTACAAACCTACCAAAGGGAGCAGAAACCTATTCATGAAGTCTATGCTCAAGTAACGGCTTTGTTTCAGCACGCACCAGACCTACTTGATGACTTCAAGAAATTTTTGCCGGACGCTACTGCCGCTCACGAACAACATATGCAGCGCATTCAGCAACAGCAACAACAACATATTCAACATTTGCAGCAATTGCAGCAACAGCAGCAACTCCAAATACAGCAAATGAATCAAAATGCACAGTTTCCTGGACATCTTCAACAGGAGCAACATCCAGATCAGGCTCAGTTGTCACTGCATCAAGAACAGCTGCGTCAACATCAAGAATTAGAGCAACACCGGCAAAATTTACAACACTCGTACAATGGCGGACCAGCATTTTTTCAGCCACAGCAGGCAACGACACAGAACCTTCCACCACTTGGAAGCTTCTCTCCTCCTATGAATGGACGTGAGAACGAGCCACATATAAATTTACCGGCTGTCCAAGAAGCTGGGCCAAACCTATCATATCGGTCGCCTCAGCAATCCGCTCAGATTCCTGCTCAGGGGATCGTCAGTACTGCTTTACCTGTTTCGGACCTTCGCGGCCCTATCGATGGCGGCTTTGCTCCGCCTTCATTGCATACCCAAGATATACAGTACTTGGAGCCAACCTCAAGACCAGAGATTGATTTAGACCCCAGTTTGGTTCCCGTCATTCCTGAACCAATTAAACCACTGGAAACTGACATAACACTGATTGAAGAAACTTCATTTTTCGACAGGGCTAAAAAGTATATGGGAAACAAACAAGTCTACACAGAATTCCTCAAAATTTTGAACTTGTTTTCCCAGGACCTGATCGACACAAACGAACTTGTTGACAAAGTCGAACATTATCTAGGAGGGAACTTGGAGCTCTTTGACTGGTTCAAAAGTTTTGTTAACTATGTTGAGAAGCCAAAAACTCTCGAAAACGTAGTACACGAAAAACATAGGCTGGACTTGGACATGTGCGAAGCCTGCTGCCCTAGCTATAAAAAGCTTCCTAAGACCGACACTTTCATGCCATGCTCAGGCAGAGACGAGATGTGTTGGGAGGTCCTGAATGACGAATGGGTAGGCCATCCAGTGTGGGCCTCTGAAGACTCTGGATTCATAGCGCATCGCAAAAATCAGTATGAAGAAACTTTGTTCAAAATTGAAGAAGAGCGGCACGAATATGATTTCTATATTGAGGCTAATTTGAGAACTATTCAGACCCTGGAGACTATTGCTAATAAAATTGCGAGTATGACACTAGAGGAAAGGCAAACATTCAAACTACCACCTGGTTTGGGGCATTCTTCCCTCACAATCTACAAGAAAGTCATCAGGAAGGTTTATGATAAGGATAGAGGCTTCGAAATCATCGACGCCCTTCATGAGAATCCGGCTGTCTCTATTCCCATTGTCTTGAAAAGACTGAAGCAAAAGGATGAGGAGTGGAGACGGGCTCAAAGAGAGTGGAATAAAGTATGGAGGGAGTTGGAGCAAAAAGTGTTTTACAAGTCCTTGGATCACTTGGGCCTCACCTTCAAGCAAGCTGATAAAAAGTTGCTTACTGCCAAACAGCTTATATCCGAGATCAGCAGCGTCAAAGTTGATCAAACCAATAAAAGGATATATCCATTCACACCAAAGCCAGAAAGTCAGTTGGATTACCATCTTAAAGACAAAGGAGTGCTTTTTGACATTTTGGATTTGGTCACTGTGTTCATTAATCAAAGCGCTACATATTCTGGTGCTGATAAACAGAAGCTGATTGAGTTCTTCAGGGGATTCTTATCCACATTTTTCGATATCTCATATAGTGAGTATGAAAGCTTAGAGGAGACAAAATCGAATCAACTATCTGGTGATGAAAGGGTGGCAACTCCCTCGCGAAAGAGGAAGAGGCAAGATGACCACATACTCAGAGATTTACTCAGAGGCAGGCATACAACGAAAAGAAAAAACGGCTCGGACAGTGGGCAGCAATCGGATGAACAAGACCTGTACGAAAGAGAAGCTGCCAGTAACGACGAAGAGGAGATTATTAGACAGGAGGCCAAAAACCCCTGGCTTTTAGGCAACGTCATAGAGGAAGCGAACGACCACGGGTTTGTTCCAAACAGGAATGTCTACAATATGTTTGCTAATGCAAATATATATGTGTTTTTCCGCCACTTAATCACTCTATATCAGCGTTTGCGCGAGGTGAAAGAATTGAATCAAGATGTCACAAATGATATCAAAAACAGGAAAATTGCCCAGTTTGCAAAAGACCTCAATTTGTTATCAAATCAACTTTCTGAAATGGGCTTGGATTTCGGAGGAGCTGACGCTTATCAGGAAGTTTTGAATCTCTGTAGACGCCTGATCGAGAAAGACATCGAACATCAATGGTTCGAAGAAAGCCTACGCCAAGCATATAAAAACAAAGCCTTCAAACTCTACACGGTCGACAAGGTGGTGCAATGGTTAGTCAAGCATGCTCATGCGATTGTAACGGACGCCAAAACTTCTGAGATTTTAATTCTGTTCGAAAAGGACCGGACTTCTCCTACTACCAGCAGGCGAGACCAGATCCTCTACCGGCTTCAGGTAAGGTCTCACATGGGACTTTCCGATAATATGTTTCGCATTGAATACAACCAACAAACTAAACACATTAGTATACAGTTTGTTGCAGTGGACGACCTTACGCTGAAGGAGCCGGAGTCGCTCAAAGATCGCTGGCAATACTACTTGACCTCATACGCTCTTTCGCACCCCACTGAAGGAGTCCCACATGAAGAAATAAAAATTCCTTTCCTCGTGAACAATTTCAGAGAAGATGAGCAGGACAGCGAGGTTGAAAAAGACTCGAATGGTGGTCGATCCGTCTCGCAGCTTCGTATTCAAATCAACCCTGAAAATTATGAGCTCCAAATTGAGCCCAACTCCAAGGACGTTTTCACCACGCTCGCCACCAACAAGTTTCCAACTAAAGCGGCGCATCATAACAGTCAGGAAAGGGATCAAAACAAGAAAAAAGCGATCTCCTTTTTGAATGGGGAGCACGGCTGGAAAAAGGGGTTGAGCAAAGAGAGAGCTACAGAAGCTGAGGCTAGACTCAACTACGTCAAGGTTCATGGGGAGGTTGAAGTCCCAGCCGAAAAAGAAAATCTATCTCAGCAAAGCAGTAAAGCTGAGGTGGATGGACCTGCTGAAAGGACCGGTGATGATACCGATGTCAAAGGAGATGACACCACTGCGGAGGAGATATAATGTAATGGAAAAGGTGATCTAGCTCACCGATATGTAATGATATACCGCTCGCTACACGTTCGAGCGACGGTAATTTATAAAATTTCTCGTTGAACCTATAATTCAGCGTCAGCGTCAACATCAACACCAAAATCAGCCAATGTTTCTCCCCAGTCGTTCTGCCAGGTCCTCCTGTTTGAATTTGCTGCGGTATCCAGGGGTCTCTTTTTGAGTACCGCCTCACCTCGACTGTTATGGATAGACACATTCGAGTCCACTTGATTCTGGTGTTTCGACATTTGACGTCCGCCGTCGGGAGGCCAAGGGAGCGCCATCAATCTATCTTCTAGCGGCGCATCAGGCTCGTAAATAGCTAAATCGTTAGTCTCAAAATGACAGCCAGATCCTGACGGACCACCCCATGGCAAAAGCCAAGTATGCTTTGGACCCATTAAACTCTCAACGTTTGCCATAAAGCCAAGGTCGTACGGAAAATTGACGACATCCTCCACTTGCAGGATCTTATTGGAAGCTAAATCATGGCTTTTACTTTCAGTCGAGTGCTTTTGATCTGGGAACATTCGATTCAGATTCTCGATCAGCTGCGGGAGCAGCCGGCGGCGATTGAAAAGGTTCTCGATGCGTTCCATCTCCCAGCTCTCAATTTGAGTCCTGCCTTCTAGGAGCTGGTTTTTGATACATCTGATGAGCAGCATCGATATGCTGAAGCAAACGAATGCGTTTAAAAGAATGTTAGTGACTAGAAAGCACAATTCTGATTTATGGATGAAGATGCGGGTATGTCTCAACCGCCAAAGCTGTAGAACGCGTTTTGTCAACATAAACTGTAGATATGCAGTAGTGGTGATAACCCACAGTAGAAATCTCATGAAATGTGGGAAATTACGATACCCAACGCAGTTCATTGTCCACGGACAGTGATGATCCATTAGCAATATACATTTCCCGCAACTCTTGCAATGATGACTCCTCTCTGGCTTGTAATTCTTACAGATCTTGCAGTAATGTGTCCATTGCTCCTTTCTCGGCCTAAACTCAGCGGGCGGGCTCCCTGCCTTAACATATATGGCTAGAGCGTAAGATATCCATGTCATAGAGAGCGGAAACTCAAAAAGAATTTGCTGTTTTGAACTTGCGAAGTTAGAAAGTATAAAGTAGTGAGAAGTGTACCCTATGAAGGCTATTAAGAAGCACGGTATAGCAACACCGAGCCAGGGCCACTTCAATTTTACAGGCATTGCGACAAGGCAGTTGGGGTTAATGTCCCGTAAGAATCACCACAGAGTCCGCTCAATGGTTTATGTATTTTGGCCAAAGGTCTATATGTATTAGAAAATATGACTCGAATTTACACATCTTAGAGTTCATGTGATGGTGTTAAAACAAAGGAACTAGAACCAAAAAAAACACTGCAACGCACGGCTTCATTGCATTGGTGGCCTACAACAACGGGACCAGTCAGGGCAAATTTGTAGGTTGAAGAGTGTTGGCACCAAAAGCGGTTACTCCACTCGTAATAGCACTAACATCTGTGACAGATTTCAAGACCACTAGAACTATTTCAAGCGAAGACATCTCTTACTCGACAATTATGTAGATCCACGTCTTACACACCTTACAATAAAGCTTCTATGGCCAAGTTGGTAAGGCGCCACACTAGTAATGTGGAGATCATCAGTTCAAATCTGGTTGGAAGCATTTATTTTTTTTAAACTTCTCTGCCATCCAAATCAAATTGTTCTCCTTTGAACGACTGGTACTTCAGTTGTTTGATAGCGAACACCGGAATCTCCTGTTTATAATATGTATCGATCGTTCCTATCAAGAACCATTACTTAAAGCTGCAAATGATATAGCTCGTATGCTCCCATGAGTGCCCGTAAGTGGCACAGGGCCGCCGTGACGACCAAGACGTGAAATAGTTGATGTGAGTGACCCCAGATGTCGAAAATCCCGGGAGCAACTCTTTCTGGGAAACGAACTCCATAGAGCACTGCACCTGCAATGTAGAAAATACCCTCTAAAATAAGCCACTTGAGCTGGATCCTACTCCATGTTTCCTCGAGCCCATAGTACATAATCCCTGCCATGACGGGCAGTAGCGCGGATAGCCCAAAAGCCACAAATAATCCTGCTCGAAAGGGCCTCCATTCTCTTGACCGAAATCTTTCTTTCAAGGAAGCAACGGTGCACCCGACCCCAAAAGAAAAGGTGAGTCCAGAAAATACGTAAAAGTATGGTTTATTGCCTTGAAACCCATAATACAGAATGCTAACCATCGAGGATACTATCATGGCAACAATTCCTAAGTAATCGAGTTTGTTTCCGAAAATAGCCACCTCACTGGAATGGCATTTGAGGCAGTGGAACACGCTGCTCATCATCAAGCAAGTGAAGCCGCCCAGAAAAAAGAGATCGATCATTACGTAGTCGATCCATGTTGTTGTTGTGAATCTTTTGATGGCATAATGATCGAACAAAATAACGCTGAGGAAAGACATTCCTGGCAAAAGATGGGTATAGATATTCACCGATTCGTTGTGCATATAGAAGAGACTGTCGAAGCAAGCTTTAAGGCTCTTCGTTTCGATGACATACCCGCTCAGGATGTATTCATTGTCACGCTGCCATTCAGGGATTTCATTCCACGTATGGAGCTTTCTTTTGATCTTCTTCTTGTTTGACGAGCCGTTGAGAAGCGTTGTACTTTCTTCCGTCATTATTCCCTCCTCGGTAATTACTGCTTTACGCTTAGTTAGCTCGCTTTCAACCATTATAACCGGCTAATTGCAGATTTACTGTTCTTGATCCGCGAAAAGAGAAGAAGCTCCAAATCAATTGACGGCTGAAATACTAAAGGTCCTGCCGCTATAAACCTCTACAGAAAACCTCTGGGGTAGACGCGTTATCATCACGAGAACTTCTCTGTTGGATGATTTCTTTAGCCCGTGTTTTTTCAAGTTTGTTGAGGTTGACTATACCCATCGTTTAGCGTCAAACTGACATAAAATAAAACGAAAACAAATCATCTCAAAGGGCTAAGACTATAGGCAGAGTATAAAACCTGATGAAAGTCGCGGTTTCGACCTAAGAGGTCAGTTACTGGCTATTCGGTGGCTCGTAACATCACAAAATTCCCGCTGTTCTCAAGTTCATTCGGTATCAACAGTTGAACGGAGAACGGAGAACGGAGAACGGAGCACGGCGAACGGAGAACGGAGAACGGAGACACTAGCCACTAGCCGCTAGCCGCTAGCTCTAGAGATCAGTTGATCGATGTGGGATCGGTGCTTATGATGTTGATTACTTACTATTTAGCGCAATAGATATTTGCGCGTCTAATGACGCCGTGACCTCAATGTATTCTCATCTCTATCCCTTGAATGACTTCTGTAAGCCTCTCGTTTTCTTCCTTCTCTTCAAACCTTCTGGACCCTTTTGCTCTGCGGAATACGGGTCGAATCTTTTCTTGAAATTCTTGGAAGGCATGCTACCGGCAGGAGCAAGCACTTTCTTAGCGGTTTTAAAGTCCAAAACTTCTTTTACTGGAGGTGTTTGGTCAGACGACTGCTTTGCTGGCTTAGAAGCACGCTTTCTTTCCTTAAGAACCAGTATGTCTTCCTTGCTCTCTTTTGGAGTGTCAATAGGCTCGGTAGATTCGAGAGTGCTCGTTGTACCATTTGAGATTTCCTCCTCCATGGCAGGGCTTTCGCTACGACTAGGAAGTGCAATAGCCTTTGTAGGCTCTTGAACCTGGGTTTGACTGAAAATGCGTGACTTTCTATCATTCAAGTCTGTGAAGCTCACAGTACTCACCTCTGATTTACTGTAAACGACAAAGGTTTCGTTTGGAAGTGGCTTGCCAGCAAACAACAGCGACCCTTCGTCCAATTTATGCTCCTCGCAACTCTGTTGCCCTGTTAGATCACCTACGAGCGACATATAACGCGAGTGGTTCACCTCTATTTCGCTAACGGAAACATTTTGAAGTGACCTCTCATCACCAGGCGCCACATTTTCAGACTTATCGACTACCGAGGAGCTAGAGGCGCGTTTGATGAGTTGAGCAAGAGCTTTAGCGTTGGTCCTCACATGGTCGGTCAAAAATGACCCCATTGACAAGACACCCCATGAATCAGTGGGGGCACTCATTGACAGGGAAACAAGCAATTGATTAGGTGCAACATATCTTGGGCTTTCATCATCTCTTCTTGCAATCAAGTCTCTCCATTCGTAAAGCCTTTTTACTAGTGTAGCTTTCTCTGGTGGGATATTATATTGGAACATCAATGACCTCCAAGGCTCTTCTTTCTCAACTGGAGAATACACTACCGAAGAAACCACCTTTGGTCTGAAGGACGTGTACTCGTATCGCCGCTTGGCTACATTCCGGGAATTATGCAAAACTTGAGCTAACTTGTCCTGCTCGATTAGAGCATTTCTAAGATGATCATAGATATTCAGCAAAAAATGAGTGTCTGCTCTGGCGTAAGCCTGGAGAGGCCTTGGAAGCGGCCTTACTCTCCAATCGGCAAGCTGATATTTTTTGGATGTTTTGAATCGAGCATAGTGTTCTAACAAAAATGCTAAACTGTGTTTTGGAAAACCAAGCAGTCTTGAAGCATGATATGTGTCAAACAGGCTGACAATGTATAGCCCCAAGTCTCTCTGCAGCCATATTACATCCATAAAAGCACCGTGTAAGACTTTGATAATATTAGGATTCGTGAATACTTCATTTAATATCCACAATTCATCTCTCAAAGCAATTGTATCTATTAGCCAGTCCTGATCTCTTGTACTAATCTGCATCAAGCATGTAATTCCGTAGTAGGTGCGGTAGTCGTGATGCTCTAGGTCAATGGCCAATTCTCTGGCATTTTTGAGAACCTGAAGCATAGCATCAAGTGATTTCTTGTCGTCAACCCAGGTTGCATCGGATTCATCCCATGATACCGACGGAATTGGAGTTTCGATTTTTAGAACAGAATCGTCATATGCTTGGTGTTCAATCTCATATTCATAAGGTTGAGGGTAATGAGCAGGAACATCGTCTTCTTCAAGCGTGAGCTGAGGAGGGACCTGCAATGGTTTCAAAGCATTTGGCTTCGTATGAAGGAGGGGCTCGAAGGGATGAAGCTCCGTGTTATCCACGGGTCTTGCAAAATTTAACTGCGGCTTGACTATTTTTTTGAAAGAGTTATCTCCAATCGTTGTAGAATCGTCAAGATACTGTAGCGAGCCTGTCTGTGGAGCAGCGGTCCTCCTTTTCAAGTTGTTTACCGAGGTTTCTGATTTCTCAAATAGAAGATCCATTACCTCACCAATATTCTTCCAGGCATTTTCTAGACCCTCGGAGCCTGTTTCAATAGCATCGTTGTTTTCGTCCACCGACAGGACGATATCGTTAATCAAGTTAAGTAGAATGGTAGAACTTTGATTTAAAGAAGCAGCTATCGAAGGGTCTAAACTCTTGTAGAAATCGACATCTTGGGCAGATATTGCTGTACAAGCCCTAATAGTGCCTATAACCTGACTTAGAGTGTTATCTGCATGTCCTGAACGAGTTTCACTCATAGTCTTTGGTGCGCACAGACTATTTTGATGCGAGTTGCAAGTGGTACGATGAGATGAGATGAGCGTCCGTTACCAGTTACAATTCAATTATCAAAATTACAGTTAAAATTTTTTGCTTACGGTAGGCGGGGTAATGTACCTGTGAGTGGTGAACAACAATACAAAAGTTCAGCGGCTAACGTGGTCTGCTTAAAAGTATGTGTTCCTTGAATTCGATTTCTCATGCATGGAAGAATTCTAAAGGAGAGGTATTGGAAGCTGGCAAACGGTGTTGTTTTTCAATTTAGTAGATTTTATATAAATTTAATTTCTATTTCGACTGCAAAAAAATCCAATGATAATTTAATAGTAAAATTAAAATTAAAATATAAAATAAAATAAAATAATCAGGTGATTGTTGTTTTTACTTGTTTAGAATATTATGTAACTTTTTGTTTGTTTTAAAAATATTAATTGCTGTTTTTGTTTTTTAAATACATTTATAATTTGTTTTTTGTGTCCGAAACAAATTTTAATGTTAAGAGTAGCGATGTACTAGTTTCATTTTGGCATCTTTTTAACTTCAATGGTAGGGTTCAGCCAGCTATCCATTAAAACGTGCATTCTGAGTTGGAGCTGTGAAGCAATAACAACTCTCACAGAGCGGCAGTTAGCACTTCACTACTCGAAGTTGGTGCGAACGACGGGAATAGCAAAGAATAGATGAACGAACTATAGTATAAATTAACAACAACGCAGCGGCTCAGAAGCTTCTTTCAAGACTCAAAATAAAAAGTTGGGATGGACGATGTATGAATATATTATGCGATAAGGCTACAAATATATATCAAATGTAGAGTTCTCGGGATCATTATGCGCAAATAGTCCGGTTCGTACGCCTCATTAGAGATGTTGCCGTAAAGAGAGCTGTATATTTTACGGAAGCAGCATCAAAGGCAATTGATTATAAGAGATGATCAAATGTGTCAATGGTCTCAAAGATTTTTACTAAGCTTCTTTGCCTTGTTTGAATAGGTTCTCTCTTCTCCCACTTGCGGAACCGCATCGAATTCGGCCCTTATCTTAGCACTCAAGCACAATAGATGTCATTAGTAACAGTTTTTGCGTAATTGGCAAATTGTGTCTGATTTATTTCTTGATTAACACCACGGAGGTTTTTATGGACATTCAATATGCGCGAAAAGTTCCCGCTCTACCGCACAAAAGATACATTACCTGTGTGGGAGGCACTTATTTTATGGCCCCATAAATCACATTTCATCTTTCAAAGACACGGGTATTATGAGCCATCGGGACAAAAACTTGTGCTACCATCAACGCACTGCCTTGGCCATTTGGGAGAGGAGTGTTCGCTATATCATTATCGCTCATGCAGGTTTTTTGCTCGACGTTATTTTGAGATCGGCGTCTGTTTCGTCCAGAACTCTCTTCTTCTTCGAGCAGTCAACGTCCTCTTTCTTTACTGGACTCTCCATTGAGTAATGCGCTTTTTTGGTTTTGTCCGGGGACGAATCATAGCTACCAACAATTTCGATTATTTTTCGGTAATAGGTATCGAGAACATTGAAACCGTTTTTCGGTCCCCTTACGTGACCCTCGGGATAAGCATCCGTAACAAAGACGCCCTCTTGCCGCTCCAGCTTGCAACTCAAAATGTTGTCGTCCCGCGGCAAAATTCTATAGTTTACTCGTTTCAAAAAATCGTTTTCTAAAACATGCAGCTCACTGCACTGAACGCCCCCAACTTTGGCATAATGCGTGTTTGTACAAAATGAGTCACACAATCCCTTGCTAGCCACAGCCGTCGCGGTGAGTAGAAATCGATGCACTGTTAGAGAGTTTAGTGAGAATGCAGGGTATATGGCGGAAAAAAGGTCGATGTAGTAGACTGAAGCTATTAGAACCGCGGGTTCCAGCGCAGAATATCGAGTCAGTCGCATCAGATAGTCGTACACTGAAATTTGAGGCGGTACTCTTGAGTGGAATCTGGTCAGTTCATATTGTTCGGTTTTGGAAACAGAGTCATTGATGCGTATCAAAAACGACAGCATTCGTGAGATCAAAGTTACGAGATCACTTCGCGAACATTTGCTAAAGTTGGACGGGAGCACAACATTTGGCACTGGCTCTTGTTCTTGCGCGCTTGTATTGCATTCTTTCTGAAGTATATCCGATTTCTTGTCAGTCTCATCAGAGGGCACACCTTCTTCCTTCTGGGCGTTTACGTCTCCCGTCTCTTGAACAGACATGTAGCTCTCATTTACTTCGCCCAGACCAAATTCTCTCAAAACACAACTAACCACTGCAATGGGAGTTTGAAAACCGCTTTATAAAGGTGGATAGGATAAATTTCTGCTGCAAAGCCAGATCAACTAGCCGGCTACGTGGCTAATCCCTAGATTTGCTGGTTGATTGGCTAGTATGTTGGTTGGTTCATGAGTTTGATTGTAATGTCAGGTTTTTCATCCTACACACGTGCGGGGTTACCAGATTTTGACCATAAATAAAGTGCCTCTTCGGGCACGTGACTTTTGATAGACTTCTAGTTGATATAGCGTTTACCTAGGCACTTAGTTAGTCCACGTCATCTCGCGCACTGGTGATGACGAATGAAGATTTGATGGTTCATTTCTAGTATGTTACATATCTATTTAGGGGCGGGGCAGGACCCGGCTGAGACGTTCAGCAGCTACAAGAGCTGGGTTCACCATCGAGCTGTATGTTGATGGCGTCATTGAAGTCGTCCTCAAATGCGTCTGCATCGGCCTGGCTCTGTTGCAACGCGTTGCGCGCAATCTCCTCAAAGGCTGTGTCCACATTGATGGAGCCTTTGGCACTGGTCAAAAAAAGCGGGATGTTTCCTAGCGACTTGGCCATGTCCTGGGCAGCCCGATTGCTCACGACTTTCTTCGACTCCTCCACGTCTAGCTTATTACCCAGAATAACAAACGGGAAAGTTTCCGGCGACGAAACATTCGCGTGTACGAGAAACTCGTCGCGCCACGACTTAATGTTTTCAAAGGACTTGGCGTTCGTCACGTCGTACACCAGCACGCAGCAGTCTGCACCCCTGTAGAAGGCCACGCCAAGCGACTGGAACCTTTCCTGACCCGCAGTATCCCAGACCTGCATGGTGGCTACTTTGTCACCGTCCATGGTCACTTCTTTTGTGAGAAAATCGGCGCCAATCGTCGCTTTGTACTGCTGAGAGAACTTGTCACTTACGTACCGGTGCATCAAAGATGTCTTGCCGACCCCGGAGTCTCCCAGTATAATAACTTTCAGAATGTTTTTCTTCCTGCTTGACATGATGACTCACTGCTTTCAGCGACGAGACACTATCAATTTGGTATTCGTACCTGACCAACCGCGAAGGTAGAAGGGATGGCTATATCTTGATGTTTCCTCAGATAATTGAACAAAAAGATTAATCGAAACTTTAGTAATTTCTCATAGTGTACGACATGTTCTATATCTTTAGAATCAATCAGCTGTGAAGACAGCGATATTTAGCGAACAAAATGTCGGATCGGTGGTCTTGATTGTTCAAACTCGACCAATGTTTAGAACTCAATTACCAATCTTGCAAACCATTGTGAGTTACTGGATTGATCTTCCTTCAAGTTCAATAATTCCATGCTCTCGCTGCCTTTTTTATAATAATTATAATTATTATGTGTCAGTCGTAAGCATCAGTAATTCTTGACTAAAGTGAATTTTGACAAGGTTTCCAAAAGTATAAAGGTAGCACTTGTCGACATATCTTACTTCTATTGTTAAAACCTTTAAAATGATCGACACACATTATTGTAGCTAGGAAGTAACATCCGTGCAACGATAATTTCATCATTTCAACTCATTGAACAAATTCACTAGACAATCACATCTGAAAATCTCAGCAATGAATAAAGCACGTACCGTTCTCAAATATTTTACTGCCATCGAGCAAAGCGAAGGCGTCGGTGCGAAGGTCAGACGGTCTATTGGAACGCTAAAACTGCGTCATTTCGCACCATTTTTATTGCTAGACCATTTTACCGTGGCGCCACCAGCAGGCTTCCCAGATCATCCACACCACGGCCAGGAAACGATCACGTATGTTTTGGGCGGTATGATCGCCCATGAGGATTTCACTGGCTCCCAGGGCGTTCTGAGGGAAGGTGACCTGCAATTCATGACGGCAGGTAAGGGTATCGTGCACTCTGAGATCCCGGTGCAGCTTGAATCCAACGAACCTGCCGCAGGCTTGCAACTATGGGTCGACCTGCCCGAAAAGCTGAAAAACTGCGAGCCTCGCTACCGGGATTTGCGCAAGAAGGAAACCCCAATCGCCAAGCCTCACGACTGCCTAGAAGTAAGGGTCATCAGCGGGAAGTCGTACGGAGTTGAGTCACTCAGTGAGCTGGCATACACCCCTGTGGACTTTTACCATTTTATAAACTCGAAAAAAGGCGTCCACTTCAAACAAGAGTTCCCAGCGGACTTCAACGTCTTCATGTATGTGCTCAAGGGCGCAGTGACGGTGAACAGTCAGCTCTTCCCCCAATTTTCCTCTGTCTTTTTCAAGCCCGACGGACTATACGTAGAGGGTGTAAGTGCGTCTGAAGACGCCGAATTCGTTCTTGTCGGCGGCCAAATTTTGGACCAGCCAGTTGTACAGCACGGACCATTTGTTGAGACCACCAGAGAGCGGATAATAGAGGTGTTTGACAATTACCGGTCGGGAACCAATGGTTTTGAAAGAGCTCCTGGCTGGAGCTCTTCGATTTTCGATGGTATAAAGCAAGGCCAACTTAAGGCCTTCGAAAAGTCTTCACTATGAAGCCCATTAATAGCGTTTTTAGTGAGGAGATAGTTATTCTAGTTCAAGTTATTGATATCACATGAAAGTCCTTCACGAATCGAGTTTGTGGACTGAGTTTTGCACGTATATATCAAGCTAAATGGAGTTAAAGTTGGAAGTTTGTTTTTAGGCTACAGTCGCGTTTTTTGATCAGAGACAAATCAACACCACTCATTTTGCTACAGAGTAAAATAATTCATCAAACCCTATCATCTTGGAAGCCTCGAATTGTAGGATTCAGTCGATCTTAGTTATCGAGCTTTTATAGAGTTTTGGTGATTCCCGAAACTACGACGCGATGCCATGTGTTCTACCACGGACAAATGAGCACTCGTATCACATTATCTGAATCAAGACAGCTGAAAATACAGACGATCAGTAAACGGATACTTAAGGTCAAAACGATCCTCAAGTACCGATTCACCGACCTGTAAGCTTGAGATGGCTGCTGCAGACAAATTCTCGAAGGAGTCTTTTTTCGCTTCACCTCTTTACGACTTCCTGTCACCTTTTCGCCCAGTTGGAAACCAGTATTATGCTGAATATGTAATAGTCATATTTGCACTTGTAATAAGATGTGCCGTTGGCTTGGGCTCGTATTCAGGTGAGAATACAGGTCCAATTCAAGGCGACTTTGAAGCTCAGCGACACTGGATGGAGATCACGACTAGTATCCCGATCTCTCAGTGGTACTGGTTTGACCTAAAATACTGGGGTTTAGACTATCCTCCTTTAACCGCTTACCATTCATATGTTCTTGGGAAATTGGGTGCGCTTCTCAATCCCGACTGGTTTGCCCTTGGGTCTTCTCGCGCTTTAGAAACTGCCGACCTCAAGTCATACATGAGATTCACGGTGATTTTGAGCGAGGTCGCCCTTTACATCCCGGGAGTCATTTACTTCACAAAATGGTTCGGTATCAAAAGGCGTCAGTCCCCAATTGGCACATATATTGCAGCGGCTGCCATTTTGTTTCAACCCTCTCTTATACTGATTGATCATGGCCATTTTCAATATAATTCTGTCATGCTGGGGCTCACTGTTTACGCCATCAACAACCTGCTGGATGGATTTTATGGTCCTGCTGCCATTTGTTTCGTGCTATCCATATGCTTCAAGCAAATGGCACTTTACTACTCCCCTATTTTTTTCGCCTACCTTCTAAGCAAGTCGCTGTTTTCGCCATCCTTCAATATACCGAGATTCATATCTGTGGCACTGTCAACAATTCTGTCGTTTTGTGTTGTGTTTTCCCCACTCTACGTATTTGGCGGTGTCAAGAATGTCTTACAGTCCATTCACAGAATATTTCCTTTTGCCAGAGGAATCTTCGAGGATAAAGTCGCCAATTTCTGGTGTGTTTCGAACGTTTTGTTCAAGTACTCTCAGAATTACACTCAACAAGAGCTTCAAAAACTTTCAATGTATGCCACTGCTGCTGGATTTTTACCTGCTTTTGCCATAGTGTTCTTGTACCCAAAAAGGCACTTAATACCCTTCGGTTTGGCCGCATGCTCCATGGCTTTTTTCCTTTTCAGTTTTCAAGTTCATGAGAAATCAATCTTGGTTCCGCTTCTTCCAATCACACTGTTGTACTGCTCGACCGACTGGAATGTGCTTTCTATGGTGAGCTGGATCAACAATGTTGCCTTATTCACACTGTGGCCCCTTTTGAAGAAAGACAATCTTGCCTTGCAATATGTGGTGATGATGATCTTGAGCAACTGGTTGATTGGCAACTTCAGCTTCTGTACCCCCCGCTTTTTGCCTCGCTTTCTGACTCCAGGACCATCAGTGAGCGACGTTTCTGAATCTTATAGAAGGAGGAGCTTTCTACCGAACAATCTTTTGTGGAAACTAATTATCGTTACATCTTACGTGGCCATGGGTATTATTCATGTTTTGGATTTCTTTGTACAGCCGCCTAAAAACTTGCCTGACATGTGGGTGCTCCTAAACTGCGGGTTGGGCTTTTCATGCTTTGCGCTGTTCTGGCTGTGGAACTACTACAAGCTATTTACCATGAGAAATACAACCTTCTCGGCATTTTGACGAAGAAGAAAATCAATGGTACACTTTCTACGTTTGTACTCCCAAATAAATACGATGATGTTCACTACTGTTTATGCCCGCCTCGAGTTCTTTCAAATTAAAATAAGCAATACACTTCATAAACATGATTTACTCATCAACATTGCCAAACAAAAACTAAGACAGGGAAGGCAAACTTCCTTGAAACCGACAGAATCATCCTCAGTTTGAATTGAGCCATCTCAACAGCCGCGTAGTGAGAGGACAGCTCAAACATCCTTTCACAGACGCAGTAGATGGACTAACAACCACAATCACAAGCTAAAAACACTCATATATGTACCGCGCATTTGAGAACATATTTTAAGAAATCTTATTCCTCGTGGCCCAATGGTCACGGCGTCTGGCTACGATTGTATCCACTTCTGAAACCAGGAGATTCCAGGTTCGAGTCCTGGCGGGGAAGATTTTCTTTTTTACATTTTTTGGTGCCAAATAAGAAAGACAAGTCATGAGGAAGACTACCACTGACCATTTAAGGTGACAAGTGGCAAACCAAAGTAGTTATATCTCGCTTGCTAACCTCGTGCCAGGTAAGTGGCGTTGGATCTTCAATCATTGTTTAAATTCTGGAATATTCTCTATAGTGTAGAACTCACCATTTACTGAAAAATAATAATTTATAAATCTCTTACGTGAAGTTAACCAGTTTCCAAATTCAACCGTAAGTTTCAAGAACCAGTGTTCGAACCAATTCTGCTTCGTACCTTCAATAACCATGACTTCATCTTCTAAAGAACTCGCGTCTTTGATCGTTGATTACCTCTCCCGTGCGGCGGAAACTAAACAAGTTAGTGAGGAGTATCTAGATTCCGTTAATGTGGCCGTTGATTGCATTACTGAGGCATTTGAACTCGAACATGATGCTGTTGCCAGCACACTAAAAGAAGCGTTCAATAACCAAGGACTGGAACAGATTGTTGCCGCTGCCAAGAACAGCAGATCCAACACGGAAAGTGCTACGACTGAATCTTCCGAAAACGTAAAAGTGAATATCCCAATTGAGGACGCCGAGACCAAGGCCAAAGCTGAGGCTTTGAAGCTAGAAGGTAACAAGGCTATGGCTGGCAAGGACTTTGAGCTAGCGATCCAAAAATACACTGAGGCTATTCAGATTTTGCCCTCGAATGCCGTGTACTACGCCAACAGAGCCGCGGCTCATTCGTCATTGAAGGATTACTCTAAAGCTGTGCAGGACGCCGAACTGTCCATCAAGGTGAACCCTTCGTACTCGAAGGGCTACTCCAGACTTGGATTCGCCCAGTATGCTTTGGGCAAATCCGAGGAGGCCTTGGACGCGTACAAGAAAGTTCTCGACATTGAAGGAGAGAAAGCTACGGATGCGATGAAAAGAGACTACGACACTGCAATGAAAAAGGTGGAACAATCCCTCAACATAGAGAAAGCTTCGCCTGCCGCCGCTGAGAATGACAGTGCCACTCCACAAGCCGGTGGCAGTGGTGGACTACCAGATTTCTCTTCCATGTTGGGAGGTGGGCTCGGTGGTCTGTTGAACAACCCTCAAGTCATGCAAGCTGCTCAGCAATTCATGCAGAACCCTAACGCTATGAGTGAAATGATGAACAACCCTGCTTTGAAGCAGATGGCCGACAAATTCCAATCTGGCCAGGGCACTCCAAGTATGGCTGACTTGATGAAAGACCCGGCATTGATGGATATGGCCAAAAACATGCTCGGTGGAGCTAAGAGGTAATGCAATGTTTTGAGGTTCTAGAATCCCCTATGTAAATTATTAACATGTTCGTTATTGAACTGCTCGGTATAATTGAGTAATGATTCTTCCAGACAAATTAAATGTTCCTGCAGCATTTGGATATTCAGTTCTGTGTGCTCACGAACGGTCAGTATTGTCCAAAATTCATTTTTGAACATGAGAAAATTGTTGACCTCAACCGCTAAGCGTTCGTTCTCTTGTTTAATGTCCCAACCAACTTTGGTTAAGTAATTGACATTCCGTTTGATTTTGGTCGAGATAGTGTCCGCTAATTTCGACCTTTTTGTTTCTATGTAAGACCGAAATAAGCCCGAACTTGCCGCGCCATTCGGTCTCACAGAGTCCGGAAAGTGTTTTTGGTACTCATGGCGGGAGGCGGCTAATTCGCCATATGCGTGCCACCATTTTGGCAAATCCACATTTAAAGCTTTGTCAATGTTTGCAATAAGGACCTCTGTACACCTTTGTAGAAAATTGAGGCTGCTCGCAATAGAGCCGCAGTCCGGTCTTTTTCTCAAGAAGGTCAAATCAGGGAACATTTCTCCGCAGTGCTCAAAAGAATTGAAAAATAGGTTCACTCTTTTTGCCAAAAGTTGATGGGCCTTCGTGAGGTCTGTTTCCTTCAGCTCTGCAGAAGCGGACAGTTTTTTCAATATGTGAGCCCTTGCTCGGAAGAGCATCATCTCTGAGCGGTTGAATTTCAAAACTCGTTGAATACTTGTCATTTGATCTGGCTCAATCAATCCCGAGTCTTCTTTAGACTGGTCCCTGTTTCCTTCGTCACCGATATGCTGGCTGATATTCAGATCGGAGCTATGAAAAGCATCGGCGAAAATACTTTCTTGTAGAATAATGCTCAACATTATTGATAGCTTCCTTAAAAAGACGTGAGCTTGTAGCCTGTATAAGACTAGAATGTTGAGTTTACAAAGCTCATGAAGCTCGTTTACGAATTCCTCTAATGGTAAAAAAGTCCTTGGGTAAGCTTTCCAATAAAGTAACAAGAGGTTTTGTATGAACCTCAAGGGCCGCATCACCACATTCGTGGAGCCCTTCGATCGGCAGGTCATCCACACAACCCACTCATTGTTTTCACATTTTATGCTGCGTGCAAGGATCAATTTGAGCGGCAAGCAGGCAATACTGGAGGGTTGTTTACCCATTTCTCTTAATACTGTGGGATTCTTGAAGAAATCAAAACAATTTAGGTATGTTCCTTCCTGACACTTTTCAAGGATAAGGCGCCTATCTTTAATGATACATTTCACGTTATCAAGTCGATTGTATTTGGCATAAACCATCAAAGGTGTTAGTCCATTCTTATTTGTTGCGTTGACATTGGCGGATGCATCATTTAGTAAAAAGGAAGCATTTGACCGCACAACGTGAAGCAGGGAGTTTCCTTTTGTGTCTGTATGAAGCGAAGATCTGAACACTTTTCTTTGGAGCTTGCACCACTCCGTGGCCCAGTTATATGCTTCCATGAACATATCCTCATAACTAGGTTGATCATACGCTCTTATTACTGCAAATAATGGTGTTTGACCATTGCAGTCTTGTTTTTCCCAGTTCAAAAAGATTCCTAGTTTCTTAATGAGATCGGGAGCATGCATAAGGTAATGACCTGAAGTACGCCCGTACCTGTTTGATCGATTTAAAAATTCCTTTAACTCCCTCTTGGTGCAATTGAGGCAGAGCATGTCGACAAATTTATCCGCAAGCTCGTAGCATCCACCATCCAGCATTTGTATCAGCAGATTTGAGCCCTCAACATTTTGATCGTGTAGCAAGTCTTCAAGAGGGACCTGAGCTTCATAGTTATTGATCAAATGTTCAAATGCCCGTTCTTGTTTTTCTTGTATGCAAAAGGCTAACGATGACTGCCCGGAGGATGTCCTTACCTGAATCATTTTTTCGAGATCTTGAGGATCACCTGCTTTGACGCTGGCGTCAAGATTTGATAGCCACGACCAGAATTCCAGGTTCATACGACCATTGTGTTCCAGGGAATGGACCTTTTCAGGGACGTCAAAATAGCTCAGAACTGCTTCCAGAGTCGACATTCCATATGCTAATACGCCAAATGTAATCTGGACCGAATCCTTGGCAAATTCCTGCAAATAAAACAGATGACTCTTGAGGTCTTTCACCCCCGCACGGCACACAGTTACGACCAGTAGACTCACTAAGGTATCTGCATCGATTGGTATAGTCATACCGTCAACTGAAATGGTTCTTGAGAGAGTTTGCAAGGTATCGACGATGACTTTTGCTTTGGCAGAGTGACAGTTAGTTGAGGAAAGCTTTCTCAGACAGTCTACGGCCTCTAGTAAGTTCTGTTCGACTTGAGTAACAAAGCGTAAGTCGAATTTGGAGTTGTTCATGGGATAAAGGAACGAGGGTACTTGGGATATCGAGATGTTCCTCAGTAAGTTATAATCGCTCAAGGCCTCTATTTCAACTGCTTTCATCGAGTTGGTGAGTTGTGCCCAAAAGTCGTCATAGAGACTGAGCTCTACGTACTCATGGACATGCATTTGGACGTTCGGCAGGTGCTGAAAATTTGGGTCCTTGTTTATCACTTCGAAAGCTTTCTCACACGTTTCTGCAAAGTGCGAAGCCAGTACATTTGCGTTGTATTTGAAGGAAGTAAGGAGCTTTCGCTCAGTCTCGAAAATGACACTTAGCTGATCTGCATGGGTCGGATTGATGCGAAGCATTTGCTCAAGAGATATTGTCTCTTTCGTCGAATATTCGAATTTACTACTTTTCTCGACGTTCTTTTCTCGACTGGCAACAGGTTTCAAACTTTTAAATAGTTGCCACTCGTCTCTCCTGGCAAGCCGCCCAGTAAAGGGAAAGTCGACGTGTATCACAGGATAGGAGGATGAACCCTCCAAATAGTCATTAAAATTTGTCAGAAGACGGGCTTCCAGAATTCTACATCGCCTGCGAGTGTCGAACCCGGTGCCCGTCAATAAAGTTCCTTGCTGATTGCGCACCACTATTGTCTTACCACTAAGGGTCCTAAACTCATCGACTGGCATACCATCACGAGAGTCTAGCATCACAATATGATCCGCGACAAATTCGTGAGTGTAGCAGAGCTCTGGCAAAAGTTGTCCAGTTTCAAGGTCCTCATACTCGGTCAAAGTTTCGGTGTCTGGGGCCACTAATAGAAACCTTCTTTTCGCTATTTGTGAAAACACCTTTCTCAGCGCAGACGTGTGGGGTGTCGGGCAATTGAAGACTGCATTGACCAGCGGATTCAGCAGAACTGGCAAGTGGTAAGGCATTCCAAGTCCTGTTCACTGCTGTCACCCGGGGACTGTCAGTTTGGTAGGCTTAAATTCAGTTGATTTACAGTTAGTTTTCGTACAAGATGTTCGTTAACTCTCGAGTTTCGACGAGATGGATTCGAATCACCTGCACTCAAATGGACAAGACGACTCAGGATTGCGAAACGGATACGCGTTCCTGACAGGTCGATCTACAAGCGTTTCTCTGAAAATACGGATTGCTGATTATTCTAACATCGTGGGCTCGAATTCCAATGCCACGGTAGCTTCAACATAAATCAAGCCATGTCCCACTTGTGAATCTCCAAAATTTGGAGATTAGGTCCAGCAGGAATAACTCAATTCTCACAACTGCATAAAAATTGGGAAAAGGGAGGACTCTTCACCATACGGGGGAGAAGAATTGTGATTAACACAACGTCAAATTAAAAACGATGTCACTTTACACTATCGTGACATCAAAAAGTGTGTCAATGTATGTTACTAGAGTCTCAATCTCAGAAAACCGAATTTCAACCAAATTAGTTAGATGAGCCACGAATATCGAATCCTGTCCTGAGGTCAGCTATGAAAGCACGCTGTTCGATATCGATAGATTTCTAACAGTTTTATCCTACTCTTTCACGTGACATAATTAGCGCCTAGCGACGAACTCACTTGTATGAAAATACTCACAGTTGCTGAATCTACAAGACCAACAAGGTTAGTGAAACTTGACCAGTTCTCCTATCAGACTCCTACAAGTGGATCAGTTGGCCGGATCACGACCGTTTATAAACTTTGATTACCTTCCTTTGGGATCGAGAAATTATCTTACCAGGTTCATACAATACAGCAAGCGTTTCCGATGAGCAAAGGCGGAAAGGGCAAGAGTAATTCAAAATCTGGATCGTCCGCCAAGTCATTCTCTGGTGGCCATGGTGCGAACAACAAGCATGTAGAGACAAAGCATGGAGCCAACAGAGGTGGCAAAAATTTCCCCGTGAAATTGGCAATGTGGGACTTCGACCAGTGCGATCCAAAGAAGTGCAGCGGAAAAAAGTTGGAAAGGCTTGGCGTTATCAAATCGCTAAGGATCGGCCAGAAGTTTCAAGGTATCGTGGTTTCTCCTAACGGTAAGGGCGTGGTGTGTCCCAACGACTTGCAAACAGTGGAGGAAAATGGAGCTGCAGTGGTGGAGTGTTCGTGGGCTAGACTGGACGAAATCCCTTTCAACAAGATTGGCGGCAAGCACGAACGACTCCTACCGTACCTGGTGGCTGCAAACCAGGTCAACTACGGTCGGCCATGGAGGCTAAATTGCGTGGAGGCTCTGGCTGCGTGTTTCGCCATCGTCGGTCGCATGGATTTAGCTACCGAGCTTTTGTCACATTTCTCGTGGGGCTTGGGATTCTTGGAGCTCAACAAAGAGCTGCTCGAGGTATACCAGAAGTGCACAGACTCAGACTCCGTTAAAGCGGCGGAAAGCGATTGGCTAGATCAAATCGAGAGGGAAGCCCAGGAGCGCAAGAAGCGCAGCTCAGACGGTGACCTATGGATGACAGGTAATGTGAATAGAAATATCATGAGCGATAGCTCAGATGATGAGCCAGACTATACTGACAGCGAGGGAGAAGAGCAAAACCGTGAAGCTGAAGGCTCATCAAATCGGAAAGTTCTCAAATACGATAGTCTGGGAAATGCGATTTACGAAGACGAGGAGGAGGAGAAAGATGAAGAAAGTGATGAGACCGACAGTGAGAGTGCGGACAGCTCGAATCTACCAAGTCAACGTCTAGACTCGCTGGGAAATATGATCAAAAATACTAATTTGATCTCAGAAGTACGAGGAGACTTGAACGAGCTTTCGATAAGCTAGAATGCAACTTGTACAAAACCCAGCTCAAAAAATTCACCTCCGATGACTCGAAGACGCTCGTTTATAGAAATGGATAGAACGTGTATTACAGTTCAGCTTCCACCTCCGACGTACTGAGCGACCTTGAGCTAGCTGGCGCTAGTTAAAATTGATTGGACCTTTAAGATCCGCTCAGCTCATGCTGATAGTTCAACAGTGCTGAACATGAGTCCTTTGACATATGGTCGATTCAATAGATCAGCTATCACAGAACTCATCACAGTTGAGTGAGGAATATAAGCCAAAGAATTTTGCTCCTTCTCCAGATTTTCGTTGGCTCTGCGATGAGCTTTTAGCCAAACTCGATGACATCAACAAGAATCGTCTGAAATATGGCAAGTCTGTCACTGTCAAAAACGTAGAAACTATAATTTACTTCATCAAACTTTGGCGGACCACTGTTGGCAATGACTTTTTTCCGGTGTTGCGGCTAATCCTACCCTACAGAGATATACGGACTTACAATATTAAGGATTTCACCTTAATCAAGGCGATCTGTAAATCTCTAAACTTACCCAGAGACTCCCCTACCGAGAAAAAGCTGATCAACTGGAAGCAGTATGCTGCGCGAGGCACCAACTTATCTGCCTTTTGCGTGGAGGAAATAGCCAAGAGAAGAAAGGAACCCGAGGTTGTCACCGCTATGTCCATCGATAAACTCAACGAAGTTCTGAACGAGCTGTCGAAAGAGGCTTCTACCAAGAAGTGGGGGTTCACTGGTCTATCAGACTCGCCCTCTTTCAAATACTGCCTACAGAACATGTCGTTTTTGGAGCTACGATACTTCTTCGACGTAATCCTTAAGGTTAGAGTAATTGGCGGATTGGAACACAAGTTCTTGAGCTGCTGGCATCCTGATGCTCAAGACTATTTGGGCGTCGTCTCAGATTTGAAAGTCCTCGCTGATAAACTTTGGGATCCTTTGATGAGATTAGGACGGAAAGAGCTGTCGATAAACTTAGGACACGCTTTTGCTCCCCACCTTGCCAAAAGGCTACATATATCATATGAAAAGGTCTGTGCGAAGCTCAAAAATGATTTTCTGCTTGAAGAAAAGATGGATGGGGAGAGGATTCAACTTCATTATATGGAAAATGGTGGTCGCTTGCGTTTTCTTAGTAGACGCGGTACTGATTATACGCACTTGTACGGCGAAAGTATACATCGTGGCGTTATATCGCAATTCTTGAAATTCCGGGAGGAAGTCAACGACTGCGTTTTGGACGGAGAGATGGTGAGTTTTGACAAAGAACGGAAAGTAGTACTTCCTTTTGGAATTGTTAAAACAGCTGCAGTGGAGGAGATTATAAATGCAAGCTCGAGTATTGAAAAAGAGGGATATCGTCCTCTTTACATGGTTTTTGATCTTGTGTATCTCAATGGTGTCTCTCTCACCAGGCTTCCTTTGCACGCGCGTAAAGAGTATCTCAGACAAATAATCACGCCTGTACCAGATGCTGTGGAGATTGTGTCTGCTCTCGAGTGCACTGATCATACTGCTATCGAAACTTCTCTTCAAAGGGCAATCGAGATGGGCTCGGAGGGACTCATTTTAAAGCAAAGGTCTTCCACATACGATGTTGGCGCGCGCAACGATCAATGGGTCAAAATCAAACCCGAGTATTTCGAAGACCTGGGAGAAAACATGGATCTGATTATTATCGGCAGGGATCCCGGTAAAAAGGACTCGCTTATGTGTGGTTTGGTCACATATATCAATGACACTTGTCAAAACGGCAAGATACCCAACCTCGACGGTGATAAAGAATCGGATCTCTCGAATCTGAAAGTATTTTCTTTCTGCAATGTTGCCAATGGTGTCTCAGATGCTGAATTCAAAGAAATTGAACGGAAAACGAGAGGTCATTGGAAATCGTTTGCAGAAAATCCGCCGCCGAGCGACTTGTTGGAGTTTGGCACAAAGTTGCCGAATGAGTGGATTGACCCCCGCTCGTCGCTTGTGCTGGAGGTGAAGGCAAGATCCGCTGACAACAACTTGATTTCGAGAAAGAAGTACAAGGTGGGAAGTACACTTCATGGCGCTTATTGTCGAAGGATTAGAGATGATAAGGACTGGACGGCTTGTGCCACAGTGGAACAATACCTCCAGGCCAAAATCGCCCACAATTATCGCTCCTATAAGAAGAAGGCACATCAGCTGTCACCTCGAAAGAAGAAGGTGCGGAAGTTTGTGAGGCTCGATGACTTCGAGAGTGACGCAGCGGAAAACGCATCGCAGGAAAGCAGTTTATTTGAGGGCATGCGATTCTACATTTTAGGCGACTATGTGGATTCTGATGGGCAGCGATATGACAAGAGAGCGATTGCTAATCAAATCAGTAGGAATGGTGGGCTTTTGATGCATAATATGACAGTGAAACCAGAAGAACTTTCCCACCTGTGGATTGTTGGCAGGAAAGCTACAATTGAATGTAAATCCTTATTCGATCGAGGGTATGACATCGTGGACCCGAGCTGGGTTTTCGACTGCATATCAGCTCACATGAGGCTGAATTTAGAACCCAAGCACTGTTTCTATGCGTCGAGCAGATTGCTTGAAAATAGCAGAAAGAGGGTGGACAATTACGGTGACAGTTTTTGTCGACCTTTAAACAATTCAGAATACGACCAGCTCATTCAAAATTCGCATGAAAATATCGAAGAACACTCGCAAACATTCTCAGAGCTGGAGGAAGCTCCACTTTTCATGCTTCAACGCTACAAGATTTTCGTCGCGAAGAGCGATTCAGTACAAGAAAATCTGGGTACAGTGAAAAAGACCATAGAACAATTTGGCGGTCGCATAGCAGAGAACATCCGCGAGTGCAACCTTGTATTATCATACAATCCAACAGAAAGTGATCCGCTTTTCGGGCAGACATTGAGAAAACAAGTCGCTACTGAGTTTGTCCAGGAATACTCGCAGAGAAATCCCATTCCAAGAATCGTGAATTATACCTGGCTTAAGGAATGCTTAAAAGAAGAGTGTTTAGTGCCAGAGGAAGACTATCCTTGCCTATAAGAAGTGCCACCACTGCCCATTATGATGTCGAACTGAGAATTTGGGAGGTCTCGTGACATCGCTTTAATACAGACATGCGCAATAAGTAACTCGAGTAAGCAGTAGCCATTATTCGGTAACTGCAAGTAAGTAAGCAACATCGGCTTTTACTCACTCGCGTCAAAACTTGAGTAACCAATTAGTAAATGATTGTGTACGGCACGAGTAACTCAATGGCAATTGACGAATAGTGTGATTCATTGAGCGGCTAGTGCTAAAGTTTTAAACAGCAATTACACACCATCTTATTCAGCTACACGCATTATTTCTTCGCCTTCCTCGGCTGCCTCCTGTTTTAAATCATCGTCATCGTCATCATCATCGGTTTCTCTATCACCGCCGCAAAGAGGGTCATCAGAAGCAGCGTAAAGTTCGAACGGATCTAAAGTCTCGTCGTTGGCTTCTTATATGTCATATTTTTCGTTGCAAACACCACGGAGCGTAGAAGGGTCGCGCTTAGAAGCCAAACGTAACGAATCTGTCTCGCAGCAACATAAGGGATTCAAAGGTTTTTGCTGAAAGTCGGGTTCTATCCTTTCTCATAACCCTCGAGGCCAATGAAAACGTTCTTGCCACTTCACATGAGCTTAATTTAGTGTAGAATAAGGATATGACAAGCGGCAAGAGCCTTGGAAATCTGTTCCGTTGTTGGTACCACCAAGCAATCGCGGTTTCAGTAGACCTGTTTTTCAACAACGGTTCTCGCAGATAAGTGTAATACTCCTCCATAAGCTCTTCATCATCCGGGATTAGTGTATCCGCATCATTTAAAGCCTGCAATTTCTGGGATGTCTCTCGAAAGTCCTCCCTGTCGAATATGAGATCGCCGGATCCATTTGTGGCTTGCATATCAACACTGCTGTCGTATTCCTTGAGATAGCTTTGAATGAATTGGCGGGCTTCTTTCATGCGCCCGTCGCCCTCTTCGTTTGACATCATTCTGTACAAAGCACCTGCCTTAGCGCCTGGATCTAATACTACTGCCACATAATACAGTGGTTCCTGCAGGACCCAAGCCAAATACTTTTGGTGGCTTTTTTCTGATACCTGAATCGCTTCTAAAACGAGCCGCTTATCGCCGCGAAGAAGCCCTGACGTTCCATTCAAGCATGAAATTTCGCAACCAGCCCTCTTTTTCGGAAGCTCGTGCCCCTGAAGAGCACCTTTGCAGTAAGAATAGAAACTGTCGATCAAATAGTAGAACAGTACTCCATTCGACAGATGGTCGTAAGAGTCGTTTTGAAATTTTATTGAAAAGTCATTGAAAACCTGGAGACTTTTGACAAAATAATCCAACACGCTCAAAGTTCTCTCATCAAAATGAATGTCGCATCGAAGCATGTAGATAATGTCCGCGTCCCCGCCGTCCTCATGCCCCTTTAATCAGAACTTGTAGCTATCATAATTTTCCAGAAACAGTTTTAGTTGACGCCAAGTGTACATCCACCCGGTGGGTGCTTCAAGCGGAATAAATGGTATACCAGCTTCGTTCAAACTGGCGCATATTCGAGGAGACTTTCTCATAATTTTGGCTAAAACCTTTATTCCACGCAAAGCTTCTGCAAAGTCAGGATTTCTGAATAGCTCCGAAACTATCGCCTTGAAATGTATATTCAATACATGGCTTGCGCACCGAATATAACGCGTCTTACCGAGGAGAAGGCCAGCTAGGGGTTGCTTACCGTTAAAACGCGAGAAAGTGAACGACTGGTACATTAAACCATTGTTACTGGCGTTGTCCATTGTTATCGTCGCTACTTTGTCTGTAATATTACGCTTTTTCAAAAGGTGTGAAAAAATAGTCAAAATGTTCTTGCCGGTGTGCTTCTTTTGGCCCAAGCAAACAAAATCAAGCAGATGGATATTTTGAGCAGTGCAATCATCGCTAAGTAAAATTCCGTGATCTTCCATGTCGTCCAGCAGCTTTCTATTCCATACATTAGGTGCAAACGAAACCAACAACCCCATGTAAGATTCACCACTTTTTGCAGTCCAGATGTCCAATTGGATGTTTACAAGATGCGTATTGTGAAAATTGAGGGACAGTCTTTCATCTAACATGGCAGAATAAGTTTGAAGCTTCTTTTCGAACGTCGCTCTAGATCGAATGGGAGCTGGACCGTTCTCGTCGCCGAAAGTACTCCACATTGTGAGCTCAACAAAGTTTAGCGGCAAAAACCCCTCTGCAACAATCAGAGCCGTTCTGAAGGTATGTGGGTTTTTACGGAACTCACTGGATATAGACTAAGAGATTTGAAGCGAGGACTTGCGTCTGACATCTCGATCTCTTGCAAACTGTTGACATTGGGCCTTCGGATTATCGATGTTTTTGATTGAAGTCACCAAGTTTTCACATCACAGTTTTAAATACTTCGCCAATTTCGACTTCACGAGGGACCCAAAATTAAATAACACCAAAATGGGAAACAAAACGCGTCAGCTCATGAATGGTTGAAATTCAATGTCAGTGTCCATTGAGGTTACTTTGAGCAGCATCCTAAGGTTACTTTGAGCAGCTTCCTAAGCTTACATTAAAACAGAGCTCGACTTCACACGAGATATCTAAGGCTTCGTTCTAGCAGATAGTATATTTAAGGTGACCAAAATTCATGAGTAAGCAACAGGTAATGTACGTAATCGGTGATGAGTTACTCAATTACCACTTTCCGTCTGTGAACACGTGCACTTGAGTAACCCGCGTCACATGTGACAGACTACCCGTAGAATACTCGGTTTTTTTTACTCATTACGCGTGTGTGGGTTTAATAATGCCTTGTAGTAGACCAATATCGACTATCATGAAGGTATTTGCAGGCTTTGACAGTTGCACATTGAAGTGTCAATGGCCAACCACTGGGATGGGTTCGCACCTGCACATGGCGTCTTTTACAGTGTTTTCCATCCAACGGAGGGTACCAAGGTCAAATACGAATTTCCTCCAGGCTGTTTGGCTGCCAGCGACATAAATTTCAGCACGATCAAAAACTATGTGATTCCCAAGCCACAGCTTTGTAATAAGCTTTTGACGTTCAAATGCGGGTCTTTCAGACTGGTTTGTTTCCCGGTGAACATCGCGGCACCGTACTACGCGCGAAACTCGTTCAGTTTCGACTTTGTCTTCGTCTTTCCATATGATTGCGCGACGTCGCCGTACGAACCATCTATCGAGAGGCTGGGCAAGATGTTCACAGTACTGGAGGAGCAGTCTCAGATTCTGTCCAAGGCGGAGAATAGCAGTGTTTTCTTTCAATTGAAAGCCGACGCGCTTCAACACCCCCAACAGGAAGCTGCACCTGGCGCTGACAAGACCAGTGTGCTGGCCATGGTTGAGGGTAACGATTCTAGAGGACAAGACTACGCTTCTGAGAAGTACCAGGAGATTTTGAAAGATTTACAGGGCAATAGCAAGCGGCTCGCGGTCGACGACTTGATCACCAAGATTTTCCAAGATCTGAACAACTACTCCGAATGCTTGATTCCTATTGACTCGGGCAATGCTGTTGACATAAAGCTGTTCCCACTTTTACCTCCACCTAGCTCCAACTTATCGTTCGAAGATGTGCCGATTTCCACGGTGAACCTGGCCAAACTTAGAGATGCCAGTTGGGATCCAACGATGCTAAGAATCGTACCCTACATCAACGGAATCAATAGTATCTCCAAGATTAGTCGCTTAAGTGACAGTGACGTTGGGTTGGTAACCGAATGCATCAAACATTTTATTTACTACAATTGTGTGATATTGGCCGATATATTCCAGTTTGGCAACATTTACGCGCCGACTAGTAATCTAGGCCGGTTTCTCACGGATCCATCTCTGGCAGCCGCTTGCCAGTCTTACGTCACGTTCAAAGAATTAACACAAGTCTCCTGCCTCTCGTTCGACAAGAGAATCCCACGTCTGAGCAGCAGTAACTCCAGGACTCGCAACTCAAATACGACGCTTGATAACGTTCGTAAACCGCACTTTTATGCGTCTCGCAGCGAATCACTCACGTCAGCTATCGATTTCTCTACGACTGTCAATCAAAATACCCCTCAGTCACATAATTCTTCCATGCCCTACCAAAGCTCTGATGCACTCAATTCATACCCCGGTAATACGGGTGAGAAAAATGATGCTCCTTTTCCTGCGAAGTCATGTCTCTTCGATCTATACCGATCCTTTACTCAAGGCCAAACGGTCAAAGAATGGTATAAAGTCCATTTCGAAAAAATTCGGGCAGCTAGGATTGATGTGAGGCGCTTCATAACATTTGGCACCGTTCATGGCTTACTATACCGCTGCAATTCTTTTCCAATCATGAAAAATGCAGGTTTTTTGGAAGCCTTTAAATTTATGAACTCATCGAAGAACCCTGATCTCAGCACCAGTGAGTGGGTATCAAAGAAGCAGGGCTCTATGAACAATTTACTATCTGCTGCAGACATAAAGGTTGGTATGGAGAATGAGAATCTGCGGAAAAGGCGTAATCGATTTAAAACCGCAGACGCAGCAGAGGAAGCATTGAACGATGTATATCGTAAACTTGCTATTAACGAAGTACCGCCCGATACGGTTGCCAAAAATCCCATGAGTCATTTTTCCAATTCTCACAGTCAGTCTTCCTTCGATAGGTCGACTAAAGGAAGCTTGAGCGCAGCTGGTTCTGACGCCCGAAGCAAAGTTCCCTTGGATATCAGAAGGCCACTTACACCTGCTTCGCAAGATGAGGCAAAAAGATACGACATGCATCAATCAATTGCGAAAAGAAGAAACGAAGAGCTGAATCTGCTTAAGGCAGTTCGGGACGTCGACAGCTTCGATAAGATATGTTCACGTCTAGAAATAGATCGTGACGAGGTCGAAGAGATGTTACGAGATTTAGGACCATACAACGTCATTAATACGTGATCTTAGACAGGAAGGAATAGTATAATGTTACAAACGATTTATCATTAGCATGATAGTGACATCAGATTTAAGTAATTTATTCTAATTATTCATTGTATCTCTCGAGGTTTCGATGACGTGTCGTCCTCAATTAGTCGTCGCTTTGGCGGCGAGAGAGCCCGCTTGTTTCCGTCTATTTCTTTGATCGGCGATGTTGAGTACGACCTCTTCACCGGTGGCTGCATTAGACCTGAGCTCGAACCCACCTGATAAGTAATTCTCATGGGAGTCTTTCCTGAAGGGCCTAGAGGCCTGAGTGGCCTATCATTGAGCTGTTCCAAGAGACTTTCTATTCTTTCTTCACTATTCAGCTGGGGGATAGTCTGCGTACTCAATAGATCTTGAATCGACTTGTCAATTTCACCAAACTTTTGAGTTGCAGCTTGCATATAGTTTGCATTGTTTTGAAGCTGGCTTTTCAGAAGTTCGTGTTTACGTTTAATACCTTCGACGTTAGTGTCTATCACGCTGTTATTCCGGAAACTTGCTGATACATCTTTAAGTTGCGACAAATTATTCTCAACGCCGACCATGGCTGAAATTGATGAGTTCGTTGCTTGGTCTATCCTACCATACACTTCTTTCACCGCAGAGTGCATATTATTCTCGAAATTATTGGTTAGTTTATCACATTCGTTGATATTTTCAAGTGATTTCTCCCATGCTTGTTTCACAGGGTTCAGCAACCCCATTTCTTTTGCCACCACTTCGGCTGCCGCACTTTTTAAACTTTGCATCATGGAGTTCTTGTTATTTTCTAGATGCTCGTTCATCGTTTCTCTTAATTGAATGAAGGCCGAGTTCGCTGACACCTTCAATTGATGGTACGTACGCTCAACATGCACGTCAAGAGCTTCCTGAAAATTGTTTTTGAAGAACTGCTCATTGAGGTAATCCTTCAGATTATTGTATTCCTCGCTGACGCTACTAAGGTGTGCCATCAAGCTCGACGAATACGCTTCGACGACTGACGTAATATTTCCCACCTGATCGTGAATACCTTGAAAGTGTTTGGGAGTTTGTTCCGAGATATCTCGGACGAATTTTTGACATATTTCGTTGCTTGATGAGTTCAGCGAATCAAAAATTCGATAAAGCTCTTTGCTGACCATGTTGATGTTTGCGTCAACATCAATATTATCTTCGTTCACGTTAGCCTTAAGCTTCTCGATTTCGTTGGTGAGAGATTTTTTAAAGGAACCAATATTTTCATAAAGCACCCTCTCCATTTCGGTCTGAAATCTCTGGCCTTGATCCTCATAAACCTGAAGTGATTTTTGCATTGCATGAAGCGCACGCATTAGCTCTTGCACAACGTTCGAAAGCTCTTGTTCATTTCTGTGTTGTCTGTCGATCTTGTCATATAAGTATTCAATGTTATCTCCTAGGTTCCGAACTTTAGCCTTCTGCGACTCATTGATTTCATTGGATATTTTTCTTTCTTTCAGTAGCATAGCATTTTGCGTATTCAACTTCTCAATAGATCGCTGGCATTCTTGAATCTCTGTCTTGTAGTTTTCTAACTCATTTGTTAGCTCTTTGTAGTTTTCTTGACTCATGTAGACGCCATCTTTAGATTTAGTGGACAATAGGTCTGATTTGATTTTGACTAATTCCGCAGTGATACTTTTCACCAAGACATCTTTCATAATAAAGCTGCCTATCTGAGGTTTGTTTTTGATGTTCTTGGCCTTTGAAGCATATTCTAAGGTACTCGAAGTCTCTTCAGAATTGATCTTTGCGGGCGAAATCGTGGCAATAAGAGCGGTCTTGGTATTTCCGCCTAAAGAATCTTGTAAGAGTCTTGTTAGTTTCGACTCCCGGAACGGGATGTGGGCGCTTTTATCCGCTAGTGAATTAATTACTCGGCCGAGAGTCAGTAAGCTTTGATTGATTGATCCTGCTTCTTTTGCTCGCTGGTTCTGGGCACCAGACCTATTGATATTTTCGGAACCGGCCAAGTCGACCAAATTCATTTTAGAAACACGAAAGTTCTCGTCGTCACATTTTTTGTAAAGCATTATTGTGAAAACAGTATGGGAGCGACTTGAGAAGTCATTCATTTTCGTTGATGCCACTTGCCGTTGCTTTAATCCCCTCTGTAGTAGTCGTATACCCTCCTTGGCGCTCATAATATGAAACTCTTGCAAGTTCTGAATATGAATCGCGGAGCTTATTTCTGTGGAAGAGCTGGATTTAGGTATGGGAGCTTTTGCGGACTTCAGAGTGTTTGCAGCGTTGGGTGCCATTCGCATTTTGCGTCGCGAGGAATAACTGGAGGCCGTGGATGACGCGAAATGACTTTCTGTGAATTTTGGTGAGTTTGTTCTGGAGCTATTTCGACTGCCGTTACTGCCACTTGTGTTGGCTGCAGAGTCGAATATTCGCAGCTTTTTCGGTACGTTGTTAGAGTCATGAGCCTCGTCCAGGAGATCTTTGAGCTCTTCATTGTATAGCTCCACAAACGAGCATTTTATCATGTAGTCATCACTGCTAGCGTCCTCCAGTGCGTCGAATATCTTAAATAGCACGCGAGGAATGATGCCTGCACCTTCGCTCAATTCGCCATCATACAACCGCTCGTCTCCCGTCATAGTGTATGTTTTGCCCGTGGAGGTCATCCCATACACCAGAACTGTGCAGTTGTAGCCCTTGATGAAATCCCGAAATAATGGTTCTGCGATGCTTTTGAAAACCAGCTGCTGATCTGCACTGGGTCCAAACACCTTGTCCACCGTGTAGATCTTGGAGCTGAGCTGCGCAGCTATACCTGTCTCGCCACTTGTGTTGATAGAAACCTCGTTTTTGCCAGTGACGTCGGGAAGTGCCACAACCACAGAACTGCGTGCATCCACTTCTTTCTGATTGCGTCCCCTGCACCGCACCGCCACTGTTATGTTCAGCTCCTCAATATCTGACATTGTCAAAGTCGAGATGCTGAAGAAGTATACGTCACAGCAGTGGATTGAATTCCCTGTAAACCGGGTGTTTCTTACTGCTGTTATTGTCCTGAAAGATTCTACGATGGATAGAGTTTAAATACAATTGTTTTGTTTACAGTTTTGGTACGCGTCATTGTGTCGTGTAGGGTGATATTTATGGGAGCTTGACACTTGATAATTTGGATATTATATAGCTTTGCCAGGGAGTCTCAAAATGAAGGGTAAATAACAAGCTTTGAAGGGGACTATTAAGCTACCATTGAGGTCTCGCTGTGTGAAGGTTGCGAGCCTAAAGTTTGAACAATGAATGAGCACAATTTTCAATTTGGGCCACGTGACACAAAGGTGACATATTGGGAATAAATGATGTCCACCAATGACTACATTTGACTACACCATCCCGTCTGAACGCTATTGTACGATTTGAAGCCTCCCACTCATTAACCGCTTCTTTGTTCTGGACTTTCTTTCTTGCCTGGATTCTTGCGCCAAAAGGTTTGTTAACGACTGCATGTTTTCGTGTCGCTGTCGCCATCTCTCTTCGAAAAAAATCTGCTTGTAGGTCCAAGCTATGTGTCCAACGTTAAACAAAGTCTGTCTATTTCTATTGCCCCCGAGCATCTTGATTGTCCACAATATAAACGCTTTTTATAAGATGTGGTCTTCACACTAAATTTCGAAAAAGTACCCAGTCACCGACGCGTATACTTTTCGACGCATCTCTGTTGTACTGCTGAGAATGTGGCTACTCATCTATTCGATGTTTGCCAGGTAGCCATCATCACATGACTCGATGTCTGAGCTCTTGGTTGTGATTTATGCTTCTCTATCTGTTACCACAGATCAGTTGCTCGACTTGGCACCAGCGTCGGCGTGGTCACCGTTTGTAGCTGCAACGTGCGTGTTGTCTTGTTGCTCCGTTTGGCGAGAGCCAGATGACTTATGAGACCGTTTACGGCGGCGGGACGAGGAGGTTCCTGAGGAAGAGTCCGCGTTAGAGGCTCTCTTTGCGTTAGTTTTTGTCTCGCTCGGCGCCGCATCGCTTTTCTTCTTCTTTATGCTCAATGGATTAGGACCCTTGGGACCTTTACGCTTCAGATTTGCGGAACTATTTGGCATTGTGGATGACTGCGAAGCTTTTCCTTTTGATTCTTCAACGGGTGGTTTACCGGCCAGGCTGGGGTCGTTCAGCCCTTTATATAGCTTTAGCTTTTCCTGGTCACGACTAATCTTGTCACTCGATCTACTGAGCGGTTCCATGACCATAACAGAGCGGTTCATAAAAATCATGGGGACGCCAGGCACTTTGCGCAACGTACTGCGTATTTCCGGGTCCTGACTGGCCACGACATACCTATGCTTGTTGACCCCATTAATAGAAACCACACTTTCCAGACACTCTAGCGGAGCCTTGGCTTCCTTGGGCGGATGATTGCACCGCCTTCTCTCAAATGTCTTGGCCAAATCAATAGCCTCTTGGTTCTTGGTTTCATAAATAGCCTGGATGCAACACTGTGTTATCATGGGCTTCACCTCAGCCTGTAAAGTCCGCTGAAGGCCCTTTACAAGATCAAACGATGCCTTGTGCGTGTCGCAAACGATTTTGTCGTCTACCAAAACTTGATATGGTTCTCTAAATTTAAAGTTGTGATGATACACCAGCATTTGCTTTCTGTAAGACTTTGCTCTTTTTTGACGCATTGTGAACTGGACTTTTGAGTTTGAACGGTGCTAGAATGGATGCTTGCTCTCGATCAAGCTCAAGAAAGTTCAATATCTCAAGATCTCATCTCATCGCATCTCATCGCATTTCATATACTACTGACAACTGGAAAATTTTAGAGTTACGTTGAAAATGATCAAAATGCTTAAACGCTCCAGAAATGCGGTTGAGGTGGTGATATCGACGGCTTGAGAGATCCACATTGGCTTCACTTTAGTCCCGTATTCTGCTTGATAAAATCTATGAGTTTCCCTGTCATTGCATTAAAAACCACGACAACAAGGGCGAGGACGAAAATCGACAGCAGACGGCCCCACGTATCGTCAACGGCCAGAGACCCTTCTCGGAGACTCTGATGAGCCAAGGACCCCCCCAGCGGTTCAAAACCCATCGTTTGAGCCAAATGGCGTGGTTCGTGTTTTGTATTTGGGATGAAAGGTACAAGCCGATTATTTCTTCTTGAGGCAACGGTGATGTCGGTTTTCCTAGACCCTATCGTGACTATCTTGTCACCCGTGTCGATGAGTGTCAGGTTGTCTTGAATTACGGGTGTAGAAGGTCGCATGTCAGGCTTCAAACTTCGCTCTGTAGCCGTAGGTCTTTTTTCGTCTGTGGCCCGAAAGAACCATCGCTTTCTGCTAACCTTTACGTCACTCTGTTTTGAGTTTCGCACAATCTTGCGACGCTCAAGCACTTGTTTTTCGCAATTGCGTCGTTGACGAGCCGCTCCCCTGTCATCGCGCAGAAACGGCTCATCAGCATCCTGCAGAGGGTAGGGTATCATGGGTCGCATCGCTTGATAAATTGTAGTTGAGCATACTCAAAGAAATCACTGAGTAGCACACATATGCTCTTCAAGTTTAGAATCCTCTCGAACCGCGGTTGTTGAGGATCTTCTCAAAAACTAGAAGGCTTGGCCATCTCTAAACAACGTCATTATTGATCAACAAACAATAGTCGCTATATACGAACATAATTTGTGTGATATCGAGTTCTCTAATGCAAAGTACATGCCACTACCGCCATTTGAAAGAAAGCCTTACACACCCAGAGGCGTGCTATTATTGTTTAAAGGACAACCAAGTGGTTATCCCTCGAGATCAAGTTAGGAGCCTTGTAAAGATATGGAATCTGAGTCACGTGACCCATAAACTGTGTCAATTTAAACGTAGTCAAGGTTGAACACTTCCACTAGAAATAGCAGAAACATCAGACGATATCCCATTGTAATGCTCATTAACGGTTCTACTACCGCTGCCGGACCGTTTCTTGCTCAAACAGTGTGTCTTGTTGGTTATCTTAAATGTTGAAACTATTTTATTATAGATGAAAAGCGTGTACAATTGTGATGGGGGTGGGGGTGACGTGAGATTTCAACTCAGATATCCTGCTGAGTTGCCACGCGTGAATAAAAGGCAGTAAAAGGGCCCATTCATTCAATAGCGAGTTTGTTCCTCGAGGTTTCGATTATAGAAGACCAGTCAACTTATCAAAGACCTCTCTAATTTCCTCGTTGATAAGATCGGTCTTATCGTCCAATCCAGCAATGAGTTCTTCGATTTCGGCACCAACAGGGCTCTTCGCTGGCACCTCCTGTTCTGATTCAGACCAGAAACCATCCAAATCTTGGCCGGCACCGTTGTAGATTAGATAGTTCACAGTGTCCTCGGGCAAGTCTCCCAAGACGTTTTTGGTACTGTAAGCAATCAATTTTTTCTTGAGCTGCGCTGGGGTGACGCCTCCAGCAGCGTGGAAGTATTCACTGTCAGAATCAGGCTGCAAGGACAAAAAGTATGTCAGTAGGCCGGCAACGTGTGGAGAAGCCATAGAAGTACCAGACAGAGTGGCAGTGGCAGTTTCCGAGCCAATGTAGGTGGACAAGACGTTCAAACCTGGAGCGAAAATGTCAACACACTTACCCCAGTTGGAGAAATAGGCTCTGTCATCAGCCAAGGTCGAGGCACCAACCGTGATGGCGTTCTCAGCAGCAGCGGGAGACGTGTTGCAAGCGTCTTGGTTCTCGTTACCGGCAGCCACGGCAAAGTGTAGACCAGCCTTAACGGCGGCATTGACGGCCATGTCTAGTGCTGGCGACTTGCCACCACCCAGCGACATGTTGGCAGTGGAGCCCTTGAAACCCTTCTTGTTGCTCTTGACAGCGTCTTGATGAGACTTTGCGGCAAATTCAACACCCTTGACAACATCCGACATAGAACCAGAGCCGTTGGATCTCAAAACCTTGACGGCGACCACTTCGGCGTTCTTGGCAACACCGTAATGCTTGGAGGCGATGGTTCCGGCACAGTGAGTACCGTGACCGTTGCCGTCCTGGTCAAGATCGTTAGTTGGGACAGTCTTACCCCAGACGGCTCTGCCATCAAAGTCCTTGTGGTCCACGTTGATACCGGTGTCGATGACGTAAGAAGTAACACCCTTCCCGGCAGCATCGTCGTACAAGTACTTGTTGAAGGAACCTAGGTTTAGTTTTTCGCGGTGCGAAATACGGGAAAGACCCCAAGGAGCACCGTTTTGAGTGTCGAACTCTTGTGCGAATACAAGAGAGTCCTGCTCGACTAGCTCCACAAGTGGGTTCATACGAATGAAATCAATCACCTCTTCCGTGAAGTAGCCTATGTACCCGTGTAACAAGCCAGCTAGGTCAAACGAGTCCTGGATACCGCCTTCAGGAGTCTTGGCGCTGCCAAAGATCTCCCAGTCTTCATCGTCCTTAAACTCGCCCATGCCTTTGGGACGGCCGGCTGTGGCTTCGAAAAACGAGTGTGAGAGCGGCAGTTTGGCGACAGATTGAGCGTGCGCCTGAGAGACGACTTCGCGATGGAAGTCGGCCTCTTGGGACGAGACATGGCTCTTGAACACCACGATGTAGCGGTGAGGAATGCGAGGGTAGAAACTCTCCGTCTGAACAACAAGTGGCGCAAGTTTGACGGACTCGCCCTTTTCAGCGGCGTTCTTGGTGATTTCTTTCCCAAACGACGCCAGCACAGACTCACCGGTGTGCAGAGCGTTCGAGACGCGCTCTGCAACCTCGTGCGAGGCTTTCTCGACGTCTGGCAAGACCAGAGCGGAACTTACGGCAACGGCCAACGCCACTGGAAGCGCGGTTTCGAGCTTCATTGTAAAATTATACTTGTATCTGGCTTCTTTGATGTAGCTGAATTTCCTTTCAAGACCTGCAGTGTCGAAAGTTCAGCCTAGACGAAAACGATGGAGGGCGGCAAAAACGCAAGTACTTGGATGCGGTTTTGCAAGTGGTAACTTATCTACGTATCTCTCTATGGGTTTACCTTGTATAGATAAACGCCTCGCGATACGATGACGTGCGAGGGAAGAAGGAATTGTTGATCTTGCCCGAGAAATGGGCCCTTTATATACTCTGCGAAAGTTTCAATTTGAGCCCCCTGAGAAGAAAACGAGGGGTGTAACTTTGTACGTCTGATAGCAAGGAGTAATATCACGATCTACGCTTTATCGGTGAAGAGAACGTCCCACCTTAGTCCTTTGCCCCGACAAAAAGAGGTGAACCGGATTATTTTTGGGACTAGTTTTTCCGGTATCGGAAAAACCTCAAAAGTAAGGGAGGAGAGGCGGGGGACTGGCCGAGTCAAAACGGAGCAAGATAAGAAAGGTTTACATAAGCGAAGAAGGGTCAAGCAATATATACATCACATTACACGAAAAGCGAGTAGAGAAATGGATAGAGAAGTAGGTGAAAGACCGCTTTTCGGTTAGCTACTCATCACTTTATACCAATCCTCCCCAGTAGGACTCCGATGCCGATCTTTAAGTAACTCATCGCTTCTAAATACTAACGCTCAAAAGAGTTCCCTTATCCCATTGATGTGTCCAGCAAAGTATGTACATTTTACGAACTGGATATTTGGTTTTCAAGGTAGATCTCTCTAGTCACATTTGAAGTGTGAGCTTACCTATGTTGATGACCTTCAAAAGTTGGTTTTACGTCGGTCTAGCATGCCATTGCTGTAAATAAAGTTTGAAAACGCGACAGTTCACTAAAGTTCTCTTGATCATAAAATTCCAACGATTTCGATAGATATACTTTCTATGCTTTCGATTTTTTGTTTACACGTTTGGCGTTTTTTAGAGCTATACATATATTTACCGGAGTTCTTTTCAAAAGTGGTCCCTACATGAATGGGTCCCAAGCACGATTTCTGCACTACCATGCCATTTCACCCCAATGGAAGCTCTTATGGAAAGATTGTGACACAGGAAATGCCTCTTGTCGACTCCGATTTCAGTAGCGGCTCTGGGTCCCCTGGGAGAAGAAACTCGATCTGCAGCAATCTGGAAAACTCAGGGAAAGCTTCTGCATCTATCAAAGGAAGTGGCTGGATGCTTAAGTCGTCTCTCCGTCCTTCTTTTGAATTCGAGATCTCCAATGGTAAGAAGGTCGCCAAGTGTTTATACTGTGGTAAGCGATATTCCGAGGGAGAATCAACGGGAAACCTATCAAAGCATGTTCGCAACCTACACCCAGCTGCTTTCAACAACACGAATAATAAAGTCCAAAAGTCGACAGCGTCGGGCACTTTTGGGAAGCGATCAAACGCTTTAAAAATTTCCAATTTGATCGAGGATGAGTACACGATGAATCCTGAGACATTTCAAACAGTGTTGCTCGTCGTTGAAGGTTTTCTGCCATTCAGTACTGTTCAGCTCAAAACTTGGAATGTTATCAATAGATGGAGAGGGTCTGGTGAATTCATTCAATCGAGGAAGACGCTAATTAAAAAGCTGGACCTGTATTCATGCTACATGGACAAATGTTTGGCGCTCAATTTAAAGGATACTAATCTCGTGAACGTTTTGCTAGGCACATGGAAGGCACCCACCGGAGAGTCATTTCTTGGCGTCATGGTGTCCTTTGTGCCAAACTTCTTCAACGAAGATACCTTGAAGACCGCTACATCTTCGTCATTATTTTTAAACAATGCTGGCAAGGTGCAAAATACGCATTTGCTTGAATTTGTCAGTCTTGGCAGTGATCAGTATACAGGGCAACAGTTGTGTTCATTATTTTTATCCTTATTGCAAAAACATCGGCTAGAGGACAAGGTTGCTACCATTACAATGGACACTACTAGAAAAAGCTGTGCCGTTTACTCTCATTAGATCCATGATAACCTCAAAATTTACAAGCCTCTTGCATATCTCCTGTTCAATCGCGTGCGCTACGTAAGGTGTGCAAGTGACGTACTGAGTTTGCAGTTTCAGAAGATAGTCGAGCATTTATCTCACACAGTTGTCTTCACGTAGACCTTTGCCAAAGTGAGCAAGCTCGCAAAAATCATGAAATGCTCGACCCGAATTAAAACGAGCTTTCGTGACTCTAAAATACCTTCAATGCCTCTTGAGGTACCTTCAAAATGGATATTAAAGTGGCGTCAGATAGAGAGATTTCTAGCAAATCGAGAGTTATACGAAGCTTGGTGTCAACGCAAAAAGGACAGCGGGGATGAGCAACTGTCCTCAAGGCTGCGACGCCACCTCATTCATGATAAAAGAACAATTGAATTATTAACATACTTTGTCGAGGTGTGCGAATTGTTCAACGACCTTAATCAACAATTGCAGAGTGATGAATATAACTGTTTATCCACTGCTATTCCCTTCTACTATCTTTTGGAGCACTATTACAGCGCTTCAATACAAGTTGGAGAGGGAAAAAGGCTTAAGCGATCATCCTCAGGCCCGGATTTCTCTTGCCTCAATGGCTCATACAAATTGCACTCGGACGACAAAGAGCTTGTTTTCGAGGCCATGACGCTTGGAAGAGCCTTGCACCATGAATATTTCACTAAAGTCCAAAATGATCCCATTTTTCTTTTGTCGGTTCTGCTGGATCCTAGGTTCAAGACCGAAAAGCTGTACAAGAAAATGCATTCAGCAGAGGCTGTTCGAAACATCCAGTTATGCGAGACATTCATCAAAAACTACTTTAAAGAGTACAGATCTATCAGTTCTTCTGACGTGGAAATTATGGGTGAAAGGCCTTGTCATCCTGTGGGACGCAATCCATTGGACTTTGACATCCAAGAAATAGGGCTACTAGACTCGGAGGTTCCTGAAGATAGAGAGACCAACGATATTCGATCAACTTTAAAAGAGTGGCACATTTACTTAGAAGAGCCTCTCTTGGCTGCAGGCTCGAAAGAAGATGCCGTAAATTGGTGGTTTGAACTACGCCCGAAGTTTCCGCGACTTTTCAAACTTGCCATGTCCCTGCTCTACACCAAGGTTTCGATTTGTGATGTTGAGAGGAAGTTTTCATTCGCGGAAAGGGTAATGCGGAAAGATTACACGCGGCTAGATAAGAAGAATGTTAGTACATTAATGGTGCTAAGGGATAGGTTTCTCAACTTCAACTTTTACGAGAACAATGGAATACCGCTAGTTCCTGCCGAGTTTGAAGAACGTGACAGTAACAAGGAACAGTGCCTCGAGCTCAACACAGATCACTCGGATTTTAGCAACTTTGATTCTGATCCTGATAGCGCAGAGGATGAAGTGCGCCAAGTGCGCACAGATGACGGAGAAACTTGTGTTTAAGGCCGGTTTGACAAAGACACGTATATCGCATTGATTCAAGGCACACAGGAGATTCCGAGCGAAATAGATATAGTGAGCTATGAATTGCTTAAGACAAAACTGGCTCTTTCGCTGACGTTGGCGCATCACTTCTGCCTTGGTTGGCGCTGAGTGTGACACCGAAGATTTCGTCACATTTAACGTAAGCTCGCAGGCGACTCATACGTACAAAAAAATATACTCACCACGACTCATCACCGAGTACGACAATATGTGTTAAATCCTGGGGGAAATACTTGAGTTACTCGGAAGTCAAGTCTGCACTCTGGACGAGTTATTATGTGCCATCTTAAGAGAGATGTCTCTGGGCATAAACCGCCGATGAGTTTGTAACGGTACCTAGGGAGTTTTCCGGCGCACGACCAATACACGAATGCTTCTTGTGATCGAGGTCGTTCTTCAGAAATCGAGACGCTGGACATGTGTAAAGGCTGCGAAAAATGGTAAATGGTAATTAAACTTGATCTCTAATCTGACAATTCAAGTGTCACCTTCAATATGAAAGGTTTGCATTTCGAACAATCCAATGGCAGAAGGAAAATAGGTGAACGCATGTAGCATATAATATTATGCTCGGCAAACTTTCATTCTGTTAATTCTGTCGGAGCGCTATTGTACATGAGCGAGCATAAGTGTAGTTTCACTTGAGCCCTAACAACAGATAATTAAGCAAGATTGCTACAAATTTATTGACGACAGAAGGTACTTGGACCTAAATGAAATGCAGTCTTGACGTGATTTTGTTTCTTGGTTCTTGTCTCCTCATGAATTGGTTTTCGCGAAGCCTACGAACGGACTCAAAACCAAAGTACAAAAGGGCATACAAAGATTTCGAAAATCATGCTGTGCATGGTAGCGCTTTCTGTAGCAGTGTATTTTGGAAGCAAGATTCTCTTTGGACATGCCTTTTTTTTCCCGACACAACACAACTCTGAGGTCTTTATATCTTTATTCAAGGCTTTTACTGACACCCATTATTTTGTTGCTCGTGCTCAAGAAGTTCCTAGAAATAAATCAACATTGTATCAAAGCACTTTAATGATTACAGTTTCCAAAGTTCTTATGACAATGGGCCGTGCAGATTAGTCTTTGACAAGAAGCTTTCTCCAAAACTCTTCGCGTCTTACAAGATTTAACTCATAGTGTCAAAGCATATGGCAAACTCGAGATCAAGCAATTCTTTGGTCTCACGTAAGGAGACTATGATTACGACTTGAGGGTTTCCGAAACTTGAATAAGAAGACCGCTGAAATGTAGCAAACAAGGACCGAAGACCTTGGCTCGATGTTCTATGTTTGCTCGTTACAAACCTTCTTTCAACCCTGACAGGGGGCAGCAAGACATCAAATTTTGCGTACTCAGTATGCGTAGATCTTCATATAATGCGCCAAGTCGTGTTGATGTAATGAAAAGTCGCAAAAAAGTGATTTCATCGAAAGTTGGTGCTGATCCACGATGTCTGGACTCGAGCGTCAGCGAATACAAATTTCTGCTCCACAAGCTGTACTTATTCGATTCTCTGGATTAGAGTCTCTGGTTGAAGTATGCTTATCCAGGACTTATCGTTTCACGTCAAGAGAAGAATTCTACAGATGGTCGAATTCGCTTTGTTTTGTAGTTAGTGTTTTAAGTCTTCATTTTTGAATATAAACCCATCCTGAAATTTTGTGCAACGCTCTTACAACTAACATATAGCAAGCAAATAATCAGCAGAACGTTCCCATGGCCCTGAAATTCGTTCTGATGGTAAGCTAATGTTGAGCTTTCTCGAACAAACTTGAAGGATCGATTCATATTGGTGCGGAAGAGGTGCTATCACCGGCTTGTTTCAAACAATGTGCAAAGAGCCATACAAGGTCAAGAACTCAGCACAAGCTGGGTTTAATTTTAGTTCGAGCTATCAGGTTCCTACGCTCTATTTGTGTCCTTGAACATCATGGCGTGTTTTGGTCGAGCCTCAAAAGTTCGATAATTATAGCAGTGCAAAGCATGGCGAATTGTACTTGCTTCTAGCGGCATCAAAGTGCATTTGCAAGCTGACAGGTTACCGAGATGAGATCTAGCTTCAACTGCGTCACGTCTTGATTTGATGAATTATATTTCAGGGAACAGTTGCCCGAACTCCCAAAGCAGTCCGCCACGATGAAGACTTTAATGAATCACTAGCGTGGCTCTGTAAGCATCAATTTGCATATTCCAATCTAAATTCAATGTTTTTGGAACGAATTCGGCTGTGAAACTGGTAATGAACTCGCCTTATATGGAACAGGACATTCAAAATGGCATTCAAAACGTGTCAGAATCAAGTGTGGTCAAGGGCCTGCAAACATTAGAGGAGTATCAAATTTTGACCACAAAAGATTTGGACACTTCGACAAACGGCTCTCAATTATCTCCAAACAAGATCCTAAGCAGGATGCTAGAATCCTTGTACATTTGGGGCTCTTGAGGAACTCTAGACTCATTGTTAGCTACATCATGAGTTTCTTGATGAGAATGATAAAACTGCTCGGTTGGCTTCCTTAAAGCTAGCTTTGACACATTTATTGAGCGCCGGAAGATGCTAGCTTTCATACATTCGAGCTTTTGTCGCGTACTCTTCTGTGAAGAACAAGAAACACGCAGTATCTTACAATAAGATAGCTTGGGGGAATAATCTTGAGCAGCTTGGTGTTGAAAATCTTTACTATGATGCTGCTGTAAATATGGGGGTGAACATATCGGACCGGCTTTGCCAAAATCCTATAACTGGTAAACTCAGATCACTAATTCACAGCTTTTATGAAATGCTCGGCAGTTCCAGGTGTTTGACTCGACAGCTCAGCGAAGCTGATACGCCTGGTTTAGGTAGAAACCTCGCACATACCCACTCAGATGACAGCTCCGCTGAAATACAACGGAATACAAAAAGAACCATTTGAAACCCAATAACCTAATGCTACAACGAAACTCGCCAGTTCGGTACTAACGCTACTTGCCTCTTATTACTGTAGTGCAAATCGAAAATGGCGGACAGTTTCGTTCATTGCTGCTGATCGTGCTAGCAAAGCCCCCCCCCCTTCGAAGTACTCAGGATACAACAGCCAGACAAAGATTTGCATTGGTTTGCGGTATGCCAATCAAGTTTCAGTGCATCAAAGGTCGTGGCGTGGCAGCTTGAACTGCATGTTCATAGGTCAAGCTCTTCATTCACACTCAGGCAACAAAGAGAAGGCGTGGTTTAGGAGTTCATGTTTTATCACTAAGAGAAGGTTGCTGGATTTTTGAGCAATTCTCAATAACCTTAGGCCTTACCGCTGGCTATGCAGGAAATTTCTGCGTGCAAAGATGATCATTCAATTTTGTATTATACCATTCATTTTGACTGGGTCTATTAAACACCGTCGCAGCGTGCCGACCGGCGTCAGAAAGGCATAGAAGATTCTCCACGGAATAAAAATTCTTCTCGTCGAAATGGCGTTGCCTACATTATATCGAGTATGCTTGCTATGTGAACTGAAAAAGAAGGCATGATTGAAAGACATTCGACTCGACACAAGAGAATGCTTTGCTATGAGAAGAGGACTACCCAAGAAAATAAGATACGGTAAATTCGATGCCACTTACAGTCTATTTGGAAAGGTGAAAGTCTCATTTTGGAATCCGCTCTCGAAGGTTTCGAACCAGATTAACAGCGGCACTAAAAAAATTCTCATTTAGCGTCTTGGAATACGTGCAGCTCTTTGTTTGTTCATACATGGCATGCGATGTCATTGTTATGGTGAATGATAAGCACATCAATCTGAAGTCGAAACAGGTGCTCGCAATGAAAAACCTGAAGCCAACTAGAATCTGTGACTATGCTAAAATTTGAACGTGCCTACGTCGTGCCTTATTTTGCAGGCGCTGAGAAAGTAGCAGGATTCTCATCCCGCAACCTACTGTGCCAACCCGTCTTAAGTTTGAATGGTATTGCATAGATGGCCGACCTTTACACCATCCAACCCAATTATTTGGGTGCGCTTGACAACAACTCAGAATCGGTCCGTTCCTCACTATCCTCTGTGCAAACCGACGCGACTGCGCATGCTTCAAAATTTTTTCTCTTGGTCTAGTCAAGAGGCGATACCCTACAGCTTGAGCGACACTGCTGCGGGCGTAACAACATGCCGCCATTTACCTATCATCAGAGAGATCATAAATTTTCTCTTTTGAAGCTAGCGACCGGATAGCTTCGCTGGCCCTTTGGTACAAATACTGGTGTTAAAGTGAGCGAGCATACCTCAAAATTTTGAGGGCAGGGTTGTCAAAGTAAAAAAGTTACTGAAGTATTGATCATGGGCGGCTTCTTTCGATGTCTCCACTGCTCTCTTCGAACTTCCTCTGCTGTGATGAAAAATCATGTTATTGAAACAGGGCACCACGTCATCGAATCCCGTATTATGGAAGGCTTCATAAGATGTCAGTACTGTCAGGCAAACGATATCTTTGAAATTATTATTTTAAGTTTCGATTGCGGAGAACTCAGGTTTACGTGTAAATCCTGCCTTCTTACCATCTGCGATGAGTTCTATCCGTATGACCATCCTCTACAATTCTGCTTGTATGATAATTGTCTTGTTATTGTGGAAGAACTTGCGACTGTAGCATGTCGAAAATGCAGCAGGACCATCTTTTCGATTGAACCTACTTGGGGCACACGTTTCTGTTATCTTTGTTATGACCCAGAAGATGGTGTGCTTCCTATCGTCCAACTAATGGAAAAAGACCATCTGCATTTCATGACGCTCCTATTTAGGCCCGGATCTCCATTTTATCGTTTATTCCCTGCCCCCAAAAACGATTCTCGAGCTATTAAGTATCAGATAGCTCCACCAGGTACAACAGGCCTTATTTGTCGTGAACTGGAAACAAAAGAAGGAGTCAAGTTACTACCTCCGGATCCGCCTCTAACTCTTCTTTTCCCACACCGGCACCTGTGTAGATGGAGCAATAGGACAATTTATGTGGACCTACACAAATACGGCGACAGGGCTAAACATCTAGCCAAACATCTAGGAACTGAAGAAGCTTGGTTGTACAAATCGACTGAAAAATCAAATGATCATGATAATCACGATGATGCCGAATCAAAGATTGTAGATCCAACTAGCTCAGGGTGTGCGGAAGAAGTGCAGCTGCCCAGTGCGGTCGCACAAAATCTCAAATTTGCAAGTAATCTTGAAAGGGATGCCACAGAAGAAGATGAACTAGCAAATAATTGTCTTTCCGCGCCAGAACTGATGGAAAGAGATCAAAATTCAGCGTCCGAAATAACGGCGGGCCAAGAACAAAACCCATCCGATTTTACGTTTTTTGCAGAAGATATCACCGACCTCACACTGTTTTATGAACCTTATGAAAAATGCGGAGATAATTCTTACAACGAATGCTTTCTTGAATTGTCTGTAGACACCAATGTGTCGATATCTTGCGCAATTCTTGTCGACTCAAAATCGACGGAATCCCCAAAAGAGTTCAGTTGTAAAAGATGGGCGTTTGCTCAATTTGAAGATGATCAAATTATTGAGATAAGCCACGAAGCTAGAGACGGTGATAGTAGTTTTGACGCGTCAACAATATCGAGAGTTGATGATCGTGATTCTCCTCTTTGTGGTTTCAAACAGAGTGGTGTTAAACTCTCACAAGGCAGGATGGCGGAGAGTGATATCACCAATGCTACAGAGAATTGCAAGGACTCACTTGAATCCAGCACTGCTGCGATCCGAGAAGACGAGATGCACCCTGTTGGTCCTGAATTGAAAAACGACTCGAGTCATGAAAGTTTAGGAGTCTTGGCAGTAGAAGAATTTAAAATTGAAAACAATGGCGACAAGATAGATGGCAATGATGACAATGATGATAACTTTGACAGTGTCACTGCATATGCTTTGGAGGAAAAGGTTGCGAGAAAAAGAGAAAAACGGAGGAAGGCAAGATTAAGAAGGAAAGAGCGAAAGATGAAAGAGGCCGACAAACAGAAAGATAAACCCCTGAGCGAATACCAACCAACGGAAATCAAAGGTGTCGCGGAAACAACGGAGGGCCTTGGCGAAGAGACGGGGTCAGAGAATGACAAACGTGAGGACAGCGCTGCATTGATTCACCAGAGGGATAAAAAGGCTAAACTAAAAAAACGCTTCAAATCTGGAGGTCTTATTAAGGCCAAAATGTATTCACCTGTTGAGAGTGCGTTCAAGACCTTGACGACGTATAGACGGTTCCTGCTGCCCAGACTTTTTCAGTCACTGTCCAAAGAAGTCGAAGCCTTGGCTTATTTCCAAATTAGCAGCCTACAAGACAGCTACAGAAATATCTGCGAGGTTACCATCGACAAAGAAAGTGATGAACTCAAGCGCCAAAATTTCTCTGAAAGACCTTCATTTGCCCCTTTCGGCACAAGACAAGCAATTATTCTAAGTTCAGAAGACGAAAAGCGTGTTTGGTTTACCAAAGTCTTGTCGCAAACTGAAACTAAAAAAACCTTTAAACTGATCTTGCAGCTCTACGGCTTCAGGCAGCCCAAAATGCCGCTTGACTGGTCACACGCCAAAACCAAATTGCTGCCTGGAAGCGCCGTGGAAACAAGGATGCTGGAAGCGCTTGTGAGGATTCAAGAGTCCCGCTTTCTTACTTTTGTCTTGGGAAGACTGTCACCCAAAAATATTATCTTCAACAAAAGTGCTTTGCAGCGCAGCGAGAACCTAAATTATTCTCAGCTGCTAGCAGTGAATGCGACGCTGAAGGAGAAGTATACGGTCATTCGAGGGCCTCCGGGAACTGGGAAGACCTCTGTCATTTCTGCGATCATTCGGAAGCTGCTTGACCGCAATAAAGGATGGCCTATTTTGTGCGTAGCGGAATCTAACGTTGCTGTAGATAATTTGTGCGAAAGGCTGCTTGATGTTGTTGATAATGCTAGCTTGCTGAGGGTGACGTCTGTTTCCAAAGAGCTAGAATACTCTTCAGACAAGAAATTAGGTAAAGCTTGCTTGCACAACAAAATGTTTCCGCTTTTGCCGGGGCACCTCAGAGTCGTTAAAAAATTGTTGCTCGAGAAAGGAGCGAGTTCAATTGACGCCAAGAGTTACAGAGAGTTGATGGTAGCCCAGTCAAAAATAAAGAAGCGGTTGATAAGTAAAGCAAAGGTCGTGCTCACTACGAACATAACCTCGGGAGGCCTAGAGTACAAAGATTTTTTCGAGTTTGGAACCGTTATTATGGATGAATCAACACAGGCAACTGAACTTTCTTCATTGGTTCCCGTGTCGCTTCCTGGCGTCGAAAAAATTGTCCTTGTTGGGGACGAAAAGCAGCTGTCCAGCTTTGCAAGCGATTCTTGGGGTATGTCTTCCTTATTTGAACGGACCTTAAATAACAAAAGATGTTTTCCAATGCTGCTGGACACTCAGTACAGAATGCATCCTCTTATTTCCGAGTTCCCCGCCACGAAGTTTTATGAGGGTCTATTAAAGGACGGAATTAGCTTCAGTGACCGAAAATGGTCCACTCCAACGCCTGTCATATCGTTTCATTACTTCAAGAATGCCGAAGAGTCCCAAAAATTTGCGGGTCAAGGTTCTATTCGCAGACTCTCTTACCAAAATGCGCAAGAGGCAGCAGCAGTCTTGAAAATTGTACAAGACTTGATTTTTCGCAAAAGCGTCTCTCCCGATCAGATTGGTGTGATTGCCACCTATGCTGCTCAAAGAGATTTGATTGCACATTTGATGGAAAGAGATCCACTCATCAATCCAAAGCGCTCCTTTTTGGTGAGGAAAGCAGATATGGAAAGCGCTGAGCATCGCCCGACCGTCAAGGCAACCTTGGTCAGTATCAATGGTATCAAAGTTGCAACCGTTGATGCATTTCAAGGCCACGAAAGGAACTTTATAATCCTGTCTTGCGTGAGAAGCAATAAAACGGGAAAGATTGGATTCACTTCGGACAAGAGAAGGCTCAACGTTGCACTCACTAGAGCTCGGTATGGTTTGTTTATTGTCGGAGACAAAGAAACTTTGACTGCCGGTAGCAAAACATGGCGAACATTGATCAAACACTTCAAGAAGAAGGATGCACTAATAGACGGTCTCAAAGGTATAGGCAAAGAAGTCTCATAATGCTCGTTAAGATGAAAACAAATGATGATATACAATGACGTGCATAGTACTTGACAGACTCTACTCAAGTTTTGACTTTGTTCGAGGTAGAATTAGACTGGTCGCACTAGTGCCATGTCATCAAATCAATGACACCTCAAGAATTGAATTTGCTTTCTCTTGAGTGAGATGAATGTCTAAATTTTGGATATCACTTGTCATAAAGAGGCGCACGTCCTGTATATGTAATTTAAATAGTCCTTTTTGCCTAATACGCCAAAACCTCGTGCTTGAACAACTCGCAAAGGCTAACCCAATCTTCTTTCGTCTTTACGGTCCCATGTGCACCGCACATTACCAGGTTCATGCCGCTTCCAGTGGTGGTACACGCGCTCAGAGTAAAACTGTGTCTCAAACTTCCCAACGTCTGCGAAAATACCAGGTCATGGACTTTAAACTTCTCGATCTCAGGGCCCTGTTTCACAATACCTATGTTGCTAAGGACAACACCCTCACGAGGAAGACCAACCAGATCGTCAACAACAAGTTTGTCCACGTTGGATTTTTGTCGCACGACATCGAGCATCAGAGCTCCCAATGGATAAAGGTAGTCATTATTACATTTGCCACGGCGGAACACGCCATTGTAGTATTTGACCAATGACCAAAATGCTTCTTTGTCGTCGCCAATGTTAAGAGAGGAAATTAGATAGTTGTAGCGAGACCCACCAATATTGCTCCCGTAACGGTACATGTTCCTGATTTCAGAATCCTCAGGCAGTAATTGTGAGGTGTGCATAGGCACTACCATGTCGATAAACCATTCCCAGATAGACCCTGAAAATACTTTGCCAAACTTGTACATCGACACAAGCCAGCATGTTTGTAAGAAAGGACTCATGGTGCAATCAGGATCCCGCATCTTGATTTTATCTCTGATTTGCTCTACCTGGTCTGGCGTGAAATTGAGGAAATATGAATGTACACGATTACCTTCATCGGGCTTAGTTATGCGCGAAACGACGCAACCATTGGAACGGTACCCCAGGTATTTGCGAACAAAGTTTACTCCCATCAGTCGAGCAAGGTAGCTCAAAGGTGGCTTGTAGTCTACACGTTCATCAATAGGTATCGGCAGTTTACCTATTCTTTCGTGGTCAGCAGCATAGTCAAAAATGAGATTTGCAGAAGCTGGATGGGGTCCTGGTTTGTTGAGCCACGAGGAAATGTCTTTAAAAAAGTTGGCCGCAGAGTTCGCATCGCTTGAACAATGGTTGGAGATGAATAGAAACTTGGAAAATGACTTTTTAGAACCGTCGGATAAGACCAAAATTCTCCAGTTTGGTCGTCCACAGTCCCCATAAGGTACACGGATAGTGGAGACGATATCAAAAATATCGCTGGTATACTTGTTGTGGCCGGCAGCGAATATTTCGAGGATCTCTTCTACAACCGAAGCGTACTCAGGCTGCTCGTTCATTATTATGTCCGACAACTCGACTTTTTCCAAAAGTTGCATATATTCGTGATTGACAATTGGCTTTGAAATATGCTCTTCGCTCGCGTAATACTCCAGAGTGTGATTGTTCTCATTTCTTGGGATAACCGTGTGTAATAAAATCGGATTTTCTAGGCAAACTGCTCTTATTGCCGATGCCAGTTCCTCGCGAGTACATGCATCAGTCAGCTCACAATACATGCTGAAATTTGTGTACAAATCCTGTCGCTGGCAAAGGGCAAAGTAGTTTTCCAAGTGACCTAACTCTCGTGCATGCCCTCGTTCCTGCATTATTTGCAGAAGATCCAGTTTTTCGTTCATTTTTTCCGGCATGTTCCACCTATAAGACGAAACTATCGCAATTGTTTGGTGAACTGGTTCAATTGTAACGATGGTTTGATAGTTTTAGAGCTTTGAAGAAGATCGAAGTAGAGTTGTCCACTATCTTTTAGATTCTTAAACAAAATCTTTCGTGTCGTTCTGCATGAATGACATCATCATCAAAATAACTATACGAGGCTTCGGTAGTGAGCGACGAAATGTGAACAATGGGCAACGAACGACCGTGAAATTTCGGTTTTTGAGCTTTAGTGGTAAATCAGGTTAGCGCGAACTATTGATCTTGGTAGAATGGATATTTTAAATAGGATGTCGTGCACATCGGCATGAGAAGATAAATGTATTATTTTTTAGCAGGTTTTTTTCGAGATTTTCTTCCCCACAATTTATTTAGGACCAATCATGTTTTCAGGAACAACCCATTCATCGAACTCGGCGTCAGTCAGAACCTTCAATTCCAAGGCAGACTCTTTTAGTGTAATACCCTTCTTGTGCGCGTTCTTGGCAACCTTAGATGCGGCATCGTAGCCAATCTTTGGGTTCAAAGCAGTCACCAACATCAAAGACTCGTGCAATAGCTTGCTGATCTTGTCCTCGTTGGCCACAATGCCGTCGACACAGTGAATTCTGAAAGAGTTACAGCCGTCTCCGAGAAGTCTGATAGAACTCAACAAATTCGAGATCATGACTGGCTTGAAAACATTGAGTTCAAACTGACCAGAGGCGCCGGCAAAAGTAATCGCAGCGTTGTTGCCCATCACTTGAGCACACACCTGCGTCATGGCTTCGTTTTGAGTTGGGTTCACTTTTCCTGGCATAATGGAGGAACCAGGCTCGTTTTCAGGCAATGAAAGTTCGCCGTAGCCACAACGAGGGCCAGAGCCAAGGTAACGGATGTCGTTGGCAATCTTGAATAGCGAACAAGCCAATGTATTCAAGGCACCGGAACACTCGACCACGGCGTCGTGGGCAGCCAAGGCCTCGAACTTGTTTGGGGCAGTCTTGAAATCAATGCCGGTCTCCTTGCTAACCTGTTCGGCAACCTTTTCGGCAAAACCTATTTTGGTGTTCAGACCTGTGCCTACAGCGGTACCACCTTGAGCTAGGTACTTCAAGTGGTGCAAAGACTGTTCGACACGAGTGATACCGTTGGTCAATTGCTGGGTGTATCCGCTGAACTCTTGGCCCAGAGTCAATGGAGTGGCGTCTTGCAGGTGAGTTCTACCGATCTTCACGATGCTGTCGAATTCCTGGGACTTGCGTGCGAAGGAGTCTCTCAACGCGGTTAGTTCGGGTAGAAGCAGACCAGTGATTTCGGTAACCGCAGCAATGTGCATGACAGAGGGGAAAGTGTCGTTGGAGGACTGAGCCTGGTTACAGTGGTTGTTGGGGTGGATCGACTTGGAACCCATTTCGCCGCCCACAAGCTCGATCGCTCTGTTGGAAATGACCTCGTTGGCGTTCATGTTGCTCTGGGTTCCGGACCCGGTTTGGAACACGACCAAAGGGAAGTGGTCCATCAACTCACCACGGATAACCTCATCGGCAGCCTGTTGGATGGGCTTCGAAACTTTGGGGTCTAGAGTACCAAAGGACTCATTAACGATCGCTGCGGATTTCTTAAGAATACCGAACGCTCTGACCACAGGCTCGGGCATGCGTTCGCGGGGACCGCCAATCTTGAAGTTCTCAAGCGACCGCTGCGTCTGTGCCCCCCAGTATTTGTCGCTAGGGACACGAATCTCACCGAACGCATCGGTTTCCACTCGGTAGTTTTTGCTGCTTCCTGCCACTGCAGAAGTGGACAACAACTTGGACACTGTCCCCTGGGACAGTGTCTTTCCAGCGGTTTGAGATGTCATTTTGAACATTGTAGTGGAGAGATCAACAACAATGGAACTTGTTTGGTTTCAGAGGCTAACAGAAAGTTAACCACTGTGGAGCTTTCTTTAGTTGTGGGCGCCGAGATATCTCTTTTTGACGATCATGTGCCTTATATATCGGCGATGGTGGATTCCAAAGTTCGGTTCCGTCTGCGGAATTAAAATGGTGACAGAGCTCGAAATGTGGGGGAAAGCAGTGAGCAGGACAACAAAGATCAATCTACAAACGTCCAACAGTCCTAATCACGAGTTGATAGTGTAGATCATTGAATAATTGAGCAACAATTTGCGCTAGTGCTCTTTAGAGCGCTAGGAAAATGCTTATCGTGTCTCATGAAACCCGCGTTCATGGTTCTCAGTAAGGAAGACAGTGAGTTTCCCCGAAATCATCAACATCAACACGTAATTGTGTTCCATAAGATAGTAAAATTTGTCCCAGTGAAGAGTACCAGGAATTTCCAAATAATAATTCCCATGACTTCGAAAATTAAGGTGTGCTTGCGATAGAAGGAGAACATATACCGTTTTTGGACGACGAATGAAACAGTTGCTTGAAATGGCGAATTGTATCGGAGAGGAACAACATACCCAACTGTTCCAATAATGAAAGTTCAGTGAAAGTTCGAGGAAAAGAGGGCCCTCGAAGATATGACCGCAATTGATATCTAGTGCTTTCTACTATGAATAAAGAGCACGATTAGCCGCCGAACTTTGAAATAAAAAAACTTGTCATATTGCGAAGCTTCATCAATTCATGAGAGCTTCCTCACTAAATTACAGTTGTTCAACTAGGCTAAAATCGTCTCAGTCTTCCAAAAACATGTTCGGCTCACATTTTATACACAATTATATACCAATCGTAGATATATTCGTTTTTGATTGAAACGAGAAGTTGGTAAGCAGTGATCCACTAGACTCTCGCCTTTTATACTCGTAATTTGTTTTTGTGTCACTAGTTTGTTTACGTTTCGTGAGGGGCGATAGTTTTGTACGGATGTCATTGTAGAGCACGAGTACGAGTACAGCGAAGGATATGAGAGTAGTGGTAACGCCAACAGTTTTGAGCTTTTAACGGGGAAGTTCGCAAGGCTAGCGTATGATATGTATCGCTGGGGCGATAGAGTTGTACCAGTTTACGTATAAAGTTCTGTATTTGTAAAATCTTTGTCGCGATGCGTGTTGACTGATTCGCCAAAAAAAAGCAGGCCTGATCCACAGGTTGCGATGACTTGCACAAATTCTGGTGACCAACAAGCTTGGCCTTTTAAATCGTCACATCCCTCGTTGTAGCGTCTTGGTGTGCTAATGATTGCCCATGACGAATCGAAAACATCATAGTAATCATTATCTATGGTGCGACGTCATTCAATTACTAGGTTTCGCGAAGTTGATGTTGCCCTTGGAAGATCCAATGAAGTCTAATGGTTTGAAAGATGATAAGAAGTTGCATTCTGAGGTCAGTGTTTTGGGAGGCACTCTAGCAGATTGGTGCGCTTTAGCACCTAAAAAGTGGATGAATTGCATTGACGAGACGCTTCAAATCATTGGTCTTTGAAAAAACATGGTGGGAAGCTTTCTCTCTAGGAGACTTAGTGTAGGCTCTTTTTAAAACATCGAACAGCCCTGTAATGACTCTCACTGGATCCAAAACGAGGCCAAACAATTGAGTTCGAAGAGCGGATGGTACGAGCCCCGCGAGCCATCGAATAAGCTTGATCAAAGCAAAGCTCTGCGCTGGTATCGCCGTTGAGAAGCGCTTCGTTGAACGCACTGCCGAATCAGGGCCGTGATCGTGAGTATCGGATCCTTATGCCTAAACTGCGCTTGCACACCATTCCCTGTCCGTATGGATCGAAGAGTCGTGTTTTAGCAATCTCTCTCGGAAAGTGCCTGTTGCTCGTAACATATCCACCGATTGAGCTCAGACTCAAATAGGCTCCGAGCAATCAGAAAGGTTGTGAGCGTTCTGTTGGAGTACCACAGCTCTCAGGATACCATGAAGCCATTGTAGAATCTTCCAAGCTGTGAGATGTTAACACGCTTACACCGTGAGCCCACCGAGCTCAACGATCCTGTTTCAATTTGTGAACGTCTTTCCCGCCATCTCACTCCAATTTCTTTACACTAGACCAAAACCGTGCCACCGTCGCATCAATCACAGCATTTGTACTTTCACTTGTAACCTCCAGACGTATTTTCTGCTGCTTTCCACCCACAATGCACTCTTCAAAAACTCTCTTGAATGGAATACAAACGTAGTTATGTCCGTTGAACTCGCATTCATTCTGAACTAGCGATTTCAACTGGCAAGGTCCCTTTGCTTTGATTCTGACCATTTCTAGCTCTTCTCTGCCGAAAACCGGCGTTGGAGGCGCCATTGGAAATCTCAGTCGTTTTTGAGATCCACGAACTGCACCAAACTTGGGAGTATAGACCGCGTATGGCCTAGTTTCGAGTCCTCAGAATAAATTTATGTGAAAACATTTTTGACATAAACTTCTTTGAACATTTCGACATTACATTTGATCTTTAAAACTCTTAAAACTCGTCGCACAAAATGCTCGAGACAGAAGCTCTGAAATCTCTCTACGAAAAACATTGTAAACATGGTTTCCAATACATTTATGGTACTGCTGGTTTTAGATACAAAGCAGATGTTTTGGACACTGTAATGTTCACAACTGGTGTTCTCGCTGGCTTGAGGTCACTTTATTTGAATGGCCAAACCGTGGGAGTGATGGTCACTGCATCGCATAACCCACCAGAAGATAACGGTGTGAAAATCGTGGAACCCAGAGGCGAAATGCTTGAACAGAGCTGGGAAAAATACGCTACCGAGCTTGCCAACTGCGCTTCTCAGAGTTATTCAAGCTTCGAAACTAAATTGCAAGAATTGGTAGTGACACTTAAAGTGGACACAAAGAAGTCGGGTGGAATTGTTGTGGCTCGCGACTCGCGTGAATCGGGCCCCCATCTGGTGAGTGCTTTCAAAGCAGGCGCTCAGGTTCTTCCTACGGTCAAAATTATAGATTACGGCATTCTCACAACTCCTCAATTGCACTTTTTAACCAGCAAGACTAACGAACTACCCGAAGGCGCAGAAATAGGTGAACAATTGTACTACCAAGAATTGTTGTCTGCGTGGGATCAGGTTACAGATCTTTGCGGAATTAAGTCCCTCCCCTTCCATCTCCAGATTGATGCTGCCAATGGTATTGGTGGACCAAAAGTCATGGAGATGCTGTCACAATCAGACTTTTTCAGTGGGGCATACGAGGTGGTAAATGCCGATTGGCAAACATACGCCGCGTTAAACCATTTGTGCGGCGCAGACTTTGTCAAGACAAACCAAAAGCTGCCACATGGCATTTCCAGCAGTGGAAACCAAGCAGCAAATCAGATTAGCTGCTCATTTGACGGTGACGCAGATAGAATTGTTTTCTACTACTGCGATGCCATGGGCCACTTCCGATTGTTAGACGGTGACAAAATGGCCACCTTGTTTGCCAAGTTTTTCCAGGACTTGCTTCATCAGGCTGGACTTCAAGATGCGATTGAAATGGTTGCTGTACAAACTGCGTATGCAAATGGCAGCTCTACTCATCACCTTGAGAAAGTGCTTGGTGCGACGGTCAAGTGCACATCCACGGGTGTGAAACATTTGCATCATGAAGCGGTCAAGTCTGACATTGGGATTTACTTCGAGGCTAACGGTCATGGCACGGTGATTTTCTCGACTAAATTCGTCGACACGGTGAATCAGAGGCTTGCGGCCAGCACGCAAGACATCAGCAAATCCCATAAAGCTTTACAATTATTGAAGTTGTTCACCAAGCTAATTAATCAAACTGTAGGAGATGCAATTTCTGACATGTTGGCAGTCTTGGCGGTTTTGTCAATTTTGAATTGGACTCCTCAAAAGTGGGATCAGGAATATACTGACTTGCCCAACCGTTTGCTCAAAGTCTCGGTACCAGACAGAACCTTATTCAAGACCACAAATGCAGAGAGACAGCTTGTGAGCCCCGCTGGTCTTCAGCAGAAAATTGACGTTTTGGTGTCAAAGTTTGACAAGGCAAGGTCATTTGTGAGAGCTAGTGGGACCGAGGATGCTGTCAGAGTTTATGCCGAAGCCGCTTCTAGGGCACAAGCCGACTCGCTGGCCTCAATGGTGGGCACAATTGTCGAAAATTCCTGAAGCAGAACCTTAAAGAAAGTGCACATCTGTTGTGAGATTTGTTTTTCAGAAAATGTGTAGTCATGATTGGAAAAGTTGCCCTATTGATACATGTTAGATTTCAAACTTTGTTGGAATCCAACTTCAAAAGCGCTGTATGTAAGTGTGGAGCAAAGAGGAGTTTTCTAGGGCTCTATGCATATTTGCTTTTGCTGCATTCGAAATAATCATAAAGAGTTCATCTTTCGCTAACACAATTGTTCTTCAAACGTAGAGAAGGTGGAGACGCAGTACCAGTAAAGAGAGGCGACCAATGCTTATAGATGCTGGGGAGCCGGTCGCCTCCTCCTGTCCTGCGTTTATGAATTTATCATTATTTACAATTATGTCGCATTACTTGACGACGTGAAAAGCATGCAAAGCATACAATAAATTTGTTCAAGTCGCAGGCATATTTAACAATGCTTCTCTAGAAGAAAGCACGGTTAGCTGAAAAGCTGGCTATCGCGGCTCCATTGACGACCCAACATTGAGAACTTTGGCAAACAACCGTATAATGCTTGAAATTTTACGCTCACTGAAAGCAGATCAAGCAGTATAGAAAAACCACGCACGCTAGTGTACATGTTTTCATATGCCGCAACGTACTGGTAGAATAAGGGCTATTGGTGTGGGCATGGGTGGTGTTTATAATGCGAATGTACATCTGAGTGTCAGAGATGTAGAAAGTGATCTGATGCAATGTTCGACAGAGGTATTTACTTCGCTTGGTGCATCAACCCTACAGCCTATGAATGTTTATGATACTTCATCAGTGTATCGAAGTTGTAATATAACAGAATTGAACTAAACAACATATGTTGTTCTCTACCTTGACTTGCAAATTGACTTAATATCCAAACCACTCATTTGACGCTCACAATTGCTCCAAAATTCATAATTCCAATTCAAGTGTATAAGGCCATTCTGCGATTACAACCAGGAAATCGAGATTTAAAAGTCTCTTCTTCAAATCAACCAAATGGAGGCTAAATATCGCTCTGTCGAACAACTGTCGTCAATGTCGTGCGCTAAAGGAGGCACCTCTCACAAATTGTCACTAGACTACTTGTAAACAACTTTGGGTTCACAATATGGAACGACTTGTGGCTCGAATACTCCACAAGTTGATCTCGAACAGTTCTCTTGCCCAGTGCCCTGTGCAACAAGGACTATGTATAAACACCATCAAAGCGTGTCATTACGGTCAATCGATCAGCATCGTAGATCATAGAAAAGAATATAAGTTCAGGTGGACCGACAAGTGAACGCACTATTTGATCAAATATTGCTACGCAATCGGTCCATTTTACGGCTTTTAACTACTGAGATTCTTTGGGGTAAAGAAGCTAGAACGAAGCACTTTCATTACTCTCAAATGGAGTTGTATCTTGTATGGTCTTATGATGTGGTTAGAATTTGAGAACAATGTGGTACCGACAGAGGCGCAAATTAAACAGAGATGCAGACATCTCACTGAAAACGCGCATCCCAAACTCTTTGGTGTCACTCAAAAGGAGGGGAGAAAACCCTTCTCGCTAACTGGTTTTGACAAAGTAGATTACGTTTTGAATCAGCTTTGTAGACTGAAAAATGGTGCGGAACTGAGTAAAGCAGAGCTTCAAAAAAGTGTTACCTACCACCAAAATATCTAAAGAACTGCGGGCCAGATGCTTTGCCCAAATGGTTTCGCAAGCGTCATCGAGAATTCAAATCATTCAGACTCCGATGAAGAATCTTCCATAGATGGTGACGTGAATCAGCCCAGCACTATGACAGCCAGAAGGCGCAAGAGACCAAGAAATTTGCTGAACTCAAGAGGTTTCACTTTGTTGGCCAATTTCCTTTCAGAACTCCCAGCATCAATGAGAGAAAGGAAATACCAAGAAAAAGCTCTACGGCAGAAGGATCAAGAGTTAGCGTTAAAACGACAACAGCTGGAATTGAGCGCTCAAAAAATACAAGCGTGAGGAGGAGCTATTGAGGCGCGGACAGTTCGACCACGACGCCAAAAAGCTAAAGACAATAATGGAAATGATTCTCACAGCCAAGAGCTTAGAAAAGGAGAATTCTTCATCGAGTAAAGCGGTACAGAAAATATTTCGAGACTTTTTGACTCATTCTGCGTGAAAAGTATCACAAATGTGAGCAAGTCAGCATTTGCTACATTTTGTTTTGTCTGCTTAACCGTTTTTCGAAGTATTCAATGCAAAGCTGGTTCAACTTAAGTTTTCCAGTTGATCAAAACTGACGTTCTCGTACTCACCGCATAACCTCACTCCTCCTACTTTCTCCATTCAAATCAGCGAAGAACTCTTCTTTCGAGCTCTTCATATCAAGAAGGCAGTGTAGTGGTAAAGGTTTACTCTAGGACTCATTAGACTTGTTGACGGGTTCGTTTCACGTGACGAATCCAAAGTCGTCTGCGAGTACTCTAATGTTCTCTCGATCTAAAAAGCGAAATGTCCAACTAACTATGCTAGATGTTAGAACATCTCACTGCTCGTACCAACTAAAAGCACCCGTCGAGAGTTTTAAAAGTGGGTTATAACAGAGCTTGACGATGGCCAAAAAGAATAAGAAGGATAAGGATGCTAAAAAAGCGCGAGCTGAACAGAAGAACAAGAAAAACCTGGAAAAAGCTGAGAATAAAGACAAAAAGCGAAGCAGGAAGCTGAACTCCGAAGATGACGAAGATCTAGACATCGATGAAGTCCTTGCTGCGTACCGTAAAGAGCAGGAAGAGTTTGAGGAAGTTGTGGTTTTCAATGTCGATAGACCGAGCCAGCGTGTCAATTCATGCATGATCGCGAACCCAATGCATGGGAAGCGTGAAATTATTCTTTTCGGTGGTGAACACACCAACGACTGGACATCAACCACAACGTTCTATAACGAACTCTATACCTACTCATTGGACAGTGACCAATGGCGGAAGATTGTGTCGAAAAATTCGCCAATGCCCAGATCCTCAACCGCGGCTGCAGCCCATCCCAGCGGTGTTGCTCTATTCCACGGCGGTGAGTTTTCATCTCCCAAGCAAAACACCTTTTACCATTATTCTGATACTTGGCTCTTGGACTGCAACACGAAAGAGTGGACCAAAATCGAGCAGAAAAACGGGCCAAGTGCTCGTTCTGGACACCGTATGACAGTTTGGAAGAACTACTTCATTTTGCACGGAGGATTCAGAGACCTGGGCACTTCCACGACGTATTTGAAGGACTGTTGGCTATTTGACATTACTACTTACAAATGGAAGCAAGTCGAATTTCCTCCAAATCATCCAGTTCCAGATGCCCGTTCGGGCCACTCGATTATTCCAACGCAAGATGGAGCTGTCTTATGGGGTGGCTACTGCAAAGTCAAGGCTGGGAAAGGCTTGCAAAAGGGTAAAACTTTAACGGATTGTTGGTATCTTATCATGAAGGCAGACATTAGCAGCATCAGGTGGGAGCGACGCAAGAAGCAGGGCTTCCAACCTTCTCCTAGAGTTGGCTGCTCCATGGTGCATCATAAAGGTAGAGGTATCTTGTTTGGCGGGGTGTATGACTACGAAGAAACGGAGGAAGGTTTGAATTCCGAGTTTTTCAACGATCTCTTCTCATACCAAGTTGAGTCCAACAGATGGTATGCGCTGAAGATGAGGCCTCAGAAAAAGAGAATCGCCGCAACTCCAAAGAGCAGCAGGAACAAAGACGAAGAACTCGAGAATATCTTGAATGAGATTTTGAAAAAGGCGAACCTTGCCGAGGTTGACGACGGCACAGACGAAGGTGATGACGAGATCGGCAAAGAGTTGCGAAGAATGGACGAACAGGAGGAGATAGAGAATAAGTCAAAAGAGTACACTATTTTGACTCAGTTGCCTCATCCGCGGTTCAATGCAACGACAGCGGTGGTGGATGATTTGCTTTTCATTTTCGGAGGTACATGGGAGTATGGCGAGAAGGACTATGGTATCGACTCTTTTTACAGTATTGATCTGAATAAGCTGGATGGTGTGAGGCTATTCTGGGAAGATCTCGACGCCTTAGAGAAGGCCACTTTGGTTGATGAAGATGCCGAAGATGAATTGGACGAAGCGAGCGATGGTGACGACGACGACGACGACAATGACGATGACGAAGAGAATAGAGATAGAAAGCTCGTCGCCGAAGAAGAAGAAGAGGAGGAAGAAGAGAAAGAAGAAGAAGAAGAAGAAGAAGAAGAAGAGGAGGACGAACCCGAGATTCCAGACCCCAGACCCTGGCTGCCTCACCCCAAGGCCTTCGAGTCGCTTCGCGATTTCTATCTTCGCACGGGTGCTGAGTTCTTGCAGTGGGCCATTTCAAACAAGAGAGACGCAAAGGGAAAACATCTCAAGAAACACTCTTTTGAACTGTGCCAGGACCGTTGGTGGGAAAGACGCGAGCAAGTCAGAATCGAGGAAGACAAGTTGGAAGCTTTGGGTGGTGTGGAAAATGTTATAGAAAGAGATCCGGCTCAGGCTTCCAAGAGAAGATGAGAATCAAGCTTAACTCAACTTCCAAATCTAGAGGAAAGAACTGTAAATAATTCAGTACAGGATAATTTTCTGGATTTCATCGAGGGCCAATTCCTAGTTCTGCTGAGAACTGGACTTAATCAAATAATCACATAGGGTATAATAAATCAAGCAAGATCAAGAATACGAAAGGGAGCCTCAGGAGGGGGGTGTGGATATTAAAACTGTGCGCACTCATCAGGCATTGTGAAACTACTAACATCTGTTCCGGATGGTGGCATGAATAATACTTTTCCACGTCCAGTTACTCGAGCATTTGGCAAGCTAGAATCACCATTCAAACTTCATTTTGGAGCTCTTGAAGTGCTGTCAACAAATATTTCAGTTAACTGGCTAAGTGAACGGCTCTGATGTCTCTGGCGCCGTTATAATTTTACGATAAATCTTATATCACTTCTTTTATATACTGACAATTTATTATAAAATACCATCATTGATGTTGAACATTCTTACTTTGAATTTTCGATGAGCTTGGTCAATTGAGCACAATGACCACCACAGCACCAGATCAAGAACTCACAATTGACCAGGAATATGATTTATGGAAATCAAATGTACCGTTGATGTACGACTTTGTCAGTGAGACCAAGCTTTTATGGCCTTCGCTTACCATTCAATGGCTCCCGGATAAGGACTCGAATTCTACACAACAAGAGCTAATAGTGGGCACCCATACGTCTGGAGAGGAGCAAAACTATTTGAAAATTGCATCTGTGGAATTGCCCAGTGAAGTTCTCGACACTGAATCCACAAATTACAAGCCAGCTGAGGAAAGTGTTGAAGGCAGTGGTGATGGTAAAAGTTCGTCAAATGCGGTCAAATCCAAGATTAAGATCACCCACAAGTTTGAGCACGACCAAGAGGTGACCAGAGCACGTTATGCACCTTTCAATAGTAACCTGATAGCCACCATCAATGGTTCAGGTACAGTCTTTTTATATGACAGGTCTCAGGATAAAGAAAGTGCGCTAAAAGCCAGGTTCGATTACCACAAAGAGAACGGTTACGGCCTCAATTTTAGTGTAGCGTCTCCAGGCGACCTTCTTTCCTGCTCAGATGATGGAACAGTGGCAATCTGGGACGTGCATTCTGCAAAGGGCAAGCCCACTAAGGTCGATAGAAACCACTCAGATATCGTGAACGAAGCAAAATGGCATGAAACAAATGCAAATCTGTTTGGTTCCGTTTCCGAGGACAAGACGTTGCTACTGCACGACAAAAGGTCTGAAGAACCAATCGCAACCGTGACGCAGACCGAGGCCTTCAACACTTTGGCCTTCAGCAAACATTCCACTAATCTTTTCGCTGCAGCTGGAACTGACTCGCTAGTTTACCTCTACGACTTGCGAAAGCCCGCGACTCCTCTTCACAGCATTGCAGGTCATCAGGACGCTATAACGAGCTTGGACTTTGCTTCTCATAAGGACGGCATCTTGTGCTCGGCAGGCTCCGATAGAAGGGTACTTGTCTGGGATTTATTTCAAATCGGTGCGGAACAACCCCAGGAAGATGCAGATGATGGTGTCCCGGAACTGCTCATGATGCATGCGGGCCATAAGAGTGCTATAAACGATTTTTCATGCAACCCGAACATACCTTGGTTAATGGCAAGCGTAGAGGAAGAAAACACCGTGCAAATTTGGAAGCCTTCCAAGAAACTTACGAATCCATATGTTCCGAAAGACTACGACATTCATTCCCTTGAGTAAGGAAAAGATAGACCCAGAATTTATTTAGATACACTTGCTACCCCGACTATTAAACCCCATCAGGATATAATTCTATAAACGACTCGAGGCGTTCAACAAAAGCATCCATTAGAGGATTATCTGGATAATGAATCCCTAGATTTAGGCCCGAAGATGATAAACAGTAAGTGATTGACATAAATGCATCTGTCTTTCTACTTCTCAGAGCGTAGGCGTCTTCAATGTGGTATCGCTCGTTTTCTGACTTCAAAAAGTTATGCTCCGTCAAATCGTTGATCTCCACGACTTGCGTGCTTGGGAAATCTGAAGGTTCCAAAACCTCGCTTTTCATCCACTCCAAGTCGTCATCGCCATATTTGGACGCACGCCACCTCTTAGCAGCGTTGTTCATCTTAGCCGAAACGAAAGAGAGAACTTTCTCAAACTGAATCTCCATATCAGAAACCTCATTGATGGGCGCTAGCTCATGTAAAGTTGCACCCTCGATGTTGGATGACCCAAGATTGAAAAGTTTTCGAATTTCGTTATTACTACCACTGGTAGGGCAATCGACGTACACATTTTTGTGGAAAAGTCCCAAATCTGGCATTTTGCCCGCAGAATCTCGTAGGTTCATTGGAATGGAAAATGTAAAGTCCATCAGGCTTTCTTGATTTACAGCCTTGAGACAGAATATGGCGGCAGCTGCGACAAAGACTTGTAGCGTGTAATTGACGTTATCGAGATAACTTCTTAGGACGGAGAGTCTCGCAGGTCGAACAGTTCCGAAAACTACTTTCCCACATAATGGGATCATGGGAGCTTTCCCGTTCGGCAGTCCAATTGGCGTTGGTGTGTGTTCGTGCCGACCACGCTCGATGAAGTGCAAAGGTTTCTTAATCGCTAAATTGTAAAAAGCCTTAAACGCATTTGGAAAGCCAGGATTAAAAGGATCAAGAACGGTCGAAAATATCGAAGTCGATTGCCGGGCGAAAATCGACTTTTCTAGAGGCGCGAGCCCGGTGGCATGCTGGAAAATAAATTCCGAGTCCTCTTTTCGAGCTTGACCCAAAGAGTTAAGCTCATGAAGGAATAATTTGTGAAAGTTGGCAGCAGCATAAGAGTCAAACAGGGCATCATGACCATGGAAAATGACCATACTTTCATCCACGATATAAAGTTGCCACAATGGTCTTTCAGTGCCCACAGTAAACTCGTGGTTATTGAAAATATGGCGCAAAATGTAAGGAGGAATGCCATCATGACAATTAAAGTACTCGTCTTTGTAGCAATCGAATTGAATCTTGTTCACAACATCATCGAACCGTACAAACTCCAGGGGAACGAATTGCATGGACGCGCTGACTGTGGTGCGAAGTTCAGCGTGCTTCTCAATTACCCTCGACAAAGCACCTGAGACCACAGAGTCTGTCAAGTTATGATTATTTTCCATATTAGTAGTGGCATCATCGACCACTTCGCACGCAGCGGGGTCAGACTGGTAGGTAGCGGCAAATACGACACCATTTCTCAATCCATTGTTAGTATCGCAAATGAGTTTTCTTTCGATCGCAGTTAGCGCGAGGGTGGAGGCTTTCATCCTTGGGCATCATCTTTCATGAGCAGCACACCTAAGAACAGATGCTGTTATTTTTATATGTCAATCGTCAAGCTGTTTCGTATAGGCAGGTGGCGAACCTTGTTGATGTTCCAATGCCACCATTCGTAGAGTTCCTGGCCCAGTCTCGTTTAGCTGTTCGTTTAAGCCTTGCGTCGTTCTCGGCGGCTTTCGAACTCGACGTTAAACACTTGGATGTGGCTTGGCGATACATGCTACTGATAATCTTGTAACAATACGAAACTCTGGGGTATACGAGCAAAAAGTGTTTGGGGTTTAGAACAACCAGGTAGCGATAGACACCACGTACCACTCTTAGCAAAGCCCATTACTCTGGTATTTTTCGCTTCAGTTCAGTCCTTGTTGTTTCTTGACAGCTAGCCAGGTGAGAAATTCCGTAAACATGGTTACACCGAACTTTCCGCGTATCAACCACTCGTTTAACGATTTGTGGTATAGCTCTGTCAAAACGAGGTAGGTTTCCATAGATGAGTCCATTTCTATCATCAGCTTAGCCAAAAAGATCGACACCGAAGAACACATCGAGAAGTAAAGATTTGGGAACTGACCGGGTTTCTTAGATAGCATAGATTCATGAATCTCCGTGAGTAGTCCGGCGATGGTGTCCCGGTCATGTCTCCCGCCGAATTGGGTCCCCGCAACTCTTAGCTTGGTAATTCTGTTTTTGACAAGTTTGGAAACTTTTTCCGCTAGAGGTCTATCAAGAGTGGTCCTAGCACACGCAATTAAAGGCGCTATAGTATCGACAACTTTATCTAGGGCCTTGGAAAACTCCTTTTTTTTCGACTCGCTCTCAGCCCACTTGGTCATCACCTCAAGCATGTCGACAACTTTGTGTTTCAACGAGATGACGTTCTCTCTCGACTCTTGAACTTCCTTCTTCCTTTTATTGCCTGTAGGAATCTGAGACAAGGCCTCCTTTCGGCGCTTGAAAATCTCAGAGAGCTGGCCATCAAGCTCCATCATTTTTTCGTCATCTAAATCTTCCTCGCTTTCGTCTTCACTCTCGTCACCAGTGTCCCCTAGGTCGTCAAAATGTACCTCACCTTTGTCGTCAACCAAAGAGTCCGGTAGATTCAGAGCTCTGGCAAGAGCGCTGGTGGCTTCTTTATCTATTTTGCCGGCATCATCATTGAGAGAGTCTTCGTCGTTTGAGTCGGATTCCTCATCATCATTCGAGCCGTCATCACTCATCATATCATTTTCTTCTTCTGCTAAAGCATTCTCATCTTCATCTTCATCTTCTTCGTTAGAGGACTCGCCTTTGTTGCCTCCTTCGAAAAGATCTGTGTAGCCTTCTTTATTTTCCCGGGCAGGAAGGATCTCGAGTAGAACGGAAAGGTCCTCGGGAGATACTTGGTCGACGAAAGATTCCCAAATCATTAAACTTGACTTTCTCAATAAAGCCTTTTTCTGAGCCGCTAAAGACAGTAGAATCTCGATAAAACCAGCGTAAGAGCTGTTTTCTTCCTCCCCTTCGAAAATCTTGGAGAAAGAGATCAAATCTTCGAGGACAGAAACCGACTCTGCTTCACCAGAGTATGCTTCTAGAAGACTGACTGAAAATAGCAACTGCAAGCCCCAAAGCTGAAGATTGGAATTATCCTTTGATAACTGTTTACTAACTTTTTTGAGTTCCTTCTCAGCAGCATCGAAAATCTCGCTAAGTTCCTCATCTATAGCATTCAGTAATGGTTGGTCTTTCTTTCTCTCTAGTAATTTCCCTAGGGCCATATACGGCCAGCAAATTGTGCGACTTTCCTTCTCCGCGAAAAGAAGATCAGCAAGCATCGAATAAAGCCTTTCAACGGCGACAGGTCCAATCGATTGGTTAGACAAATCACTTGCATTATCCTCTGGGGAATCCTGGTCTCGGAATAGACCAAGTTGTATTAGTACATCGAAAGAGGGACCAATCCATAAAATATCAGCCTGTGACTTGTGTGCTCGCACAAGGTGTAGAATAGCATCCACGGTGAATCTGGCCATGGGGACATCGTCATGTTTTTTATGAAGGTTTTGAGTTAGAACTCCAACCATTGTAAGTAGGTGCTCAGTGCTCAGCGCCTTATTAGCTAAAAGCCCAGCAATAGTCTTGGACTTGGTGAGTTGGTCGAAGTGTATGGAGCCATTCTCACTGAAAGCAACTGCTTCAAACACTGGTGCAGTTTTTTCCGGATGCTCTTGACAAACACTGACGATAGATTTCAGAGACTTTTGGGAAATTTTGTGCAAATTTCTCTCAGAACTACCGCATTGATTGATTGAGCATCTCATCAGGTTTGTTGAAAAGAGGTCTGTAAGGTGAGATGCGGGGACCAGCTGCAGGGCTTTTTCGAAAACTAGGAATCCCAAATATTTCCGCTCGCTAGAGGCCTTTTCGTTGAAAAAAGAGTCGTCAACAACAGACTTCCAAAATTCTGGAAGTCCGATGAATAGCGTTTTATCATGCGAATCCTTTTTCCGTTTTTTTGTCACACGCTCTTCAGACTTCGCAAGCTTGTAGCTGTCAGTGGAAAGGACAGCGGATAGCAAAACGTCCCACACAAAATGCAGTCGTGGAGCCCAAACTGCTTTTTGTTTAAGCGATGAGTCCTCCGATACGTTGGCCTCTTTGAGTGCATTTGCAATCAACGGAAGATTGCCCCTCTTCAAAGGATCACCATTTTTCCAAGAGTTTTGCAAGTTTGGTCTATTTTGGGACGCCAATTTCCTGGTAGCGGGACAAGTATGCAGCAAAAAGAGGTAGATGGCAAGCCCCTCACTGGTCAACGTGAGATGGCTTTCATCCAAAAGGTTGAAAGCAGCATCCAGCGCCTTTTGCGAGGTCAAAAGCGGGGCGAGTTTTTCGATGGCCTGATAAAGAGTGTACAGAGAAGACTCACGGATCCACGTTTTAGTTGTAGCAACGTCGATTAGGGCCTGTGCATATTTCAGAGTGAAGTCGAGGTTCAACTCCTCGCTTTTGGACTCTGCACCAATCTTGGTTTTGAAAACATTAGAAAATAGCGGCTCATTTAACAGGACTTGAAGGCCAAAAAGCTTGCCAAAAAGTAAACCACGTTCCTCTTTGCCGTTTTTCGTGGCATCTTTCGACAGTGCCGACATCAAAAGCTGCATGTAATGGCCAACGTCAGGCAAAACCTCTTTTTGTAGCGCTAAGAATACTGCCTCTGTCAGACACAGTCCAAATCCAAGCCTGGCGCCATTTCTGCTCGAGGAAAGCCCGTTGATGAGTCTTTTAAGCACATAGTTCCATTCACCAGACTCTCTTGGTAGCTCTGAAAGCTGTGTGACCACTTTGACTGTCGCTTGCAGTCTTTCCTCGGAAAGATCAGACGCTAGTTGGTAGAACAGGTCTCTATCAATCTGGGTCGGTTTCTCGGCAGAATCATCCACAGATTTCATGATTTTAAAAAATACTCGATAAAGAACACTGTAGAATACAGCCAAACTGGTTGTAAACGTTCCTTGAAGCTCAATTGACGTTGTTGACCCGCTCGATATCGTCGAAGAGATGGCATCGATATAGCTGAAAAGTTCACAATGAGAGAGCCAATCCAAATAATGCCGTCGATCATGATTATCGTTCCAAGTGATAATATGAAAATCTAGAAACGTGACCACGCTTGTTACCCGCATTTGAGCATAACTGCACGTGATTTTCTAATATTTTCCTCCAATAAGAAATTGACCAACTTTCGAGACGTCTACGCTATATAAACTACTCACACATCAGTACGAAGAACAGTGGAATCAAGATCCAGTACTAGTCCCTAACAGTTTCGACAGGAAGTTAACGAGATGTCTGCGTGGAGAAAAGCCGGTTTGACCTACAACAACTACATGGCCATTGCCGCACAAACCGTGCGCTCTGCTTTGAAGAGCGAGGTGCAGAGTGCCCAAATTCTGGGCAGAAACAAGACGGAGGCCAAGTTCGTGAAGTTCGAAAACGGCGCTGCCACTTCCGAGCCTGAGCTTTTGAAGAAATAGGCTCGCAATGGCGCAAAGGCGGGCCTGAGTGTGTAAAGCGGTCACTCGACATATATATTCATAGGAACGTGGGCGCTGGCGAGGCGAACAGTTAGTAATGCAATAGAATTTCGACTAGGGAGGCAGTGGTGCTTGGGGAGGAAGGCAGAGAGTGTCCGGGAAATGTGGGAGGGGGACGTGAGAGGTGAACGCTGGGGTGCGAGTCCGTGTGAAACGACAATAATGATGAATAACCGTTCGGTACGAATATGGTACAATGCGAGCTTTCCAAGCTTTCTGGAATGCGACCCGACGTCTAAGATTTGGTGCGACTTCGTCGTACTCCTATTTGCGGCCACCTATCATGAGTTTTTCTCCTATCGCTCGACTTCGCCTCAGACCGCTCCTAAACATACATTTCACAGCATATACATCTAAGGTGCCATAACCAGAAACCTCTGAGCACGAGCAGCGCCAACAAGCACGCTTTGAAACTCAAAGCTCCCGTATCGCTCTCGCTCTCGCTGTTTCTCGTTGTGTCTCTTTAGTCACGTGATTGAGACCCTACCGGTGTGTCATCTTTGACGTGATATCAAGCCTACTCAGGTAACTATATATATAAACTTGGCTCTCAGGCCCAATCGTTGACGGATTGCAAGGTATCGAGTAGTGGGTGTTGCCCTTCTATTTTGCTCTTCTTATCGCTATGATGTCGGTACGACCTGTGCGACTGCTGCGATTTGGTGGGCTCGCAAGCAGCCTGATACGTCCACCAGTGTTGTCGCGTTTCGTGCATTGGAATGCGAAAAGTTGTATCCGTCCATCACCACTTTCGCAGGGACAGCAGAGCGTTTGCGGACCTAAAAGGCCTGTCAGCGCCTTGACCCTGGCCGTTTGCCGATTTTCGGCATCGTCCAAAAGTCGTGATGCCAAAAAAGCTTCTCAGGATTCTCCAAAGTCTCAGACTGCAGAAACAGATGAGGAGAGCTCCAAGATGGATTTTCAAGAGGTATGGAGACTATTCAAGCTTGCCCGTCATGACTGGAAACTTTTGTGTCTCGCCATCGGACTTTTAACGATAAGTTCTTCCGTAGGCATGGCTATACCTAAGGTCATTGGTATGGTATTAGATTCCATCAAAAACGCATACGGTGCAGGTACTGGTCCTATAGACTTGAAAGATCTCCCTCCAATCGTTGGAGGTCTAGGAATGTACGACTTTCTCGGAGTTTTCGCCGGAGCTTTGGTCCTTGGAACCGTAGCTAATTTCGGCAGAATCGTACTGCTAAGGGTACTTGGTGAGAAACTAGTCGCCAGGCTGCGTTCTAAAGTGATAAAAAAGATCATCCACCAGGACGCTGAGTTTTTCGACAGGAACAAAGTCGGGGACCTAATTTCAAGACTGAGCTCCGACGCTTACGTCGTTTCGCGTTCTATGACTCAAAATGTTTCTGATGGGTTCAAAGCCATTATATGTGGTGGTGTTGGTATCGGTATGATGGTAAGTATATCAACATCATTGACCTCGGCGTTACTGCTCTTTGCGCCTCCATTACTCATTGGAGCAACCATTTATGGTAAGAAAATTAGAGCCATCTCCAGAGAGCTTCAGCAATCCACAGGTGATTTGACTAAAGTATCAGAAGAACAGCTCAACGGAGTCAAAACCATTCAGTCGTTTGTAGCTGAGGGAAAGGAGCTAGGACGTTACAATAGTGCGATCAGGAAAGTGTTCGCTTTCGGTAAGAAAGAGGCCTTGACAAACGCCACGTTTTTTAGCTCTACGGGCGTATTGGGAGATTTGAGCTTCCTCATCGTTTTAGGGTACGGTTCGCATCTTGTACTTCAAGGGGCGCTTTCCGTCGGAGATTTGACCGCTTTCATGCTCTACACAGAATACACAGGGTCTGCAGTATTTGGTCTTTCCAATTTTTACTCAGAACTCATGAAAGGTGCAGGTGCGGCTTCCAGGCTATTTGAGATGACAGACCATGCATCAAAGATTAAACCAAGCTCAGGGAAAGCTTTTGTTCCACATTCAGGCCAGATTGAGTTCAAGGATGTCTCCTTCTCCTATCCCACGAGACCAAACAACCAGCTTTTCAAAAATCTCAATTTCACCATTGAGTCTGGGTCAAATGTGTGCATTGTAGGCCCTTCTGGACGAGGGAAATCCACGATTGCTTCTTTGCTGCTGCGTTATTACGATCCCACTAGCGGCCGGATAACCATCGATGGTCAGGATATTTCCAAGGTAAGCTGTAAGTCTCTGAGACGCCACCTAGGCGTTGTACAGCAAGAACCGATGTTGATGGCGGGTAGCATCAAGTACAATCTCACGTATGGTGTTAAGAGTGAAGTTTCGATGGAGGAGATCCGTGCAGCGGCCAAGAAATGCTTTTGTCACGGATTTATAACGAAATTTCCCGAGGGTTATGATACCGTGATTGGACCTAGAGGAGCGTCATTGAGTGGAGGTCAAAAGCAACGTATATCTATTGCGCGTGCTTTGATCAAGAAGCCCAAGATTCTGATCTTGGACGAAGCGACGTCTGCCCTCGATGTAGAAAGTGAAGGGGCCATCAACTATACGCTGGGCAGGTTGATGAAAAGCCGCGAACTGACCATCATAAGTATTGCACATCGACTCAGTACTATTAGAAGATCCGAGAATGTTATTGTTCTCGGTCACGATGGATCGGTCGTCGAGATGGGTAAGTTCAAGGATTTGTACGCTAACGAGAAGAGCGAACTTTTCCAATTGCTCAATGACAAGAAGAGAAACAAAAACAATGTTGGTCCTACGAAGGGACAGCGAGAACCAAGTGAAGCCAAGGAAACTGATGAAAAGCAAAACATCGATTCAGAAGTGCTTGAGCACGTAGTCAACGATATCAGTTTGGATCAAAAGTCATCCAAGCTAACGCCATGATCATGCAATTATAACATTCACAGTCGCATACAAATTATCCGATAGGAATCTACTGATAGAAAATCGGAGACAGTATACATGTAAATAGCGAGGGCACCTTCTGATATAAGGTGACTAAGATTTATACTGACACAAGAAACCCGGATTCAAACGCCAAAAAACTCCAGTAAAACTCAGCAAAATTCAGCATTCCAGGCCAATCTGAGAGTTAAGCTCAGATAGACTGATCCAGATCTCTAGGAGCGCTTACTCTGCCCATTGTTTAGCTAGCTATCTTCATGTAACGGTAGACGATAATGAAGTCAATCTAAACAATTGAGCAACGGTCCTGTAGGACACCTAGTCCGAACTATCGAGGCTACAGGGGTGATCGCAGGCTAATGATTCTCTTTGGAAATGGATGTAGCGCGAGCAAATACACCAGGTGTTTTTGCTGAAAGTCTCAGAACTCTTGAAGCTCTTGTTCCGAGAATCAAAGATAATATCAAGTATGACAACTCATTGATCAGTGATCTTGAAGAACTGAAAGATCAGTGGCAGGTCTTACAGGAGACGCTGGCTTCAACTTTCGATATACAATGCCCCTTAAGCGAGATCCTTCAGAGATTTGAGTGCATGAAAAGGTTGAAAAACGAGTTTTACACGTTGCTTCAGAGGATAGTGGAGATCGAATCGGATCTCGTTAGGTTCTTCGATGGCATAGAATCGCAGGTTGCAGACGAAGTTGAAATTGAGAATTTGGACCTATTGATCAACGCTTTTGAAGAATGTTGGATGGGTTTAGGCCGACTGAAGGTGCTGCTGCGATCTTCAAGGTACGCTTTGGAAAGCGGTTTGGAATTTAACGAGATTCTTAACGATCTTATTCTAGCACTGGATGCTTTGATAGATGAAAATGCTGAAAAATGTTTCGAGATCAAACAGGACGTGAAATTGTCAAGAGTTTCTCGCACTTCGCTCGACGGCCAAAGAAGAGTCAGCAGCGTGCTTTCCGAAAGTGCCGATACTAACTTTAGTCGCGTACCGACATTTTCTGAGGATTCTGACGTTTTTGAGGAATTCGTGTCAATAACAGAGGCTATGGAACCACTGGAAAAGAACTTGAGGCATACTCTATACCAAAAGATTGAGAGTTTTGGCAACCGCCAAATTATACATGTTCAGTATCTTGCTAACATACTACGAGAGAAATACAACGATCTTTGCCTAAAGTACGAGTCGCTGATTGTCGTGTTCCACCTGCTAAAGGAAGAACTTGTAAACTCCCGGTGGAAGGCGCTTTTCGAGAGCCTAAACAAAATAGTTGATCAGGACATAAAAACGGCTAGCAATATGGTATCCGAGCTTGAAGCGTATTCGAAATTACGGTCGTCAGACCTGGCAAGACTTTTGTCACTTCAAGATGAAATTGAGAATAACTTTAATATCATTTACCAGGCCCTTGACAAGTCCGTACTCACGGTGGATGTAGCAGACCAATCCAACAAGCTAGCTGACCGGTGGTTGGCTCTTAGTTTAGCTATAACCGAACTGAACTCGCACGTTGATACCGATGAAGACCTATCGTCCCATATGCAGCAACTATCACTTCTGCGACATGAACCAGCGGACCGAAGACCCAGTCAGAGACGAACAAGCAGTGTAGGTGCGTTTTTATTCAAGCGAATGAACATCAAGCCTGTTATGATAGATACCACGCCAAAATCTGCTGTGAAAATCAAGTCATTTTACCAACCTTCCGAATCCTCGCAGCCGGCCCGTCTGAATTTCGACAGCATCCCACATTCATCTCAGCCAGCGGAAGAAACAGAGGAAACTACCGAAACAGAGCTGGTCAGCCACAAGAAACCTGGTTCCTCAGATTTAATATCGCTAAAGAAACTATTGCGTAAAATTCAATATTTTTCTGGCTTGCGTTCACGAATTCCTATTTACCAGGATCATCATCAAAACTTCAGGAGCTCGATTAGAGCGCATTTGGCTGATCCCATGAAGGTGGTTCCTCATAGTTCCAACCTGACATCGGGCTCAGCTGACTTTGAAAAGTGTCAACTTCCCACGGTGTGCTTACATAAGCTACATCTGAATTAACAAAATTAGGCAGACGTGAGCGAATCTCATCTCTCATCAACGGTTCACCTCAAGAACAAAGAGCGAAGGAACCACAGGTTCAGACAGCAGTCGTTACACATTGAGGCACAGATTTTTAAGGAGATCAAAGATCTGGATGCGCCGTTAGGAATTACGTGGCAGAGATTCGGCGTTATCAAAAGCTGGCAAAAAACGTGAACGTGGACCCACAAATATTGGGTAATGGTCAGCGAAAGTTTGAGCGAGTCTCAGACGGAACAAGAGTCTCCGAAGCCGCATTTTTGGCTGAAACGTAGTCACAAGGAGGGTCTGGTGGTTTTGGACAGATCATCGCCACGGTTCGATGACGATCTTCAAGAATACAACTGCCATGAGCCCTCGAAACAATTAATCAAACACATTATTCGCAAGACCGCGAGCTACGTGTCCCGGTCAAAAAGTCGAAAAAGCTCGCCAATATTGGGACCCCTGACCTATAACGAAGCCTTTTTCACAAAAGATGTGAACAGAGGAGATAAACCGGGAGGCGTTCAATGGAGCGACGATTATCTTAGGAAATTATACACCAAGCTCGAGAGTGGAATCATTCTTACCAAAGTGAGTCGCAAAAAACAGGTCGAACAACTTTTTTTCGTCAAAGGCGGGGTGCTCTCCTGGCGAGATACTAAAAACATCGATCTAGATTCTATTAAGGATGTGAGGACGGGAGACATGGCGAAAAACTACATTGAAGATTACAAGGCTTCACAGGGTACAGCACAAAATTGGGTCACCATCATATACCAAACGGGTACCAAGTTTCGAGCATTGCATCTAGTCGCTCACAGTCCAGCCGACTACGAATGTCTATATGTGGGTATCGTCAGCTTGGTTGATACAAGACGTCATCTCATGAGAAGCATCACAGACCCAGAGGATGAGATGTTTGCGAATGTTCATTGGCGTGCAAGTGTCTCTGCGGAAAAAGCTGCGGACGACATAGACGTACTTTCTTTTCAAGACGTGGAGGACTTGTGCGCCAAATTTAATATATTCTGCTCTCGCAATCACTTACGGCGTCTTTTCGATCTCGCTGACATCAATGGAAACGGCCTACTGAATTTCACGGAATTCCAATGCTTTGTTCAGGAGTTAAAGGCTAGACCAGAGTTGAATAGGATCTGGCTTCGTGCGACAAGGGGTTCTGAGGAACTGCATTTTGAGGAATTTCAGAAATTTGTAACCAAGAATCAGCACGAATCCTGGAGTGCATCAAAAATCATGAATGAGTTCGAGAGGTTTGGTCATAGCAATGGCAAAATGAGAATCGACGGGTTTCGGAAATTTTTAGCCTCTCAGCCGTACTTGCACGATAATGAGACTGATTATTCGCTTCCCATTAGCAAATACTTCATTTCCTCCTCGCACAACACGTATCTTCAAGGTAAGCAACTGGCGGAAAATCCAACAGTCGAGACCTACGTCCATGCGTTGCAGCAGGGTTGTCGATGCATAGAAATTGACGTATGGGATTCTGACGAGGGGCCTGTGGTTTGTCACGGCAAATTAACTGGGTCATTGCCTCTCGAAAATGTCATTAAGGTGGTACGGAAGTATGCTTTCATAGCTTCACCGTACCCGTTGGTCCTATCTTTGGAAGTACACTGCAAACTTGCCAACCAGATTTTAATGGAAAGAACACTCCGAAAGGAGCTGGGCAGCAACATAATCAATCACAAATCCAAGGGCATGCTTATGTCCCCCACCGACCTGAGGCACACATTTTTAGTCAAGGTCAAGAAGTCTAAGAGCGAGTTTAAATCTTCGCAGGACGAAGATTTTGCTTATACTTCTTCCACGAGCTCATCATATGATTCTGATATTGAGGTGAAGAGGAGATCGGGACGAAGGCTTAGCATCTCGAAAAAAATGCATGTTATAGACAGCCTTGTTTCGATGTCATTCATTCACGGGCTCAAGTTCAGGAACTTCTCGTTGCCCGAATCTAAGACAGAAAATCACTGTTTTTCATTGAATGAGAAGAAATTAGAGAATCTTATAAAAGACGAGTCTCAAAAACTGGCGGTCGAAAAGCATAATCGACGCTTTCTCATGAGAGTATATCCGCACGCGTTTCGGTACAAATCGTCGAACTTCAACCCAATCAAGTTTTGGGAGCTTGGTGTACAGATGGTTGCCACAAACTGGCAAACCTTTGATCTTGGCCAACAGCTCAATAAGGCCATGTTCCAGCTTCCGCTTGAAGAGGGACCTTTATGGCATTCTGGTTATGTACTAAAGCCAGAGTTTCTGTTAAACAGCGTGGCCAAAGCTGGCGACATACAAGTGATGCGCGCGGGCTTGGATAAACGCAAGATCGTGCTACGGATAGAAATTTTATCTGCTCAGATGCTCCCTAAACCGAAGGATTTCAAGCAAAAGCAAGCATTCCCCAATTTTAGCGTGAACTTGAACGTTTACAGCAATAACAAGCCGATAAAAGCCCTAGAGAGTGACAATGGAATTGTACTAACGGAGACATCTGGCTCTACCTCCAACTGCAGCGAAAACGGCGTCAACCCCATTTGGGAAACTAGATTCAAGATTACGCTTGATGATAGCTTCTTCAATTTTATGCTGTTCAAAGTGAGAGCTGGCGACACTGAACTCGCCACCTGCTGCTCGAAGCTAGACTATCTACGACGGGGGTATAGACATCTTCCTCTTTACAACGAGAGTGGCGAGCGCTACATGTTTTCGACTCTTTTCATTCGAGTTGACTATAACTACGAATAGTGATCCTGATATGTAGTCAAGGTAGTTGTATGACGACATTAAATAACGCATTGTAATATTACGGGTGGAGGTATCCGCGCAGTGAGCAGGTTACTTTAGCTCCTTTTAGCACTTTTCCCATCCGGGAGTTGAGATTGGCGTTTCCATCTAATTTCGCGCTCTTAGAAAAGAGAGAGTTTATAACTAATACCACCAATTTTCGTGATCTTGGAAAACCAAAAATTCACCGTCGTGATGGCTTTATATATATATGTGAGAGTCAAAGCCCAAAGCCTTCGAGTAGTTCCTAGCTTTAGTATTTGATTAACATAATTGAATAAGTCCTCTGTTGTCTACTCGCTATTGTCGTTAAGTCGTTATCTTTCCCAATATGAATAACAGATCTCCCACCAAAATACGTCGTGCGCTTTCTGGCAAAAACGTGAATCAGCGTCCCAGCTCTTTATCTCCAAAAAAGTCTGGTATTTTGCCAAGCTCGCGTGCTGGACGGGCAAGTCCCACACGAAAACGGGCAGATCAGGTTGCGAACGCAGGAAGTTGGCAGTTTTTCGAAGAGTCCGAAGAAAACCAGGAATTGACAAGATTGAGGCAACAAAAACTACGAGAGAATAAGTTTAAGTCACCCGTTCTTGACCCAGAAAATGATACACAGATTATGACACATTCCAAGTCACAGGCGGAAGGTGCCCCTGTGAGAGAGCCGATGGCAGATTTGGACGTGGAGGACCACGCTGGTACGTGGGAGTTCTACGTTGGTGAGAACAACGACTCTTCCAAATCTCCCTCAAGATCACCATCGAAAAGCTCGCCAGCGAGACTTTCATCGAGATTCAGCTCATCTCCCTTGAAATAGAATGCTAAATATTCAACTAATAATTAATGATCGATACGAAAAGTGAAGTCTTACTGTTTGCAGGTGCGGGATATAAGATACACCATTGGGATAAATTGATGCGGCCGAACTTTTCCTAGAAGAGACCATGGATCAGAAGCAACTACTTACTTTTGAATGTTAACTGGCATGTTTGGCCGTAAAATATGGCTTGCTCATTATTTGTTGAAACTCCTGTTTATAAAGGGGACAATAATATCAAGACTAGTTTTTTGCAACGGTATTAGCCAAGCATTTTCAAGAATCCTGGACATTGGGAGCGGCAGCTAGTCACTAGGATGGTTGTAGAGCAGAGTATGGGATTCGAGGTACCGGACTATTTTCAAATGACACGATAAAACAACATGACGAAGGTGGTCACCTGAGTGGAAAATTTTTGAAAATTGGGCATCGCAGAGCATCGCATCTCATCGCATCGCATCGCATCTAAACTCCAAACTAACCCAGTTTGAGAGCACAATAGTCGGCCGAACAGATCCAGCTTTTTGGTGTTATCTTCAATCGGTTCTTGTACTTGATTCAATCTTTTCGAGCTCATTTTCACCATGGGTAAAGCTGCCAAAAAGAAGTTTACAAGTGCCACTGGAAATGGGCCTCAAGTGTCAGCGGATAAGCATTTGAGCTCGGTGTTCAAGTTCAACACGGATTTGGGCCAGCATATTTTGAAGAATCCACTCGTTGCCCAAGGTATCGTCGACAAAGCGCAGATCAAGCCCTCGGATACCGTATTAGAAGTTGGTCCCGGTACAGGCAATTTGACGGTGCGTATCTTAGAGCAGGCTCGTAAAGTCGTTGCCGTCGAAATGGACCCTCGAATGGGTGCAGAGCTGACCAAACGTGTACACGGAACTGCGGGCGAAAAAAAACTGGAGATCATGTTGGGGGATTTCATGAAAACCGAGTTGCCCTATTTCGACATTTGCATAAGTAACACGCCGTACCAGATTTCGTCGCCATTAGTGTTCAAACTCATAAATCAGCCGCAGCCTCCAAGGGTGTCGATTCTTATGTTCCAAAGAGAGTTTGCCATGCGGTTGCTGGCGAGACCAGGGGACTCGCTTTATTGTCGACTTTCTGCCAACGTTCAAATGTGGGCTAACGTTACGCACATCATGAAGGTTGGGAAAAATAACTTCAGACCACCACCACAAGTGGAGTCGAGTGTTGTGCGTCTCGAGATTAAAAACCCAAGGCCTCAGGTGGATTACAATGAGTGGGACGGATTGTTACGGATTGTGTTTGTTCGGAAAAATAGAACGATAGCGGCCGGTTTCAAGTCCAGTACTGTACTTGAAATCCTTGAAAAGAACTACAAGGCGTACCTTGCGTCCGTGAACGACGGATCTGAAATGTTAGACGACACCACCAACTCCATGCTCGACGTTGTCAAGCAGAAAATCGAGACTGTTTTGCAAGGAACCGGGCTTTCAGACAAAAGAGCCGGTAAATGCGATCAAACCGATTTTTTGAAGCTGCTTTACGCATTCCACCAGGTCGGAATCCACTTCGCTTGAATAAATAGGATTTGAAGCAGATGTATACTAATAATTATAAATATTGTTGTCAGTGCCATATGAAAGGTCTTTGAATAGAATTTACAGAGGCGGAGGTCAGAGGTAGGCCAATTGTGCGTATAAAAAGTGGTTAAATGGTATTCAGGTGTAGCAGTGGATGCCAGAGCGTGAACAGTCGCAATTAGAGTTTTTTCAATTTCCCTGTCTGGTGTACATCAAATGCGTCATAAACTATAAAAAAAGAGCGAAAGCTCAGTATAACAAAAATACCGGTTGAGTATGACGAAGCCATTCAGCTCATGAATATATTTAGTCATATCTTCGTCTGAGCCATGTTTCTGGCACGTTGCATGTTTTAGTACGATTCAATAAAACTTTTGTTCCATCAAAGCAGTAAGATGAGAATTGAAACCGTGTTTGCAACGTTGCTTAGTGTCGCTTAAACCACGCCTTTTTACACCTGACGTATTGATAGTCGGCACAGAGATGAGGATAACACTTAAGAGGTGTTCAATTAGATCAATGAGCCTTTTGTGCTGAATGGCCTCAATAAAGCGACTCTTGAGAAGACAGGGTTCGGAAGAGAATTAACTATTCAATTTGGTACGCACAGCGCGACTTTGACGACAATACTGCAGCACAGAGCCCAATCGAGAGTCTACGCCAGTGTGTCAAACCTGCTGGCAAAAATGTCAGAAGAACTAAGACAACACTTTGCATACTTGGGAATGGACCAGCTACCACATTTGATCTTGCCACAAGCGATGACAGCATGTTTGGTGTGTGAGTGATGATACCAGCACGCAGTATTGACTAGTAGTAGTAGTAGTAGTAGTAGTAGGGGTACGACTAAATCACATATGTAACACCAAAAACCCCCATATTTCAGCAAACCGGGCGGTTAGTGTAGTGGTTATCATCCAACCCTTCCAAGGTTGGGACACGGGTTCGATTCTCGTACCGCTCATTCTTTTTTTGCTTCCTATATTTTTTTCAAATCAACGAATAGCTCAATCAGTCAATATTAGGGCAAAGATCTAAAGCTATTCCGTTCTCAAAACCATTAGGCCCAAAATCTGACTACTTCTTGTGTCCACAAACAGGTGGTGCCTATTTTAGGCATTACTACGATCTCGTATAAACCACTCATTGACGTAAAACTGACGGACCTAGCTTTTTGCGGTCGCGTTGCTCTCGTAACCTAAAAAAGACACCTTTGTAAGGTCTTGACTTGCATAGTTTCCCTCACAACAGCTTCCCAACATACGAACGGACCCTGTGACGTCATATACAGCCAGCCCAAAGGGTTCATGTGCATGTGGATGAATACATTTCAACACTGACGCTGACATTTTTGAAGTGGCCCCAGGCGAATGTACCACAGTTCTTGGCTTACAATTAGCAATTGTCGATAGTTCAGTGTCTCGTTTAAGCCAGTTCATTGGTGAAATTGTGTATCACTGGAGAAACTTGTCATGGCGTAAGAATAGCAATTATGCAAATGAGCCCCTTCACGGAGTGATGGTGGCAGTGGTGGCAGTGGTGGTGATGGTAACGAGTAAGTTGTTTTTGGGGACATAGTGAAGGTTTAAACTCTGCGCTAGGGTCCGTTGTATGTCAAAGATTGACAATCGCCGCTTGGGTTATGTATACGTTTGTGTAAATGGAGCTCACGTCGCAGTCTGTCGCAATACGCCGCCCGCAACAGAGCGCTTTGTGCGCAGTGCGTTCAAAGACCAAGATATTTTTGTATATAAAGGGCTGAACATTCTGAGGGAAGACTCTTGTGGATCCCGTTAATTATAGCTACAACGTACACTATAATTCACTTTACTTCTTCACAAGTTACTTTACTCACTTCCCCATCAACACTTTCACACTTCTGAAAAAATGATCAAGGCCATCGTCTCACTGGCATCTCTGCTTCTTGCTTCCACTGTCTCGGCAGCCCCCGCGCTACAAAAAAGGGACGACATCGACCCTGATATTTTGCAGTTCGCCTTGACTTTGGAACATCTGGAGAACGCCTTTTACAAGCAAGCAGTATCAACCTGGTCCGAGGATGACTTTATCAAAGCAAACTTCACCGCCGACTTCTACTCGCAGTTGAAATACATTACGCACGACGAGGAAACACACGTTGTGTTTTTGGAAAAGGCACTCCAGGCGGCAGGAGTAACTCCCGTTGCTGCATGCACCTATAAGTTTCCCAACACCAACCCTCAGGAGTTTGTGGCCTTGGCTGCTACCGTTGAGGGTGTGGGAGCGTCGGCTTACCTGGGAGCAGCTCCTTTGGTGACGTCGAAGACTTACTTGACGGCAGCTGCTTCCATTCTAGTGACAGAGGCAATTCACCAAAGTGCTCTCCGCAACGCTGCTGGCGAGGTGCCTATGGCCAACCCATTTGGAACACCTTTGGGCATTAATGCCGTGTACTCCATAGCATCTGCATTCATTGAGTCCTGTCCTTCATCGAACGCTCCTTTGCCTGTCAAAGCTTATCCCGGCCTCACTGTCACGCAGGGCATGCCAGTCGCCGAGAACATTTCCGTGTCATTTTCTGTTGCCGGTCAACTTCCATCGTCCCAGTCGTACGTTACATTTGTAAGTGGTTTGGATATTTTGCCAGTCGAAGGAACCGTTTCCGACAACATGATCTCAGCCCAAATCCCAGCACAGGCTCGCGGCCAGACTTATGCATTTGTCACTTGCGACAATTCTGGAAACCTGACGGACTCCAGTATTCTATTCGGTCCAGCAATCCTTCAAGTGACACCACCTAGCCCAACTTTCGACCTCTCTATCAAATGAGCGGTGGATTGCACACACTACAAAAGTCATCTATGTCCTCGTGGCAATTAGCTCTGAGAAGTCTTGCCATATAAAATTATAACTATATTATTTTCTTTGACTACGTCTAACGAAGCCGGAGAGACGCCCGAGCAGCGTCTTACTCAGTGGCTTTGTCGAGTTGTGTTCATCGTGAGTAAAATCTGAATGCTCAAGGTCATATAGAGATTATTGTCGGAAGTACAATCTTGCATAACCAAGGAAACTGAAGTAAAGAAAATCTGCTCCTCATCAACAGGGAGAAAAAGAATATTCCTGGCTTGCAAATAATGCTCCAGATACCCCACAGTAGGGGAAACCTACAAACTCCAAACCTCAATTCAACATCCAGCTCAATAGTAAACCTTTTCCTATCTTCGCGGTATTAAAAACCATCGCACACCCTGACGATTCTAATGAAAGTCACACACGACCCTGATGTCCTGTCAGCGAGGAACATCATACCCAAGTCGAGAAACTAATAGCACCCAAGTCTGTCCTAACAATAGCATCACTAGTGAAGCATGGATCTCTCTATCAACTACGGCCAATGACCCCCATGTAACCCTTTCTACCGTGGTCTTGGCAACTACCGCCACCCCCCGCAACTGTTTGTCGTCAGCGTTTCTTCCTGGAGAGTTCGCTGAGTCTTCCACAAGACATGGTCGGCTGGTACTAGCCTCGGAAAAATTCTATTTCTCCGGTTTTTCCGGGTTTTTCCAGTTATTCCGAAAAAATTGTTCCTCGAGAACACAAATGTGCACGGAATATCTGCAGGCGGCTGTTGCGCGGTACAACAGGCCTGGCAGGTATTTTCACCGCCGAAAATGCTAGGTTCAAGAGCCAGGCCGGTCTCCGGTGCTACAACGCACTGAGGTGGGGCTATCCCAAGAAGAAGCCAGTCAGAATTGCAGAGATGTTTAGAAACGTCGAGTATTAAAGCAGTGGGAATCTGCTCCAAATGTCGATTCGTATGCTCTTTCTTATTCTCCTTTACTTCTCAAACCATCACACCTCACAGTGTATAACATCTTCAGCTAACAAACTTCCAAAACTTTTTCCATTTTTCGCAAGAATGGGCATTCTCCAAAAACTCTTCCATGCTGAAGAAACTATCCAGGGCTCCAAGTTCAGGGCCGTTTTCGTCGGGCTCTTCGTGGCCTTTGGCGGTATTTTATTCGGCTACGACACCGGTACTATTTCTGGTGTGCTGGCAATGGACTACGTCAAAGAACATTTCACTTCCCGCGGTCACTTTACAGCCAACGAAACTTCACTCATCACAGCAATTCTCTCAGCAGGCACCTTTTGTGGTGCCATCCTCGCCCCACTCGCTTCTGATACCTTGGGCCGCAGACTCGGCCTCATCATCTCCAGTATCATTTTCACGATCGGTGTCGTTTTACAGATAGCAGCTTCCGGACAAGACCTGCTAATTGCTGGAAGAGTAATTGCCGGTGCTGGTGTTGGTATTCTTTCCGCTATCGTCCCACTATACCAAGCAGAAGCCTCTCCCAAATGGATCAGAGGCGCGGTCACTTCCTGTTACCAATGGGCTATCACCATTGGTCTTTTGCTAGCTGCCTGTGTCAATCAGGGCACCCACGCCAGAACTGACTCTGGATCCTACAGAATCCCAATTGCCATTCAGCTATTATGGGCGATCATTTTGTTCGTTGGGATGCTCATTCTACCCGAATCGCCAAGATTTTACGTCATGAAAGGAAAAGTTCCACAAGCTAGCAAAGCACTATCGAAATTGAGAGGCCTTCCCGAGGATCATGAATTCGTCGCTTCTGAACTCGAAGAAATTGTTGCCAACTACAATTACGAGTGTTCGTTCGGATCTTCTTCGATTCTCGACTGCTTCAAGCCCGCCAACCACCAATTGAAGCGTATTCTCACCGGAATCGCCATCCAAGGTCTCCAACAGTTGACTGGTATCAACTTTATTTTCTACTACGGCACCCAATTTTTCCAAAACTCTGGCATCAAGGATCCCTTCATCATTCAACTAATCATGAATGTCGTCAATGTTGTTATGACTGTCCCAGGTATTGCATTGGTCGAGATTGCCGGCAGAAGAAACTTGCTTCTATGGGGTGCCGTCGGTATGTGTGTCAGTGAGTTGATCGTTGCTGCTGTAGGCACGGCACTTCCAGACAGTTTCTCCGCCAACAAGACGCTAATTGCATTTTCCTGTACTTTTATTGCATCTTTCGCAGCAACCTGGGGTCCACTGGCCTGGGTGGTCGTGGGCGAAATTTTCCCTCTCAGAGTGAGAGCCAAGTCTGTTGCCGTATGTGCCGCTTCAAATTGGTTGTTCAACTTTGCCATCGCATATGCGACGCCATACTTGGTCGACAGCGAGCATGCCAACCTACAATCCAAAGTGTTCTTTATCTGGGGTGGTTGCACTTTCTTGTGCTTCGTGTTCGTCTACTTCTTCATTTATGAGACCAAAGGGCTTACTTTGGAACAGATCGACGAACTATTCGAAACTTGTCCAAGCGCTCGCCACTCCAAGGCCTTTGTGCCATCCGAAGGCTTCGCTGCACATGAAGCTAACCTATCTGATACCGACAAGGCGCTTGTCGTGGCGATCGAGAAGGTATAGCCGCTTGACTATTTAGACACTAGCATCTGCATATTGTACATATTAATAAGATTAATGAGAATATTCGCAAGAACATAGGTGAAGATTGGTTGACCAGGGCAAGTTCGAAGGTGTTGCCTACATCCAATTTGATGTTTTTTTAGGCATCATAAAGTTCAGCTGTGGGGACTATGGGGATGAACGCTACGTCCGAGAAATCTCTGCATTAAAGAGGAGTTTTGGAGAAGGACCTTAATTATTTTGAGGGTTGTTTCCTCCACGGAATTATAGTTTGGATGGTTTAATTGATGAATAGCGAAGAGCTATACCCTTAGAGCCTCGTAGTGCATTCACACATTTAACGTCAACAATTGGTACTTAGCAGATTGCTTTTAATGTAGATCCTATTTTCGCTAAACTGAAGACACTTGCCGCGACCGGGGTGACTCTCTTGGCGCATAGTTGCCTCTTTGCGGCATACGAGGCTAAAATTAAGAAGCACTTTGGTGATAATGTTAATCCAGAGGCTTTAAGAGGTTTCACTAATGTTCACGCACTCACTCACTTTCGGAGGTGCTAGCAGGTTCTACTGTTTCAAGGTTCCTGGGGACGTCTAACAAGCTGTTTCTCACGCCTTGGTGTTATGACTAAAGCTACTGTAACGTTGACAGGTCATTCCTGTACACCGTTCAAACTCAAAAGACAGAAGAGCGTCGAAACTTTGTACTTTCTTCTGTCTACCTCTTCAAAAGTCGAACACGGCGCCTCTAAAGTCTTGTAAGCCAGCATTTAGGATTACTTTCGCGGTTTATAAAGCGAGTCGCAATTTTAACGTCCCTGATTCACAGCAGAAGACCGAAGATTTGGGTACGAGTGTGAGTTGCTATTCATGATGATGAGCCAGCAAGATATTCTACTGTCACAACGGCAAAACAACGGCAAAAGCACCCTCTTCTAGTCAAATGTAAAGAAATCTCATTTTCACAGCGGTAAGCTAGCAAAACTCAAAATTCTATTTGCATTCGATTCGCACCATGAAGGCACGAATAGCGAACGTTTTTAGCATACATCACTGGAAACTTGATAATGAGGGAGCAGCCGAGATAAGTTAAGAAAGATCTGCGTGCGTTGAATAGGATTGACGTTTCCTACTGACACTCTACAGACAAGCTGAGCAACAGTTCCTAGGAATTCTTATGATTACATTTTTAGACACTATGCAAATAATTGCATAAGCCTACTGCGCATGGATTCAAAAGAGCCATTTCAAATGTCGAGAGAAGCAACCAACGCCTTTTAAAACAAGTTTTGGTTTCTCAGATCCCTAAGTTTTCCAATTCTCAGGACTATAATTATTATGTTGGCCTAAATGAAGTTGCCCGATACTTCCACCTTCGACTCAAGAAAGTCAGCTAAAATGCTAAGTGTTTGCGATTCTTAGATCTCTCTGCTGTGGTGGCTCTCTTGAATTTTCCGCCTGGCGACTTGGGCGACTGGAAAAACTACAGAAGTCATCGAATGTTTTTGATGAGTCGTTCGTTTACTCTTTTAGTCAAAATCATGGCATCTCTTAGCAAGGAACTAAACATCGTCCAAGTCCTTGGCTGACAAACAAAGGAAAAAGGTATAGTTTGAATCATGCTGGCCTAAAGGCCGCATACGTTGGCCACCACAGTGAACTTCTTGCTCGACTTGTGGCGTATCCAACTCTTGGTACTCACAGCGGGAACTCCAGCCCAAATTCTACAATCCACTAGTTAGTCAAAAAACGGATGCCATGTGTATAGCGAGTAACGACAAGTTAGACGTACACATCTAGCTGCCAAAGAAGAGCAATAAGCTCTGTCAAGATATTCAAACATTTCTTGGTGTTCTTGCTGCCATTTTATTGTCGAGCTTGCGAGCTGTGCGAGCAGGAGTTCGGTCAAGCAGAGCTACTAGAAATCACATACATACGTAGATTGTAGGTGACGCTGGCCATGGGGAGTTTGAAGATATGGGCGTCAAAGTTCTTGTCACATGGCGCGAGTCTGTCGGAATCAACACCATTTATGGCTCGAGATTGTTTATCTGGGTGGAAAGTCACAACGGATACATTGGATCTTGCCTAAAGGCCGAAAGTCATGATAGGTGAATGTGATGATTTGATATAATCTAGATAGAGCCTGCATATAAATGATAAATACTCGACTCCGCGTCCCAGTTCCGAGCTGTTTGGCTTGGCACGAAATATAACTGCTAACTTCCAAAACCATGACTTTCAGCACATTAGCACCAGGACAATTGGCCAAAAACAGTTCAATTGCGGTGATTGGAGCCGGCCCAGTGGGCGCAGGTTTGACCAAAGCTTTGATTCACGAACAATGGTTTGGCAAGATCAAAGTTTTTGAGAAGCGAAAGAACTTCGGAGGCCTTTGGAACTATACCAAGCCCGTTTTCAAAAAATTGAATGTCACTTCGTGCCCTGCCATCCCATGCGAAACACCACACGGTAAAAATGAGCCGTACGTAAGCCAAGAAAACGGTGTTTTGTTCCAGACCGCGACCTACAAGTATCTAGACACCAACGTCCCCAAATTTTTGATGGAGTACGAGAAATTTCCCTTTCCAGCTGGAACTCCGCTGTTTCCCTTGAGAGAACAGGTACTGGACTACATTGTCGACTATTCCAAAGACGTGGGGCATCTTACGGCCTTCAATCATGAAGTTATCACGCTAGGCCACAACGATCTCAGTAAGAAGTACCAAGTCTCCACGAGGAACTTAGTCACAAACGAAGTTGAAACCGAAGAATTTGACGCTGTCGCCATTGCTTGCGGGTTTTATGATCTCCCTTACGTTCCTGACCGCCCCGGTCTGAAAGAGTGGCATGAAAAATTCCCTTCATCAGTATCGCACGCCAAGGATTTTGACTGCCCAGAGGACTACGAAGGCGTTAAGGGAGAAATTCTTGTTATTGGCAATAGTGCTTCCGGCTCTGATTTGGCATTCGAACTAGCTACCCATTTGAAAAGGACCATTTACAAAAGCAAACGGTCAGAATCGTTGATGCCAGTTGGTTTTGACCATCGCATTAGCGATGTGTCTGACGTATTGAAATTTGATCCAAACACCAAGACCGTACATTTTGTTAAAGGAGAAAGAGTCGAAAATGTGGACAAGATCATCTTCTGTACAGGGTACTTGAAATCTTTGCCTTTTTTACCCAAAAGCTCGCAATCCAATTCAAAAGGCAATTCAACCCTAGCTTCATTGGTCACCAATGGCAAACGTGTGAACAACCTATTCAATCACATTCTTCCTTACAACCTGCCAACGCTGGGTATTATCGGGTTGCCTAAATATGTTCTGCCTACGCGTCTCAGCGAAACTCAAGGTGCATGGCTTGCCAGGGTATGGAGTGGTCGCATCAAGCTTCCATCTATGAAGACTATGTTGTTCTACGACAAATGGTTTTTGGATCTCAATGGTGACAATGGTACGTACCACGATTTGAAATTCCCCATGGATGTTCAGTACTCACAAAGGCTCAACAGGGAAATTCGTGACGCTGGAAGTGACGGATATTTCGGTGTGGAGTGGACCAGTGACCAAATCAAAATCAGGAGCTCAATTCAGCCTTTAAAAGAGGGATATCTAGCGTACTTCAAAGAGAAAGGGAAAAGAGCGATGAACATCGATGAACTTATCGAAGAGGGCTACTTTCAGTGGCCTCAAGATGCTTTGACAAGCGTGGAAGTTCCTGAAACTGTGCCATGAACCAACCCAGACGGCAATATTCTCCACGAAAACCAGGATAGACAAGATCATATACACAGGAAGCGCTCTATAACACATAGATTGAGCTGGGATCGTCATGCCTATGCTGGCGACATCAGAAATAGATTTGATCGCAAGTCATTTGCCATGAGAGGTCGACAAAATCAAACATTTTCGTTCTCTCGTGAAACGTGTAGTCAGGGCTTATTGCGTAAGGCAGAAACGTCTCAACGATGTTTGTCGTTAACTCACAAAATGTATCAGCAGGCAACCAGAAAATTGAAGTCCACCGAACGAAAGATCGAGATATGAAACTATGGCCAGCGAAAACGCTGATTTCCACGCTCAAATTCTCCAATTTCACCAGGCATCCCAATTTTTCTCATTTTCGGAGACACTGACGACTACGCTACACCCTAAGAGACCGGGAAAATAGGCCGATACGCGCCAGACCAATCCTGAATCCGATCGAGAAAGAGTGTCAACAGTAGAATAGTTATGCAACAGGATCTGAAAATTTCATTTCACTCTGTTCCCTCAAGGATGCAACAAAGATGGACCCGGGCGTCATAACGCTTCCTTTCTCCGCATCACCATCACCCACACAGTCTAGTCTCGGACTGAACCAAATTCAAAGCTTGACTATCTTTCCTGGTTTCGAATTTCGCACCAGTGGAAGTTTCGCTCGCCTGGTGAAGAACTTCTCTTCATCAGTATAAACCGCCATGTTTGTCCTCATCGTTGGCTATCTTTACGCAGTCTTGGCAAAAGACGCCAAGCAATGGCTCGTGTGGCTTGAAATCATGATGCCAGACTCAATTGACCTCGTAACGCTGATAAACGTAGATGACAAAAGTGAAAAAAGACTCACAATCGCTGCAGTAGGTCAGCTTTGCAGGCATATCGACGGGAAACAAGAGGTGGTGAGAAAAATTGAATAAAGGACTTATAATGATATATGACGAGTGTAAACCACTCGTGCACACCTGTTGAATGAACCTCAACTTTTAGCCTAATATTTTTAATTTCATATTGCTGAAAGACATTCCAGTTTATACACACTCTAGAACTTAACGACCATGAATAACACCCCGCACGTACTCATAATAGGCGGATCTTTTGCTGGTATCAAAGCAGCAGAAATCTTGGTGGCCGCTGGACATGCTGTAAAAGTTACAATCATCTCGCAATCCACTCATGCTTACTTTACTGTGGCAGCTCCAAGAGTTCTAGTCGAACCTCAGGTTGCGCAGCAGGTTTTTTTCGCCATTGAAGACAAAGTTGCCAAGCTTGGAGAGGCTGTGTCTTTTACACAGGGTAGCGTGAACAAAGTCGATACCCGCGCCAAGACTGTGAAGTTCAGGGACAGCACCGGAGCTGAAAAACTTGTCTCTTACGATTTTTTGGTGGTGGCTTCGGGCTCCAAGGCCCAGTCTGCAGCTTTCAAGCTCGACGGTGACTACACACTTACCGAGAAAGTGCAACAAGAGCTACAAGCTTGTATCAAGGCGTCCAAAGAAATTGCTATTCTTGGCGGTGGCCCCACCGCCGTCGAAACCGCAGGTGAAATTGGCCATACTTACGGAAAGGAGAAAAATGTCACCTTGTACACTGGATCGAAGGGCCCACTGACAGAATGGAATCCCAAGGTCACAGATGACGCTGTTCAAAAATTACAGGCCGTTCATGTTAAAGTTGTCAACGGCATCAAGTCCACCAGCGTACAGGAAACCCCAGACAATAAACATGAGGTTCAGTTCAGCGATGGCTCTTCCAGGACTTTCGATTTGACTATTTCCGCGTACGGTATCTACCCCAACTCCCAATTTCTGGATTCCGAACTTCTTGATAGCCGCGGTTTCGTGAAAACCGACGAGTTTTTGGTGGTCAACGGAGCTCCCAATGTTTTGGCCTTTGGCGATATCGTCTCTGGTCGACCATGCACTGTTTTAGACATTGACCAGGTTCAGGCCACAACATTTACCGGTTCCGTTCATTCGGTTATTTTCGGGGTATCTGGAAAAAAGAGGGCGATCAAGAAACCAAAGGATATGGGTTTGGTTCCCATCTCCAGAGACGGTGGCGTTGGCATTATTTTCGGATGGAAAGCTCCTTCATGGCTGGTAAGAATGATAAAGTCCAGAGATTTTATGATTGGAAGGGGCGCCAAGGCTTTCGCTTAGTGCAATTCTTCTTTGAACGACAGTGAAAGAAGCACGTAATTCACACAGGGACCTTATGTTCTACGATTGAAAGAACAGTGTCGCTTCACTTCATGAAGACCTGGGATTGCGTTTGCAGGTCATTAAACTCGACCCAGCAAAGAAAATGACGTGCAAATTCAACAGGCCCCAGCAATTCAACCGATCTCGATCGAAGTTTCGAATTTTATACGACGAGAGCTCATTGCAAGCATGCGAATATCACTTGCTCCGCTGAGAGACTCCCAAATACAGAGGATCTTGGGATTTCACTAAGGAGGGCTGTTAAAGCTTCTGATACTTGGCGAGCTCGCTGTCAATGCAGAAGAGGGGGCTTGCTTGGCTATGTTTTTACCCTTACGAAAATACTCACTTGCCATAATCATCTGACGACCGTGTTGTAAACAAACCAGTTTCTTTATTACATGCGCAACGCCTCGCGAGCCTTTCTCACCCACCGCTTGCCGAAGTTTGGCGAGACTCGCCTTCGTTTTATCTCTTGCACATAACCTTATTCGAATCACGTCATCTGGTGATTCGCCTCTGGATTTTCGAATACTTTTGAATCCCGAACGTATGGATGCAAGAACTACAAGTAACGTTGCTTGCTGCATACATTTTTTACAGCGAAAGCACTGTTTTCAAGGTTTGGTAGCGGAAGCATGAGTCTCAAATTCGAACACACCTTTTCTAGCGACAGATCAGATAAACAACAGACTCTAAAATGACAAATTTCACTTGGGCCCGTCAAGATAGCACTTCGACCAAATAGCGAATTAAGCAACATCAAAGATGTGCTTAGCTTTATGAGCATGTATCAATTCAAGAAATAGTAGCGTAGCATTTCTCGTCACAACAAGTGTCCGTCGGTTAAACCATTATAAAGAACAGAAGAGCAGGGAAAGCGGCTTGAAACAATTACTTTGAATGGTGTGGAGATCTCAAAGAATGATATTTATCGCCGTTGAACTACCCTTCCGGTACGTCACATTTATTGTATGTTTACCAGGTGTCGAAACGTCTATTTGAAATATATATATATTATGTATATGTATGTATAACACATTACGCCCGAAGAGAGGGGCCAGAGACGACATCAGTGCAAGGCAGAGCATGGATAGTGTAGGAAAGTCTTCTGAATACATCATTGATTTGTCTCAATGAGACCGTATTCTATCGAGAGCAATGGACTTCCAATCGTTTATGCAACAGGCTCTGGGCCAGTCAAGTCATTGACAATAATTTCTTCAAAGGACCAAACGTGCGAGCAGTTCTCATTAGAGGAACCACAAATTACCCTCGAGAATGCTCATATTGAGCCCAAAGAAGAAAAGGCACTCCTGAGCAAGCTCGACCGAAGATTCGTACCGATGTTGGCGTTTGCCTATTTTTTACAGTCTTTGGACAAAACGAATATCGCAAACGCTTACACGTCTGGAATGAAGGAAGATCTTAACTTAAGCCCTCGCCAGTATTCAAATGCTGTTTCAGTTTTGTTCTCGACGTTTCTCATCGCCCAGGTTCCAGCAGTGTTGCTTTTGAAGAAAGTCCCACCCAGATTTTATTTGTCGGTTATGGTTTTCTCCTGGTCTATTATCACCTTGTGTAATGGTTTTGTTAAGTCCTACGAGTCGCTATTGGCGTTAAGGATCCTACTGGGCGCGTTCGAAGGAGGGTACTTCCCTGCCATGATTTTATTAGTGAGCATGATTTATAAACCCCAGGAACAAGCCAAGAGAGTGGCTCTTTTCTTCGGGTTTGCAGCGCTCGCTGGTGCGTTCGGAGGTCTCATTGCTACAGGGCTGACAACTGTGCGATCCGCTGGAGGCCTCGAAGGTTGGAGGTGGCTTTATATCATTGAAGGAATTATATCTTCAACGGCTGCGATATGGCTCTTTTTTGGTCTCCCAAATGATGTCGAAGAACCCTCTTTCCTCGACGAATATGATCAGGATCTAATGCGGGCTCGTGCCATTCAACGGACAAAATATATGGGGTCGAGAGAAAAATTCCAGTGGCTATTTGTTTTGGACGCTTTAAGCGACTACAAGACTTATACTGGTTTGATAATACAATTTTGTCAAAACATCGTTCTGTACTCGTTCACGACCTTTTTACCAGCGATACTGAAGCTTGGAATGGGTTATACTTCGAAGCAAGCACAGTACTTGAGCGTACCGGTATACATACTCGCAGCCGCAGTGTTTCTCTGTTCTGCTTATGTGAGTGATCGGTATAATCTAAGGGGCCCGGTGATACTGGGCTTCAATCTGGTAACGGCAGTGGGTTACGTCATTATGCTTACGGTTGAGCGTCCGGGAATAAAGTATTTTGCGTGTTATTTGATGACTTTTTCGGTCTACACAGGCCCTGGGCTCAATGTGACCTGGGTCTCAAACAATGTAGCGCCCCATTACAAGCGCGCAACGGCGATTGGTCTCAGTCAAATCTTTGGAAACCTCGCAGGTGCGATTGCGGGGCAGATTTACGTGCACCCTCCGTATATTCTAGGAACATCCTTTTCTCTTGGCTGTGTTGTTCTATCCAGCATGCTAACATTGATTCAGATATTTGTGTTCCAGAGGACAAACGAAAGAAAAGCGGCTATTTTACGAGGTGAAGAGCTGGACGGGCACAAAGAAAGGAGAGGTGATAACAGTTTAGACTTTAGGTACTGTATATAGTAGAATAAGTTCCATTGGATTTTATATGTTTTGCTGGTTAGACGAACTAAGCACAGAAAAGGCGACAAAACAAATCGTAAAACTTCAAGTTGGGAGTCATGTTATGTCCTAGTTCTGTGTTAGGATCCGCTCAAATAAAACAACCTAACGTCAAAAAGCAGAATTTATTTCATACTAAGGTCTTTCAAACTTTATCGAAATTGTATGCAATCAATTGTTGAATACTCAAACGTTATTTTGACGAACAAAATCTGTCATAAACTCAGGTTCGGCCACATACATAGCTGTGTACAAGAGAATTATAGTTTGAATCAAGAACTTGGAAAGCTGAACTACTCTGAGACCGATTTGTTCTCGCGCTGGCATAAAAATACGAGGGAATCCAATTTGTCTATCTTTTGATTTCCTGACCCCGTATAGCATAAATTTTGATGTTTTCTAAAGGTTATCATCAATCTATCAATCAGCAAAATCATCCGCCGAACCTTTCGTCGTGAAGAGGTCCACTTTCGTTGACTTGAATTTTCTGGATGGAACCTCTAATCTAAACAACTCATTGATTTCGGCAAAGGTCTTACCACCAGTTTCAGGAAGATCGATTACGGCCCAGACTAGCGTAAGAACACAGAAAGCGCCCCAAAAGAACCCTGATTTGGCACCCCAGTCCCATTTCTCGGAGTTTAGTTGATATAAAATCAACACCATGGTAACAATCTGAACCACGTTGTAGGAGTTACGGGCCAAAATAATTGTCTTGGTCCTGAGGCGGGAAGAGGGTAGTTCCGATACGAGACAGAAAACCACTGGCGCGATTCCCAGGTTATAGAAAAACGACACAACCATCAGCAATGCACCGCTACCCATTTTTGCACCCTTGGAATCATTACATCCCAGACCGCCGATAATGAAATACATTATTGCCTGGAAACCCAACCCTACAGCATAAAGTTCGAATCTCCCGACACGTTTCGACAACCACCAGGATATGAATGTTGCAGTGATACCAAGACAGTACTGTATGATACTGAAGGTGAAAGCCGTTTCCGTACTTACGCCAGCTTTTTGGTAAAAGTATGTGGAATACCCCATCAGTGCTGCACCGCAGGTAGTTTGTCCGACCCAAGTGAGACAGGCGACCCGTGTTCTTCTTCTGTTGACCTTGTCTCTTATACAGTCCAAGTAGCTACCTTCCTCATCTTTGAGCTTATTTTCCTGTTCAATGGTCAACCTTATTTTTTCGATCTCCTTGAAAACTGCCCGTTCCTTTTCGACACCCTTTCCACTCAGTGTTCTTTCGAGAGATCTTTTGGCTTCTTCCAGTCTTCCCTTCTTGATCAACCACCATGGCGATTCGGGAGCCAAGAAAATACCAATCGCTAGAGGAAGAGGCCATATCCATTGCAAGGCGAAGGGAAGCTTGTATCCTAGCTCCGAATTGGCGTATTTTTCCTGCGAGTTCTTCATGATTCCTGCCGCGAAAAGCTGACCGTACAGCCAGCAAAGGTTGGAATAAGTTGTGAGGTAATATCTGAGGGCGAGAGGACAAATTTCCGAGGCATATGAGACGGTCAAACCTTGGAAACAGCCCCACGGCATGCCACACAACGCTTCTCCAACTGCAATCATACCAAGACTATTACCAAAATACAGTATGAAGGTGAAAGCGGCCAGGGCAAACAGCGCCAGGATCAAAGTAAACCGGTTGCCTAGATAATCCACGAAATAACCTGTCATTTGCAAACCAACAATTTCACCTGCCACATAACATAAACTCAGACCAATTTGCCACGAAACAGAAACCTCCCATTGTCCTGTAAGATAATTCTCAGATCCAAAATTTCGCTGGAAAATGGGCAATGCAAAGAAAGCCCCGATAATTGCAGTGTCGTAACCTTCCATGATCAGTGTCGTCGAGACCAACAGCGACCATGCAGCAGCTTTTGGGTACGTTTTCAATGCTTGCATGAGAGGCATATTTCTCTCGCTTTCGTCTGCCTCTCTGGCCTCCTCGGTTGCGTCTATCAATTGCGTAGCCACATGATGGCTTTCATCATCGGGACTGGCAGAATCCGTGGCATGCTCCAAGTGACTAACATCTAAGTCGCTTTTTTTTTTCGGGAAATCATCCATTAAAATCGACTGGGTGCCAGATCCACTGGCTTCATTTCCCACATTTATGTTCTGAATCTCTTCGTTGTTATTTTTCCGATTTTTTATCCACGACACACTTTTCATGACGGCAGTGGAACACAGAGTTTTGTCACTTATATTGATTTCATAAAAGGTGTTGAAATGAAAAATAAACCACATCAAAAAATCACCCGCAAAGGGACTTTGTACTTTCTGGCCTGCTTATATACTCTTCTTCGACTGAAAACGCCACGTCCAACTTGCTCCTTGCTCGAACTCTTATTCCAAAGTCACCAGTTTTCACCGGTCCCCATCATCTTCGAGGAACTTAAGCGGGATCAAAATACTGCCAATTAACTCTGAGGCCGTGAGTTAGATGCAAGTACCCCACAGACGAGCGCCTTGCATGCACAGCGGAGAAAATCTTGGTGGTATTTCTGCCCAAATCACTTTTTGAGCCGTTCTTATAATTCCTCTGCCTTTCGACGTGCGGAAAAACAATAATTCAACCCATCGCCAACATCAAGTGCTGTCATGGGCCAGCGGAAAGACGTAAGCAAATACCAACAAAACAGCTCGGCAAAACGTTTTCGAGAGGTGCGATTTATCTAGGAATACCCTTGTCAATTGTTATCGTCACCCCACATTAATTTCGTGGAATTTCGTAAAGTAGTGCACACACCGTGCGGGGATGTCTTGCAGACGCTGTCGACGTAAGCTTATGACGTTCGAGGCCTACTCTTATAACTGATCCATTTTCAAACCACCCAATGGTCCAGTTTTTCGCGTATAAGAAGGGCTCACTTGAGCTATAGACTCTCAAGATTATAGCGTTCTCTTAGCAGTATTTCATCTATTCAAGCTCACAGCTCAGAGAAAATCAAGCCATACAAGTAATGACTATCACGGAACATCCAGAAACTACACCAAAATGGTGGAAAGAAGCTACCATCTACCAAATCTACCCGGCCAGTTTCAAGGACAGCAATAATGATGGGTGGGGTGACTTAAAAGGCATCACGTCTAAATTGCAGTACTTGAAAGATTTGGGCGTGGACGCTGTGTGGGTTTGTCCCTTCTACGACTCTCCACAGCAAGATATGGGGTACGACATTGCGAATTATGAGAAGGTGTGGCCAACATACGGTACTAACGAGGAGTGTTTCGAGCTAATCAACAAGACGCACGAGCTCGGTATGAAGTTCATAACCGATCTGGTCATCAACCACTGTTCTGCCGACCACGAGTGGTTCAAGGAAAGCAGATCGTCCAAGACCAACCCAAAACGTGACTGGTTCTTCTGGAGACCACCAAAGGGCTACGACAGCGAGGGCCGGCCAATTCCACCTAACAACTGGAAATCGTTCTTTGGGGGCCCAGCGTGGTCTTTCGACGAGACGACCAACGAGTTTTTCCTGCGTTTGTTTGCATCCCGTCAACCTGATTTGAACTGGGAAAACGACGAGTGCAGAAAGGCCATCTACGAAAGTGCTATTGGGTATTGGCTGGACCACGGTGTCGATGGATTCCGTATCGATACTGCAGGTCTATATTCCAAGCGCCCAGGCATGCCAGACTCGCCAATTTTTGACTTGAACTCGGACTTGCAGCATCCTAACTGGGGGTCCCACAATGGTCCCCGGATTCACGAGTTTCACAAAGAAATTCGCAGATTCATCGTTGACAGAGTCAAAGACGGCAGGGAGATCATGACAGTGGGTGAAGTTGCTCACGGTAACGACAACGCGCTTTATACCAGTGCTTCCAGGGGCGAAATGAGTGAAGTGTTCAGCTTCCGTCATGTGGATACGGGCGCGAGTGAATTTTTCCGCTACAATGCCGTGCCCTTCACTTTGAAAGAATGGAAGCAAGCTATTGCCGACAATTTCTTGTTTATCAACGGAACTGATACTTGGTCCACGATCTACCTTGAAAATCACGATCAACCTCGCAGCATCACAAGATTTGGCGACGACTCGCCAAAGTACCGTATACTTTCCGGAAAACTCTTGGCCATGTTGGAGTGTTCACTGACAGGCACCTTGTATTTGTACCAAGGTCAAGAAATAGGTCAGATCAATTTCAAAGACTGGCCTATCGAGAAGTATGAAGATGTGGATGTGAGAACCAACTACAATATAATCAAGGAGAAACATGGCGAAAACTCGAACGAGATGCAGAAGTTTTACGAAGGAATTGCCTTGTTGTCAAGAGATCACGCCAGAACCCCGATGCAATGGTCTGCAGAAACCCCAAATGCCGGGTTCTGTGCCCCCGACGCTCAGCCTTGGTATTTCTTGAACGAGTCCTACAAAAACGGAATCAACGTTGCGGACGAATTAGATAACAAGGATTCCGTTCTTAACTTTTGGAAGAAGGCCATGAAAGCCCGAAAGGAGAACAAGAATGTGATGGTTTACGGGTACGACTTCGAGTTCATTGACTTGGACAGCGACAAGCTCTTCAGCTTCACCAAGCAGTTTGAGGACAAGACATTGTTTGCTGCGTTCAATTTCAGTGGAGACATGGTTGATGTAAAGTCGCCCAAGGAAGGAGCATCTCTGTCTCTGATCCTCGGAAATTATGATGACGTCGATGCCTCCTCAACCGTTTTGAGACCATGGGAAGGCAGACTTTACTACGTGCAGTAAAAAATACATGGTCTGGCTGTCAATGTCGGCACGGCCTCGCTTGTGAGTACATGAGAACTGTTTTTGAATACTTTGTACTGTTTCTCGAAAGAGAACAACCGTATACATATCAGATAAATTATGACGTGAATTTCGCACTAGCGGTGATCTGAATTGAATACATTCTTTTAGAGATCCGAGGCTGCAACTGCAATTACTGGGCACGGTATGGCAGACATTTATTATTAAAGGTATAGTATGTCGCAGTAGTATTTTAAACGATCTCTCAAAGCTTTTCTCTCGCCGAACCACAGCATTACGGCTAGGGTGTCCTCATTTGATGGTCTTTCAAATCACGTCCCCTACTGTTTATGCAGTTTGCGTGCACGAATCCGGCAAGTACGACTTTTTCAGCCGCGAGTACAGGTACTATGCATGAACGTTCAAGTTCTGAGCCATAAAGCATTGATGCATCTGTTAAAGAATGGAAAACCAAGCGGATTTTAACGCGAGCAGCGCTCATTACAGTCTAGAATAATTTTGAGATGTCATTTTGTAAATTCATATAATCCTCTTAATCAAAGCTCAAAAGAACTCGACATTATCGACAGATAATGTCGATGATTAGACTTCTATCTGAGAACATAATCTTCTATTAGAACAGCTAACAGATTGTGACGTTGACTCATCAAAGTTCACTTGTTTTACTGACGTCGAAATATGCATGGTGGATCACGAACTCGTGACTCGTTCCTGTAGGTATCTATCTGTCAATGAAAGTTCGGATTAAAATTTAGTCGTCTAACAAACAACTTTATTAAACCTCTGCTTAGACCTACTAGCTCACAATACAATTGGACAATTGTAGAATGTCTTACGCAGCGCCAGCTTATCCAAAAACAATTCCCTGCGGAACCGCTTACAATCTTACTATTGATGCTAACACATCCGCTATTGAAGGATGGTGGTGTGCAGATGCTATATTGTCCAACTATGATACGAGAGTTCCTAACCTCACTTATTCCGAAATTTCTTTATCTTGCCACGGCAATCAATTTTTGACAGCATACGAAAATACCACTGTAGTTGAGGGCCTCCTTTGCGGTCTCGGACTTTATTCCTCTAATTCTAGTATTGAGATAGCTACTAAGAAAAACGACAGCGATAAAAATGGTGTCAATTGGATCCACTTGATGATTGTTGGCTCGGTTTTTGCCGCCTTGGTTTTTTGAGTAATTTTACATGGACATGGGACAAGTTCCCTGCGCGTTTGAGAGCATTTTTGAATTGCATCACTAAAAGCCATATATTTCAATTTGTACTTTATAGACAATGTACTTCTGGAGAGCCTTCATGTATAATTTTGATAGAAGACATCTGGTTCTTACTTATGGTATCTTCGTTGGTCAATTCAGGTGGTCTGAGGTTTTGTTTTTTTTAGTTATGCCGACACGATAATAAGGTAGTAACATTTCCAAGTGGTTTTACTTAACTGCATTAAGCGATCAAGTAAGCCACATTTTCGAAGGCCGGATTCAACATGAAGATGCTTGGTCTATGCAAATGGCGCGAGGGAGGAAGAGGCTAATTTCAGTTCATAAAGAATTTCTTCTTGAAACTTCTCTTCTACGGACGAAAAGCTGCTCCAAACTTGCGCAAGGCTCCTGAATTCCAGCACTTTCATTAAGATTGCTTACAAGCATTATATGCTTCAGTGCTTTGAGCTTTATTTAAAAGCTGCATTTTTCAAACGCGGAGCTTGTATCTATTAGCTGGGAGAGCGTTCAGCTAAAAGATGGGACAACTTTACAATTTTCCATGCGCTTGACACGTATGAAGCCAGACCGAGCCTATGAACGAGTAAGTGTGCCGCTTGCGCGAAATCTTAGCGCTTATTACATATCTGCATACCCAGTCTTCGAGTATACCACCAGGCTATTGAGCGTTTCGAGTGTGCAGCATAACTAGTTTATATCCATTTGAAGAAAGAAAGAGAACGTGGAAGCTGACGGTGGCGAATACTATAATTAACATTCGAACTGAGAAACTGTTTAGACAGCAACCTTATGAAAAAATGCAGGCTTCAAAAGTTGGCGTTATCCAAAACATATACTTCCACCATTACACGCGATCAATGTCCTGGTTTCAGATTATGTGTGTCTCATCGTTTGCTTCACAGCATAGCGCATACGTTTGCCGAGATATGTAGGAATATAATCCATTCAATATAAAATAAAACAGGGGACTTACACAAGCAATTGTCTTGGCGCGTTGAACAATACATTCAAGAACCATGAGAGTAACGCGAGCAGTTGCTGAAACCTTTGATAGAAGCTCGGTCTATGGAAGTCCACTTATCTTTCATGTTTTGACCGGTGAGCCCAAATTCGTAAGGTGAACGGATGACACATTGTAGTGAAATTGTCAAAGGCAGTCGATATAGCTAATTATATGCGAAGTGAGCTGCAATTTGTGACAAATTGTCAACCATGGAGATAGAAGACTGTAAGAGCTTTCAGGGGATGCTCAATTGTGTCGAGCAGGGCTACCGGTGGATGGGCTGTGTTGCTGGAAATTGCTAGCACGGTCTATTTAGTAACGCTCGGCACCGCTCATAGAGACTCGCAAAAAACTTGCTGAAACGAGCGTGCATTACTCAAAGGGGTTTGAACTTAAAAATAGAGCTCTAGATATGTGTCGGTGTGCTCGATCCCAGCAAAGTTCTTGAGCATCAAGGAAAGGGGTTCGCTTCTCGATCGAATGCGAATTTTTTTCTAGCAAGCTAAGCTTCCTTTCTTTATCTCTCATGATACCAAGTTTATGTCCAGGTTTCTAAACCGCATCGTGCATTTTAGATTTTGCTCTCTGTCGGAGACGTTTTATGCCTGCAGTAAGTTTCTGGTTGGCGTCTGCTTCTAATTGCACGAGGTCTCAAGATAATAAGTGCTCGACTTGTACTTATTAGTGGTGAAGGAAATTCAATGTACATTCGACACATGAAAGTTCAACACTTTTTTTTGTTTTATCCAGATCATTGGCGTTGTTACCATGCTTTAATATGGCACACATCGTTCTCTAATGATGTATTCGACCATTGCTGAGGCTCTACCAAAAGAAAGCTGATCTTAAAATTACCAACATGTATCCAGTTTCAACTCCAGGACATATAGTTTGGCAGACATGCCTAATGAAAAAGAAGAGCAAGTCGAGAAGTGTATTGCAATATATCACACATGAAAGCATGAGGAATGTGTGGAGCACGAAATTGTTTGAGGTACCAAGAGTCGTCTCACCCGGAAGAAAACGGAAATCTAATTGAAACGACCACTTTCTCGAAACAAACTGTTCCAGAACCTGACGTGATACTCAAAGTCGCACACGACATTCTTTATGCCTTACACGTATGTTCATGGCTCAATCGGCTATCGACGGCCTGTCTCTGAGTGAGTTACAGACAGTGCTCAATAGGACCCGCGCCAACTTTTGTGCTAGTGACTTCCCGAAAAAAAGATGACGCTTTCTCAAAATGGCTTGAGCACTTACACTTGAACATCAAAATATTTTACAAATTGGTCTTCCTCTCTACTGAACGATTCCCTGTGTCATTTTTCACTTACACGAAGTGTCACTTCTCTATCTCGAGGATTAAAATGAAAAATTGATCACGACAACGTCTTCCTGTTAAAACCTGATGCTACCACTTCCAGATTTGACACTGTACGCCTTAAAAATCAGACTCTGGTATCAGAGGTAGTGTTATTCAAGAAGCAAAGACGTGTGATATTAGCTGTAATTGTTTCTTAAAGTGTGTATTTTTCGTTAAAAGCAGACGGTTTTTCAAGATCCCGGAGTTTTAAACGAGCACTAATATCATTTCTGAAAATACACAGACAGTGCCAACGGACAGATTGCTTCTGTGATGTAATGAACCAGTTAAGTTGACTTATTTCAGAGGAAAATTACGGTATTCTTGAAGAATCTCAAATTACGTGGTTTTTCGCCATCCGTTCAGCACCTTTGGGGTGTCGAAAAAGTCCGAACATCCTTGATTTAAATGCGTCAAACATGGCTTTACGAAAGGTGTCGTAGAGAATTGAACAAACTGTATGCAGAAAAAGAAATGCTGTACTACATTTACAATGTTACTATGCGCATCATATTGGTCCTCGATGGCGAGGTGATGGCATAGTGTAATCATGAAAGGGCAAGTATGATAGTTCCTAGGCCTGCGGTTCCAGCAGATGGGCTAAGAAAGCTACCAGTGTAATATAACTTCGAAAGTGCATCACGCGTTCTGCTCATTCATCTCCCAAATGCGAGCAATTCGATCGGTGCGATCGGAAAGACCAAAACGCTATCAAGCAGCCGGAGCAGAAAAACAAATAATGGATTTACACATTCGAAGGTAAAAGAGATGTTAATTATTGAGGGTGTCTGCTCAGAAAAATTGATTCTCACTTTTCTTCTATTATCCGCCTTCTTTTGCGGATTGGGGTATTTCCTGGACTACATCACACGTTCAGTTTACACAAGGTATGCTACTAATGCGTACGACGAGCACTCATTACTATCTACAATTGAGGTCGTTAACAGTGTTGTAAGTGTTGGCCCCCAAATTGTTTTTGCCAGACTTTCGGATGTTTTTGGAAGGCTTCAACTTTTTCTGAAGGGCACAGTACTGTATGTCATTGAAAATTTCATTTATCCACAGCTCACAACATCAGAGCCTATGCGGTAGGTGCGGTTATCTACAATACCGGTTATGTTGGGCTATCACTCTTGCTGCCTTTAGTTCTATCCGACATATCACCTCTGAAGTGGAGAATCTTTTATAAGTTCGCCTCCTCCTAGCCCTGTATCGTAATTTGCTGAGTTTCTGGTGATATCATGCAAGGTGCTAAGCAACAGATAAATGGTCATGGATTATTGGGATGTGGGCATTCACTTTCATCTTTTCAGCCTTATTATTAATAGGCTTCGTGGTATAGGCCACTTTGAAAGCATCAAAGAGAAATGAATGGAAGGAGCTACAAGAATTGAAGCCACGAAACAACTTCGGTCTTGTTGCCTTCATCACCGATTTGTGACATTAAAGTGACGTATTGAGGATATTTCTTGTCACGAGTGCGTTGAGTTGTATCCTCGTTCCACTGCCGTTGGCTGGTGGTACGTCAGATATATGGCAAGAGCCGGGTATTTTTGCAAATTTGATCGTCGGCGTCCTGCTTTGGGTGCTTTTCTTGATCCAGGATTGAAAGTATGCTCTAAACGCGGCTTTGCCTTTCCTTCTTTTCAGAGATCGAGGAGTATGGGCTGCGCTCTTGGCGGCATTCCTGGAAAAGATGATCAATGTCATGATTTCCGTATACTTGTCCCCTGTTCTTTCTCTCCGTGAATGAGTCGACTATGTCAGCAACAAAAATAGTTTGGCTTCCAACCTTTGTGGCATGTACAAACTAATTATTCTTTGGGCTTGAAGTAGTTCGTGCCAAGTTGCTCAAAGTGTTCTCTATTTGTGGTACTTGTCTGTGGATAGTTTCAATTTGACTTTTTTTTATCAATACAGAGGAGGTTCTGGCTCTCACTTAGGTGTAATTGGTGCTTCTGTTGTACTGGGTATTGGAAGCGCCATTTTTACGCAGTCAATGATTGTCGCGCTTCTCACTATGGCTTCTCATGATAACATGGCAATTATGACTGATTTGTATTTCATGTTTGCTCAAGTTGGCGCAGCAAGTGGTGCATCCATATCAGGGACAATCTGGACTTAAAAGATGTATAAGGAGCTTATGAACCGCCTTGAAGACGACAGACTCGCTATGGCTGCTTTTTTCTCTCCTTGCGAATTTGTAGCTTTATACAAATGAAGAGCCGCAGAAAGAGTCAAGGTAGTACTGGCCTATCGCCATGCTCAAAAGTTAACAATGATTGTGAGTCTCGTTTTAACTGCTCCTCTACTGGTGATTGTCCTTTTCACTATGGACAGGAAACTGGGTGAAAGCATAGCAGAAAAATCATGCCCAAAAGACAAGGACCCAATGTACACTTGGATCTGCACAAGAACAGAGATTTCCGAGCAGGGAGTAAAAAAGATACCTGTGTGCAGTTAGATCCCCAATCAAACAGAACAACTGTCTTTTTAGCAGATTTTCAAGTCCATCAATAGCCAAATTTTTTGAGTCATGTCGTATAGCGGTGAAGAAGTGTCTTAGTAAAAGAGAGGCAGTCCTGCCGCCAAAACTGGTAACTACGGCATCAATATCAAGCTAAGGTGCACGGATAATTATCAGCCAGAAATTGATGCAAAGAGACTCCTCTGATAGGGGCTTAAATTGTATCATCAATTGGTGATTTTTTTCGCCCATCGTAGGTGACTTCAATCTACCAATCACCAAAATGTGTCAATCTCGAGTAAATGTGTTATTTAATCCTTCACGAATTGACATGAAAATACAAGAACTCGCCAAAATAATCGTAGTACAACACCTGAAGAATCAAAATAATGCTTTCTGTCAATCGAATAGGCAGTTTATATTTAAAATCACCTGTCTTTAGGAAAGATTCTGTATGCTCCAGTTAATGAACATTTTGATCAGCAGTTAGCAGCGGCTCAAAGTAGCTCCATCTCGTTATGGCGCATGATGTTTGAAAAACCTGACCGCAAATTATTGTAGCTTTGCGATCTTAGATGCACACCGACTTCCTCTGTCACTAAGTAATTCTAAGACGAGAATAAGCTACGATCAGTCATGTCTCATAACTTTCATTCATATTGATGCTTCTTGTAACCACTTTAATCAACTCGGCTTGTGACTGTATACGCGAAGGAAAATCAATCTAAACATTTGGTGTAATTGTACTACAGTTTGACCCATAACAGAGACCTCTATATGCCCCCATTAGAAATGACAAACAATCGAAAAGTCAAAAGGCAGTTTTCAAAAGCTAGCAAAAGGTGAAATGCCTTACATCGTTACATGAAGAAGCTTGGTTGTGACATTCGACATGACCACTCACAGTGTGCTCTGTCCTGGTTTGAACTGTCTGAGTCTTCAAGAACGGTAAATCTATAATCTTTTGACACACGCATGCTTATCTAAGCTTACCGCCAATCAAGCGATGCGCCTAAGAGTGGGAGACCCTGGGAAATAACGGCGAAGCTAACTTTGCCAGGATTTTCGTCACTGAACGGCAGGGCTTTAGTTCTTTCAAACGACACAGATTCAATCAGGCACACTGCTTTTTCAACCGTTCGAGCTCCGTTGTGTCATTTTTCTGTAAGAGTGAATCGTGGCAACCATCCATACAGAGCATAGGGCTCTCGCTAAAAAACAGTTCACTTGAAAAACGAGACCCCTCACTGGTACTTCAGATTTATCCTCTAAAGGAGACCGTGTTCTCGGTCTAATGAAAGCTATCGTACGTTAAGTCAAAAATAGAATATTTATTTAGTCGTTATGGCGCCCACATGAAAACGTTCATGTCTAACATTCTGCGTCGCACAATAAGCTCACTCTCACCTATAGTTCAATCAACTTGAGTTTTTCATACTCGAGTCCCACCAAACTGAAAGATACTATTACAATAGTACGAGAGCCGCAGCAGCGAGAACGCAGCCTTTAGAGACCATAACATTGATACCATTGTTGCCTGTAAAAGTCTCCAAAGACGCCGTGGAGCTGGTACTGACGGAGCTTGGTAGGGCAGATTGTACACTCAAGGACGTTTTTCCACCACCTGAAGCAGTAGTCGATACTGACGTACTGGTCGCGACAGAGGTAACAGAGCCAGTAGTCATTTGAGCCGAAGTTGCTCCGGAAGTTGATGTTGTACCTGTAGAGCTTGCTCCTGTCATATCTGCCGAATGTTCACCAGTCAACCAGCTCGAAAAATGAGAGAGATAGGAGGGAACCTCTGAGACCGCAGTGGGCAGTACTGGTTTGCCACTTAGAGGGCAGTAAGTAGTATACGCCGTCGAAGCCTCATAGATAGTGGTCACTCCAGTCGTTACTGGTGTTTCGAAGCATTTGTGCTCGGAACAGGACGTCACTGTTATCACTGTCGTTGACATGGGATGGGTAGTCACTTCAGTGCTGGTGATGTTTTCGTAACTGAATCCTGCCGAGGAAACCCTAAGTGCGGAACTGGGTGAGAGTGCACTCAAAGAAGCGGCCCCTGAGGCCCAAACGGATTCAAGAGAGCTGGCTAGATTACCTTCCGAGGCTTGCATGGAAACGACGGATGGTGCGAAGGACGAACTTGGAGCTGAAACCGATCTGGCATTAGAGGGCGAGTTAAACCCCGAAGAAGAGATTAAAGATGACAGAGATCCAGCGGCAGAAGCTGAAGCAGGAGCTGAAGCAGAGTTGGCGTTAGATCCAGATCCACTTGAAGAGTTTGGGCCACAGTAGTCGTTGAGATAGCAAGTTGCATTCAACCCGTCACAAGTGTCTTTAATATTGCCATTGATGAGCCAAACACTTATTTGCTCATTGTAAGGCGAAACACCACTCTCTTTACCTAAATCACTTACCCACATCAGTGGCAAATTTGCCCCTATTGAGAGAGCCTCTAGAGACTCCTGCAACTGTGAAATTGACTGGGGTAATAAGTCAAAACATCAGCAAAACCCTCAGGAGCTGTGCAGGCGATTCCCTTACCGTATTTTTCCGCAAAATGGACAAAAGTTGGTACCCATTCGTCAGCTCTCAATAGTGCCGTGCCAGTGAACTCTAACGTTAAAATTTGTAATTCTTCACTTCCTGACATTTCTGGTTGAATTTATCGCTGATGCTATTGAAGTTATGCCCATCACCTAAAGCATCCCATGAAAGTTGAACGAAAAACGGAGGCTATTTAAAACATTTTGAGTATTGCCAAATCGTCATTTCAACACGCATATCATCGCTCCTGAGCCAATGAACCTTAGATCAATAGCTTCAACAACTATAAGGCTCAACGACAAGTACTTTGTTTTTCATGTGCGGTGCTTGCCCAGCAATAATCGGACTCTGTAGAGTTAATCGAGCTAACCAACGTGTGCATCGACTTTGGTTAGAGTATAAGCGGCTTCCGAACAACTGAAAAGACGCGCAGTCTTTGCACATTGGTGGGTGCTGAAATCGCGCACGCACTGCATTTCGAGGCAGAAGGTGGTACCGAGCCTCTCTAGGGTATTATCGGACCATAGTTCGCGCCGCGGTTAACAATTGGCGGCGGTAATACGAGAATTGACCACTTCTCAATATGCAGGATGCTTTTATCGGTAATGACGGGAACTTTAACATCGGTCGGAGGTTCGCATCGGTGCATTGCAGTTTCCATTTCCTCTTGGCATTTTTTCCCATGAAAAGATAAGCATACGCATGCATGGGCCATGAAAAAATTCAAACCTACAGGTTGTTTGACAGAAACGATATGAGCCATTACAGTTAGAAATAGCTGAAGGCACCAGTGACTAAATCTTCGTGAACGTCGTGGTGTATTCAGTGTCTCGAGATAGTTGTGTAGTACAAGCGACCTTCTTTCAAGCTCTTCGCTTATTGGAAACTGCCACAAATTTTTTTCACAACCCGCGTCCTTGCATCCGCATCTTATTCTCGCATGCACTCTTAGTGTACATGATCAAGTTTTAGACCAAAAACCGCGGAACGCTTCACGCACTCAAACTTATCCAGAATCTGGTTTATGAACCTATGGTAGCGCGGGGTATTAATCAAAGCGCGATAAAAATGAACGGAAGCAGCCAAAGGATAACAATAAATTTCCTTCACCAATGCGTATTTCTTGAAGACGCACTAAAAACTGGAACGATTTTCGTAAATAAGCCGGTTCAGTTCACGCACGCTTGTCGGCTCGAAATTTTTAATTTCCGGTGAGTGCCGGATGCAGCTGTGTTGCGACATGTCGAGTGCGAAAGCTCTCGCTAAATTTACCAAACTTTCGTGTAAAAGAAAGGCTCATACTAAGGGATGCGCAACCATTTTATTCCAGTAGGTCTGTCCAAAGCTTGTAATTGTAAGTACGTAAATCAAAAAATGACACCGGCCATTTTTAGGAGGAATAGACGGCTATCGAGAAGGCAAAAATCTTTTGAGGAAACAAGCTTAGAGAATAGTATATTCTCAGTGGGAAAACAGGCGTGTTTAATTAGCTGTGCGCCTTATGATCGTGACATGACAACCACTAATTGTATACTGTTGAAGAGCAGAACCTCACATCACTTTTTTGCAAGACTCATGAGCAAAGAAGAGAAGCGTCATTTGTGAGAAGTACTTCTGGCTTGGGAAACGCTGCGTGCAGGTTTACTTTGTAAGAAGTATGTGTGGTCGGGTTTGGAATTTATTTTGAAGACAAATTATTCGATATTCGCTTCAAACGCTAAGCCGTCGTAATTTGCAAGCCTGTACGAGGCTGCTAAGAGTACAACATTTTTCTGACAACGACTGGAAGGGCTGAATAACGGTAAGTAGGCCCTCGTCGAGATTTGATGGTGAAGCCTGAAGAACAAGTTACGTTGACCAAAATTACTCAAATGTTCCCTTTTGAACTTCTGTATCAAAGAGTCATGCTTGACAGGTTAATGATTTCTATTGTGTTGTTCAGTCAGATGTCAAAGTGCTGCTTGTCAAAGGGCTCATGAGAAATTCTAGATCCTCGGAAACACTGTAAATTGTTAACTGATTGGGATAGCAATTTGTTTGCCCCAATACCCGACATGAGGAAACAAAAGAGTTGTAAGGCCCTCAAGTCTCAAAAACGAAAAAAGGAGATCTTTGAAGACCTCAAAATCGTCAACTAGTGCAATTGCTTTGAGTAGTCGCCACCGATTGAATAAATCAGATTTTGTGAGATAAGATCTATTGAAGTATGACGAGTAGACAGGTACTAATCTCGCTCAAGGACTTTTCTTTATAATAATTGTCTTAAATGAACGTCGATGACAATGTGCGAACCAAATCACATAAATACGAGCGTGGCGATTTCCGCTAATTGAAAACAGTGTTAAAAACTGTCTACTGAAACTCACATGTTTTCCAAATTAAAGATATCCATGAAAGGGTGATTTTTGTTTTCAGGTGTTCAACCTTGTTCATCGAGGATCAGATTTACGATTATCAGAACAGCTCTTTTTCTTCGAGACGACTAGGCACACTGACCCCATAGTGGCGAAAGTTGGAGGCATAGCTGGTTTCTCTTGTGGGTCGCGGTCTAAGTCAGAGTGCTTTTATCTAATTTGCAAACGAGGTTTAAACATGACAATGACCTTGTTCGCGATTAACCTCATGCCTATTTCTGAAACTGATTGTATGCTATTACCAAGAAAGAAAAGCACTTGAATGATGAGCCCCTAAAGCTATCATATTTTCGAGTCTTGGGCATATCTCTTGTAAATGGTGTAAGTGAAACCATGGCCACCGATAACGCAACGAACGAAGTATTTTCGATTCAAAAAATAAACGTTCAGCTATTTTAAGGCTGCTGAAATTGATCAACTGCGAGCTACAGATCGAAACTTTGAAAGCATTGATTTTAAAACAGTAGAATAAATTTCCTCACTTCGGCGCCCATAGTCCTTTGAATCCCTTAGGTAAATTTATAAGAGGAGCAAATATGAAAGACCTCCTCATTAGCACAATAAACCCAGTCCTATCAATTTTACGTTGGTTATCAACCTCTCATTCAAGCGCGACTTTTTTTTTAGGAAACAGTTGTGAACGACGGCAAAAAATGTTTGGCGTTGATAAATTAGCAATTTCACTTCTACACCAGCATTCGTTTGATTGATCGATAACCAATGTCTAGCAAATCTTGGAACCGAGTTGTATTTTTGTCATGCACCTTCTAGTGATCCCATCCTCGACTCCCACCATATACGCACTCCAAGTTAAGTTGACGCCTCATGGTTCTTCCAAAAAAGTACTTGTGATTGCGTACAACTATCTGAAAAACGGTTTCAAGCGAGTTTCACCCCAGATTCAAAAAATCACTAATGAACACTGTGCTGTTTAATAGATGCACGACCTAAACGACCCCATCTCCTGAAGAAGGCCTCAAATTTCGATGAGGCTCCTTAGTTTCCCTATATTTTATCGGTGTAAACAATGAGGATGAGTATCTGAGATTAGGTTATGACCCAAGCGCAGCTGCATTCTTTTTAAATATATGTCACAGCGAAGTCACTTTTGTGGATACGAACCCATTTTTCACTAAGATCACCATAATCTTGAAATTTACAAAATCTCTGAAGATGGTCTGCCCATTTTCAAGGTACGTGGTATCATTGACAGAAATGTTATTGAGCTATTTTTAAATGACGGTTCAACCATCTCTACCAACTTTATTTTCTTTAGTGAAAGAAACTACATTGGAGGAGTGAAATTCTCTTCTTCTTTTGATGATGTCTACACCATCTTAAACTTTGACATTAAGCAGTTGAGCGTTAAAAATGAATGGAGTTAACTTTGAAATCATTCAATAGTGTAGCCCCTTATCTACTGATGTATTTTGGTGGCGCATGGAGGATGACCGTCGTCTTACCAATCCAGAAAGTTTTCCATGACTCGGAGATTTTGTCGTGCCACTTTCTTCTGGTAACGAACCATTTATTGCTACAAGAACGACTAGATTTTCCACCCGTCGATGCTCTTTTTGGTTGATTTAGCGAAATATCTTACGCTTGGGAACCCACATGGATCTGACGCAACAGGTTTACGAGATTTCGGAGAGTTGTTCTTGTCCAGGAGATAAGCGTATGCTGCATTGATTTTTCTTCTGCCAATCTTCTGTTTGGTGAACTTGACATGAAGGACTTTACGCTATTGAACTTGCACAGAAGTGAGGTAACAATTAAACCATCAAGGTCAGTTTGAGTACGTTATTATTTCATTGGCGCCGGCCAGGTTTTCTATCTCCGCCTTCATGTCGCATCTTCGCAAGGCCGCATTTAGATGCAACGAAAACATCTCGAGAAGTTTCTCATGTAAATAATGTCCGCGCCGGACGCCAATTCTGCTCAAGCGAGTGATGATTTATCTAGGCCCAAACTGGCCCCTTCGCCTGTGAACACCTCCCGGGAAAATTAGACAAGTCTCTTTGCGATGAAGGGATTTACAAGGCTCAAGAGCGTAAACTACCTTCTTCTTAGAGGGTGTAACGGACGTAATGACGCTGCATCTTTCGGTTTGTCCAATAGGGTGTGTTTTTTGTCCTAACGGACATCTCTGGAATAGATTTCTGAGAGATTGTCATGTATTTCACGTTAACGCTAGTAGTAGGTGTTGCGCGGAGTAAAGATCTCTTCCGAGCCTTATTTTTCTTGCCCATTACATTTCGACTGTCATTAAATTAATTCTCTCGCGCTCCGCAGAGTAGACGGTAATGCGAGCACCAAAAAACTTATACCCTAGAGAAGTACCATAAAAAACCGTCCATTTTATTTTACAAAGAGCATGCGATGCTGTGAGATTGTGAAGCAGTGGTAAAATATTGCGGTATTTGCCATCTTAATATCTATATTATGGATGCTTTAATGCTTGTAGAGTTTCTCGCCATTGATTTACTCTGCCAGTATATGTGTTGATTCTCGATCTGTGAACCACGCTACATATGACCGTGGCTTTTCCACACAGACTCCTCAATTCTTGTAGGTAAACTCGCATATACACCACTAATATGAACTTGTACTTAATTCTTACACTTCTGAGTATCTTTTATTCTTGTACGATCTGGGAAATTGAGAAAACATCTAAACTACGGCGGGGTGGGACGACTGAAATTCGGAAGACACTAGTGCGGTGTTTTATGTCGCCATATAGCGACCATACATTCAAACGGTGAAGAGACTTCCAAGAACTTTTGGATCAGAAGAAATCTAGCTTCTTCGATTAAGAAACACACCGAGTAAAGATCGTAGTGCACTTGGCATAAGATACAGTGGGAAGCGCCCAGCGCTTCCAGATTTTTTGTGAGAGTCAAGTTGTATTGAGACAGTGTTGCGAGTTTGATCGGCAGCTTCGTGGTCTTGCAAAAAAGACCTGAATTTCATTGGCATGAGACGAGGAAACTAACTTTTCTTGATGAGAATTACAAAGTTCATCTCATCACGTTAGGGATTACAGCTTCTACTTTGTTTTTGGACGTTTTGCCCATTCATCATAAGACCAATTAAACGATATCAATCAAAAAGCCTTTATGCACAACGGCTCGATATAATCGCGTCAAAGATGAATTAACCAAATCACACAATGGTGCGCGGCTTGTTTTCGTCATGATCTTCTTGAAGGCAATATTTTGGCTGCCAGTGGGAGGGGATACATACCATGAGCAAATATTTTTTAAACAACTTTAAGAATTGAACGCGAAAGTCAACTTTTGCCGAAAAATCATGAGAATTCAAAAACAAATGCTGCGATAGAAATGGCAAAGGAACTCAGAAAGCGAAAGCATAACCATTCGTTTTTCCAAGATTTTGGAACTCTATCAAAACTTACAATGATGGTGTTGACAACAAATAACGGTAAATTGTCATGGAAAATTAAATCGTGATTTTTAAAATATTCATGGCATATGAAGATGGCAAGGAAGTCGTTATGATGGTGGCAACGTTTTCAAACTTGAACCTGAATTCTTTTCTGGATTCGGAAATGTAGAAACTCGTAAGTTTGTATGCAATTGAATTTAATTTCAATTGCACTATATAGAACCTTAGACGTCACGATGGTAAAAAGTGATATGCGTTTGACGTCATCTAAATACAGAGAGCCATATAAAGTCCGTACTCAAAAGTAAAAGGTCCAAACGAGCTTTGATGCAAATCGTTACTTCAAGGACATTTTTTCGCTTTCCTCATCATGGGAAAAATGATTGTTTTTTCTAATAACAACTCTTCTTACCTCGTACCAAAATCGTTCAAATACCGCCGAATATTATCAGATGTGAATAATTCTGGAATCTGACAGTAATCAAAAAAACCATGGTGTCAGTAGTTGAACAGTTATTCGATTCCTCCAACTGATCGATAAAGGGCTCGATTAAGGGTTTTTTTATTTAAATTTGACTGAACTGCGTGATCTGCTTCACTCTCACAGCTTTTTTTCCCTGGCCTCAGTTTCACTCTAAGTCGATTTACGAGTACCGATTACCAGTTGAGCCCAAACTGAGTGAAAATTAGGCGGGAATCAATTTACATAAATTCGGAGGCTTAAGGAGAGAAGAGAATATTATCATGACATGACACCATGAGATTTATAGTCATAATTTGCTGTCATAAGTTTTTGTATCAGATCACTGCTCATGGTTTGAATTTCGTTTTCACCGATTTCTTCGACACCGAAGCAATTCTCAATTCAAAAGAACGAAATAAATGATTTTGACTGATTTCAAGTATGTAGCGTCACAGCATTAATGTATTCACGAAGCATGTAGATGACGCCTGAATCACCGTTCTCGTCAGGCTTTTAAAACCACAAGTTGTATATTCTATATTTTTCAAGGAAAGAATTTAGTTGACGCCAAATGTACATTCACCGAGTGCGCGCTTCAAGCGGAAAGAATGGTAATCCGGCCTTTTTCAAGTTAGCTCAAATTCGGGCAGAGCGTCCCATAATTCTCGCTAGCATCTTGATTCTCCGCAATCTGTTGCAAAAATTCTGATTTTGAACAACTCTGAAGGTACTGTCTTGACGTGTAAATTCAAGACATGGCTTGCGCAGCGAATATAGTGGGTCTTACCGAGGGAACAGCCCGCCAGAGGTTTCTTATCGTTGAAAAGCGAGTAAATGAATGACTGGTAATTAAGACGTTGTTACTAGCGCTGTCCATGGTGATCGTTGCAATTTTGTCTGTAAGCTTATGTTTCTCCAAAAGTTGCCGGAATATTGCTAGAATGTTTTGGCCAGTATGCTTCTTCTCGCCCAAGCAAACAAAATCAAGCGGATGAGTATTTCGGGCCGTTCCATCATCGTTGAGTAAAATTCTGTGATCATCCATATCGCCCATCAGCTTTTTGTTCCATACATTAGGTGCAAACGAGACCGGCAGCCCCATATAAGATTCACTACTTCTTGCAGTCCAGATGTCTAACTGGTATTCACAAGGTGAGTATCTTGGAGGTTGAGAGACGGTGTTTCGTCCAACATAGCAGAATAAACTTGTAGCTTTTTCACACAGGTCGCTCTAGATCGAATGGAAGCTACCGACTGACCTTGGTCGTCAAACGTACTCCACATTGTGAGCTCGACAAAATTTAGCGACAAAAACCCTTCCGCTACAAACGAAGCCGTTCTAAAAGAGTGTGGATTTTTTACTGAACTCACTGAATATAGACTGGGAGATCTTGAGTGTTTTTATTTTTTTAATAAATGCATCTAATGGTCTATTCTAGTCAATCTTTCCATTATGAGCCCCAAAAACTGAAGGATGTAAGGCTCGAACGTGCTTGCTCATGTTTCCCGTTGATTCCCCATCTTTGTAAGATTTTCTGCAATGCCTTCAATTGGCAATTTTCTTGCCATCTCTAGACTTTATATCAAAGAACTTCAACAGGGAAGACTTTACCATTCACCCTTGATTACCTTCAGCATCTCTAGAGGTAGTGCTGCTTTTACTAGCAGCTTCTACATTGCAGTTCCCCTCCCCCCCTACAAACAACAATCAGAGGCCTTTTACCTTCAAAGTACGAAATCATCGATCGAGGGAGCAGCTCAATCAGTGTAGCTCATAACCAACACATTTACCAACACTGCTCAGCGTGCTTCTTGATTGTATGATCATTAAAACAGGTAGCTTTACTTTAATCACTATGTACCAGGTGGTCATTTTGTCGTTAGTCACATGAGCTTGTATCACCTAACTATATAGCCCAGGCTTTAAACTAAAAGATCGTTGAATTCCACCTAAGTCCACGCTTTTGTTTTCCCGACGTCTTGTAGAAATGACACCAGATCTAATTCGGGCTGGTTCTACTAGCTAACACCCTGGCATATGTCGAAAAAGTCGATATGCTACTTGCCGAAATATGAGTCAAATACGTGCCTATTTCATGTGCATGTACATGAAGCATGAAGAGCAATACGCGAAATGCGTCAGCTGACGGAAGACGGAAAAAACTGCGGCAAACCTAACGTTGACGCACCGGAGTGGAAAACCCTCACATCTCTTGCATGCTTCCAGCTGCAAAATGCTGGACATTTTTCTCACTTATCTCTTGTCAAAGAAGCCTAGAAACTCGTGCATTATCGTGAGTAGTCATGTGATAAAACGACAAATTACATTCTATTGCATAGTTACCAAACTTGCACCAATTAACCTCCGTTGGGTAAGAAGATAGGGCGAACAAAAATCACCATTAGCCTGAGCAAATAGAGACTGCCAGAAGTTAAATCACATCTGCTTAAAATTATGAACGCATAGGTGTTTGAACAAATGTATCTACATGATACAATATCTTGGGTTTACGAGCTAGAGCATTTTCGTATCTTGAATATACCAAGTATAGCAATGTTACAAGGAAATCTCCACTCTGTTGCCTTAGGAATAATATTACATGGTAAAATATCCACAACGTATCCTAACAACATTTTCTTGGCTCACAAAAGATAGGTTCTCGAAACACAACTACGTTGATTTACGAGCCGAAGGGTTTGCGTAAAAAAACCATGTAGGCTAACGACTAAGAGAAATTTAGTGACACAGGCACGCTGGTTTATGAGCAAGAGAACTTTCTTTGCGGGTTTAAACCAATAAGAGCTACATTTGAAGAAAAATAACAAACAGCTGTTCGGAGTTATGAAGGCTCGGTTGCCTTAACAGTATTTACCTGCAAGAATACCTAGAACGTATCAACACACAACCTAGTAGATTAACGCGCACAAGGTTTATCGTATCTCGGTTGACCAAGTACAGTAGGGAGGACTTTCCTTTAGCCACCGCGTAACTGTGAATATTTCCTGTTCTCTCTGCTCGCAGGCACGCGTAGGAAAAAAAACCTGCAGGCCTAATCCACGTTCGGTAAAATCATGGTACAGCACAGCACGTAGGAGATAATTGAACTTTTTCGGTCGAGGTTCGGAGAATCACAAAATATGTAGGTGGAATTTTTTCATTTATCTCTCAAATACTTCACGTGACCCGTATAGCCGCCAAGAATTAACTTATTTACGTCGAAATTTCGTGTCAAACTCCAATAACAGGCCATCGTAGAGTAGAGTTGCATCTAGGGCCACATACGTCGAAAATACTGACACCAAACTCCGAACAGCTTGAGAAAGAAATACGAGGGACTTTTGAGATAAGATGAAGACTTCGTAATACAACTTCTTAGCACCATAGAGTAAAAAGAGCGATATCGTCAGACAGGTTCGAAGCCGTAAAGAACTTCAAGCACGGCGCACATCTTCGGGAAAAAACAGGGACGCCAAAGAGGAACTTGTATTGCTCTGAGTAAATAGGATTTCGAAGCATAGTAACACGTTCTCCTCTAAGACACGAGCTGCGAGGAAAAGTGATTTCGGAGTGTAATGCACGTCGGCAACTTTCTCTACTTGCATGAAAGTGATTTTCATAAACACGCCCTTACAACCTTCTACAGGGCAGGTTGGGGAAGAGCTCAGGAGAGCTCCGGAAGCTCAGAAAAATAGACTTGTATAGTGCATGCATGTTAAAAAACCAGCATTTCGAAGACGATCATGCATTAAGCGGCAGCCTCAGATTTCACATTTCTTGTGCGAGGATGAATTGGATGAAGCGCATACCGTAGAATCTGACGCGAGTGAAAACTTGGTATTCATCAGTCCGCATCTAAACAAATGGCAAGCGGGCAAGCAAAACATGCCACTTGTTTGCACAACACATAGCATTACGAGTAGTGAACGCGGATAGTCACAGCAGATAGGCAAGTCCTTGTAAAAGTGCCTGCGATCTGCAATTGACGCGGTGCCAGGAAAGAGTTTCAAGAGATTGCATAACCACGTCGTAAACCCATGGCCGAAATAGGATAGTCTCCGCGGCAAGTCCCTAGCGGTGGTTAATGTTTACGGCGTCTTCAGGGTCAAACAAGTCAGAGAGGTGCGGGAAATCCTTCTTTGCATTTTACGCTCTTAGTGTTTGCTCTTGACGCGACAGTGATGCGACGATAAGTCTCGAAAAGAATAACCCAAAGGTAAGAACTGTTGAAACTGTATAAAAGGCCGGCATCTGGTGGAGTTTCGGTCTTTGGTACAGTTTCAAGTTTCTGAAAAACCCAAAGCAAATCTCATGCGCTGGTCAAGGTTACTTGTTTTCCTGGCAGTGCTGCTGGTGGGAAATGCCGCCACCGTCCAAAAGGGAGGTATCGGTGCTTGTAAACCATCTCTAGAACCTAGGCCAGGGTTTGACATCGAAATTTTTAGTCTCCCTATTACAGGAAACACTGTGGGCCAATGTTACGATCAAAACTATGATTCTAAGAGTTATTTGCATGGCGGATACCGTACTCATAGATATGGAAAGCAGGCTTCTAGCTCAAATGTCACCAATTTTTACTACTCCTTCAGTAAGGGATCAGCAGCTCCGTGCGCTGTCACCCGCAAAAAACTACCTTCCTACTACAACCTGAATAAATCAATAACCATCACTAATTTCTCCATGTTAGCTACCGGGTACTTCACCCCAAAGCAGACAGGGCGCTACTCATTCAACTTTAGATACATCGATGACGTTGCCTGGGTTAATCTAGGTGCTGGCAATGCCTTTAATTGTTGTGATAAAGCAAACTCGGTGGATAACCCAGGTTCTTTCCTGCTTACAACTAAATGGCCTGACACAAGTAGTTCGATTAAAGCTGATTTGATCGCTGGCTATTCGTATCCTATGAGATTTTTCTACGCCCAAAGAAATGGGGACGGTGGAATTAAGTTCACGTTTACCGATCCATCTGGGGTTGAACACTCCGATTGGACTTCATGGATCTTCAATTACGATGACAGCGATCGATGCGACATTGAACCCGACCACACCACGACGATTTGGACAGGAAAATCGACTGTGACATCAACAATTGTGTCCACATACACTACCTCCGGAGGCAATACAACAAACAATGTTGAGGTAGTTTACAATCCTACGACATACATTTCTACCTCGACTAAGGTAGCTCCATATTCTGGGCCTTCTACAACCACTTATTCCACGACTCAGCTCACCACTACAGGTACGGACGGCTATCGAACAGTTGAGACTGTGTACTACGTTCATACTCCAACAGGCCTAACCACGGCTTACACGCCATGGACTGGAAATTACACTAGCACTTACTCAACGGGCCTTACTTCATACACAGGATCGAACAAAAAAGTGAGCTCCAAGACGGTCTATTACGTGGAGACACCAACGCGTCTTTCCACGAGTTATACGAGTTGGACAGGAGATTACACGTCCACATACTCAACTACTGTTTCGACCTACACAGGTACAGACGGGGTGCCAACTACCGAAACTATCTATTACGTTGAGACCCCAAGTGGCGCTACAACTGTGTACACTCCATGGACCGGTACTTTCACCTCGACCTTCTCGACTGGTGTAGGCACTACCACTGGATCTGACGGTGTTCCAACCACTGAAACCACTTACTACGTTGAGACACCTTCTAAGGGTACAACTGTGTACACCCCATGGACTGGTACTTTCACTTTGACCTTCTCAACTGGTGTAGGCACCACGACTGGATCTGATGGTGTTCCAACCACTGAGACCACGTACTACGTTGAGACCCCAAGTGGCGCTACAACTGTGTACACTCCATGGACCGGTACTTTCACCTCGACCTTCTCGACTGGTGTAGGCACTTCCACTGGATCTGACGGTGTTCCAACCACTGAGACCACCTACTACGTTGAGACCCCAAGTGGCGCTACAACTGTGTACACTCCATGGACCGGTACTTTCACCTCGATTTTCTCGACTGGTGTAGGCACTACCACTGGATCTGACGGTGTTCCAACCACTGAGACCACGTACTACGTTGAGACCCCAAGTGGCGCTACAACTGTGTACACTCCATGGACCGGTACTTTCACCTCGACCTTCTCGACTGGTGTAGGCACTTCCACTGGATCTGACGGTGTTCCAACCACTGAGACCACCTACTACGTTGAGACCCCAAGTGGCGCTACCACTGTGTACACTCCATGGACCGGTACTCTCACTTCGACCTTCTCGACTGGTTTGAGCACTTTCACTGGATCTGACGGTATTCCAACCACTGAGACCACTTACTACGTTGAGACTCCATCGACTGGCTCTACCATTTACACCCCATGGACTGGTACTTTCACCTCGACCTTCTCGACTGGTGTAGGCACCACGACCGGATCTGACGGTGTTCCAACCACTGATACCACGTACTACGTTGAGACTCCATCGACTGGCTCTACCATTTACACCCCATGGACTGGTACTTTCACCTCGACCTTCTCAACTGGTGTAGGCACCACGACCGGATCTGACGGTGTTCCAACCACTGAGACCACTTACTACGTTGAGACCCCATCTAAGGGTACAACTGTGTACACCCCATGGAC